TAGGATTGCCTACCTAGTAGTGTTAATTCTATGGATCGTCATTACCCACTTATAATTACCTAGCTAGATTACTTTTGGCCGATCACGTCTCTCTAAGCCTATAACGACTAGCTAGGAGGATATCTTGCCCATTAGAAAGCTAGTCTCATTAAAGTTAAAGGTGTCCTTATTATAGATACTATAGGTGGCCTTTATACGTGCTACTAGCTTAAACTAGGCCTATATAACTATTGGGTCCTCATAGAGGGCTCGCTATCGATTATAGGCTCAATTAAATCGCGTTGTGAGACTATCTGTTCGCCTAATAAGGTTTCTAGGCCACTACTGGCCAACGTGGCCTGCGTAACGCTTAGCGAGCAGCTTATTCGCCATATCTTGTATAGCACCTAGAGTAGGCGCAAAGCCTTGCGAATCTAGGTTAAGTATATGCTTAATAATAACCTCCTCTTCTAGCTTAGTAAGCTTCTTTAATTTAGGCTCACAATCGCGTCGCGTAATAGTTTCAGCGCGTTAGCTATAAAGCGTGCTTTTAGGAACGTTAAATGTTGCTGCAGCGCGATTAACGCTCTGGATCTGATTCTGATTGATAGCTAAGATAGCTAGGGAGATATCGGCTTCGTTATAGGGCAATTGAATAAGTGTTGGTTGAGCCATTATGGTTGATAGGTGACGCGTCGTAGAAAGTTGGTGGGGTTCGCAGCTCGCTTGTATTCGCAGCTCGCTTGTAAACACATTATATTAACTATATCACTAAGTATAAGTTCTTACTAGCCTTCTACGCCCCCTATAACTAGTTAATTATAAAGGAGAATATCTACGTAGGGCCAGATTCATCAGGATTAGGGATTTCAACAACTCTATTAATATATTCAATATATATTCGAAAGTAGTACCAATCTCAAACAAAACGAATTTCCGCTCCCTACCCATTGCACACTATGCAGTACAGAGCTCTAGCATTTCCTACTAATAGCGCATGCCATCTTTTCCGCGTAAGCATCTGGAACGTATTAACATTCATCAACACGTTCGAGTATCTCAAAACTCACAAACGGTGGCCTGGGGATGTCCAGGCGGCAAGAGCGGAAACGACGAAGCATCCACCACCCTCAGCCCGTGCACACCAAACACTCTCGCCTCCGTATCCACAACGGCCATGCTGTCGTTACTACGGCCCATGGCACAGGTACAGGCGCCATGGTAGATAGTGTTATAGCTTCGCTGTAGCGTTTCCAGGATCTGCGCATCCGATTCTACTTGGATACCAGGGAAGGATTCGTCACCGAGCTTGAAGTCGGCCAGAGCGTCCGTAGCCCAGAACTCGCGGGCTCGCTTGAACGCTGCAACTGAGACATCGACATCTGCTTGTTCGACCAGAAAATTTGGGTTGATTTCAGGTGCAGTGTAGGTGTCTGGTGATGTGATGGTGACTGTGCCACGAGACCTAGGTGTGCATAGTGCGAGCACGAGAGTGGCGTAGTTGAATCCGTCGCCTGGGTCGCCGCGGCGCGAGTCTTCCTGGAACCCAACAAATGCGCCCATTGAAATATACTCAATCTCGGGCCAGTCCTCAGGATACTGGCTCAGGATAGACAAGGTGGAATTGGACATGCTCGAGCGAAGGTGCGCAGGAACCTTTTCCCAAGCGACCGCGTCAGACGTGGGATTCGAGTACATACCGGCGGCACGGGTATTGAACTCTACCGCTTGTTTTGCTGCAAAGTCTGGAAATTGCAGAGCTGAAAGTGTGGGCGCGTTGACACGGTGAGAGACACCGAAATAGATGTGATCCTGCATACCGCGGCCAACGCCTGGTAGATCGACCAAAATGGGCACACCTGCTGGTTCGAGCACCTCCGCTGGACCGATTCCCGATACCTGGAGCAGCTGAGGCGAACCAAAGACACCGGCTGTCAATATGACTTCCTTCCGTGCCGAAAGAATGTATTCGAAGCCCTCGGTGTCAACAAGCACTCCAGTTACTTTCGGGGTCGGGTCGCTGTTGAATAAGAGTCGCTTGGCCATTGCACGTGTGTATACTGTATAGTTGGGATTGTTGAGCGACCGTTGAAGAAAAGCTGTTTCCGACGAGTCACGGAGGCTGGTGTTCGCGTTGATGGTAAATGTGGCGTACGATTGGCCCAACAGTGAACCGTTAAGAAACCCTGGAATGATATCAATGCCCATTTCAGTAAAACCCTTGGTGGCCCATGTGGCGAAGGCTTGGGCGTAGTGAGCGTGGATAACGGAAAGGGGCCCTTCGCGACCGAGAGTACAGTCATCGATGGAAGGCGTCGCGTTGGTAAATCGCAAATCTTCCCTGGGAGGCGAATAGGTGATGCTCTTCTCAAAGTACGGCTTGAAGCTTTCCCACTTGAAAGTGTCATCTCCGACCTGTTCGGCCCACATATCGTACGATGATTCGGTGCCCCGTTGATAGAGCATATAATTCCTGGCCGAACTACCTCCAAGCGCCTTTCCTCGCGTGTAGTGAATAGAGTCATTGAGCGCGCCCTATTCAGGAAGGTTTAGCAACCGACCAAACATCAACCAATGATAGGCTAGCTTACAACTTGAGGAGTAGTCATATACCCCCAATCAATCAGAGGCTGCCAGTCCTTCTCTCCCTTCCCAGCAAAAGCACCGTCCGTTGCGGGGACTTGACTAATATTGGAATTGAAGATCTCGTAGAACGAACCGGCTTCAATCACGGCCACCGTTCCAGCTTTCGCTTCCACCAGCCTCGTCGCGATTGTCAAGCCAGCAGTTCCACCGCCGACAACTACATAGTCGAAGGTTCGGTTATCTCCCGGAACACCAAAGGATGATCCAAGCAGTCGTCGGGCTTTGAGAGACGAATAATGAGGAGCAGCGAAAGCCGCGCCGGCCAAAGCTGCAGATAAGAGTGCTACTCGCATAGTCGGAACAAATGGAAAATTGCCAGCTAGACAAACTGATGTTGAAGCGAAAGGAAGAGATCTCTTAACAGCTTAGAGATTCGAGAAACCCAAAGTCATTCTTGCTCTATATACTGCTCAAATGCCTAGTAAGGCTGAAAATTGAAGGAGCATCAAAAGACGTGTCTGGCCATCGCATTCGTCCGCATCTCGCCGACCATTCCACGTGCCATTACAGTCATCGCGTCCAGAAGAGTCCGTTCGCAACGGGCGTTGCCTGCTTAGAGAATCCTTCTGCTCATCGGACTTCGATTGAGGCTTGAATCTGACCGTAATAGCCACGCTAGTTCGCCATTTACCGTGTGGATGCTTAAGGGCGCACGGCACCATGCGGGACTTGCGTATTCGCCTGAGGGTCTAGTATCCGGACCGTTTAGGATTGATTCTGTTGTCTTGAGGTTTGAAGCTCCCTTAGGAAACTCTCTATCAGACTTGTGAGGCGTGTATCTCGTTTTAATTTATTTTAAAATTAGCTGCCGCGTTTTTGCTTCGTGGTCCTGGGGATAAGCTTCGCAAATTTCCCTCACCATGTGGGAACAATGATGTGAGCATCGTTCCTGAATCGACCGCGTTCCAGAAGCTAATGCGAAATGCTAGATCGCCACATGATCCAGGCAAGGATAGACTCGTGAAGGATTCCAGGCGAAAACATTCACCTGAGATATCCGCCGGCGGCCGTGGCGGATCTGGGGGCGATCTGAGACGCCATGGGACCAGATGAGGAATCTGTTTTAAGCCTCATCATCTACGATGAAGCGGCCGAGAAGTACGAACTCGGGGTGGGCTTATCGATTTTATCGTATTTTCTGGAGGCTTTTGTCCAAAAGGGCCTGAGTGGTGTGGAGAGCTATGGTTCTCTTAGTATTCATCCGGCATTTGAAGCACGTGGTGAGGCTGCTCTTTACTACACACAAACTTTGGATAATACTAACACGAAAGCCTTCAGCTAGCTGAGATTCCTCTCGTGAGAGCCAACCGAGCAATGTGGATCACCATTCGCTCAGTGGGACTGGCTAGCTATCAAGGAGTTGCTCCGAGGTACGGAGTACGAAGGAGAATGTTCCAGCTCATCTCGCTTTGAGTTTTGTGCACACATCGGGAATAACAGACACAAGAGCTCCCCCGGTTCCTAGATTGATAAGTCCACTTCGAAGCTGTATCGATGCTGCCGCTCCGCAAGTCCGCTTCCCGAAAGGAGTTTCGGAGTCATGCTCCTTTCGGCAAGGCGCGATCCCCGTCACCCAAACCACGACGCGCCGTAAGAGAAGTGACTCCGGAACAGCCACTTTCGTGCGCGCGCTAGGGCCGTTACGTAACCTCGCTGAACAATGCCGCTTTGATCTGGAGCTTGGGTATTGGAATTACTAAAAATGATGTTCGATTTAACGCGTCGAAGGTATGCTAGGCCTCAGACGTCGTCGCTGTTTGCAAGCAAAACTAACACCTACTCGGTTAGCGGGCCTTGGCAAGTACTATTTCCACGACCCTTGGTGCATAGATAGCCAGTTCCTTTTTGGTGAAGTACTTGTTTGTGCTTGTTTCTAATCTCTAAGTCTTCAAGCACGACAAGAGGCACGGCCAGCTTCCTAGTGTCTATCCTACCGACTTCTCCAACATGTTCAACCAACGTCAAGACGACATGGAGAAGTCCCCCAGCCGCGAGGACATGACAACCGACTCAGGCCAGACCCCCATAAACACCAATGGCGAGCAAAAAGAATCCAAGCGAGCCATACGAGGCATCCGCTGGTTTCTCGTCTGCGTCTCCATCTTCTCCGCGAACCTTCTCTACGGCCTGGACACGACAATTGTAGCCGACATCCAAGCTCCCATCTCCGACACGTTCCAAAATGTTGCTCAGCTCGGTTGGCTCGGCATCGGCTTCACTCTGGGATCCACCGTCTTCATTCTCCCCCTCGGCAAAGCCTTTGGCACGTTCGATAACAAATGGGTCTTCATCGCCTGCCTGATGAATTTCGCAGCCGCCAGCGCATTATGCGGAGCCGCCCCTAACATGGATGCCATGATCGTGGGACGAGTATGGGCTGGTGCTGGGGGCGCGGGGATGTATCTGGGGTGAGTCTGGTTGATTCCTGGCCCCCTCGAGACATGTGCTAAGCGAGATGTAGAACACTGAATCTTTCCACGGTATTGAGCCAGCCTAAAGAGCAGGGACTTTACGTTGGCGTTACCGGATTCGTTTACGGTAGCGGATGCATTCTAGGACCAGTCGTCGGGGGTCTCTTAGCCGATAGCGCAGCGACATGGAGATGGGTAAGTTAAAAACATGATTCCAGTATAGGCAATGCGTTGGTAGCTGACGAGACGCGAATAGGCATTCTATCTGAACTTGGTCATATTCGCTGTGGCCTCCCCCATCTATTTCTTCCTCCTCCCGTCCGTCCCGCGCAAGCAAGAAATGACCATTTCCGAAAAAGTCAAATCCATGGACTGGCTCGGCATCCTCCTCTGCGCCACCATGTTCTCCTGCTTCACCGTGGCCTTCACATTCGGCGGCATCCTTTGGGACTGGAACCACGGCCGCACAATCGCGCTCATAGTCGTCTTCGCCGTCACCGCCGTCGCCTTCGCCGTAACCCAGTACCACTCCGTTCTCACCAACGAAGACAACCGCCTCTTCCCATGCGAGTTCCTGCGAAACCCGCAACTGATTCTTCTCTACGTCATCATGTCGTGCAGCGGATCCGCCCTCTTCATCTCCATCTACTACATCCCGCTATACTACCTCTTCGTCGACGGAGACACCGGAACGGAAGCCGCAGTCCGACTGCTCCCGTATATCTGTTTCTACGTAGTCAGCGTACTCATCTGCGGGGCATTCATGGCAAAAGTCGGATACCACATGATGTGGTTCATCTTCAGCGGCCTGGTTTTGACGGCGGGCGGCGCGGCAATGTACACCGTACAGGCTCACACTTCCAACACGAATATCGCCGGCTACACGGTCCTTCTAGGCCTGGGCATGACGTGCAGTCAGGCACCATACGCAGTCGGCCATCTCCTCGTTCCGGCGAAGAGGGAACCCGAACTTATTCAGTACATCAATATCTCCCAAGGATCCAGCCAATTGATTGGTCTTGTGGTCGCTAGCGCTATTTTCCAAGGTCTCGCCTTCAACGGCATGAAAAATGTGCTGGGCCCGGGGTACATGGATGAGGAGGTTCGGGGTGCAATCGCCGGTGCGCGCAGTGCTGTGCTCGAACGTGTCACTCCAGAAGTCCATGCCCAGGCCGTTGATGTTATCGTCGATGCTATCAGCAACATTTGGCTTCTGGTTGTTGCTGCTGGTGTGCTTTGGACCGTTTGCTCGTTCTTCCTCACTCGTGCCCGATTCTTGACGTCTAAGGGTGAGGATTCGGGTGGAGCGGGCATGGAGTCTGAGGGGTAGGAATGGTTGCGTAAAGGGCTTATTAGGGGCTAGCGGTCTCTCTCGTTCCAATTTTTAGATTGAAAGGTTTCTTCGGTTGGGCGCGGTATCTCAAAAAGTATACTAAGGTCTGTACGATTTGGAAATGAAGGTTTTCATTAATTTAATTCAATACCTCTATAGGCCTCTCCGTTGGTTAAGGACCATGAATTTTCGCTCGATCATTTTGTTCCGTTACTCCAAATTTGGACGGAACTCCAAGAGCATGCTTACGATGCGCTCTTGCCTCTAGCGATATTGATATTGGGAGTATTTCAAGTAGTTTCACGTCCTCTGGTTATAGCGGTGTTGCGAAGTCACGGCGAAAGTGCATCAAATCAAGAGAGAATGAAGGAGGATATTTTGATTTTCGCAATCTTCTAGTGTTCGCATATGACCAGGAATGCAACGAGCAATTCCCAAAGAAAATACAGTAAGCATGGAAGTTCGCTATACTGGGATGCTCCAACTTGTAGAACTTAGCCTCCCAAGCCAGCCACGATTAGTGGAAGACTGAAAGTGTTGTGAATCCGCCAAAATTCCTTCATGCAGACCGCTCTCACATCGTGATGACAGCTCGAAATCGGACCTTGCCACTCATCATGTGATTGAAGGCATCGTTTGCCTTGTCCAAGGGGAACTTCTCGATCATGCAGTTGATGTCTTGCAGCTCGGTGAATTGGATAGTGTCCTCGGCATCAACTGCGCTGCCACATGGCCAGACTTGGACAGTCAAGGCATAGCGAAGCATGACTCCAGTGTTCACCGGAACCTCTCCGGGAACCGACAAGATGAGCAGCTTGCCCAAAATGCCTAAGCCCTTCAACAGTGGTGAAATGACATCAGCACTGGGGGATGTAGTGACAACGAGCTTCGCTCCACCCAGATTCTGGAGCGCCTCCCCTGCATCTCCTTTGCTTGAGTCAATGTACTCGTGCGCGCCGAGTTCGCGTGCGAAAGCTTCCTTGTCTCCACCTCGCGAGATAGCAACAACCCGGTATCCGAAGCGAGCTGCGTATTGAATCGCCAGATGACCTAGCCCGCCCAATCCTTGAACAGCGACCGTCTCTCCGACCCCGATGTTCATGTTGCGAATAGAGTTGAAGCATGTCAGACCAGCGCACATGATGGGAGCGTATTTGGCAGCATCGACGTGGGCGGGAACCCGAATGGCAGCTTCCGAGCGTAGTAGAACATATTCAGCGTCTGAGATTGAGAAAATGTGAATCAGCTGCCAAATTCTTGATGCATGGGAAGATCTTTGTGTACTCACAGCCACCAGCCTTTGTCTCGCCGTTGATGACCTGGTTATCACACATCTGAAAAAATCCCTTCTTGCACGCCTTGCAGACGCCTGCATCACATGTCAGTTCAAATTCAGCCTCGAACAATTCTAAGTGCAGAAAAAATTGTACGCACCGTCGTGTCCGCCATGCCAGCCTCCGCCAACGCGGTCGCCTTCCTTCCATAGTTCGACGCCCTCTCCAATAGCAGCAACTTTACCGACAATCTCGTGGCCGGGTACCATCGGGCTATAGTCATGTCGTTGAGTATACTTCTGGAAGAGTGTATGGCCTTGTGGGGCTGAAACTCACAATCCGCCGCCCATGATGTTCTGCTGGGCAAACATGTCGGAGAAGCAGACACCGCAAGCCTCTACCTTGACGAGAAGCTCACCCTTGCCAGGCAGCTTCAAGGGCGCTTCTTCGATGACGAGAGGCTGCCCCTGCGCTTTGAAAACTGCCTGCTTATAGGTTTGCGGGAGAGACATGGCGATGGAAGCGGTTGAGTGTTGGAGTTGAGGTTGAAGCTGTAGTTTGCGTGCGGGAGGTGAATGGCAAGAGGAGAAGCAGTAGATGATGAAGACTAAATATTCTAGGCGCGAACAAAAGTCAAGGAGGGGAGGCAATGACGTCCCCTAGTGCGCGACCCGGAAGGGGAAATCGGAGTTGTTCGAGTGAGACACTCGCCGGGTAGAACCGACATGGGCCCGTGCAACGGCGCATAAGTGTCGTACCGTGTAAACTAAAGAAAAGCTCCAAGCGGTTATCTCCTAAATCCGATTAGAACGCCGTACCGGTATATCCAGGTCAACTAGCATCCTTCTATCCCCGAATACGGCTGATGTAGCAACGTTCGAACAAAGAAACCTACACGTGGTCAAATCGACATGAAAGGTAGAAACTGCATGTCAAAGCCACCGTCGGACCCATCCCCCATGAACTCCATGTCCATTGACCGCGCCGGGAGCACGTCCTGCATCGCCGCCATGTTGACCTCATCCATCAGATTCAGCATCCCATTAGTCATGTAATCCTGGCCTCCCGTCTCTAGGAATCCGCCGTTGCCCTGGGGCACGTGGTTTGGATAATTGCCTGCGAGGTTGGTTACTGTCAGGGCAGCCTCGCTTCCCTGCGCGCCCTCCAGACGGGCGCGCTCCTTCAGCAAATCCGTCTTCTCTGCCAGATCTCGCACAACAGCTGCAGCACTAGCCGCAGCCGCAAAGCTACGGCCAAAGACTCCAAAAACGACTAAGGCGCGGTCGATGGCCTGTCGGACCAGGGCTGTCGAGTTAGAGGTAGGCGACGCAAGTAGATATCCGACTAGTGTGATGGCTGCATTCCACTGCCATTGGAAGGCCTCGTGCCAACCGGCCAGAATGTCGGTCTGCGTCATTATCTGGTGCATGATATTGGTGAGTGCCATGCCGTGCTCTGCGGCCGACAGGGCATGCGCAAGGCTGGAAGCCTCGGCAAGATGTGGAGCTATCGGGAATACGATGAACGGGCGGTGAAGATTCATGGAAAGGTTGTGATACATCAATTCTAGGAGTAGGCGTTGGCGCTGGACCCACAGCGGCGCAAATTGCTCCACAGCAAGCGTAGAGAGGTCCGTCGAGAAGGAAACTCCGTTGCCCTTGCGCTCCGTCTTCAAAGCGTCCGGTACGTCCTGAGCCCACGCCCGAAGAGGTTGGATACTAGTGGTGAAGAATTCGGCGCATCGCTTCAAGGCTGGTGGGTCGTCGTATATCAGTCCTCCATTCTCGCCCGAGAAGACTTCCAAACAGTGGTCAAATAGTGCTGTGTATATTGATCTTGTAACAAGAACCAGCTTTGTATGCTGTGAGTTGTACGTGAGCCAGGTGACGTTTTCGTCCAAAGTGGCGAAGTTGGAGCCCGCCATTCTTGCGGTTTCATGGTCATCCGCCGGTAGTTCACAGTAGCGGGGCGACAAACAAGTAGAAAACGGACGATCCAGCTTCATGCAGGTCTTGCTCTCGACGGTGCACAGTGACCACCAGATTCTTTTGCGTAGCTCTCGCTCAGCGCTTGGCATGTCAGCCGGTGGTTCCATGTGCAAACCGAGCATATTGGCTGTTCGGATTGCTATGGCAAGCGTGCTGTGGGCCATGTTCTGGAATGAAGCGCAGCAAAGGTAGATGACCGAGAGTATCTGACACTGGACGGTGCTGATAGTCGGAGACTCGAGATCTTTGCTCAACAGAGCTTGGCATCGGCGGTAATACCAACGTCCCGCAATTGTAGGATCGTCTGCGCCAACCTCAGTGCCTGAAAAGGTTCTTGGGCGGGTGGCCATGCCATACTGCATACTCATAGCAATGACTATATCGACAAGGGCAGACGGCAGCCGTGGTTTGCCTGGTGTGGCCCACAGGCCCTTGCAATGCTCCTTAAATTCGACCTCACTCAGAATCGGCAAGGAGGTATGGTGGGATTCCCAAAATAGATTGAGGAAATACTCTTCTTGGACTGCAGTCAAACACTGGTCGGGATTCACCAAATGGCCATCGCTCTGGGGCTGGGAACCTTCATTTCCCTTGAGGTTGTTGCAATCCGGAGACCAGAATGTCTTCGCCACAGAGTTGGGTTGGATGTGCTTATCTAGATGCGGCTGTTGCAGGGCAGCGGTGAGGTATCTATTCATATGGCTGATGAAATAGAACAAAGAAAACGGGCCGTACCAGGTCCTCTGCTGCGAATAGGCTGTGCTGATGTGCACACCATCCCAGTGTCGTTTTGGCTGAGTCCGGAAAGTATCACGACTTGAAAGTGATGCATTGCCCGTAGAGACGGGAGGGGATGGTAGTGTGGCCTCACTCGCTTGGCGTCCTTCCTCCAATTGGGCTTCGAGGTCGCGTACCCTCTGCCGTAGCCTCTCGATCTCTCTGTACGCGTGGGGTAGGCTGCGGAGTTCGCCCGACGCTCGGTCGCTGCAATGCCTGTCTTTGCTTTGACAGTTACCGCAAGGGACATTGTTGTCGCATTTGACACGTTGTATTCGACACCTTCAAAAATGAGGTTAGCAACTCATCAAGTTACTTGGAGAGTGGAGCGGGCCCAAAGAGGCTGATATGCGAAGAAACGACATGGGGAAGGAGATGGCCATAGGCACTCACCATTCACATGCCCGAGCCACTTGATGACGCCTTTGCCTGGGGGAAGGCTGCTGAGCGGCAAACGCTCCACCATCCGTCACATCCTTATTGCTTCCTGTTAGGGACTGCGGGGTCCCTACAAATGTGCTGAACATGTTCCGGGCATAGTCTTGAAGCAGTGCTAACTACTTCGTAGGCTACAGAAACTTGGCAGGACAAGTTACGCAACACAAGTTACCTATGGTATTCCATTAAAAGAAGCCGGTCGAGGGGAGCGAGTCCAGATGAAGGTGTTCTCGAGGCTCTGCTAATCGAGGGTAGCCCAAGAGAAGGGCGTGACTGTGCAACAGGAGGCACCGAAGTTTGGGTCGGGTAAGCTGACCGCAGAAGCGTCGAGCTGACAACCTTGTTTCACGTGAGTAAGTGGCCCGTGCACTACCTCAGCCGACCCTGGTCGCGATTTTGGTGGGGTGCGCAGCTTACTGGTGAGACACGTTATATATGATGACTACAAAGTTCACACTACACGACCCACCTACGCCGTCCTCACCGTTCTACCTTATACATCAGCCCATTTTGGGATGCACCTCATACCGTCCGGTCCCACTTTTGCCTCCATCCTGCCACAAACCGTTGAATATGCCCGCTTTCTATGAGACCTGGCTGCGATGCTAGTACCGTTGTGTATCTTTCCGCAGCCTCAGTCCGGAACATAGTAGTCCCCTCGGTGAAGCCATTCGTTTCCACCAGGCTACTCGAGTAATGCTGTCTGTAGTAGTCGATTAACTTTACCGCAGGATTGTGTATCTCATTGCCCCGTTCGGCGCTGGCCTGCAGCCCTTTCAGCCATTCATTGAATCGTACCACCTTGAACTGTAGGCCTGCCTTCTTCAGCTCAGCCAAAAGGTCTTTCCACGAAAACACGTCCGGATTTGCCATGTTGAAGAAAATGGGCGGGTTGGTGCTGTGCAATGCCAGCGGGCTTCGCTCTTGTTCTAGCATTACGGTAAGCTCCATCATCGCTTCTGCAAGCGTGTCAACCGGCAACCATGAGCATTGCTGTGCAAAAAGCGGTCAGTAAACGTTCTTGCCTCTAACGTTAGAAGGCGTTGCCTGGCCTACCTCGTGTAACATTGGCAGCATCTTCATAGTTAGCGCCGAGCGAATCATGGCAGGGATGAACTCTTCGTCGTTCCACACGCCGTTCTTCGTATCACCGACAATTTGTCCGATGCGCAATATATATCCACGAGCGCCCGCTCGTGTAGCATTACGCACAATATGCTCGCCCACCAGCTTGGATTTCGCATAGCCCGTATCTGCGGCAAAATTGAAGTCTTCGATCGCCTCATCCGGGACGGGCCCAGTGAGTGGCGTATTCGCGGCTGTCGAAATAGATGAACAGAAAAATAGCAACGCGGACTTTGTCCGATACACCTCAAGCGAGAGTTTGAGAAGGTTCTGGAGCCCGGCTATGTGTGGCCGGAACGTCGCTAGTGGGATGTTGAAGTTGACCGGCCATGCGAGGTGTTGAATCAAGGTTACCTCCGTCCTCAGTTTCTCCATCATTGCTTCACCGATCCCGAAATCGGGCAGGCTCAAATCGACTTCCAAAGCCACAATTTTGGTTTTCGCAAACTTGCTGACCTCGATGCATCTTGCTTCCAGGGACCCGAGCACCCGGTCCAGTGGACTTCGCTTTCCGCCGCGGACGAAGCAGTAGACTTTTCGAAATCTCTTGCTAGAGATCATCTGATCCAGAAGGTGGGCACCGAGCGATCCCGTGGCCCCGGTAAGGATCTGTAAAAATCAGCCTCCGGCTCCTGTCCCGTGCTTTTATGGAAAGACTTACCGCAACCTCGCCGAACGTTGAATGATCTGTTATGAGCTGGCCCATGAGCTCGGCCTCTCCATCAACTGCCATGCTTGTGCCAGTACGCAGCGAGTGTAGATACTGCGCTAGCTTCTTCGGACTCTGATACTCGTAAACAACATTAGGGCTTAGCTCATGACCCCCCAAATCAAGTGTCTTTTGGATAATCCGCCTCATCTGAATGGCTCTCAGACTGTCGACCCCCGCACTGAAGTAGTCTGTCTCAGCCGAAGGCATTGAAGCACCGACAATGTCTTCGAAAGTCTCTCGAAGGAACTCTTCGATGGCAGGGAGGCTGAGTTTGAGACAGCCTTCTTGGGCCTCTATTCTCGCGTAGAGCATGTCGATCTGTTGTGCGAACGTACGATACACCTGAGCTCGGATAATGCTGTTCTTATCTGTCCGAGGATATTCCTCGGTTGAAAGAAATACCCAAATCATGTCTTTGGTGATTTGCGAAAAGCTTTCCGCAGCCGCATTCGCGTCCTGAATCGTTGGCCATATCGAATCCACGTATTCGCCGTCGGGTATTTGATCAGCGAGATGAGATTTGAAGACCAGCAGGCCGGGAATAGGTCGGTCGATGCCAATGACGACTGCCTCACGAACAAGATGGTTTTCTCGGATACAGCCTTCGATGGGTAGCGGTAGCACCTTCTCGCCGTTGATGAGAGTGATGCGATCGTCGGTACGGGTGATATACTTCCAGGCGTCTAGAACAGTGGAATGAGGAACGAAGATATCCTTACTCCGCCACGAGCCATCCGTTTCACTTTCCAGTGAGGTAGAAGACAAGCCTGGGTGTCCTCTGAGATAGATACATTCGTATTGGCCACCTCCGACCGGTCGCATTTCGACAAATTTCCTGACATTCGGGTAAAGTCGGATATAGTTCCAGGAATTGTCGCCAGGCCCGCGCCGCATAGTATCGCCTGCAAGACCACATTCAGTCGTTCCATAAACAACGCCAAGGTTGACTCCTGCTTCTACCAGTCTATCCCCCAGTTCATCCGGTGTTCGTGCAGATGCGGCAGTTACAAACTTGCAGGCTTTAAGGCATTCCACACCGCGAGTCTGCTCTGCTAGGAGTCCCAGGGCGTAAGGAACTGTGTGAATTGCCTGCGGTCGAATGGCTTGGATGGCCGCGATAAGGTTGTCGGCAGTCATTGGGAGCGATTGGTTGAACATGTACGCTATTTTCCTCATGTACATCGCCTGCAGCATCGTGGAAATTCCATACATGTGGTAAAGAGGAAGCGCACCGAAATTATCGACACCGGCGCCTTGGACTGGGTGGCACAAAACGTTTTTGTGGCTCAGAAAGACAGGTTTCGGTAAACCAGTTGAACCGGATGAGTGCATGACCAACGCGACTCTGTTGGTCTCCTCATCTCTGTTGTATACGCGTTGAAACCGCGGCTCCTTGATCGGAATTTCATACACTTTCCTTCCCGGAGTGTGTAGAGTCTGAAGAGAGACTTCCTGTGCCACTTCCTGTATCATCGATTCGATCTGTTGCGAATAACCATGTACCATGGTACTACATCCCGCTTGCCTGAGCAGATTGACGATCGCTATGGGCGCGAGCCTAAGAGAGAGGCATAGCACAGTGTATCCAATTCGACTAAGCGCGAAAAGAGTGACGACGAAGTCCAAGTTTGACGGAGTATAAATTGCGACAGTTTGGTTGGAGCTCTGTGTTCAGCCGTTAGCAGTGTGAAGCTGCGATCATGCTTTCTAGATGCTTACTGCTTTGAGTCCATTCGCTAGGAAGTGCTTGGCTGCTGCATCAACAAATGCATCAAGCTGGCGGCCGGTAAACCGTTCGTAGTCATCGGCGGTGTGACCCTTGGGGTACCCAAGGATAGGTGCTGGAACTTTATCGGCTGCACGATGCTGTATGATGTCGTCCAGCACTTTTAGCTCCCCAAACGTGTCGTAAAGATATTGGACGTGGTCTTGCGTCAAGTGAGCCATTGTTTTCGAGCCGCATTGATGGGTTTAGCGATGTATTTTCACGTCTTATAAAAATCTATCTGAGGTAGAACTTTTGGACCCCATCTATTTTCCGCACAAGCCTCATTGCCAGTGTTACGCCAGCCACAAGTAAACACAGTTAGCATGTGAAACTGCTCGACGTTTTCGCCGTGTCCTTAAAGCGTTGACTCCGAGACCTCCGTTTTCAGGTGCTCTCGGCTCAAACTGTCGCCGAATACGACGCGAAAGGCGAGCATCAGGTCTCTCGGCCGAAGCGCCACAGAGGCGGTAGGTTTATCAATTTGGGGATTATCCTTTGGGCTTACGAACCAGAGTGTTGGGACCGGACTCCTCGTTGGTGCACCAACATCCGGTAATATTCCCAGCAGAAATAGTTTTTCCCGTCCATCGAGAAGCCTTAAAGGTACAAGCTTGAGTCGTCCAATCCGAATGGAATGTAGCTGCAGCACGCAGTCTCCCTTGCATACGATCTGACCGCCGGCATGGGCCGCGTGTTCTCACGTTAGCAAAACGTTCCCTTGCAAAACGTGTATAACATGAAGATTGCCGAGCCCGCGTTTCATCAATGCACTTTCAAGTGTTGCTCCGATCGGATTCGCTGGAATTGTTTTGCGAAGGTCGAATATAACGATAAGACATGCTGGAGTAAGCTCCGGATCTCCTGTCCTCGTTTAATCCATGTAGTGTGTGAGATGGTTATCAATTGGCTTGAGAGACTATCAAATCATGCCAGGACAGGCACATGTGGTGATTGTTGCGCCGTATCTGTGTCTGCATTGATGTCCACAGTTGAAATGTTGCTCGTGATCATCTATCTTGCGTTATGTATACACTCCAAACAAGTTTTATGCGAAAACGTCAGACATGGTTGCATAAAATTGCTTTGAAATTACTACTGAGGTTGCGGTGTATCCATTACGAGCGCACCCATCAATGACTCTGCCACGCGAGTGCCATGTACCTCGGCATTCTCAATTGCCTGCCTGATCTGGGCATTCTCAGCCGGTGTAAAAGAGACTTGGCAGGCACCAACATTCTCCTCTAGGTATGGAATCTTTTTCGTTCCGGGAATAGGGAAGATATCATCGCCCTGGTCCATCATCCATGCCAAGGTCAGCTGACCGGGAGTACACCCCTTCTTGTCCGCCATAGACTTGAGGGTGTTGACCAACTGGATGTTCTTATCGAAGTTCTCGGCAGAGAATCTTGGGATGGAGCGCCTGAAGTCGTTTTCATCGAAGTCGTCGATCGACTTGTATTGCCCGGTCAGCATCCCGCGGCCCAACGGAGAATACGCAATCGTGGCTATTCCAAGCTCGCGGCACGTCTTCAACAAGCCCACTTCTTCTTTCTCAATTTCCATGGAGAATGGACTGTACTCGATCTGATAAGCTGATATCTGATGGATCTTGCTTGCCCGTTGTAGCGTATCCACGCCGCATTCGCTGAGACCCAGATATCGCACTTTTCCTGAGCTTTGAGATTTCAGCCTGTAAATATACGCCACATATGGTAAAAACTCACTCAATAAATTCTTTCATCGTCGCGACGATGTCCTCCACTGGAGTCTTGCCACTGAAGCGATGGCTGTACGCATGTTAGAAGATTCGACGAAAACGTATACTGCGTATTTACCAATAAAGAAGGTCAATGTAATCCGTCTTTACCCGTTCAAGACTCGTAAGAACTGATTGCCGGATGTACTCAGGTTCATTCCGGATCTCCCGACCACCTTCTGGTGTAACGTGATTGCCAAACTTGGTGGCGAGGAAGATCTATAGAAAGTCAGCAAAAGGTGCCGACTATGCAGCATCTCGAATTGTGGAAAACCAACCTCATTGCGCTTTCCCGTTCGCTGAAACCATTTGCCCAACAGCTCTTCGCTATCTCCGTAGAGCGCCGCAGAATCCCAATGCGTGCAACCCAGTTCGTATGCTCTATCGAGGAATTTTAGACGCTCTTCATCAGGGGGAGGAGTTCCGTAGAACGCTTCAATTGACATAAACATACAATTCTATAATTGTCTGTCAGTTGTTTTACTCACAGCTTAAACCCATAAGTCCGAGACCGAGAACCGGGATCTCGGGGCCGTCGCGGCCGAGACGGCGGGTGGGTAACTTGCTAGCCATGGCGATCACTATTGACAAAGACTGGAATCCGCAGAGTTGCGCGCTCAAGAACACACGGTGACATAAGTATTTCGGCCAAATTTCTATGATTGTGGTGGTACATATGCAGCTGCAATGACGTCATATCGGACCACGCACTCTCCGAAACTCCTTCCAGGCATTCACGGAGTGACATTGCGAACAAATTTGAGAACTCAAATTTTACTTCATGATTGGCTACGTAAGGAGCGTACTTCTAAGGATCATCGTCACACAGCATCGGTCCCTCCGAGTTACACCATCCGGGTGCGCTGCTTACTGCTTCCACTTGATGAAAGTAACACCGTCGTACACCGGCATGAGGACAGTGTCAATTCTGGGATCGTTCTTGCAAAAATTGTTGAACCTCTTGAGAGCCTTTCCGCACTCCGTCCAGTAAGGCCGAACCTTTCCTGGCAGATGGGGATTGGCTTCGGTGGAGATGGTCATGCCACGAGCGAAGACTAGGAGTAGAAGTTAGCATCTCAGCTGGAACCAAGCATTCAGGACGTCTTACCATTGTCGCACATGATCAGTCCATTGGGCGACAGAAGCTTCTTGTCCAGGATCTGTTTCACGTAGGTCTCGTAGCCATCTTTGTTCGCATCGACGAAGATGATGTCGAACGTGCCCGTCAGTGTTTCGATGGAGTCCTGCGCCTTTCCCTCAATCAGATGGACTCGGTCAGCCATTTTGTACTTGGCAATGGTTCGACGCGAAGCTGCGATCATCTTGGGATCCAGTTCCAGGGTGATGATCTCAGCGTTAGTTTGCTTGGTAGCCTCGTACCAGGCCAAAGCGCTGTAGCCGGAGTAGCAGCCGATCTCAAGAACTAGGGATACGGGTCAGATTCAACGGCGGAAGTTGCTTTGGCTGAAGGGCGAGAACTGACTTCGCTTGGCGCCCAATAGCTGTGCGAGAAATTGCATGGTGGCCCCTTGGAGGGGTGATGACATCTTGTCAGAGTCTTCAAACTCGCCTACAGTCCAGTCCCAGAGCTCCTTCATGTCACCTGAAACATCGTTGGAGCTGTTGGTGCAGTACTCGGTGACGGTTGCGGCCATCTCCGGCTATTTTGGGTTAATCTTGTCCTCGGATAGATCCGTTGGGGCTGAGTGAGAACGTACGGTAAAGGACAAAACACTGGTGAGCATCTTGACGGCGGTGTGTGTAGAAAGCCTAAAACCTGTTCGCGTAATGGACGAGGAGTTTGTTGCTTCTGTCGAAGGTGATCGTTTGCACTGAACCAAGCATTGCCAGTCCTTATATCCTCTTCCCGACACCATCTTGGGGAAACACAATCCCCGCATCTTGGGCTGCGTAACACCGCAAATAGTTCCGCATGTGCAGTTGCATACCAAGCATTGAGCCAACAGTACTGAGATAGGGAAGCACTCCGAGAGTCCATCTCAGCCCGACTCTTGGTCTAGATGGCTGTAGCGCATGTAGCTCCGGTATCTGAGTTCGGATAGCGCTGATTGATATGGAAGTACGGTGGACAGCGCGTTCGGCAGTTTTACGGTAGTTGATAGGCAAATAAGAGTTTCAGTAAGCTCAGCGGTTACCGGTTCAGGATCTCCGTTCCCATTCAAGATGTGAGTTCGCTTACCTTCAGGTTTTACGATGCGCATAGTCCCACTTAGAGTAGTCGAATCGAACTCCAACAGTCCATTGCTATAGCGATAAGCATAACATGGTGGGTAATTGATCCAACTTGGGGGCCGCTTATGCAGGTAGCAAACCACGGTTCATGTTATGTCCTGCAAAGAGTTTTCTGGGATCTGATTGGACATGATCGCAATGCCGATAGCACGTACAGCTCTTGCCGAAGCTAGCTAATCGGCAAACCCTATACAATAGTCCCAGGTACAGCCTTCTATTAAAGCCGAATACGTTTGAACCGATCGACGTACCCGGTTTCGGTGATTCAGATCACTCTCTGAATCGCGATTGTTAGTGAAATAAGACTCCGGGAGTACTCGATACAGGGTCTCAAAAGAGGTATAGTAGCATAGATCTAAGAACTTTTAGGGACCATACCAACTCCGAATCCATTATGGTTACGGTGTGGCAGCTAAAGGAGAGGATCCCTGTCAATGTTGTCTCGCGTTTCATGGAAGGTTCTTTCTGGTCTCAGCTTTTTGCTCGTAATCAGAGACTACCGGCTGGAGGTACCCATATACATACCAAGATTCACCGTTGTAATTCTGCAGACTAGAGATCAGATAGAAAGAAGGTTCTTTGCAAGTCCTTCTTTTTCTTGTTCTGTCTCGATTCAACATGTCTGAAGCTTCCAGTCCACTGCACGAAATACCGGAAGTCTTCCGGTTGCGTTCCGCAGTACCTGATCGCCTTATCCATCTACTTCCAAAACATCTGAAGCAAGAAGTTCCCAACCATGTCCTTTTTTCATATCCGAAAACCTCCAGTCCTCGTGATGGCTTCATCGATGTATCCGCAGCGATGTTTGCCGACGCTGTGGATCGGACCGGTTGGTATCTGAGGACGACTCTCGGAGAGCCTACAAACTTCGAAGCTGTGGCTTACATGGGACCAAGTAAGTCTCTCAAACTTCAACCGTTACGCTGGGTCCGCCAAATTGACCCGATCAAGATGATCTCAGGTACTTCATGTTCATGTTCGGTGCGATCAAAGTCGGGTATAAGGCGAGTGACGATACTTCCGATACTCTATCCAAGAAATTAACACTAGGCAGATGCTATTTCTTTCTCCGCGCAACAATTTGGAAGCGCACATCAACGTTCTCAAAGGAGTAAACTGCGAAGTGTTCTTACAAGCGCAAGACATGGACATCGACGCGATCCTAGATGCTCGGCCCATGAAAACAGGGGTAGTCCCTGAACTTGGCGAACTCTTGCATTCGGAGTCCCCAGTGTTGGAATATCCATACACCAAGCCATTCCAAGAGGCCAGAAATGACCCCGCCCTCGTTCTGCACACCACAGGCTCCACGGGATTGCCCAAACCAATTACCTGGAAGGTGGGGACCCTGAGCACATACGAGGCTTGGCGGACGATTCCTCATGTTGGCGACTATGTCCCCACGACCGAGATATACCAGGAGTCACGCCGAGTGTATACGTCTATGCCCCTGTATCACACCAGTGGTTTGAATGCTGGCATCACTTGGGCCCTCCTGTTGGGCGTGACTCTTGTCTATGGCGCACCCCACGTCGTTCCGAATCCTGCATACGTGGACGAGATGCACCAATATGCTGGAGTCGACTCTTCGTAAGTAGTCCATTCTTTCTCAAAATGCCTCGGAGGGGTCGAAGTGAATATGTGGATATCTGTAGTACGGTATGATATATATAGGTGTTTTCGTCATAAGTGGGAAGGACCGAAGCTGACGTTCATTAACTTAGCATGGGAGCACCCTCACTATACGAAGAGCTGAGCCGCGACGCGACCGCACTCGAGACGATCAACAAGTTCCACTACGTTGTCGCGAGCGGAGGTACGTACCTTGTTGTACCCAACTCAATCGAAGCCCATTGCTCACCATCTCCAGCGCCGCTCTCCCAAACCGCTGGGAACTTGATATCAAAACACACACGAGTTATCAGCAACCTTGGATCCACCGAAACATCCTGTCTACAGCGACTTTCACCCAGCATTGCCGACTGGGACTACTTCTACTGGCACCCGACCCACTCTGGCATCGAGATGCGGGAAGTATACGACGGTCTGTTCGAACTATTCCTCGTCCGCGACCCCAAGCTGTCACTGTTTCAGGGCATCTTCACCAACTTCCCCGACCTCCAGGAATGGTCCATGAGTGATCTGTACGAAAGACATCCCGACCCGTCGAAAAGCTACCTTTATCGATATAAGTGCCGCAAAGATGACGTTATCGTTCTCAGCAACGGTGAAAAGGTTGCCCCTGCTCTCATGGAAGCAACTTTGATGAGCAGTCCTCTGGTAAAAGGTGCCATGATCGTCGGACGAGGCAAGTTCCAACCCGCAGCACTGATAGACCTTGGAAAACGACCGCCTCAGATCGTGCGTCAACGCCACGACCTCGTTCAGAGCCTGCTTCCTGTCATCAACGATGCTAATGAGCATGCGCCTGCCCACGCGAAACTCGATCAGTACCATATATTGTTTGCGGATCCGGAGCGACCTGTTCACTACCTAGGCCAGGGCAAGATCCAGAGGCATCGCACGTACGAATTGTACAAGGACAGTATCGAGCAGCTGTATGAGTCGGCGGAGAATGCGGAGGAAAATGTTGGCCTTTTGCAATCAGAAGTCAGTGACATGCCTCATCTTGACTTCTACAAGAGGGAAAACATCATCCAATGGTTACAGCAGCTGCTTTCTCAGCTCACTGAAAAGAAGGAGTTCGGTGAGCATGACGAGTTGTTCGCGAACGGGGTCGATTCCTTGCAGATCATCCGAATCGCTCGCGAGCTTCGATTCCAAGCCAAGGCCGCTGGGTTGACCGGCTTCGGACCCGAGGTACTGACGCCGAAGATGATCTATGCGCATCCGACTCTTGGGCAACTATCTTCTTTTCTGATGCAGCAAAGCATGAGTAGAAAGCGCCGAAATTCGTTGCAAGGGCACGGCCGGCGGACAAGTCGAGACTTGGGACTTGATCATCATGAAAGCGTGGGCGCCGCCGGGCAAGGGAACAACGCCTTGGCAACCATGCAAGCCCTCTTGCATCGATACAGCCACGACCTCCCACGTCAAAGCGCGTCACGACCAAGGCCAACGACGAGAAACATGACGGTCCTGATAACCGGAAGTACTGGATCATTGGGCTCGTACATTCTGGAGACACTGTACAGGGATAGCAACGTGCAGCATATCGTATGCCTTAATCGAGCCTCCAACGCTGCTCAAAGGCATAGCCAGCTCGGGCCTAAACGTGGATTAAGCCACTTAGATCCATGTCGCGTCGAATTTTTCAAGGCAGATCTGTCTCGGAAGCGGCTCGATCTCGAAGACTCGGTCTATGAAAGACTGCTGGCCACTGTCACACACGTCGTCCGTAAGTACCATGGAGAATTTCTCGCTGGAAGTAACTAAGGAGACCTACCAGACAACCAGTGGCCAGTAAACTTCAATTGGCCGCTTAGTTCCTTTGAGCCGTATGTCAGAGGGACTCGTCACCTCGTTGACTTGTGCATCGCATCGGCTCACAACGCCCACATGACGTTCGTTTCTAGTGTTTCTGCTGTTGGGGCCTGGTCCGGCTCAGGTCCAGTCCCAGAAAACTCATTCCCGGAACTGAATGTGGCGAGCAATCTCGGATACGGCCAATCGAAGCTTACGACAGAGGTTCTGCTGCAAAAGGCTGCTCAGGTATCTGGTGTGAGGTCTGCTTGCTGTCGCGTGGGTATCGTAGCTGGACCCGTTCAGCAACGACTCGGCCTGTGGAACAAGCACGAGTACATTCCATCGGTGAGAACCTCGTCTGCTTTCGAAAGAGCGCTAACTGACGGAAACATGTTAGATCATCATTTCGTCAGCTCACTTGGGCGTCTTTCCAGCCACGTTTCCGTCGCGCGACCACGTGGATTGGTTACCAGTGGATAAAGTATCTCGCATCCTGTTCGAGGTCATGGTCTCCACTTCCGAGATGCTAAATTCTCCTGAAAGCGGCACGCAGGTATATCACATCGTTAACCCTCGAACAGTGAGGTGGAGCAGTGATTTCGCCAACGATGCGCTGGCTCTGTATCCACAGGGCACCCACGTGCGACCTGTCATGTTCGACGAGTGGGTGCGCGCACTGAACGATAGCACTTCTGAGATCGACCGTGACGGAACGCTTCAGCTGGATCGAAACCCGGCAGTGCGATTACTGGACTTTTATTCAGCAGCTTCGAGGCCGGACCAAGAGCCTCGATCATTCATAACGCGCCGGGCGGAGAAAGCGAGCAAGACTCTACAGGAAACTGGTCCGATCAACCGCGAATGGCTCAGCAATTGGATGGTGCAATGGGGGTTCAGGAGTGCGGACCACCCAAATCACAAACACAACGAGAGGGTAAGTAGAGGCTCACAGAGTGTTGGGATGAGCTCCTAAGAGAGAGATTAAGTGATAGATTAAGGGATAGACGAAGGAATCTATGGAATGATACATGAAATAATAGGTGGAGTGGTGGATGAAGTGACTAGAGTGACATGAAGGTAGAAAACTAGCTTGAGGTTAATCCTTTATTTATTTTTTTAGATTTTTTATTCTAGATAACGTACCCGGCAAGCGAGTCGCGAAGGCAAGCGAGTCGCGAACCCCACCAGCGTTTCCCGCCTCTACAGCAATCTATCTCAACAACACAATAAGATAATAGGATACAGTTACTATGATCAACTAAGCTACATCTCTAGTATCCTTCTTACATGTTCGCGAGTTATAGCTAGTCTCCCTATAGCGCCTATAGAGAACATTGGGATGAGACATGCGCAAAAGCTGGAGACTAACAGTAGAAGGCCTGGAGAATACTCAATCCAAACAGATCCCCCGGTATATATCTGGACGCGGGTTCGGAGGTTTCCGGACCGCCATGGTGTACGATGCGTAATTTCTAGTGTTCATTTAGGTACAAATCATACGCAGACTCTTGATATTTCAAGTTATCAGCTAACCAAAGCAGTCGCTCAATCTGTCCCTTCCACATAATCTTACCTCACATTCAACGCATGCATTGGCGGAAGTCTGACTGAGAAGCATGGAACAAAGTCTAGTGGGATGCAGATTTGGCTCCCAAATCTATACTTCAGCTACAAGGTTGACTCGCGCGACTTTGAATGCATCGAGATATAGCTTGAGAGACTGCACTCTCTTAAGCCGAGACTTCGCGCATAACTCCCACTATGGCCCAATACGCGCGCATGATTTCCGCAGACAATTCACATACTACGATACACGTCGCCCCGGCGTTGTATGAGGTGTCGCTAGACTGAACGGCCGGCATAATGGCCAAACGCGGCTTTGGTTTAAAATATCGACTTCGCTCTTGACCACGGACTCGTAAAAGGGTCGCGTCTTACGTGTCGGAACGCAAGACTAGTGGAAGCAGCCTTCAGTTGCAAGCCGAGGTTGAATGGGTGAAGCTTAATGTCTGTTCGTGCGCAACAACGCTTATCAAATACCACTACTGGACATCTAATGTCTCCTGAGGCGTCAGCAATGTCAAGTCATACAATTCTAATGGGGCAGACAGGGCGACAGTTGCAAGTATCATGTGAGAATAATGGGTCATAGCAGCCTGGGAAACTTTACCTTATGCAAGCTCAAGAAACCCCAGAAGGGGGCAGCATGTACGTGAGCTACTGCGGCCCGTGACTGTTGTTAACAGGGAGCCCCTAGGGTTCACCCTTTATCGATCTGCGTTGCATGTGGATCTTAGCTTCGTGCGAAACCACGTGGTGCAGGACGCGATCCGCAAACATCGGCGACTTCGCTTGTCCCGCAAAACTGCGAAACGTCGCTCGTGTAACCTCGGGAAAAGAAGATGCGTGCCGTTGGCTGATGAATGGCCTGTCTTCAGCTTCGTGCGCTCATCTGGTTGTTCCTGGTTGAAGAGACCCACGAGAATCATCTCTTTACATTGCGCCATGAGCCATCGCCTGCCGTCTCCCCTTTTTAGTTTGACAAAACTTTACATTCACACTGCAATGTTGAGAAGAATGCGCGGTGTTGCGACCGGCCCAGGGATATCGTGATGCCTGCGAGCATTGGAATCTTGGCATTAGCAAGTCGCAACTAAGTCGCAATTGAACCGCGGGCGCATTTCAAATTTCGGTTCGCAACGATCGGTGCCTAACCCACACGTTAGCGGCGCCACGGGGCGGTCGATTGATTGAATTCGGCTGCGTTCTTCCAAGTCATGGGCAACTTCTCGGCATGACGCATGGCTTGTCTGGTTGTTGTTGTTGTTGTTCTTGCGTCGGGCATGTAAGGAGGCGCTGTCACAAAGACACGGCCGCCGGCTAGGTAGCGTCCCCGCTGGCAGCCGTTGACAACGATTCTCCATCGCAAACACCAATCGGCCCGAGTGTTATTTGAGGGCCAGGGTCTGAGAAAGATCTCCCGATGAGATTATACATATGCAAGGGACGGCCTATAAAGTATAGACGTGTCTGCAGTCGATCCGAATCCTCCGCGGGGTTAATTGCGCATGCATAATCGAGATTCGATACGGGCGGCAATGGCGATGAGAAGACTCCTGCTTCGATCCGCAAAATTAGCATACATGGCATGGGGGATATCGTATGTGCGCACACATCAAAGGTGTCGCAGGTGGGTGCGATCGACCACCATGGCCGAGGAAGAGTCGCAGTCGGTAGTCCGCAACCGATCAGTCGCGAAAATGACATTTTTTCGCCCCAAGTCTCAGCTCTTCCTAGTCATCCCTTTTCTTTGCGTCCGCCGTTGTTCAAGATCTACTTGTAGACCTTTCCTCTTTCGGGAAGCGCCCCTGTCAGCCTGTCAAGTTCGACATAGCGTCACGTATTCCCCGACTCCATGAAGAGACCGGGCTCACGCGGAAAGGTTGCCGTCGTATCATTTCCTTGAACAGTTGGCCGCTCAGCCCTATCTCTGCTGGCCCACTGGGGTATCCACTAAAACAACCGTCCAACCGTGGACATATAGTGCACTCGCACCAACGCGCCTGGGAGGTTTGCTTAACATCTTCCTCTCAGGAAGAACGAAAGGACGCCTGCGCTTCGTTTAGAGCCAGTGCACATTGACCTTCGCTATGGCTACACTTAATAACAACCCTCGCGGTAACCAGGCCGTCGGCGTTTCCAGCGCTTTCACCGCTCTCGCCACCCTTACAGTACTCCTCCGCCTATACACGCGTTTCTCACTAGTCAAATGTGCCGGCTTAGAGGATTACTTCATTACACTGGCTATGGTACTTCAAACTTCTTGAGCGATACATGACAGTTCGGCTAACAGATGAGCAGCTATGTTCTATTGGATTGACAGTATGCATTGGCGTTCGTAGGTGTCTTGCCTTCACTCTTCTACAACCATACTGACGTATGACAGAGGCCGCGAATGGGATGGGACAACATATTAAAACCCTTGGAGACAATGAGATGCGCCAGTCGCTGAAAGTGAGTTCAAGCAATCACGCGCACGCGCGTAACAACAGACTGTGGCTAAAAAAAACAAAGGCATTCTGGGCAAGTCTCATAGTCTACTACCTTTCACTTGGTCTCACCAAAACATCGATACTCCTTCAGTATCGTCGGGTTTTCGCCACGACCTCCAGAACGTTCCACATCGCGTTTTGGGCGGTTATGGCCGTCGTCGTCTGCTACACCATTTGGACTGAGATGGTTAGCATCTTTGCATGCGTTCCGGTCCGCGCTTTCTGGACGAAAGAAACCGGCGCGAAATGTATCAATCAATTTGCCACATGGTTCACGAACGCAGCGATCAACATCTTGACCGATTTCGCACTCATAATACTACCGATCCCCGTCATTCGAAATCTCAATCTCGCTCGAAGACAAAAACAAGCCTTGATTGGCATCTTTGCAGTGGGTGGCTTGTGAGTAGCATTGGTTCCTGCCCGCATCACATCGGCCGGGTCTTTCGCTAATGCATTCACGTAGGGTCTGTATCGTCTCAATTATGCGACTGCATTCACTCGTCAGAATATCCAACTCAGCGGATCCGACTTACGACAATCCTTCCCCCGCAACATGGTCGTCTGTGGAAACCAACATCGGCATCATCTGTTCGTGCCTCCCATGCCTACGGCCGCTCATCGTCCGCCTCGTGCCCGGAGTGTTCTCGTCAAAACAATACATGCAAAGCGCCAGTCGTACCAATGCCTTCTCGCGCAGCACTAGGCGGAGATCCGCTTTTCCTGTGGATACAGCTATACCACTTGAGTCGAAGATCTCGCATCGATCGTCGAATGAAGAAGGGCATGGTGCAGATGAAGAAGAGAAAGATACTAGAATACGCGTGCAGACTGAAGTTCATATCAGCTTCGACGATGATAATGACCTCAATGACAAGGAATCGACTGTGAAGAGAGCAGACAGCTGTGAGAGTCTAATAATACAGGACCCGGCTAAGGCGGTCTGACGAAAATTATCGCTATGTGATTATTGGCTCAGGTAGTTGCTTCTTACCACACAATCATATTCTCGAGAGCTGAACCTGCTGGAGTCAATCGGGCACGGGGTTGTGGCTTTTTAGCCGAATATAGTATCATGTTCATGACAATCAAGATGTATTGCTGGTTAAGATGACAAAAGCACGGTCCAAAGCGACTAGCATTACAAGTATGGTATTCTCGAGCACCGTACACACTCCAGGTTCGCTGTTGGAAGGTGGTCCGCTTAATGTGTGATTAAACTCCCTCGACATCGTGCCCGGAAGTTTGGTATCGTGTTGGACACCTCATGGCCAATGAGGCTAAGTCAACACTCAGTATATCGTTCATCTTCAACGCATGTTTCAAAACTACAGTGAAGGTGTAAGGTCCATACGGTATTGTTGAGCCAAAAATGAGAAACAAGCGCCTGTATATAATATTGAATTTAGGAGAGAGACCCAGACGGCTAACAAACGGAGTCTGAGGAATGAAGAAATAGGAAAAAAGTTACCAAGACATCGTCAATACCTTAGCGGAAATGTTCAGGCGAGATGGAACCTGCGCGCCCAATAGAACCAGAGCCTCGCTATCCGACCAGGCTTGCTTTTGCGAATACAATCAGTCTAACATCGATGCTGCTCCGAATTGGTGCATTATGCGAAGCCTCGGGATTTTTGAATGCTGGATGGGGGCAGGCCTTCAACCTATGATCAGTATGACGCAAGGATGAGATTCAAATACAAGAGCACCCACGCTTCCATTTCTGAGGTTCGTCGAGCTTACATAGATTATATAGAGAGTCATAATTCACGAACATAGTGAGCTTAGAAGTCGGGGGTGACTCGATCTGCTACGAATAGATCTTGGGGATCAATAACGTACCTGGCAAGCGAGCGGCGCAGGCAAGCGAGCGGCGCACCCCACCAACTTTTCACCACTTTATAGGAATCTATCTCAACAATAAGATAAAATAATAGAATATACGCATTATGCTAGATTAAGCTACATCTCTAGTATCCTTCTTACATGTTCGCGAGTTATGGCCAGTCTCCCTACAGCGCCTACAGCGCGCGGAAGCCTGCCGACTGGTACCTGATCGCGCCCTACCTTGACGCGTTTCCCCCTCAAGCTGCTGCTCAACCTCATTTTGAGCTATAATTTCCTCTGCCTCTGCCTTTGATAGGGTGCCTTGCTTCTGGATATGCTTCTTTTTGCGCTTTCTGTGCATTGTAGTAGTCTCATTTGCTTTCTTAAGGCTCTTAATCCGATCGCGCATTAATGCTATTTCATACATTACTATTGTAGAGCCTTTCTCAAGCTGATTAAGTCTCTTAATAATAGATGTAGGTGATGAGCTTCTATGCCTCTGTATCCTATCGCGTATTAATGTTGATTGAGCCTCTAGCTCACGCGCGTTACTTAGTGTTCGTGCTTCCTAGAGGGTAGTCTCTAGTGTAGGTGGCGTTGGCGTATGAAGCTTTACATTAAGCTTCGCTATCACCCTATTAGGATCATGTGGTACTAGGCCAGCGCCTTAAAAGCTTGCGCAGATATTCTCCTTTATAATTAACTAGTTGTAGGCTGCGTAGAAGGCTGGTAGGAACTCTAGCTTAGTAATATGGTTGATGTGATCGTGAATTAGGCCCTTAATCTGGCGGCTGTATGCGCGCTTTAACGGCAAGAAACAGCCAATATTAAGTGGCTGTAGGAGGTGCGACGAATGTGGCAGTATACAGAGAGTATAGATGTTATTCTCCTTATAGAGTGCTTGAAATTCGAGTGAGTTATGGCTCTTATAGCTATTAAGTATAAGTAGCTGGCGCGCGCCTACCCTACGCTCTACTATATGCTTAATAAAGTGCCTCAGCCACTCTACTCTAAGCTTATTTGTTGTCCAGCCATTATCGCTAACTGCGAAAGCCCAGTCGCGTGGTATATCATTATCCTTATACTAGGTAGAGAGGTGATACTGGCCAGCAAAGATGATGAAGGGCGGGATCGCCCAGCCAGCAGTATTAATTCCATGAATTGCTGTAATCCACTCGCGATCGCCTGGCTGTAACGCTTTTGGCCTGCCTCGTCGCTCTGAGCCTGTGACAACAAGCTAAGCTAATATCCTGCCTATCATAAAGCTAGTCTCGTCGAAGTTGTAGGTATCCTTATTATAGATCCTATAGGTAGCTTTCGTGTGCGCTATAAGGTCGAACTAGGCCCTAATTGCCTTAGGATCCTTACATAGAGCTCTCTGTTGATTATATGGTTGGTTGAAACGTGTGGTAAGGCTTTCTGTCCGCTTGATAAAGTTGCGTGGCTACTTCTCGCCTACTTGGCCAGCGCCGCGCTCAGCGAGTAGTCTATTTACCATATCTCGAACAGCATCTAGGGTAGGCGAAAACCCTCGCGAATCTAGGTCAAGTATATACCTAGTAATCACCTCCTCTTCTAGCTTAGTGAGCTTCTTTGAATTGGGCTCACAATCGCGTCGCGCAGTGATTCCAGCGCGTTGGTGGCGAAGCGTGGTTTCAGAGACTCTATATATTGCAGCAGCGCGCCTTCCACTTTGTAATTAATTCTGATTGATAGCTGTGATAGCTAGAGATATATGAGCTTCATTGTAGCGTGATTGAATAGTGGTTGGTTGATCCATTGTGATTAATAGGTGACGCGTCGCGAAAAGTTGGTGGGGTGCGCCGCTCGCTTGCCTGCGCCGCTCGCTTGCCAGGTACGTTATAACGAGGGTCGCATACCGTGTCCGTGCACGCGATGCGCGGTTTCGCCAGATGTGCGCCCATCACCAAATCACTGAGTTGTAGAAATCGAGTTATAGAGCCACCCACAATAGCTTAATTATTCTAATAATCCATCTAAATACTAAACAAACTACTGCGAAAAAGATGGACTACTTGAATTTCTGTGGGAGTTTGATGTTCCTGCCAACCCTCGTAGTTCTCACAGATGAAGGATCACGGACCTAATCACCTCCCCTACCCTCTGCAACCACCTTACGCCTCTGTTTTTTCTGTATAGGCTTTACAGTAGGCTCTAAAGCCTTCCTCTTTCCCTTTTGGGAAGTTTATATAGGCTTTTTAGTGTTTTGTTTCTCTTTTTCTTTACGTTGGTGTGCAGCCTATTTCTTAGCCGTAATCCTCTCCTTTTCTTCTCACCTTTAAATCCTTAACCTTGCTCTTTCTTCTTTCTCTTGAAGTTGATGTACCTTTTTTGAGGCCTTTTCTACCTTCTTACGAGCTTTTTTAAGTTGTTGCTTCTCAGCTTCTTAGTCTTTAATCCTTTAGCGGAACTGGGCCTCCCTCACTTTAGATGGGGACCAGAATACAGCGCCCCCGCGGTACTCCTGGCGTTGCTGTAGGTCTAGGGGCTTGCTTTTCTTCTCGTGTTTCTTCTTAGAAAGTAGAGCCTTTAATAAGCCTTCTACTTCTGTGTGGAGTAGCTCATTTTGGATTGATATATGGTGGAGTGAGCGGCTCAGCTTTTGAGCCTCTCTACTACTCTAGTCCTTTACTTCTAATCATATTAGGCTATATAATTTGAGCCAATCCTCTCTACTAAGGACTGAGCTAGAGTTCTCTCTCTCTTCTTGCTCTGGTGTTGATTTCTTAAACCGTTTAAGTATAATCTCTAGGCTAAGAGGTATTATTCCAGTTGCTTAGAAAGACCTCAGGATTGTTTTTTCTTAAAAGGAGCAGGTCCAGGCTTCCCAAAATAGTGGGAAGAAGTCTCCTTTCTTAACTGGTAACAGTCCTTGGGCGTTGTGGAGGTATTTTGTGAGCTGTTTTGAATAGGCAGACGATAGAGGCTTGAACATCACCACATCTAGTGGCTATAACGTGTGGGTTGAATGAGGGGGGAATATTAGGAGGAGAATTCGATTCTGATCACAGAACTCGATAAAATCCATAGTGATGTGGGATCCATGGCCGTCAAGGATCAATAGCCGATAGGATTGTCGTGATTTCTACTTAGTGTATCGATTAAACACCTGTTCAAGCCACGCTAGGCTAATATCATTGTTGGTCCAGCCAGAGGGAGATGAGCTGACGTGAACTTGGTGTTTTCCAGCCTGAATTCCATCTACCCAAGAAGCTTGAAGGGCTGAATTTGCAGAGGCAAAGATTAGAGCAGGAGGGAGAGCTGATCTATCACCACAAACACATGCTTGTAGTGTTATCCACTCTCTATTACCATCTTGAAGGGCTGCTGTAACTTCCTTTCGGTCCCACATTACTTTACTAAAGATCCTTTTACTTCTTCCAATCACCCCAATAAGGAAGCCTTTCTCATCCATATTGTACGTGTGACGTGGCTCTATATCGTATTTCTCAATAACCTCTATCAGAAGTTGAAAGAATAGTTGATATTTATCCTCTGAATCAGCATGGTGGCGATCGCGATCCATTCCAGTACTCCATCGGGGGGTAATAGAGATCCCATGGCGGGTGAGAAATCGGGTAACCCAGCTCTCGCTCACTGGCTCCTTTGCTATAGCTGACGCGAAATTTTGTACCATCTCCCTTGTAGGTGGTAGCCGACGAGCTGTAAGCTGTTCTATATAGCTTACAAGCTCTAGCTCTTGTTGCGGAGTGAGCTTTTGTGTGTTGGCGTGCTGGGTAGCAGATGAGGCTGTTTCACCCTTGTGCCGGCGCGTCAACGTTGAGCGTACAACACCATATTTTTTTGCTATTGCAGTGTACGTAAAAGTTTCGCCTGGTCCTAGGGAGTTGATTTCTTCAATCGCTTCGTTGATTGGATCCATATTGGTTGAGTTATGAGGTTGTGAAGATTGCGCGATTTTTCTGAGATCGCGCATCTGGCGAAACCGCGCATCGCGTGCACGGACACGGTATGGAAGGGGACAGTCTTCGACAGGATTGTTGAGCGGGCGCCAGACACCGCCAAGCTTAGTTTCTGTGGTCCTCGTTATGCTTTCTCCTTACTTAACGATTCGAGCTCTATAAGTTATCCATTGCGCATGTAAGGGTGCACCTCTTCCTCTGTGAGATGTTGTTGTATGCGCTTTGTCATTCGTGAACGGTATGATCTATATGCACTGGGCGAACTGGTGGCGCGGCCACTACACCTCTGGTTTGTTCGTCTTCCTCGTAAGCGGACAATCCTAAATCACTTTTTCTGAGCTATCTAGTAGCCTAAGTTTCATATTTGCATGATCACAAATCGGAACGTACCCGATGATGAAAGCATATTAAGTTACGTATGAAGCATTACACTTTTGTGATACGAGCCCGGTGAGTTCGCGGCAGTACTCCTGGATGGCCCTTGGTCACGCGCATCTTTTTCATAACCCCGCCTTGAGTCATGTGCTCCAGGTTTGTCTTACAGAGAAATTACGCTGTTTTAGTACCAGGCACCTTGAGAAAGTGCGATTTCGTTGTCTTAAACAGTTTTAGGAGCTTTCTGAAAGTAAGAGAAGCGGTAACCACGCTGTCTCTTGATGCGAACAAGCTACTCAGTAGAAACGAAGCGAAGCTAGTCTTTCAATTTGCTTGGACACGATCCGGCCATCATGTACTATTTGATGTCCTCTAAATTTGGCAAAAGGCTTCTCTCAATTATCTGGGGAAGAGTATATTTTTGGCATACTGCAGCACTGGTAAGAACGGCGTAAGATCTGAGGGTCTGCGATTATACAACGGTAGAATCACAGTATAACGTTAATAATTACAACAATGGATCCACTATCTCAAGTCCAATCACTAGATGATAATGACTTTTATTGCAATTTGCATTTAAGATAAAGACTCAGCCTTATCTTAGGCTTGTAAGTTTCGTAGTTAATCTCCAAGACCGTACTCATCCTTCTCTATCTTTAAGCGTATAACATCGTGCCCGCGGACGAGTCTTTAGGTTAGGTAGGAATGTCTTCTAGAGCTATGCCTTTTCGCCCACCAGGTCCATATTAGATATGTAGCGGGCTTCGATCTTTATTTCTTTGGCTGAGAACAGCAGATCCTGTTAGTTCGTATGATAAGGCAGGAACTTTCTACTAATCCCTTTTGATGGATACATTGCTTTTACCATCAAGGCCTATCTGATACACGTACACGGGTCGCTGATGCCATTTCCGGAAATGTTCAGTAGAATTTCCACAGCAAAAGTGAAGTCCAGGTATTCAGCCTTGCACCAGTGTGCATTGTATACATTTTGAAATACAAGCCATTACGGGCTGCTACTAGAATCCTTCAGAATCGTGTTATAAATCGAGCAGTGCTTGCATAACGCAGAAAGGCAACGACACAGCATGCAAATTAGGGAGGCACTGCAATCAGAGATGCTGGCATACATAAGCTCAAATTATTTAGCGCTATCCAGCTAAAAACCTGAGCATTCTGCATGAGAGGGTGAGAAAAGATTTTCTTTTTAGTTCCACGCTCTCTCGGGAGTACCCCGCAAATAACGAACTCAGACTGTTAGCTGACATATGAGGGCAATCTAGCTCAGATTAGTTGTTTAGACGATAAGAGTAACTTATACTAGGCTAACATAGAGCTCTAGACCAGGTACGCTATTGTAGCTTATAAATAGGATTACTTCATCAGGTCTTTGTTTGGCTAACGGATACCAGCCACTATAATCCCTTGGTTTCAACATACTGGTCCGGATCGATTCTTATCCTCCAGATACACTGTCTGAAATGTAGTAAGGCTTCGCATCATTGATTATGGGAGATCACATAAGAATGTGAGGGTAATGGAGCTGTCAGGGGATGCTTCTTTCCAGAGCCGCGACATTGTATGTTCGTCAAGGCAACTAGTTTCTTGGGCTAATAAAAGAACGCGAGCGACCTCCCGTTATCAGCCTTGCAAGGCTGCTTCATCTGGCAACGATCAGAACTATCCGCAGCGCAGAATCACGGCGTTTTGAGACCTGGTCAGCATTGTGCATGCGTGGCGTATTGCAAAACTACTAAGGGTAGTCTTATGATACACGATTAAACCCTTTCCTGGCTTCGTCAAGTTTCCCACATTTCAATTTGATCATAGCAAGCTTCAGTTTAGCCGCATTGCTGAATGGATGAATTTCACATTTTTTTCTTATATCTTTTTACTCTACCAGACCTACACCATACCTACACTATCCTCAAGTACAGGATCGTTCTTCTCTGTGATGGTAGCAAACCTCATCTAGCATGGAGACATTCCGTAGCAAGCTATATTAATATCAGTCCCAACTACCGAATACGGCAGGTAACGTACAGGAAAAGAAAGCGGCAGGCATCATGCCATTCGTTCGAGGGTTCAGAGTGTACCACATCCTTGGTAACGTTAGTTCTCAGGAAAACATAGTCATTGTATTCACTCAGGGACGTACGAATTCCCATCGTAAACTTCTCCGAATTGGTAACAGGAGATCTGTACAGTGGAACCAACGGGCGTTGTACCGACTGTAGAGCAGCGATTTTTATCAGTGTGTGCACATCCGTATCGAGTCAGGCCCTTATTGTTGCAGCTGGAAGTGGATCCGCCAGTAGCAGTACAAGAAACCGGAGCTTTAAACTGTCGCTCATGGAGTTCCGGAATAGCGGCTGGGGTGGCCTGAACCGAAAGAAGCAGAGTTGCAAGCACTGAAATGGCTAAATGGCTCTTCATTGTACGAGTGAGTTGATTTAACTCTGAAAATAAGATAATTTATCTGACTTGGTCTTCTCACTAGATACTCTTGCGTCTTTTATGACTTTTCGCTGGAAATACTGCCAAGTTGTTCGTTCGGGCTCGAGACTCCTCTGAAAGGTGTGTACAACCACACAAGGGAGAAACTACGATGGCGGATCTACAGAACCTTTCTCGAATTGGTTTCAAATATCAAATGCAGTCAAGTTTGAGAAAGTGGAAAGTACTGGTGGGTTACATTACGTGCAACCGCCTAAGGCCTGGGTCTGTTGTAACCACTCCCTTGCTCATAACCTCACATGCCAACAGAGGAATGTTCGGTCTTTTCCGAAGACGTCGTGACACGTCGTATTTTCAAATCAGCCATCCAATAGACTCACAGCTTCGCTGCAAATTCTTTTCTTTTTTTTTTTTGCCAAGCTGTCATTTGACAAGAATTCGACACGCTCTATCTTGCTGGTGTCGCACGTCGGTGTGGAGCATTGATTAATCCGACTCATACTATGTTAGGTAGATAATATGTACATGGACTACCAAAAGTAAGAGATTTGCTGCCTGCTGGCTGTAAAACCATGAGGTCGATGTATGCACCCAAAAGGCTTTGCAGTCATCAAAGTGATACCACGGCTTTGTGGGGTTTTGCTATCGTCCTTCACGTGCACAAAGCCCGAGAAGGTGTTGCTGCTAGTCGGCTTGAAGCGTTACAGTGCTGTTATGGTCACCAATGGCTATGCTATCCCGTTGAACATGCCCCCTCAGAAGACTCGAACTTGCGATCTAGCCCCTATTTTGGTATGCTGTATAACATTCACGAAATAATCGTTAGTAGCAAGGTCACTAGGTGCCATTAACTAGGCTGGCCAGCACCAGTGGGTTTCAGTGTTCTAGAGTCTACTGAAATATGCCCACAGCTTTCTAGGCACAAACTTGGCGACCTCCAATCCCTTCATGCTCTCGAAGGCTTCATTAGTTGCAGATAACCTAGAGTGACGAGCCCCATATGCGCCAGGAGAAGGATGCATCGGCTAAAAATCCGGTTCGACAATAGTCAGCGGTCCATTCTCTCCTGTTCCATTCGTTCTTTACTCCTTTTTCCCTGTCCCTTCCCTCCATCTTTCCGATTGTCGTTTTTCCGGCTTAGATCACGATGTTCAACTCTCACCGTCCACTCCCTCGCCCAATCGCAAGAAGCTAGAGCGCATGCAAAAGCTACACTGCGATGTCGGCCGGCGGCGCAGAACGCTGAGATGCGTACCATATGCGTATAAGCTTCGATGTCTTCATCAATCTCATCGAGTACCGGAGCAGGGTCCAGTTTATCGATATCAGAGACTGTTCCCATATTTCCACTAGCTGTGACTGGATACCTTGCCGCTACAGCTTCAATCCGGCTTCCGCTCTGACGTCCGCGAATAATATCGCCCACGCTCTGCCCTTTTGAGATGTGTTTAGCCTCCCTTTCTGCCGTTGTTGCCTTCGCCTCCGCCTGTGCAACCACCACATCTTGGAAAAACTCCCAAATCTCTCTCTCTCTCTGCCCTCTCCACCAATTCCACAAATCTTTTCTACCTCTGCATCTCCTCTCTCAGCCTCTTGTCCACCCCCGTGTACCTATCTCTCACATTCTTTGGCGGATTAAGAACAGTACGCAGGTCGTACTTCAAGTCCGGCGGCTGACGAAGAGGAGGGGAGTGAGCATGTGACGTTATAGGCAGGCACACCGGAGACATCTTCACTTCGCTTTGCTCCGCGTTCAGATTTCCCTTTTCGAAATCCAAGTACAAGTGATTAATTTTGTTGGCAGTAGTGCGTTGACGCTGACGGACTATAACGAAAAGTAGACATTCGGCTCCAGTGCCGCTTGGATGACTTGTGAGTCAAGGAGCAACTTGCACAGCCTCCGACTAACGGAACGGTAGAAACCATGAGCATGCGCCGATACATGACTCAGCAGATCTGCAGATAAGTTAACTTATGAGAGCCATGACGTCAGCGTGTCGGACGGTCGAGCAGTATTTGAAGCCTTGGAGAAATGATCGATATTGACGCGCGTCTCGCACCATCTCTTTGGCGGACAAAACGCACTCACTGTTCGCGAGTTGACCCAACCATTATCATTAAACCACGGGAACACCATGAGGAACAAATGCAATATTAGTAATGATATAGGTCTCAGAAAAGCCGACCCGCTCGCGATTACTGCTACTGTTCTCTATTATGGCTTTCTAGCTCGGCGCCGCTAGAAAACCCAGCACATCAAGCGCCCCAGCTCCTGCATCTCCTCCGAACCGTTGGCTTCTACTCCTGCGATTGGCACCATTCCTACAGCTTCACCAGCAATCAAGGGCTCTGCAATCGGCGCAACAAATGTATCTACCCTTGACGGTGGGATGGACTGTGGACTGTATGAATCTTCCTCCTACTCATCGTAGTGTAGCGTTAGACTCGTCGGAATTTCCGCTTCCCTCGAGCTAGCGTCGAGGTACTTTTTCATCCTGAGTCCGCCGATGTTGTACTCGACGGTTGTGAGTACACCCTGCTTCCCAGGTGCGCGCCGCACGTTCTTGAGCTTGAAGACTTCTCTCAGCGTTGCAGTGAGTGATGCGCTAGCAAGGTGCTGTCCAAGGCAATAGTGTAAACCATGCCCGAAAAGCATGCTGTAGTCTTTCGTTGGGCGATGAGGATTGATCTTCTCAGGCTCTGGAAATGCGGCTGGGTCCATGGCGGCCATTGAGGTTGCGATGAGGACAGTATGGTCGGCCGGGATGAAAATGGATCCACGAGCGCCATCGATAATGGTTACATCGCGGGTTGTCACGCGGGGGAGACCAGGTATCGCGTTTGCGTGTCGGATGCCCTCGAAAACAAAGCCCAGCAGTTCTTTTCCAGACGCTACGTCGTTTCTTTGTGCCAATTGAATGATGCGTCGCCTGGACTCGTCGTACTCGGGACGTAGGTATAAATCGACCAAAAGCGATGCTTGCTGTGTAAGATTGCCGATGATAGGAGTGCTGATTCCAATGCAGTCCGCGACAAGTTCCTCGATCTGGAAATTATTAATAATTAGTGCATAGTAGAGCCAGTGCGCGACATACAGGAAGCTTAGTTTCTATGAGGCCGTGATAAAGACGATCCGCATGGGTTCCTACTTCCAGTCAGAATTCCAGCGACGCATAGGATGCAATCTACCAGGACTCACCAACTTCAAATGCACTACCTTTGGCAAGCCAGTCGACAAAGTGTTCAGCGGCCCCTGATTGCGTCTTGAGGTGGGTTTGAAAAATCTTTCGTAGAGGCTCTGCCGCTTTGACTGCAGCGTCGCGCAACCTCCACTCTTCTGCGGGACGAATGTTGAAGTTTTGGTAGATGAACAGGGTGAGATATGCAGTGAGCATTTCATAGATAGATAGAACTCCTTTTGGCTGCTCTGTGGTTTTCAACGGGATAGCAAAACGTTCCGCAAGCCAGAGTACAGGTACAATATTGGTCACATCTCGAATTACATCGAGTGACCTTCGACCTTTGACCGTCGCGAGTGAATTTTTCTGGATGAGCTTTTGGATTGTAGTGCTGAAGAAGGCAGCCACATTTTGTTCGAAACCGTCCTCAAAGAGCAGCTTACGCAAGCTTTTTGTCCGTGGATCATGACATTTGGGATCATCCCATCCGATGAGAAACTCATTACCGCCAGTTACGTTGCGCAAAGCCGCCTGGTACATCGTTCGGAAGGTACCATAGTCTTCTAAAGCCTTCTTACAACCTTCATTTGTCTGGATACTGAAGATCTCACGGTCGCTCGGGGGTCGACTCGACTCATACAGATGGAGAACACCATTGCCCTTAAGGATTTCCCTCGCGGCTTCTGGCGTATAGAAGGGCAGTAATGCGTAGGAAGAAGTTCCTAAGAATCCTCCAGGTAGGGCATTGAAAATCAGCCTCGAGAGCACCCCGCCATAGGAGCCCGCCGCGGGCTCTTGGAGTTTTGCAGCACCCCAATGGGTCAACGTATTACTGTTCAAGTCGTAACTCAGGAAACGATCACCTCGAACTAGAGAGACAGCATCGTCAAGTATGCCGCGACCAGTCGTCTGTCCAGGACATACACCGCTTCCCGGCATAAAGGGCTTGGTGCATTCCGCCATAAGCCCGGGGTAGAGCTCCATATTCTCGATGTCACCGTAGAGTAGTTCAGCAGCTCGAGCGACTGTGATGTCTGGATTCCAGTCCTCAAAACTGTCGTACGGTTTCAGGTTCAGATAGCGACGGAACTCGTTCAGGGTGCAGACGTTGAAAACATCGCGCGCCTGCAACTGGCCCATGATATCAACAATCTTCAGACTCTGCGGGGTACCACGAGCTCCAAACGCATGTGCTGGCTCCTCAATACAGTCTTTGATGAGATCTGCAAGCTTTCGGTCGTCAAATCGTCCATCAGGTCCGCGTTGGAGTCCCCCAAACGTCCATTCCCTCGGTTCCTGATCTTTAAACTTTGATCCGTAATTCATCATCATCTCTTTATACATGCCGGGAGTGAGTTCTTGAACCGAGTTAAGATCGGGGAACGCATCCCTGATGATGTCTTCCATCCATTGGTCGTCCGCGGCGCTTAGAGCAGCGTGCCAATGGTAGAGAACGGCAAACTCCACAGACACAAGGTTGCCAGTCCCACGTTCAACTCGTTTTCCACGCTCCCTAATATCTTTTCCAAGAGCCAGAGACCACTCGGAGTTAGCACGGGGGGTATTCAGAATGGCGGCAACGTAGTCGCGGAGTACAACAGAGGCAAAAAAGCCGACGTTGATGTTTCGCGTCAGTTGGAAAATGTCCTCGTCTTGCCTGCAGCAGCAGCCTATTAGCTATCCAGTTCCATTATCACTTCGAGATTGCCTACCATTTCTTTCCTGCATCATCAAGCTTGTTCCACGGCTTGTATCTGCCGCTTTCGTTCACCGTGAAGAGATTCTCCGCTATTCGATTGTGATTACGCGAGAAGAGCAGCATCACTGCGACGACTCCGGGGGGCATCATCATGATGCGAACGGACGCAATTGAATCTGGATATATCAACCCATTCTCGTACGTGCGCACGTATTTCTGTTCCTCTTCGGTGTTGCCGTACAGGGTGCTGAGATCCACATAGCTAGATGTCTCGTTGATCCACGGATCCGATCTTGACGTCTGGAAACACTCGTGAATGACAACGGTAGCGAAGGAGAAGAACAGGCGGTTCAGGCCGGACGGGTGCTTTCGGAAAGGACCTTCACGTTTGAGTAGTGCCTATTGGTCAGTTTGCACTCCCGATGGAGGAAGCCGCGGTCGTACCTCGTACACGTCTTCAACGTTTGGCAGGTTCGGGCCCTTGGGCTTCAGCGGAGGCACTAGTACCAAAAGATCAGCGGGTATACGCACTGCCTACACAAACATTCGTACCGTTTCGGGCGTAGGGTGAACCGGCCTTCCCTAGCTCCGGGTCCCATGGACTATTCCCCCCGCCATCATGGCGACGGTATCGGGCGGTCGGTCCAGCGATAGTTGGCGGAGGATGGGGAAGATCGTGCCAGAGCATTGTGATGAAGCCATCGGAGATCTTCTCGCTGAGACTGCTGTTCAACGGCATGCCCTGCAACATAGACACGCCGTTCTCGAGAAGAAGCTCCTTGTCGTCGATTGGGTCTCCGCTGGCCAACAACGGGATAGCCTCGACGATGGTTCTGGCGTTCTTGAGGCCCAAATTTGCGAGATCATGGCTGATGCTGGTTTTGGTGTCATTGGGATGGCCGTTGGCAGCCTCTGGGGGGCGCCCGTCGGCTGCTCGAGTGGGTTTCTTCCTAATAGTGCCGAGGAGCGACCTAAGCTGATTGGGCATTGTGGAGCCGGTCCGGCTTCAATGAGGTCTATAGGGGAGGTAGCAAGATGGGTAGAAAGCAGACAATGGGGCGAGTGGGTATGGTTGTGAGGAGATTGAAGTGGGGTTGAGGGGAAGCGGCAACATTTGTGGAAGGCAGCACGGTAGCGAGGAAGGAACTACAGAGCTCGGGATGCTCTCCTGTGGTTGGGAAGTCACCGTGGCACTTCCCTGCACGTTCATCGAGATACGGGAAAGACTTCTTGAATTAACTTCATGCGATGATCACAACAATGCTCGGGGGCGCTGTCAGGCATAGTGCGAGATGAGGACCTGTGGGCGTATGTCCAATGGGGGCTCTTGTGCTGTTGCACAACACAGCGAGGAGCGGGGGACGGCAGCCATGGCGGCTGGCTGTGCGATAAAAGACGAATGCTGTTGTTTGGAGGCGTGCGCCAGCGGTGCAGTGCATCATTACCGGGAGATGGATTGGGAGCTTCAGCTGAGGTCGTGTCGCGTCTCTAAACCGGATGAGGCAATTCCGGAGCCGATCGGCGCACGGGCCGATCCCCACAATACCGAATCACGCCCCAATCCTTCCCGCTACCACCGTCCTACACGGCATAACAACCTTTCCACTATTTCCCCGATTGTGGAACATTCAATAAGGTGGCGGCCTGACTCCGAACGGGGCTTGTTGAGCTGATTTGCAATGCATGCTCAGGTGTCGATCGCTCGCTTGAACGCACACGTGCCTCCAATCGAGGCAGAAGATGTCGAGACTTCGTCATCGAAGAAGAAGAACTGCCAAAAATGGGAGTCGGTAAGACCATCTTTGAGGCTGCTTAACCTCAAAACGGCAGATTCAGGTGTTTGAGATGCCTCCAGGTTCCACGATTTCAAGTTTAGAGGGAAAGTATGGCTTTGTACAACATTTTCCGGTGTCATAGTACCCTCCCAGCTCCGCCTAGCCAACGTCTCCTCCACTCGTCAAGACTCATCACCACCACCACCACCACCACTGCTGTCTAGCACGTGCTTGAAATGACCCCAGAATGAGCATCAAGGTTCCAGGGTAGTCAAGCCCAAACTGTATCGAGACCTGGAATGCACGCGCATTTCCAAATTAAGTAGAGACTCACGTTGCAGTCTACATTGCAATCTGTCCGGATGTGAGCTCGACTCATGTGGGCCAAATCTGGGGGATATTGGAGCCATCAATACTGCATACCAAACGTTCGCTACTATAACCCAGTCTTATCGAGCGCCAATGAGCAGCCAGTGTCTCAATTTCGCCCGAAACCCAGATGTCTGGCCCCCTATTGGATCTTCCGCAATGCTCTCCAGGGATCTATTGTCAAATTTTGAATATCCCTCGTCCTTGCTGTGCGTCAACTGCACCTCTGGGATCCATACTGCCGCTACCAGTGCCCCCAGGAGCATGGTAGGCACGAGAAATAGTAGTAATCCAGCCAATGGCTCTTTATCTGTACCACCCGCCCTTATGTATTTCATTGCGATCTGCGCGATGATTGCACCGAGCTTCCCGCAAGCAGCTGCAAATCCATAGCACGTGCCCCTGTTCTTGGTCTCGAACAGCTCAGCGGGCAGCATGAAGGTGATCGTGTTGGGACCCAAGTTCATCTACCCAGACGACAAGTCAGCCACTCCCTCGAACAGATTATTCCCTCCCGTTAGACTTACGAGAAACAAGGATATGGCGTAGAACACGACCGTAACATCATGGTGGCTCGTCTCGTAGACACTGAATAAGCTGCCACCAAGGATCGCGAAGACTATAGCCAGTACGACGAACATGATAACCATGAAGCGGACCCGTGGAACACGATTCACTAGGCAGAGAATCACGATACACCCAAGCACCGATGCAGGCCCCGTTGTCCAAAGGGCGCGTACGAAGTTGCCCTCCAAAACCTCGAAGATTGGTTGTGTCTCATCATGGGGCAGGGAGTTGCTATTCCAGTCGAGGGGATGCTTTGCGTCGTCCAAGTCTCCATCTGACGCTACCTTCGCGCGCCAAATCTTACTGATAAGTTGCGGTTGGTCCAAGCCAAGGCCGTAGTAAGCAATATCGAGCAAGAACCAGCATGTGGATGTTGCCTGTAATATCTCAGTACCATAACAGCGATATTCGAGAATGTTGCGATTGAGTGCTCGTTGTCCATGTTCGATGGTACCTGCGTTTCATACTTTGCTACACGTACCATTAATATAGGCCCATGAGGGCTGTTTGCAAACTGTGTAAAAGTATTCCAGATCCTCCCACACCATTCTGGAAATGTTTCCCTCGCTTTCGGCGCTTTGTTTTCACCTGAATTGCCAGAATGCTGACCTGTAGTCTGGGTCCGGACGTTCTCCCGCACACTCTGTCTTGGACTGGAGGGATTTGGTCCATTGGCCTCATTTCGAGAACCATTTTGCTGGTCAGCGTCCACTCGAGCGCTCCCTGTACCATCGATTCGGTGCAGAACTGTCGGTGAATCGCGGTTGAAGATGTTCCTCATCGATTCATGATATACTTCTGCGGTTCCTTCAAGGACAGCCTGACCGTCACGTTCCAGCAAAAGATATCGTGGTGTTTCTGGAATAGTCAAACGTCCGATGATGGCCAGAATTGCTGGTGCAGATCCGACTCCGATTACTAAACGCCAGACCGCATCAACGACCGGGGCTGCCTTATCTCGATCGGTTTCTGATGGGTTGAGCGGAGGTCTATGCCCAGCACTTATACCTCTCAACGCCCCAAGCCCGACGCCTTGCGCAGCAAGCTGCGCAACCGGTTGCATCAGGAAAACCGCAGCCAGCATGCGGCCGCGATGTTCAGTTGAAGACCATTCGGATGCGATCAAAGCCGACAAGGGGTATTCCGCTCCAACCCCGATGCCCAAGAGGGTACGCCAGAATATGATCCAAGGGAAGACGTACATCGATTTGTTGTCATAACCAGCGGATGCTTGGGTGAGTCCCAACGTAGCACAAATCACAATGACCAACTCAACCCCGTAGAGGCGTTTGCGCCCAAATTTGTCCGCGAGGTGTCCGAAAAGGATCATGCCTGTACAGGTACCCACGAGGGTAGCAATATTGATTCCAAGGCTGCGGCCGCCATCCCTCTTCTCCGGCCAGTACAGATATGCAAGTGCTGGCGCGACAACGTTCGTGGAGAAGATCGTATATGCTGGGAACACCTTTCTGTCAGCTCTTTCTGGCTAGGTGAGGCAGCACACGTACCCCCGGTGAAGAACCCAGAGGCAGCAACGAAGAGAATTCGTTTACTGAGTTTGCTCTCCTCGACCGTTCCGAGAACAATCTCCTGGATCTCCTCGAAGTCACGCCTCCCAGTTTTCCACGGCGCGTCGCTGTCTGAGTTATCCATACGGCCCCATATCTTTCGGAGTCGCCCTAAGAAGCTCATATTTGCAACAGCAGGGGGTTGGTCGATGGGTAGAGGTGGTATGCGGTGTCATCTTGGTGGTACAGCGGTAGTGGAAGAAAGAAGGGCATTCTTTCCGAACGGGGCTGAAGGCTGAAGGCTGAGGGCTGCAAGATACGAGCTCGAGCTATACGAGCTCGCGACTGGATTTTGAGTTGTGAACGAAGTCAATGGGGCACGTGGGGGATTCCGCATTATGATTGGTGTCCGGTATCCAATGAATTTGTAGGCACCCACGCATCTCTGGACAACGCAATACCCAACGTCAAAGAGATGCGGGCTTCTTAATCCACAGATAGTGCGGACGCATTCTTTCTTGTGCGATCGGCCACGCACACGCGACAGTTGCGAGAACATGGCACGGTCAAACGATCGACAGGCAATATCCCTGGCCCCCCGGCTGCAAGTACCCACTGAAACATGTATTCCGTGCGTTACCCAGGCTGACTGCTCGGGATTAGCGATCTGTTTATTCATGACTCACTGAGCTCGAGCCACGAATTGTACGCTTTCACGGTCCATGAGCAACAGCACGAGCGCGTTGTCCGCTGGTATGACGATAGAGACAGGCTAATAGCAGAGCATTTGAGTGAGTATTTGATATGATCTACTTGCGCACACTAATCATGTCTCGCAGTATCCAGGGGAAGCATCCCGTACACTAAGGCCAAAATCGGGTATGAGGTAACGTATCGGGACATGAGAACCACGAGTTCTGCAGTACCCCATCGTTTCGTCCTCCCATCCGCCCTTCATCATTTGCAAAAGCTCACGCCATGCTATCGCTTCCAAAACGAGCATCAGAGCGAGCGCTTTCAATGTGCTGCACGCCAAAAACAGTTATTGCAAACTTTCAACACCCATCGTATAAAAACGCACAATAGGGAAATATCCTGGGGCCAGCAGCTCAAAGTGTGGCTCAAACCCGGAGAGCCAACACTAACATTCACGATATTCGTGCATAAGGGCGACGTCGAGCCCAAACAACACTATGAGCTTGATCTGAGATGGTTCAAGCAAGACGCAAAGCGAAGCGGCGAAAGGGGACTAATTATGACATTCTATACGCCCCAAGATGAACGGCGGGGATCCAGCGACAACGCAAGCAAGCTGCGTAACATGTTCCAACGTAGATCATCAGATAATCATCTTGCGACAGAACGGAATCGCCGCATCTCAGAACATTCAAGGTCGTCGTCAAGCTCGTCCAATCATCGAGCTCTTCCAGAGGGAGAAAGAATCGTCACACCGCACAAGGCTTTTCTGGAATGGAAAACTCTTTTAGTGGAGTTTGAAAATGAGCTTGGTAAGACCTGCGGGGTTTAGAAACTTCCGAAGCTTATTGGACTACAGGTGTGGAGCAGTTTCTGGCAGTCTGTCACGATCCGGACATGGCTCCCGAGCCTCGCGTCCACGAAACACATTGGAAAGTCAGTCACGGTTTTGAGGAGACTCTGCACTTGTTGAGGCCTGTGTCAGGCTTTTACATTTCCACTCGCGCACCTGTTCCTGAGCAAAGGACTACTCCGGGTGATGAAAGTCAGGCAGCGTAAAGTCTCCAGTTCTGCCGCTATGCCAAGCATGCTGCTAATATCAAGGCCAGGTCTCGAGCGAGAGAATGGTTCACATTGCTACGCAATCTCCGAAAACGCTATTTCCCATACGGCCTAAACGAAGCTGTTCGAGTAAGAATCGCGGTCTTGGATACCGGTATCGATAACACAAACCCGGACATAAATGAGATGTGGGGAAAACGGGCTCAGCCCCCAAGAAAATACTATCGTAACTTTCTAGAAGATTTTGCTGTTGCAAGTCAGCTTGGAACAGAGCCATGGACAAAGGAAAAAGTGGATGAGCACATTAAGCAGCTGCGGCAACGTCGGGAAGACTTGCCACGGGATGATACTGGCCACGGTACACATGTGGCAGGCATCATCATGCAGCTCTACCCAGAGGCTAACTTATTCATTGGTAGAGTACTTGCAGAGAACGTCATCACCGAGGATGGGGCTACCCGGGCAGCAGCTAGGAGACTCGCGCTGGTACGTATACATAATGCTCTGTTGCTCGTTTGTATCCGCACTAAACCACTGTAGGCAATCCTGTTCGCCAGTGAAGAGTGGAAGGTGAAGATTATATCGCTCTCTATCGGCTTCCGTAAGACATTTTTGCGCAGTGAAGAAAAGGCCATTGTGCGAAACGCCATCAAGTACGTCATGGACAAGGATCCAAGTGTTCTCATTTTTGCCTCGGCTTCGAATGAGGGAAACAGGGACGAAATACTATTTCCAGCGAGCGAAGACAGGGTCTTCTGCATTAATTCTTCCGACGGGGACGGAAACAGATCTGAGTTTAATCCACCGCACCAGGAACGTCACGAGAATTTCAGCATTCTTGGTGAAGGTGTGAACTCGACTTGCCTACAGCAAAAGAATGCGGGCACAAGTGGAAGGCTGGTGGCATCTTGGTCGATACGAAGAGGGACGTCAGTCGCGACTCCAATAGCTGTGTCGGTAGCAGCTATCATTCTCCACTTCGGGCGTGAGGAACTTGAGGGTCATCACAGGGATCTTGAGACGCGGCGTGGCATCAAACGGATCTTAGAGAGCATGGCACCTCAAGAGAATCGAGATAAGTTCTACGACATCGTTCCTTGGAGGAAAGGGGTATTTGTGGAAAACAACGGCTTTCGGGATCCAAATGAGTCTATTGCATTGGCCAAAGAGAGGTTTCGGGATATACTTGAGGACGCTTTCTAAAGGAAAAAGGAAGATATTCGAAATACAAAGCTATGACCAATAATCCCTCATTATTGCTTCGGGACACACGCTGCTTCATGCCTGCTCCTAGCCGCAGATACCTAGGTTCTAAGTCTCCAAAAGTTCTTCGTGCATCTGCAACAAGCAGTCCTCACCATCCTGCTCATCTCTTACTAATGTGGACTCGAACCCATCTACGGGATACCCCCCGGACCCATAATCATCTTGTGACTGCTTGACCGACTCAATTTCCATCTCCTTCGCAGTAGTGACATCCTTACTGATCAGCATCTCATGAAGCACTGATACGGACGATCCTCCGCGCTCATCATGCGCCACCGTAGCGCCCTTCACGTAGTCTTTGCTCTGGCTCACTGTCTGCCTCTTCACAAGAATCCTCCGCAACCGATATGCGAACACAAAGTCCGAACTCCCAGAAAACCACGTCTTCTCGCCCTTCTCCTTCCCCACCCCCGCAAGCACGCCGCCCGACACCGGCACCCCACTGAATGGCGTCGCGTCCACGCCAGGCCTGAGATCGACATTGACGCCTTTTGCCCTTGCGCACAAGTGCGCTGCGCCCCTTGCGACCTTAATTCCGGTCACCATATACACACTCTTGCGCGGGTTTCTCTTCACCCATTCCGCAACAGCCTCCTTGCCCACAACACTCGCTTCCACATATGCATCGTCCGGCTCGAAGAAGCTCGTCTCTAGCTCTTTAAAGTGAAAAATATCGGACTCATGCTTCATAGAAGCGAGTTCTGCATCTGCGCCGACGCCTAGAATCATCGCTGCGAACTGCGCCCAGATTCCGATGCGGTGCTCGCGGTTTCGGTGGAGTTGGGTGCCCCAGTCGGTTTTGACCGTCGTTGCGATGGAGTTCGCCGCGATGGGGAGAGGGGATGCGAGCCGCTTCCAGGGTTGCGCTGGAGAGGTCACGATCTGGCCTAGCGTGATAAGGTGGTTCGGAGGGTGGTCGAGGGTAGGGAGGGCGAAATAAGTCCTCTGTGCCATTTTGCGGCTTATGACGAGCTTCGGGCGATCTTTGAGACCTATCGAAGCGTATATATACAAATGATATCAATATTTGAGAAGTGCACGGCCGTGTAGTGGGATCAAATTGTTTCACTGTACTATACAGGCAACTACACATATATGTCGGGTCTGTAGACTCTCAGGCACTGACAGGCTGTGAGATGCGTGTGGCAAGTATTGGCTTTACCATGATCTGCCTGCCTTGTGGTCGCGATCCAGTAGAGCCCTGCATTCAGTGCACGCGGTGTGGCTGTTTTTTCACAGCCACTTGCATGCGTTTCATAAATGCGATAGAGGCACGATCAACGCATCGAGCTTTCTGAGCCAAGTCATGAACTGGTGAGGCACACTCAGCGAAACACTTCACGATGTTTTGCCAAACATAAACAGATTTGCTAGACTAGGTAGAGCTAGTCAAGAGACTGATAAAGAAAGAGCTCAAAAAGACATGATCAATTTCCATCCAATCATGACCCTTGGAATTTCGCTCCGAGACCCCCGCGCTGATGATTTGACTGGTTCGTCAGCCCCGGCCGACGCCGCGTCGCGCTCCACGTTGCGATCCCCAAGCACCTCCGGTCCCTCTAACCTCGCTGCCTCTTACGCTCTGCTTCTATCTATTAGCCCCCTCACGCTACACTACCGCCCCACTCACCACCCGCAGCGTACACTTTGGGCTTGTCCTTGCCAAAGTATCCCCCACCAAGAGCCGTTGGGTTCGACGACCTGGCGTCGTCCGTCGCGCTCTTCGCAGCAGCGCTCGTCCGTCGCGGCCAAACCCTTCGGTCTCCATCACGCTTCTTCGACTCCACATTGACCGACAGGGATTTCCCCATGGCTGCACGACTCACAGCTCCCGTCGTGGAGAAACGCAGAAGAGCGACCGAGGAGTCCCCCAGGAATTCCCCAGCTGCCAAGTAATAGGATCCCTTCCAGCATCCCACAAGGACCAATACTCCCAACTGCACATCACGTGATCTTACACTCTCCAGTACTGAGGGCTCCAGCGCTGTCAGTGTAGTATAGCATCATGTATGCCGAAGACCATGAATCAACGGAAATGTTGTGAAATTATGATTACATCTATACGCTAAAGTCTATGCATGGGATACACGCCTATTGCCGCGGACAACCCAGTCCATATCTGGCCGAATCAACGTAGTAAGGTACGCAGTAGCCGTCCGTAACAATGACCGGTTGGTAAGGCACATTGATGCCATTCTTCTTTGGCACGTTCTTCTTCGAGTCTGCATCAGTTGTCGGCTGGAAGAACATATTGTCGCCGCAAGCGCCTGCAAAATTAGTTGTGTCTTGAAGACACGCACTCATTTTCTTGAAGATCCGTCCATCACCATTGCAATCCACAGGAAACGATCTACATTGTAAAGTCGTGCCCTTGCAGTCTGTCGATGCATTTGTATCGAAGCACTGTTTGAGATTTGTCGTAGAGACGGAGTCTTTCCGGATAACATCGTACAGCGAAGGAGACCCGGAGATGTTCGAAGCAAGGTCAGAAAAGGTGATGTGATCCAGCCTCAGATTCGGCGCCTGGGCGGTGCGCTTGGGTGGAGTCCTATATTCGGTCGTGTTGTGATGGACTGAGTAACCCGTGGATGCCTCAACACAACGAGATGGATCATCCCACGCGGCGGCAGCGACATCTTTCCAAAGTTGTTCAAGGTCGTAGATGTTTTTGAGAGTGTAGTATACTCTGCAGTCAGCTGCATCGTACTTGAATTGCACCGGGACGGCGTCCTTGTCCCCTTTACGGATCTGGTCGCGAATATTGAAGCCAGCAAAGTTGACGAAGAGGTCATTGTTATTGCGCTGTGGGAGTCTCGCGTAGGCGTCAAAATACTCTAGGGTATCGTTGACATTGCTAAAATCATAATCGAGTGCCTCGGATGAGTACAGACGGGCGCCACGGCTACCGGATGCGGTTTGCATAGGGCCAGTGGCAGGGCGACCACCCACGGCGACGGTCTTCACGCCTGCCTGTTCCGCCATAAGCTCCACGAAAGCTGCACAGGCAGAAGTGCAAAGACCGTCGGTGAGGAGGACGATGTTATCTGGTGCCCAGGATGGTGGCGGGGGGTTGGCTTGGTCATCACCATAACCGTAAGGGATCCAGCCTTGGAAACCGGCAGCGTCGAATACCTGGTCAGAAAGATTGTAAAGCTGCAGATGTGAGAATGTATCACCCTGGTGGGAGACAGGGCCCTTATACTCGTCCCAACTGCTATAGTTCGCTCCGGTTTCAGGATTGATTCTGTTTCCCACAACCCATTCGCTAGAAGCGAAGTACTGGTAGTTTGCATCAAGCGCGCCATCGCCCCCGGTCTCAAGACCGCTCCACCAGGAGGAGTAGCTCTCTCCCAGAGTATTGGCTATATCACTTATGCGAATGCGGCTGCCCGTCCAGGGTTCTTGATCGTAGAAGAAGCGCTTGAAGACAGATACAGCAAGCAGCTTTAGCCCGCCATAATTTTGCTGTAGATCTATGATCAGCCTTGTAGTGTTCTTTTTCGCAGCATCAGCAAGGAATTGGTCGATGGTATCGAAAAAGTTGAGCAAGTCGTTTCCTTGCTGGAGAAAACTGGGTATGCTGAGCACGCCCGTGCCGTCCTCCAGGAAGTAACCCGTTACTACTCCGCCTTTCAACCGGCTGAGATCCTTTTGTGCGTAGCTCGGATTATTAGGATAAGCGCCATTTGACTCTTCGCACCAGCTGGCGTTCTTCGGGTTGCCATTGTTGCAATTGCGAACTGCTTGAGAAGGACCTCCTTCGCTGCTATCTTCTCCAGAGTCGCCATTATCTCCTTCCCAGGTTGGCCACCACTGTGGGTTTGAAGCATCCCAGCTATCGGGGAGAATGCCCAACACGAAGTAGTTGTAGAAGTCCCCAGCAGTGGTCAACGGACCAGTGTGGCCGGCCTCGCTGTAGGAAGCCAGCCAGTATGAGGCTGTGACCGTGCCGTTGGCTTGGGTATAATTGATGGCATCACCTGGATAGAAGATGGCTGAGTGCAGAACACTTTGGTAGTTTTGGATATCTACGCGCAAGCGAAGGTTAGCAGGTCGCTTCCAATGCTTGTGGGAGCTATTCCTTACCAAGTGCAGGGTGCTCGAAGAGGGCATTCCAGTCAGCGTGTGGCTCAATGTACCCCTCTGAATTGATCTCAGCAAACGAAGTCAGGAATTCCACTGCGTCTATGTTGTTGATCTTGTCGATAGGCGATGGTTCCCAACCCTCGGCCTGGCTATCAATGACCTCCTGCTGGAAATAGATAACTGGCAACTCCTTTCCATCGCGGGAAGCTGATATAAGAGCAAATGGCGAGATGAAAGTAAAAGGCGCCAGCAGACCTGCACTTAAGTAGACATGTGAATCATGAATGCGGTTGATCAGAAGCTGCAGATCAGCTTCGAAGGCATACTGTGTGTTGTATTTTCCTTCCGCGACATTTTCTTGTAGGAGTTCTAACTCGGCCACGACGTCGACGGGAGGTTGCTGGTAGCCCTCTGGAGGATCTCGTAGAAACGCGAGCGTGCTCTGGAACTGCAGCGTTTGGTTGTAATAGTTGATGAAACGAGAGGCCACGTCAGGGATGAATGGAACACTGGATAAGCAGTCGAACACGTCTGAAGCCCAGAAAAGAGTCTGTCCTGTAGCGAATTAGATGGAGTTGAACAGGATGGTAGCGACATCGAACCTTGTTCTTTGGAGATGATGAGATCTCCACAGGCCGTGCTGGCAACATCAGGCGCTTCGGTTGGGGAAGGAGGCAAGATTAGCCGGTCCGTCTCCGAGGCGGCGGGCGCAGGCGACACAAACCCGCTGAGCACTCCGAACAGCAAAACACAACGGTGAAAGACAGACATTGCGATGCGACAGCGAAAGAGAGCTAGGAAGTTAAATTCCCTAGGCATTCCGTCGAATATCGAACGACGGGAGTCCATGATGTTATACATTAGGGGCCAAATTAATCCTCCAACACAGCCTTCTCCATCATGGCATAATGACTAAGATGCCTCCACGGTCACACTGACCACACAGCAGGCAGACGGCCAAAGCTCGATGCTGTGGGCGTTGGGGGCTATGCGTCGAGCCAACCAGCTTCCAGCCTGTGCCGTCTAAAAACACCCACCAATGAGTACGGCCATCAACCCTCCGCGATCTGTCACTAATGCGGTGGTGTGCATAAATCTAGAGGTGCAACGACAAGCTTTTGGGGGCTGTTTGGGCTCACATGCTCGTAGCATTCGCCTTTTAAGGCTTGGTCGGCATGATTTGACTGATGTGCTCGTCCTCTCACCCCCAGTGCTTGCGGCTGAAAATTCTAATTTCCGGCGACCTTCGAATCTGTGTGAGTTTTACGCAAAAGCAGATGCCTGCGGCAATGTAACTCCCCTAGACTACACAAAGTGGAATGCGCGGTCGCAAGCGTTCGTCTCCGGGCACGTTACTCATCCGATCGCACTACACGCATCATATAGGTGCGAGGGCTCCTGGTCGAAAGATATGGCCGACCCGTTCGCTTCAGCAACCGCCGCCACCCGCTTGCTGCATCCTTCTCTAAGCACAAGCAACACGCTTCCGATCGACTTTTTCGAACCATTAGTGTGCGGTTTTCTAGAGGATGAAAGATACGCAAAATGGGCTGCAGGTTACATGCCATGGCAGCTTCATTGTCACGGCGGTCCGGGATGTGGCAAGGTAAATTCTCGGCCTGTGAACAGGTTCCCAGTCTGACAGATTTTAGTCGACCTTTGCACTACGGGTCGTAGAAGATCTAAAAAAACGTCATCAGAACCAAGGCATCTCTGTAGCATATGTCCATGTCAAGGAGCGTGTTTTGAACAATCAAGCAGAATTCGTTGAAGATTTTCTTTTTTGCTTATACAAACAAGTCTGTAACCGACCGGCCAATGCTTATGAGAGCGCCCTTCGCACCGGCCAGCCATCGACTGAGAGACTCAAGCGTATCCGGGGAGCACTTCATCAGCAGTTGAAAGAGAATGAACATAGCTTCCTCGTATTCGACGGCTACGATACGTTGGACATTGCCACATGCATGTTGATCGACTATGAGTTCAAGGATCCGGGCTTGTCCAACATATCGCTCCTTGTGACCCGCCGGAGCCCACCCTATAAACGACCTGAAAACCTCAACATTGGCTGTGACAGTTGTGAGCGAGCGCACCTCAGCTTGTACTGGCAGTGCCAAATTTGTGGTGAGAATGGTCCACAATACTGCTGCGAATGCAAAGAAAACGGCGCATGTACGAACGGAGAACACAAATTTGCGCTGTCAGAACCTTATAGTCGCATCGATCTGGATTTAACAAAGACGCCGCGGTCTGCGATGATAGGGTTCATTGCACATGAACTTGAAACGCACTCTAGGGCCAGGACGCAGGATGTCAAACAACGCGCGGCAGATATATTAGCGAGGGTTGGTGGTAACATCAATCTTGCGAAGCTTAGGATCGATGACTTATTGACAGTGGATGATCTTTCCGATGACCAGCTGCTGAGGGACAGGCTTCCACGAAGTGTCGTTGCCTTCTTTGACGCTGAAATTGATAATATGTTGCAAGATAAACCCTTAGATCGCAATCTAGGTGTGTTGGCCGTTGCTTCAGTCGCGCAGTACGGGGATCCACAAGGTTTTGGAATGAAGGCCGCCGATCTGGAAAGGTCGCTACGACAGGCGCGAAACTCTTCACCCCATCTCGTCCTTCACCCCACCAAAAGCCTGGAGGATGTCATCACGGCAGCGAACGGATTGCTCGTTTTGCAACCCTACGAGGACGACCTATATGTGGCATGCTTCAATAAGATGCTCAAACTCTATGCTAGAGAAGATTACAACGAGGTTTTATACAAGGCAAAAGCGAGACTATCTCTTGAGACAGATCCTTCTCAGCATGAGGGCACCAGATCATGGATTATAGCGCCGTCAACAACCTCTCCTCCGACCATATCAGATGTATTTGACAACAAGGACTATATGGACGCAAGGAGCTCTAGTCACGACAGTGCATACTATTCGCGTTCTTCAAGCATGAACACGAAGCTACACAGTCGCAAAACAGTATCTCACACGGATGAGCCGAGGGGGCTTTTCGAATGCACAGGGTCCTTACCCATTCAGAGCAATGTTGTTGAGGCGCAAGGACAAAGTGTACCGCCCGTATCCTTGTGTGAATTCTGCCAGGAGCATATATTCAACAGCAACGACTCTGCCGGTAGCCATCACATGTCATGTGAAGCAATACTGAATTCGCTGACCAGTGGATGCGTTATTTGCATGGATTTGTATATGCACGGCGTCAAAGCAGAAAATCGCATGCTAGAACTAGTGCCCTCTGCATTCAAGGACTGGCACTATCGATGGGCACTTCGGAGCACTGGTCGCTCGCAAAATCGTAATTCTTCCTTTGGGATTAACTTCACACCCCTGGCCAGTGGCGGAGAAAAATTTACGCCGTTGCCACACTCCAAAAAGTACCATATAGTCTCTGAGGCGGACGTTAATGTTGCTGCCGAAGGGTCCCTTGCATTCTCCACGAACCCAAGCGAACCCGGAGGTGGTTTACAAATCCGGCAATGGATGAAGATCTGTGCTGAGACTCATGAACATTGCAACAAGCATCAAAAGTCCGAATTTGTTCCTACCCGTCTTGTAGATCTGGAAACGGAAGACAGCAGCATGGTGCGCATCGTGCAAACGGCGAAGGAGAATATCACGGGCCCCTACCTGACTCTTAGCCATTCATGGGGTCCGCCCACGTTCCTACAACTCAAAAGGGATAACGAATCTGAACTCATGGGCAAAGGTGTAATGATTACTGAGCTTACTCCAAACTTCCAGCAGGCCATCTCTGTGGCGAAGTTCATCGGAATGCGCTATATTTGGATCGATTCATTATGTATCATCGTATGTATTCAAGCATGGTCGTCCACGCCTGTGATACTGACTGTGCGAAGCAAGGACCAGGAGGCGATTTCAAGAGTGAAGGTCAGCTCATGCACAAAGTGTACCGCCACTCGCACTGCAACATTGCTATTGCAGACTCCTCGGACTCCGAGGGTGGTTTGTTCCGGCAACGCAACCCAGTGGACATCTTACCCACGAGCATAGAGGCCGATGGGACGGGCAAACTACCACGCGGGACATGGAGAATCCTGGAAGACGATCTGTGGGATAAAGAACTGCTTGCAACCAAGATCTACACTAGAGGGTGGGTGTTTCAAGGTACGTAATCATCATGCTATTGAAGCCGGTGTGCTCTCAGTTGAACGCGTACTGTAAGCATCGTCGAGTATTGGAGCTTTTGTGGCTGCTTCACGTGGCGGCCTGAACATTGTTACTTTCTGACGAAACTAGAACGCATGCTTTCACCTCGTATCCTGCACTTCGCCGCTTCCCAGATATTTTGGGACTGTAGCACACTGAGCGCCTGCGAAGCTCTTCCCCGAGGACTTCCTCATTCCTTGGACGCGAAGGCGTCCACAGATCGGCACTGGCGGGGTCGCATGCAGCGAATGCCAGCCGACACCCCGCAGAAATATGACGAGCCCATCGTTGGGGCGAGCGATGATTCCATAGAAATCTTCTGGCGCTCTGCGTTACTGCGTTACACATCCTGCAACCTCACTAACCAAGGCGACAAATCGGTCGCGATATGGAGTATAGCCAAGCTGGTGCGCGATATCTTGGGAGAAAGATATGGCGGCGGATTGTGGGAAGCTAACCTGGAGGAGCAACTTGCGTGGCACTCACATGACGTGGTGTTCGAAGGCGACGCTAGATTACCGGAGCTGCAAAGTCGATATCCTAGCTGGTCATGGGCATCGATGAAGGGGCCCATTGTCGCTCATAGTCGGCTTTCAACGGCCAGGCAGTATGTTGTTGAGAACCACGTCGGAGACGCCATAACGTTCGAAAGCCACTTCAAAGACAAAGACAATGAACCAATATTGGAGAGAATCCCCATGGCATTGTCAGGGTATGTTGCAAGCACACGGCGTCTGCAGACAAAACCACCCCCATCTCTTAGTCTCGACATACCTGGAAATGATCAAGAAGGATCGGCCGGGTATTTCGCCGTCTTTCTTGATGAAAAAATTCCTGGAAATGCTGGCGCCGATCCATCGCCCTCATTGTTCCTCATTCTTGTAGCAACCGCCACACCCATAGATGGAAGCCGACCGGTCATACCATCTCAAGATAGTGGATCTGAAAACTTTATTCGGTCTACGAAGACCAGGCAGCATGAAATGCGGAATTCCTCTCCCATGACCTACTCCGGCACCGGGCTGCTACTTGAGCCTTTGGCTAATTACAAAGCACGTCAGCACAAAGCTTTCAAAGAGCTTCTTCAAGAGGTCGTTGCACGTTCGCCGAACAAATCATGGCCAGACCCGCCATACGGTCAGGGCAAGTCTCTAGTGGATCGCACAACAGATATGCGAGTGCTTGTCGCTACTCTTAGATCATCTTTGCGCTACGTGGTAGAGAATGGTGGAGGGGAAAGTTCATTGTTCAGGAGAATTGGCGCCGTTGAGTTTCAAGGCATGTCAGAGGAAGTTTGGCGAGAGATGGCAGAGGACGGCAGGAGAAAAATATGGCTCGACTAACGAAGGATGTATGGAAACTACGAAGAATAGCTCTCCTCTGGACGAATTCGATCCCTAATCAGGATTTCGTGCGTAATAATCATGCCAGTCTCTCAAGACCCGCTCCTTTACACAAGATTCGGTCCTACAGTAAGCGTCAGTATAAACCGAGCTTGAGGAAGCATCTCAATCACATACCTGCACCCTCTTCGGCAAGATTTTACCAGCTTTGGTCTTCCATGAGTTACTACCATGCCACACTCTCCCAGTCTTGCCCGCAAGCACATCGCTTACAACAGCTTCGGCGTAGGGCTCGGCTTCCGATCGCACAATGGAGTCCGAGTGCGCCATAATATCCAGTTGTTGTTGAATGGGAGCATAGATGGAGCCTTCAGGGAGTTGACAAGGAGGGAGCTTGCCATGTAGTGCAGTCTTGATGGAACCCGTGACAACGGTGAGAACCTTCACGGAGAAAGGTGCTAGCTCGACACGCATGATATCGCTGAGAGAATGTAAAGCGGCCTTTGAGGCGCTGTAGATGCCTGCAAAAGTCAGTCGTGCTCTTCCAATCGGACTGACTGGTATGCGCATACCAATGTAGGGCTGACTAAAATACCCAACTATAGAGCCGATGTTAACTATACTACCTTTTGAAGCGATAAGAAGAGGCATAAAAGCCTGGGTGGTCCGCAGTGGGCCTAAGAACCTTAGTGTCTGCCGAAGCAATAGAGTGTCTGCATTGAGTGCTGTCTGACCCCAGAAATTCACCTCATAGACTTTCTTACTCTCCTCAATATCAGCGCCCATAGCTGGCATAAAGTAGCCGCGGCCAGCGTTGTTGACAAGATAGTCAAGCCTGCCGGATCTGGCCTCGACTGCTTCGACAGCCGCTTTTATCGAATTTGGATCGATGACGTCCAACTGCAACAAATGAATGCTAGGAAATTGTTCGAATCCAGTGATGTTGGAAACTAATCTGGCAGTAGCAAAGACAGTAAGCCCTCGTTGAGCGAAACTTTTTGCCAGAGCATGGCCAATTCCGCCATCGCTGCAGCCCGTGATCAGAACGGCTTTTGCCATCTTCGAGTGCCGGGCTTAGAGGTGTGCGTTGGTGTGATTGGCGAAATGCAAGCAGCGTCAGGTTTATATGTGCAAAACTCTTCCGGCCCCCGTGTTAGCATCTTACGCCGATCTCAGCACGAGAATAAGTCGACTCTTAATGCATTTCGGACGACCATGCGCCATCTTGCAAATGAGATGGTCTGTCAGCGCCAACGAAAGGTTCCTGCAACAGGATTAGCGCGTCAGCGAGGCACATGAGAGGTGGGGCTAGTCGCCCAGCATCTCTCACTGCGTGAGACTCGAGCATAAAAGATATACAACCGAACATGTCCCACCATGGAAAGCGACTTGCCGGTCTGGCGATGCGATGGCTGCGCAATGTCTGTCGAACTGAATGAATTCGATGACTGGACGGGAAGCCGAGACCCCAAGATACGACGCCGTATTCAAAATCGCATCAATCAACGAGCGGCCCGTAAAAGAAGAAATCCGAAAAAGCTCACGCCTTTGCAAGCCCGTCTACAGGACATCGCGGAAGGACATCAAATTCTTGGCACCATCCCAGCTCGATCGTCACCAGGTAATTCTGCGCACGTCCATGCGCACGATATGGTACAGATACGCACACGTTGTTGGCCGGGAACAACTCGATTGGAAAGCACAAGAATTGCGCGACCATACATTGAGCTCTTCCCACTATCCGCTGATCACCTTATTACACTTATGCAGCACAACGTATATCGCGGCTTCTTGACCAACATGCTGCTGCTGAACCTTCCAAATATATTCGGATGCGACGTTAACGTGGGCCATTGTGGGCTCATATGTCCTCTACCCCTGCCTACTACCCTGCCTCCAACTCTTGCGCCAACACCATTACAGCAGCGCGTGCCACATGAACCCTGGATGGATCTGTTTCCCCTTCCGGCCCTGCGCGACAAGTTGATCAAGGCTGAGGAGCCTTTCGACTCTTGCGAATTGTGCTTTGATATCTTGGGGGCTTTGGTGGAGAAGAACATACCCTGGGTACGTAGTAGCGGGGTGATGAATGCCGACAATGACTACGAAGCGCATGAGAAAGGCATACTTATCTGGGGCGACCCGTGGCTCCTGTCTTCATGGGAGCTTTCGGAAGGTTTCTGGAAGCGATGGGGTTGGCTAATGCGAGGTTGTGGTGACGATGTCATGTTGTCGACAAATCGCTGGAGGGCAACGAGGGGGGAACAAGCGTTGACGTTAGAGCAGACCATCTGATGATTCTTCCTGTAACACCACATGCGAAGCAACGCATCTGAGTGCAAAGCGAGTAGAAAAGAGGCAAAACTCCTACCCAGACAAGTTATTCTGCTCATAGAACCTGTGTCTACGCGCCATATATATAGAGATTGTGTCCTATACACCGTGCCGAACTGTCCAGGATTCTCAACAAGGCACAAGGGGTGCACCATCTTGACATGGTCAATCATCTGTCAGGTCATTGAGTACGATTGTCTTCGGCTTATCACTCAGTACTGTTGCAAAAACCCAGCAGGAAATTCGCTGGGAAATCACCGCGACTGTGTACAAAAGTAACAAATGTTTTTGACTCTATCGACACTTCGTTCAGCTGTGTAGGGTCCTCGGGGGGCAGGACCCGTACATTCCGAATGCGCATATGTGACGTCGTAGTCATGGAACACTAACAACAATAACAACGGGATCTGTTTGACATTTTCGACTAGAATTATCATTTTTAGCTGCGTTATCCAAGAGTTTGCTTTTTTGTGTCACTAGCTGGCCTTCAAAAATGACCCGCAAGGTCAATGACATGGCGCCAGGCTGCTTTTGGACGTTCGGTAATTCCACACTGGGCAGAGGTGAGGGAGCGCACTGAGCACACTTCTAGTTCTAAAATGTGGTACTGCTGGGGTCTTTGAGCATGAGTTGGCGTTGGTTGTATTGTGCAGGTGGGTCTACGCCTACTAACATTGCCACACGGTCCGGTCGTCCCTACCAAATCCACAGTGTAGCTTTCATGAATGTTGACAGTTATTTCTTCTTACTCTTCGCATATCCTTCTTCGATATCGAATTCTCCCCCTGAGTTTGGCTTGTACGGATTCCGAATCACTGGATCAACAGCGGATGCAAGGCTAAGCTCGAAAAACATTTCTATCGCCTCTACCAACAGCTATGGGAGGAACAGCCCGTCTGGCACCGCCTAGACCCGATAATGTAAACGCGTATCGTAGCATCGGGATTCCAGTCGTACATTGGTGGCTTCGTGCCAAGTCGATCAAGCCTACGAGTTCCCTAGCCGAAAGTCTAATTTGTCAATGAGCGGAACGGAACCTCCCACTGCTCATCACAACTGGCCACTAGCTACGGAGTGCTCTGCGATATCTCAGATAACACAAGACATCCTGAAACCAACTGTCAGCGTTACCACAGCCCACCGCGGTCTCCTTCCGCATCTTTTCATGTCTTACAGAACACCGACTCAGCCCCACGCCAACGGAAAGTACCTATAGAATATTCCAACAAAGATCGAAAGGATCAAAAGGCGTTTTCCGTACCTTATGGCTTACTGCAACGGGCTGTAGTCACGCAGCGCTCGCCAACCAGTCTAGCCATTTATCCGCAAGTCCAAATTTCAATGTCCGAACCCATGTCAATGCACGGATTCCGCCCCAAGGATGTCGATTATGCGAAGACCCGAGAGCAACGGGCGGGATTGATCAGCGCGAACGTTAAGATATCGAATCTCCTTCGTACGAGAGAACCCAGTTTTCTGGTCCCTATTGCCACTCTTTTTGTCGCTCTCTACACAGTCGCCTCCAATGTTTCGGGCTGCACGCCTGCTGCAGGCACTTGTTTATTTCGCGACTTGCACAACGCTCGTTATCGCAACGTGCTACACACCGGATGGAAATGCGGTGCAAGAAGACGATGTTGCGCCTTGCTCAAACGATCCATCCGACCCTCTGAGCCATATCTGCTGCATCACGAATCGACCGAAAGCCTCCGGCACCTCGACAAATGCATCCGAAATACGCGACACATGCCTCCCAAACGGGCTTTGCCAGAACGAGTCGCTTCTCGAAGATGGGTCGATTTATTTGCAGTGGGGTAGAAATTGGTGCACAAATCCAGACTGGAGCACTGGGCAGTGTTTGGACGATGTGTGCACACGCACAGCGGGAGAAGTAGGCATTCTTCTTAACATGTGGGCAGCACGAAGCTTACATCTTTCCAGAAAGCAGGGCTTGTGCGCGTAATTCCCTGCTCGGGCAAGAACAGCTCACTGACGTGGTGCTGCGGCGATTCTGACAGTTGCTGCACTTCCACCGATCAAACCGACCTCGTCTCGCTCGCTCCTACATTTACGACAGCCGCTGCAACCTCGACATCTTCCGCCTCTTCAAGCACTCTGACCATTCCAGAATTTACTCCAGACACTTCAATCATTGTAACGACTCGGACATCATCAAGTGATGGGGCTTCGCAAACTGGCATCGAAAATCCGCAAGTAACACCCGCTGAGACCTCGGGCTTGCCAAGAGGAGCAAAAGCAGGGATAGCTATCGGTGCAGTCGTGGGCGCCGTAGTGTTCGTTATGCTTGGAGTCTGGATCTCCAAAGCGATGGCATGGCGCAGGGATGTTTATGCTGCGAGAGCGCAGAATGACCCCAATCACTATACGGGATCAGACATGGAAGGGCTGTACGGTCAGCACCCGCAGAAGTACGCATACTATGCGGAAGCAGACGCAACGACACCTCCTGTGGAGGCTCCCACCTTCCCTGACCCAGTAGAAGTACCCGACCACCGAGCCAGCATTCGAAGGAGCAGATTAGTGGGTGCCTTATCTGCTAAGTATTCATGAAAATCTGTGAGGGCTGCATGAATGTGCTGTCCCAGATCGTTTCCGATATGGTCAGATTCTGCATTTTCAGCAGTCGCGTACTTGGATATCGTAACATCTACGGTGCTTCGAGCTGCTTTCTAATGCGATAGTGACCTACAGAAGGTCCAAAAAACCGTCACAGACCATTCTTGATACCTCCGCCTGAAGGTTCGGACTAGAACCGATCAGGCGGATTGTACGCCAGCGCACGCACCCATAATGGCCGCACGTGTGACACTCTGATCCACTGCGTGGAGTCGCGACGAATCCGGACCCCAATTATAACATGTAACATCACAAGGCGAAATCTGACTGTGTTCTTGGTAGACGCTGCGATGGTCCCGACCCAGTAGCGCACGCAATCGAGATTTCGGGGTTGCCAACTATGGCCCTCGTGAATACAAAAGAACAACAAGAAACTATCCCCACTGTTCCGACGTCTAGCCCATGGCAGATTCCATCTGGAATCGCAGATACGACCTTCATGGATCCACAAGAGGACCGATCAGAAGCCGAGGCATGCAATAGGATATTAGAGGTGAACAAGACAAGTCACGAGTACTTGTAGCTGACATTACTTTTCCTCTCTAGAGTTGGGCATCAAAGCTACGATCACGCTCATGACTCAATCGAGAATCCTAAACCGTCATTATCATTAAAAAGTATTATGCTAAGCGTCCCACACGATCCTGCCAGCCACACTTCGCCTCATGCTCCTCCCCGCCGCGTCCTCACTACTCCTCGGGGAGATCATCCCATATGCCGCCGCCATACCCCCACTCGCCCGGATCGCCGCATCCACGCTCTCCAGCGCGACAAACTGCTGCATCGATCCCAAAGACGGCGCCCAACTCTTCTGCACCTGCGCCGATACCCCACCCAACGTCACCGCAATAGGGCCCTTCAAGTCGGGCCGCTCCACAGCGGTCGCACCCAGCCAGCGCGCCAGAATCCCCTTGAAGCTTACTTGGTCATTATTGCAAGTCCCCTGATCCTCGCAAATCGGCTCATACAGTGCGCTGTCCCGTACAAAGTTCCTTTGCGCGGCCGCGAGCAGCCCGTTGGTTCGATCAGCCCACTTCGCATCACCCGTCTGGCTCGCCATGACCGCCGCGCCGTACAGGAAGACGCCTGCGTTGTAACTCCACTGGTTGTGATTCAGGTCCACACACCCGCTCGCCGCATCAGTGCCGTCATACACATTGAAGTCGGTGTCGATAAGTCCAGTCGAAGCAATCCAGTCGTAACTTTTCTCCGCCCACGCTTTTGCGTCCGCATCGCCTGTGAGTTTCGCCAGGCGCGCTGCAAGCTGGAAAAACAAGCCATTCGCGATGGAGGACTTGTACTCGTAGCCCACGTCCCCGGCGTTGATCTTGAACCGCATGCCCCCGCTGCAGGAGCTCTCATCCCATCTCCCTTTCTGCTCGTTGAAGACGTTCTGTGCCATGGACAGGAATGTTGGACTGCCCGCTGGTACGGCGACGTTGTTCTCGGCGGCAGTCAGCGCAGACAACGCCCACCACGCTTGATCGTCGTTGCCGGTGGCGTCAGGCATCATGAAGTCGTTCGCGGCTGTGGCCTGGTTGTAGAGAGTGTTCTTTGCGAGGTCCTCAAATTGCTTGTCGCCGGTGACGAAGCCGTAGGTAAAGAGGGCGTTGTTGACGATGCCGGATTGCCACCAGTAGTAAGGTTGTGGGACGAGGACGAGGCTTGGGTTGGGCAGAGACGACTTTATGGATTGTGCGATTTGGGCGGCAGTTACGACGAGGGATTCAGTTGCTTGGGCGTGTGAGAGCGTAAGGAGGGCGGGGAGGAGGGAGAGGATGGTTGAGCGGCGCATGTTGGGTGAGTCGACCTTCGAAAAGAATGTGCAAAGCGTAAAAATGAGTGTGCTGTCGACTGTGTCGATAATGAAGGAATATAGTCGTCGGAATAATAGCGAATGTCGTGTCGCGAGAATGGTAATGAATGTAGTGTCGCGATAATATCAATGAGTGTCGTGTCGCAATAGCAATAACGAACGTAGTCGCACAGTACGATAATGAACGAGTGAATGAGGCGGAGCTCTACGAGTCCAGAAACGACGACTTCTCCTAACAATAGCCACAAATCCAAAGGAACGACTGCGGGTGAGCTTCACAATGATGGGAAAGCAACGGATACTTATCAAGTCTTTTCCCAATGGCCCATCAAGGCTGCGCCTCAGCCTGAATAGCTCGCCCATTTTTTGCATAAGAGGAGAGTATCCACCCGTGACCAAGGGAAAACAGCTCCCAGATGGTCTTCTCATTTCCCTCGTGCAAGTCGACGTCCAGCAAGTGGATCACCCCCGTGCCCTCCCACTCTTTCTTCGACTCGCTACCCCAACCTTGCACACCCAAGGAACAACCCGATTGGACCGCTTTCTACACATTTTCTGGATTTATTGATGCTCTGGATGGTGATTGGGTCGCGCCATGTCGAGTGTCTTGTTTGAAGTAGAATTAGCCGAGATAATTCGGGACGTGAGACACGGCCCACGCGTTTGACAGGTGCCCTATGGGACGCGTTCTTCATGCATATTGAAAAACGCATGAACGTTTCTGCAATGCAGGTTTCCTTATATCAAACATTGTGTCTTGGACGAAAGATGTGGCATGTATTTATACGCGTGGACGTTGTTCATGAGAATGGGATTCTGGCTGAAAGCGGTGCACTTAGGCGGTGTTTCCTAGAGATAGGTACAGGCGGTCGATGGCGGTCGATATCAATGTGAGATGTCCTTTTAGAGCCAAATTAATGCAATATTGAAGCTTTCGCAGTAGGAGCGTCGCGGTCGTTGGAGAGAGGCCGCAATACGTCAGTGTGCCGTCAGGAACTCGTTCGGAGCTTGTACTTCGCACCACTAGGCCAAAACATGCAAGAACCGTATTATAATTGTACGGCGATACGATGATAGTCTATAGCAGCAATCATTACGCTGCACGAATCGTTCGCAAGAGGTGCAGGCAAGAGTGATCTTCGCTCCGGAATGACCAAGGCCCCACTTCGATCGCGCGCCGCATCTGCACCACGTGCATCTCTCCCACCGCACTGGAACGTAGCTTCATTGACTCTCCATCAGCTCGAATGAACGGCCCAACAGAACGTGAAGTTGAACTAATATCCACATTATTTAGCAGCCTAGTGCGACCATGACTTCGGCGCGCAGTAGATCCTGTCCACAGCTACTCCACCACGCGCAATGAATGGAAAAGGGCCGCCCGATGAGGCTCCCCAGCGCGCATACAATTCGCAATTGTAATTCTTCCGGAAACCTATGCGGAAGTCCTCCCAACCCCCTTGCGCGCCCGGGAAGACTTCACCCGGCACGAATGGTGCAATTCCCTCCTCGCAGACCCTCAGCAACCCAACTCTACAAGCACGAAATCGCCAGCTAAAGCGCCGCAACCGGCAAGATCTCAAACACGTACCTCGTGCAGACCTCGTTTAAGGACGATACGATCCGCACCTGGCTGTATCTCTACTGGCAGGGCTCCGCGCCGCAGCCCACGCACCTGGGCACGCTTTCAAAAAGTGAAAAGAATCACTTACAAGAGGCCGCCAACACTGCCAGCACAACGAAACCGCCGCCAACCACCGAACCCGGGACCCTTGTACTCGCATCGCTGGGCAAGGGAATCGAAAACGGAGTGGACATTCTGCACGGGGGCGTCACGGCAGCGCTGCTGGACGAGGCGATGGGGCGGCTGATACGGTATCTGCATGGCATGTTTCCGGCGACGGCGGAAATGAGTGTCCTGTATAACCGGACGTTGCCTACTCCGAGTGTGGTGCTTGCGCGGGCGCTGGAGAGGGATGAGGGGCGGTTTGTGAGGATGGGAGGGGAGGGGAGGGGACGTGCGCTGGCGGAGGGCAGGGTGACATTTTGAAGAGTGTGGGTGGGGCCGCCGAGGGCGAGGGCGAGGGTATGATATTGCGAGGCGGGACGTGAGACGTTGGGAGATGTCAGGGTTGAGGTATTATACTTCGAGTCCACGAGGCGTTGTATCGATATGAGTCTACTTTGATTTGCTAATCAGCGATAGCGATGGAACCGATAGAGCGTATGACTATTTGGAATCTGCAATAGTATCTGCTCTTCTGCGGAGGCAATCCAGATCATTCTAGCATACCTCACGACAGCAACTTTCGCCAAATTTTATAGCCTTCCTACTCGCACACCCCAAAATCCCTACAAATTTCCCTCCCGACCGCCTTGATACCCTCCACAATCCACAGTTGCGCATTACTAAACACCAACACGCCTCCGGGAATAAACGCAAAATTATTGCTCTCAACCCCGTTCCACACCTTGCCCAGCAACCTCCCTTCCTCGTTCCACACATGCAGGCCATCCCCACACCCCGCCCACACATTCCCCTGCGTATCCGTATGGATCCCGTCGGGGAACCCATTCTCCACCCACGCAAACGTACGCCGATTGTCCAGGCGCCGGCCATCAACGACGTCGAACGCATAGATACTCGCGGGGCGCGTGCCGTTCAGGCCGCCGACGAGGGACTGCTGCGCGCCGGTGTCGGTGACATACAGCGTCTTTAGGTCGGGCGAGAATTCCAGCCCGTTGGACGCGATGAAGCCGTCGGCGACGACCTGGATGTTCCCCGTGGCGGGCTCGAAGCGGTACACCTGGGAGGGAATTTGCGTTTTTGGGCGGAAGTTCTGCCAGAAGCCGTAGGGCGCGTCGGTGAACCAGATGTCGCCTGTCTCCGGGTGCTGGCGGACGTCGTTGACGGAGGAGAAGTTGCGGCCGAGGAAGGAGTTGAGAATGACGGTGGATTCGTTGGTGGACGGGTCGACGCTGACGAGGCCGGAGTAACGGTCGAAGTCGCCTTCGTCGCAGAAAAGCAGGTTGGGCGGTGTGGTGCTGTTGTCCTGCGTGGAGCCGGGAGGGTACCAGTTTGTGCCGCCGTTGGCCTCCGCCAGATTCGTGTAGCGTGTCGAGGAGAAGGCGTAGTCGTTGCCCAGATCAATGACGGTGACGTTGATGGGATTGTCCAGCGACTGGTAGTTGCTCGTCACGTAGATGCTGTTGGTCTTGCGGTTGTAGGTACCCATCTCATGGAAAGCCTGCCAGTCTAGGTTATACAGTCTCCTTGCGGTGGCATTTTCACCCAGGACATTGTTGCGGAATGTATCGTTGTAGCTCAATAGCGCGATGGTAGAGGGATCCGACGCGTTCGTCGTTATGAGATTCTGGAAATACAGCGGGTTCGTAGCGGCCGCCAGCAAATCGACGGGAACAACGCTCGACATGGTCGTTGTCGTTATGACGATAACTTTCCAGACAACAGGCAATTGACTCAGCACGAGGTGTGCACCAGCGTGGATATTCCCGATGACAGCGCCGTCCATGCCCTTGTACTTGTACCTACAACTTCCGTCCGCGAGGTAAAGACGTCGTCATAGGTACCCCTCACGGACTACGTAGAACCCTGGCTGAACCTCTGCGCCGGCATTTGAAGCCCAATTGAATTCCTTCGGAACCCCAGTTTGCTGGGGACGGGACGTGTGCGGGAGGGAAATTTCGAGGTAGCGCCGAGCGGGGTACAAGTCACGCCGGCGCCAGGCCAGGTACCACTTCTGATTTACATCGCGGATTGCTGGAAGCAGGATGGTGCGAGCGATCACTGGGCCGGTACACGAGGGTCGAACGATCGGTACCTGGAGCCTCGTCTCGAGGTTCCCTTTACAATGATGTTAATCTTCAACGAAAGGAAATTGTAGCTTCAATAATAAATTTAAATGTAATCTGCCAATTTGTAAAATGCACGCATCTACAAACGCCAGCGTGCATGGCTGTGCAATATGTGCGCCATCTTCAATGTCTCAACGCACTGGCATGACACCTAGACAACCTCGTAGCTTCCCACAATGTATATACTGCTTCCTACGCTTCTCCCAAGACAAAAGATGCCCATGTCGCAGATGCGCCCACAAACACCAGGCCCGGAAATGCCTTACTATGGCACCAAAACGAGCTCCCAAAGAAACCGAAGAATTAGGGTATATGTAGATGCTGTTCAGGCTAAAGCCTACCGCTTGGGTAGGGGCCCGCTCGAGCTCGCCGTCAATGCGCTTGTGACTGGCGTCATGTTGCCGTTGGCGGGAGTGGATGGCGCAGGCGTAGCAGCGCGGCTGGCGACGTTGCTTCTGTTGTGTGCCATATGCGCCTTGACGAGGTGACCAGCGCACAAAGCAGCGTTGAGAGAAAGTTCACCGGCGAGCACACCAGCGGCGATGACGCGAGCTAATTGTCGTGCATTATCTCCGGGAGAGGTTGGGTGAGCTCCGCGGACACCCAGCAGATCGAGCATGGCGGATTGCGGCTCGAGGATCGTGCCGCCTCCGATGGTACCAACTTCGATCGAGGGCATAGAGACGGAGATTTGGAGGTTACCATTGACGCTACGCACAGTTAGTACATGTTCTTGTATACAGCTTTCGTGACTTACTTGTTCATGATTGTTATGCAGTTGGAGGATTCGACAACTTGCGCGGGATCTTGTCCGGTAGCCAGATAGATGGCAGCAACGATGTTGGCAGCGTGGGCATTGAAACCACCCAGCGCACCGGCCATGGCAGAACCAATGTAGTTTTTCGAGATGTTCATCTGCACAAGGTCTTCAACCTCGCATTTGAGCACAGACTTGACGATATGGCCAGGAATGACTGCTTCGGCGACGACACCCTTGCCACGACCATCAATCCAGTTGATCGCAGCTGCCTTCTTGTCCGTGCAGTAGTTACCAGACACAGTGATAACACGCATGTCGTCAAAGCCGCAGTCGTTCGCCATAACGGTAAGAGCGTGTTCCACACCCTTGGAGATCATGTTCATGCCCATGGCGTCACCGGTAGTCGTCTTGAAACGCACGTACAGGTTCGTCCCCGCGATAGCAGTCTTCATCGATTGTAACCTAGCAAATCGGGAGGTCGAATTGAACGCGTTCTTCATTGTCCTCTGACCCTCCTCCGAATCGAGCCAAAGCTTAGCAGCACCGGCGCGGGTGAGATTCTCAAAGCCGATGCAAGGTCCACGGGTCATGCCGTCCTGAGTAACAACGGTAGTAGCACCGCCACCGGCATTAATCGCTTTGGAGCCACGCGAAGTAGACGCCACTAGGACACCTTCGGTAGTGGCCATAGGAAGGAAGTAATTCTGGCCATCGACCATAATGGGTCCAGCCACACCAAGGGGCAGAGGAAGGTAACCGATGACGTTCTCGCAGCAGGCACCATGCACCAAGTCGTAGTTGTAGTCCTTGTACGGAAGTAGAGATCGCTCAAGCAAGGTGGAAGTCTCGCGGGTTGCATGTGTTCGGGATACAAGGCCACGTCGAACCTTCACGGCACGAGTCTTGTCGCCAAGGGTCTTCTCTAGGGCATAACCAGGAAGCTTGCCCTTGACAGCAAGTTCGATGAGCTCCTCGTCAGTGAGACTGGTCACGCGCTTCTCTTTTAGAGCTTGTTCCAAAAACTCGAAAGGCCTGTTGGGCTGTCTCTGTTCCTCTGCCGTGGGGACCTTGGCGGTCTCGGCCTGAAGTAGCTGAGGCTGGACCGGACCGGGCTGTGGGGTCAAAGGCTGGAGTACTCCGCGGTTTGCCTGTTGCTCGGGGCCCGGAGTGATCGGTGGGGTTGGCATATGCAGGTGCGGAATACCAGGTGCAGGCGTCGGCGGAGTACCATCCTGAATTTCGGCTGCAGTAGGGGGTTCAAGCGGCTTGTGGGGTTCCTTGATCGTCCATCGAGCAGCGTTGAAGAGGTAGCCGTTCATCACAACGCTCAGGAAGAGGGCCACGATGATCCACTTGCTGAGGAATGGATCCTCCATGCTCTTCAAGACGCCATCAACGAAATGGGTGCTGATGTTGTTACCAAAAGTCATCTCGTCATCGGTGAGGTTGGGCTCAGCATAGTGGATCGATGGGTACTCCAACTCATACTTAATCGGCGTGAGAACGGTGACAATCGTGGAGGTTGCGGCCTTCTTCGCTTGCTCGAGAATAGTATCCAGGCCACTTCCAGCGACCTTGAAAGGGTCGAGGGGGGCTGTAGCGCCGACACCGGACATGTGGGCAGATCTGTGGGACAGACCAAATCTCAGTGTGGCAACATTGAGGATGTTGACCAGGAAGAATCCAGCAACCATGACAATCTTGAACTTCGGGACGGTGATCTTCTTGCCAAGGATAGTGGTAGTCGAAGAACGGGACTGCACGTCGCTAGCGCTGGGCCAGTCGTTGTTGAGAGCCACATTCTCAGCGACCCTGCGGTCGATACCATCGTCTTCTAGAGCGCGACGAAGGGCGACATGCCTCTTGATCCGGTTGATCTCCAGCTTGATGGTCAGGATAGCGGTGAAAAATGTCAAAAGCATGATGGCATCGAAGAACAAGATCCAAGCAGCGAGGAAGCAGAACTGGCGCAATCCTCCCTGGATACCAGACAGGGCTCCAGCGACAAGGACCAAGATTTCGAAAAAGTAATCGCGCACGATGTCAAATCCAGTCTTCTTGATGGCCTTCTGCACGGCCGACTGAATGGTAAGCGGTTCGCCACGGTGCTCCTCGGCATTCCTTCGCGCATCCAACGAGGCAGACAAGACAGCTTTGGTCAGAACGATGGGTTTCTCGAATCCAATTATGACAACCAGGAACGGGAGACCTTCGGAAAGAAGGACCATGTTGATGGGAATGCCAAAGTAGGTGGTTACGGCGAGGCCGAACAAGAAGGCGAATGCTGACTGGAGAAGAACAGCGGTCGCGAGCCAGAAGTTGGATCCCAGACGGCGCATGGCGAGGAAGAGCGAAACGAAGGTTAGATGCATGGCCAGATAACCCATGGCCATGATGACGATATCACCGGTATCCGCATTCTGTACATTGTGAGCAAATTGGGCCCCAGTATTCTATTCTGTGCAGAGGGCAACGCACCTTGAGAAGGTCCACAAACGAAGTCCAAGAGTCGTGAGCCCAGTTGCGGATGCCGCCTGAGGCAGTTCCGCTCTTGGCAGCCTTCATGATCCACTTCTTCTCCTCGAGTGTGCCTTCAGCCTGGGAGCCGTGCGATTCGGATGCGTCTTTCGGCGCGGAGATCTCCTGCATGGCCAGTAGGAAGTCGGCGGCCTCAGCATAGGGCATCGCATATGCCAAAGACGTATCGTGGGAGATTGTAGAGAAGGAGTTGAAGGAGCTCGGGAGCAGTGTCGCGGAGACATTGGCGGGGAGTGCGATCTGCGATGGCGCCGAGTTGATGGCGCTCGAATCGGGGAAGACGAGGGTGACGAGGGCAATTTCCTGCGTCTGTGGCTTCCTGTCAGGGCCAACGTCTACCAAGTAAGTCCTCCACGTACCTTTTCCACGCTGTCAGGCCCGTGTTCTTCTGTTTCCCACTTCCATGCCGTTTCCTGGCCGACCCTCAGTCTCTTGCTGCCGGTCAGCATGGTGGAGAAATCGACTTGTCCCGGGGTCGCATCATTCTGCTCGAGGAAGCCCTTGTCGAGTACACCCAAATACGAGTAACTGGCCAGAAAGGCGATTGTGACAATGGTGTGCACGGGGTGCGTGCATGCCTTCTTTGCGATGGAGAGCAGAACGGGCGTGCAGTGGCGGTCGAACCAGCCCGGGCGGGTCTGCTCGCCCGCGCGCGGGTTCTGGAAGCGGTTCGCGAGGAAGCCAAACATGGTGCCGGTGCTGCAGGAGCTGCAGGTGCTTCGGTGGGCGGTGGTGCGGCGCTCAGAGGGTTTTGAGCATGGGATGACGCGGAAGCGTGGCTGCGCCCTTTGGAGCCTGAGGTGGTTGCGAAGGGGTCGTGAGGCAGCGTCCTGCTGAGCGTGTCAGTCAGGCTTCGACTTTCTCCATGTTATTGCATCTGGTATAGCTACCCACCTTCCTGGGGCACGGACTGCGATCGAATCTGGCGAAGTCCGGGCAGTTGAGGCACGGACTTGGAGTTGCGGCGCCGGGGGCTGTTGAAGGCTGCGTGCACGCCGGTGAGGCTTCGCTGCAGCGGGGAAGAGCAGAAGCACGCGGTCCTTGAGGAATTGAGAGGAGAGGGACAAGAGCACTGCCTCTGTGCGGGCCGAAGCCCCTGGTCCTGCCGCGGTGGGCGTGGGGCGTGCGCTGAACTTTTCGAGGCTAGGTATCGCGTCGCGAAAGCAGGCTCTCACCGCTTTGTGCTGCTCCGCCAGTACAACCAACTCCCATCAAGTCCACGCAGGATGCGATGCGACAACAAAGCAGCCGGGCGCGCGACGCCTGCTATTGTGCGCTCTGCACGCGGCTGGGCTGCCCTTTGCTGCACGCTGGACTACTCGAACGCAATGACACCCGCCCCCCCCACTCGTGACGAACTCTGTCGAATTTCATGCGCCACAGCCCGCGCCACATGCCAGAGAACTTTGGTCCCCGCACGCTCGGTAATTCCCCTTTCGAGCTGGGCCCGCTTTTGCTGCTCGTCAGTGTGTGCTCCTTATGGGCACATCCGTCCGTCATGGCAAAGCTACATACCCAACCGACAAATGCGGCTCCCGCTACGATTTTCAGGAGTGCGTCGACGATGCTCCCTTGTTGCCACGCGTGAGGTCATGTTGATCGACCAAGAAAATGTTGAAATTAGACGCGCCCAGCAACCTGCGCCGGCTGCATGCCACGCTTGTGCTGTCTAATGCCTGTAGTCGTTTATCCCAGCCTTGTCTATAATGCGCGCGCTATCTAAACCCGATGATTACCAAACTCATGGAAACTTCGCGGTCATTGGCACGTCGTTGTTCGTGATTTCTTTCATGAACACCGGGTCCGGGTCATACAGCATGACGTGGAAGTGCTCGACGGCGTGCACACTCTTTAGGCTCTTCCAGTTCTTGAACCACGCAAAATTCGCAGGCTTGAGCCTGCTTCCGAACGTCTTTTGCACATATGCGTCGATCTCGCGGTGAGACTCGGGCGTCGACAAGCCCGTCTCCGGGTCGTCTTCGAGCTCGAACTTGGTCCAGATGACCAGGTGCACGATCTTGTCGTCGATACCGTATGGCCAGTCATTGTACAGGATCTTGATGTCCTCTCCGTGATGTCAGCATTAGCCACAGACGCGTGTTGCTCAGCGTACCGTCGCACTCGAACGCCCGCCCTCGTGGGCTCATGCTCTTCCACTGCAGCCGCTCGTTGACGATGAAATTCATAATGCTTCCATACTCTTTCACTAATCGGTGCGTGAACTGCCGATACCGCCTGAGCTCAGAAGGCACACGGTGGAAAAGATCCACCCGGTCGATACCTGCCAGGAGTCAGATTAACCGCTCCACTCGACGAACCCCAATTTCCAAGGCGTACCGATCAAGTGCTTGACCTCGTCCCAGGTCAGCTTCTTGTACTCGGAGTCAGGCGTCCCAATGATGCGACGGTCCTTGTCTCCGAGCTCCTTGAGAAAGTCGGGGCATTCCGCGGGCCATTGATCGCGCGGTACGTTGACAAGCCAGAACGGCAGTGGTTCCTCGTGCGGCATTGTTGTGCAGGATAGAGTGGCCCTGATACGAGCGCGAGGCAGGGCAGGGGTGGCTAGCGTCCGGATCACAACGTGGAAATGATTAAGATGAGGTTTGGTCACTTGGCGCACAGCGTGGTCTGGCTGCTGCTGGCTTGCAATTTGGCATATGGCAAAACAGCATAGGGCGAAGACAAAGTCGTCGTTCAGGATCACCTCTGATAGCGCTAGGCACGTCTCAGCGGGCTTGCTGGCGCTGCAGACCGCCCCTTCCAGCAGCTCCAGCCTATACTCCACTCTGTCACATCTCGTCACATCGTGTTCTGGCCGCCCACGACGTGACGGCGGGCCTTCGCACAGCCGTCAACAAACAATCCTCCCAGATCCCGGCTGCGCTCACGGCTGTGTGCCCGCGGAAGCATCGTGCCTTGTTTCGAGCATCCCGCAATCTCGGCGAATTAGACCGCGCTCATCTGCACGCCGGGATCTAGCACGCTTTCTGAACGGCCGTTGCGCGTCTCCGGGCTGCCATTCGCTCATCAAGCGATGATGTGCAAGATGGCCCTGGCCATGGGACGATTCCTCCGCCTGGGCGAACTGAAAGCACTCCCAGCGACCTGGCTCCTCGTGACATGTAACGGCTCGCCTCATATGGTGCCGCAACTGAATCCACGAGTGCCGTGGCCCATGCGGAAGTGAAGCCTGAACAAGAAGGCGCGACTCCCCATCAATTGCCATGGCTGCTTGCTGTTGCTGTCAAATATTCCGGTAGCGCTTTCCTCATTTTGAGGCTGGTCGTTCTTTCCCCACACTCCTTGATCTTGCTGTTTTATGCGAAACGCGCCTTGAAGAGCTGCGTCCGTTGGCTCCACCTTCTTCAGCGTTTCGAAACCTTGACACGCCTGCTTCACTTCGTACATTGCACAGCGTTCAGCGATCACAAGACGAATACACGCAGTCGTGCCTGCCTGCACGTGTCACATTGCCCACAACCGCCCGCATTCCGATTCAACGTCCCTTCACCCTCACCGAAACGCCGCACTGGATCTGTACGCTGCAGGTGACATAGTCTATTGGTACCACCACCCCGGTCTCACCGTCCGACTCCGCATTTGGCGCCTTCCCTCCTGCAATTCGAGCCGACATCAAGTTCAACCTCTGCGATTACCACGGCTCCCACCTTTATTCCACGGCCCTCCCACGGCCCAGCGCTCGCACTTGCAGCAGCGCCATCAGCACAATGGCGGTCCAAGACCCGACCTTCTGGAAACGCTTCAGCATCGCAGTGTTCGTTCCCCGTCTCCCGGTCCCTCTCACCCCACTGACGCAAGCCCCAGTCACCAAGATGACGCCGCAAAGCAAGAGATGGCCCAGCATGCCGAGTTGAAGCATTCGTACGTGATATCCCTCGCGGACATGCCTTCGCCAACAATAATACGACCCACCTCGGAAGCCCACTTGCTTCGCTCGCACCCGCGACCACTCTCCCCTGCTGTTTTGTCACCCCACTCACCGACCACCACACATGAGCCCTCGTCGCCCAGTTCAACCTCACATATCAAGCCCCTCAAGAAAGCATATACCCCCCAGAGCACTAAGAGTACCCCTTTTGCGCGTCACGGCAATGGCTCGCAGCTGACGCTCGCGTTTTCGGGGCGTCCGCAGAGCCGGTTCAAGTTTTGGACTTCTGTGACCGCTGACCCTACTAACAGAGATTCGTGGCTCGAAGGCCAGCGCCGGAAGCGGCGGCATCGCGCGTGGGTTTGCTGGACCTTCTGGATATGCCTACTTCTGCTGGTCGGAGGCGCCGTCGCGGCAGTCTTGGTGTTAAGGTCGAAAGGTATCATCAAGATATGAGGATCAGACGAGCGAAGGTCGGCTGCATGTCATGCAGGAACGTGGTCTGGGGAAAAATGGAAGAGGCGCACCGACTAGCAATCTGGTTGCTGGCCCAGGAATCCCGTGCACATGCATTGAGTGCAGGACACGCGTCCACTTTGGCGTTACCAGATGATGGTTTTCAGGCGCATATACACGAGCGCACGAGTTCATACGGCGGTGTTACTGATTTCTTTTCTGGTCGCATTCTGGCCCAGAGCCTAGGGCAAAGTCCCTCTTTAGCATCCGCCCAAGAGGCGGGTTACATCGTCGGCAAGACCCGACTTTTTCTTGTACACTCTACGGATGATACCACATACGCCGCACAGGCGGTCGCGATTCTCATAGTAATCAAAATGGACAAACAAATGACGAAATGAGGTCCTCACAAGGCTCTCGTATAGACGCGTGAAACAGTGTGCAATTTGGGTATCGTCCAAAACTGCCATGGCTTATCTACCTAAGACCAGTCAGCAGACTGAACAGGGCATGTAGTGTACTGTACAATCGCACCAGATGGCGCCTCGCTACCAGGACCCACGAGGTATCAAACTCCCTAACGCCTTTGTAGCTTTTCTGCGCCTCCCTCAACTGCGCGGCACTCTCTGTCTGGGGTGCGTTGGGCCCATTCAGCGCTCCGCCGTGTCCGCTGCCGCACGCCACAAGTTTCTACCCTCAGCATGCGCCCATATCGTAACAGCCTGTCCATCTCAATCCATCAATCTTTCGCCTTCTCCGTCCCGCGCCACCTACCGCTTGATCGGCGGCGTGGGACTCCTGCTCATGCTCCTCTCATCCCTGCCACGCTCCTTGAGCCACTTGCGCGTGCTCATATCCAGATCCCTGTCGAGCTCGGGGCTCGGCTCCTTGCGATGGATGAAGTTGCAGAAGCCGCCGCGGACGCAGCCCTCGCCGCTGTTGAGGCGGCAGCAGGCCTCGCGGAAGTCGGTGACGGGCGACAGCTCGCAGTAGATGGGGCGGCCCGCATACCAGCGGGAGTTGAGCGCGTCGCAGGCCTTTTGCGCGTCTTCTTCGTACTTGAAGCGCACGTAGACGTTGCCGATGAGGTCTGCGGTGCACATGTGTGGTTAGCACCATGCATGCATGTACGCTTCTCGCAAAGTGAAGGGAAGGAAGGGGAGACTCACGATCGTTGTTGTTGTCGCACACGACGACCTCCTCCACGAGCCCGTACTGGCACAGCTCGCACCAGATGTCCTCGTAAAACGCATCAAAGTGCATCTGCATCTGCTGGGGGTTCATCTTGTTCTTGGGGTCGTACTGCGGGTTCTGGTAGAGGTTCGGCAGCAGGATGGTCTGGCTGTACGACGGCTTGACGTGCTTGCGCGAGCAGCGGTCGCCGTGGCGGCACGCGCCGATCTTGTAGTAGAAACTGCAGTTGACCTTGTCCTGCTCGGTGCCGAAAATGGAGGCGAGGTAGTTGGCCATGGTAACAGTTTGCGCGCAAGACGGGGGAGGTGTGCTGGGCGTGAGATGCGGTGGCGCGTGGAGAGCTACTGAGTTCGCGATGGATCTTTTGGTGTTGCTGAGGTTCGGGCTAGCGCCAACAACGCTACGGGCTTCGTTAGTCAGCTGCCAAGAAGGTTCGAGTGAGTTCCTCGCCTCTGATGTGTTGGAATATCATGCAAGCGTTATAAACCTGAGGGTTAATTGAGGGATAACATGTCAGATAGCTGGAATGAGCCAGATTTGAGGCCATATTGGGGTGGATGCTGCCAATTCTTCACAGTGATCCCACTTGATGACATGCACCCCGGGGGCCATACATTCATGCTATAATTCAATTCAAAGGTAGCAATAGCGTATACTTGTCAACAAGTACGTGTAGTTTCAACGCAAGCAACAAGGATGCAAAAGTCCGCGCTGCGGAATGACTTCCAAAAACCAATGCAGTCCCAAAACGATCCCAAAGAACTCCGTATGTATGCAGGGGTATTTCCATCCCAAAGAAAAGCCACCTATGCCGTAAAAATGATATATACATGTCTCATAATCCACCAATTTTGTGCACTCCTCTTCCCAAGAAATGTCCCAACGACCGGCCCTTGAGAATGCAAATGCTGTTAGAGTGAGAAATGCCACGTCGATGCTGGAAAAGTAAAACAAATGCTGGTGCTGGGTATCAAAATGAAAATCGTAACGTATGTCAACGCTCTGCAGGCAGCGCTGAGACGGTGTCTACACCCTGTAGAATCGACCTCGGAATGGAACCGGGCCTCGCAGAGGGACCGCACGCGCCGTTGGCTGCGCGGTGCCTGGGCGTTGAGTCATCGCTGGAATGCCTGTCGGAGCTGGCGCCTTGCCAGTCGATTGCACTGGGGAGGCTGCCGGTACGTTCTCAGAGGTAGGTGCCGCAACAGTCGACAGAGTGGAAGCGGCGTTGTTGGGCGCCGTGACGGTGATATAGACAATGTCGGTAACGGTGACGACACTTCCATTGCCTTCGTTACCGTTACTGTTGCCTCCATTGCCATTCAGGCCACCGGATGGTCCTGGGCTAGGCTGCGAGTTACCGGGGCGAGTGGTCATCGAGGGAACATCTGTCGGGACTGGAGTCGGCGCGGTAGGTGCCGGCCCAGAAGCTGAAGGCGCACCCGTTGCCGTCGGGTCCTGCTTGAACACTGTTCCGATCTCACCTTTGATTGGGTCTGTGTACTGGGCAGTGCGGTCGGCAAAGCTCTTCACAGCAGCTGACGCGTCGTCTTGCTGTGGAGAGAAGTACTTTGCAGACCCGATGGCTTCAGTTGCGAAAATATCAGCGATATCTATATCCATGCACGTGGTGTAGTATTCGTCTTTGCCTTCCAGCCGGAATTGGTCCTTTCCTGGAGGTGTATTCCACTGCCAAACCCAGTAGAGAGTGTAGGGCTTGCCGGCAGTCAGGTTCTTAGGCAACAACACATTCGATTCACATGGAAGGCCAAATTCCCCGGTACCCTGGCCTGTTTGCCCTTTCGCATAGGAGGGATTCGCTGCTGCGCGCTGCATTGCAATGGGAGAGCCGTTGGCTTCATAGCATCGGCCATCGTCGAAGTTATTTGTTGCTAGGAGAACACCTCGGCCGTCGCCACCGTTGCCCTCTTTCGTCCACCGCAAGACATTGACAAGTTTTTCGTCCTCCTTGGGGTCAGTGGTGCCGTAAATGAAAATGGTGCCTCCCGCATCAGGCTTGAACTTGTTCGTGTCTTCTTTCGGGGTGCCATTGAGAGAGACATGCCCGTTCTCCGCGTAACGTAATGCGATGTGCATGCCTGGAGCTGCCTTGAGGCGAGGGTACTTTGCAGGGTCCAATTGTACCGGATTTTTTTGGCTGTCCTTGCAAAGATTATCGTTCTCGGTGATGAATAATCTGTTTGCATCATTTGCAGGGATCAGAAAGTTGTTCACTATGCCGGGATCACATGTATCGCCCTTGGCACAGAAGCCCCGTGGGTAGCCCCAGTCTCCGACATACGATCCGTTGTTCTTGACCTTTACTAGTTGCTGGACCCACGAGTGCGCTGCAATATGGGGCGCACACGCTAATACCGCGGCAGCGGCGATCGAAATGTAGCGCATAGTTCGTGGAGGTAATATGCGGTTATTAAGTTGACGATATGGCCAGCCAAGATCGTATGCTGGTTCTGGAATAATGTAGGCTCGAGTTCGTATTCGATGATTTCGTGGTTGAAGAAGGCCGAGGAAGTTGACGCGGTAGGAAGGGTCATATAGGCGTGTAGAGAGGCACAGTAGACTGGCTTGTTCAGGTATAATGTGGAATGAAGAGTTTTTAGCCCTTCACCTTGGTATGCGACAAAGGCATTGTTCACAATACGGCCAATAAGAACAATAGAAAGTGAAGTCTGCGCGGCGAAGACGTTTGATGACTTGAAGACTAAGCCACCTGTGGCGAAGAATGGAAGGCGCGAAAAGACTGAATGGCGAAAACAGAGGAAAGAGGCGATGCGCAACGACGAGGGCGTGAACGTGAACGTGAGCGTGCTACCACTCCCAACGGGGTGCAACCCTTATATCAGGCGGGTGAATGGGTGGTGAGACGAAATCGCAGAGCCAGAAGCGGGAGAGATCACAGCAGCCAATCGCGAGCAGCGCACCAGAGCGGCCGAAACTGAGAGACGCCACCACGCGCTGTCCACATCCCAAGCTTTTTCGGTGCCTGAGTATGTGGTGTTGGATCTGTGTTTCAACAGGGAAAAGTGGGTAAGCGGGACCTACCATGTAGCCGCCCGCAAATCGACCCGGCCTCGGGGCGTCTATGCCGTGTACCTGCGTCGCGCGTAGAATTTTTATTGAAAGGAGCACTGGTGAGGCTCAGGCAGTCATGGAGCCAAGTATTCCAGCGCGTGAATCACGCCTCAAACGCGGAATATGAATCTCGAGCATCACATCGGGCCTTAGGTTGCCTTCTCAGGCAGGATTGCGGGCGCCGTGGGTCGTTAGATTGCGCGATGTAGGTGCCGACCAGGCTCTGGCGAACATGCGACACTGACCTCCCGTCAAGCCTGGGGTCTGCGATAGTTCGGCACGCCAAAAGATCGGGTGGAGTGAATGGTGAATGTGGTACGCGCCACCGCGCGCACAAAACGGCGAGAAGAACGTCGGGCGCGACGACGTTCGGGAGCTCGTCTTGCACAACGCGACGACAGGCGACGACGCGCCGAAAGAGCGCTTCGAAGGTCGCGTAGTAGAGATGAAGTGGAGGGAAGCCCCGCTTTCGCCGTGATGTTTCAGGTCCAAGCGCGAGCGGGCATCCATTGGCGAAGGCCGCCTCCAGCCTCGCCCAGCCCATCACCACGATTGGAAATAAGCGCATCGGGAAGGTCTTGACTGTACAACGTCTTCCGCTTCTGCAGACTCGCATGAGAATTCTCGACCATAAGCGCTCGGCCTGCGTACAAAAACCTCTCCGCCTTCGTTCATCCCCACTGTTTTGCGGACGCCTAGGGTATCCCTCGCACCGCACACATCTTGTCGGGCCCAGCCATTTCAATCACGGTCCGGCGCAAGAGACAGGGCGACGCGCAACCCAATAATTCCAGTGTGGATACTCTCTTCGGGCGCATCTGCCTTTCAAGTCTTGGCCCCAGCAATGTCGGTCAAAGTCACTCTACTGGCGGTGGAGTGAAGACTAAGGCCACGCTGTGCTCTCGACAATGTTCGTCCAATACAACGATTTTTCTCGAAGGGCTAGAGCCAAGAGCAATGAGTGCTGGCGGATTTTGTTTGCCAAACGATCAGTGGGGTGGCGTTCGCGACAGTGACTCCACCTTGTTTCGACTTCCGTTTTGACACGTACCGGAAGGCCAGTGCTCAGAGGTCTCTTGGCTAGACTTCCAAGTTCACATTAACAGTTGTGACTTCGTCAAGAAATGTGTTCCAGCGACTCATTCTCAGCATTCTCACGCCAACGTCACGGCCGTGCTTCGGGACGCCTTTCCCTAGGCGACCTATAATTCCGGGTTCTATAATCTTAGTAGCGCCTCAATACTTCTAGTTCTCTCGCCGTGTTCCAGACGACGAATTCAGGCGTGACGCTGGGCATCTGCTGGGGTACGTGTGCTGTACTTTCCTCAAGGTCTTCTTCTCTCCAATGGCTGCCACTCTCATCAAGATTCCTAAAACCGCCACCACGGGACTAGCTCGGAGCATCTCCCAGCCTGTCGATGAAGAAACCCATTGGCATCTCTGGCTCTTATGATTTGAATCTCGAAGCTCACGTATGCATCGGGTCAGGGGGTATATATTATAGATAGACTCAAAGCGTATCGGGAACTGCACATCCCTCGCGGGAATGGCGTGGAATCATACAGATTCATGATCGAATAAGTCTTGACTTTCAAAGGCGGTGTTTCCTCAGAGCAGCGCCACTCACGATGGGTCTTTTAGCGTGGCATACGATGCAATTGGCTATCTATCGGCCGAGTTCGAGAGACTCCGATGTTGCTTTCATGTCTGGTCTTTGCTATTCGCCCAAACGGTACGCCTGAATGGAGCAAAGCGCAAAAGCTTTCGCGATATAACTTACGCTTCAGTGGAACGTTCTATAATGAGACCATCGGACCTTCGAACAGAGCTTCCCACTCGCTTGAACACTCCTTTACGTAGTCTCTCGGTACGCTAACCACTCTTTCGATGTTCCGAAAGGCTGATTTTATCGCGATTTCTCGAGGCATTGGATAGCATTATCAATGGTGAGGTCGCATGGTACAGTCATCGGATAAATAAGCCCAGGCAATCTCAGTGACACATCTTACCGCTCACTCCTTATGGATCCTGTCTCTATCATCAACTGCTACATTCTTACTCGACCTTCTCACTTACACAGGCCTGCGTCACTCTGGGTAAGCCCTACTTGAAGTCCTTCATCACCAGCTTCTAGTTCAGCTCTACCATGCTCTATTCACATACCCCACGCTTGCCAATCTTGCTCTGGTGCCTCTGCGTCTCCCCCTTGACACTCTGGGACACTATCTACCTTACGATACACGCATACAGCATGCACTCTCGCTACTTCGACATCGTCAACACCTGGGCCTCATTTGACCACATTCACGGCGAATAAGGCTATGATCAACAGGAAGGCTTTATCCTGGCCCAGAGCGTGATGAACATGGTTGAAGTGACGCTGTGCATTGCATATGCTACTATCATCTGGAACGCGAGAACGGGAGCTGGCGGCTTTTGGAAAGCATAGACCTCGGGGAAAAAGGGTGTACATGCATAAGGACGATGACCGGCTATAACAAACATTGCATCTTTTTTCCGAGCCAGTGGAACTGATACTGAACAGTCTTAGGATAGGTGATTATCGGTTTCAAGTACACAGGTCACAATGAGTGTAATTATTCCTAGTCACTTGGTACGGTATGAAGTAAGTTTTCCTCGATGGGGAATATGGGTTGAATGAGTTGTTGATTTCGTCTGACACTTTTGCGGTTATTCTGCCTTACATTTAGCATGGCCGTATATGATATGGACGTTCAATCGGGATATCCTTCCTGGGCTACAATGAAGCTGGAGAGTGTCAATGCAACAAGCGAGTACGGAAATTTGTTATCACAACTAAGGTGTGTAAAGAGCTAAGTTGATATGGATGCGTCAATGAAGATAGGAGTGGAAAGGTAAGTAAACAAAAAAAAGTGGAGAGAGACTGCCCCCATCAATGTAGAGAGTAGAACATCCTGGCCATAGCGGTTCAGTGCGTGTGGAGTGAGACTATGTATATACATGTTCGTGTTGGGGAGACTTTTCCTATCAAGTTATGATACACTGATCACTGGGGTCCCCGTTTGTTCACGTACGTATGACGCAGATCTCCGCTGAAGTGTTCCATGACTGCCCATTGAGATTCCATAGCATCCAACACCGAAGAACAGGCCTATTTTTGCTTTGTGCGTGGGACAAGTTGACTAATTAGATCTATGGGATAGGTACCCAAAGTCTTCGACAATCTTAGAACCAACCTGAGGGTAACGCTGCCTCATCCAAAACCGGGTACAAAGAGCAAGGTCGACTTTTGCAAGTACTGGAAAGGGACGTGGGATACGCTTGCGTTTATCATAGCCGCGAAAGGTCTGGAACACGTTACGCATCAATATCCAGGAAAGGACTTCCAGAATGAGTTCGTATGGCTGCAGAAGGATGTCAACGCACTAGCAAAGCAAAAGGTAGGCCAGCAAAGCCCGTGAGCTACATGATCAAAGTAACGCCCTGCAGATGTGCGCAAGTAAGAAACCCCTCGAATCTACGGCGAAAGAACAGCCCAGCCCCTAAACCCACGGACGCGGCTGCACAGGTGATGCGAGCCAAGTACCTTATCAGTGCCTTTAAATACATGAAAAACAGCCAGATCGAAGGCTATTTCATCGAGCCAAAAAAGCACATTGGTATTGCTCGTGACGAGATTGACAAGACACTTCCGACAGCACCAACAAACGGCGGCATGAACCCATGGCAAACACAGAATCTGATAACATTGGGACGACTAAACGGACGCTGCTTTTGGAACAGCCAAGCAGGGGACAGACTATACGATGACACTCTTCATTGACAGCCTCGAGAAAGAGTGGACAATGACGCCAATGAAGCAACCCGCAGGTGCCAAAGGAAAGCTACGACAACCGCTAATAGCGACCTCAGAAAACAGATCAAGGCTTTGAGGAGTACATGGTACAAGGAGAAGCGTGTACCTAATGCTTGGACAAATTCAAGCTGCTAGGTTTTTCCAACCGGTCTGTAGACCGAAGGCGGTGTGGAGGTTGAGTTTGGTAGTTGATACGGTACGACAAGAGATGCCGCTACCGGAAAATATCCAATTCCTAGCTAACATGGACTTCTGTGGTCATCATAATATCCTTCGGGCCCATCTTTATCGTCTTTATGCTATCGGTGCTGTCTTTTGCATTGACCACATCCCATGCATCCTTATCTGCTTTTCCAGAAATCTGTGACCGTTGTGTTGAGACCTTCACGCTGTAGGGCCGCCTGTAATCGTCTCTTGCCTGCCCTGTGCTACGGATGGTGTGCATTTGGATCCCTTTGTCGTCCTGACTCCCCATGTTGTGGTAACCCAATCCGTACGGAGAAGGTCTTGTTGCGCCTTGCGTTCGCCCGCTCGAAGAGAGTGCACTCACAGTATTGAGTGCCCAGTGGAAGAGTGGTTTCAATGCAGGCAAGGACGCAGCGATGATTCCAACTGTGAGCTCAATGTAATTCCAGACATTGAACGAATCGTGCACCGTCCAATCGGGATCGTCGAGTACTGTATACTGCTGCGCCGCTTTTACAATGGCTGCTGCACAGGCGAACCATCCGAGGGAGAGAACGACGACTAGCGATATCTTCGTGCGCATGTTAATTTGCAGTTTCCATATCAGAGGAATTGGCAAGGTGGCGAAAAGAACGTCGGTGATGATGTTGAAAACTGCTGGTATGAGCTTACTTGTGTATGAGGGTGGATAAATGTATACTGACGACTGTTCATAAGCCCGAGATTTCGAAAGGTGGTGTTATTGAAGCAATGGGCACTCCCAGTTCCTAATGGTGCCGGGCGAAGACTTGAATCCCAAGCAGCTTCTACGGGAAAACATTGAAAAATGAGTGTACCCGCACACACGAGTGTAATTGAGATGATAAAGATGATGGCGCACTGTAGAAAACGTGTCTGTCTTTTTGTTGCGGAGAGTCGCAAAAGCGAAAAAGCTATTGAGATCTTGACGCACGAGATGCCGACCATGACCATGAGCGAATGGACATACAACGTTTTGGCGAAACTCTTGTACATATTCGCGTCCATTAGAAGCACCATAAGATGATTGCCCAGGCCGTTGTGAGTCTCGATGATGAAGCAGACAAATGTAGCAGCTGCGAACATCTGGTAGGGGTAAGTACATGCATGATGCCCTTTAAAGTTGCTTGCAACTCACTGTAGACACCACCATAACGTAGTCATCCTTTCCAAACACCCTTAGCATGGTGATCCGGACGTAACAACGCAGTATTACAATGAGGAGAGCTGTGGCGAAGAACGTGCCGGTCGTTGAGAGAATTCTTTGAGCGTTGGAGAAAGTAGTGTACTCTGGAGAAAGAGTAGGCAAAGCACTGGAGGTTTGCCGCTTTAATGCTTTCTCTACTCCTGTTGCCCACGCAACGGGCATCTTGGGGTGTTTTCGACCACTCCAGTGGACCGTATAGTATCAGTGCCTGCTGTACTCACCGGACCCTGGAATCATATGCAGCGAGCGATGGATGATGTTCGGAATGAGGCAAGCGACCTGGCTGCCTATATCAGATGTGCGAATAGGGCTGGATTTGCCGTACAAGTACAAGTGATTCTGTCTGCGGACGCTCATATGGGACGAGATGACTAGCTCAAACTCGACAGCATTTGTCCCGAGGTAGCTTTCCCAGCCTGTCCAGGCATCCTGTCGAGACTTGGAACATACTGAGGCGTACCGCTATCTTATTCGGAGGTAATACGTTCAAAGAGAGATCAAAGTGGGACTGTGTCCGGGGCATCCTGTTCTGTGAGCTGTAGTCGTGACATTAGCGCCACCATGGTGAGGCTGCTCCACCCATTGCATGAATTTCTAGAAACCGAACACGGGAGCTCGCATCTGGCTGGACTGCATGCGACTAGTTTGCTTGTAGCAAGCCGTAGCTTGATCACCCGTGGATGGGACGTCGTTATGTGAAATGCCGTCTATCAGGACCAGTAACGATGAACTGAATGTATGTGTTCACAAATTCAGTAACTCCTATGATGGCGCAACTTCGATTCAAGCGCAGGAAAAGCCCAGTCAGTGCAGAGGATGTTCGTGCCGAGGTGGATACCTTTGGCGTCAACTCGAAGGCGGAGGCGGGCTGGGCGGGTAGGAGCCACTACCGGTACTGTAGCCGAGCGGATCCATCGTGTAACTACGGCCACCCATCCTGTCATCAAAACACCACCCAGTCATCTTTTTCTCTTGACAAATCTAGAACCAGAATGACAGTCCGACACGGTATGCTCAGAGATATTGGCCACCGGATCTCTCAAACTTGGCCCAACCGGTATTTTCTGCACGTGGAGGATAGCGCCACGTAGGCACGTCTTCAACTGCCGACTGCAATCTTGGACACAACCTTGCCTGCTCCTGTTTCCACCCTCAGGCGATCATGTCCCGCAATAACGGAACTTATCTGTTCTCGATCCAATTAACACCGATCTCGGGTCCAGGATCCCTTGGAAATAGCAGGTCCTCTAGCCCGGTTCATGGAAATGTCTGTTCGGACTGTTGCACGACGCGTTGCATCTGGCAAGCCTCACTGCCATTGCCAGACGCACCGTGTAGCCGCATCGCAAGATTGCAGTGGGTCGACACTCTTGCGTTTCGCCTCGATTTGAGACGCCTATCTCTATAGGGCTGTGAATCGCACAGGCGGATTGTATTGAAGATCTTCGCGTGATCATGATTCTGGCAACTTATGCATTTGCTCGCGCAAAACGGAGTTCCCATCAAGACGCCACTCGAAGGTGTTTACCAGCTTAGTAGCAATCGCATTATACCTGGGATGCAAGCCTACACGTGTTCGGGCACCAATTTAGCCTTGATCTACTTGTCCCATTGGCTCTATCGCCTCGGAGGAAACCAAAATCTAGAATCTCGGTTCCAGGTACACAGAGCTTGAGATAAGCACCTATCCTGAGCTGCGAAGCGCAATGGTTACGATCGGTGTGCAGGATGGACTCTTGCATATGCTCTACTCTTCATCCAGAAATTTCTGTGTTCACCGCAACGGGAAGCGAGCGACGCCTTGCCGATCCGAGCCGTCAAGTTAGCACACACGCCGTTAGACCCACCGACGCCGCGAAGCTCTCTCATAGGTTTGCCTTTGGCCCCGGTTGATCAATGAACCTATGCTGACGGCGTCATGCAAGCACTGAATAGTACGCTGTTCGTAAAATGTGGCGCGACCAAATAGGGCTCCACCCCGAGGCAATCCACGAGGAGCCAAATTTGGATTTAAACGGCACAAGGTGCTGTCAAACATTAGTACAGGTTTAGGGCCGACTACTCGTACCTTAATCACAGGGTTTGCCCTGAGTTACCAGGACGACTCGCAGCGCCGTACCCGCGCCTGTTACCTCTCCGCCACTGCCACTTGTTTCATCGTAGATCCAGGAAACAGCTCTTCCACAAATCTTGACAGAGCTTTCTAATAAACTTTCGCCCAGAAGCTGACATTGTGCCACACGATGAAGATCTCAACATTCATTACAGTTGCGGTGCTGAGCGCCGTTGGCGGCGCATCGCCTCCACCACCACCACCAGGCAGCCATTCTCCTGGAGGACCCCTCGTAGTTGGCAGTTCTAGCAGCGCTAAGACTGACACATTAGCCGCTCAGGGTGCGCGAAACCTCGCAAAATACCTCCGGGCAAATGGCAACGCGAGCGCAACTTGTACCGAGCATAATGTAGTAGTCCGACGAGAATGGTAAAGGAAATGCTAGTCATGTTGAGTTAAGACTGACAAGTCCCAGGTCGACTTTCAGCCCCAAGGAAAGAAAGGAATACATCGCTGCTGTTCAATGTCTAACCACTAAGCCCTCAAAAACACCATCATCTGTAGCACCTGGCGCGAAAACTAGAGTGAGTCCTTCCAGGTCCGACGATGAAATATATCTCGGCTGACCATTACCAGTATGATGACTTCGTAGCGACACACATCAACCAGACCCTATCAATCCACGGAACTGTAGGACGAACTCAAACTGCAAACAGCACTTGTCCTAACTCAAACAGGGAAACTTTCTTACATGGCACCGCTACTTCACCTGGGCATACGAGCAGGCGCTGAGGAACGAGTGCGGCTACCAGGGTTACCAGCCGTACTACAACTGGCCGAAATGGTCTGACGACCCTACCAAGTCCCCCGTTCTAGACGGCAGCGACACAAGCATGTCTGGGGACGGCGCGCCTCTGCCCGGGCGCAATGCCACATGCATTCCATCCAACAATCTTTGCCAAATCAGTCTCGCACCAGGAAATGGCGGAGGCTGTGTACAGTCTGGCCCATTCAAGAAGTATGTATCTTCCCCCCACCTGTCCCCAGAGTAACATCCTCAAGAACTGACACATGCAGCTTCACGGTCAACCTCGGCCCCGTTGCTCCCGCTCTCGGAGACGTAACCCCCAACCCCTCCCCCTCCGGCCTAGACCACAACCCGCGCTGTCTACGCCGCGACATCTCCCGCCTTGCGGCCTCCACCTGGTCCACCGACGACCAGGTCTCCACCCTCATCACCAATTTCACCGACATCGCTTCCTTCTCGACCCGTATGCAAGGCGACTTCCCCTCCGGCTTTCTCGGCGTGCACACCGCGGGCCACTTTACGGTCGGCGGCGACCCCGGAGGTGACCTCTTCGCATCGCCCGGCGATCCGTTCTTCTATTTTCACCACGCGATGATTGATCGTGTGTACTGGGTATGGCAGAATCAGGACATCGAGAAGAGGCTGTACGCTGTGGGGAATACGATTACGCTGAACAACATGCCGCCGTCAAGGAATGCGACACTGGAAGATCAGATCGACTTGGGGAGCGTGGGGGTCCCGGTGGTGACGATTGGGGAGGCGAGTAGTACGCTTGCGGGGCCGTTTTGTTACGTGTATGCATGAGGAGTGGGACTGTAGGGTGTGGAAATTCCATCTTGAACGAGGTGGCCGACTTTGCATACGAAGCTGGTAGCTGCTCGGAAGTGACTTTATAGTAGACGGGAACGGAGGCTGCCCGCAACTGCGTGCAAGACGTGCCCGATCACATGTGTATGTAGTTTTGCGCGGTAACGCGGCATGCGTAATGTTCAAGCCTAATCAAGCTTACTACCAATGGTATATTATCCCTTCTACCACAGCGCATGTGCTACCTCCGGCCTCGAGGCACTGTCTTTGCAAACCCACATGTACCCATGCCGTACTGCATCACTTTCCCTACCCCAAAGCACCATCATTTCTCCAACCAACATGGCCCTCTGTCTTCAGCCAGAAGACTCCACATCTACGCAAGTATCCCGGGCGAGAGTTTCTTCTCATTCGCCATCATCACTATGCGCAGTCACCCACTTGTGGAAATTCCTAGTACACACCTTGGATTATGAAGAGCATCTCGCTAATGCACAAATGCGCTTTTCTCTACACATCAACAGCCCATCATGTCATCCGTCTCCGTCCCTCTTACTGCTCATCCGCGCGACCACCCTTCCGCCGAGCCCCCACCCACCGCACACAGAATCTCTCACTGCTGCTTCAGCGCAATGCAACTCCAGTAGCCTGCGAAAACCGCCAGATTGTCATCTACATTGCTCTTCGGCCAGTTCCACGCGTTCCACTGCTGCTGCGTGATGTGGTTGGTGCTCAGCAGCTCCGCAAACGGCTTCTGGCCCTTGCTATCCGTGTACTGGAACGCGCCGCAGTTGTCCACGATGCCCGGCTGGATCGGCACCGGCGTGCGGCCCGCGGTCAGCCTGTTGCCGCCAACGTAGGGGCCGTTGAAGGTGTATCCGGGGACGCCGATGCAGACGGGAACGTACGCGCGGAGGCCGGTGCAGTCTTGGCGGATTTCACTTTGGGGAAGGCGTTAGTGGGAGCGGAGGGGAGGAAAGGGAATGGGACCACGGCTTACGGGTTCCAAGCGTAGAGGTCTGTGGCGGTGAAGTTTGCGAAGCGGGAGACAACGGTGCCGCAGTTTTCGCCGGGGGTAACGGTGTAGTTTGCGACGCCTGAGGTTTTGTTAGGGAAGCGTGGTCATGGTGGGGAAGGGGTGCGTGCAGTTTGTCGGACGGATGATGCAGACGTGGCCGGAGTCGGGGCTGTAGAAGTCGCTGCAGGTGGGAGGCAGAGTGGCTTGACGGGGTTGGAGAGTGGTAGACTGCAGAGGGCTGGCTGTCACAGCAGGGACGAGCGCAAGCAGAGCTATGTTTGTTATGGAGAGGATGTTGAACATTGTGGGAGCTGGCGTAGATGGGGCGTGGTAGTTGAGAGAAGGGGCTGTGAACTGCCAATTGTGCGGTCGTGTCTGTGTCTACTCAATGCCGTGGGAAAGGGTCCACTTTATATGTGTGTAAAATTGCAGCATATCGCAAAGTCGATGCAACGATATTCCCAAGCCTCGTCGGAAGGGCTCGACGTCTGCTCTACGAACTTGGCAGCTTACATTCTAGAGCCGAGTTAGACCAGAGTACACTTTTTGGAGCGTAGTTGCCTGACAGTTGCCTGCAATCTATATCAACTTTGGAGAAATCGCAGATTCGGTAACTATGCGCAATATCTTCATCTTACATGATGCATGGAATTGGGCGACGCGGGGCTCGTATGCGCGCAGCTAGCTTGGTTGCATCGTCACGTGGCTCGTATGGGAACTGTTGCCTGTCAAATATAGATCGCATCTTCGTTGGGATGGGGGCCAAAAGATGTTCTTTTCACACTAGCGGCTAGGTCTTCAGCGTAATAATAATAATACCCATCCCTTAGAACGCGTCGGGCACTAACCCATACCGTGCTGCTGCCTAGCACATGTGCGGACTGCCCCAGAACGTCGGGCACTATACCGCTATTGTAAATTATACACATCTCCTTGACCATGGCTTAGTGTTATGTGCCGTCACCGGTAACCGCGAAGTATGGTGACTCGATTGACTTCGCAGTCCATGGATTGAATTTCCACTCGCGATTGAAACTGGCTTCTACATACCATAAGAAGCCTAGTACCTTGCGGTCTTGTTGTTATGACGTTGGCACGGGGCCAGATGGAGCCGGACTGATGATCGTTAGCTTTAAAATAGTAGTTGACATAGCCCACGTCCTTGAAACGGGCCCTGGATGGTATGCTTGCGGGTGAGGCTACGTTCGAGCGTCCATCGCATGGAGCCATTCGTCAGTGGGGATGATCTTGGCCGCAGGGTCCGTCAGGGCCATCGTGTGGCAGATCACGATGTTGTTCTGCTGGCTGACCACAAGATACTGAGAGGGGATGCTGGTACCGCTAATAAGGCCTAAAGTCTAGCTTCTTGCCATCCTTTCCTCTTCTATGACGATGGCTCATGTGATAGCGATGTTCCCACAACAGCCACAGATTCGAAGGAAGCAGTGTTAATGATGCTATCAAACATCTCTCGTCTGCAGTAAACGAAATCCGATATGACAGCACAAGTGGATCTTGGAGATGAAGTGGGTTACCTCTGGTAGGAACCAGAGATTTAGAATACCGTGAATGTTTCCAGCAGGTCGATTGAGGGTGGAGGAGCCGAAGGAGGGTCTTCGAGACTATCTGGAGACATTGTCGCACAGCCAGTCCAATATACGTAGAAGGAGCTCCTCCGGCAGGTCTGTAAGGGTACTGAAGCGGCTGTTATACATCTGCGCGGCCATGAGCAGGTCCATGGTGCGCTGCAGCTCGTGAGAGGTGCGAAGAAGAGCTTGAGCCTGTTGAGCGTCGCGCTTCTCCCGCTGAATCCGCTTATGTCACCCTGGGAGGACACATGGTTTTGGAATTGTAGATCTCAGCGCCAGATGTTGATCGGCCAGCGCAAGACGGTGGGTTGTAATGAGACTCAGACGTCCATCATGGCAGCGACCGATTCAGGTTGTTGCTGCCTGAAAGTGGTCCGTGCCCGAACTACTCCGCCCCTGGTTGTGGGTGAGGTCATGGCCTGAGCCCCACCAAGCCACCTCATCGCGTCTTGGGCACCAGTCGCAGGCGCGCATCGCGGCTTGGGAGGCGCAGCGGGAGGTTCGGCTGCCTCGCGCAAGCATCCGGCATCTTGCCTTGGTCTACGACGCGTCGTGGAATAAATGCTTGCGCGAGTGCTGGCGTGACATTGGCATCGGCGCCCAGCTCACAGCGCTGGCAGCATTCCCGAGCCTCACCGCAAGTCGCACCGCGTAGCCAGCGCAACCCGGCGCAGACGCACTCGCAGGCAACGCCATCCGCCCATGATAGCTGCAGGCGCACCCCATCCTTATGGCTTCGGACACAAGCGACGCAAGCGCAGGTGCGCACACGGCCGGCAACGCAGACGCGGCGCAGAAGGAGGCCCAGGACTACTGGGGATACCTGATCAAGCCAGACAAGTGCGGGACGGCGCTGTTTGACCGGCTGCTCAAGGGCATCGCCGAGGTCATTGTGAGTGGAGGCGCCTGCCGGCTGCCCATGAGTCCATGGCTGATGATGCACGGCGCAACAGAGCAAGACGTTTGAGCCCTCGGAATCGCCCGACCTCACGCCCTCGCAGATCGCCGCCTTCTACCGCGCCGTCGGCGGCAACTACGATGTCCTCTTTGTCGAGACGCCAGCGTCCTCGCTGGCCTTCATCTACCGTTCGCTCGGCGCCTTTCACAGCCTGCAGCCCGCGCCCAACGACGACGGCTACTCGTCGCCCACCGTCCCCGCGCTCAAGAGACAGGGCTTCGTAACATGGCAGACGATACAGCTGCTGCTCGGCCCGGAGATCCACGTGCCCGTCCTGCAGAACGCGGTCAAGCATTTCGATGTCGTCGACCCGGAGACAGGCAACATCTTCCCCAAGGTGCTCCCCGCCGGGTGCCTGCCCACCAAGCCAGACGAGGCCATGGAAGCGTGGTACGACACCGTCGCCCAGCGTCTCCAGCGCGAAGCCGAGGAGGACAGCGCCGACACGGAAAAGGTGCCGCACGTCCGCGTCAACGTGAACGAGCATGCACCGCGGACCTCGACCGACTACTCGGGCGACTCAGCTGACGAGAAGCACGCAGCCGCGAGCTACTTCTCCGACCCTCTCTATCGCCAGTCGAGGCACGGCAGACCTCCGATAGTACGCCACTTCTCCAAGCAGCCCGCGCACCCTTACGAGGACCCCAACCGCGGCCGCCTCATCTCGAGCGTACGCCACATGCTCAACCCCTTTGGCAAGAGCAGACGCATGCCTGGGCGCTACGAAGATGACAGCCTCTCTGACGACGACGACGACGACGACCGCACGCCCGTCGCCCCCGTCCCGCCGTCGGCCCCCCGCTACGTCTCCCACAACTCACACACCTCCCAAGGCTCGCACAAGCGTCCCCATCCCGCTCGCCGCGAGTCCACCCTCTCGTCGACCTCGTCAGACTCCGACTCCGACCTTCCCCCTTCCCGCCGCCGCAGCCCCGCCCTCCGCCACCGCCGCTCCCACGAGCCCGCCACCAGCCCCAGAGACTACTTCCCTGCGCCCTACGAAGACCGGCGCTACAGCCACGCTGACGCCCACGCTCACGCCCATGCACCCAGTCCGCCGCACCCCCACGTCCAGCGCAAAGAAGACGGGCCCCCGCCACTCTACGGGCCTACCAAGTCCCCGCTCTTCGCAACCCACGTCGCCCAGATGCAGGCGCACACGTACTACGACCGCGACCGCCGGCCCAGCATGCCGCCCAGGACATCGTACCGCCCGCACGCAGCGCACAACGTGCGGTACGCAGGCGTCCCTCCGCCGCCGCCAGAGGCCGTAGACCCCCCGTACTCGCGTGAACGCGATCCACACCATTCCAACTCGCATTCCCGCGACAGAGACCGGGACCGGGACCGCGACCGCGACGACGGCTACGACCGCTTCCGCCGGCGCAGCGAGGAGTTCCCCCGCGAACGCGACCGAGACAGAGACGGGCTGCGCGACAGAGACCGCACGCGCAGCCACGACCGCGTCAAAGACGAATGGGACGAGCGCGAGGAGCGGACCTCGCGCGACCACTCGCGCGACCTCAGAGGCGGCCGCGCGCACCGCTATGTCAGCGGCGTGCAGGACGGCGTGGGAGGCCGGCGGTATCCCGTGGAGCAGGCTTGGCGGTAGTCCCATCTCCCCTCCAGCCTGTATTATTGCTGCTCCTCGTCCGGCTCTCTTGTTATTGTTTCCTTCTCTGGTTTCCTGCAATTTGGCGTTTGACGTGGCGTGCGGTTTTGGATATATCCCCTCACGCAGCTGGTCGGTTGGCATAGCGAGCGAGCGCGCATGCAGCATGCAGCATACATGGAGCGACGTGTTTCTGTGCGAGCACTCAGCACCGAGCGAGACCTGTAATGAATAACGACTTTGATGACCGATTGACAAAGGGCCCACTGAACGGCTAGGCTGTTCTTGTCATCTACAATGTGAGATCTAGGTTAACTTTCTGTATTGTCAACCAAAAAAAAAAAAAAGCAAACGCAGGATTGAAGCATCGTGACCACCACTTCTGAACGTCGAACAAGTACACGGACCACATGCAGGTAGCCACACCAAGAGCATTTACTGTCAATGTCAAATATGTCCGTATTACAATCCATAATCATCATGGCGTAGCCATATACTCCTGCCTATCTAGCTACAAGGAGCATACATGCTTTTTGTCGTGAATGCGAGTCCACCGCCCAACACCTAATTCAAATGCCTGGTAATCTATTACACAAACAAACATCCCTCTAGTGCTCGAGCAGCCTGAGCGATCCCTGCACCACCACGTTCTCGAGGATGGAGCCCGGCGGGATGTCAATTGTCTGGCCTTCTGTCGCAACGATGATGACCGTACCCTTCAGTGTTACGCCACGGCCGAGGTTGACGGGACCGGTGATGGTCAGGTGGTCAAGCTCTACAATCTTGGGGATCGACGGGATGCGTGACTGGAAGCTCGAAACCTTCTTGAAGTCGCCACCGAGCTTGATGAGAGGAGCAGGGCCGAATCGGTTGGGGTCGATCATAAGCTGGCCGTGCGCGAGCGTGTAGAGGTCGGACTTGACGAGCATGAGGTCGGAGCAAGTCTTGACGGGCAAGAAACGTTTCCTGGGCACGTTGACACCGTGCGCGTTCTTGAAGTGGCGGATGGCGGCACCGACGGCAGTCTCGAGCTGGAGCACCGAAACATCGGCCTCACCCTTCTTGTCGGCAGGGATCGATTTGCCGTTGGGGATGATCTCCATGGCGAGCTCGTTGTTCTCCACAACGCGCTTGATCGCCTTCAGGTTCATCCAGATGTTGTTGGTGTTGAAGTACTTAAACTTCTTGATGGACTTGAACTCGTTGACGTGCTCCTTGGGCACCTGTGCGATTTCAAGCAGACGGACGGAGCCCTCGTAGTCAATGATGGTACCACCCTTGACGTCGGCCTTGGTCTTGTCGGTCAACTCCATGATGTACTCCGCCTTGGAGTCTACCATGTGCTGGAGGATGCGGAGGTCCACGACGGCACCCAAGTTGTCGGCGTTGGACAAGAAAATGTACTCAATACCACGGTCGATGAGCTTGTCAAGGATACCGGAGTTGTACAGCGACTCGAACACGTCACCGTGGCCTGGCGGGTACCAGTTGGCGATGTCTGAGTCGGCGGACTTGGGCGCGGGCAGGAGCGAGTCCTTGAGCACACGCGGGTACTTGGACTGGTTGAAGGTGAGAATGTCGATGTTGTGGCCCTCGTACTTCTTGATGATGTTGGCGGTGTCTGAGTCGGTGTTGAATGAGTTCATGAGCACGAACGGCACGTTGACGTCGTATTGTCGGTTGAGGTACTCAATCTGGCGCACTGACAAGTCGAGGAAGGACATGCCGTCACGGACCTCAATGACCGACTTGGGACCAACACAGCCCATAGAGGTACCAAGACCACCGTTGAGCTTGACAACAGCCAGCTTGTTCAGGTATTCGACGGCCTCGGAGTTGGCGAGGTCATCGTAGTCGACGACCTGCTCGGCCTTCGGGGGTGCGATGCGGTTCCAGTCGATGGCAGTGCCCTTGGCCTTGTCGTTGAGGTATCTTCGGAAGAGCGCGAAGAAGTTGTCCATCTCGGTCTCGAAACGCTGTACGGTGTTAGAGGTATATTCTCATATTTGGAGACACTTCTGCTAGCTGCGAATGGCGAGCTGAGGATGAGAACCCTCAGCACAGCTACCCTGCTATGCAGAACCATCTCCACCGAGGGTTTGAGATGCGTACCTTCTTCTCTTCCGGGTTCGTCACCGTGTCGGCGAGCTTGTTTAGGGCATTACGCATCTGCGAGGCGGCGACGTTGGTTGAGGTGTTCTCGAAAGCCTGGTCTTCTGTTAGATTTGCCATTGCTGTCGACCTTGATTCCGCGATGCCGTCAAAAAGCTGCTGCTTATTGCTCAAGAGTGCTGTTGCCAGACTGGTTGCTGTTGCGAGTGACATGGCTGGTGACACCCGGGTGGGTCCCAGGTAGAACGAGCGTAGAGAGGAAAAGACAGGTAGCTTGAGCAACGCAGGCTGTGCTGGTGTGTCGAACAGCACATCACAAGTCCAGAAAGAACCTGAGACGTGGGTATGGTCGGGAATAGTGGGGTGCTCTTTTCGCAACTGTGTCGTCACCGCCTCTAGCAGTTCCAGACACAAAGCAGCTTCCCTCGGAAGAATTTTGACACCAACGGCTTCCGCTACCGCTGCTCGTGCTCGGCCAGGAATTGGGGATGGATTGGTGATACAAGCTCCGCAGAACTGCAGGGCCAAGGACAATGGGTATACGTACGAAGTGAGAGGCAGTCTTGCCGTGGTGGCGCTGGCCGCCTTCCGAGTCGCCATTGCCTGCAGCGGCGGAGGGCTTCAGGTGCGAGGGGATAGCGCGAGAGGCCATGATGTGCGGTAGGTGATTTGGAGGTAGGATGGAAAGGAGGGCGAGAGTGTGCAGAAGAGAGGCCTCAGGGCGGAAACTTGTACTTCAGGGCAGGCGCAATGGGCCCGTGCGGGTAGCTGCGCAAACGTGGGGCAGGCGAGAACGTGCAAGGGATGCGGGTACTGGGCCAACGATTAGGGAGATCCGCTGGCGTGGAGGGCCTCTGAGGCTATCAGGACCAAGCATGCAGCTTTCGTGCCGTCGCCACCGCCTAGCTGCCCTGTTTGTAGCAAGCGACTCTCAGACGCCGCGCTGGTGTCCGTTTTGAAGCTCGAGGACATGCAGCTCGCCAATCCATACCCCTCACCCTCACCCCTCGCTCGTCATCGCGCCGCTTTCGCGCTGGCCCGCAAGGATGCTGAAAATATCTTCGCGAGACCTCCCGAGTGGCGACTGCTGGCACCCGCTGCAATCAATGCACACCCATCTACGGGCGAGCCTTCCCGTCAACAATACAACAGCGCGACGATGCACAATTGTTGTTGAGGGCTAATGGTGGTGGTCCAAGCTCCCGGATGCAAAATTATCAGACGCCCATGTCGCCTGTCTGCGCTCCAGCCGGCGAGTGGCTCAAGGCCTGCGAGCCGCGCGCGGAAAAGCACCCGAACAGGGGCCCAAGGCGGTCAGTCCGTCGCCGGTGGATCGCCAGCGATGTGACGCTATGGCCCCAGGAGCAAGAATTCTCCCAACATTTACCCCGACGTGCAGTCTGGAGCAAGCGGGTGGCTAGCGTTGCCCTGTCTTGCAATGCTTCCGACGGCCGACGAGTCTACGGGTTCGCCGCAGCAGTGAAAATTGTTCAAGAGCCACGGCCAGCTGTCGAGCAAGTCCGGAAACAAGCGTTGGGGCGAGCGCCACGACCTATACACTGTTCCTTGGGGGTCGTGCACTACGTCCCGCGCGGCGGTGTGCTGCGGCGGTGTGCCCGTCTGCAGTTCCCCACGTGGACGGGATATGCTAGCTTGACAGCTGCAGGCTCCCTCAGACCCAGACTCTTCCGACCCTTCAAACATCGTGGCCTCGATTGAACTTTCACTCGACAGGTTTTTGCAGTCCCCGAGTTTCTCCGTGCGACACAGCAACAGAGCCACAATGCAGCTGACCTTTGAGCAATGTGGAGAGACTCAATTCCTTTTTCGACCTCATCTTAATTCTATTGAAATATGTATTGGAGGCTTCAGAACGTCACGACATGGGCCGGCGCCACACGTCCGAGGTGGTACAGGGTTCATGCCGGTATGTAATCCTCCGCATGTACTAGATGTAGGATGAAGAATGCGGATTCGTGTCAGCAGTCTTCATGAACGCGTGGGATGTTGAAAGCCCTCGGTTCGATTGCGCTCCCCGGCGCACAGGCCTGATGAATTGCAACAACGCAGTGCTTCTCAAACACAAACAGGTCGGACTATCTCGATGACTGGTGCGTCTGCTGCAGGCACGGCATGCGGCTTCTCAATCTGCAGTCTGACAAGGGATCTGTCATCTGAAGCATCCGTGAAGAAGTTGCTGCGCAGGTGGTTGATCACGGTGGTTGTCAATGATTCCAGCGTCTCGAAGGAAGAACTTGATATTACCTTCGCACCGTTAGCAACAATGGCAGCAGCAGGTGCATGCTCTTACGTCGACCACCGCTGTCTCCAATCTTTGGTAATCGTCATGTCGATGAGCCGCCAGGCAATCGACCCATATGTTGACAATCACCGGCTGCTTCTGTTGTCTCTCGTTCGCGTTCACCCCGATCAGGCATGGGATCTGGACATTACGGAGATGCAGCTGTGTGTACATCCTTTCTTCCGATATGGATCTACCAAGCGAGAACTCGGCTCCGTCTCCAAACATGCTTCCTTTGGGATAGAAAATAGCCACCTCAACAGAAGCAAGGGGCGTATCCCCTGCCGTGTCTTGAACGACATTGGAAATGTCGTGAGCGAGTTGCCCGGTAGGAAGACGACCGGCTTGGCCATCGGCATAGGCTTGAATAGCTTTGCTCAATATTCCATAATGAACTGTGCTGTTATCGAGAGCATCTGCTTCCGCAGCTGAGTCAAAAGATTTGGTCAATGACAGCGTTACAGTGAGCAAAGCACGCTGTTTCTTTGGTCGCCCCCAGACATCCACACCAGCATCGACAGAAGCCTGCAGGTTGCGGACTATGATCTTGTCTGTGACAGCCACCTGAGCCGGTTGAGCTTGCCAGACTATCTTCGGGACCACGAATCTTGTATCTGAAGACATGGTGAACAGCTCGTAACGATGGATTCTATAAACCCAAATTTAGCGATGAATTCTCGAACAGGAAGGAAGCACTGACGATTGACCCCGATTCAAGGGTGAGTCACGTTTCGTCTGAGAGTCTGAGAAAGAAAAAATAACGAGCCTTCCGACCTCTAGGTGCAGACTTTGGGCAGAACGGCCGGAGAACGGTGATGGGTTGAACGTTATACCCCGACGCCCTTCAGCCCTAGGCGCGATGATAGGCGCCTTTCCACTTTGAGGGGTAGCGGGGCTGCACCACAGCTCCGCCTATAGAATGAGCTAGAAGCTGCGACGCCGACATTTATTTAACAGACCACCGCTGCCTACCACACGCGCCACGCCCAGCACGAGAATAATTATATCCCTTCTCAGCTCTCCACACCAATCACAATGGCCGACGCACTCAAGGCAGAGGGCAACAAGCTGTTCGCGGAGAAGAAGTTCGAAGAATCCATGTAAGTTTCCCCGCAGGCTCGGTCCGGCCTGAGCGCGAAGACTAACAAGCTCGCAGCGAGAAGTTCACACAAGCTATCGAGCTTGATCCCTCAAATCATGTGCTCTACTCGAACCGATCGGGCGCCTACGCCTCACTGAAGGACTACACCAAGGCGCTGGAAGATGCGAATAAGGTGGTGGAGATCAAGCCTGACTGGACGAAAGGCTGGGGGCGCAAGGGCACTGCGCTACACGGCGGCGGAGATCTCGGTACGATCTACGCTGTTATAATGTACAAGGCTAGTACTGACTTATGCAGTGGGAGCAACGGATGCCTTCGAGCAGGCGCTCAAACTCGATGCGAACAACGCACAAGCGAAGTCTGGCCTCGAATCTGTCAGGCGTGCGATTGAAGCCGAAGCGCGAGCTGATGGCGCCAGCGGCGACGCCGCAGGGGGTCTTGGTAACATGTTCAACGACCCCTCCATGTTCCAGAAGCTTGCCGCCAACCCGAAGACTGCACCCCTCCTCGCAGACGCCGAATTCATGCGCAAGCTCCAGCAGCTACAGAAGAATCCGAATGATGTTGGACTGGCAATGCAGGACCCCCGCTTCCTCCAGGTCATGAGCGTGCTGCTTGGTATCGACATGTCCTTTGGTGAGCCGCCGGCAGGTGCCCAGCAGGCCAGTGCTTCTGGTGAAGCTGAGGAGGATGTGCCGATGCCAGACTACAAGCCGGCGCCCCAGGAACCAAAAAAGGCTCCTGAGCCCGAGCCGGAACCGGAAGAGGAGGACGAGGAAGCCAAGGCAGCGAAAGAGGCCAAGGCCAAGGCTGACGAGCTCAAGAAGCAAGGCACAGAGTTCTACAAGAAGCGTCAATTCGACGAGGCCATTGAAAAGTACAACGAGGCCTGGGAGACACACAAGGACATCACCTACAAGACAAACTTGGGAGCAGCCAAGTTCGAGAAGGGCGACTACGAGGGCTGCATCCAGGCCTGTAACGAGGCTGTAGAGTATGGCCGTGAGATCTACGCCGACTTCAAGATCATCGCAAAAGCATTTGCACGCATCGGTACAGCGTACGAGAAGCAGGGAGACCTAGCCAACGCCATCGTCTATTACCAGAAGGCACAGACGGAACACAAGACCCCGGAGGTTCTTGCAAAGCTGCGTGCAGCTGAGAAGGCCAAGATTAAGCAAGAGAAGGAGTCGTACATCAACCCAGAGGAGGCAGAGAAGGCGCGCGAACTCGGAAATGCCAAGTTCAAGGAAGCCGACTGGCCGGCTGCTGTAGAAGCATACTCCGAGATGATCAAGCGTGCGCCCGAGGACCCGCGCGGCTACTCCAACCGAGCAGCGTGCTTCATCAAGCTTCTCGAGTTCCCGTCGGCGGTGTACGACTGCGACGAAGCCATCAAGCGCGACCCCAAGTTCATCCGCGCCTATCTCCGGAAAGCTCAGGCGTACTTCACCATGCGTGAGTACAACAAGTGCATTGACGTATGCGCGGAGGCTGCGGAGCACGACGAGGGTGGTAAGAACGCGCGCGAGATCCAGCAGCAGGAGCAAAAGGCCCTGCAGGCGCAGTACTCGGCGCGCGAGGGCGAGACGGAGCAGCAGACCATGGAGCGAATCCAGCGGGACCCCGAGGTAAGCTTCCCACAACTCCAACTGTACTTGCAGTATACTGACATGGCTAGATCGTTTCCATTCTGCAAGACCCCATCATGCAGAGCATCCTGCAGCAAGCCAAGGACGACCCCGCAGCGCTGCAAGAGCACCTCAAGAACGCAAACATCCGCTCCAAGGTACAGAAGCTCATGGCCGCGGGCGTCATCCGCATGGGTCGCTAGACGGGCGCGCGAGGGATGTGTCACGATGTAATGCCAGTTTCTTGCCGGTGATGTCGAAACGGAAGATTCTCAGTTCTCGATTCGGTTCACACCTCTTTGTTCATGGATGGGCGTAAATGCATAGCGTATAGGTAGCTATTTGAGAGATTCGGTTCCATTCAAATCTATGTTCCCAACATGCACATGCACATGCCCACCTCCTCTCATCGCGTACAAGCAAGGGTATCTCGCAATCATTAGTAGTAGCTGAAACATCATCATCCCCCTATTCCCCATCCCTAAACCCCCCCACTGATATAATCCAACAACCGAAACAACGCCCCGTTCTCGACTCTGCACCCCTCGCCCTCCCGCCGCGCCCGCCGATACCCCTGCCACAGCCACAGCCGGATCGTCCCCGCGTCGATGCCGCGGAAGTTCTGCTGCGCAATCAGCACGTACGCCTGGGCGCAGAGCGTGGTGCTCTCCGTGGGGAGCGGCGCCGGGCGCGTGTGGCACGTGGTGCACTCGGGGGAGGGTGGGGTCGGCTCCGGGGCGATGTCGGTGCAGCAGGGGGGAGGGCCGGTGAGGGGGATGAGCGCGTCGTCGAGGGTGGCGGTTACGTCTGGGGAGAGCTGTGCCGAGTCTGCGTCTGGCGAGGGCGAGGGCAAGGGCGACGGCGACGGCAGGCTGAACGCGAAGACGTCGCCCAGCGGCGGCGCGGGCAACGTGTCAACCAGCCGCTCCAGCGCGAGCATCTCGATGCTCATGCTCATGCTCGTGTCCACTCTCGGATAGGGATATTCCTTTCCGGCACCGCCGTCGCCGTGGTGAGCCTGCCGGGCCTCCTTCTCTTCCCGCAGCTTCTCAATCTCTGTGCGCGCGGCCGCAAGCTGGGCTTCTGTCTCGGCGAGCTTCTGCTCGAGCGTCGCGATGTAGTCTTTCCTGCGGGCGCGGTGGCGGCGCTGGTTCTCGCGCACGCGGGAGAGTGTGTGCTCGGCGGATACGCGGGCGCGTTTGCTCGAGGTGGTGGAGGTAGGGGAGCAAGAGGCGTAGGACGACGGGGTTGGTGATGAGATGGATGTCATGATGATTGCATAGTAGGTCTTGTGAGGCCTAGGAGTGGAGGGGGGAAGTGGTGTCGTTGTGGGGAGTAGAATTTTGCGGCTCGCTGAGGCTGCGGCTGCGGCTTGTTGAAGTTTGGGACCTGAGACGTTGGGTGCTTGATGCTGCTGGGGGGCAGCGGTGACATATCGACGTGTTAAGGCCGGTAACGCCGCGCGGGGAAATCTACGCTCCAACGTGCCAGAATACCTGTGGTAGTCAGGAGACATGCGCAGACATACCCACGTATGTCATACGAGAGTGACATATCGAGATGGATACCACTTGTACATAGATGCGAGACGATCGGCATCATCAAATGTGCTTGACTTTTCCAAACGCAGCGCACCACCAATCTGCTCTACCGCTTGAAAGCCTGGTGCAACACAGTGACGCAAATGTAATTTCTGAATTTCAGCTCCCACCACAATGAACACCGCCACCATAACCAAAGCCGTCGACGAGCGATACACTGCCTCCGCCTCCGCCCCTCCCCATCCCGCCTACTGCAATGCCGTCGCCCAAGCATTCGGCTACTCTGCCTCGGACCTCCTCTCAATCCCCTCCGAAGCCAATCTCGGCCTCAGCTGCGGGAACCCCCTCGCGCTCGCAAACCTGCACGAAGGCGAGACAGTCATCGACCTAGGATGTATGCGCTACAATCCCACCGATGGCCAGGCATTTGCTAACGGGATCCACGAGGCGGCGCTGGTCTCGACTGCTTCCTTGCAGCGCGGAAAGTCGGCGGTGCAGGAAGCGTCGTAGGCGTTGATATGAACGAGGTCAGCCCTTGGTTTGTTTTCTTTCATCACGTGTTACTCGCTGATGGAACCGCGCAGACAATGCTCACCAAAGCTCGGGAAAACGCATCCAAAGCCGGTATCAGCAACACTACTTTCCTGCTCTCCCGCATTACCGCCATCAACCTCCCAGATGCCACCGCTGATGTTGTGATATCAAACTGCGTGATCAATCTTGTTCCCCGCGACGAGAAGCACCTCGTCTTCAAAGAGATCTTTAGACTGCTGAAGCCGGGCGGCAGAGTGGCAGTGTCGGATATCTTGACGAAGAAGGGGCTGTCTGAGGAGATGAAGAGGGACGTAGCGCTGTACGTAGGTTGCGTGGCGGGCGCCAGCATGAAGGCGGATTATGAGGCGTGGATGGAGCAGGCGGGGTTCCGGGAGGTGATTATTGTGGATGCTGGGGTAGACTTGAATGTTTATGCGAGGACGGAGAACAAGGGGGTGGGTGCTGGCTGCTGTGAACCAAAGAATGTGGAAGACATCAATGTGTGTTCCAAAGAGCGTGATCGTGGTAGTGACGGATCCTGTGGGAGCGTGAATACAATTGCAGGTGTCAGTGAGGGTATGAAGACAAATTTCCAGGATGTGGATCTGAATCAGTGGGCTGGTCAGTATTTACGTATGAACCGCCCTGCAGCGAATGTATGCTAATTGAGGCAGGATCATTCAAAATCTTTGCAGTCAAAGGCGCGTAGTCGGCCAAAATGACGATCCCTGGTGGACGCAGCAGGATAAGGTATTTCTTTCTGCATGAAGCCTCAACAGTTGAATGTAAGAGAATTTTGCTCAGTGCCCGTTCATCATCGGAAACGTCCGCGCTCTCTTCATCTTCTTCTGCTTCCTCCTTTTCCACTTCAGCACATATCTGGCGATACATACCGTCGCCTTTAGTTTCCTCGCCGTCTCCAGCTTGTACGAGTCAATCTGCTCCTGCTTCACCTCCCACCTTTCGCGGAACAAATTCAGCCAGTCGTCTCTCAGCATAGGCTTGCCTCCCACTATGACGTGATTGTCGGGTAGTGTCGCCCAGAGCTCCTCGTCGAATTTCGGGATGTAAAGGAAGTCATGCTTCGTGCTGCACAGGGCTGGGTTGAGCTCATCCGCTTGGACCTTGTCGTGGCAGGGCGTGCACAGCTGCACACAGAGGCAGTGCTTGCAAGCCCAACAGTCGACAAGCATGTTGTCCCATTGCGTGCCGCAGGAGTCGCATAAATACCCGTTCATGTATGCTTCTGCCTTTGACGGTAGGGACTCGGGCTTGTCTTGAGGGGAGTCAACCTTCATCTCCAATGCATCTCCTTCTTCCGTCGCCGGGAGTGCATTCTGTCGAGGTTTGAGCGCCTGCCAAGCCGCGATTGAGTCGTCATCCATGTTGAAAATCGATAAGACTTGGGCAAGGACGCCGAAACGCATGGTTAGTGAGGGGTCGTTGAGATCTTCCGGCCAGTTGTCGAAAACTCCACGCAGCAGACCTCTTGCCTCTTCGTCCGCCAGTTTTAGATTGTCCTTTAGTACATAGAGTCTAGTCAAGCATAAAGCAGAGTCGAATTGACTTTGACGGAAGTCACGATTATTCTCCTGGTTTGAGCGAACGAGTGCTTTTAGCTTATTCGTGTAGCTGGCTGTGGCCGGCTCGACAGCTCCTTTGTCCAAGAGGGTTCGCGCAAGCAGGTGGCGTGCTTTATATGCCACCCAGTAAGCGCCTGGGTTGCTGCTCGGGGTGTAAACCAATTGTTCCCATGTTGTCAGAGCCTTTTCATGCTCGTGGTCGAGTTCAGAGACGTGGAAACTCAACAGAGCCCGGAAGAAGCGGAGATTTTCGGTATGCACTTCAGGTCCTTCTGAGTTCGTTCCAGAACTCTTTTCGTTCTCGATGTCGTCGTCATTTGCTTCGACTTTGGGCTCAATCACCTCGTCGTACATTTGCGACACTTCATCAGCGGCTGCGGCCTGCTTAACAGCCTTGATTATGTTGTTGTGCACGTCGTCACGCTGTCCGATGATGTTGCCAAGCCAATAACCTAGCTTGCCTTCTGTTTTTTTGCCTCGTAGGAATGACACGATTGAGGCGCATTCGCCAATCTCGACCCAAAGAGCGAAGAGAGCAGCTAGAGCATCAGCATGATATGCTTTAGCCTCTTTAACGTCCTGCGCCAGGATATCCTGGTAACACCGGATAGCCGCAGAGTGGTCCTTCAACTCGCGGTGGTAGTTGCCCTCCGGCAGAAGCACTCGGTCCCAGTAAACATCCTTGAAATCATTATCCGTATCAATCAGGTCGGTGTGCATTGCCTTAACTTTGTGTAGGTACTCCAAGGCCGGCGGGAATTGTTTCAGACCCGCATGTGTTTCTCCGATCTGAAGCAGGACAATCCAGCTGTGCCCAAGTTGCTTCTCCGACTCTTTGAAGGCAGCGAGAGCTGCCTCATAGTGTTCCAAAATTCTGTACATCGCGCCGACGCGAGATAGCCAGAGTGGGTCAGTCTTCTCAAGGCCAGTATGCTCGAGCACCCATTCCAAGTACTCGCTCAGCGAGTCGAGCGGAGGCACGACTGACTCGTATTTCCCCCATTTGAACTGCAAAGATAGGTCAGTGCTGACCCAATGCTGCTTCTTATGGTTACTTACCTTGCAAAAAAGACCGTATGACAGCCAGAAAGACTCCGGATCAGTCAAGGTCTTACAATCGAACCATCTCTTTGCAGCGGTGCTTGTAACTCTCTCCAGGATCGCAAATTTATTTGCCTTGGGATTTATGACGGTTTCCACCCATTTGCACTTCTCCGCATCTTGTTGGTAGCCCTTCGCGGCGTGAGGATTCCGCAAAAGCTTTATCATGGGTTCAATGAAAGTGTCGGAGAAGACAAAGTCCGTCTTGATCGTAGTCAGGAAGTCCTCCTTGAGCCAGAAGTCGACAATCACGTCCGCCTCATAGAGCAGCTGAGACAGTTTCGAGCCAATATCGGTCAAACTCTCCCTGTCCGGCTCAAAGTAGTCAAGCTTTTCGACGAAGCTCGAGATATGCTCGTAGAACCACACAGAGGCGTATCGTCGAAGCCTGCCGAGATGTTCTTCATCATTCTTCTCACAAAGCACCTGTAATGATACACGGGTGATAACTACGTCCAATGGATATTCGTCATCCACCTGTAAGGACGCTCGCTGCTTCCCTGCCAGCGAGTTGAAGAAATCGTCGAAGTTGAATCGTCCATACACATGCTCTCCGCAAACGTTTTTGACGATATGACTGCAAAGGTCAATCTCAGCTTGGGTCAACTCGACAGTGGTTGAGCCGGGGCGGGCAAGCTTGAGATGGCTTTTGTTCTCCTCTCTCAAGATCTCGAGGACCTGGTCTGATTTGAGTCTGACATTGCTGTATTCATCCAGTGTAAGCAAACCGGAGAACGTCGTCGCTATCAAGTCCCGCAGCATGAATGTTCTGTGGAATGAGTAGAACAGGGCGCTCTGGAGGAACTCAATCGAAATGTTCCTGCCACCGACAACCCATATAAGCAGCTCGTTGAGTTGACGAGTTTGCTCCGCGTTCAGTGATTCGCTGAAGACTTTTAAAGAAGTGCTAATGGATGTCTTTATATCGTCGCCTATACTGTCGATGACACCTTGGATCTTCTGTTCGGAATCACACGCATCGATCTGAATCATCTTGGCTTCGAGATGGTCATAATGGCCACGAACACCAGCCACCAACTTCTTAATGTTCTCGTCCGTCATTACAGTCTTAAGGTCTGGCTTCTTCTTTCCGATTTCTTCAACCCTAGCTCTTGCGATGGCCTCCATATCGCTGGCATTAACAAGAGACACAAGTGTCGACGATTCTTCTAGTTCACTAGAACTCAAGCGAACCATTCTGTTACCAAGATCCTTCACCGGTCCAAGTAGAATTCTTCGCACGCCCTGGTCGTCCTGGGGGATACGTGCGGCTACTTGGTTGCTGCCTGAGAAGTAGAGACGGATTGAAATACCCTTGATGTCAGACAGCACGTTCTGCGCGATTCTCGCAACGATTTCCTCAGCATCCTCGGACCCAAAACCATCTATACATATGTAATATGTTCCTTTCATGGCATGTTGAAGCTTGAATACAAGGCGATCCCATATCTCCTCGGCTCGTGCAATGCCACTGGAGTGCTGACAGGCTTCGGCGACCGCTCTCGCATACGCCGGATCTGCAAGTGCAAATTGGTAAACGATGCATCTTATGCATCTCTCAAGCGAATCTTCTTTGTCTTCACCATCCTGTCGGTTCTCGCCATAGTAGTAGTACGCGATCAGAACACGCTCCGAGCCACTGTTGTTTCGATATGTCTCTTGCAGATACGAAATCGCGTGGTTGCTCACAAAGGTCTTCCCGAATCCGGATTCTCCTTCAATCGTCAGGATTCTAGCCTTTTTTTGATGGTCATGGGCGTCAGCCCATGCAACAAAACCAAGGTCGTCTCGCTCGACGAGCCAATGGCCACTGTCCGGGATTCTGGCTTTGCAGAGATGATCATGACGCTTAGTCCATGTCTCTTCATTCGCCTTCAAACTAAAGGCCTTGCGAATTTTCTCCAGATCTTCCTTGTTTTTTTCCTGAGAGATGCGCCCATCCAAACTCGTTTTCATCTGTTGCGCAATCGCTAGTGTCTCCTCGCCGACCTTGTATATTTGCTCCATGTGCTCTCGAATCTCCGTTTGATGCTGTTGCCTCACCTCATCCGACTCTTTCAAATAGCGCGCGAGTCCTTTCACATCCACCAGTATTTGATCGATCTGTACGTTGGTGAAGTCTTGCACTTGCCGCTCCAATAGATCCAGCGAGCTTTGGACGCCGGCGTCTCCGCTGAAGAGAACAATCTCCAGGACCAACTTGAACTTCTCTCGTTTGCTCGTGGAAAGTTTGTATGATGACTTCAAGACATTGATGAAGTGACTGAGGATATCGTATGCAGGCCTCCGGAGATGGCTTGGAAGCATCTGTCCAGCCTTGCCCAGCTCTTGCTTGAGGAATATGTTCAATCGTGACAAGAAGGCAGCACACCGTTCCATCAGGGTCACAAATCCGTCCAGTACATCAGAGTACTTTCGTGCCGCGATAATGACGAAATTGATGGCATTCCAACACTGAGCGCTGGGGCCGAACGCCATCGAAGCTCCATCTGCAATGATAGAACCAAACTGCTGTAAGCATGCGCCGACATTGTTCAATACAGTCCTGGCATGGGATGTCCTTTTCGATGTTGCTTCGCGCAATCTTTCGTTTACGGTCTGCTGAAAACTCTCAAATGTGGTGTTGGGGTCAAGTTTCTTCTCTGTAACCCTCTCATACTCAGCAATAACGTCCGGCCACACCTCGTTGAGATCCTTATCAGCACTGAAAAAGGGTTCCGGATCGGCATCTTTCTTGCCCATCGTTTCGATTGGCAGTAATTGTTCGAAATGATGGAAAATTGTCTGGAGGACTGTCGGACACTACTGAAGTAAAAGACTCAGATTTGCACTAATCTGCGATTCTTTAGTGCAGCGTGAAAATAATAATTGAAAAACAGGTTAAGATCATTGAGCGCATGCGCACTCGAGGTATTTTAGTTCGAGTTCTAGAGGCACACGCTGGGGGCGGAAATGGAATCAGGCAAGGCTCGCCTGCAGGGGGGGTCAGCATGCTAACCCTTCTAGACATATGCTCCCCTCGATGGCGTTATGCACCCATGAAAACCGGTGAGCGTGTAGAGTTGCCTTCTACATTTTACGATCTGGGATTGCATTCGGCCTATAAAATTTGTCACATGACAAAGGATCTCCGAAAGTGTTGTCAGCCTTGTGCAGAACAGGCGGAAGACGAAGCTGCACCGCGTGACGATAATTGGTCAACTCCATTCGACGCGCTCAGCGCGCGACATCTGTCGCGGAACGAGATTAGCGTCAAGGGCTGCGGCAGTAGTTGTAAGCTTTGCTTCCGTGATGATGTCGTCCAGGGCTGTAGCAGCAATTGTAGGCTTTGCTTCTTCGTGACAATGTCGTGTGGGCAACAAGGCGCGCTTATAGCAGAGACGCAGTAAAGCATTTTCGAGGCGGCGCAGGGTCATGGAAGGTGACGCGCATGTAGGGGCGTCGGAGGCCAGACCTACGAATGTGACCGGTTCGTCCCATCGGTATCGACAGCGTGCACGTGATTGCGCCCAAAGGGTAGACCCTTCCATTTCAACTAACCACTGAGCTCTGTGTACCTTTCCGAATCGGAACTTAGGACTTTCACGCCAGCATGAATTTTCTCTTCATACATGGTGGGTAATATACCCTAGGTGCTCCTCCAAAACTTTTCTGAGGCCAAAGTGTCCCCGCCCAGAGCCTCTCCGCAACGTCAACGCGCCACCGAAGGAGCATGATATCCGGGTTGCCACCTCTGACCTTTGCCCCCAGCACCATACAATCCCAGAGCTCTGTCGTAAGTTTCGTCTCGTCCAACATGTCCAAGGGCAACATGACGGATGAATACTTGACGGTGGAGTCGTATGGACTCACCATATCGAACACGGCGCTCTTCGTCATCGCCGACGTACTTGATCTCTGTTGATAGATTCTCGGCACGAGTTGCACTTTGAACACGTCTGCCTCGATGATCAAGCACCCGTATCGTTCATAACACTTTGCTTTCCCCTCAGGCCGCCAGAAACCCTCCCAGAACAAATCCCATGGAAACTTCACACCGTCTACATCCTCCACCCACAAGCGCACATCGCTTCCGTAATATGCACCCCCGAATGTGCGCTGCGGCTGGACACCGCCCTCCCACCCTGCCCATGTCCAACTGGGGAACTGTATCCTCCGTCGCGCCGCACCGTTATGATACCAGGAGAGCCCCGCAACGAAGAGCCGGGCGTTGAGCAACGCATCGTTTTCTCCCCTGGCGCCCTCCTCCAAGACTAGTGGGATGCCAAAGATGTTGTACACGAACGCGGGACTGGCCTGGAATCTGCGTAGGATGCCCTCAAGCGCAGCAAGGGCATCGGTATCGAACGTCATGCAGCGTAGCGAATATTCCTTTACGGCTGCCCAAAAAGCACTCAGAGGACCAAAGCGGTGCGTGCCCGCGAGCCACTCGTCGCGGAAGAGGACTGGCCGGGCGTGAGGACCAGAGAGGAGGGATAGCGGAAGCTCGACCGCCTCGCAACTGTGCATATCTTTGCACTCGAAGTAGACCTGGTGTGGTGTGAAGATGAGACGTCGCGCTGAGCAAAATGCTTCCTGGAAGGTCCAAGCCCTCGTCATCCACGTTGATGCTTTTACCGAACGCTGTGGGTCGGGTAATGAGGACACGAAGTGCACGTCGCGGTCGTCCAACGAGAAGGAAGGTTGAGCGTGTCGCGCAATGCTGATCCCGTGGAGCCCAACTTGGTCGCTCGACCCTACCGCTGCAACAATAGTGCAATACGCGCCTTCATAGATCAGGTCCATTTTCCCAATTTGCTCACCCTTGAGCTTGGGATCTGCTTGTGGAATGCAGTATTTGTCTACCCACAGGTACCGCCAGCCGAGACTCAGGACAACTTTGATCGCATCGCGCACAACGGGGGCGGCGGCGTGAAGTAACTCGCGGGTGCTCGCGTTCGGGTCTTGCACTGAAGAGGACGTTGGGTTGGCCGCTGGTGGTTTTCCCCACACATAGCTCAAGGCAAAGTAGTTGCAATTTGGCGGTGCCATGACAATTTTGGATGTCTTGCAGTCGATGATGCGCAGATTTGATGGACGCGAGTAGCGCATCGTGCAGCTGTGCTTTTTCTTGCAATGCTCAAGCCATTCCTGGATGAGCGGAATGTTGATGCGAAGCGGGTCTATAGACCGGCCTGTGAGCCATGGCGAGAGGGACGAATAGGCTACGGGTAGTATGTAGCCCACGGCTCCGAACGTGTCTGCGTAGTGCTGGATTGGGTTTTTTATGTCAGAGAACAGACCATTAGGCACCACCGCGAGTATAGTATCGGAAGAGCCGCTAACCTTCCTGTTATTTGGAGGGCGGTTGAAGTATTCCCGAAATGAGAGAATGCCTGAAAATGCGCGCAGGTGATAAGCATTCTCTTCAGCTTCATATTTGCTACGATGCGGGTGAGGAATACGCATAGATCTGAAGAATGCGCAAAGCATGCATCTAGAATCTGTATCCCAGTCTAGGTAAGCAATAAATTGTCCTGACGCAGATGTAATCTCTATTCCAGAGGTGATAATGGAGCTCAAATTCAAATTACGACATGGGCCGCAGAGAACTTTCGACTCCGGGAGCTGGCGGTAGGGACTGATGCTCGTCCTGGCAAATTTCGCAATAGTCCGATCGTGTTCACTCGCACTCGAACGTCGTCGACGACTCCGGCTGCGTCGCACCTCGCAGGTCGTCGAGCTGAAGCTTGTGGCGGGGCTTTGGGTCGAGAAGGAGCTCCATGTTGACGATAGTAATGAGCTGTCGAACGACATGCTTTTGCGGGCGTTTCCTACATAGCTGCCTTGCCTAGGCGGCACAAAGGGTTGTTGGATGCTCTCGAGGACGATGCAGCGAAGATCCACGGTGTGAGATGTCTCGCTTGGCGTAATCTCACGTTGCACTGAACGATGCTAGATTGGGCTAGCTTGATATGTACATGCAGAAAGTGACCCTAGATCGGTTTACATCGACAGTTCTCATAACTGCTATGCATCAAGCTCGAACTCATGAACATATACAACACATCTTTACTAAATCCTCCTGTGTTTCCTCGAAGTCATCGTACAACTACAAGACTACTCGTTGATACGGTGCTGCCAAACCTCTTGCTCAGCTCTTGCTGAGTATGTGCTTGCGCCCAAGATCGCTTGCATCTGCTCCACACCAGTGAACATAATCTGCCTAGCAATGAACCACCTGATACCCTCATGGCAAGGCGGGCTGGTCAAGCTGCCCTGGTAACTCCAAAACTCGTTGAAGTACTGCACCGACTCCATAGCAAGCGAGAGATCCATCTCAATGGATTCCTCTGTTTGCATCTCGTCGAACCCAATCATCGCAGGGAGCTGGTCGAAGAAAGTGTTGTTGAAATTACCAGGATCAAGGCGGAAGGCTAAGACGGCGCCCTCGTGGCCCTCTGCATCGACGTGGACGAAGTGCATCTCGGCCTTGCTGCGGTCTCCTCCGACGGAATGATCGGCCGGGGCATGAATATGCCAACCCTTAAGATAGAGTGTCTCGTTGTCGTAAGTGAAGCTGGGATGCGATGTCCAATCTCCATTGTGGGCTACTGTGAACGCAGGACCATAGCCCCAGTTGTAGAAGTTGCCAGGAACTGAGCCGGTATAGTTGAAGGTTGGAACGTGGTTGAGAGATAGACCATTGCCGAGGGAGAGAGCAATTGGAGATTGTTGTGTTCCGGTTTGGCAGAGGCGGTAGTCAGGACTCAGCTTGCCCCAATTGAAAGACGCCTGTGAGGCAGAGTTAGCACGTACATTCGGTTGATCGCGCGATATATACACTGACTTCGTATGCCCAGATGTTTTGCGTGGTGTTTGCATTGGGGTCGGTCTGGCGCCCTTGCAGATGTGATCGTTTGTGGTTCGAGTGCTGGGGGCATCCGACAACAGCTGTCGCGGATGCAGCGATAAGAGCCAGTGCTGAGAAAAGCATGATGATGAGATTTTGTGATGTACGAACAAGAAGATGCATATGGTAACCGTTGACAGGGTGCGCGCCATCGGCCTTATAAACATCACGAAATGAGCTCCGCCTCAATTCGACCTCAGGACGGTATCGCAGACGGGAAAGTGCCAAGGAAAGCACAGCATCACATTTACAAGGAGACTGGTATGAATACAACGGCGCCAAGAGCCATATCTCTTCTGTGCAGCTGTACAGCCGCCGCGTAAACGTCATGGATTCTGCTTGGGACGCGGGTCACTTTCTATGGATCTGAGCATGTCAAGGTCTCGACTTTCGGGCTGACAGGAAGTACCTCGTCCAGTGTATGAGCTAATATGCGGAGTGATCAGCGTGTTTCTCCTATTGTGAGATCGGCGGCCTTGGCTAAGGACATTCGGTGCCTTTTTTCGGGCTCTTGGCATCCAGAAGCAAGCGTGCGCCTTGCGCGACGCCTACGCAAGACCTCCACGTGCGCATTGCAGTCTGCGAGGCCGTTTTCGGCTTTGTGCGGATGGGTATTTGACGTGGTCTTCGTGCAGGCGCGCTGGTCCTATAACAGGTTTTGTATTGGCGACATGACACGAAAATAACACAGATTGTCAGCCTGCGTCCAGGTCAACTCTCCGACTCTACCGGTACCGGCGTCGGGAGGTCAAAAACAAAACATCCCTTGCTAGTTGGTTAGAGGAGGCGGGAATTATGCCAAGATTGGCGACGTCTTCTGCGCTGGTTAAAGCCTTGGAGAGACGTTGCTCAGCCTGGATCGAAGTCACGGACGTTCGGGCAAGGAGCCACCATGGGCATGGTCATTTGGAAACGGACCGCAAACGTTCCTTTCCGGCTGTTGTTTCGGTGAAGTAGCGGTAGGGTGCAGTTGCGCGTCGACGTGTGAGGAAAGCACTCCGGTAAAAGTATCACGTAGGACACTTCGCTCAACGAACGGCCGGATATTTCCTCCAGTTGTCCGTCCAGGGTGCCCGCGAGGACGCAGTCCGGATCACGTGACACAAACGTGGCGCCGCATCAACTTTGAGCAACAACACGGATTGGATAGAAATGATCGAATTGCTACTACCATTTGGTACTAGATTGAATACTACAGGTATCCATGACTCTTCCTCTACACATGCTCATTTTTGCTTTCAACAGCAATGCCCTTTTCTGCCTGCTCGCTCTTGTCCTTTTTGACACTCTTCCATTCCACCAGTAAGGCACCCACTAAGCTGAAGCACGCCAGACCAAGAGCAACATAAATAGCGTTACATATTGCAACCCTGTAGCGCTCGAGGAACACACTGACCAACTGTTGCGGCACCATGTTGCGGATACTAGTCGCACCCATCTCAACAACCTGGCTCTTGGAAAGGTGCAAGCCAGGTATTTTCGTCAACTGCCGTGCCAAATCATCTGTAAAAACTGACTGTGCTACGCTCAGAAATATGGCGCCCCCAAAATTCTGCATGAACATCATGAGCGATATTCCGGTCGGATTGTCTTCTTTCGTCAAGACAATCTGTGCGTTTATGGACGGTTGCTGCATACCGATGCCGACTCCGAAACCGATTAGGAACTGATAGCTAATCCAGGCGCTGTGGTTGACCTCGACTGGCCATGTAGTGACCAGCCCAACACCGATCGAAAAGATAACCGCGCTCAAGATCATGAAAGGGGCCGGGTACCCAATGCGCTGAACCAGACCTCCTGCAAGAATCGTACCAACGACCAGAGACAAAATGAACGGAATGGTAGCTACGCCAGATTTTGTTGGGGAGAAGCCCTTGAGGGCTTGAAAAAAGATTGGGATGTAGTACGTGACCACGATCATCCCGGCTTGACTGGTGAATGCGAAGAGGGCTGAAGCAGCCACTGTTCTTTGCTTTAGGATACGCATCGGGAGGGTCGCTGTGTCGGGCCTCCAGATCTGAACCGCAAGGAATCCGACGAACAATACGCATGCGAATACCAGCAGGAGGACCGGACGCCAGCTTGACCACGCATACGTCGTACCACCCCACTGAAGAGCCAAAAGGAGGCACACGATGGATGGTAGGAAGAGAGTTGTGCCGATGGGGTCCAATCTCTTGAACTGCTCGAACAGCGTCATTTGCTCGCGGCTCTTCGACGGCAGGTGCAGCACCAAGATGAGGACACCGATAGATAGTCCTCCAAGAGGCAGATTAATGTAGAAACACCACCTCCAACTCACGTGCTCAGTGAACGCGCCACCCAGCAACGGCCCGACTACGCCAGCAATGCCGAACACAGCGCCGATCAATCCGGTGAACATAGGCCGCTTTTCCAGTGGTGTGGTCTGTATAACCACCACGATGGCCCCGTTCGAGATACCAGCACTTCCCGCTCCGGCAATTGCGCGTCCAACGATCAGGACCGGAGATGATGGTGCAGCTCCGCAGAGGGCACTGCCGATCTCAAACACACCGACAGCAGCGATGAAGGTGGCCTTAGCAGGATAAAATGTGTATATTCTGCCCCAAAACATCTGGCAAGCACAAAGCGTGAGCATGTAGGATGATCCGTACCAGCCGATGTCGGACAACGAGTTGAAGTCGTCAGTTATCCGGGGCACAGCAGTCGCGAGGATGGTCTTGTCCTGTCCTTGGGTCAGACTATCAATGCTAGTCGAATGTTGCAAAGACTTACCAGTGCGACAAGGAACATAGTGAGATAAAGACAGCCCATAATGATCCAAGTACGGCCAGGAGTGGGATACTGAGCATCATCTCCATGTTGTGGCGCTCCGCTAACTTTCTCGTGGCTCAACGTGCGGTTTTCTAAGGCCCTACTAACATTGGATGGATTCGAAGTGGTCTCCATTGCACAAATTTGTTTGGCCGCGGACATCGATGGTACCGTGTGCTAGTGTATGTCGCGAAGACGGTAAAAACGAAGAAAATGGGCGCTGTGGGAACAGGGCAGGGAAAGCCACTTGAGTGACTTGGCCATTGTGCAGCAGTCTGTCTCCTAAATACATATTGAAGACTGGACGGCTGTCGTCCGATTCTGTGGTTTCGGTTCCTCAAGGTGTGTGTCGATGGCGTTCGGACGCGACTGGGGCGGCGTCGGCCCCGAAAAGCGTGCACGGACATCTTCCTCGTGGATTAGAAACTCCCGAACGAACGTGTATTGCGGCGAACATCACCGCCACCAGGCATCTTAACTGACAGACTCTGGTAACATATTTCAGACAGTGGACTGAGGACGCGCAAAAGCTCTGTTCATTTCTGTCACCGAGGTTTCTGAGAGTCTTGCCCAAACCAGTTAGTTCAAGGGTCCATGATTGGCTTGATCGCGATCCGAGGGCAGGCACTTTCCCTGTTCCTATCTCATCCTCATCCATAAACCATCACCATCGCCATTTTCTTGAGGTTCCTTCTCTGCATGTTCTCCTTGTCGCGTTTCTAGCTAGCTTTTGTTTTCGCAGTCTGTGCACTGCACCGACAGCACGCATGTCCTTCCCCCATGCAGGTGCCAATGAGACCACGCGTCTTCTAGATGCCTCAGACGGTGACAGTGGCATCTCTCAACCTGCTCACGTCCAGAATGGAACGGATGATCGCGCAAAAGGTCCACGAATGTCAACGAGTCTCAATTTCCGTATTGCGGCTACCATGTTCTCTTTCATGATTACTGGGCTTTTCAACGCATCAATCGGCGTCATGCTTGCACCAATGTCGCGCCACTACAGCCTAACTGATCTGCATGTCTCGTTCATCTTCCTATGTGGCCCGATTGGCTATGTACTGGCGTCACCATCCAATGCTTCAATCCACACTCTGCTAGGTCAGCGCGGCATTGCCCTTATCGGCCCGCTCCTTCACACGCTGGCCGCTCTGGGAATCGCGGCGCACCCTCCGTTTACCATCGTATTAGTTGCCTTTGTAGTAAACGCGATGGGTATCGGTCTGGTGGATGGGAGTTGGTGCGCATGGGCTGGTGGGCTCGAGAAGGCAAACGTCGTGAGCGGACTGCTCCATGGAAGCTATAGTGCAGGAGCTGCGATTGGCCCATTTGTTGCAGGTGTATCACTCGGAAAATTGGCGATACCGTGGTGGGATTGGTACTATGTCCTTGTGAGTCCATCAATCTTGCATTGTCTCGTCCGATGACTGGGCACACTGCATTACGCCACGAGGAGCAATGCCATACCCACACTTCTGGATTGGGATTATTTTGGACACAACTGACTAGTTCTGCAGGCCGGAGCCTCGGTGCTAGAGTTGATCATCCTAGCTACTGCTTTCAGATTCGAAAACGCATCCAGATATCATGCTTCGAAAAGCCACATCACTCGTGAGCCAGGAAACACATCTTGGAAGGATATCTTCAGGCATCCAGGCACCTGGTTCTCCGCAACGTACTTCCTCACCTATGTTGGGATCGAAACGGCAATCTCAGGTTGGGTTGTGTCGTTCATGGTGCGCTCTCGCCATGCCTCGACGTATTTCGCCTCGCTATCTTCTTCCGGCTTCTGGGCAGGCATGGCTGTAGGACGGCTGACTCTCGGTCACATCACAGACCGAATTGGCGTGCGTCGTGCAGCGGCCATGTACCTCCTTTGCGCCATCGGGCTCTTACTCCTATTCGCACTCATCAGCTCCCCTGTCGTATCTATCATTGTGATGGCCTCCGCTGGATTCGTTATGGGGCCGCTGTTTCCATCTGGTGTGGTCGTCTTGTCCGAATTGTTGCCCTGGGAGCTGCACGTTGCTGCCGTTTCTTTTGTGGCATCCGTCGGCCAAATTGGCGGTGCTGCATTACCTTTTGGGATTGGCGCTGTCGTACAAGGGCTTGGAATCGGTGTTTTCCGATGGATAATTCTGATCTTCTCGTGTATTGCGCTCTCTATGTGGATCCTATTTGCGCAACTGAAACCCAGAGACGTGGCAAGACAGAGGATGGATTGATGTCCTGCAGCATAGTTTCAAAGTCAAGTCTTCAGTTGAACTTTGAAAGCAAAGCAACCACTCTAGAGAAATGCACAGTATAATAAGGGCTTCTTGTATGCCGCTTTCAAATGAAGAGGTCAGATATAGTTCAATCCTCGAGCTGAGATATAATCCGATGCGTGAAAGCGGTGATGGAAAGCAGTTCAAGAGGTTGAAAATTCAAGTACCCAAGAAGCACACTATGCCTGAAAGATCAGATTTTACAACACCGTCAAAGGAAGACGAGCAAGCTACCAAGATGGCGTTTCTTTACTGCGCTCTTACGCCAAGGCTTCTTTCGTACGAAATGCAGAAACGACTAAGCGACCAGAGGTCTAATGACGGATCAAGTCTAGCCGTGATGTGTCGAGCTAACCGCACAGCTTCATACTTTAAATCGATTTCCTCCCCATGATTCATTCGGTCCAACAATCTATCAGGGCGCGCATCAAGTCCTTTTCAATTCTTTCTCATAGTACCTCCACCTCTGCAAGAAGCATGTCGCATTTTGAGAACCTGCCCGCCGAGCTGTATGACGAAGTATGTTAACCTGCCACCGTAGCGGAAAGAGCATATCTAAGCCCACGAATCAAGATTTTCGAGCACATTTTCTACTCCTCTTGGGATCACAGCGCGGTCACGCGTCGCCCTTCTCGCGATGACTTACACCCTTTTGATCGCGCTATCAACATCCATCGGCGCCCAGTCGAGCGCAGCATACGCTGGTGGCCGCGCCCAGGCGACATCCAACTGCGTCTTGTCAGCCACGCTTTTAACCGCGCTATGATGCGTGTGTACTTCAAGTATGTTGGCGCCGTGTTCATCCCTAGCGAAAAGAATGCCCTGGAGCTATTCGAAGAGCATGTCATCAGTCAAAAAAGGAACGTACCATGGAGCATCGCCGATGCAACAGCGAAATTCACGATCGAGCTGTGCTCTCCAGAAAACGAAGATGAAGCGGCTATCTTCCACGAGAGCCACAAAGACATGATCAGCTGGGTGAAGTCGGGCGATAGAGTTCCGGAACTTGATGAAGGTGCAGAAAGGCTGAAGGCTGCTCTTGAAACTGGAACATTGGCAAGAGCTGTGCAGAATATGCCCAGGCTGGAATCACTTGTTATAAATCTCAACCAAGAATGGCGCGACGACGAAGGTGACTGGGACGACAGTGAAGACGATGAAAGCATCGTTTCATCTGGTCTGCAACTTCGATTAGAGTTGCTTCAGACTGTCCGTGAAAGTGTCGCTGCCATATTCACACTGTACGGTGTTCCCAATATCAAGACTGGAATCAGCCATCTCTCGTTGCTGACATATCTACGACTTACTCTCCCCTGTGCCTACGACTTCGCTCAACTAGCGTCTTCCATGCCTGATACTATAGCCTTACGCCTTCGCCACTTATATCTCGAAATTGTCGACGGTACCGGACCTGGCGGCGATCGTTCATATACCCACAGCTGGCAGGGCGACGGAGATCCATTCGACGGAGATGAGGGCCACAGATTTTCGAACCTACAGAGGCAGTATCCGAACACTGCTTATATGCAAGATATGTGCGGTCTCGTTAATCAATGCAATAATCTCGAGAGCCTTGGCCTCGTGGGCACGCAGTGCATCAACCTGAAAGGTCTCCACTGGCAGCCGGCCAACGACGCAGGACTCAAGAGCATATACTTTTCCCGGGTTGTAGCAACTGAAGAACAGCTCTTGAGCCTGCTTACTTCAGGACGTGAAGACGGCGCTTGTCATACCGAAGCTTTCGACATTGAAGACGTGGAGCTGATGGATGGGACGTGGAAGTCTGTCTTCTCCCGCCTACTTACTTCGTCCTCACTTGTATTCTTTCAGGTTTACAATCTAAAATATAATACCCGCGGCCATTCGGCGCACCTTGCACGGTACAATCATCGTCCATGGGAGAATGTCTCCGAGATCTGGTCCGAAAGCCGCCAGGATTGCAAAAACCTTGCAGACCTCATTCGAACGGTGGAGAGACGCGGCATCAAGGCGGTAGATCGAATGAAACAGTACGACAAATCCAATTAGCCTGAGCGAATAGTGGACAAACGAGCTTACGAGAGATAGATTCGCCGAGGAAGATGACAACAATTATGGGGGTTTCAAGTATGCGTGAGCGATTACCACAAGCAAAATCTTCTGGTGTTCCAGGGCAGTATAATAAAGTATGCCAGTGGCAGACACGCATACGGCGGGCGATAAAAAATGCAGAAATTCCATTGCCTCTCAAGTATGACACAGTGCGCAGGTGGACCACAGATTTCTACAAGACATTCATTTCCTTGATTTCATACAAGAAAGCCAAACAGGGCTCAAGCGAGATTACCACAAAAGATCGAATAGGTTTGTACACCACCGGGTACAAACTCGATGTATCTTGCCGTTCTTTACTTGAGACGTGCACCACCTTGTCCTGACTCACACTGACTTCATACCCGCACCTCAGGCACTTTATCTGGTTGTGAAATCAGGTGTCCCTCACTCAATTGACCGATGGCTTAGCTTTACTACCATTCTTAATGTCCACGTGCCTACCGAGCCCATACCTCCACATGCTTTCCACCGTTCACAACGACTGCGAAGTTTCCGGTAATGCATGGCCGTGGGGCATGGAATCATGGTCGATCTGATTCGCTATGTTGATGATGGGTGCAGGTTTCGGAATCGTTAACATTGTCTGCTGCCGCTTAGTAAGAATCCGCGAAGGCTATGTCAAAACGTACGATTTGATCTACGACGGACTCTCGTGTCCAACCATGTCAGAGCCGCAATGGTCAGTGAAGGGCCACCTAACGCTATTCGAGCTCGTGACGCTATCAGCGCTGTTGTGCATTTGCAGTATCTCGCGTGGAGACAGCACCACTATTCTTGTCCAGGTACCCTGAATTACTCAAATCAATTTTAGTTGCATCGTGTTGAATTGAATTGAGACACATGGATCCGTTTCATTGCAAGTTGACTCGCATCGCCTCGACTCGCATCGCCTCGCATCACGTTGCATTGCTGTAAACATATCTGCATCGGTCATATACCCAAAGTATTCGAGGAACCAGGTTTCAGGAATGTATATAGTGTGTAATGTCTGATAGAAAGCTGGATTTTGCTTGATATATACGAAGTATAGCGCGGTGAGAATAATTGGTATTGCGGCCATCGAAATGCTGCATTCATTTGCAACCTGGTGCATCCTGATACCTGACAATTTCGACCTCTTTACATACGATTCCACAAGTGCAGCATCTTTTCGAGACGCCTGTTAGTATGCGCCAGTTCCCACATCCCTCACAACGCACTGCAAGCTTGTCCCTTCCTTTCTTGCTCGCATCAAACCTCAACTCGTCATCGTACCAACTAAATAGCCCCGCCCAGCGATTTACATACTTGCCGCTCTTCTTGGCCTGAGCCATCATCTCCTCTGAAAGCCGCAGCACTTCCTCCACTCGTGCCTCCTCAGGTGGTCCGTCGCTCAAGCGATTTCCCAGAAGTCGTATCGCTTCGTTTGCAAACATGGTGTATTCTGGATGCTGCGACCCCCATTCCCACGTAGTTACGAACTCTGCGACCCGATCGACAGACACAAATTCTGATGATCTGCGCCACAAGGCATTTCCTGTCCCAGAAAGATACTGCCAAAGTGGCCCTAAAGGTCCGGTCCGAGGCGACTGCATAAGCACGTAGTTGTACTTGTTCATGCGGTGCAGATTGGCCACCCTGTCCGAACAGAACGTGTTGTATTGATCCAATGTCCTCTCCTTCTCCAAGGTGCCTCTCGAAAGGATGTAAGGTGTCTTTTCGGCCAGGAACACGCTGGTAGCCATGTTGCAGTTGATACCTGGAGAGTAGAGTGGATTAGTGAATCCAGCCGCATCACCGATAGCTGCCCACGCCATGTCTGTATCGTCTTCAGTATTATTTGCTATACCGGATACGATGGGCGTGCTGTATGTAAGTTGCTTGCGAATGAACCATGTCGAATTCTCCCCATACAAGTCCCTGACAAGGCGATGGCGATCCATGTATGCTTGCATGCGCGGGTACTTGGCTGTGATCCAATTGAACTTTCTCTCTGCTTCGCAAGCACCGAATTTTGCTAGTGCCTCAGTAGGAGGGTAGACAACGTCGCTACGAAGCGCGTATCCGATGCTCGTGACCCAACGAACCTTGCAGTTGAACATACGAGCTAGCTCTTCCATTGATGGATATGAGTCGGAAGGAGTGTTAACCTGATTGAGGTCCAACAGATGATTGATCATAGCCGTTAGATTGGGTATTGAACTACCCTCCCACGTAGGAAGCCGAATGAGCCACGCCCAGCTGCAATGCACGTATTAGCTGGAGTCCATGAAATGTATATGGTCTCTTTTCCTCAAACTCCTTTAATTCAGACTTTTAGCGGAGTATAGGAAAATCAAGCCTACCCTTCAGTGAGGCAGATATGATTCGTGTGGCAACTCTCGTAATTGTCAAACGGCAGACCTGATTCGTCGCCCGTCATCTCAAAGTATGCCCAGACAGAGTCCGTGTTGAATCCCTCGAACCGTTTCGAGTGACTCTTTTTCGAGGCAAAGCGACGAAACCGGCCCGTTGCATCAACCAGAAGCTTCGTCTTAATATTTAGACCATTCGTCAACTTCACATGTCCAATCCTAGGCTCGGTACGGGAAGGTGAGGCTTCGGGATTCGATATTGACACCGTAGCCGGGTCACTCGAGCTCGATGCTTCGCGTACTTTTGCAAGTCGCGGCAAGATTGGGTCACTACTTATTGGCGTCCCAGGAACATCGACGCTCGTGCCGTGGAGGACCTTCACCCCCAATCGCTGTGCGTAAAGCGTCAACATCAGCTCGCTGATCTTGCGCTCGATCTGCAACGTGGCTACAAAGTCACCGCTTGGGCCATTGGCACAGAACGAAGTGACTCCATCCCAGGAGCCGTCTTGCGGAAGGTAGTAAAAGGCGAGGCCATCCTTCGCACCGAATAGCCGCCACAAGACTGACGTGCTGATGCCGACAGACTTGAGCCATACACCGAAGGTCGTGAGTGTCGATTCGCCGATTTTGTAGCCTGGCGACTGAAGTCGCTCGAGCACGGTGATGGATGGCACATGGAGTGTCGGGTCGCTAGCAAAGAGAGACTGGGAGCGGAGGCGAAGATGAATAGCGTATATAAGCGAGTGAATCCCGCCACCTACAACCACGACATCCGATGACGATGGCACACCTGGTTGGATGTTTTGCGAATTCAGGAACTCGGCGTTAGAAATGGGCTGCGCAGTTGCGGGCGCCTTGAGTGGTGCCGACGAGGAACCAAGTCCGTATGTTCGCCAAAAATACGAAGACGATAAGAGACCACCTATGCTGAGAGCTGTCCAGAGGTCCCTGGAAGACTGTTCGTGTTCTTCATGGAGAAGATCCTCGGCCGAGGAGAGTAAGGGAGCTTCCATCAATCCAAGTATCTTTGGGCTGCCAGAATGTGAAGTAGTGAGCGACATCGCACTGAGCAACAGGATGCTGTCTAGTCCATAGCTATTCTGTCAGATGTAAGCACTGAGAATCGCCAGGGTCAAGAACGAAACGCATACGAAATGACCAATGAGCAGGCACTGCACACCTTTTCGTACGACAGCAGTGTCCAAGCACATGCCATATGCACATGTGCATTTCCAGTAGTCCCAGGAAGGATTGGAACCAGCACATTTACCTTGTGCATACAAGGGGAAACGACTATAGGACTAGGGTCTCCGAGTTCTCGGGTCGCATGCACTGAGCGATGGGTTTCAAACCGTTAGGATGGCAATCTGGCTTTCATGTTCCGGTCCAATCAATCAGCCTGGAAAGTACTCTGTCTCGCAACCACCATCTTCGTGCCTTCAGAAAAGGACAGCCACGACCCCATCCACATGAACAGGATATCAAATCATTGGAGGGCGTCGATGTTGAAGGGTCCTTGTGTTGGCAGTTCGAGCCCAATTGTGATGATCGTGGTCAGATGTTGATCGACAGATTGCGAATATCAAACGGAGCACAAGCCATTAGTTGACATAGCTTGACTGCACTAAAGCCCGTTGAAGACAACATGTCTTATCCCGCGTCAGCACTAAATCTGAAGCAGATTCCAATACCGACGATGCTAGTCAAATGGAGCGAATCATCCGGAGCGCAACGGATATAGTATCGTGTAATTCCACGAGTGCTTGTTAGTGCAATATTGCCGAGCAGGCTGTTTGCCTACCTGCCCGGAGTACGATTTATAACGTATTTGTAGCCTGGTTCGACCAAGTCCTCCTACAGAGTATCGGAATATCCACTTTGTTGAGAGATTTGAGAGCGTGAGTGTCTTGCTGAGTAAGAATAGGCATTTTAGCCGAGGGTTCGCTTGGGCGAACAATTACTACCATACAATATACGCTCGTTCGCCTCTGTGGGTCCTCGAATTGGCGCGTTGCTTCTTGCGGTGCCCAGAACGACAGACTTTCAGCACTTGTTTGCGCCTGGAGGGATTAGACAATGTACTGACCTTCTGATTCGGTGCTATTGGGATGGGCGCCTGCCATCTTTTCGATTACCATCGTATCGAAGCTTAAGTACACTCACCTCACGATGCAGCGTGTAAGTAGAGGTGCGAACAGACGCACCTCCTGGGTGTAGGTGCAAGCCTTTATTAGCCTTGGGAATTCTGAATAAACATGCATGCGCACAGTACTGTACGAAGCGCAGGTGCTCGATGTCGGACAAAGTGCTTGGGAGTGTTTGGGCTGTATTCCGCAAAACATTCTTCGAGAGACATGTCTAGCTAGCATCTATTCTACATTGGGCTACGTAATACATTTCACTTTTCACCTTTCACCCATTGATTTGACATCACTGTTCGTTCCGTCATCTGCAGTTACTCATAATTCTGGCAGCCTGTTCATTACTCCTCCAAAGCTGCATAGTGCTTCGACCTCGTTCACTCCCGACCTGAATATCATACTCTCCTATCTAGTCTTGTTCTTACGCGCTGACTTGACAAAATTTATTGGAATGCAGTGGCTCAACAAGAGACGTTGTCAGATGGCGGTCACTAGTGCCTAAAATGAACCCATGGAGGCGGCGCAAGGAGGCTTGAAAACTGCAGGAACGGATCGCGTATCTTTGCACCCGGTCACGTCATCTGCAAAGCATCGTCGCAACAGCTCTTGGCCAATTAGAATCGAGTATACAGAGATCAAACAATCCTGCGCCTGGTGTTGGTGGTTCCGGGGCCATGGTACTGGTGCAGGAAGAGATCGGTAACTCCAGGTGTGGATCTAGGGGGATATTGATGGGGTCGATGAGTTATCGTACGGATGTTCCCGCTGACGTACCTCACATGGGCAACCTCGACCATTCTACAGTCCAAGTAAATAAGCCAGCACAGCGATAGCTATTACTAATCGTATAATTAGGGCTTTAACAATTTTATATATTAGTTTCTAATGGGCTTCTACTTTGCAAAGAATTGTAAATTATGATTGATTACCTAACAAGTGGTTGGGTGGTTGAGCCACCCTCAACCATTCTACATGCATCATAAGCCATTCAAGTCTGATTAACGAGTCACGAGGCCTCATGGAGCATCTAATTTTAGTGTTTTGCGCCAGATACAAACATATTGTGCACGGTAGGCAGAAATTGTTCCTTCTCGTCTACCCCATCGGCCTTCTGACCACTTGTAAGACCAGTCGACGTACATACAAGATTACCTACATCAACACATGACAGTCAAAACTTCAAACGCCTCGATTTATCAATCACACCATCTGAATGAATTAGAGAACTTCGTAATGGCCCCCTCAAACTTGCCAGTGGCAGTTGCCTCTGCCATCGCATCGAGCGATGTCAAGCATTCCCAAGAGCTTTACCAATCCAACATGTCACTGGACCAAATCACCAAGCACGCTGCAAAGCACGGATATTCACGAATCATGCAACGGTGTTGCGATCCAGGTTAGACGCCGACTGGAGAGTCTTTGAACAGCGATTTTATCTCCTGTGCCGTGTGCTCGACATCTCCTGCTCTCTGGCAGAATTTGATCGACAATGGCCTGGATCTCAACGCCCATGAAAGCCAGGTTTCGGGTGACTTACTCTCCAGCGCTATCATTTTCAAATCTCGGGGTAATAAATACGACTTCGCAAAGTGGTTGCTGGAGCAGGGGCATCGTCCGACCCCGATCGATTCGGGTCACGAACCGAGCGCGATAATATGGACAATCTGCGTCGAAACGGCTGATATGGAAATGCTCAGCCTGCTGATGGACTACGGGCATGATTTAGAGGAGTGCGAAGTCGGGGTTGCAGCTGCAGATGAAGGCAATTTGGAGGCGCTGCGACTGCTTCTGGATCGCGGGGTCAACATTGAGGACCGCGATTTGTCGTGGTATCCATTCACATGGAAAGATGAGCCGTACGAGTCGCTGGGCGCGGCACTGTACCGCGCTTGTCGGCAGGGAAACGTGGACTGCGTTGAATTGTTGCTGGAACGAGGCGCCGATGCCCTGGCCGCAGACCTCGAAGGCAAATCTTGCCTGGACATTGCAAAGAGGCGTGGTCACGAAGACATTGTGTGGCTTTTAGAAAGCAGGGGGAATGTAGCATGGTCATTTGGAGGGTTCGTTAAACGCTTGCTATACGTCTTCTTCTAACCTCGGGGGTGAGCCAGTCGCCTATGGTACTCTAAAGACTGCAGCTCACGTGTTCTTTCGGAGACTCTGTTGGTGCTGCACATGCACAGTGCATACATCTTAAAATATTATCTCTGAAACTCGCTACTCAACAAAAAGCCTTTCCTGCGCAGGACGACTTCTAAAGTCAAGTACAGTGCGTTACTCCAGGGGAGAGCGCACATAAACCAACAGTATTTAGAAACTGTCACAGCCTGAATATCTTCCCCCCTCCCTCGTGGTTACACAAGTACGGACCTTCTACTTCCGCCCCTAGCCCGCTCAATCCTGCTTCCCTCCCCCCGTTTACAAACGCATAATCTGCATTCTGTTTTCTGAATAGTTCGTTGGCGGAACTCTGAGCTTATCCGAGCGTCCGAACCAGTCAGCGCAAGGCTTGCAATGCACCGCTGTCAGCGTGATCTGTCAGTCATCCCGATGGGCTGTCGGAGGCATTTCATCACACGGAGTACACTCAGCCTGGCCTCGCACGCGACAAGCATGCGTTGCCCACGCGGGGATGTCCTTTTGAGACCGTACAACGAAACAAGGGAATCAAAAAATGTATGTGATCCCGAAAGACGAGGTATATACGCTTCCCGAAAACGCCTGCATACGCCCACGGCCGTCTAATGCCTCTATATGCAACCAGAACTCAACTCTCAACCGATACGTCATTCCTTCCCACAACCTTCTCATCCCAATCAACAACGCACTCCAAACTACATTCCCACCTTTCACAGCACAATCAAGTTGCTAATCCTCAACCCCTGACTGAGGAAGTAATACCTGCGTCGAACCCCCACGGCCGTCGCCCTCTGAAGTGCCGCCATCGTCTCGTCACCGCCTCCCACCATGACGAGCGGGATAGGATGCGGACGCGGGATGCCCGAGGGCGTGTACTGCGTTTCGTCGAGGAGGGGCTGAACGAGGTTGTAAAGGACCTGTGAGTCCGACGAAGATGACGACTGCGTTTTCTTCTTTGACGACGACATTTTTGAGCGCGGCTGCGAGCCATGTTCAGGTACGGGCTTGCTGTCTTTAGCCACCTTGTCGACTTTGGCGGGGGGTGAAGCTTTGTTCTCGTGGGTGCGCTTCTTGATGCCGTGGCTTGGTTCGGCTGTGTTTCGCTCTGGTGCAACTTCCTCATCTTGCGGCTTGTTTGAGGTCTCAAATGTGTACTGCGGTTCCTCATGCTCTGGAAAGCTCACGATTACGACCATCTGCAAGCTCGAGCTGCTGGGTGGGAACGCCGGTATGTTCCTTAGTTTAGCCGAGAACGAACAGCCGCCTCGTGGAATGACAATTATCTGGTGGCGCTTTGGGATTTCGATCGGTAGGCGTTCGTCGCACAAGGTGTTCGGGTGGATGTAGATTGTCGACCAACTGAGTACGTTTGTTTTGCTGTAGGAAAGATCTGGATCTGGGACGTCTGGCAATGGAACCGAGCCGGGGCCGAGAGGCAACGTGCCTTGTATGGCCAAGCGTTCGGTTGTCTGAGGCTTCTGGGTACCGGAAGCGGAGGGTGGTGAAGTTGAAGAAGTTGCCGCCAGCAGTGACTGGAGAGAGTGTAGAAGGGATGACAGGTATGATTCGCCATTCTCAAGCTGCTCTTGATCGACGTCCAATCCAATGACCTCCATGTTCGATATGTTGTCCATTCCATCAATAGAATCGGAGAGCAGGTCTGAGAGTATTGTCGAGGAAGGCGTAATTGCAGGTGCCGGCGGAACGTCGATTACAAGATCCACAGCTGCTGCGTCGCGAGTGCGGGTAAAGAAGGGATCTGTTGGGTTGAAACTATCGATCGTCGAACGAGACATATACACCTTTTCGTCACGACCCAGGGCTACGTTGGAAATGGCGTAGATCCGGAACTGCTCGTCCATGGCGATGTGTTGCTCGAGCGGAAATGCCTCGGGCTCTCGAACCATACCTAAGCGTACCCCACTCATCGAGTTAACCAGGATGCCTTCATTTACACGCTGCATTATCCCAGACTGCGAGCTACTCGGTAGACTTGGAAATGAAAGGTCGAAGGTAGCGCGAACAGTCATTTTCGAGCTTGTAGCATTATGAGGAATGAGCTCGGGAGGGAGAGTCCATGGGTAGTAGGTGTAGTTCGAGGGTGATTGTATGTCAGAAGCGGAGATGCTTGGATGATCCGCACTAAACTCTATCAACGGCGAGTCGAGTGTTTCCCTTGTGGGCATTTGATGGAGCCGAGCCAGACTCGCGGCATGGAAAACGTCTGGTCGGGCGGCAGTCGGGGAAACGCTGAATGGAAGATGCCGTGGTGGGAGAGGGCATACACCAAGCGTAGGCTGCTGTCCCGGGTCTGGCTTCGTGTGTTTGGCAGAGCTCGTTGGTCGCAAGCGCTTAGGAATGATCAACGGATGTCCTTCAGTCGTGAAGACAAAAGGCGCATCCCATGTGTTGAGTGGATGCGACGGATCAAAGGTGAGGAAGAGATACTTGGCGGTTTCTCCCAAGAAGAAACTTTCCATGCGGTCACTCAACTCTCCACTGCGAACGTCGTGCAGACCAGCCCAACCGCACTTTGTCCAGCAACGTCGTTTGATGTCGCGTTGTATCATTTCGGCAACGTACAAATACCAAGGATCCTGGGTGGCACGATAAAGGTACCAGTTGGACTCTATGAATTCAGGGCGTCCAGGCCACCACCGCAGTCCACTCTCTATATTTCCAGTTGCTGTCGACCATCTTTCAGGCATTGCAGAATAACGGGTCCATAGGGCGGTGTGTAGTAGATGAGTCTCAATTGCTTCGTCTAGCTCCCCGGCCATGGCCAAGAGACCCTGATAGAACATGCTCAGACTGTCAATCCAGAAGGCACGCATAGCACCAGTGTACAGGTCAACTTGGAAATAATGCGGGTGTTGGTGCTGTGGTCCGCGGTAAATCTGTCTCTTGATGGCACCATGCGCGTCCTGCCATGTCCGGAGGAAAGCGTCCGGTGAATCGAGATGGGCGTGTTTTTCGTCGTAGGGCAATCCCGAGAGCAAAATGTGCGATTTCAAAGCGTATTCAAAGAAGCTGTCAATGCCTGCGCCGACACCAGTATAGGGCGATATCCATTGGCCTGTTTCCGCATCGATGCCAGCTCCAATTAGACCGATGGTGCTGCGGCGGGACCAGACAGCCCAGAAGGCGTCTTTGGCTGCGTTTTCAAAGCGCGAGTCGCCAGTGAGGCGAGAAAGGGTGGTGAATTCCAGAACGAGGCTGCCAGCACCAGCACTGCATGTCTCGGTGACCTCTGTGCCTTGCTCTTTTCGGTCCTTGTCGCATTGGCCGTGTTCTGCGTCGTTGTTGTATGGGGAATTAGCGTAGAAAGGCACGCCGTGGCGAAGGTTTACGCGCGGATATGGAAGTCCAGTCGGCGTATGGAAAGCAGGCATAAGTCGTGCGGCGAGGTCCGTGGCTAGTCGTAGCAGCTGTCCATCGTACACGAACTTGTTGGACCAAAATATGCCTTCTCTTCCCTTCTTAGTCTGCACTACTGGGTCGTATCCGCGAATGGGCAGATCGCCAACCGCAAACTGGTGCGCGCTGAGTAGTCCGCCTACACCCCGGATGACTGTCTCGAAGACCTGCACCTTGCTGTCCAGATCAAAGCCCCGCGCTCTTTTCCCTTGGCCACTCGGACCCTCGGAGCCGTCTCCGTAGTTCTCGACCAATGCCTTGATCCCATCCTGAAAATCATCCAGAGGTCTGTTCCGCCCCCGCTTCGCTGGTGGGGGTGAAGAAGCGAGAATCGCAAGTGTCGACAAGCTGTCGATCAGCGTCAACGAGTAGTTGCCCAAGACATCATTGACCTCGATGTGCGAAGGATCGTGGCGGTCGCGTGTAAGAGGCGTGCAACTGAGCGGGCGCAGTTCGTCTTCGGGAAAGGCGTATTTCATGTAGCCGTCGAAGCCATGGTAGAAGATGTCTATCGTCTCTTGTCTGAGTGGATGAGCGCATGTCTGCTTTCTGCCCTCTCAGTGCATACCTCAGGCTTGCCACTGTCTCATCTGCCATGCCATGCGCGGGCATCGCCCAAGCACACAGACACAGCAACAGCGTCCATGGCAGATTCCAGGAAGCTCCCCCGGGCTCTGGGGCGCGTCGCCGTGCAGGCCGTCTGGAGGAGTGCATGCCCAAAAGAGCCCCGGGTTGGCGACATGTGCACCGGGACGAGTCAACAGCGGGGCGGCGAAGCTTCTCATGTCAGGGCATGGTGGGCGGTGCCGGGATGGGCAGCGGGCCACCTGTTGCTTTCGCTCGCCCGTGCGCCGCGCTTGGCGCTGTCGTCAGAAAAATAGTTCGACTTCGGTCGGGAGACCGCATTGGCGCCACCACCTGCGCGCCGCGACAATCGCCAGCTCCCATTCTTTCATTCCATGTATTCTAGCCCCGCAGTCTCCTTGTAATTTGTAGTCCACAGCTTCCATCCCCATGTTGTCGCGCGCATCAACTCGCGCCTTCCACGGGCTGCGCACCGCGCCTGCCCTGCCTGTCCGACGCATAGCGCCCGTGGCCTCCCCATCGCAGCGCCTACGGTTCTACGCGAACAAGCCCGGCAAGAGCGACACGTTCAAGCCGAGCAAGGCGAACAACGATCCCGTCCATGCCGCTGAGCAGCCCGAGTTCGATGCAGCCTCCGCACCGGAGCGCAACACAACCTCATCCGGGCCACAGGGCGAGCCTATAGAAGAGACCCCGCAGCAGCCGCAGAAGCCTCTGCCTGATCTGCGGTACGGTATCCCTTCTACTTTTGGCAAAGAGTTTGGAGGCGAGGCCGCAAGGCCGCAGAAGGGCGAGCATGATCCCAACAATATCGAAATGGACCCCGAAAAGGAACCTGGCCCCGGTCGCGAGGGTGGAGAGCTCCCCAAGTCTGCGTACGAAACCAGCACCGATAGGCGGCGCAACAAGGTCGCCAACTGGTCCTACATTGCCTTCGCACTCGCCGCGACTACGGGGGGAGCGTACCTGTGCAGGAACTGGGAGAGCGACGAGGAGGAGAAGAAGCATGCAGACGCCCCTTCGGGCTGGACCCCTACCCTCATGTACCAGCGCGCGAAGGCTCGTCTCAACGGCGAGATGAGCTACTACACCGAGCCAACCTTCGCCAAACTCCTTCCAGATGTCGAGATGATGCCTCCTCTGACCCTGGTGTTGAGCTTGGAGGATCTACTGGTGCATTCCGAATGGACGACCAAGCACGGCTGGCGGACAGCAAAGCGTCCTGGTGTTGACTACTTCCTCCGGTATCTGAGCCAGTACTACGAGCTGGTCATCTTCACGTCTGCAAAGTCCATGGACGCCGACCCCATCATCCGCAAACTCGATCCTTACCGCATCGTCATGTGGCCGCTCTTCCGTGAGGCCACCCGCTACGAGAAGGGCGAATATGTCAAGGTATGCCTTGCAATATGACAGCATAATGGAAGGCGCTAACACGTTCAGGACCTTTCGCATCTGAACCGTGATCTGTCGAGAACCATCATCATCGATACCGACCCATCGCACGTCAAGGCCCAGCCTGAGAACGCTATCGTGCTTCCGAAGTGGAAAGGTCAACCTGGCGACAAGGGTCTCGTAGCCCTCATCCCGTTCCTCGAGTACCTTGCCATGCTTCAGCAGGGCGGTGGCAATTTCGATGTGCGGCACGCTCTCAAGTCGATGGAGGGCAAGGAGATTCCGGAAGAGTTCGCGCGCCGAGAAGCGAAACTCCGGGCTGAGCACCTCAAGAACTTGGAGGCAGAGAAAGCAAGGAAGGGCAAAAACCTGGGGTCTTTCGTGGGTGCTCTAGGCCTGAATCAGAAGCAAGGCCAGATGGTCCTTGCTGACGGGACCAACATGTCCGAAGGACTGGCACAGGGCAAGATGATGATCGACATGTTCCGTGACATTGGCCGGAAGCAGTACGAGACCATGGACAAAGAGATTCGCGAGAATGGCGAGAAGTGGCTCAAGGAGATGGCCGAAGAAGAGAAGAAGTTCCAGGAGGAGCAAATGAAAAACATGAAGACCGGCGCAATGAGCTGGTTCGGTGGTAGCGCTGCTGCACCTTCGCAACAAGCGCCACCACCTGCTGTGCCATCTTCTGAGGCTGGCAAGACATCGTAAAATCTCCACGACTGGCGTTTGGTATGTAATAACATGCGCCGCTTCTGCTCCCGTAGAAGTATCGGTATTGCATTGGGCGGCTTGGGAAATGTATTGTATATTGCATATGTATAAATAAGATGTTGGGCAGACCCAATTACCACATATTATGACCTACCATCACGGAGTACCATTGTCTGATATGCGACGTACTCTCATGGCTCATCAAAGAGTTTCTCCATTTTGAACATCGGCGCCACACTATGAAGTTCAAGTTGCCAGTACGCGAAGTGATACAAGTCAACCCAGGGTCAACTACTGCGATTTCATACGGCAAGATGGTGCATACTTCGTATTCACATTAACTCGAGAAACCTTTCCACGGACACTAACGAAGGCTTCCGAAGCAAAGCAATGAATCGTAGCAACGGGCCAATCGGAGATAATGCGAATGTGCGGGGAAGCTTACATTTCCAATCGCAGCTGCCACACACCGGTTCGAACATCGCTCTGAGCCATTTGCTCCGAAAGCCATCCGGCAAGACCAAAAAAACTGCGTTCGATCAACATGGCTACCTCCCGCCCGCGACCCCAAGATCCCGTGAACGGCGGCTGGTCCGATGCGCCGCTGTCTCGACCCCACTCTCCCCCGCCGTACAGCAGCCCGCTTCCAGAACGCGACGAGGTCGACTTCGCCCTCGGATCCATGGACCATGTGTCTATTGACATCGACGAGGAGTCTGAAGACGAAGCCCTCACTTCCGAAGTCCTCGCCGCATTCGACAAGCTCCATGAGCAGTTGCGTAGACATCGTGCGCTCGTGGTGCAGCCGGCTGTGCCACGGCAGCCGTTTCCGTTCATGCGGTTACCGTTGGAGTTGAGGGAGCAGGTGTATGATGAGTACTTCAGGCCTGAGGTGAGAGACCTCCATGAATAATTTTCTGGGCGGAAGCTTGAGTACTCTGCGTTACCCCAGGAGGAGCAATGCAGCGCCCAGACTTCTGACCCAGCACTGTGCCGCAGGAAAGAGAGGCTAATGTATGACAGAACAGACTGGAGTTGTATGAAGCCGGCGAAGGGATAGGTGGCATGTACAACTTCGAGTTCACACTGCTGAGGACGAGCAAACAAGTCTACCGGGAAGCGCTGAGGAGTTGGCGGAAGAACGTGTTTGTGCGGATCGAGACGCCGTGGCCGCATGCTGGTATGAACCATGTCTTTGAAACTTGTATCGCACTGCTAATTGAGGATAGTCCACCATATCAGATCCGAAGGGCAGGTCCCAATCGTCGCAGCTGGGCCCCGCGCGCTCAAGTGCTTTCAGCACAGAGCTCTCGTCCAGATCACAGCACCCTTACATGGCGTCACCGTACCCGACCACGCCATCGTCCTACTTCTGGAGGATGTGTCTAAGTTCACAAGAGTGTGGTACTATTCAGCGTTGAATTATGTCAGCCTAAACCCACAATTGTGCCTTATATTCGCACTCCGCGAGCCGTACACGCCAAGGGACCCCAAGCCAGTTCCCCTCGAGCTTCAAAGGAAACTTCTTCTTCCCTTTGGTGACGTAAAAGATCTCTACGACACACAAATGACAGGCTACGACGAAAGCGTCATCGCCGAGCTCCGCAAGGCAATGAAGGTCCCATATCCAACAGTCCGTGAATCATGCGAGCTAGCCACCACGCTCATGGATGAAGGTGACCTCTTCCTCGCGACCAACCAGCCCCAGCTCGCGCACATTTCCTACATCAAGTCCTTCGACGCGATCCATATCAAGATCTCCGGGCGCAACCGCAGAATCCTCGCCGACGGCCACTTTGCAGATGACATCCACGAGGGCCGGTACGCGGGCCAAGCCGCCATGACAGTGCGCGTCGTTTTGCGCATCCGCCTGGTCACACGCATGATTCGCACCTACATCCACCTCGGGCAGCCCAACGAAGCAGCCTTCTGGGGCATCCGGTCCATCAAACTCGTGCGCCAAGGGTTGTCGCCGAACGCCGACATGGATGACTTCTACAGCGACTTCATCGGATCGTCGGACATTGCGATGATTTATGCGTGGACTGCGGGTGCGTTTCAGCTGATGGAGGCAGAGGAACAGTGGAAGGAGGAAATAGAGGGATATGCGTGGGAGGATGGAGGCGTGGCGGATACGGAGGTCATGTGGCGGAGGGCAGGGTTGTATCTCGCAAGCGAGAGGTATGCGGGTGAGAGGAAGGGAATGGTAGAGGAAATGAGGAGGGTAGGGATCAAGCCGCCGGCGGGTGTGTTCACGGATGAGGCGAGTGAGATCGACAGCATGCGCCATATGGATATGGGCGATGTGGAAAGTTGATGGCGGGATCGAGGTTGTTGAGATGGTTGGAAACATACCTCACACAAAGAGTGATGTTTGGCTCTTGCTTCTTATTGCATCAATGGAGCTGAATGGATGATTCAGATTCTATGCATCAAAGCCAGTGCGCGGCTGCTTCATTCTCCAGAGCGTCTTCCGCCGCCAATTACTAGAATGGTGGCACTAGGCGCTCTGCCGCACCTAAACAATCCATCACTAGTATACCTCAGTCACACTTGTGTATTCGAACAGAAACATGTCTACTGCGAAGAATGTCAGCAAGTTCCCTTGGGGGCGCTCTCTCTGCGTGCAGCTGTAACCCGACTGCATCGAGATGGAGCTGAGCAGATGCGGCATGTGGGTCGCAGCTGGATAGAGTTCACTCCACCACACCGGAAGCTTTCGCTACCCCACGATCTCACGGGCAGATCAGTTTTCCATGCAAATTGTCGGCAGCACTTAAGTCTGCGCAGCCATTTGCTCTTCACGTAGCAGGACTCTTCAACATCAACGGCTTAGCCAAATGGCTAGGATTGCTCTAACTCCCGAGGTGATATCGTTCCTGCACGTCAAAGGTTTAGAATGAGAGACCGCGGCTAAGCGACTGGGCGCATGCAGCCATGCGAAGCGTTCGCTGACCGCCATCGCAATTAGTGGAGCCACACTTATTTCTCCAATCACACTTCCCGGAACGCGCCCGAACACACCTCGATGCGCTTCTCACACCGGGACTTCCCGCATCATGATTCGCACGCTACAGCTGCTACATGTGATCGACCTCTGGGTATTTTTCCGGAGTCGGCAAGACGTCATCTTTCCGCACCATTGGCAGCAGCCCTGTGACTCTTGCGACCACTTGCGCGGTCAACATGTTAGTGCTGCTGCAGGGCCGTCTTAGATTTTCCGCTTGTGTAGAGGGCTCCTAACATGGCATTTCGCTCTGTGGGCCTCGAACTGTTGCATTGCCCACCTCGCCTTGATGGGGACGAACACCATGGGCATCCATGAAAAGGATATCTTCGACCCGGATGGATTCCGGCACTTCCGGGCGTTGGGCCCGTTCATAGACGTGGAGACCTACGAGATCATGCCGACGACGTACGTGAGCTTGCGCAACTGCAACAGTGGCGATGACCGTTCCGAGCGTCCAGCAGATGTGGAGATGCGATTCTTGGAATCTGGGGAACTGGTTCCAGCTTTAGCATCCCTCTGTCGTCTTCCGGTACCCAGTCGCCACTTGCATGGTCAATACTGATTGTCCTATCCGACTTACAGATATCGCGCCATCACTGTTGCTGGCGTTGTCTTCGGTCTATCCATGTGCTTCGCCATCTGCGCCGCCTATATTGCTCTCCAGCAGACCAAAAACTCGCGGCGACCCTCGAAGAGCGTATACGTATGGATGATCTGGATCGAGCTGGCGGCATGTGTCACCATTGCCATTGAATGTCTGCTCTACCTGCTCTATGTCATCCCACCTAGCTTCTACTTCTTCATGTCGATATGTACGTTATGCTACTACTTGTCGGGGCCAAATTGCGGATTCCGGCACGGGCATACTAACGATTGAAGTGCTCCTCTGGTCGGTACAAATCCACCTCTTGCTACAGATCATCATCAACCGCATCCGCATCATCCTTTATGACCGCACCAAAGGCCGCGCCATGGTCATCGGCGTCGCCTCCATTATCCTCTGCATCAACATCAGCGTATTTTGCATCTGGATTCCCGCGCGGTTGCAGATAAGCAACCGGTATATCTTCCCTTCCCCTAACGCCGGCCCAATATACTCAGGCCTAATGGTCATGAACGCAAACACTGACAGCGAATATCCAGATACATCCGCATCAACAACATCTGGGACCGCCTGGAGAAGGTGATTTACCTACTCATCGACGCGTGCCTCAACTGGTACTTCATCCACATCGTCAAGCAAAGCCTTGTTGCCAATGGTCTGCAAAAATACAATCGCCTTGTGCGCTTCAACCAGCGCATCATCGTCGTCTCGCTCCTGATGGACGTCATGATCATCGGCGCGATGAGCATCCCGAATGGATTCTTGTACGTCTTGTCACCCTTACTCCATTCAATCCGTCTCAGGGTATCTATGTGTATTGCAAACGAGACTATGCTGATCTAATGTAGATACGCCATGTTTCACCCCCTCGCCTTCCTCGTAAAACTCAACATCGAAATGATAATGGCCAACCTCATTCGGCGCATTGCCCTCTCTAACCAAACCTCCGACTCCTTCCTGCTCACCTTCGCGTCCGTCTCCTCCGACAACGCCAACGATAATCCTACACACTCCGACGAGGCCACGCACCGTCACTCTCGCTGGATCCGCGGTCTGGTACCGAAGCGCTGGATGGGGCCGCGTGCAGATGTTGACGTGACGGGAGACTTAAATGGCGAGGGCATCGTCAAGACAAATGAATACGAAGTTGTGAGTCGGCGGCGGAGCCAGATGAGTTCTCATTTGCTGTCGAGGTGGGAGAGTCCGACGAAAAGAGGGAGTCAGACGAAACGAGGAAGTCAGGCGGTAAAGAGGGATAGCGTGGCGTCCGGAGAGGGGGAAGTGGATAGTGTGGCATTGGAGGAGGGAAGCACGAGAAGTGGGGAGATTGTCGAGCAAAGAAGTACAAGAAGTAGGGACATCCGTGAACAGAGCAGTAGGGAGAGCAGTGCGGCTGAGGGGCCCAGGACGAACAGGGATAGGGATAGTGCGGCGGGGGATGAGGTCGTGTTGATAGCGCCGCCGCCGCCGGCTGTGACGCGGGCTTCTGATAGCGCGTGAATACCTAAAAAATTTCGTCTATTGCTTCGACCTTAGGATTGAAAATATACCGTACTAAAGCAGGTAAGTAGAGCTCTATGTGTCGGTTCTGTAGTCTTCGAAGAACAGGCAGGAAGTTGCTCGCGGGGGTATCTGGAGGCGCCCACGAGGGCAAGGGAGTGTTGGGGTTATCGGCCTGAGTTACAAGTAGAGTTTGTGTATGACATCGCCACATCGGCATCATCAGTAAGTCGTGAGCTTACGAGTGTTCTTTGCAGTAGCAGACATATCTTACAGTTTCCCAGCAGCGTTATCTCCAGCACCAAGCCAGCCTCTCGCCGATGCCTGTTCTTCTGCCCTTTCAAGGATCGTTCGCAGTACGACATGCGCACGCATGATACAAGAGCCTGAGTCAACATTGCTATCGATCGCATCCTGGTAGGACTGTTGGCCCTAAGTACCAGTTCCAGGATCGCACGCAAAAAATTCCCCTGCCAGCGGGGCTGCGGCGCCCTATCCCACTCATACGCACAAGATAATGACCACGCAAACTCATCGCGCGTGTTGCCTCCCGGTGGCCGTTTGCTTCATAGTATAGCTAATATATTGAGTTCCAAGCTTTTACGCAATACATCGTGAGTCCATGGTGTAGTTGGTTAGCATGACTGAATATAGCCCGAGCGTATCTGCAGCAGCAGTACATTCGGTAGGGATAGCAAATGCCTGCATAATATTACTTCGCTAGAGGCGGCGCGGTTGCCGATGTAAGTCTCTTAGCTCTGAGATCGGAAACGACTCTACAGGTGCTGCGATACTAGACTTCATATACCTAGGTAACGTTGTCATGCAGTGCACAACGACTCACAAGTTGCAAAGCCTGCTAAAAGTAAGCTAGAAGAAAGCCAGAAGTATATTCGCCTGGGGTCAGTGACCAGTCCTCTAAACATTGCCGAAGATGAATCGTAGAATACTGAGCTGGGTAGTCTCGTGAGTGGTAGTCTATCTGTTGTCCAGTGACAGTGAGTTACCATTAAACGATATTATAAACAGATGTTGGGATAATGAGATTCGTATGATTTTGTTCTGGTGGAATGATGATCCCCTAATTTGCACCCTGATTGGGGCGACCTCTTAGTCACATCCTACTTTTCGCCTGCCCCACTTTCGCTCCGAGCGAGTACCCCGCTCTTTAGCGTTTAAAGGAGTGTGCAGCCTATGCAGCGGTGAGGCATGAATGTAGGTCGCTCTGCATTCCTATTCTACATATTCTTATCGTTTTCCAAAAATAGTATCAATCCGGTGAGATGGCCGAGCGGGTACGTTGTATTCACCCTATTACTACGATTCCATCTAACAAACATGCAGTTAAGGCGCTAGCTTCAGGTGCTAGTATCGCAAGATTCGTGGGTTCGAGTCCCACTCTCATCACTATCTACTTTTTTGGCCTTCCTGAGGTCAAGCATGTGTTTTTGAGCATGGTGACACTAGGATGGGGGAAGACTTCATATTTTTTCACATCCCGGGAGGTGTTATGGGAGATTGACAAGCTATGCTAGATCTGGATAATACCCGACTTTTCAGTTGCTCCTATCTGTATTATCGTATCAAGGTCCCAGAGGGACTATGTCATGCTTATGTTGTTTTGTATAGCATGCGGCCAAATTTGCTCAAAGCTACACATCATCAGACGTGCAGTGTACGCACGAGTAAGAACGATATGTTGTACCTTTTCCGTAAAGCCCAGCACCATCTAGTGTTCTCGGCTTACAAGCTGACGGCGAAGTATAGATAAGTTCCAAAGACACGTCGCTTAACCGCGTTGTCCAAAATAAACAACCCCTCGCGCACTTGTTGCATGCATTCGTCTGGAGGGACCAAAAGCATCATGTTCTTGATAAGTCATGCGTCAAATCGTATAGAGGACTACTTGCGGTTGTGGAAGTGCTTCGGGAACAAAGGCTCATTTTCCTACACGTCGCTTAATCACGGCTGACCGTAGGATCCCATGCGCAAGGCTCATATACCCCGGTATCTAGACTCTTCATGTCTTCAGCTGAAAGCTCGAAGTCGTAGAGTTGGGCGTTCTCTTCGATACGTGATTTCGTCACGGACTTGGGCAGTGGTACGAAGCCCTGCAAAGAGATAAGCCAGTATCTTTGCACTCTAAAGACCCACTTACCATTTGCAAACTCCAACGCAACAAGATCTGGCTCGTCGTTTTGCCGTATTTCTTTGCGAGTGGCAGGAGGAGCGGGTCTTCTGCCTTTGTGGCACGCACGATGGGGCAGTAAGCTTCCAGAATGACCCCTCTCTTGTCACACCAATCGACAATGTCTTTTCTCGCAAGCCATGGATGGAGCTCCACCTGATTGACACTCAAGATGCCCCCTTTACCCTTACCATCCTTCTCATCCGTACTTTTGATGTACTCCTCAAGCTCGTCAAGGTGATGCACGCCGTAGTTGCTTACGCCAATACTCCGGATCTTCCCTGCCTCAACGCCTTCTACGAGCGCCTTCCAAGCACCAAGGCGATTGGTCTTTCCGCCGTACGGCGAGTGTAGAAGATAGAGATCGACGTAGTCAAATCCAGTCTCTCTGAGCGAGTTGTCCACATGCTTCTTGGCGTTCTCGTAGCTCATGTCCTTCGGTGGTATCTTGGTGGTGAAGAAGATCTGCTCCCGTGGAATTCCAGAGTTCGTGATGCCCTCGGCTGATGGCGCTTCATTGCGATACGCTACTGCAGAGTCGACGTGGCGGTATCCCACCTTCATAGCATGCTCGACGACCTCTGCTGCGACGTTGGCAGGAGTCTGGTATACGCCATATCCTAATACGGGAATCTCGTAGCCCGAAGGCATCCGGAGAGTGGACGTAAAGGAAAACCTTCCCATGGTGGATGCTGATGTATGAAGTAGATGTCTTCCGGCCAGGAGATGGGATTTGTGAAGAGATAATCTTGAGAGAGCCGTAGAAACCCTTTGCATGCTTGTGCGATGCAGAAAGAGGGGGATATGTGGCTGTTCTTAGATTGTTAATCTTCGTGCTGATGCTATCGAGCTGTGTCGGAATTACGCTAAACGCCGGTGTGGAGCTCGGTTGTAGGAGGTTAGACTGACACGTGATCTCCTCCTCAACTCCGACTTCAATGTTCTTAGCATCGTCGATAGCGCTAACTGCTATTCAAAACCACTGCGTGTAGTCGGAGATGGACTTGCAAAATTGGGTCGTCACCATCCCTGTTTGTCAAATGCGTACCTGTGCCCTTCGACAATTCCTTCTTCGAACGGAGTGGCATGGAACTACAAGGGATGCCTGACGATTCAGTTCGACGAAGGTGCACATACAGCAGAAAAAAAGAAAGAAAAAAGAAAGAAAGAGAAAAAGTACCTGCCGTGTTCATGGGATCGCGACAACGGTGCTCGAGGGAATTGGTCGTAGTGAGCGGCAGCAGCCGATGCTACTGTGCAAAGAGGATCCCGTGTCTCGTCGGCAACGGTGCAACAACGGCACAGCCCGATCATTGAGATGTGGCAGTGTGGTCCAAGTATCTTCAACGGCAGATCTATCGTGGATACTTCCCAGTGCATATGGTACCCTCTGCGGGTAGTAAGGGCTGCTTGGGCTTGAGCACGCCGCCATAAGGCTCCACGCACTCAGGGTGGTGGAGCCCTTGGCTGATCTGCAATAAAAGCTAATTCTTCGGACGCATTTTTATTTCAGTCCTCGATGCACAGCGTTAGGTAACTTGATATTGGGCGCGACAGTCGATGAGGAACCTTCTTTACTGCTATGGATGCGTATGGGGCCAAGATGAATCATGTGTACAGCATACATGCGAAGATGGTTCCTTTGATAACAAGGCTCAGGACTGTTCTGTCTTTGTGGAGGCAGACGATAGGCCATGGCGACACAGTAGTGTTGTTGTAAAGAAGACCACCTCCGTCCATGGGTAGTGAACTTGAACTTGTTATGATGAGCTGTCGCATGTGTGAATGTCAGTTATGCATACTGCAAGATACCCCTGGTCTGAACACGCATCGTAGAGCCACTCGCTACAGTATATATCCTCTTTATGTGCGTCTCTGGCTTATACTTACCCCAACGCATCAGGCAGATCCAGGCGCAAGGTTTTGTCATTTTAATCACAGGGGTGGTAAATCACTTAATGGTGCGAAAATACTCATGACTAACGGGCGAACACCGTCTGACCACGTATTGTAGGTGGCCAAAGTATATAAAAATCGATCTAAGAAATTTGTACCAAAAGGTAGATCATGTCCGAATACGCACATCACAGTGTTGCAATGCAAACTACAAAACGATTAGCACCAATTGAAAGGCACTTGTTGTGTGGAAAAATCGCAAGCCGAGTACTCGGCCGACGTGGAGATGTACTTCGTACTGAGAGTGTACAGGTGGGCAGTATCATCAGGATCCAGACTAGAGGGCAAATCGATCTTTCAAATGGGGAAACGAATGCGAGTCCCGGTTTGGCGTTTGACACGGGGACCATCTTGTCCCGAAGCATGTATACCAAGACCTCGGAAGACTGAAAGCGCGATACGCGTCCAGAAGCGACTCTGTATCGGCATTTTGTCCCAAGCAGTTGTCATGCTCTTCCATGCGATAGAAGGGCCGATACTCCAACAACTAAATGTTCGAGAGTCAATGGCATATAACACTGCAGTGCGATCTAGGCTCAGCAACTCCAAGATTATCTGATACGGCTCATGCCTTTGACACGTAGATACCGTACGGTACATACTTGCAGACGCAGGCCAGGCTCCGCTATCGTCCCATGCCTGCAGGTGCCGTTTCAAGGATCTCCAACCCCGGGACGCGGGACTTGCCACCTACGAAGCGAATCCTTCTTTCCTCTCTCGTCTCGCGTTCGCAATGTGCTATTTCAAATTTCACTGACAGACTGCGGAGCGAGTTGGACATGCAAGTGCGGCAGGCCTCGTATAGCGACGATCACCAAGCCACGCCCAGATCTTCTCCCGTCCGCCTTCCAGCCACGCCGGCAAATCACCCTCCGCTAAAGCGCTGACCCACTGAATCGCTGAACCGCTACACGCACGTCACACGCAAGCTGTTGTGCGCCTTGGACGAATCAGCAACTCAGACGCTGGTTACGATCCAACAGCGAGCAGATGACTGTGCTGTGCCGCTCGGGCGTATAGACTGCAGCGTAGCCTCGTGCGACTGCTCGAGCATCCGATTTGAGGTGTGAATGAAGTCGAGGCAAAACAAAGGCTTCAGAAAAGCCTGCTGTTGTCTCGTGGCTTGGTTGCTTTGTTTCTCGCGCTGGTAATCTAAGCGCTCTGACAGACCGGTACGAACTAGAGGATGACGCGTGCGGTTGGTTTGAACAAGCACACGTTGTGGAACGGAGGGTGGGAGGCGAAACACCTAATCTTCCAGCACTGCATAGGGGCGCGGTCGGTGGTCGGCCATCGGAGGAGTGACATCTGGGATCGAAACGGCCCCCGAAATCGGTATCTTCGACGTCCGACGTACATCGTAGCAATCGGCGCAGAATATTGCCTGCCAGATACGAAATTGACTTCCAACTCTCTTCCCAACCACATGATGGACGGATCCAGCGCGACCCAGCTCAACAACTCTGCAGCAGCAGAAAGAAGGCGCGACGCGCTCCCACAGAAAGGCTGAATTTCTTACACGCAGCATCTGACTCCCCGCTGTCGAGTCGAATTATTTCCAAGATTCACGTAGCGGGGCGCAAGACATTGGACCACGCCGATGGCGCCGTGTCTGAGCGTATTCATCACGGAGCAACCCCCCCCGAACAGACCCCCGCAAGATAGCAACGGCGCGATCGCTTGCAAGCAGCCCGTTGACCATGTGGACACCATTTCCATCCTCAGTACTGAGTATCAGGAACCTCGTGCAAAATCCTTTGCACATACCCAGCCTCATCTCCGTCCATCCTTCGCGCTACAACCCCCTACACCTAAGCCTAAGCCTATGAGCACCCTTCCCTTCTCATCTAGCCCCTCTCCCAGAGAACCACCCTCTGCAGAATGCACCCCAGCTCGGAGGTTCCCATCCCATAATCCTATCCAACCCTCTCACCATCTAGGTACATCGTCACTCCCCCAACCAAGTCGTTTCAGGCCCCACCCCCCACCTCCCGCACGAGTCATTCGCGCACCCCAAACACCTCGCGCCTCGCGCCTCGACCATCCCTTCCATCCCGTTCCGTCCCCTTCAGCGCAAAAGCCAAAAGCAAAGGACACCACGCCACGCACGGGAACTAGAACTAGAACTACGCCATCGCTTCGTATCTCGCAGTGCCCACCGTCGACACGCGCCTCCAATCCTTTGCTGTCCGTGGCGGCACCCGGCGTGCCGCGGCGTCCAATCATGCGCCGCAGCGCGAGGGAAGACGAACGGGAGGGTAGGCTATACTAGCCTGGCGTTGATGCGCGCGGGAAGGGAAGGGGAGGCAGCGCGCCGCTCGCAGCCGTTGCGCCTCGTGGTCGAGGTGAATCGCAGAATAGCTCAATTTGGAAGGGGCGTGAATCAGGGGCAGCTAGATAGTGTTGGGTCAGGCTTGGGCACGGATAGAATGCGAGATGGAACAGGAGGGGGGAAATGTCTGGGTGTGTGTGTGTTGGCGCGCAGTCTGCGATGGTGCGAAGCGGCACAGCCGTAGCCGCGAGTAGGATGCGAGCCTTACGCTTGGGTGTGCACGCGATGGGCGGCGCAGTTCTGGGGAGACGAGTCTGCCTCACAGCCGCCGCAAAGGGGGGCTTCCCTTTCATACGCCGCAAGCACTGTAGGGAGAGCGTTTGGGATGGCTTTGTGAGTGTGTTTATTCATCGGTGAAGACTATCTCATCATTGCTGAGTTTTGCACGTCGCTTCCGCTGCGGTAGGAGGCACAAATTGTGACTGCCGCGGATACCACTGCGAGAACGGGGTATTTGCAAAATTATGTACATGCAGGGAGTGGTTGGGTGAGCCCGAGGGACGATTGTATTCAAATCAAGCCTCTATGGGACTGGGTATGAAGAAGGAAAACGACATGGTCGACGGCCGTAAAAGTGTACACGGGCACTCGTGGACCGCGCCGGAACACCGAAGTGAGTGCGCAGTAGAATAACAAACGCTGCAAACTGGGCACCATAAGATTGGTCTGCAAAGAACATAGCTAGAAAAACAAAGACGGCGCACTGTCGTCTCGAACAGATAGGGTATAGGACAGAAACGAAACGCTCATTGAATGTGGACATAGGGCATGAAGTGATGTGCTTCCACCGGGCTCATGGCGTAAGTAGCATATGTCGGCATGTGGTGCTCGTAGGTGGTGTACGGAGTTGGGCCAGGGTCGATTTCGGCCCATTTGCGCGCACATTGCCGGGCTGTCCATTTCTCTGCTGCACCATACTCGAGCATCTAGCGCGGTCAGTGGTGTCTTTGGACAGCGTGCGCACTCTGCTCACCTTTTGGGCAATGATGTCAAACTTGCTCTGAACCCAGTATTCGTGTGCCATGCGGAGTGCCTTGACATCGGGCTCAGTCCACACACGCATGCGTTCCCGAAGCCTTTTCAGGCGCATCTGCAATGCGGGAATCTGGTATGTCTTGCCGAGATCTGACTGGAAGCGAGCAGCAATGTCTTTCCAGGGCATGCTTTCCTCATCCTTGAGTCTGATAAGGAGTCGGTCCTCTTCGCCTAACTCTATTGTTGCCGAAGTGCTAGACTCTGATCGTTTTCTCCTCTTTGATTGATCTGATTGCTCATCGTCATCTTCGTGGGACCGTTTCGGAACGCTCCTGCGAGAACCAGCGGGGTGGGGAGCGATCGGAGCATATAGGCGGCGTCCGTTTGGCAGGTCGCCGGAAAAGTCCATTCCCGGCTCGCTCAGACGAGGGCTACGCGGGTACGTCGGACTGGAGTAATAGTGCTGGTGCATGGTCGGTCCAGAAATGCCGAGAGGATTCATAGTCCAAGATGGATAGTCCAGGGGAGTACTTCGCGGCCGACTGGGCGAAAGGCCTCCAGAAAGATGAGTAGATGCGTCGGGAGAAGGCTCCTGGTGGACGTACTCTGGCTGTGGGCCTTCGGAGCCTCGCGAGCACTGCGACACTGGGGAGAAATTACCTGCTGGGTGCTCTATGCTCGATGGTGCGGATACCGCGACGTCGGATGTTGACGAAAATTGGTGGTGTGGTGAGTAGGGCCCAGCAGATGGCGTATGTGAAGGAAGAAAAGACTGGCTGTATGGGAAAGCACCAAAGGTCTGCAAACGATCGGTCAGCATGATGGCGGGGCAAGTGAGCGGCTGACGAACCTCGTTTTGAGCGTCTGGGGCCGAAACCGAAGCACCAAACCAGCTCGAAGAGGGAGGAGCTTCTTGTGTGGGAAGCGGGCTGTCGTGCAGGCGCGGGACGAACGTTGTCAGCGACTCTGGGGTCATGGGAGTGGGCGAGGAGGCAGAAGAGCCGTAGCAATGAGAAGAGTACGACGGCCAGGGAGAGGTGGTCGACAGCTGCAGATGCGGCGGTGGGGGCACAGCACTTTCAAGTATGGCCGGCATGGTCACGACTGTGCCGGACGCGGGAAGTCGATTGGACTGGTCTGGAAGCGTATGAGAGGAGCCGTGCGTAGTGTCCTTAGCCTGGGCGCGGTGAGGCGTACAAGCTGTAATACGCTTTGATGGAAGAAGATGATGATCGTGATCGAAGCAGACGAGGAGCATCGATACGGATATATCAACTCATGGTAGCAGGGCCCAGCGGTCGAGCTAGCTGGAAGCTGTGCAGAGGTCTTAGTGCGACAACTCTATCGACGCCCCCGGTTCACGGATTCTGAAGGATGGGCACGACGCACAGCCAGACCAGGGCGTGCATCTTAGCGCCTGCACGCTGAATCCATGCTGCGTCCATGCTGCATCCATGCCCCACGACCGACCGGGCCTCCATGGATCATGGATGATTGCGCTGGAGCCGCATGATGACCACGGGCCCCTGGGCTGTTGAACGGCTGCGCCCGGCCCAGTGGCGGCCTGTGCACCTGCCAGGAACGATATGCTGGGAGTCGGCGACAGAGACTTGAGTAGCCTTGCCAGTTACGCCGTCTACGGGAAGCTGGTGGATCTGTAACGGGAGCGAGGATTGTTGTGGATGTCACTGAGGCGGCCTGAGAACGGCATGCCAACCTTGTCGCAACACCAAACTCCACACAATGAGGACACTGCCTTCGCGCGCAAGTCGAAACGGCCTCACAGACCTCGCTGGCGTGCTGGCGAACGTATGCTCTGTCGCTCCTCGCGGCTAGTACGTCGCTGGCCGTACGATCCTTCGCGCGTCCATGTAGCCGTCCTCGGGAGCCAGAAAACACCGTCGCCAGTCAATTGGCGGTGCCTAAAGACCGCAAAATCAGCCTGAAGCGGCGCGGTCTGAGTGGTGGCCGTTGAAGACAGCCACAGCGCCGTGCATGACGCCAAAGCCCGCTAATTTGCTGATTACGGTACGAAGCTCGCCTTCAACCTCAGCTCTCGAAAAAATGGTCTAGAGTACGAGACGGATACGCCATCACTATAACCCCCCTCGTCTTCATGCCCGGATTGTCTAGAAGCGACTACAGCGTTTCTTGTTAAACTGCCTGAGCATTCTGTTCGCAGCAATTGCCGCAATGACCCCCTGCGCCCGTCCACGATAGAGCTGGATTATGGCCAGGCCAAGTTCAGGCATCCACTCTCTCGCTCACGTTCCGCCGTAGTCGCCTGTCTACCTGTGTTTTCGTATCATCTTACAGCTACGACGCTCACCGGAGACCGACCACGGCGCGGCTCAGCGTTGACCGCGCCAACGCCAGTGAACAATGTGTACATCAGTTGTGGCCTGAAGGTCAACGGTTCGGACGCTGCTGCCAGTAGCGACGGTCCAACTTGCTGCATCTGTCTAGGGGCGCCCCGTATGAACTGTAAACACGACTTTGCGTCTACCTGCAGCCAGCCGCAGATTGAATTGCATCGACATGCAAATCTTTGATCAACATATAAGGCCAACGCCACCATTCGACCACACAGGCCAACGCCAATGACCCACATTGTATCCGGGGCTGTCGCTGTCTTTGGTTGTGGGTCTAGATCAATTATGGAAACAACCCATAGTTGTGGGCGCAGGGTCCTGCGAGGGGAACACTTTTGCTACGCAACCCTGCATCCAGAGGCATTCCTGCAGCGGAGGCGGCTAGGGCGAGGCTTACAATCTGGTTGGCGGAGTAGTCTGCCTGGCCCTACAATAGACTGTCACGTTAGCTGCGTTTCTGTAATGTGACTAACCTAAGACACTTGCTGAGCTTCCGCGTTCTCAATCCGCAACCTCGACAGCACGTGGGCTGACCCAGTGTTCTCGAGATGTCTCACTCCACCGCTATCGGCGCGATTGCTGCTGCCCATGTGCCCTACATCTCGCTTCGGCCACCGGATTCCGGCAAGCCACGAAACACGAAGCCGACTTCAAGATCGCCGGGCGGGACCACACGGGACGCTTGGAGAGCCCGGCAGGGTCAAGTTCTGCCGGGACCGTCCGCGTAGCCGTGATTGACGTGGTTGAGATGCACAGTTCGCCAAGATGACATGACAAGCACCATACTGTCGGTACAGAGAATATCGCGATAGCCGCAGCTGTTGTGGCACGATGGGGATTTGATCCAAAGTGCTAGATACGCAGCTCAATCGCTTTCAGCTTGGCCATGTCATCCTTTTCTCGACGCAGATGCAGGTAGTGCTTGTCGGGGATCATCTGAACAAGAATCGAGGTGGCGCCGGGGGCTAGTTTAGCGACGGCCGGGCGTTGGCGATTGCCTACCTCGATATGTGATGAAGCGTCGTAAGGCAGTACAGAATCCGACGGAACAAAGGTAGTCACTACTGGGACGATTGTTGGTCTGGTGCCCCGCCAAATCATGGATCTATGCTTTGTCGCCGATTCAACATGCTGGTAGGAGATCCTAACGGGGATCATCTTGTTTCGAGGCGATGGTTTCTCCGGCATTGGCATCTTTCAGCTGCAATCGCGCCATAGCCATTGGCTTGTCAAGTTTGGATTGGAGACGATTCTCCGGTCTGCACTCGGCAGGACAACCACCGTCCTTGGTGCGAGGTTCCCGATCGAGTGTACTGAGAGATGCGTATGGTGTTCTGTATGCCACTGTCCTGCATATTCAGGGTCCCGGGTGGCTGCTCTTCCCTGCTGACAGGCGAATTTGTTAAGCCTCATGGCAGAACCTTGGACCCTGATCGCCTAGGCGAAGCTGGCCGTTTGCTAGAACTGCATTGGGGCTTGCAGCCAGCGCACGTACACTTGAGCATTACTGCTTACTTGCAGTGCAGCCACGGTAGCTGGCATAGCATTTTTGAGATCCGCGTTGCGCGCTCCGCTGTAGGCAGCACTGAGCGCCGAAAACAAGGTTGTTCTGTTTGAACTGGCTGGGTAGAGGTCCGACCCAGCCGTGTGTTAGCACGACAACCTCTGGATCAGCAACACTGCAGAAGCAGCCACAGCGCCAGCAGGGTGCATAGGCACGCCTGGCGGCGTGAACCAGCGGAGCAGATGGCCTCGGCACCGCTGGCCATGTGGCAGACGTTTGCCACCGAGGGTCCAAACTGCGTCTGTGGTCCACGCGAGGCTGGCCGCAGGGATGAGGCTGGCCGGACCCACAGTGTAGCAGGCGTCCATGGCCCGCCATCCAGACGGCTCGGGAGGTGCGGGTTAGGAAGGTACAGCTGTGTACAGCGACGGGCAAGAGCCATGGCGGGTGCGGCGCGTCCAGGACGCATCGTTACCGGCAGACAGCCGAGACGGCGGGTGCAGATGCAGGTTTCTTGCAGCATAGTCAGGGTCCAAGGTCCCTCCAGGCTGGGACACGGGGGAATGTGTTGGAAGGGTGCTCTGGCATTGGATTCTGGCCGAGTCTGCACACGCTCGCGTCAGCATGCAGCAGGCGCCCCGGGGCGTTTCCGTGCAGAAGGCGGGTCTGTGGAGTGAGGGTGATGGCGGTGAGCGTCTGCTCGAGGCCTGCTCTCCGCGCCGGCGCCGGTGCACGCAGTGACGAGACGGACGGTGGTGCAACGCGAGCGTGGGCACGGCGACGTCAGCTCCCTAGGCCCAGCGCGGCTAGACGCGTCAACCAGGCCTCGGGCCGGACGACCTCAGGTCCACGTCGCTACTCCAACCTCCAGCAGGCAGCCTGTTGCCCCGATAGCGAATACGCCCATTCACGCGGCCCCCACGACCCCCTCCGACTCGCCCGCTGGCTCCGTGCCTGCCGACGCGTGCTGCGCACCTCGACGCGACACTGCTCAGCTCCGGTTCCGCTGCCGGCCGCGTGCTGCGTAGCACGTAGCACGTAGCACCCGCCATGGGCTTCAACGTCTTCCACGTCCTCGGCGACGTCTCCCACACCGTCTCCAAGCTCATCCTGATATGGGCCATCCACGCCAACAGCAGCGCTGAAGGTGCGCAAGCCCCCGCTGCCCGAGGCCCGGCTGACCCGCGCCCCAGGTGTCTCCCTCATCACGCAGGTGCTCTACGCCCTCGTCTTCTGCTCGCGCTACCTCGACATATTCACCACCTCGCCCGCGCGCGACTTTGGCCACACATGGAACTTCTCGCTAAAGGTGAGCCCACGCAGAGCCTCGTGCCGGGGTCCCAGCTAAGCGCACCCAGATCTTCTACACCCTGTCTTCGCTCTACATCATATTCCTCATGACTAGCGTCTACGCTCGCACAAGGGAGCGCGAGAAGGCCTGGAAGTTTGGCATGTACTGCCTGCTCGCACCCATCGCCATCACCCCCGTCTGGTACTGGCTGTTCCGCGAGACCGTCATTGGCAGGAACGCCTTCTTGAGGGTCATGTGGGTCTTTTCCGAGATTCTTGAAGCAGGCGCTGTCGTGCCGCAACTTTTGCTGCTGCGCCAAACAACCGTGCCAACCGTGCTCGACTCCTTCTACCTGGTCGCGCTCGGAGCCTACCGCTTTCTCTACATTCTGAACTGGATCACCCGTGCGACGAAAGAGGATGATTACAGTGACCCTACATCCTGGGTATGGGGAACCATACAGACTGCGCTTATCCTCGACTTTGCCTGGGTCTATTGGAGCCGACAGCGCGTGAAGCTCCGACGAGGTGGTGTCGTAGACTCGGAAGACCTGGGCCGCGGTTGGCTTGTTGGCCGCTTTGTCGGTCGGAAAAGTGTTGATTTCGACTACGACGAAGAAGAAGCGCGGCCCGCCGACCAGGAAGCTCGCCCACAGAATGCTTGGGGACGCCGAGGCATCTCTGTCTCTGCAGACGAGGATGTGCATGGCGCCCCTCGCCGCAAGAGTCCCGGGCCTGGCAATGCAGATCCAGAAGCCCAGCCTCTAGCAGACCCTGCCGCTTTTGAGGATGATGAGAGCGATGATGGTCTGGATTCGCCCCCTCCAGCAGCTCGAACAGCACACGAGAGTGGAGTAATGGGTGGCGACGAGTGGAACGAGGATGTCGATGCAGACGCACAGGAGCATACAGGAGTTCCCGAACGAACTTCCTAATTCATCGTCGTGTCATTCAGACATTGTTACGAGCTTGGTCTTCGTGTGCCAGGGAGGTGAACAGGAATCGAAGCAGCACAGCTGCAAGGACTGTCCATCCTCCCCTGTCAGCATGCATATTGTACACTTGCTATTAGCGCAGCAATTGATACCTTCCATCTTTCCAGGGTCTTGTCCATGCGTGTATTCGGCTCGATTCTGACCGAATCGACAGCCATGTGTTTGCACCCGCTGAACTGTGAATCGCCACAAAATGACTGAATCAGCAATCTGGACGACGATAACGGAAGGATCCTGCGCAACGGTCGGGCGCCCGCGGCGACCCGTTAGCCGTCAACAACACCCTTGCTCAGGACATGCATCTAAGCGAGCTTGATTTGAAACGGTATAACGCCACATGACATGTCCTCCGCCCCGATATCTTACTCGGAAACTCGCAAACGTACATTGCCTTGCGGCCTGGTGAAGTGTTGCTACGCAGCTGTGGCCGGTGTCGGAGAAAGCTCTGCCACCTCAAGCTGTCCAAAGACCGGCTTCCGAAGCTGTCTTCACTGTCTTCGCTCTCGTCAGACATCTCGTATCGCTGCGTGAGCACAATCCGAAAATCACCACCGATTAGCTCTCCTTCGGCCCTAAATGGCAAACGAGTCACCCAAAGTCGAAGATACCCGATGTGGTATCAGCTGCGCACTATGTGTGTAGCCATACATTAACTTGCCTAGGGCCAGCTCCTAAAGCCTGGCGCAATCTTGGTCAAACGACTACTAACCGCTCTGCCTCTGGTGCTTCAGTAGCGCTCCGCCTATGCAAGCGAGCGCCTTCGCAACTTCCAGAGTGTATCTCTACCAACAAGACTCGCACGATCCCAGGACTGCGAAAATGACCTCCTGAACTGGTAGATCGGAGCAAGTCGTTGCGACTTGCACGAACACCGATGCGCTGCCCTGCCACGGTCTCGAACATCGGCGAAACATGTCTTACTGTATCCAGGACCGCGCTATCCCTGTTGTGAGGGTGCTCGCATCGCTATGGGAGGGGTCACGGGCCGCAAGGCCAGGTGCATTCGGCAGCATACGTATTTCTTGCAGCTTCGAACCCCTCACTAGCCGCCTTCTACTCCACATCTTGGCAGCGGTAGTTGGATTTAGCATTTATGTGCGTGCTTCCGTACACTTGGGTTCTAATCACGGTTACAGAATATCGCCGCGATGCTCTGCGAGTGAATCCATATGCTTAGGATTCGTTCTGACTGACGGAGGTTGCCTTGAACGATTAGGAAAGCGGCATTGCATTAAGGTGTTTCGAGTAAGCCCGTCCCGACCTTGTGGTATGCTTTCTGATTATCTGATATCACGAGTGTGTGGGCGGCTGTTCATTACGATCGTAGCGTATGCAAGTCGAAACGAGCCGAATCGTTCCAATATGCCTCCGTCTTCTTATGATAGGATTTATGGTTCTGTTATTACCCCTCCGATCGTCGGAGGATGAACTCGTCTGCGGAAGGCTGCCAATGACAGTTCTAACGTGGCAGTAATATGAGCTCATACTTGACATCGACATACAATGGGCGGTAATCGCGATCTTGGGTGTATTTGGTGGTCTATGCACGGGGTGTTGTCCACTAAGGTACCTTTGTCACGGTACTGTACGACAGTACACTCAACGGTTCGCAGTAGAAGCCTCATACGACGTTAGGCGAACGCCAGAACGAGCTTCGCAATTGCGTGCCAGCGACTAGTAGGCGCTTAAGGTTCCGAGAATATTCGGCCACATCGACCCGCTATTGTGCTCGAGAAATGCTTGGTTCATCGAGTAGCCGGCATCAGCGAAGCGGGGACCGCCTTGCCGTTCACTACGCCTGGTCACGAAACGGCCGCCCAACTGCCCCGTTCGGCAAGATGATAGACAATCACACCGATAGCAGGCACCCCAGTCGGTGTACGTTCGAGTAGCCCTACCACGTTATCGGATGAGTGGTATCAGGTCCATCCCATCGCTGCGGGTAGGAAGACATCGACCTCAACCCACGGGGCGCTCCTCATGAATCCAACGTTTTAAAGGTCCAGGCCTGGGGCTGTGCGTCACATGGCGATTCCTATCAATTTGGCCGTTGGCATTGCATGGGATGTTGATGGCAGATCCGTAACAATGCAGATCCGACGGCGGCATCACGGACGCTCGTGAGAGGGTTCAAACGGAGCTGTGACCGGTGGAGCTTGTTCGTTCCCCACAGCCGTTCACAGCCGTCCCAGGCAAGAGGTAAACACTACATGTGAAGCATCCACCTCAACAATTCAGATGCTCCAGAGAATGAGCTCTAGTACACAAACGTGCTTACTGACCGGATCTGAGCGATCAGATAATCCGTGTAGTCGCTAAGAATGAAGCGTTTCTTTTCGGGGCCGTGGACGAGACGGGCAGATTAGCGAGAGTCCCTAGGCTGCCTATTGAACGGCGAGACGTTTGTGGAGTGCGTGCATGCGCCTCTCAGCAGGCTGGGGCCCTGGCCGCCCACGACTCCCCACGCAATGGAAGCCACTCCATCTGCGGCGTGTACATCTCAATACCGCGTGCAGTGGTGGCCCACTTCGCCAAAGGTCAGCGTGCGCCAGCGTGGCCTCCGTGTTCGCGAGATGTCGCCATTTTGCAACACGACCACGGGTGGAGATGCATTGCGCTTCCTTCGCGAGGGCGACCACCCCCTCATTGCCCACCTGTTCAGCAGCCTGTCTTGCACGAGGGGACCAATAACCAAAGCATCGGTAGAGCAGGTATGGACGCCAGGCGTGCCGTTATCTCAAGGCCAGGCAGACCGGAACAGATGCAGTCGTTTTCGACGGCCCATCCCGCACGCCGACAATCCCTTTATGGCTTGACTTGCTTTTGGCTTGCATGCCGCTGCTGACTCGCTTCCGCCCGCGCCGACCGGCAGTCTTCCGCTCTGGGAGCCGGGAAGCGGCCAGTGGCCAATCACTACAAGTAACGGGGCTCGCTGACATGCTGTGCATTTGGTTTCACGGCCCGCGCAAGGCCGCTTACAGCTTTGGCACCCAGCTCTCGATTGACCCCTGCACCCATCCCGGGCGCCACCAGCTGGGAGATGATGCTGAGACAGCACGCCTCACGCGAATATTACTGTTTATCTCGCATTTTGCTACCATTCCGACCGCGATAGGATAATGTTCAAACCTTCGGAGACCGAAACGCAGCCGGGATCAACCACAACGGCGGAACTGCATCTTCTAGCGAGTTTCTAGAAATATGGATACGCTTCGTCATGTGTTCTGGCGTGGGAGACTGAATGCATTTGCACATGGCTGAGTGAGGAACGTCCGAACTGTAATATATTAGCCGCGAGAGCCCATTGTTGCACATACCCCTCCCATATTGACATGTATTGCTTCGGCGATGCGGGCACAAGTCCGGGGCTGGACTCATTGCGCAGTCGCTGTGTGAAGATAGCAATGGTAGCTGAGGCACTGGATCCGGATCGCTGGTGAGTCCAAGATAGCACTGTCCGGAAACCGCTAATTCGGTTTCCCAGCAACCGGCTGTCACCAGTACGTGGAGACTGATCGACTGTCGTGCAAGCATCGGCTGTCCATCTCCAGTCCGGGGCGCCTGTCTTGTGTGACCCGACTTTGAGGTCGGACATCGGCGGTCGCGCAGGGCTGCAAGTACATCCACAAACCTATCAAGACTGTCACCACAGCATCCTGACGCAGTGGCAAGAGAACTTTCTGCATCCGCTCAACTAAGCCAAGTGCCTGGTCCATAAGAACCAGCCTGCCTTCAGCCCACCCGCCTTCACTACTCTGTACTGCTCACATCACCCTCCGTCCCTACCTTTACTCCGCTATCGGATCGGCCACGGCCCCCTCATCACATCGGCCCTGCATGCAGCCCGCGGGCAGGGGCAGCGCATCCGTCCCTTGCACATACGTCTTGCTTGTCATCTCCCCGTCTGCCCTCCAATCACGCCCATGTCAGTGTCCATGTCCCCATCGCGCACCTACGCGAAGTCCGACACCGCAACGAGGCCGCTAGCCCCTGTTGGGCGCTCCGCGGGTACCGCAACCAAGGCTGAGGTCAGCGGCCGCAGGCGAGGTGATCTGCCGCGTGGGCAGCTCTGAAGGCGGGGAGCCACGTGGTTTGGTCCCCGAATAGCATGCGGGCGCGGAGACTCGGGGCGGCATATTATGCCGGAGAGAGGTCGTGAGAGCTCGCGAGTCTCGCGGTGCGAACGACAAGTCGTCGTTTTACGCTGTCTGTATAGCCTACCGAAACATCGTCCCTGGGGAAAGATAGACAAGGCACTCGTATGGACTGCCTCCTTTACGGTGCAGCGCGCACGCGCGCACTCGGAGGCATAGGATCCCATGATGTTGCTTCTGACTTACGAACCATGCCTATACTCTGCAGACAATTAGACTCCTCATCGTAACAGCTATGCTATCCGATCCCTCTCCAGGATCATATCAGGGCACTCCTAGTAGGCGGAGCGGCTCCGCGGATTCAGTCCCGGCTATATTCCTACCTGGCCAGCTCGAGCCAATCGGCAGCGCTGTCTGGCCAGCGACGCGGCCGTTACTGTAGACGTCGGCGTGGGCAGAGGTACCGAGAGCGTGCCTGGAGGTTTTAGTCTATGCGTGATGAAAGTGCGCACCCAGGAAACGCGGGAAGCCTAAGCTTCCGTTCCCGAAGTCTCGGAGTGCGATGGGATTTTCCTTGCGGGAGTTTCAGGCCGTGAGAGACGTGAGGGGAAAGCGTAGGATGCGTGTGTGTCGGGTGAATGTTCTTGAGCAGATTGAGATGAATCTGACTCTGGCTTGCAAGTCGTATTCTCAAATTAGGATTAGGATTCCACTGAACAACCAGATCCTACAGATGCATTTATCATCAATCTAGTCCCACTGTCCCCCTCTGTCAGCATGCTCCTTAGTAATTGGTCTCATCTCCTCCCACGTCGGCGAGTCTTGTAGACGCATAGCGGGGAATGTAGAGATAGGAAGCTAGGCGTCGGTCTCCGAGTGTCTATCGTGAGAGTATAGCGTGGGCGTTATCATCGTCGCCCGGACAAACTGAGCCGGACCAAGAACTAGGGATGAACGGGGCACAGCAGTGTATTGAAGCTCCCTGATATCCAGACGGGCATCTCGATGCATTCACATACTTCTATACCATCTAGACTTCCCCTAGTAATCAGCGTTGCGGGCAAAAAGGGTCCGCTAATCCGCACAAATCACACCATCGATCTGTGCTTTAGATGTGCTATCATTGGGAGGATCAATCAGGTTTATGGTTACGTGAAAAGCGGGTGCGATTAAGAGGGCCTTGCTACAGAGAGTAGCTAAGCGGTATTTGGAAACAGTCGAGCTGCTACTCGGTTCCCCCTCCGAAAGTGAACTGCAGCAACATTAGTTTCGTCGACGCTCCACACCTACTACTATATTGCGTGAGGGAGGAGTCCCTATTGACTTATATGACTCCGGTGAGAAAGTGTAACACGGTTGCAAGCATCCAATTACCTTCCATACCCCAAGTATTTTTACTCAGCAAGAAGCATCTTCGAAATCTCCCAAATCAACTTTATTCTGCGGTGGATGCCAGAAAAGACCGCGCTACATGTAACAGAGCCCCACCGTAGCCAAATACAATCATACCGCATCGTACTCTGACCTCGTGCTCTAACTCGACCCATTCATGATACCTCTATCTCTATGCATATGCGAGAGAGAGACGGACCTTGCCCAGGCAAGATAGACATCACGCATACACAAACCGCCCCACTCCCACGTACCCATCCCATCATTCATCGGTAGCGGGCGTAGAATGCCTTCCCACACAGCGACGGCCCTGTGGACTGGATGCTCAGGACGGGTAGACTACTGCGGGCTCTCCCTATAGAGATCTAATATACATACATAGAGTGAGTGAGATTTCCACATTTTCAACATCCACCCCCCCCCCCCCCATGCTTGTGCTCCCCAGCAAACGCACCACATCTCCTTCACCTCTCGTATCCCCTGCACATCGTACGACACCTCTCTCACGACCGTCCTAGGTACGCGGCTGGTTCCTAGCTAGCTATCCTGTGCGGAACGGAGAAGGAAAAGGGGACGTGATATCTCCTTGTTCCCGCGCTGAATATGAATACGAGACAGGTAGACGAGGGGGCGACTACACACATTCACCTTTAACCCAATTCCCCATGCAATCCCCTGGTAAAGCACAGATTACGCATATCCGGCCGTGAGACGAGTGTGCGGTGGTGAGCTTGGGCATGTACGACGGCCATGTCTCCACTCTAAAAGACACGCGCGCATGGCTAAAGCAGCCTCACACTCTCACTCCCACCAGCGGAGACGAGGCGAGACCGCAGGGTGAGGAAGTGCCACGACACGACCCGGCATACACCTCACGCGCGATGCAGCTGAGCAGATGCTAGATGACAAGGATGGAGGAACATAAATCGTTTACTTGCTGCACACTTTTCTCTACCACATCACATTATATTTATATACGACTGCGCTAAAAACTCACCATCTGTTATTTCTTATTAAGAAATAAAGAAAAAGAAATAAGGAGGAAGGACTTGTTCGCTTTCGCTCGCCCAGAGCAGATAAAAGTTGGGTAGTATACTCGCTGTCCCACTCCACCACATCACACCTCACCTCAATACAAAGTGATTTTCGCCAGTCTTATTACGTCTCATTTATCTCGCTGCAATATTCTTTGAGGTGCCCTCAACCCTATTCGACGGGAAATTATCTGTATGGAGATTCAGCAAGATGATATTTATTTTCTGGGATTGCCTTATATCCTGCGACAATATAACTCATTACTACATCAACATTTTGGCACCCGACAGAGTTCGTCCACATCGTTTTGCCCTGGCTTGCAAAAGCCCGCGAAGAGTCTACAGTTGACTACACTAGTAGATACCTACCTACCCGGGTACGTAGACACCGTCCCATCTCACCCCTCTGTCCCCTCGTTTACACTACTATTATCCTCAAATTTCCCCAATGGATCATGGTGGAATGTCAGATATATCGTTGTCGGAAACAACGAGAATTGATATGTCGCTGCATTTCTCCGGCGGCGTAGGATACAATTGAGCTGGTCACCATCCGCCTGCAGTACTTCCGAAGCGGCGCTTGTGGCACCCACCTCTCTTCGTAGTGAATCGATTTCCTTGCGGGCATCTATCTGGTGACGATCGTGGTGCTCACGGATGGCTCTATGTAACGCAATAGTGGAGTCATGAAGCTGCCTCTCCATGTCCTGTTCAGTTTGTAGTAGTCCTCGTACACGATTTGCCCGGCAGAAGTTTCATAGAGCTGAAGTCTCCCTGAAGATAGCTCGGATTGTATTTTCAGGACCAGGCTGCGCTCATGGTCCAATATAGTGTCGACAATTGCCAAAGCCGATGCGTTGTTGCAGTAGAGCGGCATGGTCCGACCACCACCTACAATCATGTCGCCCCAGAATTTCCGGTTGCCCACCAGTTCGGCTTTTCTGTTGCGGCCAGCGGAATCGTGGATCTCGTCCCACCTTGTGGTAAACATGACAGTGGAGGGTAGCAATGCGCCCCTGACATGGCTTTGAAGACTTTGAGTGCGCGAAGTGTAGAGCCTTGTACATGATTGTCCGTGGTGCGACGCATGAACACCGGCCTGTTCGGTCTGAGACCATTATTATAGGCTTGTAGGAGCCAAAAGGCAAGCTCCTGTATGACAGTCACATCGTCCTTGTGATTGTCATCAAAGCTGGGTGTATCAATCAGATGCACAGTCTTGCCTTTGCGTTGGAATGATTCGATTGCGACCGATGTCGTATCTGGTAAATATTAGTGATGGCATAGGAATACTTGCTGACGGGAACTTACCCGCACCGAGTCCGTGTCCAGCCTGAGGGGGTGGTTTCCCAGCGCACCTCGCCACGAAAGTGCTGTTTCCTGTGCCCGTCAAACCCAGGACTACAATTTAAACATCTTTCTGGCCAGTACGTGTTAGTGAAGTAATCACCCCATAAGCAACTTTTAACCTTAGGGGACGCTCGGTCAGGTCTGCCATGATGCACAATTATGGCAATGGCCGATGATAGAAACTTTGCAATTTGGTTGCAGTGTATCAACATATTTCCACGGTATAACGCTGGTCCGTGGGAATCCCGCAATCCTGGTGATCAATCGGGAGGCGCCCGCGAGGAAGAAGGAGTGTGGGGGCATCAAGCTGAATGCGAATAATTTTGCGTTGTGCCTATACAGTGTTTTATGCACAGCCGCCTGAGTGAAGCAATGATTGTAAGGTACGGGTGCCTGAAATCTGCAGGCCTATCTATATTCTCTGATGGTGTAACGGTGGCTGCGTTGTGGTTTACACAGCTAGTAGAGGCTTAGGTATTAGAGAGGGAGCTCCACCTATAATCAGAGTATAAGTTCATAGGATACATTGATGGGCCAAGTACTGCATTATTAGAGCAGTAAAGTCCTGTCTTCACTTTCAACCAAGAAAGAGGCCGTTGCAGACCGTCCGGCTAGACTCCAGACTCTCCTCCCATCATCAACAGCACGCTTTCTCCTTGATGGAGGCGGTCTCCGCACACTATCACAACATCATGCCCTCAATTTATAGGTACATAATCATCCTGCGAAGAAACGCCGATGTCGTATACCTCAATATAAGTATTGTCGCGTCCCCCACCCCAACATATAAGAGCGACGAGAACACCGCCGTTCCAAAGATTATCTGCAGTCTACAACGTCGGATGCCGGGGATAGGGCCGACAATACAGCCTTGCGTCGCGCAATGGAACGCGAATTGGCCATCTCTGCCACCAATACAGACACTGTACCTGACAAAATCGAAGGAAGCCTTCACGAAATGGGCAGAGCCGACGTGTCCGACCAAGTGCATCCAGGTGCCTGGAGCACAGTTCTGCAAAGCACGTCCTCACTCAGGCGTCTGTTCAATCCCCGTCACCCCTCGCGAGTCCCTACCCCAGCAGCACCGCAACACACGCTCGGGATGTGCGTGTGCAGATGAATTCGGGACACAGACACGCTCCGCCCGCCGTGCCTGAGCCCGACAGAAAAGAAGCCTACCACCACACTTCCAGGCCGCCATGCAAGTGAGATATGCTGAAGGAGGCAGACCCGAATGCAGCAGCGCATTCGTTTCAAATCCAGTCCAGCATGGTCGGGCTTCTCCGAGACCACCCAAGCTCCCGCTGTCCTGTGGCCCAAGCCAGGAGCTGGACAAGCGAGCCCCGTGTACCGCCAACCACGACGCTCAGCTTCCAGCGAGACAGCAGATGGTGCTGGCGTTATTTACTTGATGCATACTTTTCTATTCTCTGTCATATCGCGTCATATACATAGGTGGCTGCGCCGACGACTCACGGTCCGCCAACGCTCGTTGAGGGAGGAAGAAGGAAATAGGAAGAAAGGGAAAAGACTCAGACGTCATCGCTTGCGCAAAGCAGACTGAAGTCGGGTATCATACTCGCCGCACGCTCCACACCACTCACCACCCACCATCCCACCTCGCCGCTGGTCTTCTGGCAGGAAATCACTATGCCCCCGTCCGGAGACACGTGGTTCTTCCCATCTATCCATCCCAAACAAATGAAGACCTCGCTTGCCCACAGCAACCCTCCCACGCCACCTGCCCACGCTCACGCTCTGCCCACTCACTACGCACTCCCCGGCGGCCCCCCCATATTCAGCAGAATATCCAGCATATCCATGCCGCCAACATCCGGCCCCATGGCTGTCTGACTGATATCTGCGCCCCACTGATCCAGCAGCGGATCCAGCGGGAGCGCAAGCCAGTCCTCGTTCTGAAACCCGCCTCCTCCCGCGCCGTTGCCCCAGCCCTGTGCCTGCCACCCGCCGTTGCTGTCGACCTTGCCGTTGCTATTGGTGCTATTGTTGAAGCTGGCATTCGACGAGAAGCCTGGTGGCGGCATAATGGAGATCTGGTTGGAGGTGGGGTCGTACGACTCGAGCGAGATGCCGGCGAGGGAGTTGTACTCTGGGATGGGTGTTGCGCGGCCGGACGCCGTGATGCCGGCGCGGCCGAGGCCAGGCGACCCTGGCCGCGATAAGCCGGTGAAGTTGCCGAAGGTGAAGTTGGGGTTTGCGCCGTTGTTGCCGTTGAGCGTCTGTGGGAGATACGTGGCGGGGGGCGGGCCCATGGGCGTCTCGCCGCGGCTCCGCGGGGGCGGTGTGACGCCGCGGGAGTTGCCCGTCGAGCCGTTTGCCGCGAGCCGGACGAAGCGCCCGCGGATCCTATGCGTGAGCGTGTCGACGAGGTCGGCGAAGCGGTTGCCGACGTGCACGTCATCGACGATGGAGGTACGGAGGGCGTAGACGGCTTGGTCGAGCAGCCCCAGGGTTTTGGCCACGTCCTTTTCGGTTGCGCCGAGGGCGAAGGTCTTGAGCAGGATGATGGCCACGGACACGATGCGGAAGAAAGTGCGGACGGGCGCGTGGCGGAGGTAGCCCTCGGGGTACAGTCCGTTGACTACAATGCTCAGGACATTGCGACTCGCACTGACTACTTCGTCGATGTGGTGCCTGTCGTTTCCGTACCATCTCGTCAGGGTGCTGAACGGTATGGCGCCACCTTCGTCGTTTGCAGTAGCGGATGGACCCATTCCGTTGGGTTGTGCGTGCGTCTGTTGCGGCGTGTTGTGAGTGCAGCGCTCTACAACAGCCTGCAGGGCTAACGAATTCACATAGACGCGCGTGTACTCGTACTCAATTGCAAGGACATGACGAAGCTGTGGGGGCACTTGAAGCAGTCAGAGAAAGCATCACACATCTACATCGGACAACGAACCTTGGGGTGCAGCTTCGAAGCCGCGCTTCCAGTCCACAAGCGGCGTCTGGAAATTCTGGAGTAGCTCCTCGTACTTGCCAGACTTGAGCAGGTCCCGCGTCCTACGTCTGTTTGGGAACAATTTGAGGTTGCCTATTTCCATGATCTTGGCAATGCGGTCCCAGAAGTCAAGCACAAGATCCTGTACGGCATGGCGCTCTTGGGTGGCAACAGATTCGAGCGGCAGTCGCTGGCCATCTGGCCTCATGCCGTGGTGCGGCGGAGGCGCCTTGATCCGAGCAACACGCTCCTGGTAGAGCTCGAGAGGAGTCTTTTGCATCACGGAGTCGCTCTCGCGCTTCACCTGAGGGAGCATCGACGTGAGCCCTAGCCTACCGCTGGTCTGTGTCACGTAGATGATGAGCAGGTCTTTAAGATGGTTCTTGCGCCTGAAGTAGGCTTTCACAGTCGCGTGGGAGAGATGCTGGTTGGCCTCCTCGAACTCGGTCTCGCTCGTCTCGTCAAAGACACCAATCTCAAAGGCGAGCGACACTGCATTGCCCAGCAGCATCCAGCACATGCGGTCACTCCGCCAGCAGGGCTCCAGCCAGCTATCGATGCGCTGACCGCTCTCTCCCTTAAGATGCTCCGCTGCCGCCGCGTTTGCGGGGACATCGGCGTCAAACGAGTCGTCGGGAAGGACCAACTCGTCGTCGTCGTCACCCGGCGGGAAATGGAGGGCACGGGGGTGCCACTCGGTGAGCAGCATGAGGCTTTCTACTGTGCCTAGCGTCCGCAGACCCTTGCGCGAGAGGGGATTCACATCAGAGCCCGGCTGCTGGCCTGCGCCACAGAATCCGCCCCCGAACTGCTCCTGGCCAAAGATCATGCGGTCTATCATGCCCTGCAGGTACTTCCACAGCTTCTCGTGGATCAGATACGCACGCGATATCGCGCCAGGACCCTGCGGGAAGTCGGTGGTGCGGAAGCGGGTCGCGATGGTCAACAAGGTTATCACAAGCATGGGCTCCTCTTTGAGCAGCTTGGCATGCAACGCGTGGTCGCGGTAGTCTGGCACGACAATGGGCGTCAGGGGCGAGAGGTAGGTGTAGAAGTAGTCGATGTACCGCACTGCTTCCTTGGCCGTCATCCAGCCGGCGCGCACGAAGCGGAACTTTGTCCACGCCCTGATGGCGTCGGCAAAGGCGGCCTCGTTGGGGGGCTCGGGCAGGGCCGTGTACTGCTGGGCGATGGCGGGGTCGACGGCGGGCTCCGCTGCCGCGGCGCGAGAGTGAGTCCGCGCGTGCGGCTGGGCCTGGGGGCTGGCAAAGGTTGGCTGGGAGCCGGGCGTGCTGCTGGGAGCCAGGCCGGTGGGACGCTGGAGGCTCGAGGCACTGCCGGTGCGGTGGTGCTCGATGTCGCCGTTGCGGCCGGCGGCCTCGAACAGCAGGTTGAGGGCGTCGTGGCCGCTGTAGATCTCGCCCGTCTGCATGACGGCCACGGACTTGTTGTTGAGCTTCTGGTCCTCGTCGTCGTGCGGCGGGCCGTGCGACGTGGTCGGGCGGCGCAGAGGCTCGTACCGGCCAACAGAGCCGCCGGGGGTCAAAGGCTGGGAGACGTAGGCGCTGCCGTTGGCGCTGAGGGGCGCGGGGGGGACGGGGCCCTCATCGTCGACGGTGCGGGCGCGCTTCCGGCCGTTGCGCAGCTCGTAGTCGTCGTCGTCGTCGAGGTCGCCGCCGTCCGTCTTCCTCTTGCGGCGCGTGGCGGAGAAGAAGCACTCCTTGCTCTCGCGGCGGCAGCGCACGCAGGGCGGGTCGTGGGGATTGTCGACGGGCCCCAGGTCGCACCGCACCTTGCGGCGGCGGCAAGGGATGCATGCCTGGTAGGTACGCGTGTGCGAGGGCGGTTGCGACGCTCGGCCCGGCGGCGAGGCGCTGGGGACGTCTCCGGACATGCTCTCCTACGATGCTATGCGCTGGGTCGGCTTGCGACGGCTCTCGAGCTGTAGTGCGGCCTGGCAGACGATTCGGTGCACAGAGGGCGGGCGGGTGCGCTGACTCGTTCAGTGGGGTTGCTGCATGGGCAGCGCGTGGCCGAGAACCCGGGGAGAGGCGCGTTCCTGAGGAATTGCGTGGACGAGCCCGCTGGCGAGGCCTCTCTTTTTTGCTGGAGTTGTTGCGCGCGGCCGAGGGACATGAGAACTGCGGGGGCTCGGCTGGTGCCAGGGGACGCTAGCTGAGGCGCTGCAGTGGCCAGCGCCCTTCACACCGACTACGCCGACTTGAGCCTCCGCCTGGCCTGCGCCGCACTGCTGCGCCGTACCTGCCACCGTCGTGCCGTGTGCGTGTGCATCCTGATTCGCGGGCTCGGTCGTGAGCTCGACGTCTGTGCCACGTCCGACGACCCGTCCTCAGCGCGAACACTCGTTCGCAGTGGGCTTGCTTACACAGCAGCCCAATGTCAGGACGTTCCAAGGTCGGTGGACCACGATGATTCCTAGGCGATGGGAAGCACATGGAGGTCATTGGCTGTGGAAGAAAGGCATGCTCGTGCTGCCGGTGCTTCCCATTGAAGCACCTAAGCATAACTTCACGTACCTGGCAGAGCGACAACGCTGTCTCTCTACACTGCTCGCACCCTTGTCAGCTCTCTACCCAGCATTGCAACTAGCGTACAGCCCATCGACCAGGTGCAATGCTCTTCTCGACCTTGCATCCCCGACTGCTTACACAGCTTTCCAAGTCCCTGTGAACTCTACCTTGGTAGGCCCAACACACTCAGAACTCACCATCCAAACCTACCGCTACGTGTGATGCCAGACAGAATCCGTGCAGAGTATGCGATCGACGACTACGAGGAGCTCGTTCCCAGTGAGGAACAGCCAAGGCCTCACCATCTTGACATTCCACCCCCCAAGGTTCACACCACAACAATTAGTGGAATATCTTTTTGATTCGATATGATGGGGAAGGGGCTCTACTTTTAGCCCATACAGAAAGGAAATATTAATATTGAGCGTAGAGGTTGTGGTTGTGCAGTGTCCCGTTGGCACCATTCCTCGTAGCTGCAAGAACCATACCTTTCGCGCCCGCACCTCTCGTACACATCCCCGCACCCACCACGCTACCCGCCTCCAGAAGCAGACCCCGCAACCCCACGCTCAGCAGCTCAGCTCATTCCGTGCATTCCGAGCCCCTCAGTTCCAAACCTTAAAATCAACTCGCTCTACCTTCCGCATTTTGCCGCCTACAACTCCACCGTGCTTGTTACAATATAAAACTTGATGGCCAGCATGTCGGATCTCACGGAGTCGAGTCAACAAGTGAACAACCAGAGGTTCAACGCCGAGGCCGCGCAATGGGATGCGAATAAAAAGCACGCAGAAGGCGTCACCAAGGCGTTTGACGCAATCCAGCGCTACATACCCGCCTTTGCAGACGGCACGTCGAAGGGTCAGTCCAGCCATGCCAATTCCTCGCTCCCACAACACCCAAGCAAACCAGACAGACACGTATTGATCAGTTGCACCTAGCCCTCGACGTGCTCGAAATCGGCTGCGGCACCGGCCTCCTGTCCTTCCTCCTCGCGCCCCACGTCCGCTCCCTCGTCGGCGTCGACACCGCCGACGCCATGGTCGACGCCTTCAACGCCAAAACCGCCGCCCTCCCCGACCCCTGTGCTGCAAACCTCGCCGCCGTAAACGTCCAGGTGCACAGCGCAGACGACGTCCACCTGCAGGGCGCCGCCGCTGCGCTGGCCCTGGACCGCGGCGAGTCAGGCGAGGACCTGCCGTACCGCTTCGATCTGGTCGTGAGCCATCTGACACTGCACCACATCCCGGAGCTGGGAGACCTGCTGCGCACGCTGCGGGATTGTCTGCGGCCGGGCGGCTTGCTTGCGCTGACGGATTACGAGGATTTTGGGGAGGACGCGGTGGCGTTTCATCCGGCGAGTAAGCGGGCGGGCGTGGAGAGGCACGGGATTCGGAAGAGGGAGATGGAGGACGTGATTGATGGGGTGGGGTTCAACGAGGTGCGTGTGGAGCGGGCGTTTAGCTTGCGGAAGGAGGTTGAGACGGAGGGCCGGGAGGGGACGCGCGAGATGGACTTCCCATTTCTGATATGTTTGGCGAAGAAGTGAGCGGTGCGTTCAGAGATCTTTCATGAGGTCGTTGACGGCTTTGGCGGCGAAGCGCTTGCGCTCGGCTTCGGACATGGCTTCGCTTTGGTCTGGGAAAAAGTTAGCTTCTAGTATGGGCACTGGCGTGCAAATTGTATATACCCTTGATTGCGACCATCTTGCGCATCAGGCCTTCGAGCTCCTCCACCTGCGCCTCCTCGTCCTCGCCCATGCCGTGCACCGCGTTCTTCAAGCCAAACAGCTCCATGCCCATCTCCCTCTCTTCCGCATCGAGGCCCTCCCCAAACGCATCGTCGTCGAACCCGAAGTCATCGTCGGCGCCAATGCCGTCCCATTCCTGCGCCTTGAGCGCATCCTCGACTCTCTTGACACCCATCTCTTCGCCATACTGGTTCTTGCCCTTGGCCTCGCTGTCCACAAACTCAAAGCCATGCTCCATGCACACATCGTCCCAGTCTTCAGCGCCCTTCTCCAGATAGGGTGTGATGCTCTGCGGCATCGCAACAGCGAGGCGCACATGGTCGTCGCTGTAGCCGCAGGCCGCCTCGACCACTTTTGCAATCGCCGCCATCGTGTCTTTGATCGCCTCCACGTCCTTTTCTGTGACTGGCTTCTTGAAGCAGAAGATCCAAGCGCCAATCGCAGTGACCACCTCTTTGGCTTCAGGTTTTGTGAACTCGGTGCGCCACTCGGCGATGTCGGGGATCTCGTCGATCCATATGGGGAGTTTGGCCGTGTAGTACTTGGTCGTGAGGTTCCATTCGTGGGAGAGCCCAGCGGTGGTGTCGGTGATGAGCTCTGGGGCGGAGCCTGTGAGATCTGGTGGGGCGAATTAGAAATCATGTGCTGGGAACGGCAAGCGTACTAACCTTTGAGCAAAGAGAGCACACCCGAGCCGGGAGCACCGACAGCGAGGATGCGCCGGGGGTTACTGATCTCCATGGCGCTGTAATGCAGAGTGTGGACAAGAGGATGCGGAGTTTCGGAGGTGATTCGCGCGGTGGGGCTAGACACCCCACGTTGGTCAGCCTCGCCAAAGAGCCATCCATGAACAGGAATGTCAATATCACAATAAAGAGACGCTGTATTGCACCCTTCCACGTGCACACTGATGCAGTACATTTCGGTCACGCTAGCAGGGTGTAACACGTCCCGCTATCTCTTGTAAACCTGAGTTTGTTACTTAATACGACCACCACATTGCTAGAGGCATTGACGAGTCGTATCTTGGATCAAGCATCCGAGGCTGACTCGATCTACTGTGATGATCAATTCGGCGCCCTTTTACTGCACGGGCGATTCACAATCACGCGAGAGCCGCTGGCTGAAATTTCTGAATTTTGGTCTCAGTCCGAAAGCTCACAAAGTTGAGGGCATCCTATCCTGGTATCTCGTACCTTTTCGCGCCGCGCCAATCTCAATCCCTCAAAGATTCCTGCTGGACGCGCCTAGCCCCCGCAACCGCGCATTCGCTGCCCTCGGACGTGACGCTGCGTACAGGCCGCCTTCTGTTTGTAGTATCCCCTCTCTCTTATGCACCTGCTCATCGCCCGCCCCTCGCTCCCCGGGCCCTGTTGACTGTGGCACGACCACGCGCAAGACCCACACCTCTTCCTCGGGTACCTCGAGACCGGAACATGGGCGCATTCCTGCAGTAATCAGTACACCTTCGTTGCTTTGCCAGCGGGGTATGCGCACCTCAACATGTCGGGGACGATGAAGTAGCGGACGTGGGAGCCGCGGATGTAGACTTGTTCGAGATGCGACACGCGACCGTCCCGGGCGGTGACGGTGATGTCCTTGAGTTGGACGTTCATGTTGTCCTCGGCTGCGGCACGTCAGCTGTGAGCCTCTTTAGTGAAAAGACCGCCCGACCTTCTATCAGCTTCCCGCGGTACACCTCGCCGGAGGTAATCTCGAGCGTGACAATGTGACCCTAGCACGGTGAGCTTGTGATGCGCCAGAGCCTGTGGGGGTGGGAACAACGCACGGCCGCCTCGTTGAGGAGCTTGATCGGTATACCAATCGTGCTCGTCATTGCGTTCAAGGAGGTTTGATTTAGATTGTGGGGTAGGTGGTCGCTCTGTATTGCGCGCTCCGCGTCGTGTCGCAAGTCGTCGGTGTGAATTTGGACGCCTTCTGGCGCGCGGGAAGCTTGGACCTCGGCTTAGTCATCTCCACTTCACTCACCATCCCCCCCTCTGGCCTATCACGTCTCGTCAAGCATTTGCCCACCTTTCCGATGAACATCTCCGGCACGCTCAACGTGTTCCGACTGATACGGGAGCCGGCACTGTGTCTCCCTCAGCATACTGTCTCCACGTTCAATCATCTTCCCGTGCCCCTATCAAAAGCCTTCCCCAGAAAAGATGGCGAGAAAGAGGTAGACATTAAGGCCGTGGTTCTTGACAAGGACAACTGTTTTGCCATTCCACACACGAACGAAGTGCACAAGCCTTATCATGTAAGCTCCCGTTCCAAAATGACATTCTCACGTCCGCTCATAATCCCAGGACAAGTTTCAAGAGCTGCGCCGCGCCTACCCCGGCTCCAAGCTCCTCATAGTCTCCAACACAGCAGGCACAGACTCGGACAAGAATCAAGCCGAGGCCGCCCTCCTAGAAAAGAACACCGGCGTCAAGGTGCTCCGCCACTCGACCAAGAAGCCCGGCTGCAAGGAGGAAGTCCTGTCGTATTTCCAGCAGCATCCGGACGCCGGCGTGACCTCGCCATCTCAGATTGCTGTCGTGGGCGATCGCTTGTTCACGGACGTCATGATGGCGAACTTGATGGGCAGTCATGGGTTTTGGGTCCGGGATGGGGTGATTGAGCGGAAGAGCTTGGTAGGTTGTGCTGAATGAGGGCGGGTGGAGCGTGCAGATTGCTGACTGTGATAGTTTGCGCGAGTTGAGGATAGACTGGCGGTGTTCCTGCTGAAGAGAGGGTACTGCGCCCCAAACCCGAGGAGCCAGTTTGAGTGAAACGTTCGCTTTACTATATTGTATCATTTCTTCTGGATTCCAATTGTCCAGTCATCTCGAAACACCACCATTGTAAGTCTACCTGTAAACAATTATCTGAGAAGCGTGTATCTAGTCTGTTCCTTCTGTACGATAGCATTTCGGAATGCGTTAAGCTCATTCGTGTCCAGAGCACGGCTCACCCATGTTCGAGGATTTGCTAGAAGCACTTTATTCGCATTTGGGGAAAGTGCGCTAGGTGTATGTGACTTCAGAATCTTGTTGGAGGTACCACGTCGTCGGCCAAATCGAACACGACCCTTGGCAGAAAACCAGCCCTACTCGGTATGGCATTATGTAAAGCCTCAAAGTCCCCGTCATGAGCATTCCATTCCCGAATTCGCATCTGACCGCCCCCTCTCTCGAGGCCCACCCCACCCAACCCACCTCCGCCTTCACCGTCGCCCTAAAGACCCTCTCAACCATCCTCGCACCCGCCATCCCATCCCCAGGATGTGGCCGCCCCCTCCCCAAGCTCCTCACCCCCTCCTCCTCACCCCCTCCTCCTCACCTTCCACGCCTTCACCCAAACAACGGATAGCATGCAACACGTCACCGACTTCTAAGACTCAGACATCAATCCCGGCTACATCGCGGTCTGCCCCGAAGGCGGAACGTCTGGCTCGGGGATCCGGGGGCGCCGAACTCGTCCGTTGTGGACGACTGCCTGTTTGTCGCGGACTTGCTGGACGAGTGGGAGGCCACGCTGTGCGTCGACACGGCACGTGTGTACGTGAGCGGGTTCTCGAATGGCGGGAATGTTATTAGGAGTGCATGGACGTGTGGGGGATGGAGCGATGTAGTAGAAGGATACCGCGCGAAGGGGCTGGGGCACGGGTGGCCGGGTACGTGGGCTCTTGACGAGAATCTGGGGGCTTCAAAGCTGGGGCCCACGACGTGGAATGCTTTGACTGTGCTTTGGGTGTGGTTTTCAAGGTGGAGTCTGCCGTGCAGTGCTGGCAATAGCACGGCCGCAATGTCGAGTTGGACCGAATAGAGACCTGGCACCATCATGGATGCTTCCGGTGCCATGGTCCCTGCACATACCTCTGCCGTTGTAGGATTGACGTAAGGGGTGTACGTCTTCTAAAGCCTGTGCAACCGACTCCTACACTCCTTGTTGCACGACTCGCAAATCCACCACCTCGCGCCCTTCCTAAGGACCTTCCGACACCCAGAACAGCACTTCGAGTCCGCAACGCCCTTCAAATCAGAGCGAGTCAAGACGCGACTCCGCATCTCGCCCTTTAGCCGCCTCGTCCCAATCGCTGCCAGCTCCGCATCGGAGAGCTGATTGCAGGTGCGACAGACAAGGAGTGGTCCACCTCGAGTCCTGCCTTCTTCCAAAATACCGTGAGCATCATTTCCGCTACTGTGAAACAATCGCTGGAGGAATTGCGGTACAGTGCTCGCAGTGGGATGCCGACACGCACATTGCCTTGTATCAATCTGCGCAGGCCCATGCACATCCACCCGCGGCTCGCGAAGGGTTCTGAGATAGCATTTTGAGCAGTGAGGGAGGCAATGGAATAAGTGATCGTAGAAGAGTTGTGCTTTCTTGACCTCGCGTCGGAAAAGGCACCCGTTGCAGATCTGGTTCGGGCAGACATAGCAGCGCGCTTTGAAGCCTGGATTGCACGAGTACGTCCTGAGGAAATTGCTGGGTGCGTCCTTTGCGGGGAGCAGGGTTTTGTGGATGCGTCGGGAGACAAGGCTGAGGTTGGTGATGTCGACGTAGTGGAGGTGGGTCGTCACCATGACCAGGACATCGTAGACGCATAGGAACTCGGCGAGTGGAGCGTCTGTGTTTTTTCCTTGTAGTGCGGTCATCCATGCACCGTTGTGATCAGTCTGCGCGCACTGAGCAGGTTTTCTCTGTTGAAACCTTCCCTGAAACGACTTCACTCTGCATCGCATTGCAAACAAGACCCGTGACTGGACAGACGCTGGGAACCGGCGAAACGTGAGACAGGGAACATAGAGCAGGATCCAAAAGCATAGCACCATGAATTCCCGAAAAGGTAACATCAATGTCGGCAGTAGCTGTTTCCAGATGGGCAGCTGCGAGTGAGATATTTTCGACGAGTTGACTTCTTTCCCTAGGCGTACGCAAGCGAAGAAGCAGTTGCAAATGTTGAAGAAGACCATGGAGGCGACAAGAGCGCAGGTGACGACTGCAAAGTTTCGCTGCTGTTTGAACTCCTCGCAGGCGCGCTCTACGTCCATCAAGAGACCAAGGCTTGCGGCGGCCTGCAGGAAGACCGGATTGGATAGTGAAGTTGGGTCCTGGCAGTCCATGTTCTTTGGCGAGTAACTTTCTTGAGATGTGATCGCGAGGCTGAGATAGGTAAGAAGGACAACATCGGGTATAGCGAAAATAATATTGACGGGCGAAAGAAGGAAGGTAGACGGTATCAGGGCTGCCAGGTGGTAACAGAAGTTAACCTGACTCTTTCTGAAACTTAGCAACCTTGATTGATAAACTGCACAAGAAGTACATACCCATTTGAAGGCCATGTGCTCGCCTGCTCGGATTTGCAGACTGTAGGCATCTCGTAGCTTGGGGTAGCTTCCTATAGCCTTCCAGTGCGTCTTTGCAACTGACTGGCAAAGACCAAGAGGAATTAGGATTGCGAAGCGAAGCAAAATGCCTGGTATCGGCGTAAATTCTGCAATCGCACCTGTACAATAGTCAGTTGCACGTTGCGCTGCGTGTGTGGTGCCTAGTACCTGCAACAAAATGCTGGATTTTAAACTTGGGGACCAGCATTGTGCCTGTGGCGGATACCATGGACGATGATCAGCCCCCAAGGCCGACAGAATCGGGGTTGCTTCACTGCGGTAAGGGGCGAGCCGTCGCAGGGTACACGCTGCGTGCCCTGGTTTCGTTGAATGGCATGTTACACTGGTGATTTGAAATGCCCGTTGAGATATCTACAGCTGTCGCAAGGCCTAAGCACCGCACACAGCACGATGTCGTGGGATGTGCAGAGCCAAGGTCCGGTGAGTTGGATACGAGGAAGGTCACGGCGTTGCGGCGCATGCTTTTGCGCACTCGCCATTGGTTGGTTTCACTTCGACGTGTGGCGTCGAAATGTAAGCAAGCTCGAGTGTAATCAGGGTCCGAGAAAAATGAGGAAAGGGATAATAGAGCACAGGCAGAGAAGAGACAAGTGCGTCATTCTTTGAATGTCTGCCCGATGCATGCAGGCGCTGTTCGACCAATGAGAATGCGTCATTCTTGCATATGGGCCTGCATCGAGTGTCGTTCGCATCGAGTCAACAGGCATGACGAAAGCAAAAGTGTAGTTGCTCCATGTCCGTAATAGTGGGTAAGAAGTAGTTGATCATATTGTATCGCGCTGGCTTGTCGTCACCCGACTCTACCGTCTAAGTGTAGTCCAGTGCCGTTGCTGCGAGAACGCGTGAGAGAGTCAAGCCCTACGTCACCGCGATAGGAAGACAAAAATTTGATTCCAAAACACTTGTTCGCGACAGGGAACACAGGCGGCGGACATGTCACAGAGTTGTCAAAGCGAAGTCGACAAGATGAGGTTCAAGCAAGGACCCGACCACGTCCCGCCAAGCGCCACCAAAGCGGGCTAGCGTGTGGCCGTTGCGGCGGTCCCTCCTGGCAACGGCGCTTGTTTATCGATGGATGTGCCAGCGCATCGCGGCCGCCAATTCCACTGGCCCACATGAGATGCATATGGCACCTCTCCCCGCAAATTCCAATTAGCTGCATGCACCTCGACCTCGCCTGGCCTCCTGCATTTCTACCTCCCGTACGCGTCTGCGCGCCCGCTCTGCCCTCACCCGTGGTGGCTGCCGCCTCTCCGTCTGTATCTCACCGCGTCCTGGTCCCAGTCCTTCCTCACCTGCGCGCCGCCGCTGCACTCCTCCCGACGCTGTTGTCCGTTGCAGCTGGCCCGAGATGGAGGCGCTACTCTCCCTCGCCTTCGACAACATTGCGTCCAAGGACACGCAGAAGATCCGAAAGGGGCTGCGGCAGATTGAGGGCATGCTCGCCCAGATCTGCCTGTCGAGCGGGAAGTCCACACCATCCAAGCCCGGCCACCGACGGAACCAGTCTGCGATCAACCTCGGCGAGCAACCGCAGTCCACGCCAAAGAAGCTGGGGCAGCTATCAGAAGACCCAGCGTTTCGCGAGTTCTTCCGGTTACAGGAGGGCTTTGAGTGGAATGGTGAGCAACGTGAACATGTGGTACGGGCAGTAACTGACGTACAGTCGCAGTCGCATTGCGCGTCGCAGACTGCCTCGAGCGACTGCTAGGTATGCCAAGTAGTAAGGGTAGCCCTCTCCACCTCATCTACCGTAACAATGCTAACGGCGATTAGATGGCCAGAACGATCTCCTGATCCTCTCTTCTCTTTCGAATGTGCAGGGGCTGCTCCTCCTGCACCCTCCATCCCGCACCATCTTCGGCCGCGAAAACAAGATGAACCTACTGCTCGACCTCCTCGACCCGTACAACTGCCCCGCAATTCAATCCGCAGCCCTCCTGGTTCTCGTAACCGCGCTGCTAGCAACACCCCAGAACACACGCATCTTCGAGCAGATGGACGGCCTGCTCACGGTGACGACCCTGTTCAAAGATGAGGACACCACACAGCAAGTCAAGGTCAAGCTGCTGGAATTCCTATACTTCTACCTTATGCCAGAGGCTCCCGTTGTCGCCAGCGCTCGGAACCCGAGCAAGCTGGTCGGCGTGTTCGAGAGACGGGGCAGCACCGTCAACGGCGACGAAGGCGGCGGATCTGGAGGCAAGAGTATCCGCTCGCAGCAGGAGAAGCAGTACGAGTTGAGCCGGTACCTGAACAACGTCGAAGGGCTCGTACAAGACTTGCAAGAGAGTGCTCCGTTCACAAGCGTGGCGGCGCGGTAGAATCGAGCTTCGAGGCGAGGGCATAGCCCATGTTCGCCATCAGCATTCACTATTAACCAGCAGGACCGCCAGCATTTCTTTTGTGTATGATTATTTGTTTGTTGATACAGCATATCCCGTATGTATTGGCGCGGTTCGGTTCGTCACCAGCTCTTCCTCTGTTCTTGGCAGCACGGCGTTTGCGGGTGGGCCTGGAAAACACGGTTAATGTTGCGACCTTTGTCCGGCGCTGTCTTTTCTCTTGGGTCATGCATCCCGTTGCTCCCGAGCATTCTCTCTCATGGCATAATGCATGGCATAATGCATGGCGTGGGTGGCCGCGCACTGTAATCGTTGTCTGCTTTCGGCGTTTGCATTGGGAAGACCGGATACCATAGCACCCTTCTCAGGGCTTATTCTCCTTTTTGTATAATCACGGCTCGAATCACATAACCGATTTCTCTCAGACAAGATGTTAGGATGTGTTTCTGCGTGGACTTGCTGAGGCTGCTGCGCTGGCCTCGTGCGTGAACGTGAAGGCCAGTTGTAAGCCTTTCTCGTGGATGGTGCCCTCGACAGTTGGTCCCGGGGTTGCTTGAGCGGCTGTGGGTATCCACACCTGAAAGTGAACTGTATCACCGGTGTTCGTGGTCACGCAAGCGGTCGCTTTACGTGCGTACGGTGGCTGGTCTGGCGTCCAGGTGCCGGCTTTGCAAGCATGAACGTGTTTACGTGAGGCGGCCGTCGGTCATTGGCCAATAATCGGGGCGTGTGTCACCGCCAACGCCGCGGCACAGACGCTGCCAGCGCTGACAACAGCACGAATGCGCCGATCGGCAGAAACCAAGAGTGTAGAGGGGATAAGCACGCCTTCGCGACCAGTCTGTCGATGTCAAGAGCCGAAGCTTCTCGCGGCTTGCTGCTCGCAAGATATGCGCCAAATCCTTCAGGAACTCCCGCCCATACGGCGAATACGAGGATCGGAATCGCAGGGCGCGCGGATGCCGGCGCGTTGGCGTCCCGACGAGGCTGGCCGCAAAACAGGCGGACGCCCATCGTTCGGCTATCGCGGGACCTAGCCCGCGAGCGGCAAGGTGTCGCAAGACCACATCAAGACGTCGGCCGCGTGCTCGTGCGACCGGCCATTCACCAGCGCAGCGTCCGCGCCCCCGGTCTGTGAGCAAAGACGCGAGGTGCTGCTGACCGGCGGCCTCTGTCTGCCTCTGCCCGTATCTGGGACATGTCTTATCTGGCGTTGCTCGGCAGGCAGCCTCGCGCGGTGCCCGCCCGCAGTTGATACGATGGCGGTCCGCTCGTTGGCGACGAGACGAATAAACGATGACGCAGTTACAGAACGGGACGGACCAATCTTCGCGTTGTCGGGTGCAAGACTTGCCTGCAGCCCGCGCCGCTACCTAGTCGCCGCTGCCCTAGTGTGCGCCTTCCGTGTGTTCCGACATCGAGCAAGACGCTGCCAGAGATCGCGGGTGAGCCAGTAGATGCTAATCCCTTACGTCTCCACCTCGTGGCATTCTGGTCTTGCATTGCTTTGCGCTCCTATCCTTTTTCTCCTCCAAGTTCGTTGCCAACATCAACACTCTGCGAGGCAGCGCCAACCAAGTGACAACACCGCCCACCGCCCCGGGTTCAGCTACCCTTGTTTACCCCACGGAAGATCACACCTGTTGCGCCACCTGCCACCGATTGCTGCGGGAATCCGAGAGGTCGCGTGCGCAAGAAGCAGCTTCTTTCCCCCCGACTGCTGCCCAGCTTTTCACTTCTGCCCTTCTGCCACCATGGGTGTCGGAGCGTTTATGGAGCCGCTGGTCGTCGTGACCCTGCTGTTCGGCGGCACTTGGGTCAACCGAAACACAAGATATCGCATCTTCGACCGCAGTAGAAACCACACGAGCTCGCGATCGACGTCGCCCGACGGCTCTGTCGAGTCTGGCCGCTCCAGCCCGCGCTCCAGCGCATCGCTGTTGGATGGCTACCGAGCTTCTTCTCCGTCGCTGCTTGCCGAGCAGGTACCGCACTGGAGGAAACGCGAGGTGCGGGTCTTTGGGTTCCGGAAAGAGGTGGTTTCGCCCAATACGCGGAGATTCGAGGACTACTTCTTGAGCCGGCTGCTGCAGAAGTTCCCCTTTCTCGTCGAGGCATGGTATTGGGCGTTGATATACTGGGTAAGTCTGCCTACACCACCATCATCTGAGCCTTGGATACTTACTCCTCGCAGGTTTACCAGCTCGGACGTGCTTTCACCGCGCTCACCCTCGTCGACGAGACCGTCGACGTAGCCCGCCAACACGCCCTCACCCTCATCCACATCGAGCAGCGTCTCCACATCTTCCACGAGCTCGATATCCAGCACTGGTTCCTGCAGCACCCCTTCCTCCTCCACTGGACCAACCGCATCTACTCCTTCATCCACATCCCCGGCACCATCCTCTTCCTCGTCTGGCTCTTCTACTACACCACCACGCGGAACCACCTCGACCTCCCGCTCCCCAACAAACCCCTCGGGGAAGCCAACGGCTCTCCCGCAGGCCCCCGCCTCTACGCCGCCCGCCGCCGCACCATGGCCGTCTGCAACCTCCTCGCTTTCATCGTCTTCACCCTCTGGCCCTGCATGCCGCCGCGGCTTCTCTCGGACCCCAACGTCCCCGGTGCCGTCGGCAAGGAAGCCCGCGCCTTCGGCTTCGTCGACACGGTGCACGGCGCCGAAGGCGAGTCCTCCGTCTGGACGCAGAACAAGTTCTGCAACCAGTACGCCGCGATGCCCTCACTGCACTTCGGCTACTCCCTCCTCATTGGCCTGACCATCGCCTCCATCCCGCTTGCCCCGCAGCACCGCCGATCCCGCTCGTTTGCGCTCCCGCTGCTCCGTCTGCGCGTCAGAATGCCTGCCCCGCGCCGCCTCGCGTGTCTCGCCATCGGGGTTGCCTACCCGACTATCATTCTGATCGCTATCATTGCGACTGCGAACCACTTCATCCTCGATGCGGTGGCGGGCGCGTGCGTGTGTGGCCTCGCCTGGACGGGGAACCGCGTGCTGCTGAATCTGCTGCCCGTAGAAGATTACTTTTTGTGGTGCGTGCGGATCCACAAGCCGGAGCGGAGGGCGCTGTTTCTGGAGGGAGAGGACGAGGAGGGGTCGTCTTGGGAGACGGAGACGGCCAGGGGGAAGGGGGCGCTGTTTCAGTAGCGCTGAGACGTTGCTTTCGGGTCTGGCTTTTCGATATCTTCGTCTCGGTGCGGTGGTCTACGGATGTAATGGACCTGTCGAGGATGTGTGTGCATGTCTGCAGCGAAGCATAGCGGAGAAGAACATTGGTGGCGGTGTTGCATAACGCCTTTTCTTTCTGCATCTGGAGCGCGCATACAGTGCGTTTTGTTTCGACTCGATCCGCTTCGCACGTCCTGCTCTTGCTTTTTTCTCGGACTGGACTGGATTTGGATACCCATTGGAGATGCAGAGGGCTGTACAGACCTCAAGACGCGGTCGCTGTACATACCCTTCTGTGCATTCCTAACTAATCGTTATTACCACGCACTAATGATTATGATTCTTTACTCCCTACATCTCCCTACATCCGAGACTTGTCGAAATGTGCGTGCCGCGCAGGGTGGAAGAAGGAGCTTCGAGTCCGCAGCGTTGCAGTGCTGAACAGCAGACGAGGTGCAAGTGTAAGCACTGGCGTGACGACGCCCACGCGCTCAGCGGTGCAAACGAGCACACGAGCGCACGCTCGCGATTGGCCGCCGCGCCTCGCGTCTAACCCGTCCCGGCAGTCGACGCGTACGACAATGAACAGCCTGGTTTGGTACCGACTAGGTTTCTCCTCCGTTCCTGGCTGTCTTTGCCTTTGCGGACTGGGGTCGTCCCGCGCTTATGCAGGGTCTCGCGGTAGAGCGCGACGGCGGGATCGCGAGCCGTCGCCAACTGCACGTAGCGTTGGAGATGGGATGGTAGGACCACAAACCGGATCTGCCGGCTGGGCATCTGGGTCGGTGGGAGGATCCGGGTGCGTTGCGCTGGGGAGAATGCGTGGTGCTGCACCCGGGGCTTCACGGGGGTGTGTGCCTGGCTTCCGCATCGCTGGGTGGGCGAGGATCGCGTGTTGGGGCTCGCGTCTCGTGGCGTGCGATGCGGCGTTGTTGGGGTAGACGATGGGTACGGTGCGAGCGGGAGGCGGGGCACCAGCAGGTGCGAGGGTGTGAGAGATGTGGCGATGTTTGTTGTGAGTTTTGGGCGGAGGTTGGTGGTGAGAGGGTAGTCTGTGAGCTATCCAAACTAGTGGGATGTGGACTTGTGTACGTCAATGTTACGGGGTGCAGTAGCGTAGTACTGGTATGGCGGAATGTATTACGATGAGGGTATTCAGGATAGTTCAGAGGAGGAGTCCGACCAGATTTGTAGTGTGTGGTAAAACAGTGCGTGTGAGAAGTGTACTTTCATCAGCATGACCGGGTGATGCTTGAGCACCTCAAGGTGAAGATTCAGAGTCAGTATGATTCGGGATAATTTGTGTATCAGCCTAGTATCGAAGAGATCTTTCTCGCTCAGCCGTTCACGTCCGAACTCAGCTGAACACTGTACGTGCACTTTAGGCACAGGCGGATGGACCCTGCCTCGGTCAAAGCCCCCATGAAATGGAATTAGCAAAGATCTCTCGTCCCTCAAACGATGGTGACTTCCTCAACTATGGGCATGCGCTTGGCAAGGACAGATTCTTAGACGATCCAACTACGCGTGAAGTACGCGTGGCGTGCGAGGGCATCTTATTGTGCAAAGAGATCGAGAAGGCATTTCCTATATGGCAAGGCGTGGACATATGCGGTACTTCTACCAGCAACGTCTGGCACAAGGGGCTTAATCGATTCTAATCCTTTTCCGCCTTCAAATGATGGTATCTCCTGGCAGACGTCTGGCTATGCTTGGGAGGATTCGAGACGAGCAATCTGCGCCATAAAAGACTCGCGATCTGAAGCGTCCCGTTTGCTGTCGTGACCAGCGAGATTGAGCACTTCCAGCAATACATCGATTTCGGTATCAGGTGGGAAGACTTCTTCGGGTTTACCGAACCACACCCAGACTCTGCCGGCTGCAGAGTACATATCGGACATGCGCGGAACCTGCTCTTTCTTTGATCGACATTTGACCGATCAATGCAGATGGCATCGATCCACCACGGTGTTCCTGACTGCGCGGCTTCGTTTTCCTTCTCAAAATCATGATCTGTTCGCCAAACTGCGTCAAGCGCGCGAAATCTGGCTTCGGATTTCCACATGGTATCCACGAAATCGTACAGGTGCTGGGAAACCTGGAAGCATGCGCATTTGATTGTACCGTTCTTCTCGGCAGACCACAGCCCCACACCTAGGACAAGGCATAATTCAAGATCTTCACGGAGCGGGGCGTCGTACAAGGTGATTCTGGCTCTGAACTACTTTCGTTATGATTGAAAGTCATCAAACGAACGTTGGGCGGAACGAGATCAAATTAAAGTGGCGTTGGCGTGCAAGCATCGGCCGCCGAGGCTTGCCCATCTCTCACGTCAACGTGAACAACGGCGACACAATATCACTTCTGACTCTAGTTACTTAAAGTTGCCTAAGTTACTCAAGTTCGTGAAGTCATGTTACATCAGGGATGAAATTTCTTTGATTTGTGCCAATGCAACAATGTCGACATGCCAGCGGTAGCTAGCCAACCAGGGGTGGAATGCTTCACGGGAAAGCGTATTTTACTCTAGCTCAAAACTGAGCGAAATCTGTGGTAGCTTTCCACTACCTTCGGGCATGCCATAGGTAAAGTTCCAGAATTCGAAGTCACTGAAATAATTAGCAATCAGTCTATCAACACCAAGGTGTAGAACTTACTTGATCGTTTTCCCTGACCCCCCGACATATCCCGCGAACGCGACACTGTAGTCCATATCCACTGTACCATTGACACTGACCTTGATGCCCTCGACATCGCTCCAGCTTGCAACGTCCCTCTTCCCGCTGCGTGAGTTTGTCCCGACCAGAAACGTGAAGGTGCTGGTTTGGTTGCCCTTTGGATACTCGAGATCTAGAGTGCTGTCGCTCGCTACAGCGCGCAGCTCTTCGACCTGAGCATACAAGGTGAGCCAACCGACGCTGCCATCTTTCCTGCTCCATTGCACGACTGCCGGATTGAAGCTCGACGGGTTCTTCGCCGGTCCACCAATCACCTTCTCCGAGAAAGTTTCTGCGCCGATAGTCAGGTTCTGCGAGAGCCATGCTGTGATATTCCGGGGGTAGGTATCCCATGGCGGAGAAAACGCTGAAGTTGACACAGTGTGGGTACCTGGGAAGGTATGCAACGCGAGGAGCGTGTCATTCGAAACCAGCGTATTGTGAAATGGTGCGAGAATAGCAACCAGTGGGCTGATAGCGAAGTCGTCCTTATGACCCATAGTCCAAGGCTTTGCGTTGATCGGCGCATTGTCCTTCCCCACCAGTGTCCAGATCTGCAATGCAAGAATGCTGAGATAACGGTTCATGTCGTATCCATATGATCGGTCCCACGGTCCCGCGACGTTCTTGAGATTGGCATTATACAGCTGTCCCAGCTTTTCCCATGTTTTTCCTATCATGGTCGCGCCATGTTGACCCATTAGGGAAGACTGCGGAAGGTACTTCGCCCACAATGTGAGCGCGTACAAACTGACACCTGCATATGTCCCAGAGTTGAATTCCGACAGGGTATCCGCACGGTCGAATAGGGTAATGATATCTTTGGCGTAGGCTTCGCCGGATATAGTCATGTTGGAGTCATTGAGCCTGCGGCCTACCCAGCCGGACATAAAAGCGCGCATAATGGCCGGGTTGCTGTACGATGGGTAGAGGTTGTCATCATCTACGCCGCCGACACGGTAGGTGTCGCCCACGGTCGCATTGTGCAGGCTCTCCAGTATGCGAGTTTGTGTGTCATGCGGGATCAGATGCGAGAATTCTTCAAGCATGAGGACAAATGTCGTTCCGACGAAGCCTCGCCAATTAGGATCCCAAGAATTATATATGACGGGCGGGTATTCGGACGTTCCTACTGTGGGTTCTTCCGGGTAGATTTGGTAGTCTCCGTACCTGTAATCAATTATCATCAACTGCATAACACCTTGCCGCAATTTGACTTGAATACTCACCACTGGGAGCTCACGTTCTTGTGCTGTCCCACGATGATGTTCTCCACAATTTTTGCGGCTTGTTCTGCGTCATCCCCTTCGTTTCTAGCGAGCAAGCCTGCAGCGTACCAGGCAGATGAGCGAGTGTCGTGGAGGAGCGCCTTTGAATCGAGGTTGTAGAGATACCCTGCTTCGGTGTCGTAGTACATGTCCATCCAGCTCATAGACTCCCGTAGGAGCTGCGTGGCGGCATTTTTGCTCCCGTTGCCCACAGTTTTCGCTTTCACTGTTCCCGAGACGGCGCTCAATGCAATTGCTCTCCCCAGCGCGAGTGCAGCCTTCATCTTGGACGGTATGTCAATATGCGATGGAGGATGTTGTCGAAGCGGCGCACGGAAGCTTTGAGGCGGCACAAGGACGCCAGCATCTTATAGTTGATTAGCGGAATCGGCGGTGACGTGCCAATCCAACGGTCGAGTTGCTAAGGCAAGTTATCCGCAAGGGTCTTGATAGCTAGAGCGGGTTTTGATGATTTGGGGCATCATCCGCTCTTAGAACGGTGGGTAGCGCCGCAACCGAGGCACTTTCCACGCACACATTCCAAGGCACCACAACCAAAGTCTGCGAGCTGTCAATTTTGAGAGCTATGCATTTGCTGACTTCAGTATCTCCCCGGTTGCAAACTCGTGGATATAACAAAACAACGCGGGTAACTTGTGTATATGTAGAATTCTATACCTAGAAGCGAGTGAAATGTTGAAGTGGTCATTCGCGTGTTCCTCGCACTACACTCCACCTTCCTCTTGGCGCGAGACCCACACGGTCCTTATCACTTCTTACTTTCTCTATTCTCCCAGCTTTCTTCATTACTCCTACATCTGAGAATCCTTCTTATTTTTTTTATATATACAAGCATCCATCATTGCTTTCGGTCCGCAACACTGCCCCTGGAGAAGTCACGGTGCGCACAGCGACCTGGTTTTCGGGTCATCTGCACGTACGCGTCTAACCCATCCACGAGTCAATGCCGGAAATGATCAAGTATTATCCCTCGTTCTCGGAGATATGCTCCCTCCGATTGCAGGATTAATGTTTAGTTTCCCATCCCCCGGTCGATCAGTACGGGGCCCCGCGAAACTAGTGGCAAGCGCATTATTGGTCGGGCTAGATACCACCGAGCAGCATCGCCCCAGCTATATTCTTGCAGGGGTGTCCATAATGGTATAAGAACATCTGGGCACGATCCAATCTTGTGTACCTCCACGAGGAGCTATCCCCATCTGTTCACTCCACAATGGGTCTTTTCCAGCTTGCCGGTGTCGCTGCGCTCGCGTTGTGCGCTTCTGCCGCGCCTGCAGAACCGAGGGCGCCAAAGCCCAAGAGCTTCCTCAAAGATTTGGGCAACTCGACTTGGGTCATCGGGAATGGCATCTGGAACATGACGCAAGGTCGCCAATATGGCGTTAAGCTCTGGTATAAGGGGAAAGATCGTGTCGGTCCAACGGCCACTGGCCACTACGTTAGCTACAGTGAGTTTTGTCAGGCTACAATAAGCGTATGCAGCTAAATTTCACCCAGACGGTGCGGCGTCTGATCTCAACTGGACCTCTGCAGCAATCGCCGACTCCGGGAAGGATTGGATCAACATCAAATTCACCGCGAAAGAAGGTGACTTCCATTGGGTCATCCATGACGATCTTGCAGGGGCGTACCAATACTTTGTAAACCACGCTCTCCCCACACTTGGGGAATTTCGAACGCTATGGCGATTGGACAACGTTTCGTTCCCTAACGGCCACACGAATGTCAAAGATGGACAATTGCCGCCTTTGTCCGAGTACGCAGCTGCGACAAATGTTCAGGATGAAACCTGGCAGAAGGCAGACGGTACATTCCTAACCAAGTACGACTGGTCAGCTTTTGTCAGAGACCAAACATACTACGGTGTCTATGGAGACGAGGTTGGAAGCTGGTACATCAATCCGGGCAAAGACTACTACAACGGAGATCACTTGAAGCAAGAGCTTATGGTATGCCGTACGCTCAATTGCGTGAACCAGAGAATTACTAATGAACATCAAAGGTCCATCGCGAGTCCAAGACTGGCGACGCTGTTCAATTGAACATGATACATGGTACTCATTACCTCGCTCGATCCAGCGACAATTTTACAGATGGCAAGACTTGGGGCCCATGGCTATGGTGAGACGCCCTTATGAACATCGGCATACATGTCGAACGCAATGCTAATGTTATTCTCCAGGTACCTGAATGATGGCAACAAGGCTGATGCCGACAACCGTTGGAAGAAGGAGGATAAATCGTGGCCTTATGAGTGGTTCAAGGACGCCGCATACCAGTCTCGTGGCTCAGTATCTGGAAAGTTGGTCCTCAGCGATGGGCGACCGGCCTCTGGGGCTGCCGTATTCCTCGGAGACAGCAATTCTGCCCTCAGCGCGGCCGACCAAGGCAAGGACTACTATTACACTGCATACGCCGACAAGCAAGGTCGATTCACTATCGAGAATGTGCGGACTGGTACATACGGCTTGTATGCATGGGGCAACGGTGGGAATATTGCCGATGTGAAGACGTCGTTTGTGCAGAACGATGTTGTCGTTTCCAAGCGCAAGAAGACAGACCTCAAGTCCCTCAAATGGACTGTCACCGACAAGAGCAAAAGTATCTTCCAGATTGGGTAAGTCCAACATGCGAGGTCCTCAGGAGCATTGCTTCGTATACTAATCCGCGAAGTGATTTCGATCGTACGTCGAGAGGTTTCGCACTCTCCGGCCCAACCCCGTTCGAGCATGGTCGCATTGCTAAGACTCCTGGCAATCTTACATACACTGTCGGCAAGTCGCACAGCAGTGACTGGTATTTTGGACAATCAAACCTCGGTGTCTGGTCCATCAACTTCAACCTCAAGAGCATCCCAGAATCTGCTACAGGCGCAAAGCTGTACACATCGCTTGCCGGTTTTTCTAGCGGAACAAAGTCAAACATCTTGGTCAACAATGAGAAGATCGGAAATATCTCGTCGAATGCTGTGCTACTGGTGAGCAGCCAAGACACCTACCGCGGAGCAACTCAAGCTGGAGAGTGGAGGAACCTTCAATGGGACGTGAAGAAGGAGCTGCTGAAGGTTGGCGAGAATAAGCTCGACATTGCTGTTACGGAGAGCACTAAATGGCGAGGCTGGCTGTGGGACAGCGTGGCGCTAGAGTGGGTATGATTATATATGAACTATGCAATTCGACAAGTGAATCTGTGGTCGCCAAGCTAGGCACTACGTCCTGTACTCGCACAACGTTCAACATCATTGCTGCGACCAACTACTGCTAAAAAGGGGTCAAAAGCCCTACCATTGAAATTTTCTCCCAACTCACTAAACCCTACTTCCAATCAAGGCAGTTTTGCCTTCGATTTGAACTGGATCCCAATTGCCCTTCATCGACGGACGGTCCGGCATCTACATTCTCTCAAGCGCTCGCACTCGTCGCTCAGATGACGCTGGAAGAGCATGTAAACACCACGCGCGACGATGCCGAGCACCGTGTTGCTACCTCGGGCACCACGGGCTCTTTCTCGCCGCGCGGTCCTTTGGTGACGAGCGTTACTCGATCGGCTAACGGGTATTCAGGCAACACTGCCACGACCAACTACGTTCAGAGCGTCAATTTTGAGTACCTCCCGATGTTCGAAAGCCCCTATTTCGACGCACCGAGCTTGGACAAGGGAGGCGGCCTCAAAGCGTCTCGAACTCAAGCAGACCATTAAGAGCATTAACTTTACAGAACTTCTATCAGATTGTGCAGCGTCCATATCCTCCGAACGGCTTCGCGCGGACGCAGAGGCAGTTCACTTATAACCCTGGCTTCCACCATAACCGTGGCTTCAACACCCTTCGCGCAAATATTAGATCGATTTCGCTTGGGCACTCATCCAGCAGAAGAAGTGTTCGGAGCTGACACCTGAGACCTTCACGAGCCTTACAGCTCTGGCTTACATGAAAAAATGTACATCTTTAGTTCTACTCATTCTACATGAAGGGTTTTGGGTCTTCTTGGGACAATGGCTCCCTTATGAAGGTACAGCTTCGTGCACTTGCATTGCGCCTACAAGAGGTCACCGACATGCTGTTAGCTCTACAGACTGAAGTCCAGCCCCGACGTCGAGTCACCGTACATTTCGGGGTCTGGGAAGATATCGCGAACGAACATCGCAATGCATTTCTGAATGTACTCAGTGTCGCAGACTCGGCTGCGTCCCAAGGTCGGGCATACACGGACTGGCGGGTCGCGCCTCGAATGTATGCGGCCGCTTCTGGTTATCCTCTACAAATCCTCGGGAGTGATGGCAATGATGTTCAGTTCGATACAGCGTACCAGAATATCGAAAATCATTTTCAAGGCCCTCCCGACCCTTATTCCCTTGATTCTCTGTAGGCATGATCCAGAAAAGTCGTTTTGCCTGTAGGATGGACAGGAAGGTACTAAACAGCGCCTCACTTAGCTATCACCAGAGACGTCATGGCAACATATGTAATGGCACAGAGCTGAGGTATTCGAATCCACACAAGCATAGTTTAGACTGGAAATGACCACTGATACGTTCATGCTTCTGCAGGTGAAAGGCTTTAGGTAGCTCTACCATATCCGCTCTAAACAGCAAAGGCAATCACAATTCTAATCTGCGAACGGGCGACATTGCGACGACCCAACACACCAATGTTCAAATAACTCTCCAAGTAATAGAAATTCTGCGTATTCATTCAATTTCGAGCAACGAATATATGATGTGATATAAAAGTGGAACTGTAGGCTGGTAAAGGGACATAGCTTAGGTGAACAAATATTTCGGTCGTGTAGATGAGCATCGTGGTGGTGACTGCTATGTGCGGATCAAATGTGTGTGGGGACGGGAGGCGGACATCACTGCACAATAGGGGGAACACCAGGTGCCAGAAGTTGGATTTCTCCTCCTCCGCAGTATCTTTCTGTCTAATATACATGCGCAAGCACAGCACACAAACACAATAAGAAATTGGACGCACCTGTCTGGCATACACGGCCTGGCGTTGAGGGCTGCCACATCCCTCTCCCGTATTCTGCGCACATGGTTGCACGCACTGATTTGGGGTCGAGTCGAGGGAATTTCCACCTTGGATCGCATTATCGCACCCTGCATTTGATTTTTCGTGTTTAGCCTCCAACAGGACACTTGTGCACCTGGGGTAAAGGCGACGGTGACTCACAACATTCATATCCGTTGCCAGTACCTGCAAGGCTGTATCCTTTTCCATTGCAGTAGTCAATGCATTGGGTAGCGCCGTTTCCAGAACTTTGCAAGTTTGTGGAGTCAGCAACGAGGACGCGGGAGGATCCCGAGGTGCTACGCCAGATAATCAGCGCCTAATTGTCTGTCAACGAGGCGCGTTGGATATACATACGTGTAGCAACCTTGATAGCTCCAATTCGTCTGGAGCCCCGAGGTCTTCGGTTGCGAGTAGGGGTATGGTTTGTCATTAGTGTAGATCTGAATGCGGTTTCCGCCACCACATGTTTGAGCACCGTTAGGATTCGGACAGGCCACATTACATCCTGTTTGGCCGGAGCGGGCGGTGTCCGGGGCACGGCTGGAACACACTAGTCAAAGCGTTAGCTCAGCATTACACTGTTCGATGGGGGATTGCAAAGCTTACAGCAATCGAAACCGTACTCAACACCTGCGAAGGTGTATCCGTTATTGTTGCAGTATGTCATACACACGTCGGGGGAGTTTGGCGTTGAGCTGGTGTCATAGAACTGGACGAATGCTCCCTTTTGCAAGACGTAACCTCCAGTTGTGAGGTCACCGAGCGTTAGGTTGCCGCCGTCGTCACTGTGTGTTTGTCAACAGTTGTAAGTATACAGTCTCAGCTGTTGAGCTGTTACGTACGACCAACATCCCAAGTCGCGCCATCCCGAAATTAAATCAGTCGCCTCCTCCGCTCTCGGGGCGAGGTTCTGAAGGTCTTTCAATGGAGCGACCAACTCCGCCTTGAAAGCGAGTGATTCAGCCGTGAGGCTAGCCACTATCCACGCGAATAGTTTCATCTTCGCAGCACAATGCAGAAGAGAGAGAGAGAGAGGATGGCTTCAAATCAAGAACCAGTAAACAAGGTTAGTACCGTGTTGCAACGAGCGTGAGAAAGAGTCCAGGGGATGATCAAAATGAATGTGATCCACGAGACGGCTAATATGAAGGTTCATGATTATGTTTTATATTAGGTCAGCGGGGCAGGTAATTGGTAGTAGGTAGACGCGTTATCCGTGGTATGCGGGTTTGCCGACTTGGAATTGTGGAATGAGTAGATCTCATCCGCCCTTGCTGAACCATGCGGGTAAGATAGACATACGCAAAACAAAAGGCGACATCAACGAGTGCAACCGAATAACCCACGAACATATAGATTAGAAAGTAGGTAGGAGGGGATGCGCATACCGCGCCTCCCACGCAATAACCCACGCATACATTGCATGAAGACGCTGGTACATCTCCCATTTCCTTTGGCTGCCACGCCGCGTAGCGCGTCTGCTTCAACTGTAATATCATACGATTGGCGCTCTGTTCTCGTAAAGTCAGCATTGCAAGAAAATCGTCAGACCGAGTCGGGAGGTTGCGGCACGACAGCGTAGGCAGAAGCAGGGTGTGGATAGTGATGGATTAGCAATTGCGTATCGCAAACTCCTGAAATTTGTCCTTGTCCTCCCCTGCGTTACGTTTCTATCGTGACAATGTGGGAATGTGTGCTGCAAAAGGGACCTTATTTCCAAGAAGTGGCGACGTAGGTGAATGAGATTCCGGAGGGACGGGATGACTCGGAGGACGAGTGTGCTATGGATAATGCTGATGATAAAGATGGAAGCAAGAGGACGACAGGCATGTATTCAGGGAGCTGGTGTGGGGGAATGGAAGGGCGAGCAAGGTAGGCAGAAACCAATGGTAGTTTGAGGTGGGACGTTGATGTAACCAAGCGAATCACAGGTAATGTAGGCCTATAGATTTGGGCATGCACAGCATCTGTCATCAAAATTGCATCATTTCAACTGCTCCTCATCACTGCTTTCGCACATACATTCGACATCATAGCTATTGAGTTGAACACCAGGCCGTCATAACAAAGATTTATGATGAGCTCTCGTATTTAGACATTACTATATACCCACGTCTCGAGCCCTCCAGCCACCCCACCTGATTCGTTTTACCATGTTCGCATGCACTCCAGCTCATATCTACAAGACGAGAGCGGCCAAGCCCAAAATACCGGCGACGGCGGGCACCTTCATGCCTGCAGCAGCACCAGTGAAGTAGGACGGAGGAGCGGAGTATGAGCCAGTGCCAGAGGGAACAACAGGCGGTACACCAGTACCTACAGGGCTGGTTGGGTAGGGAGCAACGACAGAGCTGGAGGTCTTGGTGACGGTGACGGTAACAACGACGCACGACTCCTCAGTGGCGGAGGGGAAAGCGTAGCCGGTGCTGGAGATGACGATGTCGGTCTTGGAAGGCGTAGCTGGGGCTGTGCAGGAGATTAGTTGGGATTCTATGCGTGAAGGCAGTACGGCCACGTACCAGAAGTCTGGATGGTAGGAGCAACGCTGCTGCTGGCCTCCTTCGACGGCTCGGGGGCCGCAGAGGTGGGAGCAGGAGCAGCAGAGCTGGAAGCACCAGGGGCGGGAACGCTGATGGGGAAGCCAGCGGCAGCGCAGATGCCCTCAAGGACGGTGATGACCTTCGCCTGGTCGGCAGCGCTAGGGCATGCCTTCTGCACACAGGGAGTGATCTAGCACTGAGTTAGCTTGAGTGACAACGTATCGTATCCCGGGACAACGTACAGCAGGGGTGAGCTGATCCGCCTTGGTGCAGGAGCACTCGAAGTCAGTGGCCGAGCATCCGATGCTAGAGACACCAGAGACGACGCAAGACAAAGAGCAAGACGGGAGGTCGGCGATGCTTTGGGCGGCAGTGAGGGCCGCGAGGGCCGCGATGGTGAAAGTGTACTTCATTTTGACTAGAAAGACTGTAAAGGGTCGGCACTGAAAAGAGTGGATACAGACAAGAACGACTGTGTTTGAGACGCTGAGGGATGGCGATGAGGACAGGGTCGATTGCGATTCTACACTGGCCTGTTTATACTGCCTCCTCGCGCATGCAATTAGGCGGATGTCCAGGCGCCTTCTGCCATCGACGCCACGAGAACAAGGCTGCTCGGAAATTAGACGCCAGCTGCTTGAAGAATTGGAAACGCAATATTGCAACCGAGCCGCTTAAGAAAGATTTGGTGGCGTGGTAGAGGAGTGCCACCAATCAACAGGATCGAATCTCGACCCACTGACATAATGGTATTGTAACTCAGAGCGGGTCGGGGGAAACGTTGTCTGTGCATCACTGTTGTGGACCAGGGTCTTTATTAAGGTACCCACAGGATTGGCTAACTCTAAAATGAACCCACTGTCACACGAGGAGAATCTCAGAAGAGCGATTCCTCTAGCGGCAGGTGTTAAGTTTGGAGTCGCGGTTTGAGCGCGAAGATCTACGATGTAGAGTGGATCGGCCGTCTGCGACGGCGCGTTACAGCGAGTCATATAAAGATGCACAAAAACTCTTGAGGCAACACAAGAAAATACAAAGCAACATTAAGTAACACAAAACGGTCAAACTGTGCCGCAATATGGGCAGGTTTAGGCGTAACGTCCAGCCTCGCAGATATTGCGCAAATTGGCAGCAGGGAAAAGGGGCTCATGCAAGCTCTAATCTCGATTTGGTTAGCCGAATATGGGGAGAATCCCTGCACTTCTCCACAAACTGAAGCTTCGCCGCAGATCCATGGTGCACGGTGCAAGCTAGCTCATGCGCGCAGGCTCCTGCTGTCGACCACTGTATGAGATGGATTGTGGTTGCAATCTGCGGATATGGTCACGAGCTCGCCGCGGGAGACATGTGTACGGAAACTTCCTCGGTACCTAGGTAAACCCAGCACGTCGTCGACATGTGGATTTCGCGTGCATCCAATCCTAGGTGCCTCTAACGCGTCTGTGGAACACGACTGAGAAAACAGGCCACGCGATCTTAGCGCTTGTGTGCATGATTAGATGCATTTTTCGTGGACGCCGAGGAATAACCGTGGGATTGACCATTGTCGCACGGAACATGTACAGTCGGCGAGACGTTGTTCAAAGCGCCTGTGATACCTGCTTGGTGGTGCCATAGGTGCCCCTTAAGTGAGCATGGTGACATTGATGGGGAGAAGTAGACGCGAACATGCGTAAGCCTAATTTGGGAGATTGATGACTATGGGCAAAGACTCCAAATCTTTCCATTCGATGGGAATACTCCATGTGCATCCTATCGTTCAGTACAGTCGCCGAGATTCGGTGAATTCGGGATTGGAGCACTGTGGAGAACGGACTGCGGGTAAACTGTTCGGTTTCTCTTACCATCGCGTCTCTGTGACTTTGATCTCGATCGAAACTCGATCTTACCTTCCAGTGAACTAGGCTTTGCTTCACAGCAAGTCGATGTACCTGAATTGTTTTAGTCGAGTGCCTTGATATTGGTCCTTTTGCCATGACTAGTCGTTGATGCTAGCGTATAACAGAAATATTCGGGAGATGTGGCACCCGGCAGATCTCGAAGAGTCATGGGTAATGGTGAAAGTGATCATTGTCTTTCATTCTATAGACTGCCGGTGTGTCTTTTGTTAGCCATAATGCTACTCAGCGATCCGATAGTTTCATTATTTGTTCCCATTGATGTCTTATTCAGAATTCCTTGATTGTTGACGAGAAACACGAAGTGGTGTCACTCAACAGCGATAGACACAAGCAAGGACTGCGATCGCTGCCCAATAAAAAACAGAGTGAGTCGTGGTAAGTCGAAAATTGTCTTTCCCTTTATAATATCTTTGTAATCACTTTCATTTTGTCACTTGTTGCTCCCACGACTGACCGTGTTTGTATCGATCATAACTACATCATTGTCTTTTCTCACGTCACGTTCGACACGTCCGAAGCCCATATAATTGAGCTTCTGCTTACCGAATCGATCAGAAAAATAATGGCACTGTTAGACGCCAGATAGGCGAGCATTCCCATGGGCGAGGTCATTTGAAAAACATGGTTAATAGCCACACTGACAACTTTTCACTTACCAGACAGCCCTTCGTAGGATATCTTGTGCTTTGATGAGAATGAAATCATTAGGCAGGCGGATCTAGGAGGATACTAAGTACCAGATATGCTGCAAGAGAGCTGCTACAGAACCTTTCTTGCAACGCGAGGCTCGTACATTGATCCTTTATCACCATATACTGCTGTTTGGATGCGAATTTATGGGGCATTGGAAGGGACCTGCGCTCAAACGTCCGGTTAGTGTTGGATATAGCCCGAAGACATCGACGAACATGTACTTCTCGCTGCCTTTATTTTTCTACTCTCGACCAGATCCTATGGCGAACTGTGTGCAGCCAGCAGGGTACGTTATATTCCCAAGTCCTACTACATTGATAGGATTTAGGTAGGTTAGTAAACCACTGGGACTCTGGTGCATAATCGAAAATTCCATGGTCGGACCTGCACGACGCCATGACCGCGCAGGTGAATGAGTGGCTCGACCGCGACTTCCAAACCTGGAGTACCTATACAAGGCATATAAATAACGCGTGTTTCGCCCATCAATCCACTTCGCTCTCTGAAAACCCCTCTTCAAAGACTACGGCAGCGACCGCCAGCAATCCGATATTTAACGTCGCCCAACATGCTGCGTTACTTCGCCCTCATGCTGGTCGCACTTGCCTGGTGTACCCTAGCCATACCTCTCACCGACGTCACCGACCCAAATCTTGCTCCTTGGAACGCTCTCGGAATCGGCGCTGACGATGCGGCAAACTTCGCCGCTTCCGGCGTGAGTCCCATGGAAGGCGCACAAATCATCGCGACCGAACAAGCCCTTTTCAATGGTACAGTCGCTGTGGCACTACGAAAGCGCCCCCCGCTTATAGAAGCTGCAGGAACGCAATTGAGCAATGTTCCCGGCGCATACTCTCTGGCAGAGGCTATGGGCTTGGGTATGAGCAACGCTGCCACTGCTGACGGGACCAACCTCAAGATGGTGATCATCGTGGGTTGGCGACGGTCAGTACTGCCTGCTGAGCGAATCCATGCTATGCTGACAGTTTCATACAGTCAACACGTGGGCATCACCTGGCAGAAACTAAGCTTCCTATCCTTTGCCCCCGCATATATCGACCTTTCAACGCGATTTCGAGACGTTCTCTGGGAATTGTGCCCTAAAGATGCGGTAGGCGATGGGTGCAGCTACCTTGAAGAGAAGAAACTAGAAAATATTTATTACAATACTGGTACAAGTGGAGCTATCCGTATCAAGGTAGCCAGTGTTGAGATGCCTTCCAACTTGCGCGACTTTTTCGTCAACACGCTGTGGGGGGTCTTCAAGGTGATCACGGAATGTGACAAGAACCGCTATCAGCTTCGGGGTTTCGGCGGAGGATTTGAAGCGTGTAGGGAGTTTGCCAACAGCGCCGATCAGATTGAAGTGCGACTCCTGAACACTCGCGGGCCTAGCGATAGAGTCGGGATCTACAAAGACCCCCACTTGCGCGTCAATATCAAGTGGGACGCCGCGACTACAGAAGGTCCCTTCGACTGTGTGGGCAGCCAATCATCAATCTGGTTCGTATATATTCTTCGCGTCCATTTCAAGTGGCATTTGCTGACACAGTCGCAGGGACCAAGTCCGAGGGAAGATGGTACCTGAACTCCAGAAGATCGACGCATACAAGAACGCTCCGGTGGACTTTGACGTGCTTTGCGTCACGCAACGCGTTGACGGAGGCTGTTTTACTCGGGACATCTGCAAGGGAGATTCCCGCTGGGACGACAAAGATGGTTCTTGCACTTGGCATGACAAGTGCTCAACTCCAGGACACTGTAACTTTGGCTTTTGAACATTCGATGGTCGTTGATCTGTTACATGGAGTCGATGAAGAGCTCTCATTCGGCGGAGTTATTTGCATGTGGTGGGTGGATTATCTTGGCCCCGTAATGTCGCGATAATATGGTTAACGCATTTTGCATTGTACCACGTCGTCAGGCAATGTAGCACATGTTCAAGAGGTTGTTTCTCGGATCCATTGACATTATCCCTATCATAGAAGTCATACAGAAACCTTTCTCTACGAACAAAGGTGCGCCTACCCTAAACTTGGCCTTGGTCAGGCAATCACTCATGCTGCAACGCCGGCTCGCCATCAATGTTCTATCAATTCATCAAAGCCCATCAGGCAAAATTCCGCATCAAAACCCCGCTTCATATGCAGTCGGATGGATAGTACCAAGAAAGGTCGGAAGTCGCGCATTAAATAGGTATCGTCTTACTGCATGCTCGACAAATTGTTCCACCCCAAAGGTCCCAAGCCGTCGACTCCCGTTGGAGGTGGCCCGTTCTCACTGTTCTCCCATTCGAAGAAATTTTGCAGATCGTTCAGATCAAACATTGGCTGCTCGATGTTCTCCATACCCGGATAATATACGCTGCCTATCTGATCCGTCTGCGGCGGCGCAATGTCTTGCATCACTTCCGGATCTAAAGCTATAGGCCCCGAAGACGTTGCGATGGAATAAGGGTATGTATTTGTAGTAGCAAATTCGTTCGTCGTTGGCGGTGGGGGGGTCGAAGCATTGAGCATAGGGTTCAAGTGATCGTTGATAGGTCGTTGTACCATTCGTGTGACTGGTAAATGTGATGTTTCGGCAGTCCGCATGGGATCCTGGGTTGGTGGACTGCAGATACTGTGATGCATTAGTATATTTGATCGATTGAGGGCAAAAGTACTAGCCTTGGAGTTGGTCTGGCCTCTGCATGTGGGTCGACAGGGTCCTGTGGTGGTATGTATGGATCTAATGGAGCACCTCTCGCGATACTTTCGCGCACCTTATCGAGCCATCGTTCGGTCGTGACGTACTGTGCAAAAGTTAGATTACAGCCTTGAAGCCAGTCTAGATAGCATACGAGAGGTTCCGCAAGCGGATACATTTGGCTCATAGCCCGGAGAGCGCGGTTGTTGAGTTCCACTAGCTCAAGTGTACGTGTGGTTGTAGTTTCTGCATCGTGCTTCGAACGGTCGAGAATGCGTGCAATGTAGTATAACATTATACGACTGCTATTGTAGACAAAAGATGGCAAAATGGGATCGGCGAGGTATTTGACGCCGTGCTGCAAAATGGTCGAAGTAAGGACCGACACTCTTTGCGCGTTCTCAAAGCACGTTATCTGCAGCTTGGCCATAAACCCGAACTGTTCCGGAGGGAATTCGAAAGGTTCCCGCATCTTAAAGAGGTTCGGCAATGCTATCCGGTGCAGGTCGCACAGCACATGGTGATACATGCAATGGATGATGAAGAGTGCGCCTAGCTGGGAAGACTCTCTACGGATGTAGATATTATCCGAGGAGAACGACATCCATTGTGGGTGACTGTATTTCCACTCTTCAATCTCTCTATTGAGAGCCTCAAACTCCCCATTCGGTACCCAAGGCGGGTGTACTGCATCCAAATGTTTGATGTACCGGAGCACTCGCTTCCATATGTACGCGATCCTTACAAAGTATGCACTCATGCCCATATTTTCCCAAGGTTGACCGGGAATGACTTCTGTTGATGTGGGGTCCAGGACTTCGCCCGGACGTAACGTTTCGGTGACATGTGGAATCTGCAGGAGAAATTGCCTCTCATTGCAAGGTAGCTGAAGCTTGATGTCCCTCTCATTCAGAATAGTTAGTTGGTCAACACCGCTGCCAGCCCAGACATCGACCATATAGCAGGCCCACATCAGCCTTCGTCTCGACTCTCGTAGCGATACATCGTTGGTGACACCCGGTTGTTCTTCTGATTCCACATGAATCTGGAGAGCGTGCGCCATACGTACGATCAAGCCAGTAAGAAGGAATGATCCTGCATAGTTGCCGAGCCGCGCTTCATGGTCATGAAGCAATACAAGTACCTTCAGCTTCACAACGGAAATAGTACTGTATTCGGAGAAGTACATCTCTTCCGCGATCTTTGCCCACTGGCTACCTGCTGCCTGGATCACTTCCCGGGGAAGATGCGAGGTGGATTCGCTGTATTCGAGTACGTAGACTGCATGTGTTGGTTCAATCAATGGCGAGAAGGGTGTACTCCAATTCAATGACTTACACTTTGCCGCGTGTGCGCACATAATGTGCAGAAGCGCACGGTTTGCGCTGTCGATAACGAGGCTTTCATCAAGCATCCTCATAAACGAAGGTTTGTGTCTGTATGGAAGGTCAGTAGGGCATATGAGAGTTCTGGATCAACTCACACAAACGCGAACACACGGATTGGGTGCACCTGCAGAGTTATTTTTTATCATGTGCAAAAGTCATGATCCCGCCGCCTTACATTGTTGAAGTACGCGTCCAGAAGTTGATGTAGCTGAGATCTTGGAGGCAGTTCTCTCGCGAAAAGCCTGCACACAGTCGTCAGTCTTAATCCTATTGCATGTTCGACAATGACTATACCATGATAGCGAGGCAGGGTATTCTCCTTGCGGGCCCAGAGAAGGGGCACTGCTTGCATGTCGAGGCGGTGAAACGCTTGGAGTGTCTGGGTGTTGATGAGACACCGGGGTCACAGCATGTACCCAAGCCGGCTCAGCAGCGTCCGCATCGTAGGCACAGGCAAGAGACTTCTGTCTACATCTTGAACATATTGGTCTTTCTCCTGTGCATTTGATCTTACTCTGGCGACAAGGGATGCAGACTCGGAATGTCCGCTTGCGCTTAATACCTGTGATCGCACGGGGCGTGATGGGGCTCTCCAACGGTTGGTCGCTACCATGTTGCACGCATGTCAACGATAGTTTCTCGCAATTCAAACAGATCTTCGGTCGCTCATCGCATTTGACCTGTTACCAAGATTAGCGAATGCATATTATCGCCACGGTACTACACAAGTAGCTATGGTATAGGTAGCGCTACGATAGCTCGACCGCGGAGCAATTTTGATCGAGTTGTTTCGTGCCCGTGACTTTTTCGCAGCAGAACTGCATTTGCAGGAGACACACGATGCTCGTAGGTGCTTGTTTCACTTACTTTCCGAGCTCTGCAAGTTGCACAAGCTGAGATCGAATTAGCATCACGGCGTCGTCGTGGTTGCCGGGCGAGTTCTTTCGGGTCGTCGGCTTCACATTTGAGCCAAAAAGGGTACCCACCGTTCATCGGCCGTCTCCGCGGCCTTCCAACCTGGGGTACAGTGCCCTCGAGGGGCGCTAAGTCGTCGGACAAATCCATCCGGCGGACCGATGATGGTTTTGATGGCATTGTGCGCAAAGCAAGATGTTGAGAGAATCGTGACTGCCAACCCGTTCGGCTCGTCGCGGGCGGCCTTGGCATACCGTAGCCTTCGCCCCGTCCTGGCCACGCGACCACATCCCATCACTCACCGCCCTCTTTGACCACAATCGATCGGGACATCGCGAACGGGAATATTCGTCGGAATCAAAAGACCGTTCGTTGCATCATTATAGATGAGATCTGTTGAAATATATCGTCGAGCAACTGCGTTTCAAAGCGGATATACCATTATCACCATCGCAATCCGCCAGGACACAATCACTCGAAATCAAAAAGCAGCAAGTGTAGTCATATTGGCATTCTTACCTGCTCTCCTATCGACCACCTTAGCTAACACCGAACCTCTAAGTTTCGCCGATGCAGTCCCGGCATATCCCTGTTCCGCACAAGAGCTCTGGCTTTCAACATCGCGTCTCAGAAGATCCTGCTGCTCTCACTGATCTCCCAGCCGGCCTGAAGTCCCTAGTTACAGTTGGACACCTCTCAAAGTTCATCTAGGACCAAGACCATCTGACCTTCGTTATGCGTAGATGACTCATGCCGGCCTAAACGCGGCGATTTACATGTCCGTCACACGCAGTCAACATGCGTTGAGAATATCCTTGAATGTGTGCAACAGCGCCATCGTCTATCCATCAATCGAAAACAGGTTCGTAAAAGGGCCGCTCTTGGACTGCGCCATGAAGAGCCCTCTTGCTCGTGGGTCGAGCTTTAGCGTCGTACTCTCTTCCGCAAATACGCTGCCTTCGTGCCGTGAAATCCTCGCGAATCCCAAGCCAAACCTCACGATCCGCGCAGTCCAGTTCTTCAGTGTTCGAGTTGACCATTCGGCACTCCGGCTGGTTCTTCTCCACCATGCCCGGCAGTGGCTCCAACCATGGCTTCGGCATTGGCCAGTCCGAGAAGTGCACAAACTTCGCCTCCTCCAGCGCCCTCTTCGGATCCCACTTCTCATTCGGCGTCCCGAGATAATTATCATGCTTTGGATTGTGGAATTCTCCAGAAAGTAGATCATATCGCCGATGCGGGATAACAGTGGATGACTTCCCATACAGCTTATTCAAGATATCCATATCGTAGTCATGGCCCTCGTGGTGGTCCATCGCATACTCCACGCGTCTCCATTCTGCCTCCGAGGGCTCAATGACAATGAGCTGGCTGGATAGGAAGAAATTTTCCGACATCCAGTACGCTCGGGGCATCGCCACGGGAGCCGAAGGCAGGGAGAAGAGCTCGTCCATATGGTCGAGAACGGTGCCATCAGAGTCAATCGATATTACACGCTTGTACTGTGTCTGGTTGAAAGCCAGTAGCTTCGTATAACTGTCCTGCCACGTCGGATCTTTCTCGTTCTCGAACGTTTTGACCTGGATCGGCGCCATGCGGGCCTTGTATACATCGCGCGCTTGTGCTAAGAGCTTTGTCTCGTACTCCGCGTCTGAGTCGACAGCTGGGGGAAGTTGCCATTGCTCTGGGTACATCATCAAAAGTTCTGCCTTCGTGTTGTAACGCCGCAACGCTTCGAAGATCATGAGCGAGTTACAGAGATAACTGGGGTTCGTCACATATTGAATGTAAGCGAAGTTGGACCATTCGGTCGACGACCCGGGGGAGGTAGTATCACCGTCACTTCCTGAGGGTACGGCGACGGTCTCCGTTGTCGCACAGCCGCATATCGCTGGTGTTGATGCGGTCGCATTGTGCGCGTATTCACGAACGCGTTCGTTGAGATCCGGATACCGGAAAATTACCACGCCTAATAGAAGTAACAATATCGTTGCAAAAATCGCTGTTCTCACTCGCCGGAGCAGAAGCCAGTTGGAAAGCTTCACCGGGCTCTTCAACCCTACTTCCACCTCCTCCGTTGCGATGGGAGAGTACTTGCGGCGCCAAAACATAGCGACAGGCCGGGTCGAATAGTTGGTCTATTATTGGTCGACACCTCCCGTGGACAACGAGTCAAAAGGTGTTATCAAATCGTGGCTACAATTTGTCAGTCTCCGGAAAGATGCAGAGGGTCGCCGAGGTGAGCTATACGAGCACTTCAAAAAAGGCCACGGTTTCCAACACTACCATCGCCGTACAGATGTCTCAACGGGCCGCCCATCCAGGTGGCAGCGAGTGTCGTTTCCCACTCGCAGTGTCAGAAGTTTCGCGGCACGGAATGACATTAGTTTGGTGGCGTTCTGCAGCTTACGCAGTATTGCCGCTTCCGAGTCACACGTTGCATCCGTCTAATCTATCTATTCGAGGGACCTGCAGATGTGCCGTAATCTCGTATGCACCACGCTAATAGGGGAGAGCGAGACACCGCGCCGTGTTCATTTCGTTCGAAGCCATCGACGTCTTCTCGAACAAATGGCTCATACCATGTACACTATTCTATGTTGGCCCGTAAAGGCAGTTTACCTTTTGCGACAGAGGAGTAAAGTCTGGTCTGTTAGGTCGCCTGCTATGGTCGACGATCTTATCCGCATCTTTGGATGCCGGGTTTACCACCACTCAAGCTTTTGCTTGGTTGCATTAGCCGGTAAGGTTGCCAGTACGCTATTGGGCATCTCTTATTCAAGCGTCCTGTAGACTATCCATTCTGGGGAAAGTGTTCAGCACATCATCTCGCAGCCGCTGGCGATATTCTATGCCACAGTGTACATTGATTGAGAGGTGGTGGCGACAGATGAAGCGCCATGGAAGGGATACTTGACGTTGTGTAACGCGCCATGGTGGCTGCATGTCTTTCTCGTTCGCTTTTGACGCGCATGAGTTCCGAGACAGGATATGAGAACGTGGAGGTTCCATCTCATCAGAGTTTACTGAAAAATGATAAATCCTTTTCATGAATGGAGACTAAGACTCGCAAGTAGATTCATAACCTAGTACCACGACCCTCTCCATACCTATAGCTTCGACTTCTGCCCCCTACCGCCCGCCCTCCGCACCAGCTCCCAGCAGATCTCCGCGCACGGCCGCATCTCCTCTCCCACCTTCTTCGCCTCCAGACTACTTGCCTGCCTTACCGCATACCGGCTCGCAATCCCCTGGAAAATAATGCTGTCCCTGAACATGGCGAATGCCGTGCCCCACGCCAGGTCCGGCGCAGGATCCCAGCCCGCTACCTCAGCGTACCAGCGCACGACCTGCTCGCGGGAGGGGAGGCCAGGCGTCGTGGCGGTGGGTGCGAAGGAGGGGGAGGCGTTACGGCGCTCGGTACTGAATGCGCTGTATGTCCAGGGAGCGATGAGGTTGGAGAGATCGGAGAGGGGATGCCCTATCGTGGACATTTCCCAACTGTTTCGCTCGCGTTAGCTTCGCATGTTTGCTGGCGCCGAACCGGAAACATGACTTACTCCAGAATCCCAATCACCCTCGGCTCCGTCTTGTGATACACCAAGTTGTCGATCTTGTAATCGCCGTGTATCGGCGTCCCGCGATCGCGCGGCTGGCTGCGCTTGCTGCTGAAGAATTGCACAATTTCCTTCATCCGCGGGACCTCGCCTACCGTGTCCCCCGTCTCCACATCTTTGACTACACTCTGCGCATCCCCTAGTGTACCAAATGTTTTTATCTGCCGGTCATAGAAGCCAGACGGCTTCCCGTACGTTTCCAGTCCGATGGCTTTGGGATCCAGCCGATGCAGCTTGGCCAGCGTCCTTACCGCATCATGCCACATCTCCTCTCTCTGTTCCTTACTCACGCCAGGAAAGTGCGGCTCGGTGATGATTCTGCCGTCAAGGAACTCCATGATGTAGAAGGGGCTGCCGATGACGCTGTCGTCTTCGCAGAGGCCGTAGACCCGCGGCACGGGGACGTCGGTGTTTTGCAGCGCGGCGAGGATGCGGTACTCGCGCTCGACTTTGTGTGCGGTCTTGCTCACAAGCTTGCCCGGAGGCTTCTTCCTGAGGACGAACTTTGAGGAGTTGGCGGAGGTGAGTTGGTACGTGGGGTTTGACTGGCCGAAGCCGAATTGTTTCAGGGAGATGGGAGTTTGGATTGCGGGGACATTGCGCTCGATGTAGCGCTCTACGAGAGGTCAGCAGAGCTGCATTGATGGTCCAGATGTATGGGTGAAAGCAGAAAGGGAAGCGTACCCAGCGACGGAATGTCGATTGGCTGTCGGACGGGACCTGCCATGGTTGTTGTCCTTTCCTTCTATTTCTTCTCTTCAATTCAATATATTCTTCCACAACGATGTCTATTTAGGTCCCGGTAGAGCTTGATAGTACTGTATAACACCTACGAAAGGCAAGTAGAAGCCCAGTCACAACTACCACAAATAAGCAGCTTCTAAACCTTTGCAACCCACTAGCTCGTACAGACAGCGTGCTGGTAAGCGGCTCGCCGCCGACATTTTACGACACGCCCGCGAAAGCTGGACCTTAGGCCGAGGTGTGGAGGCGTAGCTGGGGTGAGCTCTCCGCAGTGCGCTAGGTCGGTCTGGGCTCGGGAGAGGATAACCGTGGGGTAGGCGTCACGTGTGATGATTCAGTAGGCGGCTGGTGCACCGAGGTTGATGAGGCAGTGCTGACTTCGTATGTGTGGTTGAAGCATCTGGGAGGGTTTAACGTGTGGGAATAGAGCAATGCCCTGTGGGTGCACGCATGTACCATGAGAGGTTGTTAACGTGCAAGATACAGAATCGTATGTACAAGTAAGGTAATTCAAACGCTATCTAGCTTTACACAATGCCGATGAACTCCTCAGGTTCCAGATTCCACTTTTTGCAAAGCTCCTTGTACCGCGCGGTGTACTTCTCTGCCCGCTCTCTGAAGCCCTGCGCAGTCTTCATCTGATCTCTACCGACCTGGTGTCTATGTGCCGAATCAGGGCCGTCGGCGACTCTGACAAACCGAGCGTATGTCCAGATCTCGGGCAGAGGTGTATGCTGCGTGAGGCCTTGGCCGCCATAGATCTGCATTGCCTCGTCGATGACCTTGAGCAGCGCATTCGGGACCATGATCTTGCTCTGCGCGATTGCATACCTCCCAGCCTTGTTGCCCTGTAGATCCATAGTATCCGCTGCGTTGAGCACGACCAGCCGCATCGCGTCGATGGTCATGCGCATCTCGGCGATGCGCTCGATGTTGCTGTCGAATTCGCCGATGAACTTGCCGCGGGGCTTCTTGCGCGGCTCGTAGCATCGCACCAGTGCGAGCTCGTAGGCCCGCTCGGCCTGGCCGATCAGCCGCATGCAGTGGTGGATGCGGCCAGGACCGAGACGGCCCTGTGCAATCTCGAAGGCGCGGCCGGGCCCCAGGATGATGTTCTCTCGCGGCACCCGCACGTCCTCGTAGAGGTATTCGCCGTGGCCTTCAGGTGCCCAGTCGTAGCCCATTATGGAGAGATTCCTGACTTGCTTCAGGCCCGGTGTGTTTGCCGGTACCACGAGGGTTGTGTGTCTGTTCCAAGGGTTCTTGTTGTCGGGGTCGGAGCAGCCCATGAGGATGAAGATCTGCATCTCTTCGTTGTATTTGCAGTTGCCGTACAGCTTGCGGCCGTTGATGATGACCTCCTTGTCCGTGATCTCCATCTTGATGCCCACTTGCGTAGCGTCCGACGAGGCGCGGTCGGGTTCGGTCATGCTGTATGCCGACGAGAAGTCGCCGTTCATCAGCGGGTGCAGCCACTTCTTCTTCTGCTCGGGCGTGCAGTACTTGGCGAGCAGCTCGATGTTGCCGGTTTCGGGGGCATGGCAGTTGAGTGTCTGTACGGGCGTCAGCATGCCGTCGCGTTGCAGACGCGATTGTGTCGCTCACCTGAGCACCCCAGTACACTCTGCCCATGATCTCTGCACAGCACGAGTACTCCAAGTTTGTCAACCCAGGGCTCTCTTCGAAGTGATTGGGCAAGAACAAATTGAACAGGCCCTGGGCTTTGGCCTTTTTGCGCAGCTCGGTGACGATGGCAGGCGTCGTCCACCTCGCCTCCTTCAGCTGCGCCTTGTAGATGCGCTCTGCCGGGACAACCTCGTGTTCGATCCAGTCATGGACCTGCTGGATCTTCTCAATGGCAATGGGCCGCAGCTTCGCCTTGACCCACGGCGGGATGCGCGCAAACGCCGGGTTGCCCTCGATCTGGATGTTGGCGGCCATGTCGTTGCTGTGTCTGTGAGTGTTGCTAGAGGTAAGTTCAAATGATCAATACGCAGGCTACAAGAGCGACCATCTTCTGGGGAACCCATAGCTCCGCTATGCCTAATGGGGCGCGCAGGCGTGAATGTTGTCGCGGCCGAGGGTGTTACGGGGATGCTGGAAGACCTTAGGCGTGCGGGCGAGAGCGGGGACGCGCGCTAGCAGCCGGAACTCCATCTCCACCATCGCCATGACCCGGCGTGAACGATGCCTGATTGGACGGCCGTTTGGAGGTAGGACCACGTCTTGGAGTTGGTTACGATGGAGGGCCATGCTTTTCGATACACAAGTGCAGGCTGAATATGGCTTCCGAAGGCTTCGCGAAACCCTGGGTCGAGGCGAGTAGGGCGATGCAACCTGTCGGTCCAGCAGCACTGACGAGCCGCAGTTTGAAGAGGAATTTGGAGAACGCCCATTGCTTCCCTACGACTCTATCGAAGAATGTCTCGAGGGCTTTGGGAAGATTGGTGCCAAGATGGCGTCGCGGTACACGTTCCCAGCGCCCGACCCGGCCGTACAGACCGAGGACAAGACTATCGACGGCGGATTGAAGGTGCGCATATACACGCCAGAAGGCTACTCTGGAAGAAGGCCGGTCGGTGTATACTACCACGGTGGAGGCTGGGCAATGGGTGACATGGACGGAGACGATGCCTTCTGCCGGTCCATTTCCAAGGGCGGCAACGTCGTGCTTGTATCCGTCGAGTATGGCCTTGCGCCTCAGAACAAGCATCCGGGACTGATCAATGACTGTTTCGCGGGGCTGCAGTGGACCTTGAAGAATGCAAAGGTGCTAGGCGGTGTTGAAGGCAAGATCTTTACCGCTGGGGTATCAGCAGGAGGCCAGCTCGCCATTGCGCTCGCTCTGAAGGCGCTTGACGAAGGACTGGGCGACTCGTTGGTTGGCGTCGTGGCTCAGGTGCCGGCAACGATACACCCTGACGGGATACCTGAGGAGCTCAAAGCTAGATACACATCGTATCAAGAGCACGCCAACGATACCATCGACACGGATCGAGCGATGCGCGCGTTTTGGAGTATGTCAATACTCAACCATAGTCAGACGTGCGCTGACATAAACACGCAGATGCTTTCGGCACACCGCCTGCAGACCCGTACGGTTCACCCTTGCTCCATCCGAAGATCAAGGATCTGAAAAAGGTGTACCTGACTGTCGCGGGCCATGACACTCTCCGTGACGATGGTCTGCTGTTCAAGGAGAAGTTGGAGGAGAACAAGTAAGCAGCCTCTTGGTTTCGCCCTAAACACATTGCTCATAACCTACGTTAAGGGTACCGTACAAGCTCGACTTTTATGAAGGATATCCGCACTACCACTGGACGTGGCCATCTTCGAAGCTCGACAAGCCGAGAGAGGAGCATAATGCGAACCTTGCCAAAGGCGTACAATGGGTTGTATCGTAGCTGCTGAGACAAGAATAAGAAGTTGTTGGAGGCATATCCCCTTCTAGGCACGGCAGGTGCGCGCCAGCCTGTGGAGGCAGTGCGCCGGAGCTCTCTCTCTCGCTGTTGCAATAAACTCGTTGACCGCAACGTCCCGTTCTTGTTATTAGAGTCCGTTTCTGGGCCATTATGGTGCTTTTGCATGCATTTCTGGGCCACGGCTAGTTGTCCCTCCAATTGCTCAGTTTGCGCGACTACGACAATGCTAATGAGCAGAGTTCGCACGTTTCAAAACGCAATGTCGACCAGGCTGTAACGGGATATCGTATACGAGCGTCAATTCGCTTATTTGACCACATTCTGAGAAGAAGACGCGCACGGCATCTCTCAGCCCACTGCACCCTCAGCCGCGTCTCCCTAGCAGTAGCGCTCAACGCACCTTCGATCCTTCGAACCCTTTGATGATCGAGCGGTACATTGATTCCAGAATGAACCACTCACACGTATATACAAGTGATCAACATGCCGGCCAACTGCGCGAGGCTGAAGTGGGACTTCTGCCCCATCGATCTTTTCATCACGATGATTTTCGTCGTTACTTATCGACGCACACATTCACAGGTTTGGAACGCAGATTTCTAAGGACTGTTCTCTCGAACAAACGCCTGCTTCAGCGGCCTTGTCTCTTCCCCGTAGGCTCTGGACCAGCAAGCGACCGCTCGCACTACTCTCACTTTCAAGTGTACGACGTTGCTTCAGATGGGCTGGCAATACTTGCAGACGATCATAGCGAAGTGTACAACGGGAAGGCTCTGGAAATTTGGGGATACATCAAAGTAAAGTTTACCTCGAGCTTCGACCATTATGCCTTGGTCCTTCGAGGTCCTGACGTTCATACAGTCTACGCCGCATCCCAGAGCGGAAGCAACAATTGATAATATTGCCGGCAGAATCGTGTAGGCACGTCCCTAGTGAGACCTAGCTGAACAAGATATTGACACATCAAGGATCGCTCGCGAGCCATCGACTATACTTCTCGCTGCCTTACACTTCACTCACAGCTGTTTTATGGATATGGACTCAGTTTTCCGTGCGCTCGGGTCCCATGAACCTGCAGTGGTGGGTGCGCTTACTCTTTGCTGACGTGTGCTAATACCAAGGCAGGCGTGTACCAGCAAAAGTATCGCCAGTAATCATGCCACTCAGTTCGTTTTCTCACTTTCGTATTACACGGTCATCGGAGATGATTGCGAGCCTAAGGAATGGCAGCCCCACGATGAGGATCTTCACGCTGTTACGGAGGTTCGCCTATCTCGATGCAACACCGTTGTGGCATTGACCTTGTTCAACGAGAAAGCCCAGGAACCTGGTATAGGTCAATCTCATTCGACTGGTGGCAAAACAAAGCTCAAGATTCCACCATGGCATATCCTGAACTTACAATGTTTTCCAGATTGGAGAGCAACATTTGACGTGTTCGAGAATGACCACAAAATCATCCACGGAGGAGACGCCTTCTTGACAGCCATACTTACCGAGTTCCAAGACGCTGTGAAGCGCTTCGAAGGGATCCAAGAAGCGATTGCTCGCTTGGTAATACCGTCCCAGGATTTCATATTTAAGGAGTCACTCCGGGATGAGCGATTGTTCGATGATGCATCGTTCGTGTGGACGAAGCAGTACTTCTGGGCTCTTCATGTGCTCCCCAGGATTATTAAGTCTAGCGAAGAGATGGAAGGGGAGATTTATAACATCAGAAACAGTAAGAATGACTGGTCAACCTATATTTCGGAGGCATGGCCAGATCTTCCGGTACTTGAAAAATCACCAGCGAGGCTTCGTTCACCAACTGATGTCCGCTTCCGACGTTTGATGTCAGGATTTAAAGATGTAGAGCAAAAACTAGGGTCGGTCCGGGTGCGCAGCCAGGAACTGTGCCCGCAGATCCAATCCCTACAGTCTACACTGTTCAATGGCACTTCGGTCCTCGAAAGTCGCAAGACGGTCCAACAAGGCGAGAACGTCAAGCTGCTCACCATTGTAAACGTTTTCTTCCTACCCTTGACGTTCATCACCAGCGTCTTTGGAATGACGAACATGCCCGATGACGCTAATTTTGTGAGATTTGGGACTGTACTCGTGGCCGTCTGCCTCCCTCTGTTCGGGTTCATTGGTTTGGCAAGTAGCCAGCACGGGTACAATTACATGAAAACGACATCGAGACGTGTTTGGGAGTGGACGAAGACCAAGGTTACAGTGCAAAAGAAAGAGGAACGCAGCTTAGACCCCTTGCAGCGGCGGAGGAGATATGGTTTTTCGCGGAGAGACACTCCGTCCGACGACCTTGAAGCTCCGATAACAAGCTTCTCAGAAGCGGAAAAGGGCTCTAGTAATAATGGCGGGAATGAAGGTGTACGGTTTCGCACACATCAAATAGATCGTTGAAGAGTTAGGTGAACCAGATACCTACGGTACAATCTGGGGGTAAATGATACAACTATCAATGATGTCAAGATCGGGCGACCAATCCCACCATGCCATCATTACGCTCATCTAAACAACTTTCTTAGAAATTTTGTTGGTGATAAAAGCTTTCAATGAACATGAACAGGTCCTCCACTCTAACCTTTGTTTTCCGCGTTGCGTGATGCTGTTGCTGCATGATTCATGCATGAAGCGCAGCAAGATCACGCCGACTCATGCCGTACCCCGAGTCCCGCGTTCCGCGCCCCCGCGCCTTCCCCGCTCGTCGCAAACGACACAAGAGCAAATCAAGCATCACGCTGCTATATTCTCCCAGACGGGGTAACTTTTCCGTCGCACGTCCCCTGGCAACTGCCCAGGAGTCCACTGGCTGGGCGCCAATACCAATGTACCATAGGCATGGATCCTCCAGATGTCAGGCTGAGCATACCATACCTTGAACGCCACGTCTGAGGATCAGTGACCTTTTATCTGGATTCACACCCGTTACAGTGCTCAGTATATGCACAAATTCAACTAGTCTACTTATCACCATAAATCATCAAGATGAAGGCCGGCCAGTGGGATCCGTAAGCTACGTCCACCCAATCCCCTGCCACCACTGACTTGTGCAATCCTTAGGAAATCGAAAAAGGTTGTCATTAACGACATACCAAAGCCCACGCCTAACGACAACCAATTCCTTGTCAAAATCCAATCCGCCTCGCTATGCCACTCAGACCTGCACATGGATATGCGGCCGGACTACCCCGCGACGCTCGGCCACGAAGGTGTCGGCCACATCGAATCGATCGGCAAGAACGCTGAGGGCAAGGGCTTCAAGGTCGGCGACGCCATCGGCACCAACTACTTCATAGATTGCTGTTTCGAATGCGAGGGCTGCTTGGTGCACAACCTGCGGTGCGAGACGGGCAAGTCGAAACTGCAGGGCTTCGTAGTCGACGGCTTTTTCGCCGAGTATGCGGTCGTGGACTGGCAGAGTGCCGTGCTACTGCCTAAGGAGCTAGACATCTCGAAGGCGGCGCCGCTGTTTTGCGCGGGGATCACGAGCTTTCACTCTGTGGATAGCTGCGAGTTGAAGGAGGGGCAGTGGTTTGCGGTTATTGGGTGTGGCGGGCTGGGACAGTATGCAATTCAGTATGCGAAGGCGGTGAGTTTACCCTTCAGAAGTTATAAGATGTTTGGCTGATGAATGTATAGATGGGCTACAAGGTGATTGGCCTCGACATCAACGACTCGCAGCTGGAGATGGCGAAGAAAGTCGGCGCCGACGCCGTCTTCAACTCTATGACTAACAAGAACTACGTCGAGGAGGTAAAGAAGCTCGCGGATGGGAAAGGGTGCCACGCTGCAGCTGTCTACTCCGCGAGCAACGCTGCGTACGCAGGCGCACCTGAGGTTCTCCGTGTAGGAGGTCTTATCATGGTCATTGGCATTGCGCCTAAGCCGCTGGACTTCATCACTACATTCGACTTGACGACTGGGAGATACCGAATTAAAGCGGACAGCACGAGCATCCCGCAGCGGATGAAGAAGGCTGTTGAGTTCACGGCGAAGCACAAGTGAGTGTCCTTAGAGTCGTTCGACGTACACGATGCTAACAGTCAATAGCATCCAACCCGACGTTGAATTCAATAAGATCGAGGATCTGCCGCGGATGGTAGAAGACATGGAGAAGGGCAAGGCGGACAAGCGGCAGGTTGTGATCTTCTGATCGCAACGTTTGATTATATCTTTCCGTCGTGAGATGACGTAGCGTATTGCGTGTCTCCTCAGACAATACATCACTACCAAATAAAGAGACTAAAGGCGACTTCGAGCGCCTTCATGATGTCCGCGGAGGGCGCAGTGTGTGACCAGGCTAACGCTGAACTATATTCCGGAGATCGACGGTGACCCTTATTCCCCCGCACATCACAACCTTAATCCCCGGAAGTACAGACCCAGTAGCTGGGTGCTCACATTCATCCGATTGAGTGGAATTCGTATGCAAAGGCCGTGTCAAGGCGCTTGTCGATGCATTGGCATCAGGAGGATCGCGCATGCGCAGAACAGCTGCCTTTATAGACACTTGAATAGCAAACCTTCACCACTCAGCATACACGAAAGGCATCATCTCAACTTCCCATATATTCTACAGACAATACTGCCCTGCCCAAGTTGACTCAAAATGGTGCACGAAAAAGTCAACCATACCTTCAGCAACGACCGCTTCAACTGGGACGCCGGCGAGAACTACCAGCCCTGTATCAAACTATCCTTCTTCTTCAAGAAGCTTCCCAACGTCGACGATGACCACTTTCAGATGCACTACAACCACGTGCACGCAGATCTCACCGTGGCAGCCAAGCTGTTCAATGTGGTCAAGATTCAGCGATATGTACAGACATATCAAACGCCAGAGATAAAGGCAAGGATACGGAAGGCGGGAATGGAGCTGTTGGATTATGACGCTTGCTCGCAGATTTGGGTCAGGGAGTGGTGAGTCTGACATATAGCAGCAGGCCAGAAGTCTGAGCCGGGTTTGTTTTGCCATGGTGGGCAAGATTCAAGCCCGCTGATTGCACTTAGGCTCTGTCATTGTATGGGGCTGGCGATAATTTATTGACACTATCATAGGGAAGATTGGGAGAGATTCTCGACCAGCCCGGAGTATGCAGCTGGTGAGTGAACTCTCGACTGCCCATGACCAGTACAGATCTCAGCTAACAGCGACAGCGCTGCTACCTGATGCGGATCACTTCATGGACTACAAGAACAGCGGCATCAAGGTTTTTGCCGGGTGAGTCGACCCGCATCTTATTTCTGGATATCGGAAAACACTGATGAAGCGAACAGCCAAGATAATTTGATATTTGGAAAAGCGATTCCCGGCTGCGATGAAACAGATGGCGTAACCCGTGCCGAGGATGTATTTCCTGTGGTGGGAAGGCGACAAGATTCTCCTCAGCTCAAGGACTGAAATTTTCAAGTGAGAGAAATCGCGAAAGCTGCTTTCCAATACCATGATTTGCAGTATATCTAGAAGTGAATAGTCTACCTTCAATCGGCCCTTCACCGCTGAACCCATAGTCCCTAATTGTCATATAAGGAACATGAAACTGTACCTATGTCCACATTCCGGACTTAAATCCAAGTTTTCAATAATGACCGCGGAATCGAAACCATGCGCATACTGCAGGATAACAATACCCAGCAGCATAGCAAGACCTAATATGCCAAGAGCTGATGATTTCAACGATGATCACCCCACGTTCCAGCCCTTGACCCCGTGAATCTCGCACAGGTGCCATGTGCTGGCTAGCTGGTTCCCGCCTAGCCTGCCTTGAAGCCTGGAGAAGGTCTCCCAGAATGCGGGGATTGTGCACGCTAGCCATCAGCATTACAACAGGAAAGATCTGCACTATAATAGGAGAGCGACCCATGTACATGTCCACAGGTAGAGTCTGTACTATTGCTGTCGCAGTCACTCTCTCATCCAATCATCACCATGGCAGCTGAAGAACTCGAAAATAGCCACGTCCGCGCCTCCTCCCTCGAGAAACAAGATGTCGAGAGAATCGACGTCGTTGCTTCGCCTCCACCCACAGTCTTGCAGAACGGCGACGGCGAAAGCGTGACCATCACCTGGAAGACATGGTTCGTCATCTTCATACTGTCGTCTACGTTCGGCCTCAGCTTCTGGCCCGTCCCGACCACTGCGGCACTACAGTCCAAGCTCGCAATTCAGTTCGGTGAACCCCTGTCTTCGGCGTGGTATGTTCCTGCATACACAACTGCAAATGCTATTGGATTCCTGATTGCCGGTGCGAACTCGGATTTATTCGGCAGACGACTGTTTTTACTATTCGGCAACGCGTGTTGTTGTGTTGGCTTCATTGTCACAGCGGCTGCGGGAGGTGCATCCCAGTTCACAGCAGGTCTGGCGATTACAGGATTTGGAGGTGGCTTCTGCCAAATGGCAATGTGAGTAAATCTCCGGGTACAAAGTGGATATGTCTTTCGTGCAAAGGAAAAGACTTCCCGCTTGGCTGAGACGCGTACCATCCTCTCTTAACTCACACTGACTTTGTATCCGTACCTTAGGTGCTCGATACCGGAGTTGTTGCCCAACAAGTTTCGCCATATTGGTATTTGTAAGGTCTTCCGTCCTGTTTCTAGTGACAGTCGCTAATCTAAGATGGAACCATAGGTCTGAGTGATGGCTTTGTCTTTCTCATCGTCATCATCGGTCCCATTGTCGGCCGCTATGCCATCGACTCTGGTGGCTGGAAGTACATCTATTGGGGCGGTCTAGTTGCGCAATTCATCTCTCTTACCGCCTTATTTTTCTACTACAAACCGCCGAAGCACCCCAAGGGCATTCCCTGGCATGAAGCTGTCAAGGGACTCGATTATGTCGGCAGTGCGCTCATCATACCAGGAGTCATACTAGCCTTGGTCGGTATCATTAGCACAACCTATAAACCCAGCTCCGACCCTACGGTCATCGCACCAATGGTTGTGGGTTTCGTCATGATCGCGCTTTTCGGCTGGTGGGAGACCGTTTCATCAGTCCCTCATAAGCTGTGCCCTCCGCATCTGTTCGCCAGTCACAAGGGAAGAGAGTTCACGGCTCCGTTCATCGTAGCATTCATCGTCACCATGTTCTACTACAGCGTTAACATCATCTGGTAAGCTAGCTTCTGCATTCGTGTCAGATTTGTCTTACCTATAGACATTTCCTCGCTCGAAACATGGCTAACAATCAATCAGGCCGACCATGGTCAATGTATTTTATCTCACTCCCGAGACATCCCGGACGACCGAGCTGTTGCTCACTCTGCCTCCCAATGTTGGTCTAGTCTTCGGAGCTTGTCTCTTGATCGCATTCGGTGGTGTCATCAAGCACTGGAAGAAGACACTGATCGTCACCTGGACGGGAATGACTCTTTTCGGCGCTCTGATGGGGCTTTGCACACCCTTCAACAAAGGCCTGATGATTGCATTCTGCTGCATTAATGCCAGTAAGTGCCTAGATCTGCCTTGTTCGAGAACAGGATTTAACAGGAACAGCGTTTTTTGGCTGGGCACAATACGAATCCGTCGCATTCACCCAACTAGGCGTTCCCCAAGAAGACCTCGGTTTCTCCGGCGGTCTCGCAGGCATGGCCCGCTACGCAGGAGGCTCATTGGCAGTCGCAATTTACACCACCATCCTCACCAACACGCAATCGACACGCGCAGCAGCCACTCTTCCAGCAGCGGCCATCTCCGCGGGCATGACTGCCGAGAATGCGCAGAAGTTGCTCGCTGCGTTCCCGCTCGGAGCCACAGCAATAGCAGCCGTACCAGGCACAAATCCAGACGCACTTGCAGCGGCAGGTCTAGCGTTCCAGTGGAGTTATGCGCATGGCTTGAAGATTGTTGCGCTGAGCAGCTTAAGCTTTGGTATCTTGGGACTGCTTTGTTGTTTCTACTGCGAGGACTTGGGACCGAAGATGACGAACAAGACTGAGGTGTTCTTGGAGAACGATGTTAATGCCGAGAAGAACGTGTACCATTAGCGGTAGAACGGCTTTCAGATATATGTACGTAATGCCTTCGCTTGAAAAAAAGAGCAGCTTGATTCACCTTCAAGGTTCCACTTGATTCGTGTTGTTCCGTTTGTATACCGTCCCTAACCGTAAGAGACATGGAACATGTCCATTTTCTAACGCACACATTGCGTATCATTAACCCAAGCAAATCCCAGTATCTCACCATCACTTCTTTTTACACACAGTCATCGTCTTCGAGTCATATCCCGCTCCTCCAAACCCTATTGATCATGCATTTAAACTTTCTTGAGTGCACCTACCTTCACTTAACACGACTCAGGCAAAGTGCGGGGTGAGCGTCGCACGACTCACACTACAAGTGGAGACCCCAGAGTCCGCCACCCCAACCCCACCGGAAGTTCAACAACCACCTCGGGTACCATTTTCCGGCCATTATGTTCGCGCGCAAAGTCGAGTCATCGCTCACTGGCTGCCCTCATGACCCTTGAAGGCGCATGAAGGTGGGCTACGCTAGTGAAATCCTTGTAGTGCAGATCTATCCACAGGGTCGTGTGGCGGCCCTGGCGGGGGTATGGAGAAGGTTATGCAGCTGCAGCCGCTCCCGCGGGGTAATGAGCTGGGGAGGGATTGAGTTAACGGGGACAAGGGGTGGTGGGTAAACACGGTGTTGTGCGACAACATTAGGGTTGCGTTCAAGACGGCCGCAATTGTCAGCCTCTTTGGACCATTCACACAGCCTAACGATGTCGAAATCTGCCCTTGTCTTCGGCGCCTCGGGCGTCACTGGCTGGTCTTTCGTCAACGAGATCCTGAACGATTACCCTGAGAAGAACGTGTGGAAACGCGTCCATGCACTCACAAACCGTCCTCTTTCTCAGGAGCAATCGCAATGGCCCAACGACCCACGATTGAAAATTGTTTCTGGGATCGACCTCCTAGACGGCAGCCAGGAAGACCTTGAAAGCAACCTCAAAGCCAAAATCACAGACATCTCCGAAGTCACGCACGTCTACTATCTCGCCTACAAAGCCGGCACAGACATGCAAAAAGAGCTCGAAGAAGCAATCGCCATGTTCAAGCGCAGCACACTCGCCATGGACCATTTGAGCCCCAGTCTAGAGTTCCTGGTCTTGCAGACCGGAGCGAAGATGTGTGAGTACTTCCTGTGACGCAAACTTTACAGTGTATAGTGGTATCTGACCATAGGATAGATGGCTGCCACCTCCTCGAAAATCACCCCACGGACTACCTCCACGTCCCGCACAAAGAGTCTCAGCCCCGCCTCAAGCAACCCTATCACGACATGCTCTTCTACCATCCGCAGCTCGACTGGCTCGCCGAGTACGCAAAGGACAAGAGCTGGAAGTGGATCGACACGCGGCCCGACATCATCATCGGGTTTGTCCCGAACCAGAATTTTTACTCGCTGGGTGTGTACGCCTTTTCCCACTTATCCCAGCGTGAGATGCTTATGTAGGGAACAGGCACTGTAATGGCAATCTACCTCAGCCTCTGGCGCGAAGTGCACGGGGACAAAGCCGAGGCGCCGTTCCCTGGCACCGAGGCCTCGTGGAAGGCACTCAGCAATGATAGCTCCTCCGACATGATCGCACGACAAACACTGTACCTCTCTCTGAACCCCGGAAAGATAGAAAACGGCACCGGGTACAACGTCGCCGACGAGCGGACGCCGTCCTCCTGGTCCAAGAAGTGGCCCGCGCTGTGCTCCTACTTTGGCCTCAAAGGCACCGGCCCGTCCTCCAATCCACCCGAGATGCGCAAGTTCATCAAGGACAACATTGGGGCGTGGAAGAAGTTGGAGCAGGAGAAGGGACTGCAGAGTGGGCACGCAGATAGCGAGAAGACATATCCGGGCTTCGAGTACTTTTTGATGACGCAGTTTGATTTTGATCGGCAGTATGATATGGAGAAGATGTATGGGACGGGGTTTAGCGAGGAGAGGGATACTTTGCATGCGTGGGGGTTGGTGTTTGATAGGATGAGGAAGGCGAAAATCATTCCGTAGAGGTCATCAAGAATCAAGCTTGTGGAGACAAAGCGGTAGATCACGGCAGCGGGAACTTCATTGTGTGTAAATTCACGATACGCTGTCTCAGAACAATTGAGTAAGACTAAAACGCTCAGCAAAGAATCCACCCATCCCATCACTAACGCCTGGTTCAATTCAGCAAACTCCCAAACCCCATCCCATACGCCCCCTGCTGCGGCGGAAACCCATCCAGATCACTCCCCACACTGACTCCGTTCCCAGAATTCCAGTCCCGCCCAAAGTCACTGCTCCCGTCGCCCAGACTCAGGAAGTCAAGATGTGACATATCGCCACCGTCTGTCAATGTATTCATCTCTGGGAAATGCACGTTCGCCAGATTATTGATTGCATCGGAGGTATCGAGCTCGGCGCCCATCCATGCATTCCGCGGCCCAGATGTCGACAGCCCACCCGAAGGCCCCGGTCCTAGAGAGTGCAGATCCGAAGCATTCTCGGATATAGGCGGCCACGAAGAAATCTCCGAGCGCGGCGTCACCATAATATACCCGTCCGAGCGCTCCGATTCCGCATCCCAGCGATGCGGACCCGGCGCTTTGATTGTCAAGTCAATATTCGTGACATTCGATGCCATGCTCATGCTGCGCTTCTTGCTCGACCCGGTGCCCGCGCGAGGCCGGCTTGTCTGGCGCTTCTTGTACATGGGGACGTCCGCTGCTTCGTTTGTGGAGCCGCGGCGCGCGGGGACGAGTGCGGACTTGGTCTTGTAGAGATGAAAGTCGTTGGAAACGGGGCCGCCGCGGAGCTCAATCATGACTGCGCGCAGGACGACGGCCATGCGTTCGGCGGGCTGGTAGGTTACGGCCATGTCGTTGAGAGCGGCGGAGAGGCACTCAAGGTATTGCATATTGTTGGCGCGGTCGTTGGGGTCTTTGATGAAAGCGAGGGCGGCAACGAGCGCTGTGGCGGCGGTTCCCTGAGTGTGTCAATTATTGAGGTGGCAAGTTGAGTTGTTTCACTTACGGCATGTTGCAGGCCCGTGACAAATATCTGTTTGGTGTCGAAGCGTTGACGGTGTTGCCAGAATATTCTTGCAACTCTGATTGCGTGCTTTGTGCATACAGTCCTAGACAACGCAGAGAAGTGGTCGTCCGGACCGTTCCCCTCATATCCCTGATTACTCTGATCATCGTACAGAGCAAATGGTCGGTGAAGCAAAATGAGTGAGCTGTGATACTGCTGATGCAAAAGGAAGAAGGAAAATGGTGCTGTCGCAATGTTCGCTGGCGTCCAACGAAGCTGCTCTGGCAGTCTGGCGTACCACGTGCTGAATTCTCGGTCTAACGCCGCCATACGAAGGTACTGGTTACGGTCGACAACAGGCTCTGAGTTCTGCTTCAGCGGGTCCATATTCTCCGTTATCTTGCCTGCGAGCTCCATGACGTCTATAAGCGCTTCGTAGATCTGAGTCTCCAGGCTCTTCTCCGGACCGACAGGTTTGCATGTTCCCAAACGTTCGAATTGCTTGGAGAGACTGTATATTTCGAGGTCGGAGCTCTTCATGCCGGTTGGCCGGCCGAGGAACAACGCCCAGTATCTGCTTTTGTCAATTTCGATGTGATGGTTGGGGGGCGAACTGCTTACTTGTCGTACATAACGCACGCCCACAGAGTCATCTGTCGGATCTCCACCTCTCGCTGTGGAAGACCAGACAATCGCGAATCCAGATGCAGTCCAATATCAAAGGCAAGTCGAACTGCCAACCCGGAATAAAGCCAGCCCAGATTATCGCGACCCACTGTTTCACATCAGCTTCTAGTTCTGCGAACGTGCTTTCTGGATCGCTCACCTCCACATTCTAGATCGCCCAGCAGAAGCATCGCAACCACAGTCGGAATGCCACCAGGTCTCTCTAGCTCGTGATCCAGCATATACTTCGCTTCTCTGTGAAGCGTACTCTCCATCTGCGGGAGCGAAATCTTCTTGATATCCGGGCGCTCCTTATCCGCGTGTCTGAAACCGATCGCCAACACGCACACATGCAAGAAGCCGGAATAGAACTGCGTCCGGCCAGCTTCTCGGTCCTGCTCGAACGCCTCCTGGTGCAGCACATGGATCACGGTGTTGTAGCACGTCCAGAACATCTCCATGAGATAGTCGTACGTCTCCATGGGCAGGGACCTAATGATTTTTTCCGCTCGGCGTGCCTGCTCGGACATCTGTTGTTCGGAATCAAACGGGTTTGCGTGCTCGGAATGCACGTGACAGTTTGTTGTAGGTCCGAAGTATCGTAGTCGGCCACTGAGCTGGTCGAAGCTAAGATGTCCGCGTGTGGACAGCAGTCTGCTGACCATACCGTCTTTCTTTGGTGGTGGAAGCATGGACGGCGAGCCAGCGCTGTCGGCCTCTCCATACGGACTGGGATGATCTGGTTCGATGTGCTCAAGCTCCGCGTATTCTTGTGGGCTTTGCTGACTGCCAGGACTTGACTGATCTTGCTGGTTCTGCTGTCCTTCTAATTTTCGGTCGTTCGAAGCCTCTCCTTCTGGTGCGGCGTGGCGGGTTTTTGGTGGGTGGTGTGCCGGTGGTGCTTCAACACCTTGCTCTTTCAACATGGTTTCGAGCAGCGCTACCCGATCAGTCAGGCTGCACATGTATGCTCTAGAAATTGGTCTGGACTATGTCAGCCAATGCGATCAATCGGCCTGGCGTAAGCGTACCGTCGCCGCTCATCATCGTTTTTGATCACACATTCTACGCCTGATCGCTTGCATTGTGTGCACTCTTTCTCGCCTGGAGGTACGACACACTGCCATAGATTAGTAACGATACTTGACTAGGCGGGGCCGAGCGTACCCGAATTCGCCGATCTCGGCATGAAGCACAAGCAACCGAAGCCCTGTGTCGAGATTTCTGCGGCTTTGAAGCCTGCTGTGATCCGTTCTGGCCTTGACTCTTGACAGACTCGTCCTCTGTTTTGGAGTCCTTTCTCTCAGATTGCTGTTCAGTCATGCTCGTATTCACCTCTGTAGTCATGGTCTCAGTCATAGCTGTCTCTGCTCTGGGTATCGTATGAAAAGAAAAGCACCGACGAGGCGGTTAAACGGTGAGAAAGGGGAAGAAAACTGCGGGGAATCTGGGGAAGCATGCAAGGAGGGCAAAACATGGAGTTAAACCATTATCTACCAAGTTCGACTTGGGCCCCTAGACCTAGCCTCGGGCGCTTGGCCGGGCTAGCGAGGTGCTGGTGATGGGGCACCCCATCCGTGGTCAACGCGGGGCTCCACCTCCACCCACAAGGGCAATAATGTCGGCCCCTAGTCGAGGGTGTGCCTGGCCTTTGGCCTACGCGACGATCAAAAGTGGCGTGTGGTATTCGGCTTGAGCCGGATGCTCGGTACTCAAACCGACGCTCAGCGTGAGCCACATAATTCTGAAGTTGCCCTAACGGACCAGCTTCCCCAAAAACGCAAAGAACTTCCTTCGAGCCGAACAGAGGGTGTCCTGGCGGACGAATCGCCTCGTGGTTGCTGCGGCCTCTGCTGCAGGGCTGGTGCATCCCGAACAAGGTCACAGGGAGCGTGGGGATGTCACAGGTCTCGCCTGTTTTGAAGGAAGGGAGACGCAGCCAGCCCGATGAAAGCCACTCAGGGACGGTGCCGGCGGCCCTAGCCCATGGGTCTGGATGGGAACGCGCTGCCGCTAGAAAGCCAGAAAGTTGCATGAGTCGTGCGGAGGAGGGAGCTGAACACATCCGGGGTGGATCGTAGTCAGGTTGCAATGGCTGCGGGGATCTCCACGGCTTGTGCTGACATTTACGCACACAAGCGCGCCTTGATTCGTCGTCCCTTGGTACCGTGCGGAGTTTCGGAGGAAAACCAGTTCGAGCCAAGGACGCCTCCCACACATTAGTGATTCAGCACTTCGCTATCTCGCATATGCGGCATTTACCGCCACAGCTATTAATCGGGTTCATGCATGGACTGGTCGTATTGGGCATCGAGTGCAAATGCTACTTCGTGGATCTACTTGAACAAGGAGATGCTATCGAATAAAAATGATGCACAGAACAAGCATCGATATCAACGCCAGGCGGAGAGTCTAAAGGAGAATACGAACAGCGATTCTTCAGCAAAGGGTGGCGACCCTGGACAATGCGGGGAAGCGGAGCTAAAAACAGGCAGCAGATGGCCGAAGGCCCGCAATGACGAACACCGGTATGCCTAAAATGTACTCAAATAACGATCCGCGCGTATCGAGGCGAGACGGTTAGGCGACGCTCCACTCGTGGTCCGAGTTTCTGATGTAGACGCTCAGCCCTTGGATGTCCTTCTCAGCCGTCGCCTTGACGTCTCCATTGCCCAAGAACGCGAACCTGTTCTTGTATCGATATGTGTAGTCGTAGTCCTCCCATCTTGGGTCCTTGATGGTCTTGAGGAAGTGAATCGTTGCACCTGGCCAAAGGTAAATTCTCTTTTTGATTTCGCCGTCCTTGAACCAACTGCGGCACTCTTCTTGCCAGACGGTGTTGCTGTGGAACTCATCAAAGTGGGCATAGATAGCATCTAGCGCATCCTGCTTGACAGCCATTGCCTTAATGCCCTCGTGCTGCATCTTGCGCATGCACTTAATTGAGTATTCGATGGTGGTCTCGATTGACGGAAGCAGAGTGCCGTTGGACCAAGTGGCGCCGGGACCGACGATGGTGTAGTAGTTAGGGAATCGAGGGGCGCTAACGCCGAAGTATAGGTTCGGGCCCGTGGTCCAGTCTTCCTTGATGGACTTGCCTTCGCCGTTGACAACTTTAAAAGCGGGCTGGAATGCGACCTGGAAGCCGGTGGCGCATACTATCCTCTCAACCTTGTGAACAGTGCCATCCGCTGTTTCGATACCTTCAGGAACCACGCGCTTGATACCCTCAAATACGGGGGTTACGTTGTCCTGGACCAATGCCTCGAGGAATCCATCTCCAGGCGAGATTCTTCGGCAGCCAGGAGCGAACTTAGGAGTGATGAACTTCTTTAGCTCTTCGTGGCCGTCACCCATGCGTCGGTGCATCTCCTTTGTGATGACATCACGCATCGTGGTAGAGAGCTCGGAACCTTGGATGTACATGCCAAACAAGCTGTTGATCTCGGCCTCGATACGCTTTCGGAAATCAAGATGATATTCTGGATCTTCGCGAAACTTCTTTTTATCTGCTTCGGTGAAGTTGTACTGGCGCTGACCCGGGTCGACATCCTGGCCCTTCTGTAGATCGTTGGTCAGAGCACCAGCGCCGAACGGCGGCGAAATCCAGGTCGGGCTGCGCATGAACACTTTGACATCCTTGCAGATTTTCTGAAGCGCCGGCGTGATTTGTACACTAGTGGATCCAACACCAATGATCGCAGTCGACTTGTCCTTGAAGTCGACGCTGTGATCCCAGTTCGCCGAGTGGAGAATCGGACCCTTGAAGTCATGGAGGCCCTCGATATCTGGCCACTTCCAGGTGTTCAAGATGCCTGGAGTCTCATAGTCAGTACACAATTGATACATGTTCATGAAGTAGAAGTTCACACATACCACTACCGTTGACCAGAACATGGGACCAATCCTTCCGCTGTTCCTTCGTCTGAGGGTTCTCGATCGTCAAATTGTAGATACCTTCCGACGGGTCCCATCTCGCCTCGATGATCTTGCTGTTCAACTGCATGTACTTCTTGCTTCCTGGTCGCTTATCAGCACTTGCTCGCAGAACGCGAACGCCATCAACTTACCATGTCTCTCTGCGAAACCCTCAAAGTACCCTTGGATCTCCTTGCCCGATGCAAAGAACTGCGACCAGTCTGGCTTGGGATCCCAGGTGAAGTTGTAGTCGTGCGAAGGGATATCGCAGGCCACGCCAGGGTATGTGTTTTCGTACCAAGTTCCGCCGAACATTGGATTCTTCTCGTATAGAGTCAATTCCCATGACCCGGGAATCATCATCTTCTCCATCTTGTAGGCCAGGCAGAGGCCGGAAGCACCAGCACCTACGCATGCCACTCGCAGCTTGGTAGGCTTGGAGTGGTACTGCTGCAAGATTCTGTATTCACCCTCTGGATTCGCCGGAGGGTAATCGTACATGTTTGCGATGCCATTCACGCCGTTGATGGGCGTGAGCAGCTCCGAGGGTGCCATTACGGGCTCAGACTTGGAGGGCGCGTTGTAAGAGGTAGTGGGCGTATCGGTGGAGGAGGCAGCGGGAGCGCTTGTCTGCTTTTCGCGCTTTTCGTTCTTCTCGCCCTTATCACGAGGAGGGGTCAGGCGGATGAAGGTGGACAGTCGTTTGAACATGACAATCAGTAGCGAGGCGGCTTATAAGACGAGCAGTGGGCTAAAGCACTTAGACCACCAACACATGACGATCAGACTTCCCTCTGGAGCCTTTAACCGTTCCTCGGGGCTGGGCAACTGCACTGAGACGGTTATTCCTATGCAAGGCTATCGGAACTGTGCGCGAAGTCTGCTTAACGTAACCCGTAAGCTTCGGGGTAAGAGCACGCTGGTGCCATCCCTCGCAGTCTGGACTTTGGCCAACAGCGGCTCATCAGTCGGCAACGCGTGGCGCACAGAGCATTACTCGTCGACTATGGGGGTATCCTTTCGCTGTTGTGGCAGCTCGGAAAAGCAAACGCGGGGTCGGAACGCGTTGAGGGGTCCACACGATTTGGGTTCCGATCGATTGTTTGGCGGCGCTCATTGGTCGCCCTTCGTTCAAAGGAGCTCTGAGTGACCAGGCATATCGCGGGTAGTCGGATATGAGAGTTTAGATCTTGATGTGGAATGGAATTTATCTCATGTGTCGCGAGAGAAAGAGGCCGAACAGACGGTGTGCGGCGAAAGGGAAGGAGCACACGAGTCATGTATGAAAGTCTGAAAGTCGTGGCGCGCTCTCACAAGACCACGCTTGTGAGCGGCTCTTCACTCTTCACTGATCAAGCACCACAGACTTATGAACGTTAAACTAAATCACCTCAGAGGCAAGTAATTGACAAGTCAGGTAACAGAAATCGATGTGTACAGTGCGTTGTAAGGTACTTCTCGATTCTGATATTTATTGCACACACCATCTCACAGCTTCGCCTTCGTCTTCAACCCACCCATTCTCTGCGCATCCTTCTTCGCCCACTCCTTTACGAGTGCCCTCTTAATCTTGCCGGACTGTAGCTTTGGCACCTCATCGACAAACTGTATGCCACCAACCAATTGCTTGTGCTTCGCGACCTTCTCCTTCATGAACGCATGTATGTCATTCTCTGTGACCTTTCCCTTGTGCTCGTCCTTCAGAGTGATGTAAGCACGCGGCCACTCCTGTCCGTCTAGCGTGATGCCCACTGCCGCTGCATCTGCGACGGGGTCGAATTCCAGTAGCACGGCTTCAAGTTCTGCGGGCGCAACTTGCAGAGCGTTGACTTTGATGAGCTCCTGTTGCGAAGCGATTAGCTTGAAGTTCCTGGTTGTTGAGTGCAAGATTTCATACCTTTTTACGATCAACAATCCAGAACCATCCTTTTCTACAGACGGCTACATCACCAGATCGTAGCCAGCCGTCCGGTGATAGTGTCTCCTTAGTAGCGTGTGGGTTGCGCCAATAACCCAGGCAGATGTTGGGACCGCGCACGTATAGTTCGCCGGGCTGGCCATCAGCCACTTCTTTGCCATCATCGTCGAGGAGCATGCACTCGCAGTTCGGGTCAAGCTGGCCAACGCTTCCAGAACTACATGCAGTCAGCTTACTGTGCCTCTTGGCTTAACGTTGGTGCAACCCACTCATCAATGGTGCCACCGGGCACATGAATGGCACCGCAAGTCACTTCCGTCATTCCCCAGCCCTGCACGATTTCGCAGTCTAGCTTTCTGCTAATCTCGGTTTGCAATTCCTTACTCAGTGGCGCTGCACCACAGAGAATGTCTGTCACACTGCTTAGGTCGTACTTGGCTGTCTCTGGTCTCTTGCTGAGCATAACCATGATCGGTGGTGCGATTTGGAGATGAGTAACCTTCTGGTCTTGTATCGTCCGCAGAAACTCCTCGTACTGGAATTGTTTCATGATGTAGCAAGGAATCTGGAGTTTCTGTGCCATCGCAATTGTGTAGAGTTGTCCATAAGCATGATATAAAGGCAAGAAGCCCAGCCAGACTTCTCGCGGTCTATTGGTATGATCCCAGGGCTTCTTCAGGTATCTCATATATATGGTTTGCTCTAGGTTTGCGACGAGGTTGTGGTGGCTGACTTCAACACCCTTTGGCAGGCCAGTGGTTCCTGAAGAGTAGTTGACTGTTGCGGTGATGGTGGTGGACTCTTGCGCCGACATCTGTGGAAAATTGTACGCATCGGCTTCAGCTGTTGAGGGCAAGAACTCTCTCCAGTCGCGACAGCCTGACGCGCGTGTGTTCGGTACATCTGAAAACAAAAAAACGCGACCGTCGGGCAGTCCAGCCTTCCGTGCAGCTGCAACTGCGTTCTTCGAAAGTGAGGGATGTACAAGAATTATCGATGCTTGAGTGTTCGATATCTGGTGCTTCAATTCTACGTCAAATTAGATACTGGGTCAATTGAATTAGGCTGAACCAATGCACGTACCTGATACTGTGTAGGCGGGATTAGCGCCACTGAATATTCTCTTCGATCCCACAATGCCCAGATATGCGACTGGCACAAAAATGTGGTTTGGCGTCAAGATCATGACTACCTCCCTCGGCTTGACACCGAGGCGGTCCAAGCCAAGTGCGAGCCGTTTGGACCATTGCAACAGTGATCGCGGGGTGAGGTAGTGGTTCGTGTCTTGGGCATCAATCCATATCGGTGTTTCCGCCACTGGCTGTCCTCTTGGAAACAAGTACTCCAGCAAATTGCATTTTGGAATATCCAAGGACGGGAAAGGGCTGGAGAAAGGCATGCTTGAGGTTACAGATGCGCAACGAGATTTGGATTGAACAGAGCCTGGAAAGACGCGGAAGCTCGATCACGACAATACGCCAGACCTCCGGTAGTAGGCTGAAGCTTGACCATCTTGTCTCGCAACTTTATAAAGCGGTTGACGATAATGGTGGTTAGCTCGCTGCAACAGCCGGGGAAGTCGGCGGGGCACAGACGGTGGAGCTAGGGCCGAGGATATCGATCTCCACGCACCGAGCTACCCCAGCTTTCGCTATCTACCCCGGCTGCATCAGCCAATATGCCGCTGTCCATTCGGAAATCTGAATACTATTTCTTTCTTGTGGAATTGTTTGTAGGAGACTAGCACACCATGTCTGACATCAAGAATTTCGATCGCATGTTCCGCCTTGACGGCAAGGTTGCGCTGGTAACAGGCGGTATGGCCTCCGTTCGGTATCGAATGGGATGAAACTGACATGCGGAAGGATCGAGAGGACTGGGCCTTCACACCGCAACAGCGTTTCTGCTCGCGGGCGCGAAGAAAGTCTTTATCTCGGCACGCAAGAACGAAGGAGAGCAAGGCATCGATCAAGCCGTCGAGAAGCTCAACAAGCTGCCTGTCTCCGGCAAGGCGGTCGGCATTGCGGCGAATGTTGCCGATACAGACGATATTTCGCGGCTGGTGAAGGAGGTGCAGAAGACAGATGACAAGCTGGACATACTGGTCTGCAATGCAGGTGCGACGTGGGGAGGCCCGTTCGACCCGACACCAGATTGGGGAAGCAAGAAGGTGCTGGACCTAAATGTCCGTGGCGTCTTCAATCTGGCGAGACTGTAAGAAGATGTAATGCGTTGCGAGAGCTGATGGCTGACACAAAGCAGATTCGCACCGCTGCTTGAGAAGGCAGGCACGCGCACAGACCCATCCCGCATCATTATCGTCTCGTCGACGGCCGGTACCACTGTCCCTCACGTCGGCGAACACGGCACAATCATGTACAGTGTTTCCAAGGCCGCTGCACATCACTTGTCGCGCCAACTGGCGGTGGAGCTCGGCCCGCGCAACATCACAACCAACACAGTAGCTCCTGGCTTCTTCCCGTCGAAGCTCGCCAATGGCTTGATTGAAAACCTGGGAGGACAAAAGTCGCTCGAGGACCACAACCCGCGGAAACGATTGGGAGAGCCCGAGGATATCGCTGGTGTCATGGTGTACCTGGCCTCGCCTGCCGCTTCGTACGTGAATGGAGAGGACATCGCGGTTGATGGCGGCGTGCGATATGCCGCGGGCAGGCAATCGAAACTGTAGATACACGCATCACGACATGGAATTGGAATTAAAGTGATGAGCTTTGTATTGCATCTTCATTGCTTCTTCGCCGGTAAATACTACAAGCCACTCTTGACTATGACCCATTTGTCTGCGCCTTTGACTTTTCAATCCTCGCCAACTGGTTCTCCATCGACGTAAACTTCATCATAGCCTCCATCTCCGCGTCACAAAACTTATTCTTCTCTCTGAAGTAAAAGTTATCCCTATTCACCTCCACCGTTAGGCCAAACGCCTCTTCAGCCTTGATCTTCTTGCCCGTGGAGTCCTCCAGGTCGCCTCCGTCGATCACATGCGTGACGGCCTTGACGAGCGTCGACATCGGCGTAAAGTACTGCTCCGGGAAGCTCTTCCACTCCTCACCAGTCATCAAATTGGTTTTGATTGTTCCTGGCGCTGTCGCATATGTTCGGATCCCGTCAAGGTGGTACGAGAATGAAATAGCTTTGTTGAACTGGATGACGGCTGCTTTTGCTGCGGAATACATGGGACAAAATTCCGAGGGGTATAAGCCACCACAACTTGCGGTCATGACTAGCACGGGACTCGGGCCGTCTTGCTTTGGCGACTTGCGGAAGTAGTGGAGCGCCGCATAGCATGTGTTCACCACAGCCTTGAGATTGATGTCGATCGACAGTTGATTCGGTTCTGGTGGTGGCTTGCTCAGATCATGTTTCTCGTAGAAGTTGTCGCGCTCGACGATCCCGGCATTTGCGAAGACGAAGTCTATACGACCAGATGTTGAGAAAGCAGACTCAAAGGCTGAGATGAGGCTTTTGTAGTCGGTCACATTGGTCTTGTGGAAGTGTGCGTTTTTGAGTGATGAGACGACCGTCTTGCCGGCCGTTTCGTTGAGATCAACCAGGTGGAGGTCCCATTCTTCATCAGGACGAGAGGCTAACGATTCGGCGACAGCAAGGCCCATTCCCGAGACTCCGCCTGTGATGAAAGCTGCTCTTTTCCCCATATTGAGCTTTTATTCTGGTAAGGTTGTATGTGAGAATATCTAGTTGCAGAGACAATGTTAATTCGACCGTAATGGTATAATTTGACCTAACCTTGAGGCGTCGTCAAAGTGTAGACCCTGTTATGTAACATGTGTGCGGAGAATCGTGGGCCTTTCTCCGCAGTATAAAGTCCTGGTAAGGAACGCTTCTTCCGGGCAGGAAGGAGGGGTTTAGGCATCGTGGCTGCATCCTATCTTACTCCACGGGGCGATTCTCCGTTTTCCTGAACACAGGTCTGGCAATCGCTCAAGAGGTGCTATTTCCCCAATGTTCCACGAGAAAGTTACATCGTCTTCTAATTTTTTTCTCTGCATCGCATCAAGCACCTCGGAACTGCTTCGGAACGAAGCTGCTTTGCTGTCTCGCTGTGATGCACGCGACGTCATGCGATGTGGAGAACCCACCTGTGTTGACTCGTGTGACGCGCCTGGCCCGCACTTGGCGCGTCGGTTGGGCGCGGAAAACAAACCGCGAGCGCGCACTGCTTCATCCGAACAGCACCATATTGAGCGCCACGCATCAAACTCCACTCGAGAATACTGGAGCCGGTATGCAGCACAGCCGCGACCCGACATGTAACCGATCGTCTTCGGACTTAAGCCCCTTAGAACAGGCAATCTGGTCCCTTGATCGAAGGTGATTAGACAGCTATACCCCTCCTCTTCCCCACCCGGAAAGCTCCTGCACACTCCTCATTTCTTTTTCTCTCAATTGTTGCGTGCATCCGCCCTGATACCCACATCATGTCTCTCGCGTACTCAATCAAGAACATTCCTAAGCAAATCTTCATTAACAACGAGTACGTCGAGTCAAAGAATTCGAAGAAGTTGTCAGTGTACAACCCTGTAGATGGATCCTTGATTGCAGACGATATTGCGCTCGCCGGAGAAGAGGATGTCGACGCAGCAGTCGCAGCCGCCGAGAAGGCGTTCGACGGGTGGAAGAAGACCAGCCCTACGGAGAGGCGCAACATCATGTTGAAGTTTGCAGAGCTCGTTGAGCAGAACGCCGAAGATATTGCGAGGCTCACACGTGTGTCGCTTGGAGCACCATACAAAGCTTTCGGGGCCTTCGAGATTGGACTATGTGCCGAAGTACGTCAACACTACTGTTCTCCAAGCAGCCAGGCTAATACATACGTAGACCTTCAGATATAATGCTGGCTTCATCGACAAGTTCGGAGGAGAGTCATGGCCGCAGGACGATGGATTCCTCAAGATCGTCCGCAATGAGCCTCTCGGTGTCACTGCCGGAATCGTACCATGGAATGGTCCCATCGGCACGATTGGTCTCAAGGCCGCACCCGCACTTGCAACCGGGAATTGCTTCATCCTAAAGCCTTCTGAGAAGACTCCCCTCTCATCCCTCGCTCTCGGTACTTTGATCAAGGAAGCCGGCTTCCCTCCAGGTGTCTTCCAGATTCTGTCAGGAGATGGAAGCACGGGTGCCATCATCGCAAGCCACATGCGCATCCGCAAAGTCTCGTTCACAGGGTCCATCCCCACCGGCAAGAAGATCCAAGAGATGGCTGCGAAGTCTAACCTGAAGCGAGTGACTTTGGAGCTCGGCGGCAAGTCTCCCGCCGTCGTCTTTGACGACGCCAATCTCGACAACGCAGTCACATGGTGCGCTAACGCCATCACCGCCAATACTGGTCAGGTGTGCTTCGCCGCCTCGCGCGTATACGTGCAAGAAGGCATCTACGACAAGTTCATCGAGGGGTACAAGAAGGCCATGCAGGCCAAGAAGAATGAGGTCGGCGACCCAGAGACTGACGGCACCAACATCGGCCCGCTCGTCGACAAGGCCCAGTTCGAGCGTGTGACCGGCTTTATCGAGCGCGGTCAACAAGGTCAAGGCAAACTTCTCGTCGGCGGCCAGCGAATCGGCGACAAAGGCTTCTACATTGAGCCTACAGTGTTCACAGACGTTGATCCCAACTCGGAGATTCATTGCCAGGAAATCTTCGGTCCTGTTTCCGTCGTGAAGTCTTTCAAGACGGAGGAGGAGATTATGAAGCTTGCCAATGGCACGGACTTCGGCCTCATGGCCGGTGTGTTCACACAGGACATCAACAAGGCACTACGGGTGGCGTCCGACTTTGAGTCGGGTATGGTTGGCGTGAACTGTGTCAGTCTGATGTTCGGCACCACGCCGTTTGGCGGTAGCAAGCAGAGTGGTTTGGGACGCGAGTGCGGCATCTATGCATTGAGGGCATTTACGGAGCCCAAGACCATCATGATCAACCTTACGTATTAGTTTATTTGTTAGTCGAAAGTGTTCTCCCTGTCACGATACACGAGATTGTAAAGATGGTTTATCCTTCCGTTACCGTGACTGCTTCTAGTGATGGCTTCTCCCGATTTTGCTGCTGCAATTGATCAACAATGTGCTCTTCTCGTACTTTTTCCAACCGCGGTGACTCACTCCGTCCTACAACACATACCACTTCCACAATGCACCCACCGCATAAGGCCCCCAACCAACCACCCACCCAACGCGACACCCGTCCAAAACCACGCACGATATTCCTTTGCCCTCGTCCTCATCATTCTCATCTCGTTCTGCGTCGCCTGGAGTTGACTCTGCAACTCAAGAGTCAACTCCACCCTGCGGTCTCCTTCCTCTCTGTCATGCGCATCGCGGCCACGAAAACGCTCATCAAAGTCAGCAAGTCATTTGGATGTAGCGTTGTGCCGTTTATCGGACCCGGTGAGTCGCTCGTCTTGTAGCGCCAGGCGCCGGTTGTAGTCCGACATTGTTGTTAAGAGAGTGATGGGGAGTTGAGTTGGGAGTATTGGGTGGTGGATTGATCGATTAGGACTGGGATGAATGTTGTTTGAATGTGACCGATGAATAATGTGTCCTGAACAAGTTGATGGCTTCTTGCGAGTGGTATTAGAGACGGGGATATGAGAAGAGAAGGCTTATTTGCACGTGTAGGGTGTTTGTCGCGACAGGTTTGAAACAAGGTCTTGGAAGATTTGGATTAAAACGTAGGACGTGCAATGGCAAACCTATAGGCACGTGTGCGTACCGCCCGACTCAAACGCTGTCGGGCATGCTAGACCCAATGTCAACTCTGAATGGACAACTTTCTTATAAGACCTCACCCATTACACCTGATTTGATTCCACCCACCGTATCAGCCTAACATCTTTGTTCTGAGTCCTCGCTGCATTCACATCGAGCAACTTTTCTATACACACTGTGCACACGTCCGTCGAGTCCTTCCGCGTCTCTTCTATCACCTATATTTCCTTCAACACAGATCCAACGGTGTCGGACCACTACCGCCATCACGCCTGCCGAGATGAAAATATAAGCATCACCGAGAACCTGGACGACTATCAACAGATCATAGATCGCCAAGGGCACGATGTGCGTGCGCAAGAAGCCCGCCACAGCCCGATACCTTCGAGGGTCGATTACAGCCGTAGTCCTGCCCTTCAATATGAGTTCTTCCAGACCGCTGCATCAATGACATCTAAATATAGCGTAGGTCTCGATAATCCCTAAGCTTTCGGCGAGGTCCTCAGCGAACTTCTCACCGCCGTTAGTGAAACTCTCAACGAGACCTAAAGCTACATCGGTCTAGAGAGGGCACATATCCGCGAGCTGGAGATGTTCAGGGCGACAATGAAGAGGCTAAAGGGGCGTAAGAATAGCGCTATGGGGTGATATTGAAAGTGCTTGCGTTGTTACCCCTGGTCGCTGCGATTGCAGCGCAGTTTTCGTTTGTTTTCTCGAAGATCATGCTGTGAGACTATCCTTATTATGTTGTATGGCCGTTCTGGTGTTTGCATCAGAAGCTGTAATGGTACTGTCTTCGAGCTGCTACAGTCTTGCTCTCTCTTACGTAGTTTGCTGGCTGCAACGCGCCACTCCCATTGTCTGTGTGGAATAAACTTGCTTGCCTCTCCTCCTGTTTGCGTAGCTTATGTATACGCTATTGCTGAGACTGAGTAAGCAACTGCTTATCTACTCTCTGCTAACTCATCCCTTTGCTGACCTCTTTAGTTGTTTTTTCCTTTACGCTCGCTTGTCGCTTATTAGACTATAGCAGCAACTTAGTATTATATTGTTGCTCCCTCAGCGTTCCCTTCTCACCTCTTATCGCTGTGTCTTTTTAATCTGGCGCACCAATGGCTCGCATAGCTACCACGCTCATATTCTCATTGGGGCGTCTGACAACGAGACTGAAAAGGGGCCTCTGCCTCTGCATGAAGGTTTGTCTAGAGAAGATCACCCTAGAATAACCTTTTAAACAAGTCAAGTGCACTAAGTTCTTCAACGACTAGTTTTTGTGCCCTTTATTGGGTGAAGCAACTATGGACGCAAGGACCATCCATATACCAGACCACATCAAGCAATGTTACCAACAACCGAATCGACACTACCACAACCTCGGTCATGTGGCTCACATGCTACGCCTCGTACCCGACGACCACCCTCACATGCTAGAGCTGGTCTATGCTACGTGGCTCCACGACTGTGTGTACGATCCTAAAGCGGCACACAGCAAGAATGAAGGGGAGAGTATCAGGACCTGGAGATCACATGTTGAAGAAAATGAAGGTCTGAGTAAGGTAGGTCTGTCTTTCGCCTTGCGATTTGAAATGTGAGCTCTGCTGACCGAAGGAAGATCAAAGATATCGTCTCGCTGATGATAGAATGTACCATGACTCACAAGCCCCCCTACGAACCCCCGGCGGATGAAGCCCAAATCGAGTTGATCAATCGGTTTCTTGACATGGACATGGATATCCTGGCGTTCTCACGGGAGGGCTACCTTGGGTACGCGAAGAAGGTCAGGCGAGAGTATGCACATCTCACGGACGAGCAGTTTCGGAAGGGTAGGGCTGCGTTCCTCAGAAGCGCGATAGATAAAGGGAACGTGTTTCCTTTAGATGAGAACCCGGGGAAGAATGAGATTGCTCTTGGAAACATGAAGGCCGAGCCTTAAGATTCTGAAAGGTGAAGATGCGGAGACAAATCTCTAGTGGAAGAGTGGGTGAAGGTTCCCCTTGTCATTGAGATCTGATATCGTACAGAATGAAATTTGCCATTGGGGGCGTGTGTATCGTAACCCATATTATTCTCTAACCTAACGCCAAAAACCAAATCAAACAAGGGTATACGTTCCTCCGTGTCCGCAAATTTTGACAAGATAGATGTAGAGATGAGTTCTTATGCAGCCCTGAGGTGATCTACGTCTTTCCTTCTATGGAAGTGGATGAGGACATGGTGTTCTGGAGCTGTTAGCTTAACGTAGTTTCAAGCGTAGAAGGTATCTCACCTTTCTCGGAAGGCTTGTGCTTCAATAGGGCTTTGTAGGTGGCCAAGCTCCTCACCCCCTTGAAGTATCTTTGCGGGTTGCCGACGACCTCGGGCTCGATAGCCGCAACTACATCTTCTTGCTCTACCACCGTGGGCTTCGCGCTAGGAGCAGGCTGTAGAGCAGGTGGGGCGGGAAGCTTTTTGGCGTCAAATTCGACGGTGCGTTCCATGATATCGATGTCCGCTCCGTTGCTTGGGCCTGCAATCATCGGCGTGGAGGCAGTGATTTCCTCGCCCAAGAACACATTCTGCCCAAGAGGACTTCCGAGGTCGCTATGCTCGCCTTCATCGGAGGTAGGTGTAAGGGGAGGAACGTCGTCAACATCGGGTGGTGTAATTGGAGGGGTATTGGGTACTTCCCACTTGAAGTCGAAGCCCGATAAACGTTGCGGTGTCTTAAGAAACTCTCTAGCGCTCATCGGCGGCTCTGCATTGCTTGCGAACGTCTGGCACGCTTGCCACCAGCTCGATACTTCGGGTGCCAATAGCCTGCTGTTGCGTTTCGACGGAGCGTCCTGGCCTTCTAGGGCGCGAAGTGTGAGTTGCGGGGCATCGTTGTTGACAGTTGCGTTGGACTCGTCCTCCAGGGTCGACACTCGATCTTGAATATTTAGAAGAATCGTGCGATGCGCTGCAAGTTCATTCTGAATATTTTGTAGCATGTCCACTAATATGGCATTGGTGTGTCGGAGCTGAGACTTGGTTGTCGAAGCTGATGCTCGCGAGGAGCGTTTGGAACTCAGGTTCATAGTTGACGGTGACTGTACAGGTTGCTTTGAGGAAGATGGACTGGCTTCTACGAGATGTATCTTCGGCTCTGTAACGAAGTCTGCTAATGTCATGCCAGAAAGATGCGTCATATGGTTAATCAACGTGTTATCCTCTGACGGCGACTTGTGGCCTGGCATAGAGGACACAGATGCTTGATGTACGGCTGCCATTGCGAAAGAAGATTGATGGGTCTGTGGGGAAGTAGAAAGAGACACTCGGCGTGAGAAGGAGAGATTCACGATTCGACCGGACCTGTCGAAGCTGGCCTTTCCACCTTGATGCCTTTAAGCAGCGTTCTCGACCCCGCGTGTCGCCTCGCACTTCAGACGCCAAGGTGCTAGGGGCTGTATATCATAGACATCTATAGCTTTGATTGGAGTCGTTGGCAGATCCCATGGGCAGAAGTAAGGGATTCCGCCTTCTTGACGCTCCTTGGTGCTCCGCTGAGCGTTGCCGAGCGCGGCCAAGAGGCTCGGCGGCAGCTTGAGGCATGTTCGTGGCGGGGAAGGAGGCAATTCAAACGTTGGTGTTGTAGACTTCTATCGTCACATGTTTCAGTGAGGACGGTGCGGCGTTTCGTCGCGTCTTGAGCGACGATCCCCTAGCGCCGCACGTGACGCAGTAGCTTCAAGGTTAGGGTATCGACAACTTCAAAGGCTTGCACTGAACTACGTTCGAGTATTTCATCGAAACTAGTCATTTCTTATCCTTGGCGATGCAGCGCTCCAGATGTCTCGCGTTGTACATTCGCTCAGCCAAGCGATAGGCCATCACTGCTCCCTTGCTTCCGTTGATTTGCCGAGGCCGCGGAGAGGCGATGTCTCTTTTAGTACATCGCAAACCGACAGTATGTAGAAGCAGGAGTCACGAGAAGACTGCAGCTTTTGACTATTCAACCTGTGTATCTCAACAATCGTGCCTGTGTGGCTTCCATTCCATCATTAATAGGTACCATGCCTATGTAATAAGCAAACATTAGAAGGCACAGTTGGTGGCGATAACCCCACCTTGTCACTCAAGGAATCCCACGGCAACCAACCACATCTCGGTTAAGGGTCACTTCTCTCCAGCCTCCGTCGCTTCTTCTGCTTTCCACAAGTGTGGTCCTACCAGACCTGGCGCCACCAAGGATCACCCGTCCATTAAAGGCGCAACGTCCGTTTTGGTTCTTCAGATGATTAGAATCGGCGCCCGTTTATGTACATCGACCTCGTCCTTTCTGTCTTCTGTTTCGTGTGTCATCACAAAGGCGCTTCCCTTGACAAACTTCGTCTTCCAATGGTCTAGCGCAGGCGTGTACTGAGCTGGTGACCAGAAATGTATGAGCGCAACCATCATCACAGCCACAGGCTTTGTGAAGTCAATGTCACGCTGTGCTTAGGGATCCTCAATGACCGCATCTGGGTCCAGCGCACTTGCTTGAATCATGCCGACTTGCTCCTCGCATCCCGTCTCGCGGATATACTTCTGCCCCTCGTTCACTGCACTCACGTCAGCGTCAACGTACAACACCCGCACATCAGGCGCAACCTTTAGCACAGTCTCTTGCGTGCCTGCCGTGGTGGAAGGTGCCGAGCCCAGATCGACGAACTGCGTTACGCCGTTCGGCGCAAGCCAGCACACCATTCTGCGCAGAAATATGCGATTTTCGACTGCCGTGTGTATGATCCTTGGAAATTTCGAGCCACTCCCGTGGCTGCCAGGCGGCCGATCTCGTAGGAGTGGTTTAGGCGCTTCTTTGGACGGATCGTCGAGGCCATTTGGGTAGTGCTGGAGTGCTGGAGTGCTGCCATTATTTCTCTTGGCGAAGCAAATGTCATATGTATTTATGTATAAACGTGTGTTAAGGACTCCTATCGGCATGTCTGAGCGGACCTATAGGTGTCCGTCGCCGATGTCCTCTTCGCATAGGGTATTGTGAAGCTATACTCGATGATGCAGATCTGTGCCACAACCTGCATCCAAACGGTTAGCTCCGTAGCCAATGATCTGTGAGCACATAGATGAACGAGTTGAATCCTCTCACCATCCTCATTCGGTGCCTATTGTGACTGACTATGCTCAACGCCAGACCTAATATAGAGTTTATGGTGCTTCACACTACCGGAAAGTGAGCATCCGTCATGTAAATGGCTATGAATCCATGTTTGACAGTCTGTCTACCTTCATACCTGTGAGTGGGCTTGCGCGGCAAGGTATAATACTATGCTGGCCATGTTTTCATTCCTCTAGTGAGGGTGCTTTTTTCTTGTCGCTCTTACTCTCTTAAAGGTAGTGACATCTGGGTGGTGCTCTCGTTCATCTCTTCCGGATCATCGTTTAAACGTTCTGCGAATAATTTCGTGTGTATCCTTTCTGCTTGATGTGTTGAGGAGTACCGCTCTCTGTGAACACAACACATCTACAATTTCTTTACCTATGGCAGGTATCTCAGCGGTGTGTTGCAGTAGCGTAGTACTCATTCGACCCAGTGGAAGTCGCGGCTCAAAGGCTCTACGAACGCCGGGGGTATAATGCCCTTTCATGCCGTGCATATCTGGTCTCTATGACTGACGGAGCGTTAGCTAGTGGATCGAGACGCGGTGAACGAGCGCAGGGCCAACAAGACTGTGCGGAAAGCAGACTGTTGCCTAGCAAATCGAGGATATAATAGCGGACGGGAGTAATGTAGGAGTGGGATGTTGTTCATCTTGGCTTCCGGCTGTGGCAACACGCCGAGGTCTCGCGAAGCACGTCTCAAATCTTCATTGTCCATCTTTTTAAGGCCATGCACGTGGCTTCCTTGGAAATTAATCCCCTGTAGAATGCGCGGCTGCTGATTGGCCACTTTTGCTTATCTATATTTGGACGATCGCGTGGGAGGGCAACAGCATGGCGCTAACGTATATACCTCATGGTGCTCACCTTCGTACAGCACCTCTACTTCTACCTTTTTCCCTACATAGTCCTCCTACTACCAGGTCTCAGTCTTTGCATTGCATTGAACTCGGCGCTTGTACCTCAAGGGCCAAGTTCAAGGCAAAGAAAACGTTAGTGTCTGCGATGCGGGAGGATGAAGATACCGACCTCGAACAACGTTAGCCAATTACCCAATTCAGCGATTACCGCCCCACCCAAGCCCCCAATCTCTACCGTACGAGATTCTTCGCAAAGCTTGATTCGCACACGCGATTACCCATGGAAAGCCACCATTTTGCTTAAAATGATGTGATTTGACGAGAGCAGAAGGGCCCCCGTTATGGGACCGGAGTAATAACATGCGCGCGAAAGGATTCTCCGTGCGTGAGCAAGAGACAAGGATCTTATCTATGGAAATGGAGATCGCTGGGCCAAAAGGGGCGATCGTGAAGTTACCGTGGGTCAGCAGCCGCATTTGTTCCGGCTCTGAGGGTTAAATTAGACCCTGATGGCCACTAAAGCGGAACCATGTCGCAAGGTCTAGATGTCAGCTAGGGATGGATGTGAAAAAAACTCGTCCATCCTAGAGCCTACTTGTACGCACGAGAGCGTTGGTCTGCACCGAGTGACTGACGTATGTTAACGCCCACAGAACGCCACTCATGCAGCAGCGGATCCAGAAACACTGCGCTCGTAATACACCCTGATAGGTTATCAACATTCGCAAAATATGTCTACCATGACGCACAGATCTGGTCTGGTGAGGACATCATTTCGCTACGACCTGCGGCTTACCCTCCATTCTGGGGCGTAACTCTGGCCCATCAAACTCTTCCCAATCCGGCACACAGCCACTGTTATCTTTTCCAGCTTTCCCCCAATGTCTTCCCTATTCCACTTTCCTTCACCCCTCCGGGGCCACAGGCCACCATGAATTCCTCCAAGCTTCTCGCAAAATGGCCGTTGTCGTTCATTGCCTTCGCCACCACTCTTTCTTTCTGTCTCCTCCTCTTCCGCCCAACATCCCTCCCGCAGCGCTACCATGAGTACATCCCGCACCTCACCTCCGCCCGCACCGCCGACATCCCAAACATCGTGCACTACACCTACCTCAAGAAAGATGCAAACTCGACCCTGCACTTTAGCTTCCAGGACTACCTCTCCGTATACGGCGCGAACCTCCTCTTCAAGCCCGATGCAATATACCTACACACCGACCACAACGACACCTACATTGCGACCGCCGCGCGCGAGGGCAATACCTGGACGCGCGCGATCCTGACGCAGTTCTCCTCCGTCCTGCGCATAAACCACGTCGACGTGCCCACGACCGCGAACAACAAGACAATCAAGAACATCGAGGCAAAGTCAGACTTTGTCCGCTGGGAGCAGATGCTGGCTTTCGGCGGCATCTACATGGACTGGGACGTGCTGCCCCTGCGCGACGTGGCTCCGTTGCGTCATCTTAATTTTCGCAATGTGGTCGGCCGGCAACCAGGCGGCGCCGTGAACTCCGGGCTCGCGCTGTGCGCGAAGGGGAGCAAGCTGGCGTATCTGATGGCGCGCGACGGGCCGCGCGTGTTCGACGGCGGCTGGGGCACGCACGCTGTGGATCTCATCACACATCTCTCTGACCGGCTTGTCGGCGTCGAAAATGAGGTGCTCATCCTGGATGAGAAGGCGTGGGCGCCCACCTCCTGGGTGGCAGACTCGTTCGATCGCCTGTTCAAGCCGCACGAGGACGCGACGCCGTTCGGCGACGAAGTCGTTGGACAGGATCGAGAGCAGGATGCCGTGGAGAGATGGAATGCGAAGCCGAATTTCGGAAAGGTGGATAAGACTGCGTGGGAGATGGATTTCTCGCCTACGTATCTCCTGCATGCATTCAAGAGTCGGGAACATAAGAAAGAGGGGTGGTATTCGGAGTGGAAGGGGGTCACGGTGGAGTATGTGATGCGGCGGAATAGCAACTTTGCGAGGGCGGCGTATCCGCTAGTGAAGCGTATGGTGGACGAAGGGTTGGTGCAGGAGACAAATGATGAGGTATGATAAGTGACCGGAGGGAGCCTTGAAAGGCCCAAGGAAACATTCTTTAATCGGATTGGCGTCGCATTAGAGTTGGGAAGCTTGCGGTCTCGACGCATTCTTGTATACCATTTAGAGACGAGTTCATAGCGATGGTGTTTGGCGCGACGTCTTATGATTTCTTGTAAGGTTGAAGTTAAGATTAGGCTACATTTAATAGTTTGCATAGATAGAGTAAAAAGCTTATTCATGACGCCGCACCTAAATGAGACCCACCCATCACACTTGCAACCATACATCAGAATGAAACATGATTGGTCTCGCACGGATAACACGGATGATCCTTACACACGATGTAGTCTTTCCACAACCAGAGAACCACCGTTCTTATTACTTTCCCACTGGTTTCCACCCGGAGCCAACAATGCCCTCCATCGTCATGTAACACTCACCTTCCTCCCCACCCGCTACTTCAAGCATAACCTTCTTCAGTTCTTCCATCACCTCTTTCGAGATTTGATCCCTCTTGCTTTCCTCCCACTGCCCAGCGAACATCTTCAGAGGCAGCTTCATGCTTTCGCAGAAGTGCTCTGGCGTCCCAACCGCCACGGTCCGCTTCTCCACTACGATGTCCACATTCTGAAAGCCCGCATTCTCGAGCTGCTGCTTCACAAATGACGGCTCGTGCCAGGCATTGTTGTGCTGAAGCATGGCGCGGACCTCCTCGAACGGAGGAAAGAATGGCGGGTTGGCCATGTTGTTAACCGCCCGCTGGACGTGGTCGTACCAGTTGAGCGCGGCCCAAGTCGTCATCCCGATGTAACCGCCTGGCTGGAGAAGCTCAAAGAGGTTGGACAGCGCGCCGAGAGGGAGGAAGAAGATGATGGCGTTAGCGAAGATGTGCGTGAATTGGTTGGGCGCAAGCTGGATATTTGCGCCGTCGACAATCTGGGTGGTGAGGCCTGTCCAACCGTTCTTCTCTCCACGTTCTTGTAGATAGGTGAGCATGGGCTGGCTGATATCGCCGCCGAGGACTTTCACATTGGGCCAATGCTCTTTGGGTACCTTCTCATAGAGTGCTGCTGTCACAGCGCCGGTGCCGCAGCCGAAGTCGAAGGCGTTGATAGCGCAGTTGTGCTGTGTGATTTTCGATACGATGGAGCCTTTGTCGAGAATAATGTTGGCAAAGGGAATGGTAGCCGCCTCGGTGCGGGTGTACTTCTCAGCGATGCCGGGGTCTTGCCAGGCTGCGATGTTCTCTTCGCGCATGTCTTCTGCTTTCTGTGTGGCAGCCATGTTGGTAGGCTGCAGTGCGTTTAGTCGAAGTATGGTTGCAGTGCGAAAAGAGACGGGAGATGTAGATTGGTAGTAGAACACGTGAAGATAGGTAAAACTAGAAGATGAATAAGATTGCTTTGATTTGGAGACCAAAGGAAGAACGGCGCGTATGATAGTTGGCACAGCGTCTTCTCGAGCTACTTTATACCTTCTTGGTAGCTATGTCACTTCACGAGTTGCGTCCCACGAAGGGTTAGTAGTCGACATGTAACTTGACATTTCGTCCGTTGCCCACGTCACAGATTCCTACGACTATTGAATGTCTCCGCACCGCATCCTGGGGTAACAAATCGGGAACTCCGTCAGGTTTATGTTTCAACTGAAAGTGGGGCGTAGCTGTTGCGGCGATACGGATGGATTAAATCGCGGAGACTTTCTGGCTTGGAAGCGTGTTAGCGAGTTGAAGTCTCCGACCATAGAAGTCATCTAGTGTGCGCCCCCACCGCAGCTTAGTGTTAGTCAGGGAGTAAAGTCTGAATTCAATGTGCGATGAGTGGCCGTACCACATGTTGCATTTGTGAACGTGATTAAAACGTACAAAGTAGGTGACGATCGAACGAGTACATTTCTGAGAGTTGCTGAGTCTACTCAACGCCTCTGATACGACATGATATGTATCCAAAAGGGTATTACCTGGACCGAAAGGTCAACAACCTGAACGCCGGCGCTATGCTTATCAAGAAACCTGCTAGGGCTCCTCGGACGTCGTCTCTAACCACTCAGCGAAGTACGCGCAAGTCCTGGCCGTAATGGGTCCCTCATCGCTGCACAGGTCAAAGACTGGGCAATTTCCGCAGGGCGCATCGACGAAGCCGTTGAACTTCTGATTGGTTGGAGGAATGACGGTTCGGTAAGTGGAAGCCGAAACATTCTCCAGTGTGCCTTCCAGCACGAGCATCTCCAACAGCTGCTCCATGTCGGACTCGCGCACCGTCTTCCCTCTCAAAAGTCCTGTCTCGTTGAGGTACTTGGCAAGGGTTATTGTGGTGGGATAGCCAGGGTTGCTCCTGTGTACAAGCCGAGAAGCGCCAGAATCGGTGGGAGGATGATACGGTTGGACTGGCAAGGCATCCTCGATGTCCGGCACGCCCTTGACCTGGGCCTTCTTGTGTGCAATGGCGGCCTGGCGATCGCTGGACGTATAGTTATTCCAACCCGCGGACACCCTGATGCAGGTGTCATGCTCAACTTTATTTGCAACAACCTTTGCAGCGACTTCGATGAGGGCGCTGTCAAAGTCTCCCTCGTTCTGCCACGGGCCGCCTGCAACATCCTCGGATGGCTTGAGGTGCTTGAGCAAATACATTTTGCGATTCGGCGTCTTGACGCTCATGACGGCCTGGATGAGGTCCTTGGACTCAAGGCTTTTGAGATACTTGGTTACGGTGGGCTGCGCAAGGTTCGTCTTGGCCCGCAGAGCCTTGGACCAGACGCCTTCGGTGTGCGCATTATCGATGTGCTGGTAGAGCAGCCGCTCGTCGGGCACAAGACGTCGCAGTCTGCGTGTGTCATGTCAGCATAGAGCGCGCCTTCCGCAGGAAAAAGGGAGAATGTACTTTTCGGCAATGTCCTTGGGTCGCAGTTTCCAGCACGGTTCGCCCTCGAATTGGAGCGGCTTCAGCAGGTGCCGGTTGGATAGGTCGCCTACCAGATTGAGCAGTTCGTTGAGATCACGCGCGATGTGCATGCCCGTCAGGTCCCGCTGGAAGAAGGTGGTGCCCTCCGGCCGCTTCGCGCATTCCTCGTAGAGCATGTCGGCGCGACTGCCCATGTCTTCGGCTGCGGGCGCAACGGCAGCGCCATCTTCTGCTTTGGTCGCCAGCTCGAGCGGTGCTGTTGACGCGGAGGCCATGGTGACTGGAAGTGGATTAGTTGCTATCGATCGATCATGAGCAACGTAAACGCAGGCGGTCTCTCGCTATTGTTGAGGTGTCGCGGATACAAGTCGACTCATCTTTCACAAAAGTTTCGCGGTGGGGTACCACGTCCGCGTCCGTGCGCAACACCAAGTCACGTGTCTTTTCCTCCTTCTGTCACAGACGCGTGCAGCCTCTCGCTTCCTCAGCCTCGCGCACCCCGTGGGGTTCCTAAACGCTGGGGCCAACACCTCATTCACGACTCAACCTGCCCCAGGTATAGATTGGCCCTCGCCTCGACGCTCATGACGCGCGTTGGAGCTCGAGTCTAGAAAGCAACAACTTGCGCTCCAACTGACTCGAGTTGGGCAGACGTTGGATCGACTACTGTACGCCCACGCGCACTACATGGTACACGATTCAAGCAGTATGCTCCTTTGCCGGTGTCCGTTTGAAATTACCATTGCTTTCACGTGACTCTGCGCTTGTCTCACGGCCACCCTTATCCTTTACTCTGCTGGCCTATATATCACCTTGAAACAACTTGCGCAGTTCGGACCGCCTGCTCGGCTGCCAATGTGACAAGATCGCCGGCACGCATCTTGTCCTTGCCCAGCGCTCGGATGGGGTCCCCAAACGAGCCCCGGGGTAGCCGGTTATCGTCACCCGCACCTAGACCTGCATCCATCGCCGTGAGGACCCACCCTGAGCAAAGTTCAGCCGCTTGGTATTCCACTTTGACAGGTCGCCACTCCGGATTTGGTGTTTGCGTCTATCATTGACATTGGAGCGTTTTGTCAAGCCCTCTCCGACCATTTATTTTGTTCTTCAGGCGTTTCTGTGTGTATACTCGGATTCACTGTAGCAAGTCATCCATGGAGGCATCAGTATCGGTCTGAAGTTGCCCGAGAAAGTCATTGTATGTCACCGGTAAAGAAGAGCTGCGTAATCCTCCACAGACAGCGTGCCCTAGTATAAGCGTACCCCACACAGAAGCAGCCGAGCATTCCGTACCGTTGGCGAGGACTGATGTGGCTTTGATGTGCATTAAGATCGCCTCAGGCCCTCGTATCTTCCCCCTATTCCCCGGATGTGATCCTTTGTCTCGGTACTTGAGTCTGGCAATCATTCCTCAATCCTGTATCATCAACGAAGGAACGTTCGCTCTTCATCACGTCTTTAGGTCTTGCGAGTCCATTTGCGTAAGGTCGCACTACCGATCTTTACAATGGTCGAGGAGAAAGACATCCACGGAGAGATTGCGCCTTCCAACGAGATCGAGCTCAACCGCTATCCTACGGCGAAAAGCGAGGGTCTTCACCATGATCACATCGCTGCCGAGGCTCTGGGTGGACATACTAGTGATCTACCAACAGGCTACTATCGCAGTCCTAGGTTCATCGGCACGGTCATCGTATGCATCCTACGAATCTCTCATACGTAAAGACCTCTAACACGCAATGTAGGCAACTTGCTTAGCACAAATATCAGGCTATCTCGGGTGGGTCTTACCCGCCAACACGCTTTCTCTCATCAATCAGGCCATCGGTCCATCTCCGAATCTCATCTGGGTCTCTATCTCCTGGACGGCAGGCTTTGCTATAGGATTCACGCTCGTTGGACGTCTGTCTGACATATTCGGAAGAAGATGGTTCTTCATCACAGCCTCCATCCTTGGGCTGATAGGCAACATAGTAGGTGCAACTGCGCAGAGCATCAACACCTTGATTGCTACAAACGCCATCAACGGTGTAGCAGCCGCCGGCCAATTGTCATTCCACATCATCCTGGGTGAACTCGTACCAAACACCATGAGAGGTCCAGTCAACGCATTCGTGCTATCAACGTCAGTGCCGTTCGCCGTCTTTGGCCCGCCTGTTGCGCGTGCATTTTACGAGAACACTGCTCTGCAATGGAGATGGTGCTACATACTCGGTGTCATTGTGAATACTTTGGCGATCGTTCTATATTTCTTCTTCTACCACCCTCCGACCTATGTAAGCATCGTTTTTCGCTCTTCCTGATGGCTCCTAACAAACAACAGGAAATGCTTCACGTGGGAGGCAAGTCAAAACTCAAGCAGCTCAAAACACTCGACTGGCTCGGCATCTTCCTCTTCAGCACCGGCCTCGTCGTCTTCCTCATTGGCTTGAACTGGGGCGGTGGTAGCTACCCATGGAAGAGTGGTCACGTCCTGGGTGCTCTCTTTGCTGGTTTCTTCACACTCGTTGGCTTCTGCTTCTGGGAGGCGTATTCCGGACTCCAGTACCCTCTTATCCCCATGAAACTCTTCAAGAACATACAGTACGACGCAAACGTGGCTTGCGCCAGCTTGGGTGCTGTTGTATACTATGCAAGTACGTTGACTGCCATTGCCGATGTCTTGTCAGCCTACTGACCAGCCTCCAGACACCGTCATCTGGCCGACCATGATCGGCGCTTTGTTCACCACCGATGTCAAAAAGACCGGCTGGCTCTCCTGCGCAGTCGGCGGTGGCCTCCTTCTTGGCCAAATCCTCGGAGGCGCAGGCGTTCGCTACGTTCCTCGCATGAAGATACAGATGACTGTTGCGTCGGTCATCACTGTGGCCTTTGTCGCCGCCATCGCCGCCTCAAATGCAAACACCGAAAGCCGCACCACCGCCCTTCTGCTTATCGGCACCATCGGAGCAGGCTATATTGAAAACCTAACATTGAGCTCCACCGCGTATCTCTGGGATCCCGCGGACATGGGCTTGGTCACGGGCGTCCTGGGCGCCATCCGCACCGCCATCTCCGCCATCGCGACCTCCATGTACTCCTCCATCCTAACGACCGAGTCTAGCAAGTACATTCCACAGTACGTTACACCCGCCGCGCTAGCCGCCGGGCTCCCCGAGTCCTCCCTCGCCGCGCTGTTCACCGCCATCAGCGCTGGTGACTATTCTACCGTACCGGGGATCACGCCCGAGATCATTAGCGTCACGGGCGCGGCTGTCAAGCATGCGTACAGCCTCGCGTTCCGGACCGTCTATCTCTGCACGCTGCCGTTCGGCGTGCTGCTGCTCATCGCGGCGGTGCTGAGCCCGAACGTGGAGAAGTATCTTACGGATGAGGTGGCGAGGAAGTTGGGTGGTGGGGAGAAGAGCGGACCAGCGGTAAGGAAGGAGGTCGTGGATGAGGAATAGATGGGTGCGCTCCCAATGGGAAAGTGTGGCTTGGGTAAGATGGCTGGTATGAGACGAGGCTTTTAGACCGAAGCGTTTGGGCAACCGCATAGAATTGAAACAGGATGGCGCAATGGTACTAAAATTAGACTTTGATGCTGTGAGCAACGGAGGTACTTCCTGGTTGATATACAAATTCTTTCATGATCCGACGGTCCTCTTAAGGGTATATGGACCGACTGAGTAAGACGTTCGCATAAGTCAGATCACAGGACCGTGAGCAGCATCGTGACCTCCAGCCACGCTCTCACGCGTCTTTGCACTGTCGTGTCAGAACGACGTCCTGCTACCAATTAGGAGTGTTTGCAGCTCCGAATAAGGAGTGCTGCGTCTCTTTGCGTGTATATCCTCCTTTGCAGGGTTCCCAGGTAGTGCTCATCGAGGATATGGTTCTCATAGTCACAGGAGCACGCATCGACTAAGCTCACGTATCGACGTACTGGAGATGGCTCGTGAGCCTATGAGACTCTGGAGGAGCAGACACACGAATGGAACGAGCTCAGCTGTTGATCTGGATAAGAACCTTTTTCGAGGGGCAGTGTCGCAGGCTCGTAACTACCATGCAAAAAGCACCTCTGGTGTTGTTCAACCCCAAAAGGCTCGCTGCCGGTACTACCCCATGGCCCAACCTCTCTCGGTGCTACTCAATCTTCTGCCATGGCCAAACGCAAACTCAAACACCTAGACCTCATCCACTACTTCTAATGCAAAGCCAATCGCCGCATCACTTCCTCCGTCTCGAACATCGCCGCCGCTTTGCCCACCGCCCGATCCAACGCTGGGTCTGGCTTTCCGTTCGCCAGCAACTTTCCTGTAGATACGTTTAGAGGCGCAATCGCCACGCCATCACGCTTCCCCCTGCACTCCCTCGCGGCAATCTCCCTCCCCGATCCAGAAGCCGCGGAGCGCTTCACGGTGCCAAAAATCTCAATGGACACAGATCCGAGGAGATTGATCTCAAAGTCGCACTGCAGTACCGATCATCTAGCGATCTACCGCCGCTCGCGGAGTTCATACTGGACTGGGCGGTCAAGTAGCAGACTCAAGGCCGGTTTCCGTATAGGGGCCGCAAACGCGGTTGATGGGGGCGCATCGGATGGGCTGACGAAGTGCATGATCACGTTTGCGAAAGAGGGGCGATGCCATTTAGATGGATGCGAATATATACTTGGCATCGGTGACTTGGTGCTGCCGTTTGGGGTTAGAGTTGAGCCTGTGGAGTTGAACGAGCACGGGTTATCTCCGGTGAGCTTGGACAGAATGCTGGAGGAGTGGGAGCACGAGAAGAAGCCGCACATGGTGTACACTGTTTCATAAGTATATCCTGAGGCGAAGGGGCTGGCGAGTTGGGTTGCGGGGCTGCGGGCGCACCACAGGACGAGGAGAGATGTGTTGTGTGAGGTGTTGGCCGAGGGGCGGGAAATCTCTACCAAAGCCGACGAGAAGGACGATGGTGCTGCCGAAGAAAAGGAAGGAGAAGTAGAAGGAGAAGAAATCACTGACGCGCAAGCGCTAACGACGCTCTGGGCATCTGCATCGCAGACAGCAGATGCGGGCGTACGACTTCGAAGTTCCCGCTGATGGGACGCACATCTGGGTTGGCACGCAGCTGGAGTTGCGTCCGCTGGCGTCGGCGCCGCATCACCTCGGTCCCAAGCAGATCATTCCTCGCCTCTGGAACTACCTGGTCTCAAAATACGGTCTTATCGCCTTTCCAGGGTACGTTTTCGATGCTGCGCCGCATGTCAAGTCGGCGCATGATTTTATCAGGCTGACGTTGGCGGCTGCGTCGCCGGAGCAATTGCGCGTGGCAGTGGGACTGTTTTTGGAGGGCATAAGGCATTCTAGGCGAGCTGAGGGGTAGGAAATGCCGTCTGGCGCGGGTGCGAAGACGTCGATTGGGGTGAATGGGGATGTGGGTGTCTGAGAAGAAAGATGCTGAATCAGTCAGCTTGTGCCTTCACCATACGCATTGGTCGGCCCAGTGGTGAAATAGAAATCGATAATTCGCTCTCAACGCTAACCATGTGCATCAATATCCCTCTTCGATCCCTTCACTTCAAACCACTCCCGCTGCCCTCCACATCCCACGCGTATAACACGGCGCCAGCGGCCTCACGTGCCCAAGACCCGTCTTAATCAGCATTCATGCCCTCGCCAACTCAATCAACTTCGTGTGCTGCTCAGGATGCGTCTTCTCCACATTGCCCTTCGCCATCTTCTTCACCATGAAGTTTCCCTCAATCTCGACCTCCTCGACGAGCTGGGTCCCCACCACGCGCCACTTCGCCGCGATGGTCAGCGAGCCGACCGGCGGCTTCGCGTTGACAAGGGAGTTGATGCCGTCGGGGACGTTGGTGAGGGTGAGTTTGTAGGTGGTCTGTTTGGGAGTGTTAGGAATGTTGGCAGAGGGTGAGGAGGTGGTGGGAAAGGGCGTACCTGGCCGATGGGCTTTTTGTCTGTGACGGAGTATGTAGCTTCGGTAGATTTGTCACCAGAGATGAATTCGTAGGAGATGAGGCCCGGACAGAGGGCTGCGATCATGGTTTCGTGGTTATGGAGGGTGGCGATGAGGGTTGCGGCATCGATGGTGGAGGGAATGGCGGTGGTGATGGTTGAGGACATGGTTGCGATTGGTAGATGATGTACAGATATGCGTACAAAGCGTTGATTGGACTGGAGAGTACTGAAATGATGAAGTGATGATGCAATGGTACGATGGACAATCCTAGACGGAAAACGAGAGTTTTATAGTGCGCCATTGAGATGTATCATGGATATCTTTTGCTCTGTGCCGACGCGTAACCTCGCTATTTCGTGCATACAAAGTGTAGCACTCACCTCAAAATAGAGATGCCGAAACCTTCACGCACCCCGCGAGTAGATCTCGAACCGGACGCCGATGGTAACGTACGCCGCGCCGCAGTACTCCAGGTAAGGAAGAGCATGTGGAAGACTGTTCTATGGCCCCAATCTTGCTCTCGTGTGTACTATTGTTTCTGTCGCAGACCCTCTTACAGTTCTCTAAGACACTATCGTTTCCAGTAGTTGCTAACAATAGCTCGTCTTGGTGGCTGAAAGCTCCGGCTTAGTGTGCGCCCATCACACATGTTTGTGGACTACTGGTTATCGACGTTTCGTGCGTGAGTTTCGATTCAAGGTTCAGGTTGTTTGTATCAGGGGGTTAGCGTGACTCGTGTGGTAAGAGTGGGTCTTGACATCGGCTCCCCGCCGCATTACGAGGGGAGCGTTGACTCTACCTCTTGATGGCATTGTTCGCGTGCCGCTATCGTCGATGCGGGTGCTATCACGCAGCGGTATGCCTCGCTCACAAACTCTGAGCGTCTTTTGTGTTTTTGTCTTGTCAACGATACTTCTGCGGTCCTGAACCTCTTTCGAGCATTGTTGAGAAATCTTTTGTCGATGCTGCTTCCACAACCACTGCGACGATTCAGGTCTATCGCCTTGGTATTCCCCAAATCAGCCGACTCAGTCCGCATTGGCACGCCCTCATTGTCCGACAGACGCGATGGGCCTGGAACTGATAAATTCGCACCTCACACTGTGCGACTGAAGTCAGTATGCACAACACATCTCCGTTTGTGAAAATCAAAGTGCCAAATGAGGTGAGAAATATATACACGAGATCGATCCTGAGGTCGTGTTCAGGCTGCTGAGCTGCTACGCATGGTGCGCGTTCAGAGGGGCACGCGGCCAAAAATTTGGCTGGGAATGCGCGCATGAGGTTCTTTACTCAGACATGGCCCTCGTGCCTGCTTCAGAAGATAACAATGCCAAACTCCAGTAAGAGTTGCCCGCAAGGTGTTTTCTCGTGCTAAGCGCCGAAAGCTTCCTGACCACCAGCTCATCCAAATCGTCTCTTCGGATTCTAGCCTTCGGATCGCAGAACAACTACGCCACACCGTTTCAGCCCCCGCCCAGGCCGCGGGCGCAAGACGACGTCATGTCAGAACATGGATCATGGCTCTCGACCCGCACAATTCGTAAAGTGGGTATCCCAAGCAGGTACCACGGAATAGTATCCGAAGGCCACTCTCACATCAACCGCTCGGAACGTCCGGCAAAGCTTAGCGATCATGGGCGACTATGGAGAGATTGTCGTAAGCAGCCTTATCCAATCGCTAACTACACATGGCTTTTCACTGTACTCACCACTTTGGTAGGAGCTTGGATTGGAGGGTGTGGATAGATTCGCGACTCATTTTCACGACCCTGTAGTGGACAAGCTGAGCAAACACAAGCCCTTCTCGCGCTCCAGGAACAAGCGCGACAGTGGACCGTCGGGTGGCCCACAGCGACAGGAAAGGCGAAGAGAGCTCCCCGAAGACGAGAGACCTTCCCAGCGTCCAGACTCACCACAAAGGCGGGAGTCTTTTCCGGAGCAAGATCTGCCACCGCATCCGCAGTTGCAAGTGCCTCCTCCCCCTCCGGGAGCGCCGCCCGCAGGACTACCTTACCCACCTTACCAACCTTACCCAGGAGGCCTACCATCTGCAATACCTGTGGTGCCTACAGTACCCTATTCAGGAGTGCAATTCGCGGCACAACCGCCGCGGAGACAACTGCCGCGACAGCGCTCCTACTCAGATCCGCGAGGCGAGCGGTACGACAGCAGATCAGTGCCAGATAACATTGGCGAAATTGACTCCGACTCCGACGTTGAGCGAGGACCAAGAAGTATGTACTCATCATATGCGCCTGGCCGTGGACGAGACGACGGCTGGAGAGACGATGGTCGATATGAGAGAGTTGTCGAGGATCGCGAGTACTACGGGCCGAGAGGAACCGTGCAGCAGATGGCAGTGCGCACGAGAGATGCGAACCACTACCAAGGAGCAGTCACAGTGAGCACTTGCCGCGTATCGATGCCTTGACTGTGTTTTGCTAATTTTGCAGCCTCGAGCGCCGTCTCCACCAGACTACGGTTACGCACAGCGGGGTTACGCAGACGGAATGGCCGTGCGAGGACGCCCGGAGCCACGCCGACAACGTTCTTCATCTTGGTCTCCGCCGCGCAGAGCTGAGCGGCGGCATGATTCGCCTGCTCGCCGCAAGCGATCCAAGTCTCCGAACCACCACCGTGCGTTGGCCATCATCGTGGGTGCTTTGGCAGGAGGTGTGGCTGGCAGCAGAGTCAAGAAGGACGACCTGGTGCCCAACACGATGGCTACGGTTGGCGGAGCGATCCTTGGCGGGCTCGCGGGCAGAGAAGTTGAGCAGGAATTCGACCGGCACAAGGAGCGACGTACACACCGGGCCTACGAGCGCGGTGAAGCGAGGGAGAAGAGAAGACTGGAGCGAGAACACGACTACGACTAGGACTAGCGGCAGCACGCGTATGGGCTCGAGTCCAATCGAGGAGGGCAGGACGGGTCATGAGGTGGGCCGGGTGCAGGCGGTCGGGTGTTGGGAGGGGCATTGTTTGCTCATAGCCTGGCTGGCACGGGTGGTGGCATGCTTGTACCACGGGCTGACGGCGGCCTACGAAGTCACGGACATGTTGACGATTTGTTTTTCTCTTGACGGGAGACTGCTACGGATCATGGCGAGGCGGCTGCGGCATGCGTGAGACGCAAATTCTCCGTGCGGGACAGGCACTGGACAGAAGCGAGGCACGCGGCGAGGATGCGACGGCAGGGGTCTCGGTATGCATGTGTTTGGCAGCACTCTGTAGCAGCAATAGCCGGCGGCACCGAGCCGAGCAGAGCAGTTCCTCAGTTCCTCAGTTCCTAGCAAGCCGCGACGGCGTGTTGCGGAGCGAGCACGGCGGCGACGTCGGGCGAAGCAGTGGCGGGCGGGAGCAGCACAGACAGGCACGTTGCGGCGCGGTGGGCACGAGCACGGCGGGCGGTTTCAGCAGGGGCGCTTTCCTTCTCGAAGCTTGGTGGAAGCCGCCAGGGCCCACGGTTGGCACCGCTGGCGACGCAAAGCTGCCCGCGCCCACTGGAGCCCGGCAGCCCGCTCGAGCTCCACGCGCAGCTACGACGCTCTGCAGACCACCGCCCGCCGGCCAGCACACTGCACGGCCTGCCCAGCGAGAGCGTGCCCGCGTTTGCTTGCACCGGCCCCTGCCCCCCAGCGCGCGAGGCCTGCCCGCCGCCACCTCGCCCGAGCAGCGCGCACGCCCATGGTCGCTGACGCCCGCGCTCGCTCCTCCACCCACCGCACCCGCGCGCCCGCGCCCCAGCCTGCCAGCCCGTACGCCTCGCTATGAGTCGCCGCTGAAGCACGCAGACACCCCGCCGCACCTCGTTCCTTCCGTCTCGTCGACCGCGGGCTCGAGCCTCGCCCGCCGTCGCTGCCCGTCTGCTCGTCGCCCACCCGCCCCGAGCCCACCCACGCGCCGCTGCTCGCCGCACGATGCGCCGATACAGGACAGGAGGCTCTGCAGGCGGCAGGGCCAATGGCGGCGTCATGGTGCCGGATCCCTTCGCCATGGTGCGCGCCTACGAGTCCGACACAAACCCCACCAGGCCCATCCGCCCCTCGCCCCTCACCGCGTCCACCATCCAGGGGCTGCCGCTGGATCTGCTGGACAGGCTGCGCTCCTTCCCGCTGTTCCTCTCCGCCCCCGACACCTTCCTCGCCGCCGTGGGCATGCACCTCAAGCCGCAGCTGTACCAGGCACACGACACCATCCTCACCGAGGGCGAGCAGGGCAAGGCCATGTACTGGCTGGTGCGCGGCTCCGTCCGCGTCACCTCGCGCGACGGAGAGAGCACATATGCAGAGCTGAAGCCCGGCGCCTTCTTTGGCGAGATTGGCATCCTGATGAACATCCCGCGCACCGCCACCATCATCGCCAGCACGCGCTCGCTGGTCGTGCGCCTGCACAAGGAAGCACTAGAAAAGGAACTCCCCAAGTTCCCCGAAGTAGAACATGCCATCATGGACGAGGCCAAAGAACGCCTGGCCATCCTCGAGCGTAAGAAGAAGGAGGTCGGCAGGAAGCCCGCCATGGGGCTCGTGTCGCGACCCATCAAGCGCACCATAGACCGCGTCGATGGGGATGTAGTCATGACCGAGCGGGGCTCCGTTCAAGACGGAGAAGTCATAAGCCAATACAAGAAGCGGAAATCTCCGAGCCCAGGTCTCGCAGATGTCGCAGCCATGAGCGTTTTCGGCAACGGCAGTCTGCCTGTGAGACTGCTGCTCAAAGAACTGCCCCTATTCTCGAGCCTGCCATCCGAAATCTTGCACTTCATTGGTCTCAATGCACAGCCCTGCCATTTCCCGCCCTTCACCGACATAATCAAGCAGGGCACACAAGGACGCGACGTCTTCTTCATCGTCAAAGGCGAGGTCGAAGTAGTCAACGCCCAACCACCCCTAGAAAATGGACATGCCACCATGCATAATCGAAGAAACTCGATTGCTGCAGGCGAGCAGAGCCTCCAGTCTGTCAAAGCCCGCCTAAGACCCGGGCAATACTTTGGCGAGGTCACCAGTCTGTCGCTTGCACCTCTTCGCACTGCGACTGTTCGCTCTGTGTCGTCTGTTGAGTGTCTGATGATTAGCGGCGACATTCTCAACCAGCTGTGGGAAATGTGCGGCGCCGATCTGCGTCGCCAGGTGGAGCAGGTCGCAAATGAACGACTGAAAGCCGCCAAGGACACTGACACGCCCATGGCCGACTCTACAGAGGCCCCGAAAATCGATTCCTTGATCATTGCTGACCTCAAAGCACCGCGGACACCTCGGAAAGGAAGTGTTCCGACAGTCACCTTCGAAGATATGCCGACCACAATCGACAGTCCATTGACGCCCTCACGGAGAGAGGAGAAGACGATGGAGCCATTTGATCCGGATCCTTTCCTCAACGTTGACCTCGACAACGTTCGCTCTCGATCCCGAAGAGGCTCTCTCGCCCCGCCACCACCGGACTCTCCCACTGGCTCCTCCGTCATTGTCCCTAAATCACCCTCTCCAAGCTCGACTCCACTTTCGCCCTCTCCTTTGTTCAAGCATACAACAACACCACCAGAAACCACTTTCGAAATCAAAAGACCAAGAGTAATGACCAGGAGGCCAAGTAGATTCAACAAGGGGCTTTTACCTGATTCCATCATCATTGGAATCTTCAAACATCTGGACCTCTGCGAATTGATGCGCCTACGGCTTGTGACGACGCATTGGAAACAACTCATACTTACCTCTCCGGATATACTTCACACGCTAGACCTCAAGAAGCATAATCGCCGCGTAACAGATCGCACATTACAGGACATCATCTGCCCATTCGTGGGCAATCGCCCCACCTTTGTCGATATAAGCAACTGCTTCCACGTAACAGACGAAGGTTTCGCTGCGCTGGGAGCTACTTGTGCTCCCAACGTCAAGATATGGCGCATGAAGAGCGTGTGGGACATAACAGGGCCTGCCGTGCTCGACATGGTACAAAAAGCAAAGGGGCTCGAAGAAGTGGATCTGAGCAATTGCCGGAAAGTGGGTGACAATCTTTTGGCTCGTGTGATCGGATGGGTCGTCCCTGAACTGCCTGTGGGGATGGCACAGGCACAGCAAGCGCAGATGAATCACCGGCGTTCGTTCGGCCAAAAAGGCGCCAATGGGCAGCAGATGCCGCAACCGCTGCCTCCAGGCACAGTCGTAGGATGCCCGAAACTGCGACGGCTTACGTTGAGCTACTGCAAGCACATTACAGATCGTTCAATGGCACACATTGCAGTGCACGCAAGCCCCCGAATCGAGCAGATTGATCTGACAAGATGCACGACTATTACCGACATTGGCTTCCAACACTGGAGTGTGTACTCCTTCCCGCGGTTGACGAAGCTCTGTCTAGCGGATTGCACATACCTGACCGACAACGCGATTGTTTACCTGACCAATGCGGCCAAAGGGCTGAGGGAGCTGGATCTGGTAAGTCCAAACTTTCAGTGTGGATCACAAGCACGAATACTGTATCCTGTGTCAACTCAGAGGGTCTTGCATGCTCATAGCTATGTGGGTAACTTGGACTCTGGGTTGACTTGATGTACAATCCAAACATTCCTCTGGTCGTTCACGATTCTTTCTGACCTGACCCGCTAACGTTCCACAGTCGTTCTGCTGCGCGCTCTCCGACACTGCAACTGAAGTCCTCGCCCTCGGCCTCCCCATGCTCACCCACCTCAACCTCGCCTTCTGCGGCTCCGCCGTCTCCGACACATCTCTCCGATGCATCTCCCTGCACCTCCTCGAGCTGCGCCACCTCTCCGTCCGCGGCTGCGTCCGCGTCACGGGCACCGGTGTCGAAGCCGTCGTGGAAGGCTGCAGGGACCTGGAGCTCTTCGACGTCAGCCAGTGCAAGAACCTGCAACGGTGGATCGACGCAGGTGGTCCCGAGAGCGTGCGGAGCAGAGGACGAAAAGTCGTATTTGAAACGGTTGCGGATGGCAAGTGGAGGACCGCGAAGCGGTGACGAAAATTCCAAGCATCACAAGCGATGACCCTGGATGGTTGAAAACAGGGAGGTACCATATTTGTTTGCATATCATTGTCTGCGGCATGTACGAAACACGATATAGAATTGGCGTCTATCTTTGCGGGCGGGAAAAAGACGGGAGGTGGGATGGAAGCGGCTACGTTGTAGGCCTTTTTGCGCCGTGGTTTCGTGCTGCGTTTGGGTTAGATGATACCAGCCTGCTTTCGTTTGGATCTGGCTACGAACGAGTGAAAATGTGTTGCATTTAGCGCGTCATAGTCTTAGATTTTTTATTGTTTGCTTAGTCAATGCGATAACGGCTTGTTCCTGCTATCCATTCTGTGTGGTGTGGTCTTGAAGGTCAACGACGAAGGACGCGCAATGCTCATCGACGCGTGCACAGGGCGTGCTGGACCTGGTGGACCATCCACTGCGCGCTTCACACTGCAAGCTGCACATGTCCCGTTTGCAGCGTCTCAGTGCAGAGGTACCATTCGCCTGGCCACAGGCGGCACGGGGTGGATTGAAGAATTCGTGGATTTACGTCCATGCAATGACAAGTGAATATGTACATCAATCATGCTATCATGCCTCCCTCGTCTCATCGCTCACCCCCTCCACGCCCTCAACGGCCGTTCCACGTCCGACGTGGCCCCCTACAACTTGGGCGCCGCCTCGCTGGCATCCCTCCCCGTGAAGTTCACCACCTTGGTCTGCTGCACGGTCCCACTCTTGTTGATCATCTGCAGCTTCCTCCCCCTGCTCAGCGGCTCGTCGTCGTCCTGGTCGCGGATGTAAAACGCCCAGTCGGCCGTGGGATCCAGCTCCGTCTGGCTGTACCCGTTGCCCATCCACGCGAACCGATTCCCGCTGTACGCAACCTCCCAGTCATCGTGACGCACCTCCATCATCGCCTCGATGTAGTGCAGCGTGCTCCCGGGCCACAGCGCGGTGATGGGGCCGTCGGGGCGCCCCTTGTACCAGCTGCGGCACGGGTCCTGCCACACCGTCTTCTGCATGAAGTCGTCCTTGAACGCGATGAAGTCGTCGACGGCTTCTTTCTTGGGCGCAAACGTCGCAATGTTGTGCGTCTGGAAGCGGTCGATGAGCTTGCACATGTAGTCGGCCTGGCACTCGATCGCAGACAGCACGGGCCCGTTGCCGATGGGGCAGTTGGGGCCGAGGAAGATGAGGTAGTTGGGGAAGTCGGCGGCCGCGACGCCAAAGTACGACTGGGCCTCCTGCGCCCAGACGTCCTGGAGGTTGGTCCCCCGGCTGTTGACGACGGGGAAGCGCGGCTTGAACGACGTGTTGAAGCCCGTGGCGCAAATCAAGACGTCGACGGGATACTCGTTGCCATTGTCGCAGCGGCAGCCGCGCTCTGTGATTTCGTTGATCTCGCCGTAGACGACGTCGACGTTGGGCTTGCCCAGCGCTTCGAGGTACCCGACGCCCGGGGTCAGGCGGCGGCAGCCGACGTGCCAGTTGGGAATCAGGCGCTCCTCGAGGTAGGGGTTCGACAGCTTCTCGGTCATCTGCTGGCGGAAGTAGGCTTCGGTGTCGGTGTTTGTGGTGGTGTCCTTGAGGAAAATGCCGAATTGGCCGTTGAGGCCGCGCTCGACGTCTTTGCGGTAGGATGTTAGCACGCCCGGCTTGGTGGCGAAGTCGGTGCGTTCCTGGGCGGAGAAGACGTGTTGTTCGAGGCCTTGGACGGGGGAGACCCAGGTGGGCTCGCGGATGAAGGTTGTTACTTTCTTGACGTGGGGTTGGATTGTAGGAAGGACTTGGATGCCGGAGGAGCTGGCGGTGTTAGTACCGATTTTGTGTACGAAAGAGGGTGAGAGAAGCATACCCATTGCCAATAAGGCCGACGTGACGTCCTCGGAGGTCGATCTTCTCGTCCCAGTTTGCTGTATGTAGGAGCACGCCCTTGTACTTGTCGATGCCCGGGATGGCCGGCCATGCCCAATTGTTCAAGATACCAGACGCATTGATGAGGATGTCGCAGTGATCATCGATAATCTGTCCACTTTCGAGATCCTTGATCTGCACATCGTAGCCGCCCTTCTGCTTGTTCCATATTGCACCGGCGACTTGGTGTCGCGTCTTGACATATTTGTGCAGCCCATACTTCCTCGCGAAATCGTTGAAGTACGCAAAAATCTCCTTGGAGCTCGCGTACACGGCGCTCCAGTCCAGCTTCGGCTCAAACGACCATGTGTAGTTGTGCGAGGGAACATCACACGCGCAGCTGTCAAAACGTCGGATTAGCTTTTTTCCCCCAAAGCCGACGCGAGTAGGTGCGGGGAAAAGAGAGCCGAGGCGGTGTCACCCCAGATTGTCGTAAGCCACCAAATAAACGTACCCGGGATATCTGTTCTCGAACCACGTCCCTGAGACCTCGGCGTTCTTCTCGTACACGGTGAGGGAGTAGTTGGAGAAGTGCCGCTGCAGCTTGTACGCCATCAGGAGACCCGATGCACCAGCTCCAATACACACCACGCGAACATGGCGCTGGGCATGGATGGGTCCCCGTCGACGATGCTGAGCATCTGTCTCGGGGCTCGCAGTCGAAGGCACCAAAAAGTCTGCCATGGTATCAGGGTATCAAGCGCAAACGAGAACACTCAGGAACGAAAGAATGAAGGGAGAGACCAATGCAGCGGTGTGCAAGAGGATCTGCCAGTTCTCCAGTTCTTTATAGCAGACGCCGTGCTGCCCAGCTGCGGAGTCAGGCGTCTCCGCTCTGTATCCCGCAATCGAGTCAGTGTGCGTGTGTATGTGGCCGGACGCAAACCCGCGTGGATCTGGGGAAGGCCGGTATGAATCGGCGGGGCGCACCAGTCGAGGTGGGTATTACTCGTGCCGGTCGGAAATGCTTTGGCGACGAGCTGTGGGAGACTAACGAGTAGCGCATGGGGGTCCAAGTTGTCTCGACTCGCGTATCAGCGCGTCGAGACTTTCAATTTTTGAGCTCTGGGGCAAAGTGTCAGGCGATTCGGAGACGGATGCTGGGGGTTCCTTGGAGTGTGCCAATGAGTTGAACCGAGGCCTCTTTGCCATGCATGGTTAGATCATTTACATGCATAGTGGCAGTCATCAAGGTCGTCAGCGGATACGTGGAATACGGTCTACGAGCATCATGGAATCTGGGACAGTCTTGAACTGAAGGACGGTAAAAACTACTGAATCGTGAATCCACCATCGGCTACAAGGGCCGAGCCAACAACATAACTACTTGCGTCAGAATGCAAGAACGCGATGACATCGCCTATCTCCTCCATCGACGCGAACCGTTGTACAGGCACCTTCACCCTCTCGTCGTCCATCACACTGCCCTTGTTCATCGTGCTCTCAACCAGCGGTGTCAAAACGTAGCCAGGGCATATAGCGTTGATCTTGATTCCTCTGGGTGCCATCGCAATCGCATCCGCCTTGGTCAAGCCCACGACCGCATGCTTGCTCGTGGCGTACGCTGTCGCGGGAACATTCAGTGTGGGCCCAACCAAGCCATACATCGACGCGGTGTTCACAATCGATCCGCGATACGACCTGTACGAGTCGCTCCGCTTGTCCTGCTTGAGCATCTGCCTGATCTGCGCACGTTGGCATAGCCATACGCCCGTTGTGTTGATACTCATGACGCGCTCGAAATCCGACTTCTCAATCTGATCGGTAGTATTGAGCGCGCCGCCAATGCCAGCGTTATTGAGGGCATAGTCCAATCGTCCAAATTCCTTGACTGTCTGCTCAACGCTGTCGTTGACGGCGGCTTCGTCCGCAACGTCAATCTCGAATTCCTTGATGCTGATATCAGGGTAATCCTTCTTCAACTGCTGGACGGTCGTGGTGACGGGGTTGCGATCGAGGAGGGCGAAGGAGCGGACGCCTTGTCGAGCCATTGCGTAGGCGGCATATTGGCCAATCCCTATGCCGTTCAGCAGATGAGTCTGCAACAAGATGGGCGCGTTCACTTACCAGAGCCTGCGCCGGTGATATAGGCGACGCCTTTCAGAGAGAATGCCATATTGTTTTGTAGACGGCAAAGCACAGACAGGGTGAGCTAATTGCACGACTTCACACAAATTGAGGAATTGAAGCTGAAACAATTCGGCGCGATAGGAATAACAGCGCAAGTTTCTCCGGATCCTTTACCACTTTCACATATGAGATCCCGCATGCGGAAGCTACAAGCTCCTGTTCCGGGCTGGGATACGCGGGGTCTCCACATGGCTAGGGCGATGGGGGCAGGCGGAGATGGCGTAAATAGCGTTGGCGTGGTTCGCAATGGCTGGATGTGCTTTGCCGCGGATGTTCGGGGCGGAGAAGCTTGGGGAAGTATCACGCGATTCACGATGAAGCAGTGGAAGAGCAATCGCGAGTCAATCTGTACAAGAACGCGCAATTGCTCGTCGTTGATGATATCGAAATCCAGCTGTGATGGCGAGCACGCTTCATACGACTCATGGACTGGACGTTGGAATAGCCTATCGGATGTGACCGCGGGCGATGCTGTGCCGCAAAGATGCGTTAGGTTAATCTACTCGGGCGAGTCTGGCGCTCATTCAGCAAGAGCCGCACAGACGTGGTGGACTCTGGAACATGATGAGCTCAGGCACTAGTTTCTAATCAGATTGCTCGCTGTAATAGATCAGTCCGTGACAGACAAAGCCACCCTAAGATTTACGTCTTCCTGGGTTTCACATCTGGGCACGTGACCGCGCGTCTGCCAAGCCCTCGAAAGCCAGGATCTAGCGTGTCACGACATTCAGCGTGGCGCACCACGCATCGACCCCAGACGCCCACGCCCGCTCGAATGTGCGCTCGCCATGACAACACACCCGACCCGAATCGCGCAAACCTCCACCGAGGTCAAGAAGCATTTCAAGCAGCATGGGCCTATTCTTTCGGAGCGACAGCAACGCCAGCTAGAACGCGCCGCCGATCTGGAGAAGCGAGCCGTCGGCTTACGAGAGCGAGAGGAGCGCAGCAAAGCGAACAAGAAGAAGCGCGAAGAGAAAGAGAAGAAAGCAGCAGCGCTTCGAAGAATGAACGGCGTGGGACTGGCCACCCAGATGATCGGATACAGCCATACTCAGGCGCAGCTGAAGAAGGGCATGGAGGCGTTCTTGGGATACAAGAAGAAGAGCGAACAAACCCGAAAGCAGAAAGAACTCGAGGTCGCCAAACAGTTGGAGGCTGTGGTTGAAGAAGCCGCCAAGGAGCCATGGGACGATGAGGCCGACGATACGTTTGACATACCCGAGCCAAGCACTCGGTCTGGAGACCAATGGATGGACGATGAGCTGGACGATGATGCGTTTCTCGAGCTACATGATCAGTCCATGTCAGATCGTGCGGATGAACCTTCCGAAGCTTCACAGCCACCCAACATCGGTTCCTCAGCCCCCGTCGCGCACTCACCGAGCATGATACAACCAAAGGAAAACGTTGACTTTGTTCGCTTACACGGACCGATCAACAAGGTGATCGATTCGGTCTTGCAAAATTTGCCGGAACCTCTGATCGAGCTTCTCTCTCAAGATTGCTCTATCGATCCAACTGCGTGGGACCCTTCACCTGCACTGCTCCACAAATTGAACCCACCTGGGCTACCGCCTCATCGACTGCGCATCAAAGTTGGATGTGTTGTGACACTTCTTCGAGATCTCAACTGCAGCAGCCAGCTCTCGAGAAGCCAACATCTACAGATACTGCGGTCAGAGCAAGAACGACTGGAATGTCTGGTGTTGGATGGACAGCTCGAAGGAACGAAAACTATTCTGACCAGAGTGTCGTTTGCTGCAAAGCACAGGAATGAGGATAGTTTCCCATTTCAGCGCATTCAGTTTCCAATACAAGTCTCAAAAGACTTTGTCATCCCCGTCCAAAGTCGAAAGCCTTTACTATCCGGTTTCAAGAAGCCCATGCCATCCGGCCAAGCTCTACAATCGTCCAATTCCTCGTCCAAACGACTGACGTCAACTCTGAAGGTCCCTTCGCAGGCCAACCGTAATCCCAGCTTCAAGCTACCAGGCTTGCCGGCCTCAAAGTCTAAGCCTATGTTAATTCCAAAACCCACACGACCTTCGCCTGCGCCAGCACTAGACGGTTGGGACGACTTCTTTGACACTGCAACACAGGTTGCTCGTGACCTATCGTTCGAGTCATCGCCTTGCATAGTGAAACCGGAACCCAACCCCCCCTCGGTGTCTACGGCGCCTATTTCCAATTCTTTACCTCCACTATCAACTCAAGACTTTGACTTTTCATTGGAAGATATTGATGACTTACCTGTATTACCTCCGGCCGATTCTACTAACCTGAAGGGAGGAACGAAAGAGCGTGCGCCTTCGCCGCCGATGCGACCTGGACTTCTCAGACCAACGCCACAGCCCAGTCGGATGATGGATACACGTCCTGGGCAAAGTACCGAAACCAGTGTGCCTATTGTTAGCCTACACAATCAACCATCGCTCAAGCGGAAGCAGCCCAACAATTCTTACCAGGTTGCGGTTTATCCCGCGCCAAAGAAGAAAGCTGTCGCCACATCAGTTAGGCTTGATGGGTTTAACCAACAAATCAGACTGCCGTCGCACTCGATGGGACCAAGACAGGTCTTCAGCACAGCCACCACGAAGACTGTAAGCAATAGTGGAGCGAAACGGAGTACCAGCAACCCACAGACGATGTCACGGCCCTCATTCAGTGAATTTGGACTGTCGACGCAAGAGGTGAATCTTTTCTTTGACGACGATGACGACCTTGCTCTTGGGTCGCCCCCGATCGCGGTACGATATAATGATGTACGACCTTAGATACCCCTCCTGTATATGGGCGTTGCGGTGCGATTTACGGCATGTTTTGGGTATTACGGCTTGGGTATCAATATTACGAAGTAGCCGACGGCTCCAATCCTATATTATCATTTCCTCATCGTTTGCACGCACCCCATTTGCCACATCCTCCTCTTCCTCGTCCATCTCTTCTAGTGGGTACGTCAAGATGGCAGCGATGCTCCCCAGTGCCTCTAACCTCTTTCCGCTCTCGTGCAAGCTGCTCAGTACCCTCACCTCGCCACCTTCAACTTCTTTGACCCGATCTACCAGTGCGACCCATCGCTTCCTCTCAGCGAGGTTATGTGACCGGAATAGCGTGTTCGAGATGAGCAGCACACCGCCTCCTCTGCCGACTGCACCACTCTCCACCGCCCTCTCGATCTCTCGTGGTCCGTACGCCGCGCGCCCGTCTTCCAGCCGCATGTGTTTCATGAACGTGTCCATGAGTGCGGTTTCGCGGGTAAACTTTGCATCGGAGAGCTTCGCTGTGCAGGCCGGCGACGCTAAAACCTCTGCGAGGTTATGTACGTGTTCTCCTGCTGAATGCGCAATAACAATGCTCGGCACCAGCGCCTGGAGGAACTTGTTTCCCGACCGCACCGCATACTCCTTGATGAACTGCAGAAACGCCTGCGCGTAGAACCCCGCGCTCGCAAGCAGCAACGGCACCGTCTTCTCCGTCTGCGCATCCCGCTTCGCGCCCTCCATATCTCGCTGCAGCGTACCTAGCAGCGTGTTGTGGAACTTCTCTAGCCCCTTGTTGTGCTGCTCCATATGCCCCTTGCCCTTCCGCGGCACGGCCACTTCGACGCGATTCCGCAGAACAGTTTGGTGCTCGGTGATCAGACAAATATTCGCGATCCCCTCGCCCATGACTACTGCCCACATCTCCGCTCTGCTGCTCGTATTACACGCCTCACTCAGCATCCCCACAGCCACGCTATCCCACCCGTCCACCTTCTCGAGCGTAAACTTGCGGTTCAGCTCCAGATCCAGCGTATGGTGGCTCCCCAGCTTGACGTGCTCGTTCTCGGAGACCACGCGGCCGGCGACATGGAGCTCGTTACTCGCGAGGTCGAAGTCGGTCGACGTGACGGCGATGGTGAGGTCGAGTGCGATGCGCTGCGACGTTACGGCGCCCGCGCCCATATCTTTGGAGATGCGGCGGATCGCTTTGGCGCGGATTTGATCAGTCGGTTGGATAAGGTTGTATGCATGCCACATGTCTTCGGGCTCTTCGGGGAGGAGGGTTGCGCTGCCGGCGCCGGTTTTGGCTTCGATTTGTTGCCGAAGGAGCTTCATTTTGGAAGGATGCAGTGGCGGCAAGTATCGTTGGGGGGTGGTGTAGGTAGCCCGACTTGCACGCGGTGCTCGAGGAGTTTTATAGAGCGCTGTGCGCGTCTGGCGTGCACTTTTTGTACCTTTGAAAATTGGTGACCTTGATTGAATGTTGCAAGCGCGGCGCGTTGAGGGGCACCAGTTGTGACGTGGGAGGGGCACAGGAGGTGTTTATCGATAACACGCAAGCATTCAACTGCAGGCTCAACTGGAAGTCTGTCTACCTGTCTAGACTTCTTGTTATGCCGAGAGGAATCCAAACTTTCGAAATAGCGTGTTCTCGCGACAGCCTTGAAGCTCTTCGTGCCCATTGTACCCAAGGTAGCTTGGCCCAGCGTGGATTCGCTTCAATTTGGCCACGCAAAGTGGACCTCAACCACTAGTCCTGTGTGACTCAATCCTGGTATTGTAAGCTCTACGTGGCTTGATGATCCCCACTGTAGTTCTGCGGTCACAACCGAGTGCGGCTGACCCCACCTTTGCACTCCAACGTATTCAAATCCGTCTACATATAATCTCATTCTCAAAATTTGCCACACTCATCGCCCGGTAAGCTCAACCATTTTCTCAACTCATGGACCTTACTAACAATACATAGCATGGCTTAGTGGTACAGCGTCGCACTCGTATTCCGTATGCAAATGCGAAGATCCCTCGTTCGATTCGGGGTGTGGGCAATTTTTGCTGTCTTTTTGCGTCCCCCCATTCCTCATACACATCAAATTATCTCGTTTTTGATAATGAAAACACATTGTGAACATATCTCATGTCCTTCCTTTTGGAGTTGGGTGTTGATGCACAATCGTCTCTGTCATCTAGCTCGCTTCATTCCATCGTGCTGTCCAGGCCGGCGACATGTCCTAGGACAGACACAGATTTCGGGTGTGGACGGCGACTTACATGCACATCACCGCTGATGAGATCTCGGGTGGTCGCAGTAGGCTCCACGACTAGTCGTGGCGAATTTGCACCACGTTGAGATACTTTTGAACTATGAGCGATCTCACGATAGCCGGTGGCACACTCCAACCTCTAGAGCCCTTCAGGCAACCCCTAAATTCTTTGAGGCATGACAGATGCGGAGGCCGAGGGCGAAGAGCTGGAAATTCACAAGACAACTAGCAGTACTGGGCTCATCACAGGAAGGAATATGATGCCTAATCGTTTCATATCTCGGTGGTCTGAGTTTCTATGCTCTCTACCCCGTCCGGTACGCGATTACCGATCCATAATTCATACAATACGTATGGTAGCCATTCTCACCAGCGTCTTGAACCCTGTCTTATCCAGGTCACTCAGAAAGGGTCATGATCGCTAGGCTTATAGACAAGATAATGTTCGGAAATAATGCCTCAAAGTCGTCAATGATCGTGCTAGGATCCGGAACCCTGTAACCCGAGTAAACGCAGCACGTGTTGAAGTTGCCCGCGGTGGAGCCATTGAAGTTGAAGCAGCCAGCCGCGTCGCCGTTCCTAGTGCCAATGTCGAAGTCGGGGCAAGAGTTCTCGCTGTATCTGACCATGGGAATGGTCATGGCAGTGTCTTGGTAGCAGAAGCAGCCCGCCTGGGCGATAGAGAAAAGTGCGGCGAGGCCGATGACGAGGAATTGGATGTGCATTGTGGATGTTGTGCAGAAATCGACCGTTAAGGACTTTTACTCCTCTGAAGATGTGATTAAAGATGGAAAGTAGGAGCAAGCTAGAGAGCAGACCCTAAGAGCCAGATATTATATACGTCCAGCAGGCACATCAGCTCCAACTCACTACCCAAGAAGTGATCTTCCAAAATTCAATCTTCCGATATTTTTCGCATTCGTCATCTCCTAGAACGATGCTTTCCTAACAACTTGTCCTCGCGACGCTCTCTGTCTCTACAACTCTCGCTCTTCCGAGCGCTCTTATGAAGCGCGATGACATCGTATCGGATCCATGGGGCAGTGGCACCGGAAACATCAAGCTCGTGTGCAAGTTTCAACACATGTACTCTGCCACCAAATGGGGGACTGACTTCACACCAAATTGGCCAAGGGGCTGTCGACCTTGGGAACCTCACGATCGAATCTTTATTCGACAAGATCTCCCCCATCCGTCACACAAGCGGCCAATGCGAGCAGAACGAGATCTCTGCCGATGGATGGCGGATCGAGGGAGGTCTCGAGGGCGACATGGAAACCATCAAAGTGACTTTGAAGCCGTCCGGCAAATACCCCACGTGGATGCACAACGAATTGCTCGACATCCTCAACGCTCCTGTCCTCGAAGTTGGAGACTGCAGAGATGTGACGAGTGTACAGGCTGACGGTCCGGGCGCCACTAAGACGACGCAGAGGCAGTGCCTGACCCCAGGCTTCTGGGACATCAATTACTAGGCTGATTCCGATGCGGCGCCGCCGAACATTCGAATCACCATGACTGCGAACGAGAACACTGAGGAGTCGCCGTGCAAGACTGACTTGGGGACTCCTGGAGGTCTGGCTGGTGAGTTCCACTCCAAATTGAATGGGCATATGAGTGAATATTAACACGACAACTAGGTATTGTCTCCGGAGTTGCGGCAGAGGTGTTCTCCCTTCCCTCACTTACCTGCCAGGCCCGACCCGATAGATGACAACGTGAACATCCTAGGCTTCGAGGGTCTCACGGGTGTCAGGAATGGGATGGTGATAAGACGGCTGTGGAATTCGATGCTCATTTTATGTTTTCATTTAGCATTCGGTGCCTAGTGTGTGTGGCTCTCTGACTATGGCAACTTCCGGTCATAGTAGCTCGATTTCCTACTAACCGCAGCCCTATTTACTCGATACCAAGCATGCGTGTTTCAAATTATTTTTTATTTGAAATTTTCAAATAGGGACGATGATGCCACTTAAAGTAAAAGGCACCATGTGGAACTCGCTTTACCGTATTGCATCACACTGGTCGCCGCCGTGTTGAAACAGGTCGACAGAAGGTGGCAAGGATATAGCTGCAAACGTGTCAAACTCCCGGTAGTACGGCAGTCCTCTATCGCATTGATCAGCTCCCCAGTATTCAAGAAGACCTTCTCCATATTCTTCTTTCCCGATTCGTCGGAAGAGACTTTGCAACTCAGGAGGAGGGCGCCACCTCGCCATCCGCCACCATATCTGGCGACTGGGGCAGAAGTCTTCACCCGGCAATATATCGAACGCTTCCACGCCCGGCTTTCTGTAAGCCACTCCCCACCCGAGTGTTCCGTCTGAGAAACTGGGCACCTGGGTTGTGTCGAATCCTTCGTACTCATATTCCAGCCTTGAAAGGTCAAGATCCAAGGGTGACCAAAGCTCAGCACTCTCTAGACGAGGCATCTGTCCGGCAGCCCTAGCAAATGCCGTGAGAAATGGTATCAGTAACTTTTCGTTGGGACTGACACGAAATTGAACAGTCCTGTGTTCATCGTCCCAGTTCTCATCTACTGCATACCCATCATCATCCAGATCTTCGGCAGTTGTAGTCAGGGGTGGGTACATGTCGGAAGTAATCTCAAATCCTTCGGTGGCTCCTACTCCGGGTAGTCCCTCGAAATACCAAGAGCCGGATGGCGTTGACATGTGGAACATGACATTGATTCGCTCGAGATTAGGCCAAGCAGGTGTGCTTCCGTATCCTTCCGTGGGCCAGAACAGTGTCTCATCTGCCACAACACAGATCTTCATGCTGCGAAGCTGATAGGATATGAGGCGAAGACTCGTACTCAACGGGTCGAAAGCTGCAGGCTTGACAAGATTCGGCAATATTCGTCGCTGATCTATCTGTCTCACATGGTCGAGCGGATAGAGGAAGTCTAAGTCAACATGACGCAATGAAGGAACCGAAAGCGTATCAAGCGCTTTCCTAAAGTTGTGGCGCGAGTCTCTGCGAGGTCCTGCGCAGTCCCGTGTTATGTGCCGCAAACCAGGGTTTTCGAAGCTGCCATGCCATTCATCGCCACCAACCATACACTGCAAGATATCCAGATTCGGAAGCAAGTTGGCAAGATCTAGAAGGATACGGTGATCGATTCTGCGCAGTGCCGGTGTGGGGCCATTGGAATAGAATACCTGGTCCGGGGCAACCACAGTTAGGCACCGTATCGAGAAAAGGCTTGGAAGACTCGAAGAGGAGAGCAATTGAACGCGCCAGCTGATGAATGTATGGTGGAGGCAGAATTTATCCTGGTTGATAGCTCGCGTGGGCGTATAAATTGATAGGTGTATCTTCCCCGGGCTAATCTCAGTACATAGCTGTGATTCAATTGCCTGCACGGTCGAGAAGAGAAACTCAATTTGGCGAGTGAATTCCTTATCCAACAGCTCGAGCTCCTCTAATGATTCCCGACAATTCTCTTCCTTGTCGTTCGAATCAAGCTTAGGGAAGTGGGTGTAGTAGTGTAAATATCGAAGGTAACGGAACCTGCGGCTGCTATATCTCTCTGAAAATACTCTGGCATTGCTTTCGGTCAAAACATAACTCTGGAAAGCCGTAGAGTATCGTTCTGCTGCGGATTGAAACTTGCGCGATATTAACAGTGTATTCTTGAGGTCTGCGCGATCGAGGTAGCTGCTGATTCGGTCGACCAGCTCCTGTGGAATCTCGTTCATGATGGAGGAGGGTCGGCATAGATCCACACCAATTAGTCTATTTCCTGGTGATTGTACCAGCACCAAAGTTCTGGCATCGAAAGTGGCCAAGAACTACTGAGGCGTTACAAGATGCAGTGCTTGTTTGACGTGTATGTCAAAGTGGCGGTAATGCGGAGCATGGACGACCTTGTGAAGACTGAACGTCTTTATTGAATACGCAGCTAAGACGACGACTGCAGTTGAAATGAAGAATGAGTGTAGTGATGCATGTGAGAGGAGGTTGCCATGCGTCATGTATCATACACCGAGGTGAGGCACAGTCCAGTCGCTACTAAAAATAGTGCGGGCCTATCGAGCTAATAAGACAATTGATAGCGCCATAATCTTCGGGCCTACGCATCGGAGCGATGGGAAGTCGAAGATGTCGTTGGGCGGGTAGTGAAGCATTATGTTCGCATAATTGCAGGCTGCTGACTTCGGCGATGCCCATAAATTGCTGCTCTCGGAGATGGGCCTGAACAAATACATGCGATGTGAGACGCTTCGCAGGGGTTCAGACCTATTAGATTGTCTGTTGATGATGGTTTGGCCCCATCTTGAGGTGGAACGGTATGAGATCGATTCGGTATTGCAATCCTATGTTGAATGCTATAATAAGCGAGCTGACAGGTTGCTTGCAGTCTTGACCCACAGTTCATGACCAGCATTGCCTGTCTATTCTCAATTCCTTTAATCGACAGTTGCCAACGAAATAGTACACCAACTATCGCGTGCTTGATCTGTATGCACTTACACAAGCATTAGAGTACAGGCCTGTGTCGATAACGCACTGTCAATTGTCGCTCAGCACAGGCGTCCGGTGCCGAGACACAGATGCTTTCACAAGCAATATGAAGTAGATGATGTCGGATTTCTCTGCCACTATTGCCTAGTTCAGCGTTCGTGAGATCATGACTTTAATTCACGAGTGTGTTTTGGTCGCAATGAGTTTCAAATAGGGCCATGACTTCAAGGTCGCACAAGACGGTAAACCCAATCCGTCATCATCGGGGTAAAAAAAAAATTGTCTCTGCCTTGTTGTACATTGTATAGAACTGTGCCACTCCTCAAGTCCGTACAATGGGTGGCGGATTATTGCGGTTTCACACCCGACGGCACCGTGACCGATTTTTGGGCCAATGTCCGAAAACCTACATCTGGGTATTGGCAGCATACTACAAGAGAGTCACCATTTGACCATCTTTGCAAAGTGAATTACCGATGTGATTTCTTTCTTCTTTGATTTGACTATTTCATATCTCATAAAGTTATCACTCCTCCGAATCATTGCGCTCTATCATGCGGGTTTTAATCACCTTCCCCGCTCTTTGGAGTATACGTGTTTTATTTGCAAATGCTATCGACTGCTACACGCTACATCATCCTAATGAATACCCAGTTCGAAATACATCACAACTCAACAATTCCCTCGATGGCCCTGTCATAGAGCTCTGCGGCACTGGTGGCACCCATACAATTGCTCATCAGACCGAGGGTGTGTCTTTTAGCATCACGCGTACAACTCCCCAAAGTTTTAAAGAATGCAAGGAGTCGTTTGTCGACATAATCAGCCAATGCGTCAATGGCTTGGGCCTTCGCGGAGGCGAGTTAGAAGGGGCAAATGGAACCTTGTACAGAATTTCCTTCGAAGATCCTGCTGACCGCCAACTTGTTGCCCGCAGAGCAAGAGGTGGCAGATCCAAAAGCACCAGACCCAAGGCCACGAGGCCTAAGAAAATAATTCCGAAGAAGACGACTCCCAAGAAGACGAAGAAGAAGTCGCCAAATAAAAGGCCGAAGAAATCGTATCAGAAGTCTCATAAGAGCACAAGTGACAGAAGAGAAACAACCTCTACCAGTCCCACCAGAGCAAAGCCTACCAAGTCATGCAAGCAGATGTATGCGTTGGCCGCGAAGGCCGCAAAAGTGGAGGCCTTGACGAATGAGAAGAGTACTACAGCTCTGGCTAAGCGTGGTGAGTACAGTATTAAGGTTCCCATCGTGGAGAAGCGAACGAGCAAGCCCGGGGGGAATGGTTGCGCGTTCCCCATAATGGATGCTCTGGACTACCCTGAAGCCAAAAAAATGGTAGGTGACCAGGAAAATCGCATTTTGATTCTTCATTTTTGCTAATACTTTTGCGCATCCGCAGCCTAGTGACGCAAAGTACTATGGTTTCTCCTCCCCCCTGGTCTGCGACGCTTTCGGATTCAAACAAAGCGAGCGTCCTGCACCAGGCTTTGTGCAAGGGGATTATCAAATTGAACATGTCCTCGAATGGTAAGCAGCATGCAAGTCATTGTACTGGGGGTCTTCCGAGCCAGATCCAAGGAGGTTAACGTGTGATACAAACATAGGCAAGTTGTGACAAAATTCTTCGACTGGCTCAAATTGCGCAAATTTTCAAAAAGCGCATTCGATAATCCTGACAGAAATGCGCTGGACAAGAATGGAAAACGTAGGCAGATTGGGTTCTGCGAGTATCTAAAAGTTACCTGGGACAACCCGACACCACCAACTTTCAAGCTTGCCTTCTCAAAGGACGACCAGGAACGAACAGCACTTGGCCATATTCAATGGGCGTACCCCGGCAAAAATCATTTCGAAAAAGAGTTTGTCTACCTGCAGACCACAGTGAATGCCCCGGCCAAGCAACAGGTATGTCTTCGGTCATTGTTCATGTTCTAAATTATAGTCCTAATAGTTTCTCTGGAAAGATGTGGGATTTCAAAGACACGAATCGTATCTATGGAGACAAGACTAGCACAAGATTCTACAAGGACAAAACTACTAAGAAAAACGAGCAGAAGCTACGCGTAGGCATGCCGGACCTAATTCGGGGCCACAAAGCCTTTGGCACGAAGTTCCCCCAAAAGGCCGCTAACATTGACGATTCCCGGGCAGCCTACCTCCAGTTGAAATGGATTTATGGTGCACGACGATACCTCAAGCATCCTGACATCAAGAAAATTTTCAAGATTCAGAAGGAGCGCATAGGGGGTGTCCTCGACGCTCTGGACACAGAGATGGAAAATCACCCCAAGGAAACGAAGAAGGGGACACAGGACGCATGGAAGAGGCAAGGACTCAAGAAGCTTTGGGATGAATACATGGATATGAGATTTGAGATGGCTAAAGAAAGATCTGTCAACGACATGGATACATATATCCGATTGCTGGAGAATGTGTGGTTACCCAAGAGTGGAGAAGGGAAGGATACTAAGAAAGATCCCAAGGGCAAGGGCAAGGGCAAGGGCAAGGGCAAGGCGACGAGTGGCAAAGCGCATGATGACGTTAACTTGGAGAAGGATCGAACAGTGTTCTTTGCTCAGATCAAAGAATTGGAAAAGAAATGGTTGATCGAGAAGGCTGAGCCTTGGAATGCACCGTGGCTGTAGATAGGGGAAATGGTTGTTATGAGTACCGCATCTAATCAGTGGCGCTGTGAGCAAGATTTGCAGAAATTAGATGTCTGAACTCGACTTGCACCGTAGAAACACGTTGTCTTATTAAAAGCCGCTTTCTTGATCCATGATGCTTTGCAGTGAGTACAGCTATTCTGGAAGAACCTCTTCTTGAAGCTTCGAGAATTCGATGGTCAATAGCAAAGAGCGGGTGTAACAACTAAGAAGTCAATAGAAAATTCGCTATAGCCGCTCTTAGCGTCAATCTCTTCGCCATTTCGTCAAGAACCACTCTTCCAGTCTAGCCCGTGTTATTTCGGTCACTACTGGGCCGCTGTCAGCTGATGCTTCCAACCTAGATACATACACGATTCACCTCACAAACCTTGGTTTCTTCAATGCTACCCTAAATTCATTCTGAAGATAGCTCTCCCACCACTTTGTTCTTTTTCTTCTCGAAATCTGCGCGTATCCTCGCTAAGGCGCGTCCCTCTTTTGCTCCCATTGTTCCGGTGGAATCCTGGGACCCAGAATACCGGTTGCACTGATGTAGGAACCGGCAGTGAAAAGTATGAACACTGCCCATACTGACTTTTTGATGAGGTTCAACATCCTGAATTGGAGCAAACGAAATATTGACTGTGGTAACCGCGCGGAAGAGGCGATGTTATTGTGGGATTCGCGAGTCTATCCCTTGTATCGCTGCCGCGTACCTATCGATAATTCTGAATGGCATTGTCGATAAGGATACATAGATAGCACCCCTGCACGATCCAATCCCCGACATGTTTGGTCTTATGAGCGGCGAAGGACAACAATGTTTGCACGATGCTCCGCAGGTGCATGCTGAACAGCGGCTCGCCTTTCCGTGAACAACTCGACCACAAGACCTACGCTGTATCAGTGATTACGTTCAAACTCATCTCAATGCACACTAACCTTCGCGCGCACCTCCAGCGCACGTGAACCACCAAACATCTCACTCATCACCCCCTGTCCTTCCCCAACTGTCCTGGTCCACGAGCCCCTTCTTCTTGAAACCATCAGAACGCATTCTCACGCCAGCGCGCACTCCTTCTTCGCAGGCTTCCTCTTTTCCCCCAGCCTCTTCTTCTCCGTTTGCCTTGCAATTTGATAATCCGAGAAGTCGTAAAGAGTCCAGACAGTAGCAATGGCGGTGCTAGTACCCAGCTATATTAGACTCTAAAAATCTTCCATGAATATTTCCAGAAGCTGCTTAGCATCGTAGAGGAAAAATCGAGATATGTAGACGTTCGGGATGTGAGCTTAAGCTCGCGTCTCGTATCGAGACCACGCGTTTCGATACACGCTGTATTACTCATCCCCCGAGCCAGCCAATCAGCACGCTAATGTAATGCCCCTCCATCCATCCCATCCAACCACTCGCCCACCGGCGTGCCCATCACAGTACCCCATCCCCCGGACCCAAAACGCACCCCACGGCCCGATCCTTCGTTTCACCATGGTCAAATGTCCCGAGTGCGGCGCCGGCGCCGACCTGACCAAAGACGGGTTGTACGCGCACTGTGCTTCGTGTAGGCCTGCATTCCCCCAAACCATCCTGCTCACATGCTTGTGAGGTAACCATCCACAGGTAACACCATCTTCGAGCCCAACAAAGAAGGCTCGCACTACAAGGGCAGCGGCTCGGGCTCAGGCGACAAGGACGAACCGCCCAAAGACTCCCAGCCCTCTGGGAAGAAAGACGATGGCGAGAAAAGCGGATCCTCGTAGGCTCCTACCCATCGTCAAGCTTCACAGTACCTAGAAAGTGCAAGAGTCTAGTATCAATATTGTATCATGAATCTAATTCAGTAAATCATGTTTGCCTGCAAACGCGAACAATGAGCTAGAACGCAAGCACTGCACCCAGAGTGATCTTGTCCAAAATGCGCCGCCAACACCGAGTGATTCATGAGACTTTTGCCTTCGCACGCAGAGCCCTGAAAAGGCCTTATGTCTGTGCCGCCTATATACATCCCAGCCCTAGTGTCCGCGATGCACGCAATCCCATTCATACTGCACAAACCGTTAGCCTGGTCCACCAACGCGATTAAGATGACCATAAGCAAGTAAGTGGTGAAGCTCACCAACGACCCGACCCTCTTCCTCCACCTTTCAACGCCATAAACACCCCTTCACCCGCGCACACCCTGCCTCAAAAAAGCTTCAACCTCCTAACAACCTCCTGCGTCCCACCCCACTCGACTCTCGTCTCCTTGCCGCCCTTCCACTCCACCTGCCCCGCATACCCCTGCTCACGACTACACCACTCTCTGAGATCAAAGAAAGAAGAACGTACCACTCTGCCTTCCTCGTCGCCGGTGTACACATTGTGCGGCATCGGAAGAATACACGTAATCGGCGCCTGGTGGTTTGCGCCGTCCTCGCGCGACGGGTCGCCGTGGTTGAGCTGCTTTACCAACGAGATCACCCATGTGGCGGTGCTGGAGGGGGGCGCGGGTTGGAGGTGGAATATCTATAATAGGATGGGAGAAGTTAGTGAGGGAGGGGATGGAGGGTGGAGGGTAAAGCTGGAAGGGGAATACGCACCTTGACGACGCCTCTGCGGTGGCCGGTGAAGATGAGTTCGCGCTCGCACCACTCGTTGCCGACGCCTTCGTAGAGGGCGAGCGCGGTGATGCCCTCGAAGTCGTCGTCGCCGTCGCCGATGTCTTGGTCGAGCAGCAATTCCCCGTTGAGTGTGGTCACAATGAGACGTGGGCCGCATGCTAGCGTGATGTGCCCAGTGACGTTGTTAATCTTCGCGGCTTGGGTGGAAACCGGGTTCCGTTTTTGTGCTGGACCCAAGTCAAGCTCGCGTACAAATTCGAATCGATTGAGATCCCAGAGGAAGACGCGGCCGTCGGAAGAAGCAGAAAGGAAAGCGGACAATGCGCGGGAGGCAGCGAGGGTGACGACGGGGCTCTTGTGCCCGAAGAGCGTGATTGTCCATTGGAGTTCGACTGTACCTCTTTCTGTCTTGTGAACTTTCCAAATTGCGATTGTGCAGTCAGTTCCGGCTGTGATCAGTGTCCTCCCATCAACGAAACAAGACGCTGTCAGTTGGCCAGAGTGAAGGTGTTCAAAAATTCCCACCAACTTCTTCGAATTGGAGTCGTAAAATCGCACACTACCATCAGTGAATCCCCATTCCATGTAGCGATCATAGAGGGGCGGGATGTTTTGCCTGAATGGTGCTGAGCAGAGGAGCTTGTCATGCTTGGTTATGTAAGCGAGCGATGACACGCGATCATTGGATTCGAGGAGGGTCCCGGGTAGGCGGTGGAGACTTTCAGCGGCAGTGTCTAATTTCTGCAATTTGGGATTTAGGTCTTCCTTCTGGGGATGTGGTCGCTGGAATACCTGAACCGGTGTCTGCCCAAAATTGTTCAACCGGCTGATATGCAATTCACGTAGTTTGTCGTCTGTGATAGAGTCGAAATCGATGGCGCCTTGGTAGGTTGTCCTCTCGTAGACGTTTGCTGCTTCAACTGCCGCTTCGCCGCGCTGCTTGTGCCCGAAGATGAGGTCGATCCAGCGATGCAGGTTCTTGCTCACATACGGACTCTCTAATGCCTCGCGTTGCTTCTCGATAAAGATCGCAGGATCACCCTTAGCCCACGGTGGCAATGCAACGTTGTCGATACTATGTCCACTAGCTCGCAGCCCGAAATCGTAGTCATTGACATTGGTAAGGAAATCAGGAAGGAAGAAGAACTCTGGCGTCAACTCTCTTACATCCGTCATGTTAGACCCTGTTGCCGAATCCCATGCACTCTTGATAGAGTAGAACATACGATCTGCATGGTCCAAGCCACCCTGAATAAGAGAGAAGGCAGCCATGAATGGTTGAAGACGAATCAGATAAGAAGCAACCATCATGGCTGACGAGTAGTGGGTCAAATAGTGTGCCGCGTCCCCTGTGTCGTCCATCTCTAGCATCGCTTCGTACTTCTGGCGGACGAATTCTTCTTGCATGGGATTCTGGATACCGATGGGCTTCGATAAGTCCCGGAAGTTCTTTGGATCTGTCAAGTCGAGTTCAGCGTCGGTATAATTCGAAATGATCCACGGAAAGACAGGATATTGTGTGAGGTCGTTAAATGTACGGCCAGCAAGCGTGTTGACAAACATGAGGTAGTGATAATTCGAAAGCTCGCCCTTCATCCATCTCCGTGTTACTGGATGGGAAGATACGGTACTGAAAGCAGACGCCCAGCGCGAACTTAGTGTTTGCGGTGCCTCTTCCGGATTTCGCAGTGAGTCAAGACGCCAAGAAAGTTCAGGATTGACAAGTAAATCCGGTTTAGCAACGTGTGGCGCACGTTGCATGAGACGCGAGTGTATATCGTTGCGAGTTACGTTCGACATTGCCGTCAATAGATAACTGCGACCATCATCGAAGAAAACTTCGATTGCAACGTCTCGATGGAGAAAGCGTCGCTTGGAGATACTGATAACTTCGCTCCACTTCCAGTGTCGTGTTGTCTCGTCGTGAGTCCGTGGGGGTGGTCGGCGATTCGTCACGGCTTCCTTTCCTGCAATCACCTGAACATAGGGATCCCTTTCATCGGTGGGAGCTTGCCAAACCCTTACGATCTCGCCATCAGCTCTTTGGAAGAAGTCGTCGAGCAGATATAGACAGTCCTTGCCGACGATCAGAAGACCTTCGATTGCTTCCAAGCCCACCACACGAGATATGTTGCAGACATACTGCACTTGATCGCCGCGATTAAGACTTCTCATGACCTTGCGGTTCTTGTCTTCGAACCCGTCCTCGTCTTCAAGCAAGGCCTCGACCATCTCGAAGTCGTCTTCGCTTCCGGAGTCTGCGTCGTCTTTTGAACCATCTGGTGCACTCATTGATATTGAAGGTTTCCTGGCACTGGCAATGGGCGTGACGCCGAGAGCATCCTTGGCGGAGATCGACGGGACAGCGGTGTCTAGCCTTAGCTTGTCCCTGTAGTTCGGGTCTGTATCTTTTCGCTTAGGTTGGTACGATTGTATTCGACCTGCACTGTCGATGATAGTGCGTAGGCGTTTACGGTCACGGCCCTCCGTCTCATCTAAGCGCCACTTGGGAGCAGGACTATCCTCGAAGAGCGCGCAAGGACCTCTTAGCTGTCTGTCCAGTTTGGACATCACAGTCGCTAGGAAAGTTGCATTTTCTTGTTGGTCTTGCAAGTCCCGCTGGTGCTTGGTGCGCTCCGAAGCGTGGATGTTTGACCGCCAATGGTTCAGAGTGCTTTCATGCTGGCTCCAGACATGCTCGCTGGTAATTTCTTCTTGATGCCACTGCTTCAGCTTCTCTCTTCGCTTTGCGATCCTTTCTTGCGAAGTGCTCTCAGTTTTCTTGTTTTGATCATTCGCATAATCTTCCCAGGCTTTGCTCATAGCCCCGTAGAAGAATCGATCGAGATCTATCTGGTGCTCTTCGAACCACGCCAAGAAGGTTTCGTTGTCCAACTCTGTGAGCTTTTGGAAGCCTTCGTGAAGTTCTCGCTTCTCTGGTGGTATCGTCTGGTTGATTATCGCTGCCGCCTCTGCGGGCTTTTGTACAAAGAACAGGCGCCAGAAGTTGACCGCAGCTAAGCGGACGTCCTCATGAGGCGATGATAACTTCGTATACAGCAGATAGCACATAGGCCGGATATGGAAGAGTTCGGTATTCTCGGTCGATAAGATTATTGGCTGCCAGTAGACAACCTTTAATATAGGGCGAGACATGGGGGAGTCATCTTCGGAGCTGTCTGGTTCAGCTAAGCGCAACAAAATGACCCTTAAAAATTTCTCGCGAATCGTCTTGATTGGCTTCACGCAGAGCTGAACGGTCTTGATCTTAGCGATATCGGGTCGCTCCAGATACTCCAGCAGGAAGCCTATGAAATCGAGTAAAGGCTCTGCGCCGCCGAGAAACCAGCCTTCAAAAACGGCCTCGGAAAGGTGAGTAACGAGTCGCGAGAGGTTGCTAAGCACACGCGGTTCGTGGAGTAGTTTCTGGTCCATTTGTAGAGCACTAGTGACTGAAGAGATGGTTTGTCGCATAACGTATGACTCAAAGTACGCTTGGTGCTCTTGAAATCCAGGGGGCGTCCTCATGAACAAAGCAAGCCCAGGAAACTCTTTGCGGCTGAAGAGCTGATCGTGGTATACAAGTAGTACAACTTCCAGAACCGCCTCTACAACCGAACTTCCGATTCTCATGGCTACGGGTCCGTTCTGTCTAGGGGACAGGATCGTTTCGAGCCTGGTAGCTGTCTGGTCCTTCTTCCCCTTATCGGCGGAGACGAGCACAAACGAGGAAGCTCGTCGAAGTGGTACAACGCGTTGTGCTGAAGGCGAGGGCGAAGCCTTTACTGTTGTGGTCCGCACAACGGGTGCTTGGGAGCCATTGGCCTTGGACAAGGGTTGTATGACGACATCCTGGCCCTCAAATGTCAAAGCAGAGCCGCGCGAAAGTAGCTCGGTCTCAGCGCTCACGCAGTCGGAAGATACAATGACCGGGTAGAGTACGAACAAAAGCTCCTGTACGTAAGTTGATGAGCAAGTGAAATCTCGGAATACCTCAGACCGAGAGTGCAGCTCGGACAGAAATTGAATGGCCGAGTTCAAAACACCAGCATAGTTGTTCAAGCGCTCCGACTGCGGGCCTTTCGTATCTGAACATGTCAGCAAGTCATGGAGCTTGAAAAGGGTCGGCTTGTCATACCAATAGTGGGCTGCTTCGCATTCAGTGACATCGTGCGTCGACGCCCTCTAGTTATGATAGCTGCCCCATCGTCGCTCTTGGGCGGCTCATTTTCTGCTTTTCCAGGGTCTCGAACTATGGCGCGCAGGCCAGTATCAAGCATAGCGGTGATGACCGCAAACACGGCTGGATAGACTATTTCCACTTTCGAGTTCTGAGATTTGGTGATAAAGATCTCGACTAGATTGTGGACATCAAAATCGCGTTCGAAATCAATCTTTGCAACATCCACGCCAAACAACAGCGCAAAGCATATCGTCCATATACCGGGTGTATTCCACCATTGCCTAAACCTGTTCTTCAGTATGACGAATCCGCCCGTCTTTTCCGTAAATTTCTTGACGTAGTGATGCCCATTGGCTACGAGAAGGCGGGCAAGAATCTTGGCAGCAAGCACGACAACGCGATGGTCTGGCTCCGCGAGAAGGTACAAGAGCCACTGAAGGTGTTAGCACAGCGATACCGTTCGAACGTTCCGAATAGTACCTTTCCAGTCACGTTCTTCGCGAACCGCACGATCTCGTTCGAGTTGGAAGGGTCACATAGAAGATCTGCGAGCATTCGCAAAATTGAAATACCTAGCTCAGCAAGAGGCAAGCCTGTCGGTGAGCTGGGATCTTGGCCTGGACTGGCTGATCGAGGTGTGTCTCCAGGCGTTAGTGCAGGTGGCGTTCCTTTCCTGAGGCGGCGAGTACTAGGCTTTGGCCGCAATGGTCGCTTGATATACGAAGCACGGCTGTCATGTAGGGCATACGTGACGAATAGCGACAAGGAACGGGATGATTCTCCGTTGAAGTTTGCTTGCAGAAGGACTTTGAACGCCTCAAGGAACAGTGGGAAAATTTGTGCAGTGAAGGGTTCCCCCTTAAGAGCATCAGTCAATCGCTTGACAACCCCTGGTCCAATTAGCTTACATGCGGTCCTGAGTGATAGAGTGTACCTACTGATACGCTGGAATCGTTTTGCATTGTAGTGGTGATGCTTGCTCCCTCTGGCAAAGTCGATGAATTGCTTGTAGTAAAGTTTTTGCATGTCTAGAGACATAGACTGACGCCAAATCTCCAAATCAACGAGGAGAACACGATAGGCTAGAGGATTTATGATAAGTGATTCAGTGGGATGTTCCTCATCGTACCCCACAAATTTCAGAACGACCCGGAGCAGTTGAAGAAGGAAAGCCTCGCGATCGTCAGCGCTCACATCGATAGCGGGCGATGATCGCGTATTGTATCCTGTCAAATTAGGCCCAACTTTCTGGCGCAGGACTTCAGCGAGGACAGCGAAGCCGTTGTTTTGTTCCATCGCCTCACAATTTCGCCAGTTCCCTTCCACGGCTTCGAGCAGAATTTGGACTGCACGCAATACAGATTCTAGACTCTGAGCGGACTGGACAAGTTTCAGCCCGACAGCCGAACAGCCGCCTATCCTCCATATGGCATCATCGAGCGCTTGAGGCACAACGACCACAGCATCTCCGGACAATCTACCAAACCCGCGGACTTGGGACAGAGCATCGTTCACTGATGGTACCGCAGCGTTAATGATGATGGGTGTACCATGCATCCTGGTGTATCGATGCAGCGCTCTTGCAGATTCTCGGGATAGTGATCGAATCAGCTGCGACTCGTCAATGGCGTTCCGATCATCATCGTCCATGACAGAGCTTGGAGAGAAGCTGAGTAATATCTTGGACTCGGGCACCAGTTGTCCCGCGCTGGAGCGTATGGCGGACACAATCTCGGAGCGCTCCTCCTTTCCAGGATGCAAGATCTCGTTGAGCACGTGAAGTTCTGCAGAAGTACGATAAGTCTGAAATGAGCCAAGCTTGTCTTGAAAGTTGCCACAATAGCGCGGACCAAGCTTGTGATATACAGCAATAAGTTCGTCTGACAATGGCTCGGCAATGAGATGGAACGAGGCCATGGATAGCCTCGACGACAACACATTGCGCCCGAGTCGAGGTGCAAGATTTCGCGGCGTGCCTAGAAAAGCAAGCACGCGATGCTGGCCGCGACTGGACGACAAGGACGCAAAGCTTTCTTGGCTACTTTCCAGCACGGGAGGATGCGATGGGTAGTGTGCCTTCATAGTCTCGGTGAATTCACCATCTACGAATAGGTATGCCTGATGTGCACCCAGGCTCAAAGCCTTCGGCCGCTTGTGGACAACCGCGATGTGATACCACCGACCTTCTTGAAACCGCGGTGCTTTCTTGAAGCGAACACTAGGAGTTATGCCAACCGAGTGACCCATATATGTCTGCAGGATAAAACAACGGGTATCTTTTTCTAAGTATGCCATCAAGAAACAGGTCTGTGTATCATCGTATGCGCCGAAGATTGTAGTGTGACAGTTTGTATCGAATTTGTCCACTCTGACCCAGGTAGCGAAGGTGTAGCCGCCACCGGGAGAAACAGGCGGGAAGGGCCGGCCCATGTCTGGGAGCTCGATGGCGCTGAAACCGTGCAGTGAGAGATCGAACTGAATGAAAGGCGCCCCACGAGACAGGCGCATGCCTTGATGCAGGAACTCTGCGGCATGCTCGGACGTTGCTGCCTTTCGAAACAGATAGTAGGCATCATCGAGGTTGTTGATTCCAAACTCGATGAGCTGATCCGCAAGCTCACGTAGGAGCCCTGCCTCAACCGGTGCACATTTGTTGTCAAACAACAAGGGAAGTATGATGCTGAGCACGCCGGTTATATGCACACCAGCTTTATTATACGAAGAGATGGTTGTGATTTCGAGTATGGCGAGTAGAACAGCCACTGATAACGGCTTAGAACGTGTTCCTGGCGCGTCTTCGCCAGACAAGCCCTTCCAAAAGTTCAGAATAGTGGGTATGATATCTGAGTTCTGGAGGACCTCGGTGCCGCTGAATATTGCTCGCACCTGTGCTCGCAAAGCGTCGATGTCGATATCGATATCGCTGTATGTGGAGCGTGGACTTGTGACGACGATTTCGGCTGCGGTCTCTGCCTGCTGTCGTCCGTTCTGGGGTCCAGCATCCTTTGCCCCGGCTTGTATCTCTTCGACCTTCCTGTCTATGTCGCGAAAGATGCGCGTTACTGCCTCTTCGCCGAGTGCAAAGGCGAACAGACTGCCGAACAGCTGTTCCTGCCCCGCATCATCCCGCTTGCTCTTGGACTGGCCGCCGAAGATGCCGGTGCTGCCCAAGGCCTGCTCCAACGCACTCCAGCCATTGCCCTCAACCCTCGTGGCGAAGAAGCGCCTGTTGCCGGAGTGCTCATTGAGGGCCTCTGAGAGCACATCCAGCGTGCTCTTGATTACCTCGAAAAAGTCGATGCGATCCGGGGCGGAGAGCTGGTCAGGCTTGTAGAAGCCGGAGACGGAGCGGAGGGTCAAGAGTAGGACGTCGAAGCCGCGGACGTGGCGGAAGGCGTCTTTGGTCTGCGTGTGCTCGTGGGAATCAATGAGCAGCTGGCGCATGCGGCGGAGGGCGTTGCTCTGGGTCTGGAGGACCTCTGCGGTGGGCGGGGACGCCTCGCAGGCGCGGATGAGCTCGTCGGAGAGGCTACGCAGCTCGGCAATCTGGTTGTTCATGGGCGGTGCGCGCGAGGCAGCCGTGGAGGAGCGATGGCGGCGGGCAGCCATGTTCAGTCAAGTGCACCGCCGCTGCGAGGATGTAGAGGAGGTCGCTGCAGGGAATGCAGAGTCATCGCTCTGGCGCAGGGGATCGAACTCCAGCGAGGGAGGAGAGCACTTGCAGCGGACGCGGGAGGAGCAATCGCTCTGCTTATGGCGCAGCGAGATGGAATTGTGGAGGTCCAAAACGGAAGAGAGCTTGGGCCGCTTGGACCCCTCGACCTGCGACGGCGGAGCACCAGCAGGCACCTGCCACACGCGCGGTGCGATCCGCACGCAGGCACTGCTGCGATGGGCGAGGAACGCACGCCGACACGACTCGCCCACCGCGTCGGGCGTGATGAGCAGCGCCGTCGTCTCACGCGCGCAGTGTTGTGCCCAGGTGCTCAGGCGCTGACAGTGAGGCTGTTCACGCGGGCGTGCTAGCGAGCCCTCCTCCGCGCCGGGGAAGGCACGCCCGTCGCCACTGCCGCTGCTGCGCTGTGGTACCTATGGTCAGCGCCCTCTGTCTGTGGAGGAAGGACACGACGCGGCAACCACCGCATCGGCCAGCGCGGAAGCTCACCCGGCAGCTCGCTCTACCTGACCTCGCGGTGCAGACCTGAAGCGCGAGCCGTGAGGCGCGGCGCCGTGCGAACCGCTTTCGGACGGAGGCTGGGGCAAGGCGGCAGCACTCGCACATGACGCATACGGGGGGCTCGTGCGCGCATGCTGATACGCTGCCGATAACGAGCTCACCGAGGCCGGTATAAGTAGCTCATCACCATAGCTACCGCCTGCCCTCTCCAGCTCCCGCTCCCCCATCCCCAACCCCCATCTTCCTCCGTCTCTGTGTCTCCCGTCCGTCTCTTGTTCCGCTGCATAGTGCACGAGGCGCTTTCGCTACAAACGCCATCATGAGGTACTCAGCCCTCGCCTTGCTGCCGCTGGCCGCAGCTTCGCCCTTCAGGGTGGGCACCATCCACAACGATGCCGCCCCGGTGCTGTCGTCGACCAACGCTGGCGAGGTCGTCCCGAACTCGTACATGGTCGTCTTCAAGAAGCACGTCAAGCACGCAGACGCCCAGAGCCATCATGAGTGGGTGCAGAGCGTCCACACCAAGGCGCAGGACGAGCGCTCCGAGCTCCGCAAGCGCTCCCAGTTCCCCATCACTGCCGAGATCTTCGATGGTCTCAAGCACACATACAACATCGTCGGCGGCATGATGGGCTACTCCGGCCACTTTGACGACGAGACCCTCGAGGAGATCCGACGCCACCCAGATGTGAGTACCCTGCTTCCCCGCCTACAAGCACCATCGGTGGCGAACCGTGGGCACTAGTAGTCGATGAATCGGCTGGTGCTTCACAGCTCTGCCGCTGCGTCCAGTGGCCGCTCTGCGCGTTGGGCTCGCGAGTTTGCCTCCGAGCGGCTCGAGGACACGCCATCCGACGCAATAGCACGTGATTCCGTGTCTTGGTACCTTGCGTCCCAGAACCCAAGCTAACGTTGGCTCGCGTGACAGGTCGACTACATCGAGAAGGACTCCGTCGTCCACACCATGAAGGGCGATGCGTACGAGACCGAGAAGAACGCCCCGTGGGGTCTCGCCCGTATCTCGCACCGCGACTCCCTGAGCTTCGGCACATGGAACAAGTACCTCTACTCCGCCGACGGTGGTGAGGGTGTTGACGTCTACGTCATCGACACTGGCACCAACCACAAGCACGTCGACTTTGAGGGTCGCGCTCACTGGGGCAAGACCATCCCCAACGGTGACGCTGATGAGGATGGCAACGGCCACGGCACTCACTGCTCCGGTACTGTTGCTGGCAAGAAGTACGGTGTTGCCAAGAAGGCTGAGGTCTACGCTGTCAAGGTCCTCCGCTCCAACGGCTCTGGCACCATGTCCGACGTTGTCAAGGGCGTTGAGTACGCTGTCCAGGCCCACAACGAACAGGTTAAGAAGGCCAAGGATGGCAAGCGCAAGGGCTTCAAGGGCTCTGCTGCCAACATGAGCTTGGGCGGTGGCAAGTCCACTACTCTCGATCTTGCCGTGAACGCCGCTGTCAAGGCTGGCATCCACTTCGCTGTCGCTGCCGGTAACGACAACGCCGATTCGTGCAACTACTCTCCCGCTGCTGCTGAGAACGCCGTCACTGTCGGTGCCTCTACTCTCCTCGATGAGCGTGCCTACTTCTCCAACTACGGAAAGTGCAATGACATCTTCGCGCCCGGACTCAACATCCTTTCCACCTGGATCGGCTCTGAGCACGCCACCAACACCATCTCCGGTACCTCCATGGCCTCGCCCCACATTGCTGGTCTCCTCGCCTACCTGCTCTCTCTCCAGCCTGCCAAGGACTCTGCCTACGCTGTCGCTGATATCACCCCAAAGAAGCTGAAGGATAACCTAATCTCCATTGGTACCGTCGGTGCTCTCTCGGATGTTCCCAGCAACACCAAGAACATCCTCGCCTGGAACGGTGGTGGCTCATCTAACTACTCCGACATCATCGAGAAGGGTGGCTACACCGTCAAGAAGGCTGAGAAGGAGGAGAAGAAGAAGGAAGGTCTCACCATCACCATTCCTTCCGTCTCCGAGATCGAGGAGGACTTCGAGGCCGAGTTCAAGAACGCGAAGAACGCGGCTGGGCGTGCTGGCTCTCACCTTCACGAGAAGCTTGACAAGCTTACTGGTGAGATTGAAGACTTCATCGCCGAGGAGATGGAGGGCTTCTTCAAGGAGTTCAAGGAGCGCGTTGCCCGCGAGTAAGCGAAAGCTCTCACGTGAAGGCTGTGAACATGTTTGCATATAGCACTGGTGTGCTTGGGTGTATTGTTCCGTAGCACGCATAACGTATGGATCGGACTGGTATGGATCTAGGCGCTTGGGTTTGTGCGCTTTTCTATCATATTTCTTTGCGTCGACAGTGTATGTCATCTCAGATTTGGTGTAACTCATAGTAGTGGTTCTTGAAACGCAAAGGAAGATAGTTCGCAGCTAGAATGCATGTGTGGCGCTTCCCCAACTTGAATATTCCCTTTTCGATGTGTGCTGTTGTGACTCACAGCTTTATACGCGGACGATGGTGCACGCTTGCCATTGCAGCGCCCTGCGCACCTTGCCCTCTGACTAAGCGGCGCCGCTGACATCTTGGCGGGGTTCAGTACTCAGCTGCATTTGCGATAAGTACTGCTTTTCGATAACACACCTATAAAAAGTCACAAGAGATAGCAGAATGAGTAATTACTGGTCAGCATGATGTGACCATCCCACTACGGTACCCGAAAACAACGATGCCTGCGGCCAATAGCTCCCCCGATGCATCGACGCCTGATTCAGCGATAACATTACAAGAGAGGCCGATACAAAAAGCCTTTTCCTGCGTCCTATGTGCTCAGCGGAAAGTCAAATGCGATAAAGCGCCGGGCGGGTGCTCAAATTGCACGAAGGCGCGCGTGGACTGTATCTACAAAGCTCCTCCGCCCCCAAGGCGGCGCAAGAAAGGGCAACAAAAGGGCGAAGTAGATGTCCAGGCTAGGTTGAAGCTATACGAGAAGGCGCTGAGAGAGCGTGGTGTGGATCCTGAGGAATTGGTGAGGGAGGAGGAGGGGACAGGTCGACCAGAGGAGCCGGTTGGGGTTAATAAGTATGTGGACGATATCAGGGTGTCCCGCGACGGGATTGCGAAAGGAAATGACAAGAAGGGGACGGGTGTTCTAGTGGCTGAAGGAGGGAAGAGCAGGTATCTGGAGAATACACTATGGACCAGCCTGCAAAGCGAATTTCGAGACCCGAAGAGAATATTAGAAGACTCTTCAGATGACGAAGAGGTGGAACTTACTCCGGGTATGAGTGCCACATCGCGCCTCGCCACGCGTGAAGGCGATGCCCTTCTCGGCGCCTCGATCTTAGGCAGCTCGAAAACACCTGGCAGCCTTCGCACATTCCATCCAAGCCCTGGGCAGATCTTCAAGCTCTGGCAGGTCTATTTGGACAACATAAATCCCCTAATCAAGGTCTTCCATGCGCCCTCGGTACAGCAGATCATTTCCAATGCGAGCGGGAACCTGGATGACGTTCCAAAGAACGTTGAGTGCCTGATGTTCGGGATCTACTGCACTGCCGTGGAAAGCCTGGGAAATTCAGAATGTATCGCAATTATGGGCTCGCCAAAAGACGTCGTAAGCCAACGCTTCAAAACCGCCGGCCACCTCGCCCTCATCCGCTCCAGCTTCCTCAAAACCTCCGATCCAATGGTCCTACAGGCATTGGTCCTCTACATCACCTCCCTCATCAACTTCGACGCCCGCGTAGTATGGATCCTGACCGGCGTTGCTGCCCGCATCGGCCAACGCATTGGTCTCCACCGCGACCCCGAGACCCTCGGCCTCACCCCTTTCGAGTGCGAAATGCGCCGCCGCCTCTGGTACCAGATCATGATGCAAGATGGCTTCGCAGAGAAACTCGCCGGCACGGGCGGCACCATGTTTTTCGGCGAAGTGAGACGACCCTCAAACCTCAACGATAGCGACCTCTTCCCCGACATGAAAGAGCTCCCCGCAGAGCACCAGGGTGCCACCGAAATGATGTTCTTCCTCATCCGCTGCCATCTTGGTGAGTTCCTGCGGCACTCCAAGAACCCAAATAGCTCGTTCGACGGCGTGTGGAACACGCTGAGCGGGGACCGGGCGAGCCTGCAGGCCAAGGACAAAGCAATCGACGAGCTGGCCGCGCTGTACCAGCGCAGGTTTCTCGACCACTGCGACGCGAGTATCCCCTGGCACTACATGTGCACGTACCTCTCCAAAGGCGTGGTCGCCATGCTGCGCTTCATATCGCACTGCCCAGACGGTTCCGACGCCAAACTCCCGCAATCCGAGAAAGATCTGCTCTTTGAGTGGGCGGTGAGCGTCGTCCGCTGGCAGAATATGGCGTACACGACCAAAGAAATGCAGGGCTGTTTATGGCATATCAATAGCCATTTCCAGTGGAAGGCGTTTGTGTATTTTGTGTCTGCGCTGAAGTATAGGACGGAGGGGGAGGAAGTAGACAGGGCGTGGAAAGATGTACAGACGGTGTTTGATTTCCATCCGAATTTCTCGACGCAGGCGAGCAGGCAGGCGCTGCCGATTGCGGTGGCTACGCTCACGCTGACGAGTTGGGATGCGTATATTGCTGCGAGGGGTATGCCGAAAGGGGGCGAGCCGCCTTTCATTCAGGTCCTGCGTGCAAGGAAGGCGAAAGCGGACTCAAAACCTACGAAATCGCACCGAGCCGCGGTAGCTCCACCACAGGCACCCCTCTCAAATCCCGACCCCACCACACAAACCCACTTCATCCCGCACCAGGATATTTCAGCGCCAGGCGGATACGCTGAACCCATCGACACCTTCCAGTGGGACGCCAGTCTGGCGACTACGTTTGATAACCCTCAGCTGGGCGATCTGGACGTCCCGATGCTGGAAGATCAGTCCAACTGGTCGAATTGGGACAACTTGATGCTGAATTTTGAGCTGCAGAAGGCGAATAGCTTTGCGGCGGATGGGGCTGGGTTTGAGATGCCGTACGACAGGTGGTAACGGCCCTTTCTAGCGGTGTTAGCCAAGAAGAAGGAGAGCGTTGGTGGTGTGAAGGCATAGATGGTCCAGGATGGACTTGAGCTATGATAGTAGACTAGATCGTGTCTCGTGTTCTGTGGTGGGTTGCTCGTTTTGATCTCGACTCATGCACTGGACGGAGATGCTATGCGTCCCAAGAGAATCAGAGTGGATGATTTTCGCCGGGCAAGCCTCCTCTCCTTGCAGATCCGGTCCTTTCCGGCTCCACGGCTTCGACGGGCTGCAGGTTGCGGTACATAAATCGAACAAAGTCCATGACCGATATGTCACTATAAAGCACTGAGAATACCTCTTTCGTAAGCTAAACTATTTTGTCCGCTGCGTTCATGAGAGATAGCTAGGATTTAAGAAAGAAGGAGTATGCTGTTAATTTGTGAATACAGGACGTTGAGAAACAGAGAAAGGACTGCAAGAAATAGCATGGCATCCTCTTTCCGCTGGGAGCCAAGCGTCAGAGGAGTCGCAGCGACCGCTGGGCTTATGGCAGCCCCGCTGCCAAGTGTCGGCGACAAAGTCAATCCAAGGTATGCCAGGATGGTATGTGTCTTAGCTACGTAAGTTGGAGGTCTGTACTTCTGCATAGATGACGCATCTACTCTTTAACCGGTGGCTTACGCTCTAAGGAAAGGCGTCTGCTCGAATCAAAGGACATGGATGCTGAGGGGATCGAAGGGAGGAATGTCCAGGGCCGCTGAACGCGGCTTCTACTTTCACACACCGTGCTTTGGCAACACTAGCGCGCGATTCCCGTGTGTAAAAAAGGGTTCAGCCCACGACACCTCCCTTCCGTAAACCATCACGGCGTCAACAGCATCTCTGTTGGATTGTATCGCTCGAGCAGCTCTGAGCGCAAATGGAATTGCATCAGCTTTAATTGCGCGATCTGCTCAGGTCCTACATCCGCTGTTTCAGAAAAGCCTCCTCATCCATGCGAAGGTCTACGAGTACGCTGACAAGTACGACATCACTTCTCTCAAAGTTCTGGCGATGAAAAAATTTGAACGCTGGATGGAAAGGTTGTATGACCATGAGGTGCTCGCTCAGGCGTCACGGCACGTCTTTACGTCTACGCCTGACTGATATAGGTATAAGAACGATGGTTCTCAATACTATATGTAGCAACGTCCGGCTCATAGAAAGGCAAAATATCGAGGAGTTCTTGGACGAGTTCGAGCTGTGGAAGGATGTGTACAAGACAAAAATGTGAGAGCTTGGTCACCTATGATGCAGCGTCATATAATATTTTAGGTTTGGGGGAAAGGGCGTCTAAGCAGCAATAATACTTTCAGCTTATGTAATAGAGAATATGATGGTGTCGAAACCCACCAGTGCCTAAAGAGACGGGGTTTGTACCACGTCTCACAAGTCGGCGAAAACTTCGCCCGTACCCCACACATTCATTTCACAAGAATGATCCAAATAGATATTCGAGCTACATCCTCCCTCCCATCTGGATCAATACTCATCACAACAGAAAGTGAAGCATGGCGCAAACCGCGCAGGATTTAGTCCTCGAATCGGTGAAGAGGTAGCGTTGAGTTCATCCCAGACTTATCATAATCAAGTAGCTGACACATCTAGCTTGCTCACGTCGGGTGACTATTCGGATCTAACCATAACTTGTCAATCGGACAGTTACAAGGTCCACAAAGCAATTGTGTGTCCTCGAGCAAAATTCTTCGGGAATGCCATTAAGTTTCCTGGCAAGGTGAATAAGCAATTTGTACTCAAAGTGTTCAAGTTGAGAAAAATAGGAGTCAGAGTCGAACACAATATCCTTGCCCAAAGATGACCCCGCGATGGTGAAGCTGCTCATTCAGTATCTCTACGAGGGAGACTACTTTCCACCATGCCTGCCTTCTACTTCATCGAGTCCATCCACGAACTCGTATTTCCAAAACGACAGAAGCTCGGAGTGGAAGAAAGCCTCTTATCACGTGGTTCAGCAGCCGGAAATGCCTCATACCTGTACCGAATATGAAGTTTACTGCGATCATCCTGCAGTGTGTGAGCATCATCAGTGTGGCGGAGAGTGCGATTACCATTGCATCGACTTCTGCTGTGCAGAGTGTAATCCTCCTCCGAGCCTTGGCGAGGGTGCAAATCAGCTCTCGACGCACGCCAGTATGTACGCCATCGGCGACCAGTATGGCGTGATTGGCCTCAAACAGCTCTCTCAAGAAAAGTTCAGGTGTGCCTGTCTACATTTTTGGAATCAATCCGAGTTTGTCGTCGCCGCGCATTTGGTTTTCTCCACCACATTGGACGAGGATAAGGGCCTTCGCGATATCGTTTCGGAGACTATCTCTGGCCATATGGAGTTGGTCAACAAGCCGGAGATCGAGGTATTGATGACTGAATTCAGCAGCCTCGCTTTCGGACTGTTGAAGCGGAAGGTTTCAATGGGCTGGATCTAAGGGATACGAGTATATGCAGGCTCACCTGTGAGGCGCGTCGACAAAAAGCAAACTCTTCATGCCTAGTCGTCGATGAATCTAAACTGAATTCCGTGCAGGATCTCAAGAATTGATCGCAGATGTAAGCTACAGGAAATGCATGTACCTTGCACCAAGCACGAAGGGCTGTATTCAACTACTGTGAAAACTGATTAGAACGTTGTAGGGAACCACGAGAGAAGTATGCGAGGGAAACCATGACCACAGGGATAGCTTTGAATCGAAAGGTACCTCAGTGGAGAAACGGTACAGTCAAATCGGTGGGCATTGCACTAGGGTGAAAAACGAAGTGAAAGTGGTGCATGGTCGGGTCACTCTGGACTCTTTTCTTGTCCACCAAAGTGGCCTGGAGACCATGTTAGCCTCGCTCGCCTCTCCTCGAAACTCGCCTCAACGCCCGCGCAATAAATGCCATCCCAAAACATGTCTGCCCAATCGGTAGCGATCCTGATGGGGCGCCTCAAATAGTGAGTCATGAGTTGCCTGTTGTCATTAGCGCCGATACGATTCAAAACACACAGTCTGCATGCTGCGGGCGCACAGTTTGATGTGACGATCGCCTGCGGCGGAAACACGCACTGCGTGCACAAGAACATTTATTGCTCAGGATCGGAATTCTTCTCCGGTGCACTACGCTTCACCGATAGCAAGGTGCGTCTCAACGCAACATCAAGGGAGTCCATCTACTTAATGTATCTTATAATAATGAGCAAGCGACGGCAGAATCGACCTTCCAGAGGACGATCCTGGGGTCGGAAAACTTCTCATCGAATACCACTGCACAGCAGAGTATCGACCAACGCATAGCTTTTCAACATCCACTTTGCGGACGCACGTGCAAGGAATACTAAGCAATATTCATACGCATGAGTTTTCACACACATGTATCCCCAACTGCGACGGCGTGGTCAGTGGGAACCGCAGTTATAGGGTTTGTCCCCACCACGAGTGTGGTATCGACACCACAAAAGCTACTGGTCGCTGCCCCAATACTTGCAAGAGTTTTTTGTGTAGCACCTGCATTTCAAAACTTGTCACTTCAATTGGTGATGCGCCCCTATTGTTGCTCCATGCGAATAGGTACGAAATGGGTGAGTCGGCCGACCCAGACCCCGTAGTCTCTACTAATTCAAGACTTCTTGTAGGAGAGAAGTACACCGTGATAGGTCTCAAGGATCTGGCTTGTCAAGAATATCTCGGAGCGTGCAAACCGTTTTAAAATGCGGACCAATTGGCTGCCGCTACCCACTATACCTACATTACCATCCCGGAGCGCATATCCGACTTCGACACATGATACATGATGCAACCATGATCCGCCCAACCCTCATCCACAAGGCTGGCGTGGACGAGCTGAAGAAGGCGATCAAGAAGTGAAGGACGAGTGCTTAGGGCTACCCTCGAGCGCTACAGAGAGACAATCTAGTGTACAAGCTCGGTAGATTTGTCACATTCTCGTGATAAAGGGTCACGGAGGTCATGCCTAGTACAAAAGTGCCCTCGGGTTGGTTGAGCGGTGATCAAGGTCTCTTACATGCTCCATGAAACTTTTGCGACGCAATCTTTGAGCCTGGATGGAGGATACTGAAAGCATCGAGGCCCTACGCCGACAGCGAAGGCTAAGTCGATATCATATTATTTCGTTTCCATAATGAATGAGTCTGTTGTCAACCGGCAGATGCCCACATGATTTGTTTGCAGCAGTCCTTGCATGTGCCAGCGTACGCTTTACAACTGAATTTCTCCTTCTCCTCCGAATCTCCTCTTCAGCTTCGGCGCGAGATGCCAACTCAGGATTGCCAGCACAATCGCTCCAACAATGCCAACCGGCAAGCCAATAGCAAGACCCAGATTTACCGAGGAGCTCTCCTTCGGCGCGTCGACCACCGGTACCGCACATGGTGCTGGCCACGGCCCCTCAAAGTCGAAAAAATCACAGGTATACGGCGGCCATTTGCCTTTGTTGTACTTCCTGTGTCGCCCTCTTCCGTCACACACTTTGATCACCTCGCTTTCGGCCAGCGGCTCGCGCGTCGGCATTCGATAATGCTCTTCTGTATCGCCGGAATACAGATGGAAAAGCCAATCATTTCCCTCGTAATTTGCCAGTTTGTAATTCTCCATCACGCTTCCCGACCACTGGTAAGACAATAGATGGTATGGAATGTCGCATTTGTTCTTCGAACGAGTGTGCAGCGCGGGGGAGCCCATGTATTCGAGGTAATACTTGTCCGGTGTAATGAACTTGTCGTCGGAAGTCTCGAAGACTTTGTTGCCTGAGCTGCCTCAGCATCCACTCTGCGCATGGTCTGGGCGAGCTTGCACTACTTACGGTACATGGGAACGAATTTTGTCTGTTCGCATTGTATTGTGCGCACACGCGGCATGACTAAACTATATGCCTCCTTTGTTCGGTTGGTCCTCCCATCTTCTCCGACGCCTGTCTCGACCCATGAGTCTGGTATCGCAACCTCAGTTTGGATGTTGCCACTCAGTACGAGGTCTTTGTGTGCCGGCCAGTTGATGTATGGCTCTCCGCACGGGAGATCATCCGGGAATGGAAACGGATGCAAGGGACCCGGGTACGTCACAGACATTGCGGTAGCCGTGTGCAGAGCAAGATATGGTCGAGTGGGAGATGTGTCGAAGGTTGACGCGTGAGATTCAGAGGCGCATGAGGCCAAGTGCGCTGCCACTCCCGGAACCGGTCAGAAGGATGCTAATCCTAGACGCCGATCATATTGGATTGAACGGCTAGAGCGTTCGCATCCAGGTGGCCAGTGGGGGCCAAATAAAAGTCGATACTGCCAAACCGACAACAAGTCTCCATGTTAGGCCATGCGGGGCACTTAGATACGATAGTCGTAATCCTGGGTGTGACGTGTGTTACGCGATGAATCGATGCACGAAAACGCACAACAAGTCGACGAAATGCAGTAAGAAATTCTGCTCTTTCTCATTTGTTTTGCACCACATTCTTGATAGTCTCCAAATTCAAAGCACCCTTCATTCCCCAGCCTTTCTGACCACTGCTGACCGTCGGTCGAAACATTTCATAAAAATGGAAAGCCTCCTTGTCCAACCGCTCTTCATCATTTTCGTTCCACGTTGCAAGTGCCTCCTCGAAACACTTTCTGGTCCTCTTATATTCTTGGTCTCCAAACTTCTTCGTCAACGCGTCTTCGTTTGCCGGTTTGCCCTTCTCTTCTGTGCCAACGATTGCGAGTCCATCTTTCAGCTTGAGGTTGAAGTGCATCACGTGGATCTCATCCAGGTCGCCTTGCTTCTTTTTGGCCTCTGCTCTTTTGCGATTCTTCTCCTCGGACTCATCCGCACCAGGTACTGTGCCAATTGAGCGGCCCTTTGCTACAGCGCATATCGCACTGATGGCCGAACCTGCGCTGATACACGTCGACCATGGAAGCGACGGGTAGAGGTGATGCGCTACGCAGGCGGACCATAGCTGCAGAACCGGTGCGCGGTTGATCAAGATAGTGGATGTGTCTTCTGTCTCCGCTGAGTGAGTGCTGTTGTTCACTCCACTAGTCTTGGCTCTTTTAGACTTCACATCCTCTGCTTTAGTGATAGGCGCTTTGCGCTTCTTCGAAGGCGAGTGTTGCGTCGATGTTTCTGCATCACTGTGCTTTTCGGTGTTGCTTTTCGGCGTCTTTTGCGAAGTGGTGCTCTTAGTTGTCGCGAAGTCTTCGAGATGAGTTTGCGCAGTCTTGCTACGCGTGGAAACCATAATCATAGATTAAGCTATCCAATCTGCGCGTAAACGGAGAGACCTTGACTATATGAGAGAATGATTGTGGAATAGTTCACGATGACAACAACGTGAGCTGAGAGCGGTCGAATGTGCATGTGAGGATGACGTCACGCATCTATCGTCAACCACAGCAAAACTATCCTCGCTTTACCTGAGCGACGTAGACAGCGAGTGAACTCCAAAATCGTTGCTCTAGCAAGATGGTTTTCTGGCCAGTGGACCGCCGAGTGCACATTCGCAAAATAATGCCCTTGGCCGCGCACATTCGCGAGGTGTATCAGGATCCTCTGAGAAAATGCATTTCCCCACCGGTCGTTCATCTTTACAATAAGCTTGCTCATTGTCGAAGGGCTGAAACCTTCCTCGTATTTGACATATACCTCAAGGTACTGCACTTGGCGCGCTGCTAGCGAACTCCACTTCCGGCCACTCCTTCTTCACTCGATCGCTACCGCTCAATATCCCTTCTCCGCCTACCTTACCTATCATATCGAAGAACGTGCGTACAAAACGCCTCGTAATCTCAACCATCCTCTCAGCCTTGATCGCGCCATCCCCACCAGTAATGCCGTTTCCTTGCAATAGAACCCCTAGGTCAGTGAAGTCCGAGTGATTCGTTTTGCCGTGTATAATCAGATACTTTGACCAGTCGGTCTGCCAGGTGACGAACTGGGCCAAGCTGAAATCGCCCACCGCGAGATGCTCTTCGGACATCAGGAGCAGCGTAGGTGTGTGAGCATCGGCAGATGAGTCGTTCGTAAAAGCCGGCGGGAAGACTTGCCCGTCGATATCTATGGATCCGAGGATTTGTGGATTTTTTCGATTTTTATCGTAGAGAAGCTGGTTCAAAGCTGCACTGCCCCCTAGAGAGTGGCCGAAAAGGGCAACGTGGGTCAAGTTGAGAGGTACACCCAGCTCTTTCTGCAGCATAGGAAGAGCATCAAGAACGGCAGCGTTATCTTCTAGTCGGTACTCGTGGACCCGATTGATGAAGTCGCCGTCTGGAATGAAGTCTTTCCCCAAGCCCTTTACCCCTGTCCCGTTCGGATATTGCAAGTAAGGCTGTTCACCTGGATGATCGACAGTCACGATCATGTAGCCTTGCGAGACGAGGTCGGAAAACAGGCTGGAGAACATCTGAGATGGTGGACCTGTGAAAGGAGGTCCCCAGAGCAGTGTGGGTAGTGCATAATCATCGCAGTCCGGATGGACTGGTGCCCCATCAAGGATACGAGCAGTCGTATTGCCGAATGCACCAGAGCTGACATTGTAGTAGTCCTCGAAGTATGTTGCGAGACCGTCCCATATATAGCGGCGTGGCGATGCTGTATCTTGTGTCGGATAGTACACGTTGAGAAGTAACGACTTTCCGACGCCGTCAGAGGCTACTGGGTCATTCTTTGTGACTTTGTCCAATACCCATGCTTTGGACCCAACACCAAATGGACCTGTCGTCGGAGGCAAGGAAAGACTAGACACTGTCGTGCCCAGTGCGCAGAACAATATATTTAGGGACAACATACTGCGTAGTCTGGAACAATGCTCTGCAGCCAATTCTGTAGGGAAATAAGATCTTTATGCGCCGTATTGCAATCAAATGTTACGGTCTTTCTGTTAGTGCTCACTCGCTGATCACCTTCCCTACGAGGTTACTATTATGGTGGCTTATACTCGGTGCTACTGTACCGGAGGGCTAACTGGATGGACTCCTAGACTAGTTGACTTCGACTTCGTATTGCGAAGGCATTTTGTTGTAGACGGTCAACACTACACAGACCGGCGGAAGATGGATCTGGCCTCGATGTGCCGCAAATGGTTAAGCGTGATTCATACGCCCCGCTTCTCGGATTCACCCCCTCTGCCATTGCGACGCTCAAAAGCAACATCATATTATGTGTCATTGTACGTCCAAGATACTAGAAAGATTATTTTTGACAGGTCAAGAATAAGCTTCGGGTTTCTCCGAGTGCGCGACTTCATGTTTAACATTTGAAGGTTCCAATCTTCCGGGTTGTCGATGAAGAACGGACCTTGAAGCCTTCAGACAGGACGCCAAGTTTTCAGTCGAGCCAGAATGTTTTTACGATTCGCACTTTAACGAGTGGCCTGCACCTAAGACAACTATGCCTGCGGTCAACACTTGCACTCTTGCTTCGCATGCACCAATCGCGCCATTTGCAGGATGATGTGCGAATACAGCATCATGTGACCTTACTTACAACAACCAGACAACATCCCAAAGGACTACAATCCCAGCCTCACATTCAAGACAACCCAAACTTCCACAATGGCAGACCCAGCCAACTTCTCCATTATCTCAAACATTCTCTACTTCGCCTACGGCACCAACCTCTCCCCCACCCAACTCTCCCTCCGCTGCACCCACACCCGTTCTTCCTCCAACCCCGTCGCCATCGCCCGCCTCTCTTCTTACAAATGGTTCATCCAGCGCCGCGGCTGCGCAAACATCAAACCCTCACCCTCAACCTCACCTTGCGCGTCCGAAGACGAAGTCTGGGGCGTCCTTTACGCCATGCACCCCGCCGACGTCGCTATCCTGGACACCTACGAAGGCGTTGATCTGGATGCATCTAATTCTAAGGACACGAGGGGTATGACCGAAAGACCGACTGAACAGGGTAGGGGACGGCATAACAAGGTGTACCTTGAAGTGGATGTTGTGCGGTGGCTTGTTAGGGAGAAAGAAGGCGAGGATAGGGTGAGAGCATTGGTGTATGTTGATGAGAAGGATACTGAGGAGGGTGCTGTGAGGGATAATTATGTTGGCAGGATGAATAGAGGGGTTAGGGAGGCGCTGGAGCTAGGGTTAAGTAAGGAGTGGGTAGAGAGGGTGGTGAGGAGGTGGGTTTTGGAGGGGGTGGAGGCGGAGGAAGGGTATGTAGGTGGAGAGAACAGAGGGTTGTAAGGTGGGTGTGCATATTAGTCGATCGGTGATGAGTTTGGTACATGTGAGGGCGTGTCAAACGTCGAAGTGGACACGGATGGATTAACCTCTTAATAATTTCATTTCAGAAAAGCCGTAATCGTTATCTCGTAAGCATTCGTATGCAGCACATATACAAAAACGTAACCCCCACTATCTTACAGACTCTGGTCGAAGCTTAGGTCATATGACGACATGCTTGAAAGGATACAGTGACTCCGAACGTTTCCTCAAACCATTACTCATCAGTAGGGCGTGCGCGAGTTGACCCTCGACGGTTGGCTTGCATAGCTCGCGCCTCTGATAACACTGCCCCTTCTCGATCCAGGAGCCGGGCTACCGCCCGCAATCGAATTATGCCTCGACCCATACAACCCAGGAAGAGCACTAACTCTCCTACCACCAGTCTGCTCCCTCGCACCAGCGAGCTGCTGAGCGAAAGGACTACGCGCACGAAGCACGGGGCCCTTCCAGTAGATAACGTAGACGGCGAGGACGAGCACGAATGAGATGCAGAAGAGGATCGTGGAGGCGTAGGCGAGATGGTTGGGGTTCGAAGATGAGGGGATGTTCTGGAAAAACGGGGTGGCCGGAAGAGTAAGAATACCGGCGAGAAAATCGCGAGCCCAACCGTTTCCGCCCGTCGCGGAGGCAGAGTAGGGGCCGTATGCGCAGATCCTGAAGCACGAGTTAGTCGGAGACATTGACAAGCTTGGAGAGAAATGCGTACATGTAATCGATGGTGGCCATGTAAATTGCATAGTTCGCGATACCGACAATTGCGGCAAAGATCATGGAAGCAATCCATGGTAGAGGCGGTCCGGTGGATGTCCACGCGAAGCCGATCAGGCCAATGGGCAGGCACGGAGCTGTGAACAACAGCCACCATAAGCGGGATTCGTATTGTGCCCTTTCGTCGTGAGGCTTGCTCTTGCGCTCCTTCTCATTTCGTTTGATGGCTGGGATAAAAGAGATCCATGCAAGTGTGTAGCCTATACCGATGGAGACGAACGCGAGGCCGACTGCGAATGTGGCGAAGTCCCACTGCGCGTACACAAGGGCAAATGACTGGATGAACATAAAGATGAGGGCATCAGAGAAACCAGAGAGCAGGGACAGAACAAGCACGATGGGCTCGGTGAGGAACATGCGGAATGGGCGGATCCCTGCGCCGATATTAGTAAGTTGCAATTCCAGTTTGGAGGGCGAATCTTACAGGTGATTAGAATCTCCCGGAAGGAGAAGCGCTCCTTGTACGGCGTAAGCTCATTTGGACCCCAGAGGTTCAAAGGTTTGCCGTTCTTCTCGCTCTCCTTGCGGCGCTTCTTCGCGATGCGGTCCATCATGATAGTGGTACGAGTTTCAGGGACGAAGAAGAAGTGCACAATTTGGGTCGCAACGCCAAAAATCAGCTGTATCCAAATATTCCAGCGCCAAGCGAGGAATTGCTCGACGAAACCACCGACGACGGGCCCCAAAATCGAGCCACCAACGGACGAGAAGACGATGAAGGCGACAGCATATTGTTGGTTGTCGGCTTCCCACATGTCCGCAACCATACCAAGTGTCACTGAACCGCCAGCCGTCGAGAGACCACCCAATGCTCGGAAGGCGAGGATAGTGCCAAAGTTGGGTGCAATACCAACAGGAATTTGCCAGATGTTCACGAAAAACAAACTGAGTTGGAGAATGGGCCATCGCCCGAGTTCTTCACTCCACGGCTGTACTGGGTCAGACTTGCGGAATAGTAGGACGATTGGTGATACGTACCGCCCACAGCTCACAACCAAAAGCATATGTGATCAAGAAGATAGCCGCACCCAATCGCGCAGCCTGTGCGCTGACTCCAAATTCCTCGGAGATTCCAGGAACGGCGTTCGAGTAGAGCGACGTGTTGAAGTTCATCGACACTTGCACAGTGAACACAATGGACAAGATCATCCACTTCTTCCATGACGGAAAGCAGAAGCCTAGTTCGTCATAACAATCCTCTTCGGTGATCTCATAGCGATCGTATGTGCCGTACTTTTCGTAGAACTCGCGATCCTTGTCCGAGACCGTCTCATTTTGGGGACTGCGCACAACCTCATCACGCGTACCGGCGTCCGAGCTATCGTATTTTCTCTCCGTTTCTGCATCGCCAACAACGGTGCTGGCTCTAGCATCTGGTGGTATAGCGCGTGTGTCTGCCATAATGAAAGGGCAGAGCACGTATTGATTCGTCGGTATTGCCCAAGATGTGGAATGGTATGCCTTGGCTTGCGACGCAGCAAAGAGGGAAGCACGGCATCAAATATAAAAGAGACAGCGGCAGCGTGAACCGAGCTTACACTATGCTAAGCGCAAAGTGGGGATACTGGGAGAGCACGCGACTGGGTGGTTTGCTGTACCCAAGTCCGTCGTTGTGTGATGTAGTGACCGGAGCGAGTGGGTATGCCGTCATCGCACATCTTCTGACAGACTGGCTTTGCGCGAAGGAGACGCGAAGGACCATTTCGATTGACATGCGCAGCCAGTTACCGATGGCTTATGGGGTTAAAGACCATCAAATTTGTGGGTCTGAGTGCACGCGCCGGGGGAGCCGACAGTTGGGGAAGCCTCACATCATTGTGCATGGCAACCGCTCGTTCCCTACGTTGCGCAAGGCTGGTGTACTTTCTGTGCTTTGAAGCGCTGGAGTCATGAGTTCGAATGTGACAAACAGGATGGAGTGCCATGCATATCCAGAACGACAAGCACTGCTGAACGGGATCCCAAGCTTCGCCCAGGAGATCTCGATGATCTTCGCCAAGTCAGCCGTAAAAGCTTCCGCCTGCAACGAGTTGGCGCGGGATGTGTTTCGCATTTTTTTCGACGTCATCCAACGTTGGCCTTCCATCAGCGCACAGATGCACGCATGTGGCACATCTTGGAAACCTGCGAGTGACTTGCTCATTGCGGTATAGACGGAAGGAGAAGAGCGCCAGTAGCGTCGCGGGACATGGCTGCGACAGATTGTTCGTATCGAGGACAGCAAAGTACCTGCGATAGCAATGAAAATACTGCGAGTATTGCGCTTCGACAATCGACGTCGCGTAGAACCTGGGGATAGGAAGCGCTGGAGGAGCTGGCGGGTCGTGGCGGGGTTCAGCGATCGACTGCGGAGTTGAGCGTGCGATCGTGGAGCTTGGGGAGTAGTCTTGCGGATCGATTGCGTCCAGCTCATCGCATTTCATTGTGCTCCAGATCGACGACAAAGGTCGGTTCCCAACGAATGTTCAAGGCTTTCAGCCTCCTTCTGCTCCCGACGCTGGCAGCACGCCCATGTTCGGGCGCCAGCCTGGGCACGACTTCGATCATTTGATCACATGGTCACGTGATTGATACTCCATCTCGGCACCTGGGCACCCACGTCTCGCCACCGGGAAGGAATCTGAGAACCCAGGGCTCCTGAGCACCTGAGATAATTTATTGAGGCCGAGTTTGTTCGTCTCACCGCATCGAATATATGTGCACGGGGATTGGAGGTATGAATACTTCGGTTTAGTAGACGGATGCGATATTACCACTTCAACTGGTCATCAGGCTGGAACTGTTCCCCGGACCAAGGACTTGCAGCTATCGCATTCGCGTCTACACTGGACGACCGAACCCAGGCAAGCATTCAATACACAGACAAGTGCGCAGGACGCGGCACGACACTCTACCGCAAGGATATATAATACGTCATAATGCTTTCATTGACTCGCTATGCAAATGCAGCAGGGTATACGTCTATCATCTAGTTCTTCGCGCCGTGGACGAAGACACGCTCCTCGAGAGGCTTAAACTGCTTCTCTCCGGCCTCGCCCGCCTTTCCACCGAAGACGAGCTGAGCCCTCAGCTTCCACTGCTGGGGAACGTTCCACTCGCTCTGAATCTTCTGGTCCACAATGGGGTTATAGTGCTGGAGGTTGGCGCCGAAGCCCTCAGCCTCGAGCGCGGTCCAGGCGGCAAACTGGTGCATGGCGGAAGTGTGCTCCGACCAGTCACCAAAGTGGTGCGCGTAGATGGGGAAGGCCTTGCGCAGGTCCTCGACGGGCTGGGGGTCCTCGAAGAAGAGGATCTGGACAAGGGTTAGTGATGAGTGTGTGACATGGTGGGGTGCCAGGGGCAGATGCGATGACGATGGTGGGGCCTGCATGAGCTAGTGGGGCAGGGGCTCTTGATGGCGAGGCTGCGTGTTGACCGCCACAACACCAAGATTCTCGATGCTTCCAAGGAAAATTCTCGACGGTGAGTTCGGCAGTGAATCGGCGGTACTTACAGTTCCGTAGGCGCCCTTGAAGCCGTTGAGCTTGGGCTCAGTGCCGGACTTGTACTGTTCCTCAGGGACCTGGGGCTTGAGGACCTCCTTGGTCAGCTCCCAGAACTTCTCATGCTCCTGGTTGAGAAGGACAACGACGCGGGTGGACTGCGAGTTGAACGAGGAGGGAACGTGCAGGACGATCTGGTTGACGATGTCAACGATCTCCTTGTCAGACTTGGGAGCCTCCTTGTTGAGCTGGTAGATGGTGCGACGGTCCTTGACGGCATCGAGGAAAGACTTCTGGGCGGCCATTGTTGCTGATGTGGTGGAAAATCGAGTACGTGAGATCGAGCTGAATGTAGTTGTGGAAAGTCGGGAGATTGGAGTTTGTTGTTGTTGACAGAAAGGTAGGGACGGTGCGACCCGACAGCTTTTGTATGCAGCGCGTCTCCAGGTCTGATGGGCCATTTGTAAGGGCTTGCTCAGCGATAGCGCCATGGTGTCAAGAAAAGCGTGCGTGGTGGATCCCAAGCCCCCGTTTCGAGAAAAGTCGTCGCTCGGCAAGCGCAGGTGCGTGATGTGCTGGAGAAATACGGCAAGCAGAACCCCCGTAATTATGCCAGCGCCGAGCGTCTTTGCGTTCGCAAGCATGGCCCAAATCACATGAATCACGGTAAGCAGTGCAATTCGTTGACAAAGGGATTATTTTGGCCAAGTTGGCCGGAGACGTAAGGCGATCATGCTGCTTGCGTGAGGCGCTGGTGTCGGTTTTGGCGTGGCGTGGTCCGGTTAGCACCCCGGAAGCGGGATCCAACCTTGCCGGCGGATTAGCAACAGGACCAGACTACTGAGTAAGTGGAGCGGAAACTCACCGCACCTGCTCAGAAATGCCACGTTTCGCTGACATAGATTGTGTGATGCTGATGGCTATACTTTCGACGGTCTGTATCTTCGGCATTCTTTTCGCTGTTTGATCCGGACGCACGCGTTCAGCAACACTGGTACTGTCGTTGATCCATGACGTAAGCACGATGTTACAAACCCCTGCGATTGGCAGACCCTCGCGTTGCACAGAAGAGCAGTTATATCGATCAAAAACTTGCAGATTATCAGCATCATCAACCACTTTGAGAAGACAGGTACGAATCGGCTAGCATGATCTCGCCTACAAGCACCCGTTTGCGAATTCTGCCGATGTATACACGATAACGGCCCGATCAGACTGCCCCATGACATGACATCAAGCTATGTTGGGTTGAACATCCCTGAAACATTCCTTGGGCTTCTACTGTGTATGATAGCACTGTGCTTTACAACAGCGACGCCCAGATGCCTACGCCGGTACTGCCCAGGAGCAATACGCCCCTCCAAAGGTTCATCGTGCCCCACCTCTCTACAAGCTCCCTTGTGTCCTTCTCCTCCCCCTTCCCACTTTGCCCTCTCTTCGACAGCTCCGTGATCGTTCCCCACATAAGCAGGCGCGTATATGGTACGAGTCCAAACAAGCCGACCGCGGCCGCAACGTACAGGTTTCTCTGAGCGTACGACACGGCGCCACTCGCCGTAAGAGTCGGACTGAAAAACGCACGGTACGCCAAAGTCGCGAAACCGAGTGAGGAGGTCATGGCGCATCCCGATACTGGTAAAATACCGGACTCGTAAAGGATGAGCCATTGCTTTGAGAGTGTTGCGCCCGTCGCATGTAACAAGGCTGGGAATACGATGATCGACGTGGAAAGGTTCGCGCCTGTCATTTGTGTCAACTTGAGATGAGTTGCAAAGAAACGAGGGGAGCATACCTGCTGCCAGGGACCCTGCGAGAATACTGTATGTCTGTAGTGCAGGTGTGAGACGAGACATGCTGGCGCTGCTTTGACCGGCCTAGTGGTTTCTCGAAACGATCAAGGTGAGGCAAGTTGTACTGGGGCTACCAGCACACGAGCTTGCAGCATGCTCACTATCTATATACGCAACAGCCTTCTCACAGCTGAAGTGGAAGGCACCCCGACCATGCTCATTCCCCAGACCTGTAGATACGGCCGAAGCTAAATTAGCGTGACGTTAGCCGGGCAACGTCCTTCCATCGCCATTGGAACCAGATGGAATCGGTCTCAAAACATATCCAACAGACCGATGCTGACTATTCCTCGAGAACCGCATATAAATGTTGTTCACTCTACGTACGAAAGCAGATGCTCGGGGGTACTGGAAGAAGTGAACTGTTAAAGAGACGTGAATTACCCTATCATGTCAATCTTCGGCAAGCGTTGGGTCCCATTTCTGGAGCTGCTGTCATATCTTCGTTTTCGTAGTCATGGCTTTTAGTGCCAAAACCAGCATCATGTCCCCATAATCTCGTGTCTTCTGGGCCTTCTCTGGGGACCATGGGCTCTCTGGATGGCGTTTCATAGAGAAGGTATATATGCGTGCTCCAGAATGTTTGCGCCTGACAAAGGCGTCCAGGTCGACCGGCGCTTCAGAATTCCATTTGACGTAGTCGCAGTCACATCTGTAATCGCTTGCTTGCTTACATTCGTCAATATCGGAAACCCGACCGCCTTCAACGGCGTAGTATCACTCACCATTGCCTCTCTGTCTGGATTGTACCTCCTCGCCTGCGGATGTCTGCCGTGGCGTCGTCTTCAAGGCCGCATAGGCGAGTCTAAAGGCACTAGTACACATGGATCAATTGCTAACACCATCGGCCGGAAACTGGTCTGTGGACCTTGGAAGCTACCCGAGTGTCTTGAGTTGCCAATAACACCCTGACCTGATGCTACCTAGTCATCATTCTCTTCTTTAGCTTCTGGCCATCAACGCTTCCAGTCACCTCGAAGAGTATGAACTGGGCAATCTTGGAGACCGGTGTGGTTGTTACGTTCAGCGCAATATATTATGTGGTATGGGAGAAACAGGCGGTCGTGCAAGTTTTGCCCATCGAAGCGGAGAGCCTTTCGAGAACTTGATATCTTTTATATTGGCTTGCCTCACATCTTGGCTAAGCAACGCGCGCAGTAAATTGACGAGATTTGGTTGTTGAGTGGTGGTGCACGTTGGCCATGGTGGCTGGGATGGATGGCGGTAGGCGCGCATGGCTGGCTTGATCGCACTGTCGATAGCAGTTCCACTTTTTTGGGATCTCCCAGCGTTTTCAGATCGAATTTTTATCGTCATCAACCACTGAACAATGATCTGTGCCGGAAAGTCGGTTCTGCACGTGGGCTCGTGTGCACGCGATTCGCGACGCGCGTGCGAACTAACAACAATGACCAATAGCGAAGCAGCGCTAAGGTATCGATGGCGGCGCTGTACCGGAAGATTAGATCTAACGAGTTCTACTTAACGAAGTCAATGATGTCAATGCAGGGGAATGTTCTATGCGCGCCCAACCACAGATCGGCCAACATAGGAAAGTCATGACGAAGCAGATAATTTGATTGTACCATAGTGTGTAGGCGGCGACTTGTGGTAGTGCGCAAATGCTACATGATAACATTGAGGTCACAGCTAGTACTGTGCAAGATATAATATTTCATTAAGAGACGTCTTCTTTACAGTTCTCTATAGTCAACGAAATGGCTTCCCAGACAGAAAACACTGATACGACATATGTTCTCGATTTGTTGTGCGACGACGATTCTTGTAGCCTAACTACCCTCATAAATGATGTCCGCTTTCACATAATTGTCGAACCCGAAGAGCTTCGAAAGAACTCTGACAAAACCTTCTACTACGATTACCTTGACAAGATATCCGGCCTTCGTGAGGCCGAACAACGCGAGGAGGAAGAGCTGGAGATACGAGAGTCACAGGGCAAGACGAAAAGGGCGCGCGACAAAGACAGCGCTGTTGCGCTGGACGATAATGAAGAAGGGGACGATGGCGATCAATGTTTTGGGGATGCGGTTGTAGAACTACGTAATTGGATTCTGGGTGCTTTTAAAGACATCGCCGCAGTCCATGCACCAGCCGACCGAACACCAGAGGAGTCAACCCTACATGACTGGTACCACGGGCCGACCTACTTCTACAAGCTAAAAGTATCGCAGGGATGCATCGAGCCTCAGCTGCTTGAAGAAAACAAAGCCATGACGAAGAAGATTGAGAAGCTCGTTCCCCGCTTAGCTCTACCGAGATACATACAGAAGATGACTCTACCGTGGCTTAATGCAAAAGATCTCGTCGTCAAGAGCGAGACCGCATCGCCGGAGCCCGCACATCCCGGCGAAGTCGTGACCAAGGATGGCAAAAGATTGTTCTTTAAACCGGTCGATAGTATCCAGCCAGATTCCTTCAAGCGAGAAATCAAACACCTGAAACAGCTCGAAGAGCTCGACCTGGATATCAAAGTGCCGCAACTTTACGGCTTAGTTGCGTTCCAAAACAGCAAGACCGAGGTCATGGGCTTGCTTCTCTCCGTAATCAAAGGAGCCACGCCGCTCACGCACCTCTTCGATCAGAGCGTCGATCCATCACTGCGGAAGTGCTGGAGCGACAAGGTTGAATCTTACGTTGCACAGCTTCACGAGCATGACATAATTTGGGGAGATGCGAAAGCAGACAATTTCATGGTCGACAAGAATGATGAGCTATGGATCATTGACTTTGGGGGAAGTTATACAGAAGGATGGGTCGACCCGGAACTGAAAGAAACCATTGAGGGTGATGACATGGGAGTGGAAAAGATCCAGAACGCGCTTGAGGACCCAGAGTCCAACACCTTCGATCCGACGAATAGCAGCACCATCAGACCATCACATGCACGATCCTCTTCGTCACTCTTCGTCACAGAGAAGCCCCGAACCGATTCGAAGCGCAAACACGATGGAGAGCAGAACGGGCACGACAACGACACGTACAAAAAGGTGCGTCGAGATCATGACGGCGCAAGGATGATCGAGCCTGCCGATGGTCTTAGTGATTCCGAAGAGGACAATGTTGCTGGCAAGGGTTGTGGTAATATCGAAAATACGAGCACATCGACAGGTGAAGAGATAGACAGCCTCTTTGAGGAGACTCCAGCCCAACAAGGAGGAAAAGTGAGCGATTCACAGTGAAGAGACAGGCAACTAAAACTGCACTGCATATCTCAACAAATGAACATGTTCTAGCGCTCACTCAAAGCTAGTTAGGATGCCCGTGTCTTTCTTCCAGTGATAATATCTGGAAGTCATGTTTGGTCGAAATTGTTGTCAGCTGTGTGATGACACCGTACAATCGTACTCTGCGTGTTTTTTGGCGCATCCTAGTCGCGGCATGCGGAACGTAGGATGCAGGCTAACAAAGAGCAAAAAGATACCGTTCTACAGGCGTTTTCACTCCCATATATTCCGTCCCCAACTTTCGGGGACATTGTTAGGCACCTTTCGTAGGAAGTGGATTCATTTGAACAGACCGCGTCGATGTTTATTCTTCTTATACCAAGTCAATTCCTGGTCTTAAACTCATTCCGTCCAAGTTTCAAGCACTTTTGGCATTATCCCACGACGTTTGGATAATTCCAAGTGGGGACCAAGTCGGTTGTTGTCTGCCGGAATGCATGAGTTACGGGTTCAACTTCAGAACCTGGAAATGGGTTTCAAATTTAGAAGAATTAGAAGAGTCAGGATTGGGAAGACGAACTTGTTCAGCCTAATTCTCACTCATGGCACTGCGTCGGTAAGGACTAGTGCAGGGGGTGCATCAGGTGCGGCAATGGGCAACGAGATTAGACATGTACGCGCAAAACAAGCGCAAAACTCCCTGTCAATCATGAAACCTTAATTGACATTGGTTTTGGCGAAATCTGGGGTGTTAGCAAAGACATCAAGACGCATAATGGTTCTTCTTGCAAGCTCCCAAAAAGAGTACTTGGAATTGAACATCCGCGATGCTTGCAGTTCAGCGAAATTATATATGAGAATGATGATATTACTTGTTTCCAAATATGACATGATGCAGCAACACTAGTCCTTTTACCCTGCCCTCACATGCGAGACCGCAGTCCGCTAACCCGCTCGTCAAACTCTCTCTTCCAGGAAGGCATCATCTTCCGCGCTCGTGGATTCTCAACTGCAAGATCAAACGTCTCTAGCGTAGCGCCCGCCCTCTCAGCACAAATCCTCGCGCTCTCCGCAGTGTACTGCCGAATGATACATCTCTCCAACTTGAAGAGCCTCTCCTGCCGCTGAGATCTCAGGTTTTTCAGCAAGCTGTTCAATGCATTTTCATCCGGTATGGGGAAATCAGTGTTAATATGAACCTCGACAATATTGCTCGGCATCATACTTCCGATACAAGGGATATCGTCTTCGCACCAGGCTGTTTCACCCTCAGGCACCATGGCATCGCCTCCCTGCGTTTGGCCGGATTCGACTGGCGGTCCGCGGAAGATGTATACATCCACTTCTAGAAACTCGAGATTGGGGAACGAGTGGAGAGACGAGACGCCGTTGATGATCTCGCCGTAGATCTCGTCGATTGTTATGGCCAGGTTGGTAATAGTGTTACCGCAGTGGCGAGCCACGGCTTCGACGAAGGTTCCCGCGTTCCAGTCATGTTCGCAGCCGTGCCATTTCGTTTCGTGGGAGTACTTGAAGGTCTTGAGAGCTGGTGTGTGGCGGAGTAGCTCACTAATACCCTCGGCGTCCATGCAGCAAGACGCGAGCTCAAGTCGAGTCAACTGGGGCGCAAGTGTTGGCGTGCGCCATTCGAATGGGTAACCGGTATACCCGTCGTCGACTGCCACTGCGCTGACAAGGTATACTTCGGAGACGGCTCCCAATTCGAGGAATGGCTGTATGCTTTGCAGGGCTGCCTTTTCTTCGTAGCCCCCGTGCATGAAGGGCAGGATAGTCTTGACTTGGCTCAGAGGTCGTTGACGGCTAGCTCCCACGTGGGACGACCTCTCAATAATGGACGTAAGTCCGGCGAGTGGCAAAGAATACAGTTCCGCACCAGGGTTGAAATTCTGCCATCCGGGGTCAAGACGAATACTCTTTAGGTTAGGCAACACGCCGAGGAGGGTAATCGTCGTGCACGACACTTCGGTGTTGTCCTCATCCGTACGGGTACCTTCTTCTTGCATCATCCGATTCCACCATGCTTCTGTGTCGATGCCGGCCTCGGTCAGAAAGGGCAGCGAAACGACGAAGTCCTTGACTCTTTCCATTGCGTCGACGTCACCACGAAAATCCAGAACTTCGGTTTCTTCCTCGTCCAGAGGTCTCTCATCCCACAGATCCAAATATTCAATATACTCAGCCACTAGCGGGTTGAGCGCTATCGCGTTCAGTATACCCAACGTATCGTCAAGCTTTCCGGTTCGATAATTGTTGGCGCTTCCCCATTGCCGCTTGAGCGCGTTATGCCGCTCAATCTGCGACCGTGCGCGTCCGTGTATTGCCTTACAGACCAAACTGAGCCCTTGTATGCCAGACGGAAGACTGAGGTCAAGGATGACATCGATGATCTCCGGAGGGAGACTCAGGAAACCCATGTTGAACGCGACCTTCTTGCTGTGACAATTTTTCTCCTCCGATGCGGGGTCGGTGCGAATGCTGATAAGGACTTACGGGCAAAGGCCAGCTCAAGGGTTTCTGTACAAGCGGAGTCCTATCGCAATTGTTATCTACTCAGAATCGCCAAGACTGAAGGAGATTTTGTTGGAGACTCGCAAGGCGCGGTTTCTGTTGTGATCTGCGAATGCACCGGTGGTGTGATTACACAGTAGGAGAGGGGCCCCGCGACAGAAGCCCTGCCAGCCAATCAACACCCGATGACGTCATCTTACCGGCTGCCTTGCCCACTATGTGTGGACTGGCATTGTGTGAAGTTGCAGAATGCCATCCCAGGGGCGGTACCCCGTAACTGCTCTTTCTCTTGCACAGTAGACTACCAGCGAATTAAGGTACAGGTGTTCTGCGCCGTTCTTCTTCGAACGAGCTCCTCATTTCTCAGGCCGACGACGCAGCGATAAACAACTGACGATGTGCACAACCAGAGCATGATGAGACCTGCACAACCAGGAAGTATGCTGAAATTGCAGCGGCTCTAGACAAGTTTTATCTGGGTGTTATGTATGTTCAGAGGCCTCGTCACCCGACCCAATCTGTCGAGAAGCTCAAACGAACAGCGAGAACTTTCTCGCTTACACGGCCTCTGTTATCCCTTGCGCACAATAACAAGCTCTCATGACACCCCACTTTAATCTAGTACCCGCAGAAAGATCCATGGCTCGCGGTTGCCTGTGAGGTTTCGGCCCCCAAGCGACACCAGACTGCACAAGCGGAGATCTTCGGCCAATGTCATGGACGCGTCGAAGACACAACAGTGCGGCTGAATCTGGTCGGTCCACATTTACTACAATTATGCGATACTCGAGAAAACGAGAACGCGAAGCTGCGCAATGTGATGAGCCAGCGCTGCCCTAATGCGGGCTGACTCTGCATATGTCCCTTGCAATACGACTGGCAATGCTCTCGGACCTTACCGTACCGGTGAAGTTGCATAATAGGACGCTCTTTGTCTTGGTCACGCCTTTCTTTCCAAATCGAAGCATTACTCCACAGATCACGAGGCAGCTATGTCGATTAGGGTCTTGCCGGTTTGCAACTACCGTTTGGTGCTTATGTCGCGAGTAATCTATAGAGGTCCACGCCGCAGTTCCGCGCTAGTGGCGGCCTTGTTGGCCACAGATCCCACGACAATCTTTCACTTCCCTCGGTACCTCCTCAACTCGTTCATAATTCGAAACAGAGGCCTCAGGTACCAGACATGGGATCAACGGGAATGCTCGTCGCGGCGACAGTACTGCTCGCGGTACGTTTCTCCTCTACAAGATGTCAACACCATCATCAACCCCAAAGCAAATCGTCGGCCGCAAACGGATACATAAACATATGAGTTCCATAAGTATGACACGGCTGACATTGCCAGATCGTCCATCGCGCCTATCTTGCCGTCTACCGCCTCTATCTCTCACCCTTGAGCACCATCCCTGGACCCAAGCTCTGGGCCATTTCAAGCATCCCCTACCATGTCACGACCATTCGCGGCAACATGCACCTCCGCCTTGTCGATTTTACCAAACAGTACGGCCCCACCATCCGCGTATCCCCCAATCATATTGCCTTCACTTCTCCGCAAGCCTTCAAGGACATATACGCCGGCACCACCAAGACCGCGTTCCCCATCAACCCAATCTACTATAATGCCCCGATCAACGGTGTTCACAGCCTCCTCACTGCACCCGGCGACGATCACGCCCGGCAGAGACGCCATTTGGCGGCTGGTTTCTCCAAGGAATCACTGCACGCCCAAGAACCCGTAATCAGACGCTATGTAGACGATCTAATGCACCGACTCTCCTCCGAAGCCCAAACCGGCCCCGTCGCGATCAGTGACTGGTTCAATAGCTTCACCTTTGACCTTACGAGCGAGCTGCTATTCAGCGAGAGCTTCGAATGCCTCTCCTCGGGGCGCTTGCACCCGTGGATCGCGCTGCTGTTCGGGTCAATCAAGGGGATGGTGTATATCAGCGCGGTCAAGTGCTTCCCCGCGCTCGACTGGGCGCTGATGAAGATGATGCCGCAGCACTTGATCGACATGCAGAGAGACCACTTCAACTTGAGCGCTGCGAAGGTAGATCGGAGAATTGAGTTGGGGAGCGGGAGGGCGGATTTGCTGAGTCCGGTGTTGAGGAATGGGGTGGGTGAGACTCACGGACTGCCTGTGCGAGAGAAGAGGCTGAGTAGGAAGGAGCTGCATTCGAATGCCTACATGTATGTCATACCTCTGCTTTTGACCCCGTTAAGAAACGAAAGCTGACGGGAGAAGCTTCATCGTAGCAGGCAGCGAAACCACCGGCACCGCTCTCGCAGGAATCACCTACCACCTCTGCAAAAACTCCACCACCCTGTCCACACTCCTCTCCGAGATCCGCTCCTCCTTCCCCTCCGCAGACGACATCACCATCGACTCCGCCACCAAGCTGCCCTACCTCGACGCCGTGATACGCGAAGGCCTGCGCATCTACCCGCCCTTCGCCGCTGGAAACCACCGCGTGGCGCCCAAAGGCGGGGACTACGTCGACGGCCACTTTGTCCCCGAAGGCGTAGGAAGCCCTGCTGCATGATTAACTATTGGCTGCTGATGAAGCATGACAGACACACCTCTACGGCTATCACTACGCGCTGTACCATTCGCCGGCATACTTTGCGCTCCCGTCGGAATTCTGCCCTGAGCGCTGGCTTGGGACTGACGCGCGCTTTTCGAAGGACCAGCTTGATGGCGTGAGACCGTTTGGATTGGGCCCGCGGATGTGCATTGGGCAGAAGTACGTGTATCTACCAGGGATAAGGAGGATCAGCTAACGATTGTGCAGTCTCGCATGGGCGGAACTGCGGCTTGTGCTGTGCAATATGCTGTACCGATTTGATGTGAAGCTGAGGCCGGAGTGCGAGGGGTGGATCGAGCAAGATCTGTTCTATGTGTGGCAAAAGAGTCGGCTAATGGTGGAGCTGCATAGGAGGAAGTGAGTCGGAAGGAGGGCGTGTAGTTGTTCGGAAGGTGTAATGGCTCGCAGGCAGCACTGTGCAGTCCCAGACGAGGGTTGGACTGAGAGCTTGTTGTGGAGTTACAGCATTGTCTGCTGTGTTTTCAGGGTGCTGGAGTAGCAAGATCCATCAGTAACGAGGATCCCCACAGGTCACTCGGCCAAGGCAACGTCATCTTATGTTACGTGCAGGCAGATATAGTGCTTAAGATCAGCACATCCATGCACGAGGGATTAAAGTTACAGTCTTGTCATATTTGATCAAGAGAGGGGAGTATAATACATATAAAAAGTCCGTTTCTCGCTCATCGACACTCTCAATCATCCACCTGAAAATATTCTCTACTTCCTCCTGCTCTGCTGCATCGCCAGAATCTGCACCATGCGAACGAAGATGTTGATAAAGTCCAGCTCAAGAGAAATGGACTCGTTGACGGCATCCTTGGGCATAAGACCCCGCTCAGCCAGCCTCGCGTGGTGCAGCACCTTCTGCACATCGTACAGCGTGAAGCCGCCGAATACAGCGAGACCACCGTACAGCCAGATGTTCTCGGACCACATAAGTGTTCGTGCAGCGGTGGCGGGAATGACCATAGGGGCGAGACCGGAGAGAGCGACGATGGCGACACCAGCGAGGAGAGGGCCGCCGAGGTAGAGGTACTTCTCCTGCTTGGCGGTGGCGCCGACAAATGCGATGGATCCCATCATGCCGGCGGTGTAGAGGCCGGCGCGGGCGAGGATGGCGGGGTGGTAGAAGAAAAGCGGCGAGAGGAGGGCGGCTTGGCAGAGGTTGAAGGCGGTCCAGAGGCCGTACTTCTGCACGTAGCTGGATGCTGTTAGCGTTCCCCTTGCGCCACCATATGAGGATGTAGACTCACTTATCCGGGTGTGTCGCGCGAGTGCCATACATGGTGCCGATGCTACCAACGAGACCGACACCGAGAACCAGCCACGGGTTCGCAGCCATCAGCCGGAAGCTCCATCCGTTCATGTGCAAAGCGCGCGCCGCGACGCCGATGATGCCAATTCCGAGGCCAGTGTGCATAAAGGTGTCGTTCAAGTACCGCCGCTCGAAGTCGGGCATGCCGCCGTCCTCACGCGTCTCCCGGTTGAAGATGAAGTTGATGCCGAGCAGAGTGGCGCCGAAGATGCCGGCACCGTACATGAGACGCTGTCGCAGGTCACCCTGGGCCACAGGGTTGTAGGCAGACTGCTGGTACGAGCGGCGGAACGTGGTACGGAAGCGGAGGACATTGTTTGCTGAGGCAACCGTCGGTGTCTTGGGGGTGAAGAAGTTGGGATGCTGCTTCAGCGGCGTGTTGTGGAACGCGCGCGCGAAGACAGGCTGGGGTTGCTTGGGCAGCGCTTGTCGCAGCGTTGCCGCGACTGCGAACGGCCGTCGGAGTATGAAGGCCATGGTGTGTAGTATGTACAACGTTGACGCGGAGGCGACGAGTTGATGAACGGAGGGCAAGCAGAGTATGACGTCCATGTGAGTGGCAGCGGCGGCTTAGTCACACCCGCCGCCGAATTCGCCAGAACCACCGGACGAATTCCCTCCCACATCACATTATCGCCGAAACTGCTATTGAAGCAACGCCCGGATGAGGCTCTTATCTACGGTCACGCCGACTGTTCCATCGCAAGTAGCGGAACGAGAGGGTGCCACGATCGAACACCCGCCAATCACGGCGTTGCGGACTCCCGACGGTGAATTTGTGAACCTACAGCCACGGGACGACCCACAGAATGCAGCTGAAACTCACGCCTTCGGGTAGTAGCTGCGAATGCACTCGCTCACAGACTCGTCGAATGGCACCCAATCCGGCCTGTCCAGCCTTTTCAAGTAGCTTTCTGCCTTTCCCTTCGCCAGCACCTTCGTGATGTCCTCTCCCTTATCCGCCAGCCGGATCGTTGTCCTCTGACCCATCTCCTTCTCGAGAACATCGGCGACTCCAATCCACGTGTACGGTCCCGCCCACGCGAATATGCGCCTATTCTCCACGCCATCCAGCACCGCTCCCGCAACATGGAGCCGCGCCTGGTCCCGCACGTCGACGTACCACTGCGGCTCGATGACGTCGAATAGCTCCTGGCCCTTGCACTCGTGCAGCGACCGAATGAACCCAGCAGTCGAAGGATACTGTTGCTCTGCAGGTGCGATGACCGGGCCCATGCAAGTCGCTGGGATGACGGTGTTGACTACGAAACCGCAGTCTGAGTGCTGGCGCACGTACTTCCAGCACGCCTGCTCACCCGCGATCTTACTCTGCACATAACCCATCAGTGCCCAGAAGTCTTTCGGCGTGTCGGGGTTCGACAGCGCCTTCGCGATCGACTCGTCGTACTGATCTTCTGTGATGTCGCCAGGCACATTGGGTACCGGATACTTGACAGCCCAGCTCGAGCCCGTCAGCACAAACCTCTGGACCTTCTCCCCATTCTTGTTCGCTTCGTGCACGCCCTTCAAGGCGACCATGTTCAGCTTGACCGTGTTGCCGACCATATCGGGATCAGACATGTTCGTGAAACCGGGCGTGTGGATCATGGCTGATACGCCCTTCAGCGCTGCGTCGTAGCATCCTGGCTGGCTGAGGTCGGGCACCTCGACCACCTCGAGCTGTCCATTGGGGTGGCGCTTAGAGAAGTCTCGCTTCATCCACGCGCTTCGTTCGAGAGAGCGAACCGTGGTGCGCACCGAGTAGCCGTATGCGAGACATTGGTCGACAATATGGGATCCAAGATAACCGTTGCCTGCTGTGACGAGGATGAGTGCGCCCGGGGGCAGGCACGGGTTCTCGACCTGCGGTGCCATTTTGCTTGTCAGATTTACGAACTTCAACATATTAGTCACAGTTCAAATTTCGCGCAGTAGGCACATTGCAATCTCACTGAGCGTGCACGACAATGATACAAGTCGAGCTTCTGTCCAAAACAATCGCCACACTCAACAAATCCTAAAACTATCGAGTTCAAGGTATGGTCGGTTGTACAAACGAGGGGGGTTGCAAGTCAGGCTCGCAACCTGCTCACCTCCTGGCTACCACCACACTTATACACTGTGCGATCTTGCATATCATTCGGACAGCGAGGAACCGACTATGACGGCTCCTCTTCCGCCCTGCACATCACGTTGCTAGTCCCACATTGGGCCTCGGGCGTGCTTTGGCGCTGACAAGGCCCGCCAGATCCACTTTACCTGGGCAGTACCTCATCGCTATAATATACAACTCTTCGATTCACCTGAGCGCCTAGAGCAGAGGACAATGCAGTCAGTGTGCGGGGTGTTTGCACGTTGCCATTCGCCCAGAGTGTGGAGTGCTGAATTCACTCCAGCATTTATCAATCGATACCCGGCAAACGGCTTCAGAGGCCATCTGGGCCTACGGCTGTGCCGTATTTCAAATGCTAAGCGAAGGAGCCGTATTCGGTGTTGGCGCTTCGACATCTCGGTGCCCGGTTGCATTGGTGCAGCGTGGCGCGTGTTGGTGGTTGTGTATCGAGTGCCCCGCCCCCACGTTTCCGAGTCATGGTCGCATCGCGCATCGTTTAACCACAGAAACAACCGTCCTGGGTGGGATGATAACTGGGCACCACATCTTTTGATCAACAAGTGCTTGTAACAACTTTGATAGGAAGAGACGTATAGCAAATCACTTCCAGGTCACGTTGCAACGTCGATAATGGGAAACCAATGAACTAGCGCTCTCAAGTAGAAAGTATATCCACACTGGTCGTGAGTGTCCAGACAAATCACTACGGACACCCAACAACCACCTCATCCGTCCTCCTCATCACCCTTCTTCATCACAAATTTATCCTCTCTCAAATCACTCTCCGACCCAATAGTACTCCCCGTCCCGATCTCGGCCGCCCGCTACACCCTCCAACCCTGCACACGCATACGCCATACTCTCACCGTCGCTCACACCTCTCTTGCTCTTGCGCTCAGTGGGGGGATACAAATACATGCGCCCGCTCGAGCCGCACGCGTGATCCGCCCCGCGTACGATGCGCAAATACAGCGGACGCAAGATGGGGGGATGCACGCGCAGAGGATGGTGGTGCAGACCTCTGTTGCGGACCAGAGGAGGGTGGGATCTAGAAGTTCCGCCCCGTAGCTGCTGCTCTAGACTGTAGCCATGCAGCGTTTCGGTAGCAGGTGCATGCCCTGGATGCACTGGGTTTACCATTTGTGCAGCCTTCACCCAAACACCCACTTTCACGCCACTGGCCCCCTACGTACTGGTAACAAGCCTGGCTCGCTGAGTGTCCGAAAGTCATGACAAGACGCACTACAATATGGATGAATGAGCCGTCATGCTTCAGTTCGGCGTAGTGCATATGGTATTCGATGCTGAGAGGATCAAGTCGTGCTGAGTGGACTATGCTATGAACGCCTGCCTGATGTCGTAACCTGTCTCCTCGTGCGCATGGGACGCGTTCGAACGCTGCTCACTAGCGCGTAGCTCCGTGCGAGGATCGGACGTCCAGACTGCCCGGTTCCGATGCTTGCATTTCCACGTGTGGGAAACCCGCTGTTTCTTCTTGCTACAAGTGTTTGCATGAACCGTGTGCCGGTATTTCGGAGCTCGACTCAATCGCACCTGCCCGAAACGTTGTTTGCGAAGCATGAGGTCCGTCTTGATCTGTTCAGGAGGCGTGTGCAATCGCTTATGTCTTAGAGAATCTGAGCCCGAGGACACAAAAGCAGAACACGAGATGGATCCACGTAGTTCGTCTGGCGTTCCAAGATTGGAGAGAAGATAAGGTCGTGTGAGTAGTGTACAACAATCTCTTCCTTTGGCTAACAATTACAATTCCGTGAAGATGAGAGATTTGGATATCGTCCGTGACCGCCTGCGCCTTCAACCAAACGCCCGAAACCATGAAGAGATACTCTTTTGTGGGCCAGCGCCTTTGCCTGCCTATCTGTATCGCACGCCACGTCGATGCTGGCTTGTGAGACGTGTCGAATGTTGACCGTAAGCTTCTGAGAGGTCAAGCTTCCGCGAGTTCTCCACTCCACGTCAGATCCTGAAGTGACTTGAACCGTGATGAGCCTCCGAAATCGAAGTTTCATAACATGCCACCGCCATTCACACGCCCACTCAACAGTGGTCATGAACTCTGTCCCACGGAGTCCAGGCCCGGAAAGTTATTCCTCCCATCACCACCCGCGCTCCTCTCCCCATTGCTCATCTGTGGCCCCATCTGCGGCCCTATCTGCGCGCCCATCTGGCCGTTCATCTGGCCATTCATCTGCATCGGCCCATTCGGCAAACCATTCATCTGCGCCTCATTCATCTGCGGCCCGTTCATCTGCATCGGCCCATTCATGCCGTTCGTCATCCTGTTGTTCAGTCCACTGTCCATGCCCGCGCCCATTGGGCCGATGTTGGGGCCTAGCCGCGCGCTGTCGTCGCCTTCACCCATGCCGTCGACGTCCGGCCAGAAGCGCTCTTCCAGCCAGCATATCTGGCGGAATATCTCCTCGCACCGGGTCATCTCCTCTTTTCCGTCGCGGGCGGTTGTGATGTTGGCAAGCTCGTCGACAAGGGCTCTACTTGCGTCGATGAATTTGCTGAATGCGGGAGATGTCCAATTTGGTATTAGAGCTTGGTGGAGCGCGACGATGTGGTTTTCGGTGCTCGGGGTAGAGAGGGAGCTGCTGAATGACGACGCGTATTGCCATGCTGTTCTGTAGCACTGGATCCATGTTAGCTTTGGTAGGCAGGAGCCCACCACAGTGCGTATTCAATTCGGGCATTGCCAACGCAAGCCGAGAGGACTGTGTACGTGTAACTTACGTGTTCAGTACCCCACAGCACCACCATGCCCTCCAGGAGGGAAGCACTTGAGCTACTGGCACTCACAAACAGATCCAGCAGCGCACGTGTTATAGGCGTAGGAGGGTCCTGATTCATTGTGAGGCCATATTTAGTAGCCGTGATTTCAAAAAAGGACATTTCTCGACGCATGTTGTTCAAGGCAGATATGAGCAGATCCATAGTCCTGTACATAGGATGGAATTGCGAGTTCGCCGTCTGCGGCAGGCGCAACTTGGCCAGCAGCTGCCCTACAAAACGGATAAAGCCGCGCGCATAGTGCCCGTCCTGTACCAGCCATTGTGACAGCGGGCCTGGTGCGAGCGATCCGCAGCCCGCATGCGAGAGAAACGGTTGCTGCGTTGCCTGTGTGAAGGGCTGGGCGCAGATGGCGAGGAGGTGGGCCGTCAGCGAGGGCGCCAGGGGCGGCGGCATGGTCATATTCGGCGCGAGCTGCTGGCCATCACGGGCGCGCTTGTTGTTCGGCCCGCGACGATTGATCTGGAGGTTCGGATTGGGCTGCTGGCCGCTGAGCACGCTGTTGGGCGCCATGCCCGAGCTCATCGAGTTGTCGTCGCCGTTCTGGGCGTGCCATGCCTGCGCTTCGGGGGAGGCCAGGTAGGCCTCGCAGGCGTGGAGGTGCTCAATCTGGCGCGTGGTGTTCTTTGCGCGCACGAAGCCGCAGTGCAGGCAGCGCACCTTGTTGCATTTCGAGGGCGTGTCCTGGTCCTGGAATTCGGCGAAGGCGCGTCGAATGTCGGGATTCGCGTGGCGCCCCATTGCGGAGGCCTGTCCACTAAGCTGGTGATGAGCGTTGGGGCCGTACGTGTATCGTAAAGTGGGCTGGTCACAAAAGAGGGGATGCCGGATGAGACCGCCTTGGAACGCTTACCTCACCGACCACGCGCACTATTGTACCGCGCCTGGCCATGCGCGTACAACCATACTCAAATGCTGGAGGCGAACTGCGAACACGAAGAGGGCAAGGTGCCAGAACTTGGAGAAGAGACGCAAAGAAAGCGTCAACCGCGAAGCCATCCAGCGCAGCGCAGCAAAGGAGCAGACGCTCACATTACCGCCTTAGTCATTCGTAGTGATCGGTCTTGGCGGTGCGGAGCATTTCCTCGAAAATGACAGTACACATACCACGATAACTTTACACGCGGGAGTGATAATGGAAGGTGGGTTTGGTAAGTGAGGTCAGCACTGGAGAACAAAGAGCTCCATTGTCAATTTGTCACCAGGATTGTAGCTCAGAATGTTTTTGTTGCTGGCTCCGCTGTCGTGGTCCCGCCCACATCAATGCTGCCCATGATGCCTTGATCGCATGTACCCTCACTCCTCACAGTCTCACGGATGCTGTGTAAACCGAGACACTCACTAGGTCGTATCCCCTAGTAACCGTAAGTTCAAATTATAGCGGGGTCGACTTCTCCGCACCCACAACCTCGTTGCAACTCTCCAGCATCATGACGGCGTGACGAGGCCGGATCTACATGACGATCTTCGCCACCGTCATCTCTACCAGCTCACGAATTCCAACCCCATGGACGCTCTGCAGCCTAGAACTGATGTCACTGCGGCGTCCACGGCTGTCTTCACCACCTCCTGCTCTACTAAGATCTACCTCTCGTGACTATACCCAAGGATCCACACGGCATCGTTCCCATCCCTTCGTGACACCCAGTCAGCTGAACCTCAGCGCAGCCCAACTCCGAAAACCCAGTTCCACGGCGATGATTATTCCGAGCTCGTGATACGCAGACACTGTGTCTCATCGCACCCGCGGGACCTGGTCGTCCACGCTGCGTACCGTGGAAGAGCTCACCGCAGCTGGCCGGTCACGGTGGGCGCTGGTGGGAAATACACCAGTGATGCACGAGGCCTCTAGGCGGCGCGGAGGGCGGGTTGAAGCTGCATTCTAGCGGCGCCGGCACAAAGAAGTCGCAGAACTTGGGGGGTCTGCGGGGGAGATGGTGCACCGTTGTGGAGGCGCCATTATTTCCGCCTTGTGCCGAGGTCGTTTGCAGACATCATCGTGAGGACGACTTCACGCCCATGGGACGGATACATAGGCAGATGGAGGCTTCCCACGGGCGATCTCAACACGGCTAATAGCTGCGCCAGTTGCGTTGCTTGTTTTCCTGCCCGTGGCCAGGTCTGCTCGGTTGAAGTGCCATGTCGACTTTCCCATGTGTTGCCGCATGCAGTAGGTCCCCAGGACAGCCTCACCGCAGTTCAGCCGCCGTCGAAGCTTCCAACTTTCCATCAGGCCGCAAGCCGCAATGATCGCCGCCGCCCAAAAGACCCTACCCCACAGGTGATGCCCGTGGCCCCAAGCCATCCCGCCTTGGTCTCCGCGCGGGCGATCTCAACATCATAGCACCCGCACCCGCCCAATCAGACCACCGTACCTGATCGTGCAGTGCTACCACGTCGGGATGCCCTGCAGCTGACCTAGACCCTCACAACTCTGAAGACATAGCTGTCGTGGCAAAAGTTTCCACATGCCAATACGTCATTGGCTCGTCGTCTGCTCTACGAAAAGACAGCAACGATTGTCGTCGGAAGTGGAGCGCGAGCGACAGCTAAGAGCTGAGTCACGGCTGCAATCTGGCTGTCCACCTTTCGGAGCGCTTTCTCGTAAGCCTAGCGTGTGTTTACTCCACGGTGATCGGCGGAAACAGAATTGCGATGAAGCTCGTGGCTTTTCCTATAAGGCTGCTGATCCCCCAGACCTTTGGGAGCATTCAAGAGCGTCCATTGTCTCGACTCTTTAGCATTTGTTACATCTACGCATAGCTTAATGCTTATTCATATGATACTGTCTTCACCAATCCGGTAGTTACCATAATCGAGTCTACGTCATGCACGGAAGCTGGAGCAGCGTTGTAGCAGTTGGCTTGCTCACCTTGAGCTCCAATGCATCGCCTCTGTAAGATGTTCTATGATTGCCTTCAACACACCCTAGATGCTAATTCGGCCCAGCACGCCCTACAAGAGAGCACCATCGTTTGACTACAGCGGTTCGAAAGTCCGCGGTGTAAACACAGGCGGCTGGTTCGTGCTTGAGCCTTGGATCACTCCAAGTATGTTCGAAGGCAACGGCGCTGTTGACGAATATACTTTGACCCAAGAGCTGGGCAAGGACGCGGCGAAGAGCAAGCTGTCGCAACATTGGAATTCGTGGATCACGCAAGCCGACTTCAATCAGATGGCTGCCGCTGGCCTGAACCATGTAAGAATACCGATTGGATACTGGAGTGTTATTCCTCGCGATGGCGAGCCGTACGTGCAGGGCGCGTACCAGGTGCTCGGCCAAGCACTTGACTGGGCACAGGCAGCAGGCCTCAAAGTCATGATCGATCTCCATGGTGCGGCTGGTTCCCAGAACGGTTTTGACAACTCGGGTCGCTATGGTAGCGTCCAATGGACTCAGGGCGATACCGTTGCGCACACGATAAAGGTGCTGAACAAGATTCGGGACGATCATGCCTCGCATCCCGCCGTCTCTGCGATCGAGCTTCTCAACGAGCCTATGGGGCCTAACCTGGACATGAACACTGTCAAACAATTCTACATGGACGGATGGGGTAACCTCAGGGATTCGAAAGTGGCTATCGCTTTCCACGAAGCCTTTATTGGCGTGACATCCTGGAACGACTGGGGCGCCGGCATGGCCAACCTTCTGCTTGACACGTGAGTATTACCGGCTTCGATGGCGCAGAAACGAGACGCTGACAAGAACTGATCAAAGGCACCACTATGAAGTCTTCAACGTCGACCAGCTAGGTATGAGCCCTGATGACCACATCAAGTCAGCGTGCGACTTCGGTGGTCAGATGGCCTCGAACAACAAGCCTACCATCTCCGGCGAGTGGACCGGTGGCATCACCGACTGTGCAAAGTGGTTGAATGGCAAGAACAAGGGTGCGCGTTACGACGGCACTTTCGAGAACGCAAACGCAATCGGTAGCTGCGCTGGCAAGTCATCCGGTAGTGTCGCCAATCTTTCGTCAGACGACAAGTCAAATATCGGTCGCTTCATCGAGGCTCAGCTTGAGGGTTACGAGAAGGGCGCAGGGTGGTAAGTACTGTTGGGGTACAGTGTGGTTGCTTCTGCTGTCGTCAAGATCTGACAAACTCATTCATTGGTCATAAGCAAGAGCCAGAACACCTGCTTCTACTCCATCACCTTTGCCAATGGCTCTTTCGCTGACTGTCGCTGTTTAGGATCTTTTGGACCTGGAAAACTGAAGGTGCCCCAGAGTGGGACATGCAGGACTTGATGGCCAACGGTCTCTTCCCGAAGCCAGTCAATGACCCATCAGCGCGAAAATGTAAGCCTTCAGGCTGCGACAATTCCTGACGAATCTCTGCTGACTGGCGACAGACTCTGGCATCTGCGGTTAAGTAATACTTGGCTGCATGACCTTTGTAAATGACGTGCTGATGCTCGCTTCGCCGCCAACGTGCATCCGAGCAATATCTTTGTCTTCACACTCGCTCACCCAGCCGTAAGCTTCTCACCACTGTAACGATTTGACGAATCTTCTTCCTCTTCGATGGATACCCCCTCTCAGCGCTCGCTAGAGCCGGGCGTTGGTGATCCAGCCCCGGTGAGATTTCCCAAGATCCTCTTCCCTTCCTGCGTGGCCTACTGCCATAGCAAACCATGCTGTACATAACGAAGGAATATGAAAGTTGGAACCCAAATGTAAAGCGTTGAATGCGCGCACGCGATTCATTAAGTGTGAAATTGCCTTTGCGCCGAGTGGTTCACGATGGGGCCGGATGAAGCAAGCGCTGAGCGCCGCACGCTACAGCCCGGGTCATACGAGAGTGCAATTTCGCATGTGCCGTGGCCCCGCATGCTGCCAACAGCCAACCTTGGAACTGCGACCGACAGCATTCACCAGGCCCGGTGGTCCGGCTGACTGTGCTGCGGTGCGACGAAACGGCTGTCACCAAGCACAGCGTCAGGGTCCCTGTGTACCATGTACAATGCTTGACAGTGAGCATAGACGCTCGAGCTGCGCCTCGAAGCATAACGATTGGGGCACGGAGATGGATCGGACTAGGCTGGGTCTCAAGAACGCCCAGCGTGAGCTTCAGAGTAAGCTTAGAGTTTCTGGCCAGGCCAATCGCAGGATCGCCCCCTTGCGAATCCGGAGGCGCAGGGGCACCAAACAGATGGTCCCAGGAGCGGAGAAGAGGAGCGCACGACGGGCATCAAGTCGTTGCGTCGCGCGCTCCACGTCGTGCCTGAGGCTTGCGCCGGCTGCTCGTCCATGATGCGGCGGGGCGCTGGTCGACGAGCGGCGTGCAGTCGCGCCGCGCGCAAGTATCGATTTCCGGTCAGGCGCTGCCGGTGCCTGGGCGCAAGGCTATTCCTGGAAATTAAGCATGCCCGGCTGAGCAAGAAATTGCAGCCGTCGCCAAAAGGCCGAAATTCACGACTCCTGAAGGCGCAGGAGAGTTGCTGGCTTAATCTGCTGGGCGGCGGTGCTGATTGGGCCCGAGTCCGCAGCTAGGCAGGAGCAGGCTAGCAGAGGAGGACAGACGCACCAGCAGCTCGCGCGATTGGAAAGAGCGACCGCGCTACTGCAGGAACGAGCAGGCGGGCATGCCGCGAGATTGGCTACGGGGCGGCGTCAGTGCATGGCAGGCGCGCAGGGCCCACCATCCTTGCCAGCTGCAATATATACGCCCTCTTCCTCACTGCCACCTTCGCTTCTCGTCTTTCGCTCACCACCTCCGACAAGCAGCAAAGCCTCACCAGAAGACTCGTTCTTCAGCCGTTCTTTAACAACCCCAACGCTCTTTACCTTTAATACACATATCTGTCTCTCGTCAATCCGACTACCCTAGTAATCTCCAAACAAACAAACAAACCCACAGCCATCAAGATGAAGTACTCCGTTGTTGCCTTCTTCGCCGGCCTTGCCGCTGCCTACCACGCCCCTGTTGGCGCCCCTACCGGCAATGCCATCACCGCTCCTCTTGTCCAGGTCAGTTTCCTCGCTGCCAAGTTGAAACGAAACACCGCGCTAACCGTCTCAGACCATCCCCGCTGGCAAGCCCTTCACCATCACCTGGACTGCCGACTCCCCCAACAAGGTCTCTCTGCTCCTGTTGAAGGGTCCTTCCACCAACGCCGTTTTCAACCAGGTCATCGTTGAGAGCATCGACAACTCCGGCAGCTACACCTGGACCCCTCCCACCTCCCTCGAGGGCACTGACGGCCCCGGTGGTTACGGAATTCAGCTCATCGATGATGTCGATGGTCACTACCAGTACTCCACCCAGTTCGGCATCTCCAACGAGAAGCCCGTCTCCTCCGCCGCCCCTGTCTCGTCCAGCGCCTACGAGAGCTCTGCCCCTGCTCCTAAGCCAACCATCTCCGCCTCTGGCTACGCTGTCTCCTCTAGCTCTGTCGAGGTCCCCTCCAGCACTGAGGCCTCTACCTCTTGCACTACCACCACCACCATCTACGCTCCTGCTCCCCCGGTCGGCACTGGTGCTTCCAGCGGCGCTCCCCCTTCCAGCGTTATCTACCCCACTGGCCCTGTTACCGTCCCTGAGTCTCTCAAGACCTCTGCCACTGGCGGCTACATCGTCCCCACCTCCACCCCTGCGGTCGAGTTCCCTGGTGCTGCCTCTGGCCTTCAGGCCGGTCTCGGCCTCGCCGGTGCCGTCGCTGCCCTCGTCGCCATGTTGTAAACCCTCTCCGAGAACTGAACATTTTCTCTTCTTCGGGTTCCGGGATTTCTTTACGCATGTATGACTCTGTCTTCGTTTCTAGGTGTTAAGTGAGATACCATATTTTGTCATTTGTCTTCGGCAGCATCTGTCTATAGATTCGCGGGTGGAAATGGAGCATGTTGTCGCGTAGCATCGTTCGCGTCAAGAAAATTTTCTGTCCGTTCTGGAAGCGCCTAATGATGGAGAGCTGGTAGGATCTAATGAGATCAGTAAATACCCCCCAGACTCTTGAGTATTCGCATGCTCGTGATGTATGATGTCTTCCGCAATCCTCAATTCTATCACAGAACGGAACAAGCCCTTCACTCGCTTCCATGATTGGGCGTTAAGTGAATACTTGGGTCTGTATCCGCTGCGCGTTCGTCGTGGACCATGTCCTAGTCCTGATCGCAAAGTGTATCCCTCCATGTTGAAGGAGTGCCCAGCGCTCGCCCAGTTTATAGATGATCCACCATAGCCAGGTCTCACCATGCGTATTCAACAGACACCACACCATGCTACGATCTATCCGATAGACATGCAGTAAAAAGTCACGTCGGGTCGGGTCCTACCATAATGACATCTGTCCACACCACGTGTATATTGTGCGTACAGCGCTTGTGAGTTGCCAGTTGCTAGTCTATCCGCGGAGTTATTATATGTCTTGTCAGCCAAAACGTCGCAAACCACCTCACGCGCTAGCTTGTTTGGATCTGCACCTGTTGGGCGCGCGGCCAATCAGTGTACAGGATGAGGGTTGTTTGAACCGGACATGGCCACAGTGTGGAACAAGGGGATTTAAGAAAGGAAATAGTGTGCGTCATGTGGCTAGACGTTTGCTGCGCGTAGATTAGACCTCTGGCGAGGACGATTCGGTATTGGGCGGTGTGCGTCACTCGGGTAGACATTTGCTGCACGGGAATTAGGACGGCAGGAAAGGGAAGCTTCTTGACGATGGAAAGCGGAAATCGCGTCGTGGAGGGCAGAGGCATAATTATAAAGGAGGTTGAGAAAAAGGCCAATCATTCTTCATCGATGGTGTTCATTGTGCCCCTTTGGTAGACCTGCGAAATTGACATCCGCCATCATGAGTGTTGCAAGACTGAGGAATGTACTGTTAGCTGGGCTTGCTACTGTGCAATTAGGGTGTGCCCAGATGGATGCATTGCGCCCTGGGGCAAAGATTGCCGGAAACGACAATGCGACACCCTCGATCGGAATGGTATGTTTTCCAGAACGAGCATGGCCACTCCATATACTCATATCTCCAGATCGTCTTCCCAGGCTTCACGCCTCTTGACGTATTTGGGCCCCGTACGTATCAAGCCCATGAACACCTTCCAATCTAACGAGTCCGTCTGCCCAGTGGAAATCCTTTTCGCCCTCTCCGGCTCACACAACATGACCCTCTCCACCATCGGCTTCACCACCGGCCCCGTGGACGCCCGCTCGCCCGCCCCCTTCTACCAGGACGTCGGAGACAACAACACCACGCCCTTCGACCCCAAGTTCGTCATCAACCCGCAGATCATCGCAACCCACGACTTCTCCAACGCGCCGCCCCTCGACATCCTTATCGTCCCCGGCGGCACCGGCGACTTCCTCCTCGACAACCAGCACAACTTTACCATGGAGCACTTCATCGCGAGCCGCTTCGACGCCGCACAGTACGTGCTGTCGGTGTGCACGGGCGCGACGACGCTCGCGCGGGCTGGCGTGTTAGCCGGGCGGCGCGCCACGACGAACAAGAGCGCGTGGAAGTGGGCGACGGCGTCGCGGCATGGGTCGAACATCACGTGGGTGCCGAGTGCACGGTGGGTCGAGGATGGGAAGGTTTGGACAAGTTCCGGGGTCGCTGCGGGCATGGATATGATGTATGCGTTTGCAGGGCATTACTGGGGGTGGGACGTGGCGAATGCGACGGTCAATAAGATCGAGTATACGCCGCATGCGGATAGGCATTGGGATGCTTTTGCGGTGGTGCATGATGTGAGTGAAGTTTTCGAGTGGAATGTTATGAGTGGAAGCTGACTGTTTACAGGTACCTGGTGCGGACAGGAATGAGTCGTTGACGGATTGTCTTAGGCCTGCTGGCTGGTGAGTTCGAGATAGAAGCGTGTGTATAGATTGCAGGTAGGTTTCGCTAAATATCTATGTGTAGTAGTTGTACAGTGACCGACAATGAAAATAGGGATTCTTGGGGCAGACCCTACTGTGAGCATCTACGATGACCTACTACAATGACAGTGTATAAACGTATGATAGAGTGAGTTAAGAAAGGTTGAGATGTGTCAGCGCCTACATTCCCAATTTTTGCGTCAGCAACAGTGGTATGAACTGGATCGTCATCAAGTAACCGGAGACTGAGCTGGGAGCCGAGTCAAAATTCGATTGCATACATCCACAAATCTCCCCTCTCAATTGGATGGTGTCTCTTAGTTGCACACGATTGATGCGCTAGGTTGAGTCTGTTCGATGGTGAGATGTTGGTGCTACGGTGACCCCCAGCCAAAGTTAGGAGCTGCACCCCGCATAAGATCCAACTAACTGCAATTGACATTGTACGGGACCGAGCTGAATCAAAACTCATGTCCACCTCACAATCACAGTCTTCGCGATATATATCTCCTTCCAATTTTGGCGCTGACAGAGAGTGGCTGAGCAAATGGAAGGGGAGGCATGTTTTCGAACTAGATCGTTTCAGCTAGTACGAGGTACACATACGGTTGCCTGATTCTGTGTCTTACCTCTTCATGCACTCCTTGTTGAACATTCAACTTACACCATTGACATGGCACTCCTATCTATAGCCAATCTCCAGGTCATCGCGCTTTCTTGCATCGGCGCTCTCATCGCTTATCGCGTCTATTGGGAAGCCACTACGGGCGCCGCACGGCGATCCCTGGCAAGACAGCATGGCTGTCTTCCCCCAAGACTCTTTCGCTCCAAATATTGGTTGTTCGGACTGGACGTCTTTCTCGCCAACATCAAAGCCTACCGCGAGCACAGGCTACTCGAACGGTGGACCAACACGCTCACATCCCATAATGCCCACACCCTCATTGCAAAGGTCTTCGGCCAGACAGTCCTCTGGACGGATGACCCGGAAAACGTGAAGACAATGCTGGCCACGAACTTCGACCAGTGGAGCCTTGGCCAGGAGCGCATCCAGCAGATGAAGGCATACCTCGGACACGGCATCTTCACCAGCGAGGGCGCGTCGTGGAAGCACTCCAGAGATATGCTGCGGCCATGCTTCGAGCGCTCGCAGGTTGCAGACATTTCGATTCTGGAGAAGCACACAGCGCGGCTTCTGCAGAATGTTCCGAAGGATGGCGCGACCGTAGACTTACAGCCGTTGTTGCATGAGCTTACGCTTGATGTCGCGACGGAGTTCTTGTTTGGGAGGAGCACTGATGCGCAGGATCATGGGAGGGAAGACAATGCTTGTAAAGAGTTTATCGACGCCTTTGAGTACTGTGAGAACCCGATGACTGAGAGAAACGAAAGATTGGGGTTTTTGGCATTCTTCTTGCCGGATCGGAAGTTCAAAAAATGTGCGAAGGCTATTAGAGGTATGTTCCGCAACACTGTCCGTTCCATGCCGAAATATCCAAGGATTCAGCCGTATCTTTTCAGTTGATGATTTGCAAAGAAGCTCTTGGAAAGAACAAGATACTAACACCACCCAGATTTTACAGATAGGATCATAGACGAAGAAATCACAATCCTATCGCAAAATACCAAGGATGCAGACAGAGCGTCAACTGGTCGCTATGTATTTCTCGACGAACTCCTGTCTGCAACGCAAAACCGCACAGTCATCCGCTCTGAGCTCCTCAACATCCTTCTAGCAGGGCGCGACACCACCGCCTCGCTCCTCTCCAACCTCATCTGGGAGCTCTCTCGCCAGCCGGCCATGCTGTCCCGACTTCGCCAGGAGATCGAAGACTCTATCGGCAACGATATCCCCACCTACCAGCAACTAAAAGACATGAAATACCTCAAAGCGCTCATCAACGAAAGCCAGCGAATGTATCCCATCGTACCCAGCAACTCCCGGCAAGCACTTCACGACGCAATACTGCCCCGAGGCGGCGGGCCAGACGGCCAGTCCCCCACCATTGTTCCCAAAGGCGCATACGTGGCGTACCTTCCCTGGGCTATGCATCGGCGGCGAGACGTCTACGGTGACGACGCTGAAGTTTTCGATCCCACTCGCTGGCTGGACGAGGGACATGCTTCGAGTCCGTTGAGGCCTGGTTGGGCGTATTTGCCGTTCAGCGGCGGGCCGAGAATATGTATTGGGCAGAACTTTGCGCTTACGGAATGCATGTTTGTCATTGTGAGGCTGTTGCAGGTATTCGATGTTGAACAGAGAGATGAGGAGCCTTGGAGGGAGAAGTTAGGGATCACCTGTGTTGGGCTTGGTGGGTGTAAGGTGGGTTTGAGACCGAGGGGTTGAAGGCTTCGAGAGCCTATACGGAACGTACTCTTCTGTTACTCTGGTTAGATATGGAGTTCGCAAATGCTGTCTCGATCCTGTTATTGTGCCGTATGTATTCGACATTGAAGTTCTGACACATACGACCATAGGACACTGGGAACTAGGCTTCCTGTCCTCACTCCCAGCTGCACAAGCGTTTTCTTCATCGCCGCCCTGCTGAAACATCGCACGCCTGGTTTGTAGATACGGAATGAATGTCACATGAACTACACGTTTGTTGTTCCTCCCATCACCCTGTCTATACTAGACACTTCGGTCTGTTGTTGATATAACGGAGGGACTCTCTGATCATCATCTCTTCTCGTAGAGGCGCAGGTTGTTCGAGGAAAAAGTCGTATAACTATAGTCTAGTCAGCGGCAACAGTGGTACATCTTCGTGATGTGGAATCTCGATAGAAGTGATCGGAGAAATCCATAAGAGCCCGAATGATCATGAATGCCAGCACATCCTGTCTTCCGATGTCCCTTTGACTGGTTTTGTTGCGTCTGCAGAATCCGTGAGCTATCCTGTGAAGAGGACCTACTCTGTCCCCTGGCTTCAATTGGAGCTTTACAAGACAGAATTGGGCACATCATTTTGACTATAGGTCCACAAAGTTGTCTTCCTGAGCGAAGTTGTAAGATGAGATGACATCAGTGATCATCAACACTGGGCGCCCGGTAAGCTTCCGCTGTAGCCCAGGGTCTCTTGTGAATGAGCAGAGCTTTTGCAGAGTCTGAGTGTCATTCGATTACTTTGGATGGCCTCCTCGGTTCTCCATTGAGTGATGGGTAGACTTCTCCCAACGGTTCCAGAGCCAGTGGCAGCAGCTGTTCATTGCTATCGCCCTTCCACTCCGAGCGTATACTATATAATGCATACGAGAGTTAGTGTCTTCAGGTCGCGGCCAGGCGGGATCACGTAGCAACCACACTCGCACCTATGTACATGTACTCCTTGTGTATCTCGATTTCCAAAGGTTCTTGTCCCAAACCTCTTGTCCATGCAGGACCATGTGCTCGTTGAAAGTTGTTAGATCTATATCCAGAAGATTATAAATGAAGCAGCTGTATCCTCGCGCATTTTTGAGATCGTGATGATTTACAAAATTAAATTTTTGGGCAGTTGAACTTGATCCATTTGCCGCAGAGACTACACATCAAAATACCACGAATGTGCCTGTTCATGATCTACTTAAACTTATGCCCTAGTTCTACCACCTCTTCAGTTATAAACCTTCCTGGCCACTTCAAAAGTGTGCTTATCGTTTTGATAAATTTCTCCTTATCAAGTTTAATCTCCCCCTTCTTCTTCAATTCGATTCTGTCTTATCCCCGGAATCATGTTCACAAGTTTGAAGGATGCATTTGTAGGTCAAGATTCAGGATTGCGACCCATGCACGTCAACTGTGCCACTCCTCGTCGTTGCTTCGAGTAGGGATCAATTGATCATCGGAATGTTCATTCATCATGTACCCTCTTTGAAAGATGTCTCCACGACACTTACAGATGCGACTTTACAACTGCGCCCCCTTAACCCCCGGCGTATCCGCAATCCGGAACACATACTTCACCGCACTCGCATTCCCCTCCTTCAAATCTGTCAGCGCCTTCTCCACCCCTTCCAATCCACCCTTCACCACCTCCGCCGGGTGCGGCGTAAACCATCCCTCATCCAGACCCCTCGCAATATATCTGAAAAAGATATACGCAAACTCCTTGTCGCCCTTGTGCGCTTCCCCCACACTCGTAATTGTCATGTGCACCGTCTCCGGAATACCCTCGTACTTCTTGCCTGGCAAAACCAAGGTAATGTGTCCATCTTTCTCCAACACCTGCACAATGTTGGTATAGCTGTTGTGCTCCGATACAGCGTCGAACGCATAGTACAACTTCTTGCCTTTGAGCGCGTCCTTGATGCCCGAGACGACAGCGTCATCGCCCTTGCGGTAGTCGACGATGGCGTCGCCCTTTGAGGGGTCCAGCAACTTCTCGACAAAGGGGATGCCGCGGCCAGCGACAGCGATGATGGGGTGGATGTTGGCTTTTCGCGCGAGCTTGATGGCGTACGCGCCGACGGCGGAAGCGCCACCGTACACTACCAGAGGGGTTTCGGAGTTTTTGGAGTTGGGGACCCAGGGGGCGTCGAGGCCGAGGCGGACGTGCAGGCCTATGGCGGCGGTCATGGCGGCCAGGGGAAGGGTGGCGGCATCTTCGAAGGAGGTTTTCTTTGGAATGTGGAAGGTGGTGTGCTGTAGATAGTGTAAGTCGATGGGTTTCTTTAGCTAGGAGACAGATCAAGGGTTGCCTACCTGCCATCCTACAGCGTACTCAGCGAAGCTTCCTCCGCTCGTCACCATCTCGTGGAAACTCGCGACGCGGTCACCCTTTTTGAACTCCCACACGTTCTCGCCGACCGAGTGCACAATGCCAGCAATATCGTCACCAGTATTGGCAGTCTGGCCCAGCCATTCTGGGAGCTTCCTATCCCACGTGATCAGCTGATTGCCAGGTGGAACTAATAGAAAAGCTCGTATAGCCAGAAAGAGAGGCTCTCTAGTTATCTTACCAGTCCTTGGGGTTACTCCCACTAACGACAACCTGCTGGTTTAGAATTTGATCTGAAAGACTTCATGAAAGCTAACCTGAATAACAACCTGCTCGGGACCAGGTTCAGGGATTGGGCTGTCCACAATCTTGACCGACGGACCCTTAGACACAATCGCTTCCTTCATGGTGCTCATAATATCTCTTTCTGTGATACTTCACAAATTGGTTGCAAAAATCTGATCGAAAATGGTTCTCTGGACAACTAAAGATTTATTGCTTTGTGCAGGTACTAGCGGGACAGATCTGCCTTCGAGACCCTTCTGTTTATACCCTACATCATTATGGATACCCCACATCACGCCTTATGCGTCATTAGTAATGCTGTTGCGTGCAAGAGGCAATGACAGCCGGTGATGCATTTGTGGCGAGTCGAAAGTTCTTCGGGAGTGTGCAAGCGGGGATGCGGCCGAGGTTAGCCGGTATCGACTAATTCCCGCTGTCACCGGGATTGTGGATGAAGAAGTCCCGACGCGCTTACCGAAACGAACCTTGTCGGTATCTGCACACCAAGATGGTGCCCAGTAGGAAAACTAAATGTTTTCGTAGTATTGCCTACCACGAACCCAACAATACCATACATAACGATGCTCGGAGAAGCAGGGTGGCGAGAACAGCCATTTGAGATGAACTTTCAAGTATGCATGATGATATTAAGTATTGACGGAGAAATACCGCACCATCGGGCTTATATCCTCAAGGCATAACCCCCAAGAACGCCAGACTCCGCTCTCAAATTCCAATAGACTGTCCCACCACCAACAATGCATGACCCAGGATGATATCCAGAATGCGAAGTGACTATGAAAAGAGAACAAGCTAGAAATCCAAGACTCTACTCAAACGCCGCATCGCCAACGCTCAGCAATCTCGATAGACAAACAACGCCGCTTTGGAACCTGGCGACTCAATTCGGAAAAAGCCAACACTGTGTCTAAAGTATCAGTCAACGAGTTGAAATGAAGGTTTTCATCGCCAAGCACTCTTCGAAGACGGCATCAAGCTGCCCCTCGACCCAGTCGAGCCGTTGCTAGCAATTCGTATTGGTGCTCTGTTGAGCGATCCACCTGCACCTGCTCCTTCGCCAGTCATAGCCATGGTCGTTCTTCGCGCCGGCCCCTTCACTATTGCGGCAGGTCGCGGGCTAAGGACGCTGGCCCTCCAGTCAACGTCGCGATCACCCTTGACCATTCGGCGCGCAGCACCGGCCGAGAGGAGCGTGTTCTCGTTTTGGGGACTGCCAGTCGCGGCAGAGGGACTACGACGGCGATGCGTGCGGCTCATTGGCATGGAGCCATGCACTCCCGACGAGCGTCTCTTCATTGCTGATCCGATCTTGCGCGCATCCGATTGATCCATGTTCCACTTCTCTTCATCTGACCCAGACGATGCCTCTGCAGAGTTGAAGTCCGCAGCATTCTCGACGCTATGCAGTGTCGAAGGCCGGATTGTGTTTGTGCCAATTTCTCGCAGAGGAGATGTGTCTGAGTCCGAGGAGTGAGCGTGAGAACCATCGGACTTCTTCGAAAGAAAGCCAGTCTGAAATCGGCTTGACTTCGATTTAAGATCGATTGACACTTTCGGAGGGGTTGGTATTGGCGAGGAACCGGCGTTCTGGTCTGATACAGGGGTGTCGACCGGCATGGAGAACGCAGGGGGAGGAATATCGATGGACGAGCTTGTTGGGGTTGACTCCACTGGATCCGGCGTCTTTTGGAACTCCGCCAGCGTACCATTCTCTGTATCATCTCTCCACCGGACGCCACGCTTGGCCTTGGCCTTGGACGGTGAGTTCTTCTTCAATGGAGAGAATTGCACGCCCTTCTTCGCGCCACCCATCTTTCGCGGCCGGCGAGGCGAGCCCTTCGGCGGCGATGCCGTCAAGTGACTTGCTTCAGCAAAAGATGGCGCTGCCAGTGGTCGACACTCGGAGGGGCCTGTGTACAATGGCGCCCTGCGCTTGGGCGTACCTTTCTGGCTCGGCGCGAAGAATTCCGTAACGGGAAGACCACCATCTGGTCGTACCGCGCGCGCAGTAGCGTTCGTGCAAGAGTTCATTATCTGGGTGAGTATCTTCCTCGCCGCTTGAACCGCCTCCTCTTCGTCCATTTGGGTGATCTGGCTCAATATAGCAACTGTCTCGATGTGGGCCTGTACAAGGACTTGCACAATTGCAGCGTCGCCACCCTTCTCTTGATCCAAAAGCACGCCCAACGCCTCTCGTTCCGCATTCGACTTTAGGATCTCGTATTCGCGCTTGATATTTGCAGCATCGTGGCTATCTTCAGACCCGTCGATTTCGCTGAGTTGCCGCAAGCCAAATTGTAGCGCAGTGTCAAGCTTGCTCGTCCAACTAGAGCGCTCCAAGCGACGGTGACAGTGTTGCCTTGTTTGCTCGAGCTCGGCTGAGATTCCGATCGCTGTATCCCTCACTGCGGTCACTTGCGATGGCATGACTTCGTTTTCCCGAAGGTCCTGGACTTGATCGAAGGCTGCTACCCAGGCTGATATCAGAGACACGCGTTTCTCAGCCTGCTTTAGAGTCTTTAGCATTCCTAACCTCTCCTTCCGGTCTGGCTCCGAATCCGAGTAAGCCTGCCGCAGCCGGCCTATTGCTTCGCGTACAACGATTTCTTTCTTCTCGCTCTGCTTCTGGAATTTGACAAAGGCACTCGCGTCGGAGTCTTTTTGCTTCTTCATCAGTTCGTCGATCAGCACCCGCTGCTCATCAATTTTCTTCAAGTAATCCTTCACATGTCTATTAACATTGAAGACGTTCTTGGTCACCTTGGTCTGAATGTTCTTTGCACGATTCGCGTATCGCAGGGTGTTCTGCGTCTCGTCGAAATGTGCGCTCGAGGGACTGACGCAGACAATCATGACTGTCCGACAGTTTCCACCAAGTGAGAACTTTAGCAGGCGAGTGAGCTTAGAGTTTCGGTAAGGGATGTGGTTCCTTTTCCGTGGGTCGCACAAGGCGTTGATGCAGCTTCCCAACGCGAGCAGGGATTTGTTGATATTCGCGCCTTCAATCAGGCGCTCTCCACGGTTCTTGGTCACAGACGCGCGCTCGCTGCCAGCCAAATCGATGATACTCAGGGTCGCCATGGTGTGAGGTTCGTTTACGGATGCGTTTCGATCTTTCGAGGACACATTGATTTGCAGAACGGCGTGGGATCGTGAAGAGGTTGCATTGGCTTCGGTCGGCGACATTGTTCTATACTCGTTTCCCCGTACGATGATATCCATAACTTCTTGTACCTGGACATGATCAGTAGCTGTGCGTTTAGTGGCAGTGGTGGCTTACATTCTGCGGGCGGTGGCTGGTCAAACCTGCAACTGAAACAGCCTGGTTTGCATCCTCTCGTAGCATTAGTGTTTGTTTACTTCCACCTTCCACTAGTAGATCGCGGATCGTCTCATTGTAAATTTCGAGGTAAGAGAGGGTGACTTCGGTGACCTTCTCCTCCTGCACTTCATTGATCTTCTCGAACAGCTCCTGCATGGTCAGGAATATTATTCCCGGTTGCTGCGAGGTTCCCCTGTCGAGCATTAGGCACGGCGCAAACGAGCGGCATCAATAATGAACGTACGTGATTGTATGTGTTTTTCCGCAACCGGTGGCACCGTATGCGAATACGGTGGCATTGTATCCATCCAACACGCTGTCAAGTAAGGGTTTCGTGGTCGACTCGTATACATCGCCCTGCGTTGTATTCTCGTCGAAGACGCGGTCGAATGCGAATGTCTGGTCCTTCACTCGCTTTCCTTGCGGGAGGAAGCTTTTCGAAACACGCTGCACGGGATTGTCTTCTGGTGGGTCGAATACTCTAGGACGGAGTCAGTCTCTGCGCAAGTGGCCACAGGTGTTTTGAGCGACATACAGGCACTTTTCGTCTATGACCTTGATGACCGGACGGATTCCCTTCGAATGCAGCTTGGGCGTCGGCAACGCTGCTAGCGAGCCATCCCCAAGAAAGAGCGTCGTGTCATCGCTTCTTGTTAATTGCGCTGCCTCGCGGATGGTGAACGGGCGCACTCGTACGGTGACGGAGATGGAGGAGGCGCCGTCGGCGACCATGGTCGTGCTATGTTAATTGTACTGCTTGTTAGTCCCACGCAGCTCCTGCAACAATGGTCAGGAGCGTGTCGTCAGCGAGGGTCGGTGGTGAGGATAGACGTGCGGAACTGTTAGAGCGAGCTTCGGAAAGGTTCAATGTTTACCAGCGGACCGTGCACAAAACAGACAGGGATCTGAAACCAGCAACCACGACCCAACGCCAGCGCACATGCGCATCGTCACTTCAGCTGGCCTACTGGTGCCACGGGCTCTCTGTCGTCTCTGTAGCTTCCAATTGTATTACATGCGGATGCATGTCCCACTGCACTCGTGCGTCCCTTGCCTGTGTGCCCGGCGCGGCGATTACAGCTGTCCTACAGCAACTTGAACTCCATGCACATGCGTATCTACACCTGGTGTGCCCAGTCTTACACGCCGGTCGTGATGCTGGATCCCCGTCCCTCAGGGTGTATGCCTGGTATGTGTCCCATAACGCCCATTTTACGCCATGTTGTCCTGAACACTTCTCATGCAACGCCCTCTTGCCCAGATGAATCATCCCTCAAATTCCCTTCCTCCTCCGACGTCCATCTCGTTCTCTACGCCGTAATTGTCCTCGTAACTTGCCAGCTGCACACCCCACATGTCTACCTTTCTTCCGTCGACCCTCTCAATGTCGTCGTCCTCTTGTGATCCGTTACCCTTCCATCGGAAAGCTAGGACAGCGCCATCACGAAGCCCTGCACCCTTTGGACAATCCTTGACGCTGTCTGCACCAATGGCGCCCGACTTCTGCGGTCGACCCGCTTTCGCCTTGCCTTTGCCCTTCGGATCCTCTGCGTCGTCCTCCTCCAGCAGTGAGTACTCCCATTCGCCCAATTGAAAGCCTTTGTGCGGGTCGTTCGTATTACTAGGGCGGCCAAGCTCGATATCGGAAGGTGAGGGTGGCAACGGGACCGGTTCCGAGTCGCTATCCTTGAGACCAGTCTCCTCGAGCGCTTTGTAGAGCTGTTCCTTGATCGTACGAAATGTTTGTAGCGGGTCGACGTGTAGAAGGACGGTGGTTTTGTGAGACTTGAAGCGTAGAGTCCATGTTTGCGACGAGGGCGTGGTGAAAGCCATCCTGTGGCTAAGATGCGCTCAGAGGAAAGCCAAGCTCCGAGTATGAGTGTTGATAGACGTATGCAATTGGTCTCTGAAATGCGCCACAGTGTTGAAAGGATCAAAGCTGGATCCGGAGCTCCGCACGGGAGAATGCGAAGAGGTAGCAGTGGGGTCCGCGAGAAGGTAGAGGGGCGCGCCAGCATCGCGTAGCGCGTATCCCTACCGCGCAGACGTCTTGGCGATTGCGGTTTCCATGAACTTGCGGTCCAGCAATTTGGAAAGCGCAATTGCTGCCACAACACAACACATCGCCTTCTTCTAGGATACACAATGGCGACGGCACCCCCAGATGCGGATCCACATAATGACACGAATACTTCTATGTCCAAAGCGCCACCGCCGTCCACAGCGCACTCCCCACATCGCCTCGGCATGCCCTTCGACCGGCGACTCCTCCTCGCGACGTTCACATCCTTCTCCTGCGGCTCGATGCTCGGCTACATGAATACCTCGCGGCTTGCCGCCCTCCGCTTTCGGGCCGAAAATGCCCACCGCCTGCCCATCTCCCAGCCTGGCTGGTATCTCTACCACAAATCCAAGAACTACTATAAGCTCAGGCACGGGATTACCGCAGGCCTGCGTTCAGGCGTATACCTCGCCGCATGGACGTCTATCTTCTTCCTCGTGGAAGAGTCCATAGACGTGTTCAGGGGGACTTGGCGGGCAGGAAGAACATTTAGGGAAATGGAAGGCATAAGTGAGTTGGACATCGAGAAGATGGATACAGGCGTGGAGAAGAGTAGAGATTTCTGGAGTAGCGTGGTCTCAGGCATGGTTACAGGCGGATTGTGGTCTGCTTGGAACAAATTCCCGGTCTTGACCGCTGCGCGAACTATCAGGTTGGGATTGTTTGCAGGACTGGGTTATGGTCTTTTCCAGGACAGCTTGATTTGGGCGAGGGGAAAGACCGGAGGTGTAGTCAATGACGCAGAGAGCTGGATATACAAGGGTGCGAAGAATAGGCGGCAGAGTACAGAAACGAGCGGGGAGCTGGAACAGCAAGAGTAGGAAATATGAAAACTTGCCGGCATAAAATTGCCATTTTGGAAAATCTCGACTTGAGAAGAAGACAGGCCAAAGCCTTCAGGCTGTCGCTTTAGCCGACATACTGTACCACTGCATCCTTGAGGAATGACAACCATCCTCAAATGGACTTCGCAACTTCACAATCAGGCCGTCGACACGGCCGATCCAAATTCTTCAGCAGCACTCGGTGGTACGAATCAAGCCGGTCAATTTCGTCTGAAAGCTGGCCTGATAGGCGGCGCGTAGGACTGGGGGACTCTGGTGCAAACCAGCTTTGGCTAGCGGCTGGTAAAATGGGTGGCATCTTATTCATGCACCCCACACACCTCGTCGAAATTCTGGTCGATGACTCTGTACAACAGATGATCGTAGACAGGTGCGCAGATCACATTGAAGACTACGTGGAAACCTCCTCGCTACAGTACCTAGCCACATGTACGAATATTTGTTTTGCCCAAGTTGCATACCGTGCCTCAACGCGTTAGACAAATTGAGTTCCGACGCAATAGATTGTGTCACAATGCGACATCTGCATATCCTCACCATACCATTCCCTTGAACTGATACGCACACCTCCACGGCCAGCTAAACAAACCAGAGCCTGCTTCCCAGATCACTACTGTAAGTCGTACCCTTGCCCTAAATTCGGCCGAGATTGGTGTGTAAAGCTGTAGGTTGAGGTCGCAGTACCTGACACAATCGCGTGCCGCGCGCCGAATCAACATCTCAAGCCGCGTCACCCAATTTCCACCGACGCGCATGCCCCTTATCACGCAACCTCAATCCAGGAAGGTCATGACATGGGACCTAGACGATTCTGATGCCCACTTGATCATTAGTGCCAAGTGAAAGCTTAGCATTGCTTGATTTTGCTAGTCTACCGGGCCGCCGGCACGCTCTTTTTCCCCGACTTCCAAGGCCGTTCGCCCTATCTGAGAACAAATTCTCAGCACATGTAGGTTTCTTGCGGAATTCGAATCCACGAACGTTTCTAGAAGGAACGATATATACAACACGTTAGGAGATTACTCGTTTTTCTAGCTCAAAAGCAATGCCAGCTCGAACATCACTCCCCGTTAGAGCCCAAGCAGAACACTAGCTCTATCGCAGCGCTACCGCCCACTAATCTTAGCTTTTCATCTCTACCGCCACACACAACATTCGGAAACACGTCCGCAGCGTGTCCACCGCCACACATCTACCATACAATGCCTTGAAACCACAGGCAACGCGGCTCATGTGGCTCAACGAAGCCACGCCGGGCGAGGCTTTTTCTAGCTGGGATGCCGACACCCGCACGCTCAAGCCGTCCGGCTCGTCCCGGATCACATGGGAGCACTGCACTCGTTGCAGGGTATGGCCGTGGGTGGACATGGACTACGTAGGCTCGCGCTAGGCCGCGAGCCGCCCGGACGAGCATTCATAACGTGCGCGGACATGCTCACGCGACACCGTTCCTATCACTTCTCCTCTCCTCTCCGCTATCAATGCTGTTTTTCCTCGCCGTGCTGGGTCTCCTGTTGTCTTGTTTTGGTCGCACGAGCGTTCGCGAACGGTAAAATTCTTCAGTGAGACAGTCGACACCGGGTGCGGAGCGCGGAGTGAGAACGGGTTGGGTGAGGGACTGATATACTATGGATATTTTGGGCCGGCGGTGACAACGTCTGGAGAATCGTCGATCGACATGTATATCCGCTGCGTACTTATTGCTTTCGTGGTGGGAGCGTGGGCGCTGCCGAGTCCGCCGACGGTGTTTGGGCCCGATGATAAGCAGATGAATGACCATGCACCGACTGTGTTTAATCCGGATGGAACTCGTGCGTCTAGCAGCAATGGGAAGATTGATACGCCACTTGGGAGTCCAGAGGGCTTTAGAAAGAGCACAGACAACGCAGTGAAATGGAAAGGCCCAGCAGAGAAATACTTCCACGAGTCCACTGTACGTTTACCTCTCTTCTTTCCAGAAATCCCAGCCACACCCCCTCTAGCCATACTAATCACACCTAGTTCGACGGCCACTACGACGGCCGCTTCGCCGACCGCACACTACCCCCAGACAGCCGCAACGAGCACCTCCGCGCCCTCCTCCGCACCTACCTTGCGACCATGCACGCCCTTGGCGCCGAGACCTGGCTCATGCACGGCTCGCTGCTCGGCTGGTGGTGGAACCGCCGCATCATGCCATGGGACTCGGACATTGACGTGCAGGTCACGGAGCCCGCGCTCAAACTCCTCGCAACGCACCACAATATGAGCGTGCACGTGTTCCAGGACGTCGAGTGGCTAGGCGGCGTGGATATGGGCGGGCGAGATGTCGGTGTTGGGCGGAGAAGCCGTGACGAAGACGTGGATGTGATTGTGGGAAATAGGGAGTATCTACTCGAGATCAACCCACACTGGAAGAACACGAGTTACGCCGACAAATACAACGTCATCGACGGGCGCTGGATCGACATGAAAACCGGCCTGTACATTGACATCACCTCCGTGCGGTGGAACCAGTCATCCCCCGTGCCGGGGACACTGTACTGCAAGGACCGGCACCACTACCTCAGCCGGCAGATATTCCCGCTGCGGACGTCGGAATTTGAGGGCGTGCCGGCGAAAATCCCGTATGCGTATCAGGAGCTGTTGGCTGAGGAGTATGGGACGGAGAGTCTGGTACAGACGGTGTATAGGAAAGAGGGGCATGTTTTTGATAAGGAGAAGATGGAGTGGGTGGCGATGAATCGTCCGAGCCGGAATGATGAGGGGGAGTTTAGACAGGGTGAACGGCACGACAAGCAGAGGGAGAAGGCGAGGGAGAAGGCGAGGAAGAAGGCGGCGGCGGTGGGGAAGAAGAAACCGCATGCGAAGAGCAGCGCCAGGGACGAAGAGAAGGAGGGTAGTCTGAAGCTTAGGGAGGAACGTGGGGGACGACGTCCGAGGGGGAATACCGAGAGCGTGAGGACCGTTGTATGGCGGCTATTCGTAGGAGTCTGAAATATTTCAAATGGTGGTCTTTTACGTGGACGTGAACACCCGCGATGCAGTATCAGGTCAAAACTCTAGACCCTCGTGGTACCTCAATTTACCCCAGGAAGAAGCATCAAGAAACTGAATGGGGAGCACCTGAGCTTTTACACAGTCCTGAGACTTAATACGCGGTCCATCCGAACTGCCAGCAAGGTTAGCCGATACGAGGCTCGTGCGATTTGCAATTGGCTTTGGCCTGTGTGTCGCGTGCTTCGTATGTCCACCATATCCTGAGCCGCACGTGAATGTCTCGCGGGTTCTCTTGAGCTCTCGTTTCCATTCCCTCGAAAGACTCTTGGCCAGAGTCCAGACCCTCGTAGACAAAGGGCCGGCAACCCGCGCCTCTCTCCACCAAGAAAAGGGCAAATCTCGTGATCCTCGTGCGAAACCCCGCCTTTGAAGATGTCATCGTCATCAGGGTCCACCACCAACCCATAAGATTCGCATGAGCCCAGGTCAGATTGTTACTGCCTTATAACCTCCCAACAATACTGTTGTTGTTTACCAGAATCCAGAAATAGCTCTTGAAGCACCGAATATGACGAGGCAAGTCATGCAGACAACAAACCTTCTTGCCACCGTGATTAACTACTCAATAAAGTCAAGACGACTGGGACTATCAGCTCTCAAGCAGCAAGATAGAGCCGCTCGAGTCACCCACCAAGCGCCATTTTCCACGGGACCGAACTGGCTCTATTGGTGAGGATTTTGACATCGAGCATTCGCATATCGCGCCATTGGACAGCCCCGTGAAAGGTGAGCTTGACCATCTACTCTGGTGATGATGAACTCAACTCGTGTGCTCAGAGCATCCGCATCCCATGTATGACGAGAAGATGTCGCACCATCACAAGTCGAAAGGTGGATCATCGAAAGATGCAGAAAAAGTGAAGAAATGAGCTGAGGGCTGATCACAGCTGACAAATTGGACGATGATGTGGATTAAAGGAAGTCGCAAAGCTTTTTCCTTTTGAAGCATCGGCATTATCTCATAGCTTTTGATTTAAATAAGGAAATGTGAGAGAGATATTTGCATTGATGTCAAAGCACTGCAGAGTGTAGAACACGAGAATCTTGTTTACCGCGAGACAAACAATGTGATGTTTGCGAGTACTTGAGATCTAAGTGTCAGGAGACGGTTTCCAGTCTGGCTGCAGGACTGCCACGTTTGGTAATGCACAGACTTAGGGAGACTTGTGACTTGGTGTCGAGAGGCCTTGGCGCAAGATGGCAGCTTATTCAGCTGCAGGTACGGAAAAGGAAGATGCTGCTTAGGCGTCCATGTAATGGTTGTGGGGCGAAGTTGATTATTTGTATGGTAAGCCTGTAATCTCCGAATGTCGTTCCTGGAGATTCCGATGTACATTTCTTGCTAAATGAATGCCTTACGACCCGAAATCCTACTCAGCGAGCGCCTTGCACCTACTTGTCGTTTATCGCAAGGCAACTCCGCTTATTAATGTGATTTCCGTGATTTCTGCAGTCGTTTGAGTATGCCAAATTCCAGAGCCACACACCGACGAAGTGAGATTCGACTCTCGAAGGATTCAGTCGTCTGGGAATCAAAGGCTTGAAAGCTTGGCTTGGGCTAGCATGGGCTTAAACTCGCCAAGCACCACGATCGAGACCTGAACGTATTCTTTTCGATCTTGATGTTGCCGATAGAGGCTCACGATGTTGACGAGGTCGGAGTCCAAGTAAAGCTGTAAGAGTATAATTGTAATGGAAGCGAGACGGTGGGGCTTCTGTCTTAGCGCAGCTGACGACGACTTGTAGCGGAGGTGCAGGCCATCCAAGACTCTATGCATGCACTGGGCGTCCGTTACAGAAACAGAACATGAGCATGTTGCTGTTACACTGTGGACAATGCGGGCTTGGAAACCAGTCCCGCACCGTGTCTCGCAAAGGTGGAGCGACCATCACGATCTGATCAAATTGTCTGATGCGCGTACGCCAGCAGATTCGTCATGTGCAAAGCCCGTTTCCGGAATGGTGCTTGAAGCGTCTGACAGGATGCGAACCTTGACGAAGACCGTACGCGGTTCCCAAGGGCGAAGGCGGCTGTTTCAGCACGGGTGCCACGCGGAAAGGCAGCTGTCTGGCAGCGGAGCGACCTACGGTTTGCGCTACGATACCGCGCAACGCTTCGCGATGGCACCAGCAGGAGAAGGCTGGGAGCACGCTTGGGACGGATTGACAGGTGCAGTGCTGGAACGGCGCTGCAGGCCCCTCGCCAATATTTGTTAGTGGTTATTTTAGGGCGCGGGCTGCGTGGACTCAATGCATCGGTCCACGGACTGCCAGGCCAGGCCAATGAAGGCCCGTCCGCGGCAGGATCTGCTTGCCACTGCACGCTTTGTCAGGTCGTTCTGCTGCGAAGGCAAATCAGCAGCGGCGGCATCATACGCGTGGGTATGGCTCTGCTGCGAACGCGCAGGGGTGGGTTTGCCGGTAGGGCGCGGGAGGTTGTGGTGCCAGTGTCAGGGGCTGCCTCGCACCTGCTCGAGACGGCGAGCGGCAATGCAGCGGGCTGAACAACGTCAAGAGTGGAAAACGACTTGCGCTGCCAATTGCAGAGGCAGTGAATGGTTGGGACGCTGGCGGCCGCCTTGGTCGCGTCTGACACCCGTGTTGAGGGTCGCGCGATGGTGATTTGCGGGTGGCGGGGGCGCATGGGCTAAGCTGGACTTGGCCCCGTTGATAGGAGCGATAGCTGGGGGTTCCTCTTGCACCCGGGAGCGTTTTGCGCGCCGTCGAGGCTGGCTTGGAGCGTAGACGGCTCGGACTGCGCAAAAGGAGCCAGCGCTGCAGCGGACGGCACGCAACGGGCTCTGTCGCTATCGCCGTTCGCTAGGGGGAGTCTGCTCCGATCTGCCTGCTGCTGCATGCCTGGCCCAGCAGAGATTGGGGCACGAAATTAGCGCGCTCGGCACCTCGCCCGCTAGGCCGCATCGGCGCGACACCCTTATCCACAGCGGCCTGCCCATCCCTCCCTCTTCAATCCACGGCGTCCTGCCACTGTTTCGTCGTCCTACACGCCCGTGGGCCGTCTGTCGTTCGTTACCTCCACCAGCTTTGCGTGCTGCTTCCTCTCCTTGTTCCCCGCCGCGGCCGTGTACACAAAAAGGCCGCACTTAATACACAATCACGACGCAAACGCAAAGCTCCCTCGACACCGGTCCAGCAGCCCCCTCGGATGCTCCAATAGGCAGCCCGCAGCAAGCAGTCACAGGCAACGCAGCCACCATGTCTTCGCGATTCGGCCTCAAGACACCCAAGATGTTCATACGGACGCGCTACGAGAAGCTGCCCGGCGGTGACTCGCAGAGCGCCTCGCCGCTCTTCAGGTCCGGCACCTGGTCCAAGGGCTACCGCAGTCCCATGTGGGCGAACCGCCTGCAGCGCCCGCGCATGTCCTTTGCGCGCATCATCATGCTCCTTGTCGTGTCCATTTTGATCGTCTCCATGACGGTCACAGGTATCGTGAAGCAGGTCCGCTTGAAGCACCACCACAAGGGCGACGACCGAAAACTGTACCATTGGGAGCACTACCCGAGGTGAGCACTGCATCACTATTCTGCACCGAGCCTGCAGCTAATGTTAATAGGTTACGCGGTCTTTTCAACGGCGTGCGCACTCTTGTTCCCCATAGCGACTACGTGTCGGAGCAAAACTTCGTCAAGTACTCGCAGAGCGCCAACCCTGAGGACAACATCAAGCAGAGGTGGCCCGTGATGGACAAGGAGCACAAGGAGCCCCCAATGGATCCCATTCGCTTCAGCCCTTACCCCAAGTTCGATTCTAAGGACTATCTCAAGACCCACGAGGAGGTACACACCTGCTACCTTGATGAGGACGAGAAGGTTGAGCTACCTGACATATACGCCTATCCCGGCATCCCGCAAAATCAAACCAACCCCTCTTTCGGCTCATATGAAGAGCTCGGTCTGAATGACAAGGTCTGCTTTGATCGTTTCGGTCGATTCGGTCCCTACGGCTACTCTTATCCCCGCGAGCAGGGTGGCTTTGGTCTTGCTGACAAGTCGGAGAAGAACGGTGCGGACAAAATCTGGAGCACCGAGCCAAAGATCGACTACACAAAGGTCAGCTGGGGCAAGGCGCAGAAGCGCTGCTACGAAAAGAATAAGGCTCGCTTCCTCAAGAACGTCACGCAAAGCGACAGCGAAGAGAACCATGTTCAGAAGAAGAAGGTTCCCCGTCATGCATACATTCTTCGCACGTGGACTGGGTACAAGTACAGTGAGCAGCAGATTCTCACCATCCGCGCCATGATCAACGAACTTTCCTTGAAGTCTGGCGGCGAGTACGACGTCCACTTCTTGCTCCACGTCAAGGATGATAGCATACCCATCTGGTCGTCCGATGAGTTCTACGAGAAGACCATCCGCGACAATCTTCCCGAAGAATTCTGGGGCATGGCTACGCTGTGGTCTGAGCAACAGATGCGCCTCTACTACCCTGAGCCGTTCCCCAACAACGTCTACAACCACGCCAAGGCCCCTGTGCACTCGGTTTACCGCAGTGCTCACTTCCCTCTGCAATGGTTTTCCCAGGTTCACCCCGAGTACGATTTTTACTGGAACTGGGAAATGGACCTCCGGTTGACTGGCCACTACTGGGAGTTCAACACCAAGATTGGCGACTGGGCGCGCAGGCAGCCTCGCAAGGGCATGTGGGAGCGTGCGTCCCGTTACTACATTCCCGAGCTCCACGGATCCTGGAAAAACTTCACCGACATGGTGGAGGAAGAGATGTACAACAGCGACGAGAAGCCGGTGTGGGGACCACCTAAGTTTGAGAACACCGGTATGCTCGAGAGCCCACCAGAGACTGAGCCTCCGCGAACTTACTTGGCCGACAATTATCAGTGGGGTATTGGCGAAGATGCCGATCTGATCACCTTCAACCCAATCTTCGATCCAGCCAAGACCAACTGGGTGTTCCGCGACGATGTTTCTGGCTACGACCTTGAACTTCCGGAGCCACCTCGACGATGCGCTATCATCACCGTTTCCAGATTATCCAAGCGCTTGCTCGATCTCATGCACCGCGAGACATACCTCATGAGGCACCACATGTTCCCAGAAATGTGGCCTCCTACGGTCGCTTTCCACCATGGTCTCAAGGCAGTGTACGCTCCACACGCTGTCTACTTCGACCACAACTGGCCTCTCGAGTCGCTCGATGGAACGTACAACCATCCGCCAAAGCCTACTGACAGCGTGTTTGGATGGGGAGAGCACAACCAGCTTGGCAACAGCTTCTACTACAACGCCGGTTTTTCATCAGAACTCTGGAGACGGTGGTTGGGAGGCCGCGAGTACGACCAGGGAGGACCAATCGAGGAAGAAAACGGTACCGGCCGGCTGTGCCTCCGCCCGACACTGTTTCATCCCGTCAAACACGAGAACCTTAACATATGACACTGATCTCCCTTCGAAGTTCGATGCACTTCTTTACCTTCTGGCACGGCGCTACATGATTTCTTCTGGCGTTACAATATCGCCGCATAGACTTTTTGTCCACTTCCACTTTCGTTCCCTGGGCTTTGGCATACTCAGCGTTGTTTGATTCTTACACACTGTTGCCGTTGCGCTAGTGTCTTACCATCATCGGGCGGCGTTTCACGGCGTTTGGAGAGGCGAGTGAGTACTTTTCTTCAACTGTACATGTTGGTTTCCTTTCTCATTCATTTCCTTGTGTTGGGTCTCTTGTCACAGCGTATACCTTACTTTTGCGGGACAACAAAAAGTCGAAGGGAGATTTAATTAGCCGGCAAGGCACGCCCATTCTTTTGCAACGGACCGTCACGGAGGGCGCTTTTGGATTGAGGACATATGCAGCATCTGACTTGATCGGAAAGTTTGAATCGCTGGGTGGCGGCGGATGAGTGCGAATGGCGTCCTCTCTGGGGATGATACGTGTACATGACGAAGGAGCTTCCTGTCTCTCGCTGATTGTAGATTACGAGTCAGATACTGGTAGTAATATAGATACCTCCTAATCATCTTGGCGCCGTGCATGGTGACTGCAGTGGAATGAACAATGCGCCGTTGGAGGGGCAGGCGCGAACCGGCGTCGGCAAAACTAGGGCTCCGCGCTTGCTTCCGTCGCGATATTCCGAAACAGTCATAGCATCTCGAGGACTCAGAACGCTCCCCGCACTCTCCACGCATTCGACTCCCAGTTACGCACGCAATCATGGCAGGCGGTACGCGCGGACCAGTCCCTGTCCCCCTCAAGACCGAAGAGCACAATGTCACGCAAGACGTCCTGGATCTGCTCGAGTCAAAACAAACCCTCCAAACTTCCGAAGACTTTCCGTCGATACCTCAGGCAGAGATCAAAGCAGCACTGGACCGGCTCGCGAGTCGGTCCATGGTCGAATATCAGGCCCACGATTCAGAGCAGGTCCTTCTCACCCCAGAAGCCGAGTCGATCGTAGCAGACGGATCGCACGAGTTCAAGGTCTGGAAGGCCGTCAAGGATGCAGGCAAGGTGCCAATCAAAGAGCTTGCGGTATGCACATCATGTCAGCTTATAGTGCCCTGAAGACTAACAAATTTGCCTCACAGAGCATTGTCGGCGCTGAATCTGCGAAAGTGGGGCAAGGCAATGCCTTCAAGAACAAGTGGATCAAGAAGGATGGCGATTCTCTCGTACTCGTAGCGGACACGGTCCAGGACGCGACGCGCGATCTTCTCAAGGGCATTCAAGAGACCAAGACCCTCTCGGACAACAAAACCCTCAACGAGTTGAAGAAGCGGAAGCTCGTAACGGTAACCAAGGTCATTGACTACAGCGTAACGAAGGGCCCCAAGTATGCAAAGGAGATACCTGTCGAGGTCACGGACCTGACGGCAGACATGCTGGCAAGCGGCGCGTGGGAGACGGCAAACTTCAAGCCGTACAACTTCAACGCGCTCGGTGCGCCGCAAGATGCGGGCAGCTTACATCCACTGAACAAGGTGCGCCAGGAGTTCAGGAACGTTTTCTTCTCACAAGGTTTCGTGGAGATGCCTACCAACCAGTGAGTGAGCTTCCACGTGGATGGGACAACACAACTAATCATACCAGCTACGTCGACTCGGGCTTCTGGAACTTCGATGCCCTCTTCGTCCCACAACAGCACCCCGCCCGTGATGTCCAAGATACCTTCTTCATCTCAGACCCTCCCAAGGCGGACAAACCGCGTGCAGATCCTATCACAGAGGCTACTATGGACACAATGGAGGCAGGATCGAGAAAGCTTTTCGCGAAGCCCAATGAGACTGGCGAGAAGCCCAAGTCACGAGACTTTGAGAAATACTGGCAAAATGTACAGGACGTGCACCAGAAGGGCGCCTTTGGCTCTGTCGGCTACAGGTACCCCTGGTCAGCCGATGAGTGTCTGCGTCTTGTGCTGCGAACGCACACTACCGCTGTTTCTACCTGGGTTCTACACCGTCTGGCAGAGAATCCGCGACCTGCGCGTTACTTCTCTATCGACCGTGTCTTCCGTAACGAGACGGTGGACGCTACACATCTTGCAGAATTCCACCAGATAGAAGGTGTCATTGCAGACTTCGGCCTCACTCTTGGAGGTCTGATGCGCTTCCTCGAAGACTTTTTTAGCAAGATGGGTCTGGAGAACTTGCGCTTCAAGCCAGCATATAATCCCTACACCGAGCCCTCGATGGAGATCTTTGGTTTCCATAAGGGTAAGTAGTTTCGTCACTCCACATGTTCAATCTAACAGCTATACAGGTCTCAACCGCTGGATCGAAATCGGCAACTCTGGGCTCTTCCGTCCCGAGATGCTGGAGCCTATGGGCCTGCCCAAAGACATGCGCGTTTACGGCTTCGGGCTGAGTCTTGAACGCCCGACGATGATGAAGTATGGTGTCAACAACATCAGAGAGCTGCTCGGACACAAAGTAGACTTGACATGGATCAAGGAGCAACCTGCCGTGCGGTTGGAAAAGGACTAAATGCTTGGTTGCGTTGGATGAGGTAAAAAGATTTCCGCGGGGCGCTGCTTTGGCTGGGCTGATGTGTATGATGATATGATAAACGAGCGGGCGTCAATATATCCACAATGGCGGAACGTTGAAGAGTATCCTCAATGAATCAAGGGGTTTTCAACAACTTGGAGCTAAATGTATATTCCTAACGCCGTACAGTTCAAAGGATTGAATACTCGAGTGGAGAGAGCTGCGAGATTGTGGCGGCGCACCGATACACCCCGTAAAGCTCTACGCTGTCTAGGGAAAATGTAGGACATTCCTGCCCTATCAATAGCGGATGCCCACACTATAACGCCCCTTCGTTCTCGCTCGGTCCGGACTCGCAGAACACCTCTCGTCCGGTTGGAAGTTTAACGAGTGTGAGCAGGCGGCCGCCCACCCCGCCCGTACCCTAGCATAGTAAAATCGGACTAGCCGGAGATAGACGAATGCTTCCTTTGAACGTACTACCGACGCTACGCGAGTACTACGTAGATGGACCGTCTCATAATTTGGCACGAACATGCAGAAATATATAAAGAGGGTGCCAAACTTCTCTCAAATGAAATAGCTGCTGTAGCCTCCACCCCCAGCTTTTCTCACATCTTCGTTAACTTGAACCTCAGCAACCTCTTACACAGGATTAGCCATATCATCCTAAATCTTTGAAGAACAACACCACCACAGCAATGGTTAAACAGCTCCTCGTCGTCTTTGGTGCCACAGGAAACCAAGGCGGCTCCGTTGCCTGCGCTGTGCTTGACGACCCTGAACTCTCCAAGCGCTACGCCGTCCGCGCTGTCACACGTGACACTTCCACTATCAAAGCGCAAGAACTCAAGTTGCGCGGCGCAGACGTTGTCTCAGCCGACATGGACGACCCCTACTCGCTCCCCACCGCACTACAAGACGCAAACTTTGTCTTTGCTGTCACTGCCACGTCCTACGACGGCAACACGCGTGCCATCGAAACGCGGCAGGCCACCGCCCTCATCGACGAAGCCGTCGCGCAGGGCGCCTCCTACATCATCTGGTCGTCCATGTCAAACCCCGCCAAGGCCAGCGGCGGCAAGCTCACGCACGTTGACAGCTTTGACGTCAAAGCTGAAATCGAAACATACCTGCGCAAACAACCCGTCAAATCCGCGTTCTTCGCGCCAGGCACCTTCATGCAAAACTTCACGTCGACGATGGCGCCGCGGCCGAACCCCGCTGGTGACGGGACCTATGTTTTAGCTAACCTACTACGGCCCGAGTCACGGCAGCCGCTCATCGACATCACCGACGCTGGAGCGTGGGTGTCTGCGATCCTGGCGGACCCGGATAAGTACGAGGGCAAGTTCTTCGCTGCCGCCGAGAGGATGTATAGTCAGGCGGAGATTGTGGAGGTGTTGAGCCGCGTGAGTGGGAAGACGGTGAGGCATGTGCAGGTCGAGGATGAGGTGTATAAGGGATTTTTGCCCGAGGCGGTCAGGGACATGCTGTTTGATATGTATTTGTGGATCAGGGACTACGGGTATTATGGGGAGGGGACGGAGAACGATGTCCAGTGGGCGAGGGAGCAGGCTAAGGGGAGGTTGACGAGCTTGGAGGAGTTTTTGAGGAAGATTGGGTGGGGGTTGGAATGAGGGGTGGTGAAATAGAGATGATTCGTTGCTTTTTAATTTTAGCAATGGGCATACAATGGGAGACTTCATGCGTATGTCACGAACATTTGCAGATCAATGATCTTGGGAACTTGGAGTGTTCTTACAGGTATATTGCGAAAGCGTCCGGAGTCTCACAGTGCGTATGCATCATAGCGAAAACAACCATCCAATCAACTGAAACAACACGTTAACATCACCTAACACCATCATCTTTACCGGCTAAAATGGATCGTCACACTCTGTCAAGACCATCACTGCCCAGCCGCTGCACTTCTCAGCTCTCCCACCTTACCCTCCAAAACACACCCAATCGCTCTCTCCAACACCGTCACAAGCACGACCTTCTCATTGGCCTTTTCACCGCCTTTCTCCTGCTTTTTGTATCCTAGCCCACCATTTTTCTCAACCAACGCAAGATCCACCTCCTTCCCAATCACCTCCCGCAAACCCTCTGCATCCGCGACTTTCACACCCAGCTCCCTCAACGCATCAATGGACCTTGGGTCCGCATACGGCCACAAAGCCTCGCCCCAGCCCTCGCAGGCCTGCACGCGGCGGCAGAAAATCTGCGCGCCCGTCTCGCCCGTGCCTTTGACTGTCTTCTTGATGTACTCGATCGTCGCGCGGGGACCGCCCTCGTTGGTTGTCTCCGCCAGCTCCTGCATCTTCTCACTGCTGGAATCACCTTTGGAGGCCGCATCGGCATACTGTTCGCCCATTTGCGCGAGGTAGGATGCCGTCTTTTGGCGATGCTGGGTCCGGGCTTCTTCGAGCGCACGCCATATCTTGTCCTCTCCAGCTGCGTGCAGCTTATCAGGCGTAGAGAATCCATAGGGCTTGTTGAGCAGAGTTCTAGTACTGCGCATGCCGAGCTTGTGAGACAGCGGCTTCGAGAGCAGGTGAGCTGTGATGAGATGCTCGAAGGGCGTGAAGTGATTTGGCGGAGTGAGAGAGTATGTTTTGCTGATTTCTCCAGAGTTCGCGGCGTCGAGCTCATCTGAGGGGAAACAGTACGGAAGTGCGTCAGAAGAGAGCAGGAAGTTTAGAATTTGCGTGGGTGTTGCTGAGTTCGCTGTTCCGCCGCCGGGTTGGCGGGATGAAGTACGGCTGCCGGTGCGAGGTTCCTTCTTAGGTGGTTTGTCTTTCGAGGACATGGTCGGAGGTATCTTGCGTTTTTTTGTATTTGCGCTTGTTTCTCCTTGTTTGGTGGGTGATGGCTTGTTGGTGTCTGCATGATGTGGCTTGGGATCTTCCTGTTCTTGTGTGGGTTCTTCATCATTCGTTCCTGCTTTGGAGTTATTTTCTTCTTTTGACTTCCTCTTCTTAGAGTCTGTGGGTTGCGCAATGCCGGTAGCCTTCTTGGGAGGCATCTCAAGGTCGTTGCGATGTAAAGTGGCTCAATTGAGACTTCCCGTCGCGATGATGAATGGGTTGAAGGGAGGACCTAGCGAAGAGCGCCTTGGGTCGACTGCAGACAATTGAAGATCGAATCCAAGGTGCAGTGGTCTCGGTCCGTAGATATGTCTTGTCTCCGGTAAAGATTTGGGACCTGATATAACGTCATGACGTCGTTGTCGGATCAGGGTCCTTTAGCACTGTCATACCTTCCCCTAATCTGGCACCTTGATTCTACTCGCATTTGAGACCGAGTCCTTACCAGCACCACCATCCAATCTGTCTTTCAATAAAATAAAAAAATTCGCATCTTCGTTTCAATGGAAATTACATTGATTGCCTGCCCAGGTGATATCCATCCTCAATATAGTAGCATGCGATGTGCTAGGGCCCCGCAGAACCCGCACTCGAACGCAACACGGCAACTTCGCAGGTCACATCGTGCTCAATTCCGAACAAGATACTGATTGAAACCCTCGATCAGCTGCTTAGTTGGTTAGACCTCGTGTTCGGTATGCTTGAAGTGGTTAGCCCCAGGTACCAGACGTCCGTTAGCGGGGGCCAAACTAGTGATCCCCAACCAGTGAGCAAGACTCGTGGGCTAGCCATGGCCCTATCCTGTTAATAGTCTTCAGGACAGCTCATGTGTGCTTATTCCTTCGTACAGAATCTGGGACGAACGAACCGCCCAATCGTTGCCTAGACATAGCTGAGCTCGGCAGGTGATGGATTCGAAAACACAAAGTATATGAGGCTCTAGTGTAGTGGTGCCTAACCGCTAAAATCAGAGGTTCAATATGATGGCTTCAACCCTGTTTTCCTGACACGAGGAAGGTCGACACTTCACAGCTGGGGGACGTGACTTTCAAAGTTACCGTGAAAGACACAAAAGATCCTCATAGTTCGTGGACGCCACGTATGTGACATATGTCATTTGCATTATCCGGAGTTCCAGGAAACTAGCGACACCTTTCAAGAATCTGAACAAAACATCCACTATGAGAACCTTCGTTTGATACTACGAGAGGCCTACCTCAAACACACTGGAATGAGCGATCAGTTTCCACCCACCCTCCTAGGGCGAGCGGGCAAGTTTACACCGGATCCGTGACTCAAAGAACGCGAAGAACAGCTCTCGCGAAGGACAAAGTTTGCCGGCGCCATGCCGGTGATTCCCCTTCCAGGGTACTCGGGCTTCTCAGAGGTGAAGATGGCCCGTTGAACGAGTTGATCCTGGCAACACAGATCATGGTATGCAATCTTCTAGCTCGTGAAGCTCGGCCTTTTTTGAATCTGCAAGGACGTCGAGCAACACCCGGTTGATGCACCTGCGGGGCTTCTGTAGGCGCGATGCATAGATAGGCGACTAGTTCGTTAGAATTATGGGACTGCCACAACAGCTGGTGTTTCGTAGGATGGCTGGCGATGGTAACTCAGTGAGAACCATTAGCCCGGCTGCTTTAGATTCTGGGCTTCTCAAGGGGCCGTCTTGGGCGAGATCACTGGGACTAGCGAGGGAAGACAATGGCACTCAGTATTATTGGATCCACTGATCAGTTGCCACTGTGGCGCAGTCACTTCGCCACGACTTGCATAATGACCGAGGATTAAGGTTCTAGATGCTACTGTTCAGCTCACACAGGTCTTGAGGTCCTCAGGGTGTGAGGCGGTTGCATTCTACCACGCTCTACATCCTTCGGTCATTCCACTTCCTATACAGACAGATGCGTCTCGTGTCTAACTGTCACACAACCGTCTCATGGACGGGAGACGCCTCGGCCATGGCAGCCTGGCGAAGCAGTTCTGCATGCTATCCGACGCGCCAGAAAGCTGCCCATCTGTTCCTGTATACTAATTTGTTGGATGTGAAGCTCGCGTTCACCGGTGCAATGGCGATGTCCAAGTTTCTTCGGGCGGATCCGGGTCCACTTGAGAGCGCTTTGCGGGGGAATGATGCGCCACTTCGGCATGCACGATGACACAGCCCACAAGTACAGCCGCCAACGCACACCCACAGCCTGTCGCGAATAAGTCCAGCCCCTGTTTTGCGCGTGATTGTGCGTGCGGCGGTGAGGACGAGTGGAGCATGACGACACATGGTCCGGCTAGGCGCAGATAGCGATGTAGGGTCTTGTGCCTAGGTCATGCTTGCCCAAGTGCTTAGGTATAGAAAGGACGTGCGACCATCTGGCGGTGGGGTTGCATGCACCACACCACAATCCACACATACTGCCATCGACATCGCACGACCACACGAATACTGCACAATGCCACGCTCACCTTCGCCTTACGGCGGTCAGCGACGGCGCCGGACTGAAGTGTCTCCGCCCGACTACATGGACGAGTTCGGCGGCAGGCACCACCAGCCAGCGCACAGCCGTGGACGCGGCCCACGATACGACGACGAGCGGACCGCGGACCGAGGAGGTATGCGCGGTGCCTTTGACGCAGTCAAGAACTTCATCTCAGAAAGCACAGAGGATCGCGATCGTCCTCGCCGTGCAAAGTCGCACCGCGAGCCCCGGCCGCGCCCTTATCCCCCCTCCGACTCCGACTCGGGCAGCCCCCCGCCCCGCAGACGACGAGACTCCCCTCCCCCGCGCGCAAAAGCGCGTGCGCCCGAAGCACCTCCTGCGTACGCCGACGACTACGACGACCCCAACAGGCCTCAGCGTCGGCGCCGGCCGAGAGAAAACGACTATTACTCGGATAGTCGGCACGACCGGCCTAGGCGCGATGCATACGACGAGCGGCCCCGGCGGAGAGACGACTACGACGAGCCTCCGCGCCGACGGGACCGCGACGACCGCAACGACGACCGCCCACGCCGGAGAGATCCCTACGACGAGCGGTACGATGACCGGCCTCGCCGACGCGACACAGGGTACGATGACCGCCCCCGCCGCGACCGGGACCCCCGCTACGACGACCGACTGCTGCGGGATCCGCGCGACGATCGCGTGAGGAGCGGCCGTGGTGGGAGGAAAGATGTGCCTGACTGGCAGAGACAGGCCAAGGACATGTTCTTCACGCATGCCATGCCTGTCATCAAGAAGGAGGGCCCCAAGCTGATTGCGAAGTACGCGGGCGATTTCTTGAAGCAGGGTGGGTCGAGGAGATGATGCTGTATACATGGTTGGATGGCGTTCTGAGCGCTTCTGTTCGGTGGGGTTTTCCCGTTTTTGCTGTTAGATGCGATACATTTCACGACTCTCATGACGGAGGCATACAGAGGCGGTGGCTAATTTGGGCGAGCGACATTGAGCGTTTCATATCCAGATCCTCACAAACTCCACATACCTGTTCTTTCCCAAATCTCTAGACGCAATGTCTCATTATTGATGCAATGAGGAACATGACGATAGCTACTGCAACGCTTCTATGTGTCATTCGAGCTTAAGCCGTACTCCTGATACCTAATCTCAATGACAGCTGTCTCAACGTAAAGTGTCCGAGAACCAGGACTGCCTCGCCGCCACTACTTTCGCAGCAAGCAATCCCCCTGATATAAGCATCGCAGTTCCCAGCCAATCCGCTACTGCACTCTGCTCCCTAACTACACATAGCGAAAGGCCTATTTCTTCTTCTTAGGATTACACTTGGTAGACCAAACTAGTCCGGCCCACATGCGGTCAACAGACCCTCTCCACTCTATTCATCCCGAACCTACTCTGTGGGGGTATATATCTAACCTAACGCTCGCGCCTGGCAAAGAATCAATCACAAGCAACAGCATGTCATGTCGTCCTCAAGCTGCGGGTGCACCCCGATCTCGCATCTCGATCTTTGTCCTCACCACCCCTCTCGGCATTTCGTCCTGCCGCCCTGCGGCAAAGAAATGTCCCAGCGTCAATTCCTCCTGGCTAGAATGGCGGTTTGCTGCCCATCCGTCCGCGGTTTCTCGACTCTGTCTATGCTCGCCTTGCACCGAATGCGGACCACTGTGATTGTCGGTTATACCGTCATTCCTCGTGCTGTCGCTCTTCGCGGTGGACGTCAGCCGCGCCCTGCTGCGGAGCCGGCGGTACAGATGCCGCGTGGTGGGCAGTATGCTCGCGATCATGTAGATGGACGGTTCGACGAGGGCATATATCATGGGCCCGCCCGAGGCGTACCACGTAGGATCTTGAAACAGGGGCGTGGTGAAGAAAGTCACGAATCGGAGCGTGCAGGTGATGATGCCTCTGCTTGCGCTCCATGATTAGTTCAATACTGCCATGCCAAATTCCGGACGCAATGTGCCCCGACAGAGGGCATGGGGAGGGGCACGCACAGCGACGCGGCAAGGAAGGTGAGCACCAGCCCGACCTTCTCCATCACGGGGATGTTTAGTCTTGCCAGAATCGGCCACGGGAGCACCAGCATCGCGACGTCAGTGACCAGACTCGGGATGCTGTAGCTCTTGTAGAACAGCATGACGTCCCCGCACGTCCCGTCGTCTGCGTCCACCGCCTGCGTCCAGAAGTAGCGGAACGGGCGGCATATCGAGAATGCGAGGATCAGGGCTACGACGCCCTGGAGGACGACGACGGCGCCGATGCCGACGATGATGCGCCGGTAGAGGGGCACCTCGAAGACTTGGTGGTAGAGGAAGAGAGCCGCGAGCTTGGCGAACATGACGGCCGGGGTGTAGGTGAATTCGAGGACTTTGGAGAGCTGCAGCCAGGTTTGGAAGGTGTGTGGGCTGACGGTGGTGACGTGGTGGCCTACGCCGCCGATTTGAGTCATCACTGGGAGGGTGTTAGTGGGGGGTGTTATGTTCAAGCTGTATGTTCTTGCTATAGATCCGATGACGGATAGCAAGAGGTGAAAGCAGTGCACTGCGTAGCCGGAGGCGACACAGTGTCCAGGCTCTCGATGGCAGGAGCTAATGTGCCTGCCTCCTTCTCCTCATCAAGCAGCCAAGAGCCTGATATATATCACTGCGTCCATGAGACGGATAACAGAAACTACTGTCCATGGAGTAGAGGAGAGCGCAAGACCCACAGATGCCCGTCGCCGCGCTCCCCATACAGAGCACGTAGCACAGCGTGTTGCACACCAACATCTGCGTCCCCACAGCTTTGCGATTGTAGTACCGGCTCGCGTAGAACAGGAGCAGGAACGCCGTGTCAATCACGATGAACGCTATGCTGACGCGCTGGTCCAGGTACGGGTTGTTCGTCTCGGCGAGGAACGCTGGCGAGGCTGCGCCCGCGCTCGAGGCCGCCATCTCTTCAGAACGTTATATGGATTGCGCGAGCAGTCGTCGGGGATTAATGTGCAGAGGGTTAAGAATGGGCTCTTCCACGGCCGCGGTGGGGATGCAGGTATCTTAATGGTGTTGACAGCGCACGAGGATGCCGCGAAGAGACATACCTCACCGACCGCGGTCACGCAATGGCATTGTCTCTCGACATCACTGGTTTCATGGACCTCCGCCCCGGCCGGTGCAAATCGGATGCAGGAGTGCGTAGCGGTTGCTCCTCGATAGGCTAGCGGCTGCGAAATTGACCGCAGGATTATCCCCAGGCGTACCACACTCGGAAAAAAGTAGCGTTGATCAGCCCCAACGTGCCGCGCTGTGCGGTCCTTATTTGGATTGGCACCGTGCCGCGCATCTTTGCTTCCGACGCCTCACAAGGCACTGGCGCATGTCATCCGGGCGTTCGGAGTGAGGTGACGTTGGCGCAGATGGGAACGGGCGAGGGTGAAACCATGGGTTCTGGAGCTCGAGTTCACGTTCACGAGATGGTGATGCTCCGGACCCTCCCGCGCGCTAGCTTCGACTTGTCCCACGCGAAGGAACCCCATCCTCGAGTGGGGCCACGGGACGGCAGAGCGACTCGACGGACTTCGACGAGCCGCGCAGGAAGCTCGGGATCATCCCTGCACACGTCTCGTACGCTCCTCATGTGAAATGGCGATCTCAGCTTTGCACGGTTCCGGCGGGTTTACCATGTGCGTGAAATTGACAATTATTCTGCTCTGTTGCTCTTCATTCAATGTTCAGTGCTTTTCCAGCCACTGGTACACCCGCTCCGCGATCTCGAGGTTGTTCTCCTCCATGAAAAACATGTGGCCATTCCCATGGATGCCCTCCTCCCCCAGATCCGCATACTCCACTTCTACGCCCACACTGCGCAGGTACTTAACTGTGCAATAATCATATGGCGCGTGGAACGACGCTTCGCCCGTGACAACGAGTTCCGGGATCCTAGCGAGATTCGTCAGTTGCTTCACGGGAGCTTTCTGCATGATGCAGTCGTTGTGGTCGGCGTCGCTCGCTGGCTCGATGGTTGTCTCGATGTTCGATGCGTTGATGCCCGCTGACGGTTCGTACGCGATTGCGAGGTCGGTGAGGCCGAATGCGAAGGCTGGGTCGTTTCCGAAGGGCGGGCGGAGCGTGAACGGTGGGCCGGATGGCTCGAGCTGGACGATGCCCTTGACGAGCTCTGAGCGCATGTCTCCTACCCGCCAGCCTAGCTCATGTTAACCCCTAATTAAGCAAGTACAGTCTGTTTCACATACCGTATGCACCTGCCTGCGAGTGGCTGATGATATAACAGCTACCGACGAGGTCCACCAGAGCTGAATATGCCTGCGCATTCTGTTCCTCGCTTATGAAACGATCAGTCTGTAATTGCACCTGGCTCCTATAGAAATTGTCGAACGTCGGGTCCCCGATACGACCCGTACCTGGCCATTGTGTATGGAGCTTTGCCTGCGGCCATTGATCGCCGTTGTTAGCTACATCAGTGAAAATATTCGAGACAGCATCGGGAGACCCAATGTATCCCATATTTCCCTGTCCGGGAAGCCAAAAGGAGCGGCCGCGTGAGGGCTGATCTGACAGGTAGACTGTGTGCCCTTTGGACAGAAAATACGAGGCCCACCCTGGTCGTCCATCTGGAGTGTCGAGGAAATTGGTTCCTGTTTGAGCGGCGCCGGCAATGAAGATGATGGGCAGCGGGGGGTGTGCGGGAGCTGGATGGGGTGAGAGCTTCTCGACATATATTTGTCCTATCATCGCTGTTGTCGTGGTGTTGGTCGCAGGGTCCTGGTTACTTTGTTAATGCCTGAAAGGACCGGGACAATGGAGACCTGCTGTGGAATTTGTGTACTTCCCCCCCACGTAGAGGACCTCACGCTTTGGAACAAGATCTAGGAGGTGAGAGTTGTTTGTGTGCGCATTGCCTCCAGGGAACGCAATTTGCGCCATATATGTCACTGAAATCAATGTGCGTAGGTTAAGCATGGTGAACGAGTTATTTAACCACTGCAAGTATCCCGAAGAGATGTTGACGGGTAACGAGGGTAAGTTTGGCGCGGACCAGCTTAAGTTCTTCAGGTAGGGAAGCGGGAACGACCATTGCGTGCGATTCATTATATGAACTGCACCAGCCGCCCGCCGTGGCGCCGAAGGAGCTCGTTTAGTTGAAGTCTAGTCTAGTCCAACACTTTAGATTCCGATGCTATTAGCTTACGTTATGAACGAGCTAGCTCCTTAGGGCCACTCACGCTGATCACGTGGAATACTCTTGTCTACTGGTGAACCTGGGAGGCGACTGGCATGAGAAGCTGAACGTATCCATTTAATCGACTTCAAGTAGCTGATACCTTCCACCATGCCTATCAAGTGCATCCTCAATCCGCTCCATGACCGCGAGTACCTTCTCCTCCTCGAGTCTCCGACCGATGACCTGAACACCCACAGGCAACCCAGCCATCTTCGTAGCGTTGTAGTGCTTGTACGCTCCCCTCGCTACGCCATTCAGCTGCTTGAAGTCAAACGTAGCCGGCAAGTGATCTCTTGCTGGGTCTACATGGGTTACAGGTAGCACGCCAGCAGTGTAGTCCAGCTACGAAAGCGTTAGATATCCCACAGATGCATCCAGAAGTACACGCGACTTACCAAGTTGAACAAAAACGTGTAACCGCAGCTGCTCACCGCATCGTGCATTCCATCATGTGGCACAGCGGGCGTAGCATTCGGCGGCGCAATCATGACATCCATCTTCGCCTCATCGTTCCACCACTCGAAGAACCTAGCCTTGTACGCCTCTCGTTTGCCTGCCAACTGCCAGTACTCGTACCCCGTCTTCGGATGCCAGTCGCGCAGCAAGCCTGCCCAGATGTGGTCGCGCTTAACGTACTTTACCCACAAGTAGTAAACGTATTTTATGGGCCGAGGAAGTTGCATGTAGTACACCATCTGTTTTGCGCCAGAGTCGTTCCATTCGCCGGTGCGGAAACCAGACATGAAGGTGTTGCCGCCGTCACTGAGGAGGAGCTGTGATGCGAGCTGGAGCGCTTCGTAGGGCGACGGTGGGTGCACATCGTAGACTTCGTGGCCTTCGGCGACGAGCGCGGAAGCAACTTCGTCGAGTGCGCGGGCACAAGCTGGAGCCGGGTCTACGACGCCATCGGTGCGTAAAACACCGACCTTCAATTTCTTCTTGTCTTTGTACTCCTGCTCGATGTTTTCCCGCCACTCCAGGGGATGGACTGTGTAGTCGAGTCTCCATGGCTTCTGTTGGATCAGGCTGCGGGTGAAGTAGGTAAGGTCGTTCAGCGTCCTGGCCATTGGGCTGAACACGCTCGGTATAGCTTCTTGTCCAAACATGGCGGTGTCCATACCAACTTTTGGCCATCGACCGGTCGAGCAGCGAAGCGAATAGCATCCGGAGAAATGTGCAGGGACTCGCACTGAACCTGCGACATCCGAGCCAATACCGATGCGACTGCCGCCAAAAGCAAGCAGCGCTGACTCTCCTCCGGTAGAGCCACCAGGCGAGTATTTGTTGTTGTGAGGGTTGGTCGTACGGCCCCAGACATCATTGGTTGATTCGAAAGATAATAGAGTGATGGGTAGATTTGTCTTCACAAAAGGTACGGCGCCTTGCAATGTCAGCCAACTTCTGCCATTGATTTGCAATGAACCTACCAGCTTCCTTCAGCAATTGCACCATCGGTCCATCCTTGGCATACGGTTTCCCAGTATGTCCCGAGAACCCAATCGAGATGTCGAAGCCTTTGACTTGTATTGAATCCTTAAGAGAAACGGGTATACCAGCGAGCGGACCCTTGAGATTGATCTCATCGCGTGCCCACTCCTCCGCCTCAGGGAACAAGATTTCCGTCGCACAATTTGTCTTCTCGTGTGCCTTTAGTGTGACCTTTCCGTAAGCACGCAAGATGTCGACCGGGCTGGTGACCTGCTTGTGTACATCCTGGACGAGGTCTTGTATTGGCTTGCCGAGAATGGTGCGTTCTTCTGGGGAGAGAGGGTAGAGATATGTTTTCGGGAGGGTCGCGATCTTGGATGCGCGTTCGGATTGCTTGCGCTCACTGTGAAGGTTCAGCTTATCGTAATGTGTAGGAGTGGGGTGATAGCTACCAGTCGCGCCTGTGCTGCCGGTATTCTAGGAGACCCATGACTCCTGCTACTGCTTCGACGGAGGGAACGGAATCTCAGGGACAGGGTGCAGCTTCGGCCGCCCTTTTGAATAAGAAGGTCGAGTGGAACCAGGTCAACTGGTCCCATGGCTCCTTGTGAGCTCCAGATGCGCACGAAGAGCTCCCCACTCCGCGACGCGCTGCTAGCCGAACACAGGCAAGCTGATGCGGCTTATCTGGGGTTGAGCCGAGGAGCTTTCGGCTGCAACTGCCAGGAAGGAGTAGCGCGCAAGGAACTCCTCACGCCGACCACTCCGATCACTCCGACCTCGCCCTCATCTACATGTACCTAAAGCTTTCAATGTTTGTCATTTTCCGAGAGAGTCTTTCCAAACTCACTGTTTCCAAAGAAATTCGACGCTATCTTGTTCGCGCCATGTAATTGAGTGTGTGATCGTGTATCGCTGTAATGCCCGCTCGAATCCAATTGATGCTTCTCAAAGCAACAATGTGCAATTCGAAGCTAGAGGAATTTCACAAATGCAACGGATCATCCTGTTAAGACCATGGCATACATTTCATCTGACCCTATCCTAGCCTACGAACCCGCCTACTCGCATGCCCTCCACTGCACGTCCTCCAAATCAAACGCCTTCCATTTGCTAATCGTCAACACTGACCTCCTAGCCGTCTCGTTGAGCTCACGCCTTCAGGTACTTAGCTCGTGCATCTACTTCTGACACTTCTGCCACTGGACGTACGCGACTTGGGTGAACTTGAGATCAGTCGAATCGGTGGTGAGCAGGCCCGTCGCCTTGGAGTCGGTCGTGGTCAGGCGGACCTGGGAGTTGATGTTGAGCAGGCCCTGGGCGCCGCAGGGCGACCAGACGGTCGAGACTGAGTCGGCGGTGTCGTGCTTGAGGTAGTCGCCTGTCACCGGGCCGGTGAAGGTGTAGTCGGTCGTGGACTGTCCTATGTTAGTAGCTTCATAGTGGGGGTGGGGGCGGGGTCTGTACCTGGTCGGTCTGGCCGGAGAAGTAGTAGGTCGACTTGAGGGTACCAGTGACGCCCTTCTGGATGGAGGCGTAGCCACGGTAGTCGGCACTGAGGACAGAGTACTGGAAGCCTCCTGGGTACCGGATGTCGATGTTAAGCTGGCAGTTCTTACGCTGCTCAGTGACGGAGATGCCAGGGCCAATGGAGGCGGTGTAAGCGTCAAAGATGATGGTGACAAGGGTCTTGTCGTTGTTGAGCTGAGCGCTCAAGGTGCCCTGAGGACATCCGGTTCCTCCGTAGGTGACGTTTCCAATAGTGACCTGGGCATATGAGCAATAGCATGAAACCGCAGTGAGGTCAATTAACCTGGCCTGGTGGAGGAGCCTCGCCAAGCTGAACACCTCCGGGGATGACACCGGCCAGAACGGTGGGAGTGAAAGCAAGGAGCCACTTCATGGTGAATGTTTGGGATAGATGAGGAAGATGCAAAGTTGCTGATCTTAAGAGTAGTACCGAGCTGGCTATGGAAGGCAACTTGATGACGATCAATCTGGGGGATATGAGCGTCTTTAAATACCATGTCCTCGGCGCCATCAATCGCGAGCGAGTCCTGCACGAAGCCTAATGTTGCTATCACATGGTGCCATCGGACGCCTACGAGGAATCAACTGCCGCCAAGCTTCACCTTCAATATGCAGTACGGCAGACCCGGCGAATCGAGCCTGTTGAAGCTCGTCAGGTGAACTCGTGTTACGACTGTATCTCATGCTACTTGCCATGCGGAATGTAGAATCTAACCCGCACCGCAGGAGATCCTATCGGTTGGACTCGTATTGGGAAAGTTGACTAGCGTTTCGCCATGCAGCATTCGCATAGTGATTTGATATCCGCTGCCCGGAAGTCAGACGGGACAGAGCCTGGTGCAGGCGACTAAGTGCCGAAATGCCCACGTTTTCATTTATGTAACCTGGAAAACGACGGTGCAAGGCTCCTTCATCCAGCAAACAGGCTTGGAGTGCATCCAGAAGCAAGGTAATGTGTTTCGTGATTCTGTGTGAGTCGAGCATTGCTCGACACCGATTGTGCCAATGGTCACGATTCAGACGAGTTGGCACGCCGCCGTACCACCAACTTGCGCGGTCCGCAGCTTCATCGTGTCGGGAATTCGCTTGGGACGATAGATTGAAGTGGAATTGGATGAATATACGATCCTGGAAGGTGCTGCTTGATTTAGAAGCAGTGGACAGGATCCGGATGGAAGCGAGCAGAAAGCTGCTGGAGTAGCTCCACAAGCTCAGCAGACTTCATCTATACCATTCGTATGGCAACAAAGATGTATATTATTGTGGTACCGAGCGCTGGAAATAGCAGCTCAATCTGTCGAGGGCAGCTGCGGTCGTCGGATGGCAAGGTGATCCAAGTTGGCGATCTCGAAACGGCATGCAGAGATGGAGTCTAGATTAACCTTAAATTAAAGCTTGTCATGTTCGCAACGATTAGTGGTTCGTACAATATACGTTAGCGAGGACGGGCTGATGCAAGGGCCATGAGCAGATCTGGAGACGTCGTGCTAAAAATAATGTGCTCGACTGCAGATGTGCAGTGGACCCTGAGGCTGTCTTCCGCGGGCTGCAAGAGGCCGACCATGAAGCATCGCAGAGCGTCCAGACCCGGTCTTTGCAAGGAGCACGCATTCATAAGCCGTTCGCCATCCACGGTTTGGGCGTAATAAATTGAAAATTGATTGCAGCTATGCCTCTCGCGACAGCGACGACTACGGTATTCCGAAGAAACGACTTGGCAATGGCCCACCGCTGAGCTCTGGCACGACAATGACTCTTCAGAACTTCTGCAACGAGTGTCAAAGGATCACAGGCAGAACTGAATACGAGGAACAAAGTCGTTCGAAGCCGGGAAGTGACAGATTTGTGATCAGTCGCTGCATGCCGAGAACCTGTCTGTCTAGCGCTGGAAAGAGACCGGAGTCATCCCAGAATCGTGCGACACGGGTGGAAATATCGACGATATCAGCGAACGAGGTGGCAGGGGCAAGAAACAAAGGCCTTGCTTCGTGCTCTGTGCTCTGAACAACCCGGGTAACAGAGCTTCCAGCGTGTTCCAGGTCCGGGTAAACAGAGGGCTCGGTATTGCGCGGGTACTATGCAGCTGAAGTCAGCCAAGTAAGTCTACAAGTGCCACATACTAAGGCGGGCGCCCCCCCAAGCCACTCGTCGCAGCACGATGGCGGAGTGAAGACGATGGAATCGCGTCGGAGGTCGACGTTGCTGCGTTCGCTTGATGATTCGGAGTCGATGCGCCCGAACGGAGAAGCGAACTAGCACGCCATGCCGCGGCACTGGTGGCGGCGCGGGGCATTTGTCACCCGCAAATGTTAGCGTCATCAAAGCTCCCCCGAAGGCGAATCTCCCAGCGCAGCGCAGCGCAGCGCATCCTACATACAAGACCACACCTCAATCGCTCTTCAGATACACCGCGCAGTCTGAAGCTCCTCGGCGCGTTTCTCCTCGTCGTGCTGTCGTACCTCTCTATGTCCTTCCTCTCCCGCTTCATCCGCCCCTTCTCCATGAACAACGCACCCGCCGCCCCGATGGCCGTCCCTCAAGGCGCGCAGACCGCCACCCTCGCCGCAGGCTGCTTCTGGGGCGTCGAGCACATGTACCGGAAGGCGTTTGCAAACAAGGGCCTGCTCGATGCGCGTGTGGGATACATTGGCGGCGACACCGACAGTCCCAGCTACCGCGCTGTATGCTCAGGGCGCACTGGCCGTAAGGATCGAGCCGTATGGCATAGAAACCAGTGAATCCGCGCTGACAGTGGGACGCGACAGACGCTGAAGCCTTGCAAGTCGTCTACGACCCCGAGCAGCTTACATATCGCACCATTCTCGAGTTCTTCTACAAGATGCACGATCCCACGACGGTGAATCGGCAGGGCCCGGACACCGGGTCGCAGTACCGGAGCGGTGTTTTTTATCACAATGCCGAGCAAGAGAAGGAGGCGCGGGACATCACAGAGAGGGTGAACCAGCAGTGGTGGAAGGGCGGCGTTGTCACAGAGATACTACCCGCCGGTCAGTGGTGGGACGCCGAGGCATACCACCAGCTGTACTTGGACAAGAACCCCAGCGGGTACGAGTGCCCGTCGCATTTCTTGCGCAGTTTCCCGCCGCTGGACTACAGTAGTGGGGCATGATGGGGTACTAGTGATGAAGTAATGAGAGTAAATACATGATACCAAATATTAGGTTATTCCAAGATCAATTGGTACAGCCATCACGATTCAATATTTGCTTCTCAAACCTGCGGAGTCAAGGGTCAGGAAATGTCAGAGACACTAACCCGCATATGCCATAGCTTGAACAGTATGCTGGGTCTGTAATGTGCGCGAGCATGATCGGGTGATAACTTGTAGATTTGGGGACAACATACTCACAAACACTCTGCAAAACAACAGGTACAGTGAACAGCCCGTGCCTCTTTTCGATGTATACATCCTTAATCAACAAATGGGCCAAGGAGCAGACTTACGAAGAATAAACCAGGGAAAAGTAGAGAAAGTTCAAGTATAAGGATACACCAGCGAAACCAGCCTTGCCGTTGCCCCTACGTGAAATCGTGGCTTTTACACTACGCTTCCATGAGAATGTCCTTTGTCGTGGAGATGAGCCCTCCGGCTGTCAAGGTACGGTAGAACTCGCTCCGACTCGTTGCTGTCTGAAGCTCAGCTCCGTGCCGCCCAGCCCCACGCTGCCGTCATCCGAGCCCCAACCAGTGTTGCCACCCTCGCCCAAGCTCCGACGTCCGTGCAACACCTACCCCGCCACAGGTGGTATTTGGAATGCGCTGCGCTCCTTACCTGGCACGCAATGTACCTGGCACACACTCCGCCTCCGCTGCCACTCACACGCACGTAATCCTGAGACCTGCAAGCCTTCAGAGATGCAGGGAGTGGGATTCGCACGCTTGCGTGGGTCGAGGGAGCGGTAGCTGGAGGGCTTTCGCGGGAAGCTATGAGCTCGATGCACGTCATGGAGGGGCAGGCGTCCCAGGTGGGCGTGGGCTGATCCGCGCCGTGCAATGGGGAGCGGTGTTGGGATTTGAGTTGGCCTGATTTGGAAGGGGACGAGGAGCCGTGGAGCGGAGGTGTAATGCGGGCATGGGTGGATGGACCGCGCAGGGTAGCTGTGTCGAGCTATATAAAGGGTGAACGCCCTCGGACACCTTGATGTCTGCTTTACATACTCCGCGCTGTGCTGTATCCAACCAATCGTACCGTCTTAAAGAAAACACAGCAAATTGATTATCATGTCGAGCTACAAGGGCCACTGCCACTGCGGCAACACAGAGTGGGAGGCGAAGCTCGAGGCGGACCAGCAGGGTCACATCTTGTGGTGGGTATCAGCGCTCCCAAGATCCATAGCGGATTGGGAATCAAGACAAATAGCTAACTTGCCACGCTCAGCCACTGCGACACGTGCAAATCCCTCTCAGGCTCCACCTTTACGCTCAACCAGATCATCCCCAAAGCCGCGCTCAACATCACAAAGGGCGAGTCGGATCTTGGCAAGTACACGTACTACGGCGAGTCTGGTAAGTCCTTCTAGCATAGCCGACCCCGCCTCGGCACGGTGCTGATTGCAACACAGGCAAGGGCGTCCACTGCTACTTCTGCAAGAACTGCACCAGCCACGTCTACCACCACCAGGAGGTCATGGGTCCGGACACCATTGTGCTGCGCACAGGCCTGTTGACCGAGGGCATCAAGAACTTCGAGCCCAAGGCGGAGATCTTTGGCAAGGCGAAGTTGCCGTGGGAGAAGGAGGTTGCGACTACGTTTGAGACACTGCCACCGTCGTAGAGCGGGCCGGCATCCAAGAGGATAGCGTAGTAATGAAATCAAAAATGACTTCATTCGTACGTTGAGATTCTACTGGGACTTGATTGGGTGTTCCTTCTGTGTGTCGTTCTCATGCTCTCGTTATGTGCAATCTACGTATGTCTAGTGCGTATGTGCAAGTCTTCTCTACCTCTCTCATGGGAAAATGACAACCTCCGAACAGTAACCAAAGTACTAGACAAAACGCGCGCGGTCCTGCTCTTAAAATGAGAACATCCAACGCTCGCATCAAACTCCAGCTCGTATCGTAATAGAGAGTCAAGAACGCGTTGCATGCTATCCGAATTCGAAAAGGCCATCCGATGCAAAAAGAGAATCGTACCAACATGTCGTGAGCCCAAACGAAGTCGCCCGATCAAATATTCTAGCTCGACTCACGCCCTCCTATTCACTGACGTCTGCCCCTCTCCTCGCTATCCCCGTGATTCACACTCCCATAATCTGCCACACTAATATCCGCCCCAGGCATGAGCCGCTCCCTCGCGCCCTCCGCCTCGTCCTCGATGTTTTCTCGGTGGATCTTGTGGCTCTTCTTTGCCACGAAACCCACCAGCCCAAGACCTACCAATAGTGCACTGGACAGCAAGATGACGTTGATGGGGATGGGGTTATCGTGGAAAGTGAGGTGGGTCGCAGCGTCGAGGCCAGATTGCGCAAAGTTGAGGATGCCGGCGAGGCAGATGATGAGGCCGTAGACTTTGCCGAAGGTTGCGAAGCCAAAGACTTTGGCAGAGTAGTCGCTGTGTAGGTGTTAGATTCGGGTAATCATGTGAAAGTTCAAATGGGTCACTCACGAGACGGCGGTGTAGTACAGAGGCCGATACAGGACGAAGAGGATGATGTTTCCGTAGGCGGCCCATGTTTCTGGGATGACACCCAAGACGCCGATGGTCGTGGCGATGGTCACGAGCATGGCCATGCAGAAGGTAGTGCTGGTGTTGTCGAGCAAGAGCCCGATAAACGGAATGGATATCACACCACCCACCGGCAATGCGATGTCGAAGAAGTTGTTAATATCCTTGGCTTTCACAGCGCTATGAAACAGGAATGTGTACTGCGAGCGGATGGTAGCGACGAAGTAGTTGATCCGCAGCATTTGCAAGACGGTGAAGAGCGTGATAAGGATGAACCAGGGCGTGCGTATTTGTTGTGCTGCGGTCTTTCCGTGGAGTGCGCCCCAGACACCTGAGATGTTCTTCTTCTTGACCTCCTCTTTTGTCTGGGTGGTTGCGTCCTTGGTGCCCAGCAGTTCGGTGATCTGGCTGACAATACTATCGCGGTGTATACGACGCGCGTCCCGGAGCTGCTGAACCATTCTCTCGTCCTCGATCTCATCGTCCGAGTCGTGGATAATCTCGTTGGCGGTGTTCTCCACAGTCTGTGTCAGCTCGCCGACCGTCTTGTACGAGGTCGAGGGCATGAAGAAAATCTGCACAACGAGGATGTAGGCCGGCACCACCAGATATATCAAGAAGAACTTCTTGGGCGAAAATGCGCCATCGGTAGCCTGGTAGATCAGACGATACGCCAGAAAAACGGCGCTCGAGGTATCGAATGCGCCCGTCAAGAGAGCGAGGATCAGACCAGAGTACTGCGGGAACGTATTGCTGAGCTGGAACGAGGAAATAAATATGAATGGACCACCCAATGCAAGGAACAGATAGCCGGGAATATAGGCATCGAATGGAATGTCGCCCGCAAAGGCGAAGAGGAGCGAGCCGATGATAATGAAGATGGCGCCGACGATGCCACTCACGCGAGGGCCAAAGCGATCGAGAATGGTGCCGACGGGCAGGGCGACAACGTTGGTGGAGACGGCTGCTACAGTGAACATCAGGTTGAGCCGCAGCTCTTGTCCGTAACACACCGGCACGTCACCCTCCAGTTCCTTGTCTGTACACTGGTCCCTATACACGCCCTCCTCGAGCAGCACGGGTTTTATCGCCGCGAAACCGAAAACGACGCCAGCCGCGAAGAGACAATACATTACGGCGGAGAAGACCTGGACTGCTAATCATCAGCATTGGGGCGTAGGTGAAGTGATTTGACGCACGTATCCTCTTCCACTTGGGCACCTCGAAGGCGCCTATCGGTTCTTCGAACGGAGCGGGTGTCCATGTGCCGGGGGAGTCCAGAGGGTTGAAGGACATTTTGCGATGCCTGCTGTCCGGGCTTGCCTCGCGACTCCACGGCCCGTCATACTCCTCGGTGGTGGTCACCCTGTGCGTCAAAGACATGGCGAACAGCTATCCTATGCCAACTTGTATGGCAGTAGTCTTGCGCTAACTGGCAGCTGATGGTGTGTCTGTAAGACCCTCGGGCGTAGTCGATGCGCGTTGGGTATCGGTGATGACGTCGAGCAAGACGCGCTCAATTGCGAACACAGGGTCAGCGCGGCGAGGGACTGGAGGGCGGGAAGCCTAGAGAGGCGGGCTTGGTGTAGTATTTGTAGTGTCTTCGCATAATGGCGGATTGTGACAAGCGGGGGAGCGATGATGAGGCCTGCTTGGCTTCATGGAGCTGGTCCGTTCCCCACGAAAGCAGCTGACTTGCATGGTCACGATGGTCGCACACCGCAGTGAATTACCAGCCCGCCGGCGGCGTCATGCATCTCGGCAACCTCATCCGTCACAATTTTACACAATAATAACACCCATGCTGCATCCGCTGCTGCGACTCACTGATTCTGCTCGAGGTAGTGGAGTTCGAGGCTTTGCGGCCCCACCACGGAACCCTGCTATCTCAGGAGCCCTGGCCACTCTGCAGTACCTTGGTGCACAAATCTCTGGCTGCCGCCGCCATTCCTATCGGGAGCTGCCGCCTTGCGCAAGCCTTGCATCACAACATCACGCAAAACTGTGTGAACGGCTGCAGGTGCAGAAAATTTGTTTTATTGATTGACTGACCGCTGCAGATCATTAGGATTAGGGACATTCAATGTCCGGAACAAAACGACACCAAACGCCCTGAGAGAACTCCGCGCAATGCATTTTCATCTTTTTTTTTTTCTTTCAGCAGTGAAAGTAGTTGTTCGCCGAACACCGTACTGACAGATTGATACGAGCGCAAAACACCTTGCTGGAGAGTCCTTCGATTTCCATTCATGGTATGTCAGGAGAGCATCTACGCCTCAACAGATTTTGGAACCGCAGTCGCCTTCTTGTTCTTGTACCAAAGCGTGGGCAGAAGCGCGCACGAAGTGGTGAAGAGAATGCTGCTCATTATTAGCAAACTCTCTCGGCTCGTGGCATTTAAGTATTACTTACCACATAGCAATCGCCAAACCCCACACAGTCTTCGCCTGGAAGCAGTTGCTCCTGGTCACACCGGCCCAATGACCCAGGCTCAACTTATCACCCATCTGATTCAAGTTGTTCTTGACCGAAGTGGTGAAAGCGTAAGCGTACGCCGCGTCCACCTCGGTGCTCGTCTTGCCGATGACATAGCAGTTCAGATAGCTCACAGGCTTGCCAACAGTCACAGCAACCACGATGAAAGCGATAAGTAGGAGGGAGTCTGCGCCCGCCATGACAAGCAGACCAAGGTTGGCTTCGGACCAGTAGTAGGCCACGCTGACGAGGATGTAGAGCGCTGCAATGCAGGTCTGGGGAAGAGTTAGCTGGCTGAGTGCAACGGAGGTATTGCAGGCCGACATACGATGCTGATGGTTCCTACGAACTCTTTGGGGGGCTCTACGCCTAGGTTGACGATGTTGCCAATGAAGTTGGAGGTTATGCCGATAATAACGACCATAGAGATGACCTGCATGATGCGCACGAGCAAGAAGGTCTTGCTTAGAGGCATGGCACCGTAGCTTGGAACAGGCATTTTGGCTGATGTCGCAATTGCTGAGGAGTGGATGTTTGAAGAGAATGTGCTCAAGATTGAGAAGTGCTTTTATGCAGCAGCGAGCGGAGCGCAATCTGCCAGCAGAGAAGTGATTGCGTGTTGGCCGATGACTTTTCGAAAGAACGTAGTGAAGACCGAGAGATGGACAAATGGACAAATGAGACAAGAAATGAACTCAAGGAAAAAAGAGAAAAAGGAAACTCGTCAAGAGTTGGGGTGATGAGTTGGTTGCTGAAGTGGTTGATGGCCCTCTCTTGCTGGCGTCCAACGCATCTTATATGCAGCACAACACATCTCTGTGCTCAAAGGCACCACTCCAGAAACCAGATGGCTGAGCCGATGCTATTCCTGTCAGCCGTCTGTCTGGTAGTCTCTGTTTCATGCTCGAGCTTGAGTAGTCGCCTTGTGAGCCAATGAGAGAAGAGGACTGCGCTGCGACCGAAATTCTCCGAATAGGCGAGTTACAAGCGTCCGTGGCACAGACGCGTCGCGGCGGCTACAACGCGACCAAACCTTGTCGGATAGGAACTAATGTTTTGTGACGCGCCATTCAGGTACGAGACTTGTCGACTGTTAGGAAGGATCTGGAGCCATACTTGGCAGTGAAAGACAAGTGGGTGAGAAGCGCCCGCGGGAGCTGGGTTGGCTTCCGCGTCCCACTCAAGCTCCCGACCAGCATCGCGCGCGGGAGCTATTGTTGAGGCTCAATCAGAGTCGATGGAGGGTCTGGACTGTTTGACCTCGCGCTGAGGGTACCTCAGTAGCTGTGAAGTGGTTGTTTCCTCAATTGGCTTTGCCACAGGTACAGTGCGTCGTAAGTCCCGCTCCGATCGACACCAATCCCAAAGCCATAACAAGCGACGTCAATGCGCAATTCTATCGCTGACAAGCTACATAGGTAACTTGATGGCAAAGTGTGAGAGAGATCGAAGGCTGCAGAATCGCCTGCATGAGCAGAGCGGGTGGCTCCTTCCAGCTATGATGGAATGCACCTCCCTTTATCGATCATCCACATCCAATCCTCTTCCCTCTCACAAGAGGATTTCGGCAGCCATTGCAGCATCGCATCCCATCATCCTTCTAGATACTTGGGATCATCTCTTCCCCATTGTGACAAGTAGTCTCATCTTTGGAAAATGTTGTGTCCTACGTTCCACCTGCCTTCAAAGTGTCTCAGACACGATCCTGTAGCCCTCTCCCGTTGATATCAGCCCAGGCCGAATTTTTGCCATGTACATGACTCAGGAGACAACGTTGGGAGAGGAATCCAGATAGAGCAAGCTTCTAAGTCGTCTATACGTTCGGTCCTTGCACCCAAATGCGCGTATTCCGTCCGCATCAAAGACATCGTGGCGGAGAATGCGGCTTTAGTGTCATCGTCACGAATCGCATACGTCTACTAATTGCGATGCGACCAGCGGGAACTGCGTTGTTACCACTTCACTAAGTTTCAGTGCAGCACCCGTCCCCCGCCCTTCGCACCCGACTTACCAATGGGAAACGCAGCCTTGAGCATGATACTAGAGGATGCGAACAGCTGGTATATGGGTGCAAACATTCCCGGGAAGAAGAGAGAGATTTAGAATTATTTGAAGGGTCTAGTCGAGTATGATAGGTCGTGCAGGGCTGCGATGCCGGACTGGTACGGGCTTGTGATTGAGAAGGAACAGAAGTGCGCTATATGAGTAATTATACGCATAAATCAAGTATAGGTATCAAGAAGTTGATTCAAAGATAGGCAGCATAATCGTAGAACAAAATAGGATGGCAGATGATATTTTTCGCCGTTGCCACCTTCGCGTTCGGCGTGTCCCTTGCCCACAAAGCACTGTGCACCGTTTTCCTATCTTTCTCAACAAGGAATGTTTAAATTTGACAGGACGGAACATCTGGTCGTACACTCAACTAATAGGAAAATCTACACAGACGTGCGGGAGGTGTGTTGTTCCAAATCCCAATAACCCGGTGGTACTTGTGCAATCTGCCGACCCTTAGATTAAAGATCCGGGGAAATAGATCGCCATTTTGGGCAAGCTTAAACGGACAAATCTGCGAAAGAAATTCAGCGACGGAAAATGCCACTAATGAGGAGATTGCTATGTCCACCCTGGGCAGATCAAACAACTCATGTGGAGGCTTTTTTGCATAAGCTATATTGGCATCAGTACAAGCAACGGAGAATTCGAACCAACTGATGGCAATATATAGCGATCTTTCAGGTCGATGATAATGTTTTCTTTTTTTCGGTGGTACTTCTTCATCGCCTCCTCACCATGCATCTCCTCGCACCCCTGGTCCTTATCGGCCACCTAACGGGCTTATGCGCCGCTCAAACAGCCATCAAAGTGGACGTGACTACAAAATACCAGACCATTGACGGATTCGGTTTTTCGCAAGCGTTTGGTCGAGCTACGGAGTTCCAGAATGCCGCTTCAACTCTCCGTACACAGGCGCTAGATTACCTTTTCAGCACTACCAAGGGCGCCGGATTCTCCATCATTCGCAATCGTATCGGTTCTGGAGGGAGTGGCGATAGTATCTTGCCGAACCAGCCATCGTCCCCAAGTGCCAGCCCGGCATATACTTGGGATAAGAATGACAGGGGACAGTTGTGGTTCACGAAGCAAGCGGTATCGTATGGAGTGAAGACCATTTATGCGGATGCGTGGAGTGCGCCGGGGTTTATGAAGACGAGTGGCAATGAAGCTACGCCAGGGTAAGTGGTGTTGGCCTTGAATCTTTCTTGGCTCACATTGGACGCAGATATCTCTGCGGCACGCCAGGTCATTCTTGCAGCAGCGGAGATTGGAGACAGGCGTACGCCAACTTCTTGGTGCAATATGTCAAATACTACGCCCAGGAAGGCATTACTATTACTCATCTCGGATTCCTCAACGAGCCTGACTATATGGTCTCGTATTCGCAGATGCAAATCAGCGATGACGCTAAAGAAGCCATCGACTTTGCGCCTATTCTATACAAGACAGTACAAGCCGCTGGTCTTAAGACGAAGATAACCTGCTGCGACGCCGTTGGATGGACCAAACAGAGCACATACACCACCGCTCTTGTGAATGCGGGCATGACCTCGACAAACATCGAGGTCATCACTGGCCACTCCTACAGCGCCGATGCCACCTCGCCAATAAGCCAGACCACGCGACCTAAGTGGAATACTGAAGGCGGACCATCGGGAGCTTTTACGACGACATGGTACAGCAGCGGCGCGGCCAATGAAGGTTTCAGCTGGGCAAAGAGAGTCGCAACCGCGATGGTCAATGCTCAGCTGTCGGCGTACTTGTTCTGGGAGGGCTTTGAGTTCAAGCAGACGCAGTCCGCCCTGCACCTCGTCGACACGCTAGATGGGACTAATGCGGCTTTGTCAGGTCCCTTCTGGTCCATGGCTATGTGGAGTCGGTACATTCGTCCGGGGGCAGTACGGGTAGGCACATCTGGATCGATCTCCAATGTCATCATTGGCGCGTTTCAGAACACTGACAGTAGCGTGGTTGTGGTATTCACAAACAGTGGCACAGGAAGTGCTTCTGCGAGCATCTCGTTCAACGGTTTCACACCGAAGACTGCTGCAGCGTGGCAAACCAGTCAGGGAAACAATTTTGTTACCACTGGGGCGACGTTGGCGAATGGCGCTGTTGCTGTCACAGTTCCCGCACACGGTGTTGTTACTGTGAAGCTTACTTGAGAGGAGTGTAGCCAGGTGATGGTACCGTCCATAGATGCTCCAGTCCACTGTATTTCCCCAGAATGAGTGATGCTTCGAAAAGCTCTGTGACCTTCCCACTATTTCTCCGAGGACACGTAACTTTCGGAACGCTTACAGTAGTATAGTATTGAGATTTAGGCATTGATTGTACACATGTTGTCTCGTCCCATTCAGGCACAAGTCAGCCCTTAAAAGGTACTGACCATGTAGAGTTTGACATAGTCTGACAGTGCCGATTCTCTGTTAGGATACAGATATTCGGTTTCCATGTCTGACGTAGGTTAACGGTACTTCATGTCTAGACTCGTGGGGTCACTGTTATTCGCGTCTGTTGTCATTATGCTTGGTGTATAGGATCTCTGTATGCGTCTGAGGTAACCTTGTCATGGCATCTATTTTGTCATCACCTTCGTGATAATTGCTCAGTGGATGTATACAGAGTTTTAAATCATAAAGTAACGACATAGCTCGCTGGGAGGCACTAGAAACTGAAATTAGCGTAACCCATCTGCGAATGATAGCTGTGTCGAATAGTCTGCTATATTCTTGTCGCCCATGACTACGTATCCCTTATTGAACCATAATATTCCCAGGAATTTCAGTGAGCCCTGAACCACAAGTCAGTCGCGGTATGATCGGAGCGCATGGAGAAACCACCTACAGTTGCTGTTACCAACATCTTCCTTCGCTTGCTGCGCCTTCGTGCAAGCGATAGCATCCTTGCCCGATTGAATCTTCAAGATCTTGGTACAATCCTCACTGGCGCAGCCTTTCCCGAGGTTATCCATTGCCCGCTGGAGCGCATCATCTTTCCAGCCGAAGAGGTAATCACCATGTGCACCGTATCCAGTTCTGGGTTCACGTGAGACAAACAAAATATGAGGAAGGCTGGGTACCTACGGATCGCCGAAACTGTACACAAGGGGTTGCTTGCCGTTCTGGAAGTACTTGGGATCGCTCATAGCCCCACTCGTATCGTACATGATTTCGTACATGACCTGTGTTGGAAGTTAGCTCTAAAAAGGCTGAAGTGTTACAAACAATTATTTTAGAGAATAACTACGGGAAGATTATCTCTTACCTGCGGGATACGGACGGGGTGTGTAGATGGGCACTTGTCGCCTGCAAGCGCGTTGCTGCCAGGGGCGTAAGCAACGTGGCTTCTATGATCCTAGACACGCAAGTCCTGTGTGAGCGTGGAACAGGAAAGTCGCAATAAGACGTTACATACGGGGCTGTCGACATTCTTTCCATCCCAGCACGAGGGGAAAATCACTGTAGCACGGATGCCACCCGGGCAGGGTTTGTTTGGGAACTCAGCAGTGTCTTTACTGTCACAAGGAGCACCTGAGCCACCGGAGACGCGATCGCCCTTTTGAAGACAGCGATGGCAGATCCCTGGGTACTTGGTGCTCTTAGATCGAAGGGTGGGGTCTCCTGCAAGCATCCGGAAGCCCGGCCTCATAGCCGTCATCTTCATCGTCTTGGTACCCGAGAAGGGGCGCATATAGTACACCGTAAGTCCCCCATCTTGTTCCAACAAGGTGTTATTGAGTCTGCCGTTCGCCATTTGAGGGACACGTTTGTAGGTCCCATTTTCTGGTGACTTGAAATAAATGGATGCCGTCCAGTAGTTGCTCGTATCTTCGGTATATATACAGCTTGTGCAGGTAGAAGTCTTGGGCGGATCGATGCTGTCAGGGTCCATGGTGATGTTGAAACTATTCCCGCCCACCACTTGATGCATGTGAGGGCTGGGTAGTAGTCCTGGATTGACCAGAGGGTCGGTCCGTTCGACGACGAGCTGAGAGCAGCCGAAGCGTAAGAAATCCGCAGATCCTGAGTTTCCGCCACCAGCTTGGGGAACTGCTGAGGCATTGCGCACAAAGAGCGCAGAGAGAGCAACCGTTTGCCAAAACATGGTTGACGATGTGTTTCTTCGTGCTGGTGGTGAGGTCGGTGTTCCAAAATCACTGCCACAGCGTCGAACAGCTGGTCCCTTTTGTCCTCAGAGCCGCTCCCAACAACGCTCTTTCGAGACTGTCATACCTTGCTTTTAGTGCAGCTTGGGCGTGGCATATATTGTTTTCGCTGCGGTATCAATAACGACGCACGTGGCAGCCACTGTACTGGGCCTGTAGACTCTTGGCAGCACCAATGGGTAAAACGAAGCAATCAAACCCCCCTCACGTTAATCGCTTCGATGGTACTAGATATCAACTGCCGAAAATGATGGTTGTCACTGATCGGAATGACTAGGCCGATGATCTCGAAGGTACAAAGATAACATTGCTAAGTGAAGTTCTGCCCGAAGGATGCGTCAGGAGCAACTATGGACGCACCTAGACCCCAGACGATGGACATCTTACAGTCTGTTCTCGGTTGAGTCCCTTGTGAAAGCTCTGAATGCGGGTACAAAGTACCATTGCGCAGGCCTGCTAGAGCGCTTTGTCGAAATCTGGGGGCTTGGTTTGCGCTAGGGTAGAAGTAGCACAGACCGTTCAGACCCAAAGCTTTGCCTTAATGCTGCGCCCATTTCCTGAGGTTATCGAGGCTAGAAGTCTGTAGGAAGACGTCCATAGTTGGAATCGTTGTAGTTCGAGCCACCGCGACCGCGACCTCGGCCACGACCGCTGGAGTGCCTTCCTGGTGATCCTGCCCCACGGTTTCCGTTCCGATCTCCCCGCCCACCTTGAGGTTGCTGCTGATCGTAGCGTCCCCCGTACCCATTTTGAGGTGAGAAGTTGCTTCCTCCATAACTCCCTGGTGGCTGATGGGGGTTCTGTCCCCTGTATCCATGGTGATGTCGGTATTCATGCGCGCCATAGCTTTGCTGCTGTTGCCATGTATACTGTTCTCCAAAGTCCTGACGATGTTGATGATCGTTCACACCGGAACCTCCCGGCTGCGACTGATGCACATTACCTCGCAACGTACCTGATTGCGGATGGTAGCCTCGCAAACCATGCTGCGGCCGTTCCTGATAGGACCTGTCAGCACTCCCGCGACCCCTCATATTGCGACCTCGGGGAGCACCAGCAGGTTTGCGCTCCCAGTGCGTCGAGAAGAAATCCCTACCAATGATGTGAGACTTCCTTAGCATGGTTCTCAACACTAGCGGGCCATCTCTGCTTTCTCTTACGATCAGCCCGGCCCGTATGGGTCCCTCTTGCTGTTTCAGCGCGGCGCGTATTCGTGAGAGCAAATCTACAAGCATCCGCAAAGCATCTTGGTTCTTCTCCTCCCATTTGTCCACCCTCGCTTTGGCATTCTCGTACTTAAGGCGGAGGATCTTCCCTTTGTTGTCTTCTATTTTGTACACACCAGTGAATAAGTGGGTAGTACGACCGAACCAGAGCTGATCTTGGCAAGCCACGGAGGACGTCCCTTCTTCCTTATGAGTTACCGTCTTCAGCTCTGCCATTTGAGCTGTCGGAACAATGTGGCCCTTTTGGAGAACGCGAACAGGTGGCCTGAAGTCGTAGCGCGGACGTTCTGCTAGTAGAGCGCCCGTCACAGCATCCGTCTCGGTCGGATCCAGATCACCCGATGCCGAGTCGTCAAAGTAAGCATCAGCCTCAAAGCGCACAACAACGTTGAGGGGCCCCATTGGATATTGGATCGCTCTGTAGTGGCTTGTTGCGTCCTCCATGTCGTCTCCAACCTGTGTGAAGTTCTTCTCGAAGTTATTTCCTATTCCATTGGTCTGCCGTCTCCAAAACTTTTCGCCCTTCCGAACAAAAACCAGGGTATTATACACCATGTGCACATCTAAGCGAAGTGGACCATTTGCCTTGCCTTGGCAGAATTCCAGGAGTATCCGGAGGTTGTTGCGATCTGCGAGTACGTCAACATCCCTGGGGTACAAAAGTTAGCTTGTGTCACAAAAGCGGGTTTATATGCATGTGGTTACGTCTAAGAAATAGCGACTTTGTACCAGGGAGTATCGTACCAAAATTGATGGCCAGGGTTCATGACACCCAGTGCAGTGAACAATGGAGCGAAAGGATCCCAGGGTTTTCGCACGTAGTTGTAATCGGCAGCTTGGAAGCCCGAGTCTTGTTCTATGACATAGGGAAAAGTCGTCTTCGGTACGAATTTGGCTGGGCCCCCTGGAACGAAGATCGTATTGGTGCCATCATTCGCACCCTGCCAGTTGTAAGAACAAAGAAGTTTGATATTATCCTGTTCCCAAGTCACGTTCATAGAAGTTGGGGTAAGATCGTTTTTCTCCAGGGTGAGAATCACCTGGCCAGCTTCTTTTTGCACCATTTTTGCCATGACGTCCATTTTCTTCCTCATTTTAGCCGTTATTACCTTGGGCTTCTCTTCGTCATCATCATCATTATCGTCCTTTCCCTCTTCTGCGCCTTCTTCATCATCCTCGTCATCATCATCAAGAACCAGCTCTTCATCTTGTTCTTCTGCAGGCTGGTTGGGATTTGATCCCTCTGCTACATTCAATTCATTTGGTGCTGCGAATACTTCGTCAAGCTCGCCAGTGCTACGCTCCTGCTGAGGACGACGTCGTGTGCGATTCCGCGATTTGCCTTGCTTAATGTCTGTGCGCAGTACATTGCCGCCTCCTCTATCGGTTGATCTGGGTCGTTTTTGACGACTCTCTTCGCTTTCTCCTCCTTTAGGTGGCCCAAGAAGAACGCCTCCTTCATAAAAAGTCAGTTTAGAGCAGCATCGTTCGATCGAAGGATGGGTAAGGTGATTCAGCACATGCGACCGGATGCTGTCCACTGGTGTTGATGCAGTGCTGGAATGCAACCTACCGTCCATGTTGCAAAGTTTTATATAGGTCTCAAGGGTAGTGGATACCGAGACAGGCGTGCGAAAGCCGTGAGGAGTGAACCACTATTCAGAGCAGCTTCTTCTCACGTGATCTGCGTGTGCTTGCAGACTTCGCGACGCACTGACGTGTTGAAACGCGCTACGCGTCTTTGGTCAAAGATCGAAGATTAAGCAGCTTGCAATCACACCTGCAAGGGAGTGGGACTGGGATGAGAGAGCAGAATATGTATCCGCGAGCTGCGGGTCGTTGAGAGATGCAGTTCCGACACTGGAAGGGAAGGGGCGATCTGCATCTTTTAGCGCGAAACTAGCCAATATGGTATTAGTGCGCCTACCCATATACTCCCGGTTCCAATCACGGGACTGGAATGTAATGGATCCCAGCCTCCCACGAAATACTCAACAAAGTCTTCACATTTGAAGAGAGAGAGAGAGAGAGAGAGAGAGGAGAGTGTATGGTTTCACTAAGCAATTGTTACGAGAACGTACAGTATGCACATTTCTTATGTGAACGCTCCCGCTCATCGTCCTGCCAGAGGAACAACCTCGCGCTCATTCTACCCGGTGCCCTGCACTCTTATCAGAACATGAACGCATATGGCTTGTGAAAACACTCCTCCCACCCAATTCTTCCGCTATCCCAATACTTCTTCAGATGGACCTTCAGGTTTAGTGGCGCGTTGGTTCCCAAAAGACGGGACAACTCTGAGCAAGTGTCCTCGATCCATTTGCGCCTGGCCTCCCCTCGATACCCTGCTTCCACTCCAGCTATACTCAGAGGCCAACTAGCATTCCGCTGAATGCGCGAAGATACAAGGACCTTCTTCAAAAACGAAATCAAAAGGTCACCGTGGTTTTCTAACTGCAGATTCATGTGTGCGTCTTTCGGTAATAGGGCGAGTGCCTGAAGTGACATGATGCAATATACTGCTGCAGCATGCTTGTATGCTGAGCCAATTAGAAGCCAGTCTTCGTTCTCGTCACCCGGCTGTGCCCAATCCTCTACTGAGAAGGCCTGGATCTGTGAAAGCAGATTCGCAGCCAGGTGCGAAAAACCGGTAAGATCGTCCTCTAGGATCAGCGCCTGCGACACTTCTCTACGCAGGTTGGAGATGCGAATTATGAAGAAGAAAACCGCTGGTGGGCAAAGACAATAGGGAAATATCTCATGATAGAGCTCCTCTACGTCATCGAGCTCTTGCTTCAGCGTTGGAGCCAAGACAACGTGGTCATGAGCGGGACTGGTGGTATTGCTCACGGTTACCACACTAGTAATTGTAAGATGAGAGCGATCAAAGACAGTTTTGTGTAGCGGAGTCACTCACAGGTAGAACAGGACCACTGTTGGATGCATATAAAACACGCTGCGGTACATTTGCATCAGGCCCCCTCGTACCTTTATTATGCGCATTAAAACGTCAATGTGAGATCGCCATTGTGGAAACCTCTGGCTTTGTAACTATGTGACTTGATCAGCATCCCAATATATCGCCAAAGACTTGTGAGTCACTCACTTCGTTAGTCATAAACACCACTATACTGTTTATCGTCGCCAAGCTGTACATGGTCTTCGGATCTGCAATTCTCCTGTACAACTCTTGAATTGCATCTCCGCGGTATTGCCATAACTTTGGCCCATTCGCTACAAGAGCTTCTTCACTCGCTCCAGGCGGAAGTCGGTTTATGTAATGCTGCAAGGCAAGACAAACGAAACTACTGTGAGTGGAAGGGGTGAGTAGATGGAGTGAGTTCGCTGGAAAAAACATGATTTGAGGGTTGCGGACCAGGGCGAACTTTGACTCAGTGGCTTCTGGAATTATGCGCGTGTTGACTACGCAATGGATTAGCATGTATAAAGGAGTACAGGGCCAAGGTCAGTGTCTACGACTAGATTGGTTTTGCTCGGTGGCCAGGGGCATTACCGGTCATGCAGGCTTGGTACTGTTGAGGTGGGGTCGGGCGTACAGTAATTGATCGCTTGCACTACCTCGGACGTGTCATTCCGAAAATGGTACACAGGTAGTTGCTCTAACTTCATATAGAGCAGTACACGGCGTAGTCCTTTGAGAGGGTCCTTCTCTATCTTGAGGATTCTCGCTGCCTCGTGCCAGAGACCTTTCGAGACGATCTCCTCAATCCGATCCTGGCTCTCGATGTGAAGGATCTTATCGAGATCCTCGATGGACTGCACATCTGCCATTGCTTTTTGATAGGTATATTGTAGTTCTTTTTGAGAATCCTGGTCTTCTTTCTCGCTCTTCACCGTTTCGATGCTCCAGCCGCCATCGCTCGAGGAGTCCCCCATCGGCGACCCTCTTGAACGCACCTGTAGGACTAGTTGCGAATTCTTGGAAGGCTTCGATCGCTTTCGCGAGGTTATTTTTCCGGGTTCGACCCACTGGAGGGGCTTTTGTGCATCGTAGCCTGGGCACTCTCTGCCCCGTTTAACGCACTTCTTGCACCGGGGCAACGTGTAGTCACAGACTAGGCGACGCTTGAGGCACTCCCAGCATTGCCGAGTCGCCTTCGGCGTATTCTGGACCGTAGCCATTGCGAGAGGCTATGACCTCACAGCAGTAGTCTGATGTGGCCTCGCTAACAAGAATTGGCCGTTCTGATTGCCTCTTCAGGATCAACAGAGGGCACTCCAGGACTATGGATCTGCTACAATGATACAATCTTCAGTTCTCAGAGCTTTCTCGTACACTTTCGAGACAGGCTTGGAAGTGAGCAGGAACGAGGCGTGAAAGTCGTGACTGGCACCAATAAAGAAAAGGACAATTGAAGGTGGCTGCATATACCATCCGGTGTCGAGGGTCCGGAGCGATTTCGCGATTTCTGCATCTTTATTTCCTCGCCTGGAGTAAGCGGAAGTTGAGCTGTAGCCTCACGCGCTCGGCGCAAGGTATAGGAGGCTGCGCAGTGGTCCTCCGTACAGGGCTGAGGCTTGTGGGTCAGATGGTCTGTGCGTCAATCTTTTGTCCTAGCTAGGGATAGCGTTGGGGCGAAAGATTGTCAGGCTCTGGCGCTATCTTCGAACCTTTCTCTCTCGAACGAGGCAGCGAACGGCTGTGCGCCGCAACCATGTCCGGTACCGCCGAATGCTCTTGGGTTCGCTGCATAATTGTCGCCGCCGGTGAAAGACCACGATGAATGGCTCGTGAGCCGGCGAGATCAGTGGTCCCAGGTTCTCGGCATCTTACGCTTAGGCTCAGCCGCAGCATGGCGCGTCAGAGTGTACCTTCTGTGGCAAGAGACGACTAGGGACGAGAAATCTAATGTTTGGTCGGCAGCGCCCGGTTGGTGAGTTCTGCATGCACCTGTCGATCAGGTATGGAAGCTACATCAAGTATCTTGATACACGACATGCCTCCATCTTCATCGTTCGGTATCTCCGTTTATCGGTGAATATGCTTCAAAAGGCTTTACGCCCATACGCAGAGAAACCGACTGTACTCGGAGCGAAGCTGCGTCATTTCTTGGCCATGAAAACTACCATATCGGCTTAGCCTGTGGAGGCAGTAAGCCTCTCTGGATGGCCAACCTTTCCGCAATGATATTTCTACTTTCAGGTATGAAGTTGAAATTTGAAATATAATGGAGTGGTTTCGCACGTAGGGCGAAGACATCGTACTCACAAGTTTTACCAAGTACTACCCATCATGCCTGACGGACGGCCGGTCCCTGGAAGCGTTTACTTCTACGAGCCGAGTAAGGTTGCACCCGCAATATTCGCCGCTCTTTTCTTCGCCTCTGGTGCATGGCACCTTTGGCAATGCATCCACTACAAGTCTTTCAAGATAACAGCCCTACACCCGTTTTGTTGTCTTCTGTTCGTGGTTGGTTTCGCACTCCGCGAATATGGAGCGTATCACAACTCCAACGTTACGATATACCTCGTCAGCACAATTTGTATCTACTGCGCTCCGTAAGTTTGTTGCTCAATTCTGGGGTATCATGCGATCCCTCCTAATGGCCTGCAGTCCAGTTCTAGAGCTCGCAAACTACCACGTCCTTGGACGAATCTTATATTATGTGCCATACTTTGCCCCACTGCACCCCGGCCGCACGCTCACCACTTTCGGCGCGATTTCAACCCTCGTAGAGATCCTGAACGCACTCGGCGTCTCCCTTCTCGCAAACCCCAACGTGAAGAAGCAGTCGACACAAGACCTGGGACACATCCTGATGAAGACAGCTTTGATCTTGCAAATCCTCGTCATCATTATTTTCGTAGGAATCGCCGGGCTCTTCCACCACAGATGCCGGAAGGCGAATATCAAGAGTAGCAAGGTCCAACAGCCGCTTCTGACTCTGTACATTAGTACAGCTCTCATCCTGATCCGCACCATCTACCGAACGATCGAGCACTTCGGCATGTCGCGCGCACCCGCAAACCCTGGAACAGACTGGGACCCGATGAGCCTATCACCGATCGTCCGCTACGAGTGGTTCTTCTGGACCTTCGAAGCTGGCCTTATGCTCAGCAACTCCTTTCTTTGGAACGGTTCTCACCCGAGGTTGTACCTGCCGCAGGATTACCACGTATATCTTGCTCAGGACGGGAAGACCGAACTGCAGGGGCCTGGTTGGGAAAGCGAGCAGAGCTGGATCATGACCTTTATCGACCCTTGTGGATTGACTGCTATGCTGGCTGGCAATAACAATAAGGGGAAGAAGCAGCGGCCGTTTTGGGAGACAAATGGGTTTGAGAATGTGCCCCTTGTCAAGAGAGATAATGGGGAGAATGTATAAGAACTCGAGATCTTCTAATGCTTGTTCGATTAGATATGTACTATACTATATACTGTCATAAAAATGAGCAATGAATCGCCAGTGACTTGTGCTGGAGTATTCTGCCAATGCCTGCGTTTCCCACATCCGTGTACGCCTTGGGCGAACTGGGAAAGGCTTAACGCGGGACTCTCTGCAGTGTGATGCAGCAAACTTTTGGTGACAAAGAACCGACGGAGAGTCGATGACTCGAAAAGACGCTGTTCAGGGGGAATAGCAACAGTATACCGCATGATTTTTATCGGTTCAAAGGCTGCACTGTGCGTGTATTTCTGACAGCACTATCTATGACAGAATTGCACTATAGTGTACTCTTTGAAACGGAAAGAGTGCTCGGTATACTACGTCAGTTTCTTTTCCAGGCTGTCCAACCCCCTAACTATGTTGTCATTCTGTATCTGATAACTTAGTGTTTTACACAAAAGGTCCCAGGTGTACACCGGTCTGTCAGATCAATCTCTGTTATTCACGTCCGACAATGACGCGCAGCTCGCTTAATGCAGACACCCTACCTCCACCAACTCCGCCATACCAAAGTTTGCATCCTACGATATCACCTACAGTGCTCGGTTATGCGCGCGAGAACTTCGTTACCGTAAGAGTGGGGCTGATGACCCAGTAGTGGGGAACCATCACCACTCTTCAATTATACTACCATCGTGGCCTCCCTCGAACCTTCCGGCCTCGCTCTGACGACAAAAAAAATGACCGCCCTCCCACACAAGTACCTCGAAACCATCTACGCCGGCGTCCTCGGAAAACTAATCGGCGTCTACCTCGGCCGGCCCTTCGAAAACTGGACATACCAGGAGATCCAAGCGCGTCTTGGACCCATCCACCACTACGTCCACGACAGATTTGAAGTCCCGCTCGTCGTCATCGACGACGATATCTCAGGGACTTTTGCCTTTGTGCGCGCATTAGAGGAGCATCCTTTTGAAGATGCAGCTAAGGATTTTAGTTGTGAGAATGTGGGTAGCACGTGGTTGAACCAGGTAATTGATAATAGGACGGTGTTCTGGTGGGGCGGCCATGGGATTAGCACCGAGCACACCGTGTTTAATAATTTGAAGAGAGGGATAAAGCCGCCGGTGAGCGGTAGTATGGGGACGAATGGAAGGACATTGGCGGAGCAGATTGGGGCGCAGATCTTTATTGATGGGTGGGCGATGGTGTGTCCGGGGAATGCAGGACTAGCGGCGCATCTGGCGTGGGAAGCGGCGCGGGTGAGCCATGATGGGGTGGCAGTGGATGCGGCGGTGCTGTGGGCGGTGATGGAGGCTGAGGCGTTCGTGGAGAAGGATGTAGACAAGCTTTTGGATAAGGGACTGGAGTATGTGGGCACGGAGTCGGGGCTGAGGAAGCCGATTGAGGATGTAAGAGTTTGGGTGCAGGAGGACGGAGACTGGGAGACGACGAGGCAGCGCATCGAGGATACTTACGGGTACGATAAGTACGGCGGAATATGCCACATGATCCCGAACCATCTTATTATGGTCATGGCAGTCCTGTACGCGGGGCATGACTTCAGTCAGGCGATGCACATCGTACGATCCTCCCTGGTACAAAGTCGCTATGTCTTAGATATAGACAACTTGTACACAAACCCATTATTATGACTCAGCTGACTTTGTAACCGCGAGGATAGATCAACACGGCGGGCTGGGATACGGACTGCAATTCCGGGAACGTGGGGTGCCTCGTGGGCATCATCAACGGGCTGGGCGGCTTCGAAAACGAGAAGGCCCTGGACTGGCGAGGACCGCTGGCCGATCGTGCCCTGATCTCGACCGCGGATGGGGGCTACTCTATCAACGACGCCGTCCGAATAACGTATGACCTCGCCAACACCGCCCACAAAATCGCGGGCCTCACTCCTCTGTCCGCCCCAAAGGACGGCGCGCAATGGCACTTCTCCCTCCCCGGCAGCGTCCAAGGCTTCCAGTGCACCTCACCCACATCCTCCGTCCAGATCGAACAAACCCTCGACGCCAGAACCCCAGCCCTAGGCCTCACCCTTCAACCCTCCAGTACAAACCAGGAAGAAATCGAAGTCCTCACGCAAACCTTCACCCCCCGCGACGCCCTCGCCGTAAAACGCGACTACGAACTCATGGCCTGCCCGCTCCTCTCTCCCGGACAGACCCTCTTCGCCGTGCTCTCCTCGCCCGCCACAAACACCACCCCCATAACCGCCGCGATCCGCCTCAAAGCATACGACTTCGACGACGCACTAGTCCCCGCGTCCAGCCCATACACAACCCTCGCACCAGGCCAGAAGAAAAGCATAGCATGGACGATTCCCGCCGCCCTCGCGAACAAACCTATCCAGCAACTGGGCGTCGCGCTGGACCAACCCGCCAACCCAGAGGGTACGAACAAGGTATATCTGCACAGCATCAGGCACTCCGGCACGCCTGCCATGACGCTGTCCCGCCCTCCGCTCTCCACCGGCCCGGGTCTATCCTCCGTTCCAGAGACCATGTGGACATACCAGTGGGTCAGCTCGATCGACAAAGTGCACACGAAGTTCGGGCCGAGCTTTTTCCTCGCTCAGGATGCCGGCGAGGGCCTGTATTACACGGGGACGCGCGACTGGGCTGATTACAGCGCGAGCGCGGGCGGGTGGATGGTAAATATGGGGGAGGGACATGGAGTTGTGGTGAGGGTGCAGGGACTGAGGAGGTGGTATGGAGCCATGGTAAGGAAGGAGGGGGAGAAGGGAGTATTAGAGGTTGTCAAGGCGAGGGATGCAGAAAGGACGGTGCTGGGCTTGGGGGAGGCGGAGTGGGGGTTGGATGTGAAGTATGAGATAGCGGTTGAGGTTAAGGGGAGTAAGATATCTGCGACGTTCGGGGATGTCAGAGTTGAGGCGGAGGATGGGGAATATCGGGGTGGGGCGGCGGGGTTTGTGCTCGGCGCTGGCAGTATATGTGCGGACAGTTTGAGGATCGCCCCTATGTAGGTGGAGGGAGACGTGGGAGATAGTCATTGATTCGGAGTCTATTTCGCTTGAGCATTCGCAAAATTCAGTCGCTTGTACTTTTATGGCAGGGGTGTTGAGAACAGCAGTGCGACGCCATCGTCACCTGCTGTGACGACCTTGCTACCGTCGCCGCCCTGGACAAAGCCCATGATTCCACCTCCCTCGCCGCCACCTCGGTGGCCCTTCCACTCGCCGATGAGACCCTTGGCCGCAGCCGCAGTTCCGCCTCGAGCATCCCACCGCTTAAGAGTACCATCATAACCCGCAGACGTGAGTATCCAAGCACCGGCGCCCTCTTTCCGCAAGAATTCCACCTTCACTACCGCGTGAGGAAAGTCCTCATCGGCATGCGCGTCCTCGATGCGTCGGCGGATGGCGAAACGGTGTGCAGTGTCGAACAAAGTGATACTGCCGTCGACGTTGCCCGCAGCCATGAGCGTAAGCGGCGGTGATGAGTATGACAGGGTTTCGACGTTGTCAGTTCCAGCCTGAAGGCTGGCAAGAATCTGTCCTGTCTGACCAGCTGAGCTGGCTCCACCCTTTGCTGCAGCTTGCTTTCCTCCGCCAGCCTTAGCGGATGCGCCCTGGCCGCCAGATGAGGTACCTGCTTCTGAAGTAGCGGAGAGGCGAGGGAGACCGATAACACGGACGTGGCCTTCAGGTCCACCGACAGTAAGGAAAGTTCCGGACGGCGCAATAGCGACGGTGTAGAGACCGCCTTCGACGCGGAACCGTTCGTCTACACCCGTCAAGCCTACGACAGCCTGCGAGTTCGTCGAAGAAGTGAGCCCCTGTGCAGCCGCCTCGCCGAAAACATCCCAGACGTATAGACTTGAGTCTTCCGAGACAGTGGCCAGCAAGTTGCCATCAGGGCTCCAGGCGCCAGCTGTGCACGTCTCGGTGTGCAGGTAGTATGCCTGCAGCACCTGCAGTTCGCTGCCCTTGTCGGTGGCGAGCTGGTATACCCACACGCTACCGTCGTTCGCACCCAACGCAACGACATTGGGATGGTTGGGCGAGGGATTCGCGATGAGCCAGTTGATCTCCTCGACCTCCTGCGCCTCGGCCAGAAACTTCCACTTTGTCCCGTCAGGCACGCCCTGCCAGACTCGCACCTTGCCGTCCAACCCTGCAGTTGCGACGAACTGCCCCTTCGGCTCGGAGAATGTAATCGCGTTGATCGAATCCTTGTGCCCCTCCAGCTTGAGCAGCTCCTTCAGTCCCTCGCGCTCCTGCGGCTGCCCGTTGGGCTGTGGTGCCGCCGGCGCCGAACTAGTGTCGAACACATAGCCCACATCATCGCCTCCGCCGGTAGCCACTATGTTCGCGTGTACAGGGTGCTGTGCTATGCAGAAAATGCTGTCCGTATGCTTGTCGAAATGTGCCGCCGAGTCGTTCTGGAGGTTGATTGTCATCTGTATTTCCTGTCCTTCACCCTCATCGTCTGATTCCATGGGCACGTCGCCGTCGTCCACAATCTCCTCATCCGCCTCATCGGCGTCGAGCATCTCGTTCTCCTCGTGGACATCCTCGTCGTCATGGTGGGGCGCGTTCGGGTCGGGGTGCGCCATATCGTAGGCTTTTTAGGGTATCAAAGAACAAAAATGAGAAAGCAAATCGCTGGATGGCGGAAGGAGGCGAAGGGAGCGTCGAGGCTATATGGGGCGTGCTGCAACGGTGTGCTTTGAAATCCTATCTTCTTTTCGAATGCGAACTTTTTGCTTCGGCCGCGCCTGTGCACCATCGGGTACTAGTGGGGTAAACCGCCGACGTCACCCTTATCGATAAGAACTGGATCACGTGATACCTGCGGGCTCTTCAGTGGATAGAGCGTAAGCATGGATCACAGCATGCATGAACGTAGGACGAAATCTCAGGGTCTAAACTCTCATATCATAGAGCTAGGGCAGCATTGCGGAGCTCCAACGCGGAATGTAACACAGCACGCGCGAAACCTCACAGCTTGCTACCAGTCTGTCGCCTCTTCTCCTTCTCTTTATCCCTTAACATCCGTCGCAGAATCTTGCCCGAAGGGCTCTTCGGGATGACATCAATAAACTCGATTCCGCCCGTGATCCACTTGTACCGCGCCTTGTGCTCCTCGACGTGTTTCTGGATGGATCGCGCGACAATGCGATCGCTCTCTTCCGCGCTTATAGAAGCAGACTTGACGACGAAGGCTTTTGGAACCTCACCAGATTTCTCGTCGGGGACCTGGATCACGGCGCAGTCGTTGACAGCGGGATGGGTGAGAAGGTGCGCTTCGAGCTCTGCGGGAGCGACTTGGTGGCCCTACATATTGTGAGAGGGAGTCTGGTACCGGTCGCAGGGAGACTTACCTTGACCTTGATGAGCTCCTTTATGCGGTCGACAATAAAGACGTGCTCGTTGCCGGATGGTGCCTTGCGGATGACTGCCTCATCTCCAGTGCGCATGTAGCCTGCGCTAGTCAGCCTGCGACGACTCTGCTCGGGACCACGACAACCTACCATCTTGAAAAGTTTCCTCGTTGGCCTTGTCGTTGTTCAAGTACCCCAGAACAACAGCGGGTGACTTGACGAGAAGCTCGCCCGGTTGATCGTACCCGGTGACCTCATTGCCTTCCGTGGTGACAATCTTACACTCGATACCAGGAAGTAAAGAGCCGCTGGAACCAAACCAGATATCCTGCGGCGAAGTCGAACAGACCACAGTGCACGTTTCAGTCAAGCCATAGCCCTGTCGGATCTTCCAGTCTGGATAAATCGCTTGGAGTTCATCTGCAGTTTCTTTGCCCAACGGTGCTGCTCCAGTGAATATAGCCCACACGCTGCTCAGGTCGAACTTCTCGCGAGTTGATTTATCCTTCGCCATGAGGATAATGATCGGGGGTACCAAGTACAGCGAGTTGATTTTGAACTTTTGTATCGACCCGAGCATCTGCGCAAAATCAAACTTGGGAAGGACTATTACTCCATCGCCCCTGTACGCGGAGACGTGGCAGATGACAATGAGTGAGTAGATGTGCGACATGGGTAGCAGCCCCAAACCGTTCTCTGTGTAGTCGGACTGAGTGCCTGGCTGTTGCAATTTTTTTCTGGCTGGCGCGTCGTATGCTGTGATTTGCATTGTGTTCGCAATGACGTTGCGGTGTGAAATCATGACTCCCTTTGCCAGCCCAGATGTGCCGCTAGAATAGCACAGGAAAGCCGTCTTCTTCGCTCCCTCGCCCGATGCCAGATTCAACGGCTCCAGGCGATCCAACTTTGCACCTTCACGGATAAAATCATCCACTGTCTTCATGCCAGCAGGTGTGCCCTTGCCTCCAGTCAGCTCCTTGGGTACCTCCAAGATGTAAATGCGGTTGTCCGGAATGCCACACTTCTTCGCCGCTATCTTAGCAGTCTCGAGCAAGGGTACACAAGTGAAAAGGCATTTGGCGCCCGAGTTCTTCAACTGATACTCAAGCTCAGCAGCACTGTATGCAGCATTCGCAGGTGTCTGGATGCCACCGAGGCGATGGGTGGCCCAGGCCAACGGCGCCGTGTCGAGCGTGTTCACGCTGAAGACGCCAATGACCTTGTCCCATTCAGAGCCCTCGTTCGGCCGCCAGCCGAACTCCTTCGCAAGGCCTCGCGCAAGGTAATCAACGCGCTCTTTGACCTCCAATGACGAGTATTCCTTCCCGGTGATGCCACAGGTAAACATTGGCCGCGAGTAGCCGAGCGGATGGCGGCCATAGTTCTCGTCGAATATGAAGTCGGCGATGGAGATAGAATCGGGCGGATCGAAGGGCAGCTTCGGAACCCATGAAGGCGGATAGAAAGGCCTATGGTCGCATTAGTGGACGGTCTCCGAGCACGACCAAGGTGCTTACATGGTGTCAAGCGTCGGACTGGGTACTACAGCGTTTGCAACGAACACTGAAAGGCAGAAGGAGACGGGACAGGCCTTCAAGTAGCTGTTGCAACGCGAGAAATGTCCGAAGGATCGGGTGCGTGCACACCGCGTGCATCGGCAAGCTGCATGTCCATTGGTGCGGGGATCAGCTTCACAAACCTGGGGCAGTTGGGGAATAGCCGAGGCTGCAGCTCAGAAGAGCCTAGCACCAGCGCGGCGACTCTTGAACGACTCAGGGACATGCATGGTTTACCATCACCGGGTTGACGACGTATAAGCAGTCGCCGCGGAGTGGTGAGAGATGGTCGGGCCGGACGCTCCTTCCTCTGTTTGCAACATGCCCTGCGCTGATGGATCGCTAGCCGGCGGGATCACCCCGCCGGCCAATGTTGTACCATGGTAGTCGGCGTGACCCTCGAGAACGGCCGCCCAATCCCTAACCTTACCTTCACCTTCATTGAAGTGAAGAACCGGCACGTATCGTTTGCACCTCTCTCCCAATGCCATGTAGCGAAGAAGCTTCTCGCTTGCGGCTTGTTAAACTCCACGATCCTTACGTTTTTTCTTCTTTTCATCTTTTCACTTTGTTCAATCCACTATAAACTAGGCTTCGAATATACCTGTACTCGACTTCGGTCTCTTACTTATTGCTAGTCACTAGCTTCCGTGGACATACCTGGCCTGTTACAATGGCAAGTGCGGGCTGCGCCATGGCTTCGGCTTCGCCACAACCCAGCGAACAGGACCTGCAACAGCTTACTGACACGGATGTGGAATTGAGCGACTACCCCGACGACCTGTCCGAATGGTCACGGGCACGAGGTGACGTGCACGCCAAAGAGCAGAATATATTGGCGCATAGCGAGCATGATGGCATACAAGTAGAGGAACACCTGCAAGCGGAGCAAGAGGCACGGGTGGAAATTCATGCACAGGTAGATCAAGAAGCACAGCCAGAGCTGGACGTACCAATGGATCAACCCGTGCAGGCGGACTCGGCCATAATACAAAATTCAGATCAAGTGGAAGACACGCGGGTTGGAAAACTCATGGGTTCATGCGCGCAGGCATCAGCACATTTGACCGAGTCTGTTCCTGGACCCGTGCACGACGACACAAGATTACAACCCCAAGGTCTTCCGTCACCTCCAGGAAGCCAAACATCAGGAAACGAGGCTCTACCGCCGCAACTACCCCTTCCGACCACGCCATCTCCTGCAGCGGCTTCAGATTTTCACTCCTTAACCTCGCCCACCTCGCCCAACGATAGCCTCAATAAGCCTCGATCAATCCGAAAGAGAACCACGCCCAAGCGAGGTGTCAAGAAGCCAAGGCAGACGGGCAGGTCGACCCATCTGGTTCCTGCTACCTCCGCAGCCACGATGTCACTTCGAAGGAGCACGCGAGCGACTCGAGCCAGTTTCATCGGCATGGAATCTCCCGGCTCCTCCCGTGAGCCTTCTCCTGCACCAGATCCAACGCAAAAATCCAAGATTGTGATTTTCAACCTGCCCACCGATGCTTTGAAGCAGATCCAGCAACGACCCCGACCCAATAAACGACAGCGTGAACCCCCGGACCTCATCTCATCGCCGAAGAAGAAGAGCCGGCAGGAAGACAACTCTGACCAAGAGACGCGAGGACTGACTGCTCAAGCTCCGGATGCCCAAGTCCAAGCGGAGCAGGATCAGACTACGGTCGATCTTCCACAATCTCAAGCATTACTGCCGCCTCAGCCAGTCGCAGTCCTGCCAGAGCCTTCGGTTTCGGATGAAGCTGGAGAATCTATTGATTTATGGTCAGTCGGAAAGCAATTGATGGCGTACGCCCACCCGTCCGGTATACTACAGAAATCGAAGCCACAGCCTAGAGGTCGACCTCCGGCATTCGCTAACGAGCGTTACGAGCTAGTCGAATCCATAGTCAACTGCAAGATCTACCAGAGCGGTTGCTATACCAAAGATAAGCTCGCATACGCCTATCTGTACTCTGGCCACCCCGCAAAACGTGACTTCGCGGACTCTAAAGTCATTGTCGCACGGGCATCTGGCGGCATGGAAACCAACGGTATGACCAAGGAACGACACGTGGCGAAAGACCAAGATGGGAACGCCTCCAAAACACTAGCCCTGAAAAACACCATGAAGGCTTACAATCCAGTTGTCTTAATCACGAAGAACGACAACCCCCTGATGCCCTCCCAGATGCAACATAAGTACTCCGTGCTTGGCCACTACAAGCCGACGAACATCTGGACGGAGGAGCAGAATGGTAAGAAAGTCGTGCGGTACCGCTTTGAACGATTAGATCCGCGAGACGAGCTGGCGTGGTTTCAACCGAAAGGTATGGAGGAGATTTGTCCGCCCGGGTCACTGGAGCCACCCATCGTCCGATCGTGCCTTACGTGTCGAAAATCCTGTCCACAAGTTTACCTGCAGGGATGGGCCTGTCTTAACGGAGACTGTCGCGCGTTTTGGAAGTTTACATCGTCTTCCGGGGAACTTACAAAGCTGAATGATGAAGGCCTCGTGTATGACCCACGCTTTCTTAAGCAGAAGACGAAATGGCCTGGAGAGCATCTGCAGCCATCTTTGGGGTATAGACCTCTAGAAGTGTTCGATGATACCAGGGCTGAAGATCTCTATACGAGAGCAGCATGGAATGGTATGATTTGTCCTCGATGCAACGGTTGCATCCTGCGGTTGTCTTTCCTCGGGTGGGACTGCAAAACCCCAGAATGCGGATTCCAATTCCATCCTCCGCGGATGGCCCTACCAGCCACAGCGATCACTGACCCGGGTGCCGCTTTTACTCTTACAGATGGCTACACACCGAGCCGAGACCTCGTTATGGCGAAGGAGATTCGCCGTCGTAAGCCGCATTATGCGAACAATAATCGCACGGACGTGTACGACCTTCCTATACCCAGATGCTACATCGCACATAAGATCGCAAATAAAACCATCAACGAAGCGCCAGGCGGACCGAACGACATCTTCAAAGAGCTGCAACTTGTTGACATTGGATTGCGGCGACGCAAGATGACTCCAGAAGGACAGAAAGATCCTTCGTACTGTCGCCATATGAACCAGAACTTCGGCGTGAACTACAAGTTCACCGGCACAGGTATTGAGAACTCTCGGTCTTTCGAAGAGGCAGAGACTCCCGCGATACGTAAAGTTCGTACCCAGTTGAACTGGGATTCCGTAGATATACAGGCTCGGTATGACGACAAGCCTTTCGAGGAGGTAGCCGCAGCTTGGAAGCCGGTGGAGTTCAATGAGGAGTTGGTCTTATCGTACTTCGAAGATCAAGGCATCGGGTTTCACGACGATGGTGAAAAGGGTGTTGGTCCAGTCATCGGGACTCTTAGCATCGGAGATACTGGCAAGATGCAGGTCCGAATGAAGGGGACGCGCTACTTCGGTGTGAGTCGTAGTGGGAGTTACGACCACGAGTACCCTCCCATCCCTGGTTGCCTGAAGTACAAGGAAAGGCATGCCCGCCACGATCAAATTCTGCGCGATGCTCCCAAGAAATTCAAGGACAAGTATTGGAAGCAGATCGCCCAAGATCTAGGACTCAGGCGAGGACAGAATCAGCAACCACCCAATGCCCTTGAAATGGTCCTCCGTAACGGCGACAAGGTCTTTATGGTAGGCCACCCGCTACAGGACTACTACGAGCACTCCGTGACGCATCAGGGTAAAATACGCTTCGCTCTCACGTGTAGGTACATCGACCCCGAATTCGGTAAACCTAACTTCGAGGTTAGACCAGACATGGGTCACTACGATGGCTCAGCGTTGCCACTTCCTCGCGACGCCGCCGGTAATGTTATCCCGAACGATGGGAAGTTCGAAATTGACGATCGAGATGATGAAGTGGAAGAGAAGGAGGATGCGCCTTGGGCTGAGGCAGACGTCGAGGGCGGCGGTGAAGACAAGGAAACGGTATGAACACATACTATATATCACAGTGTCCCGCGGGAGGAATGCGGAAACAGGGCTTTTTGGCTGCAGTTTCCGGGATTCACAAAATTTTCTTTCGCATGACCATCATGGATGTATTGTATATAGCGATGTTCGCACCTAGGGTCAGTCAGACCGGGCTTGTATCGTGCTAATTTGAAATTTACAACGAACACTCGATGACCCACAAGGGCCTAATGCGCCATGCAGCGACGTGCCAGACAAATACCTCAGTCCCGAGCGAGCCACCTGGACAAGTCGACGGCATTGCTGGGTGAAGCCGCGACGGGGCTTTCAATGGAGATGAAGAGATTTGAAACCTTATTCATCCACCTGCGGGAAGGATTCCAACGGGTGATCTTTAGTCAGCGATCTCGGCATGGATGTGGGCGAGATGTGTGAGGTATACAAGACGGCGTTTTCCAATGGGACAAAAACTTCCCGTCCCATCCTAGGAATACGGTGGCTTTTCATGTTTATGTGGGTATGCAGCCAAAACCCGCGTTTAGCTTGTTGAGTTAAAGCATCTTGGGCTCCAAACTGGGTCGTAGATGGATCGGATTTGTACTGTATTTTTCGCAGCAATCTCAAAGATTGCTTCTTCTCATGTTTGATTGGACTGTTTCTGATACGAACAACTGCATTGCCAAGCTAGTATGTGTTCATCAACAATTCAGGTACTCTATGGTTTATGCCAAATTACGCTCGCCGACGAATCGTCAAGCGCCCGCAAAACTCCAGCCATAAAGCCTATTCCCACGGATCAACCACATACCTAGCCCCACTTCCGCCCTCCAACACCTTCCTCAGCCCCTCGTTCAACCCCTTCAAACCCCCACCAACTTTCTCAATGGGCAACGGCTTGATCAAACCCCGCGCAATCCCCAGCGGCAGATACTCCTCCACAACCCACCTCTGCAACCCGCGATTTCTCTTCTCATACAACGACTCCGAATACGGCTCAAACACCCTCTCCACCCCCGCTGGAAGCTCTTCCCTCCCCGGCTGCATCGTAAACAGCCTCCCGCCTCCCTGCGCCTCTACCACCCTTCCCGTGACCGCAAGTGTACTCGCTACAGACACAAAGTCGACTACGATGTCGTACGGTCCCTTCTCCACGAGCTGTTCGATGAGGCCTTGTGCGTCTTGCGTGTGGTCAACGATTGCGGTTGCTCCCAGACCCTCAACAAAAGCACGATTCGGCGGACTACTCGTCGTAACAACCGCATACCCCGCCTGGCTCAAATACCCAACACTCAGTCCGCCAAAACTCCCACTTCCGCCATACACCAGCACTTTCTTCTTCTGATCCCTGTCCTCCACCACGCCCCCATCGAGCTGCGGTCTTTCCAACCCCAGTCTTCCGCTGAACAGCCCCACAACGCAAGTCAGATTCATGAAGAGCGACGCTGGGACGGAGAGGTCGATGGCGTCGGGTACGCGGCTGACCATGATGTCAGTGCAGATGACGAAGCGCTGGAAGGCGCCGTGTTGGTTGCCTTTGACATCGAAGCGTTTGGAGACGACGACGCGATCGCCGATGGCGAGGGAGGGTGGCGTGGAAGGGCCGAGGGATGCAATGGTGCCGGCGTAGGTCGAGCCTAGGATGGCGAGGTATGGGGTGTAGGGGATTACTGGGGAAGGGGTGGTATTAGCTTGATGAGGTTATGGTGGAAGGGGTTGCTGGGTAAGCGCTGTTCGTGTACAGAAAGTTAGGGTTGAAAGGCTGTAGGACAGCGAGCAGTACGAGGCTGACGCTTGATGCTTGATACATGGCTGACTTACCATTGTGGATGGCGATTTTTGCTTCGATGGCGTTGAGTGCGATGCATTCATTCTTAATAAGGATTTCTCTTGGGCCGGGCACGTAGACAGGTACAGGGTGGACCTCCAAAGACGTCTTTGGAGATGGAAGGACTAAAGATATTGTATTAGTCGCTATGTAGACGACGTTGGTGGATTGGTACCATGGCACCAATGGCAGCTTACTTGCAGCGAGGTTCGACATGCCCGCTTAGTATTTTATCCCAGTCTTTGGAACGTGAAAGGCAGCCAGTGAGGTTTGCAGCTTGGCATTGTGGCTTTGTCGTCTTGCGTTGCCGACTTGTATTGCGAGAAGCGGAAGATGGCCGCAATTTTTTGTAAGCTTTCGTGCGACACTGTGGATACCTCAAAATGCTCTCGGGCAGTATGGAGGACATGTCAGTGGATGACACGATCACACTTGACGCTAGAAGCCGAAGAGCTCGAACGACTACACGCTATGAGTTAGCGTACACGTGGAGGTGCAATCCTCCTCAGGCCGTTGCCAACCTCAACTAACCTCAACCAACCCACGTTCCTTCAACCTAGGAGCGCGCCAGGTAAAGGGCAATGTTTTCGACGTCATTATGGTGGCCCTTGGACCAGCATTGCGCGCAGTCGCCGTGGGCTGTTCGCGAATTGCCGCTCACGTTCCATGTTGATTACTTGTAGAACTTCATCGGCATCTACGGCGAGAGAAGCCTCATCGTCACGGCGCAAGTGCAACCTAGAGCCTTTCCGATCGTTACGGGTTGCTCAGCCTCAACTGATCTGCACTGCGGCTCTCATCGCGATCAGCGAGCCCTTCCGTTTCGAAACGAGAAGCCCTCCTTCCGTCTAATATACCCGGATCATCTCACCGCAGCTCACCAGCCCGACGTAGCAATCCGCTACCCAACGCCCATCTTCGATCTCGTTCTTTTGCGTTCGATTTAGTTGAACCAGATATCTTTTCTGCTGTCCAGATTGTTCTGCTTATCCACTTCATCCCACCCTCAAATAAACACCTTTTCAAGATTCCATCATGTCGCATGACCTAAATGAACCCCATATTAAGCATCTGGGGTGCAGCAAAGCTTAGCCGACTGGTCCAAGTCAGTTCGGCATGTCGATTACCGGTATGCCAGCAGCATTGGACCAACCATCACGCGCCTATCGTGGAGCCCACGGCCTCCAAGGACGCGCCGGCCCGGGATAGCGATAGTACTATACGACCTCTCAATTTCTGACCACTATCGCATCTATCCGCGGGTGACCACTGAATCGAGCTCCAAGCTGCGCACATGACCTGGGATTGGGTGGCAACAGTATTATGTTCCAAAGTGGGCAGTTGATATAGGAGAGGTGTGAGTATAAAGGGTGAGTAGTCGTGCGCCAATCTTTTTTGCCGTCTCGTATCTTCAGTGTCCCCTGTATCCAGATCAAGATGTTGTTCACCAGCGCTGTTGCTGCCGTTGCTCTTCTCGCCACCCAGGCTTCTGCCCACGGTGCTGTTACCAGCTACGTGATCGATGGCACCACCTACCCTGGATACGAAGGCTTTGCGCCGGCCACCAGCCCCAAGACCATCCAGCGCCAGTGGCCCGACTATAACCCCACTATGACCGTCACCGACAAGAAGGTCATGTGCAATGGTGGCACATCCGCAGACCTCAGCGCTCCGGTGAAGGCTGGAGGCAAGGTCAAGGCCATTTGGAAGCAATGGACTCATGCCCAGGGTCCCGTCATGGTCTGGATGTACAAATGCGCTGGAGACTTCAAGTCGTGCGACGGATCAGGCAAGAAGTGGTTCAAGGTATGCCATAGTTCAATTGCCGATTCAGAATCATTCGAGCTGACGTTCAATAGATTGACCAGAAGGGCATGACCGCACCTCCTCTTTCCGGCACTGCCTGGGGAACCAACGATGTCCTCAAGAACCTGTACTGGGAGTCCACCATCCCGAGCTCTCTTGCTGCCGGCAACTACCTCATCCGCCACGAACTCCTCGCTCTTCACCAGGCCAATACCCCTCAGTTCTACGCCGAGTGCGCTCAGCTACAGGTTACTGGCAGTGGTTCCGGCTCTCCCAGCGGCGACTACCTCGCCACTATTCCCGGCTATGCGTCCCAGAGCGACCCCGGAATCACGGTCGACACATATGGAAGCAAGGCAACGACCTACACTCCTCCTGGACCCAAGGTTTGGACTGGTTAGAGGAAAGAGGTCATTTTCTTCGTCGCTTCTCGATTCGTTGACCAAGGCTTCCTACATGCATGTACTTATTGGCATGTGATACAATTACAAACTGTGCATCTCTAATCGTCTGTTGCATATGATATACTGACAGATGTCTATATGAAGGAGCGATAATGGTTATCGCTCGTCAGCGGCAGAACACTTGTCGTATAATTCTGTTCAGCTTGCGGCGACCAGCCCGTGTTTCAAGAGCCAAGGCTTCAGTGATATATTTACGCGGAAGCGCTCCTATATCCATGATAGGGTGATTTGAAAACGCCGCTTCGTGAATGCTATCAGCGCAGAGCGAGTACGAGGTCAGCACGAGACCTCCGGATTCCCTGCGTGGTCCAGCCAGTAGGTTTAGACCCCACACAAACTTCCGAAGCCACAACGCTAACACCTCCCCACAGCGACCTCCAGCTCGATAATCTCCGCGATCGTTCGTCAACTGCCGTCCTTCACATGCGTTATCGTCCTTCCTTCATGCGCATCATGTCGCACAGCATACCACGGCATACAGCATGCCGAGCTGAGCGATCGCGCAGAATTGTCTTTCTGTGCACGATTTTGCCTCGACGACGTCACTGAGAGGATCAATAGGAGTATCGAGGGAGTGCAAAGGCCGTGAGCTATGGCGCACGATGGCGCACGCGAGCGAGGGGCTTGGAGCTGAGGTGTGCATCCTGAAACATGGAGCTGTGCAACAAGTCCGTCTCAACCAACAGCCGAACACGACATAAGCCGGGCCTGGTACGCAGCAGCATCGCAGTAGGCCTGCATCTTGCCCACCAACAGTCCTTATCGGACCTCTTCTTCTGTAAATATTCGTTTTCCTCCTTTCGTTTGGAATTGGTCTCTCGCTCCCGCCTTCGTGAATCAGTTACGCGCCCACCTTGCCGCGCATTCATTTTAGCCGCATCGAGCACCGCCTGATCGCCCCCAAGTTGAAACACAACGCGGAACGACGCCGAGCACCACGCCGCAGCGCATCGCGCAGTACCTTTGAAATAGCAGTTCCCAACGCTCATCACCATCCCGAGCGCTTAGATTCTACGGCGCAGTCACGGCGCAGCAGCGCTCGCATTGATCCCTTCCCTTCTCAATCTGTCTTCCTAGTATATCTACCGAGCTGGCCTCGCTTTCCTTTTACGATGCCGGGTTTCCTCGTTCAGTTCTACGCGCTTGTGTTTCTAGCATACCTTGTCTTTTCCATTATCAAAATCACAAAAGATGAAGCCAAAATCGTCGTCCCGCTGCGCGACCTGGAGCTTCCTCTTCCTCTCCCTGTACGCAGCAGCCGGTCTCTGCACGCCCACAGCAGGACCTCTTCTCCAGCCCGGAGCACCATCTCCCGCCCCCGCTCGACATCCAGCTCCACCCGGGCGCCAAGCTCAATCATCTCCAAGCCAGCTTCTTCGGGATCAAGCTCAGGCTCAAGACGCAGCTCGTTCTCCCTCTGGTCTCGCAAGCCGAAGCCCGCAGCCGCAGCCCCAGCCCCAGGTGGACCCGCTGCCCTCAAGCAGCGAGCGCCAAAGCAAAAGTCGCGCCCGACGTCGCTCCGCAGCCTCGCGACGAGCAAATACAGGGGTATGCACCTTCACGGTCTCCCAAGTCCAAGTCTGCACTCCGGATTCCACTTCGCCGGCGCTGGCCAACTACCTGCAAATTAACACGCTGTACTCGCCGTATAACGCGGACGCGGCCGAGGTCGACAACGTCCGCCACCAGAGGCCGATGCAGGAGTTCAACAGCTACCAGCGCCTGCTTGCAGACCAGCCGTGGGACGTTGCCCGTGTGGAGGGGGACAGCCGCACGCTTACTATCATCGAGGGGGAGGACGGCGACCTCCGCATGTCGTATGGCGGCGCGGGGTGGACGGAGGATTCCAGGGCTGGGGATGGGCAAGCGGGCTGGTGCGAGGAGGCCGAGTGGTATGAAGCAGAGGACTGGAGCTGTCCGCATGGGGACACGAAAACGCAGAGGGTGAGTCTGGTCGCGATTGCAGAAACGAGCACGAAGCTGACTGGAACAGAAAAGGACGATTCACTGCGGCTTTCCATGCGCGCGGATCGAGCGGCTGGAACTGAAATGATGTCTACCAGCAGGCTGGAGCGGGTAGCTGGTGATCTTTGCATTTGGCCAGTCAGCCGGTCTTCTCGATATCGCTTGGTCGTGGTGATCATGGTGGCCAATTGGATATTGATCATGCTGGCTGCTAGCATTGAGCGATGTTGAAACGACCGACTGACCGGTCAAAGCCAACGTATACCGATTGATCGAACTACTCGAGCCGAGCCACTTGAAAGTCAGGGTGGACAGCAGGGCCCTTCAGTCTCTTGAAGGTCCGACCACAAGACTGTCGTATCCGCAGCCCAATCCCGGTATTTTTCCATGTAGATACGTTCTTTGCCAGCTGAGCTGTTTCCCCTTTACGACATGTCTATGCCATCTACCATCGGCAAGGCAGACTCGCGCCGAGATCGTCCAGGAAGGACGTACCTCACTGCCATATCAAACAATGCAAAAACATCTTGAAACAAGACACGACCAATTGCACGTTCGTCTCTCCTAGTGCACTATACCCGTGCCGCGTGGCTCTTGATGTGGTCTACCAGGGTAGGTGTCTGGTGGCGCAGCCTTCCGGACTGTGTGCATGAACGCACGGCTGCAGTGCTACTCCGCAACGTTCGACCCATCCGGTAACCGGTAATAAACATACGGCGGTGGCGTCGGTGACGTTTATGCCGTTGATGTACGACCTGTGCGCGGTGGCTGAAAGAGTCTGCTATGGCCAAACAAGATAGCGTGCGGAGGATTGATTCCCTCGGATGTTAGGCGCCTGGACCTTCCATGGGAGCATGGTGAGTGTGCTAATTAGCGGGCAATAGATGGGGGGGGGGTGGTAGAGGATTGTTAAGGATGATGGCGTGAGAGTCGGAATACAGATTCGGGGATACACTGCTGATGGTGGGCATGCATGGGTTTGTTTTGAGGTGCTGTCCACTTGGAAACGCAAAGCAGAAGATGTTATTTCTGACAGTGGAATCGGATCATGGTGCACTGCTGGGACGGGGGATTCGGCAGCGAGACATTGTACGTGTAGCAAAACCTATACGATACGATCCCAACGCCGCAGTTCTGTGAGTCCAAGACTGGATGGTCTCGACGTAAGCAGTCGGTGACCATCTGAGATGATACCTACAAAGGTCATATTAATAAAGTTGCGTTGTGAGATTTTTTTTGTCCGTATACATCATGATCAACTCTATGAAAATAGTACACACCATTGTGGTTTGTAGACGACTCGCTTCTGAACAGAAATAAGCACACACAAACAGCATATGAGCCAATCGGCTGTGCGGCAGCTCCTGTCTGTGACCATGGATGTGGTATTTTTGCTCCGTACCGAGCCACTGACGATGGAAGCCTCGCACTTTTACGACTTGACAATGTCGGTAGATTATCTGGGCATCTGTGAAAAATACGCAAACGGATGATGTCATAGCAATTCTCCCAGGTACCAAAGCTGTCAAGTTTGGTCTGTTGTCTTGGGGTTTGAGTGCGTGGCAGTGTTTCCAGACTCGAGATACAATGAAAAGATAGGGTAATGACTGAAGTGGAAACCGCGTACAAGTATCAACAGTAGGATTTGACATGCGTACACTCTCTTTTTCGATTCTGGAAATCAGTGTCAAGTTACCTGTGCGTATATCTATGGCTACACCGCAGTCGTTACTCCGCAAAGAACGTACATCATCGCCATGACACCAGCGGTGAATGAAAGACTATTGATGTCTTAGTGTAACAGTAGTCATTCTGTCGCGCCTAGCAGCGACAAAGCGGAACGTTTCCTGCATAAAGAAAACACCACCAGGGAGTTCCTCGCGTGGTCAATCAAGCCAACGGAACTTGTTCTGCCGCGATGTTTGGGCGAAACGGCAACGTCAGCATACATACGTTTACAACCCTACATTCCTAGCCTTTAACTGGACGCATTCCTGTCAGAGTGCAACCGCGTAGCCCCCGCCATGGATGGCCAGCCGTGAACGTTCTGCGCGAAACGGCTGTCATCCTGTAGCACGTAATTTCCACAAGCCATTTACGCAGTCTCACAAGCAAGACCACAGGCCTACGGTATCAACAAATCGCCAACTCAGCTGCACGACCGCTTCAGATGCGTGGATCCCTTCGCACTGCTTTCCCTGTGCGCCGGATGGCACTTCGTTGAACGCACACAGGTCATGAGCATTGATGTACGAGAAACAGTCGAGCCCACTCCCGCACCTAAGGCTGTTTGCAACGCGATCCAGATCCTGGAATTTGCGGCATTTCACCATAGCCTGAGAGGGCGTTTACGCCACACAACCGCCCGCGCCACATATCCTTACGCCAAACGGGACCACTGTGTTTCAACGTCCGCTTTGAAACCCGGAGATGTACCGCTGCACACATCATTGGCGTGGTGTTTGTTTTCGGAGAACCCGCCGGATAAGCCACCGCCTGTACCACAAAAACATGGCCTGATGTGTTCTCTCAGGCTGCGTGGAGCAAAGCACCTGAGGTGAGCTGGATTGTGGAGTGGTGCTGATTGGGCGGTGCGTAAATTTTGCGTACAGCACCACACGGTGCCTTTGCGCGCAACAGAGGAGACGCTGAACCGGGTCGCTGATACGATCGCCACCCTGGTGAGACGTGCGATATGAGGGTTTGTTTGAAGGAAATACGGCAGCAAGAGATCAAACACCGCGTGCTGTTATGGTCGCCTCATTGCGGCAGGCTAATTAGCAGCGGCTGCATCGCAAACTGGACGACGGGCGATGATAGATTAAGGGCGGTGATGCGCGTTGGGTGTGCTTGGCGACGGGCGAACCTGCGGACAGTGGAGGAAGGAAGGAAGGGAAGGTTGTAGCGGGCGCGCGGTCGCGTGTGCGCGACTCAGCGTAGATCTTATCGCGAGGCACTGATCATATTGGAACGGGCCAGGGAAGGAGCGGGATGGCTTGAGGACAAACCATCGGCTCGTGTCCCATCACATCACATCACATCACGACGCGGTAGTTGAGCTTGGCTAGGAAGTTGCAAAGTGTATTGGAGATGCATGAAGAGCCTATCAGGCGATGCTGTGGTAGGAAATAGCGAGTTTAACACAACCGAGAGCCGTCAATTTCATTTCATCTCATCATGTCCGAAACGCCGGGAAGCATGGTGCAGCCGTTGCACTCATCAGGTCGTCTACCAGCCGCCCTGCTGGTTGTGCTTCTTGTCCTTGTGCTTATCCTCAAGCTTGGAACCTAGCACGGCACCCGCGATGGCCCCGATGATACCGTGGCCGCCCATCTTGTTGCCGCCAAAGTATCCCGCGGCGCCGCCTCCAAGAGCGCCCATCAGGCCGCGATCGCCCTCAGCCTGGGCATTGGGGTCGGTAGAACCATACTGTCCCTGCTGGCCGTGCTGGCCGTACTGGCCCTGGGGATACTGATCTTGCGCGTAGCCGCCCTGCTGGGGGAACTGCTGCGCGGGTGCTTGGCCCGGGTATGGCTGCTGCCCGTAGGCTCTGCGGCGCGTTAGCTGCGGTTTCGAAACTGTGACGGGGTGGCGAATGAGGACTTACGCTGGCTGGTTGTATTGCTGGTTCTGGTCGTAGCCTTGCTGGCCGTTCTGAAAACCGCCGTGCGCGGGAGGGCCGTAGCCTGGGTACTGCTGTTGCTGGTGCTGTTGCTCGCCGTACTGCTGCTGTGGCGCGTGCTGGCCGTAGCCCTGGTCGTAGCCTCCCTGGTGTGGCGGCGGGTAGCCCTGGCTTGGGGCCGGGGACCCGTATGAGGGCGCGCCACCGTACTGGCTGTTCTGCTGGTACTGCTGGCCGTACTGCTGCTGGCCGTACTGATCGTAGGGGTTCGACATGGGGAAGATGGATATGCTGTGTGGGTTGAAGCGGAGCGTGGCGGATGAGGGCAATGTGAAATGAAGTCGATTCACAGCGGGGCACAAGCTGAGGGGTAGGCAATGGAAGTCGTAACGGGGGCGCGAATGGCGGGATCAAATACTCGGCGACGTAATGGCTATGTTGAATCTTTATACACTACGGCATCTCGGATCCGGGCTGCTGACCGAAGAGAATTGCCTTCGTTGAGCAGCGAGGCGGAGCAACAACGAAGATTCGAGCTGCTGACCTTGTGGCGCTCAGCCTCAGTGTTGGAAGAGCACCGGCAAGCGGACTGCTTGTCAGTCGTGCGCAGTCTGCCCCGCGCACAGTGTGCGAGCCTGGGGTGGTTGCTTCCACCATTCGCGGCGCATCAATGCCACGTTGAAGGCGACGCTCGTTCGCAGAGGTATGCGCGGGCATGGCAATCTGCCCAGCCCGTCCACCGGCTGGGTCGTGCTTCAGCTGCCCCAGGAAACAAACCATCCGTTCTTGTGCACGCTGCGAAACTGCTGGGCTCCTCGCGACTCGTAGTCTCTCGCAGCTGGGCATTTCGCGCCGGCCAGAAGCCACCCAAACGCGAGCCGTCGTCGACAGATGCGCTCGCCGTCCGTCTCCCTCGAGATCCGGGCCGGTGGCTGTGCCAGTGTGGCTTGGCTGGCGTCATCCGCTACCTCGATCCGTGGACTTTGTACAATCTTCCGCGCGTCACGTTTTTTTCGCAGTCGAACCAGCAGAGAGTAGACCCGTCCCACAGCGCACCACCGCTGGCCACCGTGAGATGATGACTTGCAACGTGCTCATCAGGTTCGTCACGCCTCGACGTCGGGTGGGCCTGCGGCGCCATGCCGCTTAGCGAGGCCAGCCCAGTCTGGGGCGGGTATTGAAACGCGACCACGCTGCCCTGAGACAGGTCCAAGACAAGCATCCAGGGGCTGCTCAACCTTCTGAGGCGCTTGCTCCATGCTCAAGCACCCTCCCGGCCCACAATTTGCCTGAACGAGTCAATTACTCGCCATTAAGGTTCCCCATGCCTGGTGCTGAGCCCGCTAATCTCGCCGCTTCGCGCCGCAAAGGGTGCCCACCCGCACCTGGACTTCTCAAACCGACACGGGACCAACAGCGACACATTGGCTAGCGTCCTTTATGCACTCTCTCATATCCCTCATTGTCCTGTCGCAGCCATGTAGTCTCGAGCGTTCGCCCAGCCTTTTGCTGCTCGCTGCTGACTTGCCCCGTCTGTCCTTCGTTCCGCAGCCGGGCTGCTGTTGCTAATACTCGACTTTCGTTGACTTTCGCTTCTCATTCTCTTCGACCCCTCTGGCACCGGTCCTAGCTGGCTTAGGACTTCTTTTATTCGACCCCTCTTTCCATCTTGACGCGGGCCGACTTGATATGTTGTGGGTGGGAACTCGTTGACCGGCAGGATTGAGAGGGCCTAGTGGGCCCACGCCCCGAACATTCAACATGCCGGTTCCAAGGCTTCAAAGAAGGGTGGACGAGGTCAAATATGTTGTTGTGGAGAGGACCGAGGAGGACGAGACACAAGAGGTGGAACGATTGGGCGTGGCAGCGACCGCAACCCCGACCAACTTCGTCAGCCCTCGGCAGGATCCCGCGCAGGCACAGCCTACTGTTTTACAGATTCGGGACGACGATAGTGATAGTGAGGGCAAGGGACCACCAGAAGTGGTATGAGAGGGACTGATCATCAAATTGGAACTTGGAGCTGACTGGAATAGTGGACACTTACTGTGATGGGCGCGCAATCAACGGGAGGAGCACTCGCTGCAAACGAACCCACCGCAACAGTGGTCGTTGCAATCCCCCCGCCGCCTCGCGATGGAGACAGGGGTGGAAAGCCTGACGGGGGTTCACAGAAAGGCGGTATTTCGCAGACAACTGAGCACCTGCTCATTGCAGCTGGATCGATTGGTGCTACTATCATTCTTGTCATGATCGTGCTGGCTATTTATACTATGCGCAAACGGGGTCTGACGCTCGCTCAAGCCATCAAGCAAGGAAAACATCAAGTCACTCGGCGCGGCCCTCCGCCGCCACCCAAGTACCAACCAACTTGGGATGCAAAGCAATCTTTTAGCAACGATTACGGTGCTCTGAGGAGAAACACAGTTACCCCTCCGCAAGCGGCAATGGCTCGTTCTGGTTCTCTCTCATCTCAGAGGGGTCCCATTGCTCTTGGTCGTAGCGACAGGTACGTCTTTGCATTACCCACGGCAAACCGTTCGACTGATAGGCTGACTTCAAACAGCTTCAACCTACAGAACACGAAATCTGTCGATGGCCAAGGATCAACATTCCTCCTCGAATCCCCACCTCCGCCTCGCCGCAACAACTCTAACCGAAGCGGTCCCACCAGCATCACACCGTCATCCGCTGTCCTTGGTCAGGACTCAAGACGTAGTGTCTCCACTCAGAACACTCGCTCGGTCGATGAGAACGCCTCCGAACTCATATACAACGATGTCCCCCAAGAACGGATCGCATCTCCTCTACCTCCTCCACCGACATTCAAGCAATTCCTCAACAACAGACCATCCATTTCTGGAAAGGCAGGCTTCGGTGGCATGATGAGCAGATTCAGCTGGACGAACTCCAACGCACCACAGACACCGAAAGCCACCACTTCACAAGATCCCTACCAAGGCGGTCGCGAGAGCTACATGACCTCGCGCTCTTCTGTCCCACGCTTCCGCACCGTCGACTCTTGGGTCAACCAACAAACAAACCGCATCGAAGCACAAAAGCTTAAAGAGCAATTCCGCCTCACCTCTACATCGACCGTGTACTCGCAAGACGAGGAAGCCGACCACGTTCCCGAAGTCCCCGCGATGCCCAAGAACGTCGAGCGCCTCCGCGAGAGCTCCGCGCCGATGAGCGCATCGCTGCCTCTGCGCGCGCCCGCCACACCCCCGCTGCCGCCCTCTATGGGTCTTCCGGGCAAGAACATCAAGCACGAGCGCCACGATACCCGCACCACTGTGGACACAGCGCCAATTTTCAAACAGCACCCCGGCAACGAGGTCCGCTTCAGCACACGCAGCACCGTGCCCTCGGAGATCCTGGACCGCGGCCGCCCCAACAACGTACTCTCATGAGCGTAATGCCATGCCTTTTCCTTCTTGTTTGCTTCGAATCGAGTACCCCATTTATCGCGTTAGCATTTGCATTTGAGTGCGGCTGGGAAAAAGGGACGGGTGGGTGGCAGAAGAAGCAGAGAGATGTTGCAGATCTCAGCTGCAGGCGAGAAGGGTCTGTGGTGTTTAATGATGCGAGCAAAGAGACGAGCGTCTTGAGGGCGGACTGGACGGACACGGACTTTTTTTTGCATGTGTGTATACTGTACTATGGCTGGCCTGGGCATGGGAGGGGAGCAACGCATTATTCAATATAATATCAACATTGCACATCCACGCGTCCTTACTGCTTTGCTGCTCTTAGACTCAGATGCACCTCGTTCCGCTTCTTCTCGTCTCCGCACGAGGCTGGTTGCAAGATCGTCTGCGTGCCCACCAAGCAACAACTTGCTGCATCACACGACCAGCCCAGCTTTCGAAACCTGCTCCGAAAACCATGCACAGCATCTAGATCCACCAGCTTACCACCGCGCCTAGGACGGGCACCTTGCGATCCGGGCCTGGGGCCCTTGGGGTACGAGGTCTGGGAGTGGTTTCAGATGTGGCGCGGCAGGGGCAGGGGTTGTCAACGTCCAGCCAGGAGCAAGCCTGTGCGAGGGTATTAGTTCCTGCTGTGTGTTTGCTGTTGTTTGGGTGGCGTTTTGAGCGAGTTGTCGGAGCCTGTGGGTAGACTTGGGTGGCGAGCTGGATGGGGAGAGCAGGATCTTTACGTGTATGTATGTGACATTGTGCGGTCGTGCAGCGTTGAGGGCTGTGGGTCACTCGTACTGCACATATCATCACTGTAGACTTCTTGGATAGTTTATGCGTTGGAAATACAAAGTGTGAATTTGTACAGGGAAAGAGAGGTCGTCGGGGTGGTTGGATGTCCTCCGTTCCCACTCAGCACACCCCTTTAGGCACGACAAAGCTGTTCGTCCTCTTCGTCGAGCTGTATTTCGCGCCCTCGCCCAAACCTCGCTTTGCAAATCCTTTCCATATCTCACATGCATTCTCCCCACCCGTTAACGCGAGATCCGCATCTAGAATTGCATCGCGCGCCGACACGAAAGTCGGGTTGCAAGGTTGTAGCGCCATGCCGTCCAAGACTAACTTCAGGATTAGATACTTCCCGTCGGTTGGTACGCCCTTGCTGTCAAAGGTGGGAACCGGAGCATCGTTCTTGCCGTGCTTCTCGATCAGGTTCCAGAGGACTTCATACAGCATTGTCGCCCAGATGGTGCCAATGTAATGCACCTTCGTCAGCGCGTCGGCATCGCTGTACACGTGCGGGTTGGTCTCCTGGTTCGTGGAGTACACGTATGGGCGCAGGCCCTTGGGATCGCCATACACCCACGCGCCCATTGGGTAGTCCGTGGTGCGCGTGTCGTTGGGCTTGAGGCGGATGGCCGTGGCGTAGAAGTCGCCCCAGCCCTCACCCATGCCGCCGCTCTCGAGCACGGAGAGGCATCCGCTGTTCTTGGGGCCGCCGGTGAGTCGGTTCGATAGGCCGTGCGTGTACTCGTGGATTACGACGCCGGCTTCGAAGGCGCCGTCACGCCAAGGCTCGGTGCGGTTCCACATGTACATGCGCATGCGGGCTTTTTGGCCGTCGACGGGGGTTTGGAAGTTGGCGTTGTTGAGACCTGTAAAGCTTTAATGATATGGATGAGGGATATGAAGGGAGTACGTACCTGCGCCATCTTGTGCGTTCAAGTAGACGAAGTCGTTGCCTACACCGCCCTGGCCGTTGTTGTTTGTTTCGAAGTTCCCAGCAGCTTCGGTGAAGCCAAGCTTGTAGAGTAGGTCGTGGTATGTGTTGGCGGTGTAGAAGAGCTGGGTAATGGATGCATTGATGTAGCTCTTCCAATCGCTCTCCACTAGGTCGTAAGGGTACTCAAAGTCAAGGTCCGCCTCCGTCGGCCTGGGAAGACTCTCGTAGTTCGAGGTGCGGCCGGCCCAGTTGCTCTGTGCGACACCATTATTGCCCCAGGTGGTGGTGTACGACTTTGAGCCGTCGCTGTGCCAGCCAAACTCACTGGCAACCTTATCAAAGGGATCTGTCAAAAGTTTTCGTTCGCCTTCAGTTGGGTCGTTTAGGCCCCATGGGCTGAGAAGTGTTAGTTCAGTGACTATGAATCTGAAACGCATGAGCTTACTAGACTTCGTATGTCGCATCGGCACCATAGTCGACAACGTGGTGAATCTTCTCGCCATCTTCAGCATCGACATAGGTCAGAAGCCAGTTAACGTCTACATCAGTCTCGACCCTCCAGCTGAGAGCAAGGCTGTCGCCTGTTTGCACGTAGACAAGGCGAGCCTCTGGCGCTGATACAGTACCGGTCGTCTCTTTGATGGTGTAAACGTTCGATTCGGTCTCCTCAGCCTTGGCTTTGTCTGCCGACATGGGTAGTTGAAGCGTGGAAACGGCAGATTTAAGAGCGGCGGTGGGCTCAACGGCATCCCGTTTCCTTAGTGCTGACGGGGCTTTGCCTTGGTAGAACGAGTTGCCGAAAGAGAAGACTTCTCCATCGCGACCGATGTTGACATGAAAGTCCGCATTGTCGATGTCTAGGCCATTAACTGTCTGCTTGAAGTTGAAATGTGCGATGCCGTTGTCGCCAACGTAATGATCGTCGACTAGGCGAAAAGTTACACCGGGAATCTAATACATGTGAGCATGTTTTCGTGCTACACACATCCCGAAGTGACATACAGTTGCCTTTACCAATTCGGTAGCGGTGTCCACAGGGTCGGCCCGCTTGTTGAGGGAGGTGATTGATGGGTCCGACTGGACAGCGGTGGCATTGGCATACTCCGTGTCAAGAACCTGGCGGAAGGCATTGAGATCAACAGCGCGCCTGCTCAGTGTTCGTGTGGCGTGGGTAGGATGGCCGTAGACATGCTGGGTGGCCAAAGAAGCCAGTGACGCAAGAATGAAGGACCGCATATTGACATTCAAACTCTGCGCTGCCTGATCATGAACAAAACAGGGTAGACTTCGGCTCCGTAGTACGCGAGACTTGATTGAACGAGCCCCACGACGTCCAACATTGTGCTCATCATCTTCTTCTTATACTGCTGCCGTCACGAACGAAATTTCGCACAGGTGGACTCACACCCGCGGACATATGGTTTTCCAATAGCGGCAAAAGAACTGCTGGTAGTATCTCTCAATACCTACCCAATGCTAGTCTCGGGAGGTGTATGCAGGTAAGCGTCTTCCGACTGCCTTTTGCAGATAAGACCCCATTGCGATATCTGTTGTAGTCGTTCGTGACCGTTTAGCCAAGAACCGGACCCTGGGTTCCAGCAGGCTGGGCACTATAATGCACTGAGCATGTCTTAGTAAAGTGTGTTCGACCTTCCAAATTGGGACCTCGTGTGGAGGTGCGATAGCCGGGATAGTTAAGACCCGCGGACCTTGGCGATGCATTGGTATACGGCGAATCTGAGCCTCCAGTTTGTCGTGGAGAACCTGAGATCCGAAGTGAGAGGCCTTTGAGGAAGTGTGCACTCATATTCCTAATTCACGATCGATCCATTGCGCACTCTAGTGCGTGGCTAATGAACGATCCCATGGTTGACGCTCTTGATTTCTGTGTTCTCGCGAGGGAAGGAATATCCATTGCACCTTTAGTTTGAGCCGCGGCAGCACTGATTCAGCAAATTCAACAGGCAAAACTCGTGCCTGCCATTTTCGGTGATGTTCTTCTGTATTTTCGTCCGCGCCAAGGTGACTATAGAGAAAGCACGCCAAGCGCGTTCCGAGCAATGAAGCGAGCAGGTCGCGTGAGAGATGCCTTCTTAGGCTGTTGCGAGGTTGAAGGAAAGTTGCGGCATGAACGTAGCAGAGGCGGAAGCAAGCACGCCAAGAAATGATTGGCGCTGCAATTTCCCCTGAATCCAGCACTTTGCATCTCAAAACCTATGATGCCTGTGGTAGACTCATCACAATGGTCAAAACCGAAGAGTATCTCATTGAGTAGTTTCGTGCAGTCTGGGTCCGAGGCAACCGAGATAGACCTCTAGTGCAATTTTACGAAGCGCTCGCAGCATGGAATCACATCAGCCGCGCTGTGTGATGCAACTCGTGACTCGAGAAAAATAATGATAGATTTCATGATGCTCGTTGCAGCAATGTTTCCGAAACTTTGTAATATATTACATATTTGGCATATGTGGCATATGAATAGCTTGTCATTTGAATATCTGCCATGTTGGTTCTTCAAGTCCTGCCTCTTTTAGCGTAGCCCTGAAGCGCCATCTAGATTCTCAAACCTCGCCCAATCTCCCAACGGTCCTGCAGCTGACAATAAGACACATGTATTTGCAGGTATCCTAGTAAGGCAACTTCTGTGCTATATAATTGGAATGCCTAGTGCTTCTCTTCGGGACTTCGAATTGGGATCGAGGTATGGCACCTCTCCGATGCTGGAAGCTCGCACACCCGTTCTGTTGCCATCTACGAGATGTGTATCAGGCTATTCGGCAATCAGCAACCTAGCTAAAAGGACTTCTTACGACTTACCGTGGCAGCATGCCAAACGCAGCTATTGTTCCAAATGGCCGCCGCATTCTTCGTCCACTTCATCCTCGCAATGCTGTCATGATTCCGCGTAATCAATCGCATCACATACTCCCGAATGAACTGGTCCTCGTAACTGTACACGTCATTTATCTTCGTCACATGCAGTCCAACGCCAGCGAAGATGGCTTTCCATCCTGTAATTCTGTTTGTCCTGACTACCGGGTGGCTTGGCGCAAATTCGTCTCCGACGTTCAGCGGGCTTCCTCTAGGACTCATGACCTCGTATTTGCCAGCTTCGGCTGCGCTCTTGAAAACGGGTTGTGCACAGGTCGCAGTCAGCGTCTCGAGATAGCTTCTGAACGACGGGGACATGCGGTCATAGATCTCGTATCCGGAACACCAGAGTGTGTCGCCGCCGTGAGGAGGTGTCTCTTCCATCTTGAGAAAGGAGAAGTCTGAGGGTGCGTTCTCGAAAGTGCTGTCACTATGCCATTCACGTGAGAGGTCACGGGGTTCCGTGGGAGCGCGTCGGGCCATGGTCTTGTATATTTTCTTCTGAGCTTCTGAATTTATGACATAGATGTTCTCGTCAGTCGTTCCGTCCGGCAAGGTGAGATTGCCAGGATCGCGGTAAATCGGATGCACGTGTAATCCATGATCCTCGGGTCGCCCGCTCAGCTTTCCGAGCAAGTCGCAGAACTTTTTCTGGTCGTCGATCTTGAGATCATCTTGGTCTCGAAAGAAGACGACGCCTCGTTCAGAGATGACGATAGCCAGGTCACGAATCTGCTCTTCCGCGTTCGGAGCATTCAGTATGTCGGTGACTTTGACGTCGGGGTATTCGCGGCCGATGATGGGAGTGATTTCAAAGTAATGCAGATGGTCCAGAGAGCCAGAATACTTCAGTGGGATTGGACAGGAAGGACAGGAACCAGGGATACTGGGGTGTCCGGTACCATTGGAGGTACCATTTGTAGTTCCCTCGGTTGATGACGGCATATTGTGTGCAAAACGGGGCGTATGACGGGCTCAATAGTAGAGAGCGAACGATATCTGTACACAATCTATGCTTGAGAGCCGCTTATAGACAGCCGAACAGATTCAGGGGAGTGCGGGGGATCGACGGAGCCACCCAAACATTGTGTGAATTCCAGCATGTCAGCTTGCACGAGATACGTTACAGCTACTTGATATTGATCTGCCGGAACCAGGCCAATCGAAAGCAGGTTAGTGAGGGAGGTTTACCAAGTGCGTTGCTCGAGGTCAAGCTGCCCCACTCCTGCCCCGCATTCCTCTCCACACTCAGGGATGTCATTCAGGATCATACCTTCCCCATAACCATATGCTCACCCAATCGTAGCATAGATTGAGGAAGGCCTCGGGGTGCGAACGACGGTAGCAGGAGGACCAAAGCAGGACTGAATGTGAACATGCGGAGTTAGTGTCAACATATTTTGCCGACAGGGCCGTGTACTTGCAGTGTGTCCTGCCGCATCAGTGCGTCCCAAGCTACCGCGAGTCGCCCAAGGATAGAGAGTACCAGATGCCTGCATGTCGTACGGTGACGCGATGTCGGGACCAGCACGTGCACGCGTGTCACCCACCGATTACGGACCCGCCGAGGACGCGTCTCAAGCTGCCCCACGACGTTAGCAACATCTTGCACCTCTCCAGTTCCTCATGTCGCGTGCACCAAAAGGAGGCGTGTCGCATCAACGATGGTTGAGCTCGCTGATAGTAGTTCTGGTGGTAGTGCTGCGGTGGGAAGTAGTGCGGGGCTAGACCGCGTGCAATTCAAATTTTGCGGCCGCAGCCAGCCATTGTGGCTTCCTTCATAGTCGCAGCGCAACTTCATTGCATGACAAGGAGCGTTTTTACACCCTCAGTTCTTCCTTACAACTACGATCCGAAATCCACCGAGACCGCAGAACACGTCGCGATACAGCAAGTACGACACAATGTCTAACAAGCAGCTGAGTAGCAGAAAACAACCCGATCAAGGTATTGGCGGAGCAATTGCATGAGACCGGTGTTCCCAGCCGCGGTTGCGGCTGGAGATCTGAGAAATACGGTCCGAACTTGATCAGGTTCAAGCCTGCGAAAGGACATCATGCTTTGCGGCCCTCGCAAAGACGCTGCTAACTGGCACAGGGTCCCATGGATCCCGATCGCCGCACCTCCGTTGCCCACGATGAGAAGACCTCGCGCATGATCTTGGCTCCGAACGAAGGCCTTCCGACGAACAATACCGACGTACACGAGACATTTGCGGGACGATGGAGGAGCCTGGAGGGAGTCATGGCCGAGTACAGCGTCGAGTCGAGAGGCATAACGCGTGTAGAGCCTGACGAGCGCCACAACCTGAGCCAGTTGGGGTACTCTCAGATCGCTATGTTGTGGATCTCGATCAATCTGGCTGCGAACAACATTACGCTGGGTATGCTAGGCCCGGCCGTGTTCGAGCTCGGGTTCTTAGACTCGTGTCTCTGCGCTGTCTTTGGTATGCTCGTGGGCTGTCTCCCGGTCGCGTACATAGCCACGTTTGGTCCTCGAAGCGGGAACCGGACTATGATATTCTCCAGGTACATCATGGGCTGGTGGCCGTCCAAGATCGTGGTCGTCCTCAACATCATCGTATTCCTCGGGTACTCCTTGATCGACTGCGTGGTCGCCGGCCAGATTCTCTCTGGGGTGTCAGAAAACACAATGTCTGTCGTGGTCGGCATCATTATTGTCGCTGTTATAACATGGGTCATCACCACGTTCGGCTACCAAGTGTTCCACTACTACGAACGATATGCCTGGCTATCGCAGCTCATTGTCCTGAGCATGCTAGCTGGAGTGGCGGGTCCAAACTTCAACATATCCTCTCCGTCGCTTGTCTCCGGAGACACCCTGACTGCCAACCGGCTCTCGTTCTTCGGCCTCGCACTTGCGGCGGCTATAACTTATAGCGGAGGAGCAGCGGATCTATTTGTCTACTATCCAGAGCACACTGCAGGATGGAAGATCTTCGTGACGACTATGCTCGGGCTTACTTCCAGCTTCGCTTTTGCCTTCATCCTTGGTATTGGTCTTGCCAGCGGGATGTCGACGAATCCAGCTTGGGAGGCCTCTTATGGCATTTCTCAAGGCGCACTCATTGTGCAAGGATTCAAACCCCTTGGCAGCTTCGGCAGCTTTTGCGGCGTTCTTGTGGCTCTAGGTCTGGTGCAAAATCTGATAGTCCCAACATATGCTTCCGGTATCGATGCGCAAGTCCTTGGACGCTGGGCTGCCAAGGTACCACGAGTTGTTTGGAACACGGTCGGCGTCATCATTTACACGGTTTGCGCCCTTGCTGGACGTAGTCACCTGGCAGAAATTTTCACAAACTTCCTTGCGCTAATGGGTTATTGGGTTTCTATCTGGGTTGCTATCGTGTTGGAAGAGCACTTCATCTTCAGACGCAGCTCAGGCTTCAACTGGCAGATCTGGAACGATAGGAAGAAGCTACCAATCGGCATCGCCGCTCTGATCGCGTTCATTGTGGGCTGGGTTGGTGCTATCCTGTGCATGGCGCAAGTGTGGTATATTGGACCCATAGCCAAGCTTGTGGGCGACTATGGTGCTGATGTAAGTATTATTTCTGGACTGAAGGGTTTATTTTCTGATCTCCGCAGATGGGTAACTACGTCGGGTTCGCTTGGGCTGCCGTCATTTACCCACCGATCCGCTTCTGGGAGCTTAAGAAGTTCGGAAGATAGGCTGTCGAACGGGCCAATGCTCCTACAAGGCGTCGAGTGGGAGGTTCTGGGTTTGGAATTTTGGTATTCAAGCTACCAAATCTAGAACCCCCTTGAGCAACACGTTCCAGCGTATAACCTGTGTGGAAGAGCGACGAGAAGAAGAGGACGCATAGCATTATGGTGCATCCATATGTTAAAATGAGAGATAGACATGGCATCCTCATCCAGTACACCACTCTCAGTAATACATCTTGTCTTACTACTCCATATTTGCCTCATTTTTTTTATTCTTTTTATTTACACACGTGCACCTGCTCACGCGCCCTATACAATCTTCCAAAGTGGTGGCTTTCACAGTCACATGCCCGACAAATATTGGTGGCATTTCCACAGATCTTGTTCCCATTTCGCGGACGTTCACGTACTACCACTGCCACCTCTGAGATTACCAATACGCTGAACAGAGTTCAGACCTGTTGTTCGGTATGTCCGCGAAGTTCTTCACCGATTTCAGCCCTTGAATTATATAGTCTCCATTTGTTGTTCGTCATTCTTCCATATTGACCCAGCAGACTAGCAATGAACAATACGATCACGACAAGGGAGCTGTCCAGTCTGGCTGACCGGCCAGGCCCAACACCTCTTGAGTGTTTTCTTGCAGTTAGGCCATGAGATGCGGTCACCGCAATGCAGCTGTTCAGTCTGGCAGACATGCTAGGCCCATCTCCGATGCTGTATATAAGTTACATCGTACTTGCTGCTTTGAGACAGAACAACGACATGCATCTGCCCCGAGACGCTCCTTCCTCGACCGCGACAACCCCGCCTTGGCACCATGGCCTTCACTCAAAATTGGCGCACTTTTGACCAGGCTTGCGTCTTTCACCTAGGAAACGCGCTCGCTTGCCTTCCCTCGCCGCTATGACTATCTGTAAGTGCTATTCTCTCCACAACAGCTACAGCGACCTGACTATGACAGCTGCCGAAAACAACGTCATCGAACTCACAAGTCGCCCGCAGTGCAAGAATCCGTTGCAATCAGGTATACACGTAGCTGCCCGCTCAACAAGCTCGGAGCATCGACCTGCCGGCAAGATGGTGGCAAACAAGCCGCGACAGGTGTCGGACGATAGCTTTGCAAGCCTGACCGGTCTTATGAAGTCTAAGAAGGACTGGGCTATCCAACCGAAACCTCTCATTCCAGGTGGGTAGCATTTGTCACCTACTAGCACTATGACGTCTGCGCGCAGCGGCAACAACTAACGCGTTCAAAGTTGTCAATGGCCAATTTAACCCGATCTCCCCCAGCGAGAGCGCGGTCAGCGAACCGACTCCCGCCCGCAACCTCTCCGCTCATCGCACCGCGAGCGCGGATACCACTGCTCCTCGTCAAGTCCATCATCGGGCGTACGACGCGAAGCCTCACCTCGAAACTCCGAATGGGCTAGAGCCGATCGTGTCGAAGAACCATGGGTACGACAAGGCTGCTATGAGTAAGATGGAGGATCTTATTGCGGAGATGTCTAAGATGGACACTGAGGCCACATCTGAGCGGGAGACGATCCCGAACCATCCCGTGGGTACGCAGCTCGGACAACAGGTCCACTCTCCATCGCAGACTTTGGTTGACATCGATACGGCATCTTCTTCTTCCGCGCAAGGCCATATCAGCCTGCCACGGTCTGAGACACCTGCTTTTGGTTTCCGTACGACGGAAGATGAGCTCAACGCACGCTCCAAGGACAGCGAATCCGCCTTCCATCCTTCGGTCAACCAACCCGTGGTTCGCTGCACTCCTCAGGTCTGGGACACTATGATCACACAGATGGTAACTCTTAAAAAAGAGAAGATGGAAGCTCAGGCGAAGCTTGCAGCTCTCAAGCGTGACTGGACTCAACGCCACCAGGTTAAGAGTGACAATTCTTTCGAACTTGATCAGCTTCGTTACCGTCTCCAGGTCAATAAGGACCACAAAGCCATGATCCATCGTGACATGCACCAAAAGGAAGCCGATTTACTTATCAAGGATCTCGAGAATGAATCTCTAAAAAAGCAAATTACGAACTCGGAGGATATGCGTGAGCGGTGCGAGAAGCTCCAAGCCGAGGCGGACTACCTTCGCACTGAAGTCGGCAAGACTGAAGCGGATAACGGTCAACTGAAGCAGATCGTTATATTCAAGGAGCACGAGGTCGGAGAGTTGAAGGAGTCGCTCGCCCGTAGCAAGACCAAGATGACCGACCACCAACAGCGGGCGCACAATCTGGTCGATACTCAGAAAGCGAGGGAGAAGAAGCTGTAGGTCTATTCACGCGGCATATAGGGGACTATTTGCGATAACAACCAGCAGGAAGCAACTTGAAAAGCAGCTCCGCGATGCGCAGGGTACCGAGGAGAAGCTGCTTGATGAGATTGAGCTACTGAAGACGGCAAGTACTCTAATGCATCGCATTGGGTATACTACTCACATCTTGTAGGAGATTAAACCTCTCAAAAAGCAGGCTAAGGACCTCGACTCTCAGCTTCGCGAGAAATCTTCGAGCTGTGATCGTATGCGCAGCGACCTTAGGCATACCGAAAAGAGGCTCGAGGTCGCTTCTAAGGCTCTCCACAAGGTTGAGAATCACCAGCATCTCAAGGGTGCGGCTCACCTCATCATACCGAGTGACCGGACCAAGCTACCGAGGCTTGTGCTCCCTTGCATTGAGTGCTTCGCCCGCAACGTCACTTGCGACGCGAACAGTCGCTGTCAGAACTGTAAGTCGATCTAGCCAATACAAAACAAGGAGAAATACACTGAGACAATATCAAGGCAATCTGAGCGGTGAGAGATGCCATCGTTGGAGGTGTTCTCAAATGCACATCTTGCGCGGTGGATGCCAGGACATTATGTGCCCTCTTGAACACGATATCAATGGATGGCTCATGCTCAAGCAAGAGCAGCCACAGTGGTAAGTTGTGAGTCTCGCATACGCTTTCCCGGAGAGAATCTGCTGGGTGCTTCTATCTTGACTTTACTTCCCTTTCGAACGGGCATGAGGTTTTGGTGAATGGAGTCGGGCGGGAAATCGGTGGTGAGCGAAAGGTATGTTCGGGGGCTTCACTACCTATCGGGATCTGTTTTGGAAGCAATGGCTTTGCAGTCGCTAGGATTATGTTCGAGATATGTTCGCTTTGTAGTCCTCACTTTATGGGGCGGTGCTGACTCGGCGGCCAGTAGGAGGGCAATGACTAGATCCACAAACGGTAATGCACTTGTCGTCCGTGTCCGACCGACCGACCGAGTATCTATCGTGCGAATGCCTACCAGGCATATTATTTAATTGCGGTAGCATCGATGGTAGCTATAAGGTAATGCGGCCCCAATCTTGCCGTTATTTCCTAGCACAAATTTTCCTTTCCATTCAGCATTCTTTCTCTCCATGATGGTGGAAGCCCCCAATGAACTCCTCGTTTCCGCAGCTGTTGTGACGTCGACTCTGATCCTAGGAATTCCTGTGGCGATCGGCACCATCGTCCTTGATAACTCATACGTCCCAGACATCGTCCTCGGTTCGAAATCCATCGACGCCGGTCCCTCAGGCTCGAAGACGCTCAGCTTTGGCCTGCAAACAAGCCCAGATGAGGCCGTTCTCGCATCTGCATACATATCCATACTCGCATCCATCGTCCTTGCTGTCTCCCTAATCATCCTTCGACACACGAATCTCCTAGGACGCACCGCGGGATGGGGCGCGATAGCTTCCGCGGCAGCGAATCTGCTAGCGCAAATCGGATGTATCGCTGCGTGGGGTATCCTGCTAATGACGGATGAAGCGAAGCACGCGCAGTCTGTGGATCTTTCTTACAATGAAAGGCTGCAGAGGTATGATACCCGGGGCCGCATGTTCACCCGCGAGGCGTGGGCGTGTAGTATGCAGGCGCTGTTCAGGGAGCGGGAAGGCGCGTGGGCGGGGAAGGCGTGTGTAAATATTGTAAGTTGACCCTGGTTCTTTACTATTAATGAACTCTTCGTGAAATCGTCGCTTGCACTTGTACGCCGCGAAGGAATACAGTACAGGACTCGGTGGGGTCCCAACTCATGTATATGGACCTCTATACGCGATGTTGTTTTGGAGGATAAAGATACTAATACATCGCACAGAAGTCGGCGCGAATGGTGACCATTGTGACGACATTGTTTGGCGGTGTGCTGGTAGGTGTGGCGATTTGGCAGGTTCGGGGTAGGGGTGGATGGGGGTGGTTGAGGGGTGGGGCGGCGAGGAGGGAGAGGGACAAGAATATTGCTATGGAGGATTATAGGCGGTCCTGAAGGTATCGATTGGAGGTGGGGTGTAGCTGTTAGGATTAGGTTAGAAAGTGTAAGTAGTGAGACGGTGCTTCGCCAAAGACAGATTACCACGGTCTGTTGGAGCAGTCCCACCTACGTGTGGAGGGCACTGTTCTATGGCAACAGGTCTTTGGGCTGGCTTGTATAGCTGCGTACTGATGGCGGTCCAGCTCGGTCATTGCACCCTACATGTACAAGGCCTGTGTCATCTAAAGTGTGAATAGAACGTGTTCGTGAATGCGACGGTGCAAGCGCAGATGAACGTGTAAGAAAGATAGCTCATATGGGGGTTTGGAAGATAAGTGTCCTGTACACCCCCTAGAGGTTACAGGCCCACAGAATTGCATGGAAGGCGGAAACGCCAAACCCCAGAGATTTGCTTCTGAGCTCTTGCCCGATTACGCTCTTCCTATGACTAGACCCAGCTATTATCGAGACAGAGAGAACACCCGATCTGACAGTGTTCAATCCTGTCATGTAGGTACACCCTTCCTATATCTATACAATGTTTTAGAATTCGAGCTGCGTAGAATGCGTACGTCCGCTGTCGGTTTGGTGCGACGGAGGGCTAATGTACTCAACCCTGGAAGTAGAGTTCTGATATTACGCTGATCCGACCCGCATTGGTACTGAGTCTTAAGAGTTCTTGGATCATAGTAGGAGAACCTCGAGAGTATGGGTATACGCGCGTATTTAGCCTGCCAAGTTCGGGACTGAGTCCTGTCCATTCAAACCCGGGTAGAGATATGCCCCCTCCCCCTCCCCAATCTGACAGCAAGAGGGGTTTGTTTGTGTTGTGTTAGAATAGTAGATAAACGACGAAACATGGCACACGAGGCCGAATTGAGCACTATATAAGATCGCGTTGAGAACGGAGATAATGGAAGAGGGCCACCCCAACTTGACAGCGCGATGACTTTGCACACAGGTTGCAGTACTCGGGGTTACCAACGTCTCCATATGGATGTTGAAAATGAAATTGCAAGAGAGCTTAATACATTATGCGGCCCTAGATTTTCCACTACAGCTGTAACGTTATCTAAGTAATGGTAGCGAAAGAATACTTAACATTCGGACTGAGTCTAACGATCGTTTGGGGAACCCTAGGCGCAACCAACTAATCAAACCTATGATTAATATACAGCTACTGTCAGCAATTCAGAAGAGCTACAGTTTTGATCAGGGCGGTAAAAAGCTGGCAAATCTACGTAGTTACAGTGTCGAACATATCGTGAAGAAACAGCGATAGCCCAAACTTGACAGATTCCATGATGTTATTAGTTTTCTTGACTTTCTGGGGTAGGTTGCAACACAGACATCGGCACTGACATGCTAATGATGCTCAAGCAGCTTGTTGCCATTCACTTGTCTCTGCTCACGCTAAGTCTTCCCTCTGTACGCCCGAAGAACAAATTTTCATCAACAACAATGGCGTCACGATCCACTATCGCAAGTATGGCTCTGGTCCATATCTTGTAATGCAGCATGGCTTTCCTGATCGCGCAACAACGTTCAACGACTTCCAAGTTCTTGTCCTCGCACAGTCGTACACCGTCCTAACGCCAACACTACGTGGACACCCTCCATCATCAGTGCCTCCCGAAGTGGGAGACTATGCCGCCGAGAACTTCGTTTCGGACCTCCTTGCCGTACTAGACCACGAGAATACCACGACAGCTACCCTGGCTGGCCATGATTTCGGCGGCGCTGTCCTGCAATACTTTTCGCTCTACCAACCCGATCGCGTCGAAGCAATGGTCATGATAAATACGCCCCTGTTTCCTATCTTTTTGGCACTGCTTGGCAGAGGTCCAATGAGGAGGTTTGGGGCCTTTTGGAGATTGCGAGAAGATTGCGAGTGGGAAAGGTTGGTGGGAATGGCACGTTAGCCTTGTTCGTATTCTTAGTTAGTGAGATCTGGGATAGTCAATAATCGAGACCGCTGGGTGTGATCTGAACGCGAAATGCGTTAAAGTAGTCTCGCGGAAGACATTTTTGGCAGCAGCACGCCAATCTTACCGACTAGCGTCGTGGGTGCCTATTCGACGTAGGAAAGACTAGGATGTTGCGACACCGGAATTTTCGCCCCCATTTAACTGAGGACACCATTGCCACTAGCTGACTCGGCACTGCTTCAAACCAACGCGACATGCCACATCTCTCGTTTCTGCGATCTGGACATAAAGCACATGTCACGATGACTCAGTAATCAGGCAACAGTTGAGTTCATAGAGAAGCCGCTGTGCTCATGAATTTACTCCACTCAATCTAAATCCCAACTTTTCTTGTTAGCATTGCTACAGCAATGTCAAGAACTACGAGTAATCGTGCACGCGGGACATCCAGATTGGGAATATTCATAATTGTGGTACTCGCTTTTCTCGGGCTGGCCTTCGCACAGTATGCGGATGCACGACCAATTGAAGATTCAAGTACCTCCTCTCCTCCCATAATTGGTATCAGTATTGGGAGTTCATACTCGTCTGTGGGAGTGATAATGTAAGTCTTCGCTCCATAAGTCGCTGCGTACTGATAGAGCCCAAGAAACGATACCACACATATCATACCGGACAAATATGGCAACCTTGTGTTACCATCCGTGGTGTCTTTCACAGACACCGGTGAGGCGCTGGTGGGTCAAGATGCAATAGATATGTTGATTTCGCACCCTGAACGTTCCGTCACTGGGTTCAAGAGGTTATTAGGCAGATCTTATCAAGAGATTGGGAATTTCGTGAACGGCGCGCACTACAAGATCATTGAGAGAACTGGAAACCCGATTATCCAAATTCCTCTCCAATCTGGGAGTAGGGAATTCCAGCCCACAGAGGTTTTAGCATTTATGATTCATGAACTGAAGATCATGGCGGAGGAATTCATTGGAGAGAAGATTAAAGAGGCGGTAGTGACCGTACCGGCCGGCTTCAACGACAGCCAAAGGGTAAGTTTCCGATAGGGTCGGACCAAGGCCTCTCGCTAACAATCACACCGCCCAGGCTGCTTTCAGGGAGGCAGCAAACATCACTGCACTTGATGTCGTTCGTATAGTAAATGAGCCAACAGCTGCTAGTCTAGCTTACAAGTTAGACAAAGATTATCGGCAGGAGAAATTTGCTCTAGTCTATAGTCTTGATGGAACTGCCTTCGACGCAACTGTGGTGTATATCGAAGATGGTGTATTCGAGATATTCGGAAATGTCAGAAGTGAGGACATAAGCAGCAGCAACGATGTCAGCTCGAGTAAGCTGGCACATCAGCATTCCGATTCTCAACGTACCAGCTTCCAAGAGGTAAGTAATGATCGAGAAGGCAACATCCCTTAGAATTGCCTGAACCTATCCATGTACTAACATTTTGAACCCCAGAAAAACAACGTTATGCGTGGCTTTTCGGCCCAAACGAAAGATCAAGTTCCTCTACTGAACACAGATGGTAGAAGAGATGAAGTGATTGCAGAAGAGGTTCGTGTGCGTCCCTAATGAAGAGAAAATGCACTTTTGCTCAGCCAAATTTACTCATATTACAGGAATTCCTTAACTCTTTCAATGCCGACCAAGCTCTCCAAGTCATCGACCAGGCTCTTCGAGAGGGGAATCTCACAATCTATGACATCACTGACATCGTGCCCAGTGGTGATTCGTCACGCATCCCGAAGCTTCGTTCCCTACTACTGGACCACTTTCCTTCGACGCTACCCGTTCATGAGGACATTGATCCTAGGCTCATTACCACCTACGGCGCTGCAATCCAAGGTTCCGTTCTTCACGATGATGGTCACATGTCCGTTTGTTGCGTCGTTGATGTGACACTTTGGCAGCTGGGTGCGTTCAATATTTCATGCGAACGATTTTCACCAACCTAATTCAAGACAGGCATCGAAACTGCTGGTGGTATCATGAGCCCGCTGGTGAAACGAGGAACTCTCATTCCGACTAAGAAGTCACTTATCTTTACCACTACCGTAGACAATCAGACTTCAGTAGCGGTGACAGTGTTCAAGGGTCAGCGAGACTTCGTGGCCAAAAACACGAAAATCGGCAGCCTGGAGCTTGACGAGCTGATTCCTGCTCCGCGAGGAGTACCAGAAGTAACGAAACGAACATTCCCATGATTGCAACTCGCTTACAGTCGCCGCAGCTTGAGGTCACCTTTATGGTTGACTACAATCGGAATTTGAATGTGCGTCCACTATGTAACATGAACGGCTTTATCTTTTCCTAACTAGACTCTCTAGGTTTCTCTGACTGAGCGCGGGAGCAACAAAACCACGTCACTCTTTATTGAGAATTCAGCGCTTGAGCCATATACAGACCTTGAAAATGGACTCATCGAAACACACCTTGAAGAGTGGGAGAGATACGAATTCGAGGAAAGACTCCTGCGTGACGCGATCCAGAAGCGGATTGTGCAGGGTGAAGATCAAGTACTTGGAACAACGAAAGGGATAATAGAGCGGGCGTTGCCGGGCATTGTCGGCTACAGAGAATCAATTGGCATGACGGAACACGTAGGTTGTATAGATGGATGTTCATGGTGGGATTCGCTGCGATCTAGGGCATACGCAAGCCTCAACAGGTTGCTCGTATTGATGCGATGGTAATGTGGTGCAGCGAACAATAGTGGAAAATCGGCTAGTCTCCTCCTATATGGACAAAAGACACATTGGGATATTCAGACCTGTATTGGTGCTTCACATATATTGTAGACTTTCCTCACACTGCTTCTAACAATACATTACATCAACTGGACTTATCAATGTCATCTGACCATTAGCAACGTACCAACCCGGAGTTCCGCCTATAAGCACAATGTGCGAGTATTCACGGGCCAACATATGCTTGCATATTGTGAATCAGTTGCAAAAGACTTCATCGTCTCCGGCCTTGATCCCGTTCATAAGAGCAAACATGCCCGCGGTATCGAGTACGATGTACCCGCCGAGACGTACCCATCTTCCTCAAAATGAGAGACCAGGTCAACCCAGCCCAGTGCCCACGTGTCGTCTTCTTCTTCCCAAGGCCCTCCTAGAACCCTTTTCACTTGGAATTGACGCACCATCATGCAAGCGCTGAAGCGTAGACTTGCCGTTTCTCTCTCCCCGCTATTTATCGCCCACTCCTCGAAACGTCTACCGATGTTGGTCAGCTTCTAATAAAATGGAAGCTCTGAAGAAACTTGTCAAACAGATCCAAGACGCCGAAGGTGCTGCAAAGACGCCATTAGGAGACAAGAAGCATGATTTTTGGTATGTGCTTCAATGTAACCATTACCGTTGCTCTTGTAGGTTGAGTCCATACCATTTACAAATGTGTTCTTAACAGTCCAGTTACACTAGGACAAGCGCATCTCCAGTTTGGAGTGGCCCTTAGATCGATAGGTACTGCGTGCGCAACAATGAGTAATGCACGAGAATATATTCATCAGACCCATGTCTCCGTTGTACTTCTGTTCTAAAGTTTGTACAAACGCACTAACATAGGACCTCTACAGCTGGCCTAGCCTGGCTGGGAAACTAGCGTGAAACCAGGGTCTACGCGCAGATGATGTCAACACCAATTGCAATGATCGCTTCATACCACCAAAAATTTGTCTGACGTAAAGCAGCATCAATCGGGGTCCAAGATAAAGCTCGAAGCAGAATCACTGAATATGGCGCTCTCAAACACCGCAGAAACCACTCCTCTGCTCGAAAACGGTAGGATGCCTTCCCGGCGGATCCTCAGCGATACGCGAAAACACCTACCCTTCAGCGAGCGGCTACATCACTTCACGTGGTCATGGTTCGAGTGTACGATGAGCACCGGCGCGATAGCCACCGTGCTTGGCCAGCAACCATTTGGCTTTGACGGCCTGAAGACAATAGGGAAGATATTCTTCATCCTGGATCTTGTCCTATTTTTCACTTTCTGTGCATGTATAACGTACCGATTTGTGCGGACGCCACCTGGCACGCTTCGCACGAGCTTACACCACCCGGAAGAAAGCTTCTTTTTCGGGACCTTCTGGGTTAGCATCGCATTGATCCTGTATTGCTTACAGCAATACGGCGTGCCCTCGTCGGGACCCTGGCTTATCAAAGCGCTCGAGGTACTTTTCTGGACTTATGCTGGATGCGCCATACTCGTCGCGGTATTCCAATATCATGTCATCTTTGACACCAGGAAGCTGCCTGTCACAGATGCACTGCCAGCCTGGATCCTCCCCGTTTATCCATTCTTGGTCCTGGGTCCGCTTTCGGCTGTTTTGGAGTACAGCCAACCCCCAGATGCCGCATTGCCTATAATGATTGGCGGTATCTGTTTCGAGGGCCTGGGCTGGGGCGTCGCATTAATCATGTACACAATCTACGTCACTCGCCTTATCAACAGCGATCTGCCTGAGCCGAGCAAGAGACCCGCAATGTACGTCGCTGTCGGGCCGGCAGCATACACCGCAAACACATTGGTTGCATTGGGGATGCAGGCCCCCAAAGTCATACCCCCGAATTTCCTGGGCATCGGATCCTTCCCTGTGGGCGAGGTCTGGAAAGCCATCGGTGTGCCCTGTGGCATCTTCCTCTGGCTCCTCGCCTTCTGGTTTTGCGCGCTGTCTACAGTATCCGTTCTTAACTCCTGGAAGGAGATGCACTTCACGCTGAACTGGTGGGCGTTTATATTCCCGAACGTCGGCTTGACCATCGCGCTCATCCAAATCGCAAACGTCCTGGATAGCGATGGAATCAAGGGGGTTTGCTCGGCAATGACGGTCATCTTGGTCACGTTGTGGATCTTTGTAGCGATCATGAATGTGCGGGCTGTTTGGAGAGGTGATATACTGTGGCCGGGCATGGACGAAGATATGGAAGAGGAAGGGGAGCATGAGGACGATGAGGAGCAAAGAACAGAGTAGGCAACCTTCTTGTTGCAAGACATTGTGACTTCCCATGCGTCATGCATTAAAGGCCGCAGGCTCAGCCTTGAGAATTGACCTTCCAAGATGTATGCTGCCGTAGTCTATATCCCAACCGTACATGATGAAGATGTGCTGCAATAGCATGACACATCGAAGGATATGTGCATGACCTCTGATCGATTGTATCAAGCTTGTGTGAAGGCAACACCTTGGTGCAAGAGAAAATTCGAATTCTAATTCTTCATCACTTGAAGCGCCCGGGTAATGGTAATTATGAAAGTTTGAACTGCCACAGTAATGTATTATTGCAGTCTCGGATCAATCATCGCTCACATGGACTGTCAACGAGCCATGAGCCTCGACAAGAGACCGATTGAAGAGGGCAACGCCCGAGGCGATCACATCTTGCAACCTCAAACGGGGAGAAGAGAGTATAAAGTTCGTAGCCATTGGCCCCCAGCGACCGCAATACCGCTCTACAACTCCACAGCATCACAGAAAACAGCTTGCAGCTTCATCATACATTGATCGAAGCAATCCATTATCCTCGACACATCCGCCTCCAAACGCTCGAATCCAATCTATCACCACCGAAACCCAACAGCAAATACAGTGCAATGCATCTCCATACCCCAGACATTGAGAATTTCAGAGACCCCGTAGGCCTTACGTGCAGTATATGCGGCAGAACATTCGAAAAAGAGAGGTTCATTCCGGTTGCAGATGGTTATCCATGCCCGTATCCTCTCTGCGAGGGTATAACCACGTTCAACTCCACCTAGGGCCTCCGGAGGAGGGGTGGTGTCAGAGCAGGGAGATGGTGTTCTGTTTGTCTTGCTGGCGATGGGCATGCCACCAGTATATGGGTTTTCTGTCTTGATGTTTAAGCGGGAATCGGGGCTCATTTGGTTTACACTTGTATCAGTTTGGATGAGAGTTGTGTCTTTGAGGCGATGCAGTTCGATTCCAGACATGGCACGCCCAACTCTTCCCGAGGGTCGAATGGATAAGGCAAGGGGCTCAGATTACGCCTGGTCGACGGTATATATGTGGGAGTGTATTGTCCATCTTTGTTGTAATCGCACCAAATCTTTCCTCCACACAGCTGTACTGAGCGCGGGTGGAATGGTCGTCCGCGGTGGAAGCATGCAGGCCGCAGAGGTGGGAAGATGGTTTGCGGGAATTGTGTGGGAGGTTTGAGGGCAACGCAGAAGGATCATGAGAGATATCTGAGGCAGAAGGAGGAGAAGGCGAGGAAGGACAAGCGCAGGATGAACATGTCCGCGGAGCTGGCTTTCGAAGAGGAGGAGTTCTAAAGGATGGAGGTTGCGGGAGGGACGCGACTGAGGTTGCTTGACTGCGGTGTGTGAAACGATGAGGAATGGTAGCGTAGGCTTGGCGGGTACTTGCTGTAGTGCTTCTTGGGCTGTGATGGCTAGTTACGTGATAATCGCGAGTGGTACTTTGCAGTCATACATACTAGAACAAGAGGCGATTCCCGCTCGCGCGACCCACACTTCACCCAGAACACGATTCTGGTTCGAGACTGATTGACTAGGTCAGAAGGCAGAGTGCTGTGTATCACTCCAGGATAGACAATACGTAGATTGATTGTACGCAGACTTACGCAGCCCCCACTTGAACATAAACGTGACTCCATCTCGACGATGATCGGGTGGGATGTTTTCATGCGTGTGTTGGCGTTCATTGGTTATGAGCGATTGGTCCACGTCGTGCCTCGCGGCACTTGGTTTGGATTGTGCCTTCCACTCGTATCGAATACCCAGTGGATATCTACGAAATCTTTGTTTGCATTGCCAGCGTACCCTCCAAACGCGGCGTTCCTCAGGCAGTATCAGTACACTTTGGTAGCAATGTTAACCATTATCTATCCTCGAACCCACCCTAACTCGCATCGATCTTTAGAGATTTCGCCCAATTCACCACGACACGAAGCAACTATGGGTTGTTGTCGCTGTTGCCTTGACAAATGCTTCCGCCCATCATTTATGTTTCAAAAGCCCTCGTTGTCACACGCGAACAGCAGACTCAGTCTTCAGGGGAGCAGGGTCGGGAGCCTTACACAAACAGCCACGATGCCACGATGGTCTGCGCGAAGACCTCTCCTGCTCAGAGTGAAGCGAAGGCGTCGTCTCGATCCCCTTCACGAGCTCAACCTTGAACAATAGGCTCTATGCTGACTAGCCGAGCATGTGAGAGCGGACAATGTTGTGTTGTTTGTGGGAACATGGAAACGACGATGGCGTGAAGTCGGGATGGGTCTTCTACTGTGGCTTTCTCTCCTAGCCATATTTAGAAAGCTCGGGAAGCTCATCCACGGTACTCTCGTACGCAGGTCTGCAGTCTGCGTGCATACCAATGCAGGGGCGCAGGGCTAAGGGCCGATGAAAAAAGCTGTCTAGGTGCTTGATCAACGTCTTGTGATGGTGACTGCTGGCGACTTTCTAGAATCACGGCGAACAATGTCTTTGCGAGGTTCAGATGCTGTGGGTCCAGCATCGGGAGCCTCGGGATGTATGTCTAGCGCATCCTGGTGGCCCACCTCGCCGCTGTCCTGGCTAGGCAATGGAATGTGAAACACAGCGTCGAGCAAAGATCCGTTAGCGAGCTGCATGGGAGTTCAGCTGGTCAGCTCACACGAGGGCGGGATGAAACGTGGCGGATGAGGACAAGTGCACCCGTTGGCAAGGAGCCGGCGAGCTGCTGCGCCTCAGGCGGATGCAGCGTGGCGCTCTCCAACAGCAGGCCCTGGACCGCGTTGGCGGGCCGCCTGGTGTGCAGTATGTAAACGACAGCTTCGACAAGAGCGATGGGACGAGACGATGCTACTATGGCAGCGCAAGCATCGCGCAAGCGGTCTGTTTGTGCATGGATGGAAGGAAGCATGCAAACGAGCGTGCTGCAGGCGTGTTGCTATGAATACACCGTCGATCAGCTCTTGCGCGGTGGCAGCAACGGCTGGAGGCATCTCGATGCGCACAACGCAACTGCTCGCAACGGCGTTTGGCGATGACGTTGGGCGGGAGGCGCTGGAGCTGGTTGATATGCTGTCGATGCTATCGCCGGGATGCCGCCTTGTTGACGAGCAGGTCGCCTCTGCAACGCCGCCGCCGGCGCCCCAGTGCGCTCGAAAGCAGCCTCCTCCACCGCTCCCGCGCGGCCCTCTGCTCCGGCGCGCGAGACGAGCGAGTCGCTGTCCTGACGCTGCACTAACAGCGCCTTGCCTCGCTAGTTTGTGCAACTGTCAAGCGTCAAACTGCCTGTTGCTGCTGCTGCACCCCGCCCAGACGTCCGCCCCATTACTGCCCGAGATCCTCGCCCGGACCTGCGTCGCCCTTTCGCTCGCTCGCCCTCTTTCCGCTTCGTACGCTCGCTTTTGCCCGTTGACTTCCCCGCCGCCATGTGCTTGGTGTTGTAGAGTGCCCACCATCACCGCGACTGCCAGCATATCCCCGACCACCTCCGCCGCCCGTTTCATCCACGCCAGGCACTCCTCGACCGACCCAGGCCAGCGCTGCTGCTTGTCCCGCCCTGCCTGCTCAGGCGCATATTCCTACGCTGCTTCCTCGCCCGCCGCTGCCACTCCACCGCACATCCATACACCCGCCCTGTTTCCATACGCGCCGCCCCAAGCGTCACCGGAGCTCACGCGTGCGCTGCCACATCGACGCCATATCCTGGCCTGGAGCTGCAGCCGCACCGCAGTCTGCAAGCTGGACAGTGAACATGAAGAGAGGGACCCGGGGGCGATGATGGCAACGTGCACCGCGCCCAATGGCGCCCGCGTACTAAGGGATGGCAGCCAACGCGAACTGCCTTCCCTCCAACCCACACAACCTCGCCCACGACCGCGACGGAAACGGCCCACCGGCTCGCCGTCACAATTGTTATCCCTATTCGTACTCGTTGTAATACTGGCGGCACTTCCCGTAGCCAACGCCGTCTTCATAAACTTCGACAACTGTCTGGACTCCAACTACCGCCGCGAAACCGCCCCAGTCCGTCTGCAGTTTACGCCCATGCATGTCTGGGTCAAGTTCAACAACACGGATTACACACACCGCTTGAATGTCACCATCTACGGCAATGTGTCTGGACAGTTCACAGGTGGCGACTATCCTCCGCCCTCGTCTCCCAAGTGGAAGGATCCCAAGGAATCTTTTGGCAAGATCCCAAACTTATGGCGGGTGGGCGCTCCGGGCACTCCTGGAGGTGTCGCTACAACCCTTTTCCCGACCTTTGATGCGCTCACTTACTCGTCTTGGAACCCCGGCCCGCAGCAATTCTGTGATTACACCATCAACACAGCATGCCCGATTGCGCCCGTCTTCCCACAGACGGTGCCTGATGGAACTAACTTGAGCGATCCGACTGTACTGCCAGCATTCGGCGTCCAAAGAGATTTTTACAGCAGTTACTCCTTCACTACTTGGGAAGCCACCTTTCGTATCGTTGCGGGTGACGTGAATGCCACGACGATCGGCTGCGTCTCTGCTACAATAACTCCAGATCTGGGACCCAGTCTGAGCGATGCTATACGGTACATGCCCGCAGCCATCCTCGTACTCGTCGGCATTGCTACCGTCTTTGCTGGCATGTACAGCCCTTGGGGTTCGACCAATATCTTTCGTTGGTCCAGCAACTACGGTAGAGACGAGGATCTGCTGCGATTAGTGACGCCTGGATTCGGAGATTGCCTACAATACATCCAGTTCATTGTCTTGGCTGGCAGCTTGAATCTGCAGTACCCAGGCTACTTCCAGCCTGTGATAAGCCGGGCAAGCTGGTCATCACTCATGTTCAATCAGAGCTTCGTCAGCGGTCTTAATGGAACACAGAGTCTAGAAGACGGCATCTACTTCGTGAACGGCACTTATGGCTTGTCCAAGCTGAGCAAATACGTCGGCATATCAGAGGACCAGGATGTGTGGGCCGGCATGGCCATCTGGCTGCTTGTACTGATTGGGATCGTCGTTTTGCTGGTACAGCTAGGTTTCTTCCTGCGCTGGGTTTTCCGCCTCGTTACCAAAGTTCAGGACACCGATCTCCGTGGCAAGAACTGGCCTTTCACAGCTGGCAATATCGTGCGCATTGTGCTCAATTGGTTCATGCTGCCCATCGTCACGTTATCATTGTTCCAAATGGTAGTTGCACCAGGGTCCTCTGCCTCAGTGGTTGCCTGTGCCGTAATTCTCCTGATAGGAGTTAGCGGAGCAGCAGTATGGATATTCTGGATGATCTTCACGACTCGACCGCGTGCCCATCTTTTTGACGATCTCCCTACTGTTCTAACGTACGGTCCGCTATATAATACCTACTCGGACGATGCGGCCCCGTTTGCCTTCATTCCGGCTCTGCTGACTGTGATCCGCGGCATCGCCATCGGAGCTATCCAACCATCGGGCATCGCGCAGATCATTGTTCTCGCCATTTGCGAAATTATTATGATCATGACATTGCACGCTTTCAGGCCTTTTCAGTCGAACACGTCCATGAACGCGTACCATACTTTTTTCGCATCAGTCCGGCTTGCCTGCATTCTACTTATGGTAGCGTTTGTTCCGTCGCTAGGAGTGTCTGAAGCGCCAAAAGGGTGGATCGGCTATGCTATCCTTCTGCTGCATGCGATCGTCTTAGTATTCGGATTCTTCCTCAACTCTCTTCAGACCATCATCGAGGTTGCTGCCAGACTCACAGGCGCAGGGGCGGACCAGCGTGGAGGCCTCACAAAAGTCTTTGGCAAACGCGATCTTGCAAAACGAAACCATCGACACCAGCGCAGCAGCCTGAACTCGAACGCGGCGATGCTTGCCCATGACGGGAACAAGGGGTCTATTCAGCTCAGTGGAGGACGGACTCGCAGCCTTTCTGGTAGCTCTGCTGTTCTTTTGAACGGGCCTTATGGCACCAATCGTGAAAGCGTTGCTTTTGACGGCTTCAGCCAAGGAGAGTACAGTCACGGTGGAACAAGCCCAGGAACGCCGGGCACCAATGCAACCCCTTTCACGTTCTTGGCAGGATCTGCGTCGAGTTCTCGACGGCCGACCATGGGTACAATGTTGGACAACCCTGACCCGTACTACCGACCACCCAGAGCGCGGAAGCATACTATGGAATCGATGACGGCGAGCTTGTCGAACAGAAGATCCCAGAGCGCCGATTTGACAAACACGCCATACGCGGACAATCCAGATCTCGAAAGTGGGGATTTGGGCGAGGGTCCGTCATCGTGGTCACCCGGAAAGCGATCCATCACCCCTGCGTTCTTACGCATGCAGCGCGACGACTCAGATCCTAGTGTCGATCGCCGCAACAATACTGACTACTCTGTGCGCGAGTCGGACTTCTACTACGGTCTTCGCGGGCCGGCTCTATCATCCCAACCAACGCGCAAGCTGAAGACGGGACCCGCAGATCCAATGGGCCCAGTTTCATCAGCCACAGGCTGGTTCAAGAGCTTGGGTTTCTTTGCTGGAAAGAAGAAGGAAAAGGGCAAGGGATTTGAAGTCGTCCGCAGCACGCGTATGCCACCGCAAATGATTGCTGAAGAGGAGGAAGAATCTCCGCATGCAGCCCAAGAGCCATACCATGACAGCCCTGCTGGATCTCCGAACGACAAGAAGAAGTCGATACAACAGGATAGCCCTGGTGCAGCTACGGCAGCCGGTGCCATCAGGCGTTCGAGCGTCAGTGAATCAGACAAGAGCAGCGACGACGACGACGAGGATGACTATGATGATATCCCGCCGCACACGAGAGTATCTGATCTACCTCCTATGCTCGGCGCAATCGATACTGGCGGTGGCATCGAGCTTCCCAGTAGAATTGGGTCTCGTGCATCGCGCATGTCCAGACAACAGCCACCAAGTCGCGCTCCCACAATACCACGCAAGAGTTCCAGGCGGACGCCTTCTACAGAGGCAGCCATCCTGGAGAGCAGCAATCGATTATCAACGGTCACGGCGTCTCCACCGAGATCGCCAAGACGACGATCTGCACACCTTGCCAGCACTCCAAGCCAGCGTCTTCGCCCAGCAGGAAACACTATCCCCATTCGTTTACCCTTTGGATCATCAGAGCCGTCGCCATCGCCGGATCCCAGTCCGAACCATTCGGCAGCTTCAAGTCTGTACCCGACGCATGACAGCGACTATCACGCGTTGGGTACCGGAAACACGCTCGCACCGCCTCCGATCATCCAGACTGGAGAGCGGCCGTTGAGCACAGGATACGTGCATCAGCACGTAGCACGCGACAGCATTCAAAACGACAACCACGTTCCAGGCAGCCATCTCGAAACGTCTGCCGAGATCATTGATCGAAGCAGAAGCGTTAGCACACAAGGCAGCCTGAACAACCGGCGCCGATGATTTATCCATGTTTAAGTTTGCTAATTAATTCTGAATTCATTGTACAAGATTTCAGATGGAGGAGGAAGCGGGGGTGTCAATACAGCCCCATTCGATGTCTAGTGTAATCCGAAGCCCCTTCGGCTTTGTGTCACGAATTTCCTTGCTACTGTACAACTCATCGTCATCAAAAGGGGTTTTTTGCAGTTTTTAGCGTTCTTGGGGTCGGGTCAGTCAGGCTACAATGGTCGGGCACATGCATTGTACATCTACGGCCAGCAGGAGCAACACCGCATATAGGCGACTACATAATACAGCAATTTGATCTTCTAGAAGTCATGGCTCGCGACGGTGAATGTTCCAGTGGACAAAAACGTGCTGAAAGAAGAGGCGGATGTTTGTTGTTCCAGTCGCGTGATGAGGGGAACCGTGCGTGGGTGCATCTCAATTCCCGGCGATAAGGCAACTCCAGGCCTGAGGTGCTTCTACATTCCCTCCAAGCTGCATTCGTCACGCACGCTTGGAGCGGGCCAGTCTTAATACCCCTTCGACATCTGGGTTGTGCTTGATCGTCCACCGAAGAACCGGGGTCGTCGGCGCCTCGTTCGCACGTATCGCCCCTCGCAGTAAACAGCGGACCCACCACTGTCACACAGCGGCCTGGATTCACCGCTGACGGTGAGCGTGAGCAGCAGCGTAGCGGGCCCCAGTTGTTATGCACAGTGCCCATTTGTCTCACAGAAGACTGCAGACCGTTTCCAAAGCACATTGCCATATACAGTCCGTGAGTGGCGGCATGCTATGATGACTTCCCCGACGCCGCACTTCCTCCAGCGACGCTCGTTGAGCACATCGTCGTCGTCCTCGGACGCGTCCGACTTCGTCCCGCCGCGCGCCTCGCACGCCAGCGTCGCCCTCGGACTCAGCCAGCCTGCCGTCATGGCCGGCAGGGCTGCCTTCTCGCACAGCTCGCCGAACCTGGGCCGCCAGCTTGATGGTGCCAACAGCGGAGCACCCCAAGACGCGGCGGGCATGCACCCACCACGCACGCATTCCTACGGAGCCGTGGCTTCGCACTTCCTCGCCCAGCCGAATGGTGCATACGGTGGACAGACGTGGGTCGACTTTCTCCGCGACGCTGGAGCCGACCCAAGCGCCAGCGCTCAACAGCCACGCGCTCCCCCGCAGCCAAACCTCCATGCGCCGCTGCCACCGCTGCCTGTCGATTCGTTCCCACACCGTCCCTCGCCGCACTACTCGCTCCCTGCCCACCCTTCGGCGCACACAGAGGCGCGCCCCTCGCGCAGCTCGTCGGAGCGGAAGCGGAGGTTGACGACGGCAGACTCGCCGTTCCGGCGGCCGTCAAGTATAAGGATGCATTCAGAGGACCAGCCGGGGTCTAGCCACAACCCAATAGTGCTGGGCTCTTCGCCCGCAGCTGCGCCCGCACAACGCCCGTCTCTACAGTCGCACACAAGCACGGGCAGGAGGGACAGCGACTTTGCCTTGCCGCGGTGGCAGCCGGACTCGGAGGTGACGCACTGCTTCGTTTGCGGAAGCCATTTTACCTTCTTCTACCGGAAGCACCATTGCAGGTACGTGCTGGGCTTCGCCGGTGTTTGTGGCTTACGGCCCAACCCTTTGGGTGTTTGAGAGGCCTTTGGAAGCAGCATTATTTGCTCGCGATACTGACTATTGCAGGAAATGCGGCAGAGTCGTCTGCTCCGCGTGCTCCCCGCATCGGATTACAATCCCCCGCCAGTACATCGTTCACCCGCCCTACGATAACCCCAATATCATCGATCCGACTAGCGAAGACGATGACCACCCAATGTCCCGCTTCGGCCCGTTCGGCAATCCAGCGCTAGGTGGAGGCGAGGAGGTCCGCGTATGCAATCCCTGTGTACCTGATCCGAACTACAGTCCGCCGCCGCAGCATGGTCAGACTTCTCCATTTCCTCCGTTCTCACCAACTGCACATTCACCACACCTCGCACCTTCAAATGCTCTCCCGCGTGGTCCCCGGCCTTCACATAGATCAACACAGAGTGTCAATGACAGCGCGCGCACAGTCAGCCATGGTCAAGCGCCGCGTTCGCGCGACCTCTTCACTGATCGGAGGACAAGCTACCACGGCGCCTCCCGCGTAGCAGACCTGTGGCCGCCAACTCAAGCAAATCCCCATGATTATGCCCAACCGCCTGCATACGATCACCGGACCAGACCCCACTCACGCTCGGTGCTCTCCGCGAACCCTCAGCCCACTTCCAGCGACTTCGCGGGTCAGCATAGCATGCCCGGCTCACGGCGCAGTTTCTTCGCACACGGCCATCCAGTCCCCGGTCCACCACCACAGCCCCAGCCCACTCCCCGCCGACAAATAGCAGAAGAAGACGAGTGCCCTGTCTGCGGCAATGAGCTGCCCGCAAAAGGCCCAGACGGTGACGAAACTGCACGCACCCAGCACGTTGAGGAGTGCATAGCTCTTTACTCTGGATCACCGCCGCCAGCACCGACAACGCCCGCAGACCTCTCCTCGAACAGTCTGCCCAGCCAGCGGACCCGCGGCATGAGCAGTGCCGCGGGCAACGGCGAGGGCTCCAGCAACCGGATGAGCATGATGGCGCGGGGCATGGTGCCGTACGTGGCGACGGAGAAGGACTGCGTGGACGAGGAGGGCAACGAGGCTGAGTGCGTAATTTGCTTTGAGGAGTTCGAGGCTGGCGATAAGATGGCGAGGCTGGTGTGTTGGTGCAAATTCCATGAGGTGAGTTTCCCTGTTATCCACCCCTTTTACGCCGGTACGAAGGATAGACACTAATGCGGACACAGTCTTGCATCAAGGAGTGGTGGGACAAGAAGGGCAGAGGCGCGTGCCCGACGCACCAGCTGCAGTACTAGGTGCCAGGCAGAGTTGCCCCTCGTCTATTCTTTTTCATCGGTATCTACCTTGCCTTTTTCGATGCGTCCGGCTCGGAGGCATTCGCTTCTCACTCGTGGACTTTGCTCGCGCCCGGCGTTATGGATATACCCCCTTCCCCTTTTTCTTTGGATACATCACGCACGGCACCTACGCAGCCGGCAGCGCACACCCGCTCGCTCGGCGAAGAGGTACGATATGGCATAGCATAGCATGGCACACGCTCATTGTATAGGCGTGGACTGGGTTCGACTTGGGCGTTCTAGTGTAGCGTTGATAATGACATGACTACCCTCCTTCCTTCCTATTTCTCCTCTTCTCCTTCCAGCGATTGTAATGTGCTGGCCTCGCGGAAATCTCGGTATGCCATTCCACGACGGAAAATGCGTTCGTCACACGCTTTCTTTTCCCCCTCGTTCACGCACACACCGACCCATTCCTCTGGCCTTCCTATCGCAAGCCTAAGCCTTACCGTCTCGGCTTCCCCCTCAACAACTCTGCACGTCCTGTATCCCACGCCCTCCCAACGCCCACCACACCACACTGCCATGCGGCCTTGCCTTGCCTCGGACACTGGGCGCGGAGAAGGGGTCTGGGCGGAGCTACAACATGGCATGTGGAGATGTCGTGCGTGCCAACGGGACAAAGACAGGGGATGTGAAGTGCAGAGGACGAACAGGACAGGTCTGCGCGGGTTGCAGTCTGCATTGTCACAAGCATGGGCGCACTGTCAGGTTAGCTGGAGCGATGGCAGGATGGCGGGGTCACGGCGGGCGTAACGGTACAAGGAGGCCGCTGCCCGGACGAGCAATGCGTGCATCGCGGTGGGCGGACGGATGGACAGACGGCGCGCATAGGTGCTGTGCGTGCAGATGGTTTCCGTAGAGACGAAGGGACCCTGGCGCTGTCTGGCCCGTTGGTGTACGAGGCAGAGCATGGGCAGAGGAGCAGTGCAAGGTACGTTTGCTTACGCGGTAGGCACAGGAACTCGAATGCGGGTCGGCAAATCATGGAGAGGGCTTTCTGTTCGCCGCTACGAGTGTAGGTGTGGCAGCATGGGCTGGTGCGTGGTACACCGCTTACACATTGGGTGCATCTCAGCAGGGAAATGGGTATTGGAGGCGATGTGCTCATTGAACAGTCGGGACATGTTCTATCCCGGGTTGGCTCGCGCCAGTCCGCAAGGCCTAGTCTGCGCATGTTCGCGACGTCCAGGGTTGGTTCGCACATGTTCGTATACGCACCTGGAAGCTATAGTGTCTTCGAACTGAGCTGACAAGCTGCGAAGAGAATCATATGGTACCGTACGTTACCTGTCCTGACGTACGGTACAATAACACCCAAAAGCCGCACTGACGTTGAAGATGTGAGCAGTCAAACCTCATCCAACGTACACCCAACGCGAGCCCAACACACTAATGTCATAAGCCACACGCATCCATACTATACCTCACGCTTTCGGAGCTTCCCTCGCTCTGATTTGCCGAAGCACATTCCGATACCCTTGCCTTTACATCTCAAGACTATGCTACCCCTTCTCGAGCAGTTAATATAGTCGTTCACAGTGCTGAAAAGTCCTCATTCGCAGTCTATTCCTCCCACTTCATGCAGTAAAACATATGAAAGATCCTGGACGGCGATGCCCCTTCACCTTCGCTCGCGCCCGCACGGCACGGGGAAGCGCATCCGCGGCGCGACCCTAGCGCCACCGCCTCCCATCGAGGCGCACATCTGCATTATCGATCCACGATCTGGAAGCCAGGGTCTCGCGAGATCTTGCCTACAGATCTAGCTCGGCGCCCTGAAAGTCGACCGCGTCGCCGTCACTTCGCGAGCGCAGCTCGCAGCCATTGGCCACGAGCATGTCAACCATCGGGATAGCGGCGGGACCAGTGCAGCTGAGTTGGTGGTGCGGACCTGCAACTGGGGTGATGGGGGGGGGGGGCGTCTAAGTAGCGGTGTGGGCGTACAAGAGATGAGCGTGGAGAGAAGGCCGGAGAGGCGAGCACTGTGCAACGCAGTACTATGTCGAAGGAGCAATGCAGCTAGTGACTGGTCGCGACGGGCCGCGTGGTAGGTGCGTTTCCAGGTGGAAGGATGTTGTATTTTGAGTATCTCGATTTCGCGTGAACCCACCAAGGGAGTGTGTCCGACGAATGTCGGTACGAGGCCTGAGTTTGTGGCTGGCTCGTGCTATGAAGATCCAAAGCAGAGCTAAACTGAACAAGTTCAGTTGTGATTTGAGTTGCTGCTTTGATATACGAAAAGGGCTGTCAGGCAAGGCGATCGTAAGCTCCACAGGAACGGAGTAGTCCACACGCCGGAATCCATTAGCAATATGTTGATGTGAGATGTGGGATATAAGTGAGCTACGATAGTGCCTCGATCCTTTTTGGGGCATTCAACATGTCGATACGACCTGATGGAGGGTTGAAACCCGCGTAGTTCACTATGCTTGAGGTTGCTGATGCAAGAATCATACGATGAGGACACGCGTGGTAGCAGATTACCGGTCGCGAAACATGCGTCGTGTAGATCTGCTGCGGATAGCAGTACCGATCTAGAAAATGGAGAGCTGTCGTTGGATGGGAGGCAGCCTCGGACGACGGCCCGGCCAAAGGAAGGCAACATCACGCCGGTGGCGTCCGCCTGGTACCTCAGAGTGGCCAGTATGATGGGCAAGCCGATTCGACTTGTCACTTTCTCATGCTGGGCCCTCGGTACGAAATGCAGCGAACAAGGGGTGTTGATGCCGCATTGCCGTTGGACCGGGGCGGACGAGCGATTTCAGTAGGCTTCGCGGTACCTGCTTGGATACAATTATGGCAGATGTACCTGGTTGCCTGAAAATGCCACGCGACGAAGAAAATCTGATAAGGTGTTTGCATACAAGGCCATCATCCTTTTTACGTGTAGGCTAGACTGCCTCTGGAGTAGCAACTTCGCCGTATAACCCCACGATCGAAACCTGTTTTCTCTGGGCTGATTAGTGAGCAGCCCGTTAAGTTCAACCTATTGATGATGATCTTCACGCTGCCTCGATGGACTGGCCCCTATGCGATGGTGATCAAACAAGAATCGACTACTTGACGTATGAGTCCTGGGGATCCTATACATTCCGGTGTCCTAGAGGAGCAAAGTGCCGCTAATGTGGGGCTGAAGGTGTCGCATCCGACGTGCTCTGGTCCCACTGTCGTTCCCTGCGGCGCACGCTCGCGTATCTGCTGCCGCGCGGCGAGATCGCAGCCCACTTGTCGATCTGGGCCAAAGCCAACGTAGGTGCATGACATGAGCCATAGCGCCTCACTTCGCTAGATCGACGGGTGGAAAAAACATGCCAGACGCGTGACGACGAAAATTTGGATACATAGCGAGAGGTACTGTGTAACAGAATCTACGGTCGCGAAGAGACCAACTTCCTTTTTTGATCCAGGCTTCTTTGGTCGTGCCGCCGAACGCCTGTCACCACCCATACGTTCGGAAGCGCTCAATTGGCGTGGTCGTGAACGGCCCGTCCCCGATGCTGGGACGCTAGACCGTGCGACGGCGTGGCCGAGAGCAGGCCGTACTGCATCTGCTGGCTCGTCTCAGCCTCCTTTGTCCGCCGCAGGTAAGGGCGTGGACTTGAACGAGTCAGCTGGGACTGTTTTGGCTTTCCCAGCGACAGAGCTGCGACTCCGACGGTGGAGGGCAAGTACAGGACCGACGTGATTAGTATCGCGGATTGCTACTACGCCGATGCACGGGGCGCTACTGGATGCACATGGCATAACGCAATGGCGCTGATGTCCAAGGCTTGGGGCAGAGGTTCGCGTGCATTAATATGCGTGCGTCGAAAGGGAGCGTATGCACGGGTCGAGTGGTTGAGCAAGACGGGTGCCTAAGATGATTGCTTTTTCTGTCGGATGCTCCAGACTAACCCGCTCCCTGGAACTGGAACCGAAGTCTTCGTATCCGGAAGGTGCCACAGGGAGCGCCAGGCCAGAGGAAAGGGCAGATGAGCTATGTACAAGGCGGCCGTTGCGGCGTGAATCTAGTGAGTTGCGCTGAATCGCTGGGTATCCTCCATGATATGCCGGTATCTGCTAATGATACGTCCCTATCAAAACAAGACCGAAAAGTGGATGTCGGAGCAACTTTTGCCGTTCAGCAAACGAGGCGAAAGCGAATGCGAACAATGTACAAGACCTAGCACAACATCCCTGGAAAAACAAAACATACATACAGTGAAGGAGTGTGACGGGAACGGTCGAAGTGCGTATCGCAGCGGTCTACTGAGGCTGCTGCTCGGATCCATTCCCTTTAGTCCACGTCCACCCATCCATCGTCACGAAGTGTTCAGCCTGAGTTCTTGCAGGCGCTGGCACAGGGTCGCTGCTGGTCGACGACAAGTGCAATGGAAATGTGTGCTGCCACGTAGTCATCGGAGCACTCTCCTCCGTGTAAGCAGGGATGACCTGGCCTCTATTAAGCATTTGCGAAAATGCCAAAGTAGGCTCTGAAGCACTCGAAGACGGTGCCGCGGGCCGGGCCGCCCATGATGGGTGCACATTGGGGTTGTTGAAGGCGATGAACCGCGCTGGAGCTAGTGTCGTCGCGTACTCTGGCGGGGATGCGAAGTGCGATACCGTTGGATGCATTTTGCTGGCGTCCACCTCTTCGTTCCAGTTGCCATCAGCCTTGGCCACCTGACTATGGAAGCTTCGCCCACTTCTCGCTGCGGTTACATCCTGGATCTCCCGACGCGGGTCGGTGGCTCGTGGCTCCAATGTAATCGACGGCGGAGGCCGCTCGTGTAGAGACGGGTACGAATGATGTCTCCAGTGAGGCGGAGGGTGTTCGTGGTAATCCATCTGCGGGCCTCTAATGCTACGTTGGTGACCATGCTGCTCTTGCAGGGTTGTGGCAGACGTCGGAGGCGAAGTCGGAGCTGTCAGACCCTGTGGCTGAAAGCTCTGCGAGGGCGCTGTCGAAAACGTTGCGAATAGGTCTGGTGCCGATCCTGGGGTCCCTGGCCCATCATGCCTTCGTTCCGAGGATCGATCATCCCGAATTTCCTCATACAATCTCGGCTCCGCGTCCTCCACCTCTTCAGCTTGCTTTTGATCTGCTTCCTTTTTCAATCGCATGGCAAGCGAGGCTCCGCCTTCTGAAAAGCCCCGAGACACACTCCAAGTTAACGGTGCAAAAGCTTCCGGGACGAAAGACTGGAGGCCGGGATCTTCTAACAGGAGCATGCCGGTGTTGCCCATCACCGTATCATGCACGCCACCTGAGCCCTGTCGAGCCTCACTTCCGTTTCCATCTTGCATCTCGACATCGCAACTTGAAACTCCGCCTTTTGATAATATGGGCGGATGCAACCTGACATGTGTATCGGGTGCGCGATTCATTCGCCCAAGTTCTGCTAGGCCCCAGCTCACCCTCTCCACAGCCATACTGGCGAGCTCGTGCACACCGTTCTTTTCTAGCTGCTGGAACACAACATATGCTTTTTCCACTTTGGAAATTCGGCTAAGCTCGCCCGTTTCCATTGCGTCGAGTAGTAATATCATGCACGAATTGAAGGCTTGTTGACCCATAGTCCAGGTGATCTGGGCAGCTGGGACTCGGAAATGAAAGAAAAGGAAGGCTGTTAGAAGATCCTGTGAGGATGACAGGACCAAGGCTCGACCCCTCCGTGACGCCTTCGGCGATCCTGGGGCGGAGGGATATGCGTTGACGGGTTGGAAAGGTGCTGGTGTTGCGCGTGCTGTAGATGTGTTTTGAGGATGGAAGAATTGTGCCGACTGTTTTTCGATGCGTTGGCGATTAAGCAGGATGAGGTAGGTGTGGGTTTTGCAGTAAAATACTATATGTGTAAGCAACTCATTAGAATATTGGTTGGCCAAATTATGACATGACACACCGGCTGCCATGGTCCCGAGTGGCCATTCTGGTATCTCTTTATTCTTGTCCAACCACGATTCATCGAATTGGAGCATCTCTGGCATAGTATCAAGCAAATTCCTGAGTTGGTCTGTGAAATCGTCGATTTTACTATTGCTGAGGCGATCGCTGCTGAGTATCTGCCTTGCCAATAGGGTGAAGTGGTTCGCAAACTCCCCAAGTCGTAACATCTGCGGATTCGTTGTAAGCTCATGAGGCGGAGGACAGTCTCCAATGCCACTAATACCAAGTGGCCGACCTAAGGTCATGGAATACTCTTGGTCCATGTGCAGCATCCACCACCATATCGTTTGTCGAATCGAGCATTCCCTTTGCGTGGGAGGAGCTGGGTCAAGGTATTTGGGATGTCGGTGTAGGCCAATGGCGTGCGCGAGCCGAATGGTAGTTCCAAACAATGTCCATGCATCGAGGAAGCGGCCACTGTTGGTCAGAAAGGGGCCGATCATAATGAGTGCTTGGATACCAAGTAGGGACGGTTTGTGCATGAACGAGGCCATCCGTAGCGCTTGCATGGCTGCTGCGACTGATTCTCCATTAGAATCTTATGAACGAAGGTTTGTCTGAGCACTGACTGTAGACGTTTCCTCTTTGCAGTTCTGCCTTCATGGTATCTGCCTTCCATTGGCCTCCGGATCTATCCCAGGCCGAGTATTGGGAACCTAAAGCCAAAGCTGCAAAAAGAAGGGCCAGCATATCGGGACACATCTGCGCGTTCTTTCGGGGATCCGAAAGAAAGCGTTCCACCTCGTCCCGTGTAATCTCCATCGGAATATGTGGGAATGCGCAAAGATGGACTCGTTTTTCGAAAAAGTTGAGATACTCCAAGAGCTCCTCGGTCATGGGAAGACAACTCAATAGTTCCGGAATTCCCTCCTCGGGTGTTGGTTTAAATAATGTCGGGAATGGATGAGGAGGCGGAGACTTGGAAGTATACATGTCAGGACCACGAGGCATAAGGTGCGCAAGTGACTGTGACGATCCAGGATCAAGGTGGATATTGGCGAACTGCTCTGCTTGTCAGGTGGGGTTACCCGATAACATGTTTGCACCTACATCTGTCACGACATTGGCTAGTCCGGGGCTACCAAAATAGATGCTGTCAGACCATTCGGATCCTTGGAAGCGCTTCTGTTTGGCCGCGCGTCTTCTTTGCGACAATCCGGTCAGTCGTTCACCAAATTGTGAGTCCGGTGAGCCTTCATGGTCGGACTCATGGTCCTCTAGGGAAATCTTGGAGGCCCGCAACCGTTCCTTCAGGCGGAGGTTCTCAGCACGCAACTTCCGGATCTCGTATGACTGCTGGATGGGGGCATAGTCGCCTCCGTCTGCAACAAAGTGGCATTCCTTCGGAGCTCCTCGAGCGCAGCATGCAGAGCATGGCTTAGTTCGATCGCACTGTGAGGCATTAGCCGATCTGGTGAATCGAGCTGCAAAGCCTACTTGCCTTGACTTTTCTTTCACGACACTTTGTGCACGAGAGCAACTGACGAGACTGTTGGGTTTGGTGTCTTCTCTTGAGGCCTGGCACAAGCGCTGATTCACTCATTTTGAGTGAGACCTACACGTAGCGCTGATGGCAACATCCAGGTGATTGAATTCAAAAAGGTACTAAACGAAGTGGACTGGTCTTTCGGAGAAGCACGGCTGTGATAGCTGAGAGAGCTATATAAAGCTTGACTAGGCGGAGACTGATTCAGGCGATCAATTCCAATGGACGGTATGGACCCCACACAAACCGACTTACCCTATACGGACGCCGACGGAAGACTTACATGAAAGATAGGCCAGGTTGAGAAATTCATCTTTTCGAGCCTCATTATTCGGTCAGAACACTTTCGATTGGAGCGAAAAGAAAGCGCGCCGAGACGTAGACTTGATGATCCACCGATGTTCGTATTACCATTCTAGTCTTGGTGCATCAAAGCCGCTGGCTTATTTGATCACAGGCATCTGATCGCGTTGCACAAGCTTATCGCCAAGAGATGGAACCCCAGAAGATGTCATGGGTAGCCGCAGACCAGGTCTGGTATGATACGTGATGCACGATACAGATCTCACGCTTTACCACTCAAGCGGGTCGGTCCTTTGGAGACCCTTTCCCGGTCATGCTGCATCTACCGGCCTGCCGTGCCCAGTGCCTCATTTTCCGTTGCTGTCGACTTGCTTTCTTTTTCTCGCTTAGAAGGCCCTCACGCCGCCAGTGCCCGGATGTGTGAGTGGAGAACGCCGTTCAGACACGCGTTGTCCACTTACACGGTTCAGACACATGCGCCTCCAGCTAGTTCCATCCGAAATGGTGCTATTGTGGCATTTAGCTGATGCTGGATGTTCGGCCGATGCATTTGGCGATTGACACAGCACTCTTACTCGGCTATCATTTTCTCCCTCCCTATGACCTCAACAAACACCAATGCGTCGACAGAATCCAGACTCGATTTTCGAAATCTCAAATACTACAACGCGGATGCAACTCAAGGGTTCCGTGTGTCCCCCATGCAAGCTGTGGTTCCGTAGCACTGAACGCCTCATACCGCACGTGGCAACAACTGCTACCCTTGATTGTCTACATCGCCGAAGCCGGATCATTTGTCAGATGATGGCTCGCGAAGCATTAAAGCACTAGTGACGCCAGGCAATGAAGGTCACACAATACACGCGCCGAAACCAAAGTCACCTATTGGTAGCGACTCTCCATGGGGAAACATTCCTTGCCAATTCCGCGGTTGCCGAGTTGATACTGATTTGTCTACTACTTGTCTAAAGCTTACCCGCGAATCTTACGCCTGGTGCCTAGAGCTCTCGATCGATAAGTCGGACTGGTACTGCGTGCATTGTACTTTTGAAAGAGTCGATATGGCTGATCTTCGCTTCCCATAGATCGCCAACCAGATGGTCTTCGTCACCATTTTTTGCAAGAAAAACACTCAAACCATACCCCTCGATCAACGCTGTCGACCCATCAGGTAAGCCTGGTCGTGTAATTCGTACTGTGAAAGTGTCTGGCAAAGGAGCCTCCTGGTAGTAGAACGCTCGCATGAATGCTTGCACAGCCCAGAATTCATTGGACGTCTTATTCGCTTTTGATATAACTTTTTCTCGAGGAGAAAGAGTGATGATGGACTCCTGCATTTGGCGATGGGAGAACGGTAGAATGGGACGGGGTGCATCCGCAAGCATTCGTGCATCAAGCTTCTGACCGGTATGTGCCTCAAATCGTATCGCGGCTTCGATCTGCCAGTGAGCAATCATGTCACTAAACCGCCGCAGCGGGCTAGTGACTTTGATGTAAGCTTCGGCGCCCAGGGTCTGATGTGGAATCGGCGAAGAATGTGCTATAGCACGTCCAAGAGCAGTGATGTAATTTTGTACAGTAAGCAGAGTCAACTTGCCGGTCTTCTTGAGTTCTGGGCAAAGAACCTTTTCATAAAATTCTTTCCGGGAAAAAGGCGAGTTCGGATTCCCCACTGTGCCCCTAAACATGACGGGAATGCCACGCTCAGCACACCAAGATCCTGCCGTGCGACAAGCCAGGACCATCATCTCTTCGACAATATTGCTAGAATCAATATCGTCGGTGAAATGTCCAATGTTGGCGAAATTTCCAGGGCCGCGAAGCTCGATGATGGGATCGCCAACCACTCGGCGGACTCGTTCAACGGATGGAGGCATCCACGTTAAACCTCCTACATCAGGCTTCTGATAGACAGAAATGGCTGCTTGGCCCGCTCTGGAAAACCGGACAGCACCAGCAGCTTTGCGCCCTTTCCACAAAGACCGAGCTGCTGCATACAAATCACGTAGATTTTGTAGTTGCTCAGGAGCTAACTTGGGTAAGGGACGACTCTTTTTTTGGACGGGAACGTGACCAGCACCAACTATTAAACTTATTGCCTCGCCACCTTTGGTCTCACGCGGTGTATACTCATCCAAATAAGCCGCCAGTTCATCCGGAGTGATGCTGACAACATTTCTTATGATGCCGTGTTGAATTTTGCTCTCGAGCGTGTTTCCGGACTCGTCAATCCGAGCACTGAACGTGATCACAGCCCGGTTGCTGGCAAGGCTGAAATAGTTCTGCGAGGCCCAAGAAGGCAACATAGGAAACGATCTCTCCGGAGTGTAGATGGACTCTGTCATGTGAGCAGCGAGCCCAGACAAAACGTGAGTCTTGCTGAAGAAGGCCGTTGGGTTGGCAATGTGCACATGTAACCAGTACTCCGAGGGTTTGCCATGTACTCTCTCGATGGAAACACCATCATCAATTTCGTGGGCACCTGGGGAGTCAATGCAGTAAACCGTGATTGGGCCCCAATCCCGACGCAAGTCGGCCATGGTATCCTTGAAATCGGGGTTTCTCCTGGTCAGCTCGGCTTTCGTGTTGAGAAGCTCTAGATTGCGGGAAAGGCGGACAGTTGGCAACATCAAATTCTCGTTGTATATGACACGATTCTCGAATGGCGTCGCAACTCCCATCTCTTGCAGAAGCAATTGCCCTACAGATCTCCCCATCGCGGAGAGCGGGTTCACTTTCGGCTCTACGTGGCCGTAGCAACCTATGGCTTGGAGAATGGAAGCGCAAGCCGCATGCAAGTTCGGCATGCTAGCAAATTGATTCATGAGTACCCAAGCTTGCAAAAAGCTGATGATCTGTCGATCGGCTGTGGTAAAATCATCGCCCGAGACGGTGGTCTTTATACCGGTCGAATTTTGCGTGGAGTGAGAATGATCGGGTCCTACGAAGCCGTACTTCGATTCGCGACTTTGTCGACTTTCTGCGATAAGCCGCTGGGCCTTCTTCACAAAGAGGTGAATGTACTGAGCACCGACGCCGCGGGTGGGCTGCTTCTTATCAACTGTGCTAGCGAGAATTGCCTCATGTTCCCTATACTCTCGGACCCAGTCATGTACCGTTTCGACCATTTCGACATCCACCTTTGGCCTGATAGCAAATATGTTCGTCAAGCGTTGAGAATTTGTATCTGTGCGAAATCGGAACTCGTTGTGCTTAAGCGCCTTACGTACTGCTAGCAACGCAGATGGAGATGGCGACCACGTCGGATCACTATTCCCAAGCAGCGTCTTCGCAATCTGCGATAGTGTCATCATACGAGTGCGGGTGGCATCGGCGAGGGTGGAGTAAGCGGAATCCAGCACCGGTGCGTTCGTTCGGTAGATACGCTCTGAATCTTCAGTGAGCTGAGAAAGCAGCTCCTGAACTGGGGCACCTATTTCCCGCGGTGCTTGAACACTATTCTTTGGTCGAACGCCGTCTGTCGTGGTAGGCATGTAGGGAATCAAAGGCTTCAATAAGGCGGGATCGATTGCCCCAGGAACAGCAAAGGAGATGCGACTCTGTCCAGAAAGGGTCCATCGTCCGTTGACAGAGTAGAACTGACTAGTGAGGTCAAGTTGTTGCACAAACACAGCCAAGACTGGTTCACGCCCGGGCTGGGACAGCTCAACGACGTCTCCTGGCGATAAGAAGAGTCCGATGGTCACGAGCTCGTCGTCGTCATCATTCTCAGCATCCCGCATTTGTTCATCGCCCTCCACATCTTCATCGGCCTTGCTTCCAAAGCTGAGCTTGGCCACGGTGTTTTGAACGTCACTTCGGGCCGGGTGCTTCTCGAAAGCACTCAATTCCAGCTCATCTGGGCCACCGAAAATCTGGTTCCATTGCTCGAGATGATCCCGTGTAGATAGCTTGTGTCGGCCGGATTGCAGCAATGTTGGGTCTATCGAAGGGGTCACGGAGAAAGGAGGAGCAATCTGCGAGATCTTAGGCCGTCAGCTGGAGAGTTGCAAAAATGAACAAACTCGCAGTACATACGCGTCCGGAGTCATGAAGAGCACGTCGCGGAAGGCTCGATGCGATTCTCGGCGCAAGTCCGTCCTTGCGCAAAGTCTTCTGAGCGAAGGATCGTCGTTGGTTCGCAAGTCGCCATTGACACTGCCAGCAGATGCTTGGGGTCTGCCATGATGATCTGGACCGTATCATGTTATCGTTTTGTGAAGCTCAGGTACTTCTTCTCAAAAAGTTGGGAGGCGCGACTCGTCCAAGGGTCCGTGCTTAGCGTCGCTGCACTTCTTGCGCGAACTCACATGCCCTGCGTCCCCTCCTCCACCACCCACCACACACGGTATGTTCTTCAATTTTTCTCGCACCTTATCGATTCTGTGATGAGTTCAAAAATTATAGCATGTATTATCCGACCGGCGCTTTGCGCTGGAGGGCGGAGCAAACTTTTTTCTGACCCGATTTTCAATCCTTCTACGCACAAAGCATCTTACCGTGCTATGCTGACGACTCAAGTATACAGGAATCGCCATGGCGTCACCAAAAGCCCCTGCAGGCCATTTCTCGATCTTATACTTTGCCTCCGCGTCGACGTTTACAAATAAAACTAGCGAATACCTGTCTGCGCCGGTGGAAGCTCGAGGCCTGTTCTCCAAGCTCGAGGAGCTGTATCCCGGCATCAATGACAAGGTCCTGAACAGCTGCGCAGTGACAGTCAACCTATCCTATATCGAGATTGATGGTGATGAGGCCCCCGATCTTAAGATTGTGATCAAAGAAGGCGACGAGGTGGCCATCATCCCGCCAGTCAGTTCAGGATGAACCAGCAAAGGTAGCAGAGGTAGTTGAGATTGCACACCTTGGCGCACATATCGTAGTCGCTGAGCCAGTGGCTGAGTGGACACGCTTGCTCTAGGATACCTCCGAATCGTTTCCTTGATGTTCCAAAACTTGAAGCATTCAGTGCTCTCTTGGGCCATGGCCTTCTGCCAATACACGTGAAGTCTGGTAGCTAGCTAGCCAAGACCCCTCCGCTAGATGGGGAGTGCGCCCGTTGTCGGCAGTGTGTGAAGGTTGTGGCTATTCGGGTTGAAGCTGTACCTATTAGGCCCAGACGGAGAGTACTGCGCAATACCACTCTTACGTGCATGAAAATTTCTATAAGAATTTACATAGTCAAATAGGCTGAATCGATTCCAACACCGCCTGCAAGTGCACCCTTTGTCTTCCACGACATGAACGTGCTGGCTCCCTTTGATTGGAAGGCTTGGCGTCGCGCTTACGTCAAAGTGCATTCGTACTCTCCACCCCGGCTGTGCCGCCTTCGAGTCGGTCCACGGTCTATTCACTGCCCGACGCGCCGACGAGTATCGCAACCCAGAACATGGCGGATCCCTCGATAGACCCCCGGTTGCAGCAATTCAGCTCTCTGCCACCGCGTTCTCTTGCGCAACAGTCGTACACGCAGGGCCTGCCGGCGCAACCACTACAAAACAGCGCAACTCCATACTACCTACCCACGCCAAATAACGCGCAGTCGCGGCCAAGCAATATCGACCCGGCCTTTGAGCAGACGTCGCCGACAGGCCCAGACGAATCGCACGACGAGGACGACCATGATGATGGCGAACTCGACGGGTACGTGCCATACGTCCCAACAGTACTGGGTCGAGCATGCTGAGAACAATCGACATGTTATTCCCTGACCTAGGACAACCCACTCCACTCAGACAGTCGACACAACGCTGTAAGGAACATAGTTACTAATACCCTCACAGAACCCACGGCACTCCCGGCTCCGGAAAGTCTCCGCACGACTTGAAGAGGCCGCGCGCCTGTGATTCCTGTCGAGGACTCAAAGTACGATGCGATCAAGAGCGGCCGGATCAATCGTGCAAGCGATGCGCGAAGGCCAATCGCGCTTGGTAAGATATTGCCTTCCGCTACAGAGTCTCGTCAAAAACGTGAGTGCTCTGTGCTATCCCAAGAGGAGCAACGCAGTGGCCACGCTTCTGACCTGGTGCTGTACACGCCGTCTACACCATGCTGATCGGCCTGCCAGTATCACGACCCCGCCAACACGAAAACGCCAGAAGAAGGCCGACAGTCGAGTGGCTGAATTGGAGCGCAAGATCGATGCCCTTACCGCCACTCTACACGCACAGAAAGGCGTCCCCGAGCCAACCAGAACCTACCCTGGCATGCCACAATACGAAGGTGGTGGTCCCACTCCGTATCCACAACCGGAGGGAGGCTTCCGGGCGGGCAGCATCGTGCATGACTGGTCAAGTGCACCATCCGCACAGGAGCGGTATCCAGACATACCGCCAGGGTACGGTCCTGCTCAGAGCATGCAGCGCGGACCCGAAATTAAGCGGCGGAAGCTAGGTGACGGAAGTAGCCACAACGCCACGATACCTGAGGATATGGATGCAGTTCATCGTGACTTGATCGAGCATATCGACATGAAGCGCACGGGGAGAAAGGGCATTCATACTGACCATTCCAACATCAACACGCTGATCGATAGTCTCATGACCCCCGAAACCGCCGAGCGCATCTTCCAACGATACGTAAACGAGATATGTCCACATTTCCCTGCAGTGCCCTTCCCGGCGGGCACCACTGCACGAGAACTGCGAGAGAAAAAGCCTTTACTCTTTCTTTCCATTTTGGCCGGATCATCCCACGGGGCTGCTGAACAGCTAGTTTCCCAGGATGTACAACGCGACCTTACCAAAATTCTGAAGGATCAGTTTGCCGACATCATCTGGCGAAATGGCGAGAAGTCACTCGAAGTTGTTCAAGCGCTGCAAGTCGGCGTGTTGTGGTATCGGCCACCGCTGCATTACGAACAACATAATTTCTACATGATGGTCAATTGCGCCGCCGTCATGGCGCTTGATCTTGGTCTCGGCAGGAGGAATACACCAACCGTTATGAAGCTGGCCGTTGGGCCTTTTCGAAGATGTCATCCCAACACTAGCAGCATTGAGTCCCGCAGGACATTTCTTGTCTGCTACTATCTCTGTATGAGCATCACTATGGTCCTTCGGCGACCCATCTTGTTGCGATGGACCAAGTACATGGAGGAAAGCGTGAAGCTTCTTGAGACCTCCACCGAGGCGCTTCCCTCTGATAAGATTCTTTGCCAGCATGTGAAAATGGCGCACATTGGCGAGAACATCTCGGTGCAGTTCTGCATGGATGATCCGGCTGTGGAGGTGGCCATATCAGAGCCGAAGGTTATTTACGCTCTGAAAATCTACGAAAACGAACTCCAACAACTCAGGGACGAAAATGCATCTTTATTCAAAGAAGTCGATCGTAGGTTTCATATCCGATCCCATGCCACCTTAAACATCTGCTAACGTTGAATAGCTGCTCTACGGCTTGCCGAGCATGTAACAAATTTATACATGCACGAGATTGCGCTGCATCACAATCAAAGTCCCGCTGATTTCCAACCACCTTTTCCACAAGAAACATTTGCTTCTGGCGTGTCAGCCAAAGAAGCCGTCGGCCCGGCTCACATTGGTGCGCTTGGTGAATGTCTCACAGCCACCCATGGCATTCTCGACACCATCCTCAGCGTGCCGCTTGACACTCTCCTGACTCTGCCTGTAATTTTCTGTAAGTTGGCTTGATAGTGATGTAGGCACTCGACTGATTGGTTGTTTAGGCGTACGAGCAATTTACGCCATCGTGTGTTTGATGAAGATGTGGGTATCAGTCACGAGTTCTGGAGAAGTCGGAACTTTTATCAACAAAGATCTCCTCCAAATCGAAGCCTACACCGAGCGCTTAGTTACTATGTTCAACGCCATCGTATCTCGAGACGCACAGTCCCCACATGGCAAATTTTATTTTGTAGCGAAGCGGCTTCAGGAGCGTTTCGCACACATTAAAGAGGGTGCATCGAAAACTGAGCAATCATCCGATGGAACCGAAGATTCACGCTCGTCCACCACGAAATCAACGTCCAAACCACGCTCACGACAGTCGTCTCAAAATCAGACACCCCTCCACCTTTTGTCCGAGGTCGCGATGGGGAGCAGCAACACGGCTTCTTCTCAACATACGTCCCAGCAGCAACAACAGCAGCAACAGCAACCACAGTCTCAGATGCAGCAAACACAGGCTCCAAGTCAAGCAGCAATGCAAGGTTGGTATCCAGGTATGCCTAATCAGCAACTTGCGCCGGATATGATGGGTATGCCGCAGGGCAATTTCGATCCGAACTTTGATTTCACTCAATTCGATCTGAGCACGGGTTCAGACGCTGATCTGAGTGCGCTGTTCATCCCTGACAGCATGATGTGGAACTTCCCACCAGATATGGGCATGCAAGGGTATAGTGGCTTCTAAAACTGCAATACATGTCTACGAATCGGTATACGATATCACGAGTCTACGATCAACGCAGTTTTGCGGTGTTTTTGCTGTTAATGGAGCCTGGTGGTCTACTTGTACCTTTAGCTGCAACCTAAGCAGGTAACGGAATTGTCAATATTAAAATTAGCCAAGAGCTTCCTGGACTCACAAATTTCCGCCAGTGTCAGTCAGTAGATCTTAGATAAGTCAAAAGACGAGATGGCTGCAGAGTTCTTTTCCGATATGTACTCAACGCTGACATGGATACGAGTACCCGTGAGATACACAATTTGAGTGTGCTAGTTCTGAAGAGGGCAAATGCGATGCATTCGCCGACATGCTGACTCAACATTCTTCCCAGAGGATCATAGCTGACTTGTCTTCTTAGCCAATGAAGTCACAGTGTTTTCAAGCGTTACAACGGAGCTAAGCGGGGCGAGAGCGATGCGAGTGCGGTGCGAGCGCGGTGCGAGGCTCTACACCCCAGCTCTCCCACAAACCTCGCGCGGTTGATGCCACACTTCAATATCAGAATGGTAGTCCTGATTGGCCAACGAACGCATGATGTATCCAGTGGTGCGGGGTCTGCGTAGGACGGTAGGAGCGGCCGCCGGAGTAAAGCTGGGAAGCGGATACGTGAGGGCTGGCTCTCCTCCGGTCCGCTAGAGAAGCCTCCATGGGGGCATAGACGTGCTCGAAAAAAAGTATAAAAGGGCTGATTCCTACCTCCATCATGTACAATTCATTTTATTCCATCTCAAGTCTTCAATTCTCCTTGTCGAGGAATCTTATCTTCGAAAGTTGATACAGGTTCACGTGTCAGCGAGAAGCTCGGCGATAACGACTGCATTGCAATCTGCAATACTTTCAGCAAACAATGGCCGCCTCGCGATCTCTTATCGGAAAGGTTGCCCTCATCACAGGTGCCTCTCAGGGAATTGGCGCGGCGACCGCATTACATCTCGCCCAGCTCGGCGCAAAGGTCGTCATAAACTACTCTTCCAACACCAAACCCGCCGAAGAATTGGTCCAAAAAATCGGCTCCAACAATGCCATCGCCATCAAAGCGAATGCCGGCAATCTCAAAGACATTGAGCGCTTGGTGGACGAGACGCTCAAATGGGGCGGCGGCAAGATCGACATTCTCATCCCAAACGCCGCAGCGGGCGCGACGGGGAAGGGGCTGGAAGCTACTTCCGAAGAGGACTTTGACAGCGTTGTAGGCCTCAATGTCAAGGGGCCGTATTTCTTGGTGCAGGTGAGATTGCCCACAGCCAACAAGTCCTTAAAGCGTGTCATGACTGAAACTCACATGCACATAGAAAGCAGCACCGCACATGCCCTCCGGCGCCCACATCCTCCTCGTCTCGACCTCCCTCACCGGCCTTTCCCAAATCATGCCCAACTATCTCCTCTACGTCACCACCAAAGGCGCCATTGAGCAAATGACTCGCGTCCTCGCAAAGGACCTCGGGAGGAAAGGCATCGTGGTGAATGCGATTGCGCCGGGGCCGACAGCCACGGCGCTGTTCTTGGACGGCAAGAGCGAAGAGCTGATTAAGACAATGGCAGCATGGAACCCGTTTAACCGGTTGGGGACGCCCGAGGATATTGCGAGGACGGTGGGATGGTTGGTTGGGCCTGATAATACGTGGGTGCAGGGTCAGGTTATCAAGGCTAATGGGGGCATGCAGTTGTAGAGGGGGTAGGATCAGGAGACTTATATGTTTGATAATCACAAGTTAAGAATCCTATTGCCTCTGGTTGAGGGCACGTTTCACGTATGGGAAATAGCATGGCCCTCACAGTCCGATCGATGAACTCTGAGAAAATATATCATAGGAGAGTCTGTTCAGGATATTTGGAACTGCCGTACAGAAGTTACGCTTTTTCAAAATAGATTTGCGAGCTCATATATAATGTTATTTCGTTTTCCCGGCATGTATAAGTCTGGTTATTTGCCACTCTCTCAGTTCACGTCCTGACTTTTGCCACGGTTTGCGAAATTGCGCGAATTATCACATTTGACAATTGATAAATCTGTTTGAGAAATGCTGCTGGAGTCGTCGGGCCTTCATTGTCATGACAAATGTGGGTTACATGATAATGCATAACTCTGGAAGTTCTTAAGACATATGATGGAGGAGCACCATGGCAAATCTGCGATACTTCCATCGTTATGTTCCAAGGACCGCAGGTAATGTATTCTGAATAGAAGGGATACCCAAGTTAGCCCTCAATTGAGGTACAACCGTACGCGTCATTAATGCTCCAATTCAAGTGTATCCTCTCTGCTTTGGAAAACAAGGCTTCCTCTCTGTATTCCGCTTCTCTGATTGCCTTCCACTTACGTTACATATTCATCACACTCATTAACTAACAGTTTACTCAAGGCTTGGCCAGCGGGTGTTGATTCGGTTGCAGAGGACGCTGCTGCTGTTACAGGAGTCTCCATGTATTATTCGACCAAAAGAGGAGCGCGCGGTGCTGCCAGCCTTGTAAAGTATGCAGCAAAAAGTTGCAAAAGAAGAGGTCGTGCCCGGAATCGAACCGGGGTTGCCGGAATATCCTGATATGATCAGAATCCGGAGTGATAACCGCTACACTACACAACCTTCTGAAGGTTGGGGCACAATCCAATGAATTGATGAACAAATGTTCATTTAATAAAAATATATAGCAGTCCAAAATAACAGACCAAACTGTTGGCCAAGACGTTTAAACGCCCATCTAGGCTTTGTTTTCGGAGAGTTGAGTCAAGGTTTTACCCCGCCGTTCATGCGCTAAGTGGGGGTCTGGGCGACCATGGCATCAGCATTGCGACGCGACAAAGAAACACTCTGCCGCGTGTCGAAGCCGTCAACTAAAGCAACACGCAAATCGCCGAAATTACCATCTGCGATATGATACTATTGTATTAGCGGGCTAATCTGCTCGAGAACCTGCCCGCCTCATAGCATTGAATCGTTGGCTCGAGAGGAGAATAATGACCCGCTCAACTCCATCGGCAGCAAGATGAACCGTTACCTGAATAAATCGCTGCTGTTGAATATTTAGCTTACTCCTAAAAGTCCTAATTGTGATGAATGAGCGATCCTTTCACGTGCGGTAGAGAGAAGCGACGAAAAAGCTGCTGTGTGCGATATTCACCTGCGCAACCACACTGTTACAGAGGTCACATCGCAACGGTTGTTGCCTTCAGAGATTGATTTCATCAGCACATTGATGCTATGGGCAGGACACATCAAAAAGCCAACAGTCGATATTAATCGAGTTGGGGCCTCACCTCCTTAGCCCTATTGCGCACATACTAGTACAGCGGCGCGAACATGCCTTGAACTCATGGCCCAGTATCTCCGGGGACACAAGTTCCCGCCTCGTGATAGTGGGTACAGACGTAGACGAAGAACATATGGGAAATTGTAAGAAACGCACATAACGCAAGGGTTTAAGGGAAACACGAATTGCTTTGTCCCTTCGTATTCGCGAAGGTTTGTCCTGTGTGGTGGTAGGTATGTAAGGCGGACTGACCCGCTTTCTGCACGATGCGCGTTTCATCGTACATGCCGTGGTGGATCGCTGTAACCGAACGCGATGATGCACGATGAATTTATCTCGGCATTACCTGCAGCTGTGGGAAGGTCTAAAACTGGACAATGGAAACCCCCTCGGATTCCTTTCGGAAGTGTCGGAAACGATCATTAATGTAAATGGGAGATACCGCCCAGGCATCGCATTTGCTTCATCGGCTGCCAGAACGACCCTACTCATGGTATAATTACACGAAGGGTTTCGTACGTGTTCTTTGAACGTGAACGACAGAAACGCGAGGCTGTTTTGTGGCGTTACTTCGGCCATGCCTTATCTTGGCGAACGTATATAGCGCGGATTTAGGCCCATATTTAGCTTTCAACAGCGCGGTGAAGTCCGCGGTCGGACGGCAGGACAGAACCTTCAGGAAGTCAGCACCAGTTTCGGGTCTCGAAAGATCCCTGATGCCAGATTGGATATAGGTCGAGGATAACGAAAGGCGTGAATGAGGCGAGCTTCCCGGGGTCTCAAAGTTTGAGTCGCGAAACCTGCCTTGTCACTCTTATCCCAACCTCTAGACACGCCTAGGCCCCTACCGAGGCATGTCAACATGCAAACGTTTTTGGGCCACTACGTGTACGCTATCGATTTGGTTTCTGCAGCTTCCATAGCCGTGGCACATGTGGCAGCCGCCGTGAGGGGCAACAAGAAGTCCACCGTCGGCGAACCCCAGAGCAACTGAGTCGTGCCGCATCTCTGTCTGGGGCGGTATCCGTTCCAATTCGCTGGAACTCACTATTAAACTTCCCGAGAATCATCGTTCGATGGGCACCATTAAGGTCGGACCAAGCCTGGATTTTTCGTGTAATTATCCTTGAGATCACTTTCTCCGAGGTGCATTTCGTCAGAGGTGTTTGATTCTGGTTGCACACATTCCATATTGGTGTTTGGGACGCCGCGGAAGGTTTGCCTGCAGTCCTCGAAGATCGCTTTGCATGACCACGCGCTAACATGAGATCGTTGAACGCTTTGCGTGTAGGAGTCGATGTTGCCTGGACATGGGACAGCAGGGAATCCTATTCGAATCCACTTCAGCTTGCTCCCCACAGCATGATTGACTGACTTGCGTTCCTGGAGGATTTCATGCATGTATACGCATAGTGACACCTCGCTAATCTGCGACCCCAATCCGGATTGGGGTAGAAGTTTGACGACTAGCCAGCCGTCCAAGCCTTCGGTGCTGCCGTACGCACTTTAGGAACCTTCTTCGAACACGCTACTAATCTAGACCTTGCATAGTATCCGCGGCCCCTGGCTTGTTCAAGACATGATCACAAATAAAGAATGGGTGCCGTTCCTGTGCCGCGAAAATCAGGCCATTTCTTTTCCACCTGCTTGGCCGAGCGACCAGAAACTGTCTCTACTACAATAAATCCCCCACAATCCAGCAGACATGCCATTGACTTGGAAGGAGACACGACCGGGGCGATGGGAGCGCCCGCAGTCATGCTTGGAGAAGGTCAACCTTCTGAACCGAAACGTCGACAAAGCGCTTGACCGAGATAATTGGGCCAAAACCGCTGTTGCTAAAGTCGAATTTGACCCCAAGCTCGGAGATCCGGTGCAGGCCTTGAAGACAGCTTGGAAGCAAGTGCGGTACAACTATCCCGAAGTCGCGGCTTTCCCCTATAATGGAACGTATATGTATCGAATCGGAAACCCAGAGCAGATACAGCTATGGGTATCGGCAACCTTTGTCGTAGAGCACAACACCACCATCGATGAGCTTTTCGGCCACCTTCCCAGGAATGAACAGATGATGTGCTATTATCTTCCCGACACCTCAGAGATACTCGTCCGTTCGCCACACTACCGACTTGACGCTCGGGGGGCCATCTTCATCCTCAACTATCTCATTAAATCATTGGCCAACCCAGACCCCGTCCTCATCTTCGGTGGCTGCGCGGGAAATCTTTCTCCAAGTATCGATGATGCGCTCAATATACCTTTTGAGTACACTCCGAAGATTGAGGAAGCCGCCACAAGACGAATGGCCTCATTAAATGCGCACAATCCTCTCATTGAGCTTACGCCCAATGCTAAACCAAATCGTGCGGGTGCGACAAGGCGCCGCTTTCTAAAATTCAGCGAGGCCGAAACCAAGTCAATCACGAAGGGAGCTAAGTCGGCGGGCATGGACTACACCGCTGCGATGCATGCAGCTGTAATTGCTGCTGTCGTGCGACTTGCACCGCCCACAGAGGTTCAAAGCTACATGGCTTCGTTCCACTGCGATCTTCGCTACCTCATTCCGAAATCAAGCAAGACTAAGGCTGCTCCGATAGTGTGCACCGATGCGATAACCACGGAGATTGAGGTTTCCCCTTCAACAAACCTGAAATCGTATTACAACCAACTCGCGCCGGTATACGCTAATGGATACGCACCCTACCTCGAGTCCAGCGCCTGTTTCCACGACAAGCTGGCAAAAGAGAAGTACGCTGACGGCAAGGGATACGAATCGACCGATGGCCAAGCACAGCCTCGTCTAGGGCCCTTAGGTATCATCGACGACCAGCTCACCAAACACGTCAAAGGTGTAGTGCGTGTGAAGGATTTCTGGCTGGGAGGCGAGACGCTCACCAAACGGAAGATGGTGCACAACTGGATCTGGGAGGACCAGATGACGTTTAGCTGCTGCTACAACGAGAAATACTGGGATGACCAGTTTGTGGAACTTTTTCTGCAGACGATTAAGAGTGTGTTGATGGAGGAGGTGGCTAAGACGTCATCATCCAGCTTGTCTAGCAAGCTGAAGGGCATGATGCTGAAGTGAAACACCGTCTTTGTGAGGTTCGGCGGAGTTTGGATGTTTGAAGGCGCAACATATACCACTGTCTTTTGGGGCGGTATTCTGGCATTGCTTCGGCGTCTATAATCACAACGTATATGAATCAATTACTTCTACGCCATTTGTGGCTCCCGAATGCACAGAAAACATAACGTCAAGCGGCGGCAGAAAGTGGATCTGTGAGTCAGTGTCAAGATGCGAGTGATTGCAGCTGAATCATAGCGCAATAAGATGTGATGATAAGACGCACTCCCACTCTGCATACTGGAGGATCATCTCAATGCTTTGTTCCGTAAGCTAGCCTTACTAGGGCTAAGGATGTGATTGTCGCACATCGACACCCTGCGTGCGTCCTATCCTGCAGCACTTCCCTGGTAACTTTTTAGTCAAGTCCCACTCTGCGACAACCTTGCATAGTTTAGGACGCACATTGGGATCAGCTGTATCGAGCTGTTCTTGGCCGAGAACGCGCGTGCTTTCTCCGCATCCGAGAAGGTGCTTGCGCCACTTACGTACCGCGTAGGTGTGACACTTCAGCCCTCAGAATATCGCCTGCACACAGACAATGACAACGCTGGAAGTTATTATATGGTGTTCGACGCACATTATATCCGGTCACAGATGGAACCCGACTCATCCGACGCCTAAACTACTAAGTGTACATGGTCTATCATCAGTCCCAGTTGCCTGAGCCCAGCTCTACAGCAACACCCGCCTCCAGATCGCGCATGATCTCGTCGATATTCCAAGGCTCCCACTTGTATCCCGGAGGATAGTTTGGTGGGATATTTGGGTCCTGGTCAAGCGGCACACCAGCCCTCATACCCTTAAGGCATTTCTCTGCACTGTATTAGCAAGAGTTGGTTCCATTTGTGACGGTCTATAGCCGAGTACGTACCATAATTGTCGTACACATACTCCTCTGGATCATGGGCCCAGACCCATTTCGGATGCTTCGGCTGCGCCTTCTTGGGATCGATCTTGACCTGTTCACACGCTGATGTTAGCAAGACTGCATACACGGGCGGCGTTGTTTCCTTGGAGACACATACCTTGTTCCAGTCGGTGTCTTGCAACCGCTCCGCGTTCGAGAAGCCCAGCTTCTGCGCGCACGCACATCGTAGGAACCGTAGCCTGACATGGCTTCTCACAGCGTCGGGCACGGCGCTCTTGCCATCCAACTTTACGCCCAATTCCAAACAGCTCGCCAGACTGACGGCGTCCTCAATTGCCTGTGTTGCGCCATTCCCTGAGCTCGGCAAAAAGCTATGTGCACAATCGCCAATCTGGACCACGCGCGCGCCAGGCGAATGCCACATCGGTTGCGGATTGCGCCAAAAGAGCTCGAAGTTAACAATGGTATCCGGAGGAGTAAGAGCGATGAGCTTCTTCAGAATTGGCGCCCATTCGGGGGCGGTGGACGATGTGAGCGACTTGTCCATATTCTCCAGGACGGATTCGGAGGACACGGTGTGGGACCATGACTCCTTCTCAGTACCAGTCGCATCGTGGTTGATGATCCAAACTACTGTGCCTTCGCGGTTGAGTGTGAGACCGTAAGTTCCCGGACCGAGGAATGTGCGCACGATCGGGTCCTCGCCTTTCATCGAAAAGAACTCCCTCACTTCAGGGTCCTTATCGAGCACTTCGGCAGGGAACACTGCCTACACGCGATGCTATGTCAGCAAAGTCCAGAAGGAAGAGCGTTGATGGACCTACCCTCCACATGGCGCGGCCAGAGCTTGCCGCTCGTACTTTCCCGCCAACGATGGTCTGGCTCTTGCTGCCAATGCCGTCGGCAGCAATCACGACATCCGCCTCGAACTTCTCACCCTCGTCGGTCTCCACACCCGCTTTATTCTCGTGCTCGAAATATCTTGTTACGCGCTTGTTGAACAAAAACGGAATCTCCAGTCGCTCGGCTTGATTGATAAACATCTTGTACACGAGTGGCCGCATCTGGAAGGCGCCGGGCGGCGTGTTCGGATCCAGACCGATGGCGCGCAACCGTTCGGACACCTTCATCGCAGGAATCATGAGCTCTCCGTCGTGTTTGAACGTCTCGAGGAAACAGCTCTGCATCGATATTTCGTCGTACTCTGCCTTCATCGCTGGCCAGTGTTTGAAGAACTTGGTACCGGACAGACCCATAAAGTACATGTCGCCTGTCAAGGTCGCATGTCAGCGGCTGTCGTCTCCATTGTACCAGGCTGTTGGGCCAAGCGACTGCGAGATCTGCTACTCACCCATTGTGTTGATATCTGCACCGCGTTCCAAGACCCGCACGCGGTGGCCTTTCCGCACGCACTCGATTGCCGCGGTAAGACCGGCAAGGCCGGCGCCGACAATCAATATATCGAGACCGGAATCGGGGTAGTCACCGTACAGCATCGCCGTGCCATCGTAGGAGAGGACGCTGTTCGAGCTTGATCGACGGGAACCATTGCTGGTATATGGACTTGAGCCCACGTGTGCTGCCCGAGTGTCTCCCTCAGGCATATGTATGTGTCCCATGTTGTCCTCGGTGTGAATCTGAGAAGGTTATAGTGAAAGACTCAAAGGGTATCCGGGGTATGGAATCAGGGTCGGTGACAATATAGCGAGTTGTCCTCCTTTATACTCCATGCCATATGAACACTATCGAACTTACCTTCTTCGTCCGTCCGTCAAGCCAAGACCAGACCATACTCGTATCACTGCGGAGACCAGCATGGCAAGCCATGGTGCTGCGTACTCAGCCAGTCATAGCCAAGATTGACCAGGTCAATGTTCGGTTGGCGTGTCGGACCCCCGCATCACAACATTCAGCGCAGCGGAGCTTATGAAAACGGACGTGCGTTTGTGGAGATAGGAGAGCTGACTGTGGACCAGAACAGATGGTTGCGGAGCTCTGCCACTGGGGTGTTCCACCCGTAACCATCATATCACTCCCGTCGCAAGTTTGGGTTGACGTGTGTAAGTAGCATGGTCGTTTCAAACTGGTGGACCATGCATCTCATCCAAATCGAGCCAATGACAATGTGGATTTCGGATGCTAGCAGCATCTGTACCTCGTACGATTGCTGTGCATTCGTCCCGACTGTCAACCTTGGGAGACCTACTGGATGCTAAGGACCAGAGGAATGCATGAGACCGTCATGAAGAGCGCCACTGTTTGCTCCAGGCATAGTATCATCTCAGCTCTCGAATCCATAATGCCTACAGACAAGACGACTACAACGTCATCTGATATGACATGTGCAGCATGGTACGCAAGCGCCGCGTATGTGTTGTGGCTTCCGAAAAGATGACCGTTAAAACCTACCCTGCATCAATCGTGCCCTACTCCTGCGTTGTTTCCATGTTGGTTTGCATCATGGAAGCCGTTGAAGCCAAGAGATCGAAATTCGGGCCCGTGGAGCCGGCGGTAGCGATAAGCACTTTCGAAAACAGTACCATCGGAGTTATGTAGCATATCTTAGCGCGAACTACGAAAGATTAGGCACGTGCAGCGAATCGCAAGTTCGCACGCTTTCACATGAACTATACCGGACCTGCATCCGGCGACGCCTGCCAAGGCACGTCCAGGGTCTAGGGTCTAGGCTATGCGCACCGCCGCATACCTCCTCCAGCTGGGTCGCCAGGGCATTGCGAACAGCCAAGCTCATGTTCCAAAGTCTTGGAAATCTGGGCGTCCGCGCGTACGGGTGGTCGCTTCGGGTCTCCAATGTGGGCTGGCTGAACACCGACAACTTGAGGATCTTGACGCGAGCGTGGTACGCGCGGTCATAAGTCGTGAGGCATGTTGACTTGTTACACAAATATGCGCAGAGCCTATTCCACGATTCACAGCAGATGCGGGTAAAGGTTGACGCTTCTATGGACCCCTTATGTAAAGACGTCCAAATTCACCCCGGACAAAGGCTGGGCTTGTCGAGCGAATTAGCTTTCGCCAATTTCCAGATGCAAGTATACGTTTCAGACCAGAAGAATATCTTGACCGCAGGCACGGTTTGTTACATCATACCGCTAAAACGCACATTCTGCGCTTTCCCCAGGTTACCCCACAGACGACGCGGGATGATGAATGGCAATGCCTATCGATGTTGTCATAGACGCACATTTGAGCCTTCATGGTCAGAAATAGACGTAAATGATCATGGAAACGTATGGATGCACTGAAAACTTGCATTTCCCACCACGGTAAACTGTGAGATGCGTATGATATCACAGGTGCCCGACGTCACGATATCCATTGACCCCATTGGCTGTTTAGCGTGGCTTTCGCATATTCGGCTCATTTGCAGTGTTGATCCGCCATAGCAAGAATTGAGAGCAGGGGTACACGAAGACTTTCCAATCAGCATAGGACGTCGAGGATGAGCATCAAGGTTGTAGTCTTCGCCCCACCCACAGTCTGACAAACCGGACATAATGATGCAGCCACTGCTTAGGATACAGATAGTCAGGAATACCTGGTCATGGCGCATTGTTTGGAGTTGATCCAAGCGAAAGGTTGAATGGCCCGTATTGAACCGGCAGCGGCGATGAGGAGTGCTTCCCATTCTACGGTACAGGGCGCACGGAAAGGCACGTTCGTTACCACTATCCAAATTTTTTGGTCAAGGAATAACCGCAGGCCGGACCGACCAAAGTAACCGGTTGGGCTTTCACGCCAAACTGTTAAGAGATGGACTAGACCCGTCTACACCCATTGTCCGTGAAGAATAAAGCTCAATCCCGATCGCCGCACGTACTCACCCACCATGGAATGCAGAGACTTGTTCCGGAGCCATACGTTGAAAGGTAGCTCGGAGCACTTGCGCGAGCAATAACCGTTAGCCTCCTTCCGCGCATTGTGACCATTGTTCTTCTCCCCGAGGCGTGTCTAAACGTCTTGCATCGGCGAGGCCCATCGGGGCAGGAACACCGATCCAGCTACGATATCATCTCATCGGAAGCTCGTGCATGCGTGGCCAGCACAAGATTCTGCCACGTACCAATCCATTGTATGCTCCGACACGTTCCGTTTGGGCCACCAGAACTCTGCATCGGAAGAGGGCGAGGCAGAGATTCATGTGATGTGCCCATGTGGAGGCGGATGACCTCTGAAAAGGGCTCTGAATACTAACGGAGTGACGGAAGGGTCCGCTCATTGTGCGGCGCAATTATCAAGTGCACCTTTGGGGGAATGCGTGGCTGAACTTGTGGTCCTGGCCTACCTGCACTACCTGCAGTACTGCACCGTCTCTTCTCACAAGCAAGCTTCTGATAGAAAAAAATTATGCAAATCATGGCCATTGACGCCTTAGCTTGGAAAGGTAGGACAATCTGATTGCGCCCGCAGCTCTGATGCATTCTAGAGCAGGCACCTATCCGAACAGTAGCACCAACGACGCACACTTACAACTACTAAACCAGAAGTGCGTGCATTGCTTCGCCCCTCCAAAGGCAACAGGGTTGTCACGCATCCCGCCTCCCATTCTTCCTCCACGCCTCGCTCAGTCCCCTCTTTGACGCCGGCGGCAACTCATCTGTGCTCCTCAACCCCACCACCTCACCGGCCGGAAAGTCCTACTCCCTAGTCAGCTCCCTCTCTCGCCATACTTCGAAGATCATATACATACCTCTCTCCGACCCCAGCACCCAATCTCCACCCACGGACTCCGCTCCCCAGCCGCACTCGCCGCACTCTTCCCATCCACCCTGCTCACCTCGAGAAAGCAGCACACCTCGCACGCGGGGTGGGCGCAGGAAGCGCATTTCTGGCCGTAGTAGCCGGGGGCTCTGATGGGGGCGTTTTCAGTGGGCGAGAAGTAGGGCGCGAAGTGGACGGGGGTGGTGGATGTGTTTAGGTGGGTGCAAGAGGGGTGGCAGCAGCGCCAGCGGTGGCGGAGGAGGATGGGGGTGGTGGGGCTGGGGTTTGCTTTGAGGGTGGGCATGGTTGTGGTAGGCGGTGCTGCTCCTTGGTGCTTGGTAACGATGTTGAGGATAGTCTTTCCGGGAGTAGGGAGTTTTGAGCGAGGTTCTGCAGAGGACATGAGGGTGGGAGTGTGAAGAGAGGGCTTGGAAGGGCTTGAAGGGGGAATGATGGCGTGCGTGAAGTGGTGCTTGTGAAGATTTGGTTGTGTATTCGCTGCGCAAGGCATAGAGTGAAGAGCGACGGGTGTCGAAGTAGGTACGAGTCCTCTACTTTTGCTGGGGTGGAAAGTAACAAGCCGTTTGTGTGAACCATAAGGCACGGCATCGTGAGTGCATGTCAGATGACAGCTGGCTCTTGGACCAAGATGCAGATGCGTGTGTGTAAATGGCATCACTTCAGTCAGGCACGATGGGTGGTAAAGACGGGCACTACGGGCGCTATGCAGCCTTCACTCAAGACTGATTCTATAGAGATGCACTTGTCGCTTGTCGCTAGGTTGAGAAGAGCGTTTGGCGTGACCTGGTGGCAGCAAACAGCACCTCTGGGTTCCAGCATGTACAGTGCCATTCCACGATTTGCTGGTTCGCCACTGCTCCGATGTACGCTTGCTTCCACCACAGTCGCGAAGAAGGGTGCGGTTAGCATTTAGTGAATGCTTAGCGGCGCATCGTAACATGTAACCACTGGCGGACCGAAAGAGGAAATCTCATGCATAGTAAGCAACGCGCTTGCCGTATTTGTTTGTGGCACAGCTCGTGTCCCGGAAGGCACGATCGCCGCTTGTTTCAGGGGCGCCGACAATGCGGGCGACGTGAACACCGACGTACACAGGCATCCGGGAGACGACGCCATGATGGGATTGTGGAATGGCAGCCGCGAACATGGAGAACTTGGTGACGCCAGTGGGCGGCATTCCCTGCGTTCTGGAAAACACGTGGAGGCGGGTGGTGCTGGCGGGTCCTGGAATCAGCGGGGCGGCAGGCGCTATCGATTGCCCTGAGCGCGGCAACTCGGTGGAGGGCTCCTGAACTCGGTGCTCGGCGCCCTCTGCTGCTGTCGCCTGCGTTCCAGCAAGAGGGAGGCGCAGAGACAGCGGTGCAACGGTGGAGATGAGGACGCTGGGTGTAAGTCAATGTCCGACACCGTGTCTGCGTCCAGGCACAGCACCGCGCGCACTACACGTCGAGGCTGCAGGAAACAGTGGGTGGCAGGCTGCCCTGCATGGAAGCATTGAGATCGTCAAAGCGGCAAGGCGCCTGCCGAATCCACTAGCGGCCCTCCTTCTCCAGAAACACACCCTCTGCCAGGGCGGCTGACCACGAGTCCGCGCGCGCACATCCTCTTGTCGCCCACAGTGCACTCTCCGTGCCTCCTTTCACCCACTTCTTCCCTTCGTTGTCCTTGTTTCGCGCGCCCCAGATATATTCCTAATAATTCCCCACACGCTCGCTACTCGCCCCTCGACCGACATCAGGGGAACCCAGCACCTGCCCCGTCGCACGCATTCGCTCATCGCGCACGGCATCCCCTCGCGACTGCCGTTTCAGCACACGACTTGCACAGCGACCCGCATACCGCCACCCGCCCACCACTGAACGGCGGGCGCATCGCACTCGTTGACAGCTGCACTGCGCTTAGCCACCTTGCACGACAGCCTGCACCCGCGCATACAACACCGCCCGACAATGGTCCGACACGCCTTCACGGCCGCCGTTGCGGCGGCAGCCGTCGTTGGATCCGCCTTCGCCCAGAAGTGCACCAGACAGAGCAAATGCCCCAAGGACACGCCCTGCTGCGGCCGTACGTATTCCCCGCGCATGTACAGCCTGAAGCCTTACTGACAGACGCAGTCTACGGCGACTGTGGTGTCGGCGCCTTCTGCTTGGGAGGATGCGACCCGACCATGTCGACCACCTTCGACTCGTGCGTGCCGAACCCCATCTGCAAGTCCAACACGTACCAGTTCACCGACCTGAACGACATCCAATCCATCGACAAGTACCTCGGCGACAACTCCAAGATCAACTGGCAGGCCCAAGGCAACCCCGTCAAGTACCCGTCGGGCGGCGTTGCTCTGACCATGGCTGAGGGCACGGTCGGAACGCTGCTTGCCTCAACCTTCTACGTATGGTACGGCAAGATCTGCGCCACCATGTCCACCAGCCGGGGTCAGGGTGTCGTGACCGCTTTCATCATGATGTCGGACGTCAAGGACGAAATCGATTTCGAGTTCATTGGCAACGATATCAACAACGCCCAGTCCAACTGGTACTCGCAAGGTGTTACCAACTGTAAGTCGTAGCCGCTACTTGCGTCACGCGGGTCTAACCAATTTCCAGACGAGAACATGGAGAAGCTCAAGGTCTCGCCCGACACCGTAGGCGACACGCACGAATACTGCATCGACTGGTCCGAAGACGAGCTTAGTTGGTCCGTCGACGGCAACAAGGGCCGCACCGTGAAGCGCACCGACTCGTGGAACGCGACTGCTGGCCGCTTCGACTTCCCCCAGACCCCTTCGCGCGTCATGCTGTCTCTCTGGCCTGCCGGTCTTCCCTCAAACGGCGAGGGAACCATCGAGTGGGCTGGTGGTGAAATCGACTGGAACAGCAAGTATATGACCAACGGCATGTACGCTGCCCTTGTCACCAAGGTCACCGTGGACTGCTACGACCCCCCATCTGGCATCAAGTCGACCGGGTCCAAGAGCTACAAGTACACCAGCAACATGCCCACCAACAACACGGTTGAGATCACAAACGACTTTGTTGTCTTGGGATCCCTCATGGACACTGGTGACGAGCCTGGTTCCACCGCTTCCGCGTCCAAGTCCAGCTCCGCCGCCAAGTCGACCAAGTCTGTCAACATGGTTCCGGGAGGAAACCCGGGTGGCGGTGCCCGCCAGGAAACCGCCGTCGCTGCCCAGAACACTGCCCAGGCTACGTCGGGATCGTCAAGCACTGGCTCTTCAGGCAGCAGTGGAAGCGGCGATTCCGGCAGCAGTGGCTCAAGCAGCGGTAGCAGCACCGGCGGCGGCTTCGTCCAAGGCGATGGCAACAGCGGTAGCTCTGGCACTGGCTCTGGCGCTGCTGCTTTGGAACCTGGACTCGCCAAGATCGGTGGCTCGGCCATCGCCATTGTCTTCGCTGTCTTCGGCCTTCTTGTCCTATAAGTGGATATCGTCCATATTTGTTTTTCGGCTTGTCAATGACCTGGTTATGAGCACACATTCTTTCCCTACCTGGCCATTCTTGTCCAACCTTACTATATCCCCGGTGTTCCGGTCTGTCCTTGAAGGCAAACATATTGTTCATACATTCCGTAAGCATTGGAGTCTGCGAGCGAGCGAGGGTTCTATCTGCCGAAGCGAACATTTGTCAGACGCTGTTCATATTACATTTGGAGGAAGTTAATATCGAGGTTGGATTGCTGGGACCTGGAGCGAGGAAAAGGCTTTCTTACATTACTCGCTCCTTTGATACTGTGAATATTGCTGGGAAGAGAGGGGATGCATGCGTGGCATTGATAGCAAGAATGAAGTGTGTATACATTGTTCTGTGATATCATTATTATCGTGAAGGCGATTTTGATTGATGAAGTAGAAGGGGGAAGGCTGGCAACCGCGCACTCAAGCAGTTCACAGAGCTGTTGCGACTTATTGGCCACCAACACATGTTTTTTCTGTTGAATTGGCACAATTGAAGGGACATTGAAGATGAGCAGATAAAAGCCAGGTCGTCGTTCCGAGCAGTGACGCGGAACGGCGAGGACATAAAGAGGTCTTTGCCCAGTCCCATTTGCACTTCTACACAAGCTTCCCATACAGTACTGTAAACAGCGCATATCAACTTCCAAACCCTTATCACAAAAACACCCACCATGCCAAACTACAGCCCCTTCCCAAGCTACGACCCCTATCGCACCAACCGAAGTCTCCGCAGAGGCTTTATGAACGACCTCCAAGTAACAGACCCATCAACCTGGTCCTATACCCGAGGCCGGTTCGTCGCCTTCGGCGCGGCCGCAGAGCAACGCCCCGAGGCTGGGGATATGATCTATCTCTTCCAGAACAGCATGGATCCATCCGAGGAGAGCTTCAGGCTCCGCCCTAATGGCAATATATACTACCGCTTCCGCTGCACACCGCTTGTCTGCGGGAACATGTCTTGCCAGGGCCAGACGAGGGTGATGACGAGCTTTGCGCCGCCCGGCTGGGATAGCAGTCATGGCTATCACTATGGGAACCCTTTCAATCCTCAACATCAGACAAGGTATTCAGGACAGGTGTTCTGCTATCACCAGGGCGGTCAGATGCATTGGAATGAGGCTGTGTGGGGCTCTGGACCACCCGCAGGTTGGGGACATTAATCGTTAAAAAGAGGCATGGGGATGGGTGAGCATGGGATGGAGGGGAGGGTGAGGAGTGTTGGGCGTGTCTTTTTCTGTGTTTGAGCTTGGTCGACGACTTGTGTCTCTGGGCTTGGTGGTCGCTTTGGAGTGTTTGGTTCAAACAATACCCTGTCAATACTTTGTTATGAATGTTGGTAAGTGTCTTTACGTACAACATATGAGCCGCACAATGCTCACATGTCGTCGAAAAGACTGTATATATCCCGTCAAGGACTACTATACCACACGCAACTCGATATATACTTTTCGTGTTCGCCACCAAGTGCAGACTGGGGACGCCATTGAAATTTGCTTCGTTGACTGACACCACTCGCAGACATCAGGTTGCTTCGTCCGCGCCCATGCTAAAGGAGCAAGTGCACTCCAAATTGAAGGGACAATACGCATAGGAGATGGGTTATAGTGACTGGGCATGCTGTGCAAATTGATGGGGAAGAGGGCTGCAGAGGCATTTGACTGAGGCAGGGACGTTGGAGAGCGAGAATGGGCCGACTTCTGTGGCGAGGAAGCAGGAGGAAGCACGATCGGTATGACGATGCTTCGAGGAAAGAAATGAAAGAAATTGTCGAGCAATCAGCACGCGCCGACTAACGGCGTACAAAGCTGTTGACGCCAGCATCGGTACTATTGCAATCACAAGGTATACCAATATCTTGTAGTGGTGTTTGCAGAGCCGCTTACAAGTTTGCAAAGCGGAATGGTGTTCGCCGACAACCGGTCTTCGGCATCGGTTGTTCCACATTTCGGTCCGCGAGCGACGCCGTTAACCGCACGTCATGGTGACACCAATCCTATTTACTGTACCCAAACACTTCATATATCTTCCCTCGCGTATCGGGCTACCCGATATTGTATGCAAAGATTGTGGAGTCATGTTGGGCTGTTTCGGACACCGGCGAGTTCCTCGACCGCCATCGTAGAAAGGATGCTCGCACCTGAATGATGTCACTAGAGGAGGCAAGCATCTTCGTGATTGTATTTTCGCAAGTCTCCATTGTGGCCGCAACGATTAAGGGCCACCTCTCATGTATCCTGCCCCACCTGAGTTGCAATCCTCTGGGCATGTGTGGATGGGAAAGTGACCCAGCTGCTACATACGATAGTAACACGAGCATAATATCAGCGCACGGCTCGTTTGGAGTTGGTAGATGATGTTATGCTCGGAGTCAGAATGCGCTGCATATTATGTCTAGCCATGCAGGTCCTCCGCAGGTTGCTCTCCATTGAAGTGGACCATCATCGTTGCCATTGTCCTAGCTAGGACATTCATTCGTACATCAGTCACAGATCTTCTGACGATGGAGTCGCTTTTTCGTTCCCTTGTATCTATCGCAGCACTCTACTGCACCGTTGTGCTCGTTCGTGCTAATCCGGTAGAAACTTCCTTTGTGCCCAGAGCGGCTACGAAAGGATTTACCTGCTCATATTCCGGATATTCGAACTGCAACAGTGACAGGGATCGTAGCTGCTGGGTGAAGAATCACGGCAAAACATATAACATTGACACCGATTATGAAGACGACTTTCCGGTCGGTATCACAAGGACTGTAGGTAGCAAAATCGATACAATCCTGTATCTTCATTGTCTTCCATATCATACCCTAACTCAGCACAGTTCGACCTAGAGATCTCAGAGAAAGTCGTCAGTCCTGATGGCTTCCCAAAGGTCGCTCAAGTGGTTAACGGTCAGTTTCCTGGCCCGCTGATCGAAGCCTGCTGGGGTGATACAATTGTTGTCAACGTCAAGAATACCATCAAGAACAACGGCACTACGGTGCACTTCCACGGTCTTCGGATGTTCCAGGAGAACAACTTCGATGGTGCCAACGGTCAGTACAACAACTTGAGCTGTGTCGAAGACACCGCATGCTGAACAGGGTAGCCATCACTCAATGCCCCATTGCACAGGGTGACTCGTTCACCTACAAATTTCAGCTCAGGCAGTACGGACACAGCTGGTACCACTCACACTACAGCTCTCAATACGGCGAAGGTACATTTGGCCCAGTCGTGATACACGGGCCCTCAACGGCCAACTGGGACGAGGAACTCGCCCCTATTATGGTGCACGAGTGGCATCATGCTAGCGCGTACGACGCGTTCCACGATTCGATGTTTTCTCCCGCGCCACCAAAAGCCGATCTGATCACGCTCAATGGCATCGGCCGAAATCACGAACTGGGTATCGGCGCCTACTTCCAGAAGACGATCGAAGAAGGTAAAAAGTATCTTTTTCGAATCACCAATAGCGCCATCGACTTCCACTTCCATTTTTCCATTGATAACCACTTGCTGCAGGTTGTCTCGGTGGATTATGTGCCGATCAAGCCGTTTTGGACGAACTCGCTTTCGGTGGGTATCGGCCAGCGGTACGGCGTCATCGTTCACACGAACCAGACGGCTTCTGCGAATGGAAAGTACTGGATGCGCACGGAGTATTTCGATGGCAACGTCAAAGACTCTACCTTTTGCCAGTTCCCTCAGCAGAACTATCCGCCCAACCAAACCGATACCCAGCGTGTTGGTGTCCTCAGCTACAGTGGTGCGGGTCCAGGCGAGCCTACGACAACGAGGTGGAATGCAACGGTTGGCTGCAAAGATCCCGTCTTCGAGCCTCACCTCGAGTGGAGAGTGACACCCCCGCAGAACGATGTGGTGAAGAACGCGCGCTATGTTGGAATCGATAGGAGCAAAGAGATGCATGGTGCTTTCCGCTGGCTGCTGGCAGAGCAACCGCAATGGTTGAACTATTCTAATCCTACGCTTTTGAATATCGCGAACGCGAGCTGGAACTCTGAATACGTTCTCGAGCCATGTAAGCAATTAATCATGAAGCGGGTACCAGTGGAACTGAAGATTGCAGACTCTTACAACGACCCTGAAGGGTTCGTGTACTTTATCATCAATTCTGGTGGCGGTCCTAGTAAGCTTACTGGTGTAAGTTCTGAATTCGTTGTATCGTCAGGATTCTGTTGAGTGACACCTTGCAACTTTGGATCGACTAACATCATCAAGGGAACCCACCCAATACATCTCCACGGCCACGACTTTGCCATTCTCTCCCAAGGCTTGGGTCCTTTTGACGTGGCAAACCCCATATACAACACAGAAAATCCACCTCGGCGCGATACTGCCATGCTTCCTGCGATGGGTCACCTCGTGCTCGCCTACAAAACGGATAATCCCGGTGCATGGCTTCTTCACTGTCATATTGGCTGGCATGCCGGCTCAGGTATGTCGCTCCAGATCCTGGAACGCCAACAGGAGATCTCGAGCTGGATTGGTGGGTCCGCTGCGTTTGAGCCTGCGAAGAGAGGCTGCAGAAATTGGAGTGAATTTCTAGCGAGGCATAAAAATGACCCGGATGTTTTCAACCCAATCGGTCAAGACGATTCGGGAATTTAAGATGGGTTGGAAGCCAGTGTATGTTATGCGTTTTTGTTTCAAAGGCGCAAACCGTGGTTGGCTTATCTCCGCTTCCTTATCTCCGTGGCTGCGGGACGGACCCTGGTTCTAGATCTAAAATTCCCACACCGCGCCGTTGACCACCCCTCATCGTCCTGCAACCTGACTTTCTCGCCCATCCCTCGCACACAGTAATTCACCATGGCACACTTTATACGATCTTTCTCTTTTGGAATCAGTATCAGGGACATACCAAACTGACGCCGGTCGTGATCTTCGATTGGCAACATTCACAAAGTTTTTCCCTTCGTCACATTATAGAAAGTGTTCCGAAGACCATAGACTAAACGCATACGACGCTGCTAATTCTCACATCTCTACTGTCCTCCTCAAGGATCAGTTTCTAGACATGGAAGGCGAAGAACAGCCACCGCTTCCTCCAGGAGCGCCCACCTCGCACCTCTTCGAAGTACGCCACACACCTCACTCCGGCCGTGCCGTCTTCGCCACCCAGGATATACCTGCCGATACGCTCGTCTTCCTCGGAGATGACCTCACGGTTGATGTTGTACTTCGTGAGTACCGCCGCGAAGTGTGCGGAGAATGCTTCGGCTACGATCGTGGACGGGACTTGTGCGTGCGCGACAACACCGTGGGTTTCGCGTTCTGCTCTGAGGAGTGTAGGGGCCAGTGGAGAAATCGAGTTGGCGAGCTCGGTGTGGAGACTTGGACAGCGGTGGAGAAGCTGGTTAAGGGTCGGAGCAAGGAGGATGCGGACATGGTGGATGTAGGCCTGCCGCGGCCAAAGACGAAAGAGATACGGATTGCCTGGGAAGGAACGGCGGATCAGGCGGCGCTGATACGCATTGCGCGCTCATCCGTCTCGTCACCCGACAGCTCGGGCGAGAACAAAGGCGAAACCGGGACCGTCAAACCCACCAAGCAGCATCGCAAAGCCGTCCAGAAAGCGCTCATGCAGCCCGTCTCTCCGGACGTCCTCACCTTCTGCGTCAACGGTGTCCTCTGGAAATACAACAATCCCGCCAAGTGGGATCACATCCTCGCGCTCGCAAAAGACAACACCCCCTACCACAACTACGACGATCTTCGAGCCTTTACTCGCTCCTACCTCCACATGCTCGCTGTGTGTCCATCCGCTCTACTTGAACATGTCACGCCGGAAACTCTTTTCCTCCTGTCCTCGCGCGACAGCCACAACTCCTTCGGCATCCGCTCCCTCGAGGACGACGGCTCGGAATTTTTCGGCTACGGATGCTGGCCGAGCGCGTCATACTTCAATCACTCATGCGGGCCAAATGTTGAGAAAAAGAGGGTTGGAAGGGTGTGGCATTTTCGCACGGGAACGAAGATCAAAGTGGGCGAGGAGCTATGCATTACATATCTGAGCGGGGAAGAAAGGAAATTGAGCAGGAACAAGAGGATGAAGACTTTGAAGGGGAACTGGGGATTTGAATGTGGGTGCGAGAGGTGTGAGGCTCTGTAGGGGGCTGGGTGCATTAAATGCAAAACGTATAGAGTAGACGTTCGCATTGTCAGACATTTTCTAATAGATATTCCCATACACAAGACGTTGACCCTTGCCTCTTTCTCAAAGTACCCCAGTCCAACCCCAGGGTTCCGGGCTCCAGCTTCGATCCCCACGTGACATAAGAGTATCCATGTATGCGCCCTCAGAGTCAACCGTGCGTACTTCTGGCTTTGTGGTGCATTTCGCTCTGAATACTAAATAGCTAACGTTCGATTGATAATTCTTTCTGAAGTGTGTGGACCAGGATACCCTAAGAACGGGATCTGACCAATCGCACAGCATTCCCGAAAAGGAAAAGCGTCTTCCAGCTCAGATTCGAGTCACAGAGAGTCGTCACCCGTGCTAAGCCACTTCTTCCTCAGTGCTTACATATGAGCTACGCAAAGCCACAAGACGATGCCAGGAGGAACTCCACCTCTCCAGCAACAGTTTTCTTTGCGTGTGTCGCGACCGCGTTGAGGATCACTGTATCATCGCCGACAGACTAGAATAGCGGGCAAGCGAGTGGGCACCGCGACACCGAACCTCAGCCCCTAGGAGGTTTCCACAACGTTCCGGCGCCGGCGGAGGAGTAGGCCGTAGCCGCGCGCAGACACAGTATGGTCTACAGAGGTAGACCAAGTACAGGATGTAAAACTTGCAGGCAACGCAAGATCAAGGTACGTGGCGCACCTTTAGTATCCCCCTCCTATACTCTTTCTATTCAGTACCGAGGCTCCGGGTACTACGAGTAGTCCGCACGGGTCATGCAGATTACCTGATACGGTCAGCTGTGCGAGCTGCCAGACGTTAGCCAAGCTTCGTACCCCAGATCCACCTGCCCTTGGCGAATTAACAGAGTACCAACAGACTAACGAGGCGCTTGTAGTGTGATGAGAGACCAGAAGGGTGTGTCAAATGCGCAGACAAAGGCTATCAGTGTCCTGGGTATGAACGGATAATCGATCGCCTCTTCCAGGATGAATCTGCTGCTGTCGAACGAAAAGCGCAGAAATCGAAAGCCAAAGCCCTCATTGCTCGTGACGAGCGGGAGCAAGCTGCAAAAGCCCGGCGCGCTGTTGCTAGGATGTCAGATGCGATAGGTACACCATTGCTTTGCCCTCTCATCGACAGAGGTATCGCTTTCTTCATGATGAATTATGCATCTGGAGTTGATCTGCCACCGATATCATCCGCGGCGTACAATCAGCATCTGAGTACTTTTGGTTTCCACCCTATCGTTGCCACTGCCATGACTGCGCTTGGTCTTGCAGGCACAGCCAACCTGTTCTTGGATAATGGGTTGAAGAGAGAGGCTACCACGTGGTATCTTGACGCCTTAAACATGACCAACAAGGCACTCACCAAGCCTTCTGAAGCGAAGTCAGATCACACTTTGCTTGCAACCATGCTGCTCAGTGTTTTCGAATCTACTCATAATGAGTTCTCATTTCAAGGCTGGCTGCAACACGTCCAAGGATCGGCGTCTCTTGTTCGGATGCGTGGCTTGTCCCAGTTCCAGACCCCAGCTGGCCGAAGAATGTACATGCAAACGGTCGGATTGCTCGCAATGAAATGCATGGGTATGGGCATTGCCCTTCCGCGATTTGTCCACGAGATGAATAAAGAAGTGGAAAAATGGGAAGATGGCCACGATCCTGGCAGTAGATTTTTCCATACCCATATCAAAGTGATAGATTTTCGGGCGGAGATTCTGAATCATAAACTTACGGATCTTCGACAAATAGTAGAACGCGCATCGGAGATTGACAAAGAAGCGACGGAGATGTTCAGCGCGGTCGACTCGGACTGGAATTATGCCGTGGAGACTTGCGACGAAGGCACACCTGGTGTGTTCGGGACGGAATACCACATCTATCCCCATCTTGCAGCAGCACAAACTTGGAACTGGCTTCGCTATATCCGAATATACATCCACGACATCCTCCGTAACGCCCTCATCGCTGGCTTCAGCTCTACGCCGCCAGTCTTCGTAGGGAGGAAATATATGGAGCTTATGGTTGACTCCACAGAAACACTCTACAAGATGCAATCAGACATATTTGCCAGCATGCCCCAGTACCTGCACGACACGCCCAAGGCCCCACCCACCTGGTCCGACTCAACGCACATGTGCAAGCCTGAATCTGTATTGTCGCACAGATGTCTTCCATCCAGTCCAATCAGCCCGCCTTCCACATATACGTTTTCCCCATCACCGTTTCCATCGCCTACCGGAACCGCGATGGGAGCCATGAAATGGGGCCCTTCCACAACGCCCATCACGCCGTCGGGCACCCCAAAAACGTTCATCTCGAACTTCCTCGAACACCAGAACGCCAGCATAATCCCCGAGTTCCGCACACCCGCAACACCAAGCGAGCAACTTCCCATCGTCCGCGTCAGCGGCGGCTACTCCTCTCTCTGGGCGCTCTTCATCGCGGGCGCCACACCCATCGCCTCGCCCGAATCCCAAGCTTTCGTCCTAAGCTCCCTCGAGAGAGTTGCGAGTGAGTTTGGCATCAATCAGGCGAAGGTGTTTGCGAGCGCGTTGAGGACGAAGATCGAGCTGGAGAGAACGGGGATTAGTAAGATGGCGGAGGAGGAGATGCTGCATGGATGGGATGCAGGGTGGTATGCGATGTTGGGCGATAAGCAAAAGTTTACGCTAAGGAATGCGGCATTGAAGGGCGGTGAAGGGGGCATAGCGCCGATTTACATGCCGAGGGTCGGACCGCATGTTGATGATTGAGTGGAAGGTATTGGCCGATGTGGGTGTATGACAGGAAGAGTTGACAATTTGGTAGGATTCGAAGACAATTTCAGGCGCCGGCAGAGCCGTGCGCACGCCGATGGCATATTTGACTCGACTCCATGGCCAGTGCATATAATTGGGTGTCTGGGGTTCCCAATGAGTTCACAGGGATCCTTCCCTTCACTGTAAACTGTCTTAACAATCGACTCTTTCTATTAGTTTTGTACATAGATCGATGCGTCGCATCCTGGCCCCGAAAAACTCGAAGACTTCATATAGGATCATTTCGTACCGTCTGAAGCAATCGCACTATGCCAGGGACATTCAAATGTCCGATCATGTACCTTGCCCTAGAAATGTTAGAGGATACCGTGAAATATTGGTTGGCCTGTTTATCTACTGTGTGCAATGGCTACCTACGACTTTAAAACATTCTCAAAGAAACGATTCGGCGGCCGTGGCAGGTCGAGGTGCTCTCGCAACGTCGTCCCTTCGTACTCTTTCCTGAAAATTCCGCGCCGCTGTAGCTCAGGTACCAGCTTCTTGGTCACACTCTCCAGTCCCTCCGGCAAAAACGGAAACGTCACTGTAAATCCATCCGCGGCCTCTTCACTCAGCCAGTACTCCAACTCATCTGCGACAGTCTCAGGAGTCCCCACGAACGCAAGCCCGGAATAGCCACCGTACCGCCCCGCAAGCTGCCGCACCGTCAGTCCTTCTTTCTCCGCGAGACTAATCACACCCGCCCGCCCCGTCTTGCTCGCGTTGGTGTCGGGAATGTCTTTGGGCAGTGGTCCGTCTGGGTCGAACTTCGATGCATCCGATCCCAATGCTATGGAAAGAGACGCAATCGCGCTGTCATAATGTACTAAGCTGTCGAGCTTGAGTCTCTTCTGCTTTGCCTCTTCAACCGTATCGCCAATGACAATGAGCGCTGCTGGTAAAATTTTCGGCAGCCCTGGCAATCTCCCCGCAGCCTTCGCCCGCCCTTTGATATCCTGATACAGTGCCTTCGCCGACTCGACATCCCGCGGCGAGCAGAACACCGCCTCCGCAGTCTCAGCAGCGAGCTGGCGTCCCGGCTCCGACTGTCCCGCCTGCACAATAACCGGCCACCCCTGCACCGGCCTCGCAATATTCAGCGGACCCTTCACCTGCAGCTCATCTCCCTTATGGTCCAGCGTATGAATCTTCTCAGGGTTAACATACACCCCGCTCTCCACGTCCCGCAGGAACGCATCATCAGCGAAGGAATCCCACAGCCCCGTTACCACATCGTAGAACTCGCGCGCCCGTTTATACCGATCCCCATGTTCCATGTGCTCGTCGCGCCCAAAGTTCTTACTGCTCTCAGGATTCCCCGTGGTCACGATATTCCACGCCGCCCTCCCCCCACTCAGGTGATCCAGACTCGCGAAGCGCCGCGCGACATGGTACGCCTCGTCGTACGTCGTGCTTGCGGTTGCCGCCAATCCGATTCTGGCCGTGACCTGTGAGAGTGCGGCGAGCAGGGTGAAGGGCTCGAAGGAGGTAACGGTGTGGCTCCGTTTGAGGGCTTCGACGGGCATGTTCAGGACGGCGAGGTGGTCAGCCATGAAGAAGGCGTCGAATTTGGCGGCTTCGAGGGATTGGATGAAAGAGATTAGGTGTTTGAGGTTGAAGTTTGCGTCTGGGTAGGCGCCGGGGTAGCGCCAGGCGCCTGTATGGAGGCTGACGGGGCGCATGAAGGCTGTGAGGTGGAGTTGTTTCTTTGGTGGAGACATTTCGGGCTGTGGCTGGAAAACACTGCGATGCGCTGGAAGAACAAATGCCCTACGAAAGCCAGTCCTGCTTCAAATATGAACGCTGCCGAGGTAGTCTAGCAGAGATGTCATTATATCCGATACATGCGGGTGTTGCGATAGTAATCTTGATCACGCCATTGATGCACATAGATGCGTGATCCGCATATACCGGGGGTCGGTTAGTATCTGACTTTCGAAATGGACTGGCATCTTGTGCAATTATTACCAAGAAACACTAAATGATGAATTTCTCTTATCATGGGTTAGTATCGTCAAGATCTCCCCCGTAGATTTCAAAGAATCATTGGCGGGTGAATGTTCAGATTGCATTACATCGTCAAAGACTAAATTAAGCCACCTTCTTGCAGTTGACCTGGCTGTCGATGCCATCAATATTCGCACATGCGTACTGGTTGGTTCCGCTAGGGCTCTTGACAGTGACGTTCTGAATGTTGATATCGTTGCACACAGTCGGGCTGGAGCAGACCAGATATCCGACCAATGGATCGTACTTCTTGCTCGTGGTGCCTACAAAGTTCTTGATGGTAACATCCGAGATGGTGAGGTTGCTAGGGAACTACGCTCAGTTAGTACAAGCAGAAGCAAGCGAGAGGGGAAGAGAGCATACCTCATTGCAGAGCGTCAGGTTCTTCTGTCCGTAGCACTGGGTGATCTCGATGGCGTAGTCAACATTGGACAGCACCATGCCATCGTAGGTGATGTTGGAAACGGCTCCTAAGCCACCACCTCCCTGGAGGTCCGCGGAGAGCGCGGAGCTAACGCCGGGCCAGACCTTGATGCGCGCACCGTCGGATGCGTTCGACATGCTGACGTTGTATGTCTGATGATGTCAGCTGAATGAATTCACAATTTAGAAAAGGCAACTTGCGTAGATGTTCTTCACGATGTCGACCTCACCCTTGTACTGTCCCAGGCTACCAACGCTAATTCCATGACTACCATTGCAGATCAAGTTCTGCACGACTATGTTGGTGCTGTTCGGCTTGAATGATACACAGTCATCGCCATTGTCAATGTGCGAGTTCTGGATGACGATGTTGTCTGAGCGGTAGGTGTCCCAACTGTAAAGTGTTAACGTCCTGATTCGTCGTCTACTTCCGATTCAACCTACCCATCAGTGTTCTTAGCAACGTTCGAGCTGCTGCTGTACCCGGAAATACTGATGTCGGAGAACACCACATTCGTCGAATTCGCCACCAGGTTGTACCATTGAGGAGAGTACCTCAAGTTCAAATCCTCAATGCGTCCGCTCTTCAAGCCAATGGTACCAAAGAGGATGGGGCGCAAGATCAAGTTGTTCTTGGCATATAGATCGTACCAGACCTGACCGTTTCCGTCGAATGTACCACCTCCGTAGACGTTGACGTCCTCACCTCCAAGCTGGAAGAACGTAGTGGCGTTCTGGAAGACTTGCTTGAAGGCGTTGGCTTGCCAGTAGTCCGTGTCGTTGGTGAATTTAATGGTTCCCTGAACATCTGAAGCGCCGTTAGTTCCATTCGTTATTCATTCTGGTCACGACGTACCCAAATCGATGTGCTTGAGGAAAGTGAGGTCAAGTGCAGTGCCGATGGTGTAAGTCTTTCCCTTGGAAAAGACAACATGACCACCGTTGTTGCAAGACTTGATCGCACTCAAAACGTTCTTGGAATCGTCTTTGCCATTGCCGTAGGTCTTCACTGTACACGTTTTTGTTCGTGCTGGCGAGACCGGGAAAGGCTTGCCGGGATGGTGTGGCTTAATGGGATGGTTTGGCCTCTTCGAAGCTCCCCGGGCAACGAGATCATCGGTTTCAACTGGAGAAGACCATGTTACGGAGGCTTGCAGCAGTGCTGCAGCAATGAATGACGAGACGCGCATGGTGCAGGTTGCTGAGCAAGGACGATTGAAGGGTGCAGTGTGTCGAGCTGTGGAGCCTCATCATGCAGGTCATGGCTCTTAATATACCATATATTGCCCCCATGCCAGGGGCGATGTCGCCAGCCCCAGATATTTCGTGCGGAGATGATAGTCTGGTTCTTCCGTCGGCGGTAGGGCGACAGAGACGCCACACGTGGCTAAAGGGACGCTAGTAGTCAAAGTGGATGGTGGCCGCGCGCTATCTCGAACGATCGATGAAACACGACGAAGGATTGGTGGAGGAATATTTACCCCAGAAATGATAATGTCCCGTGGTATCGTGGGGAAGACAAGCCTTCCTCGGCACACCGAAGCCTGGGGCCAAGTAGGCCACTATTGCGTGGAGTTACGCGGCTATTTCCCTGCCCCGAAATTACGAGGATGTACTTGAAGGAAGCAGTGTTGCGAACATGTCCCCCTACATCGTACAATGCACGACCTCTCAGCAGCGCATGTTTTGCGCGCTGTAGCCACGAGCAGCGACAAGACGACTAGGTGACTGCAGAGCGCTCGTGAGCATCACCAGTTACCATATTGCGCGAGTCAGTCATCAACTAACACGCCTGACGGGCCTTCTCCACAGACGGACACCACGCTACCAGCTTTGACCAAAGGAGAATTCCTCATTTTGGATACGTCCTGGAGTCCGTGAGTTTGATTTGAAACATCGTAGGCGCCGAACAAACAGCGATGATGTATACAGCTTTTCCGTCGAAATTGACAATGGTTCTGCTGGCCTTGTCAATCCGGACACAGGCACATTGAGTTTTTGCAAAAACACACCGTCATGTCGGTCTGTCGGTGGATTCATCAGAGCTCTCGCTTTTGAGATCAATAAGAAAACCCACGATACCATGCGTTGAGCTTGTGACAACTTTGAACCCGGCGCGTCTCCAGAAGAAAAGTTACAGCTCATCTTCAATGGGATGAAGTTGAGCATATGAGTTCATTCGCGAACATTTTCAAAGGTACGTTTGGTACCGAAATCTTCAGCTGAATCCCGATCAATAACGCACCGATCGGATGTTCGCCCAGAACGTATGCTTCCGTGTGGGTCTGCGAGACATTGGACGTGTAGCTTGGCAAGTCCTGTGTAGCTTACCTGGCACAGCTATCAGATCCATCACACGTATTCGTGTTTTTTGTCGCTCGGATATTAAGCAGCATCTTCTCTGCGAACCCGCATACCAGATGTGGACGAGCGTGAAAGCAATTCTTCACTTTTCGCTTCGAGCGTTGGTCAGCACTCAAGTGTTTGTATCTTGTATTCGATATGACGTTCTTGACAAGGAATAGAAAACCGCAGGCCAGACTTCTGGATAGTACATACGCTGTTGATTTCCACAGCGAGTAGATCTAGCGAATGATTGTGAGAGTCCATGGCGACACATGGATCAGTAGCAGCCTTCGGATGTGGGAAACGTTGGTGTAAAACGTTCGGTTCCCAGCAGGTGAGTGGCGGGTTGTGTCAACTGTGGTAGCACCGCGGAAGGGAAACCGCCAGCCGTTGCATCGCGGATCACATAGCTTTGGACCGGACGTGATGATGACGCGGGCTAAACGAGCAGATTCGACAGCCTGCTTGCAAAGACTTCTTGGTGAGCGTTGTATTTGAAACGGAGGATTTTATTTTCTCGTCATACCATTTAGGTCACATCGACATTTAGAACTCATAGTCAGCGGGGCGGACCGCAAGACGTCGACGCACAGCAGTACCTTCCCGCTCGACGGCACTCTCGGAATGTTGTGCGATGTCATGACAGTTTTCAGTTTTCTTGGTCATGTTCCGTGGCACGGGCAGCTTGAGGATCCAAGTAGGGCTACTCGATTTCCAGGGAGTTACTCCACACGGCCTGGGCTTGCAGTTCAGGTTGACGCTTTTGGCAACCTGCATGATCGTGTTCGCTTACAACTTCATGGATAACTAATCAATGGCAAGACGGTTTTTGGCTATGAAGATCAGCATCGAGCATGAGACTATCCTGTTTTGCAGGTTTCGCTTCCTCATATTGTTCCACACGACCAAGTGGAAGACGGGAGGTCGAGAAAGAAAGCGCATTTACGGAAACAGTAACAAACATCCTGTTGTCGCATTGCGGATCTGTGTGGTCTCGTTTCGGACCCCAATAACAAGGGTGAGGCGTCCTCGTGGCATGCACAATCATGTTGTGTTACCAGTGACGACGACTGCATGGATACCCCCATTGTGAGTCACGGAGCACACTCTACCTCGAACATGATCTGTCTTGCTTCACTTTCAGCAATGCCAAGATTACTTTTCCCAAGAAGGTTCATTCTCCTCGGATACTGCCCTCCTTTCTCACTACACATCCCGAACCAGGACTTGAAGCGCGGATACACCTCTCAGCGCTACCAGAAGGGAGGCTCCTGGTTTGAGGTCGACTTCCTGCAAAAAGCGCAGTCGTACAACGCAAAGTCCGAGCAACGCTCTCAAAACCGAAATCCTAATGTCTGTCACGTACCTGCAGTCAATGGAATCAGAGTATATTGCTCCAATTCCCGTTCCCCAACTGCCAACCTCGCCGACTATATCGCACCTCCGTGTGTTCTCTCTTCATCTAAAGTTTTGCACCCACACGAACCCCCGCCCCGGCGCGCCAACACCACCCCACGGTTCGACCAACCGCCCGGTACTCCCCTGTCGTCCGCCAGGATCGGCCCGCCCCCGGCCATGCCGTTGCGGCAACGGTATCGCTACAAGGGTGGACCTTTCATGTGCGAAAATAGAGTGACTGGTGAAAGTGGGTCGTCGGTTGAGTGTTCACATCCGACCAACATCTGATACCAACGATCCATCACTACTTCCAAGCCACAAATGGATACGCTAGAGCACCCATCCTTGCCGAGCCGTCTTCAGTGGACCAAGTCATCGCCACTGGTGGACCAAATTCGAAACGAGATTCCCACTTGAGCCACAGGACCCAGGTCGAATGTGGGCCCCGTCCGTCAACAGATTACCGATCACTGCTTCGCGCACGTAGGACCTGCAGCCACGTCTCCAGACGAAATATAGAAACGGTGCAACACGAGGACTTACCGGTTCATGCCTATTGACCAATCATTGCACTGCGCACGCTTCAGAGGTGGACCCCACGCTCGAAGGAGCGCGGTGCATCGATATCGGCTTCGCCTGAGGCAGCACACCACTCTCACAAAACGATATCTCATCTTGTTTCTTCCATACAGTCCAGCCGCACCGCACATCTCAATCTCAAGTAATGTTTCATGCATTCCGATACGGGTAAGATAATATACAGTACACATCGCTTCTTCCTCCCTCCCACGATGATGTGCTGCCTGCCATATCAATGTTTCCAGACATGCTGCGCCATCGTGAACAGTGTATGTGTATGCTATAGTATTGCGAAATGACAACCATTCGCGTCCATGAGCGGGTGTATGTAGGGTGACAAAAGTCAAGAGCAGCGTAATATATGATATTGTAATGACGTCATAGCCACTGAGCTTACGCAAATTTATTCGTATGCAAGAACAGGCGCCGTCGTATATCATGCATATCGTTTTAGAATACATCAAGGGAAGGGGAATGCGAGTCAAAAGCCATGCTGATATGCACCGTCGCACATGAAAATCGTACCAAGATGAAATGGGTGAGAGAGGAGCCAGGGATGTTAATGGAAGCTTGAGCTCTACTCGCCGTTGACAAGCGAGTCGTGCGCAAACTGGTCATTGGGCATTGAGCTGGTGCCGGCAATACCGATGCCGAAGCCATTCAGGTCGAAGCCGGCATGGCCTGGGCCGCCCATGGGGCCGTAGATGCTGTCGTCCCAGCCAGGGCTCTGAGAGTCAGGGGTACGCGGCTCGCTTGCAGAAGGTGATGGGGTGTCGGTAGGCGAGCGGGTGAAGAGCGGCATCGCGGGGTCTGAGGGCAGCTTGATGTACCCGTCCGAGTACGAGGCGAGAGAGGACGACGACACGGGAGCGCTGGGCAGATCGTGGAAGATCTGCTGCGACATGCGCTGCTCAGACGCGGTCCCATAGGCGTTGGGCTGGTACTCCATGGCATCGATCTCGGAGCCTGAGGGGCTGTAGAAGGAGGGCGAGCTGGGATACATTTCGAATCCCGAGATGTCCGAAAAGAAGGAGGAGTCGAAGGTGGCGGGTGTGGGCATGGATCGTGAGGAGGTCTGGTAGGGGTCGCTTCGGTAGGCATCATGCATGCGAGCCCTGTGCCGCAACTGCTTTTTTGCACTTCTGCCTCCCACAGCTCCAGCCCGCTGCCTTTGGAGGTAGTGACTTGTGCGGTGACCGCGTTTGTTGGGTTGCTTGCTGCGGTAGCGAGTTGTGGACTTGACGCCATTCGCGAGAGCATCCTGCGTGAGTTTCCACATGAACCCCTTCTTGGCCTCTTCGAAGGGCTGATCGACTTTCTCGAATGCCTAGTGATTTCGTTAATAGTAGTTTGGGCAGACGAGAGCTATGAATAAATGTGAGGGTCACATACACCATTCATTGAGAGGTTGTGCCGGATGCTGTTCTGCCAGCCTTTCGTGTCTTTGTCGAGAGCCTTGTCGGTGTTCTTCCGAAACCAGTCGTAGATGTCACGCAAGATCATAGTATGATTAGGGGCTTGCTTGAGTGCATCGAAGATGAGCTGCGCGTACGGACGGTCTTTGTCGAAGACACCGTCGTCATGAGGCAGTAGAGGTGATTCCTCATTGGGTGTGGACGATCGTGACGAGTTGTACGGTGTGCTGTATGCTGTCACATCCTCGGGAATGGGGCGAGGATAGTCTCCATACTCTGTGTCGAGCTGCATCAGGTTGTTGTTCGGGCTGTGTGAAAGGTCCATGTCTTCGTAAGGTTGCTGAGGCCCCATCTGATACAGAGGAGGCGGGAAACTCGTCATAAGCGAGCGAGGGCAGCTGGGAGGAAGCGCATACTGGTACGAGAGATTGTTGTTGCTGTTGAAGGCCGTCTGATCGTAGTTATTTGCGGCCATGGTTCCTGAGCCGTATTGCATAGGAAAGCCGTAACCAAAACTATCCCGGGCCATAGGGTTCATGAGATGGTGGTTGTGATTTTTCCATTGCCTGATGTCCTCGTTCAGTTTTTCAACTTTCAAGACGTTTTGATCCTTAAAAGTAGGGGCTGGGATGTCTTGCAATGAAGTTACCATCGTAGAGGCTGTTACGGATGGCCGAGGCGATGTCTGAAGAGACTTTGGTGTATAGAGTGGAACGGATGCACCAAGGTCGCTCTTAGAAGGTGAAGGAACACCACGCCCCCCAGAGGGACCTGCATAGGGAGGGGTATGGGGTGACCCAAGCTGTGGCATGGCTTTGCTGTCTTCCATTGATGGGCTCAGATAGCTAATTTGTCGAGCGTATCGATGTTCCTGGAAAGTGGGGACGGCAGGTACTGCCAATGACTCTCGTGAAACAACGTTGGCAGTAAGATCTGATCGGGCAAAGTGATCAATGGGTTTCCTGAATGGAATGAAGCGAGATCTAAGACATTTGAGTGGATTATACAGCGCCAGTCGACGCTCGATTGGACGAAGGGCGTCTCATTGTCCTCTTGATGCGAGAGCCCGATTGCTAACCTCGCATGCAACAACCATGCGAGAGCGGATTGGGGCATGCAGATGGCAAACAACCTTTGGAAACGTCGATGGGCTCCGCCCAGCGGTAGGGATGATCACGGGTCGGAGAATCAAGGCTCGTCACTGGCAACACTGCCTCCCGGTCCGGTCCTACCTGGCCTCATTGCACTGCCGAGCAATACGATGGGTATGACTGCTCGTCCTACGGCTGCAGCCAACAATTTCACGGTCCGATGTTGATGGCAGGTTAAGAGGCGGCAGCCTGCATAGTAGGTAACATGGGAGAAGTGGCGGTAACCGCATCCGGGCAAGGCCTTTGGCCGCGTTCTGCCGCGTTCCATGCCCAACTTTCTGGAAGACAAAAGGCTCGGGCAGAAACAATGGTACTGACGGAGAATGCTTGCCAGGTAAGCAACTGAATGGAGACAGGCAGCAAAGGACGCGAGACACAACCAGTGCTGTCTTGGAACAATTGTATGACTGGCCTGATCTACATTCAGATTCGCACGCGCGGTCCACGGAAGGTGGCATCGAACAAGTGGAATCGCGACGAGATGCAGGTGCGAAGGCCACAGCGAGAAGCCGTTCCGGGCGCCCCGCGAACTGGTAATGGCATCGTCGCGGTCCTATCGACCGATAAGTTCACGTTCGGTAGCCGCCCTGGGTGGCCATTCGTTTGTTTGTGCCTGATTGGCTGGTCAACAACTAATTTCACGATTATATTATATCAGCCAATTAGACACAGTCATTAGTGCAATCGGCCAGGAAATACGCGGCCTACAGCGTGAACGATTGCCTTGTAGCGAAGAGAACCAGGCGGGGACAATCCCACTGGCTATCAGTGAGACATGCTGCTCGGCTATACCACAACGAGAATAGTGGCGTATTAGTTGGTAGAAGTTGCCTGATAGCAAGCCACGAGCGGTATGCAGGCTGCCCGAAAGGCGTCGCGGGAGTCTCCGCTCGTCTGGCGGTGAATGCTGTGGCAAGGGACCACTGGTGGGGACTTCGAGCGACGCGCCGCTGGGACGGGAGATTTATTTTCGATAGTATATCTGCGGGAATTTAGTGCGTTATGATGATACACAGAGCTTTCACACGTACCTTTTTGAACTGAAAGTGAAGTTGCAAGATTCCCTAGTGGTGGCGTCAGCCTTTGTTCAGCCTTACCCACGCGATAGCAGGTGCACCCCTGCAGCACGGAATGACGCAACCAACATGTACACTTACCTTGTCAAAGCTGCTCTTGAACCCCCTTTCTCGCTTGGCGCTATAGTCCCACTCCTTGTCAACGATGCGAAAGGCGATGTCCTCGTATGGCGGTCCTGCAATGAATCGGATCAAGCAAGTATCGTCTTCGCCAGCCGGGGCGAAAGACTGTCCACGTTTGCGACCGTTCTCTCGCTCAATCTTGTAAGTAGGCGCGCGGGTTTTGTCGATCAGATCTGGGTAGAAGATATTGAACTTGTAGCCTTGAACAACTTTGGGAGGCGGATTGTCGTGGTCATAATGCGTTTGGTTGTACTTATTCCACTCATAGCCCATTTGCACACGGTTGAAGTATCGCGGCTTGCGAGGCTTGTACTGGCTTGCCCACTGTGGCTGGGTCACTGTGATCTCTTCCTCTCCTGCGAAGATTTCTTCGCCTTCCTCGACCCCTCGGGCGACCTCTCTTTCATAGAGCGCCATCGTGGCCTTGGAGTAGTCCTCCTTCTCTACAGGTGCAAACCGAGATACCGCAGAATGGTTTGCCTGGCCGGTTTTCGACGTTGGCACGCTGATGGAGACATCTTGAATCTGGTTTTGCATGGGAACATAGCCCATCTTGATGACCTTTTGTCGCTCCCTGAGTATGCTGTCTAGAAACTTTCGCTCCTCAACCTGTTCCAACGACTTCTCCTCGGCGTGTAATTTGAGCAACGGCTCCGGGTCCAGCGCAGGATCGTAAGCAACGGAAGTGGACACGCCCGTATCCGACTGGCGAGCTGCTTCGAGCATAGTCTGTACTCTGCTCTGCACAGAGAGTGCCGTCTCCTGTTGCTGTTTGCGTAAAATCTCCAGGCGCTCCTTCAGTATTTCCTGCGACACGCGACGTAGTTTGGCCTTGGCTTTCCATACCCGCAGGTTGCGTAGAAGTTGTTCCCAGTAGTCGTAGTCGATTGGCTCGTCCGAGTCCAGCTTTGTCTTCACTTGCACCTCCAGCGTCTCCAGTTGCTCGTATGTCTTCGGTGCCAGCAAGCGGTCGATGTCTGCGGAGACAGAGCTGGTTCCTCGAGCTTCGGCGCGGGACTTGCGTCGGCGGTCCTTGCATATCGTCTTTAGAGCCTATAAACGTCAGCAGGTGCTATCTCACTGCGCAGTGGCATGCTCACAGTCCAGTAATCTCGGTTGCTGCGGCTCGTCTCCAGCGTGAGATAGGTTTCGATCTCTTTCTCCAGCTCCGTCAGGTCTTCTTCTTTGAGGCCCTCCAAGACACCCTCTGGATCTACCACCTCCAGTTCGTGGTCCTGGACTTCCTCATCCAGCAGCGATTTGGTATTATCAACAAAGCGCAGTGTAACGGCGAGCCAGTCGATGGGCTTGGCCCGGCCACCCTTGACGCGCAAGGCTGCCCTCTTCTTCGCCTGCTGCAGGACGAAGCGGTCCTCGTCGGCAACCCATGCCTCTTCTTGCGCATTTGTAGACCGCTTGGATGGATGCTCTTGCGATCGCTGATGTGCAGAGCGCTTTGCGGGAATTGTCGAGGCAGGCGCAGGACGCTGGGGAGGGCCGTCGTCGCGACGCCATGGGGGATTGCGTGAGGACATTGTTGCTTCGATTTGCCTTGTGAATCCGCGCAGAATAAGAATGATCCTGCTCGCGGATAAGAAGCACACGCGAATTGTTTCCGCGCCTACCTGCAGCGCTTTCCTTGGCGTCGTGACGTCGGGGAGCGCTAGGCCCAGCCCATGCTAGTGCAGCGCGTCGGGTGTTGCTGCCTTCAGCATGTTTACTGCAGCCAAATAGCATCGTGACAACACTCGGGATGTTGTGACGCTCACAGCGCCTTCATCTCGAAGAAGTACCCGACGGTCCAAGATGTCATGCTGGCGTGTCCTGCAGCTGTCCGACGAGGATGCGGCTATACCACAGCTTCTTATCAAGACCCAATTTGATTCATCCTCGTACACCGTCTTTCTTACGGATCTCACCAACATCTGGAGCGAAGAACTGGACTTGCCCGGTATCGTGCGTCGAGCTTCTGAGGTAGAGTCACCCATCGAAGTAAGCGAGCGCGATACTTCCCAGCTTGCTATACTTTTTGAGAATGTGCAAAAGTCGCTCAGTCACGGCAAAGATAGCACTTCTGCCCTATCAAGAGATAAGCTGGACAATGTAACACTGCACACCATTATCAGCCTCCCAGAGCCTCTGGACTCGTTGATCTGGAAATTCCATTTCACCAAGGGAACTGCGGCCGCCTTGAAGAATGAGCTTATCCTTCCACTGCTGATATCTTCCCACGTGCAGCATGTACGCATCTCTCGTCTGTTGTCCATGATATCTGATAAAGATCAAGCCATCACCCGGCTTATTGATCAGTACGAATCCAGCAACCTAGATCTCGCTGTGGCCTTCCCAAAAATCGGTAACGCAAAGTCAGGCAAGAGGATAGTGAGGCGAGAGCAAGCAGCGCGACACATTCCCGGACTTCAAACCTTCGACCTAGATATATGGAAAAGAGACACAGCAGAAATGGTAGACACTGATGTCTCCACGCTGGGCTTGTTCCAGGAGGCGCTATCCGAGTGTACCCCTATAATACCACCAAAGCTGAAATCACACGACGATGGTGAGGTTGACTGGTGGAACGACCTGGAGACTTCTGCTAGTGTGTCCAAACGAGCTGCAACAACGCGGGCGAAATCTCAGCCGAAGCGAGCACCTATTCCTGCACGATCTGCGGTCGCGGACTCCGAGACAGAGGAGGAGGAGACCGAAGATGAATTTGAGACGCATGAGAACTTCAAGGTAGGTTTTTTTCTATTTCATGAATCTAGTCACTGACGTGCGCTAGACACGGGACTTGATTAAGAAGTCAGAGCTTCCTGCGACACTGGACAATGCACCCCAGGACAATGACAGAACAAATGATGTCGCCATGATCGTTGATGAAGAAGATGAAGATGATGAAGATGATGAAGATTTGGATGCACCTCCGAAGGTGTACAGCCAGAGTCAAAAATCTCCTTCGAGAAGAAAAATGTCATCACCAGAGGTTTCAGCGTCTAAGGTAGCTTTGCCAGTGCGATTAGATTCGCCACCAGCAAAGCCCAAGGCCAAAGGATTCAAGATTGGTGGAAAATCCAAGAAAATAGAGTCCCCTCCTGTGGTGTCAGAAGGAGACATATCGACATCTCAGCCACAGAACGAGGGCATTCCAACCCGATCAAGGGTCGACGAAGGGGGCATTGGCAACAAGTCTGTGAAAAGAGGATTCAAGATTGGAGGAAGCGCCAAACCAAAAAAACCAATAGCCATTGAAGAAGCTGCGTCCTCTGAAGGGTCGAGAGTGAGACGGGACACGTTGGCAATCGCGCAAAGCCCTTCAGTCGAACCTTCGGCCTCGGCTACAATAAAGGTTGAGACGCAAAATCTGCCTGTTGAGGAAGAGCGGGAAGAGACTGAGGAAGAGAAGGTCGAGAGGAAGAGGCGAGAGTTGAAGCGCAAGAACGAAGAGCTTGCGAAAAAGCAAGCTCAAAGTAAGAAGAAAAAGAGGTTCTAGGTCGTGGCAGCGAGCGCTATGTAGAAAGCCGCGTCTCGAGCGAGCTGGCCTTGCGTACAAGTTTCACTACATCGACCTCGCACGGACTCCGAGAGGCAAGCGTTTTCGCCCTTCGTGTGATCAGATTTATACCCATTAGCGTCAGGTTGACTCTCAAATATACATGTTCATAGCTTTTCTTCTTTCCACCCAGTCTCTATCGTCAGCTTTCCGTCGATCAAAGCACTATAATTGCGATTTGCACGGTCTCGTTGTATTTGAATACTCGGAAACAGGCCCAAAAACTGCCATCTATCGGAGAGAGCGAGAGCGCACGCCACACTATCACTCGGCCGCTGAATCTGGCAGTGACGTCTGCACCGACCGTAAACAAACGCACGATCGCACCTTCCGCGCAAACCAGAGTAGCTGCCGTCCGGCATGCTCGAACTTCCCCAGCCAGCACTCTGACGTCCACAACTTCCTTGCGATTGTTGGCAATCGCCACTTGGCCGCTATGTGTTTGTATCGTTATGTTTACTACTCGAACTGTCAACACTCCGAATTGATCCGCGTATCCTACTGCGACAGGGCAAAGGCACTTGGGCATCCGCAGCGGTAAGTCTGTCCTAGATTGCACACTGCCCCAAGTCATCTACTCATCTCAGCAGAGACGATCGCTATCGGCGCGAAGCCGGTGCAGACAGTCCGCCTGAACGGCCGCCCGACTATACCTCGCGACAGCCATCGTACCCCAGCTCTAGCCATCACAGTTCAGCTACGAATCATCAGAACATGTCGACGTTAGCACCATCCCAAGTCGGCGTTGATGTCGCTTGGGTAGACGTGGAGCCCGCTATGCCGCTGCCTCCAGCAAACCAGATCCCGCGATCTGCCATCGCCTATAGCAATGTCAACATCGATATCCCATTGGATAGTCAGTCCTCCATGTCAATGGAACTCACACGAAACGGTAAGGTGATGGAACTTGTCGCGCGTTTTGAAAATTTCCCCGGGCACGAAGACTCTGACGCAGAACAAGCTCGTCTCCGCGGTCGGTCTCGCGTGAATGGTGACGCTGTAGCAACGAAGCATCCACATGAGAAACAACACATTCTTCAACTCGACGAATCCGATATCGATACAGTTCGAGCTGCCTCGGGCCATTTTGAAGCAGCCATGGAGGCCGTCTCGCCACAGTCAAACAAATCAGTTACCAGCCCACGCAAGCCAATTCCTTCTCCATGGAAGACAACGCAGCCTCGTGCACCAGTCTTTCAGACTGATCGTCGCAAAGAGGAGCGCGAAAAGCGGAAGTCTCTCCAAGGGAGCGCATCGCCCCCAAAATCCGTACGAGGCACCGGCAACTCAGTGTATCTGACCAAGAATTCTATCGAAACGGTGAATAGCGATATCACCACGATTGGTGGACCATCATCACCTCCCAAACTTCATCGTCGTCAATCAAAAGCTGACCTACAAAGCCCCGTAAGCTCTTCAGCGAAGAGCAGCCCTCATCAAAAGGCTACAATTAAGATACAAGTTTCTTCCACTCGAAGCCCGCGGTCGACTGTGCAGAGCCATGGGTCGGCATCGAATGTGCAGGATCAGGGACGGGCACCTAGTGTCGCACCCAGTGCTGTGTCAAATCACGACACCGAGTACTATTCTGCACATTCGCCTGTGAGTATCGTCGCTAGTCGGACCCGGAGCAGAAGGAGTTCTCTCGACACCTGGCATACCGCGGAAGACCATGAACTGGAGCCCCCTCCTTTTAGTCTTGTTGGTGCTGATGAGATTGGGCAGGGTGCGAAAGTTTCAATGAATCAACATGCACCGGAAAGCACCCAAGACAAACCAACTTCTCAGTCAGTTTCGCACGCACGTAGCAAGACTGAATCGCATGTCGCTGTGCGGAACCCTATCAGGCCTGCGGTTCCAAATCTCACCTTGCGAATTCCAGCTCCTAAGCCGTCCTTTAAAGCCGGATCGGCGCCAAGTTCCCAATCCGGTGCGCCAGCATTTCCTACGAAATCCTCGTCGCGGATTCCGCGCATGGCTACTACGCATGATGCCAGCACGCAAGTGTCGAGGCTGAAGCGAGCCCAGTCTGCCAAAGACCTAAAAAAATTCACAAACTCTACCATTACGCGAGGCAGTCATAGCAGCGAAAAGGAGGGTGTTTTGAACCAGGTCGCAAGTGATGCCGTTCGAAGGGGGTAAGATGCGATGCACACTAACATAGTCCCTGAAGATACTTGCTATTACGGCACCCGACCTTCCACATCAGAGAACTAACTTCACCTAGGCCAAGAGACCCACGCGACATACCTTTAACGTTGACTCCCATTGCGGTACCTACGCTGCGCCACGTGAGGACTCTGGACAGCGCTGGCCAAACTCCAATCATACGCGAAGATGCGCCACTGCGAAAACGGAGACAGCCTCAAGTGAATCCAAGGCTTGCGTCATATCTCGATAGCATCGACCCCAGCGCCCACCCGGACCATACGCCTTTCACGGAAGATATGTCCGCTGACGAAAACGACGAATCGAGTGCCCCGTCTTCGAGGAAGACAAGTGCTTCAACTGTAAAATTCCTAAATATTATGGCCAGAGATCTCGAAATAGACGAGCAGGCAAAGGCCGCAGATGAGATATCACGACGTTTCGGCCTCCTGGAGCACTTCGACGAGATTGAAGCACAGGAAAAGCTTCCTACTAAACCAGGAGAAACGACAGATGCGGTACAAGATGGCGAGATCAACTTTTCCCAGCATGCGAATCTAGCCAAGTGGCGCCGGGAGAATGTTCCCATGAAAGGTAGGGCAAACTTTTTCCCATTACTGCAAAATCCTTTCAAGTACAATTTGCACGTTCCGTGCGAGCACTATCATAATTCCACCAGATCTTACCATTGCATTTTAGGTAGTCCAGCGACCACAATTGCCAACGTTGAGACACGGGAACCGGTCATTGACAATGCAGACGCCTCTGATGAGCCACAGAAAGAGGAACAGCACTCGAGAGGCCGGAGCGAGCAGCATAAGCCGCAAGTTCGACCCCAATCAGCTAGTGCACATTCGCTACGCTCGAAAGCCTCATCCGAGCTGCGAGCAACTGCACCTGAGTTCTTTCCTCAGCTACAAGGTGGTAGGTGACCACAGGCGTTGCTAAATGGCATGTCGCTCAAATTGTCCGCAGAACTACAAACTTCAGCTGAACCTGCAATGACCACACAGTGGTTGCAGCCCTTCTTCCATAACCTTCCCTTCGATCCGTTTGCTGTGGACAACTACGGAATGCCATGGTTCTTCTACATGTACCCGGTTCAGATGAAGCAATGGATCAAGTCACCGAAGAAGTACAAGACTATGCCGCGCGGACGCAAGCGAGGGGATGCTTCGTTGTCGCCCAAAAACGTTGACCATCCTGCTCTGTCGAACGAAGCTCATCCACGGGAACGACGAAAGGAAACGGAGCAAAATTCCAAGAAGGACACTGTATCACCGTTTGCTGCACAATTGGACGAGATCGCGCGCAATGCTGCAACGCATCAGAATAGCAAAGCGCCGAGCCCAATGCGTAGGGGCTACATGACCTTGCCTCCTCGCAGCGGTCGTCCTCTTCGTAATGTCGGCAACGGACTGTACGACACTTTCGGTCGCGGCCACTTCCGCCCTGTCTGTATGCCAATTGATGCTACTGCTCCTTTCCCTGATCCGGTTCCTCCGTCTGGCCGTAAGGAGTATGCCGGATATGCCGTACAGCACACCCGAGACGGCTGCGGTGTCACCGAGATTGATCGCGCCTCCGAATGGGCGGGCAAGGCCTGCAACACTTGCAAGCCGGACCATTGATTTCTCTCTGCGAAGTGAGTACGTTCACTGCTTTTCCGTCCCTCTTTCTTACCCATTATGTGTAACTGTATCTGGTGCACGGGAGAGGCTTTCCTCCTTTACCAACGTTGTTTGTGAGCGGCCGTTATGGGCAAGGAAGGCGGTGCCCACTTCTGAGCGCCTCTTGTATGATGGCATGGAGGACCTCTTTTTTGTATTATTCGTTTGAGCGCATGTTTATGAATCACGACTTGTTTGGGTAGCCTACCGATCGCTCCGAATTATGGTTAAAATGGAATGATGTCTACGGATACGATAATGGTGTTCGCCTTGCTTTCGTTGTGTGCATTCGAGTGACAGGGCCGAGGCATACTCTTAAGATCTTTTGGAGTTTTGTTGAAGCGCCGGAATTCAATGAGATAGGAATCCATTGGTGACCATACCAGCTTGTGGACGTTGGCAGTTGATATCGACGCATCCATTGCTGCGATTACGTACGTACAGAGGCGTGGAGGGGCAAAAGAATCCCCACACTTTTCCCACACTTGGTCCCCTCTGGTATAAGACAAGCGGTATTCAACAAGATTGAACAAAGAAGGGAAGTAAAGACAAGAGAGTTGAAAAAGAAAAAAAGAACACGCCCTAGTCTCACCCAAAAGAATACCCGCTCCCAACCCTGGAAGCCGTCCCAACACAAACGCTAACACCAACACCGCCCTCCCTGTCGCCGTCTGCGTCCGAAATCTCGGCGGACGTAGAAAGTGAACAAGACACCTGCCGCCTCCCCCGCAGCCTGCGCACGCTCCGCGCACGCTCAACGCCCGCCTTCTAAGCCGGGGTCACGCTCCTGCTCTCCCGGCCGCGACTCAGCAAGCCCCTCCCCTTTGTCAACTTGGGACTGTTTGGCCCGCTGTGGCCGCCGCTGCTCTGCGCGTCCGCAGGGACAAAACTGGTCCGCACGACGACGCTGCCCTGGCCGACGCTCACGCTCTTCTCGCCGCCGTTGCCCTGGTCGTCAACCGTGAACGCGGCTTCCCCGAGCTCCTCGTCGCGGCCGAACGTCGCGTGGTCCTTGACGACGAGCTTGAAGAAGGCGTCCGCGGCGCAGGTCACCTTGAAGGACTCGTCGGCGAAGGTGGCAGCGCCGGTGGGGGCTTTGATGTGGTCTGTCTTGTGGACGTCCTTGGGACCCTTGGGGGTGTCGAGGCGGACGAAGACGCGGAGGTTCGCGCCGGCGGGGAAGCCAGCGGCGGAGAGAATGGAAAAGTGCGCGGTGCCTTGGTCGGCCGAAGGCGCGGAGGCGCCGTGCGCCGAGGCGAAGGACTGCGCGCCCCAGGAGCGGTGGCGGGAGTGGTTCTTCTCTGCGGCGGCGTTGGCGTTGGAGGAGGTGCTGGGGCGGCCATCGCTCTCGATGGAGATGGCAGGAACGGGCTCGTCGGAGGCAGCGCTGCCGTTGAGGGTTGAGCTGTCCAAGTCTTCAGGAGCCGCGCCGCGAGACTTCCTGCGCTTGAAACCGCGGCCGAGGAAAGTGCCTGCGCGGACGACGCCACCGCCGACAAGGACGGCGCCCTTGCCGACGCCTTTGACGGGCGCTCCGATGACCTTTCCGGGGACAGCGAAGGTGCCCGAGAACGTGCTTGAGCCTTGTCGCGAGCGCATGACATAGTCTGGTTTGAACAGCATCTTTAAGCGGACGGCGCCTGACTTGCCATCGAGACCAAGTGTTACTTCCTGTTGTTGGAATGGCTCTAGAATCTCTAGGTTGATGGCGGCTTTGCCCAGGAAGTCGGCCTTGTCGCCAAAGTCCCAGTCAAAGACCCGCACCTCGAAATCGGCCGCCGTTCGGCTGCGCACGGATACCTCAAAGTACTCGTTCCATGAGGGGTGTAGTGTTTTCTTCTGCGTCTTCGTCTTGTAGACTTCCTTGTCGTTGAGAACAAACTTGCAGTACGGGTCTGAGAAGCCGTTGCGATCGGCGGCTGGGAGGTCTGCCGCGTCCAGGACTTCGACGCGGAGGGTGCCCTGGTTGTTGAATGATTCGCTGGGGTCCAGCTGCATTTTCACAGGCAGATACTTCAAGCTGACCGTGATCTTATTTTCTCGCCCATGGTTGTCTTTCAGGATGAGCTGAGTGGGAGTGTACTATCTCGCGTTAGCGTCACTAATCGGGTGGGACACAGCAGTACTTACCAAGCATCGTCGAAGCGTGTCCAGTGTGTTTCCGGTAAGCTTAGCAATGACATGGTCTTCGTCATTCTCGCCCTTCTTATCAATGTGCTCGATGATTCGAAGAGTGATCTTGGAGAAATCAAGTTCCCGGACCATCGTATCGCCAACTGCTGCTGTTAGAAGCGAATATGAGTGGGGTGGCAATGAACTCACCCTCGTTGAATGTCATATGCTTGCTCTTGATCTTAGCGCTGGAGTAGCTTGGGAAGGCCATGTCATCCATGAGGATATCGACATAAGCTCCAGTCTCTGCAAAGTCGCCCTCGATGATTTTGAACACAATGAGACCAGATTCTGCTCCACGCATTAGCGAATGCCATCAAATGAGATAAGAATAGAGGGCATAATGCGGTGGGATGGTGGAACCAACTCAGCTCATTATATGCCTCTAGAAACATAGGAGATCCTCTAAGCTCACCATACTGCTGCAGATCGTCAGCAGTGAGATGCAGTTTCTCAATCTCTTTCTTTTGAGGAACTGCATCGGCTTCCTGCTCGGCCTGCGCCATGCTTTTCTCGAGCTGCTTCGCGACATCGGGCTCGCTGCCGGCGGTGTGAGAGGATCGGAGCGACGAGATGGTTCCTGCAGTCTCCGATCGGGCTATACCAGACACGCTCGAGATGTTCTTCTTGTGTCCCTTAGGAGCGGAGTCGATGGAATTCCGTATAGATCCCTTCCGAGACAAGTCATCTTCGCTGTCGGAATCCTCCTCATCAGGGTCGTGAACTGCATACGTGGGGTAGAAGGAACAGGTGTAGTTGAGGGTACCCTTGGATTGTGAACGGGCTCCCAGATGCAGATGGCCTTGCTGCGTCTCCTTTTGTTCGTGGACAAGCCATTGGCCATCATCATCCTTGCGGACGTAGTCGCCTGCAGTCAGTTCGATGTGGCCCAAGGACCGGTCCTTGCCCAGGTGCTCCTCATCCATGACCTCCACCGTCAGCTTCTCGCGCTCCGTGTGGATAGGCACGTAGATGACCTCATCCCAGTCCGGGTTCAGGTTGTTCTTGAACGTCACCGTCCGGCCCTTTTCAACGCCAGAGAGCAAGACGCGGACGTATGGGTCTGATTTGCCCATCGTCTCGACGTTGCGTAGATCCCGAGCATTCTTGAAGTGCAAACGCATAACACCAATGGGCGTGAGGTAGCCACCGCCGGCCGCCGCGCCCCTTAATGCGACGGGCTTCCATTCGAGCTTCATCTTGGCGCGTCCAGTCTTGGCGCCGTGGAGATGGTACCATTCCTGGCCCTTTGCCATCAGCTCCAACATGTCGTCGATAGTGATCTGGTAGGAGCCAATGATAGGGTCCGTCGCCAGATCGCGGTCGTCCTTGATGAGCAATCCGAGCTTGGCCTTCTTGCGGTCAGTGATGAGTAGCTCTTTGCTTGCATCCGGAAAGACAGGTTGATTCGTTCGTTTCATGACTGTCGACCTGTGCACCTCTCGCCCGTTAAGCAGAAGCATTGCATATGGGCTCAACTGTCCGATCATACTCTTCTCGTGATCTAGCTCTTTCGCTTGTTCGATGGTAAACTTGGCAATACCGGTGCGCGATTCCGGTGGCGGCTGCTTAGTGCCGTCATCCAGAGTTTCGCCTTCCAGCACAGGGAAGAAGCGAATGTCCGCCTGGATGATACCGCGTGATCGACCGCCAGCCGTGACCTCGAGGTGCAGGTTCTCATGCTCATCCTCAGTCTCCAATTGCTCCAACGCAAAAGTAGCTACTCCAAGCTCTTTGTCTTTTCGGAAATCATTGAAATCATAGACATTGATCGTCAGCGCATCCTTCAGCGAAGTGACGATGATGTTCACGGTCTGATTCCAGCGCGGGTTGGCATTCTCTTTCACCGTCGCAGTGCGAGCCAGCTCTGTCCTGTTGTTGATGGACACGGTGGCATACGGATCTGGAGTGCCCGAGAACTTGTCGGGATTCTTGAGACCTTGAGCGCCATGGAAAGTGATTTGAAGAACACCGATTGCTTGGTCGATCGGATTGCCTGCAAGCATTTTCGCGATTTCGATTGGGAAGATGTTCGGAGCGTACATCATCGGCGCAAGAGTAGCATGGATCATCTCCATAATGAAAGTCTCCAGACCGGGGATGAAGTTGATATCGAAACCGAAGGTCTCACCACCTAGCGGCTTGCATACGTAGTCGATGGTTGGGCGTTCTAAGAATGACATCTCCACGCGCTCGATGTGCGGAAACGGTATCTGAAGCTTGAACTTGAGACGCATCAGGCCCGAGAAGGCCATGTCTTCGACAATGACATCGAGGCCTTTACTGATCATTCCCTTGCCCAGACGGACTTCGAGCACGACCTTGGGATTGATCTTTTGCTTCAGTTGTCGAGACGTGAGATCGGCCGTGTCATTGGGGTTGAAGCTGAATTTCCAGTCCATGAGCACGATGTCATCCTGTGCCTTTGGATACGTCTTCACGTGCTCCAGGCGGGGAGGCTTGGTTCCTAACACAAACTCTTTCATCCGCAGGCCCTCAAGAAAAGCGGGTGTGGAAGTAGACAGAACCTGGTCTACGGTGCCCACGATGGTCTTGCACAAAACCGGGGCGTAGATGGGCCAAAACTTGACAAGGAAGCTGTTGATCCACTCGAGGCTCTCCGTGTCCGTCTCCAGCTTGTTCTTGGCCATTTCGCGGTTCAGATCATCCCGGGCGTTGCGGCGGACGCGACGGATCGAGGTGCGGTAGTAGGTGCCGCAGATGGCCATGATGCAGAAGACCCATCCCAGGCCACCTCCAAGCACTGCCACCACCCAGGAGCTCAGGCACGCGAAGATGATGACACCGGTGTTGTGATACCAGTCGCCGAAGAACTTGTCCTCAAGCTTGCCCTCGAGGAAAGTCTGGTGGTCCAGGAGCGAGCCCTCGTCGTCCTGGTTCTCGGAGCCTGGCAGGCCAAAGCGTGGGGCCCAGCCGACGCGGCCCCACTCATCGTCTTGGTCGAGCTTTGGCAGCACACCGTTCGGTGCGTCTGAGGTTGGCGAAATTGGTGAAGTTGGCACGTCGATGGCACCCGCTTTGGAGGCTGGAGGGAGGGCGTATTTGGGACCGGTCCCGTTCTGCAGCTGCGGTCAGTGCTCATCTCTCGCAGCGGGGTGGCTGGGACTCACAGCATCCGAGGCGAGGGCTACTGCATTGGGGTTCCGCTCGTGGTGGAAGTTCTTGGGAACTTGCTGTTCGCGCGCGTCAGCTTCGGCGCCGTGTCTCAGCGGGGTGGCAGTTCCAGGCATACCGCTCTCGCTTGCGCCGCCTTCTCCTCCGGGCTGGCGTCCGGGTCGAACTTGAAGGCCGCGCTGCCGCCTGCGCGGGCCTCTTTCATGATGGCATGCTCGGCCTGGTCGGCCGTCACGCTGGAATTGGGGTCTTGGGCGGCCTCGATGGCGCCCTGCTGCTTGAGTTCGGCTGCGCGCTGCATGGTCGCCATGGTCGGAGTCGCGGGCGGAGGGCCGGCCCTCTGTTATGTAGCTGTCGGGACCGCAGCGCCGGAGGCTTCAATTGGACGGGCTCGCGGTCGAGCTGGGCGACAATGGGCACCAGGGCGTGCGAGGGCGAACAAAGGGGAGGAAGAGCGCGGTGTTGGGTGAGCCTGCGTGCTGTTAGCAGCTGCTAGCTGGCCGCCGCCCGCGTCGAGCTTGCTGCGTAGGCTATCTTGGTAGCGCGACCCTGTCTCTCCGCCCAGCTAGAGGCCTTGCTCGCTCCCGCTGTGGCTCAATTGACGACTCTGGTCTGGCACCACTCACCAAAGCTGACCCCGCCGTCTAGCGCGCTGCAGCTCGCACGAGGAAGACAAATACACGCACTGCACGCGGCACAATGGAAAGGCTGTGAGCGTCGTGGGCGACGGGCGCGGTGCGGGCTAATATAAAGCGACGTGGACGGCCAGGAGCTCCAAAGCAAGCCAGCAGTGACGTCTGCTGCCCTGTTCGCTCACGATCCGGGTGCCTGAGCGCCGGGCACCATCCCTGCCAGAGAAATGTCGCGCGCCCAGCACCGCAAGCAGGGCGCTGAGCTGCACGCAGCGAAGCAGGGCAAGCAGGCTCCCTGCCCCCAGGAATGTCCCTCTGCCAGACCGCATGCTCGCCCGCTGCTGCGCTCTGCCGACGGCCTCCACCACAGCGCGTCCTGCTGCCGGGCGCCTGTTCGCGATAGCGATGCCCTGGCGTAGATCCGACAGGCATGCGCTCTGACCAATGGCGCGCGTCCGCACTTGCCGCCACAGCCAAACGAGAAGCTCCACAGTTCCACGCACTGTGGCTGCCGCTTCCCCAGCATTGCCTCTCCTCAAACGCTCTTCGCACGCTGCGTCCTCTGCTGCCGCAACTTCCGTTCCGCATTGCCGTGCCGGCGAGCCCGTCGCCGTGTCCCGATCATGTTTATTACGCGGCCTTGGCTTACCTGCGTCGGTCGTCTGCAGGTGGAGATCCTCATTCGACCCGCGCACCGCCACACATAGCTCGAGCGCTTGTGGAGACGTGTGTAATCTGGTTTGGTCGCGAGCTCGGCCGTATTCGCCAGCCGAGGGACTCACCGAACCAGTGGGATGGCCTTTCGCGTTGAATTTGATACAGCCCGCATCAGGGCCATGTCGCCAGTGTGTCGCCGCAGGGACGACTGTGTGCTTTGAGCTCGAGGGCGTCACACAGCCACAGATCTAAGACACTGACAGATCCATACGAGGGTCCGAGATCTAGCCTCGGCCAAGCGCTTCTTGGCCGTTGTTTACCACCATTGACGCCACGCCAGCTCGTCCGTGCTTTGTGGCTCGCATTGGCAGCTAGACTCCCTCATGGAGAATTTCCATCGTCATGGAGAATTTCCATCGTCATGGAGAATTTCCATGACTGCGAGTATGGCGCACACTGTGTAGGCTGATAGGCGATACTTCTGTCCACGTATGGTAGATCGAGTTTCTATAGGCTACCTAATCCGAACGATAGTCGCCGGTCGGTCAACACCTCATAAACTGCTTTGCACTAACCCTGCGAAGCCACTTGTTGCGCTGGGAATGAATGCGTGATGATTCTGGGATCGTGAAGCGAGAACCATGCGTTGTGCCCTTGATAGGCCTTCATCCTATTCAGAGTACAGGCTTTCTTCATAGCCTGACGAGTCGGATGAAGCCGAATCGTCCCTGGTGACATACGGAGCCCAATTTCCCTCGCCATCTGCTTCCTCCTCTGATATTGAATGTATAAACTCGAAGAGGATGCCTCGGTCAGTCAACAGCTTCCCGAGTTTCTCCCATTCGTACACGGGCGGGGTCAATAGGCTGTGGTATATCACCTTCACTTGTCGGAGCGAAGGTAGATAATCGCCGAAGTTCCAAGCCATATAGTCGAGGCATTTCTGGTAGTATGCTATTCCATCGTGAATCACGTTCATCGTCAACACCTGTACTGAACGCGGCAGGTTCGCGACTATACTTTCGACGGTGATATTGATGTCGTGGGTTTGCTGTGCGAGTACAGCTAGGGGAGCTTCGACGTGAGACAGCTTCACAAAGCCGGACAGGAAGCCCAGAGGGCCCATGTAATGTATGTCCTGAGAATGTATACCGTCGCGCCAGGAAAGTGTGTCCAGCGATGAAGTGTGGCTCTTGAGCGACTTGACCATGCTGACAATTCCCAAAGGTCAGCGATTGTTACAATTGGTGCGGACCGTTTCATATCCGGGACATGACCAATGTACCGCGGCATGTTACCCAACGCCATACTAGGCCCTTTGTGGGAACCCGGACTAATGCTAGAATAAGAGATGAAAAGGACGGTCCACCTACCTGAACCAACTGTTCGACGCATCAGCCTCGTCGTACGGTTCGTAACCTTCTTGCCCACCAATTCCCCAGTAGTCGTCGCTGTTCCGGCCACTCACTTCAAAATGATCCGTGGAGCTCCAGTATCTGAACACCTTGAGCTTTTTGATGCCGGCGATGACCACATTAAGAACATTGTCATCAACATAACTCATCTCCAACTGCAATTCATCAATTAGTGAGCTCCGCTTTGGGAACAGACGCCGCAGCTCATCGTGCGCACTTTCTGCCGTGGACGGCCGCTCAAAAAGGCCGACCAGTGTGACTTTGCGCATGGAACGCATTTTGAATAGTGGAGCCAAATGTCGGAGTTTGAGGTACTGAACGTCTACACGGATAGATTTCAGGTGTTGGAATCGATGCACACGGCCAAAGTCCACACCGTTCGCAATTTTACGAAAGTGATGGAGCCACCGCGGGATTCTCCCTGGCGGCTCGATGGCTGCTCCATCATCGATCTCTAGTCTCGTGACATTGGGTGTGTATAACAGTATGGTGGCGTAGATTAGTTCCTGATCCACTTCGCGGTCGTTGCATTCAGAGGCCCATTTTTTCCAATCGAAATTGGGAATTTCCAAGCTTCTCAGGCTGTCCTTGATCAATTGCTTATCGGAGATAGAAGGTACGTATCGAGGCCGGTCTGAATGAACGTTTGGTCCATACTTGAACGAAATGGACTTCACGTGGGAAGCAATGTTTTTGTTGCACATAGTCGTGCGAAGGAACGGATAGGGAGTGCAAAAGAAACTGTCGTACGTCGAGTATAGTCTGTCCACGACTATGCGATGAAATCGTCGATTCGTGAGGGACAGGCTCGCCAGTGTGAGGAGTTGGAAATGGTGCATATCAATCCCAGGCAAGTAGTCAAGAATCTCCACGATAAGCTCGTCCGGTAAATCGTTCAGCGAAGTTGAGTATGCGCGCCTTGTCAGTGGGAGTGGATCTGCCTTCCGCGGAGGCTGCTTCTTCGGCTTTCGCTGCACCTGCGATGGCAGCGGTGGAAATTCTTGGGTGTTAAGCATGTCTCACGCCTCGGGTTTTCAGGCGGTACCTCCAAGTGGTCGAGAAAGAGCGTTGTGAGAGTTGACGTCTGGCGAATGGCGATAGGAAAGTGTGCCTCGCTAGCTGGCGCTAAACTCAGCTAATTACCGTACCAGTACTGCCCCGCGGCTCCCCTTCTCTCATCAAACCTTCACGGTAGCCGACAATAATAAAAAGTTGGGATACACGAGGCGGACCCTACTGTGAACAGCCACACTAATTTATCATACGACAAGTTTACAACCCTATAACGAACTATATGATACAGGATAAGGTGCGCGCCTATGTTCCCATTCCTAGTGCCAACCACTATGGTTTGAGACTACGTGTAGGAAAACACGCAAAATAGTATTTATAGCAGCTAGCAGCTTGGGCATCGCAAGAACTGTGTCTTGCTCCTCTTATAGGCATCAGCCAGATCTCGAGACATCGTAGCCCCCTGTCCCGCATCATGAGTGGACATACCGCCGCAGTTTTCAGGGTCCGTTAGTAAGTGGCCACAAAGTCCTTCCAGTTATTTTTATACCAAAATTATGAGGCAATATCCAACTAACGCGTCGGCCTGGTCATGGCCATTTTGTAGGCAGCTCGACCTCTGGAGCTTATACGCACTGTCAAGCCCCTACCTGGCAATTATCTAGCCCTATGAAGCACAACTTGACGAGACTTTCTCATCCGTGCAAGATGTTAATTCGACAATTAGACATTCGTTTACATGACTGTGAATGCCGCCGCACGTGAATTGCCACAATCAAATCTTAGCCCAAATAGGGATGGCGCGAGTCCCACCTTCACAGCCCGCCATCGGAACACGGCTACACTAACATCCACCCACCGCCACACTTCCTGTTGCATCCACCCTCCCATACAAGCTTCCGCGAAATCTCTGGGCATTCTTACACGAAAGTTCGAATCCTCAGCTTCAGTACGAGGTGCCCTAAACGGCCATGGCCCAGCGAAAGAAGTCACTCCTGATCGGAATCAACTACGTTGGCTCTAAACATGAGCTGAAGGGATGTATGTAAATCACTTACGTGAAAGTTTGGTTTCGCTCGATACAACACTATGTATCAATGTCTTCAGAGGCTATGAACTTCACCGCTCGTATACGATGGTTGTTGCCTGGTGTTTCAAGAGCCCTTCGTTAACGCAGATGCAGGTCACTCAGACGTGGACAACATTGCCGAGTTCCTGAGCTACAGAGGCTACAGTAACAGTCACCGCGATAGAGTCATCTTATCAGATAACCCAGTGGTGGCTCCTGACAGCCCGTATTACCCTACGGGCCACAATATCCTCGCAGCGATGGACTGGCTGGTTTCTGAACCCGGATGCACTCTTTTCATGCACTACTCTGGACATGGAGGGCAGGTGGAAGACGTCGACAGCAATCGTAGTACAGGACTGGATGACTCTCTGGTCCCCGTTGACTTCGAGTACAATGGCCAGCTTAGCAGTACTCTGCTGCACCAGCATCTTGTTACTCGCATGGCGCCTGGGTGCACCTTGTTCGTCCTCATGGTATGCCACACTCAAACGTAAAACATCTTGACGGCACTAATGCGGTCAATATCTAGGATTGCTGCCACTCAGGCTCCGCGATCGAACTTCCATTTGTGTACCGCACTGATGCAGATGGCCAAATCTCGCTGATGGACAATCTGAGAAAGGGTGCGCAGCTCGTCGGTGAGGCTCAGGATATTCTATCTGGGGGCTTCAATTTCAACAAGATGGGCGAAGCCAGGGAATTGTTCGCCGGCGCAACGAGCTTCTTCCATGGCTTGAAGCACATGGGTGAACAGGAGGAGGAAGGCTTACAAGAAGGTCTGTACTATCCACCGACCTGACCTGATTTCAAATGGGAATACTAATTCAATTTGCGAGCAGGCGAATTTGTTGGCCAGTATGGGTCAGAAAATAAGATGGTGACCATGTTCAGTGGGTGTCGCGACGACCAGACAAGTGCAGACGCAAACATAGCTGGCCGTAGTACTGGTGCGATGGTATGATTGCTCACACTTATCCATTTGCATGCGTTGTTCACACATCCACAGACGTGGGCATTCCTGCAGATCATGAAAGCCGGCGAAACTCCGACGTACGCTCGAGTAAGTACAGTCATGTTTGGGCTAGGGTTAGGTATAATAAACTGACACCACGGTTAGACGCTACAAATGACCAGGCAGCTGCTCGATCAGAGCAACTACACTCAGGTCCCACAACTCAGCTCTGGGCTCGATATCGATTTGGACAACTTGCCATTGGCGATCTGATGTCAGAGTCGGCTCTGTCTACGAAATGAACCAGCCTACTGTCATATTATACTAACTATACTATTACTCAGGCCGAGTTAATGGACCATGACGAGCAGCTTGACTCCTCATTCCCCGAGCTTCTTCTGACCCCTTATGAGTGCATACTGCTCAAGCCCTTCATGCTTACCCTGCCAATCGTGACGGTGCTCGGCAAAACTCTCGCACTCGGGCTTCGGAATCCTTGGGAACATGCCCATCTTCAGCATATACATGTGTGGGAAGATGTCGGGCTGACTCATGATAGGCCTTGATACCTTCCGTCAGTTTTGCTACTCTTGAACTTCGTTTCAAGCAGAATGTAATCCGAGGGCAAAAGGACATGATCACTCACGACCCACAGTTCCCACAGAAACACCTTTTCACCTTCTTGCCACTTCCAGTCTCCCAGTCGTCGTACACTTTCAGCGTCCCATTCTTATCCTCATACGTGACCTTCTCTTTCTCGATCGCCATGTTCGACGACACAAATGATCCCGCTACTTTCCGACAGTTTACGCAGTGACTTCATCTCATTAGCAATGTGTCCGCGACTCCGATCCAAAGACATGCCACAAGTGACCGCGGGGTTTATCCCCGAAGAGCTCGTTGTCATGAATGGTCACACTAATGCTGCCACAAAGACATGTACCCGTCATCGACTCGCTGAATTTCGAGACATCGTGTTGTTTAGGATCACCCGTAAAGTCCGATTTGTAGGTAATGTTCGACATGGTGAGATCGATCGACTGATGCAATACGAGTTTGGTTTTCACTTAGATCAAAATGCGTCGCCGTCTGTCTTATGAGTTATGGGGCGAGAAGATGCTACAAGAGCGAGGAACGAAAGCTGCTGCTGCACCATCATTAAGCCTAACCTCAGCCCTGCATTCTCCAATGCATGTCCGCTCGCGATCCGCCCATTCCGCTCTCCACACCCCGATCCGATGTGTGACCCCTCACGATCCGCGTGCTGACGATTACACTCAACATGAGCGGCCGGACCATCAAACGGTCAAAAACACACCCAGCTGTCTACGCAAAGTCCAAAAAACAAAAGAATAGAATAAATTGTCGCTTCTGTGGATCGAACACAGTACCTCCAGATATTCGAGTTGAACCGAAGTTTGCCGCCGAAGCGGATTGCTTCAGTCTGGCGCTCTCCCAAGTGAGCTAAAGCGACTGAATTGATGACTAATTTTTCAGCAATTGCAGATATAATGGGGTGCATAATCAAGCCACAAAACGAGTTGCATTTGTCATAAAATTGGGATTCGACTTGTGCGGGGCAAGCGCGACTTCGGCTTCTAGCTTGGCGGGGAGACTTCGGAGGCTAGCTCAAAAGATACTACTGAGGCTGGAAGAATATTAAACGTGAAGATGTCCTCTCAAAAAAAAATCCAACATAAACGACTGACCCGATGCCAGCTTACTGTGTCCAAGGGTTCTAGGTCCCATGTCCTAATGGTGCGAATGTGGCTGATTGATGAACGAGGTTGTAGCTTCCGAGATCCTCCACAACCTCCACTTGTTAGAAACATGAGGTACTACTATCATCGAGCGCACCATTAGCGAACATTGTCATGCTAGTAGAAAAATTACTCATAAAGCCTATGAGTGCTTTCTCAAGCGAGCACGGCGAACAAACGATGGTCTTAATAGCTTCATGGCCGCAGCGGGCAGGTTTCCGTCCAATACCGATTGGGCATTGTCCTCACGATCCCTTCATCCAGACGCAACCTCAAGCTTTCCCCTGCAAACAACACCTCCGCGCGTTCCAAAATGCGGGCAGATCGACAGCATGGTCCGCCCACGGTCCGAGATCAGCACTTCCATATATGCGGAGTTAACCAAACACTAGCATTCACCCCTACCGGCTTTGTTCTCCCATCTCTACACTCCCGCTCTATCGCAGACCACAACAATGGACACTTTCGACCTCATCGTCGTCGGCTCTGGGTTCGCCGGCTGTATGACCGCCCTCAACTTCCTCGAGACGTCCAAGAAGTTAGGTAAAACAGGCCGTGTGGCGCTGATCGAAGTTGGCAAGCCCGACGAGCGCTGCGGCGCCTCCCGCTGGACAATGGCGTACCTCCGCTTGGACAAGGACCTCGGCTTCGACTCGGACTGGAAGCACGAGATGGCGCTGGTCTCGAACGGTCTCGCGGACCAATCCTACTGCGCGACGCTCGAGCGTGAGGCCCAGAGCACGGCCAAGTACGTGGAGGAGCATGGTGTGAAATTCAACCACCACGACGAGGAAAATGTGCTGCTAGAGTTCAAGACACAGCAACACTTTGTGTTCCCCGAAGGTGGGGGCAAAGCGATTATCGACTGTCTGATGGGGCATATCCAGCAGTACAAGAACGCGGAAGTATTCTGGGAGACAGAGGCAAGGCATTTGCTGGTGGATAAGCGGGGCGCGGTGAGGGGGCTGCAGGTACGAAAGAAAGATGGGCTATTGTACGAGTTGCATGCGCCGGATGTGATGCTGGCGTGCGGCGGGTTCGAGGGGAACAGGGAGATGCTGGCGAAGTATGTGGGGAAGAGGACGCACGAGTTGCCGCTGATTGCGCCGGGGCTGAAGTACAACCGCGGGGCTGGGCTCAATATGGCGCTGGAGGTTGGAGCTGGGACAGCAGGGTCGTTCGATGGCATGCACTGCGAGTTGGTGGATACGCGTGCGACGAAGCCGGATGCTGTGATTTGGGGTAAGCAGACCACCAGGCATAAAGTGGATACTTCGTTCTCCCCTTTAAAAAGAAAAATCTCTCTTGAGACTTAGGCTATCCTATCATGGCTCATACTAACCTGTTATCCGCATCTTAGGACACAATTACGGCATCGTTGTCAACGAGCAGTGCAAGCGGTTCTACGATGAAGGGAAGAGGCACCTCTTCGCGACCTTCGAGATGATTGCGCTGGAACTCTGGCGCGACCAGAACCAGAAGGGCTACTTCATTACCGACGAGCCCATCATGAAGCGTTTTCGACCAGGCTGGGTGTACGACACCACTGACCAAGAGCCGGAGAAGGCGAACACGATCCGCGAGCTTGCGAGAAAGCTGAAAATTGATCCTGATGCGTTGGAGAAGACGGTAAACGAGTTCAATGATGCGTGCAACGACAAGCAGTTCGATCTGATGAAGTTGGACGGCAAAGCAACGACTGGACTGAGTCCGAACAAGACCAACTGGGCCAACCCGATTAACAATTCCCCATACTACGGGTATCCAGTTACATCGCATCTGACATTCACTTATGGCGGCGTTAAGACGAACAATGAGGCGCAGGTACTCAGCACGAATGATGTTCCTATTCCTGGACTCTGGGCTGCTGGAGAGCTGACAGGCATATTCTATAACGGTATGTGGGTTTGTTTGATAAGTCAAATTGCTCCTGACAATTTCAGAATACCCTCCGGGCACATCTGTTCTTCGGTCGCTGACTTTTGGGCGACTGGCTGGCACCAAGATTGCGGAACAGCTGGGCTCGAAGTCGCTGTTGCAGAGTGTGACTAACACAGTGAGATCGACGTTGTAAGGAAGATGATCCAGGTGGCCAGATCGAAATTGTGCAAATACGGGTGGAAAATGAAGCGCAAGTGTTGGCGCAATTTGCCTTGCTATTGGTGATTGATGTTGGTGAATGAATTGCGCTTGACGCATTAAGATCGAGTTTGCCCAATGCGGCATAAGGGAACTCAATGCCTATTACATCTACCTTCCCAAAGGCAATGTCGCATGCCATTTACTCAATTGCGTGTTATGCAGTACGGTGTTGTTCTGGCGCTTGGAGGCGGCACTGTAACGCACAAATGAGAGGACATTACAAACAAGACGTTGCAGAGACTGGACAACAATTCCCTAAAAACTCGCAACCGCATGCATTGATAAGACCAACATGAATGCCCGATGGATTGCATGGCGTCGTCTTATCGTCTACTTTGGACTCTTATCTACGGCTTTGCTCTTAGAGGTTTGCTAAAAGTTTCGATCCACCTGCGCTCAAGTTCCAGGCATTTCGGCAGAAAAGAAAAGACTGGCCTTAGACGTTGAGGTCTAGTACCCTTCAGATTCCCTCCTCATACCACCTCTGCGCTTCCGCCATTTAGAAGTCAATCGTTGCTTGGTCCTCGCGCTTCAGTGCGAACCGGATAACTCCCCTCTACTCTTCCCATTTCTTTTCGATAGGCGGCACGAACCTAATATTCAGCATTTTCCACTGTCTCGTATCAGTCCTGAGCGGCCACTGGGTAGCTCTCGAACTCACATGTAGCAGGCTATCCTGGTTTGTGTTGCGCAACATGACACCGATCCAATTTTGCGTCCGCGATTCTCTTTTCCACGGTTGACTTACTCCCGAGCTCCGGGAGCGCTATGCGCAAAGTGGTCTCTAAATTGAAGGATAGGAAGTGTGGACAATATCAGGCATCTCCTTCAACAAGACATAAGGCACTGGGGTCATATTTCCCGAGCGTTGTTGCGCGAGATATCCCAAGAATTCACATTGTACAGTCATTTCCCGGATCCGCCCAAATGCCCATTTGAAACAGGTATCGAGCAAGGTCGCAAAATTCTGTATCGCGAAGGGTGTGTCAATGGTGGCGTTGCTCACGAACGTCGAGCTGTCAAGATCCAGACGCATGCCTCGTGTCTCCTGGTATGGTAGGGCGACGTTGTGGAGTCGGCATTTTGTGTTCTTCTTGCGGGGAACGTCGTGACGGAAGATGGATGCGCGGGAAGGGGGTCCATGTGTAGAATTCCAGATCGTAGGACGAAGCTCGGGCGGCAAGGCAAGAAGAATAGTCTTACCGTTTTCGGGCGGTACTTTAGGGTCGGGAACGATGGGTTTTGGGCCGAGGAGTGAGTGAGGCGTTGGAAAGACCCTGGCGGGTGACGGTGGTTGGAGGTCGGCTTGTTTGGGTGAGACAGCGTCGGTGGTGCGCTTGCTGGAGATTTATATGCCAGACGTTTAAGTCGCGAAGTACATAACCCGCCGATACCGACTAAAGCGGGAATGTGAGATCGAACTGTACTCCACTTTCAACTCGATCTAGTGCATGTGCGGTAGCAGCTTTGAACACTATCTTTATCCCATTCTCGCTCCAGCTCTCCGCTTCAACCTCCCAACAGTAAACCGTCGTCTGGCAACGTTTTGCGAGAAACGATCGGAGTTCTTCCTTCTCAGAGATCTCGCCATCATGAAAGTATCCGGTCGCGGTGATATGGATTGCACGCGTACGAAACGCTCGAAATCTCGGAACGGATCAGGAATTTCGCTTCCCCACCTTATCCTAGTACATTCGCACTGATTCTCCTCTGCTGAACCCCGGCAAGCAAAGGCGCACCGTGGCTTTCGGATATCTCCTCAGCAAGTCCTCAAAGTCGAGCCCCGTACGTTCGTTTACAAGGTCTTCTGAAGGCAAAAATGGCCCTTGGGAATTTTTGCGTTTCCCTGCATTGATATCCTCTAAAGTCCTTCTATGCTTTTCACATCTGAGTATTACTACTCTTATCGCTGACCACATATTGGCCTCGCGCGAATTGCGGAGAAAACCCTGGAATTGCTGTTATGCGAGACAAGTGCCATGTCGTAAGCTGCTCGAAAAAGTGATCGAAAAGAAGCTGAAGGGATGTCTTTCGACTCTGAGAGGATGTGGTATCTGACTTGAGACGGGTCTTCGTACGCTACGCGTGGATCGGTGTATGTTGGCCGCTGTGTGATTTCAACCAGCGAAATGCTGCAAAGGCCTTATTTCACTTGTCTACAACTCTTGTCGAGATGGCGGTGGGTGAGGGCACGCGGTGCAGGAGTAAGAGCCAGGTCCAGATCTCAAGACGCAGTTCGGCGGGTGACTCGAAGAGCATGCACTTGCTGTCTGCAAGTGAAACAACTGGGTCTGCAGGAAGTGCCATGGTCATCTCTGCTCTACGATAAGAAGTACTAAAGTGTCAGTGTCTGTATAGTTACCATAGGTAGTGTTAATATTCGAGAAACGACTGAGACGCTTTAGTATGAAATTTTTGACGAACAATACCGTAATATACGAGAGATGTCTGCGCTGCGATGGACTGAAACCAGCAGCTGTTCGTTTACCCATAGTAAAGCAAACAGCCAGCGACTCCGAGGTGTTTGGGGTGAACACTCTAAACCATTTACATCCTAGCGCGCCAAGGCCGCACTAACTCCGCGACTTGTGAAATGGCCCACACTGAAGCTCTCGAGCCGCGACTGACGACGACTTCACGCACGCCACACCCCTCGAAACACCCCCCGACGTCCCATTCACAACCGTCACCATGGAGAACGAACGCGGCGAGCTCGTCGACCGTAAGCTAGCCCCCGCGTAGCCCGCCCGCGCGGCCTCCCATGCCGCTGAATTTCGACCCCGCCAACCGTCGCCTCGCCTACAATATTGCAGTCGTAGAATGCTAACACGCATGTGCAGTCTACGTCCCCCGCAAGTGCAGCGCCACCGGCCGCATCATCAAGGCCAAGGACCACGGCTCCGTCCAGATCAGCATCGGCAAGGTCGACGAGAACGGCCGCTACACCGGCGAGAACCAGACATACGCTCTCTGCGGCTTCGTCCGCGCCATGGGCGAGAGCGACGACTCCATCAACAGGCTCACCCAGAAGGACGGCTTCCTCAAGAGCGTCTGGACCGCGCAGCGATAAATCACTGTGGGACACGTGCGTCTTGCCAGTCACCGTCGGTTTCGGGGACTGACAGGCTGCAGGAGTACCGGATCTGGCATGAGCGGAAAAGGACACGGATTGCGTTTCATGGCTTTTTAAGGCTTTCATCATGAGGGCTGCTACGGAGTCACGATTGACGGACATTGGTTTCTGCCATTAGGCAATCAATAAACAAAATTCGGTTCTACATCCATGCTTGGCTGACGACCGCTGCTTGTGCTACAGAATCGGGCCAAACGTTACAGTATGTTGCGCGGAATCGGCAACTCGTCCGCATTCGAGCAATTGGGCGGAACGACGTTGCGAAAGCGCGCGCTAACACACAGCTGCTATCTCACCATATGAACCTGACCGATGCTCCTTCCGATACCCTGATCAGATGCCCAGGCTCCTCGAATCGCTATACATGCCCTCTTCACACCTGCTGCATACGCGGCTACCGAACCGCTCTGCTGGGACGCTCTTGGGCCCCGAGGAGCAAACCCTCGACGTTCCTTCGCTGGCAGGACCTGCATCTCAATCTACAGCTCACACAATCGGGCTCGTCACACCGTTTACTGCGCGCCAGAGTATCGGTTTGGCGTCTGTACGCTCAGCATGGCTGCTTCTGTAGTCGATACGTGCGTCCCCATATGCTTGGGCTCCGAAAATGACGTCGTGCGCGCTCTTCTGCGAGAAGTTGAACGGTGAAGCGCTCCATTGAAAACACTGGGAAGTGTCCAGCGCACCACCCCCCATGCTGACCGTTGATTTAATCCCCGCACACCACTCCACCCCTGCTCCTCCTCCCCCTCCTATTCCAGCCTATCATCTCACATCCCTGTTGCAACTCCAAACAGCGCCTGCGCAAAGTGGATTCTTACGTCGTTTGCTTTTTCTCTTGAAACGCAGTCCCCTACTCTCCCGCCCTCCGCGGCCTCATCCGTACGACCACCACTCCGCCCCACGTTGTTCCCCCAATGGCTCCCAAACGCAGCAACGCCCACACCCTCCCACGCTCATCCCGCGTCGTATCACTCCTGACGAAAAGCACTCGCCTCGGGTTACCTGCTGCGTCCTAGCATGCCCGTTCTCGCGCGCTTGTCCTACAAAGATATGCTTCTCGCCGAACACAAACGCCCATGTGAGCATGACTCGTCGAAGCACATGTCATGTGTATGTATCTGGCCCAACAGTGCAGCGGGAGAGCTTCCCCGGACCGATGAGCGTGCGACCGAAGCATTAACGCGAGCGTCAGGAGGCAAGAGAGTACACGTCACAGTCAGTTTGAGCATTGCAGTCAGTCAAGCCTGACCGATCACGCTCCGACCCTTTCAATCCGAGCTCTAGATATGCGAAGCAGGAGTCGCGCTTTGTCACCGATGACTATCGCAAGCTAAACATAGCCACGACAAAGCGGAGATGGGCGAGCACTGGGCTTGCGACTGACCGATGAGCCGCCCTCCTGATGGCCCACTACAGCCTGGTGCATCGCATGGGCAGGCTGGGGCGTGTGGGCGCGGGCGTCCAACAGCGTCGCGGTGGAAGAAAGGAAAGACGGTACGCTGCCCGAGCGGATGCCGTGATTCGGACCGCACTGCACAGCACGCACACCGACGAGGGACAGCAGCCGAGCCCGATCCAGCACGGAGACCTGGGGAGCTTGGCCTTTGCCCCGTCTCCGAGAGGGAATGACTAAGACGGGACGGATGCGCTCGCGTGCGGTGTGGTCAGGTTGTCATGGTCAAGAGAGTCGGGCCGCACTCTTGGGAGCGTTTCGGCCAAGTTCAAGAGACTATTCTCGCACGATTCTGCAGTCTGGAAACACGACCGGGGCACGATTGGCCGGCTCGAGGAACATCGTCTAGAAGCTGCATAATACACATGGTCAGTTACGGTTGGCGGCGCAGGTACGTAACACGCGATGAGGTTTCGGTGGCACCAGCTACCGGGGTAGGCATTTAGGCGACAAATAATCCGAGCATTTCGCAGGCGGAGTTTGTTGCGTCGACTATAAGTGGACAGACACAGGGATGATCCTTCGTATAGCATACCATTGTACATACAGATGTGTACATTAGCCTTTTGCCGAGCGTTGCTATGATTCGTATCTACTGTGCAGGAGCCGTCACGATGAATATCAGGATTTTTGCTATTGGCATCCCGCAGCGTGGGAGCATTGCAGCATACTGCAGAGGGATTCGGTGTTTTGGGTCCGAAGAGGAAGTCGGCTGGATAAGATCGACAAGAACGTTGGTCAGAATCGGGATACCGGAAGCGGGTATCAGAGTGCCTGGGTCTCCGATTGTCCCGTCAGGCGGTGGGCCCGTGCACTCAGCCCTACGAGGATTAATCCGGACTTAGAGCATGCGTAGAGTTGCGCTGTGTTGGCTTTTGGCACTGTATGCCGTACTAACTGTTTTTTATGGAAAGCACGCCTCCTCCTGGTTAATGTACGTATGCATCATGATACAAGCGGTATGCCTGAAAAGCGTTTGAGTATCGTGATATTCGCCACCGCCATTTCGCTCCGGTGAAACTCACGAAGCCTGTGTTCCTTCCGCTCGCCCCACATCCAATCTCATATCCGGGTTCCATGATAACAGCCGAGCCGTCAACCACGTGGCAGAGACCCATCTTACACCAATCAATTCGAGCTTTCTGCTGCAGTTGCTGATGCCAGTGCTTGTCGAAAGAACTCGTCAATTGTACCTTGGCACTAAAGTGTGCGCGAGGCGGTGTGACTATGCACATACGGACGTCGGACACTTTCGCGTTCATACGTTGGACGATTGGAGTAGATACAGGGAGAGTCTCCCGCGTCGCCACAGCTGAGGCCATGGGCTTTGGCGCACGGCGTGTAGAAGCCATCTGGACGTGTGAAACGCTACTTCTGACCGCGGCATAATCCCCGTCGCGTTGAACATTGCTAGTGCTGGTCATCATGCGGTTCCACGACACGCACTCTGCGACCGTCTTCCTTTGCGCGGGAGACTTGGGTACTTGAACCGGTATTCTGTACCGTATCAGAAGCATTCTCATCGAAGGCTCCGCGGACAGCGGAAACAGCTTTGCTTTCCCCAACTTTCCAATCATCGCCTTTTTTGACAACTCTTGACCGTTCTTTCTCCGCTTTCAAGCGTAAGATATGTTGCACCTTTTCTTCGCGTCTGTTACCTTGAACGCAATCACACAGACAGCCTTCAGTCGCACATGCCCCGTCGGATATCGTTGCATCTGAGAACCAAGTGGAGAGGCAATGAGTATGTCCACCGTGGCCACAGATCGGACACCATGTCCACAACATCGCGTTCGGCGGAGACACAGACTCAGGCACACTGGGTGACAGATCGCCCTCACCCTCATGAATATCAGCTGCCATGCCTGAGAGCAGAGACGAGCGTTTGCATCCGTGATCTTTGTCCTTCAGGCCCATGCGGAGCTTCGCTTTTGCTTTCTTCTTTGTGGTAACAGCCTCAAAAGCTGGGTATCGCCCCCAGCATATAGGGCAAGGTGCTTGGGCTCGTTTGCAAGTCTCGCAGCGCATCTTGTCTTTTGGATTATTGATCGGAGACTTGCAGCTGAGACATAACAGTCCAACCTGGGTACCTTTGAGTGCTTGTTCGTACACAGCGGGATACGTTGGATATGCAAGTCGACGTATAGTAGCAGCCGCATTGTACAACGATAGGCTATGGAGTTGTGCATGATAGGTTTGGAGAATAGCTTCGGCTTGGTAAGGGTTTATGCCGGCTGTGATGATCGTCTTCAACTCAGTAGAGAGAATTGTTTCCGACTGGGTTGGAGACAGACCTAGCGCAGTAAAGGTTTCCGTGTAGGCGGCCAGCGTGGACTGTAAATCAAGGCTTGCATCCTTAAATTGGCCGCGCGTCTGCGGTAGCAAGGGTGTTATGAGCAGCAGAAGAAGTGAGGAGGTTTGTGCGTCCGCTTGAGAGTCGGTGAAGAATGTAAGTAAATTTTTAATCAGACCAATTATAGCAAAAGGCTGCTCCTCGTCTGCGTCAAGGTGCATAGCCTGAAAATCCTCCACGAGCAAGGGATCTTCGGCTGCAGGATCGAGTGCCGCTGGAGTGTTCTCAGTTGCATGTGGGAGCCGAACAGGGGGCCTTAGGCCCAGTGGAGACCTAGTAGTGTCATGCGCTTCTGGAACAATTGTTCCACTGGCTTCCATGTCCAGGCTGTATCCCATCAGTGAAGAAACAGACATACCACTGCCATTACTTGTGAATGCGTCTGATTCAGAACTATCATGTCGAAGCAACTGATTGTTCCGATGCAAGTTCTCGAAGTCATGAACTGCTTGTTCCTGGCTTTCGTGTTCTCGCGTATGTCTTGTATCATCGCGGGTCGATCCTAGTTCATTATGGTCATGCGACAATGTCATTATACCATCGTTCTCGGGGATAGTGGTCGGGGATATCTGGATGCTTCGACGCAGCTGTTCAGGCTGATCTGCGGGGGCATATAATGAAGGCACTGCCTTCCCAAAGCTTGAATCGTGAGACTGGCTTTGCAGCTCGCAAGATCCCACATCGATGTTCCGTGGGTGAGAAGTGGCACTATTCAGAGAGTCAGGCATGGAGCTTCCGCGTTGTGAGTCGGATGAAGCAGAGAACATGGCAAAACTCTCGTCGGAATCATGGCGATCTAAACGGGGTGGTGCTTGTATGTTTAGTCCTCGAGTTTCAGGTGGCTCGAAACTCAGAGGTACTCTGGGTGGCGCTCGCCAACTACCAACCATAGCCCTCCTTTCGTCAAGATCGTTTGATGAACGGTACCACTGCGGCCCGTTGAAGCTAGGGCGATTAGCAATGTGGTCAGATTCCCGATTTGCGCTGTCTGGAGCCAAAAGACCGTTGCTGAAATGCGGCGCAGCGATGGCTGGAGGCAGCTCGATCTTCTCATCGTGATCCGGGTCAGGGAGCGGAGATCTCTGGTTCGCATTGGATGTTGTAGGTATACTTGTAAGCGGCCGTGCGAGTGGAGTGGCGAGATTCGAAGTGCTTTCGATAGTGGCAGTGTTTCGGTCTGTGCTGTGAGTGTGAGGAGAGGTCTGTTCTAGATTCAAGAAAGCACGGGTGGCGATATCCGGACGACTTTTCTGTTTATCATGTGCCCTCAGATTATCCGAAGGAGGTTCTGGTTGGACGTCCGACGACGCTAGTGTTGTAGGCTTAGTTTTCACTCGACGTTGATTCCGGTGCAGTTGCGCTCGCCGTCGCAGGCTACTAGCAATAGTCAAGCCAACGAACCTCCACGTGGTAGCAAGTCTATAAAAAGCGGCTCTTTGAGCATATTCGGCATTCTGTTCGAACACGTGTTGTACATCCTCAAACGATTTGACTGAGGGAGGATCAGTTAACGAAATTGCCTTGTACTTCTGCGCAAGGTATGCGAATATCTGGGTATTCGTCGCGCCAGGCAATGTGCCTCGCAATGCGACCTGGTTCGGTCTCGAAGACTCATGTGGTACGACCATGGAGTCGGTGAGGAACATGACCTTGGGTGCAGCGTCAGAGGGCGGGGTGCTACCAAACGATTTAGCAGACCTATTGCTCGCACTGCGACCATGATGTCTTCTGGACACCAAGAGGTTCTCATCAAAGCTGTTCTCCGCCGAACTACGCAGACTGGACTTCTCCGGGCTGTTGCGCTTCTCTCGAGATCCGGCGGGAACATAAGTGTCTTCTGAATAGGCTGGACCTATCGAGCGACAGCGAAGTGGCCTTCTCTGAGCAATACCGCCGATCTCCCCGCTTGGTGATACGGCAATTGCCTGCAGATTCCGTCGGTCCAGAACCTTGGTTGCGTGATGGATATCGTTCTGCTGGAAGATGCCTTCTCGCCCTACAGTCCAAAGCGTGTCACGAGAGTGCCAGAGCATGTCAGACGGAGCGCTAGCGAACTTGTTGATTTCACGGAAAGGCAAGTGTGGACGTCGAAAATCCCACAGGTGGATGGCGGGGTGGTCACGGTCATAAGCGGTCGCCAGCTGAGTGCATTGATATGCACCCTCCTCAGACCAGTTGGGCGGTCGCCAGCGCGCGTTGTGGACTGGATATGGAGTGTTAAGCGTGAGTACCGGCTTCTGTCGCCTGACACCAACAGAGAAGTCCCACACCTTGACAGTCCGGTCGAGACCCGCACTGAGCAAGTGCTTTCCGTCAGGGTGCCAGTCGATTGAGGTGCAGGTTTTTGTGTCATGAGCTGTTATCTTCTGCTTGGCAACTCTGTTGTTGCTGTAGTCCCAGCGCATGATGGTCCCGTTGTCTGTGCCAAAGGCAAACTCGACGGCGTCAGTGGGCGACCATTGAATGTCGTAGATGGCGCCGCTGATGCCGGCATATTGGTCTCTGCTGCGGCAGGTCATGATGTCTTTCCTCGTGTCACGCAGGTCCCATAGGCGAACGGTCGTGTCATGGCTTGCAGACAACAGCAAGTAGCCTTGGTGTGGGTTAAAGGCTAGCTTGTGAACCTGACGGGTGTGCTCGTGCAGACGAGCCAGCTCGACGCCTGCGCGGTTGAGGTCGTAGAGGATGACCTTGCCATTGGCGGCGGCGGTTGCTATATGCGTGTTAAACTGGCCATGCGACCACTTGACGTCCTGTATGCCGAGGCCATTGCGCTGGCGAGCATGGGAGTGGTCGGAGAAGTTGATGACGGCCGCACGCAGGTTGGTCTCCTCGACGATCCTGGCATCTTGCTGCTGGACACGGACGGTCTTGAGGATCTCCTTGCCCGCCAGGATGGCATGCGTGCGGTCCCGGTTGATGTCGAGGGCCTCGATGGGCAGGCCGGTCTTGTGGCTGGCATCTTGCGAGGAGCCGGTGCGGAGGCTGGGCGACTCAGCACGCTTCACTCAGGCAACGGGGAGACGGGGAGACGGGGAGACGGGGAGAGACGAGGTGCTTGGAGGCGGACGCATCCATGCCCAAGGGGGTAGCGTCATCGGTACGGTGCAGTGCAGTACAGCTGCAGCCCACTTGGACTTACCCTGGGAGCTTTGGTACAAGCGGGTTGGGACGGCCGCCGTCGGGGCGATGCGTCTGCGCGCTTGGCGGACGACTGCCGTAGGCGCTCGCGCTCGTCTGGACCTGGTTGACGAGGCGTGAGAAGTACGAGGCCTTGGACGGCGGCAGCGGGGGCGGCGGCGGGATGGGCGCAGCGGACGACACCCGGCGAGGCTCCATGCTGGAGAGCCCTAGAGTCAGCTATGGACTCTACGCGCGTCGCGGAGGCATGGCGCGGCGGGCGCGGTCGGGCGAGTTGCGGTGAGAGGGCGCTGAAACGGACGCGGGCAACGTCCTGCAACGCGCTGCGGCTTCAGGTTCCCGCGTTCCAGCGACGGCGCGGCGGGACGGGCGAGGTCGTGTGAATTACATGCACCGCGTGCAGGGTGCGTCAGGATGCAGCAGGCTGCAGCCGTGGGCAGGGGAGCGCGTGGTCTGGCCCAGCGCGCCCCGCTAACAGCTGGTGGCGCTCGCCGTCCGAGGCCTAGCTCTGCTGTGCGGCCTACCCTGTCTGCTGCGTCAATCGACGGGCGCTTTTTCAACACCATGCCGCGGCGCTGCCTCTCTCTCTAACCACTCCCTCTTCGAGTCCTCGGCCATCACTCTCCTCTCCCGGGCAGTCCGCGCATCCGGACGCTCTTCGCACTCGGCCCGCCCACCATGGCCGTCCTCGACGACGAGCAGCCCTGGGGCCACGCCCGCGCCCTTCGCTCCGTTCTTGTTATCCTGCAGTACTCGTATCCCGTATTTCTGCTCGTCTTCTTTCTCGTCGCCTTTACCGCCCGCAGCATTGCCACCTCTAATTCTAATGCTAATGTCGCCAAACCCACCACCACCGGCCCCGGGGGCAAGCCGCTACCCGCCACCGATCCCACCCGCAACTTCGTGAAGAAGACGGCCCACGACGACGTTACCCACTCGCAGAAGCTGCTCTTCACCTGGCTGTCTCTGTTTGCTGCCGCCACCTTCGTGGGCAATGCCGCCGTGAGCGTAACGCACGCCCTTGCCGACCAGACCGACACCTGGTGGGCCGGCAACGACGTTGTGGTACGTGCCATTCTCTGCACCTTACGATGCTCTAGAGCTTCTGCTAATTGCTCCTGCTCAGGTCTATCTGATCGGCTCCTTCTTCGTCTACTGCCTGTTCCTCATCTCGCTCATCGATTCGAAGCCCTCCCCAACTTCGGCCCACCTCGCGACATGGATCGTGGCCGCTGTGCTGGAGGTTGTACTCGTCGGAGTGTCTCTGGCCATCTACACCCACGCGCATCACCAGCCTCTGCTGGACCCCGAGAAGGACTACATCAGCTGGGGCGTGACCCGATGGGAAGCGGGCGAGGTGGCTTGCGATGTTTTGCGCATCGTCATACTCCTTGCTTTAATTGGCTTCTACGTGGTTTTCGTGTCACTCGCGCAGCGGAAATCTTCTCGTGAGTCCGGCGGTGCGAGTGAGACAACTTCACTGCTCGGCGGTGCTGAGCGGGAAGGTAGCGCGGGAAATGGTCACGCGAACGGCTCCTATGGCTCGGTCCACCCCGTTGGTGGCAAACACCAACATACCGAAGGAGCTCCGCCCGCTTGGAGCAGGCCGACAGGCGCACCTGCGCGAAGCTGGTGGGAGTACCTCAAGGGTTACAAGGTCTTCTTCCCGTACTTGTGGCCATCAAAAGACCGCCGCTTGCAGATCATGGTGGTCATCTGCTTCGTCATCGTCCTGCTTCAGCGCGTCGTCAACGTGCTGGTTCCTGATCAGATTGGCCGCATAACGGACAGGCTTGAGGACGGGTCCAGAGGCAATCCATGGCAAGCCATTATGCTCTTCATTGCTTTTCGCTTCATCCAAGGCAACAACGGTCTGCTTGGTGCGATCCGGTCTACGCTCTGGATTCCGGTTGGGCAGTATTCGTACCGCGAACTGTCTGTAGCGGCCTTCGAACACGTGCACAGTCTGAGTCTGGATTTTCACCTCGGCAAGAAGACTGGCGAGGTCCTGTCCGCGCTTGGCAAAGGTAGTTCCATCAACACCTTTCTGGAGCAGGTGACCTTTCAGGTCGTCCCCATGCTCGTCGATCTTGCGGTCGCTGTTGGCTATTTCCTTTACAAGTTCGACGCTACCTACGCGCTAGTTCTCTGCGTAGTCACGTTCTGGTACATCTATCTGACCATCCGCATGGCACAATGGCGGGCGGAAATACGCCGAGAAATGGTCAATGCGGACCGTGAAGAAGATGCTGTCAAGTGAGTTCGAGATTCTGTCCTTTGCTCTACATTACTAAACTCGACCAGGAACGACTCTATGGTATCGTATGAAACGGTCAAGTATTTTAACGCCGAGGCGTACGAGTTCAACCGGTATCGGAACGCGGTGCGCAAGTTTCAAGATGCTGAGTATACGGTTCTCTTTTCGCTCAACCTCATGAACGTCTCCCAGAATATGGTCTTCATGCTAGGGCTCCTTGTTGTTTGCTTCATTGCAGCTCATCAGGTTGTCAAAGGCGAGCAAAGGACCGGTGACTTTGTCGCGCTCGTAACATATATGGGCCAGCTGCAAAGCCCGCTCAATTTCTTCGGCACATTCTACCGGATGATTCAATCGGCATTGATCAATTCGGAGCGTATGCTCGAGCTTTTCAAAGAACAGCCGACCGTTGTGGACAAGCCCGATGCCCAGACTCTCCCAGGGTGCGAAGGTGACCTTCGTTTCAACGACGTCCACTTTTCGTACGATGAGCGCAAGCCTGCCCTTACTGGTTTAGATTTCCATTGCCCACCCGGTACAACGACTGCATTTGTGGGAGAGTCTGGCGGTGGAAAATCGACCGTCTTTCGTCTGATGTATCGCTTCTATAATACGCAATCTGGCAGCATCCAGATTGACGGCCGCGATGTTGAAGACCTTACCATTGACTCCGTTCGAAGCCATATTGGCGTTGTGCCCCAGGACACGGTTCTATTCAACGAATCTCTCATGTATAACCTCAAGTATGCAAATCAAGACGCTACAGATGAAGAGGTGTACACTGCTTGCCGAGCCGCAAGTATCCATGACAAGATCATGACCTTCCCGGACAGGTACGAAACCAAGGTTGGCGAGCGTGGTCTGCGCCTCTCGGGAGGTGAAAAACAGCGTGTAGCCATTGCCCGCACTATCCTGAAGAACCCCCGCATCATCATGCTTGATGAAGCAACCGCTGCCCTTGACACCGAGACCGAACAACATATCCAGGAAGCCTTCACCACCCTAGCCCAGGGCCGTACCATGCTTATTATTGCCCACCGACTCAGTACCATTACACATGCAGATCAGATTCTTGTTCTTCACAGAGGCAAAGTAGCTGAGCGTGGTACCCATGAGGATCTTCTTGAGAAGAACGGGCATTATGCAGCCATGTGGAAGAAGCAGATTCGTGCCCAGAGAGCCGCCGAACAGGCCAAAATGCTGAAGGACAAAGCAGATAGACTGCGACGAGAGTCCAAGGACGGTAACATTGGTCTTGGCGATGACAGCAGTAGCCATTCGGCTTCCTCCTCCGATGACGAGCGGATGAAGAAGTCGAAGGCAGCTCAACGGGCAAAAGAGGAGCTCGATAGCCAAACCCCCGCTAAACGACCCGGGCATCCATGATCCGCTTGGACATCATGCATATGGCCTTCGAAGATGAGGACGCTGCAGAAAAAGATGGTGGAAGCCTTCCTGAATACCTTCAGGTCTCTCCTATCCAACATCGATCGTGGGACTACCAGATGCAGTCCACAGTATCCAACCATGGTAAGGTCTCTCCTTCCTGTTCACACAAAATCCCTTGTTCAAACACTTTTCTTGTATGTTTGTGTACGTTTTTGAGTATCGTCTTTCATTACGTCTTTTCCTTGTCTACCGCCGTTTTCTGGTTACGGCCGGGTGGCAACTTGTGCATGGCGTCAAATGGTGTGGTCTTTTTGAGTGTACATTTTGGCATGCTCTGCTTTGCTTTTCTGTCGCTTCTCAAGGTGTTTACGAAGAGCATGGTAATATCACGGATTGATGCGGCCATGGGCGGTTTAATGATTTGGGCTGGTAGCTCAGTGTTTGTCTGTTTGGCGGATAAGTCACTTTAGGCTGGTGCAGCTCGTAGAAGGGGAACCGGGGGGGGCAGCATCTGTATTATGTAGGCGCAGGCCATGGGGGTTCAAAAGTGCATGGTATGTCTCACGATCGGCCTGCTTTCGCAGCGTGCGGGAGGACAGCATGCCCAGTCGCGAGCAGCGCGACCAAAATAGTTGTCCAACAGGGCAATCTCTTAGTTTGCTCAAAATAGATTGATCTCGTCTCAGTTGGATTTTTTGGTAACGAAGCAACGTGCAGATGCCAGAAGGACGAACCCGCATCGTCCCTCGCTGGGCGTTGGGACGCACTGACTGCAGTAGTGAGGCACAGCGGCCCCATCACCACCCAGCGCACGCCCACGCCCACGCCCACGCGAACCGAGCGCCCGGTGCGCGTCCCTGCTCCGATCCCCCGGAAGCGACGGCTACGAGCTGATATGCTTTATTCTCCGAGTCAACGGCGCTGCACGGCGGCGGACAGTGTGTATACGAAGCGTGTGTCGCAGCGCTCCGTGCACAACGCCGCCGTAGCGCGCGCTTGCCGCGGCCCTCCACTACACTGAACCATCCATGCAGGCGTACCCTCGCCTGCGCCTCGGCGATGAGCCGGTGCGATCAGCGGAGCAGGAGATCGGGAGGGCATCGCCCCGGACGCCCGTCTTCATCACATCATTCGTACGAAACATCGACTCGACTTCTTGTCCAGACCGGCTTGCCATCTAGCGTAGGCTAGCACACTTACAGTACAGGACGTACGCTTTCTTTGCACTGCAGCGTCGAGGTGCCAGTGCAAAGGGCGGGCTGAGAAAGAGAGGTCGAACGCGCCACGGCGAGTCTGTCACTCGTGCGCCGGAAGCTAGTGGGCTGTCAGACGAGAGTTGCGCCCTGCGAGTACATATCGCGTATTGTGCTTGCTTTCTCAGCCTCTCTGATACAGGCAGTGCTGCAGCGGTTGGTTCCCCGTTCAAGGTGAAGGCGCGGCTGCGGACTCCCGATGGTTGCGCTCGCGTGAGAACCCTGCACGTGAGCGAGCATTAGACATTCGGACAAAGAAATCGCGCGAACGCGACGGGCTGAGCTGAGCAGCGCAGGAGATAGACGGAAACAAATAGAGAGACAGGAGAGTTGGTTTTCGATTCTAGAAAAGAGCAAGGAGAGGAGTAGATACGAGGAGGTTGCGACGCGGGTACAGTCTCGCGATTGCGCTGTGGGCGCAAAGGGTGAAGCTGAGCCAAACAGTATGGAAAAAATGAGACCCGAGGATGCGAACATCGTCGTCGTAGGTCATCCGTTTCTCCTTCACAGTTTCCGTTCACTTGTGTCAGACGATGCATGCAAGCAAAGCCATCCATGCACAATCCTCTTCTCAAGTTTCTCGCACCTATCTACAACACCTGACCTGACACCACCAAGGACTCCACCTACTCCCGCTACCACGAATCCGACGACGATGACTCCCAGTCCTACATCTCGGGCCAGTCCCTCGCCTCCTCCGTGACCCGCTACCGCTACGAAAATGGCCGCCGCTACCACGCCTATCGCGACGGCTCCTACTACGCCCCCAACGACGACACCTACTCCCACTACGAGACCATAGTGCACCACCTCTGGCTCCTCACCCTCGACGACAAACTCTATCTCGCGCCCATCGCCTCCCCCACGCACATCCTTGATGTAGGGACCGGCACGGGCCTCTGGGCCGTCGACATGGCGGATGCGCATCCCAACGCTCAGATTCTGGCCACGGACCTGTCCCCCACGCAAAGCACGACGGCGCCGCCCAACATCCGCTTCGAAATCGACGACGCGGCCAGCGAGTGGACCTATCCCCCCGAGTCGTTCGACTACATCCACGTCCGGGGGCTGACGGGGTGCATCCGCGACTGGCCCTTCCTCTACTCGCAGGCGTACGCGCACCTCCAGCCCGGCGGGTACTTTGAGCACGCCGAGTTCAGCGTGACCACGAACGCGGACCCGGACGGCACGAGCGTCGCGGACAAGATGTACAGCACCTTCAGCTCTACGATCCTGTCTATCGGCGAGGAGAAGACGGGCCAGCGCTTCGACACCATCAGCCACATTGGCACCTGGATGCGCGCCGCGGGCTTCGTCGACGTCGTGGAGCAGCACTTCGTGTGGCCGATCGGGCCCTGGCCCAAAGACCCCAAGCTCAAAGAACTGGGCAGGTGGGGAGAAAGGAACTGGGCCGACGGCCTCGAGGGCTGGATCATGGCGCTGTACACGCGGATCCTGGGGTGGAAGTACGAGCAGGTCGTCGAGTTCGTGCGCGCGTTCCGCAAGGTGATAAAGGATCGGAAGAACCACTATTACCAGGATGTGCGGGTGGTGTATGGGCGGAAGCCGAGGGTGGGCGAGGTCGTGGAGACGCCGGCGGACAAGGGTGAAGATGCCGCATGATGGAAATTCGAGGCTCTGTGAATTCGGGCAGAGAGGTAGGAGGCGAATAAAATGCGGAATCGAAGTGGAGGTGGGATAATGTTTGAGTACCGCGTGTATTGATGTTGCGGCTGCTTGTGGCTTGCATTTTTGGGTGCTGGTGGTCTTTTGGCCTAGGCTTGGGCTTTCGATGAGGCCTGCATTGTTGGCGGTTTTCTGCTTCAAAATGAACGGTAGATATTCGCCACTAGAATGAGACCTTCCATACATTTTGCAAGAAAGAGCTCGTTCAGTTAAGCACTGTTTGGATGGATGGTGTCGCTATCATGATGCTTCGTATTCTTTCATTAATCTGCTATAGATAGCTCTCAAAATGCTACAATAGAGCTACACCAAGGTATGCCTTCCGCTTGTACCATGCCTGGCCATGATTAACAAAGACGTTCACCATGCCAGGTCCTAATGGACCAGCTTCCTGGGTATCGAACAGATCAATCGAGCCATTCTTGCCCAAGTTCAAGGCCCGCAAGAGCCGTAAAAGTTGATACCTATGAACGGCGGTACTGGGGGCGGGGGTTCCTCATGGTCCCAAGAACATTCGAGCTCTTCGTCGCTGTCGCGGTCCTCGCACGGGCATGCAGACTGCTAGTCCTCCATTTCCACGTCGCCTTCGTTCGGCGACCGCTGTCCATTGGACTTTCCGTTCGATTTCGGTACTGACGCCTCCTTGTCGATCATTTGTCTCGACACAGAGACGATGTTGTCTTCGATAAGGCGCTGGCCTACGTCTTCGAGGTCTGGGCTATGTTAGCTTGGTATGCTGGATCCACAGTGGCAGACATACGCTTCTTTGGGTCGACCTTGCCGACGTAGCGCGTCTTGAGCTGCTCCGGGGTCAACTCGGTCTCCTCCTTTACACGCTTCTCGTAGCCCTCGGCCAGTGACACAAGCTTCTGCAGGCTGTCTTTATTCCGCTCGCCTTCGTCCCGGAAGTCGTTCATCATGAGCGCCTCGGTCCACACGTGCTTGTGCAAGTTCATAAGCATGTTCTCCTCAAGCGCCGTCTTTCGGTAGTTGATGCCGATGGAGTAGTAGTGGCGGTTCAGCCCGTGAATGAGCGCCTGGATGGAGGGCTTGTTCAGATGTCCAACGTTGGACGTGGTCTGGCGGGGTTCGTGGCCCATCATGAGGGTTTGCGGGTTGATCAAGCGGAAGGCATCGATGACGACCTTGCCCTTGACGGACTGTATGGGATCTACGACGACGGCAACGGCGCGAGGGGTGAGCTGCTCGAAAGACTGTTGTGTGTTGATATCGACCGAGGAGAGCCAGCAGCCGAAACCGGGATGCGAGTGGTACCAGCCGACAACCGTCTCTTGCCTACAATATGTCAGCGTGCAGTCCAAGTGCAGCCCTGTACGCAAGCATACCGTCCTGTTTGCCGCAGCATGTCCATCATCTTGGTCTGGAAGACGGGGTCCACAGCTTCGACGGAAACGCCGGTTCCGGACTGCGGCATGGCGAACACATCCACTACGCGCACCGTGTAGTCGTCGACGAACTCTCCCAACATCAGCCCCATGACCTCCATGGGCACACCAGCGCGGCCGTGCCGCAGCATCTTGAGGAGAGCAAGCGACGAGATGTAGACGGTTTCCGAGTTGTCGATGAGGTTGGTGTCCTGCACAAGTCAGCTTCGGCTTTCACGATGCAACCAAGCTGCGAGCTGCTGCATCCGCCGGAGATGGCGGGGACCAGCCTGTCCGCGCACTGCACGAGCACAACGGGCCAGGAGGACGTACACCCTGTTGACCACCCATGCCGCCCATGCTCTGGGCGGCGGCTAGCATCCTAGTTAGCCGGTCCATGGCGCGGGTCTGGCGGTCGGAATAGGACACTGGCTGCTGCGTCTGTCGGGTGGAGGAGTGCAAGAAGCGTTGCCGGGGCGTGGTGGGGGGCGATCTGTAATGCGATGATGAGGCAGCGGCGACCTGTCGGAGGTGTACGAGTAAACGACGAGCTCGGCCGGCCTGCGAGTTTTGCCGGCGCCGATGCGACAGGGATATCTCGCGGGGACTGGAGCTTGCGCTTGCGCCCGTAGCTTCGCCCTCACCATCTTTCCCACCGCAATCTGCATCCGCTCGCCTCCCACCGCCTTGACCCCGGCACGCGTCCCGTTTTCGCGTTGCCCAGCGCTGCCGTATCCTCTTGCATCCCTCGGCATTTTATTGCACGCCACCTCGGCCCGTAACGTGCGACTGCGACTGCGCGGCGTCGCCCACCCACTGTGCGCCCGCCATGGACAACGCCGATGCCGCGCCTCCCACGGCCTCCAACTCCCTTAATGGGACGGGCTCGCAGCCCAAGAAGGTCGCCTACTTTTACGACTCCGATGTGGGCAATTACGCCTACGTCTCTGGCCATCCCATGAAGCCCCACCGGATACGAATGGCGCACAGCTTGATCATGAACTATGGCCTGTACACCAAGATGGAGATTTACGTGCGTCGCGCTACTCTGAACTCTTTGAACATGAGACTGACTGCTTTCAGCGCGCGAAGCCCGCCTCCAAGTACGAAATGACGCAGTTCCACACCGACGAGTACATCGACTTCCTCCACAAGGTCACGCCCGACAACATGGACAATTTCTCCAAAGAGCAGAGCAAGTACAATGTCGGCGATGACTGCCCCGTATTCGATGGCCTCTTCGAGTTCTGCGGCATAAGCGCCGGCGGTACGATGGAGGGTGCCGCGCGCTTGAACAGAGGCAAATGCGACGTGGCGGTCAACTGGGCTGGTGGCCTACATCACGCGAAGAAAAGCGAGGCCAGTGGATTCTGCTATGTTAACGACATCGTCCTCGGAATCATTGAACTCCTGCGTTACAAGCAGCGCGTACTCTACATTGATATTGATGTGCACCACGGAGATGGTGTCGAAGAGGCTTTTTACACGACCGATCGCGTCATGACCGTCTCCTTCCACAAGTATGGCGAATACTTTCCTGGTACCGGCGAGCTCAGAGATATCGGAGTCGGTGGCGGCAAGCACTACGCCGTCAACTTCCCGCTGCGTGATGGTATCACCGATGAGACGTACCGCGACATCTTCGAGCCCGTCATCGAGGCCGTCATGACCTACTATTGCCCCGAAGCCATCGTCCTCCAGTGCGGTGGCGACAGTCTGTCTGGTGACAGACTTGGTTGCTTCAACCTTAGCATGGACGGTCACGCCAATTGCGTTCGCTATGTCAAGAGCTTTGGAATACCCGTCATCGTGCTCGGTGGTGGTGGTTACACCATGAGGAATGTGGCGCGAACCTGGGCATATGAGACTGGCCAGCTAGTGAACAAGCACATGGAGAAGCAGCTACCTTTTAACGACTACTACGAGTACTTTGCTCCGGATTACGAGCTAGATGTCCGCCCGTCGAACATGGAAAACGCCAACTCGACTGACTATCTCCACAAAATTAAGTCATCTGTAATTGACAGCATTAGGCGAACCGGAAAGCCGTCGGTAGAGGCTTTTACGAACATCCCTGATAACCCTCCCCAGCTTGCTGGCTACGACTCCGATGCTGAAGAGGAAATGAACGACCTCGATGCAGACGAGAACCCCGATGTGCGTTCTACGCAGCGCCAGCGCGATCAACAGATCGAGGCCGAGGGAGAACTTTACGATCCGAGCGACGACGAAGAATACAAGAATGGGCTTGGAGTGCGACGACAGCCAGGCGCTAGAAGGAAGCGCAACATCATGGACTTCCAGAACCCTAACGCAGACGAAGGTGCAGAGACTCCAGATGGCACTCGCGGCCTCAACGGAGAGCCTGCGCGGCGCCGAAGATCTGTTTCGGGGGCCTCGTCTGCCCAGCCTCCTAATGGCACCGCGTCACGGACCCGGACGCCCGCCATTCCTGCAACTGCTGACGAAGATGCCGATATCGAAATGGAAGAGGCAGAGGGGGCTACGATTCCTGCCTCGGCTGGTGAGTGAGACCAGGTCTATTTGTCGGGGCATCGACGTGCTAACTCTCACTTTCAGTCCCTGCTGAGCCTGTCCCGGCTACTGCTTCAAGGACACAGTCGCCACCAGCGGTGCCAACCCCCCCTGAGTCGCCTGCTGCACAACCGGCCGCGGCGGCAGCTACCACTGCAGACGTGGAGATGGAAGAAGCGGCCGAAGACCAGGCGGAAGCTGCTGACGAGGCCAAAGCCAAGGAAGAAGGCCAATCGGAGAGAGATACTGAAAACGTCAAGGGCGAGGTGCGCGCGGAGCTTGCCAAGGAAGACTCGTAGGAGAAAACAAGATACAGAATATGGCTCTCTAGGCCTCATACATGACAGCAGGGCGTTATGGGGTTGGGTGTCTGCTGCGATACCTATTTGCTCATTTTGATTTTCGAAAGGGGGCAGAATTCTTGCATGTAGCACAGGTCTTGCAAACTAAACTCATTGTTGCAGTCAGTCTACGTGGTCATAGACCGCAAAGAATACCAATACTGAAATGCCAATCGACGTTGCTTGTCGTACGTGATGACATGAAGCTCCTCTCGGCCTCTTTCGGTAAGCTCACCCAACGCTACCTCGGCATCTCGTCCACCTCCCACTTCGCCCACCACTAAAGGCACATCTACCCATGCATAACGAAGCCTTTTCTCACGTATGTCCTACTTCCTCCACGGCAGCACCTCGCACACAGGCATGGGCTGGGTCGATAGTATTCCCCGCGCGGGGAACCTCTACATCGGCGGCCTCTACGCACTATACCAGACGGACCTGATCAAAGCCGCGGGCATCACGCACGTGGTCTCAGTCGTAGACTACGAGCTCGGCCTGGACAAGCCACACCTCTCCGACCTAAAGAAGCTGCACATCTGGGCCGAGGACGACCCGAACGCGGATCTGCTGCAGTGGTTTGAGCGGACGAGTGCGTTTATCCGAGAGGGGCTGGAGGGCGAAGGGAGCGCTGTATTTGTGCACTGCGCAATGGGGAAGAGTCGGAGTGCGGCGGTTGTGGTCGCGTATTTGATGGCGCGGTATGGGGTTGGGGCTGAGGAGGGGATGCGATGGGTTGAGGAGGGGAGGCCGGTTTGCGATCCTAATCCGGGGTTTAAGGAGCAGTTGAAGGTTTGGGAGGGGATGTTGAAGGCAGGGGAAGGTGGGGAGAAGAGGAGGATGTATGGGGAGTGGAAGGAGGGTGGGTTTAAGGGGAGTGCGTGGGAGTGGGAGAAGAGGGTTGAGACGGAGAGGGAGAAGGCTAGGCTTTGACGCAAAACGGATGCAACTCAATTGCATAGTGCAAAGTTCGACCGTGGGCAAATGCGTCTTTGTCGATTAAGGGACAACGGCCGATGACGTCACCATGGATATCCTCCAGCAACTTTGCCTCTAAGAGACGGTATCAACCTGGACTTCACCCGTGGTGCAACATGAATTGCGAAATCAGTCCTCCCCCGGCGAAGAGACGAAAGACATCTACCAACAATGTAACGCCGATCAAGGCCTCCATCTCGCTACCTCCCACGGTACCTGACGCCGATACAATGCGCATCTTCTCCTGGAACATCAATGGCATCACGCCGTTCCTACAAAAGCCCATCACCACTTATTTCAATCCAACCAAACCAACCTCCAACGCAAACATCCCACCAGCCTCCCTCCGCGGCTTTCTCAAACGCCATCACTGGCCTGCAATCCTTTTTCTCCAAGAAGTCAAGATCGCGGCCAAGGACTTGAAAACGCAAGATGCAGTTCAGACCGCAGTGAATGCAAGCCTACCCGCTGAAACCTCCGAGTTGGGACCAGGCCCACGCTACGAAGCCCACTTCACGCTCCCCCGCGACCCCCACAACGCCCGAGGCTCGCGCGGCACCGGAAAAGTCTACGGCGTGTGCAGTATCGTGCGCGCCGACGTCGCCAAAAAGCTTGCCGCCACAGTCCGCACCGTGGACTGGGACACCGAGGGCCGCGTGTCTGTCGTCGAGCTGCACAGTCCATCGACAAAGCTCGCACTGTTCAACATTTACGCCATCAATGGGACAGACGCGCCCTACCGCGACCCGGCGACAGGGGTGCTCCGCGGCACCCGGCATGAGCGGAAACTCGCATTCCACCGATTTCTCATGGAGGAGTGTCTGGAGATGGAACAAGACGGATGGGACGTCTTCCTTGCGGGCGATATGAACGTTGCGCCAGCCGCTATCGACGGATTTCCCCGGCTGCGCACATTTCCCCACCAGCACGTCGTCAATCGCGCGGACTTCAACGCTAGATTTCTGGACACTAGTAAGAAGAAGCAGGGGGAAGGGAAAGTATTCGAGGGGATTGATGTCTGGCGGAGGATGAATGAGGGGGTGAAGAGGTATACGTGGTTCCCTCGGGGGCGGCAGTGGGGTAGTAGCTGTGATAGGGTGGATTATATTGTTGTTGGAGAGAGCATATGGGATCGGGGAATGGTGCGTGGGGCGGGAATTTTGGATAGTGAGGCTGAGCGGGGACCGAGCGATCATGTTCCTATCTGGGCTGATATTGGGCTGTCCGGCGTGGACGAAGAAGGAAACGGTAAAGGAGCTGTGTTAGACGGTATGCGAAGTTATGACCTCGGTGCATAAAAACCCACGTCTGTGGTCTTGCGCCTTCGACCTCATCCCGGACGTCATCGACGTTATACATTTCTCCATCGATGAACATCGCCGTAAGAGTTGACCTGCGGCATGTTACCAGTGATTTTTTATGTGGATTGTTGAAGAAGCGCGGTTGAACTCAGTCGAGCCAAGGCTTTGCGTTCGCGTCTTACTGCACCAGCTGCACACCCTCTTTGTTCAGACAGACTGAGCGCGTTCTGAACCACCGCATTGAGTGACAAGGCTAGATGACGATGTTGTATAGTGAATGCGTTCCAACGAGGGCAGCACAGTCTTGTATTGGTCTGTAACATCCGCTCAATTCCTCCAGAGTGCCCGACTCGAGTCTTCCCTCCACCTTCGCCTTCTGCTCCGCACACAACTCACCTTGCGCTTTCCCAAAAGACTCACCGCCCAATGCCTCGGCCCCCTCAACCAGGGCCTCTTTAGCAACGGAGCAAAGCGAGAAATCCCCCCGGAGATCTACCAGCCACCAGAATTGCCAGCATTGCAACCGTCACCAGATGATCCGACTAGAAATGTCAACGCTCTTCGACTCGCAAATCAAGCAGAAAAGGTACCTTTGCTAAACGAGCTGCGGTCCCAGATGCGCGAGCCACGCCAACTCGGCCGATGATTCCCGCCATTGCCAGGCGAATGCTCATCGTTGCCTCCCCGGCACTGTCCCTGCTCACAGTCCCCACAGACAGTATCACTTTGTGCGCTGCCCTGTCCCTCATCGTGGCCAACCTCGTTTCTCCAGTCATTTAGACGCTCCCACATGTCAGTTTTGGAGGGGTCCGCGCGCTGTGTCAGCGCAACGCGGATCTCGTCTTCGGAGCGGGAGCTCCACAGCTCGCGCGTCTCGAGGCTCAGCGGGTACAGCAGCTGGGACTGCGGGGCGTGGATCTGGGCTTTCATGATGGCGGGCGAGATGGCGGCGATGACGTGGACGTCGGACACGATCTGCTCGCAGTAGTTCTCCAGCGGGAGGTTATTGACTTCGGTGCCAAACGGGTTCTCCAGCTCGTTACCGATATAGAGGATGCCGAGGACGATGTAAGCCGTAGTGATCGTGATGGGTATGCACAGCCATCCTGTGAGGGTGGTGAGCTGGAAGGGGAGCGTCAGGAGGTACACCCATGTGATCTGGCTGATCGTAATTGAGTATGCAAGCGGCAAGGGTGTAGTCTGAACACGTTCAGTTGTCGCGAGTATGTGGTGCAAGTCGTTCATGACGTTCATGCTTTGGTTCTGCGCAATTCCCAGCTCGAACGTGCCCATGTCGATCTGCTCCGTCAGGTATGCCGAGAGGTGTGAGAGGATCTCCAGGGGCAGGTTTCCAACCGGGTGCTTGGCTCGCTTGATCTGTTTGCGTGGGTTCGATCTGGCCATTGGAAAGCCCATCCAGTATCCCACCTTCTTGCACAAGAAGGCTCGTCTCGGGGGTTCTGGTTCTCCGGCGTTGATTGCGAAAGTATCGAGATGGGCAATTAACGGATGCAAATCATCGTAAGTGGCGTAGGGTTCGAACCGGAGTTTATGCTTGAGAGCGATTACAAAACCAGTGATCTGGACGCCATGGGTCAGCAAGAGCCATGATCGCAGGCGCCAGCGTATTTGCAAAACCAAAACCAAAAGCACGACTCTACTTTGGCTACTCACAAGGTTCAGCGCGGCTGTCTTGGATATAAGGATAGTCTTGGCCCTTGACCCTTCCCCTTCTTTCACATGAAGCCAGATATGTCGCGCAAGTGATGTTGCTGAAGCACCGAGCATTGCCCACATACGCCGACCTTCCATGTAGCGTTCATAAGCTGTCTGACTCCGAAGGTTGAGAGCAAGTCCCACAACAAGTCCAAGCACTGTTATGACGATCGGATGGACGTTTACTTGTATTGTCAGTGAGTTTTTGGGAACCCAGCCGAAATGCGGATTTACTCGTGTGCACCTTCTCAGAGATGGTCGTAATGAGAGCAGACCACATTCCAATGCCAAGCAGCGGTGCTACTAGCTTGGGAGCGACACTACCGTGCATCCTCAATGCTCTTGGCCATTTGGAGTGGCGTCGGATATCTCGAGGTCCCATCTATTGCTGGTGAGCTGATGGCCTGAAGATCCCATATGAACATACGAAATATGAAGAGATGACCGAGGACCCGCCATGCGAGCCGGGACGAACACTGCGCCTTCGCAGATTGCGGGTTTGAGCCATGAGGTCGAAATGTGAGGAATTGGCCAGTAACACGTAGATGGAAGTTGATGTTGAAGCAAGACTCTGTTAAACCTTGAGTGTAAGAGATCGATTTAACAGAATTTGTGGTTGGAATTACTTGTTGTTGGAGGTGTATGGTGACACATGAAACTGGACGCAGTGGCTCTGGCTCGCGCAACCATCTGCACAAAATCCCATCATCTAACGGTCGAACCGAGCGCTAGTGAAATCGTTGTGAATTCTTTCAAAGATGCTACTGGATGTGCAACTTTGACGTTGTCTGGACCAGGTGCGAATCCAGCAATGAGGACGACATTAGCGAACGACCGTTGACGAGAAGGTAATCAACTTGGTCTACAACGGAAGAAAGCTGGGGCTGTTACTTAAAGTTTTCGAGCGGCTCTGGGGACCGCAGGAGATATCAGCATGACGTTACAGCCCAAGTGAACACGGCACGGGCAGAGATCTAGAGCTGTATGGATGGGGTTAGTGGGGCGCACATGCTTTTGAACAATTGCCACCATGTAACCAGTGTCCGTGGTTTGGTGGCTGCAATGGAGCGCTCCTACCTCCAGCACAACTGTGTGGAGTATCGAGGGAGGTGGGAGTGGAATGGACAATGCAGGGCATAAGTATGCAGCCGCGTCCTTCGTAACCTCTTAGATTGAAGGAAATCTATTAGAACTTTACGTAAAACAAACCTTTGTTGGATAAGCACTAAAAAAAACTGAGGAGGCTGAAGTGTATGGGGTGTTGGAACTTTTGTCAGTGAAGCTATCGATATCATAGCAAAGTTAGGGCACAAGCAGAAGAACCCAATACATGCTTACGCGAATTTGGTATATCTAAATTGCCGTTGACAGCACCCACTACATGAAAAGATTCGATGTGCCAGTTGCTCCGCCCTCACATGGATTTTGTAAGCGCTCTCACAGACCCGCCGCAAAAGCCAGCTCATACGCGAAACCCAATGTCAGCTTCGCATGCTGCAGCATGTGCTCGAAGTTCACCGTCTCCAACGTATCTTGGCTGGAATGGATATACGGGCTATCGTTCTCGAAGGCGCTCTCGAAGACAAACGCACTCGGGTACCCGTTGCGATACGCAGACGCATGATCGGAGCAGCCATAGCCGCACTCGGTGCGGACGTAACCGATGTCGCAATACTATTAAAAGTCAGCATGCTGGAAAAGCCCAACGTGGGCAGACTCAGTCCACGGTGGGGTTAAAATTTCCCGAACGATACTGTGTGCTCACAGAACAACATGATAATAGAAAGTCAAGACGTACCGCATCGATGACCTTAGTAATGAAATCCGTAAGGCCCGCATCCACATAATCTGTGATGACGCCCACCACTTCTGGCTTTCCTTGGTCCGTGGTGCCTTTCGAATACCCAGTCATATCCTGCTGCAGCATGGCCTTCACATCTTTCCCCTCAGCCTTGTACTTCTTCCATATATCGACGGACCCAAGAAGTCCTCCTTCTTCCGCTGCATACCTGTACTCGTTAGCAAAACCATTCCACTTCAAGACCTCTCAAGAAACGAGCAACCCACCAATGAAATTCTAGCGTGTTAGGCGCGCTTCCCGTCCTAACATTCTCGTCCGTCAACAATACCCTCAACGCCTCCAAAATCGTCACCGTCCCACTCCCATCATCATCCGCCCCCGGAGCCCGGTTATTAACGCGATCCGCATTCCGCGAATTGATGCTATCCTGGTGCGCGCCCAGCACCACCGTCTTTGCGCTGCGCCCTGGGATTCTCGCGATGACGCTGCTCTGCAAGAAAGAATGCCCAAACGCTTCTACCGTCACGTTGACTGCACCAGAAGCCGATACGACGTCTTTCACGGTTTTAAGGAGCCAGGCAGAGGACTGTGCACCGTAGGTGGAGTTAAAGTAGCGGTTTTGGAACTGCGTAAAGGGCGTAAGGGTAGCGCGCATGGAGGCGGTAGAGAGGAGCGGGAGGAGCGGGGTGATGGCGGACTGCTGGGTGACAGTGGCAGGGAAGGTGACAGCTGCGACGTTTTTTTTTATCGAGGGTGCGTCGAGGTCTTCCGTGATGTCGATGAGATTGGTGCCTTGCTGTGGAGAGAGTGAGTTTGACGCATGTTATTGCGAGACGAAAGGCTTACCGCGAGTAGCTCGAATTTCTGCTCTTCAGTCACTTGTTTGATGTTACCAGGAGATAGCTCAATCGTGCGCAGAGACGGTGGCGCATCGCGTGCTGGAATACTGAGAGCACTTGCGCTGCATGCGGCGAGGGCCGTAGCTACGATGAAGAGCTTCATAGCGAGAAGGACGCCTGAACTGTACAACCTGGCGAGAGCATATTGCCGCCTCTATATACTATATCTTCTGTGGGATACAGTATCCATGAGGCAGGTGAGTTCGCCAGATAGAGACAGTATAAAGCGCGACTCCATGCTATACATCGCACCTTGGTATGTAGCGCAAACAGGCAGGTTGGATGACGATACTTTTGCCGGTGCCGCCTTGGAGAAGATTCGCACGTGGCACAACAATCGCGGATTGTGTGCAATTTGTTGATGGGTTCTGATAACAATGGGGTTCATATATATCCTTGTCGAACTTCCTAATCTGGACCACCAATGGCGTGATTGCAACAGGGTTGTATATTACCACACCTTGTCTGTCGCAGTCAGCGTGTTGCAGAGGGGCTGAAACCAGAGGTCAGCACAATGCGAGTAATCATAGCACTGCTCATAGGCAATCCATGTGAACCAGGAAGAGACTTTCTCATGGCCGACGTTTTGATTGTTGCTTCGTACCCAGATTGAAGACCTCAAAAGCGAACATCCCTGCCCTGCCCCGTTGTAGATGATGCAATACTCTGTTGGCTACTTGCGTCCTTTTTCACCCAGTTGGGCCCGTTCCTGGTAACGCCGGTGCTCCAGGCAAATCAAAAGTGCATCTATCGTGGGTATTCTATCCACTATATTGCCATCCTCGAGACCCCGCTGCTAAAGATGCTGGAATATGATATAGTAAGTCGCCATTGAATGTATGTCCGTTGATAAGTGGCCAAATTATGCAAGGACCTGCCCGAGCTGTGGCTGTGATCGTGACGTACGGTCAAAACTGTCACACTGCATTGCTCCTCCTGGGATGGGGCAGTGTCACCTTACTTTGCAGAGCGACTGCCAATATGCTGGGGTGTGTGCAGCAGTCAAGTCGCCCACGAAGTGAAAGAAACCATTCCCTTCTACCGAACGCCTCGCTTCCGCAATTGAATATCTTAAAAGCAACCCGAACCATGTCATTGTGCGCCGGTCATGACTATCGCTGAAAACTAGTATCACCGACTCGTTTGCCGTGGAGTCGACCTGCCGCTCCAAGGCAAGCCAGGAGACTTGCTCTGGGCAACTCGCGGCATTTTCTGCGTTTCTTCCTCCTCCATGAGTACTTCAGTTGTACACCAGATCTCACCGTTCTTAACGGCGGTTTCGCTACCCGTGATGATGTGCTCCACTGACTCGCCACCGGAGCTGTTGACCCTCGTCATGCGAAGAGGTGGATCGAGCATGCTGTTCTTTCCACTTGTAACGTGCGTCGCATATTGTGTTCCGGGATACTGCCCGTAGGCGTACGTGGTGGCCTGGCGTAGCGTGACGATGCCGTAGTGCTCGAGGACGCGCTGGAAAGGTCCGCGTAGACAGGGCACACAAGACACAACGAAACCTGTGAGCACCTCGATTGAACACCACATCTCGATAACGATGATGTCAGCGTAGGCGTCTCGGCTGTGTTTGAGGGTGAGAATCTGTTTGATCTTGATGATGGATGCGACACCAGCAAACACGCCCAGACTCATGAGCAGGCCAATGACGGCGCGCTCGCGGAGTGGACGTTGGACCTTGCGAAGGAAGTTCATCGGGAGCAGTGCGTAGATCCAATCGGTCAGGATGACGAAGGCTTGTACTGTGACTTGACTGGCTGATTCGACGTGGTATGGCCAGCACTTTCCCGGCACGTTGTCAGAAATATCCCACATCTCGCTGAGAGGTATACAGCCCAGCAGTTGTGTGAGCATGTTGTACGCACTAAGCACAACTTGAAACGCAATCATGGCCCAAAGGAATCGCCGCCACGGTTTATCAGACTCCAAGCGAAGCAGCATCAGGCCAATGGATATCTTGACCATGGCCATGGACCATGCCCAGAACGGTTGTGCGATGATGCCCCAGAAGGCAGATTGCTCCATGTCAGCGATTGTGAACTTGGTCCGGTCGCCTTTCCAAGAAGGAAAGATCCACTCGACGCTCTTGAAGAAGAGAGATGTGTTGATGACGACGAGAACCTGCATTGCACGTGAGAACAAACGCAGCACCAATACGGGGAAATCATACGTAACCCACTGCACAAACGTAATCGTCTGCCAGCATCCGAAATACCGGAAAGCAGCGAGTCCATAGTCTTGCGATGAAGAGGAGAGTAGCTGTGGCGAGCAGGAGAGTCGAGATGACGCTGAATTCCCAGGCAATGTGGACAGCGCGGGCGGAGGGCGGCGCGGGCGTGCTTCGATCCATTGCAACGGCGGCTCGCTCTCACCTGCGTGCCGATTCAAGTGAGCGATAGAAAGATGTGTGAGGTGAGGTGGGGTGAGGTGTAGAATTAAGTGGAGTCGGAGTCCGTAAGATGGATCGTCTCGTGTGCTCCACGTACAGGGAAAGAACGGGGTGTGGCAGGCAGGGAAGGCGCGCATTGGTACAGGAAACAACGATGGCCCCAGCTGCTGCGTGCAGACCCAGCATTGATGTTCCGTCACACTGAATGGCCAGGGCTTGCGCATCGTGGTAGCACGCCGCATGAGCGCGCATGAGCCTAACCGGGCGGGGAACGATGGTTCGAGGCTGGATGCGCAGCGACTCCCACAAGAGATGGCAAACGACGATCGCCCTGACTCGCGCGAATACAGCGTTTGGAGCATCGAGACACGCGACCGTGCGCTCCCCCAGCTTCAGGAGCAACTCGTCTATGTCTGAAGCTTATGGCTTGACTAGAACAACCGCATGAGCGAACCCTGCACCTGCAGCAAGCCTGCCCAGCCACGTGAAGCTCTCCGGCCCACGCAGTCTACAGCTGGCCGCGCTGCGCCGCGCTGCCTTGCGTTATTGCCGCTGTTGAAGTGTTCATGCGACCATCAGTCGCAACACTGAGTCGACATGAACGAGGTCATAGCGCTGTTCCGCATTTCGACGGCAGCCATGCACTTTTACGAGCAAGGGCCCGGTATAGGAGCATTCAAGCTGGTGGTCGACGGAAGAGCGGGACGTGGAATCATCCCAGTGCACGCCAAAGCCGATGCCCTGCTCCTTTCTTATACAAACTCGCCGGTGCTTACTGATTTGGTCTCGTAAATCATCGCACCCAATTACGCTACATCCTTTGGGCATTCGTCCATGTCGCAAGGACCGTGGGGCGTAGCAGGTCGCACCGACAACACACCGCCGGGAGGTGCACAACGCCGCCGGGAAAACGTGCCACTGCTCCGATGGCTTCCCGATCCAAAGGTTCCATGTTCCACAAGACGAAAGAGCCACGAGCCAAATGGCCACTGCAAGCCTCGGACGCAAGAGTATCCAATGGCCTAGCTGAACTCGTTCTCGAAACGAGTCCGCCCGGTTTCCAAACGACCCCAATACATAAGCGAAAACGAAGAACGTTGTTTCCTGGGTCGCCAATATTCCACGCTCTGGGGCCTCGCGGCTGCTAGATACACTCATTAGGAAGGCTTAACCTAGTTGAGCGGAAGCGCTGTGCCTGCCGATGCAATTAGCACAGCAAGCGTTGACACATAATCCGAATATCAAAGAATCTTGTCAGTAAACCCCAATCAGGACCCTGATACCACAATGAGTAGCTTTGACGATCGCGGTGTAAGTTCATTCTAACTATCAGTAGCGTTCAGTAGCGCGACGGCTTAGCGATCCCGTCCTCGGACATACCGAGATGCTTTCGCTACCACTACCAAACGCGTCATCTAAAGCTAGGTACGTCCGCGGCCTGTGCTGTTTTGTATGTGTATCTCGAATCGAAATTTCGGCTCTCTAAAGCCTACACAAAAGCTCTCGAAGATCTCCGGTACCTCACGTGATGGCAACCCGACCGCCTGCAGGCATCTATAGGACATACTCAAACTGCGAAGATTTCGTTCTACTTCCCAAATGCACCCTGATTCATGCCACAGACTTTGATATGCATCTCATCCCCGTATATCCAGGACTCCATACGAGCCCGAATATCGCCATGCATCAGTCTTGTTTCCACGTCATCACTTCGCGATTCATCAACGATCAGACCCAACGATATTGTCACTGGATGGAATCAGTGCCGGGAAGTACAGCGTTGAATCCAAGCCCAGCACGTACCTCATCTGCAACGTCGGTGTTGCTAACATCTGCCACTCAATCGTACTCAACGTCGAGAAGTCCTTGACACCCTCCGGAAACCTCGGCTGGTATGAGACATTGACCTGCAACTCAATCGGATTATGGTGCCCTCGCACATACATGGCCTTGATCCCGTTCGTCTCGACAGTGGCTCTCCCACGGCATGCCACATCGGACTGAATGACCAGAACCGCATTGAGCCGGTTCGGGATCCCACCTCTGGACTGCTCGTTCTCGTGGATATAGAAGCGTACTGCGTTGGGTTCAGCAAGCTGGGGCAACTTCCACGTATCGCTGAGGATACTACAGGAATGTTCTTTCACGACGGACTCTTTGCGGCTCAGTGAAGTATTCGCGTTGATGGTGCTGCCAGGAATGTCGACGCCCGCTGTAAGCGATCCTTCAAATGCCCACTCGACTGAGGATGTTGTTCGTCTCCCTGTGAGAAACTGCGGCGCCCAGCGCTTCACCACAGCTGTGCTTGCAAGGCCTGCTTCACTCGGCTCAAACTGCAACATGATGTTGGCCTTCTTGAAGCGATCGTTGTGCGGACAAGAGAACTGCAATGTGAGGCAGACCAGCCATGCTCTTTTCCCATTCAAAAGGCCAGCATCGATGCTCTGGACGGTAATAGTCGTCGTCTTCCACGTGCTGAGATCTTGCTGGTACAACGTCGCAGGTGGAGCAGGCTGCTCCTTGCTGAAGGAGGAATTGCGGGACTTGGACTCTGGGCTTGACATACTAACGAGTGATTCGATCTAAGTAAAGTGAAAGTATAAAAACTAGCACTGACCGCCAACATGGCTACAAAACGGCGACCTCAATGCCTCTTGAACACCTGCGCTGCATGTCCCACTCTGGAAACGCATCCGCCGCGGCGAGATGACTTGCACAGCGCCTCCTAGTGAGCTCCATCATCCAGGCTGGCGGGCGTGAGACTGCTGCGTAGAAGTATTGGCCGACGATGTAGCCGTGGGGACTCGCATCTAGATATTCGGCCGGTGGTTGCCCTATAAGCAGGTGCTGAGACAAAGAATGGACGAGTGTTTCTGGAGTGGCGACCGAGCGAGATGTTATCTTTGGGTCCTTCGTCATGCAGCCAGTGGGCGTGCCCATGGTGTTGGTTCACCGCGGCTAAGCGAACTTCTTTGATGCTTGTGGACGCAAACGGACGCCTGCGCAACGCGAGAATCAAGCGACCTTATGGATGCATGATATGCATGAACAGTGCATCGACCTCGAGAGCAGGAGGTTATTGATTTTCTGCTTGCAGGTCTGGACTGCGGTGATCGTCAGGTACAACAGGCTCTTCGCCGTATCGTGTTGGCGGACCCGCCGTCGTTGAGGAACAGCAACCAAGAATCCCGCTACCTAGTGAGGATCATTAGAACGGCCGCTACTGCAACTACGAGCGATAACAACCAATTATTTGAGACAAGATGCTGCGGTTCTAGCATTAAGATGTGTATTCAGCACGCACCCGTCGCATTTGCATTTAGTACGCGATTCAGCAGCTAAGCTGGAGACGTTCCGAGTTGCTCCCAAGAGGCTTTGGCAGTGACTGAGCAGCCTCATCTTGCAGCCTTACACGAATATACAGCAAATCTTTCACTTCCTTCAAAGCTCTCAGGATGTATCTTGCAACAAGCACCTACTCTTTGAGCTGTACTCACGATAAACAACCAAGAGCCCGGCTGTGAAGCGAAGATTATGGACATCAACAACAAGAACTCTGTAGCAACATGCGACTTGGCCTTCTCGCAACCAGAATTTGCATACTTGAGCAGGAGTCTTTACCTCTAGACGGAAACATCGCACATGGGCCGGTACTGTGTGACCTTTAGTCAAATCGATGGATCATGCGTTGTGCCATGAAGAACATAAAAATGGAGATGGCGCGTATATTTATACCCAAGCAGCGCACACACGCTGTGAGTAGCCATCCAGGGTCACGAGGGCGACATGATATAGGGCTCCCAAAATCTTGGGTAGAGATGCATGCAACGGATTGCCCATGATATCTATATGTATCTCGGAAGTTAAAAACAGAGCCCATGTGTTCGGCAGAAACGCAAGTGGTACATAGTCTTTCCGAGAGAATGTTTTGGGACACTGTACAGGTCCGACATGCGCTGAATGCATAAGACGTTCAGATAACATCACCACGAAATTTACAACTCTCTTGGGGCCAAATCTGCAGCTGCAATTTAATTGCATATCGCGTTTGGCTTGTACCCGAGCCTAAGGCTAGACATTACAACATGCTAGTACTCATCACCCAGGCTCGGACCAACCAGACACATTGGTTCGTGTATAAGCACTTCGAGTCCTTACCCGACACACCATAGGGATTGATAGTGGATGTATGGACCCGCGCTCCCGAATAAACCAGAATGGACTGGGTCCTCCTAATTAGAAATAATGGTTCTCGTGTTAAATAATAGAGGAACCTCCTCGCGCGGACATGACCCAGATCATGAAGTCATTCTGGAGACACAAATAACGGTATGCCATGCAATTGCGGAGTGTGTTGTCTGAAATTTAGTTTGTGCACGAGCAGAGGAGTAGACCATACTGCGATGGGTTGCCATTGAATTGGCCATCGGACACAAATAAACGAGGAGTAGCCACAAGTTTAGAGGGTAAAAAGCAATCCAACTTCTTCGACGACAGGAGGCACGTCCTCCCCAGAACATGGAACTAGGCGAATCAGGTGTTTAGACACACGTATCGCGAGTCTTGAAATGCTTGAAAGGGCGGACAGACCGTGTTCTGAACGCCTGCGCCTTTTCAGACACACATGTTTCATAGTGTAAGACTCATTTAGCAGCCGAGCATGAGAAGCCGCCGAATTTAGCAAAGAAGTGTCTCTCCCCCAGAACATAGAACATAAGACTTTGGTGACTCTTTTTTTTAGCGACATGTTTCATGGCAGCTGGCCACAGGACTCGTCGAAGAACATACATAAAGTTCGCCGAGAGTTGGGTAGTGCAGAAAACTTCCTCACAGAGACATGAGTGCAGTCATGCTGATACCTTCAGTCAAACTTCGACATTGGGTGTGAAGTTTCTACGAATGAACAGAGTATGGCCATAGTATGGCTTAGAACAGATTCATGGACACACATTCGTCCGAGACATCCAATTCTTCGAAAGAGCAGCATACGGGTCAGTTATAGTGTCAAGAGAACTCTGCTTCGCCGGGACATGGTGGTCAATATCTTGACCTTCTGGAAGCATGTATCAAGCCCAATTGCGAGCCTTTAACCACAGCGTTGTTGGCGGCAGTTTAATAGACACACATCTTCCGGTTTCCACTCTGACTCTGGAACAAATAATAGATAGGCGGGCGGACGAGTCCACTGTGAACGCCAAGTCTCCATACTAACACATCGCGGTCATTGCCGGAAGTTTTTGGAGAAACAGATCAAGGTTGCGTTCCAATTTTCGAGAGATAGGCCACGTTTCCAAAACTCCATAACTTCTCACCACACATGACCACTGTTGTTTCCAATTTTGGAAGGGTAAGTAGGATGCAGTTGTGAAGTTGAGAGGAGAGCGCCGCACCGCGACATAGTAATGGACGCGTCGACGTTAGACACACGCATTAGCAGCTGCACTGACGCATTTATGGTTAACAGGCACAAATACCATTGTAAGCTTTTCCAGACATCTATGGACACACATGGCCCATGTCTAGAGTCGTCTTTAGAAGAGTCGGCTGGAAGAGCAATATTTCTGACCACAAGACTTTGGAAGACCAGAAGAGCAGACTACGCAGGTGTCAGAAACATACAGAAGCACATGATCTTAAGCCTTAATACTTGGGAAGCGCTCACGCACAGACAACGGATATTAGATCATCTGGGGGTTTGCAAGCCCACATCCGCCTGCTCTACCGGAGCTTCAGGAGAGAGGGAAGGAAATAAGACATCCGCATGGCATCCGGCGGCTTCTAAACGCATCATATGCTTCATCTCCTCATTTTAGGAGGACGTGCAGAGGGGCCATGGGCTTGCAACTTCTAGGTTTTGAGACACACAGCTGTGTCCTTTCCGGCTATTTTCGAGGGAACGGGGACGGAAAAGAGCATAAGTGCGACCCAACCATGTTTTAGACACACCTCCGACAGATGGAAGGAGGATCGAGAGCACGGGAAGACGGTCTATGGCACAACCGGTCTGACGTTGTACACACACGTGTTCATTTTTACCAGAGATTTAGAAGGAGTGTACAAACCGACAGATCATCGGAGAGGGCGATTTTTTCTTCGAACATCCATGGCGACCACTGTCGAAGGCTCAGGGGGTAGGAGAGCGAACCTTGACACGATGAGTACTGGAAATTGATGGATTTTTGGGACAACACATTCACATTCCGTATATGAAGGTCAGGAAGAGCTCAGCAAGAGCCATAGTGCTTGAGCCTTCCGTTTTCTAAACACACAAAGCATAGTGTCGCGTGATTTTCGCAAAGATCGGGGAGCCACATTATGAGGTGAACTTTCGATGTTTTGTCCAAGTATCCGATTCCACGGTTTAGAATTCTCAAGAACAGACAGACAGAACATTCCAAGGCTTTTAAAAGTTTGCAGACACATCCGACTTTCCAGTGGTGATTTCAGAGATACAGGCGGACGGACCATTCTACATTTTGGACCCGGCAGACGCCCCATCTGAAGGACATTGCACGCTTTTTGAACACACGTAGACCTTGCGGTCGAGTGGTTTTGAGAGAGTCGAACAAAAAATCCACAAGGCATTCAGATTCGAGCTCTTCGAAGACCAGATCAACGAAGCATGTAAGCCTGCTCCACAAGTTTTGAGACACATCTGACGCCCATTTGGACAATTTCGGGGCCCCAGGCAGACAAGCCATGCAGTGTAGCGAGTTTCTTTTCTTGTTGGGAGGAACAGATGGATACACCATGACACCGGCAGCGTATGGGTTTTGAACACATATGAATGTCCTCAATTGCCATTTTGAGAACACACAGAACCTCATGTGTATTCCGATATGCGGCTTTTCAACACCACACCAGTGATTCTTGTGGATCATAGACACAGATGAGAGCCTCGATGCCGACTTTCAAAGATCGGCCGGACGCACCATCGTACTCTTGCCGGCGCATTCCAGACACACGTGGCTCGTCCATGTCGTTTTTTGTACGGCCAAAACCATCAACCATAACGTGGTTGAAGCGACGATCATTAGTACTGGAACACCAACGCAGCGTCCCAGTCTTGTCGTCTAGATATGCTGAGGTCATTTCGGATGCACGATACAGTCACGGATTTTGCATCGCACACGCAGACAGTAAACACACGACGTGATTTGGAAAGAATATTGCATAGCGGTCCTCCGAGGGTATATCTCCACTCTACCTGCCGCGTCCATCTAGCCCAAGCACACCTGAACGACATCCCTAGACCTGGTACGTAATCGTCTTCAGCCTGAGGAACTCATCGAAGCCCCAACTGCCGTTGAAGCGGCCCCATCCGCTCATCTTCGCACCACCATGCGGCAGGTTAGTCTCGTCGTGGACGGTCATCGCGTTGATGTGCACAGCACTGTATTTCAATCAGCCCATTGCTCTGCTCACATCACCTGCCAAGTGTGAAGGGGACAAGACTCACCCGCTCTCGATCTGCTTCGCAATCCTCAGCCCGCGGCCCAGATTCTCCGTGAACACCGCACTCGTTAGCCCGTACTCTGTGTCATTCGCAATCTCTACTGCTTCTTCCTCGCTGCTGATCTCGATGACCGAGACAGAAGGTCCGAAAGACTCGGTGTGGTACAGCTCCATGTCCTTGTTCACACCGTCAACAATAATGGGCCGCATGCGCGTCTTACTCGCCTCCTTCGTCTCCGGGTGCGGCTCGTCCTTCTCGTGGTCACCGTGCACGACTTTGGCGCCTGCTGAGACGGCCTGAGCGACAAGTCGCTTGTTCTTTTCGACATTGGCGGCCTGAACGAGGATCGGCGCGGGCTTGTCGCCGCCGAATATGCCTTCGGCTGCGCCCTTGAAGGCCTCGATGAACTTGGCCTTCACGTCCTTGTGCACGAGGATGCGCTCCGTCGCCATGCAGATCTGGCCCGAGTGCAGGAATGCGCCGAGGGCGCACTGCGTCGCGGCCTTGTTGAGATCCGCGTCATCTAGAATGATGGCGCTCGCCTTACCGCCGAGCTCCATAAGCACGGGCTTGAGGTGCTTGCCCGCGCTGGCGGCGATGATGCGGCCGACGGCAGTGGAGCCTGTAAAGTTGATCTTCTTGACGGCGGGGTGCTCAATCAGCGCGGTGGTGACTTGGGCGGCGTCTTCGGGGCGGTGGTACAGGACGTTGAGGGCGCCGGCGGGGAGACCAGCTTCGGTGAGGACGGAGCCAATAGCCCAGAAGCAGCGGGGGGAGAACTCGGAGCCCTTGAGGATGGTGGTGTTGCCGGCGGCGAGGGCGTAGAGGACGGAGCGGATGCCGAGGATGTAGGGGGCGTTCCTGGCATCAAGTCAGTTGTCGCCGACCCATATCAGCTCAACGAGACTGCTCACCATGGTGCAATGCCCAAGACGACGCCAAAGGGCTCCTTGACCACCAGGGCGGCCGTGTTGTCGTCTGAGCACGTTGGAATCACGCCGTTGATGCCGCTGCACCTGCCAGCCACGTCCTTGAACATCTCCGCGCCCAGCGGGACGTTGAAGCCAGAGCTGAAGGCCGCCGCCGAGCCCGTCTCCTCCTCCATGTAGCGCCCCAGCTCTTTGGCGCGCGCCGTGACGATGTCGGCGGCCTTGAGGAAGATGTCGCGGCGGGCGGCGGGCTTCGTCCTGGCCCACGCCGGGAAAGCGGCCTGCGCGGCTTCAATGGCGCTCTTGACGTCGTCGAGGGAGGCTGATGAGGCGCTCCATATCTCCTTGTGCGAGCCGGGCGAGATTACGGGAAACGTGGTCGAGGTGGTGATTTCCTTGCCGTTGACAAGCAACGGGACGGTGTATGACGCGTCGGAAGCCATGATGCTATCCTAGAACAAGACAGGGTCTGGTATTATTATATATGCGGGATCGTTTACGCTGAGATCAGACGGAGGGGCCAAGCTGTACAAGCTATGCGGGGCGCGTATGCGGGGTTGTTTCAATGCGTCGCGTCGTGCTTGGTGTGTGGCCAGGGTGGGACAGCAATGCAGACAAGGAGAGACGACATTGTTTTCCTAAATACGCAGCGACCGCCACTGGCTCGGGAGCACGCATCGTGAAGACGGCAGTTGAAGCCGGGTCGGACGTGGAGATGTGAAGGCATTCTAATCCCCGCGGCGAGCTGCGGCGCCGTTTCTGCTAGCGCCATCTCGCGGCAGCCTCGCGCGGGTCGTTAACTCCCCGATGTGCTACGTCGTAGATGCACAACAACTAAGAAGAGTTTAGTGTGCATATTGTGAAGCTTTGTGTGGGGATCGCTTCCCTTCAAAGACGACTGACCGTCACCTAAGCGGCCGAAAACTGGATAGATGGCAAAATTTGCTTGATAGATCTACACCAAATCTATCAGACCAACCCACCGTTCCCACACCATTCCTCCCCTTTGACTTGCCATACTTACCATACTCCTGATCCAATCTACCACAGGCACTGGAGTCCGGTACTCGCCCTACCCCGCGAAGTACAATGGCCTGCTCCAAGCATTGATCTCACCTGCGCCTCTTCCCAGTGCTTCGATCTCCCTACTGACTTGTCAGCAGAACTGTACCGTAACTTTCTCTTCCTCTCCCCCAACCCGTAAGACCCTAGATCTTGGTGTCCATAGGACTCACCGGCGCCATGTGACTTCAAAGGCTTTCAGAAACCCCATGTTACAGTCCGCAGCGTCCCACTGACAATGAAGCCCCGGTCGGCGCAATGAGACGCAATATCATTCCCAGGCCCACCCGGCGCATTCGCAATTCCGAGTGGTTTTCTGGCGTGCCAGCCGACAACGCCATCACAGAATGAACTGGGTATTACTGCAAAGCGCAAACCGCATTCATGTGTACGACCCGCGTACGAGGCTACGCCTACCAAGACGCGTTACCGGTGCCGTGCCTTCCCGGGATTTGGTTGCTCAGGTGCTTCCATTTCTACCGCCCTCGGCAAGCATCGCTGCCGCCCAAAAAAAAAAAAACTAACCCGATATTGTGCCTTTGCGGCGTACGTGGGAAACTACTGCCTCGAGGCACACCCAGTATGTGGCGGGTTGGTCTCGCTTGCCAGACCCATCAGCGCGTGTGGGCGCCCACCCCTACCAGAGGTTGTTGGTAGTACAAAAGTGTACGCTAGCCCTGTGTCATGCATATTATTGCCCGCAGGCTATCCCAAGGCTGGCCCTCAATGTTAGTGCTGCGGGTTAGTTGCCATTGAGGTCTCTTGGGCGGGTGCGCCGTGGGTAAGGGAAGAGCAGAGGTGGCGCGGGCTGGGGAGCTTCATATGGAGAGGGGAGACGCGCTGGTGGGGTGTGCGCGTTGTCTCGTCTGGGCGCTGGCGCGGTGAAATTGAAAGACGTAGGTGGGAGGTCAGATATGGGCTGGTCCGTGTTGAAAGTGGAAGTGAAGGTGAGTTTGGGTTCTGAGGTGAATCGAGACGGGGAGCGCTTAAACCCAATACTGCATTGCCAACATCCAGCTATCGTTCCTCATAACTTCGAGTCATCAAATTCCAATCTTTTCCATCCCTTCTACCTCCGTCTCCCTACCACGCCGACCTAACCTCCACCACAGGCCCATCCCTCACCGCCCCCAACGCATCCCAGAGTTGATACTCATCCCTTCTCTCCCGGCCCACCCCCAGTCCTGCCCCGCCACACCCCAAGCCCCTCTCCCCCTCAACTACCGTCTCCCTAACCTCAAACCTCCACAAAAAGTGCGCCAAGCTGAGCTTCAACTGCAAATACGCAAGGTTCTTGCCAATACACCCCCTAACACCGAGTCCGAACGGCTCAAACGCGCGACGCATCTCGTCGATAGCGGATGGAGGGTTCTCCGGCGAGGCGAGCCAGCGCTCTGGAGAGAAGATGAAGGGAGACGCGAAGTAGGAGGGGTTGTGGTGCAGGGCGTACTGCGGGACGCCGACGACGGTGCCGGGCGGGAGGAAGGCGCCGTCGATAGTGGCGCCGCCTGGGAGGACGACACGGGGGACGTGGGAGGGGACGGGGGCGAGGCGGCGGAGGGATTCTTCGAGGCAGGCGTGTAGGTAGGTGCAGGAGGTCAATTTGGGGCCGGAGACAATTTCGGAAGGGGATGCGAAGGTCGAGCTGGGAGATTTTAGTGGACTTGGAAGAGAGTGCTGGACGTAGCTTACCGGATTTCCTCGGTGACCTTCTTCAGGCAGTCTGCGTTGTGCACGAGGTAGAACAGCGTGCCCGTGAAGACCTGGCTAAAGGGGTCTGCGCCCGCGATGATCATGTTGAGGGACTCGGTGTCGAGGTCGAGCGATGTGGGTTGCCACCCCGTCTTCTTGTCACCGTTGTAAGCCAGCTTCGAGAGGAAGTCTTTGGCGTCAGCAAAGCCCTTCTCGTTGACATCGTTACTGCGACGGGCCTGGACTTGCGCTTTCCCATAGTCGATCAGACGATTGTTGTCCCGAACTGGCTTTCCCCCAACCATTTCCAGGAGCTGAGAGCGGAGAAGTGGGCGCACGAGAGAGGCAACTGGGAGGTATGAAAGCTGGCGAACTAATCAGGGCGACCACAAATCTTTGAAAGGGACTGTTACCTACCCAATAAAGCAATTTCTGCGCCGGTAGTACACAGTCCGCAAGATCCCTGTTGCGCTTCTCTTGCACGCTCTTGAAGTCACTGCCAAACACCAACGCGCCCATGAGATCGAATCCAAGATAGACACCCATCTGGTGAGCATTCCACTTCTCGCCCCATGCAGCTCCATTCGGCTTCAAGGATTCGCAAAAGCGCTCAATAATGTCGATGAGCAATGGCTCATTTGCCTTGATGGACTCGGTTGAGAAAGTGGGCGTCATCCATCGTCGCTTGATCGCATGCTTTTCCCTATCTGTTTCGGTGAAGCTGCTGTAGGTCCCCGCTGCGATGTCAAATGTCTTGTACCATTCACCCTTCTTTACATTTGCGGATCGCGTCCCATAGATGGCATGAACGGCCGAGGTCGTGTTGAACGAGAGTGTGTTCGGCGCTATGCGTACGACCGGGCCTGCAGAACAATTAGTCCTGCCGAGAAGCAAGTTTGTGCATCGGGTTTGGATGCTCATAGGAAGCTCATAGGAAGCATCGCAGCTACGCACCATATCTCTCGTGGTCGCGAAGATGCCATATGTGTCGATCGCCCTTGTATGCTTGCCAGACGAGCGGCCAGCCGGTGAGCTTGTAGCTGAGCGGCCCAGGATACTTCGCGAGCGGATGGAAGAAAACGCGATAGGCGCACAGAGAAATTATCTATTGTTGTAGATTCTGAGTTGTCTGCTAATGGGCAAGAAAGATCTGAAGCCTCTTACATATGCTGTAAAAGCAACAGCTGCATAGACCAACGCCTGCGAAAGCGAGAACGTAGATATCATACTGTTGAACCGCGAACTGAAATGGAGATAGGCGAAGGTCTGAGACGCCTGCAATGTGAATATGACATCTTAAAAGTCCCGGCAGCTACGATGCAACCCCCCCGTCGGAGGCAATCTCCTCAATGAGCTTACTCTCCCACACTGCATGGAAGCGATTGGTAATTGTGGCATGACATGCGAGATGCGACCACCCCAGCTCGGTAGCTGGTCTTCACGAGATGCAGAGGCGTGGGATTGGAAGTGCATCCGCGTAGTCGAAATCCAGCTAGCGAAGTGGGGCGTGGAGACGGCCCGATGCCGTCGAACCTCTGTCACTTGTTCGCCTCTCGTAAACCATCTCAACCTCAGCTACCCTCAATCTCCGATCCAGCAGCGGCGGAAAAAGCATATCACCATGCTCGTCAAAGGGCCTCTCAAGCCGCCCTCGAAACCGATGACGTCATCTTTCTCGAGCGAGAGCCGTGCATCACGAGGCGATTTGTTGTTCAGCGTAGAGCCGCACAGGCGCAAAGGTTGCTCTCGTCAACGTGTATTTTGTCGATCAGATTTCTAAGATATCTACAGTAACTGAGTTCAACCCTTTGCTCTCCCCCTCGCTGTTGCTTGACCCCAAGGAGTTGGAGCGCAAGCGAAACGCCATGTCAGTATGATGACCCGAGATATGACTTGGATTCGCACTCATATCGAGGTACACACATTCGAACACTACCATAAGACACATATCATTGTGAAGAGCCGGTATAGCTGTCTTCGTGGCGGTAGATGTTGTTACCGGTAATGGCCTCAATATCCAGCGGACCACTCGCCCGCTACCACGACGTTTCCCTTGCAGAGCGTACGATGTCTTAACTTTCTCAAGTCGCAGCGGCGATATCCGACGCTTTCCTGCTGTCACTGGAGTGGTACATGGTGTAGACAGGGGTACTGGTGTTTGAAACTGATTGATACTGATAGCCTGTGGACCATGTTATTGGGTATGTCGTATTCGATATAATCCGAGTTGAGCAAGACGAACGTGCGGTAGAGTCTCCGGGACGGGTCTAAGAAAAGAATTCAAATCAGCAAAGTCTCACACAGCAATGCACCGCATTGCCAATGGTGAAACGACACAATCGGTCGACTTGCAACGGATTGCTACAGGTCTCGCAAGACGTACCTTTTTCAAACCCGGATAGGTGGTATAAGTCTTGCTCTTCGTACCACCGGTGCTCGTTGAAGAGGTCGTGGTCAATGAATCTGTGGGATCTGGACGAAACGTGGGAAATGATTCTGTTGGGTCTGGATGAAAGATCGGGAAAGTCTCTAAGTTGGACGTTACGGACGGAGATTGGCCTGTTGAATAGGACTCTGTGGGCTGCGGATGGAAGGTTGGTAAAGTCTCCAAGTCAGAGGTTATGGAAGGAGGCTGAAGCTCGGGTGGAGGGTAGAACTTCGTTGTGCTAGTTGTGCTAGTTGTGCTAGTTGTGCTAGTTGTGCTAGTTGTGCTAGACGAAGCAATGGTAGAATTGCCCAGGAGGGGCTCGAACTTCGTAGTAGACATTGTTTCAGACCGATTCGCCGTTGACTTCCGGGAAAGAAAGGACAGAAATGCTGGAACTTTAGCTCGGCTGGCGGTCCTAGTTGGAAGCTGAGGTTCGGACGTGTGAGTAGTGTTGGTCGTCTTCAATCCAGACGCAGATGTGTGTGAATAGAGTCTCGTGGCGGGTATCGGGCCGGCTTTGTCCATATTCCTGCGGGCAGGGTGTTAGTATGGTAAGTGTATCCAATCTAGAGCAAGCGGGTTTCCTCCTTGGTAGCGTATGGAAATGGGGAAAACTTATCAAAGCCACATACATGCCTACAGGCGGAGCGGTAGTCGTGAGCGGCATGCTGACCGTCACTAGATGCTTGGCGGCGGATGCTGAGGTCTCAGTAGACAAGTTCACGTAGCGTGCAATGACGATGGCCGGCAGGAGGCAGTAGACCAACAGCATCGCGGCGGTGGATCTGATCAAGGTAGCGTGTCGTAGTCCTGAAGTAAATCAATGTGCTTGCGTGACGGAAAAGACTGAACACAATGGAGTTCCGGCGAGGTCTCCAGGTGAGCCCGGAAAAGAACTGTGTGGGTGATTGAGGTCACACGAGTTTTTGAGACGTGCCTTCCGTGCGAGATATCGTCACTTCTTCATCCAACTACTCAAGAGGAAAGTACGTTCTTGCGAACCGCTCACCACAGCCGCACTGGTGCGACGCTATGCGACCGGTATGCATTTATGAAGATAGACCATCTAACTGCATGGTAGTCTACCTGTGCATTAGCACGTAGTTCAGTACTCAAGGCCAGCCACCCTGACATGCATAACAGAACCTCCCCCTCATGTTTACTCTGCGGCTGAAACCACTCGATCGAACCAAACAGACGCAACGCAACCGAGAGACCAAAACACACGAGACGCCATACAGTTCTTCCCTCAAAGCCTCCACTCCTACTTCTTCCGCCACTCCAACAACGCCCTCTTGACGCGAGGCCGCCCTTCTACACTTTCTCTTCTCTTCGAAAATTTCCCAATGCTATCCGCCTCCGGGCCACTGACCAACCCTACAAACGATTGGAATCGACCTATCATGACTTGACGTGCAAATGATGAGACGCAGGTGCTCGATATGTCAACCCACCTTTCAAGCAACAAGATGTTTCAGACAACCAAATGCTTCGGGAAGAGAATTGACCCTGGTATCACAGAGCAGCGTCATCTTAAACATTTCGCTACCAATCTCCATGCAGGCAAAGTGCAGACCGATGGGACGATCAGTATTGCGAAGGTATCTAATCAGAGTCATAGTGGCAGTTACAAGAGGACTGGCGATACTGACATGCCTCAAATTCTCGATTTCCAAGGCTTTGTCAGTGTGAAGGGCGTCTGCGTGCGGGCTGATCAGGATTGGCTCTCCTGCAGGTACTCACGACGTGATACTGTTATACAATTGCGGTGTATCAGTCTATTGCGAATGATCACACGAATGCAAGCTCTCCACAGAATCACCAGCTTTTGTGTCGGCCACTGTGGCTTGCATAAGGCTACGCAGCTGAGGCATGTCTGGAGGTGCTTCAGGGCATGGCAGCAGGCACGAAAACAGGAGCACGTGCACGGGGTTACATCGTGGCCAAGATTAGTTGATATGGTCAATCAGACGGTTGGTCTCGATTGTGTTCGGATTCAGGCTGGACTGGCACATGGGTCAGATGAAGGTCATGCCTATCGCGCAGCTGATTGTGATAGATCGCCAAGCGTGCCCGATTTAGACCTGTTTCGGAACGGCGATGGCTGACGTCGCAAGCCACGGGGCCTCGAGCAGCGCATACAGACACTCTTTTCTCTGTTGTTCCTACACAGTTCATTCTTTGCAGCGTTCTACGAGCAGTACTATCCTTCAGCATCCACCATGGCCGGCGGCCGGCCCCTCCTCGCTAGCCGCAACTCATCCGAGATCTCGAACGAGCGCGACCTCGCCGAAGAAGACGCCCTGCTCACCGGCCGTCCTACGAAGCGCCGCAGCGATGGGCGGAGATCGTGGTCATTCTGGCGAGAAGTCGGCCTCTTCGTGTGGGCCGTCGTCGCGACCGCCTTCGTCATTGTCCTCGCCGTCGTCTACCAGAAGTCGCAAGATTCGAAGCACAGCAGCCCCGCCCCGAGCGGCAAGCGCAACCTGATCTTCATGGTGTCGGACGGCATGGGTCCGACGAGCCTGAGTCTGACGCGCAGCTTCATGCAGTTCCAGAACGGCGCGCCGTGGAGCGAGCAGCTCGTCATCGACCAGCACTTGATCGGCCAGTCGCGCACGCGATCAAGCTCGTCGCTCATCACCGACTCGGCGGCTGGTGCAACCGCCTTCTCCTGCGCTACCAAGAGCTACAACGGCGCCATCTCTGTGACTCCGGACCACGAGCCGTGCGGCACCGTGCTGGAGGCGGCCAAGAAGGCGGGCTACATGACGGGCTTGGTCGTGACCACCAGGATTACCGACGCGACCCCGGCCTGCTTCGCGGCTCATGTGCACCAGCGTGGAGAAGAAGACCGCATTGCCGAGCAGATGGTGGGAGATTATCCCCTCGGCCGCATGGTTGACCTGATGTTTGGCGGTGGACGCTGCCATTTCCTGCCCAACTCCGCCGAGCATTCGTGCAGAGGAGACAACAAGGACGTGGTCGAGTTGGCCAAGAAAAACGGCTTCAACTACATCGGCAATCGCAAAGCCTTCGACGACTTGAAGGGCGGCAGCGGCCTTGAGTTCCCCATGCTCGGGCTCTTCGCAGAGACAGACATCCCGTACGAGATCGACCGCCGCAACGAAACCGATGTCTATCCCTCGCTTCACGAGATGGCAGAGGTGGCCCTCAACGCACTCAGCGAAGCGACCAGAGACAGCGACAAGGGCTTCTTCCTCATGATCGAGGGCTCCCGCATCGACCACGCCGGCCACCACAACGATCCCGCCGCCCAGGTCCACGAAGTCCTCGCCTACGACAAGGCCATGACCAGCGTCCTCAACTTCCTCAAGAACGACCCCACCGAAGGCATTATGGTGTCGACCTCTGACCACGAGACTGGCGGTCTCGCCACTGCCCGCCGTAAGCCTTCCCTACCCATCCTACGTATATATCACTAACCCGCCCCTCAGAACTCCACGTGTCCTACCCCGAATACGTCTGGTTCCCCGCCGCCCTCGCCAACGCCACACACTCCGCCGAACGCCTCGCCGCCGAATACATGGGCTACTTCAACAACCACCCGGACACCTCAGCGCGCACGGCCTTCGTGACCGCCTCCATCGAGCAAGGCCTCGGCATCTTCGACCACTCGGAGGACGAGGTCTCCAACATCGCGAACGACCCCGCCTCCGCTCTCTACCGCTACGCAGACATGATCAGCCGCCGCTCCCAGTCCGGCTGGTCCACCCACGGGCACTCCGCCGCCGACGTCAATATTTACGCGAGCGACGCTCAGGCGGCGGCGCCGCTGGTGGGGAATCATGAGAACACCGAGGTGGGGAGGTTCTTGAAGGAGTATTTGGGCGTGGACGTGGATGCGGTGACGAGCGAGTTGAAAAAGAAGGATAAGGAGCTGAAGATGCTTGGTGAGGTCGGGGATGGCTGGATGGGCAAGATACCCGAGGAGGGGCAGAGGCTGGATGGACAGACGCATCTGGCGAGCTACAGTGGGGATTTCAAGAAAAGGGGGGTTGAGCATGGAGATGCGTGTGGGTGTGGGCACTAGCCAGTCGCCCGCCTGGAACTTTCCTGTATAAGACTATGTTTGATTAGCATTTCTGGCGTTTTGCGCGGGAACTAGATCATGATACCGGGTTTGTATATAAACCCATGGTTTCTGGATATGTAAATTGCGGCTATGCGTGTTTTTCAAATTGTATAGTCTTGACAAGAGTCTCATGCTTTGCCTTGGACATTCAATATTACATCATGCTCACGCCCATCCGGCCAGCGATACTGCCGCCTGACTAGACTCAGTGCCCATTGCGCCGCCAGACCAGCACCTCGTTAAGTTAGCCTGCGGGGGATCGATTGGGCCTGTATTTTGCATTTAGCAAAGTAAAGGCGGGGCATGGTATGATTTACGGAGATGTATAACTTTTCACCTGCAGATGCGGAGGCTACTGTTGACCGGGCAGCTATACGGTATCCTGGAACGACTCGATGCCTGCCACGTTGAGGGGACATAACTTTATCGACGCAGCCTGCGTTGCCACGACTACATTCACGGTGTGCATGCAGTGCAGAAACAGTGCCTCGTGCCACATGTCACGAACTTGTGCAGCCTTCCACGTAGTGTCGATGTAGCAATTACCACCCCTAGCTTATCGATCCAATGATAGTACCCAAAGCGATACCCATCTCCTATGGATACAATCTCCGCCCTATACGAAAAAAAATTCAACACCCCCTCACGGAACAAGACACTCGAGCAACACCTCGCTCCACCACGCGCTCTCAACCGAGTACGAGCGGTCCCGCTTCCTCGTCACCAAACTGCCCTCCTTCACGCTACTCCCGAGCCTATTCCGTCTGACCTCTGCACTCCAGCCACGACACCTGATGGCCGTACTCAGCGCATCCTTTGCCTGACACTCACCACCCTCACTCAGGGCCACACTCTTGTCCTGGTTTTCTCGAACCCCATCTCCACTGCCTACCCTCTCCTCACCCTTCTCTTCCTCACACACCATCCTGTCTTTTATTCCCAGTCCAAAAAGGCACCCCTCCCACACCCTAAACAGCACCTCCCAAACATGGCATCCCACAAGCCCTACGCACAGCGCAACATCAAACCCCCCACTGACATAGCTATCCGTGCATATCCGCTGACAGCGCTCCAGCACGCTCATGCTCGTATTCATCGGGTCCATAAACGCCTCGGGGTAGGGAGACACGTAGGCCTCGCAGGAATCCCAGTTAGTGTCGATGACGTGGAAGAAGTTGACTACATGAACGAGAAGGATGGTGGTGAGGAGGGCGTTATATGCAGTGTGGAGAGTGAGTATGAGGATGGGAGGGATGTGGGTGGGTGGAGGGTGTGGAGGGAGGGGAATGGAGGCTGTGCTTGTGGCAGTCGACGTTGAGGTGGAGGTGGAGTTGCATGCGGATGTGAATTCAGATGCGCGACGGCCTCGCTCTTCCACTTCGTCGTCTCCGAACCCTCTTTCATAGCGCCGTGCGTGGTAGTGATCCAGCGCGAGAAGCGCACGCACGCAATCAATCGACACCTGCCTCATCAGTACTCCATCACCTTCTTCAGGCGGAATAGCGAAACGCACCACCACAAACAAGAACGCCCACAGGAAGCCTCTCCCACCTGTAAAATGTGTCTTGTCGAAGGTCGAGATCCAGTCGTCCGGCATCCCGTAGTCATCGTGGATGTGCGCGCTCGAGATGTGCCAGATGAGCGCCGGTAGGGCGATGAACGCCACGATGAGGTGGACGCTGTAGGCGGTTATGTGGGTCTCGAGGCGAGCGGTGAGCGAGTATCGTTCTTGAAGTGGAACAAACATGACTGGGTGCTGATGCAGGGTTTACTTTTAGTAAGTGAGAGGTGCTCAAAGCAAGTTTCAGGTGTTAGCCCTTGTTGTGCGTCGAGCAGGAACGTCTTTGATGTTGCTGTTCTGTTGGGCAGGACGGATGGTATACAAAGGTGGGAAAGTACGGCGGGTGTACTCCTATAACGGCACCAACGCTTCTTCCAATGTTGCTAATCATACATAAAATCCCATATACATGCCTTGATGGTCATGTGCAACATCGAGAATTGTTGCCCTGGCTCCATCTCTGCCCAGTGATTTTTCTGCCACTACAGCCCGTATAAACAATTCTCGCAGACCAATATTGACAGTACCCTGCTCTTCTCGCAGGCCATCTCCCCTTTTACACGTGGAATACAAACCGATACCACAATACTAGAATAATGCCGCCTAGGCGCCTGAACGCCTCGCTAAAAGATCCGAAGCATACCCAAAAGCAACAATGTGTAGAAAAAAGTGAAGGACCGGAACCGTGGGTATAGCCGGTACTAAGAAAATGAGATGTAAAGAATGATGTGTGTTTAAGACTGAGCGAGTGGCTTATCCAAGCCATGGTGACCAGCAATAGCGATATGTATCGGCAAGTGTCGGCTGCAGACCTCCTGAATCTCGGCTAGAGGAAAAGGTAGTCTAGGTTCGTATGGTGCTCATACGAAGAGCCCGTCTAAGACCCAAAGTCGTTCGTAAAGACACCGCCATACTGATTATTCCAGTCTTGTGCCTCGAGCATCCAACTCACGGAGTCGAAGAACTCATAGCTGTTGGCGCTTGCCAAGCCATTCGGCAACTGCGCTGGCATGCTGAGCGTGTTAAGGTGCGGATTGAAACTTGGAAGGCTGTGGGCCGGGTTTTCCACGATCAGGCCGGGTGGAGGGGTGGAGTTGGACGAACTGTCGGGATTTGTTGGGTTATCTCGCACTGTCGTGTCCAGCTGCTCCGCAGCGCCACTGACTTGCGATTCGCGCCAACGCCATACACAATCAAATACAACGCTCATGCTCATCCGGCTGCGAACGATGAGCCCGAGAGGATCTTCGAGCAGACCTGTGAGATGTTAGATAAAGGTGGAGATGGGGTTGGAGTTGTCAAAAGGTGAAACTCACCAGAGCTATCTCTCCGATGGCCCGACTGCTGCTGTTGAGGGGCTTGCACATTGTTGTTGAACATGTTCGCGACACCAGGATTGCTAACAACAGGCGACTGAGACATGCTATGCAGACTGCGTCCGCGAGAACTCTCTTTCCACAGCTGGGCCAAAACCTCCGCAAATCGGTCGAGCAAGTCGTTAGTCTCGACTTTGGATTTCCGTAGAGCCTCTACAGTCTGTAGAACATATTGTCGACCGTCTGACGGCAGCCTTGCTGAGAAATCTGAGTTGAGGAGCTTGAGCAATGCAAAGCCGGCTGCCAGTGCTAGCTGCATGATATGATATGGTGTATGAATGAGCTGTCCGTCGCGTTGTAACTTGAATACGCGGTCGAGATATGAAGTCGCGGACCAGTACAGTTGTACAAGATCATCGCGGCGCTCGAGGCGAGCTTCTCTGTTGAAGAAAGAGTACAAATGCAAGTGCAGGCTGACCGCGCAATGGTGTAGTTCTTCCAGTTCTGTTCTCATTAGTTCCCGGTTTACAATGCTGCAAGCACTTTCAGAATAAGCATACCTTTGTTGACACCATCAAAAGCTCCACGCTCTTCCCGAAGACGATCTGCTTCCAAACCCATATAGGTTGTTGCAGCTCCTTCGGAGAATCGATTATTGTTCATGGAGTACAGGAGCTTGTTAATGCGGCTCGCGGCCATTTCCTGACGCAGTCGGACAAAGATGTCGGGAGGCAGCGTTCCAGCATGCTCCTCGTCATCCATCTTGAAGTCCAACGTGTTATCGTATAGAGTAATCGATGGCTGACCATGACCTGTAGAAACGCTGCAATGCATCAGCTACAATCCAATGCACTATGAACGAGAGACTCACGTCTGGGCCACAATGTTACAGACAGCCCACGTTCGCAGCCTATCTTGAATATCCTCTTTTTGCAATCGCACCTTGGTCCTCGAAAAGTCCTGCGGATGCGTTGGCTGGTGCAGTCCGATCTGGATAGCGACCTGCATCATAACTCCGCAAAGTACGAAGGTGGGATCCATCACCGTCCGATGCTGCGGTAGCGGCCAGTAGCAAAGAAGGCACAGCGCCTTCACTACGTGATGATTCGTCTGACCCTTGATCGTCTTCCATATCAGGTCTGTCAACGGGTCCTTCAGGCGGTTCAGCAGCCCCTGGTCGCGCTTGTAGTGGCGCGCTCCAACGCTGATGATGGCCCAGAAGAGGAGCTTATTGTCTTTGGTGAGGACTTCTTCAGGCTGGCGCAACGGGTCGAGGAAGGGCAGGAAGCGGTGGTACTTGTCGAAGAATTCGGTAAACAGCTCTGTGACCTGCGCGGGCGGCAGGCGAAGGCTTTCAAGCGAATGCATCATAGGGGATCCGCTCCGCAAGTCCAGCAGCGAGGTCGCAGCAACCTGTTGATGCTGCGTCTGCAAGAAGGCATCGTCCTCGTCGACCTTGATCGTGCCGGGCGCGGAAAATGTACCGTCTGCCAACTGTTGCTGCTGCGGCGTGCTGACCATGGGCATGTGGTTCGCTCTGCCCTGCTCGTACATGGCCAGACGGTTGCGCAGCTGCTCCATCTCGCGCTCCATTTCGGCATTTCTAGTGCGCTTTCCTACGCGCTTGAAGTTGGGCTCGATTACGCATTTCAGGCCTTGTTTCTGGCATCGCGCGCAGCTCACGAAGGGGTCCTGCTGGACGTTGCATCTGAGCTGTCGAAAGTCAGCGGGGGCCTGTCCTGACACAGCGGGCTTGACGTGTCTCTGACCGCGAGCCAACTGGCTCGAGGCGAACGCATGCACGCACCTTTTGCTGGCGACACTCGTTGCAGGCGCGCTTCACCACAGTGCTGCGTCTGCTGCCGGGGCGCGTACTCCCACCGTCGCCATTTTCCTCGTCGTCGCTAGAGGCGGGTCGCTTGAACGTCTGGGAGCGGGCGCTCGTCGGGCTGGCGACGTAGGATATTGGCGGATTCCCTTGCGCGCCGTTTGGCGTCTGGGGCGACATGGACAACATTTCCGTTGTTGTGCCCGATATCGCATGCAGTGAGGGTTCGGCTCCAACGAGCGGAAGAATTCCAAGGCGGGGCACGCTGAGCTAGACTCAAATGGCGCCAGGGCGAGCGAAAGGTCGGAGGGCACTGCCAAACGCTTAGCTGCCAATTGCTGCTGCGAACGTGCGGAGTTGGCGCTCATGTGATGATGACAGGCCCGCTTCATGCAGGAGCCCGGACTTTGTTGTGGAAGGCGACGATAGCCGCCCCAACTGACTCACCATCTGTCCGCGAGAATTGTGACCGTTGAACGCTGAAGCTGTGGCACAGCTACGACATCTCCGCGGCAGCCAATGGCACCGAGGCAGCTGGTCCACTTCCGGCACACCACCCAAGAGCGGAAGTAGCGAAGAAGGGTCTGCCTGCATCTGCGTGAATTGTCTACGTTACCCATGCCGAGATCACTGCGCGACACCGAACCCGTTAGCTGCTAGATGCAATCATCGTGTCTAAGGACGACCGTTGACTTTGAAACAGAGCATCACAGTCCGTGTGCTGACGTGCAATCTCCGCAATGTCTGTTCAAGATGATTCGTGTTTTAGTAAGGATAGCCATTCAGCAAAGAGCTCTTATAGTCCAATGGGGCTCATCTATCGTGTAGTCTGGACACTACCAAGGCTGCTGGTAGACGTGCATCCCCAGCATCATAACATCATCGCATTCACCATCGATGGGACGACTGGAGAGAAAACTTGGCTTGTCAGTAGTTTTTTGTTCTACTAAGCGAATTGTTCTGGGACGCCCGAGCGTAATGCAGAAATCGCCTTGATATCGTAATTCCTAAAGCCCGCCTGATCCAGGAACTGCCCGTAATGCACATGAACACCGAATGCCCTGTTTTCAATCACTCCCACAATCATAACCCCTTAACGCTTCTTCTGCTGCGACTCCTTGAGCACCTTCTTCACGACCTTCTGCTCCTCAATGAGGAAAGCGCGGACGATGCGGTCCTGGACGCAGTTGGCGCATCGCGAGCCGCCGTAGGCGCGCTGGACGGTCTTCTTGGGGCGGGAGATGGTGGCGTACTCGCGGGGACGGAGGGCAGGGATACCGGGGAGCTTGGTACCGCAGTCCTGATTTCGTTAACACATGTTCAATGCATGTAGAACGTCAACACATACACCGCACTTGGGAGCAGTGCCCTTCTTCTTGATGTGGAGGTATCGGAGCTGGCCACCGGGAGTCTTGATCACGCGCACATTGTTGCTGGTGGTGTTGTACGGGGCCCGTCGGCGCTGCCCAAAGTCAGTCTCGAATTCCCAATCGCAAAACAGTTCTAGTATTGCGGCTTCTGAAAGTCCTCGGGTGCAGGCAAACGTACGTAGGTGAGTCTAGCGGACGGCATTTTGATGGTATTCCCGAAGATTCAGACGGAGGAATTACTGCGGAGCGTGTAAGCGGCGTCTGGTGTGCGATAAATTGTGCGAATGCGAGCGGTATAGGAGTGTTCGTACCTGATCTGGCAAAGAGAGTTAGTATTGCAGGGAGCAGCGGGTGCGCGTTGGGGCAGACTTACCGCGGGTGTTGCTGTTGTCGACGGTCGTGGAGTTTCGCGATGGCTCGGAATCGTGTGTGGGAGCGCCCTTCCCTCGCTTAATTTTTCGCGCAGCCGCTAGCGATGCGCCAAGTCTCACGTGAGCCCGCTGCGGCCCTGCGCGCAGGAGAAAAGATATCATCACCCGCCACTTGCTGTGTATCGCGAGTCCCTCCATCGCGTGGGGCATCAATTTCTTTGTGACGCGTCTGTTTCCGAAGGATACCTCCTTGCGCGGTCGCAACAACACTCTTTCGACCGTTGCGCGCCACCGACGGCCTGCCTGAAGAGCTGTAGGTAAAGCTCCAAGGCTTGCGTCGCGACGAGCGCATCAATCAGTCTTCCGCTTCAGCGCGAGCTGCAGCTGGGCCACAAGGTAAATCATCCCGTCTCGGACGATCCTGTACCATACTGCAAGCTCGTTATCCGCTCAGAGTAATTCTTCGCTGCCGCCTCCCGCATTATCACGACTCCGGCTCTGATAGAACTCGAGTTCATCCCGCTAACTCTCGTAAGACATCCAATTCTGTAATTTACGATGGCTTTCCCGCCACCACCGCCGCCGCCTCCTCCTCCAGGGGCGCCTGGCTCTTCATTCGGGGCTCTTCCCCCTCCTCCGCCTCCCCCAGGACCTCCTGGCACTGTCGGTCCCCCTGGCCTACGACCACCTATCGACCCACAGGTAGCAAAATTCGCGCAGAAGAAAAAGGACTGGCTGCGGCGACAGCGCCAGAGGTTTGGCGAAAGGAGAAAGGCAGGGTTCGTCGAGACACAAAAGGCGGATCTTCCCCCGGAGCATTTGCGCAAAGTTTTCAGGGACATTGGAGATGTTTCACAGAAGAAGTTCACAAGCGACAAGCGAAGCTACTTGGGCGCACTGAAGTTCATGCCTCATGCTGTCCTCAAGCTGTTGGAGAACATGCCCATGCCATGGGAGAGCAGACGCGACGTCAAGGTCCTTTACCACACTAATGGATGTTTGACTTTGGTCAACGAAGTGCCACGTGTCATCGAGCCAGTCTTTCATGCGCAATGGGCCGCAATGTGGATTGCGATGCGCAAGGAAAAGAGCGACCGACGGCATTTCAAGCGCATGCGATTCCCGCCATTCGACGATGAAGAGCCTCCTATGTCGTACTCAGAGAATATCGAGGACGTGGAGCCATTGGAACCGATTCAGTTGGAGCTTGATGAGGATGAAGATGGCCCGGTGTACGACTGGTTCTACGATCACCGACCGTTGCTCGACACCCCACATGTCAACGGACCGAGCTATGAGAAATGGAATCTGGATCTGCCTCAAATGGCCACACTTTATCGTCTAAGCGACAAGTTGCTCAGCGATTTGGTGGACAAGAACTATTTCCACATGTTCGACCTGGACAGTTTCCTGACCGCCAAAGCCCTAAACGTAGCAATCCCTGGAGGACCCCGTTTCGAGCCACTTTACAAGGATATCGACCCGAACGACGAGGACTTTGGCGAGTTCAATGCGATCGATCGCATCATCTTCCGATCTCCCATTCGAACCGAGTATCGTGTGTCTTTCCCGTTCCTTTACAACTCACTTCCGCGATCCGTCAAGCTTGCGTGGTACTCCCACCCCCAAGTTGTGTATGTTCGCAGCGATAACCCTGATCTCCCGGCATTTTACTTCGATCCCATCATCAACCCGATTTCCTTGCGAGCGGTAGCGCCAACAAACATCACGGTCAGCCACGAGGATGAGGTCTTCGGATACGGAAATGACGAGGATGATGAAGATGACTTCCAACTCCCTGACGAAGTGGAGCCTTTTATGGCCGAAGAGGAGCTCTACACAGATGAGACAGCTTCAGCAATTGCGTTGTGGTGGGCACCGCATCCTTTCGACAAGCGCTCAGGCAGGATGGTGCGAGCGCAGGATGTTCCTCTTGTGAAACAGTGGTATCTCGAACACGTTCCCGCTGGACAGCCGGTGAAGGTCCGAGTCTCGTACCAGAAGCTTCTCAAGACTTACGTGTTGAACGAGCTCCACAACCGGCCTTCGAAAGCGCAAAACAAACAGAACTTGATGACGACGCTGAAAAGCACGAAATTCTTCCAACAGACCAAGATTGACTGGGTAGAAGCCGGTTTGCAGGTCTGCCGACAGGGTTTCAACATGTTGAACCTGCTCATTCACCGAAAGAACCTTACATACCTGCATCTCGACTACAACTTCAACCTCAAGCCAGTGAAGACGCTCACCACCAAGGAACGAAAGAAGTCGCGTTTCGGAAACGCCTTCCACTTGATGCGTGAGATCCTGCGTCTGACCAAGCTGATTGTCGATGCCCAGGTGCAGTATCGCCTCGGAAACATCGATGCCTTCCAACTTGCTGATGGCATTCTCTACGCTTTCAACCACGTTGGCCAGCTCACAGGAATGTACCGTTACAAGTACAAATTGATGCACCAAATCCGGTCATGCAAGGATCTGAAGCATCTCATTTACTATCGATTCAACTCGGGTCCCGTCGGCAAAGGTCCTGGATGCGGTTTCTGGGCGCCGGCATGGAGAGTCTGGCTGTTCTTCATGCGTGGTATTATCCCACTTTTGGAGCGATGGCTCGGCAACCTTCTTTCTCGACAATTCGAAGGGCGTCACAGCAAGGGTGTTGCGAAAACGGTCACCAAGCAGCGTGTGGAGTCTCACTTCGATCTCGAGCTTCGCGCTGCAGTAATGAGTGATCTTATGGACATGATGCCCGAAGGTATCAAGCAGAACAAGGTCAACACTGTCCTACAACATCTTTCGGAAGCCTGGAGATGCTGGAAGAGTAACATCCCCTGGAAGGTCCCAGGTCTACCAGCGCCAATCGAGAACATCATCCTTCGTTATGTCAAGAGCAAGGCTGATTGGTGGATCTCTGTCGCACATTACAACCGCGAGCGCATCCGGCGAGGGGCCACTGTCGACAAGACGGTCGCGAAGAAGAATCTGGGAAGACTGACGCGCTTGTGGTTGAAAGCTGAGCAGGAACGTCAACATAACTACATGAAGGACGGTCCCTACGTCTCTTCGGAGGAAGCTGTTGCGATCTACACGACGATGGTGCATTGGTTGGAGGCGAGGAAGTTCCAACCGATTCCTTTCCCTAGTGTATCCTACAAGCACGACACGAAGATCCTCATTCTTGCACTTGAGCGTCTTCGTGAAGCATACTCGGTCAAGGGCCGTCTCAACCAGAGTCAGCGTGAGGAACTTGCACTCATTGAACAGGCTTACGACTCCCCTGGAACGACTCTGGCGAGGATCAAGCGATTCTTGTTGACGCAGCGAGCGTTCAAGGAAGTCGGCATCGATATGAATGACAATTACAGCACAATCAATCCGGTGTACGATATCGAGCCGATGGAGAAGATCACGGATGCTTATCTCGATCAATATCTGTGGTACCAAGCCGACCAGCGGCATCTATTCCCAGGCTGGATCAAGCCTTCCGATTCGGAAGTCCCACCCTTACTCACCTATAAGTGGGCCCAGGGTATCAATAACTTGGATCAAGTCTGGGAACATGAAGATGGACAATGCAACGTTTTGATTGAGACGCAGTTGTCCAAGGTGTATGAGAAGATGGATCTGACGCTGCTCAACCGTTTGCTACGGTTGATCATGGACCACAACCTAGCAGACTACATTACGGCCAAGAACAACGTTCAGCTCAACTACAAAGACATGAACCACGTTAATGCCTACGGCATGATCCGAGGTCTACAGTTTTCTGGCTTTGTCTTCCAGTTCTACGGACTCGTCTTGGATATTTTGCTACTTGGTCTCCAGCGAGCGAACGAGATTGCAGGTGCTCCGGAAAGTCCGAACGACTTCCTCCAATTCAAGGACAAGGAAACCGAGGTTCGCCACCCCATTCGCCTCTACACCCGATACATTGATCGCATTTGGGTGTTCTTCCGATTCACCGCCGAGGAATCGAGGGACCTGATTCAGCGATTCTTGACCGAGAATCCTGACCCCAACTTCGAGAACGTTATTGGGTATCGCAACAAGAAGTGTTGGCCGCGCGACTCCAGAATGCGTTTGATGCGTCACGATGTCAACCTCGGACGGGCCGTATTTTGGGACCTAAAGAACCGTTTGCCTCGCTCCATCACCACTATCGAGTGGGATGATACTTTCGCAAGCGTATACAGCCGCGACAATCCCAACCTTCTCTTTTCTATGAATGGGTTCGAAGTGCGCATCCTACCCAAAATTCGCAACCTCAACGAGGAGTTCCCTACGAAGGACAGCGTGTGGTCACTCGTTGACAACGCCACGAAAGAGCGCACCGCACATGCCTTCCTTCAGGTCACGGAAGAGGATATCCAGAAGTTCAACAACCGCATTCGGCAGATTCTAATGTCCTCCGGGTCAACGACGTTTACCAAGATTGCGAATAAGTGGAACACTACGCTTATTGCGCTGTTCACATACTACCGCGAGGCAGCTGTGTCAACCGTTAACCTCCTTGACACAATTGTTAAGTGTGAGACCAAGATTCAGACACGTGTCAAGATTGGTCTAAATTCCAAGATGCCTTCGCGCTTCCCTCCAGCGGTCTTCTATACTCCAAAGGAACTAGGTGGTCTCGGTATGATCTCGGGATCTCACATCCTGATCCCTGCGAGTGACAAGCGGTGGTTTAAGCAGACCGATACTGGCATTACGCACTTCCGTGCTGGTATGTCGCACGACGAGGAGACATTGATCCCGAACATCTTCCGCTACATTATTCCGTGGGAATCCGAGTTCATCGACTCGCAGCGTGTGTGGATGGAATATTCACAGAAACGACAAGAAGCACATCAACAGAACCGGCGATTAACATTGGAGGACTTGGAGGACAGCTGGGACCGAGGTCTTCCTCGTATCAACACACTTTTCCAGAAGGACCGTAGCACTCTCAGTTTCGACAAGGGTTTCCGAGCTAGGACCGAGTTCAAAATCTACCAACACATGAAGAGCAACCCATTCTGGTGGACGAGCCAGCGACATGACGGCAAGCTCTGGAATCTTAATGCCTACAGAACGGACGTTATTCAGGCTCTTGGTGGTGTCGAGACTATTCTCGAGCACACACTCTTCAAGGCGACCGCTTTCCCGTCCTGGGAAGGTCTGTTCTGGGAAAAGGTACGTTTACTTCGACTAATATATTGTTTGGTCAAGAGTTTGAGTACTGCTTTACCACTACTGGGGTCACACAAGGTATTCAGACTATGGAAAGTTTGAGTACCCCATTGCGACTCCTAGGGTAATACATGGTACCCAAATTGTTGACTAGGGACTGCTTTATGAATCAAACTAACTTTGTGTAGGCATCTGGATTCGAAGAGTCGATGAAATTCAAGAAACTCACAAATGCTCAACGATCCGGTTTGAATCAAATTCCCAACCGTCGATTCACCTTGTGGTGGTCTCCTACGATCAACCGTGCCAACGTCTACGTCGGTTTCCAGGTCCAGCTTGACCTGACTGGTATCTTTTTGCACGGCAAGATTCCGACACTAAAGATTTCTTTGATCCAGATTTTCCGTGCACATTTGTGGCAGAAGATTCACGAGTCAGTCGTAATGGATTTGTGCCAGGTCTTTGACCAAGAACTGGAAGCTTTAGGTATCGAAACGGTGCAGAAGGAGACCATCCATCCTCGTAAATCGTACAAGATGAACAGCTCATGCGCTGATATCTTGCTGTTCGCCAGCCACAAGTGGAGTGTGTCAAACCCATCCCCGCTCCAAGACAATAAGGATCAAATGGGCGCTACTACGACAAACAAGTTCTGGATCGATGTGCAACTGCGCTACGGTGATTACGATTCTCATGACATTGAGCGCTACGTTCGCGCGAAGTACCTTGACTACACTCAAGACAGTATGAGCATCTACCCATCGGCCACCGGTTTGATGATCGCGATTGATCTAGCTTACAATCTGTACTCGGCATATGGCCAGTATTTCCCTGGTCTCAAGCAGCTGGTGCAGCAGGCCATGGCCAAGGTCATGAAGGCTAACCCTGCTCTTTACGTCCTTCGCGAGCGTATCCGAAAGGGTCTACAGCTGTACGCTTCGGAGAGCAATCAGGAATTTCTCAACTCCCAGAACTACTCCGAGTTGTTCAGCAATCAGGTCCAGCTGTTCATTGATGACACAAACGTCTACCGTGTCACTATCCACAAGACTTTCGAGGGTAACTTGACCACCAAGCCCATCAACGGTGCTATCTTCATCTTCAACCCTCGAACGGGACAGCTTTTCCTCAAGATCATTCACACTAGTGTCTGGGCTGGACAGAAGCGTCTCGGTCAATTAGCCAAATGGAAGACTGCAGAAGAAGTTGCAGCTCTCATCCGATCTCTGCCCGTTGAGGAACAGCCGAAGCAGCTCATTGTCACGCGAAAGGGTCTGCTCGATCCCCTAGAGGTCCACTTGCTCGACTTCCCAAATATCTCCATCCGTGCATCGGAGCTGCAACTTCCTTTCCAGGCTGCCATGAAGGTTGAGAAGCTTGGTGACATGATCCTTCGCGCGACTGGCCCTCAAATGGTGCTCTTCAACCTCTACGATGAATGGCTAAAGACAATCTCGTCTTACACGGCATTCTCGCGTTTGATCCTCATTCTGCGCGCTTTGCACGTGAATCAGGACAAGACCAAGTTGCTCTTGCGCCCAGACAAGACGGTCATTACACAGGAGCATCACATCTGGCCGACGTTGGGTGATGACGAGTGGATCAAGGTGGAGGTGTCGCTGCGTGATCTTATCCTCAACGACTACGGCAAGAAGAATAACGTCAACACCTCATCGCTCACTAGCAGTGAAGTGCGCGACATCATCTTGGGAATGGAAATTTCAGCGCCTTCGATGCAACGTCAACAGGCTGCCGAGATCGATGCGCAACAACAAGAGCAGCAACAACTTACTGCTGTGACTACAAAGACCCAGAACATCCACGGCGAGGAGATGGTCGTCACTACAACATCCCAATACGAACAGGCATCTTTCGCTTCCAAGACGGAGTGGCGCACCAGGGCAGTGGCGACTTCGAACCTGCGCACCCGTGCCAACAACATCTACATCAACTCTGAAGATGTCAAGGAAGAAGGCCACTTCACCTATGTCATGCCAAAGAACGTTCTGAAGCGATTCATCACCATCGCAGACTTGCGGGTACAGGTTGCAGGGTATCTGTACGGCCGATCCCCGCGAGACAACGACCAGGTGAAGGAGATCGTAACCATCGTAATGATTCCTCAGGTCGGTAACACTCGCGATGTACAGCTGCCCAAGACCCTGCCGCATCATGAGTACCTCAACGACCTTGAGCCTCTGGGTATCATCCACACCGTCAGTGGCAACGAGCCTCCCTACATGCAAGCTAGCGACGTAACACAGCACGCTCGTTTGATGAACACACACTCGACCTGGGATAAAAAGACGGTCTCTATGACCGTTTCATTCACGCCTGGTTCAGTCTCACTCGCAGCCTGGGCACTTACACCAGCAGGCTACAAGTGGGGCGCCGAGAACAAAGATACCATGTCCGACAACCCGTCTGGCTTCTCCACCTCATTCGGTGAAAAGTGCCAGCTTCTGCTCTCGGACAAGATCCGCGGCTACTTCCTGGTCCCCGACAACGGCATCTGGAACTACAGTTTCTTGGGTAGCGCTTTCGGTACAGTCGAGAAGAGGCCAGTGAATGTGAAGCTTGACACGCCGGCGCGGTTCTACGATGGCGTGCATCGGCCGTTACATTTCCACAACTTCGCGGAATTGGAGGATGTATGGGTGGACCGCGAGAATCAATTCGAGTAATTGGGTACATGGAATTAACAGTGTATATCAGTTCGGCGTTGGGGGATTCTGGCGTTGAAACATAGTCGGCTTAGGGCCTTGTGGTATATCAGTTGCATTTGGGCGGGTGTGGGATGGCGAAGCAAAAAGGTGTATAACTGCGTGTATTAATTGGATTCGAAAATGCATATAAGCTTCTCCCTGAGAAATTCGTGACTATGAACTTGAGGGCGTCGCACCGTTATGTTCCACTGTACTCTGATTTTGCCCAGGAAAACCCAGTCACATTAAAGCGGAGGAGATGCTCGTCTACGGCCGTAGGATCTGTACCAATTTAACCGAATCCACCTTAATGGTCACTTGCATACTCGGTGCTCGAAAACTATTGCCCCACTACCAGAGTACCACAGGATCGGAAGGAGGCGGAGACCTCTACGCGTCCATGGAATATATGTCCGCGGAGAGTCTGTTTTAGCGCTATGCGGTAAAATCATCAGCGAGAGCAATTGGCCAAGAGAATGCCTTGTTGGAAGAGGAAAGTCGTCAAAGAATGCCTTACACTTGCAGGGCTAATGCCGGTGTGCCGGTCTGGCGGTGGGAAGTTGAGTCTGGACGGTGTGTTTGCGCGTGTGGCTGGTCGAGGCTGGGAAATGCGGTGTGAGTGGTAAAGAAATCATGGACGTGGATCACGATGAATTTCAGGTGGTGCAAATAGCAAAATACTGTAGTATCAAAAGATAACATTGCTGTCACAGGCAGATTTTATAGAAGCTAGTATAGATCATAGCGTCTTCTGATAGTCTCAGCTCTCTGTGACGGAAGAGTTGAGAACGGAAAATTGCCCCCGGGTGCAGACGTGTCCAACGAATGAGGTCTTCTTTCAAGCAGTAACAGATCTTGCATCGCCCATTCACAGGGCATCTCATACGCAGCATTCACAGTGGGATGCAGTGTAAATACAAAAGACACTGCGAAAAGCGTCCGCGTTATCCGTGCATTTACTAGTCCATCAATGCGACTTCCGAGTCTTCCATGCACGTTATGTGTAAGGATCTTCAAGCCTACACAGCCTCCAAAGCGTACGAATCTCTATCCGCCTTGCATTTTCATCCTACAGAATTCTTCCGTAGTTCCGATCCATGAGGAGCGTGACTGCAGTGCAATATATAAAGAAGTGTCTTCGCCCGAAACGAGAGTATCAAGCACAACAATTTCCCGAGTCATCCCTCAGTCCGTCCAACAATGGCGAAGACAACCTTCATCCCTGTAGCCCTCCTCACGCTCCTGCACTCCGCTGCAGCACATTACTACTTCCCACACCTCATCGTCAACGGCACCATAACGCCCGAGTTCAAATATGTCAGGTAGGTACACGAGACTTTTTCCCAAACTAAGCCCCCAACAACCTCTAATGCCTACATAGAGACGTCCGCCCCCATGAAGGCGACTACAGCGACCCCGACGGTTACAACGGCAAAGAATACCCCGTCTATGGTGAATTCGAAGACACATACATGACCGACGTGCGCTGCGGCCGCGATGCCTTTGCCTACGGCGCCGCCAAAACCGACACTGCGACTATAGTCGCAGGCAGCGCGGTGGGCTTCCACATCAAAGTTCGTTTCCATCTGCTGCACTCTCGAACCCCCTTTCGCATTTATACACCATGTGGCACATTCGCTAACACGTCCGGGACGCAGGAGTTCGTCGACCCCCAATACAACAACGGCATCTTCCACCCGGGCCCCGCACAAGTCTACATGTCCGCCTCCGCCGACCCAGCCAAAGACGACGGCTCCGGCGACTGGTTCAAGATCTACTACCTCGGGCCGTCCAGCAACACCACCTGGGCCACCGACCGCGCGACGCAGATCAACTTCACCATCCCCCTCGCCACCCCACCAGGCCCCTACCTCCTGCGCCTGGAACTCCCCTTCCCGATCAAAGACTGGCCGGGCCACAGCCAGTGGTACGTGAACTGCGCGCATGTAAACATCGTCGGTGATGGGACGGGCACGCCAGGACCTACGATTCGGATTCCGGATGATTACACCTCGTATGACGAGGGCATTGGGCTCACGACGCCTGGGGTCGACTTCGATACTGGACTGGATTGGTATGTTCCGCCTGGGCCAGCGCTTTGGACGGGAGAGGAAGGGAGCGAGAAGCGTGCGGTGGAGGAGGGATGGAGGAGGGAGGTTTGAGCGGTGAAGTGGGGTGATGCTGATGATTCATGGGCGGATACCTTGAAAGACGCTTTGCTATTCAGACTGGACCACAATCGTGATGTGCTCGTCTCTTAAGGGGATTATGATTGGATATCATTGCTCGATTAAAAACATGCCGACCCCCTTCAATAATTTTTTCGTGCTCTGCTCATGGTTGTGTCGATCGCAGTGAATCATCAGAGGCAACTCAGGAGAAGAAGAGAAAAAAATGGAACAACGCACTGGGTCAATTTTACTAAAGAATTACCATATATAGCCCATCTCTCGACAAGTATTCAATTAAGATGTACTATAAGATGTGCACGAATACCCAAGCAACGCTTTCCACAAGACCAAAGTCTACAAGTGCATACCCACCCATGTGCACGTCGCTGTTGTACAGAATAAACGCCAACCCAATGCACATCAAAACGAAAAGCAACCCCGCTCCAACAACTATGTTGACCAACATCTCTCCATCTCCTCTAGATTTGCGATCTCCGTTTATCGTATCTTCCCCTCCCTGGTCGCTCCTAGCGACTCTCCCTCCGGCTGTCGGGCGGAATGCCGGGCACGAGGACCTTGAAAGGCATATCTCGGACTGGTTGGCTGGAGCCAATTCCCATACCTATGCCCATCGGCGGGTACGGGCTGACATGGCTTGGCGCGGGTGCTAGCGGTAGAGGCCCGTTGCTTTTTGGTCGTGGTGCTGTTCTCGGGCCGTATGGGCTCGGATATGCGGACATCGGAACTTGCGGTGGAAGAGGTGCAGGTGCGAGTGTGCGACCTGGGCCCGGAGGCGGTGGTGGTACGGAGGAAGGGAGCGCTGCGAGCGGAGACGGTTGCATAAGAAGGGATGGTGGGGGTGGGTACGAGACAGCCGGCGCATGTGCGGCTGAAGGTGATGGTGCGGAAAAGGGTGCTGGTGGAGGCGGGTGCGAATGGAATGTCTGAACCTCTTGAGGAGGGGGCGGTGGAGGAGGCTGTGCGTGCGGGTCTGGGTAGAAAGGTATTGGTTGACGATGTTGAGGCTCGGGGTGTGATTTCGCGGCTGGTGAGCCAGCTCCTGATGTTCTGCCACCTCGCCGGCCGGTGCCAGAGTTGGACCGCGATGGTGGTTTGGGTGGTGTGCCGCTCTTCTCGTCGGCTTCTTTTTGGCGTGCTTTGCGTTCGGCCCACCATATGGTCATGGATTGACTGCGCTTCTCGCTCTTAACGCGTGGCTTCTTCCGCGAACCAGAGGCAGAGTTGTTCGCAGAATCATCGTAGGGATTGCTATACTGGCTTAGTGGGGTTGTGTTCATGTACGTATCGGGAGTATGCGCGCTCGAATGTGGCCCCGTGCCTAGGTCCTGGTAGCCGTAAGGCTGAGGTGTAGCTTGGAAGACAGTCTCCGTAGAGTTTGGGCCGATAACAGGAGGGGGGACTGGGGCGCCAACGGGCGTGCTGAGTGTAAACTGGTTCTGTCCTTCGCTCAGCGACTGGAGTGCGGGTGGAGGTCCATTCGGAGCATGTGCCGATGGAATGGGCTCATCTTCCTCAAACGCTCTTTTTCTCGGCCCCTTTGGACCATATCCGCCTCGTCCTCTTCCACCTCTCCCTCCACCTCGGCCTCTACCTCCTCTGGTAGCTGGCCGGGAAATGTGCTCTTCGTCGTCCACCGAGTCAGCGTTTGACCCACCATCATCCCCAGAGCTGACCACTGCAGATTCTTCTCGCATCTCCTGAACCCGTGGGTGAAGTAGGCCTCTTCCACGCTTGATCCGCCCATCGGGTTCGGGAGTTGCAGACGTGGCATGATCGTTCGGCTTAGCATACTTGCTAACACCCTTCTTACGCGCGCCGCCCCAGCCGTTGTGTTTCTTTGGTGTGGTGGTTCCGGTGACGGTGCCTGTACCTGCATCACTTCCTTCGAATCGGCGTGTTGCCCGGCGCTGTCGCTTGGCAGGCCGACCTTCCTCGTCCTCTTCCTCATCCTCGCTAGGAGCAGCAGAGTCTAGCATAGCATTAGCGCGGCGCTGTCGCAATTCTCGACCGCCCGATTGTTCATGCCCGGGCCGTTGCGTGAAGGGATCCTGAAAACCAGGCTCTGTTATCTTTGGGTTGTAAGTATAACCATAGATGTCCGCCTCTTTCATGTCTTCATAAACCAGCGGATTGATAGGAATACGACCACCATTGCAAGGCTTCTTTGGCGGGTGTGCATGAGGAGCAGTCTAAGATAATCAGCATGATAACGACTTCCAGGCTGAAATAACCTACTCGAGCGTCTAATTGAAGGTACTCGTCTTGCCACGCTTTCAAGATCCTTTGCGTGTTTTCGGCCAACGCGTACAAGCTCTCGGTGCTGCGTTGAGCAAGAGGGAATTTTGTCAGGGAAGCAATCACATCCTGGACGTCAACCATAGGCTCGTACCGCTGCTGTAAAAGATAGTCTGCTCTGTCTTCGCATTCGGCCTCAATGGGTTTAGGTAATCCTTCAATCCATGGGCCTGGAAGGTCAGACTCGGTGAGCGCATCCTCTTCCGGAGCAAGACGGGGCAATTTCGGCGGAGGAATGGGCGTCGAAGTACCTTCCTTTGGTGTTCGGGTACGTGAGGCCGACTTCGCTGGCAGTGATACTTTGGGTACTGCGACTGGAACGGGGATGTTGGCGTTTGGATCTCTGTATGCTAGCAAGAGTGCTGGCGATGGTGAGCCGGGTGGTGTCCGCGATTCGACGAAGCCGTCCGTTTCCCGACAATCGATGCCTTCTTCTGACTCCCGTTTCCCAAGTAGTTCGTCGTCGGTCAACTCGTTCATGGTTTCGGCATCATCACTGAAATCGTTCATGGTTTCCTCTTCGAGCTCGGGCGATCGCTTAGCGTCTTCCACAGCCGACTCCTGATTGGACGGCTCCTCATCGTCTTCTTCCACTAATGGAAAGGCGGGTGCAGCATTGCGAGATGGTCGAGTGCGCAGAGGGGATGTCGTTCGATGTGCAACAGTTGCTGTTCCGCCTCTGCCTCCTCGGCCTCCTCTGCCCCTCCCACCTCTGCCGCGTCCGCCCCTGCTTCCGCGCCCACCACGACCGCGGCCCCTGCCCCGGGAAGCGGCAGGATGGGGCGAAGGAATCTCATCGCTCTCGTCATCACTCATCGTGTCTGAATGAGTGAATAGAGTATTGAGTACAGGCAACTCGGAACGCTCACTGAATCTGCGTTTGCGGGAATTTTTCTGCTCTTTGAGGCCGTCCAAGAAATCCCGTGGTAGGCCCACGACGGTCCAAATTGGCGCCTCATATATGGCGTAGACCACGTTACCAGCTTCGAGGTCCGCATAATTGGCGACGGTAGAGGCTTGACGAGTGGTTTTCCTCGTCTGGGGAGTAGTGTTGGACTGTTGCGAACTGGCCTTGGGTGACACAATGTCTGGTTTGTTGTCTGGTTTTGCAGCTGACTTTGGACCGCGACCAGAACGGGTTCGCGGAGGCTGCTCATCATCGTGCTGATTGACACTTTTGCGCTGCGACGAGCGCCCGGGAAGATTCCTGGGACCGGCCATTGCTGTGTGGCAGCAAGCTGAACGGGATTGTTGAAGTCTCCGGGAAGGGTGGAGTGGATTCAATTCATGGAATGGTAGGTACCGTCCGGGGGAGGCGTAGCGCGACGGCCGTCAGGGTGACAGTCGCATGCGCGAAAAGCAAGACAACGAAGTAGGCGCGCAGCGCCAGAAGATAAGCAAGTTGCGTAGTCTTGAAAGCGGCGCAAGTCTCCGTGTTTCGGGAGACTTGTCAATCCTAATGGAGATGGTTGATGCTGGCAGGCGTGATCTTTGTCTTGAGGCGCTCGTGGCTGCTCGATGCAAAACCCGATCTTGGCGCTGCGGTGTGATTGGCCGCCCGTTCTCTCAATGCGCCTGTAGCATCGATAATGGCAGCTGCACTCCACAGTAGCTCCGCTCTGCATGCAGCTTCCCTATTGTCTATCCTGACATTCACCGCGCACAGTCCCTGCACAACACGCTGCACAATACATTGACGTCCTCCGCCATGCCCCCCAAGACAGTCGAGGAGCAGCTGGCCGAGCTGGAAATGGAAGCGGAGGCACCCGCTGCACCCCCGCCCAAGAGCTCCAAGGCCGCCAAAGCTCCGCGCAAGACGGCCCAGCAGGACATCGACGCCCTCAAGGAGCTCGAGGAGCTTGAGGCGCTTGAGAAGTTCCAGGCACCCGAAGCACCGCGCCCCTCCAGTCGCTCCAACACACCCAAGCTGTCGTCGTCGACCGCCTCCAGCAAGAAGGCTGGTGTCGCAACGCCGTCGTCGAGCGGCTCCGGACGCACCAGCGAGGAGAAGCCGCAGCCACCAAGAAAGTCGGGAGAGAGTGCCCGTTCGTTCCACCAGAGTTTCGCTCCCACCGAAGAGGAACCTGTGAAGCCAGCACCAGAACCGCAGCAGCAATCGGGAGGCTGGGGATGGGGAGGCTTCAGCGTTGGGGGCCTGCTATCGACAGCAACTGCAACAGCCGATGCGGCGAGGAAGCGCGCTGAAGCAGCATACCAGGAGCTTCAGAAGAACGAGGAGGCACAGCGGTGGGCGGAACAAGTGCGGGGAGTGCGAGGAAATGTAAACCTTGGTGCATTGCGTGGACTCGGTATGCTTCTCACTATCATCTATCATCTAAACGTATCTCACACTGTGCAGGAGAGGAACTGCAGAAACGCGCCATTCCGACATTTACAGACCTCGTCCATACCCTCGCCCCCCCCATCGCACAACACGAGCGCCTACAAATCCACATTACCCACGACCTCATCGGCTACCCTTCGCTCGACCCCATAATCTACCAAACTTTCTCCTCAGTCATGTCGCAAGTTGAGGGCGGCGACCTATTGGTCATCCAGCGGGGCTCAGAGTCGACACAGCGCAGTTCGATAGATGGCCACCGCGGCAGCAGCGCCGGCTGGAACGACGGCCCCTGGTGGCGCGACACGGACAAGCGGGATCTGAGTGTCGTTAAGGGACTACCGGAGGGCACCAAGCTCGTCAGAGTGAGCGCAGAGAGCTACGCCAACGAGTTCTTCAACGCACGAGGGGGGTTGGAAGAGGCAGCGAAGCAGGCGACCGAGGTCCTGAGCGAGTCGAACCCCGTGCGGAGTAGCGATATATTCTTGGCTTTGCAGGCAATCAGCTACACCACGCCCGATGACCTTTTCCAGGCTTCGCCGTCAGCGGACGAGAAGGAAGGCAATGTTCAGGAGCAGAAGGAGACAGACGAGCTTATTGTTTTTGCCATCTATCTGCACGACCCTATCCACGGCATCAGCTACAAAGCGTTGAGTCAGTCGTTCCCTGCGAAGTGGGTGGAGTGGCTCGATGCGCCCGCGCCAACCGAAGAAGCTGGAGAAGAGGCGCAGTTGCCCCCAGAGATCCAACAAATCATCCAAGACGGCGGTGTCGACCCCCGTGAGTGGGCTGCGGAATGGATGTCCGAGGTAATCAGTCTCAGTGTCGGTGTCGTTGCCCAGCGGTACGTCGCGCGCAGGATGGGCGTGGGCGAGGGCGGCATTGGCCGCGGAAAAGCGCGCGAAGCCATTGTAGAAGCAGGAGGCGGCGAAGCCGCCCGGGCTGGCATCATCTGAGAAGCTTCGGCTTAGTCCTTGGTTAGCATCAATACCTCTCCGGGCGTTTTGGATCTACTGCGATTGGATTGGCGTTTTTCATTACGTTCTGTAGCGCTTTTAACAACGCAACGGCCACCGGCATGTGCTGCTAATGCCACTGGTCTTCCTCCCATCAGTGTCCCTACTGTTTCCTCAGCGGGAGCCGCACCTCTAGACTATAGTGCATGGACGTAAGTCTGAGCACAATGCTCGATCCAGGAGGGGCGATGCAGTACTCATACTCTCGGCCAGTCGAAATCGCAGGCTTCAGACCGCGCAGGCTCTCACAAACTCCGGGGTATCTCTGCGGTGCAGTGTCTCTCACCACGCGCCTTGTCCTGACCCTCCACTCCCCAAACCGCGCGCTCTTCCACGCTTCCTCTCAACACCGTACGTCGCTCGTACTTTTCTCACAGGCCATCACATCCATCAAGCCAGCGAACCTTCCCTCATCCTCACTTCTTCGCTGCCGCACCCTCCTTATTGACCTTCGTCCCGCCGACTCTGCCCTCCCTCTTTCCCCCTTCAGCAACTCCAGATGCCCCGCCTTCTCTGCCAGCAGCTTCTCCGTCTTCCCCGTTAGCTGACTGGACGCCTTGTGCTTGATTTTCTGTTGGGATGCGAGGGAGGCTTTTTTCGGCTTGATCACGCGGTTGCCGCGCTGGGGGCCGGTCGGTCTACATGGGAAGATTAGTATGGTAAGGGAAAGGGAAGGGAGAGGAGGAGGGTGTACTTTTTGGGTGCGTTGCTGGCTTTGCGGGGTTTGACGGCGCCTTGGGCCATGATTGGGATTGATGTGGGAAGGTTGGCGGTATAGGGGGTACAGAGACTGTATGCGGGTGTATACGAGGTTGTCTAAGGGTGTTGGAGCGGAGTGGCGGGTGCGTGGCCTAGAGGGTTGTTCGCTGGGTGTGATGCGAATGCTCGGCGCCAAACAAAAAGTTCGCGATGCGATTTCCGCGGGGGAGACTAAGATCGAGGAGGCTTAGCGTGTACAGGGGTGCGATTCTGGACGAGGCGGGACTAGCCACTGCATAAGTCCTGGGCTTCCGAGGCTGTGAAATGTCGGAGTTAAATTTCAGAGAACGAGTTTGTCACTGTATTATATAGTGAGTTTTTATAGGATCATGTGTGCTAAACTCCACTCCTCTTGTCAGCCGCTGTGTGCTTCACAACTACCGCTCACCGATATCTGAATGTATTGCGCAACACCATGTCGACTGTGGAGAGTATTAAAAGTTCATGTTGAAACGACAGCAATTTTCTGCACTGCGTTGCAGCATATGCGTTCGAGAATGTTAGTCTACGATTCGGGAAAGCTATCCTTAAGACAGCGACCATCGGGATTCAATCGTTACGCGGCTTGCGTCATTGATCCTGAAGTGACTTGGAACATCAGAAAGTTGTATACGATACGCCCTCGGCCTACTCGCGACGGCGGGTAACTACTTCTAGAGACAACGTAATCTCCTAGTAACCTTATGCGTCGTCCCAGAGTCCTGTCCAGGAAGCCGAAGTCAACTATAGGGACGGTGCCTTTTTGAAACTATAGTTATTAGTTTGCCCCAAGACAATATCAGCCCAGCACGCGTAAGCATGGCAGGGCATGTACTCGAGGTCATGGAAATTTCGAGAATGCGAAAGCTCTGCTGCGATGAATTTAGTTGTACTATTGTTGTGGTACGAACTCCCAACACCAATAAGCAAGATTTTTGTTGGGCAAAAAATGCCATTTCTGCCTGGGTTGACTACGAATACAATCTTAACAATGTGCTATATAAGTCGAGGCATTTCCGCTCTTGCTGCAGCACACTTGAAGACAACAACGCTTGACAACAACGCCATTTACCACCACCACTGCTACCAAGCCCACTCAGGCCCAAATAACACCCACATTCAGTACCTCGAGCCACTTTAGGCTACCTTGGGATGGTTGTCTTACGCAATTTCGCCTTCGGCCTCACGGTCTGCCTCGCAGCCACCGTACCCGCTCAGACCACCTTCAACATCAACAAGCTCATCACCGAGGCTATATATGAAGGCAAAGAAGCGGACCGCCTTGCTGGTGAGCCCAACTACGCCGCGCTCCAGGAGCTCATGGAAGCCTGACCCACGCTGGACGATTATGGTAGCCCCAGGCCACATTCCCAAAGACTTCACCGCCCTCTGCATTGACCAACAAACTACACGCAATGTACACTGCTACGCACGCCCCGGTCGCGACCCGATGAGCGATACCTACGGGCAAATCCCTAACACCTAGCGGAAGCAATGCATCAAGAAGCCCCGCGAAGCTGGCAAGATCCCGGACGCTAGCTGCCTTAACTAGGTCAACTGGCACGACGACGATGGGCTCTACCACACCGAGCTGCTTCCCAAACCGTGGCCACAGCCACAGCTACCGCGGTTTCCCCTTCGATACCCGTGGTCACTGTTACCAAGGCTGGCCTAATCGTTACCGAAATTGTCTTCACAGACAAGAGCGCCTCCGCCACTACGAGCGTTCCGACTACCTTGATCACCAGACCCGTGGTCACCGACACCAAGCTAGGCCCCATGGTCACCGTCACCCAGGCCATTGACCTCACTGGCGCCCCTCAACCCAGCGGTTCCAACGACTATCAAGTCGTCTGCCGAGACGCCCCACTTGCAACAGTCAGACCCGCCAACTCCCCTGACTTCGAACCCAACACCCCGATGCCATACCACTTCCACTCTCAGGACAACATGGCGTGTACCCACCCGATCGGCGGTGCCAAGGATGACGGTACCATCTACTGCTTCGGCTGGGACAGCCCGGCGCCGTTCCTGGTGTTCCAACCCGAGGACTGGACAAAGGGACGCTGGGATTTGGAGCAGTGCTACAGGAACGAGTCCCGTTGCTCAGGTGACTTCGAGGTCTTCTCTCACCACAACGATTACGGGGGTTGGTGAATGGTGGACGCGAACGATGGTACCTAAATGGTATTTTCTTATACTGACGTTGGGAGTTTATGGTACTGATCCACTGTTACGACGTTTCCAACGGTTGGTAAACGCTGCGTTGGACGGATGGTACCTGAATTATATTTTGTTTTTGTTCCAAGGTCGGTTGTGTCAGTGGTTGGTTGTACGGACCCGCAGCTACCACGTTTTTCTTATGCAGAAATACCCATAGAACGCTCCGTAGTTAATTTAGGTTTCGCATGTCAACCGTTATGAGTATTCTCTCGCGTGACTATAAAAGTGTGACGATGTAACCCACCGTAAGGGCTCAACGACGATTGTGACTCGTCGTTGATCTAATCACCCATCATGCCTGCCCACAAAAACGGAATCTTCGCGGCGCGCACCTGGCCATGTGGCAAGTTAGTTCATATTACGCCAACACACCTATGTCCTGAATATTCAATATGGCTTTCGGATATAGAAGTCCGCTACTACTACCATTCTAATGTTTACTGTCAATTGTCAGCCACTCTGGCTTTGCCCATATGACGTAAATTGACCTACCTGTCACTAATTCCCCTCATTCCACCCCAAAACTTATGCCCAATTCCATCTCAAAGCTCTTGACATGCTCGTACACAACAACGTTCAGGATCACACCACTGGCGCCTCGCTTAACTGCCGGTATTCTCGCCGTCGGCATCATTCCCGCACGCCAAAAAGTCGCACTACGCGCACCTACTCCACCGCACCAATTGCTTACTTCGGCCGACGAAATGTATCGCGCGGCATTGGCTGCGCGCTATCAGCTAGCGGGTTACCCTGCTGTAGCTCGATGGGTGGAACCTCCACGAGGAGGGGTTGGGCACCTCCGAGGTCGTCAAAGAAGCCTTTAACAAGAAGATCGGTGCCCCCACGGTCTCGTATTGCTCACTTATCGAGTGACACGTACGGCACGCGTACATACTGCACTGAAGAATTCTATACCGGGCTATTGGCTTGTCTCGTAGCAATTGCACGCGTCTGGGTTGGTTATCTCCAGTACTGACGTGTACGGCTGTCGGCGGCATTGTACTTTTTTTCATATCGTATATCCAGTTCCGCTCAATCGTCTCAGAAAGTCGGTTTCTCACAATCACCATGGACCCCCGCAACGCAGAGCAAGAAAACCAGCCAGAGGAGCCCCGCTTTCTCAACTTCAAGCACCAACCCGCAGGCACGCAGCGAGATGGAAAGCCCGTCCTGAACCGGTGGTCTTCAACCCTTACAAATGGCCATGACTTTCCTGGGGCGCAGGTAAGCAATTTACTTCTATGGATCGAGGGGCAAAAGCTGATGTGACTTGCGCGAAAAGGCCATGCTGTACGCCGCTGGTGTTCCGAACAAAGAAGCGATGAAGACGCAACCCCACGTCGGTATCGCAAGCGTGTGGTGGGAAGGCAATCCCTGCAAGTAAGTCACCCACGTGCCGACGTCATGCGTATATTAACGGGCGTGCAGCATGCATTGTAAGTTTCCCAATTCAGGGGTGTACATTTGGTCGTTGTCGCGTAATGAACGAATACACCAATGCTGTAGCACGATTTTGGGTAAGAGATTGAGAACTGACAAGGAACCCTTAAAGTGCTCGATCTAGGCAAAGAAGTCAAAAAGAACTGCCTACAAGATGACATGCTCGCATGGCAATACAACACGGTCGGGGTGTCAGATGGAATCACAATGGGCGGAGAAGGTGCCATACTCCATGTTCCCAAATTTCCCAAAGCCAGATCTCCTAACAATGCCCCCAAGGAATGCGCTTCTCCCTCCAAACCCGCGAAATCATCGCCGACAGTATCGAAACCGTAACCTGCGCCCAACACCACGACGCCTGCATCGCCATCCCCGGGTGCGATAAGAACATGCCCGGCGTCATCATGGCCTTTGCGCGGCACAACCGGCCTTCGCTCATGATTTACGGCGGCAGCATCAAGCCCGGCTACTCGGAGACGCTGAAGAAGCCGATCAACATCAGCACCGCGTACGAGAAGTTTGGCGCGTACGTGTACAAGACGCTGCAGAGTGCGGAGGAGGGGAAGTACACACCGGACGAGATCATGGAGGATATCGAGAGGAATGCGTGTCCCGGCGCGGGAGCTTGCGGGGGGATGTACACGGCGAATACTATGAGTACGAGTATTGAGGGTGCGTATGACCGTTCTACACTGAGGGATTCGAACTGGATGAAGAAGCTAACGATGCCAAACCACAGCCATGGGTCTCTCCCTACCCAACTCGTCCACCACGCCCGCCGAAAGCCCCGCCAAGATGCGCGAATGTGCCAAAGCCGCCGCCGCAATCCGCATCTGCATGGAGCAGGACATCACGCCGCGTAAGCTAATGACGAAGGCATCTTTCGAGAACGCGCTCGTAATGATGATGGCGCTCGGTGGGTCCACAAACGCCGTCCTGCATCTGCTCGCCATGGCCGGCACTGCTGGCGTACCGCTCACGCTCGACGACTTCCAGCGCGTGTCGGACAAGATCCCATTCTTGGCGGATCTCGCGCCGTCGGGGAAGTACTTTGCCGCTGATCTGTTTGAAATCGGTGGTATGCCAGCGGTGATGAAATTGATGGTTGCTGCAGGCTTGCTGAACGGCGATATTCCTACAGTGACGGGGAAGACGCTGAAAGAAAACATTGAGCCGTATCCGTCGCTCCCGCAGGACCAGGTTATCATACGCCCGCTGAACAACCCCATCAAAAAGACTGGCCACATTGAGATCCTGAGGGGTAATCTTGCACCGCTGGGTGCGGTGGCGAAGATCACTGGAAAGGAGGGGCTGCTGTTCAAGGGCAAGGCACTGGTCTTTGATAAGGAGCATGAACTTGATGCCGCGCTGAACAAGGGGACGATCCCGCGGGGCGAAAATGTCGTCGTGGTTGTGCGTTACGAAGGGCCAAAGGGTGGGCCAGGCATGCCAGAACAACTCAAAGCTTCGGCAGCGATCATGGGCGCGGGGCTGACGAACATCGCTCTGATCACGGACGGGCGGTACTCGGGTGCGTCACACGGCTTCATTGTCGGACATATATGCCCTGAGGCTGCGGTTGGTGGACCAGTGGCAGTGGTCAGGAACGGGGATGTGATTACAATTGATGCGGAGAAGAACCGGATTGATATGGATGTGTCGGATGAGGAGATCCAGAAGAGGCTCAAGGATTGGAAGAAGCCGCATGCGGCGGTGACGAGGGGTGTGCTTGCGAAGTATGCGAGGCTTGTGGGTGACGCGAGCACGGGAGCGATGACGGATCTTTTCTAGAACCGATAAAAATGAGATGGGCTGTTGTACGAGTATGTTGTTATCAATATCGTAGTTTGGGATCGTGAGATAAATAGACAACTCTACAGGAAGCAATTCAGTATACGCATTAACACAGGCCGGTCTTCACAAAGAATCGAAGAGTTGGTATCATTGATAATGCATTAGGCAAAGCCCACTTTCATTTTTCGACGCCCGAGGCTCCCAAGCCTAGCGCATTCATGAACGCCGTAAGCCGTAACCCGTAGATGACCCACGGCCGCGCGCAGCATCTGCTGTCGGCGCGGCGCTCCTCAGTTGTCTAGCCGTCCGTTGTGTAAACGTCTACTCGTCGTCCTCGTCCTCCTCCTCGGCCTCGAGGGTGGTCTGGGCGATACGGTCCAAATCACGCTGGCCGGCCTGGGTGATGCGGCGGCCACCCTTGTCCTCGTCCTGCTCAAGGACACCGATCTTCTCGAGGGACTGGAAGACCTTGCGGTCGACGGAACCGGAGGCGTCGACGTGGTGGGAGGGGCGCGAGCCACGGTTCTTGGTGGAACTGCATTCTCGTCAACATCATGTTCGCCGCGGATTCGCAGATGTGCCAGCATACCCGTGAAGCTTCCTCAGGCGGCCAACACCGACGGTCTTGCGCATGTAGACATGGCGAGCGACGGCAGCGGCGCGGACGTAGTACCAGTCGATGTCCTGGGGAGGGAGCTCCTTGGAGTCTATGACTTGTTAAACGTGCACCTTGCTCTTAAAGGATCAGATACGTACGTCCAGTCTTAACTGTGTCGACCCAGCCTGTAGACCTTGGCGTTAGCGAAATGTCCCCCAGTTACGGGATTCAGGCTTTTCCTTCACCCGGTGGGCTGGAACGAACCTGGACTGCCAAAAAGTCAGCATGCGATGTTCACAACTCATAGACTGCAGTGGGAGGGCAAACGTACATGGGGAGCTTTCCCTGGCGCTTCAAGAACGCAGCATAGGCGTTGATGAACTTCTGCGCGTCGACGTCCTTGACTGAGACTCCACCCATTGTGATTGCTGGCGATATGTGTTGGAGGGAAGGGCGAGGTGGTCGGTGTCGTTGTCGAATTGTCGAGTCGAAGGCTGCAGGTGGTCGTTCGGCGTTGTGCGCTTGATTTTCGCGATTCGCTTAGCGGAGGCTTTTCGGCAGAACGTTAGTGCCAGAGCACGTGCGCGCATCGCCCCCGGTCCCGCTCCACCTTTGTAGAGCATCATCACTTGCCAGCTCAAACCGCATTTATCAAGCTGAGGCAGCTCGCATTTTCCTTAGACTTCGTACCCCACATTTATTCCTCGCTCGATCGGCTGTGCGGAGTTCTGTTGATGCGATTGGAACTTATCTCGTTCACTTACAAAGGTTCCTATTTGTGTTACTTTTACCTTTGGAGTACGCCTTGTCACGTAGGGACTCACTGTACAATACAGTTAAAAAACTTACATATTCTAGTAGATCCCAGTATTTCGTAGCCCCAAGAGTCCAGTTTCTACTGTTAGCCACTGTGGCCCGTTTGTCTGAACATTGTACGGAACACCACTTCGTTCTTCGCGTCAACAAAAGAACGTTGAAGCAGCCATGAGCTTTAATTTGTGTCACCCAGACTTTCTTGCCAGCACTATTGAAGACCTGAATGCCAACGAGATGGAGCTTACTTCAGCCCCTCACAACGCAGCTGCATGGGCGCTCAAACCCAAGACAAGGCCATTGGTAGTATCTAGTGCACCCTACAAATCACCACCCCCAGGCTTCGTGACGATCAAAGTCCACAGTGTCGCAGTGAATCCGATAGATTGGATCAACCAGGATCAAGATGTATTCAAGGCGCAGTACCCAACGATATTCGGATTGGACATTGCTGGCACAGTTGAAGAGATCGGAGAAGGTGTACGGCTATTGCAAGTAGGGCGGCGAATTATCGCGTGAGCTACTTTGAGAATATCAAAGGCAGTGCTTTACGCTAACTGTGTTAAACTAGGCAAGCTGGAGCCTCTTCTTCTAACGATTCGTCACGCGGAGCGTTCCAGAAATATGTTGTCGTCTCACAAAATGCGGTTGCCGAGCTTCCCAAGGAGATCGCATTTGAGAGGGGAGTCGTCCTCCCGCTCGGCATCTCAACAGCAGCAGCAGGACTCTATCAAAAGGACTTCCTTTCGTTACCTTTTCCGAGTATTGAAGGGCTGCCGGGCATTCTTAACCATACACGTACTCTCGTGGTCTGGGGCGGCAGCTCCAGCGTGGGGTCTTGCGCAATCCAGATGGCCAATGCATCTGGTGCTGAGATCTTCACCGTTGCGAGCCGCAAGAATTTTTACTATGTAAAAAGTCTCGGAGCGACTAAAGTATTCGATTACCACGACGACGATGTTGAAGATCAGATCGTTGAGGCTCTGAAGACCAAAACTCTTGCCGGAGTCTACCATGCAGCAGGAGCAGATGGTGCTGTGCAAACTTGTGCCCGGATTGCAGATCGCAGCACAGGCAAAGCTCTCGTTGTCACTGTCAAGGGCGTGCCGGACGCTGGCATTCCATGCACCGTCCGCGTCAAAGCAATATCTTCCTCTTCCATTTTCAAAGGTGGCAATCAAATAGGACCGGACATCTGGCGTAAATACCTGCCATCGGCATTGGCACGGGGTACTCTAGTACCAAAACCTGACCCCTTAATCGTGGGCAATGGGCTGCGATCAGTGCAGCTGGGATTGGACAAACAGAAAGCGGGTGTGAGTGCTCGGAAGGTGGTGGTCAACAAGATTGATGACGATTCATCGCATGAGCTAGTTGAACTTTCAACATTTACGCCAAGCTAGAAGACTGAGGACGGTGTGTTGCTCCACGATGGGTAATACAGGTATGGATCGTTTTTCCCATGACTGTAGTCTCAGTGCCGGATGAACCATGGGCGGTACCCGGCACTGACACTGAGCAATTGAACTTGTCCTTCACTACAGCATGAGGAAAAATTATGTTATTAGAGTAGCTGTGATCAGAATCCTTCAGATAGCGCTCACTACGTGCTCTCGATTGCACGGCATTAGTCACGAGAAATGGCGCGCCCAAGATGACCGCCTGTTATCCATCACTTCTCGCTTATTCTACCCACATCCACCCAGTTTGGTTAGGCAATGCTCGGCTGCATTTCCAGCTCCCGCCCAGATGTACAACTTGTTGTGGACAATTCAAGGCAGCCTGAGTCTATTGCTGAGCCGCGATGCCAAGGCGACCGTCGTGGCCAAGTGCCATTGTTGACCCCGCAAAGCGTTATCTTCACACGGAGATAAGCACGAACATCGCTTCGCCAACATGTCTCCGCTTCAATGACCAAGGCATCGTACGAATTCTTTCTACTATTAGATAGGAGATCAACGCAATGCACGCTCGAACCCGCAATAGGCAGGACAAAATCCCTCTACCGTGCGTTGCCCGGAGACAAGAACTCCATAACGCACGCTTCCAAGCGAACTACCACATGGCGACCCCACGGGCTAAGCCAATATGGACACAGCAGGATGTATATGTATTCCCTCTTGTAGCACGACCTACACGATGAGCGGCCTTCGGTTACTTCCAGGCAACAGAGTACACAGCTTTTCGTGTGACCCCAGTCGACATGTTGGGTGCTCAATTCCTGTTGCTCATCGCTCTCTCCTCTGCGGCTCCCATCAAGCGCAATGCCTATACATTCCTCCAGCCTAACTCCCAAGGCGACACAGTTTTCGAACTTGGCAAAAACACTTATCTCGCCAATGCTAGGTACCCCAAAGCAAGTTTCAATATCGACTTCACGTCTTCAGACGCTGCTGGCTCCTCGCGATCGGAGATTCCGATAACAGTCATCAACACCAATGTATCGACCCTTAGTCAGGATGTTCTCACGACTATTATACAGAATTACGAAGATGGAGATGATGTCTTCACTACGGACTACCTTGAGACCATCTTCATCTCGTCATCCGCGCCCGGTGCAACCCTCGATTCATCAGCTACCTCATACCTGCAGTCGTTGAACATATCTCATGTATTTGTGGATACCAGAATCTCCATGGCTGGTTACAACACATTGTCAGTGAGCACCGTTTCAAGTCCGGGTATCGAGAGTCTCCCATCCGGACCATATTTGGCATTGATCGACGGCGGCAAGGTATCGCTCGCGTCAGTCTTCCTTCTTTACCCAGATACCTACAGAGATTTCTTGTTTGGAGCCTATGACTCGAACGATGGCAATTCTACGCACAGTTCCGTGGGCGTCTTCCTTCCCAATATGTGGGACCCGTATGTCCCGGTTCCTTCCCGCATATACAGCTGGAACGATCCCAGGCCCATGGCAGGATGGCGCGTTGCTATCAAAGATCTTTTCGACATCAAAGGTCTCCAAACATCAGGCGGATCGCAAGCATGGGCATTTATCACGCCAATTGCGAACGAGACTGCGCCGTCTATTCAGCGTATTCTTGATCTTGGCGGTGTACTGGTGGGTAAGTACAAGCTGGCACAATTTGCTTCGGGCGCAAACCCATGGGAGTGGCAAGATGAGCACTACCCATTCAATCCTCGTGGCGATGGCTGGCTCACGTGCTCCGCATCCTCTTCTGGTGGAGGCTGCAGTGTTGCCGCATACGACTGGCTGGACTTTGCCATAGGTAGCGATACTGGATCTTCTATGAGACGTCCGGCGGCTGTGAGTGGCACCTTTGGCCAGCGTCCCTCCCAAGGTCTCATGAACCTGGAGAGAGTTCTTCCCTTGGGCGGTGCCACCGACACAGCCGGTGTCTTTTCGCGGGACCCTTACAAATGGATTGCATTCTCGAAAGCTTGGTACGAGCCAACCTTGTTCCAGCCGCCAAACATCACAGGCCTTTCACCGCTTGAAGTGCCTGATACTTTGGCCTTCCCAAAAACTATCGTTTATCCCACGGACTACCTACCTCTGAACAACTCTGCCGCAGAGGTCATCCTCCAAAACTTCATCACGAACTTGACCACCATTTTCAATATGACCGTCAAGACACTCAACTTCACGGAAACCGTCCAATCCATTAACGTAACCGACCAAGCCCCCTTCATCAACAATCTCACCTACCTAACCTCTGTTCCCCTCGGTGTCATCAACGCCTGGTCCGCCTGGGATATCATCGGATCCGTCCTGACAAGCACCTGGGCTGCCCTCTTCGACGGCCGCTTTCCCCCGATCGACCCCGCCCGGCGTCCCGGCTGGAAGTCCTTCAACACCACGCGCTACAACCCCTCAACCTATGCCAACGCCCTAGTCGAGAAGAATGCCGCAGTCGAATGGTGGGAAACATCCTTCCAACCCACCACCCCAGAGTCCTGCTCCGAGAGCGTCTTCCTCTACGACATCGGCACCGGCGGTTTCCCGTCCTATCGCGAGCTCGGGCTAAATGGGTACCCCAACACTTCGTTTTTGGCGGTGAAGCCCCTGGGTGCGGAGATCACGGGTGCAAATATTTGTCCTGTGTATGGGTGCGCGGACTTTACGATTCCGATCGGGCAGGTGCCGTACTATAGTAATGTGACATTCCACGAGGAGATGGTGCCGGTGACGATCAATATGGTGGTGAAGAGGGGGTGTGATTTTATGCTGCTTAATATGATTGAGAAGTTGGCGGATCATGGGGTGTTGAAGGCGGTTAAGACGGGGAGGACAGCGTTTTGAGAGGGGATGTGATAGAATCTAAATGTCTGCACGCACTTGCATGAATTATATTCTTGTGTTCCTGTAAATGCGTGACGTCTCTGACTGATTCGTTCAATGTATTTTCTCTTCCACGAGCAAGTGGCCCAATTATAGTGGAGTCTACCTGGGACTCGCTGCTGCTCTCCACAATTTCTGGAAAATACCCTGCGTTTACACACACAGATGCGCAGACTCCATCCATACAAGACCTCCCGATGCTAAAACAAACCGCCACGACAGATTCATTGCCTTGTCTACAGATCTAGCGCTGGCTCCATGATCGATAAACAACATAACCTCAAGTGTATGACAACTCGCAATACCAACTCTCCACTCGTTCTTTCCTCACTCAAAAATCCTCTCTATCTCAAAACTCAAGAATGTGCCTGAAAAATCCACAGCCCAAGCATCCATCCCGTTCGCGCGCAGCAAAATCACACCCCAGACCTCGCCGACCACCATGACCTCCCCACCCACGTCCCAAGCGCATTGAGACGCCGCCGTCACCCGCAAAGAACACCCGACCCTCTCCAAAGCCTCCATCTACGCGCTACAACCGGGACGCTCTCAAATGGAGTTCTTGTGATTGAATGAGGAGAGGGAGTTTGAGGTGTGGATGCAGACGTGGGCGATGGTTGGAGGGTTGAGCACGATGGGAAGGGCGGTGGTGGGACCGGGAGGGGTGGTGCTTTTGACCTGGGTGGTAATGAGGTGGGGATGTGTGGGTTGAATGGTGATTGATGGGGAAGATGGTGGGCTTGAGTTGCCATACGGTTGAAGGGAGAAGTGGTGGAATGTCAGAAAGAACTCGATGGAGTGCGACAAGACTAATGTATGGACCAGACTAGAAACTAGTAGACTCGTTACCAACTCGCAAAAAGAGTCATCAACTCCTATTGAAGACATATACACTCATGATTCGATCCAATTAACTTGCCTCCGCGATCGAAACATTACCAAACCTAGCCGTCATGTTGAAGGCAGCCACCCCGTTCGTCCCTGCAGCATGAGTCGAGCTATCCAAAGCCAACACAGGCGACGTAAAGTCGTTCACGAACACGCTGATATTCGCACCTATTGCCGAAACCCGGACGTGATGTTCAATGTCGGGCTTGATGTCCACGCCTTCAACGAGCACCGATGTGCCGTCGCCGAGGTTCGTGACAAGCACCCTGCCAGCAGCTGAGAGTCCCGCGTAATACCCGTTTGTCTTGTAAGGGCCAGAGGCAATGTTTGTGGCCCCAAAGATCAACCCAGCACTAGTGCCGACGTCGGCGCTGCTGTTTGATAAAATCACTGTCGCTTCGTATGTCTGGTCAGTGAAGTTGGTGTCCAGTGCGACTATAGTGCCAGACATCGAGCGGCTCTTGACTTCCAGCTTGTTGTCGACTACGTGCGCACCCTCCGCCTCCGACCCCTCGGGGTAGGTCTTCCACCCAACCATATCGCCGTCTGTGAAGCTGTCTTTTACCAGCATCTTGACGGGCTTAATGGAACCATCTTCGTTGAAGTACATGCGGTCGTAGCAGAGAACACGGTGCTCGCCAGCATTCTCGCTCAGCGGCCGGCGATGGTAGACGATGTAGTAGATATCGGTTCCCGGAACATGTATCACTCCATTATGCCCGCTACCCTTGGCAACAGCGCTGTCTTGCTGCAAGATCCTCGTCCCGGTCACCCCTAAGAACGGGCCTAGTGGTGAGTCTGCCACAGCGTAGGATACTCGATAGTCAGGCCCGGTCCAGCCGCCTTCCGACCACATGAGATAGTACTTCCCGTTGCGCTTGAGCATCTGCGGCCCTTCAACATAGTCTTTAGGCGTGATCTCTTTGAACGTCGTCCCATCCTCGAATGTGTCTAAGGATATCATGTCCTCTTTCAACTTTGCTACATTCGCGTGACTGTGCCCGCCGTAGTAGATGTACGCTTGACCATCATCATCGATGAAAACGTCCTGATCGATGGGCTGTGCACTGTTGTTGTATGTGCCAATGAGCGGCTTGCCGATGGCATCAACGTACGGCCCCTGTGGTTGGTCTGCGACTGCCACGCCGATCCCGCCGATGAAACCTTGCTCTGGTTCACCTTCTTGGATGTCGTTGGCGCCAAAGTAGATGTAATACTTCCCATCCCTGAAGGCTGGCGCGGGAGCCCAGACTGCTTTTTTCGCCCACGTGACGTCCTTGGTAGTAAGGATATTAGGGTGTTTGATCCAGTCGATCAGGTCCAGGCTGGAGAAAGCGTCAAGATAAGTTTGCTCCTCGTAGACATATGACGAGGTCGGGAATACCCAGTAACGACCCTGGTCTTCGAATATTAGAATGTGTTAGTTCGAACAAGTAGGACCTAATACTTACAGATCGCTGTGTCTGGATCCGCGTACCAGCCATCTACAAAGGGGTTACCGGCCTCCGAGGTAGTGTAGTTGACGACTGCGGGTTGCTGAGGATAATCATCCGTGGTATCAGTATTATTTGCTAAGGCCATCGCAACTGCGAAAAGAGCCGTCGCAGCCCGGAGAGAAATTTTGAGTTTCGATGAGTTCCGCATGGTCGCGAAATGTAAACAATAACGCAATCGTTTATCTAGATGGATACTGTAGTGATAGAAAGTATTATTCTTGTCATCCGTAGGTGCAAGTCTTCTGTGTGGTGGACCTAAGATGCGGAAGCTGGAGGCGACGATTATTTAAAGGCGACCGGAGTGATAGTTTCCGTGAAGGCGGTTCATTAGAATCTGCCACGATACTTCAAGACCATGGGTGACTACGTTTTGATACCGGCAACGGATGAGAGGGCGAACCTGGACGTGATGCACGCTGTGAATGAGAAAAAGGTGACGGTGGGTGTGCGATTGAACAGACAAAACAGAATAAGATCTGAGGGAGGTAACGATTAGTAGATGGAGTAAACAGTCTAAGCCTTGTTGTATCGGGCAAAATCCATCCTGGAAGCCTTATGCTGCGCCTTTCGCGATGCGCGAGCGATGAAACACCGTTGCTCTACATCAGGACATGTGCGCAGTTTCGAAGATCCCAGCCCATGGCACCTTACATATTGGGGAGGATGCTTCCGTAGCGTGGCACTATACATGTCAGCAGGCACAACACTTCATACAGGAAGTACCGATCAGGACAGGTAGCTCGAAAAGCATTCCTGCAGCGGTGCTAAAGCTGGACAGTCTGACATCGGGTGAAGGGTACGCTTGTATGTGGTGATGGTACCTGCCTTCTACGGATGTAAGGGCTGCAAATAGTTGGCAGGACCGTTCCAAATGCAACGATCAGCGCAACAGATAACCTGGGGGAGCTTTGCGCGCCCGCGGGGTAAGCCGTGCGAGAAGTGCTAGGATTGATGCGAAAGAAGGCTTGAATGCGTAGTTAAGCTGTCGACGTTATACCTGGCCCTTTCGTCAATCCAGCATTCGCAAATGATGTACTAGAAGTTGCGCACAGCGCTCTGTCCACTTCACTCTGTTCCATGTGTCGATGCGCAAGCTCTGTCAGGCGGATAGTGCAGTGTGATGATCAGAGTGGCTTGTTGACATGGCGCTGTCGACGTGCGCGCATTAAACACTTGGCAGCAACGATATCCTAGCGCCAAAGGCTGCGCAGAGGGCATTGCATCTCACAGTGTATAGGCCGACTAGGGAGGGCATATGCATCCTTCACGCGGCGGCTGATCATCCTCGTGGCTCAAAACATAGGGACGGAGATATCTTCGAGCATCCTGCGCTGAGAGACAACAGCTTAGGGCCTGCTCGTGGTTTTGCATACGTCCCGAAGGTTGAGACTACAGGGAGATGGTGTATCACGTGGGACGAGGTGGCTCAAAAGCGTTCGATTGCCCCTTCTCTAATGTCGCGTCGCACCTGCGTGAGTGAGTGGCCACGATTGAATGGCAGGCACAACAGCCAACGGCGCCGGTCGAATAGTTGAAAAGCGATCGCCGCGGAACTAGGCGCAGTCACAAAAATCAGGGGTCAGGGGGTGGGTGGAAATTTGGCATGGTGGAGCGGAGTGGAGAAGAGAGAGAGGGATGTCGCGATTCACGGTAAATAGGGCTGGCGTAGCGCGTCGCTTGTTCGCCGGGAAGGCGCGACTCAAGCTCGCAACTGACATCATTCCTCTTTCTCCGCTAGCCTGCTATCGCTCCGAGCAAAAAACAACTCACACCTGAACGCGGCCGGGGTGCACTCGCTGCGAGATACAGCGCCCACCAACAAACGCGCCATTCGCTCACGCAATCGACACGCCGTGCTGCGCTCTGTCTGCGGCCTCCCTCTGCTGTCCGCTCCCGCCTGCGCTGCCCTCACCGACGTGGCTTCCAAAGATGCAAACCGCTGGAAACATCGGCTGGGCGCGTCGACTATTCTTCTTTTCCTAGCAGCGTGGCAGGACGCAGCACCCCAACGTGCGCCCACGGCGCCGTAACAGCCGTCAGGCACCGACAGCTCTGCGCCAACACCACCGTCACGCCGCGCTCTTGCTCCCGCCATTGGTCGGCTGCTGTCATCTCGTCGTTGCGCATTCCGCACGGCCACGCCTCTCGCCCCGTTGAATATACATTCAGCGATCTGGCACGCAAGTCGGGATGGAGTCCCATTCGCACTCACTCCTGTCTCAGCATGGCTTGCGTCGCCTTCCACAGACCCTCGTCTTGCTGCTGAAGACGTGCCTGGCTGGTCCGAGCGACCGCCCTGATTCCGTAGCTCACACCGACCTTCCCTCCTGGAACTCTATAAGACGCTCCGTTGTCAACCTCGTTTGGCTTCTAAATCCCCTTGATTGTCGTGGAGAGAGCTCTTTTTTGACGTTGGTGGGCATGGTCAAGTTGACAGCGCTGTGTGGCATCGGTTCTGGGCTCTGGGTATGGAGCACACGCAACAGAAAAGGAAAGAGGCCTGCCTCTTCCGATGGGTCTACCCATGCAGCCGAAGTGTCTGATGTCGGTAAGTCGTACCGCACTTCGCCATGCTGCGATAACGTCACGTGCCCAACAGCCCCGGCGTACCTTGTTGTCCACAATACGACAACCAATACATGCATTGCACTACTATCCCATGTCCGATGGCTGTTCGCTAATCTTGCTCAGATACTGATGCTACTGATCCGGGACTGCTCAAGAAGCACTCTACCATCCGCGAGTACACTGTAGATTCCACCGGCTTCACCTATCCAGGTATACGGACCTTCTACCGAGCCCATCCGCAAGAGCAGAAGCTCCCCCAGGAGCCTCGACCAGTGCCTCTTTTAGTCTTCATCCACGGCCTAGGAGGCTCCGTCGCCCAGTTCAACCCCATTCTGCTCAGTCTTTCCAACCTTGCTTCATGCTTGGCCATCGATCTTCCTGGCTGTGGCCGTTCGATCTTTGCACCCACAGAATGGGAGGCGTATACCACCGAGGCACTTGTCCAGCTTCTTGCTGTTGTGATCGAGGCCCACCGAGATCGCGATGGTAACCAGCAGGTGGTCTTGATCGGGCACAGCATGGGATGCTCTTTGGCAGCCATGCTGGCATCGCCGTCCTCTCCGTACGCGCACCTTATCAGCATCCACGTCAGCGGATTGATCGCCATCTGCCCCAAGGCTGACCCACCAACTGAGAAACAGACTGGGCAGCTGAAAAAGGTTGCCGCCTTGCCAGGGTTCCTGTTCGATCTGGTTAGGAGATGGGATAGAAGAGGAGGCTTGAACAGTGTCAGCGTGGCTCGAATGGCAGGATGCGATGCTGACGAGGAGACGAAGAAGCTTCAACTTCGCTACAACAGGCAAAGCCGTTCTAAGGTCTGGCAGCGCATGGCTCGTGGGATGTGTCCCAATTATTCGACTGGCTCCCCAAAGGGAGGTCTCCCGGGTCGAGAGGTGTGGGCAGGACTAAATCTACCGGTATTTCTTGCAGCTGGGGCCGCTGATCAGACGACTCCGGTTGTCAACGTTAAGCGCATTGTCGAGTTTCTGGGTCGAGATGTGACCGCCATCGAACCCCCGAGCGAGAAAGCCAGTCTCCCGATTGCTGCTGCCCCGGTAGACTTAGCAAGAGTCGACCCAGAGATTCTAGAACGAAAACACCAAGACTCAGGTGTTGATCCAGGTGACCTGCCAGGCATGGATGACAACACTAGTGGCCGTGCTTCGTCCTCGCGCTACTCCCAAGATCAAACCTCCGTACAAACCATGGCATTTTCGTCGACTGGCGAAAGCTCGGACAACACCGATGCCGGAACAGAAGCAGCGGATTCCACGCCCTCTAACCTACCTGTACCTTGCACTCGCCGACTGGTCGTCAAGACTGCGATTATGCCGAAGCCTGCCGCACATTCTCTCCTGTTTGCGCCAACGAGCTCGCGGATCATATCTGGCTTGATAAGTAGTTTTCTCGCCGACCACATTGATCCTCGTCTCTCGCTTGCTTGGCAGCTTCAGTACCTGTCAACGGAGGGCAAGTGGGACGTCAAGAACTTCAAGAAATGGCAGGCAGTGCAGCCTGTTTCCCAACCAATCGCTGGTATCTTCCGTGCTATGAAGACTCTCCGCGAAGTTGACGAAGAGCACTCGCCAAAGATTTTCGTCAAGCAGTGGGCAGGTAAGCTTCATGCTGTTGTCGACATCAGCCACGACTCTCCAGTCTACGATCCCAAGGGTCTAGAGGCCGGGGGTATCTCTTACTACAAATTTCCTACCGTTTCGAAGCAGCCACCAACTAAGGACGAGGTGTGCATTTTCATTCAGTTGATCGACAAGATCCGCAGCGGGAAGAAGGACGATGATCAGTCTTTGATCGGCGTCCACTGCCATTATGGATTCAACCGTACCGGCTTCTTCTTGGTTAGCTATCTTATCGAAAAGGAAGGTTACAAGGTCCAGGATGCTATTGATACTTTTCAGCGGGCTCGCGCGCCCGGCATCCGGCACAACCACTTCATCGACGAGCTGCACGTTCGCTATTTCCCCGGACTTAAAAAGGCACCGACGCTGTAGCAGAGGCGCCGGGTGCTGCCGCCGCACGCATTGTTTCGTTTTTCTTTCTTGGCACTGTAGGATATTGCTGGTATTCGTAAGGCATTCATTGAGCGATGCGTCCGGCGTTGTATACAAGGGAGACTGGACTTGAACCTGTTAGATGGTTTCTTTTGGAAAGGATACATGGCTGAGCTGGGGCTCGCGGTATATACTATTTATCACGGCTGGTTGCTGAGATGGATGGTTCTTAATGCAGTGTTGATACATTCTTCCCATGTGTTCGCGTTGTGATCACGTGTTGCACACCACTGCCTCAGTCATCGTTGTGTTTATTTACGAAGTGAGAGTATCACATGTACTGTTCTCGGGAATTCTATCGAGAGTGAAGTGTGTGAAGGCTACAGTACAATTCGCTAACACCAGAAGTCTGAAGACCAAAGTGGGCTCTGCGCCCACGTTGCGGAAACATATCATCCCATTCGGATATATGAGGTTGCACCGAAACGGAGGGCACAAGGTCGTGGAAACAGTCGCTCATATTTTAGTCCTTACGGAGGCGAGGACCCACCACTCTTAGTCTCCTCCTACAAGTGCCGCTGTGTGAAGAGAGGAGATCGACGGAGCACAGAGACAATATATGCACTTCCGGGCAATCCGACAACTCCCGATGATAACCAGCACCAGAACTCTGAAATTGGGGCACATGCACATGAAGTGTCCATGAGAGCAGGAATGCAAATTTTTGCGACTAGAAAATATATCAGACTACACATGGGAAAAGCGATTTTTAGAAGGCAGACCGGGCCAGACCAGAAGAACATGTCGAGCGCCTGAGGGACTTTTGAGCTCCCATGTAAACAGCGTCGATCGGTTTTTAGTACATCATGAGAGGCCAATAAGTGTAAGGAAGTAAGTTCGAGCCGCAGAGATGGACTATGTATAGGGTCTTAGGCGATCCAGGTCAGCCATAGGTGTGGTGGTGAAGGTTATCCCCACAGCCGACGTTGTGCACATCGGCATCTGGTCGAGCCGTCAACACTGAGGTCCACCGTCACATGCATCGTAAGCTCTCGTGATGTTTTTGGCCAAGCAGGCAGATAAGGACCTTCACGAATTCCGTGTGGTCTTTGGTCGCCATGTAGTGGACGGCATGATATTTTTGTGTCCCGCAAGGGTCGAAGATGCGTGAAGAGATATTGGAGGCTCACGAAGCAGCTTTTATATGCTGAGAACGTGATCTATAGCCTAGATCAAAGATGGATACCATCATCATTGTTCGCACCGCGCACTGCCTGTGCCTTTGGTAATGCGTGTCGGTCGCGCGTGAGCATGCACACTCAATCTTTTGAACTCATGCCTGAGGTAGTCTCGGTTAAGAAATTCCACAAATGCGATTCGCTAATTGAACTTTTGTGCTCATGGCTCGCTTCCAGCTTCACCTGCACATCCTTTATTCCTCCATCGACCGCCTTTTTCCACAATGCCGTGTCGATGCAGTACCTGCTCCCCTCCTTGACTCCTGCGCCGCGCAGATCAAGTCCCTGTTTTGACGAGAAGTCGAGGAAGGAGGCAGTGAGAATGGCGGCGATGGGGGAGCCTGACGTGCAGAAGCCTGCGTGAACTGTGGAGGGGAGGTTTTTGGAGGAGGAAGCAGGTGCGGAAAGGCGGGCTAGGGGCTTGTGGAGGACTGCGGGTGTGTTAGGTTTGATCCAATTGAAAGAAGGAGTGCGCGCGCCATTCTTTTGCTTGACATCTATTGCGCCTTGTTCGTGTTTGGCTGGCATTGTCAACTATTACTCCGAAGACGGTTCTGTTTGTATGGATTTCTGGTTCTCGTGCGGGTATTCGGGACAGAGCGATGTGGGGGAAGTCAATTGGTCGAACGCGCGAAAGTTGTACAGCGGAGAAAGCAATTGCGAATTATGTATGCCAGGATACAACAAGAGACATTCTTTTTGATGAAATGCACCATGCCATCGCCTAACCCCAATCATCAATGTGGTCAACATGACAGCTACGCATCACGGTCCTGACGTCAGGAAAGTAATAGTGCGTCCATCGCTTTGCTCGGACATGCTGCCCGCGACATTGTGTTCTCGTAACAGCAAAAATCTGAAAGGGATTTAATGTGCGCGCAGGGGAGGGATCCAGTACCTGCTATCAGTTGCATCAACTGCGTCGCGCGTTGAGCAATCCTCGTCATATTCGCGGCTAGACCAAGATCAGCAAGTGCGATCGAGCTCTCAGCACTACGTGAAAATCTCCGACCATCCGATCTCAGTCCCTGATCTACTCTCGCACAAGGTTCGCAATGCGTTTTCTTCATCGAGCCCGAGAAGGAACCCACTCCCAGCCCTGCCATCTACTCGCCACACAGGTTGCCTCATTTCCTGGGTCCTGTCGGCACATCGGCGCACTCAAACGCCGATGTCACTGAATCGCAAGATAGTGCAGTTGTGACTCGCGACAGCAGTGAAACCTTGCTGTGGATGGATGGCGGGTCCAAGAGGTGGGAACATCCTAGAAAGAAAGACATGCTGTAGCATCACGAGTCTAACATCACTAATGCCTCGTTCATAAGGAAGGTATGGCGTGGAGAAGTTGTTGGCCGTGAGCTACGACTACGAATGAGTTCAAGCCTGAGGCGAAGATACCGTTACCAATACTAAACTATGCCATGTCATGCTCGCTGTGCTCTATCTTGAAAGGAAGCTTCTGTATATGTTACAGCTCTATGCACACACCCTGCTGTCGAGATTGATTCAGGAACGTCTTCGCTACTGAAGCTTTTGCCGAATCTCGGCAACCACATTCTTGACACGCGGCTCCTTCGCTTGGTTCTCTGCCGCAGAGATAGCTGACGGAAGCTGCAAGATGTCCCTGCCAGCCTCACAGAAGTCGCTATCTAAGCTGAGGAGCGTGCCTGTGGCCACCAGAGCTCGGTAGATGGCCTCGGAGTCTTTGGCGCTGTGGAGGATCTTGTTCAGATCGTCCAGCAACGACAATACCTGGTCGGCATTGTTGTCGCCTGTAAGGAGGACCGAGTAGTTGATATACAGGGTGGTGATAGCGATGATCAGATTCCGGTTAGACGTTGTCAGGAAGGCTGAGACGGAATCATGGATTTGGTCAAACGCCTCACCTGCAATGGCCCTGCCAATGTCGGTTTTGAATAGGTTGCACAACGATCGGACGGCCATCATTGTGTTGTTTAGTGGCGAAGTTGGCGCGAAAACACCTGAAGTGGCGAGCCGCTGTAGTATATTCTGCTCTGTTGTAAGGTAAGCGACCGGCTCTTCAGCGGCGAACAAGAGCCGCAGTAGGTCGAGCCCAGGTAGTCGCTTGTCTTCAGGCCATTCTGTTGCCGCCTTGACGATGAGACCTATAGCAGAGGGATCGACGTCTTTGACGCTGCCCTTTTCGAGGAGAGCCACGGCCACGGCTAGTTCTTCGATATCTGATGGATTGAAAGACAACTCTTTATTGCCATCATTGACCAAAGCTTGGTTGAACTCTTGTAATTTCTTGAAGATCGGCTTGTGGTTGGCTGTCAAAATGTCGAGGTAGTCCTTCTGGGGTAATATCTTGGGCTTTGGGGCTGGAGCATGAGATGGTGCTTGTGATCCCGAAGCATCCCCTGGCCGGTACCGCGACTCTGTTCCCCACGGGTCCGCACCTTGGCCACTTGATTGACCAAGCGTTGCACCTTGTGTGTTTTGGACGATAAAATTTGTAACCTGATCTAGATAGGTAAGCGGCAACTTGTTGTCCTCGCAGAACTTCCGCGCGACTTCATATGGATTCTGCGACACGTTGTATGGCAGCTTTAGCGGAGGCTTGCCCTCTTCGATATCGACATCGAAGACATAATCGTATTCTTTCCCATTATGCGAGATCTTGCGTCCATCGCTGCCCGCCTGGTCCACGACTGTGCCCACGCTGACCCACTGATTGGCAGCCATAGACCACTGGTACGCGGTAATGTTGCCATTGCCCTCGAGGATCATCTGGACTTGCCCCTCCTTTGTGCCAGACTTCTGTGTGAGGAACTCCGGACCAGGCAACTTCTCCTTGTTAATGTTGCCCATGGTCTGCTGGGGGATAGCGGATGACTTGACGTCTTCGTTAAACTGTTCAATGGTGGCAGGATCAGCGTATCGCTCCGGCGCACGCGTGAAGACCCGAACGAGATTATCACTCGCACCGGTAACAATATCGCCATTTTCCGAGCACACAGCGACCGTCCACACCGAGATGGCTGGATGGGTAATGGTCTGTATGCACTCGTTGTTCTCCCATATCCTCACTGTGCGATCTTCACCAGCGCTGACTAAACGCCCATCTGGCAGAGCGGCGAGGGAGTATATGAAGTTGTCGTGGCCGCGCAGCTCGCGTACTTGGCGTCCGTCGAGTGTCCATAGTCGAACAACGGCGTCGTTGCCCGCTGAAGCGAACTGCGCACCTGAAGGATGGTTCGGAGGTAGTCTGCAGAGAGCACGGACAACATCGCCAGTCTTGATCGATCGTATGAGCTTGCCCGTGGGTTGAAATATGCGAATCTGCTGGTCGGCGCAACCTAGAACAGGCGGTCAGCTAAGCCGACACTCAAGGAACAAAGGCACTGGCCTACCCGTTATGATAGTGGCTGCATCGTAGGCAAGGACTGCCCACACGGAAGCTTCGTGGCCCTCCAAAACGGTAGACTCGCTTCCCCACTTGCCCACCTGCCACAAGCGTGCGTCTGTGTCCCAGCTGCCGCTTACTATCAAGGCCCCATCCTGGCTAACGTCGAGGGCGCACACGTTGGAGCCATGGCCGAGAAGCAGTGCTTCGGCGTTGTCTTCGAGGGCCGCGCTGGGCTGCCGCACATCGATGATCTGGTCCTTTCCGCCCGACACGATGAGGCCCTCGGGAAATGCAGCCGTTGGGGGCACGATAGCAAGCGAGTTTATGAACTCCTTGCCCTGGACCTTAATGGTGCTGTCGTATGTCGGAGGCCTCTCTGATTGGAGCTTCCATATGCGCACGCTGAAGTCTCGGGATGCAGACACGACCGAGGTGGGATGGGGGAAAGCGACGCTGCGGACCTGGGTGCTGTCAGTACCGTGGTGTATGCACGACGGAGCTTCTGCTGGAAGGGGAACACACGTCGCTTTCATGGCCTCGCAGGACGGCCGACAGCTTGTAGTCGCCCATGGTTGCGCGGGGCTAATCGGCGGTTGAGGCGGGGTGGCGGCGGTGAGAAGGAAGACGCAGGGATGGGGGTGCGCTAGTAGGGCGAGGGCCGAGGGCGCGAGGGCATTGATTCGGGCCCGTGAATGAGAGAGCAGCCTCGCGCTTGACGTGGTTGCTCGGCGTGTTGCGTGCTGTTTGCTGACAACGATGGGGCTCGTTGATGCGTCACTGCCGCGGGCCCGAACTGCTTCGGCGCCGAGGCGCCCCCCGGTCGCTCCTTCTCGCTTCTCTCCCATGCTTCCCTCCCGCGTCCGCGGCGTCCGCGGGCCCATCGAGACCTAAACCACACTTCAGCCCTGCAGCCCCCCAGCCCCCATCGAAAACGACTGCATGTCCAGGCCCGTCCGCTGCTCGTGTCTGCCGCCCTAGCTCTTGTTTCTTCACTATCGATCCTGGGCTGAAGAGTGATTATCGATAGGGGCGGCCCTACCAGCCAGCTGGCTGAGCGTGGGCTTCGTTGTCACCCTCGTCTGACAGCCTCAGGAGCCACACCTTGACAAGTGGTTGCGTCCCCATTCTATGTAGACATGCTGAGGCTGCAATTGGGGTGCTGGCTCACTGATGCGTATGAGCTGAGCGCTGCGGCCCTGAGTCACTGCGACCTGTAATCAATCTGAGTGAATTATCATCGCACCTCTGGACTCTGGAGAACCTGCCCCGTACGAACCACGACGGTCTAGGCGAAGTTCGCCTATCGTTACCGTTAGCCTGCAAGTTGCTTTATGCATAATCGTTAGCGGAACTCTGTAGACTCGGCGAGATTGCCAAATCTGCCGCAAGATCATCAGGCCATTCGATACATTTCCCTAGGAATGAGGTGCAATTTGAGCGAGTCTCACCAAATTGCTATGAGCTCTGCCTGTCTGCGACGGATGCGAGATGCGAGAGCACCTCTAAACCCCGCGAGCGCTGCGCTCCTCGTTTGAAGTCTGCTCCAGCTTCCTGTGCATGAGAAACATCGCTAGCTGGGAACTCACAATAGCGAATGGCATGTCAAGACCCGCCTCGAACAAACTACGTATATCAGGTGCAGCGCCGGGATGGAGCTACTTCAGCAGTGCACGTGTGTGTGTGCTAGCTAGGTACTGCCTGCGAGTACCGTCTGCTTCGCGAGAGCTGCCGCTACACTGTACCTAGCTCCACAGCGCCCGCTATTCAGCCCGCTATTCAAGCGGCGTATGACATCGCAGCTCGCACGCGGCCGTTGGCGAGTTGCGCGTCCGCTTGGCGCGTGTGCATTGTGGCGGCCATGGCCCTGTGACAGTCAAGGCGGTCTAGAATTTAGAACATGCAGCAGCAGCAATTTTGAGATTGCCCCTGGCTGCCAGGTACAAATGAAGTCGTTCCCCCGCATGGTTCAATCAAAGCCTCACGAAGAATTTTCTCAAGATACCAACGTTCCACAAAGGGTACAACCGACATAGACCACCGAGACTAATTGCCTTACCTGACATATCCCCGCTTGATACCCAAGGTTCGGTCACCGTTCGTCGGTCACTACGAGCGCCGTCCGCTACACGCCAACCGTCTCAGCCCTCTAGTCGTCGCGTCCAGTGACCAGCCAACAAATTACCTCTCTTGTGGCGTCCCGTCACGAAGCACATTGGTTTTAAACACCATCACCGCGCACCCGTTGTCTTGCAAATCAGGGTCTTCCACCAGAACTCTTATCAAGAGGTCTCAGCACACCTCTTTGCTTGCATACCACTTTACTTTTACAATGGACACACCCACCCACGAGCTCTTGTCCGCACTAGCATCGTATGTTCACCCTGTCCCAGCCTGTCCCAGCTGAAGTTGGCCTTGCTGAGTGTCCTAGTATGTTCGATTCTGGCAAATACTCAGACCTGACCATTGTCACCGCAAACAAAAGTTATCCCGTACATCGCGCTCTCCTCGCTTCGCGGTCAAGTTTCTTCGAAGGAATCTGCAATAACTCCTTCCGGGAATCAGAAACTGGCATTATCAACCTCACCGAAGATGACCCAGAGGCGGTAAAACACATGGTCCATTGTAAGCACTAATTCACTCCCCGCGTCACGCCCGCTAATAGGCCCTGTTTCAGATTTCTACCACCTGGACTACCTTAACAAACCGCTATCACGCCACTCCTCACAACGATCGGCTGGGTCCATGTCGCCGCGCACGCCGCGCTTCCCAACTCGTGGACCTTCCCAAAAAGCGAAACTGGCGTTGATCGAGGACCCGCTTCTTGCCATGCTTTCTGCTGCAACGCCAGCGCCGTCGGTACCCCAGGTGCAGCAGCCAGATGATCAAGACATTCTAGATGCGCCCGCGAAGCTGCCAGATACCCCTATGCAGGATCAGTTCACCCACGACCCTTTCGAGTATGTCTACACCAGTGAGGCAAAGGCGGATGCTGAGCAACCGCATCTTGTAACGCATGCCAAGGTCTATGCCATCGCTGAGAAGTAAGTTGAGACTTCAATTCTTTTGTTTTCACTGTCGACTCTGTACGCGCGCGATCCCCTCGTCAGCATCAACCTTTTTTTTCTCTCTTGCGACTCCGCAGCATTTGCGCACACACGTTGCGCTAGACGGCAATGGCAGAGTGCCGACCCCGCGATTTGCACAGGGATGACGATCGGATCGACAACCGCCAAGCCTCTACCCTTGCTCTCCTGTTCTGGACAGTTCAATATTTGGTTCTGGCTGCTGTCATCCAACCAGTGTTGTCACAAAATTCCTACTCCTTTGTCTTTCAGTCTCCTGAAACACTCGGTGCAGCCGCTAGAACACGGCCGACTTTCTTTGCCAACCCCGCATTGGAGCCCCTTAAGAACAAAGGCACTGACACCAAGTAGGTATGGCATCGTTGGACTCAAGTCACTTGCCCGCAAGAAATTCGCAGACCAGATCCAGACCCACATCGACAGCGAAGAGCTACCTGAAGCTTTTCAAGAAGCGTACGAATCGACAGTCGACACAGACCGAGGGCTTCGAAATATCATCATCCAAGCTTTCCGTTCCAATCCGGATCTTTCATCTCGAAAGGACGTGGAGATCGTCCTCCGTGACACTCCGGGACTAGCATTCGAGCTGTTTAGAATGGCCTCTGGAATGCCAGTCACTTCATGAGCGCTGGCTGTCTTTTGCGCGTTGCTTCGTTTTCTGGGTGCAATCTGTGAGCGCCGACATTAGTGCAAGCGATTACCCACAACTCGTTTTTAGACGATTTTTAGTTGGCTACGAAGTTACGACCCGGTTTTGTTGAGACTGACTCCTCGGCGACTGTTAGTCTTTTAGATTGATTTCTGCGATGAGGCGCCTGCATTGTTTCTCTTCACATGGTACCATTTCATCGGGAACGACTGGTTCGCTAACCCACCCGCAACGTTTCTAGAGTCTGCATGATAGACGCATGGCACTTTGGCCGTCCCCATCATCTTTCGCTGTACATATTATGTTCACGGCAACAACCGACCGAATAATCAATTCGATCAAGCCGATTTAATGAACGTGCTAAACGTCGTGCCTACACATGAGAACGCTTCAATGCATGCAAATTACCATTTACGAAGCAGTGTCCTCCCTAATCGAGCCTGCAGTAGCACCTCGCGTACGCAGCGCGTCGCGTCCACACGCCGCATGACGCCTTTTCACCTACCGGCAAGTCGGCACCTCCCTTCCCACAAGTACCCAACACGCCATTACACGTCTCTTTTCGACCGCAGTCTCGCCCTGCAGCGACCAGGGTAGCAATTACCAAGGTTCTGGGCCATGCGTACGCGTTTTCCCACGAGCGGCGAGCCCACAATGTGGGGCTCCTACCGGGGCGAGCCGCGACGCTACGTCATACCTACAACGTGTGGCAGCGTGGTACACAGAGTTTGGTAAGCGTAGGGGCGGCGATTTCTGGCGGTACATGGCGGGATGTTGTCATATATTGTGAGTGAATTGGTGGGAGTGCGGTGTCCTTGCGAGGAAAGCGGCAGGTGCGTTGTGACCGCGCTGTGAGCGTCCAGGCACACTTTCATGCGGTCTTGCTGCTCAACGAAGGGCTTTGTGCGCGTGTTCAAGGTTTGGCCCCGCCTTGTGTAAGAGGATCCGAATCACTGTGTAACGTAGAATGTTATCGTTAGCTTATGTCGTGGTTCTTACCACTTGTACCCCGCTTCCTGAGCAGCGAGTACTGCTACGCGAACTTTCACAGCGCGCGCCCATGCATACACGAATGTCAGCTGAGTGAAGTCTCCTCAGAGGTAAACGTTGAAGACCTCTAACCATATCCAGCCCTAGTATCCTGTCGTAGATCGCACCACATATCAACATACAAGTAACCTAGCACGTAACCTAGCACGTAACAAAGTCACGCAGGACGTGAAGCCCCCCATTCCTCGTTTCCTTCCCAGCCAACAAGTAGAGTGGTGGCCAAGTGCGGGGCAAGTGTGGGTGGAGTGCTGCATAAATTGTACCAATTCGCCGGTCACAACATACAACAACAAACAAATCAGTCTCACACGCTGCCTTTTCCGTACCGGCTCATCCCGCCCACTTACCGCCCCCCAAGTGCCTTCCAAATCGCGCCCGCGCCCTTCCCTACAATGCCCCTATCCTCCCTCTCCCTACCGTCGCGCCTATGTCCCGCCTCTTTCCCCGTGCCTCCCTCCCTTTCCCGGACAACCCTCTCCACCCGCTCTACCCTCACCGGCTCCCTATCCACATATCGCTCGGGTTCCCGCACCTCCCTCACCTCCCTAACCACCCTCTCCGGAGATCGCGCGTAGTACACCGGCTGAAGGCAGCCCGAGGTGCGATAAGCGGACGTGCGACGGTCCGACGTAGAGCGATAGTCGCAAGGAGAGGTGTCGTAGCTGTTGAGATGGATTGTCCCGGCCGGCGCAGCTTTTTCAGAGAGGCGAGCGAAATAGTTTGAGGACGGGGTGTCGGGGTAGGACGTGTGTGTTGTGGTGTGCTGCGCATGGGTAGGTGGATGGCGGGAGTATGGGTCGTCGCGGTAGTAACTCATTCTGGATATGAAATGTTTTTTCGTGGAAACGTTGTGCAGTGGATATCTGTGCTATGTGATGAACCTAGATAGCATGCAATAGGGATTGTTGTTGGGAATTGGGCGAACACTGGTTGCGAATTGGGCTGCGCATGGTAGAATAAGTAGATAGCTGGTGGTTTGCCTCGCGATCTTCGCGGCCGTCGGAGGGGCTGCTGTTATCGCCGGGCTTTTGCAAGTTTGTTGCGCGGGCTTATGAGATTTGGGGATGGTGGAATGACGTTGTTGGGGTTGAAGCGGGGATGTCCTTGTTGCGGGGCGGGATCATTGCTGATAATCCGAGGTGGAATCAACCAGCTGCAATGCAAGGAACGATATAAACTAACAGGATTGCAGTATTCGAATGTGGGCTGTTCGGTACTCAGGAAAAGATAAAACACCTTGGTCGCCAAGACTTCGTAGATAGATGAATGCAAACATTCGAAATGCAGAAAGAATTTGCAATGAAGAAGACGCGTCCTAGACATCCCATTCTTTTCGTCGCAGCTCTTCCCTAAGTTCATAATCCGTCCGTCTCTCATTCACAATCGCCCAGTGCCTCCTATCGCCCCCTCTGGTACGCGCTCTCCCCTACAGCATCCTCGTAACTTGGCGGCGGCACTTCATCCCGCTCAAGACTCTCGCTTCTCCTCCTTTCCTCGCTCCTAGCCTCCTCGCTCTTCCTCGACGACCGATCCTTCCTCAACTTCGCCTCTCGCTGCTCATTCGCAAACTCCATCAAGGCCTTTTTCTCCTTCTTCTTCTCGCGCTTCTCCTGGATCTTCTGCGCACCGAGACTCAGGCCTAGGATAAGTGCTGCAGCCATGCTGAAAGGTCCTCGCACGTGGGGAAAGTCGAATCCGGATTGGAGTTCTGGGTAGGGCGCGTTGACGGCTATCGGCGCGTATGCTTGGGGCTCGATGGGTACGGCACCACCAAGGGGACTGTAGTACGGAGTGATTTGATGGACTTGTCGCTGGCGCTGGGAAGAGCAGCAGCCTCGTTGACGAGATTGGTAGGAGACGTAGCGTGGTTGGTTCTTCCTGCAGCACATGATGCTCAATATAAGGTCTTCGCTTTGAGGCGGAGTAATTTATTCAAACACCTGTCCAAGTAGGAGTGGAGAAGAGGATTGATTTGGAACGGCCGATGGCGCTGCAGTCCAGATGTTGTGCACTCACCTTTATATATAGCCTCGTGAGGGCAGAAATGGTTCAGGGCGTCGCGTAGAGCCTAATCAGGAAAGTCGAGCCTGGGTAAGCCTACGGTCGCATTCGCTTAATGGTTGCGCTTCCAAACTAGTTTCTCGGAGGCAGTTTTAGAGAGCGATGCAAGATGTGATGTAGATGCGATGCGGATTTAGTGTGGGAGTGCTTGCACCGGTGTGCAAATGCAGTTGTAGTTGCTCTATTGGAGGCAATGCTGCGGCCGTAAAAGTCGTGACGTACGCCTATGTGCTGCTTGGATTGGTTAGGCTCTTCGGCGTGGCGCAGGGCTGTGCTGAGGCAGAAGATGCGCTTGGCTGAATCGCGCCTTCGAATCAGGTTAGAGATGCGCTCAAGCGAGTGCGAAGTTTCCGTGTACTTGCGTGACAATTTGGATCGGAGTACGCGCATCTGTATGCAAGATACAGATTTTATATTTATTTACTAGCATCGGAGCATTGCGTGGCGATCGCACTGCTGTCAAAGTCGTGAATTATCGGTCAACAGAGAGGGTGCACGACCCTCTTCAGAACTTGGAATTACCGGCCACATCTCAAACAAGGGATGATCGATTTTATTATGGCCTTTGATCAGGGCACTCTCTCATTACCTCTTTTGGCTCGGAATCAATCTTGTCGGAGACTGGTACATTACTTTCTCGCGAATTACGAACGCCTGCTCGATTCTATGCATAACATACATTGGCGTCGGACACGATGTCTATCCTCTTTGACTTCACCTTCCCAGTTCCTTGATCTCAAGCGCTGCTTTTTGCAACCTCAGACACTTAAAATGACTACCTTTGTGCAAAAGAATTTGTTCATTATCGTCGCACCTACCTAAACCACGCTTGTGCACATTCCTGATATTGCACCGCCCATTCCTTTGACCATTTCCTTCCGCAAACCACCAGATCCCGCATCCATCCCTCGCAACTCCGTTTTCAACAGCTTGCAAGCAGGCGCATTCGACCTCTGGAAAATATATGTACATCATGTGTGACCATCTTCCCACACGGCACCGTCATTGCACGCAAACACCTCGTACGCAACTTAAAGGCGCACTTCATCCTTGAGCATCACATCGGAGTACTTCTTAACAGACGCGCATTGAATATCGGCAACAACACAAAGCCCGAAGGATTAGCCTAACATGTCAACCGGCCGCTCGAACGCTGTGGACGCTCTTCCACGTGCCTCATTTCTCACTTACTTCCGCACTCCGACCAAGCTAAATCGACGCACGGGCGAAGACTGCCAGAAAAGACGGGCATCGTGTAGAAACCATTGCTCAAAAGCGCCACTCCTGCCACGCATACCAGAAGACGCTACTACAGAGCACACCGCCGAAGAATCAGAGCCGGAGGACTATGAGCATGTTGACAACCATGAGAGCGGGGAGGAATTCGAGCAGGGATGGAGCTGGACCAACATCCTCAGTTTCACTGGCTACACGCTGCTGGTCTTGCTTATCGTGCTTAACTTGGACTTTCTCTTGAGTGCATATAATGCGAACGCTGGATTGGTGAAGTGGGACGACCACGGAGTGAGCACTAGCTCTTCAAGCCGTGAAGTAAGTGGTCAGGTCTACGTGGGCTCTACGTCGCTGAAAAGTTAGCCAGATGCACTTCTGCCTTGCCGAACAGAACCGTTTAGCTCCAACCTCTCGCGTGTGGCGGTACGTTCCCCGAGGCTCAGACTCAAGCTGCGCGACGAGACTTTTGACGATCCATGCGGACCCGACCGAAGAACATAAGCTGTTTACAGAAGACATCATCATGGGGGAGGCCAGGAATATGCCTACTTGTGATTCACCGAACGGCGAATCTTGGGGTAGGTCGTATAGAAGGAGTGAACGTCTCGAGGTTGGTGATGACTTAGCCCAAGAAGGAATCCTTAGCAAGGAGGTCTGAATCGGATGGCCGGGCAACAGGCGGGCATTGCGACCATTGTGCAAAGTTCAGTCACAGGGACGCAATAATAAGACGAGTGCATACGATGAATAGCGAACATTTGCTAAGCGCTGTTTACGTGAAGAATCCTCTTATAATTCTGACATATCCATACAAAGCCGGTATTCCTTTTCAACGTGTCATTATCGTGTGCGACATAGCTGACGACCGAGAAGTTATGAGAGCTGTGAGCGTGAAGTACTCGATAAATCCATTTCCTGACATACCGCGAAAAGGTCCACAGCTTGAGTTGGAGGTCGGACGCCGGTGCTAATGAGGGGACACCCCCGGACCGCTTGGAACCCAGTGTGTGCCTAAGGCCCCGCGAATTTTACTCCATATTCCAAGTGGGAGGCCATCAAAAGAACGTCTCTTTATAATTGTGGATGAAAAGCCGTTCCAGGCCAGACCACCAAAGATGCACCCAATCCCCGTGGGCATACTAATTTACGTTATCCGACCAACGGATCTGAGAAGCATCAAGTTACTGCTCTAGCCACTTCTGAGTCCTAATCTCTTCGCTAACTTCATCTTTGGCATCCACTTGATCTGTTGTCCATGAGTAAGTGTCCATGGATATAGACAACCCCGAAGTGTGCAAGTGCCTCATCTGGAAAAGCGTCCCCTTAACGAGATGAGATCACAGAGATCCTAGATTCTGAAGTGCAGCGTGTCGACTCTCTTAGGATGTTGCGTCTCTTCTCGCAGAAGCCGACAGACTTGGCTCAGGACGTTGCTCATCGGTTCATCCTTGCCACCAAGGGACAGCAAGTGCCGAGATGGTGTCCAGACGTAATCAAGCTCCCTGAAGGTAGGTGGCAGAAGAGTACGGAGCGGTCGTTCCATGTGAGATTTTTCGTTCTAGGTCATGTCGTTCTCGGACCGAAGGAGGTTTCCGCGATCTTGCTTCGTATATCTTGGGGAAGACTAAAAAGACGGACGACACCCTTTCGGTGAAGTTGTACATTATAAACTGGCGAGTCGTCCCAAGAGCTGCGAGGATGTTAGGAAGGCCTTCTAGATTGGATAGTTCGACTTGATTCTTGTCCCAAGATGGAGTTAGCTCCACTGTTCTTTGCAATCACTGCTCTGGAGTCAAACGAGCCGTTATATCTTCATAACCCTTGAGTGTGCGAGAAAGATGGTGGATATGCTAGCGCGAGTGAGCGTCTATAACATTTATAAAGGGAGAGAGAGATGAGCATAGACTTCTTGTAATAGTTCAGTTATAAGGAAACTGATCCTGGTATTCGATTTCTGTCACATATTTTATTGAACTTTCGGCGAGTTGAACGCCATTGGACTCGACCGGTAGATTTTCACCTCAGCATACACGTGACATCTGGGTTGATCATGTAGTCACATGGACAGTCCAACTTATATATAATCTGCGCGAGAAATGTACGAATATCTGTAGTGGGTCATAATGGTCAACGCATATGCGGGCCAAGGCCCTGTGCAGGCAGATTTGACTCTAGGCTAAGAGAGTATTGGCTGATAGCGGCGCCAAATGTATTCGTGATTATTGGGCTCTAAGACTGACAACGAATAGTACCTTGGTAGAAAGAGATTCACTGATAGCGTGAATTTGTACTTTTAAGCCAGAGCTACCTACAACTCGCTTCATATATACGAAGGCAGAGAGAATGTGTCAGTCGTCATATGTTTGACCAAACTGACTGTCTCCACCAGTATCTAGCATTCCCATTGATGCTACCCCTTCTTCTTCTCCTTTTGCGTCGTGTATTGGTGATTCCAAGGAACAATAGACCAGTTCGCAGGCGTGATTGTCTTGGAAGCATGATCAAAACAAAGACTCTGAAAACATTCTGTTGCGCCAACTCGATGTATTCGAGAATATGTGCGTCATAGTACTCTAAACCGACATTTTGAATGTGTTTCTGAATGCAGCTTCACAGTGTCATTGACTCACTTCTCCGTGAAGGGACTCATGCTACTCACCACTCAAGAATGCTTTTTCGGCGAGGAGCTTCTTATCTTCCGATGTTGTTTTTGCCTCTTTGCGTAGCAGAGCATCTGTTGAAGCGGTAGACTCGCTCGAATTTCGAGCCGAGTAGACTGAGGGCTTCGCTTTCTCGGAGTGAACAGTGCCATAGTTGGCGTTGTTGTTGCTGCTGTTACCGTTGGAAGGCATTGCAAAGGTACAGTGACGCCTAAGATGGTTTTGATGGATGGATAGACTCTGACGGGACGAGGTGATTCAAAGTGTATGGGAGAAGTTTTGCCCGAGTTGGGTGAGGGTTGAACGGTGTGTTGGGATGACGGATGCCTGAGGAGGGTAGGATACCGGAACTTTATAATAGAATTATCTGACAAGCGGGATTCAACGTGCGTTAAGCATTGCGACGACTGTCCACGTCGGCAGGGTACAAAAGTTGCTGCCTTGGTCCCCGGCTTTCACCGATGCAGGCTAGCATTTGTAATGCCGTACTTCACGTTCCCACTATGGGAGCCACCTCACTAACTGCAGAGTGTCGCCAAGAGCTTGGGGTCCGGCGACTTAGAGTGCAAGGGCAACATGACCATGCATTGTCGCGACCATGAGATAACTCGACCAGAATAGGCAAAGGCGCGAGAAAAGGGCGAACACCGCATTCACGCCGGAATAGAATACCGGAATGCGGAATAGCCGGGAGGAGAGGGAAGACGATAGGACAGCGTAGCGATAAGCGAATTCCGCACCTGCATGAGTCAGCAGCGTTCCAGCCCAAGCTCCGCATCGTGTCAACGGCGTTCAAACTCCGTATCGTCAACATACTTATGCAGACCACGCGACCGACCTACGGCGTTGGCGCAACGCATCGGATTTCACTTTGAACAATTTGCAACCATTAGCAGAGAGCCCTAATCGGCTTCGGAGCCCGCTTACGAGTCGGTGAGCATCCATTGCTGATGTGCTAGGCAGCAACGAACTACGCATGCAAGGGATTACGACTTCATCTTTGAAACAAGCTAAGAATACGTATCCTGGGATGCGTACTGATCTAGGAAGTGGACTATACTGGAAGCCGTCAACAATTACCCTGGGCCATTGTGCATCAACTTGGAGCTACCTCGAGACGAGCTTGTCCTAACTCGACATGGTTCGTTGACTACGTGCGACCCCCAAGTACATCACTGATTACATGCAGACTGGAAACATATTTCCGGCACGGTTCCATGCGGGCCACCGGGATCGGACCCTTAACACGAACTACAGACGGAATGGCAAATTACAGTCCTGTGAGCCGTGTCGGCGAGGCAAACTACGCTGCGATCATATGATGCCGACGTGTGGGCGCTGTGCTCGACGGAACAAAGCACATCAATGTGTCTATCACCCGGCACCACTTACCAAGCGTACTAGTCTTCCTACACCGTCAACTGAGAGTGATCCCAGAAGCCCTTCCATCCCCTTGCAGTCGACAGAGTGGGGTGCTCCTACGCCTGTTGTCCACCCTCTGACTACGACATCTCAGACAGAAAGCGCCATAAACTCGCAGCCATCTTACGTGGTGAACCCGCCAGCCGCGTTGTCACGGACAGCACGAGCAACCAGTCTGCCCGCCCATCCCCGCTTAACAATCGACGAACTCCGTCGACCCCTCCCTGAGGCGCACGTCAGAGGTGACTCCTTGAACAAGCTTCCAGCAGCAGGCTTCGTCCATCATACCGCTATTCTCGATGAGTACGAGCTGAGCATTGGAATTCAGCGACCGAATGCAGAGGATCCTAATGCTTCAACAGTCATATCACCTCTTTACATTGAGAGAGGCGCGGCTGTGCTGACACTTCTCAAAGATCCATCGATCTTGCAACGTTACCTTGACAAATGGTTCTCTTTTGGTAGAGGCATCGTCCTAGTCGAACCAATGATCAAAATTTTTACTTCAGGCGTGTGGTCAGTCTGGGGTAAAACCCTGAGGGACCAAAATCCTAAAGAGCTTCAACGAATGTCGGCACGAATATGGGAAAATACGATGAAGCCAGTATCGCGGCTACTGCATAGGCATACGAGCCCTCGTGAGTTCTGTAGCGCAGTCACGGGCGAAAACCTCCGATGGGAGATCGTGGGCATGATAGTGACATTAGTCGCATTGTTGTGTCAGAGCTTATCTGACGCCGATCCGATTTTCGTTTCGGATAAGGCATGTCTTGAGGACCGAGCTGCCATCATATTGAGGACGCACAACGCGTCAGAGATTTGCATTGGATTCTGCGAAGACTTCGCAATTGTGAACGATCTTTACTTGTGGTTCTTGTACGAGAACGCTGGCCTCTATTGCTCACTGCGTAGCAGAGGATCTTTCGAGAACTGGAAAAGATCTGGCATCCTCGCAACTGCTATGATATTCTTCAATCTACACCAGGAGATCAAGGTGGACGATAATACTCCCTTCTTTATCGCAGAGTTACGCAAACGACTCTTTGTATGTGCTTACGAGAACGACAAATACTCGGCAATATACAACGGGCGGCCTCCACGACTCACTCGAAGCTATTGCATGCTACAGTCTCCCCTCGACCTAACTGACGAACAACTCATGTCAGAGGGCCCCGATCTCGAGCTTGCATTACATAGTCTGGATGACGAAGGCTGGAACTCAAGCGCACGAATACAGCGAAGCACCTTTGCACGTTTGTTCATGCCCAACTCGCTCCTTGCTGAGGAGATCTTGGAGGTTTCATTGGGGAATCTTCCACACGATGAGGTTATCAGGCGCGCTGCCGATATCGAACGACGAGCAATCGAACTTCAGGCCAGCCTACCGGAATTTCTTCGCATTGACGATCAACCCTTCCTGGAGCTAAAGCGACCACCAATCGAGCTGATATATATGGCATATATCCGTCTGGACAGCCTGAACCACCATTTTCTTTTGCAGCGGACACTCATCAAGAAGATAGGCGCCGATAATTCCAAATTATTGAGTATTGCCCAGGATATGTTCAGTTTTGTGGTGCTCCTCGTGAACCACATCAATGTCCTGCGCGACTTTCAACTCGATGTCATCCAGCTACTGACCATGGATGGCATCCCACCCGCGGCGATCATCGCGATGGAGCTCCTGCATCAGGACCAAAACCCTACATCAGCTTCAGCACTGGCCAATCCACTCCCACGGTCGAGGACGATACAGGACCTGTCGGTATTCGTTGCATGCTTGGGAACCGTCAAGCCCTTTACGAACGGAAGCAACAGTTGCATTAGAGGACGCAAGTTCTTAAAGAAGATCCTCGACACAATATTGGATCCACCACCTGTGCGCCTGACTACCGATGACTCAAGTACTCAGAATCTTAGCGATCCGAGCTTCACGAGTCCATTTCTCCAGACGGGTAACGATGGTGATTTCATGAGATGGCTCGACGCTATGGACTTTGACTGCGAGAGCTGGGTGAACCTCGATTGATGAGCTATAAGTCGCTGATAGACTGTCAAGATACATGCAGCGAACTTGTGCGTTGGACAAGACATATCATCCGTATACAGTCTGATAAAGCTTGTTCAATAGCAAGTCCTAACTAGTGTGCCTGCTTTTTCTGAGGGTCTTAGTCCACGTACCGGTTTCGCATGTGGCCTCGCTGGCTTTGGTAGTCGTGGTCGCGATTGTGGCTGATGCGGTGGCCACCTCGGCGGCTGCGGCCTGCACAGCCTCCGCCAATGGCGACAACTCGACTGATGAGGCTATCTCGTACCAACACGAAGGTTAGATGTTGAGTTCTGTCTGGAGTCTCGATAGTTGAGGCTGGGCCGACCTGGGCTACTGCGAGGACATAGCCCTGGCCAGATGTCGGATTGTTCGTGTTCACATGGCTACAGGTGGATGTATAGCTTGTTGTTCACGTGTGAAATCTCCGATAAGGTCGATACGATATGATCGATTCTCGAACAACTTTCGGCGCTGCATTTAGCGGGAAGAATTCATTTCGTCCGGCTTCAAGTTCTTCACAAGGAGGTGGTTCCAAATCATCGCAATAGTGCGATTAGTTTTTGTGCTCTCATCGTATCGCTCGCGAGTCCACATGCGGACCCATGCTTAGAGAAACGCCACGCTGCTTAACTGAACGACAAACAGCCTTAACTTGCGTTGTGTGCCTGTCCCTTCATATAATCATTTGACCATAGCTTTGAAGCTCGCGCGATTTTGCCGGTCTAATCTACAACGTCTGCCATGGCCGGAAAATGAAGATATTCATACAGCCCCTCCCCTCGTCCAGGACAGTGAGGTCACCCCGCACGCAGAAAATTCGTACAATGTTCAACCAACCTTCATTCGCAGACTTCTGCATTGATATCGAACCATTTGATACAATCGACGACATCAGATGGAAAGTGCACGGTCAACTCGGAATCCCACCAGAGCAACAGAGGGTCATCTATGCCGAAGAACAGCTAGAAGATGGCCGGACGCTCTCCGACTACATTATTTTTCATGAAGCCACATTGTCTCTCATGCCCCGCTTGAGAGGCACAGACTCTAAGGCATCGAGTGCGGTAGAGGTAAACCTAAATTCAGTGGTGAGTGCAGCAAATGTATTCCCCTCCGATGAAGAAGCTGGGGAAGGATCAAACAGTGGCGCGATATAGCTTTGCGGGGAGTTTCGATGCAGATACACATATAGTGGATCCAGCATCGCAATTTGTGCTGATGGATTCGCTTGAACGTGACACAGTACTCAGTTCGGGGTACCATCGCTCTACCGGGACTCTTCGATATATACGGAGTTCTAGCGGGTGTTATTTACAGTTCTGAAGAACTTAGCGCCAAAAAGTTCTGCTCTGGCTTTTTCAGCATTATGTTCGAACGCGCGGATGGCGCAGTAGCCGAGATGGTTCGGGTGAAAATGGATGATCTTAAAACGTTCAAAGATTCCATGGAATTGGCGATCGATATCGCGTACGCTCTAGAACCTGTTGATCCGATCGAAGCGACCGAGGGCGTTCTGTGGAGTGCCTACGCCATTGAGAAAGTCCTCGCGATTTTTGATTGCGCTCAGCTGATTTATGTTATCAATGACAGTAAGACGCGTCAACAACGAGCGCGTTCTACAAGGCAATCCCTACTTTGTGACTCCTTGAATATCATTCAAAAGGACCCTGCTCGGCAACTACCGACTCGCTGTCGCCAAAGAGCTGTCGGACCAACCCGTATGCCAATCTGGAAACCTTGTCAAAGCAGCCATCCGAGCATCAGGGAAGACATGGGGGCATGAAAATCCCGCGCGATCGAAAATTTGCGAGTAGTCTAGTTGGGGAGCAGCGGAAAGAGATACCGGAACAGGCTGCTTTGCATGTAGATGCGACGTTGGGGATTGAGGAGCCGTTGACTCGACCGGAGATCGAGAAGATCCTGAAGAAGGAAATGGAGCAGAAAACAAGGGAGGAGGAGATAGAGGGGATTTGTGAGGGGTTTACATGCGTATGTTATCGTTGCATTATGTTGTGCATCATTGCTGTCTATGTCTACTTGGAATGATACTCCGAAACGAGCGGCAGATAAGAAAATGCAGCCCGGGCGTTCCACATAGGCGTGGTTTCGCCTTCCCACAGTCGTAGCAAATGCTAGCATGCAATATGAAAATGGTTGAAGTTCGTCGATTCGTTGGAGAAATTCTATCCGGGGGAATACATTGGTACGTGATACATGTGCTGAAATCCAGCTACCCACCGCCCTCACTGTCATACAGTACCCATTCCACCTCGTCCCATTCCCTGCACCCTCATCTAGCCAAATGGATCACTAACATGCACACTCACTTTCCCATGCCGCCCTGCACATCCCACACTTCACGGGTTTGCCTTCATCCCGAGATACCTTCTCCCAGCCCGCAAAGCACGTCTTGTGTACTGTGCGTCCGCACTCGCGCTTGCACCATACGAGCGCCTCGTCCGCGAGGAAGGCATCGTGGCAGATGGGGCAGTCGTCATCGACGGCACGCCGGCGGACGTGGGGGATGGCGCATGGTCGTTGGGTCACTGGCTGAGCAGCGGAAGGTGAAGACCGGCGTGGTTGTGAAGGGATACGGCGATGTACAGGGATTGGGGCTGACGTTGCAGGCGCGCCTTGGACTGGAGGCGTGACTTGGACTGGAGGCGTGGCTTGGACCGGAGGCGTGACTTGGACCGGAGGCGTGACTTCACCTGGGGTGACTGAGGTAGCAGTTGCTTCTTGGGAAGGAGTAACCCGAGCAGAAAGTGTAGCAATCATCGCTTCCAGCTGCGCAATGCGATCCAAGTGCTGCGACATCAATGACTGCATCGCGCTAATCTCGGACCCAGACGAGCTCGGCGAGGTCGATGGCGTTGCTGCTTCTGAAGTTCCAGAAGACGAAGTCCTAGAACCCCGGCTTCGACGTCCGCCATTAAGCACTCGTCGAGCCGTCGCAAAACGCTCCATCCTCGCACTCCACTTCTCCACCATTGCGTCCGCCTGGTCCTGGTGCCACCGCCTGCACAGCACGAAGCCTGCCAAGTCGTAGAGGTCATCTTCGAGAGCGATCGGATCAGGCTCCTTGGTGCTGATGGTTTTCAGGAGGTATTCTGCGTTCTGCTGGTTGTGGAATGCGATGGTGTTCGCGCAGTTGCGTCCACGGGTGTGGGCCCAGCCCGCGCAGCGGCCCATACTGTCGATCTTGAGGACAGTTGAAGGGTCCCAGAGGGGAGAGGTGCGGGTGCGGGGTGTCATGCTGTCCAAGAGTACAGCTGGTCTTGCTTGCGCTGGGAGGGAGTAGCTGAAATTGCGGTGGATTGCTGGCTCTATGTTGGCCTGAATGTGCGACGGGCAGCCCTTCTGGACCTCTATATACAGGTGATTCCAAGAAAAGTTCCAGACTGCATGCGACAAATCCCAGCCATCCAAGCTTCGTGCTGCGCAGCATTCACAAACGTCCTCAGCCACGTCTCAGGCAATGGTGCCTGTTGAGCGCGCGGCTGGAGACCCAGGCTTCTGACACAGCCTTCTGAGTTCATGCAAGCATACACCCACATTCAAACAACCCCCTGGCTCCCTGTTGCAAGGGGGTCGTAGAGGTTTCGCCAACTTGCCCTTGGTCGGATGTTTGCAGCCACTGCTCGACCGCTTCTGTGATGCAACTTAAAAAAAAGAAAAAAAAGTCCCTTAGAAGAGAATGGCCACTTAGTTTGAATTGGGAGATTTCTATCAACGATTCCATGTTAAAGGCGATGGACGTCATTGCGGAACCGCAGCTGCCCTGGGCCTGCGACTGTGCCGCCCCCATGCATGGAATCGACCACACCACAATCTAAGCACCCAATCAGCTCCAGCCACCCGAAACGCCAAAGCCTGGAAGAAAGATTAAAAAAGCCGAGAACCGAACGTATCGATAAGCGCGCCTAGGGGTCCATTGCGGTTCCAAGGATGTTCACAGCCACCAGGCATGACGATGCGTTCAGAGTGGAAGAGGGCTGTGCACAACTCGCTGTCCATCTGCTACGTTGCGTACATTGTAGAGTGTGGCGTTGTCACTCACAAGGTTTCAGTGCACACATGCTATCGTGGTGGTGTTAGCTACGATTTTGAGGTAGATGTATTCCCTACACCAACTCGAAGCTGAAGGGGGCCCTAGGCATGTCTCCACTGCTTTCCGCCATGGCGTACGTAAGTGACTAGACCCTAAAATCACCGCAAGATGCCTGTACGTGCGCCTGCTCAAGCTCTGGACACCACCCATTGGACAGGAGACGAGCGCTTGTAGTGGGCAGAATGTGATTGTGACTACAGAACAGTACAGGGAATCGCACGTTGCCAGCAGCCGCCCACAAGTAGGGCACCGTGTCGGATGATGCGGCACCATAGTGTAATATTTGTCTGCTTTTTCCGACACCAATTGGTTATTGTTTGCTCGGTTTCTCGTTGAAGCAGTTCATCATGGTAAGAATCGGGCAGCGCCCGCAATGGCATGAGCAAATGGATTTAAAGATACAGAACATTTTGTGAATGGGACGCCATAGAGTTGACGAACCAGGAGAAGTGCCTGAGACGGTAGGGCCGTAAAGCTTTCTGGCAACCAGAGCCGTAAATGGCACGCGAGGTGGGAAAACAACGTTCGAAACATAGCTTTAAGCCTTTGCTAGGTGTGGAGGGCAGCCGCTTGAGGGTCTCAGATATGGCTCGGCCCTATACTAGACCAGCCATGAAGTTCGCAACTCATCTTAAGCATTTCTTCCCTCCGGACACTGACTGCTCAAAGCAATTTCCTTCATCCATACAATTCGTAAAGTGACTTTCATTCGCTTCACCATTATCACACGATCCTCGCCACCCGCGCCTGTGTTGAATTCACCTTTCACGATGTGTTCGCACCGAACCCTCCATCGTACCCGCGCACAGTGTTGAAAATCAAGAATTACGGCAGCTATGAGGGATGGAATGGTAAAGGAAAACCATGCTGCTTCACCATTGCCCAGAATACCCTCGCGGTGCCAAGCGAGACCTGAAGATCATGGGCGCGAGAGCTCCCAGCATTGTGAATCTTCACCCAGAACTTTCGTCATTGGCGGAGAAGCTCGTATGTAGGAGGTGGAATAGGAATGAGCCAGCGCGAACGGCCCTCGTGACCTGTATTGTGGAACCTTGGGGAGCTTGTGCCGATCCTTTCGCAGCTGAAGATGCTGAGAAGCGGCGCAAGATGCACAAGGAGAGCCACAAACGCCAGACAAAAGCTGGCCTTGTTGGTGTCTTGGTTCGCCAGAACACAATTATGCGGCTCCTGCGATGGGCCTCCAAGGTATGGTTCGCCTGCACCAATCTCATCCTCCGGCCCGAAATCGTATTCTACAACATCTTCATCATCCAATCCTGACGATAGCCCTCCGACATATGAGTCGTCTTCGACATTAGACGAGTTTTTCAGCTAGACATTTTCTACTTCTAGATTTAAAGGCTGTAGAGCGAGCTACACACCCTCCTCGTCCGCCAGCTCGGATACCGTAACGGCGGACCATGGCTCAGAATCGGCGTGATTGGTCGCGATTTCGACGCTACACCACAACAAGCTGGGAATTCGGAGCTGGAAGGCGGGAACTGTGCTCGGAAGAGAAGATGAAGTTTCTATCCGGTGATCGAGCATTATTGAAACGGAATATTGATGGGTATCGGCGTTCCAAATTGACTCTCATGGGGTAGACTGGAGGAGTTCCTTGGGTTGTGGGTCTTCTCGAGGGTTGCGCCACGTAGTCGGTCGTTGAGCAGATTGCTCTTGACATGGGACTCATAGATACCCTCTCTTAGTAAGTAGTCTCTTCCCATGATTGATTGCGCTTTAATGCCTCGGTAATCTTCGTATCGGTGCTCCTTATACCATCTTGCAGCGACGTTTGCGCCCTGCTAGGTCCAGGCATTTTGGAAAAAGGCCACATACACAGCAATTCCTAGCACAAACTTCTCAGTCTTTCCTACCCCACTCGTTCTTCCTCCTCAGCTCTCTGGCGGGCGCTGTGAATTGGGTCTTCATGTCTCCGGCCGTCTTGACCTGCATCTTCTTGTTGGCCTCCTCCAACTGCTTCAACTGGTCCTCGTCGCTTTGCAGCTTCCTCTGAAGAGTAATCTCAAACATATCGCGACCCTTCCTCCTGCCCTTGAGACCGTTGTCGTCGATGTCGTAATACAGGGCCCAGCGCAAGCCTTCCCGCCCCCACTCGGTTGTGTTGTCCTCTTCAGCGCCGTCCCACTCGTCGATGGCGACAAAGCCCTCCCAACCGTCCAGCATCAGCGCAGATTCGTCCTCAGTCCAGTCCCACTCGCCGACAATCTCGGATATGGAGGCGCTGCGGTTGCCATACTTCAGCTCGTACGTCTTGCGGTCGCAGTATATCCAGTTGAGCACGGGAGGGTCGTCCTGGATGGTGGACACGAGGCCTCGCTCGGGCGGAAAGCGGTCTTCGTCCGGGTACTGGATGTAGAAGCCGGCGAACGCGTGCAGTGGAGGATCCAGCTTGGGCGCGGGCGCAGGCTTAGGGTTATCTTTATCGCGGGGCACAACCCAGACCTGCGAAGCGCGCGCGGTTAGCGGGAGGTCCTGCGACACTGTGCGGGAGGAAAGCGCATCCGGCGCCGATTGGAAGGAGCGAGTGGCCGTACCTTCCCGTGCCGCATCACCAGAATCCCCTGGTCGACTTCGTCGGCAATCTCGTCGTTGCTGTCGCATGACACGAGCGCATTGAATTTGGTCATGCGCGTCTCGTTGGCAGCTTCTTCATTCTGCTTCTTCTGGTGCTCGACGCCTTCTGCGACTCCGGTCACGACCGGAATTGCGACGACTACGCCGCCGAGGAAGATACCGAGGGGGAGCGCCATGTTTGGCGACTGTAGGTTCTGTGGGGAAAGCGCGGGGCAGCAATGGTGGTTTGTTTGGTGGGGCGCGTTGATGCGAGACGGCAGGTTGTCGATCGCGCTTTCCCAGAATGATGACGTCGCATCACCCGGGACCTGCCGCCTGAATCGCCGGCACTGGCCAGCTCCAACCTCCCGACATCCTGCATATACGTGCATGCGCCAAGACTCCCCGGACATACAACTTTCGCACCGCACATGAGCCACCGCAGCATGTATCTATCGTTGGGATATGCCGGTGAGAATCCGTCTCGCGTGCGCTGGGCCAGCCCACAGGTTGCAGCCCGTGTTGTTGGCTGGGGAGCTGCAGCACCTCTTTCCAACGTTACTGGCTTCAAAAGAGGGCGGCGCGGTTTTTGTCTCTTGCACATGAGCAACACGGACACCTGTGGCTCGAGTTGTTTCTGGCAGTGCGCATTCTCCGGGATGCTTTTGATAACGACTGGACTCGTACCGACGAGATGGTGGATTTCGAGAAGTGGTTCGTGCAGGAGGCCGAGCAGTACGAGTCTAGGCTGGCTAAGCTCGGGCTGACGTTGGAGGATATTAATGAAGAAGGCTTGGATGTAGCTTTTGCTGCTCTCCGTCTAGATTGATCCATGGGCAGGAATCGGCATGGAGCTGGCCTCTGGGAAGTTTGGCCTGCTAATTCATTTCCCTTCTTTGTCAAACAGTCTGGTAGGCCTCCATCCGAGTTCGGCTCGTTAGCTACAAATATCAAGGTCTTTATATTCCTTCACTTTTACTATTGGGTTGTGATGCATGTAAAAGATATGTGAATGCTGCAGTGGCCCAATTGTAACCAAACTATCCATGTAGCACCGAGTCGAGATTGTAAGCATTTCCTAAATAAATGAGATAATCACAGATACCTACTAACGTTAGTCATCGCGAGATAGATACATTGCAACTGTTGTCCTGGATTAAAAACAAAAAAGGGTGCACACTGTGTCCTTCCAGTGCAACTAATAACTTCTCAGCCACCAGAACGCGACTACAACGTGAATCATGCAGTCGGGTACAAGATAATACGTCTGTACGTAGTGAGTTCCATGTCACGATTATCTTCTAGCTGTAAGATGAGATGTATAGTCTGGTAACATTAGCATCACCCAACGCAGAGTTTAGACCAAGACTTACATGGTTATACAGCGGCGTAACCGCAACCACGCCCCCATTTTCACCCAGTTCCTCAACCCTGACAAACTTCGACGGAAACGGCGACTTCCCCTCCACCCTCTCCGTCACATCCAAATAGTGAAACCACTTCCATCTTAGCTCATCACCATCCGGATCCCAGCTCGCCGATGCATCCAATAAAACTGTCTTGTTCTTCTTGTACGCCATTTGCAGCACCTCGGGTCCACAGGACCCATTCACAATCGCCACCGGCGCATGATTTGTCTCTTCATAGGCTTTTCCAAGCGTCCACTGCATCCGTGCCGCAAAGTCGAACTGATACTCCCTCCTCCACCTCCAAATGGTGCCATAGCTCGTAAGATACGTCTGCCCATTCGCGCCAACAACCCAGTCCGTCGCATCGGTAAACACATTCACCTTCCCGCTCGCATCCAATGCCTTCCACCGGCCGCCCCAGCTGCCCCACTCGGGGTGTTCCGGATCGCCCAGGCCATTCCGAATCAGCGGGAAGAAGGCTGGCGTGTCGCCCTCCATGATGAAGTCGAAGCGCGGGTAGTGTGCGCCGAGGGGGCCGAGCCGGATGTGGGACTGCAGCCAGTCGTTGGTGACGAGGGAGGAGTCGGGGCCGCCGATGTCGAAGAAGCGGAAGAGTTCCCCTGAGATGCCGTTCCAGGTTGCGCGGCCGTACTCGCTGAAGGAATGGAGGGAGACAATGTAGGAGAGAGCGGGGAAGTGCTGACGGATCCAAGGGCCGGCGTCGTCTTGGTCGGAGATGGAGTAGACGCGGAGCTTGGACACAAAGGCGGACGTAGCGTTTGCGGAGCGGATTGAGGAGACGAGGTGGAGGGCTTCGGCGAGGACGGCGGCGCCACCCCAGCATTGGACGTAGAGGGGATCGGTGGGCGATGCTTCGTCTCCGGCTTTGACGAGGGCGAGGGCTGCGTCGCTGGTATTGAGCTGCAGGGAGGCAAGTCCGTAAACTGGATGGCCAACGTGCACCTTCGAGAGGAGCTCTGATGCTGAGGGATAGGGTGCGGCTTTCGGCGAGTTGGCATCGAGAGATTCGGTCACATTGCCATAGGCGTGGATGACGAGCCGAACTGTCTCGTCGTCAATTGAGGAGTTTTTCCATACACCTAAGAACAGTTAGAACAGCATCAACATGAATACGACCAAAGGATAAATGACATAGGCGTGCAACGTGTGGACGAAATGGTGCTATGATGCTTCAAACCCTTGCTTACTTGTAACCACGCCAATGCCTCGAATGTCGATTTCGTTTGAGTACGTCAAGAGCCTCACCAAGCTCATCTGATCGTCGGGCTCATTGGACATATCCGTGAGTACGAATGCCCTGTGTTTGTTTTCGTAGCGGGCATTTTCACACTGACGCTCCGATGGGGTAGCAGCTCCCACCCCTAATGAGGCAAGCCCGGCGAAGGAAAGAAGTGCCTGAGACAGCACGGTCGAAAGTCCTAACATCGTTGCATTCATGCTTCAACCGCAAGCACGTGGGAAGACGGCCTATGTATGCCATTATAAACCATGGCTAGGCAGCGCGTCCTAGCACGATTGGGAGGACTTTCTTTCGTCAAGTTGTAATTCTACCCTTGACTAGCGGACTTCAAGCTGGACGAGAGGGTGATGGATTGTTGGTCTCCGCGAATGTCGTTGAGATATCTTGCCGATCTGTTTTGCTTGACATCACATTTCCCCGCATTGGTGGGGCGCAACTCCATATCTCAACGGAGCGAGCATCGCCAAGAAAGGAAATTTTAAGCACTTGGAGACAATAGGCTACACTTCCGCATTGAGAGTTCAAGAGAAACACCGCGGCGAAAGCATCCTCATTCAATTGGGACGCAGATGCATTGCACACAAAATTATCTTCCCAACAGGCGCCTCATCTCGCTGCCCATGAGGCCCGGGTGTGGCACCACGACCGCGCCTGCCTCCTCCAATGCCTTTGCCTTCGCTTCAGCCGTCGCGTCGCGTGGCGAAAGCAGTGCCCCTGCGTGCCCCATCGTCTTTCCCTCTGGCGCTGTCCTCCCTGCAACCATTGCGATGATCGGCTTGGGATTCTCCGTCCGGCTTCTGTACTCCTTGACAAGTTCCGCAGCGTTCAACTCGGCTTCCCCTCCAACCTCACCGATCACAATAATCCCTTCTGTTTCGGGATGATCGAAGAAAAGCCTCAGGCCATCGACCAGTGTGGTACCTGACGGGATCTTAGGCGCTGTGAAAAACAATTCGCATTCGCAGAGCTTACCTGGCAGCATGTCCCCACCCATTCCGACGACAATGCTATTGAGCGCAACGGTCAGAAACCATAGGCAACGAACCTATGTGTTAACCTACCTTTGTCCCAGCCCTGCATTTGTCGTCGCACCGACAGCCTCGTAGCTCAACGTGCCACTTTTACTCACGATCCCAACGCACCCCTTCAGATATTGTTTGTAAGGCATAATCCCCAGCCTACACTGCTCCGGTGCGATTATTCCTGGACAGTTGGGACCCACCAGGCGTGTCCTGCTCTGCGTTCTGAGCACTTCATGCACACGAAGCATGTCGTGCACTGGAATGTGCTCGGCGACTGAAACAACGAGTGGGATCTCTGCTTCGATGGCTTCTATGATCGCGCCGGCTGCGTGCATTGCGGGAACGAACACACATGTAGCGTGTGGATCCAGAGCGTCCTTTGCTTCACGAACGGTATTGAAGACTGGAAGTCCGAGATGGTCTCGGCCGCCTTTGCCGGGTGAGACGCCCCCGACCACGTTTGTAGCGTAGGCGATTGTGTCTTTGGCATTGGAAGTTGCCTGCGTTTCGTGAGTACGTGTAGACTAGTAAAAATCCGTTCACCAAACCCTCCTGCAAGTTAGTGTACTCACAGCTTTACCAGTGAAGCCTTGGTAGATCACCGGCGTGTGCTGGTTGATCCGGAGATTGGCGATTGTGTTGTCCCCATGGGAGGCATAGCGTCTGATGCTTGTGCTCGCAAGACCTCTTTGGCGGCAATGCTGTCTGAGCATGCGGTTGATTGCTCGGGAATATAATGTGGAGCGCATTGTTGTGAACCAAGAGAGATGTAGAGGAGGACTTGTTCGAACATTGGTCGAGATTATGGACAATGCAGCTTTTCCAATGCTAACAGCTGTTGATCCAGGCTGCAGTACAGGTACCCTCAATGTAATCACCTACAGTAGTTGCATCCACGGTACGGAGACGGAGGCTCGGTTATATCGGTTACATGAAGCTGATGTTGTCACGAACCCAACTTGCGCGCTTGGATAGGCGAGAACGTCAAGCTACAACTCAGGATATACAACAGAGAGTAACAAGGTGTTACGGTCTTCTTATTGTTGCTTGTCTGTTCACTTAGGCGCCCTTCAAGGTGTCGCATAGCGCACGGACTCAGAAGACCGAACGACTGCTGCGAGCAGCCATGTTGAGGAAAAGTGGTTACAGCATAGTCTTGGCCAGACAAACCAGTGTATGTGCACCCAATCGGACTAGAAAAAATTGTACTCAAAAACGGGTAGAAAGCGATCACATGTACACAGCGAAGATACCTCTCCTTGCATGAGTATCAATCGCAGAACTTGCTTAAAACTGTATGCTGCAACTTACTCTTCGGGAAACTAGAACTAATTAACTCTCGTAGGTCCACATACCCGTACCCAGGGGTGAACTTGCTCGATCGCCAGCCGAAGCTGAGTGTATAGCCACCTCTCTCGGCGGGCCATGCATCCTCAAGTCACAAATACAAAAGGGCGGTCGCGGAAAAGGATTGTTCTCGAGTGGCCTCAGAGGTGGTATACAGAAAGTAGATGATGCCGCCAGCGCCGGACAGATGGCATCCCAAATGCTGGGCCACCGTCTAGTGACTAAACAAACAGGCGAGAAGGGACTGCAAGTGAACAAGATATACGTTGCGGAGACAATCGAGTATCAAGACGAATGGTATCTTGCCATGACTATTGATCGGGAAAGGTACCAGCCTGCCATTATTTTGTCGAAGTCTGGCGGTGTGGATATCGAGAGCGTCGCTAAGTCAAATCCTGAGAAGTTGTTGACCTTTAATTTCGAGCTCACCAAGTAAGAACACGACCGCCTCGAGGTACCGCTCCAGTGCAACGACAAACACCTTGCTAACTATTTGCAGAGGTATTACACCAGAGCTTGTCTCCAGAATTGCATCAGCCCTCGAGACAACCGACCAGGAGACGCACAATCTCGGAGACATTCTCCAGAAGATGCACAAGCTCTTCATATCCAAAGAAGCAACACTCCTCGAGATAAACCCATTAGTCCGCTCTTCCGACTCTACCTTCACCTGCCTCGACGCGAAGTTCAGCTTTGACAATGCGGCTGAGAAGCGCCAGCCTGAATTGTTCGCCCTCCGTGATGTCGAACAAGAACAAGGTGACGAGGTTGAAGCGGAGAAGTACGGACTGGTCTACATCAAGTTGGAAGGCAACATTGGAAACGTAGTCAATGGGGCTGGGCTAGCCATGGCGACCAACGATGCCATTGCGCACTATGGTGGTGCAAGCGCGAATTTCTTGGATGCAGGTGGACAGGCGACGACGGAGACAATGAAGAAGGCTTTTGAGATTATCATGAGAGACCGGAGGGTGCAGTGTATCTTTGTGAACATCTACGGAGGTAGGTCGAGCTGTTTCGAGATTATAAGAATCGGCTAACGAGCCCTGTAGGCATCATCAGATGTGACATGATCGCGGAGAGTATCATTGGTGCTGCAGCTGAGCTGGGCCCTCTGCGCATGCCCGTTGTTGTGCGATTGCAAGGAACCAACTCGGCCGAGGGGCTTCAGATGGTGAGTATCTTCTTTAGGATGAATGCAATAGATTGACCTTGCCCATAGGTTGAAGAGGCCAACCTAGGCCTACGTACAGAATCTGACTTCGGCAAGGCAGCCCAGCTAGCGGTGCAACTTTCAAATACACATGGCCGGATTGGGACAGAACGCGATCCTGAGGTGGCCAATGCTGGTAGTTGAGAAGTAGCTGTACTGAGGAATTTCATCCTGTTTGTTCGCGCGATGTACACGTTTGAAGCTCTACTGGGTGATGTCCTGAGATACTCCAGCATCAGGCAGGCGTGAGGCTTACTGAGATCGTAGCTTGGCACGTGTGCTGTAAATTTGGAGCTTATATCGGTGTATCTGACAAATGCATTTGAACGAAACATGAAAGCTAACAGTTCAGCCCTTCGGCGATGCACGGCACGACTCACTCTACTCTACAATGCTGTAAGCTCCCACGCTATATCATTCTTTATTGAGGAGCCGGGATGCCCGTGTTGTAATACACTGCCTTGGTCTCGGTATAGTTCTCCAGCGCTGCTTCACCGCATTCGCGCCCGATGCCACTCTGCTTGTAACCGCCAAATGGGACACTCCAGTGCACAAAGTTATACATATTCACCCATGTCGTGCCAGCCTTCAGTCCATTCGTGATGCGGAGGACACGCTCGTAGTCCTTGGTGTGAACGGCGGCAGCAAGGCCGTAGGTCGTATCGTTGGCATCGCGAAGAACTTCTTCTTCTGTCTTGAATTTTGCGATACAGACCACGGGTCCGAAGATCTCTTCACGCATAATCTAGAAATCGTAGTTAGTCGTCATTAACACAAAATGGTGGGCCAGTTACCTTCATGTCGGGCTTCACGTTGGTGAATATGGTCGGCTGGATGTAGTACCCTTTGCCATCGGCACCTTCAACCTCTGCAACCTTACCACCAAGACTTATAGTAGCGCCATCCTGCTTCCCGCTCTCAATGTACCCCAGAATCTTCTCATACTGCATCTTGCTGTTCTGCGGTCCTTGATCCACGCTTTCGTCAAAGTTGTCGCCAACTTTCAACGAAGCCATTCGTTTGGTGTATGCGGCTACGAATTCGTCGTAAACATCTTCGTGAACGTATATGCGAGTCCCGGCGTGGCATGTCTGGCCAAAGTTCATGTTGATTCCCCATGCACTCCATTCTACTGCCTTCTGAATATCGGCATCGGGAAAGATGATGTTCTTAGACATGTCAGGTATAATGCACAGTTAGAGCGTTGAGGGTAGTCCGCCCAATACCTTCCTCCATGTGGTTCATGCCGCATTCAAAGAGAACAGCTTGACTTACTGGACTTTTACCACCTAGCTCTAGTGTCACTTTCTTCAAGTTTGATGAAGCTGCAGACTTCAAGATCGTGCGTCCCGTGGCTGTTGACCCTGTAAATGCTACTTTGTCGACGTCCATATGGTTGGCTATCGCGTTGCCCACGGTCTTTCCAAAGCCCGATACCAGATTCACCACACCAGCTGGGAATCCAGCTTCTTTGATAAGCTCACAACATTTCAAAGCTGTCAATGGTGTAGCTTCCGCAGACTTGATGACCACGGTGTTTCCGGTCGCTATAGCTGGAGAGATTTTCCAGATAAACATCAGAAGCGGAAAGCTATAGACTGTCAGTGTGAAGTTGGGTCGTGCGACTTCCTTACTTACTTCCAAGGTATGATCTGACCACACACTCCAACCGGCTCTCTCCTTGTGTATGCGAACGTGCCGGGAATGTTAAAGCTCGTCAGTCCTAAAACCTTATCTGCCCAACCTGCGTAATACTTCAATGTGCCTACGCTGCCCGGAAAATCTAGATTGGCTGCCTGCTTACGCGTCTTCCCGGTGTCTAACATCTCCAGGGCAATGATGTCCTCTTTGTCCCTCTCCATCAATTGCGCCAACCGATTCAACAGCTCGCCTCTCCACACTGGGTTCGAATTCGCCCATTCGCTACCTTCAAAGGCTTTCCTTGCAGCTTCGACTGCCATATTAACATCCTCTTCTCGACCCTCCTCGATCTCTAGGATTGGCTGGCCAGTGGCAGGATTTTCCACGCTGAACTTGGATCCTGAAAGGCTCGATCGGAATTCATTGTTGATGAAGATCCCGGTGGGAACAGACACATCGCGATTATTGATCTTCAAAGTAGCAGAAGAAGCAGCAGATGAACTTGCGAAACGTACTCGATTTCGGAGGAGCTTTGCGCGAGGCATCCATGGCGGCAATGCGCGAAGGGAGTGTAAAGTCTTCAGCGACATCGTGGTTCAATCGCAGATAGCTTAATGAGCCCAGATCAAAATTCGTGGGAAGGTGAGACCGCAGATGGATAAGGGTTGTTCCAAGTTGGTTCTGCAAAAGGGGAGCGAATAGTAGCACAGCTTCACAGTAGCCCAGAGATGCGCGTAATCCTCAATTGCACTTGCAACGAAGACGACGCGAGGCTCTGCCGACAAGCAAAGCTCCCGGCTACCTCTCCGCGTTCAGGGTCTCAATGCACGCGCTAGTTTGCCGGACCGCCACGGACCTGCATGGTACCTCGCGGGTGTGGGGTAGTGTCGGCTATATGCATCTCCTCGTCATTGATGCGAAACTCTCCGCATGCATCCCTCAGTGGTCTTCCTGCTTGAGTTCGCGCACCCGTGCGATACATCGGGCATGTGACAGACTTCATTCGTGTGCTGGATTACACATGGTACAATTGGAAATAAGTAGAAATTGATGTAATGGGTGGGTATATTACTGTCATATAGACCGCCTTTCCGAGAGGGCAGCAGGCTCAGGTAAGGTCAAAACTCGCTGTGCCGGTATGCAGGCTCTGGTCGTTGCATCGACGCTGCTCTGAAAGCTGTCATCTCTGATTGGCCTGGCGCTTCAACGTCTTCGAGCACGATATCTGACCAAGTTGAGCCACGTCGCTTCTTGTTTCGCGCAGTAGCCAATGCGTAAGCATTCTCTTGGGACCATCTTTTGCAATGATCCTGTGCAAGGAAATCGTCCGTGTTGGCGGCTTTGTTGGTCTGTCGATTGCGAAAAGAACGCATAGATGATACCCATTTGACAAAACTACTTATTCGCTTTGCACTGATATCAGTGGGAGGGCCAGCATCGAAGGATCGAGTTGCGAACGTGAAGAGATCAGAGATGTCGTCACCTCGTCGAGTTCCAACAACGATCTTCATAATTAGGTTTGCCATCGACATCTCAATATTGAGCTTGACCAAGTAGGCTAGAGGGTGGAACATTGCGTATCTATTCGTTGTCAGTGGAGAAAGGATGAGAATCATTGAACAGTTACAGTAGTTTTGAAACAAGGCCCTTTAGGCCATACGAGGTGACTCACACAAAGCCATTATGAAGGCTCATAGCCCCAATTATGAGCAGGTCCATTAGCAAGGATATCAGAATCATCCGCTGATTGAACCGAACCAGAGGTCTGTATTTTTCCATCCCATTGCCTATAAGATTTCGTTTCACAACGCGCACGAAATACCAATTCAAGGCGGCATCAAGGAGGAAGAACAATACTTTCTCAGTACGGTCCCAAATGGTATTGACTCGAATCCAACTGGCATGATCAGTAAGGTTACACTACCGCAAGGAATACAACACGCCGATCACTAATTTGTAGGCATGCAGGAATCCAAATGATGCCGACGCTGACGTTGATTATGCTGACCAGTACAAAGGTTCCAATGCACAACAGAGTACCCTTCTTTTGATCTTGAAGGATAACGTTGATTCGGTTACAGATGATCTGAAGGAGGATTTGTACCTGATAGATCACCCTTAGTTGACTGACAACTCCCGCAAACAAAAGCAAAGGTGGTACCTGAAAAATCCAGGTCAGAACTTCGGTGTGTCAATGACTGTCCAAGCGTGATATTTTGAGATACTGGGAGAGTATACGTACCGATCCCGAGATAAAAGTACAGGCTTGGTCGGAGTACTTTGATCAGATATGAGAAAGCCAACAATGCTAGCCCAAGACTAGCTACGATTTCAAGCCATATCATCCACACGTATAAACTTTTCAACGGTACGCGTGAACGCTGAGTCTGTTGGCATGCGATGAACACGGCCAGGATGGCGAAGCACATCGCGAGTCCGAAGACAACGTATGCGGTTATCAGGTCGCCGCATGTGATCGGGTGGATCTGGTAAGTATACTGGTCCACGAATGGACCATATACGGTAAATCTTGAAACCTCATAGCAGTTTCTGCGAGTCATGGCGGACACAGCGGGCCATTTCTATCTTTCAAACGACAAGACTCTGAGCGTATACCATGACAAGGTTGCAAAGCGGAATGGAGAAAGTGCCAAAGTGATGCAAGTTGTGAATAATGGGGAGCGTCATCGCTGGGCACCAAGAAGCCGTAATACCAGCGATCCACGCTTACCCCGCCAGTCTCCTCCGCGTTGGAACGGATGAGCCGAATCGAAACGAGTCAGTGTCTTCCCAGAACCTGGATTCCTCGACTCGCAAATTACTTCGCCATCGAAGGGATGCAGCTTGAGTCAAAGTCAATGACGTTATGCTCGTGAGGTCTTTTTAACAACATATCCAATCACTTTCTGACCCGATGGAAGAGAAGTCCAGAAGTTCACCAAAAATGGGCACGACGTGAGATGCATGTCATGAACGAGGACACACGTGCACCCGGCGTATTGGATTTCGACCGCTTGCGGCGAATTCGACCCCAGTAACGGCGCCACGTAGGTGACTCTGACCCAAATGATTGGGATAGGACCAGGAAAGGCACCTGTCGTCCTTCGCCGTGGCGGGGGTCTGTTTCGACGCATCGATAGAACATATTTGTACTTCGCGAGGGCAGAAGGGCTTACCAGATCAACCATACCTGCTACAATCACTGGGATCGGTGCGAAGCTTCGAAAGTTATATGTGCAGATTTACTAAGACACAAAGTGAGGGGGCGGGTCGTGGGGACAAGTGCCAAGGTGAGCCATGGGCAATGGAGCCACCTGTACAGGCGCCATTCCAGGTGATTGGCTCGTCACGTGATTGATGACGCGCATGCCTCGGCGCGTTAAATCGCGAAATCCGCGCGTCTTTACTGAAAACACTATTGTGCTTCTACTCGCGCCAACGTGGACATCAACGATCCAGTAATAGCTGAAAGGTATCGAACTGTTAGCACTTCAAATTAATGAGGCTCTACTACTCCTTTCCGCATTCTCAATGGTATTGTCTTAGATCTAGTCTCATCGTTGTTGGGAGAGATCTTCATAATTGGACTCCTCCCAATGTAATGGTCTATCGCCCACATTAATCAAGGTTGTCTTCGAACACGGATGTGGGAATTTGCTAACCTTCACGTTCTGAAACTCCTCAATCCCAACAGAACCGCCTTCGCGGCCAAAGCCGCTTTGCTTAATGCCCCCGAAGGGCGCAACTGGGTCCGATATCATACCAGTATTGATGCCAACCATACCGGCTGTGTGATGTTAGCACTATCTACTTGCGCAGCCTGCTCTGTTGTGCTTGCTTTGTAGTAGTTCCGCTGCCCTCCAAGCCTGTGTCAACTGCTCTGTATACACATACGATGCCAGCCCGACTTCCGAATCGTTTGCCATCCGCAGAAGCTCCGTCTCATCCTTGAAACGGTAGAAAGCAACAACAGGCCCGAAAAGCTCTTCGCGACTGGCCTGCATGTCATGTGACATGCGATCTAGAATGGTCGCTGGGAAAAATGTCTGCGGCTCGTCCTGCGATCGGTGCCCTCCAGCTACAACCACGGCACCCTTCTCTCGCGCATCTTTCACAAGTCTTTCGACTTTCTCCCGAGCTTTCAGATTTATCAACGGACCAAGACTCGTACCAGTGGCGCTTGGATCACCCGCAACCATCTTCGCGCCTACCAGCTTGTGGAAGTCCTCGATGAATTTGTCCGCAATGCTCTCTTGAATATATACTCGGTTGGCGCAGACACAGGTCTGACCAGCGCCTCTGAACTTCGCTGCGAGTAGACCATCCCATGCCTTGTTCATGTCGGCGTCGTCGAAAACTGAAACTCATCAGCATCAACAACGTGTGTCTCTGACCGAGATAGCTTACTGACGAACGGAGCGTTTCCACCAAGTTCCATGGACATTTTCTTCAGCGAATCGCCGCATTGCTGCATGAGAAGCTTCCCAACATTCGTCGATCCAGTGAATGATATTTTCTTGACAGTAGGATGTTCGCAAAGTTGCTTGCCCACTGCAGCTACATTTTGTTCCGTTGTTACGATGTTAAATACGCCGGGCGGGATTCCAGCTTGTTCGCCCAGCTCTGCAAGTGCGAGTGCAGAATATGGCGTGTCAGCAGCCGGCTTTAGGACCGTAGTACAGCCAGCAGCAATTGCCTATGAACTATCAGCTCCTTCCCAGGAATTCGTTCAAGCAAGAGACGAACCGCTCCAGCTTTACGGGTTATCATGGCAGAAGGAAAGTTCCATGGTGTCAAAACCCCTACAACACCGATGGGCTGCTTGATCGTCATCACCCTGTTCTCGGGTGAACTTCCTTGTACCGTTTGGCCGTAGGACCTGACTGCTTCTCCCTGAAACCACTCGAAGAAGCTCGCCGCATACTTGATCTCGGCTTTCGCAGCCTCAATTGGCCGCCCGTTCTCATGGCTCAAAATAATTGCGAGGTCATCTTCATGTTCTTGCATGAGCTGGAACCAGTCTCTGATTATACCCATCCGTTGACGAGCGGAACTGTGCCTGAACGATTCGAAGGCATGCTGTGCTTTCTCGATGGCGGTAGTAGTATCGCTCACGTCCCTGCGAACTTCAGTGTATGTTCATTGCAGTTCAGGCGTTGCCAACATTTCTGGACAATTTCCAATCACTTTGCCATTGTACGGGTTCACAACGGAGAAACGCGATGTCGCTCGACCATCGGTCCACCTTCCGTTGATATAGGCTTGTTCGCGGAACAGCCGCGGGTTTCGAAGTTTTGAACGTATCTGTCTTGTTAAGAAGTTGACCGTGGTCTGTAGGGCGATAAGCTGACCTTGTTTCCAGGCTCAGATACATACGTCCGTTTAGACACTGCCGGTAAACTTCGCATCTTCGTCAATAGAGGGTGTAAAGGTGCCAGGACTCGTGGAAACATTTTGGACATATCGAAACTCCGAACCGAGGAGCCGACACGAAGAAATTATGCAACGGCCCCAACCGCTGTCACTGTTAGAAGCACACCCAAGGCCTATGAGTGGATATCTTCGCTGTTCTCCCGTCGAAGTGGAAGCTTGGAGCTGGTGTATACCCGGCGCTAGTCCATCGTGTCCAGCTTCGGCATAACATCAGCTTGCAGATAGCCGGACTATATCGGTCCGGGTCTTACGCGCCTGGCGTCCCCGAATGTGACAATCCTTCTGAATTTTATGTCCAGTGCTCTGTATTTCCCTTCGTCTAAAGGCTACAATTTTGTGTGCGCAACAAGTTCGCAATGCTTAAAGCAGGTTCAAGACTCGCCGGAAAGGTCGCAATTGTCACGGGTGAGTTCTATTCTCTACAACATCTATATGTTCCTCAATCATTGACTGCTGTTGATCTCCAACAGGCGGTGGGTCAGGTTATGGAGCTGGCATAGCAACGCGTTTCGCGCAAGAAGGCGCGAAAGTTGTCATCGCAGATATCGACGAGGAGGGGAGCCAGCGCATTGCCTCTGTTCGACCCGACTCTCTCTCATTCCATAAGACGAACGTCACCTCTCAATCTGATTGGGAGTCGCTGTTCAAGACTGCCGAATCGCGCTACGGCCCAGTCTCACTTCTAGTGAACAACGCCGGTACCTCGTACAAGAACAAGCCCACAAATGAAGTCACCCTAAATGACTTCAACAAGTGCTTTGACGTCAACGTCAAAGGCGTCTTCTTTGGAAGCCAAACATTCCTCCAGCGCGCACTGACAAATGGAACCGGTGGCGTAATGCTGAATATTGCCAGTGTCGGCGCGACGAGGCCGAGACCAGGGCTGGTATGGTATAATGCCAGTAAAGGTGCAATATGGAACGTAACGAAAGGTCTTGCTGCCGAGTACGGGCCTCATGGAATCAGAGTAAATTCTCTATGCCCGCTACTGGGAGGAACTGGGCTGTAAGTGGAGGACTGGAGATGAATATTGCTATGCCCATGCGCTGAAATACGCCAGATTTGAAGCCTTCTCAGGCATGCCCGACACGCCTGAGAACAGAGGCAAATTCATCAACAATGTCCCTCTTGGTCGACTGTGCGAAGCAACAGATGTCGCGAACGCCGCGCTTTTTCTTGCTAGCGATGAAGCGCAGTTCATCACCGGTATAAATCTTGAGGTAGATGGAGGCCGAGCAGTGTAGCCGTAGAATTATATTATCATACCACACCAATCGGTACGGTGTTCTTGCCCGCCACCACCTCCTCTTCGATCGCGGCTTCCATATGTTCTTCCTCTTCCTTCGCTTTATCTTTCCGCCCCACCACCTTCCAGAACTTCGCTTCCAGGTCGATTCCCTTGGCCTGCCATGCGATGCCCTCCGCACTTTTGTCAAACGTCTTGCCTTCCGCTTTCGCTCTCTTTCTGATTCCTCTAGTCCGCAGCCTCCAGATGAGGTGGCTCAACACCATACTCATCTCAATCGCACAGCAAAGAGCGTACATCGTGCCGAAGAGCACATCGAATTCCGACTGCGCGACCAAACTCATGAGACTAAAGAATGCGCCACACCAGTCGACGGTCAGGAAGATAAAGTCAATCCCTATCACACGGCCGCGACGTTTCAGAAGCTCGAATGGGATCGCGCAGTACGCTCCGATCAACAAGATGAATGATATCACACCTATAAGCAAGACGGGCCAATCAACGCCACGTTCATACGGCGGTCGGATAGCGTATACGAGGCCCAGTTCTACTCCAGCAAAGATCACGAAGAGACCGAGGAGGAGCAATGTCGCCGTCCATGTTCTCCATTTCCTAGACTCGTCAACGACTAAGGCCCGGCCGGGGGTGTTCGATGCTAAGACGACGTACCGGCCATAAACAAGACATTGTGCCCAGCTTACACCGCAGAGGCAGCAAAAGCACTGCGGTTGCACCATCAGAGGTATGTTGAAGTTTTGTGCAATAGCATATGCGCCGAAAGGTACCCCAGAAACAGTCCATAGAAGCATCATAGAAGCTGGTAACCCCTCTGTGCTTTTCGTCCGGTAGTTGCGGACGATCTGTGGTACCAGCTGCACACACCAGCATACGGTTCCGATGGTACCCAAGATGTTGGCAGCGACCGGGATAGACTCTTGAGGCGCCATGGCGAAGAGTGGTCGAGGGTCGCCAAGGGTGAATGAAAGTTGTGAAAGGTCACTGACGACCGACGCAACTTCGCAGTGAAAGTGTCTCGATCTTTGCTCGACGCAGAGGCTGATGCTGCATGACGAATTGAGAATCAGGCGTAGATTTACCTATTGCGGTCACAGGTCTGCACGTTATGCATTTGGGCCGCGGAAGCTACTCTTAGCGTCATACCACGGCCAATGATGTGCTCTCGTTGGATTAGTCATCCACCACATCTTCATTCGTTCCGCGGCACAAGCGAGCCTCCGCTACCTCCCACCCGCGGTACGGGGACGGTCCGATGAGCGATTGCTCGGACGGAATGTTTTGACGAACAGAACATCTCACATCGCGGTCGCAAGAGGACGAAATCTCATTTGCTTGTACCCACATGTCAGGCATATACAGTTGTTGGGGCAGATTCCTGAGGTCGGGTCGCCTACGACCTTGGTGCGGTGCAAATGTAGCGTCATGTTCAGTGATGCGCACGTCACAAGGGATTGTGTAATTCGCTTCACAAGAAGAACTAGCCGGCAAAATCATTTGTTTATACACCAGACACTGATAGAAAGTAGTCCTTTTCGTAGCATCCTCAGGACTATGCAATATTTCATCACCACAACGGTGGAATCAGGGCCTTCTCGCTTTCACGCAGACCCAGTCTTCCTCTCAAGAGCAGACCCTGTACTGTGATGAACAATGAAGATACCGACATCATGCCAGCCGCTATCGGTGGGGTTATGGAGATCCCAAGAGGTGAACCTAAACCCATGGCAAGTGCGACCGCTATCGCGTTATAAGCAATAACCCAGCGTATATTAGTCGATACCTGCTTCATCGTTTTCCGCGAGATTTCTAGCAGCGTCAAGATGGAATCGAGCTGTGGTTGAAGAAGTAGTACACTTCCTCCAGATGTCAAGCACTTGCGACCATTCGAGATCATAACTCCAACATCCGCGGTTGCGAGGCTTGGGCCATCATTCATTCCGTCGCCAATCTGCGATTAGTCAGTACCACGAAGACCGGTCTTCCTTGCAACCGACTTACCATCAGGACTTTGCCACCTTTTTCTTGGATGGACTTGATGTGCTTGACCTTCACATCTGGGGTGGCCGCAGAGCCCCTAACGGGTATTTCTAACTCGTTCGAGATGCGGCATGCTTCCACGGGCTGGTCACCCGTAAGCATTGAAATCGTAAGGCCTTGTGCCTTCAAGGCATCGATCGTGGCCTTCGCGTCGGGCCGTAACGCATCCTGTAAGACAATACTGGCAGCTATGTCCCCATCGATTCCGACAAATACGGTTGAGCCTTCACTGTCGACCTTGACAGGGAGCACTTCAACGCCCTTCACGTTGTTGTCCTTCATCCATGCGAGGTTGCCCACGCTAACAGCTCGCCACAGTCCATCGCCAGGATTGACCTCGCACTTCACGCCCCGTCCAGCGGTCTCCAGGGGCTTGCGTGCGCCGCCAACGTCCTGGTACTTACTCCACATATCCTCAGATATGGGTAGGAGTCGTCTGAAGATCGCTAGTGCAAGTGGATGTGCAGACATGCCGTGCTCCTCGGCTGCACAGACCAGGGTCGCCAGCAATTGTTCCTTTCCCTTCCAGCGTCCATTAATGGACATGTCAGTGACAGAGTGCGTACCTTTTGTCAGAGTACCAGTCTTGTCCATTACGACGTGGGTAATTGTTTGAAGGCGTTCCATGGTATCCCCACCCTCGAGCATGAGCATGCCTCGTCGCCACGATACATCTGTGTAAGTATATGTCACTAGAAGTTCTCATAATGCTGGATCTTTAGGCCACTCACCTATACCAGCCATCACTGCACAAGGGGTTGCTAGACCCAACGCGCAGGGACAGGCAGCAGCGAGGATAGTCATCAACTTCCGACCGGCTGCGTCTAATGCGTCGACGTAACTATCTTCAGCGCGAAAAGTTGCCACAAAGGTGTAGATCGCTGTAGGGATTGCTATAGCGAAGATGCCACTGACGAAGTACTGCGTGATGACATCGATTCGATGCTGTACAGAAACCTTCGCTGACAATGAGTTTTCGACGCTACGAACAAGTTGCGTAAGGAATGAGCCCTTGAGATCCTGATTTACGCGTGCTCGGAGTTGTGCGGGGCCGTTTCGTGAGCCTGCAAGGAGCAGATCGCCCTCTTCTTTAGGTTTTGGTAGTGGCTCGCCGGTGATCACTGCTTCATTGACATGCGATTTACCGGAGACCACATAACAGTCGCACGGCACGATATTGAACGCATCGATGACTATCTCGTCGCCTGATCGAACCATGGATGCAGGGACGCGCTTCTAGATGCAGAGTTAGCGAACATCCTTCAGGGACGTGCTAGGTGAGACTCACGTCAAGCTTTGCCATTTTCACATTAGATGTCTGATCCAAAAGCGAGTAAAGTCCGGCGAAGGTGTCCGTGGCTCTCCGCCTCGAAAGTAAGTCCATATATCTTCCAACAGTTACGATCAGTAATACCCCGATGATGGTGTCGAAGTATAGCGCATCTGTCCTAGCGTTCATGCTGAGCATGTTCAGAAACGTTAGGCTCAGACCCACTGCCGTGGATGCAGCAATGAGTGTGTGCATATTGACACGGAGATGTATTCCTGCAGTTGCTGCGTTCCGGAAAATCCAGCGACCATATTTGGTAGCAGCTACAAGCGTTAGAGAAAAGAGGACAATGGGTCGTATGAGCCTTATTGGGGCGGTGTTCAGCGCCATATGCCACCCGGAGCATTCCAGCAGTGTGCCGAGAGTGAAGATGGCGCCCGAGTACAAAGACAGCCCTTTTAGGGATTCACGCAGAGTCGTAAGTTCCTCGGTGTGTCGAAGAGTATTAATTTTCTGCTCGGCAGCTCTTTCCCCGGCAACTGCGTCATAGCCCACGGCTTCAATTGCTTCAATTATTTCCTTCTGTCGTACTGCCGGCTCATGCAATACTCTCGCTTCTTGAAATGGCAGGGAGACCAATGCTTCGTTAATACCGTGCACCTCCTTCAATGCCGATTCGACTGTTGATGTACACGCGGCGCATGTCATTCCAATAATAGACACAATGGTCACGCCAGAAGGATCTAATTTCTCGATGGAATCGCCCTGAACCATTTCTTCTTCGTCTTCATAGCTGTGCTCCACTGATTCGTTGTACTGGAGATGTAAATTGATATCGAGAGCATCGCAGCTTCGGATAATGAAAGCTATGAATGAGGCTGCAATGTAGCAGCAGGCCATGCTGATATTCGATGGATGTTCTCAAGATTCTGGTTGTGAAACGTAGGACCTTGAAGAGTTTTGAGACCTTGGTGTATCAATAACGTATGCGCAAAGGCGCTGCACCGTTGACCTGGCGGCTCAGCACGTGCAGGGGCGCCTCCACCTACAGAGCGCACTGCACGTTTCCTCTATCACCCTTCTCCCAACAAACGCGGGAGGTCCGCTTACACCCCGCTCTCCATCAGAAACGCGCCAGGGCGAGAACGCTACGATCGGCGGCAGTCGCATCTTGCTAGGTGTCAAGCAGTGTGCGGTCCGTGACTCCAGGGTCCTTCGAGGCGCGAAAACAGCACGGACAGCCGGACCGCCCTTCAGTTTTCCAGAAACGGCAACGCGCATCTAACCGGACACCGTGCTTCGATCTGTAATGATGGCGATATATATCGACGATTGCAGAATTCCCTTGACCAGAGTTATCAGTCGTGCAAGTGTGTGGTTTTTCCAACCTGGAATCGACTGACTGTCCGTTTGAGACTTTGCCGACTACATTATTATTTCTTTGACCTTGAATGACCCCGCAAGCTTATTGAGGATTTGCCATAATCAAAATGGCTACCCAGGTTATGCAAGCACCAGGGCATGTCCACCAGGGCAAACAATTCGACCAATTTCGCTTTGAAAAGGAACCGTCGCATCAGAAGGGATGGAGGGAGTTTGACCTGAAGAGTGAGTATTAGTCACGTTAGCCTGTATCTGATTTAAAGGCTTATGGGTTTTGTAGGTGTGATGATCCCTCCTTCCGCAGGACTTGGAACAACGAAGCGATACTACCAACGACGAACACTCGTCCAATATGCCGGCCTTTATCTTGTCGGCCTCTGGGCTTTCCAGAATCTTCAGTCAACTGCGTTACGAGCCATGGCGTTAGGACTTCTCTTCCCAGGTGCCGGTCTTGTCTCCGTGGCCACCATTCCGTCCTTGTTCGCTTTCGTCCTCACCATCGTCGGCATTCCAATCACCCTCTTCGTCTGGTTCGCTATGGGAGGCGTACTTTTCCCACTGTTGCTCTGGTTTGGATCGGCGGGACTTGCTGGCCTTCTCGCGAAGGACAAGCTATTCGATCAGGCGGGACCTGCCTGGGGAGCGATCTGCATTGTGGGTGTCTCGTGGATGATTTACAAATCATCCATAATCGGCGCCCGCGGTCGCCTTACCCAGCAAGCACGCAACAAGTGGCTCCCAGCGAAGGTCAAGTCTATGCAAGAGGCCGCTCTTCCAGCCCCCGCCCCCGGCTCCCGCGAGCTGGACGAGAAGACTTTGAGATTTGTCCAGCATATGGTTGAGCGAGGCCTTACGAAGCATGACGATCTCAGCTATCACGACGTGATCGACCAATTTCAAACAGGCGCCGTTCGCTATCAGCTTTACGGCGTGGTCGACTCTCTTGCTCTCTATTTGACGCATTACGCACCTGGCTTCCATGGATATGCTGCCGAAGCATGTCGAAACTGTATCGAGAAATCCTTGACAAAGAGGATTATGAGCTACTGGAAGTGGGAGCGGTTGACTGGCAAGTTCACCACCGACTACGATCCCACAAATTACGACAACATCATGGTGACTGGTTACCTCGGTGTGGCCATTGGTCTTTATGAGTCTGCAACCGGCGATCGCCGTTACGAAAAACCCGGTGCGCTCAATTTCCAGATCGCCGATGGCATCAACTTCCCAAAGTCCTTCGGAGATCTTGCAGACGATATGTACCAGAACATGGCTACGAATGATTACTGTCTCTACCCGTGCGAGCCCAACTGGACGTATTCTCTCTGCAACCTCATCGGCATGGCTGGCTTGATTATCTCCTCGCGTATGCTTGGCAATGACTACGCGGAGAAGATCAAGCCGCGATTCGAGCGTGCCCTTGAAGATGAGATGACAGAGCCAGATGGTCGTATCTTGCCGATCCGATCCGAGCTTACTGGCCTTACCATCCCCGGCCTGTCCGGTACCCTGTCCGACTGTATCAATGCTATGAATTTGACCGCCTACCTTCCTCACATTGGTAGCCGTGTCTGGGCCATCATTCGAAATGAGCATGTCACGTACGATACCGGTAAGATGGACGTGAAAGACCTTCGCGGCGCTGATAAGATGGATCCTGGTAACTACAAGGGTGGCATCGGTGCACTTCGCGCTTTCGTCGCTGGCTGCGCCGCCGAGTTTGGTGATGAGAAGGTTCGTGTCGATGCACTTCAACAGCTTGACGACGAATACTTCCCCGTGACCGCCACATCGTCCGGTGCCTTATATAATAAGGGCCTTTCAGCTACATCTCAGGTTGTGGCTCTCATGGCTCGTTTGATGCGCTACCAAGACCTCGCCAATGCTACCCTCTATGGCCCCGAGCCCGTCGCCATGACTGGACCCCTTCTTGCGGACTGCAAATTCCCTGAGGTTCTTGTCGCAAAAGCTTACAGTCATGACGGCAAATCGCTTGAGCTCGTGCTCTACAATGGCAAGTCTGCGGGTAAGCAGAAGCTTGGCTTCGAGCGTCTGACTCCTGGTGGTATGTACAAGATCATGAAGGAGACTGTTGAGACCATCACTGCCGATGCACAGGGCAAGGCATCAATCGAGGTTGATCTTAACGGCAGGACAGCGCTTACAGTGTCACCGGCTTAGGTTGATCAACTATCTACGGGAGTGAAGTGTGACCACTCCATCAGAATGTCAAACTTCTAATTGGAATCTGATCTGTAGCGTTTTTCAGTTATCAGCTCGATACATTCTTTGTCAACATCAAATCGATCCGGAATCATCATGCTCTTATATTGTGTACACATCAAATACCTACGAGGCAACCGCTGAAGAGGTCGTGACCTCGCGATCGTGTGTGTTCGGCTATGTGCCCTTCATAGCCGAGGTGACCACAGTCGGGCCGGTTAGTGGCTGACCAACCGATGGAGGATGAGCTAATCTGGGCATACGTGAAACACCTCGTCATCAGCTACATACAGGTACAACACGTTGGACACAGGGGGAATATTCTTAGTGACTAGTGAGATTCGTTAAGCATCGTCAAGGGCCAGCGCCTTGTGCTATGAGTATTTCCATTGTTCATCCAAACCATTGTTTTATGTGGATGTCTCATACCATGGCCTCTTCATGCTGACAGAAGGGCTTGTCAGTCGTCTCGCATTCGTGTTTCCTCCTTGTGGCATCGCCATGAAACTCATATCGCCTGATGTCGAGTTCGGAAGATGAGAGAAACTCTCTCTGCGACCGGGGGAAATGCCGTAAGACTGGCTTGACGAAGGGGAAAAGCTTGTCGTGGAGTTGGCGGTCTGGTTCTGCGGTAATTCTGGAGCCGGCATCGAGTTACTGTGCGGAGGTATTGGCGAGGTAATGTTGGTACACATCGGATCTGACATATGCGCTTGAAGCGGGATAGAGTTGTAGATAGGCATTGAAGCTGAGGTAGGGAGGAAAGTGTTGGCAGAATCGAACATGGCCTGGTTGTCGAAGATGTCTTCGGCCCCAGGAAAGATGTTCATTGGCCGGGTGTAGCTGAAAGGTAATAGATTGATGAACTCATCGAAGAAGGGTGACGGTAGTTGCGACAGTGTCGCAAGCTGAGAGGTGGAATTGGGTTCTGACTTCCGTCGCGGAGTTGTAGACATGCGGGAGTAATCGAGGCATTCAAGAAGGTCGTTTGCATCGGCAGATGAGAGATGGACTTCCTGTATGGCGGGGTCTACGAGCTGACTATACTTGGCTGCAGCCTTCAGTACAAGAGTAACGATGGGGCTGGTTGCAACTTACCATTGCTGTCTCGAAAGTCTTGAAGTCGAGAGCGCATCATTCCGCAGGATTTCCAATAGCATGATAATTCCAGTAAGTTTTGAAGGCTCGACTCGAAAGAGACCGTCGCATCATTCACGATGAGCGGATCCGATGACTGTAGGAACATACTATGTATTGTCCCTGCAACCTTTTCGATGGTAAGCGGAGGTCTTGAGACTACAGCGCCGAATAAGACTTACCATTGTGCAATAGCCGTAGAATGGATCATGGCTTGTTGACAAGGTCTCGCAGCAGAGCGACTTCACCTCGTCCATCAGCTTCGACAGTGATGTTGCAGCTGCCCGACAGGAGTGAAATATCTGGGCGAGGAACGACTGGGGGGAACGTTGGCCGAGCCGCACAAGGCGCTGGCGTAATAAAAATGGGTGATATAAGAGGCATTGACACAGGTAAAACAAGGCGTGGGACAGTACTAACGGTGCCGCTCGATGTTGATCAATGGTACCGTCAGAAGATGTAAAGTGGTTTGTGATCTTCTCCACGAGCGATTCGCTCAGTCCGAGTTCCGATTCGATCTGGAGGAGTGACGAGTGAATAGAAGAGTACTTGGATCGTGGGTTCCAGGGGAAAGTTTTGCCGCTGGATGTCTGTTCCTCTTGCTCACCCAGCGCGTACTGTGCACATCTGCCAAGCAAGCTCGCCATGACAGCCGCAACAGCAAACGGACTGAGAGTGGAGATGACCGAGAAGGCGTTTTCATCAATCAGATGCTCCAGTGTTGGAGTCTGCTGATAGTTTCCATTCCGAAACTCGTTCTCGTCGATTGGCAGCTGAAGTCTGCATTGATCGTCCAAAATTACGGCTGGTCTTTCCCTACCGCATGATATCAACTTGTCGCAAAGGTAGAAGGACCAGAACACACGTCTCCGTTCCTCTTGCTGTATAGGATTGAGATCCTTCTCTGGCTCAATCTGCAGTCTAAAATCTTGAGCTAAGCGAATAGCCAGACCTACCTTTATCCACGAGCCTTGAGTCCGGCCATCTGTATAATCGATGATAGCTAGAAGCAGTATAGTTTGCACAATGCTCAACTCGGGTTCACTCTGGATTCCGTTCCATGGCATGACAATAGATTTCCATGACTGGGAAGCATAGGCGGACACTGCAGCGCTCTTGTCCTCGAAGTATGGATCGTCCGAGTAGCGCACAGTGCTTGCGAGAAGGGCGAATAGTAGGTGGGTCGGGACTTCATCTAATTCAATTCTTTGTCGAAGACTGCTCTCGTGGAAGAGGGAGTACGGCTGGTTGTGGCAGAATTTGAAATAGAGATCGGCGGTTGAGCGGAGGATATCCTTCGATGGCAGAGCAGTAAAGTCCTGAGTACCGTCAAGGACAACACCACTTGGCTCCTCGCTCTGGCTACTCAAAGACTCGTTTGTGTTGCCGTTTTTGGGCAGATTTCTGGAGATGTTCTGGACGGTGGTCGCGATACTATTCCGGTTAGCCCCAATTGTTTGCAGTGAAAGGATGACGCCAGCGGGGGTCGCACTTTCGAAGTGTCTGCGCCACGTCCGCCATCTGATTCTCTAAGCAATTCAGCCTGTCCGACAAGTCCATCGTAGTGACATCCCCGCGCTTCTTGTCGCTGCTAGAACTGCTCGAGTTTTGGTAAGGTTCCTCGTCGCTATATGTGCATGATTGGCCAAGTCGCACGCAGAAAGCCTGGCCTCCATCAGCTGGAGTAGTTCGGGTACACATCCGTATACTTACACACTCAGGGCGTTCGCCCGTACATCGCGCCTTCTTTCGCCTGCATGCGTTTTGGAATCAGTCGCAAATTAGCGATACCCTCGGCTACTACATACCTGCAGTTCTGGCACGCCTGCCGAATGCGCTTGATCGGTCGATAAAGGTCCTCCGGTGCCGACATCGTGGAGCATGACGACGAGGAACTTCGAAGCTGCTACTCCGTGACAGAGCGACCTGGAGAAGGACGTTGATCGGTGTGTGAGAGTTTCTTGCAGCATGTTCTGCATGGTGTCGGGGCACTTAGCGGCGGGGAGAAGCATGGCACGTGATGGGCTAGAAAGCCTAAGATCGACCCATCCCATGGAACCGGCTCGTTCATCACCCCTCACTCCGACACTCTTGACAGGCTTGTCGGCATCATCGTCGCCAGCCACACTGTTCAGCCCTTTCGATGCGGCTAGACCACATAGTGCCCTGTAAGCGTAGCCGACGAACAACGATCAAGTCTCGACTCTAAATGGTCAATCTTAAACTTTGGAGGACAAGGGCGGCTAAGATGTTGTCTTTCTCCATCCAACGTAGCCTCAGATGGGTTTGTAGAGACTCTACGGTCTTACTGAGGATTATATTATGCTATTCTAAAATGATATGGCTTGCCTGCTCTCTCTCTCCGTCCTGCTGCTAGACGCCAGCCAAGCGACGCGCTCTTCAATCCTCCGTTGCATACTGACTCGCAAACATCGTATGTTGCTGTGTCATCTCTTCGTCAACCGTCGGTCTTGCGCGATGAATTGCATGTTCCACCTCATCAACGGTAAAGGGGCGATATGAGACTTCCTCCGCGTGCTCAACCAAGTGCGCATACGGACCCTCCAGTGCGCCGTCGGCATCTTCATCACATGGTACGAGAATGGTGCCTTCAACCCAATCCAGCCGTTGGAAATGTGCCGACAGCACTATTTTGCGGAGTGAACTCCGCAGAAGCCCCTCCACCAGACAATCGATATCGTAACCTGACAAGCCGCATTCGTGGCATAATGCGCCCAGCTTAGAAAATTCGTCATCACTCAGCGTGTGACGCAGTCTGTCAAGTGCCCCTTTCAGGATGGCCTGGCAACCTGTTGCATTTGGGAGCGCAACATGCAGCTTCAGCGACAACCGTCTGCCAAATCCATCCATGTCAATATCGTGGGGCTTGTTCGTAACACCCACAATGATCACTTCGTCTTTTGAGTACATGAGGTCGCTCCATTGGTTCTTGAGTTCGTTCTGTAGTAGGCGGTAGTTGTGCGACTGGGTGGTATCCCTCGTAGGGTTACAGAGCAGGCCGTCGCATTCGTCAAGAAGGAGAACCGATGGGGTGTTAGCCCTAACTTCTTTGAAGAGGGCCTTCACAAACTTCTCTGACTCGCCCACGAATTTGGACATGATTGCGCTCGCGCGGACGTCGTAAACGGTAAGGTTGTACTTCTTCGCAAAGCTCTTGACTAGAAGTGTCTTGCCAGTTCCCTGTGGTCCAAAGAGCAGGATTCCCGTGGCTGAGCGATGGCGGAGGTTTCTAGTCAGGTGAGGAAAGTGAAGGAAGAAGCACTGTTCATATGTCAGTAGGTAGTCACAGGCACCATCAGCGCGCTGCACCTCCAGAACGTAAGGAATCAGTCGGCTGTTCTCAGCGCTAATATCCAGGCTCTGGAAAATGAAATAACGTACCGCGAACTCGTCGAGGGCAGCCTTGACTGAATCTAAACCAGCAACGTCCGCCATCTCCAGGATGGACTCGTCGTCGTCCTCGAAAACCACTTTCAAGTTGCGGATTTGTTCTCGTAGTTGGGTTTCTTGCCATTCGGTCTCTGACTGCTCCGGTTTCCGCGGAGCTGTCGTCCACCTGGTCCAATCCAGCTTTGCTCGCTTCGGACTAGCAGGTCGAGTCGGTGCGTGGCTTGATTGATTCAGCTGGCTCTGAACAGAGACGGATGTTTTCTGGGAAGTGGCAGCAGTCTGAATCTCAACACCGCTGGGTGGTGCTGAGTTCAAGGTGTGAGGCAGCTCTGTCGACGGCACGGACAGAACTTCTTCCTTATCATCATGGTGGCTGGCCTCTCTTTTTCCAGCGATTTGTTTTGGAGCCCCAGCCGTGGCAGATTGATACATCCCAGCACCAATCGCACTGCCATAGTTCAAAAGACATGCTCCTAGTACGTAAATGAATTCATCCGCTCCGTAGACGAAAGAAAGCATTTTCTTTACAGCTGCTGCGTGTTCGGCATAGATACTGGTCTTGCTATTGCCGCTTCACACTGCTGTTACCGAGCGGCGCGCATTAGTGCTACTCAATTATCGCTGCATTCATTCGTTTCTGGCGGTTCAGGCAGGAATGATAGATAAACTGCGTGGTAAGCTCTTGGTCCAGTAAAGCCAGTGCTGCTACGGCTGTGCCGTACTTGCCTAACTAACGATCGAGAAAAACGACAACGACGAAGAAAGTACACGGAGAACGTGCGAACAACGAGTTCGCAACATTCCCCAAGTTTCTTCGTAATGCCAAGCACTTGCTCGTGACATCCGTGGCGGACCGCTCTCCCATGCCAAAGAAGCCTCCGGCTCGGGCGGTCGCTTTCACAGTGGGGCGGAGAACTCATAGCCGACTTCTTTCCATGCCACGCAACGGCAACATGGCAGACCGCGACGGGCAGCCTCGTCGCAAACGCGCCCGACTGGCATGCACGGCATGCAATGCCCGTCGCGTCAAATGCAATGTTGTCGAAAGCCGACCTTGCCGCAATTGCGTCGCTGCCAATGCACCCTGCGAGACTCGAGAGTCAAGGCGCGGAAAACACCCTCGCAAACCACGAGTGACGGAGGAAACACCCGAATTCAGATCGCGCTTAGATTCAATCGTGAGTTTGGAGGATGGCCCTGTGTAAGACTGCTCCTGTCCTGATCGCGCTGCGATTGGCTGGATGATGATCTCACTGATACAAGCAGATCGTCGCTGCATGTAACAACACTGCGCAACCACGAGGAATTGGCAGCATCTCAAGCCTTAGCCTCACTATCAGGATCTCACCAAGAAATAGGACAGCAGCCTATACCACAACGATTGCCCGGCACCGTGGCTGGACAAACTGATGCCGTGTCTGAAGTCCGGCAAGAACCTTCAGAAGCCGTACTCAAGCCAGACAGACACGAAGATGATGTTTTCCTGGGAGAGTCTACGTCTCTGAGATATGTTACCGATGAATCTGCGCCTACAATTAGAGCATACAAGCGTCCACGCCTGCGACATTCTGTTCCTAGCGGCGCTCGTGCAGACTCGCTCATTCCGCAGTGGGAGTCTGAGCGGAGACGCACCAGGATGAAGAACCTCCACGAAGATGGAGCGTTCACGTTCCCACCAGCTCCAATACGGGAGAAGCTGCTAGGAGCCTATTTCCGATGGTTTCACCCCCACTTCCCTGTTGTAGATGAACCGGAAATATGGTCTGTCCACAAAAGTGGCAGCATGTCACCGCTACTACTCCAAGCAATGCTCTTCATTGGCGTAATACACTGCGAGGAGTCGACACTTGAAGAGCTCGGATGGGGCAACCGGCACCGAGCCAAATACCAGCTTTACTCCAGAGCCAAGGATATCTACGACGCGGAGTACGAAACGAAGAAGCTCATTGTTATCCAAGCTCTGTTCCTGATGAGCTTCTGGAGAGCTGGTGCATTGCTGGAGAAAGACGTTCGGCATTGGATCGGTGCTGTGATCAGTCTAGCTCAGACGAAGGCGTTTCATCGCTCGGGTTCAGAAAATGAAAATCACTCGACGAGGCTTCGGAGGCGTATTTGGTGGGCAATTTACGTCCGCGAGCGGCAATGTAGCTCTGCACTTGGACTCCCGAATCGAATACGAGACGACGATTGCGATGTTGAGATGCTGTCTGAAGCAGACTTCGAGCTCGCTTTCGATCCGTCTACAACATCTACCAGCGTTACCAGATACAAGGCTTACACAATTGGCATGACGCAGCTCGCCATCCTGCTTGGAAAAGTGGTAGATGCAGGGTACTTACCCAATCGAACACTGTCCACAGACGACAGGAGTAGGATCCGAGGGGATTTGGAACAATGGAAGCAACAACTAGGCTCATCAATAAAACTATCCAGTGACGCAGACTCCAGTTTCCAGGCTAGCATGCTTCATCTAGCATACAACAACCTGCACATCCTCCTCCACCGGTCCGCATTCATTGCAGAAGAATCGGACGCGGAAGCTGCAAATTTCGCCTTGCATGCAGCGGCTCGCAATTCACGAATAGTAGAAGACATGCTCTCCGAAGGAACCATGGGACATGCTCAGATTCACGTCATTACGAACTTGTTCAATACACTTTGCATTCATGTTGCGCATCTGCGCAGGTCCAATGGCATCACGCAGACCATTGCGGAACACCGAGCGAAGCTCTGTCTGCTTGGTCTGCAAGAGCTACAGCGAACATGGGAGGTCACCAATTGGGTGCGTCACTAAGTAAATTCACGAATATGGATGTAGCTGACTTAGACCAGGTGCTGCAACTGTTCTTTCAATATCTCGATCGAACTACAGCGGCGCGACTTGCAATGGAGGCAGACGATGTGGGGATAATGAGTGCTGCATCGAACACTCAACATCTTAATGTTGATGTTGTGAGCGCTGCGCCTTCTCGCGGAGAATCTCACGCCTTGGAACTCAGCGGAGCCGCTCCAGCGAATTCACTGGCGCCGGGTGGAGATCTTGACAATGCTGTCACGCCGTGGTCCTGGACTACAGATGAGGCAAATCAGTACCTGTTCTCACAAATTGAGAGTGACTTCGCGTTTGGAGAAGGCGGTATGCTAGATTGGAGCCCGGAAGCGGTGTCTCACTTTGCGGGATTCGATCAGTTCGCTTAACCCTTTTGATATTGTTTCCACAGATGTTTTGAAACTACGAGATAATGTGCCCTTTCATGCTCTGTTTACCAAAGCTGTCCCAGATTTCCGTGTTCCACTGGTTGTTATCCTTCTGCAGCAGTATCCGGTACTGCTCATTCACGTACAAGGGATTCATGGCCCTGTAAGATATTGATGCGGGCAATGCAACGTCTTCCTCGTTTCTCGCAGTATCACGCCATAAATCAAGCATATTGATCAAGTTTAAGGGTCCATGGACCACTGCGTCGCGGTGCCCTTCAACTTCCCTACACCATTCAGGTAGATAGTGAATTTTGTGCGCATTGAACGTCAATGCCGAGAAGCGGAACAGTGAAGTATAAGTCTGTTTGACATCCCGCGTGATGTCGCCCTCTGGTAGAGGCTTGGTCTCTGGTAGTGGCGGCGGCGCTTTCGGAGCGGTGATCTCTTTCTGGAAAACCCAATTCCTCTTGTCAATGAGTGCAACGCCTTTGTCGTTCTCGAATGTTTTCTCAACTCCGACGACCAACATCTCGCCGCCAGATTTGAGCTTCTTGGGTTCAGCTGACAGCATCCTCGTTGTTTCCTGGACTTCTTGCCCGACGCGAAGTAGCAATGATTCATCCTGAGTCCATTGTAATTCCCCACCTGCCCACATACGACGCGTAAATGGACAGAGTGGGTTTACAGTCCTGTCGGTACCATCTACACCCAACTCTGCTTCCAAGATGGATGGCGTGAAATAAACCAGATGATACCCGGCAGGAATAGGAGTTCCGTTCGCTGGTGCTTGCGTCGAGGTGGGCGAGCGGCCAAGAGTGATGTTTAGAAGGTGCAATTGATTGGCATCCAGCAACTGCTTGCGGACTGATATTGGTTTGTCGCCGAATCGCGCGAATATCTCGGAGCAAGCTTCTAAGGCGGATGCATTGTTTAAGCGTCGCACAGTGGTGGAAAAACACCGTGCAAACTGAGCCATGCTAGGTGTGAAAATACTGGTCTTGTTCTGTCCCGAACTGATAGGCCACAAGCCAAATGTCTGACAGCGAATCGAGGCAAAGATGTTGCCGACGAGATTCACGTGCTGAATGTCGGGAGGGTGGAGCAACCGACATAGCCGAAGTAGCAGCTCTTCCCGACGCTAACTTGCCCCGCATCATCGTTTCATCCCGTACCTGACGCCGTCTCTCAGCTCTGTCGAAGCATTGCAGCGGACCGTACCCGTGCCTAACATTTCACCGTCCTTGGTGTTGACCAGCAAGATGTATCGCGTCTTAAGCGCGGTACGGACGCGTCGTAGACCCCTTGAGAAACAAACACCGAAACTATCGTAGCAAAGCAGCGCTGAATTTAAAGAATTGCGCGTCGCATCATGCAAACTGTCCCAGCGGCTGTGCCAGAGTTCATTCGCGACCCCAAATCGACCATTGAACACGTAGAGAACATCTCGCTTCTTGGGAATTTGACCAGAAGCAGCGAGAATCAAGATGTCCAGGAGAAGAGGAGCGATCTCAAGAATATCAAGACCAAGGCATTGGTCGTGAAGGAAGCGAAGGCGGACTTTAAGATGCAAGATGTGGTCTTGGATGAAATACGTGAGAATGAGGTGCTGGTGGAGATGAAGTACAGTGGTATATGTGCGTTTCATACTGGCTCCGCGACGATTGCAACTAATGACTTCATCCAGGCCATACCGACATCGTCGTCCAGAAAGGACTCCTCCCGATGATAGAGTTCCCTGCCATTCTCGGCCATGAAGGCGCAGGCTATATTCGCGCGCTCGGCTCCTCCGTCAAGGACAAGTCCCTCCGAATCGGCGACCCCGTCCTACTCTCCTTCGCTACATGCGGTACTTGTACACCCTGTAGAACATCACATCCTGCATATTGCACAACACACGCGAACGTGAACCAGAACGGTGTTCGAATCGCGGATCGAAGCACACCTGCGCGGACAACAGATGGGACAAGCGTACGGAGTCAATACTTTGGGCAGAGCAGCTTCGCGAAGATGAGCGTTGTCAACGAGATGTGCGTGGTCAAGTGCGATCACCCGGACAAGATGGACATCTACGCGCCCATAGGATGCGGCTTTCAGACTGGCGCGGGGACCGTGCTGAATGTATTGAAGCCAGGCAAAGACGACAGCATCGTGGTCTTTGGGCTTGGTAGTGTAGGCCTGACAGCACTCATGGCTGCGAAATACCTGGATGTAGGCATAATCATCGCTGTGGATATTGTACAGGAGAAGCTGGACATGGGCAAGGATCTCGGTGCCACGCACACAGTCAACTCGCGCGAACTGACCGATGTTGTCGAGGCTATCAAGGAAATTACGAAAGGTGGTGCAGCTTACGCCATCGACTGCACTGGCATCATCAGCGTTATTGAAGTCATGATCGAGTGTCTGGCGCCACTTGGAACCGCTGCTATTGTCGGGGTTCCGCCTTCCGGAAAGAAGATCTCTCTTGATCCACTATCGTTCTTGCTGGAAAACAAGAGACTGATAGGTGTGATAGAAGGGGACAGCGATCCCCAGAAGTTCATACCAACGCTTGTAGAATTGCACAGCAGAGGCCACTTTCCGATTGAGAAGCTATGTCGGACGTACCCGGTTGAGAAGGTACAAGATGCAATACATGACTTGCATGCCGGCAAAGTTAGTCACGATTACCCAGAAATCCCACCTGCTAACATAGGACTAGGTAATCAAACCAGTGATAGAGTGGAGTTGATTCGTTTGCAGCATATTTCGTGTTCCCGTTACTACGTAATGTACGACAACAATGCAGACCTTCTTGACAAGATTAAACCTTCCCGTTTCTACGCTCACCATCGCGGAACCAAGCCTTGCGTGTCTCTTTGCAGTGGCCAGAGGAAATCTGCGTATAATAGACTGTCGTGTACCATGCATGCATCATGCAAGCCCGATATTATCAACAAGGCTCATCTGAATATATAATCGAGCGGTGCAAGTGACGGTGTGTGCCAGCTTCGTAGGGAGCGTGCACTAGCTGTCCACAACGAGGCCGCCTCTGCAATATCTTCAGACTCCAACGATGAGCTGTCCACTCGAAGAGCTACAGCTTCTCTGCAATGCACTGCTCGTCTTTCCTTCTCCGTCCTCATCCGATTGAATACTATCCATTGTAGTAGGCTTTCAAAGAATTTTCGATGATGTTGGTAGACAAATTATCGTATGTGCACCATGATGTAGACAGATATTATGAGTGCGGTCAGCCAGCCGACACTGCCTCAAAGACATGGTAGAGGGCCTTCAGAAACGTTGTTTGAGAGAGTCGAAGAATCATACAGCAGACGAAGCGGTTACAGACTCGCTGGAGAAGATTGTTGTTTGATACGACTAGACGTCAACGTGTCATGGTACACGGCGCAAGGGGAAGCTTAGGCAGAGGAACGAATTTGCGTGCGCTGTAGTTTTCTGAACTCGGAAGAGGCCAAGTCATGGAAGTCAATCGTCGAACAGCGTCGCGATTTTCCCAAAGAATCGTCACATTCAACAAGCAGGAGAAGCACGCCTCCCCTCGGTGATTTTTCCAAGAGACACCTTTTCAACCACGTCGACAGAAAGTCATGGAAAGAAAACTGTGCTTGCCTTATCAATGGCGTTCTCCACTGGGGTCTGCTCTTGTGGGACACCAATTGGACCACATGGCTGTGTTGCTGTGGTCTCGAATTCGAGAAAACTCCATGCCCAGACAATAATTCTGCATGGAAAACGATCACAAACGTACAATATTGGAAGAGCTTTTGTTGTCATATAAGATCACAGCTCAAGAATCTAGGTTTGACAGTCGCCCAAATGACGCTAGGCACTCAGATCGGTTGCAGTCCCACCCGGACGACGATGGACTGTTTCAGAAGTGGATTGATAGCAAGTGAGAAGAGCTGTACAGAGAGCAGAGGATGTGAAGAATGTGTCCGGCTCGAGAACATGTCGTGACGCAATCATATTTTGCTTATAAGACGCCTCTTAACTCGCCACAAGCGAGCACCAGTCAGCGTTCCTGTTACGATGTATACGAAAAGTCTGTACTCCGTAAATATGTTCTTCATGAGTTCAACACTTCCTTAATCAAGGCTTTCCGTATCCATGAATGGTGTCTGACCGAGCTGTCAGGCGAATCGTGGTATGCTTTCTTCCGAAACGTTGCTGAACACGCCATGGCGCAGAAAGTTTGGCCTGAAAGCGCGTTGCAAGTAGAGATAGACTCGCTTCCAGAGGAGAATGAAGCCTCAACGCCTAGGGGTTCCCATGATGGGTTTGCGGGCTACTAAAGGCATGTTTATAGCTAGGTCAAGGGGAGGCCTTTTGTCTCCTGTTCTCGTTGTCCCCGTATCCTTCCACTTGCGCAGATCTTATGGGTCTACAGAGCAATTCCGTGGCGCATTACCTTACCGGTAGTGTAGTTTCTCATCCACAGCATTCCCTTCCATATCTACTTGAAAATCTTACCAAAAGCCTTCTTCCCCTTCCCCAAAAGCTCCTTCGCCTCCCTTTTCAAGTCTTCTTGTCCCCCAAACCCACTCCCCGCCTCCGTCAGCCCTCCTTTACCCCCACAATTTCCCTTACCACCACAAGCGCCTCCATCACACCCATGCAAGAAATGATCCACATCACTGCAACACCTTCCGCAATACCCATTTCCCATGAATGGTCCATGCTCACCCCACCCTACACGCATGATCCTCGCTTTTCTGCCGTCCCATCCCGTTTTTGCGTCTGTGGCATGGAAGACTCCCCAGACCTCTTGGCCGCCTGGGCCGTTGACGGTGACAAAGTTGCCGTGACCAGGGCCGTAAGGCGGGGTGTCGTCGCGAGCGGCTTGGATGAGGGGGAACGGGGATTTGTGCCAGGACTGTGGGGAGAGGGGGTGGCCGCCGGTAAAGTGGAGGATGTTCATTTTGTACTCGTGGGTCCTGTTGGGACAAGTCATCAGCTGTTCACTCGAGAATCTTGGGTTTGGGAGGGGGATGACTTACCAGCTTCCTGCACACGAATAGACGATTCCAGCCCACCGGCCATCAGGAGAGCAAAGGAATTGAGGTCCCTCATTGATGCCACTCTTTCCACTGTACTCCCATGGATTGTCTGGAGTGCTAATGCGTACCGGATGGCCCTGGCATTGCGTCGGACTAACCATCTCGATGATATAGATCTCTTGCTTGCTCTCATCATTCCCCGTACCAAGCGGCCATCCAGAGTACACAAAGCACAATCCGCCGTGCAACGAAATTACCGTGCCGTCAATCGCCCATTGGTCCTTCGGCATGCCTTCCAACCGCCCCGCAAACTCCCACTTCGACGAGTCCATCGGATCCTGATCTGCAGGCGGTCCGGCAACAACAAACATACGGTGAGACTTGTTCCCGTGTTTCGGATCCGTAGCCGCAAAGTAAACATACCAGCGGCCATGCAGAGAGTGCAATTCGGGAGCCCAGAGATCGCCAGAGTACTCCTTGTCAGGTGGTGGTCGCCTGTACTAATCAGCACATTCCCTCCAGCCCAGCTTTTCCTCAGATCCACGCTCTTGACCAACTCTCCCCAGAAATTTTCCCCGCTTCAGAATTGGATAAACACTCACCACACACACTCCTTCCGCGCCCTCTTCTCAAACTCAAACAAACTATCCGCCGCCCAAACCTCCACACGATCCCCCACCGTAAACGTCATGTAAAACGTCCCCTTGTCCCAAATTACATACGGATCCGGGCACGTGCGATCCGTAATCGTCAGAATGTGGTCGTTGTACGCGGGCGCGCCTTGCTGACCGGGAAAGTGCTGCGCCATTCTTGCTTCTCTGAAAGAACTCTCCTGAGTGGGTATTTTTCGAAGCAGGCCTCGGCTTGGGACTTGGAGGGAGGTAGAGATTGACTTGAAAACTGGATGCTGGAGTGACAGACTGCAAGTTGGTAGGTGGGGCGTAGGCAGAGGTGGTGCGCCTTGCTTGTGGCTAGTGAAACGCGCGTGTGACTAGGCGGGGTGACGTCAGCGATTGTGGTTGGCGTTGTTGGCGTGGTAGAGCTGCAGGCGTACCCCTCAAGTGCAAATACATGTATAAACGTAAAGATATAAGGGACGTACGCGGCTGCTCTCATGTGGCTTCAACGGAATTATGATCCCGCTCATTGCGACTGTATCTTGTGACAATCCAAACATGAGCATTCGTTGCTCAGGCGCAGGATCGGAACATTAACTGAGCAACTCAGACATAGACACATCGACCAGCATGACATCGCACAGCAGCATTTAACGATAGTATATTGCTCCACACCGCTCCTACACACATCGTGAATCTCTCCACCAAGAACCCCCTTCTAGCGCCGCCGTCCTTCTCCTATCCATAATTCGACCAAGCGATCCTTTCAATCCACCTCTATCCTCTGTTGAAAACATGGTATAAAACGTAGGATCCAATAGAATCCGATACTCGATGACGCGTGAATCCAAGCAGAAGGAAAAATCCAAGAACCGTACAAGACACTAAATATAGGTAGCGGTAGAGTGCGTAGCGGCATCAAGTATGAACGTATTAGCATCCGTCTCGGTATTCAATCGGGGACGGTATGATGGTGTCCAAACGCCGTGCCAAAATTAGAGTGAATCCAAAAGATTCGTGTACTGGAAACCGGATTGAAGAGAGTATGGGTGTAGAACAAAAGCGCGGTCGTAAGCAGAAATTATCAAAATTCACTCTTGAGTGTCTGGTCAACAGTCAATTCGCCTGTCTCGATGCGGTCGACGCGAAGTACGAGCTCCTACGTCCACATTAGCCAGGTGAATTCACCCCAGATCGCGGAATGACATACCTTGAGAGCTCGGGCGGTCTTGAAAGCTAGTGGGGGTATTCTCTCTCGTCCACCTCCGGCAATGTCCGTGGCTAGCATGTCCTGTCTGCAGTCTTCGAGTACCTCGACAACCGGCACTGCATGTTTCTTCAGAGCAGGGCTGGAAAGCTCCCTCACAGCGTCGTAGGTGCGGCTGCCCGTGTCCTGCACCGCACGCGAGATATCTTGGATGTAGTTGTCAATCAGCTGCTCATCGGCAGGTGTAGAAACAGGAGTAGAGCGAATGAGGTTGACCAGAGGCTGGATGCTCTGAACAAGAAGGGCGGTCTGATCTTCGAGATAATTCTACAACCCTGTAAGACTTGTTTTGCGAGCTTTTGCGCATGGGGTATGTTAGTATACCTTAAACTCGGTCATGCCTTGCTCCCTCTCGTAACCCAACCCGTTTGCGCCGTAACTCTGACGGTCGTAGCCGCTGTAGGGCGAGCTGTACGCACTATATCTGGTTGATTCGCTGCTCCCACCTTTGCTACGCTGGCGTTGATGGCCGAGACCAAGACCCACAGGATTGCCGTTCGCGACATTAGAGGTAGAACCGTTGGGCTTGAGGGGCATGGGTCTATCGTCTTCCTCGTCCTGGTCGAGTTCATCCTCGGGTGTCGGCCGAACTTTCACATGCTTGACTAATTCGACCACAGCAGTGGAAAGGTGGCTAGCTGCAGCGTCCAACAGGCTGACAGGCGCAAGGCCACCAGATGATGCGTGATTTTTGCTCGCAGTGATGAGATTGTTTGCGGTGGCGCTGACGCGCGACTTGAGTTTCTTCTCAGGGTTTGACATATCTCCACTCACGCTACTAGTCGGAGACGCGAGCTGGGAGAGCGAGGTGTTGTCGATATCCCCAGTGATGGCTCGTACGCACTTCACCACGTGCCTCATGCTCTCGAGCACCTGCTCAGGATCAGCTCTGCGCGCTACCTGGAGCAGCTCGTCTATGCTCAATTGGAAGTTGGTAACGTGGACATCCTTGACAGCGCCATCTGGAGTGCTGAGAGTAGCGTCGCGGGTATAGTTGCTGATGTCAGGAGATGCGAGAGACGCCAGACCGATAGACGATGCTTTCAAGCTCCTCAGCTGCGTCTTGGCACGTGCGTAACGGGTCTTCCACTCTTTGACTTCGGCCTCTAGGGTGGAGACCTGACCGGCGAGACGTTCCTCCTTCTCGACAGCTGCATCACTCCGTGATGACAGCTCCCGCATTTCCTGCAAGAACATCTGGGCATCCCGGCGGACCTCTTCAGACACCTGTTGCTGCTCGCTAAGTTCACGTTCCAGTTCCTCGCAGCGCTGTCGCCATTCCTCATTGTCACTGTCGTATGCCTTTTGAGGCGGGTTCGCTTCCAGGTGCGCGATCTGAGCACGCAGGTTCCGTTCCGAGTCTGCGTTTTCGTTCCGTAACCGGTCAATCTCTGAACGTAGGGAGGTATTCAAGTTCTCGGCTTTCTCAACTTTCTCTTCCAATGTGTAACGCAAGTCGTCCCATTCTGCTCGCTCCGATGCCGTATTGGTATCGCGCGCGCTATCTGCATCTTTTGCCTTTTGCAGCTCTGCGTCTTTGTCTCGCAATGATCCCTCCAACGAGTCCACTTTGGCCTGCAGCTCCGATAGCTGATTTTCCAGATCCGATATCATCTTCTCCTGTGCCTCGCTCATGCTCTTCGCGCTCTTGTTAGTCTGTCGCCGAGCTGCAGCACCTTCCAAGTTGAAGGCATCGTCGTCATCCGCGCCGCTGTCGTCGTCGTCCTCGACCATGGTACCCTTGTTCGGCACGATGGTGTTCGACTGGAAGGTTTTGGGAAGCGGTCGTCCAAGTTCGTTAGGCTGTGAGCCAGGGCGCAGCGCGCCCGGTGGCCCAGGCATCATACCAGGCGGCGGAGGGCCATTGCGATATCCACCAGGAGGAGGACGGCCGCCACGCATACTGTTCGGTGTACCGACGCGACTGGGAGCCCCTCTGCTGGTCCTGCTGGCCATACTACCGGCGGGGCTGCTACTTCTAGGCATGTCGCCACCAGCAAAGCGCGGCGTCCTTCTCTCAAGTTCGTAGAATACATCGGTGGCGAGCTGGCGGAAGCGCTCGAGCGGCAACGTGGACAGCTTCTGTCGCGCCTGGTTGCGCTTTGGGTGGAAGTTGTTTTTGGGCAGAAGGTGCTTCGGGGTCTCGTTGCCTGGAGCACCAGGCCCGCCGCGCTTTCGGTCTTGCTCGCGGCGGATTGATTCGTCGTATACGTCGGTGCTAAGCTCCTGGAACTGCACCGTTGACAGGCGCGTGAGCTTGTCCTTTGCTCTGCTCGGGCGCGGGTTGCCCTTCTCGTCGTTCAGGTAAGGGCCCAGGTAGGCTTTCAGCACGCGGTAGTGCTCAGAGAGGGTTTCCTCGAGCGCCATCATCTTGCGGTCGTTCATGCCGCGGTCGCTCATGCTCTGGGCATACAAGCCGGTGCCGTCACTGGAGCGCCCCACCGAGCTCGGCGGCGAGGGGTTGCCGTTGCGGGCCATGCCGCCAGACATGCGCCCATCGACGTTGCTGTGGATGCTGCCTGGCGGGGTGACGCCGTTCCTGGACGGGGGCAGCGAGGGCGAGTACGGGTTGTCGAGGCTCTGGTAGCGGCCGATGGGCGACCACTCGGTGCTGTCGGTCGAGACAGGCGAGAGGGTGCCATTGCGCCCGTTCATCGTGTGGTGCTGGCGTGTTTGGCTTGGCCGCGGGCGCGGGCGCTGGGCGCGGTGTAGTGTGTGTCGGAGTGCGTAGGCGGCTCTTCAGTGGGCCATGCGAGGGCGAAGGCGTTCGTCGGGGCAGTCGCAGTCGCGAAATGAAACGCAGGCCAAAGTGTATCGAGACGGTCAAGGAGCGGAAGCGGCAGCTGCGATGGGGGCGAAGGGCAACGGCAACGGCAACAGCAGCAACAACAACAAAGAAGGGAGCAACGGCACGGGGCACACTCGTCACGCTTCGCGGAGGCCTGCTGCAGCGGACTTGGAGGAGCAGCGGCAGCGACGAGTTAAAGGCACTCGCATCTCAAAATGTCGGTATGCCCCTTTCACAGGCACTACGACGCTTGGCCGCGCGGGTTGCTTGCTCTCGTTGGCAGTCGCGGGCAGCGCTAACTGGCCTGGTTGGACAGGGCCCGAACGGCGCACCGCACATCCGCCGCCCGCGTCGACCGCTCCAGAGACCGTCGAAGACTACACGGTCGATCGCAGCCTCACGATCCTGTGCAACGTGCGTTGCCACCACGTGTCCCGATGTTGCGTCCATGTCTGGCCTGTATGCGCGCGCCGTGGTACCTCGCGGCTCGTCCCTGTGTGCATATACAGTGCCGCAGCTTTTCGCGAGCCGACTACACCGCAATCCTCCACGCGCCCACCCTTGGAAATTGCGGGCCTCGCTGGGCGGCCACAGTCGAGACCCGGTGCCCACGCTTCGTCACTGCCCCAGTACCATGTGGAGATTCGCCCTTATGCACAGTGCCGCAATCTTACAGAAAGGCAGGTATAACATGGTATCGTGACCTCCGGCCGGATCTATCCTAACATCAACGCCCACCAGCTGTCAGTTGCGCCCCTTCCGCAGCCCTGCAGCCCGCCACCCTTGCCAGATGCTGCGCCCGTGCGCCATCCCAGATACGCCGATACGGTCCATATCCCTATCGATCATCTATCCTCGCCCCGCCGTCAATCGTACATGTTCCGGTGAGATTGCTCACGACCGAGGTGCTCGCTTGATCTTGGTGGGCGGCAGCTTCGAACACTCCGGGCACAGCCAGTCCCCTACCGGTTCCTCTTTTATACCTACGCATTCCCAATGGAACCATTGATGCTTGCAGTTGTCATTGTCGCACGCCACCATGTCGCCAAAACTCACACGTTGGCATGTGCAGTACTTCCTGTTGTCTGTCTCATCTTCTTCATCGTCCCCTTCGCCGTTGCCCATGCCAGCCATCTCCTCGTCTTCAGTGCCTGCCTCACTGGCCACGCTCTCGTCGTCGGCTGTCGTGGACGGCGACGCCCGTGACCCGCCCTTGCGGCGCTTCTTGTTGCTCCCTGACTTGGCCGTGAGCGCAGCTTTGCGCAGTGGTTGCTGTGGTTTCGCCTTTTTCACCATTAGTGGATGCTTTTGCGATCTGCTAGGTCCTACGCTTCCTGCGCGTGATCCTGGCGTGGCAGGCTTGGGCGTTCCTGGTCCCATTGAAGATGCTCGCCCCAACGACGATGGCGGACCTGGCAGCGGCCCTGTGCTCAGGTTTGGTCGACGACGCTTACTATCACTGCCGGCAGACATCTCCCGTTCTTGCCGCGCTGTTGCCTGGGCAGCGCTTTGCTGGTTCGTAAGCCGCTGCTGGTTGAGCAGGGCCTGCTGCGTCATATTTTGTAGACTTGGATTGATCCTGGAAGTGAGGTTGGTCGCATTCGCTATCCGGGCGATGGCTGCGTGCGCTAGATTTGCTCCTCCGGGGCCTTGGTTGCCAGACACAGCTTGTAGCGGTGTGTTCGCGCCGGTCGTGCTCAGCGAGGAAGGGGGAACCATGTTACCAGGGGACTCCCTCAGTAAGGAGGGCAGCTGGGGGTCTGTGGAGATAGAGCCGTCATCCTGCAAGTTCTTCAACTTCAAGTCCAGCCGCTTGACGTGCCGGTCCAACTGCAGCGTGTCAGAGAAGTGGATAGATATAGATTGGGATACATACTAAGGCAGCGGCTTTCTCGACGAGTCCGATCTTTTCTTCTTGCAGAATCTGTGAGCGCTCATATTGCTCAACTATGAGCTTCGAGTATGGTTCCTCTTTGGGGTTTTGCACCAGGCTGCCGTTGAGCTTGATGAACTTCTGGAGGCTGTTGTCGCGAGTCGCAATAGTCCGCCGCGCTTCTTGAATAAGCTCATCCTTTGCCTGCACTTCTTCAAACAGATGCGTTATTTCCGCAGGCAAGTTCGCGACTACACGCTCGTAATGTCAGCATACGTAGAAGAGCAGCAGAAAGTCTGCGTACCATCGTGAATGAACTGCTCCAGGACAGTCGCCGCGTCCTCGGGGTTTGCCATATCTGCTCTATTGGAGCGATGCGGGCTTGCGGCGGCGTATGTGTGGTTTTATTGCGATCTTCAATATGTTTTTGACCAGTGAAGGTTGAAAATCCGATGGATTCTGATGGAATGTTGATGGAGACGTACGCGGGAAGTCGCGAGAGAGCACCGGTGAAGGGAGCTGCGCCGTTGCTGTTTGTACTTGGACCCGACCACAAAACGTTACGGACTCTCTACAGTTACTCGCAGGAAAATGGGGTATATCCTATCGCGACAGGTATCCGTTCACTTAGCAGTACTAACCGCACGCAAATGTAAGTCAGTGTTCAATGTTGGAGATCATGCAGCCTGTGGCTAAACCAGAATAGATGCCGCCGAAAGCGTCCAAGCCTGGGGCTAACATGCGCTCACGTGCATCCCTCGCCAAATCGCCCAATGGCGGCTCGGAGGACGACGAGGATGTTAGCGGCTCTTCCTCTTTCTCAGACGACCGCCACGAGCAGTCCGATGCCGACAACGAGGACAGCGATCTTTATACGAACGAGCGCGAAGAGCAATATCCGGAAGAATCGTCTGAGTCTACCCGGGCACGACCGAGTGCGAGGGGAAACCGCTCGGCAGCGCCAGTCGATCATACTCAGGTAGAAGCAGATGCAAGCTTAGCACGAGACCTAGGAGTACGCAGATCAGGACGCAACCAAGGCCAACAATTAGGGCGACTCCATTACCTCGGATTATATTCGCAGCCCAAACCCGCGAAGACTAAGAAGGTTGGTCTATTGGGCTGTATTATATCGGTGTTATGGTTGCTGACATTTACCTAGGCGTTGATTAAAGAGGAACACTCGCAAGGAACACCCACCACGCCCAACAGTTACTTCCAGAATCTTTGGATCTCTCGCAAAGCTGAGGAAGATCGCGCACATTCTTTTTCCAACCCATTTTTACCGAGAGAAGTCGGCGACGTCGATCGCTGGATCGCCCAAGGACCTTCTCCGCCCCTCAAAAATCCCTATATGAAGACTCAGGTACTCGAAGTTGATCTTGTACAGCAAAAAGTAGCGATGCGTGCTCAAAGCTTCGCTCCGCCAATGAACGGCCAGGCAAACGGTATTGTCCAAGAATGGCTTTCTCCGAATGACACGTTCCAGGAGGACTTCTCCGTATTCAAGACTTTGAGCGATGATGAACAGCAAGCCGTTATTCGCCGCGAAGCTGAGCAACATGGATTGGAAAAACCACAAGGATATAATGTCTCCTTTCATTACAACCCGCACGTGGAGTATCACCATTTCGGCAGCAGTCACCCAATGAAGCCGTGGCGTCTGACCTTGACGAAGCAGCTAGTACTAGCCTATGGTTTGGAGTATACCATGGACTGTTACGAGCCGCGCCCGGCAAGGTTCGATGAGCTGGCGGTGTTTCATGATCGCGAGTACCTGTCGTTCCTTAGCCAAGTTACGCCACAGAACGCAAAACCCGATGATCCTGCATATCTATCTTTCGGATTTGGCGGGGAATCTAACGACTGTCCCGTGTTTGACGGTCTCTGGAACTACGTCTCCATATACAGCGGTGCCTCGATCAATGCCGCAAACAATTTGAACAACAAACAGTCCGACATAGCGATCAACTGGTCTGGCGGCTTGCACCATGCCAAAAAGAACCTCGCTTCAGGCTTCTGCTACATCAACGATATCGTCTTAGCTATCCAGCTCCTTCTGACCAACAACCCGCGCGTCCTATACATCGACATCGATGTTCACCACGGAGATGGCGTCGAGGCTGCCTTTGAATCCTCGGATAGGGTGTTCACTCTCTCATATCATAAGTACGGTATTGACAGGAATGGCTATCCCTTTTTCCCAGGAACCGGCAATATCCACGAAATGGGTCCCACAGACCCTGCTAACCGCGGTAAAGGCCACAGCCTCAACATACCCATCGACGACGGTATCGATGACGAGCAGTACAAATGGCTGTTCAAGACGGTCACCGGGGCCGTGATCGAAAAGTACAATCCAACGGCTATTGTGCTCCAGTCTGGTGCCGACTCACTCGGCGGCGACCGCTTGGGCCGATTCAACTTGAACATCAAAGCACACGGCTTCTGCGTTGAAACCGTCAAGTCTTACGGACGCCCTCTCCTCCTCATAGGCGGAGGAGGATACACGCCGCGCAACGTGGCACGCACTTGGTGCCACGAGACAGCCGTCTGCGTTGGGGCGGAGCTGCACAACGAACTCCCCACGCACATTCCATACATTCAAGCGTTCGAGGGTGCGGAAAACGGTGGTGGCATACTGTACCCTGATCTACACAACACTAAGCGGCACGACAACCTCAATACCCAGGACAACCTGCACAAGCTCGTAACGCAAGCGCTTGAGAACTTGAGGTATATCGAGGGAGCGCCAAGTGTGGTGTGCAATACGATGGGTCTTACGGAGGAGCAGATCATGAAGGTTAGGGCCATGGTTGACGAGGAGTTTGAAGATGATGCACAGGATAGGGGGACACTAACGGTAGAGAACACTCGACGTCGCAAGGAGAGGGGCACGGGCGGGAGGGGAGAGAGGGGCCTGCGATAAGGAAAGAATGTTGGAACCGAGGAAAGCATTCACGGTGTTGATTGGCGTTCAGGAAGCTTGGTGGTCCCCTTGATGAGATACCCGTCTGATCTTAGCTTTGGGGTGTTGTTGTCTCCTCTTAGAGGGATGCTGGTCTACAAAAGTATATGCATACAAAATCAGCTACACTTGAGAAGTAGCGAAGTGGTTCGCGCGTGGGTATATGTTCTTCAACGGCGCATGTCTCAAGATACTACCGATGCCACCCGCCCGCACGTACCAGTCCACATGATCATCTACACTATCCCTGCCTTGCCCTCCACATTGTGCACGATGTCGGCCGCCGACCCAGCCTCTCCACCCACCAGGCAGACCAAGCTTTCGATCGGCGGCCGCCGGGCAGGGCCTTGGCAGGGCGCAATACGAGAATTCCCTGAGCAAGCATGCAAATCCAGATGCACTGTCGGGGCGATCACAAGAAGAAGCTCCGACATGCAGGAAAAAGTTGAGACTGATGCGGCGAATCAGAGCGCGACAAGCGGAATGGAAGGAAAGGCGCTCGGAACACTGGGCTGCTCCGAGCGGACGGCCGGTTATGTCCGGCGGCCGCAGTGCAGAGCTCGTACATCATGCCCCGACTTCTTGTACATGTGGGAGACGGGGGAATTGTACTTGCAGCTGCGGTGTAGACGTCGTTGTGCGGGCGGACATGGTTATTGAATGCTACATGTACACGTTGTTGTTCGCTCGATGTACGACAGGGCAAACAGGGCCGCGGGGAACGGTTTGGTCAGCGCGCCCCCCGGTGACATTTATCAGATGGACCCATCGCGCCTGATGCTGGGACGGCGCGGAAGCAGGTCAGCACTGGCAGAGGCGCACAGGATTTGGTCAGCAGGCGCGGGTCTGGGCGGGCTTGATGCAATTGTGCGTCAAGCGCTCGTTCTGCAGTTGGTCATCTAATAGACATTTCTCGCAACGCATCTGAGGCTGCGTTTCTTCCGGTGTTCGTCCTGAGGCTAAAGCGCCTGGCTACCTACGCGAGGCTTTACATTGCATTACAGAGGCTGGACTAAGCGCCTGCAGGCAGATGGTCAGCACGGGTCCCGGTCTGCTTTGTTAAGACCCCGACCTGGTCATCCTTCCCGCAGCGGGGACACGACGCTTGTTGTATCCACGACGTAGAAGACCGCATACAGTACCACGAGAGGGGCACATCACGAGTGTATCCCGCGACACGACAAAGCGCGCACAGCAGCATTCCGCGGTCCCCACCATGAGTGACGACGTGCTGCACGCGGCACCCGCCAGCGCCCACGACCGCGTCTCCAAGCCCAGCGGCGGCAGCTTCAGCGGCACGTCTGGCGCCGGTGCCGTGGGGCTTAACCCCAGATCCTGCGTGACCTGTCGCAGGCGCAAAGTAAAGTGCGACAAGAAGCAGCCGTGCTCCAACTGCGCTCGCGCAAAGATCGAGTGCATCTTCCCTGGACCCGGCCGCGCACCCCGCAAGAGCAGGAAGCCTGCTGATGGCGAGCTCATGGAGCGCTTGAGGCGGCTCGAGGGCGTGGTGCAGAGCCTGAATGCGCAGGTTGAGGAGCACGAGCAGCAGGACGCGGAGCGCGAGAAGAACGGGGGCGCGGTCAGTGGGTGTCCACTTGGAGACGCGGGCGTGGAGCAGGGCGGGTGTCCAAGCGGCCGTGATCTGGTTGGCGCGAGCGTGGTCGCGGATAACAGCGTGGAGGGGCTGGAGACGCGGTTTGGGAGGCTCGTGGTGGACGAGGGCAGGAGTCGGTACATCAACAACAGCTTTTGGGCAAGCCTGAACAATGAGGTGGGTGCGATATTTGCATTTCACCGGATGTAATGCGTGCTGACACAGCACAGGTCGAAGACCTCAAGTCGATCCTCATCGAGCAGTCCGACGACGAAGACGAACCAGACTCCGAAACGTCCTTCTCCGCGCAGCATCAGGGCTTCATCTTCGGATACAGCTCCACCAGCGTCGACATGCTGTCTTTACACCCGACGCCGCAGATCGCCCGCATGTTCTGGGACATATACAAGGAGAACGTAGACCCCCTGGTCAAGGTGCTGCACGTACCCACCCTCGAGCCAGTGTTTCTCGAGGCCATTTCAAATCCGGACAAGATACCCAAGTCCCTGGAGCCGCTCATGTTCGCCATATACTACGGTGCTGTCACCAGCATGATGCCCAAGGAATGCACCGAGCAGTGCGGCGAGGATCGGAATACCCTGTTGCATCGATACCGCTTTGGCTTGGAGCAGGGACTTGCGCGCGCAAACTTCCTGTTCTGCGACGAGATGATTATATTGCAGGCGTTTGTTGTGTTTCTGATGCTACTAAGGCGAAACGACGACGCAAGAAAGATATGGACGCTTACTGGACTGGTTGTGCGTATTGCGCAGACGCTGGGAATTCACAGGGACGGCAGCCATTTTGGGCTGAAGCCTTTTGATATCGAGATGCGGAGACGGCTCTGGTGGCAAGTTTGCATTCTCGACGCCCGATCGTCAGAGGATCACGGTTGCGATCCCACGATTGTGGAAGCTCAGTTCGACACCAAGCTGGCAAGTGCGCAATGCTACATATCAGAATTTTCCTGCTGACGAGTGTAGCCCTTGAACGTCTTCGACACAGATATCGACCCTGCCATGACCGACTGGCCGAAGGAGCGACAAGGCTTCACCGACATGACTTTCTGTCTCATCCGTTTCGAAGTGACCAACATCTTCCGGCGTATCCTCTATATCCCTCCTGGCCCGGGACGAGGCAACTACTACTTCTCCAATCTCACCGTAGCCGAAAAGGAGAAGTGGATAAGCGACTGCCATCAACGTCTAGAGGACAAGTATCTGAAAGACTGCGACATGTCCATACCGCTGTGCTGGGTCACTGCGACCATTTCTCGGCTGGTCATGAGCAAGATGTGGCTGATCGTGTATCACCCACATCAACGAAAAGACGGAGGCGCATCGCTACCGCAAGAAACAAAGGACAAGCTGTTCATCACCTCGCTCGAGAATATCGAGTATTCCATCCTCCTGGAGACGGAGGCTCGGACGATGAAATGGGGCTGGCTGTTCCGGACGTATGTACAATGGCACGCCATTGCCTTCCTCCTGTCCGAGCTGTGCGTCCGAACCAAGGGCGAAGCTGTTGACCGTGCTTGGCACGCCCTGGAAGCCACCGCCGGGCGATGGTGGTTCCCACTAGGCGACAACAACCCGCATCGCAAGGGCAAAGTAGGCTGTCTATGGAAGCCGCTGCGCAAGCTTATGGCCAAGGCTCAGAACGCCCGCCAGAAAGAACTCGCTCTTGAGCGGGCAAGCCAAGCGCTGAAGACTGGTGGACCCTTCTACACCGACTTCTCCCAGTTGACGGACCAGCTGAATGCACACGATCTGCGCCAGCCTAATCCTGAGAACTTGGATCGCATGCTTCGTCCCGCGGCGCCGAAACTGGGTGAGATGCCCGTTGCGCAACCACCGACCTGGACAGGAAGCCCTCAATCCGCCCAGTCCGAGTTCTCTTTCTCAGCAGACACGCCGGACAGCTCGCGCAGAACCACACGCGACACGCAGTCGATAAGCGGCGCCACCACCAAGACGGACGCGTCCACCGCCCTCGAGACCTTCAACGCCCTCTCCGAGCACGGCTTCGACTACCTCATGGGCGACATCATGGACGGCCTGGGCACGAATGGCCTCCCCCACAGCACCACCACGACGCCCCCGGCCGCCTTCGCCACGTCCAATCCGCCCATGGATCCCCAGCCTCCGCTCGGCACCGTGCAAAACGGCCAGCAGAACATGTTCAACGGCGCGCCGCTGCCCCTCCAGAACGGCGTGCCCACAGGCTTCAACGCGTTTCCGCAGACACAGAGTCCGCGCTTGATGTCCAACGGTGACAGCCGGAGCAGCAGCGATAGTCCGTTGCTTGACGGCGCGACTATGGATTGGGCAGTGTGGGACGATTTGGTGAATCAGTACGGGATGGAGAATCAGGGGGGCATGGCGACTGCAAATGGGGCGGGGCATTTGGGGATGGTGCATTGGTTTTGAGACCGAGCACGCAGGCAAGGGACGGGAAGATGGATGTGGGATAAAGTGATGATTGTATATAACACGATATATGTTCCTATTTGGGGGTGTTCTCGGGGGTCAGGGAGAAGCGTCGACTCGGCTCTTGTTGCATGTTTTGGGATTTTTGGAGAGACGGGAGCGGAGGGAATGCCTGCTAGGGCATGTGTTATACCCAGGCGTATGAAGTATCATGAGCTCCACTGTATGATTATCGACTTAGATTCTGTTGTCCACGATCTTAACGACGCCTTTTCTTCGCGCAGCTCCGTGTCACATTGAGATGGAATTGCTGCTCCGTGCCCGTTGCGGTGCGCTTAGCGAGTATCGCATGTCGGCAGCGAGGGACGTGGGATGCGGCTCTTGTAGCGCAAAGCCGACGCTATCCTACCATGGGCAGCATCGCGTATCGCGTCACCCTGTGCCATGCATACGAGTCTACCTTGTTGTCTGGACGCTGAGTCGAGATGGCACGTGGGTGGCGTGCTGATAGCTTATCGACACCGCCGTTTTGTACCACCATTGCATCCGCGCAAGGTTGTTGGGTGGGTTGGGCTGGGCTGGGCTGGGTTCCTGGTATTTCCGGTCAAGGGCGTCCGGATGCAGGGAGGAAGTTTCTCACGATTTTTTCTTTTCACGATTCTCTTTCTCGTGGCTTCTCGGCACTGTGACATACGGTGCTGAGAACTACATGGCCCATTGTCGCTAGGAACTGACTGGGACAACCCCACCTCAACGTCCCCCCACATGCCAGCGGGAGAGCCGCTCACGGCCTCGCATCTGCGCACGACAAGGAAGTTGCGCCTTGGAAGGCTTGATCGGGCTAGTGCTGGGCAATTCCCGCATGTACACGTGTGGATGGCGATTCGATATTTGAGGCTGGGGTTCTCACAACCAGCTCCTCGAAGAAGGGTGAAAAAGTGCCTTGAGTCCCAGCAATATTTCCATCAAATATCACGGAGACGCGCAGTAGAGCGGCAACGTTTTCGATTCGCAAAGCAGCCGAGAGGATCTCGTTCGAACGGCTGCTGGCATTTGGAAGAAGGCGAAAGAGCTGGTTGCGTCACAGTATCGGAAGCCGTCGACATCCCCAAACGCATAGCAACGCCTGCAACAGTATCCACGACAACGAAAAATGTCTTCCGCGACACCCACACCCCGCGACGCCGGTCTCCCCGCTCCCGCTACCGCCACACCCTCCCCCCTCCCCTCCTCGTCGTCCACATCGACAACCAAACCAGCCATCCTCCACCTCGGCGACGACATCCGATGGAACCATGCGCTTTACCAAGAGCTGGGGGTGAAGTTCCACATTGAGCGGAGCTATTCCATGGGCAGAGAGGAGTTCAAGGCCGCGCTCAAGGAGAGGCGGTGGGGTGATTTCGTGGGGATGTACCGCCCGTTCTGGAATACGGGTGGTGAGATGGGGAATTGGGACGAGGAGCTTATGTAAGTGAGAAGGCATGGGAGAGATGTGAGATCGAATTCGAGACACGGAGAGGCATGGTGAGCATATGCGCGTTCGTGGCCACGATGCCCTTTCCTTCCCTCGTCTTCTTCCCCCGCGACGACGCTCCCCACACCAGCACCCAGTCCCACCACGCACGACATTCATGTTGCGCATTGACACCGCTAACCACTCCAGATCCCTCCTCCCAGCCTCCTGCAAAATCTACGCCAGCGCCGGGGCCGGCTTCGACTGGGTCGACACCCGCACCCTCGCCGCCCACGGCATCATCTACTGCAACGCTGCCTCCGCGTGCACCGAGTCCGTCGCCGACACCGCCATCTTCCTCCTCCTCGCCACCTACCGCGCCTTCCCTTGGTCCTTCCTCGCCGCCCGCTCCTGCGACCCCGACGCCTTCCACGCCGCAAACCAGAACATCGCCGCCGTCACGCACAATCCCAACGGCAGCGTGCTCGGCATCATTGGCCTGGGCAAAATCGGGTTCCGGCTTGCGCAGAAGGCGATGGTCGCGTTCGAGATGAAGGTCGCGTATCATGATGTTGTGAGGATTGAGGGGAGGGAGCGGGAATTGGGGGACGTGAGGTGGTGTGAGACGTTGGAGGAGCTGTTGGGGATGAGCGATTGCGTGGTGCTGGCCACGCCGTTCGAGGGGCGCGTGCTACTTGGGAAGAAGGAGTTCCAACAGTTCAAGAAGGGGGCTAGACTGGTTAACATTGCAAGAGGCAAGCTTGTCGACGAGGAGGCGTTAGTGGAGGCGCTGGATGAGGGCATTGTTAGTGCGGCAGGCCTGGATGTGCATGCTGATGAGCCGAATGTGAATCCGATTCTCGCCAAGAGAGATAACGTCATGGTTCTGAGTATGTTTGAGGCTGCCTCTGTGCACGTGTCAGGCTTTGCTAATCAGTTGTGCAGGTCATACCGCCGGGGCGAGTGTGGAGAGCCATGTTGGCTTCGAGCGGTTGGGCATGGAGAATTTGATTAGCTACCTCGGGGGTGGACAGGCGCTCACGCCTGTGAATCTAGAATGGATCAAGAAGAAAGATTGAGATGTAGACCCGGATTCTCCTGTCTTACATGGATCATCCAAATAAAAGTTTTCACCCGCTTCTAGTAATCTATCGTAAGAACAGCTGCTTGCCTGAACAGGCCAACACCTACGCATTTAAACCTGATGCACTGCTTCAGTCTCCGGAGAGAAATGAAAAAATGCTGTTTACGTACCCTTGCTCGCTAACAACAGGATCTTGGACGCGAAGCATTTGGCCCACCATTTGATGGATGCTAGTCGTAGGGTCCAACGGTGGTGCTGACTCGGCGTCCTCGGGTAGTGAAGAATCCTCGGATGATGATGTTTGCACGAATTTCCGGGGCAGCGAGTGATCCTAAGGTATAACGACAGCCTCCGCACCGACTTCTATGGCGAGGTTAGTTCGTGGTTTGAATCAATGTAACATGATTTAAAGATAGCAGACTTCACATTTAGGTGGGAAGTTGTTTAAGTCTGACAGTTTACGGGCTTACATTGCACTCGCACTATCAGCAAAACTAGGAAATGCAGTCCTAGACATCCAGAATGTTTATCGACATCTTGAGCAGTCTGAGCGTAGCGAAAAAGTCGAGAACGTAGAGCTTTTGCGGATATGAGCAAGTCAGGATAATGCAAGCAATGTATGTTCATGGTACTGCCATATGCCGCATTCTTGATGGCTGAGAATTTCAGTATTTTTATTTCACCTATGGCTCGTTATCAACGACTACCTCAAAATTCTACTTTCATAGGAGGCCCATGAGCACCTAGGGGCGCTTTTGTTCCGGGGCAGAAGGAGACGCACATCCCCACAAGTCAACACCAGAGGGCGCAAGCAGTGCTGACTGTGACGCCACAAAACAGTACTAGAAAGATTGGGCTAGAACTTTAGAGTCGCTGTCCTTGGAATTTGTTGATCACCCAGGTGAATCTATTTTTACAGACACATGAACATAAGACGTGAATACATTGTATGCTTTTGTACAAACAGTCGCAAACCTTCCAAACGACATATAAGCTCTTCAAGAGGCTAGAATGCTTCCTCAATAACCAAGAGCTGTTTAAAAATACTCTAAGATGTCAGGTAACACCAGCACCCAAGAATGCGACCAGAACAACAAAAACTCCAGGAGAGACAATCAGCAAATCCTACAAGAAACTCTCAGCAGATGAGGCCGCTCTTCGTGACGAAAAGATGATGGAGTCTTTACGGTCTGGCGTTGGCTATCCGAACGAAAGACCCGATGCCAGCTTCCAGCACCATTATCCACATGAATCCACTGCTGAGCAAAGAACAGGTGGATCCCCAAGCAAAAGTTCGCGAACTTCAGTAACTGGTACTGTAGCTCCAGGAAGTGAATACGACAATAGACTCAAGGAGATCAACCTCGCCACCGCAAGCGGTGGCACCATCACTGCTTACGAATGGTACAACGATCCACAAGCCCTCGGTAGGGGTCTTACACCTGCCGAACACAGAGTTATTGCCGACATATACAAGGAGGCGTACAGATATGGGATACAAGCAAAGTCACAAGGAGAACGACCTTGACTGGGAAAAGATGGATGCACACCGCAGAACGATGAATGGAATGGCGGAAGAGCATAGGGATGGCGATGCGGACGATGAGATGGAGAGTGATCCGGAGGAATATCTAGACCGTATAGAGAGCGGAAAGGGGACGCAGGGGGTCCGCCGAGCAATTTACCGATTGACGGCATCGGTATTGGGAGAGTGTGATATTTATCAAAAGGACATGATATTAGAACACTCAATGCGTGAGATTGATGGGCTTGGTCTTAGTTTCAGATAGTGAGCGTACAGCAAGCTGCGATATTTCGAGTTCAAAGGCTGCGGTGTTGCTTCGCAATATCGGCCGTTCAAATTGGCGAGAACAATCAAAGGGTATCTTTGTCTGCTCTGCACATTGTTATGGCCCGCCGTTTACACCGACGCACTCTTGCGGGTACCTTCGCTGTCAATTCTCCGTTCGTACTACAAACGCAGCGTCCCCTTCCGCATTATAAGTCGTCATACCTTCCAACCTCGATATGGCCTATCTTCCTACTGTTACCGTCACAGACTTCGCGATGCCCAGACGGAGAGCCCGCTTCAACATAGGTCTGGAGGACGACACCGTGCCTTCGGTCCACACGCTACGTCACCTTGTGAGCACAGGCATCGAACAGATTCGCGATCTCAAGACCGTTTTGATGACGATTTGGGAACAGGCTGAGGAGATCGAAAGGGCGCTGGATCAGGCGAACGATGCACTTAAGACCATGGATGCAAGGGAGACTGCAAGTCATGAGCGGGAGTCAGCGAGACAAGAGCGCAGAACTGAGACGAACGGAGTGCTGCATTTTCCTGCTCTGCGCAGCCCGCGGGGCACGGAGATGGGGTTTCCAGGGCTGATGTAATTGCACTTCAGTAGCACAAATAGCCGGAAACACGGTACTTTCTCTGATATCCACGTGGCGTGAGCCAACATGCATCTCAATGTGGCATGAACTTTGGCAGTCTGTAGCTCACCCTGGAGTAACACGCGGTCTTGTGAATCAAAGTACCCGCAGTTACGCCTTATGTTCCCAGCTCACCTCTCTTGACACACCATGCTCCTCCTTTCCTCCGCCGTTGCCGACCACCTTTACACTAATCTCAGGCTTATTCACCAGCGTCTGCAGCACGACGCAGTACCGCTCCGTCAGCTTCCCAAGTGACTCCACTTCGCTCTCCGTTACAGGCCCGTTCTCCCGCTCGCCAAACACAACTTCGAACCCCATACGTATCCCCGTTATGCCCACCGGCGCTGTCCGATCCACGCCCATGGTCCCCCTAAAGTCCAAATCACCCTCCGCCGTCACAGTACCCGACTCGATGGGAATGCCGAGTGCCGTAGCAACAGCTTTTAGCGTGACGCCCGCGCAGGCTACAAGTGCATCGAGCAGCATGTCGCCCGAGCACAGCTCGCCCGAGATGCTGGGGTCGTCGCCGCCGGCTTTAGGGTGCAGACCTGCTATGCGCGAGGCCTCTTTGACGGCGGCGCCAGTCGAGAGCTTGCAAGTTATGGACGAGGCATCGAGGCTACCTGTGGATTTGAGCGTGACGAAGGCGGAGGAGGGATCGCTGCGGTAGTTGGCTTTGATGGGGGCTTGCTTTTCGCGGAGTGCGTGGGCGGCGGAGGACATGGTGGGCTGCTGGCGGAACGTGCGATTGAGGATTGGAGACTAGAATCCTGGATCTGGAAAGTTTTGAAGTGTTAGTAGAGAGGGAAATCGTGTCTATTAAGAACTGGAAATTCTTGTTTACAGCTGCCTGTTATGCAGTAGTCAATGCTGGCTCATGGGTACGTAAATTAGTCTACCCCGCAGGGTCCTGTGAGCTCCACTTCTTCGGGCGGCGGGAGGAACGCGCCCTTCATGAAAATGACCTTACAAGCGTGCAGTGTTTGAATGCTCGATGATGGTGTTGAAAGATGTGGGAGCTAGAACATGCACATTTGTTTTTAGAGCCATTTGCCGATGACGTGATGGGCGTGTTGTTCCCCTGAGTCAGCGTCGTTCACGTGACCTTCCACGCTCTGCACGTCTTCCCGTGGACTATAATCGCGTCAGGAGATATACCACAATATGGAACACAGAGAAATATGACCGAACTTCCTTCCGGGCTGCAGAAAACACGATGAAGCACAAAAAAGGTACACTTCCGCAGACCCGCCCGTGCGGATAACGAGCGGATCGCGGAGCGGAGCGCTGATCTTGCCATCATGCCCCGGGCGCTGCTTTTGCCTGAGATAGCCGGTCTCGCTCTAGATCGCCATCCCCTAGTCAATGACATCCATGATGAATAGACATCCCAAACACTCTCCGAGCAATTCTCTCCCCATGGACGTGTACAACATCCCATAATCCAACTCAAAGACAATCAGCAGTGCTCTAATCATCTACAACACCATCCAAGATGTCCAACGGCCAACCCCACGACTTAGAATGCCTCACTATCGACCAACTGGAAAAGATTGCCGCGGACCGCATGGACAAGCAAACACGCGACTACTACAACGAAGGCGCGGACTCCGGCACCACACTCGCTGAAAACAAGCTGGCATACCAGAAGTACCGCATCCGGCCGCGCGTCCTGCGAGATGTGTCTAAGATCGATACCAGCGTCGACATCTTCGGGTTCAAGAATACCATCCCGATGGGCGTCGCGCCGACAGCTATGCAGCGGCTCGCGCACCAGGACGGAGAGCTCGCGACTGCGCGCGCGTGCAGGAAGGCCGGTATCGTTATGGGACTAAGCAGTTTTAGCACGACGAGTTTGGAGGATGTTAAGGGTGCGCTGGGAGAGGAGCATCCTGGGCTATTGCAATTGTATCTTTTTGAGGATCGGGAAGAAAGTAAGAATTTGATTGCGCGGGCGAAGAAAGCTGGGTACAAAGCTGTGGCTTTGACGGTCGACACGCCGATGCTAGGGCGGAGGAATCTCGAGATTAAGAACCAATTCAAGCTTCCGCGGCACTTGAAGTCTGCGAATTTCGATCGTGAGGGCAATAACCATAGCACCACGTCTGAGGAGAAGGAAGCTGAGGCGAACGAGACGCGCAAGCGGACGCAAGAGCAGCAGGCTAGCCGCGCAGGCTATCACGATGGCTCGCAGTGGGTTTCTCCGACTGGACGTATTACCTTCCACTCGCACGCCCCGAATCCGACACTCAACTGGGAGCGAGATATTGACTGGCTGAAGCAGCAGTGCCACCCGGAAATGGAGGTGTGGGTAAAGGGCATCGCTACGGGCGAAGATGCGATTCTTGCATGCCACCACGGCGTCGACGGCATCATTGTGTCAAACCACGGAGGCAGGCAGCTAAACGGGGCGCTGGCTACACTCGATGCGCTTCCAGAAGTCGTTGACGCTGTAAAGTCAATGAATCGCAAGATGCCAGTGCACGTTGATGGTGGCATTCGCCACGGCACGGATGTCTTCAAGGCGCTGGCCCTTGGCGCGGACTTTGTCTGGATAGGGCGGCCGGTGCTGTGGGGTCTGGCATACAAAGGCCAAGAGGGCGTCGATCTGTGCTTGAAGCTTCTCAATGATGAATTCCGACTGTGCATGGGACTTGCGGGCGTAACGAGAGTGGACGAGATTGGCAAAGAATATCTGGCAAAGATTAATCGTGATGGGTTTGTTAGTAAGTTGTGATTGCAATAGCGGCCTGTAAAGGCATTCTTCAACCATCGATTTCGTAGCATAATGGTACCATAATACTCAGGCGTACTACACTCACACTAGTGGATACGTCAACTCAGCCATCGCATCGCGTCATTTTGGCGGTCAGCTTGCCGCGAGTTTTTGCATGCCTACATCAAGATGCTCAAATGGCCTATTTGCAGGGTGTCTGGCTACTTCGTATCCACCTTGCCAATTTCTGTTCCAGCATTGACTCGGTTTGCTTCGAGGCTTGCAGCCTTAGGTCCACAGTGCTCACTGGGTTGGGCAGTTCTGACCACGTTCCATTCCACCCAACCCACCCAACCCACCAATTTCAGCCAGTACTCTGATTTTTCCTTGTTCGTATCTCTTACGGTCCGGTGTAGCCACTGCAGTTCGATATCTGCTGTACCATCCAAACTCACCATTGTAGCTGAACGCGTCATTCTTTGCTGCTGTTGAATTCTCCCTGACGAAGAAGCCCAAAAGTGTCATCGCCAGTATGGCGAAGAGCGAGATTCCGAGATTATACGTCTTGTAGTTGAATTCAAGGGCGATCCGGTCGATTTGCCTATAGCAGTGTAATGCTTCATGAGAAATTGACTAGTGATCCCATGCGCCTTCTGCAAAAGCGGCGTGATGGGTCCTTAAAATGCACGAGCGAGATTAAGGACAGTGTCAGATCAGAATGGCTTTGAGCCTTTGGGATGATGAATGACCAACGTTCTTTAAGTAACGAACACGTCGAAGTAGCTCGTAGGAGAAATCCCAATCACATCTCCACCCCCGGGAACGTAGATCTTCCCATTGAAAGCCACCGCACCTCCGCCATGCCGCGGAACCTTCATCCCAACTAGTGTATTCTGCCGCACAAGAGTTTAGTTTGCATTGCTTGATCCTTTCACTTCCACCAGGATTGGCAGTGTATCGACTTACCCAGCTATCTTGCGCAACGTCATATACTTCAGTGGAATTCCAAACCCCACTCTCGACCTTCAAATTACCCTCACCGCCAAAGGTATAAACCTTCTTCCCGACAATTCCGCACGCCAATCCAGCCCTTGGCGATGGCATGATCCCCTCTGCCACACTCCAACCCTTATTCAGATCATTCAAGTCCAGGACCGGAACAGAAGACTTCCCTGTAAGTTGGCCACGCTCACGGCCACCCAAAACATAGAATCTATGTTCTATGACAGCGCCACAGGCGTGGTCCCGTGTGTCAGGTAGTTGAGCGGCAGCTGCGGGAAGCGCGAGGTAGGCATTGGTCAAGGAATCATAGATGTACACGCTAGAGATGGTAGACTGAGTGTATGGTGACACCAGTTGAATCTCTTTCAAACCTCCTGCAAGAATCACTTTGCCATCCCACACGCCAACGGCCGCACTTCCGACTCCGCCATCCGGTACATCTGCGATCCGCCTCCAACTCCTCGTCTTTGCATCATACCGATACGAATTGGGAATTGCGGTCCAGGACGTGTTTTTCTGCGCAAGCCCGCCGAAGACATACAGCTGGCCGGAGAGAACTGCGGCGTTGGGATGGTTCAGCGGAACAGGCAGGGGTGGAAGCGAAGTCCATTTGCGACGAGTGATAGAATATGACTGAACCAGTGAAGTGGTGCTCTGGGTACCGTTGGTGACGCCGCCAACGAGAACGATGTCGCCTGGTGGTAAAAGGACAGTTGCGTGCTCTTGTCGCGGTGAGATTGGGACGTCGGGCAAACGATGCCATGTCTCAGATAGGACCAATGAGGCGAATGTAGAAAATATCAGAGCTAATGAACGCATATTAGCGGTTGCAAGTCGCTATTCCCAGGAGCCGGGTCGCCGGTCGTAGAGCTGCACTTGCTCCTTTGTACGAATCTGCGAGATATCACTGTGTCGGGGGCCAGTGGAACTAGGCGAGGATAGGAAGGTCAACAACTAAGGAGTCTTGGTATTTATCACGAGCCTACAGAACATGCAGTACTATGCGACCTTCCAGAAAGATAATAATCTGATAGATCTTGGAGATTACTAACTATACAGGAGGTCTAGAATCCAACAATCCTGCCAAACTAGTTTTAGGATTGCAAAGAAAACCCTAAACATCTGAATATGTGGGGAAGGCCGCATTGATGGCCATGTTATTCAGAGCTGGCCTGGAGTCGAGGGTGACGATCATCACGTCAAAATCACATCGGCTATTCGGGACGTATCTCATATCCGACTTTTCATCATGATCGAAAAGCAACATTCGTGATCGCTGTTTTCTACCGAGCGCTAACATATATTTAGAAGTGAGGGGTATTCAAGGCCATGACCATAAGCAAACCCGAGATCAAACCCGCGGAAGGCAATGTAATGACCCAAGATGAGAAGATAAAGGCAACCTGCTTCCAATTGACGGCGCGGACATCAAAGTTGCACAACGCCACACCAACAGTGGCACCAGTGAGGCACTGTGTGGTTGAAACCGGTAAAGCGAGCCTAGAGGCAAGAAGAACGGTTATGGCGGCACCGAGTTCCATGGCGAAACCACGGGTAGGAGAAACTTGAGTGATCTTGTTGCCGAGCGAGCGCATAACGTGGTAGCCATAGAACCAGAAGCCCAAGCCGAGCAGCAGACCAGCAACAACAAGAATCCAAATTGGTGTGTCAGCTTTCGAGGTAACTAAGCCGCTGGTGTATGTGTTGTAGCTGGCTACCCATGGACCGACGGCGTTTGCGACATCGTTGGAACCGTGCGCAATAGACATCATCATTGCCGATGCAACTTGAGCGTAGGTCCACAGATGCTCTACACGGTTGTCGTAGACTATGGCTCGCGCGTGAACAGCACCGAGGTTCTTCTGGGTTACGACATCCCGACTAACTCCCTGGAGCAGGATGAACTTTGTCCAATTCGCGATCTTCTTCGGGGACCACATGGGCAAATCGCGTACAGGCGTTAGCCAACGCTCTTCAGGTTCAGGCGTCGCTGCTACAACGTGCGCGGACAGTCGGTTTTGCTTGGGAATCGACAAGCCACCCTTGGCTCTCTCCGAGGTAGCGTTGCTATCCCCGTCATTGGCATCGATCGCGGTGGATATAGCGTCGCCGTTGGTTTCAGGACCCAAATTCTTGGGTTGATCCTGATCGTCTTTCATATGGGCTTTCTCAATATCGGCAGAGTTGGATTCCACTGAGGTCTTCGCGTAGTAGTCTTTGACGGCTTGGTCTCCTTTTCCGGGCCAATAGATTGGAGGATTTTCTCGGTACAGAAGAGGGCCGAGCGGAATGTGCCAGGCACGCATTCGTGCGTCATTTTTGACAAGTCGACGGTGGAAGTAAGGCACAAAGAAGACGTATGAGAATGCCACAACACCAAACGCGACACCCAGAATAATGCCGGTAACTTTGCCCGCTCCCATCTCTTCCAGCGATTCTCCATTAGGAAGCTCGTCCATGATGAAGAGGGCCAGAACACCTGCAGTGAAGCCAAGGTACCTAGATTTCAGAGTCAGAGTCTGTGGCCATTGAGTTCATCAAGTCATTCGAGTAAAGCAGATGTAGACAAAAGATGTTGTAACGGAAGCACAACAGCAACAACGTACCATGGAATCAGTCTCATTCCCCATTTGAAAGGTTCTTTCCTCTCCAAGACGAGAAATTTCAACGACAAGAACAGAGCCGCTGAGAAGCCAGCCGCGATGAGGGGAGCGATGGCCCAGGAAGCGGCAATCTGACTGAGACTGCCACTTGCCCATGCCCATTTCAAAGGGGTCTGTGCCGCAATACCAGCACCCGCGAGAGCTCCCACTACGGTTTGAGTCGTGCTGTTAGTCTTTGTTAGCGGAATTCGAAGATAAGATTGTATAGTCCATTTACCTGACGGGCATACCCCAGAATGTCGCAATGGTCAAAAACGTCGCACTCCCAACTTCTGCGCATCCCATGACCAACATGAAGGTAGGGGGGTTCGGCTCAAACTTCGACAGTCCAAAAACGCCGCTCTTGATCGTTGAGGTCACTCGAGAACCCAAAGCAACTGCTCCGACGAACTCTGTGATGCATGCCAGGATACCAGCTTGCCACATCTGCAGTGTCCGGGCAGCGACAGACGTAGCGTAAGAGTTGGCAACATCGTTCGCACCATTGGAAGCAGATGAGAACACAAAGGCAATGGTCGTGAGCGCGAGGATCCAGTTGTACTTCTTCAGTGCCGGAGCCATGGTAGACTATTACCCGTGAAAGTTGTGGGATGAACGGTGAGAGCTGCATTACAGTATGCGCATCTCGACTGGTATTAATTCTTGAAAGAATTGGGGGTCCGGCAATGCGGCATCGATTCGATATCCACAACTTGGCGTTGCAGAGAAAGTGGCAACGAGGTCTCGCAGCAGTCAGACATCCAAGCTTGAGCCTCGGAGCTGTTACTTCCACTCATGGTCAATTACGGGGGGCCACATGCGGACTCTGTGGAGTCTGCTGCCATTCTACTGGGGTATAATGGTATCAACATCGCGTCATGGCCTTATTTCTTGTTGTGGATCTCATGGAAAGAAAAAGGAAATTTTGGGTGTCAAACTCGATGCTCGAAAAGACCGTGAAAATCGACGAACGAGAGGTCGCAAACAAGAAACGTGGGCATCGTTTTGAGTCTGTGCCCTTTTCCGAGGGGTGGAGTGCCCAGCAAGTCCGCCTGCTTGGATCGCTTGGCGAAGTCATCCTTCCACCAGCCTGGTCTTGCACCGCCATAACCAAGGCTTGGTCTACGTACTTTGTGGGACTTCTCAGAAACTTTTCGTGGCGGATCACCATACAGTTAACAGTTCTAAAGGAGGTGAAGCACTTGTAATATGCGATTCCCGAAGCTGCTTAATGAACAATGGCCCTCTGCAAGCCCAAAGGCCAACTGGCTCGAACTCATTAAACCTGTTCAACCACCCCAGAACATCTAAGGGGCAACCTAAAAACTTCTTTCTTGGCATGGTTATTGAGGACTTGGGATCACAGCATATGTCATCTGCTAGAACACGAAGAGGTCTCCTAAGTACGCGGGCACCACATGCCGCAAGAAAACCCTCGAGCCTATAATAGGCTCAGCTGTAACATGGTCAATCAGTGCTAACGTTTCGCAACCGCAACTCATCGCAATTCCATCTCTTTCGTGAATGTGATAAAACTTCGCTCAAACAAGGCAACCAACTCAGAATTTGGCTAACATATCAAACGACTGCACTTAGACTGAGTATCGCAAGCTTTTATGATAATACGAGGGCCACGGAAAGGGACTGCAGCTACTCTGACACTATTGTATGGAGCCTTAGCTAGAAATTTGATGTTCAGTCACCTCAGTGAACATTTGGAGATATAAAGGGTGAGTATGGAGGAGCTGATAGATTGCTAGGAAGAAGGGTCTAGCGGTCATGAGAATCAGCTAGACACGAGATTTATGCTGCAAAATTCGTAAGACCTCAATTGTGAATGCGGTAAGCAATCTGAAGAATTAAATACTTACCCCCGTGCAATGGTGGAAGAAAGAGGAGCTCGGCAAGAATGCACGAGATAATCATGGAACTTCCAAAGTGGAGGCTGACGGAGTCCAGACAAGGTTTATGAAGAGACTTCGGGGGTTCAAGTGGGGTGAATTAGAAACCGAGGTCGAGAGTACTAAGGGTTATGTGGTATGTTAGCCTGGCGCAAATTCGACGAAATGCATGGCGAATTAGCGTTCACAAAACAAGTTATCGAGCATAAAGAAATGTTGAAATCTTCGTTGAACATATGCCACCAATGAAATCGTTAAGCACTGGGTGGAGACAGTTTCTTACGTGCTTGTGAGTCTTACATGGTATCGATGATGTAAAGTCAACAAACCAAACCCGATCGCAAGCGCTGAAGAACCACTTCGTACATATATACCGAGCCAAGAAATCTGGATCCGCAATTTTCAACCTCAGTATCCTTCAGTGACTGCTAAATCGAGCGTTCACGCCCTTGAACATCCATCCTTGCTGCTGCATCTGTAGTACATATCTTCGTCTCCTGTACCACTCGCACGTCCGGCATACTCTCGCCGAATTATTGACACTGGCTCCTGGCCGACGGAGCATCTCATCCTGCACGGATCATAAAGGTTACGATCTTCGTATGGGTTCTTCTCTATCTGATATAGGAAGGTGCGCATCTCTTCGCAAAAGTATGCGGTGGCAACGAGGACTCAGTTACGGCAGGCATAGGTGTCAACGGTGTCGTAGCACATCTGCTTTGAGCCTCTCAAGGAGGTGAGCAAGTGTAGTAATAAGAAGCGCTTGCTATAGAGACGACGAGGAAGAATTGCCAGAGGGCCTGTGTATGTGCTTATATTGACTCTGTTCGTCTCTCGCTGCTGCCTTACTGTCATTCGTCTTGGCGAGGCGATGCATGTTCGTGGTATCAACTAGCTTATTTTCAGATGGGAAATCTGACAGCATTTAGCTGCGCTCAGGTACTCGTGGCTGACTCATCACGAGATCTGGGAGCACCCAATCGTGCTTGAGTGCATCGTTCCGGCTCGTATAGGACTACGTGTGTCGTATTGTTCAGAATCCAAACGCTCCGACAGATGTGGTCACTAATTGCGAAACTAATAGAATGGCCAAGCTTATGAAATACTGGCAGCGACTGGAAAGACTATAGAAAATTCTTGGTATGGGTTTGACATTCGGCTTGAACGCTAGAGGTCGTCCGATAAAGAGTTAATGTATCACTTAGTAGTATGGCAAGGATGAAGATCTCACACGATGGTTCGCTTGCCAACAAGCCGACAAACGCGTTCTGTCGAATTACCAGCAACTATCGACCGCCTAGACTAGAGTGGTATGACAACGTAACTCTGCCGATATCCCTAGGTTTAATTTCTTTCTGGTCACGTTGTGCGCTTTTCCGAGGCGAAAGCGGAACATGGTGCACGATTTCGCCTCCCACAAGAGTAAACATAGGTCATTGCATAGGAATAGGCATGTGACTGGATCTGAGTGCAAATGAAGTTGAAGCGTCCATCAATCTTATGTTCACCTGACACCTTATACGCATTTCGCTGTGACAGTGCGACATGGAGCGACGGAGCACGAGTCAGGCTGTGCAATGGAATACACTCTAAGATACTCAGGGAAATCAGTGGTATCGAAAGCTCGAATTTCAAAATTGTCGATTTCTGCGAGTTATAGATAGGAATGCAACGTGAACTAGTCACTTGGGATAAATGTGAGGCTCAGATCTTCATATCGAGTTGGCAAGGAGCCTGCCGGACTTAAGGGCTACCGATCCATCACATCGACCACACCCACTGCTCCTCCTCCTCCTCGATGCCGCCTCACGGGAGCTCCGGATCCATACAGGTGGCTACCACTCTCTCCTTGTGATTGACCAACAATCAAAGAAATCTGCTCATCGGACCTCACAGCAACCGTTAGGCTAGTGTTCACAATCCCAGCATATATTGTCGTTTTCGTCTTTGGCAGCCCCGCAGTCGAAACCGACCCAAGTCACCACCCAGTAAGTACAGTTTGGATGAGAATCAAAATCGGTGCGGCATTGACCGCAATTCTTTTGTCCTTCAGGGTTGACATTGTGCCAAGTGCGACAAATTATTGTCCCGGCTGGAGATCTGGCTGCTTGTATGGCTGACTATCTGGCTGACTATCTGGTTGGCTATCTGGGTCTTCTATGTCAGAGATTGCTGTGGAATTGTTTTTCTGCTTTTAAAATTCTCTTCTGAAACTGGGACAGGTGCGAGCTGAGAGAGAGGCATGCAGAGTTGTATTTTAAAATAACTCTCCTAGCAAACACTCCATCGCGAAACTCACAGTAAACATTCAATATACATTCCCATCTATATTTCATATATGCTTATCGCAGGAGTGTGGAAGTGGTCGAATTTGGCAACAATCAATGTCGCGTGATGTGAAAAAGAAGATATGGGATATTTGGCGTGTGGGATAAGCCCCTTGCAAACAAAGCAAAATCTTAACACATCACCACATGAATCTTCAATGCATATTCAATCTTCAATTGTCTATCTTTCATTCTCCACTAGTAGCAGCTATGCCTAGCACGTCTCCGCATACCTCAGCCCATGCCCAAACTTGAACACAGGATCCTCAGTATCAAACGGCACATCCTCCATGCTCGCCTCCACAGCCGCCATACTCCTTGGTAGATCAAACGGCAGTTTGCCCATAGGCTGCGCTCCATCGACCCCAAACACCACATCAAGGAATGCATCCGGACCCGCTCCAAAGTTCGCCATTAGAGCCTTCGCAGACTCAGCAATCTCGGGGATAGCAGCTGGTCGGTCGAGATACATGTCGACGATGGTAGGCACGGCAGAGTAGATGGCTGCTTGGCGAGCTTTTTCGGTGGCATTATATTCAAGCGAGCCGGCGTGATAATTCTTCTCGAAGCCGCCGGAGCGGGGTTCATAGGGTGCTTGAAGGCGAATGAGGGCGAGGTCAGCTTCCTCGGGCGTGGAGGCGAGGGTGAGGTTGCGGGTTTCGAGGTACTCTGCGTCGATGCCCTCAACATAGAGCTTGATGTTGCTGTCATACTTGAGGGGTAGCATGTCGTCGGTGTTTGTAAGGAGCGTGTATGCCTTCCGCTGGGTTTCGTTGCCGATGCGGCGGAAGTAGGGGTTGCCGACAACCTGGACTGCAGCTTCGACGTCGACGAAGGGGTTGTCAAAGAGACCGAGGGTGAATTTCTCGCGGAGGAGGCGGCGTACTGATACGTCCAGACGTTCCTCGGGGATAACGCCGGATTCTACCAGCTCGATAATGAGTTCTGGTCGTTGCTCGCCCCCGAATTGATCAACGCCTGCATTGAGAATCATGGCTGCGCGCTGAAGCTCAGTCAAGTACTCAACACCCCAGGCACGGGCAGGCATGTCCTGCCCTGCAATCACAGTATCGGTGATAAGTCCCCAGTCACTACAGACAATGCCCTCGAAACCCAATTCACCGCGAAGGAGGTCGGTGATGATGCCCTTGTTAAATGAAAAGCCAACCTCATCGTACTCAGTACCAATCGGGCGTGAGTAGTAAGGCATCATCTGACGGGCACCTGCCGCGATAGCCGCCTTGAACGGAATAAGATGGTATTCGAGGTTGTTGCCGGGATAAGTCTGGTTCTTGCCGTATGTGAAGTGGCTATCTTCTCCATTCTCCATGGGTCCGCCGCCTGGGAAATGCTTGGTTATAGTCGAAACCGAGTGAATACCGAGCTCTTTACCTTGGAATCCCTTAAGATAAGCGACGACAAGTTCAGCTGTCAGGTTAGCGTCCTCGCCCATCGTGTTTCCAATGCGGGCCCACCGCGGCTCAGTGACAAGATCTATCTGTGGATGTAACGCGGTCCGGATGCCAATCGCCATGTATTCCTCGCGTGCAATCTCGGCGAACTTTTGCACGAGCTCCGCATCTCGCAGAGCAGCAAGGCCCAGACTTTCCGGCCACTGAGAGAACTGGTTCGCCGCAAAACCAGTTCCGATGTTTTCTGTGAAGGCATGTCTTGGGTCGGAGCTCAATGTGATCGGTATTCCAAGCCTGGTTTGGAGCGCGCGCTCCTGGATACGGTTGTACCACTCGGCCGTCATCCGAACGTCGACAACGTTTCCCACGAGATTGAAGTGTGTCATGAGCTTCTCGCCGATCATGTTTTCACTGCTGTTGCGGCGTGCTGTAACGTTTCCGGGATCCAGAGTACCGTTGGGACCCATCTGCATCTGAAGATGAAAAAGCTGTCCTGCCTTCTCGGGTACCGTCATCCTCTGGAGGAGATCCTCCACTCGATCTTCGACACATAATGATACATCCCGGTACGGGAGAGTTTCATTTTCGGACCGTACCATCAACGAGTGTGCAGGGACTTTGGAAATTGGCTCTGGTCTTGCCGAAACTTGAGCAGTGAAAGTAGCGGTAAAGAGCAACGAGAGTAAGGCCTTTCGGCGCCATCTTGAAAGATCTCTCATCATCGTCGTAGAAAAGTGACGGTCCTTGTAGGGCTCATCTGATACAATCCTCACGATCTGTCCGCCTTTTATAGTCTTCGGGCAACTGGTTCCAACTGTCAACTCCCCACATTCTCCCACATTCTCCCCATCGGACACGCATCTTCACCGCATCGATTCGCCATCGGCAGTTCCCCCGGTGGCTAACAGACCTTGAAAAACAAGCCCAGGGTCGTGACGGCAGTGGAATAACGATGGCGCCAAGGTGCCAAGTGTGGAGAAACTGGAGGAGAACCTTCCGGATGTGGACACAAGCAAAGTCGAAGATGCCGACGTTTACCCCATTGGCCATAGAAACTGGAGTAGCGGGGCGGAAAGACCTCGGACGGTATGGCCTACAACGATGATGCAGACTTGGATGGACCATGGCGGCCCGAGAATCTGTCGTCCAAGTGCAAAATCAGCACGTGCATGCTAAGAAGTTTCGGCCGAGGTCATTTCAGCACACCTGTTTTGCAGGTGGCTACCGTGACTGGGCTGGGAATGTATGCACGTACAAGTTGCAAGCAGACGTGTGGGTTTAGAAAAGAGGCTCGTGCAATAGGGGATACGCAACGGCGAGCTAGGAGGGTCGACACTGTGTAGGCAGAGACTGATGCCTGTACCGAGGCGTAAAAGTTGAGATTGCTTTGCCGTGAAGCAGTCCTATTGTTTACCAGGGGTACTGCGTCTAATGATGTGGGGGCCATCATCTCACGATGTTTGCAGTCGGTATGGATAATCCAACAGCAAGTGCCTCGTGGAGCGTTCCCATGTTATTTGGAACTTGTTAACGTTCATGCTTGTAGAAATCGTCACTGCACGGTTCGCTACCGCGAAGCGCGATAACGCATTGGTCTTGGGGGCTACGATTCACCGCCTCGCAACGTTTCCTTCATCCCAGTATCGTACTACGCAATGGGCACTTGCCAGTCCGCAGCGCGATAGTTCTTTGGCCACACGCCATTTTTACCGGGTGCCAGGATGCCCTTTGGATCGAGCGCATTCTTGATGATCTCGTTGAGTTTCATGTTGGCGTTGTTGTTGAAGCTGTATGTGGCGGCGATCTGGTCCATCATGGCGAGATGCGTGCGATACTCGCCATAACCTTTTGCAGCAGCCTCTTCGATCATCTCCTTCATCATCTTGTGTGCACGGCGTCGACTTTCAGCGTCTTTGCGATCGTAGACAATGCACACAATATGGTGCATCTCGCGCATGCCGACGACAAAAGTCCCTATGAAGTCGAAGCCGTACTTCTCGGATAGCTGACGTGTCATATTGTACTGGGCCTCAGCATCGTCGCCTGTAACAGGCGCGATGGGTGAGAAGAACAGGTGGCCACCGTGGGGCAGCCAGTCCACCCAATTCAGCTCCGTCACTGATGGGATACCCTGCAGAGTGTTTTGCCGGGTCTGCAAGACGATGTTGTTGGGCTGGTCCTCGGGGAAGAAGAATTTGGCACCAGGGATGGCTGAGAAGGCGCTCTTAACGGCTTGCCACATAACGTCACGGACAGGTTCCGGTCCGTACAGAGCGCCATAAAAATTCCAGCGCCCAAGGTCGAGCTTTGAAGCGATGGCGTTAAGCTCATCGTCCGTCAAGGGTTTGTCGGATTTGCTGTAGTCGGTGCGGTGGCCCATGACGGCCGCATCCAGTAGAATGTGTCGTAAGGTCGGCACATTCTGTAAAACCATGTTGACTCGCAGGGGACGGATAATCTCAACTGCTTGGTGCAGATCACTGTCCTTGGGAAGCGTGATAAGGTAACTTTGGTACCCAGTAGCTTTCATCAGCCAGATGCCCATCTTTACAACGATGCCAACAGAACCTTGGGAAAAGATGCCGTCGTTATACGGACCAAACCCATAGTTGAATAGTTGCCAGCTTTCGTTTGGTTCTTGTTCGTGAATCGGTTTGCTTGTGTCAGCCTTGGGGTTGGGAAGTGCGCCCATGCCGGTTCTGACCAGTTCTCCTGATGGCAAGACAACCTCCAAGCCGCAGTGCATCATCCAATGATCGCCGTAGCTGAAGAATTTGTGTCAGCATAATATCCAGACGACTAGGGGGGAAGGGTGAGCTTCACGGTGTATATCCCACGCCTCGTTCAATGGTGTTGCCAATCACAGAGCCACCGCCTAGATCCGGCACGTCGATCCACACCTGATCCCGAAGGTTATTCTTGACTAAGTGATCGTGTAGGTCAAAAAATGTAACTCCCGGTTCGACCAGCGCGTACGCACCCTCGACGTCCACCTTAAGCACACGGTTCATATGTCTACCCATGTCGAGACCGACGCTGCCAGGTACACGAGGCGCAGCACCACCGTAACCCACATTTCGCCCAATGCTAAATGGCCAAACCGGGATCTCGAACTCATTGGCCAACTTCATCAACTCTTGTACTTCGCCAACCCCGCGTGGCGCAACGACCGCCGAACAAACGAAGTACGTCTTGTCGGCAATGTTGAACATGTCATGAGCTTTGCTCGGTTCAAGATAAGACTCTTGCGAGAGTTCTGCCTCATCCGAGATCACGGTTACGTTTGCAGAGCCCACAATTTTGGCCGCCTCCAATGCATAGTTTTTGAACGTCTGCGAGGTCGTATTTGGTGGCAAGACCAACGGATCGCTGGATTGCCGAGGTACTGAACCTTGAGGTTGACGGTAGGCCCCAGGATGGGTGGTGCCCCCGACTTGGTCTTCCGGGGCGAAATTATTGGTGTCCTCCGATTTGTTGTGCATTTTGGTGATGTGACGAGGGAGATGATCAGCAGGGCTTCGTCTTTCCTGAAATACGGGATTATTGAAAAAATGGCATTCGTATTCTTATATCATGGCCAGATTGATCCACCACCCGAGAGTGAGGACCCTTTCCGGAGCCCCATTGATCTGCCGTCGCGGGGTAAGATTCATGATCCAACCAACATGAGACTAATACATCCCCGCACGAGACTCGGCAATAGTGACCTTACAGCGGAACATTTTCGAAATTCTAGTTACGGCGTAGCAGAATTAGCACTTGGCACCTTTGGACCGGAATCGCGGTGCTTGATAGAGTTGAATAGACTACCGGACGACACTTCATCGTCGACCTTCGTCAGATGGTGGAAGACGAGACCGGAGTCGATGCCGACGACAACGGGTGCGGTCACTCCAGCTCGCGCTTAAACGTTGGCACAAGATCTTGCTAGAGCTGCCGGTAGATTCTCTGGGACTCCGTTCCTGCACTGCTCGCGGTGCTATCAATGGCCATGCGTAGGGGCATCTACAGTATTGAAGCGATGTACGCAGGCGTTCCCGCCAATTACCTCCGCAACCGAGCGATCAGGATCCCCGAGGGCGCCGCAGCTCAAGTAGGGTATGATGCTGAAAGCGAAGATCGAGTGAGCGCACATACTGACCACACCTGGGCAATGTAGTAGCAGAAGGAAAGACGACCTCGCTTCCCAAGGTACCGTATTCTTCGTGCGCCAAGGCTCCAAACTTCAACGTGACGTTTCATCCCAACACGAAAACAAAAGTGCAATGAAAGGCATTCTATTCTCGTCTCCTGCCCTACGGTTCTTCGAGTCATCACTGTTCCGGCCCACATCGAGATGCGGCTGAAGATGGACGAGGCTGGCGTAAGGCTCCCCACCATCCCCTAAAGAGTCTCAGCCTTGCCGCATTCAGCAACCTATGTTCACTACCACCATTGGCCCAAGCTGAATTAACTCCACGTGGCTAGGCCATCGAATCGCACAACGACATACGCGATAAACAACATCGTGCCCTCGCGTGCTCCGAATGCGCTACTGCGCGTGTGTACACCAGTGTGCTGGGCGCCGAGGGTCCGCTACAATGATCGCGCGCACACTGCGTAAGGCGAGGCCGGCGGCGCGAAACACTACAGCTGTACATGTGTCGCTAATATCACTGCAGTGGGTCGGAAGTGGTCGAGATGCGCTCATCGCATGATTTTGCTGGGCTCCGGCTTTGGAGGCGCTGCTGAGATGGGAAGGTAGTCTTGTTGACGTGGTTGTGAGATTGCTGATGCGAGATATGTGCTTTGCTCTGGATTCGGTGAGCGAGCGCGCAATCAGCTTTATGAACGCTGTGTCCATCCTCCCAGCTACAGTCAGATACCCACTTGGGTTTTGAGTATACACGGCCGGCCTGTTCGTCGCATACAAAACTGCGCCGCTTGTCTGCGTCCAGTGTGTATTGTTCATATTCTGTTCCGACATGAGGATCTTTACCTACGAAGCATGGGGAGTACCTCAATCTGGGTTCGACCCCAACTTCACATTTGTTCGCTCGCACTTCGTCTCACCAGTCGTCCTCGCCTGCATTCGCGCCGTACTATGTCTGTACAGCTTCACTACAATCATCACATGCTACACCTGGCTCGCCCATAGAACCGCAACCGTCAATTTGAAAGATGTCAACATCGATTCCTACACCATCCACCAAGGCGAAGCTGCTATCGGTCAATCCTTCAGTTTCTTCACATACCTTACTTTCTGGTGTCTGGTGAGTGCAGAACACTTCTCACGCTCTTCACGCGCGACACCCGCTAATACCTGAAAACAGGGCTTCTACTTCTTCATCTCCGCCTTCCATACTTTTACATATGTATTCCGCCGCACAAGCTATCTCCACACATGGCTGCGCCCACTTCAACTCCTGCACACCCTCTACTACACTACCATAACCACCTTCCCCTTCCTCGTCACCATCGTCTTCTGGGGAACCATGAACTCGGGCTGGCCAGCGGGCCGTTTCGAACAATGGATCAACATCAGCGTACACGGGCTCAACAGTGTGTTCGCCATCGTCGAGATTGTCCTACCAGCGACTGACCCGCAGCCTTGGAACCACCTCTCCGTGGTGCTGCTGGTGCTGTCGGTTTATCTTGGGCTCGCCTACTTAACGAGGGGCACGCAGGAGTTTTACGTGTATGAGTGGATGAATCCAGCGCATGGGTGGCGGAGTATCGTGCTGCATGTCGTGGGGTATGCGGCAGGGATGATAGCGTTGTTTGTGCTGGCGAGGTATATGGTAGTAGCGAGGAATTTGGTTGCGAAAAGCACTGGAGTTTGGAAGGAGGAGGAGGCAGAGAAGGAGGGTAAGCTTGATGATGCGTCGGATTCTGAGTCGAGTGAGGTTGCAAGCGTGGTGCGGAAGGAGAGAACGCGGGTATCGGTGTCCGATGTATAGATGAAGTATCTTTGGAATCGATTGTCTCTTCCATAACCATTGATATGGTGTCATGCAAAGCGCATAATCGCACAGCAACGCATGAGCGTGGTGACCCTAAACTTCTAGGGAAGACACTTCTGGCCCCTTGATAAATCACCCGCTAAGATTTTGTTGAATTTCACCTGGGAACGAGGAATCTCAATTGCATTGTATCTAATACTGAGATTCGGAAGGAACCTACTACTTTAGACATTTGCTTCAGCATGGAAGTATCAATCCGATGCTTAGACCACAGATATCGAGATAAATTGAACGAGAGTAATTGACTGCAGTCCGGGGCAAGTTGACAAAGTAGCTTCCTCTATACAGGGTGATCATGTCGCCTTCCATTTAGCCACTGGAATGTTTCAGCTTCATGTGCAACATGCTTACAGATCCGGCAGCAATGACTTACACAACTCCTGGCGGTTCGAATCGTTCTTCGCGAATTTATACCATTGTGTGAAGCCTGCCTTGAGAAGTGCAAGTTGTTATCCAGTATGCGAAGCCAGATACTCTGCATACATACTTGCGAAGATGGGTGTGCGACTAACGCTCTCGGAGCAATGTATGATTATGAGAGGTTTGTCGAGTAGCGTGGTGAATTCCGGCTTCTTCATGAGCCCTTCCCAGTTTCTGTGGTACGTAAAGTAAGCGCACTGGAAAGGACACAGGGAAAGGGCTAGGAGCGGACTCACCTCTGACTTTGGCCCTTGTCATTTGTCCAATAGCCCAGCTCCCTGAGTTTCGAATCTCCAAAACCACTCAGCTTCCAATGCTTAGCATTTGGTACTTGAAATGCCGTCACGTTATCAGGAACGGATGTGCACAATCTATCAGCAGATGCCATGGATGACATTCACGTATGATGACTCACTCGACCTCAAGTCCAACATACAAACTTTTCCTTGTACTTTGTATCTTACATCAGGATTTTGAGCTTCTCTGGAGTGACGCAGAATCCGGTTGTTAGTGAGCAGCTGAGACGCCTCAAGGTTTTTCTCGATCTTCGTCTCCTCGGATCCATAGTGTTTCCGCATCAGTCTGCCCTCCGATAGACTGGTATTCGACAATTTACTATTGATCATGCTGAAAGTGGGTGATTCCCCGGTAGTTGGTAATTTTTCGTCTTTGCGTCCGGTATGGACGGCTCAGTCTTTCCCGATCCGGTTCCAGGAGACCGCGAATCAATTCAAGAGCTATGTCAGCCCAAATGGTCTGCTGACGAAAGCATAGTATGACATTAAAGACAACCTACTATGATTTGATGTCACTGTGCAGTCGCTTCTTGTGGCAGCTACAGAGTGTATCATTCAAGCATTTAAAGTGCAGATGATGTGCTGATAGGCTATTGCTGTGCACATGAGGAATCGCAACAACAACCAGAGCTACAACGAAGCGCAGTTCGAGGTCATGAACCTATTAGATAGCTGACTATTTACTCCGATCAGTTGTCTACTGCCTTAAAAGCCAAGGTTCAGGGCCTGATTGAAGCGAGAAGTGACGGAGCTACTATACAGTGCGACATGCAAAAGAGCAACAACTTCACCGATCATCGTCAGCACCACGCCGATCCATACAAAATTCGCACCTGAATTTATGACCACGTTACCAAACGTCAGACAATTGAGACAACAATAAAGCCAACGAGTATTGACAGCACAATACTTGATGGGGTTGTACCTGTACTTGCCCGGTTCACTCCGGAGCTAGCAGGTGATTTCTACTCTGCTGGTCATTCGGTATGCGCAGACGGCAACAAAGACGACGCCCATTTTGATGTGACTATGAGGGTTGCCTTGAACTGATATAGAGTAGCCGCGCTTGCCACGGAACTCTCGGACCCGCTCTTACATGGTCTCAACAAACCGCTGTATTCGGCATCCCATAGTGTAGCGCTCATACTTGAACAGACGAAAGCGTTGATGGTGAACCGCACGCTGGGTCAGCTAAAGCACAGTCCGAGGGTCATCGTAAGTTCCAGAGCTTGAGTGTGAATGTCCATCAACTGACCATGTACCAGCCGGGTGATAAATCTGTTGAAGTTGATTTCGAAGCCATCGCCAGTCTCAATATAGCCGACAGAGCATCCTTTCGTTTTGCACTCTTCGCTGAGGGCTCCGACAAAGAGCTCGCCCGAAGCCCGTGGTCCGAATTCATCGAGATCCAAAAGGAGGCAGAGATACCACAGATGTACATAAGAGACGGTTTCGCGCAGAGGAAGACAGTACGAAAGATTTGGACAAAGACATTCGCTGAGAACGACACTGATGGGCATCTTGTCACTACGATAAAGGGTTACGGAGTAATGACGTTTCCTAAGGCCGAGCACACCGCGCAGGATTAGCGAGCGTTCTGCGAAGAGTTAAATGAAGTTTTCATTGAGGAAGTATTCTCTGGGCATCGGAAAGTTCTTCCTGCGTATATGTCGAGCATCAGCGGAATAGGCTGTAGTGTATGGAGCATGAACGAAACATCCACAACACAATGGCCCGCCGATAAAAACAGCCAATAGCTTCCCAGTACTAGTCCTCCCAAATGTCAATCCCGACTGCGAGTTTGAATGGTAGCACCGGTCATGAGTAGCCTCGCTCGCTCCGTCTTTGTCACTAATATCCATCTAGACATACATTCGAAATGAATAGCATCATGGGATTTGACTAAGGTGGCATATACTGCATTCTAAGCGGAGAATTTTGTTGTATAGAGTCGGTTCTCTCATCATATTCAGATAACCAAAGTCGGACTATTGGTCACTGTGCAATAGCATGCATTGCTCGCACTCAACGCAATCCGCTTCATTCCATCGCAATTACAACTTGCCGCCCTCAACCGGCACCTCAACTACCTGATCCAGCCCCTCATACTTCGGAACGTCCAACCCATACTTCTCCGCCACCTCCGGACCCAAGAACCTTCCTCCCAAGAAATGCCGTCCCTTGAACCATTTCACCAGGGGCTTCGGCGCCGTCAAGCTAATCAGCGCCTCGGGCATAAACCCCTTTCCCGGTCCCTCACTCGGTGGCCCATCCTCGATATTCCAGCTACTCGGCGCATCGACCGCCAGCACCGGGATCTTGGTGTCACGCAGGGCTTCAATCACGCTGGGGAACGGCTCGCGTACCTCGCCTGAGAAAGAGAAGCCGAAGATGGCGTCAACAATGTGATCTGCGGATTTCAGCGCAGAGGGGAAGTCGTCGGTGAAGGGGACTTTGAGGTCTTGGAGCTGCTTTTTGAGGCGCTGGTAAAGGTCGTTCTTGGATTGCTTGGGGTAGTAGATGGTGGGTTGGTAGCCATAGTGGAAGAGGTGACGGGCTGCGACCAGACCGTCGCCGCCATTGTTGCCAGGTCCGCAGGCAACGAGAATGCGCTTGCCCTTGCTGAGGGGTTGGAGTTTGAAGACTGCACACGAGTTAGGTTGGGGGTCCCGTGTGGTGACGAATTGAAATAGATTGTAATGTTCTCAGCGTAAAACGGGTGTGGAACGTACCGGCTTGTGAGACAGAAAGTCCAGCAAGCTCCATCAGTTGATCGATTGAGAATGCTCCTGTTGACATGAGCTCTTGGTCGAGTGCTGCGGCGCTCTTCGCGGAGAGTGTCTATTCAGATTAGTAGCTAGATCTTGATCGCATCGAGCCGACTCACTCGCAAGGCCATGGTTTTAGATGTGTTCTACTCAAGATTTGATTCTGAAGAGTGGTATGTTGAGGAGGTGTATCGGCGAAGAGCAAGGTGATGCAATTACATCACCCCATCCCATCCCATCGCCGAGCGTCCAAGCAGGCAGTCGTCGGTCAAAACCTCCTTTATGGACCCAGCCACAGACAAGTAGCTGTAGCTGCATTCATCCCAGCAAGACCAGTCCAAGCAGACTTCAGACTAGCTACGCGTTGCCATCCATTTATCTTCTGTGGTTGCCGCCCCATCACGTGCCCTCCTCCAGGCCGGCTCATCCTCGGCCCAAAAAGTTACGCTCTAAACCACCGCAACCTCGACCCTCGACCCTCCCATCAGCCAACAGCCACAATGGTCCTCCGCATACGGCTCGCCCGCTTCGGCAAGAAGCACTCGCCCTTCTACAACATTGTCGTTGCGCACGCTCGGTACGTCCGCCCACGCAACCCAGTCGCCCGATCCCCGACTCCCATTCCCATCGCTTCCCTACGTGATCCCCAATCCGCGCACCTCCTGCTTGTCCCACCCACCCTACCGCCTTACCTACAGCTCACTAATACCCTCTTAGCACGGCGCGCAACTCCCGCCCCCTCGAAGTTCTAGGCACCTACGATCCGACGCCCAAACCCCCGAGGCCGGGCGACACGAACGGCCGCCCGTGGAAAGACATCAAATTGGACGTGTCGCGCGCGCGGTACTGGGTCGGCGTGGGCGCGCAGCCGAGCGACACCGCGTGGCGGCTGCTGAGCATGGTGGGCATCCTGGAGCCGCAGTTCCGAGTCGGGCAGATACAGGGGAAGGTCGTGCGCGCGGAGACGGCGGCGAAGAGCCTCATCACGCCGAAAGAGGGCGAGGCGTGATCACGATAGGATAAGAGATGGGAGATATGGTGCTCAGGGAGCTGTGTCAGGGCGCGTGAAGATGGAACATGGGAGGACGAGGAGGTGGAGAGAAAAGCTCGATTGTCGAGGAGTCTGGGACGACCTATTCCCTCGCTGGAAGCCCGACGCCGCTGCTCACCCACCACACCGTCGAAGGCTCACCGACGACGGAGCCCGCAAAAGGCGAGCGATGTATGTTTATTGTACTGCATATACCAGGCGTTAAGACCAAACCCAAAGCAAGGAGGAAATGTAAACGTAGATGCGATTGCGACTTGTAACATAGTGTACATTTCAAATGTACAATCTAGATGTTATTCTTTCCGCCGAGCCCCGGAACCAATGCCATGCACCAGATACGCTAAGTCAAACCCAAGCCGAACCAACGCCTCGAAATGCCGCTCTCAAAGCCGATGTACGAATGCTTCGTGGAACCATATTCAGTGTGCGGCCACCAGAAATGTGTTCGTCACAAGACAAGTTACCATAACGCATGCCCCATAAATTGCGAGCGCCAGACTCAACTGCCTCAGCAAACCCCTCCTCCAGTTCCGGCTCTTGTGCGCATCGCTCATGACGTAGCCCTCCGCATCTGCGCTGCCAAACTCATCCTCGTCATCCTCATCCTTGACGAGGCGCTGGTGATGCGCCGAATCCGGATCCGAGATCTTGTAGTAGAACAGCCCGGGCAGGATAAACGAGATGGTGGTGGAGCCGGTCGAGCCAACATACGCGAGGACCTTCTCGAGTGACGAGACGGTCATGGCAGTAATGAAGGAAAGCACGATGAGCACAGTAGATATCACCGCGAAGCGGAGGTCACCCATCTCCTGGGGCTTGCTGCCGCGGGGGGCGCCAGCGATAAGGGTGTTTCTGCTAGGGCTGTCTTCACCCTGTGGTCTGCGTTGTGGGCGCCACTTCAGACATGCGTCGATGCTAGCGCGGCAAGGATGGATCTGGAGGGGGTAGGAGAACATGACGAGAATAACGATGGCCAGGCGACCAATGGTCGAGGCGGCAGCAGCGGGGTACATGTTGACGATGTTGCCTGTGATGTTGTCGCCGTATGAGAGGTATCCCGTGATGCCGGTGAGTATGTACAGGGCGCAGGCAGAACCAATGGAGGCGAAAATTACGGATGTTGTGCGGAAATGAGAGTTATCTGCTATCTCGTTGAGGATAGAGAACATCTGCAAAGATCAGTACAATTTCTAAAGCTGCACTTCTCGGTAAGTCTGGCGGGAGGCTTACATTTTGGTGGCAGGTATATGCAAAAACAATTACAGGGAAGGCAGCGAGTGCTGACACTGGGCCAGACCACCGGAAGACCCTGACAGGCCCTCGTTCAGAAAGCGTATCTCCCTTGATGTAGTGTGCGACTACGAGGATTACTAGATATGCGATGGAGAAAAGAGCAATGATGCTCGTGTATTTGAGAGAATCCAAACGTCGGAGGAACGAGAGTGGTATAACGATAAGCCTGCACACGTTAGCATGCACAGCGGATATGACATGGAAGATTCTCACATGAAGGCGGTGATCCAGAACTGTCGGTCCACCAAGAATGATATCTCTCCAGCCTGTGGCGCAAATCCCTCGACCACTCTGGGCATAAGATCCCCGATAATGATGAGGTAGCTCACAGCTACGCCAAAACATTTCACAGCGATGGCGGCGTCGAAGAGAATGGATAGGTTCGGATACGTCAGTTGCGACAGGGCCGCAAACGAGACATGGCCACGGTCTATGTAACGTGCGCATCGCGTCTGGAGGTACAGACCAAAGCCAGCGGTCAAGCCGGCCCATGCGATGACGAATATCCCCAGAAAAATGCCCATCTTGGAGAGCGCAGAGGGCATGGCAAGCAGGCCAGCACCCAGGACTACAAATTGTCAGCCTAAATGATTGTGCGCCCGTGAAGCTGGGCCATACTGGTGTTGACCAAGTTGATAACGCTCGATATCCATGTTGCCTGGCCGTGGTGTCCCGTCAACGTCTTCCCTCTCCCGCGCCTGCGCCAGTCAGCAAAATACTCCCGCACATTCATCCCATATTGTCTCTGACCTCCTCCCTCGCAGCGAGCCAGTGCTCGAAGACATGGGGTCCGTGTCGGTCGGCTCAGGACCGATGGCCGAGTATCCAGCCATGCTGCCCGAAAAGCCTGCGTCTAGTCGTATTGCGCAATCATGCGACGGCGTCGACGTCGGTCGCTTGGGGGAGGATATGGGACGAGCAGCGTGCTCCTCGGGTCGGAGGTGTGTGACTGAATTAAAGGACACACGGGCACGAGCGCATCTCCGCAGGCAGGTGCTCGTGCTGACGTTGGGGCAAGCGCAATGGGCCCCGCTTGGCACGCCAGGAACAGCAGCCGCGCGAGTGTTCACCGCCGTTATCCGCCAGGAACGCGCCTAGTAAACATCGTGTAAACACCGTTCCCCGCGCATATCGAGACGCCATGGACGAGTATGAGGAGGCGGTTCTATTCACGTTTGCACTGCTGGAGTCGCGCCTGAGCCGATTGGAATACATTCTGGGCAGCAAGAGGGAGGGCGAGGAGAAAGCCAAGACGGTGCCCGAGCGTATCCACAAGATCGAGAGGTCGCTACAGGAGCTGTCGGCCAAGACAGGCCTGCTCAGCGATGCACAGCAGTTGTGTAGGTATCGACTGCAATCGAGGAAAAGAGAACGGAGCTAACGGCTGGTAGTGACCAAGCACAAGGACATCCTGAAGCCGGAGCACGAGGAGGGAGATGCACCGCTTGACATGGAGGAAAAGGCGGTCATGGTCGTCGAGCGCGCGCCTCAATTCGCTACCACAGCGTCGCAGTTAAAGACGTTGGACGACCAGCAGATACCGTCAACCGACGGCTTTACAAAGCTCGCTAAGCTTCTGCCTCGCATCGCTGAAGCCGAAGATCGCCACCTGCAACAAGCGCTACAGATATCAATGCTGAGGAAAAAGAATGGTCTACTGGTACAGCGCGTCAAGCAGGTGCAGTTCCTCGGTTCCGCTCGCTGCTGGACTGAGTGGCAGGGCCGGCTGCAGAACGTCCAGAAGAATATTGCCCGCATTGAGTTCAAGCACAAGCAGGAGGAAGAGGATGCTATGTGAAGGGGAAACGAGAACTTGGATGTTTCTGCTACGTCTGACAGGCGACATAGCGACGAGCCTAGCGGCTAGGGAGCAGTATCTGGAATGCAGTCTACGATGATTGGGAAGGCAGGCGGATCTGCTCAGTTCCGTTATATCACCCCGCAGTATGAACGTCACAGTCAAGGTTAAGCAGGATACTGGCAGATGGCAGCCGTTTCACGCCAGTCAGGCCTGCAGTCTGCTCGAGAGAGAAAGCATGTCTCTCAAAGCAAAATGGACGCCTCGTGGGCGTGTGACAGCTTGGCTCCGGGGTTCCCAGGAGGAGTCCAGAACCACTTCTGGTTGCCAAAGGGTTCCTTGACCGATGTTGCTCAAAGAAGCTTGTACCGAAATCTGGATGGAAGACACGGGACTCGACTACGAAACTGGGTGTTTAGAATTGGAGGCGTGAATCAAGCGAGATGGGGAGGTAATCATATCGCGATCGATAATGGATGTATTAGTCTGGAAATTTGCTCATTCAAGCGAATAACTTGTCTGGAGAGCATTATTTTCAAGCCTGGCAGCCAAGGCAGGTGCGCACCCCTGCAACGCATCGAGTGGGGAGCGTCAGCATATCCATATTACCTCACATGAGTAACCTGGAACGATTGACTACTGCGGGGAAGAGGCGACGGTATGACGAGAAAGGTCTTGGTGGGCAATCGTTGCATGTCATTTTCAAAAGCTCACCACCGTCTCGTGAAAGGCGCAACTCTGTCGTGACGGGGGGGACTGCTTCACGGCACGAGCAAGCGAGCGAGAAACACAAGACGTGTATGATGGTCATGGTAAGCGCCGGCGCGTCAAGAGCACTTGGTGACGATGTGCCATGTGGTGTGCAGCGCTCGGTGTCGGTCGGTGCCTGTTTCATCGCTGTCTCAGGCACAATGTCCATGGCATGGATCGCCAACGACGTGCATGCAGCAGCGACAACCCCGCACAGCGAACACCTGCACGCGCTGGCTCACGTGGTCGCAGCGTACCGACAGCGGGCACAACTACGCCCAGCGTGCAGGCGCGGGACACGGCCACGCTTGGAGATGAGCCTCACACCGAGTCTGCAAACCCGGGATGGACCAACGCGCGCGCCCCCGGGTGCAACGTCTGGATGCGCGGTGTAGCGGAGCAGAGGCGTGACACGTACACGGCGAGGCGCGCGCATTGGGTTGCGTGGGACAGGCACCGCAGGCGGAACGTCGCGCGAGGGCAGCAGAAGTCGTTAGAGTTTGTCGTAGGGAACCCCCGAGGGCAGCAGCTAGCGCATGAGAGGACAGCCAGCGCTGCGGGAGGCAATTTAGCCAGGCACATTGCCACCACCGAGGGCCCGAGATGAGCGCGCAAATTGGTGCTGAGGACGCCGGCATCCATGTGTGCCCGCCTGTGACGCGTCGGTCGTGCGCTGGCGCAGTGCACGGCGGCTTCGTCGGTCGCGGTGGAGCCTGCGGGCAACGGCAGGCTAGGGCTGACGGTGGAGCACAGGGCGCTGCTAATCTGGGCCTGGGCGTGTCTGTCTCCTTGTGCGGCCGCGGGCCAATGATGCCGGGCGAGGCGGCGTCGTTGCGGATTAGCGGGCGTGCTGAAACCGGAGCAGCGACTCTCGAGCATCGCAGCGCTCCTCCACCGCCGACATCTCGCTCTCTCTCGCCCAAGCAACCCGCACCGCAGACCTCGCACCCCGCCCAAGAGCGCTGCGAGCGACCTCCTCTGGCCCTGCGCTGCCCGTACGAGCACACCCCGCTAGCGCCTCCCGCACCGCACCGCCTGTCGACACCTTGCGCGGCCCTGCCTCGTCTCCGGAGACACACCGCACCCGCACCGCGCACACTGCCACCCGCCGCCCAGCCCAGCCTGCCTGACCCGCCCTCGCAAGACGAGAGCCCGTCTTAAGCCGGCGCCCACGCTCCCTGCGCCAGCAACCGCGACCCTTATGCCACAGTACGGAACCTACGGCTCGCCCTCGCTGAACAAGATGGAAAACGGATACGGCCACGGCGGGCGCTCCAGCTTCTCGCTCGGCCGCATCTTCGGCGACCCGTTTGCCCTGGCCACCATCTCCATTGGCTCCGTCAGTATTCCGGCGCCGTGCCGCTGAGCACTTTCACGGCACCGCATGCTAACACGCAGCAGCTGGCCTGGGTCATTGCCTTTGTGAGCTCCATATTGTCCGCCCTCCGCCCGAAGCCCGAAGAGCGCGTGCCGCCGTTTGCCTGGTGGACGCTCGTGTACATGCTGTGCAGCATCGTGGGCGTCTCTGTCACGGTGGCCTCGGACTCGGAGCGCACCTACCATGTCGCCGTGAGCAGACACGACACTTTCCAGACCCAAGATCCATGCTGACTCGCTCAGATTGTCGGCTTCACGGCCGCTGGAATCGTCCTCTCCTCGTCGGCCGTCAACGCCCTCGTCTACTCGCCCGTGGCCGCCAACGAGGCTGCCGCGGCGGGCTTCATCCTGCTCTCCATGATCGCAGTACGTCCATGGCCACCCGCACAGCCCCACCCACACTGACTCTCTAGATTGTCTGGGTCTTCTACTACGGCTCGCAGCCCCAAGCCAGCCACCGCACCTTCGTCGACTCGTACGCCCTGCACAAGGAGCAGCCCGCCTCGCGCTCCTCGCGCCAAATGTCAAACACGTACGGCGCGCCCCAGCAGTCCTCGCTCGCGCCGCAGCCCCAGCTCTACACTTCGGCGCAGCTCAACGGCTTCGAGACGTCGTCCCCCGTGTCCGGCTACCCTGGCGGCCCCGTCGGCGGCGACGCCCGCGGCTCCTCGATCCCGCGCTTCGGCGGCGGCATGGGCCAGACGCCTACCAACGACGTCGAGCAGCAGCCGCAGGAGCAGAGCATCGAGTACCCGTACCGCGCCAAGGCCATCTACAGCTACGAGGCGAACCCGGACGACGCAAACGAGATCTCCTTCCAAAAACACGACATCCTCGAGGTCTCGGACGTCAGCGGGCGGTGGTGGCAGGCCAAGAAGCCCAACGGCGAGACGGGCATCGCGCCCAGCAATTACCTCATTCTGCTGTAGAAGGCTGGCTCCTTCCGTTTTCTTTTCCCTTCTTTTCTGAAATTGTGCGGCGCAAAGAGCCGCATATCCTCACGACTGTTTCCTTGCGTCTTCTTCGATCGATTTGTCCGTCTGCATGGCCACTGCGGGGCCTTATTCCCGCCGACGGCCTGTAAGTCCTACAAGGCGAGATGCGGGCGGGGGAAAAGCCCACTTATTTACCTTTCTGGTGCCTTGTACTATGTATAGCGGGGAAGGTTTGAGGCTTATTGCGAGAGAGACATGTGAAGTGAGCAGAAAGTTTTGTATCTGTTGATACTGGATATGGGATTGGGCATGGAGTTGGGGGCCGGGTGCTTTTTGTGTTTGTGTTGTGCTGAGAGAGATTGTCGAGATTGCTGAACTGCCTACCTTGCCTGCACGATACCCGGATAAAAGGAAGGATGATAGGTATACATAATTCCAAGATTGAAGTTTGAAGGCTGTAAGAGTGTTTTCGGTGACGTGTCTTGTGCGCGAGGTGCGTTTGTCGCGTGAGGATACATAAAATTGAAAGCCAGTTGTGATGTTTTGCGAATTTGTGCAAGCTGTCACAAAACGCAGTACGGCAACACTGCACGGCGCCAGGACACAAATAATTCGAACGCCAGATGTGACCGGATGCAAGCTTTCAATCTTGGTCGGCTTCATGAATGCTGAACCGAAGTCAAATACTTGAGCTACAACGCATATCCAGAACCGGCATGTGCGACTGAGCTGATTCTCTAGTACTGCGAAACGCCAGTCTTTTTCAACGCCACTCTCCCGTACCCACTCTTCTGCACATTGGATCACGTCCTGCGAGAACAGACCAGACAAATTTCCAACACGAGTAGCAGTCCACAAACACAAGTGCGGCCTCTACACCCCCCTCCCCTCCTGTCCCTGGTTCATCCTTCCTACTCAGCAGGCTCCTGCACAACCCACCCGCTCACCCTCGCGCTCCCGTCCGCCAACGCCCCCAGCTGACCCTCAGCCAGACGAGGGGAAGCGTGGGGAGCGGGCGGACGGCCAGGGGAGGGAGAGCGTGAGGTTTTCGGCGCCGAGCCCTGGACAGGTGATGAGGGGGACGTTGTATGGGACGGGGGGAGGCGGGGGGAAACTCACAGTTGCGTCGCCAGTCGCGGTCGCCGTAGACCAGGGCCATGCGCGTGCCGTGGTTCAAAAGATGTGCCAGGTCGTCGCTGCCCTTCCTCATGGGGTCGCCCGTCTCCCCATCCAGCGAACCCTCCAAGGGCGTCGAACACACCGACCACAATCCTATCATAACTGAGGCCGATCTGGTTTGGCTGATCTACATACAGCACGTGCGCCGTTTGGTTGAACGGGAATGGGTTCGGGATGACAGGGTTTCCATCTTTACTGGAAATGCATGGCCCGTTCTCTGTCAGGGCGGCGAAACTGGAGGCTTCACCGGGGCCACCCGCGAGGTACAAGGCGAGGTTTGCTCCGGTATGGTTCAGTGCGGGGAAGAACCAAAAGAATGTAGAGGTGTTGTAAGCTGCTCCAGGGACAACCGTGTCAATCATGCGGACATAACTACTGTAGGACACAACAGAGCCACACGCAATGGTCTGAAAAGAGTTCATTTAGTAGTGCATCATGGAAGATGAGCGACCGAAACTCACTTTCTCGTATCTGATGCCAGCTCCCGGTATGGCCTTCAAGATCCTGTCGGTACAATGAGCAAGAGTTACCTGGGCTAGAAAGCCGACTAATATGTGAAAAGATTCATGCTGTAGCCGGTAGATTCCGTCAGTGCGACGGCTTGGAATAAGTAGCTCTTAAAAATACAGCAGACAACGCTCCAATCCCGCGGCCAATTGAGCTCGGGTGTATTCCCTGTTCCACTACTAAACGCACCAGCTCGGTAGAAACGCGACGATTGGCGTGTATCAGCTGGTAGGCAGCAAACCCGCTTGGATTTCGAAGCTCTGAAGCTAGTGCTTGTGTAGTGATTACAGGGCTTGCTGTGCCGCATTGTCCTCAGCTATGCGGCGATAGACGGAGGTTAAAGACCCAAACGATATGTCGTAGTTAGAGAATAAAGAAGTCGCGGCTACTGTGGAAGGTGTGGGGGCGTACACAGGGAGCTATGCACGGCCTAGGGGTTCGTATGGAGATGCATTTTGGGTGACAACATACAAGGGAGACGCACAAAGAAGGGTGCATTCCCGTGTGAATAGCCATCGGCCAAGTACTCTCGAGATGTGCGCGCATCAGAGCTTTAGGCTTGGTGCCCAACGTGCCGAATGGGGCTCGGAATAAGAGTGAACAAGGCTGCCGGGGCCAACATCATCGGTGCAATCCTATATATGGCAATCTAAGACATGCCACGTGGGGAAATCCGAGATATGGCTTCAGCCACACCCTAGATCTGGGTATTCTCAGGATGTTCTGGGATGCGGCATGCAGCCCTGCAGGTCAGGCAAACACTATCCATACGTGTTGTCTCGCACCACTTGCGGCGCAACTGCATCTTAGAGTGGCCCCGAAGTTCCAGCCACCAAGTCTTAGAGGGCATTCCAATATACAATAGGGAATGGAGGGATTGAGGAGACTTTATGTCACATGTAATGCATTTTGGACGTGGTAGAAGTTGGGGCGGAAGACCCCATAGATCATGATTACGTCATCACATCTATCTGAGGTCTGGCTTTCGGTTCGCTACTACTTTGCTCAATGCAGATCTTCAAATTCGTGTTCGGTACAAGCTTGCAAAAATAATATTTCGGAAAGAAAATCCCACATCTCGAGTACCGCCTCTTCTGCCTTTTATACAACCGTCGCATCACCCTTGCCTTGTTCCCATCACGAGCGCTACGTTGTACGTGCAGGATAAGCCCAGGAGATACTAGCCAGTCTTTACAATCCGGCGTTGCAAACCTTCTCCGCTTTGGCCACCCACTTGTTGTAGGCGTCAGGGAACGCGGAACTTGTCAAGAATCAGTATGCTGTCTACGCGCGGATGACGTACCGGGACTTACACTTGAACTTTTTGGGCAGCTACTCCAATCGCAAGGCTCTGCCAGCCTCTGACCCTCTTAAGGGCGTTGAAGAAGAAATGTGCGCTCAGATCCTGTCGAAATCAGTACAAAGTTCCCTGCATCGGGATGGGCGACATACCGCATTCATGCGATCCTTGGTGCTTCCCCAGGAAGGCCGTTGCTGGAAGATTCCAACAGAATCATGGTCTGAACCTACGCCATCATGGGGGTAGTTAAGAGAAGCGGGATATTTGGAATTGGCGAGGATGCGAATACCCGACTCCTGGAAGGCGGTAGTGATCGCGACGTAGCAGGCACGCTTCTGCTGGCTGGCGGCAAAGTCTTTCTTGGTACGAGCAATGATGGCGCGCGCGTTCCTAGTTTGAACAGAGTTCAAGCCTGGAAGGGTTCCGCTCCCGCTTTTCGGCTTGCAGCACTTGAAATTAGAGGGACCCGGGCAGAGTCCAGATTGAGTGGTTCCTCCACATTGGGAGGCCCACTTGCAGCTCCCTCCGGAAGCGCAACTTGTCTTGACGCAACACTTGATGTTGGCTGCCGTTCCAGGACAAGCGTTTGAGATAAACGAGCCGCCACCGCTCGAGCAAGATGAGGTTGAGATGCAGACGCCGGGTGCTCCACCGGCACCAGTGCAAGGACCGTTGACAGAGGAGCGAGGTGCGAGGGCGTTTACCAAGCCCGTGGAAAGCAAGGTGATCAAGAACACCGAGTTGAGCAGCTGCATGTTGGTGAAATGGTGCTGGGTATTTTGAGATTTGAAATAGTGTTGAAACGCTTGAAAGGTGAAGAGACTGGCCGCGCTGTTCAATGAGGATAATATACAGCAGTCTCGCTGTCGAATTTATACATGTCTTGCGGCATGCGCGTAGGGCCCAAATGGGAACATTCCATACGAAACAACTACTTTCGTATTCCGTATTCAAAGCGAACGGATTTTTACAACTCGATGGACCTTTCTGAATTATCTCCCAGAGGTGGGACCCTTTGCCGCCGTCGTTGTCGTATTCTCGTAGTGATCACTCGTTGCCGATGTCCGAAGAGTCACGTGTCAAAATACGAACATTTCGGAGATTGTGTCTCGTAATCCGGAGGCTGAGAAATAAGACTTCAACCGCCACACCGTTAAATCTATTTGCAGCATATCGTATATCTTGGACTGTTCGCCGATCTGATTTGCCCTTACATCGGGTGCCAAAGAGGTTCTCCGACCGTTGCGACTGTTAGTCGCTCCGGTGCATAGTCCTCGTGTCTCACAGCCACCATTCATTGACGATCCAATTTTGTCCCTCCAGGATTTAGTTCTTTCACGGTTGATCACAGATCGGCGGCGGCTGACAATAGAGAAGTTTCACGCGTCGATGGGTGTTGGTGAGGCTCGCGTACCCTTGGCATGACTTTCGTATTCAATCAACTGAGTGGGGCTACGACGACGCACGAAGCTTCAGACGCTCGACTAGCGTTTTCTGTACAACGTGCAAGAGTCTAGGTTTTGAACTGGTCGGCTCTCAGGGTGGGTGGGCAAGACCGGTATGTTAAGGTCGTACTAAGTTTGGATCAAGCAGCTCTCTCACTGCGAGAGCCTGGTGACGAGAACTTCAGTCAGCGAGAAGCCACCCTTATAAACAGGGGGAACTGTCCGAGAGATATTCCCAAGCCGCGCCTGAACGAAATCCAAGGTGAAGTGCCTTGTGAAGAGACGGGTGTAGCTTGTGTTAACCGGATGTGTTTGACGCAGGATACAGTTTAATAGAACCTTACGCTTTGTGACTAGTCGGTCCATCCGCATAGCAAAACTCGAAAAGTGGCGTATTCAAATTTCATTGGAACGACTGTACGAAACTCGCGCACAGGAAGCAGCGCGGCTCATGATTGACCGAAGTACCTTGTCGTGAGGTCTAGACTGGACGCGTCTCCCAGTGGTGTTCCTGTGAGTTCTATGAGGATAGGTTCTCCTGCCGATGCTAATCTTAGCTCTACCTCCGAGGATGTGTCCTCTATTTACTGTTTGCCGTGTCGAAGTTCGTTCCCAGCTCCAAGTTGGGTGCTCCTACTGCTGTTCCATGAACCTTAGTATTTTCCCGTGAGTTGAACTATGTCTCTTTGCAAATAATTGTCGCCAAATTGGAACGCAGGATAAACTCATGGCGACAGGAGGCTCTAAGCTGGAAACCATGGTCGCCACGATGCCGTCGTGGGTCATTTCGCTGAAATCGAGTCCAGGAATTGTGGTCCGTCGATACACACCAAAGGTGCAGGTCCTACGGTTTGGCAATCGTCAGTACAATTTTCACATGCGCCACATCGCGCCACTGTTGCTATGATCACAGGTGCAACAATAAGTAGGCATGGCTCTGGGATTTTTCGATGTGGTACCCCACTGACAGCTAACACGCTGGCATCGGCTGTGATCTTGCACATCACCTAGTCAGCCGCGGCTACAGAATTGGTTTTTCTAGCTGGGATTTGGAATGACTTCAATTGGCTTCGTTACTGAATTCGAGTGGCGACAGCACTATTTTCGCCAAATGCGATGTTTCCTCTAACGAAAACCAAGTAGCACTGTTTAAGACTGCCTGTGAAACCTGGGGTAGTGCAGAGCACGTTCAAGACGTTTACTCGTCAGATGCACGGTTGTTGGAATCCAGTCACTGACAGACTAAGTGTGCTCATTGCGAACGCGTCAGCGGGCGACGCATTCTCTCCGTATTCATTCAACGCTCTCAGACTTTGAGCGCAGTACCACCCATTTCGGGTCTGATACGCATAGAGACAACAATAACAGCTCGATCCTCAGCACGGTACTAGCGACACACTTCATACGGCACAATCCTACTCTGTGGCAAGATAGTCATCACATCTAGTACCATGGCTGTCCAACCGTGTGCAACATTGCCGGAATTACTCTACTAAGGCGGCCCAAGTGGCATGCTTCCGCGCCACTGCACTGTTGTTGCTCGAAACGGAGCGTATCACTATCAGCGTTGCCATGCCAGACGCTCATGATACTGGAATCATTCCAGGATTTGCTGCTATGTTTTTCCAGAGCACATGGTCACTAAGAGCTGCCTCGCAAGCACTCTGAAAGCCGCAGAGGTAATGAGGCCGACCGTTAAGCTCTTGGCGTAAGACAGTACTACGCGGGTGTTACACCGAGGTGTTTAAGGCCAGCACCCAAGCAAAGTTACTGGCCATATATTGAGATTCTTCCAATCAAAACAAAAAGCCTCAACATACATTCTCATTTTCCAAGTCACTGTAAGATTCTGTCTCTCTTCGGGTCAAGTGTACGCGTCCCTTTGCCAATCATCAATCTTCCTTATGAAATAATGCCTAGGAAGACGGCTATTCTGTGGGAGATGAAATGCATAAATGCTGTTCAACTAAGCTTCTCAACTTCCATCAAATTCGACCAACAATCCTCTACTTAGGCACTTCATTCACCAATTCACCGTTGACTCAATATGCGTGTCATCATCTCGGCACTTTTGCTTAGCATCGCGACACTTTCGACCACCGCTACTGCTTGCTCTAACCCAGGTAACGGCTGTGTCGGTAATGAGGCTCCTACGTGCAGATGCAACGCCGGCCAAGTTGTAAGCTTTTCCCCTCATGACGATAACATGAACACGCTTTGAAGCTGGAAACAACCACACGCAAGATCTGTGGAGAATGGGTGCAGTCTCAATCTGCGCACCAACATTAAGATACATGCAGTTGCTAACATGCGTCTCGCACAGATGGTATGTGGCTACGGACGTTGTAAGTGAGGCTGATACATTACTTAAAATGGAGCTAAAAGTACTTGACCAGTTGGCCGCGAGTGGATTGTCCAGAAAGATTGCCCGGTCACTGGTAATGGGCTTCAATGTGTAGAGGGACATTGTAATTGAGGTCCCAACCAGGTTGCTCATGCAGAAAATATGGGTTGAGTCATTCGCCATTGACTGTACTTGGAACGTATCGGACACTCTCAGGTTATTGCAATGGAATGGCTATCGTTCATAGCGCATAATTACAGCACCATATTTACAATAGAAGCTGCTCAGTGTTTTGGCAGGAGTGACGCTAGCTAATAGGTAGGTATAGGCTAGCACTTCTACCTGCAGAATCCATCTCCTTCACGCTTGCAACCCACGGTCTTCCTCCATCGAAAAACCCACCATAAGTGTTCATGCCTTTTCGCCTTCGCTTGCCAGATCATTTCTTAATTTTGTATCAGACCCACTGTCGCTGTTATACTTCCTGCCCGACGCATCATGGGTCGCGTCCCACTCAGCCAGCTCGTGCAGTGGTACTTTAACTAGCGCGTGCGTTTCTGCGCCATCGTCCAACACAATAACTTCCTGGCAGACGCGATACTTGCCGAAACGAGGGAGAACATAGATCCAGGTGATATAGTAGAGACCGCAGATGACGATGCTGCTGTGGTGTCAGCTTGTTCATTTCATGGGTGCATGGAGAGCTTACATGGAGATACCCACGACAATATATGTTCCGTACCAGAACGATACATCGCCTCCATACCGACCCTTCGCGGGCGGGTACCATGGCATGATGACTAGGTAAAGAGTAACCAATATGTTGAAGTAGACGACGATGTCCCACGCTCTAAACTCGCTCCTTGGTAAGTTCAGGCGGCTGCGAGCCCGTCGCACAAGTAGCAACCCTATTACCATTGCCAGCTTAAACAAGGAGTCGGGATACACTTGAAGGTCGACAACTGTGGCAAATATCAGCCTCGTGTTCCAGAATAGAAGGTGCAGTGCTCACTGAAGTTGAAGGCATCGCCAGCTGGCGGTCCAACGATCATAATCACCGTCAAAAACCATTTAATGAAGTAGGGTCCCAGAGGGGTTCCGAACGGCTTGGTGCTCGCCCAAAACCGTGGAAAGGGAAGCACACCCTGTCTACCACACTCCCGTATCAACCTCGATTGTCCCAGTAGGACAGCAACGAGGTTACCGAACGATGATAAAGCGATGAGGAAATTCAGACCTTTGACAGCGCTGCTGGAGCCGAGAGCATGCTTGAAAAACAGTGCAGCCGAAATCTCTTTTGATGCAAGGAGCTCCGCCTTTGGTACTGCAGCAAAATATGCCACATTCGCCAAGGTATACAAGATTGCGACAATGGTCAAGGCGATGAACGCATAGGTCTTTAGCTTCTTCACTGGGTTTCTCACCTCGTTCACGACGTTAAATGCGTTTTCGAACCCAGCATACGAAAACACAATCTTGTACATCGCGTTTGTCGCCCCATAAGCGGTTGCTGCCCCAGCAAAAGAGTCGCGGAAGTTGATCTCGGGGTCTGCGACCTTGGTATGACCTCCTAGCACAACGAAGCCCGTGATGGCGATGAAGACAAGGGTCAATACCTTCACCAACCCGATTCCGTTCGAGAGCATATATGAAAAGCGCGTATGAAAGGCAAGCACTACGTCACATTAGCGATACCGAAAATCTCCGAATCCTTCCTTGGGGCCAATCACTAACACAATACGGCAACTGTGTACCCCGCGATCGCGACTCCTTTCAACTCCCAATTCGTGGGTGTGTGTCCGCTCATCGCGAAGAGATATTTCGCCAAAACTGTTATCATAAGCAATGCGCAGCAAGTATGTGAGCATCAGAACTGTACCAATCGAGTTTCCGCTGCTGAAAGATAGTATGACCGATTGTACGGCGAATGCGATCGGAAAGAAATATCTAGGTCGTGGAAAAGCCTGTTCAAGGTATACAGCTTCGGACCCAGAGCGGTTCGGGAAGTACGATGCATACTCTAAATATACAGCAAGCGATGAGATCGAGATGATGAAGCCGATGAACCAGTAGATCAAGCTCACCCCGACAGAGCCTGTTCCCGCTAAGATTGCCGATGCTGGTTTATCGGTCAGTGGTCTGCAAACAATACAGGGCTGCAGATGCTTGCTTACGGGTCGAGTAAACGCCGGTTCCTATCATTTTACTAATGTTTAAGAAAATGATAGTAACGGGACCAACGGCGTATCCGAAAGGAGACTGCTTTTCCACAGGAGCTCCAAGCGCCTCTTGGTAGGAGGGTAGACTGTCGTTTCCGCCTTGCTCTGCAACGTATGTCAAGCTGCCATCGCTAATTTCTGTTCCGTCGCTAACGGCTGTACTATTGGTAGCTGCACCCTTTGAACCGCCGCCGAAGCGGAACCTAGGAAATGACATTGCTACTTTGGACAAATCTCAACTGGAGGCTTTTCGAAAGAGAAGATATGCGCCTGATGGACTCGCCAAGTGCGTACCGGTAGGAGATCTTATACAACTTTACATATTTCGGTGCTTTTGCCTAGATAAGCCACTCACTTTTTACGAATGGCAACATCGAGCCACAAATCTGCGACAGCGGCAGTTGCATGCTTGAAAGGCAACGTGCGCATATCGGTCCGTCCACAGAAATGCCAGGTCGAACCGATGGCGACATATTTGTAGCCATAAACGACAGGGTGGGGTACAACCACCTCGGATCCCAAGCTCTGCACTATCGAACAAGCTGAACGTACCTTTTCAAGGTTGTGTTTCGTAGCTTTGAGCCATTTCTCAGTGTTTGCGTTGGCATGTAGAGAGGATCAAATTGAACCTGGATAGACCTTTCGGGCGAATAGTCTCCTCATGGATCGAAAGAGGCAGCTAAAACATTCGCAACGCCACTTCGCCAGGGATTCAAAGTTCCAAGCTACCGTTGCGGAAGTTTGTTCCTGTCGATAAAGTTCCTGGGTGAATCGTAATCGGACTTGATTCTGGCGTGACGGGATCGACGCGCTACGCCCGGCTTTGTGGCCAATGGACCGCCGCAGCTGGTCCAACAGCGAGCACTAATCCATGCAGTGCCCATGCTTCCATTAGGCTTCGTGGGACCAAATATCAGCTAGAGATAAGGCCAAATGCGGCCGGTACCGTTGCTCCACAAGCCGACGTTTCCTCAGGAGAGCTGCTTCCCGTGTGCTAGTAACCCGAAGCTAAGTCACGCGTGATGCTTCTTTTGACGATGCAACCAAGCTTTGTCTTTATTATGAAGAGAACATACTAGTGAAAGCGTTTGGAAGGGTCGTCGACCTTGTGAGTGCCAAATGTTTGAATGGGAACGGTACCATCATTACCTTGGTGACAAGCCCCAGATACAGAAAAGACATGTCATCACTAAGATTTCCTCCAATTCCGCCTTGTAGCAAATCGCTGATCGTAGACGTCGTTTCTTTGCAACATGCAGCTAGAACACATCATCTAACACGGGTCGAGATAAGAAACTAACCCTGATGTGCTACACAAACTTCTGTATCCAGGCATTCAGCAAAGGAGCAATTCGCAAATTGCTTTTCTCCATGAAGCTGAAATGACCGTTGTCACGAATCCCAACTTCCGGTAAGTCTATGTAGTCAACCTGCATACCCGCCTGTTCCCTAAAAGCCAGAGTACAGTAATCGTAGTATGCATGGTAGCTTGCTTCTGTGACATAGAACAAGACAGGAAAATTTGCCAAATTGGACAACCGCTTAGGAGGGTTCTGCTGTACAATACAGTTGCTGCGATCACTTCTTGTTAAATTGATGCGCTGGGTAGGCAAGTCCTTGGCAACATCCGTGATCGGAGGATCGAATGTCAAGGGCAGACTTCCGATGCCATATGGTCGAGCTGGCCAAGTACCAATTATCTGATTCTCGAACGGGGGACCTTCGGGCTCCAGCGCAATGATGCCAGCGTCTGTGCGTCGATCGCCCTCACCCCATCCGTAAGAACCAGCTTACAAATGCAATACCAAGATGGCGTCCCAAATCTTATCAAGCAAGGCTAAAAATGTGTTTACATTGTTTACGGAAGCCTTCGTCGTATTATTTGTTGCTGTGTCTTACTCGCGAAGAAGTTATCGAAGCTCTGATGGTCAGGTTCGCCAGTCCTGGGCCACTGGAGGTGAAAGTGTGCCTGCGGCCAAATTTTGAATTTCTTCCCCGAAGTGAACTAGGTTCGCACGAAGGAAACGTTAGTAATGGACATAGCGCCATCACCAGGCTCTTAGGGCGATCGACCATGCTGAGGCTCATCAGTCAAGCAGACTGTGTATCCAAGGCTGAGAAAATATGATGCCCACCCGGGACATCCATCCGATGTGTGCAACCAATTCTAAGTCCTGTCAGCCAGACATTGAAGACATTATCAAAACCATACTGTGCCTGTCTGCGAACCGCCAGTCATAAAGATAAGATAAGAGGATACTTCTGCATCAAACCGGCTGGAGGCTGCAGTTTCTCCACATACACTTGTCCAGTCCTTACCTTTCCGTTCGGCTGTAGTAGAGGTCAAGTTGGTTATAATTCCAATGTTTTGTAGTTGATTACTCACGGCGTCAATGTACTGACCCCCAACGGAAAAGTAGTGACGTGAAGCTTGGACTTCATCCAAGTGCAATGGAGTTTTCCGGGGCACCTGAGCTTTAAACCACTCCTCGGCTTCACCATGGGGATCTGATGAACCTGCGACAACAGCAAACGAAGCCGCTGAGCTAATCAAGAGTTGAAACAGTCACATTGCAAAAGACTCTCACGAAGAAACGCAGGTTCAAGTTCATTAGAAGTCCGTAAGCACTTGAACGATCATAGACCCACGTAGGCACAAGTGACAGAAAGGCGAGGTTATGTAGTGGCGATGTGCAAGACAAGCGAGTGGATTCTTACACAACTACAACCGAACAGGTTTTGACGACTCAGCCCTACACTCAGAGAGGAAGATGTTACAAGAGTGCACCAATCAGCGAACTTCCAAAGTTGCCGCACCCACAGCCATTCATCATTCCCTACATGCTATATTCCAGTATCCTGTACATGTCAGATCCCCAAACTTCGCTTAGTCAGTCGGGTCGTAGTTGGCAGCAGCCTTGACTGTCTTGCTCAGCTTCGTGTTGATGCCGACAGTGGCCCAGCCGAAGATGCCATCGGAGACAGTGCTGCCGAGGAGAACGTAGTTGAGAACTGGATCGCTAGTCGCAGCCTCTCCAGCGAGAATACCGTCCTTGGCATTGGTAGTGAGACTCTGCGTGTTGGTGTTGTATGGGGCCGTCTTCTCAACACTGGTGATGAGCGACTGATCGAAGAAGAGCTGACCAACGTGCGAGATGGTGCCACCAGTGAGGACAGTTCCGTACGACTTGACGGTAGTTTGAGCGTTCTGATGAGCGAGGACTGTGGGGCGTAGTCAGGATTGGGCTCTGTGCAACACCGACATGATTACTCACTGTGAATGTGCGGCGTTCGGCCAGTGTAGTGACCAGGGAAGATGCCATCAAATTGCAGAACACCATCAGTGTCACTGAACTGGATGCCACGCAGCATCGGGTTGTCGAGGTTGGACTTATCGTTCGAGTTGCCATTGCCGCCAGCGTTGACTCCGCCGTAGACACCCTAGCTCTGTCAATATCTGCATCCCTAGGGTCGAGCGTGTTTCCTTACGGTAGAGTTGCAGTACCAAGCCTCAAGTGCGACATTAGAAACGGGTTTGCAAGTGTTGGTGTCGATCAGTTGAACGTCGAAGGTCAAGGGAACACCCTTCTGACCATCAGTGATGTCCTTGCGAACTAGTTCGCCAGTAACATCTATTGTTTCTTGTCAGCAAGCCTTCCACCTTGATTGCACTTTCCAGGGGTAGATTTACAGTAAGGGCCCTCAGTAGTCTCAGGCTGCAAGATGCAGGAGTTGTTCGATCCAAAGATGTCAGCAGCAGAGCTGTCCGGGGTGACTTTCTTAGTCGACTTGTGGTCTTTGTTCAAGACATCCGTCAAACTACGGCGCTCGAGACCGCGCTTTGCTTGCAGTTGTTGAACTTGCTCGATGCGGCGTTTGACCATCATGTGATCGCGAGCCTTGATGGCGTCCGCACAGTGAGAGAGCGAACGATACTCCTTGCTGCTACGGTATTCAGCCCGCTCTGCGATCTCAGCTGCGATGTCATGGCCTGGATGAGCAAGCGATGGGACAGCTGCGAGCGCTGCAATAAAAAGAGTGGTGAAGTGGACCATGATGGCGTTGTGGGAAGGGATCAAAGCTTGCGTTGGAACCTGATCGACTTGAGCAACTGATGAGTATTCGTAAGGACTTCGTTCAATTTATGCCTCCTCAGTTCCATCTTGCAGTTCCAACTATAGGGGTCTTAGCATACTCGTCGTCGCAAGCTATCGCCCAGTGTCAACGGCGCCCGCCGTGCCAAGCTGTCATTCATGATGATTTTCTACTTCCAGATTAACAGCATGGCGATTTTTCCTGGATTCCATGCGGAAATATAGATTGCACGAACAGTCCTTCCTGCCTGGGTATGCTCCGATTCCTGGATTATCATCCTCCGATGCGGCTGAAAGACGGAGAACCCCTCTTGGCCCCGTTGAATATTTGGTACCTGGTGAAGGCAGTTTGAAGATGTCGCGTCAGCAAGTTCAGAACGATGTGATTGGATTCTCCAATCGGCTACCTTCCTTTAGGGCCATGTTGAGTCCTTGTATGCCCAGACTTCACACCTGGGGGTGCCGCTCGCTTAGCCAATCAGAACAGAGGCGTCGTAAGCTTCGAGGTGCGCCAACAACACGAGCCATATTCCGCAGGAGTCAAGTATTTCGTTACTCACAGCGTACGTTCACATTTAATTTCAGATTCTTGGCTGACACACATGCACATTGTTCGGTTCACGAACCTTGCGGCTTGATGAAGCTTGAGCTGCACGACATGTTCAAATGTTCAAATGTTCACAATCTGGACTACGAGGTTCTCGCCACTGACGATAAGTCAATGTTGGAATGATTCAGAAAACCTCAGCATCTACAATCGAAGGCTCTGCTTCTGGTTCCTTGTTGCGTGCGTGCCAATTCGGAAGTTCCAGAAGTCTTCTCATGCATAGCAAATATCTACCTCTCGTTATGTGCGCATCCATGTGTCCTCCCGAGATATGTCACAGATCAGCAGCAACCGCAGGGGTTCTGCTGTTATATAACGCGTGTCTCCACTCGGCAAGACAGATTGCAATCGGGGTTGCCCCTTGGCAAAGCCATTGAGACTTCCGTACGAGAACCCTGTAGGGCATGTGCAGAAAGCGGGGTCCAGAAGTGTGCCTCTTGCATAGATCTTTTGTAGGTGACAAGGTGTAGCTTTACAAAGGGTTTCTAGACAAATTTATGTTGGAGCAATTGATATCAATTGGATCAAGAAAAGCGAGAACTTTCTGCCATGCGCTAATCGAGACATTCTGTTTTCATGTGGCTCATTGTCATGTGTGACGGGCTGTAAGGCCCACGAGCAAGGCTATTGTCAATCGACGCGCGGACTCTCAAGTCTTAGACCCGCCAACCGAGGCTATCTTCAGTTGGCCCACTTTATACAGTTCCGTAAAACGGAGGTCGGGAGGGTGTCGGCCTCGTCTTAAGTATGTGAACAAGTGAAGATCCATGTAAGTGAGCAAGGCGTGAATAATGAATCAATTAATAAATAAGAGTACATAACGCCGATCCTATGAAGGCAAGGTCGCCGTTCAGCGCTACATGAATACCACGTATTTCCTATTCTGGAACGTCTGCAAAAGAGCGCTCAGATATCCCCAGTGTTCGACTAAGCAAAACTTCTTATGCTTAAAGGTGATAGAATAGCTGTTCTAGCTTTTCCGCCTACTTAGTTAGGTATTCCTCTGCTACCGAAGTAGCTATACAATATTGGTAACGATGTATAATTCAATCATGAAGGATACAAAACTGATAGATTTTCTAACGCCAGTTTGTACAGAACTAAACAACTAGTAACTAAGAATATACTGCCGCATCTATCCGTGCCATAAGTTAGGCAATATAATATAAACAACGCAGGGCTAGACGAACGAGATGACAGACATACTTATATTCGTTCGAGTATTAGAGAAGGTAGAAAGGAGCCATTCAGGGTCATCAGCAGCGGCAGCCATAATCTTTCACAGAGGTCAGATGGATAGTCGAACAAGAAAATCTGGCTTTCTAGTCGAGCGGCGACGGACGAGCGGGCGACAGTCATTCGTCGAGTGACGGCGATTTGGCGACCTCAGCGACCTCAGCGGGGTTTGATGAAGGCTTTGTAGATGCGCGAAGCGGACTTGGCATGACCCCGATGAGAGACTGACCGACCGAGCGGTGAGATTGTAGATGATGGCGATAATGAAGACCAGCTTCTGCCTGTTGTAGAATATTTATTCACATTATATAGACGCTAAAGTGGATAGCGTCTTAGACTATTACATAGAACCGACCTATGTACTATAGATCCTTATAGCTATTAGAGAAGTAGCATCACAATCATCCAATCTGTTGAGCACGCGCGACGCCAGCAAGGAACCCGCCCCCAGCATCAACTAGTTAGACCCCACAGTACCCACTCACTCCATCGCCATTACCATTACCATCTCACAACACGCGCGGAGGACTATAGTGTGTTTTGGAAAACCCCTTCCTCGTGGCTTTGACGCTTTCGGGGATCCCCACAGAATTCTATGTGCGTCTGACTTGTGAGATCAGGCAGCAAACGCCCCATATGCACGTTTGGTTGACAATTCTGCCATCTAGATACTCAAAGCACGCCCATGGGTCATCGCCTAGCGTCTTTTCGCAGGCTTGACGGCAGAGCACCACGAGCGGACATGTCAAAGATTTTGGACACCAGGCTCTCCCAATATCCCTACCGTACTCCTGTATGGTTGGCAAATGAGTTTCTAAGAACCCACGACGACGCCATATTTCGAAGCCGTTGCAATTTTGCTTCGTTCAGTGCAGCAGACAAATTGTAGCTTGCAAGACCAACCTCGAATCGCAGCTTAAATGCCTGATTCTATCTCGTATTCCATCGGGAGATATCAAATGAGCTGGTGGCATGACTCATGAGCATGCGCTTCATCGCCTCTAGACAACGCTCCGCTTTCCCACAAATACGGAGAATACCATGAACGTTTGAGTCGTCCACGACCAGTCCCATGTCGTTGTTGAGGACCTATATTTGAACGGCCGAGCTCCCCTCCACATCGGATACACGTTGAATCCTTTTTGAATCAACAGAGTCGACACTGACCTCATCCCATGCGTCGATATTATGAATGGTTTTAGACAACTGCTCCCCAGTTACATTCTTTTGTTCGTTTGCCATTCTAATCACCACCTACAGCTAAGCCGAAATGTGAGAGTCAAAGCAGAACGAGAAGACACAAGTTTATATACTCGCCTCCATACGAGATCAAGCATCGCATGCCCCACCCATAGCGCGGCTAGTTGAGTTTTTCCGTACCAAACCCATGCAGAAGCATCTTGCATGTCCGAGAACCAATATCTGCCACATGTATTCACCCTACGCAACCTTGTAGTCGTCCTCACCGTCCCGTCCCCATTGGGGTCGATCTGATGACTTGTTCGACACCCACAGCGGCGCAGATACCTGGTACAAACAGCAGTTCCTAGTCTCCATCATCACTCCGAAGCTAAACTGAGACTCGACTAGACCACGAAGATGCAAGTTATATACGCTTCTCTTTACAAAGCTGGATATGGTTGTTGCAACTGATCGATCTAGGACAGATTTCGTCAACCTCCCCATATTCGGTCGCAAACGCATGTTTCAGACAGCCAACACGGGCTCCCACATTTTCATGAAGAGTTCCGATTTGGTTTCTCCACAGCTCCCACAATCCTCCTCTCATATTGGTGGGCCGAATCAGTTTATGGATGCCCACCTCCACTCCCATGGCTCCTTTGCCATCATGATAATTTCAGTCCTAGCCCACGCCTTAAGACCAGGCTGGGAAGACTCAATCTACCCGAAACCTCATTTTATACACCCCACTTGATCCACCTCGTGTTGTAGCGTGGCCAGCCTTTGGGCACTGCACGAGTTCTCCCGCGCTCTCATATTGTTCTTATCTAGCATTTACTTTTTCAACAACCCAAGCCCTCCACATCGACACGTCGTTGATGCTTTTAGAAAAACCAGGCCTTATCCACATGGCGATTGTAACAGTCTCATTCTGATTCTGGACCTGAGTGCGCTCTGTAATGCTTGACTGCCTTGGATGTGCGTCTTTGTAGTTTTTTCGGGCCAGCCAATCTAGTGGAGATGAACGCGAAGTCACGTGCTAAGACGAGCCCCAGGGCTCTTCAATCGTCTCTTGTAGCACGGGTAGGAATCGGTGCATATAATCTGTGCCTTCTCTCTGCTTTTGCTCGCACTTCTGTCTTCGCTGCTGTTGCGGCGACTAAAATGATACACCTGGTCCACCATGAGAGCGGTGGGTGGGCCTTTAGAAACCGTTCTCCGAGACGGCAATGTGCTGGGGCGCGGTCAGCGGTGGGGGACTGAAAGATCCGGTCTAGTGTATCCATGTGGTAGATCGTTGCTTGTTCAAAAGAGCCGGAAGGCGGCGCGACGTGGGCGAGGTCCGGAGGTCCAAAAGTCACCACGCTGGAGGGATAATGAGGGGAAGGGAGCTGGTTTTTCGGAAGACAAAGAATTGCACCGACTGGGAATGTGGGAAGGTCATGGGAGTGTGGCAGAACCGTGTGTGTTGTGGAAGGTTAAATGTCGAGCTGAACAGGAATGAGGGAGACTCCAAAAGGCGGCACAATTTGCGGCTATGGCCGTGGTGTGCAGCACCACTCACACGATGTCGTATCGCACCACCACTGCCACTCAAACTCTCAGAGCAGACTCGAACACTCAAGATTCTTCTCCGTATACCACAATCCCATATTCATTAAATTCGCACGTATAAGTACCCTTTCCTATTCCTGTCTCATGAAGGATACACCATGCACCCGAGAGCCCATCCCCTGGTATCCGACTCCTACCCGATGCCCCATATCCAAATCCGTTCCGCCCAAGCCAAGCCCTAAATCCTGCCCACATGTCTTTTTCGTTTAACATGAGAAGGGCGAGAGCGTACAACTACAGTTTGAGGTGCTCGTTGCGCTGTTCTTGCGCTACTGTCTTCCCCGGAGCGGACCCTTCATGTCGACAGTTATCCCTACGTAACGACAGTTGAAGCCGAAGCCGAAGCCAAAGCCCAACAGTCTTCCAGCGGTCGGCGTGTTTTGAGAACGACCTGACCCGTAAAATTCGCCCCATCTCAGAGACCTTTGATACTGGCGAGCGAGTGACGCCCAGGCCAAGCCGGTTAATGCAATGCTAAAGTTTGAATTAAGACATGGTAAAGAAGCGAATGTCGTGAAATGTATCAGTATCCAGCCGAGGCTGATTCGCAAGTCGTGAGGCGTTCAATCTTCCACAAAGATGGGAAGTCAAATCCGCTAAGAATCGTCTTGCCATCGTTTCGTCTAAAGTCTTTCCGAAATGGCGGGAGTGTTTCAAGGCTTCGTTCCCTGGCTCTGCGGCCGGCTGCCGGGCTCAGGGCTTGCCTCTACACCCTCCATTGGGCCCTCGGTCTTCTCGCCGTCCTTGGCTTTCGGGAAGTTGCCGTGAGCCGCTGTGGGTGTACCAAGCATCTCTTTGGGATACGGTTCGAGGTCCTTGGTGCTGGTTGAGAACGTTGAGATGACCGGCGTGTACGCTACATGCTCTGCTTGTGTGGGAGTCTTGGCCTCTGGGCCCGCTGATACTGGAGACAGCAGCCCTTCCAGGCTGGCGGGCTCTTGTTGCAACGTAGTTCCGTTCATTAGTCCATTCCAGCCTCCTTCGATATCGCGGAGCAGTCGGACGTATTCCTCTGGTACTAAACCACTCTCGCCAGTCTTTGGATCCTGGGCCACGAGCCATCCTTGGCCGTGTCGATATGAAACCAGTATGATTTGTCCCTCGACAAGCGGCAGCTCATTGTCGTTTTCACGCTCAAAGTCAAATAGAGCCACGGCTTTTCCGTGCATCTCCTCGTCGGGAGAGACAATCGTGAATTGGTAGTCTCGCGAGAAACGACTGTCTTCATTGAGGAAGTTCTCGTTCTCGGACATGTCTTCGTCAGAGTCGTACGGTGGGCCCTCATCATTGGTATAAGCGCGCCGTGGCAGGGTTGTCGCGAAATGGGAGTCGCGCCGCGATGCGCCAGTTGGGACTTCCAGAGATGAGGACTGCTCTGGTGGGTATGTGATGTACTCTCCACCTGGTGCAGTGGTGTCCTGAATGTCGTTGACATAGTAGACATGATTTCCGTCGCCATTCGCGCCCGCATAGGAACCCCGCTCTCCCGGGAAGCCTCTCCGGCCTCGGGTCTGGTCGAAGTTGACAATGTTGGATTTGTGCTTCTTGTGTCGCGTGTGGCTGGTCACTACGGGACTGGAAATCTCTTCGTCCTCTTCGTAAGGTGGGCCTCCCTCATACGCAGTCATTGGCAGCTGCTCTCCGTCTCCTGTGTCCCATGATCCAGTGCCGGCAGACCAGCCATGGTCGTCGTGCCATGCAACCGCCGGCGGGTCTGAAAGCCTCCGGCTGACTTCGCTAGCGGGTGTGGAGATGTCGGAGGGGTGTTCCGGGAGTGGTCCGTAGAAGAGAGGATGCAGCGGCCCATATGCGAAGTCCCTCACCAGGCTGTAGGGTAGGCTCGAGTGGAAGATGGGGAATGCCGTAGACTGTGGCCGTGACCGCGTGTGCACAGACTGGGAAGCCGAGGCATTGGAGAAGGTGGAGAGGCGCTTGCTGGCATACGAGCTCGCCCGCTCAAGCTTCGCTTTTGACGGCGGGGATGTGACGAGTGGAGGGAGAGACGTTCGATTTGCGTTGGGCGAGGTAAGGGAGCCTGGCTCGCTCCGGGGCGACAGGACATCAGCAGCCATGGCTGAGTGTCTTTGGTTGGGGCGGCCTCGGACGGCGACGCCTTCGGTGATGCCAGCGAGGCGCCGCGCGTCGGCGGGGTTCTCGATGCGCGTGTCGGTCATGCGAGGTGGTGTGTGTCTAGACTGGAGGCTTCGGCTGTCAGCGGGGAACAGCTCAATCGTGCGTGTTTATGAGTGCCGTCACTCGCTGCGGCGCCGCAATGGCGATTGGAAGCGCAGTCCGGGGCGAGGGCACAGATGGCAGCACCGCCAGTGGCATATGCGCGCAGCCAGGCAGCTTTCGGCCGGCGTGGTGCTCGGACACGGCGGGAGTGTACCTGGCAGCGGTTCGGGCAGGCTGACTTGCGAAAGCGCTGGCGATGGGTGGTTCGGTGCTTGTGCGAGTGCTTGTTTGGAGAAGTCGCCAGCCAATGGGTCGGGAAGGAGCGCTCGAGATGTTCTGGAAGGAGCGACGGGACGAGTGGTGCGCCCGGCGAATTCGCAATATTCGCACAGCAGCAGCGGCTGGGGAAGCGCTGTTGCGGGGACCTGGCGCTAAGACTTACCCAGTGAACGCGCAAAGGACGGCGGCGCGGCTTGTTTGGAGCAGCGTGGGAGCAGCAGCGGGGGCAAGAAGATGCGGCGCTCGCGGGGGCGGCCTTGTCGAGGGTTGTTGTGCGCGAGCGGGCAGATGCGCTCGAGGCGTGCTGGTGCTGAGCGGCGGGCGTGGTTCGTCGAAGTGCTTCCAGCTTCTATTTTTGGCTCGCGGTTCTAGGTCGAACGCCAGCAGATGGTTTCAGGTGGAGACGGGCAGGCAGCACGCGCAGCTGGACAAAAGTACGGCGGGCATGAACTGGTGGTATACCTATCCTCTGCAGGCGTCCGCAGTGACAGCCAGAGCGCTGCGGCGTCGGGGGCTCATGTCCTGTCTGCTCCCACACGAGCGCGGCCTTGCTTATTTTGTCTAGCCTAGCCAGAGGCACCGAAAACATGAAACGCCTAACGCGAAGGGACTCGAACGCCAACAACACCACCGGCATCACGCGCGCTGCTGATGGATCGTCTCCGCTGTGGGCGAACGCGTAGTGCTGGCTGACGTCCGACAGCCCGACATGTGCGCAATGCAATGCCTCGTATGTCTTGTTTCAGTCGGCCATGGCCGTTCATCGTTGGTCTTGCAACTTCTGACGAGCGTAGACCGGGGACCGCTGCCCAGCCGCCACTGCATTGGTCGCCGACTCTCTCTGCAGCCTCGATAGCACCCATGCTATCAACAGGAACAGGAAATTACATGTCGGGAGACATGGGCTTCTTGGATTATGCCTCTCCACGTCGACCTGCCTGGCAATAATGGCATGCGGTTCCCAAGCATGGACTCCAGCGACGATGGGTGACCCCGCATTCAAGGCCATGTCAGACCGACCGGGTCTAGCGTGCCAAGCCTGCAGACAATTCGCCCTAGCTCAACCTCACACACAGCTCTCTTTCTTTCTCACGTCCGCCTCCGTCCTCCAACACCAACAACCATATACCCGGTGTCATCCAGCCTCGTGACCGCCGCTTTCGATACGCGGCTGAGGCTGCGTCAAGCTTTGACGCGGCGTCTCACTGTAAGTTGCCCTCCGCCACTGCTGCTGCTGCCCGGCCCGCCCGTGACGCGAAATGATGAACACCTTTATTGGAGCTGTCCTATTGTCCATGAGGACTCTTTATTAATATACACTGAAAATTCTGATATCGCCCTTGATGCTTGATAATGAATAAATCCCATGCTGGCGAGCTTTCACTGACCGTGTGAAGAATTTGCAGTTCCGCGCGTCGAGGCAGGCACGACCCACACCCACCGACCGGCGCCTGTATAGTGCTTGACCTTCGCCATGTCGGACCCACGGCTGCGAGCGCGTGCTCAGCAGCAGCAACAGCAGCAGCTCGCGCCAGCACCGGCACCCGCGCCTCCACCACCTCCGCCGCCGCCCATGGAGCCCCCGGTCGCCGTCGATGGCGCCCCTGCCGCTCCAGCACAGGATCAGGCAGCTGTGGCTTCAGACTCAAACTTCAAGCTCAAGTTCTGCACTGTTTGTGCAAGTAACCAGAACCGGTATGTCACTGCCCGTCATCCTCCACGTCCCTAGCTAACCGTATCAGCTCGATGGAAGCACACCTCCAGCTTGCTTCTGCGAACCTCCCCACCATCTCCTTTGGCACCGGCTCGCTAGTGCGGCTCCCCGGGCCCAGCATCACACAGCCAAACGTGTACAAGTTCAACAGCACCACATACTCTGCGATCCACCAAGAGCTCAGCAACCAAAACACGCAGCTGTACACCGCTAATGGCCTGCTCAACATGCTCGATCGAAATCTCAACATCAAGTCATACCCCGAGCGTTTCCAAGACTGGATCCCAGGCAAGCCGCGCCTCGAGCACAAAGACGACCAAGGCTTTGCAGGCACCGAGGCCGGCGTAGTCGACGTCGTCATCACCTGCGAGGAGCGCTGCTTCGATGCCGTGCTCGAGGATCTGCACAACAAGGGCGGCCGGATGAACCGCCCGGTGCACGTCTTCAATGTCGACATCAGGGATAACCACGAGGAGGCGCTCGTCGGCGGACGAGGCATTCGCGAGCTCGCACTGATGCTGAATGAAGCTGCGGTGCAGGAGATGGAGACGCATGGCGATACTGGCTGGGACAGCGGCGGCGGGAGTGCGCGCGCTGGCTTCGACGAGCGCGTGCCTGATATCCTTGCTGCGTGGCAGGAGAAGTGGCCAAATCTGCCGGCTATATGGAGTCTGGCTTGGTTTTAAGGAAGGCGTTTTGAGATGATGTTTTACGAGTTTACGGATTTATGATACCCAGCATCGGCACGGCGTCAATGCATGATTTAATCGAATTTGTCGGGGCTCTTGCCTCGGTCCTACACTTACTACTCCCTCGTTGCTGTTCTATGGTATCATGTCGTTGATGGCTACTATGGATGTATTGCCTGACAAAGCTCACTCATGATAGTGGCTGACGATAGATCATGGACCTGCTATAGCTATGAGGACTCAGGATAGAATATCAGTTTCCATCTCTATGAATGTGTTACAAAGCGAGTGATTGTAGAATCAAATGTGCCATTGAACTCTCGTTAGTTATATCGGCCCCTGTGGATGCCTAGTATCTAGAGCGCCAACGATTGCTTCAACTTGACCCGGTGCGAGTACACTGCGTCCACGACTGGGTCCGCTTTGCGTGCATTCTCGTCACTCAGACGCCTCAGTTCTGTTTCTACGAATACCGCCAATCTTTTCCAAAGATGCAAGTGCGTGCCCCTCATGATTTTGGAGAGATTTCTCCTTTGCTTCGCGGGCAGGACTTTCTGGTGGATCCGTGTCGGTGGCGGAGTGCATCGTAGAACAACTGAATGTAATTGACAGACGTTCTATTCGTATCTAATCGCGCCCTAGACATATTAACGCCCGTGCTAAGTGTTGAGGATGTATGAGAGGGGAGGAACCCTTGTCAACGCACAGGAACAGTCCTGTTGACATCTAAAGCTTTCAGCCACTGGGCGCCTCGCATAGATGTTCACTGGGTCAAGTCAGTCAGGCGCGCCGCCGGGATCGCACCACAGAATTGGGGCCAGAGTCATCGCGGGCAGACCTGAACTTCCTTCACAGCTCAACCTGGACGACAACATGCTACCATTCGCTTGTGCTCAAAAGCGCTGATTCACGCTCGCCACTCTTTGCTTAGTTCAAACAGTGTGTTTTTTCGCTTACTCTGGAGCCCCATTGCCCCGCATCAAGCTGAATTCCGTTCTGCTTTGAGCTATTGGCTCACGGTTTGCACGACATGGGTCGTAATTAAGCACGCAACCGAGCCTCTCACCGGAACGTCCCAGTATCCACACATAAATGAGGAACAGTAGTCTTAGGGGAGAGCTAAATCATAACGTATCGGCTTTTCGATTTTGGGTATGTATTCCAAACGTATTCTAGCCCAGAAACAGCGTAACCCTTGCCTTTCAGACCTCTACGAATTTCTTCGACAGCCTGGTCCCATCCACGATCGGTCTCGCATCGTATGCCTAGAAAATGTTGGGCAATCGACGCTTACAACAGTCCGTAGCATATCTGTAAAGGCTTTCGATCGTGAGTTAGAACAGAGTTGGGACCCTGCAAAGGATACATCGAGAACACGTCGCGGAGGACGCATTATTCTGGTCGAAGATGCATCGAAGCATATAATTGAGACACTCGGCTCATTCTTCAACATCGACCCATGGTTCTTCGCCTCCTACGTACACCAGGCCTGGCGCAACACTAGCAGCCTGAGCCCAAACAATTGCTCATTGCCATCTCGCGATAAGAAGCAAAATTTCCTGTCGCTACAGTACCACCGAATCGTCGCATTCGAACAAAAGGCAACGGAATTGAAGTCCCTGAACCTCGATCGCAATCAACCACGGAAAGCTGTAATTCTGCCGACGATGCGTGGAGAGCGGATCGGCTTGATACAACACGGTTGTTCAGTCGTAATTGTAGATGGGCCGGGCGAAGAGTGGACAGGTATACGCACTGACCTGCAGATTTAAGCGCGCGTTAATCTTCGGCAGGTATAGTGTTACTTGATGCACCAATCTCAGAGAGTTACACTGCACTAGGGTTTCCTCCAGTACATCTTGCGTCGAAGCTGTTCTTCGGAGGCACCGAAGACTTTACAACGACCCCTGCTGGAGGCGTGAATGGCCACGATGGTAATCCAACCACAGTCAACAATCGAGGTATGCTAGACGAGCTTGTTCATTACTGGACTCAAGAAACGCCTCAGAGCTCCACAACATCCAAACCGACTTTGCGCGACATATCGTACTATCCGTTGAAGATTGTAGCCGCTGAATGGGTAAACTACATCGCCGTCATGGGCCTGAGCGTCCGTGAATACGAACTATCTACGACCCTTTCTGGCGATCTCATCGCACAACTGGAGAAGCTGAACACGAACCTGCGTATTTTGCAAGGCTGGCGTAGACGCGTTCTCTCAACGCAAGCAAAACTGCGCCGCACGATCCGCTTCATCGAAAACCACGTGGACCGCAAACAGCCGAATCGTGACTGGGATGTGCTTGTTGACGACTTCGAATTTATCTGCACGGGGGTAGCTGAGCACGGGGAGAGGTTGGAGGCCATGGTATCAGTGGTGACATCGACGGCTGCTTTGATCGAGGGACGCCGCTCGCTCACAGAGACCGAAAATGTAACGCGCCTCACAATCCTTGCGGTTGTTTTCTTGCCGTTGAGCTACATTGCATCCCTATTCAGCATGTCAGATGAAATTCGACCTGGAGGCCCGCACTTTTGGATTTACTTCGCAGTTGCAGTCCCTTTGACTTTCATTGTTGGATTGATAGCTAAGCCTCCTGTAAGCATTGCGAAGAGAATCGCAGGGACCATTGGCGAGAAGACTGCTTCGTTGATGTGAAGTCCTGTCGAATTGCTCGCTATGAAGCCTACTTTTCAGTCTTTCTTCCTAAAACCTCCAGACATGCAATCTGAAGCGTCACGCATAGATCTTCACAACAGTAGAGATATGCGCCCAGCTCCAGCTTGTGCACCTGCGTTCATTGTAGTCATGGGTGATGTATATACAGAGTAGCCTCGCATTGCGACGGCAAAAGTGTGATGTTAAAATGAGATACAAGAAGGGATGTTGATAGCAGAACTGATACAACCTGGAAGTCCACGAGAGTGCGAACGCGAGATGCCTGCGCGATAATATCCCGAAATGCTTATAGCTTCATGAGCATCTCGCGGAAAGCGCGGCGGGTCTTGGCCAGCTTGCCATTGCAGTTCTCTGAGTTGTGAGCAACAGGAGTAGCACTGGCAGATGGCGCCACGGAAGCAGCAGGTGTGGCCACGGCAGACGGGGTGGAAGGAAGCTCGTTCTGCTCGGTGGTGTTGCCCGCGGAGGACCCACCGGAGGAGCCACCGCCAGTCCAGAGAGCCGGGCCAGGTATGGTGTACTCCTTGTATCCGCCCCAGAGCGAGAAGTTGACCTCGGGGTCGTTGACCTTGTAGACTCCAGGGATCTTAGCCGTTTCTGAAGGCGCACCAGAGCCACCGCCGGTGACCTTGACCTGAGCGCAGCCGTAGTAGAACTCGGCCTGGCCGTCGTGAGCTCCGTGGAGAGCAATGTGCTCGGGACGGATCAAGTACTCGCCATCAGGAGTGTCCTTCGGGATGGTGAACTCGATGCGGTCCTTGTCCCAAGAGCACCATGCATCCTTGGTGAAGTCCTTGCTTGGGTCGCAAACACCAGACTCCATGATCTTGAACCAATCGCCGTCGCCCTCGTAGGACTGAGCGGTTGATGGAGCCTTGGACATGTAGACGAGCTGGGGACCGGGATGCTGCATGGTGGCTCCTACGGCAAGCTTCATGGCGAGCGTAGCGCCGGCCTGGACTTCGGCAGTCTCCGTGCGGGAAGCGCTCTCGAAAGCACCCTTGTTGCAGCGGAAGTCGGTCAGATCAGGGGTCATGTCATCGCGGGTATTCTTCCATTTGGTGGGGTTGTACTTTTCCGGGCGGGTGTTCTCGCGGACATATTGCATAGAGTTGGTCTCCTTGCCATCAATGACGAGCTTGTCGAAGAAGTAGTGCGCAGCAGCAGAGTTGGCGAAGGCGACACCAGCAAGGACAGAGGTTGAGACCTTCATTGTGATGTTGTAAAAGTTTCGTTACAAATGTTTGAATGGTGAAACGAATGGACAGGACTAGCCTGGAAATGCAATTGAATGGAAGCGAAGGAAGTCGAAGAAACGAATGTAGAAGCCAGTTACTTGATGGCGATATTACATGGGAACGAGATAGTTCTTATACTGGCCTTCATGGTGGAATCGCATAGTTTGCTAAAGCAAGATTGAAGCGGCACCGAGTACTGGGTGCAGACCCACAACGCCCCGGCATCAACTTAATTGCGGCGTTGTCCATCCACATTGCTGAGAAATGTCATATCGCTAAAGTGCACGTAGTTGTGCCCTATTTGGTGTTCAGGTGGGTTGTCTTCGTCTAGCCGCTCCGCGTGAAACAGAACTACTTTGTTTCTTTCGGTGCCAAGCCTTGGCTTGTCGCAGGTCGGTTGCCTCGCATAAAAGCCCAATTTGTTGAACATCATCGAAAGCGTGAGCGGGAAGGAGGAGACCGCGGGTTTGATCGACAAGGATTTTGGGAAGTTCCTCGTGGGGTCAAGAGACTGCGAACATCAAAATGATCGAATTTCACAAAGATAAACACATGCACGGAACATGCACGAAGCCTACAGTCATCTTGACGTATAGACTTGCGTATGACCGAGGAAACCCTCTGTCGTGAGTCCTGATAGTAATAGTGGATCGGGTGGTCAATCTACCCCGTTATCATAACTTTCAGACCTACAACGCCACTGCCGCGATTACGTGTCGTCGCTTCCGCAATGCCCCTTCCACCTGTATACAGTTTTCATAATTTGCTGAGCATTGACACAGCTTCTGCCATGACGAGCCTCATTCCAAACTGTGCCATTTCCAACACTGCAGAAGTGTATAGAACATCTTACAACGTTTACCAACCGCTTGCTCCAATCTGAAGAATCAAGCCATATGACCATGCACAAACAACTCCTGTTCGTACAAAAGTACCTGTCTAGTCGAGACTCGTGGTTTTCACGACGAGCAGGCCAACGAAGAGGTTTCGCTGCGTAAGCAAGATGTCAGACAGTTCACCCCCGATGCGTGAATGGACACTATCCGACGTCACCGATCCCTTGCTTCGCACCCGCACGGAGGCTTTCAAAGTGCTCTTCTCTGGGCTGACTATCCGCAAGGTCCATGATGTCCTCCTCAACTCCCCGGTCCGCGATTGGAACGCCATTCACAGCAATCTACAACAGGAAGCTAGCAAGTCGGGCCCTTCTGCAACTCTGAGCAATGAAGATAACCGACCTCAAAACTCCCAGCATGGCAGCACTAGCGAGGAGTCCGCTACCGATGACGGCACTCCAGTAGACTGGAAAGGCCAGAAGATCACCCCACGCGATCTCGCTTGCAGAATGAACGGGGTCAAGCTTAGCATCAAGAGCATGAGGACAGGCGTCGACAACTTGAAGAAGAGCATTACTGAGCAACTGGATGATCTGGTGGAGATATTGGAGTTAACGATGGGTGAGGCTCATGGCATACAGAACAGTCTTCATATACTGCAGAATTATGAGAATGAGGCTGGGGAGTAGTGTAAGAAAAGCCAGCAGCGTTCGAAAATAAGAGGGTTGCGAAGGAGACATGGTAGTAAGGTGTCGTGGGGCTTCTGTCAATGGACTGAGTATGGTCCCAGTGGGTAGCAGTTTCGAGTTTAGTATGAGGACTGCTTTGTGACCAGCGATCCTACCATGAGTGGCATGAGTGGGCGACGTGTATCGACGTCAACTTGGTCATCAGACCGCTTTCCCTTGAGAGCGAGAGGGTGTGCGGGTGCCTGGATTGGGTCTGCGGGCGAGATAACGGCACATGCAGAACCCAAGGCAGATGTGTACAAATTAGTGAAGACCGTGTGCTGCCAGTTGCTCAATGGATTTGGTCCGATGCATACCCGCACGTGACCCGTCAGATTTTAGCGGACCTCGGGGAGCGGGCTAAGCGGGCCTTCCTGTTTGGCTCTAGCGCCCATCCCCACACCAGACCAGTGACGTTCGGCGATCGGTTACTGGCGGCTCTGGCATCCCCAGCTTCTCCCCTCAGCCGCGGTTCATCGTGCTTTGTTTCTCCCCGAAACCTCAATTTCTGCGGTGCGCTTTGTAGTCTTTCCACGTACAACACAACCTTGTCTTTGCGCCTGCTGTGTAGACCGCTTGGTATCTTCTACCATGGCTCCCAAGGCTCCATCGCGCGAGGCATTGACGATGCTCAAACACTCCATCAGGACTTCAAGCGCCCTCCGTTCAGCGTCGCAGTGCCGTTTCCTACCACATTTTGCCCACGCCACGCCACGAGCCCCTGTCCAGCCTCAGTTCCCGAGGCAGTCCTCGCGTGGTGTAGCTACGTACACACATGCCCACCATGCCGATGCCGTTTCCGTCTTACCGACCAATGTCGACACCAATGCAGAGGATTTCAAAGAAAACAAAAGGCAGATGGATGAAGCTACTGAAGCCCTCGAACAGCTTCATGCCAAGATCGCACAGGGTGGCCCCGAGAAAGCCAGGGAGAAGCACATACAGCGAGGCAAGATGTTCGTCCGCGATCGCATTACGGCACTAATTGATCCGGGAACTCCATTCCTGGAACTTAGTCAGATGGCCGGATACGACATGTATAAGGGCGAAGATGTTCCCGCAGGCGGAATCATCACAGGTGTTGGGACGGTGAATGGCGTGCAGTGCATGATCGTGGCGAACGATTCGACAGTGAAAGGTGGAACATACTATCCCATCACTGTCAAGAAGCATCTTCGCGCGCAAACTATTGCGCAGGAAAATCGCCTGCCCTGCATCTACCTTGTCGATTCTGGAGGTGCAAACCTTCCCAACCAAGCCGACGTTTTCCCTGATGTAAACCATTTCGGTCGGATCTTCTACAATCAGGCCGTTATGTCTGGTATGGGAATTCCTCAAATCAGTGTGGTCATGGGTCCTTGTACTGCCGGTGGCGCATACATCCCCTCCATGAGCGACGAAAGTATCATCGTGGAGAACCAAGGCCACATTTTCCTTGCGGGTCCTCCTCTCGTGAAAGCTGCCACCGGCGAGGTCGTCTCAGCAGAGGAGCTTGGAGGAGGAAGGTTACACAGCGAAGTTTCCGGCGTCACCGATTCCCTTGCCGTTGACGACGCCCACGCACTCGTTCTGGCTCGCAGAAGCGTAGGCAACCTCAACTGGCACCGAAAGCAAACTTTCTCCCCCTCTGCGCAGCCGACCTTCGAAGAGCCTCTATACGACCCTAAGGAGCTTTCAGGTATCGCTGGAACCAACCTGCGCCGGCAAATACCCATCCACGAGATCATCGCGCGCATTGTCGATGGCTCTGTGTTCTCTGAATTCAAGCCTCTTTACGGCCCTAGTCTCGTCACTGGTTTCGCTAAAATCTACGGCCACCCTGTCGGCATTGTAGCGAATAATGGCATCTTGTTCTCTGAATGTTCACTCAAGGGCGCCCATTTCGTCCAATTATGCGGAAAGCGACAGATTCCTCTAATCTTCTTGCAAAACATCAGCGGGTTCATGGTCGGTAAAGACGCAGAATCTGGAGGCATTGCAAAGAATGGCGCCAAGCTCGTGACGGCGGTGAGCTGTGTAGATGTACCCAAGTTCACCGTCATCGTCGGGAGCTCAGCAGGCGCGGGTAACTATGGCATGTGGTAAGTCTTGTGTACCGTATCCTTCCCTCAGCAATAGCTGACAACCAATCAGCGGCCGTGCATACTCTCCTCGCTTGCTCTTTGCTTGGCCTAATGCAAAGACCTCGGTCATGGGCGCAGAGCAACTTTCTTCCGTCATGGAAGCAGTCGGCAAGAAAGTGGACCCCGATCTAAAGGCCCGTATCGAACGTGAAAGCGAGGCTACTTTCGGTTCTGCGCGGCTGTGGGACGACGGTATCATCCCGCCTGAGCACACGAGGAGAGTGCTGGGAATGGGACTGCAGATGGCACAAGGCGGTCAAAATCTAGGCGTCGAGAAGGAGTCGAAATGGGGTGTTTTCAGGATGTAAGAATGGAATGCTAACGACGATGCAGAAAATCAATCATTAATCATTCAGCGTTTCCAACTTTGTTGTATTGCCAAAGAGGCTTTTGCGAATATCAACAGTCGTACGCGAGTTGACCAGCGTGTGAATATGAACATCATCGCTACACACAACTGCAATCACTGACCGACGTAAGCTGTCTGCCTTCATCGCACCACCTCATCTCTGATACGGCTCAAGCGCATCACTCACAAGTCCCACGTCTTCTCTACCTCTGCGACATGCCCCATCACCCTCACTGGACCCTTCTTTTCCCAGTTCTTCCCTGCTTCCACCACCTCTGCAAAATGCTTCAACGCCAGCACTGTCTGCGCAGCCCACCTCTCCGCGCTCCACCTCCCATACCCAGTCGCCAAAGGCGTTATGAGCACACTCCTGATCTCTCTCCTCTCCACACCTTCCTCGCTGAGCCGCCGGTTCCGCCTATCAACCGCAGCCAACAGTGCATATATGCACTCATACACAACCTCCCGATCCCACTCCACCCGCTGAGGAACCTTCATAGTCGGGCACAGCGCCAGCCACGTACACCCCCACGCATTTCCCCTCAGTCTCGTGTCCTCTAGGGAGATTAACATGCAGCTTCCTGGTGGCAGGAACCCGCGGTGCTCTGCGTAGAGGGCCTCTGACGCCACGCGCGTTAGCGCCATGTAGTCGTCTGCGGGCGAGAGCGCGCGAGAGAGCGCATCGTCGAAGCCACCATCCATGCGGGCGTAGGAGTTTGCCGGGGAAACTATGGCGTCGAAGTGGGTGGATTGGGAGAGAGAGGAAAGGGTACCGTGGTGGTAGGTTATATCCAGGGAGGGAGCGTTGTAAGTGCGGAGTGCGGTGGTGAATGAGGTGATGTGAGATTCTTCGAGGCAGAGGAGGTGGATTGATGGGAGGTGTGAGGAGGGGGCCGTAGAAGCCATTCTGATCCGTATAATTCGTACGTGCTGCGACTAGGAGGACTAGCGGAGTTCTATGCGAGTTTAGGAGGAATGTGCAGTCTTACGCCTTTCAATATGGTTCGGAAGTGTGGAATAACATGAAGCTGTGCATTGACTGAGCAATAATAATTGACTGCAGCCTAGATGCCAAGGCATACGTCATATCAGGGGGGCCTAGAGGAGGTTTATGTGGAAACAGGATGGTGCGAGAGATATCTGTGGACTTCAGAAATTCAGACTCTACACATCCGTGGCCACTGGAGTTTGAAGATAGATCCCCACGTCCTGATGCCTACACAAAGCCATTTCATATACGCCATGTCACATACCATCTTACTCATTTTGAGGTCGATACCCCGGCTCGTTGATGGATGATTTGATCTACTCAAATGCTTCGAACTTTGTTCTTCACATCACAACTTCGACCCCTTCATCTCGGACCTCAATTTCTCTTGAATCGGCCCGAGCAGCGCCTTCATCCCCGCCGCCAACTCCGCCTCGTTCTGTCCCGTCCCCTCAGCACTTGGCGGCGCAATGTTCCACTCTGGGATGACCCTCGTCCCTGCCATGCTAATCTCATATACCGTGCCACATCCAAACTCCTTCTTCTGGATCAAATCCAACATCCCAGTCGCCACATCGCTCGGCTTCAACGCCTTATTCTCATGGAATGAGTACTGCTCTTTCTTATCATCTGTGAAGAGTGGCGTAGCAACGAGGCCGGGACAGATGGTCGTGATCTTGACGCCGGTGAAGGATTCGGACCCTGTCATCGACTTGACGAAGCCCACGATAGCATGCTTGGTTGCGCAGTAGAGGGGCGCAGCGACACTGCCGCCGAGCCCGCCAATCGAGGCGATGATGCAGACGGACGCGCGTTTCCCGTGCTCTAAGCTCTTTTTGATGGCGAGACGGGTGAGTTTTATGGGGTGTGAGACGTTGATGTCGACTTGGGCGTAGCCCTTGTCTTGCTCGGGGTCTTGCCAGAAGTTGGAGAAAGGGGGCTCGAAGACGCCGGCGCATATACCTTAGGATTGAATGTCAATTGTTGAAAATTCAAAAGATTCGGTGAGACGCAGGGTAACGTCACAAGGATTACGGTGGTGCTACAGTGCGGCCAACGCAGCCAACGCAGCACGGCAGCTTTTTTTGGGCAGCCCCATTCTTAGCCGTTTCTGGTGCAACGGTACCTTGATGCCATCACGAAGTATGACTAGGCCGACGTTTGCAGAAAATAGATATGAGAGAAGCGAAACATACCGTAAGCATCTGGCACATCGTTCCATTTCCTCTCGCATGCATCAAAGAGTTTCAGAAAATCTGGCCAATGTGACACATCAGACTGCACGTATAATACATTGCTCTTCCCTGCCTCTAGTCTCAGCTATCCGTGTCACGAGATCCGGTTTTGCACGTGACCAACCTTGAGCCCAACTCTCAAACTCTGGTGTCGAACGTAGATCCGCGACGAGGACCTTTGCACCGAGATCAGAAGCTTGCTTTGTCAAAGCGAGACCAATCCCTAAGTTTTGTCAGGATCGTGGTTTCAGCTATCATTCGCGCGAGACAAACAGACCTGAGGCGCCTCCAGTGATAAGTAGGATCTTGTCGCTATCTAGGGGAATGTCGATGGACTCCATTTTGCTGAACAGGAGTACTCTTGAGTATGAGGACGATAGAGCCGTGGTGTTGTGCTGTCACCGCTGGCAATACCTGGGGTTATAGAGCATCGGGTAACGGGTACCGAAAAGCCGGTTGGCTACTTGGATGCGGAGGAGTGGAGTAGGAGTGGGTCGATAGCGGCACGGCCATGCAATGAACGGTCGATAGAGTATAGATACATGCGCGTTCATACGCTGCACGAGTCATGACGCTCTACGGGCGAGGGAAGGAGGGGCGAGGTTGAACAGGAAGGAGCGATTCGACGAGGCTTCCGCGCGCTCGTTCAGGGCCTCGGCTCTGCCAATCCGAAACAGAATCCGTAACATCTGTATCTGCGACCCAGGGCTTTGGTCCACAACACGCGCGATGGAGCGCGAGAAGGACGATGATATAACCAACCGAGATTATTTGCTGACTATTGCGCTTTAAGAAAATGTGCGCGTGCGTTTGCACGATTTTTCCGTCCTCAATGATCACATAATCCACCCTAAGCGTCGCACTGATTGAGTCCATGCAGATTAAATTCTTGTCGTCCAGCTGGATTACTTTTTGTGATAATACGGGCCCAGCAATACAACTTCAAAGCCTTTATATTTGCGCACACGAAAGTCGCCCATGCCGTCGTAGCTCAGTGGAGAGCGCCCGGTGGTTTCGAACATCTTCTTGTCAGAGGCTTTATGCTCGGAGGTGGTGTGGTACTTGAAGGGCATTAAATTGACGATTGTTGGGAAGTGGTGGTGAGGTTATTTGGACGTATTTCACGATGCCGCTGCGCTGTAGCCACTCTGCGACCAACGGGCCGTGCTCGTAAGCCCAATGTTCGTTGAATTCGTCTTGTGACGTGCCCGGGCGGCGATTTACGAGAACGGTCAAGCGAATGAGCTCTTCGGTAGACAATGTATTCTGTGGCATATGTTCGTTAGAGCACTGGTGTTGATGCTCGACCGATACCGGTAAGCGTGGAATAACTCAGATACATCTGAATCAACGCGACGGAAGGTGGCGTTTATTTCTTGGTGCCGATGAAGCAAGCACTATAGCCGAAAAAAATCTATCCGAGCCTACACCAATATTTCTTGGAGTTCGATTGATATCGGAAGATGGTAAATCGGCGAGGTATCGGAGTCGGCGGTAGGTAGTAGTGCTTAGTAAATGGACGTATCCAACAACCATCTGAGATAGACGGTCCATGCACTCGATGGCGGGGTAGCAGGTCCGTTTGCAATTCAAAGTGCCACTTACGCAACTGATAGCCGAGACGAGGAAGAGTTAACGTCTGTGTCCGCTACAGAGGGGCCTTTGAGGGACCGACAATACATCCAAGACTATACAAGCCCACTACTTGCTTTTCACGGACATCATTCGTTGTGTGGAAAGATCATTCGTCAAAGCAGCATCGTATTTGCAGACTCAATCATGGTATCTAGCAGAACCAGCCACCATCAATAGGCATAGCAGCTCCCGTAATGAACGAACTAGCATCTGAGATCAAAAACTCAAGTAGTGGGGGTACTTCCTTCGGGTCTGCCGTCCTTTTCAAGGCCAGAAAATCAGTGTTCATCTTAGTTCCTCGAATTTCAAGCGACTTTTGGAACATGGGAGTATCGATCGGCCCGCTGGAGTTGTGTCAGTGTACTTTGATGTAGATAGGTTTGAAAGACTCACGGGCAAAAGCAATTGACACGAATGTTCCTCGCGCCCAGTTCCTTCGCCGCGCTCCTGGTCATGCCGACAACAGCATGTTTTGAGGCAACGTAGGGCATGGATTTTGCAGCACCAATGAGTCCAAGAATGCTGGCCGCGTTCACAATCGAGCCGCCCTCGTTCATAACAGGTGCTTGAGCTCGCAAACAGAACATGAGGCCTTTCGTGTTAATGTTCATGACGAAATCCCAGTCATCGTCATCCAGCTCGGCGACACCCGCGATATTGTTCTGTCGTCCGATCACCCCAGCGAGATTTGCGGCGCCGTCTAGCTTCCCGAACTTGGAGACAGTGGCAGCTATCCAGTCGTCCACGGACTTTCTGTTGCTGACATCGACCACCGTGGCCATAACTTCTGCACCGGCAGACTGTAGCTCTGCCATGAGGTCTTTCAAAGGTTTCTCTTGGACATCGGCGAGTGACAGTTTCGCACCTTTGCTGGCAAACAGACGTGCGGTTTCAAGACCCATGCCGGAGGCTGCGCCTGTGATGACAATGACTTTGCCTTTGATAGACATCTTGACAATAATTGCGAGGAATTCCTGGTTAGATAAGATGGAAGTAAAGCGTGATGCTTTGATAGACTGTTTGTACGATGCAGATATCCCTACCTATAAGCCATTGCAACTCATGTGAGCTCCCTGCTGACATCTTCAGAGTTCACACAAGCCCATGGTGGACTATCGGCGCAGTCTCCGAGCATCCGAGCCATTCTTTTTTGTGCGGAAACATGAGTGAGGATGAACTTTCCCGGGTGGATCGGAGGTTCGCGTACCCCGCATCGGAGCTTGGTAAGCTAGCGCATGGGGTTCCGAGACACCCGGGGATATGAGACACCGCGCAGAAATCCTCCACCCTTCAAACAATCGCGATATCTCCACATCCACCCTGCCAAAATGGCCAACCGTGAGGCTGCATTTCAAGCAGCTATTAGCGATCTTAATGCTGGCATTTTTCCTAGTCAACGAGCTGCTGCAAAGGCATACAACATCCCCCTAGCCACGCTCTCTAGGCGCGTACGCGGTTCACAAAACTGGCAAAACAGCCACATACACCAGCAACGATTGACTCCACAACAAGAGGACTTTCTCGTACAATGGATACTTGAAGAGGACGCGCGCGGGTTTCCTCCTTCTCACGCTCGTACACGAGAAATGGCGAATCGAATCCTTAGGATGAACGGCGACCACGCGTCAGTGGGTAAACACTAGATATCCTACTTTATTAAACGCAACCCACGCGTTGCCTCTATGATAGGTAGAAAGATTGAGGCTGCAAGAGCTAAGGGAGCAACTTAGGAGGCAATACGCGAGTTTCTTCAGCTCTATAAGCAGCTCCGTGTTAAGCTGGGTATACACAATAAGGATACATGGAATATAGATGAGACTGGGAAGGCCCTAGGTGTATGTGCAAACACCAGAGTACTCACAGGAAGTCAGAAAAAGAAGGCTTACTATCAGTCTCCAGAGAATCGCGAGTGGGCGTCGATAATTAAGTGTATTTCAGCAACAGGCAAGAAGCTAAGGCCTACAGTTATTTTTAAAGGCAAAAACCTACAGAGCACCTAGTTCCCATCAATAATACCCGACTGGCTATACGCAACGTCAGAGAATGGCTAGACATCTAATGCGATTGGTACTAAGTGGTTGCAACGCATATTCCTGCCAGATACTACGCCCTCAGAGGATCGCTGGAGGATGCTGATTTTAGATGGCCACGGCAGCCATATTAACCTAGAGTTCCTGTGGATCTGCAAGCAGAATAAAGTCAGGCTTTTATTTCTCCCTACTCACTCATCTCACATTCTACAGCCCCTAGATCTCTCTGTTTTCTCAGTAGTGAAGCGATTCTATCGCCAGCAGATCCAGGAGCTATCACACCTCGATGATGCCGCCCCAGTCAGAAAGGAACGCTTTATTACTACCTACCATATCGCTAGAGAGGGCGCAATCACTAAGAGAGTTATTCGCGCTGGATGGGCTACTACAGGTATCTGCCCGTTGAATATTAAGCGGGTAGTCAACTCATCTCAAGTTGCTCAAAGGGCTACCACTCCACCTCGCCAGGATCAAGCTCATCTCGCTGAGAGCTATCTATCTACCCCTTGCGGCCCCCGTCAGCTTTTTATAGCTCAGCGAGCGCTTCACAGAGAGCAGAGTATCAGCCGAAAGGCTCACCAGCTCTTTGAGAAAGCAGGCAAGGCAATTGCAATAGCAAATACACGCTCAGCAGCGCTAGAAGCAGAGAATAAAAGATTACAGAGTCAACTTGAGGCTCTTAAGCCTCTGCAGCCACGAAAGAAAGTTCGTATAGATCCAAATCAACGCTTTACTAGTATAGATCAAATTATGATAGCAAAGCAGGCATCTGCCCTTCTAGAGCAACAAAACAGTAGTCCTAATAAAGAAAAAGAGGCAGAAAAGCTAGCAGCAGAAGTAGCAGCCAAAACCCTACAATCTATGTGTAGTGAGTGGCAATTGTAGTTATACTGAATCAATTATCGCGATTTTTTGAGGGGTGAAGGATTTCTGCGCGGTGTCTCATATCCCCGGGTGTCTCGGAACCCCATGCGCTAGCTTAGTGAAGTGCACCTCTCGCGACGTGACGCGACGGAAGAGGAACACCAAAAACACCGCCGACAACGCGTATCCGATATTGATGCGCATCCGTCACAGTGCACTGAAGATCCCCTCGCAGGAGCGCAGTAGGGGCCTTGCTGCCTCCCTTTAATGGTGCATCCTCCATAATCGCTTTCTTCCTTGTCTCTTCGCGCGCATAATATCCTCACTCCCGAACCTGGTATCCAGCACCACAAACGGCCACTGGAATAGCATTGCCAAAGGAACACCCAAAGGTGCCAGCGAGAAGCGTCCGGTACGTATCGTAGGTGCTTCAGGTGGTTTCTCCGATCGCCAGCAGGCCATCAGCTCCCTCGCGAAACTTGATGCAGACGTCATCGTCGGCGAATGACTCTCAGAATGCACAATGACTTTGCACGGCGCACAGAAGGTGGAAAATGAGGAGCTGCGCCTCGAGGGAAATCTGCTGGAAGAACCAGCTGGCCTTTTCGATCCTACTGTCCTTGAGAATCTAGCACCAGCATTACCCGATATCGCAAGGAAAGGGTTCAAAGCCGCAGTCAATGCTGGGGCATGCGATACTCAACTTTTGGCCAAGGTTGTTGCCGATGAAATAGCGAGGCAAAATCTGAACCTCAAGGTAGCTTATGTAGAAGGTGACACTGTAAACCGGTGAGTCAATTTTCGGCGTTTGGTGGACCATGACTGATACATATAATCTGATCAAGAAAATAAACAAGTTCGTCAGTTTTATCACTGGAGAGAACCTAAAGGACTGTGGATATACGCTCAAACGCTTGCAGTGCTATCTGGGCGGTGCAAGTATTGCAGAAGCGTTGAATAATGGCGCTGACATTGTTTTCTGTGGCCGCGTTGCAAAAGCCGCTCCATCGGTTGGAGGTATGTCACGGCAGAAGATTAATCAAGGCTGAGTTATTGACTAACGACAATAGTTGGGTTGTGGTGGCATGGGTGGAATCGCGAGAAGGACTTTGACCAAATTGCTGGCAGCCTAATATGCGGCCACCTCATAGAATGTGCCGCCTACGTATACGACAGCTATTTCTCTGGCTTCAAGCCGCTGATAGGAGGCTGCCAAATTCTTGGTTTCCCCATTGCGTCGCTTTATGCTCACGGGAGCTGCACCATCGAGAAAGAGCCAAACGCTGGCGGCAAAGTTTCATAGGCACAGCAGCGTCTCAGATACTGCAAGAGATCCAAGGCCACTGTATTTCGGCTCCGACGTGACAGCCTGCCCAGAAGGCGTCGTCATGGCGGAGGAAGGGAAACCCCTGGTTCGCGTAACCGGCGTAAGGGGCCTTCCCCACCCACCACTACGAAAGACGGTATGACAAAGCCGAGTTCCACTTCTATATTTGCGGCATCGACCTAGAAGCCAAAGCTGAGTGGATTGAGCGTCAAGTACGCTATTCCGCTGGCGATGCAATCAAAGAGCTGTCATCATTTAAATTCAGCGTGAACGGGTACCGCCCTGACGTAACACGGAACCAAAATGTCGCAACGTGCGATGTGCGCATTTTCTTTCAAACCAAGAACAAGAAGCTAGTCGATAAATCTACTCTGCATGTCCCAGGTTTCAACCGACGGTGTATGGATAACGGATTGCAAGGCTACCCAGGCTGGACACTAGGTATCGATCAGCGACAGTCTGAGGGCAAAGTAAACTACGAGTATACTGTCAGTCTTTTTCCACAGTCTGAAGTACAGCATCATGTTGTACTGCCTTGGCTTGAAAACAAGACTATCGATATACTGCCACCCAAGGATATGAAATTGTATCCTCGCCAGTCCAACTACGAGATCAAGGATGTCGTGGATCTGAGGACGTTTGGTCCTACCACCAGAGGTGCTATGGGTGAGTTGATTTGATGCCAGTATTAGACATGAGCACTAGTACTAAACAGGATGGGTAGTTGGTTGCCACTCAGGTGGCAATGCATCAGATGCGAATGTCGACTTTTATGTTCGCAATGATGATGAGTGGGGCTGGCTTCGCTCCTTTCTCACCATAAGAAAAACCAAGCTTATGCTTGACGAAGAGTAAAAGGGTGGTAAAGATGAGCACTTTGAGATTCTGGGCATTCGTGCCGTTCATTTCTTGCTCAGAGACCATCTTGACCGTGGGTTTAATTCCACTAGCACTTACGACACACTTGGCAAGAATTTCGGGGAATATCTGCGCGCGAAATGGGTAGATACTTTAAACCGCTTTCTGGAAAGAGGGCGATTCTGAGCGAGGATTAGCATTCCAAGGCTGCAATACGTGGCTGTATTCCGCGGATCTTCCTGCAATGTCATGTAGTCTCTGGGCGACGCAATTCAAGGCATACTGATAATTTGACATGGAATTCCAAAGTCACCGCGGGGCACGGATAAGCTTAGTTCATCCCATGGGTGCTGATATCCGCCCGCTCTAGTCATGAGATGGTGGCACCGCTTAACCTTTTCCACGCAAAATCTGGGGCCCCGCCTTGCCTACCTTAGTGCGGCCGATCGCGTCTCTGGCGTAGTCTACATCCATGGCCAATACGCAGTGATGTGCTTCTCCACAGTTCATCCCTTCGCTTCTTCATCTTCCTGAAGCTGATAACTTATCTTACGACCATGAGCTCCGCTCCGGATACCGAGGTCTCAGCGAGAAGAAGGCGGAGGGCCTCTATGGCTTGCTTACATTGCAGAAAGAGTAGGATTAGATGTAAAGTCGAATCGGGATTCACAACCTGTACACCGTGCAGACAAAGTGGTGTCACGTGCGCCTTTGATTCAAGAGATGGAAGGAAGAATCGAGCCAATTCGAAAGCTATCGCAAATGAGCTGAAAGATCGCATCCGACATCTTGAAGGCCTGCTCAGGCAGAGTAGCTCAGAGCACATCAATGAGGCAGTTAATGTTCAAGAACAACTACAGCAGCCACAAATCAACTCTCCCCATCCCTCCGAGTCCGATTCCGGATCTCAATTCACACTTGCTTACGATGAAGAGCCTCCCCCATATACGGACACAACTCAACCTATCGTATGGTCTCAAACCCAGTCCCAGCGGAGAGAACAACAAAACAGATCCATGCTAGCCAAACTCATCCCCCATCCGGTCAAGTTCGACATGTCCGCCGGTCGCGTGCGTTTCTTCGGTCCAACTACAAACATGCACATCCTCTCGCGACCCGCTTCCGACACGTCCCGCAGTCCCGGTCCATTCTGGCCAATCTCAACTCTGGTCCAAAGCCTCAGTCCCGCGACGCATGACTACCTCATCGACCTTTTCTTCGACTGCCACAACTCCGCGCTGCATATCGTACACAAGTGGGCATTCTTTGATGATCTCAAATCCGATGGCACGCAGTTTTATTCTAACTTTTTGCATATGGCAATGTTAGCTGGGGGATACCGGTATTCTGACAAGAGGCGAGAGGATATCAAGAGGCTCGCGGCACCAAAGGAAACAACTGATAGCTCGATCTTCCATACGAAGGCGAAGAAGATGGCGGAACAGGAGTTGATTAACCCAGGAGGCATCCCGTCTATACAAGCGTTCTTTCTGTTGGCGGATCTAGAAGTTGGTGTAGGGAGGGATGATACCGGGTGGATGTTCGCAGGGATGTCCTTTCGATTGCTGTATGATGTTGGGCTGCATGTTGATCCAAGCGAACTGAGATTAACGGATCGCGAAGTGCAGATCAGACATATGGTACTGTGGGCCTGTATAATGAACGATGTGTAAGCTCCGAAGGCGTATCTCATTGTGTTTTCCAGGGTTACCCGGCTGACGACTAAGCAGATACTGGGCTTTATACCTCGGTCGTCCCACCATGCTCAAGTCCTCAGACATCGCTCCCACGTGTCTGGAGAAGGACTTTGACCGCTTGATTGAGAGTCAGACGCGTACGTATGCATATCAAAAGACTATAGAAACCCGTGTGTACGAAGCACTACTGGAGCTCATGGATCTACTGGAGCCTCTCTGCGGGACTCCGTCCATAAGCAAGAATGCAAAACCTTCGGATGCTTATCTCAAGATAGCAACTCTAGATCGCACCTTGAACGATTGGTACGCGGACCTACCAGAGCAGCTGAAATGGACAGAGGGTACCATCCGCACAGCACCTTCAAGCTTTTTCTTGCTACAGTACGTAAGCCATGAATGACACAATAAGACGAGTTGTGCTTACCAGCATAGCACACAATACCACACAGCACTTATCCTCATCCACCGCGCATTTCCCAATCAGACGCAAAACCAGACACCCTCTTCCCACTCCGGTTTCACAGACCTCAGTACGCTATCGCGCAATGTCTGCGTCAACAACGCCATCCGCATCTCTGATATCATCTCCTCATACCGTGCCCGGCATCCCCTCCAACGCATCTTCGCTACGGGCCTTCAACACGTCGGCACAGCAGCAACAGCCCTCATGGCCGAGATCAGCATGCTTCAAAACGAGCAAGACAGTCCACAGCGAGAAAGGTTACTAGACTGTCTTAGCGGGCTGAGTGAAGATATGAAGACCATGAGCGAGACGTATCAGCCAGCTAAGCTGATGGCGAGCGTGGTAGGGCACTTCATCCGGGGTCCTAGCGAAAGTTCGACTGCAAGTTCCTTACCTCCGCCGATGCAGACAATAGATCGTACACTTCCGTCGCGTATTGCGCCGGAACTGTCAAAAGAACCTGCAATTGTCCCGCAATCCCTTTCCACCTACGCTAGCCGTGAATCTACATCTGCTCTAGCTTTCCCTGACCCTCCAAGCATCTTCACTCGGGGCTCTGCTACACCACTCGGTATTCAACCTAGACTTTTTGATATCAGTGGGGGGTTGCCGAGTCTACCGAGCAGTTGGTTTGAGGAGATGGATTGGGAAGAGGACAATGAGTTTCTGAGCTTGATGGGGTTGAAAGACTTGCAGGGGATGAGTAGTGGCGTGGGAGGTGGGCTGGATGCTGGATTCGAGTTGGGCGGGGGAGAGGAGGGCTGAGAGCGCGAGAGAATTGGTGCAAATGTATGATTTAACGAGTATGGTCGAAAACTATCTTTCCGGTGAGAACTGATAAACTGTAAGCCTTTGGAACGAAAGGTCTTGGAAATTTGTTGAATAGTCCATTGCTCAATTCTTCCCATCCTGTCTACGCGTCGCGCATTGCCATGACATATACCCACCCATATACCCCGCAAATCTCCCTCTTTCTTCTCTCTCATCATCGAATACTCCCACAGATACTACCGTTCCCATCGAATATAGTCTTCCTGTCGGACTTGCATGGCTCAGCACACTCCCGGTCATTGGCGAATACTCCTTCCCAGTCACGACTTTGTTCGCTTGGAACAGAGGACTTTCGCGGTTGCTCTTCTGCACGGCGGTAATCGAGGTGGGCAGGCTGCTGTGGACCGAAGTTACGCTGATATTGCCAATTTTGCGAGAAAAAGCATCTTGAGAGAAGTATAACGTCGGAATGAGGACATAGATGGAGAGGCTGGCGGGCCCGGAAGAGGTGGCGGGCACGGCAGTAGGTGACATCGTTGCGGACGCGGGTGCGGGGATCAGGAAGACGGTGTCTGATCAGCAGGTCGAAGCGCACCGCTTGACATTGGTTATATCCCTGTATTTGATATGGACACAGTCAAGGACATGCAAGTGCCTTATGACCTGCGAAAGAGAGAGGCGATCGCAAAACATGGACTTGAACACTTCCCATGATCAGAGTGAGCTTGATAATATGTTCTCTTTGGCCACTACTGATGTTGTTCAACAGACTTCACAGGCTCCGATGTTGTCAAGAACGCTTGCTGATCGAGCGCACCTAATCGAACCCCACTGCGTTGAGACTCAGGCGAGGAAGCAATTAACAAGGCAGGAAGGGCCATACGAGTGACATTATCTGCTCCCAACTATCTTTTGACTACAGTAAAATAGACTATGGAGTTTTCAACGACTTATCTAAATCTACAAGGACTGCAGAAACCCGCTTCAAACTCCAATGCCTTGTAAATCATGAAGCGAGGACTAAGTGAGGCAGTACACTTACATCTATGGGGATCGCCATTCCCCTGGCTATCGACGCTCACCAGTGCGACGGTAGCGTTGTGCAGCATGAACGGGTGGGATGCCGCGAGGCGATCGACCGTTATTTCCCTGCCCCAGAGCGACCCAACCTTGGCGGCAGGCGCGGCTCTCCCACAACCTACCTTGGCATTGCTTATCCAACTCTGGCTGATTGTCTAGATCCTGATAAACATCTCTATCAACGTGCACGAGGCGGCCAACAACATGCATGCAGGTTGTTGATGGTCTGCTAGGCGAAAAGCACGAACTACGTCATTATCCCGCAAAACTAGCGGACGCGTCTTGCGCGGTTCTGCAGCCACAACTCGCCGGACAGGAATGACGAAAAGGCCATGAAAAGAACAAATGCATGCTAAAGTATTCCTAAAACAAGGCCGGACGTCTCTTAATACCCTACATCGAACGTTTCCTCCTTTGCATCGCCCCTTCTTACCCCGCACTATAGCAATCATGTCTCCCGCGCAGAAAGACCAGAAGAATCCTAAGTTCGGACATCTACCTTTGTCAACGTCTGGACCACAGGAAACGGTTCTAACAGTAAGATGTGCTGTGCGAGAAGTCACAAACATCGCGCGCTAATCCTGCTCACAGGGCAACGCTTTATTGCGCACACCCTACTTTAACAAGGGCTCGGCTTTCACCAACGAGGAGCGAGATACCTTCAAACTTCACGGCCTGTTACCTTCAAATGTTCAGACACTTGATGAGCAGGTGAGATTGATTATCAACGCATGTGTGTCTTATAAGAGCCAACAATGAGCAGGTCCGCAGAGCGTACGCCCAGTTCCAGTCGCGACCCGATGACCTGGCCAAAAACACCTTCATGACGAGCATGAAGGAGCAGAATGAAGTGCTTTACTACCGGGTACAGCTTCGTTCCTTTGTGCCCATATAGATCTAGCTGATGTTTTTATTAGTTGGTTATGGACCATATGAAGGAAATGTTCTCCATTATCTACACCCCAACAGAAGGCGATGCTATTGCAAACTACTCTGGGCTGTTCCGAAAGCCCGAAGGATGCTACCTCGACATTGAGCACATGGATCGGATAGAAGGCGACGTTGACCAGTTTGGAGGAAAGGACGACGTCGATGTGATTGTGGTCAGCGACGGAGAGCAAATTCTCGGTATTGGGGACCAGGGTGTTGGTGCTATTCTCATCAGCGTGGCGAAGCTTGTCATCTACACCCTGTGTGCAGGCATTCACCCGGATCGTACGCTTCCCGTGGTCCTGGACTGTGGTACAGATGTAAGTGGATCCATTTCAAGCTGAAGCATGCTAAACTGCCGTAGAATGAAGACCTCCTCAGCGATGAGCTGTACCTGGGTTTGCGACAAAAGCGGGCCCGTGGTGATAGGTATGACGAATTTGTGGACAGATTCGTACAAGCCTGCAGGAAGCGATATCCGAAGGCTTACATCCACTTCGAAGATTTCGGCCTCACCAATGCTAGGCGTATCCTAGACAAATATACGCCGAAAATAGCTTGCTTCAACGATGATGTGCAAGGTACTGGCGCCGTTACGCTAGCGGCCATCATGGCGGCTTTCAAAGAAGCTAAAATTAAATGGGCCGACGCTAGGTTCGTCATGTTCGGCTCAGGAACCGCGGGTACGGGTATCGCGGATCAGATATCTGACGCGATTGCGCAAGAGACGGGCAAGTCGAAGGAGGAAGCAAGCAAACAGATATGGTGTGTCGACAAGCCAGGGCTGTTGCTAAAATCCAAGAAGGATGAGCTTACCCCAGCGCAAATTCCATATGCACGGGAAGATGGCGATTGGGATCAGAAGGATCATGGCGATTTGCTCTCCGTCATCAAAGAAGTCAAGCCTCATATCTTGATCGGTACGTCGACGAAACCCGGAGCGTTCACGAAAGAGGCCGTGCAGGAAATGGCGAAGCACGTAGACCGACCCATCATCTTTCCTTTGTCAAATCCTACGCGCCTACACGAGGCGAAGCCGCAGGACCTGTACGACTGGACAGATGGAAAGGCGCTTGTGGCAACCGGATCGCCTTTCCCTCCTGTGAAACACAATGGCAGAGAATACGAGATATGTTAGTGGTTCATCTCTTTCACAGAACTTGCTAACGGGTCCTAGCCGAGTGCAACAACTCCACCACGTTCCCTGGTATTGGTCTTGGCGCGGTGTTGAGTCGCACTAAGCTACTTCCTCCTTCGCTGATAGTCGCTGCGGTCAGAGCTCTGGCTGACAAAGCGCCAATCTCTAACGGCACTGGGTCCGGCCTCCTCCCTGATGTGACCGACGTGCGAGATATCAGTGTCCAGATCGCGAAGAATGTGATTCAACAAGCCGTCAAGGAGGATCTGGCTCAGGAGAAAGATATCCCTAGCGACGATGCGGACCTTGAAGAGTTGATCCGCGAGCAAATGTGGGAGGCTAATTATAGGCCACTGAAGCTGGTCGAAGACGACGAAGCCGATGCGTTCGCGAGAGGGGAAGCTGGGGCTGCGAGCCACCAGAGGACAGGAAGTGTCAACTGGACAGCAAGGCTATGATCTTTGAAGCGAACCTATTTTCGTGGGTATGCTTTAACCCTTTCTTTGGTTTCTCATGTTCAATCCCTAGCATAATTGTGCGCGCCTTATAACATAAATCTACAATTTTGGTTGACCAACGACCACGGCGTCCCAACCAGTCCTAGTCGACACTACACAACCTGGTTCACCTCCACAACAACCCGCTTACATGAGAGATTTTGATCATTCAGCAGAGCAGAAGAATGTCCCTCTGATGCACCGCACTCACTCTCTTCCACACGCACCAGCTCGCAAGTGTACGGTCAAATCGAAAAATGCGCAGTACCGCGGTCATCACCCTCCTCTCAAACGCCGCCATGGCTGCTTCAGGACACACGATCACTGGAAGCCCGGTCGGCGAATACGCTGCCTACGACGGCATTGTCTACGACCCGCCCGTAACCGCGACCATCACAGAAACCAAGACAACAACCCAGTACGACACCATCACCTCGTATGAAACCACTGTCACATCCTGGGAGCTTGCGCCGCCCGTCACTGTGACTGTCACGGAGTACATTGACGAGCTGTTCGATCAGTCCTACGAGAACAAGGACGAGCTCGGTGATCTAGTCGTCGCACCGACGATCATCACTGCGACAAAGACGTTCACTCTCGTCGCTCCGAACGAGGAAGAGCCCAGCATGACTGAGCTCGTCAATGAATGGAACATCGAGCAGGCGACGTCGTATGCAACTACCGTTACAGAGTTCACTTCCACCACGTGGGTCCACCAGCACATCACAAGCACCATCTGGGTCGACGAAGCCAAGCCGACCGAGGAGTATGCTGAGGATTTCGATGAGGAGCACCCTGCGGAGCCCACCAAGACTATCCAGCTCGAGGATGGCTATGGAGGCCTCAAAGAGCCCCAGCCGACAGGCTCAAAGTCTCACGTGATCGACCTCCCCGTCAACCAGGTGCCCAACGACGAGGAGCTGGAAAAGCTGCTCGCAGACATTTGGGAGGCAGAGCAAGCTGCCGCTGAGAAAGCCGCACAGGAGGCAGCCAAGAAGGTCTTTGAAAGTGCTGCGAAGGGTGGTAAACCAACCGCTTCGCCGTCGTCTTCTTTGCAGGCTCAGCCTCATAAGCCCTCCCGTCCTCTCGGTTCAACGCCCACCCACGCCCTGACACCGTTCCACACGCCCAACCCATCCAGCTCGCCAAAAACATCCACCTTCGCAACCAAGACCTCGCTCCAGGCGGCTCCACGCCCGCAGCCCTCTGTATCCGCAGGCAAATGGAAAGGCGAGCTGATCAACACGCCTGACGGCACGTGTGGACCTAAGGGCGGCGAGATCGCATACACGTGCCAGGGTAACTCGCGAGGTTCGTGCTGCAGTTCATACGGCCACTGTGGCAGCGAGGATGCACACTGCGGCACGGGCTGCATGCCCACCTTCGGCACCTGCTCGCCGGCAGCGTCGTCCAGCGAGATTTCGCATAACATTGCGAAGCGCTCTGAGACCCTAGAAAAGGTGCACAGCGAGATGATCCAGAAAGTAGTCGACATGATCCTCGCGGACCTGGAATTGCACAACAAGAATTTGCCATCCTCCCACGGCGTTGCCAAGCGCTCTTCGACCCCAGATAAAGAGACCAAGAAAGTCAAACAAGACCTCGCCAGCCTGATTCTCACGGGCCTAGCATCCCCCAATAAAACCTCGCCACACGCCCCGAGCGTTGCGTCGACCCCAAAATCCGAGGCACATCTCTTCACCGCCAAGCTCAAGCAGGACTCGATCGACTTCCTCTCCTGGGCCGCCGTCTTCCAAAAGGCCCAGGAGAAGGAGAAGAGCAGCGAGATCGACGAGCGCGATCTGAACCTCAACGTCCAGTACAACATCACCGCCATCGACGGCATCTTGCGCCACTTCCGCGCGGAGACGATCAAGACCATGCAGCCGTACAACGTGACGGAGCTGATGGAGGCGCTGAGAGCGGAGGGCGAGCTCAAGAGGGCGATGTGGATGGTGAAGGGGCGGAGGAAGATTGGGGAGGAGTTTGAGTGGAATGTTAATGGTTCTGTTGCTGTCAACGAGACTGCTCTCGCCATTGAAGCGGGCATATATAATCGTACCGCTGCTGCTAGCCAGACTGCAGTCGGTGATAAGACCACAGTCAATGATGGGAGTGTGCTTGCTAGGGGCACTCCTCTCACCGAGATCGAATCCGGCCTCATTGCTCAAACGGGCGCCATCGCGAGGCGCAGCTGCCCGAAGTGGCTGTGGTCCTGCTGGCCGAAGACGCTACACGATGCGATCAAACATCACAGGGATGATGGCGACGACAAGAAGCATGACGATAGTTCGGACAGTAGCTCTGACCGGGAGTAGCGGCGGTGCAACTGGAGGCGGGTGCGTAGTCTTCATTGCTTATCTTTGGGAGATGCAGCGAGGATGGTGAGCTTAAAATTTGATCTAGACTGGTTGTGAAAGGTGTCAACTGAGTTGCGACGAATTAGTTTTGGCCTTCCAGTAGAGGAAGTTGTACTCCAAGTCACGGCGTTATCGCCTCCGGTCTTCAGAAGACTAATCTCATTTCACCGCATCTGTGATGATCCTTCCTCAAGCCTCCCTAGAATACGCAGGCGGCGCCTCGTCCTCCCCTTCCACCTGCGGCATCGTCCTCTGCGGCGGTGGTTGCTCGCCGCCCACCACCTTCCGGAACGCCTCCTCGCGACTCCACTGCAGTTCGACCCTCCGCTCGCGCAACTCACCGCTGGCGTAGTTGACGTCCGCAAGCAGCGCCTTCTCCCGCCCCTGCTGCTCCTTCATCAGCTGCGCGCCCTTGCCCAGCGCGCGGTCGAGCTGTGCTTCTGCGGCCTGAATGCGCTGGTGCCTGTTTCCGTTAGCCGTGCCTTCCTTCTCCTCAACAAGGGGAAAAGCAACACTCACATCTCCATGTCCGTAAAAATATTGTCGAAAACAACATCACTCCAGATGTTTCCAATCCGCACATCCACCGCCCCCAAACTCCTCACCTCGCGTCCAGGCTCAATCTGGCTGATCTGCTGGCTCAGCATGCGCACCTGCCGCATACAGCTATCCGCCTGCTCGAGCGCATTCCTCTTCGCCATGCTCGCAAAGGTAGATCCGCCCCAAAGATCCATGGTACTCATATCATGTGCCTGCATGAGCAGCCTCTTGGCGTCGAGCAGGCGGCCGCACGCCTTCTTCACGAGCTCGAGGACATGGCGTTCTTTCTCCAGCGTCTGGGCGAGGGACTGCAGCCGGGCGTTGGCGGCTTCGCAGGCGGCTTCGCGGGCGTCTTCTTCGGGGAATTCGGGGGTCGTGCCAGCGAAGATGGAGTTGTAGAGGGCATCGAGGGCGCGCTGGTACTCGTCGTGGCGTGCAGCGTCTTTCTCATAGCCGGCCTTTGCGACTTCGGCTTCAGCGACCAACTGTCTTACATATCCTAGCTCGTCTTCTGCGCTCTTCTGCGCTTGGATCGCGTCAAAGTACTCCTTCTCTTCCTTGGCGGCTTTCTCGTTGAACTTATCCGTCCTGCCTGATGCGCGATGCGCGAAGCGCCGGAAGGTGGATTCGTTGTACTTCCTGTGGTCTTTGAGCTCGAGAGCTGTTTTTTCTTTCAGGCGCGAAACTTGTTTTTCTGTTGCTTTGAGCTGTTCATTCAGGTCCTTAATGTATTGGATTTGTTGATAGAGCTGGGAGGGAGCGGAGTCGGTCTCGTGGAGCCCGGCGAGGAGCTCCGCGTTGCGCGATGCTGCTTGGCGGATTTTCTCGTGCGTCGATGTCATTGTGATGGGTTGTGTGTTCAGATCTGGTGGTGGGGTGGTGCCAGTGCTGCTAGTTATGTACGTCACCGGGACTTATGGTTCTGCTATACAGTGGTTGTTGGAGTGGTTGTTCGTATTATTGGGTGGCGTGCTGTGGCGGTGTTTTCCTGCACTGCCTCATGTGGTGTTGTACCTCCGTTGATGCCTGCGTCTTGGACTGGTGAGCCTGTACGTCAGCCAAGCAGGAGCAGTGCCCAGCCTCTGGGGTAGAAAACGCTCTCTGCGCCACACCTGTGTAACAATATACATGGTCGATGAATCTTGCTTCAAAAATATGCCATTGGTATCAATTCCTCTCGTACTTATTCGCTGACCCTTCCTTCCTAATCACCCCACTGAATGTCCTCAAATAAACGCATCAGCCAGATAAGTCTGGAAATTCGAGTCCCTAAAGCTTGGCGTCGCAGATCCAAAGTCTGTGTTCTCAATCGCCGTCCGCGCCGCCGCGGTCATGCTCTCCCAAGCAATCAGAGGCTGCTCGCCACCCAGGTCCGTAGTTGAAATGAGCTGGTGGTTGACTGGGTAGTAGCTGATGTAGCCGATCTTGGGGCGCGTGCCTGTTGTCCAGATTAGCATTCGATGCCGCCAATATCGAATCGTAGTACCTGGAGCTGAGAAGGAAGTGGAACGGGAAAAGGGAAAGGTATGGGATAAGTTGAAACGTACCATCCAGCGACGGCGGGCTCGGCTTTTGGTAATCACCATGCGCGGAGATAGCCACCCCCCTCACCGTCGCACTCGTCGACGCCGAAGAAAGCCACACCACAATGTTCTCCCAGTCATGCCTATGCCCCAACCCCGGGCCCGGACTGTCCTTGGGCATGTACCAACTGTACATGATAGCGAACGCACCATTGTACGTCGCGGCGCGCGCGTATACCTGCCCCGGCGAGCTGGAGCACCCGCTGTTGGAGCCGCCCGTGGTCTGGAGACCGCCACTATATGCTTGTCAGATCGCCTTGTGTATGACTAGTGGATAAGGAGGGGAAGAGGCAGAGACGCACCCAGTATTTCCCGCAGCATCAACGGCAGGGAACGGCACACAGCCGTTGAAGACCTTGAGCCAGGGCTTGTACTTGAGCATCAGGGTGCCCGTGGTGCCGTCGGGCACCGCCTGCGCGAAGCCAACGACCGCATCGTGCGCAATGACGGCTCTCTTGCTCAAGTCAGTGGGCAGCGCGGCCGCAGAGGCAGCGAGCAGGCCAAGGACGAGGGTCTTGGGCGAGATCATGGTTCTTGTTGTTCTGGCGTGGCGACAACGACAGCAGAAGGCCGTCGCGGTGCTCTTATACGGATGCTCGGCGGTACCTGGCGACGGCGGTATATCCCATCACCCAGTGTCCACGTCTAACCCCAAAGCTCCCATGCCCCCGCGCGTTTTCCTGGGTGCAGGACCGGAACGCGCACATGGCAACATGCTAGTCTACCAATTGGTCGATCCCTCCCCGAAAGCCCGCGGTGAGGACATGCACTACGCGTCCTCCCGCTCGCCAGGACGACGAGGGCGCGGAGCATAACAGAAGCTGCAGGTTTGCTGTCAGGTGGGCCGGGAACATGTCCCATTCGGGCGATTGTAGATGCGATCGGCAGGGGTCCAAGGCAGTGACTTGACTCTACCCTGGTCTTAAAGAGCCGAAGCGAGGGCAAGGGCTAGGCGTGGGTTCACCCCGCATGAACATTGGTACACTTGCCGGAGCTATGCAGGATGGTTAGGGAAGGTCGATAGGATGTTTGTTTCATCAAAAGTGTAAGATTATAAGATAGGACGTAGTGTAGAGGTATATGGTGTCCACCAATGATATAGGACGTGGTGCGCTAGGGGCTGATAACAGGGTTGCCCCGGCGCGCGTCAGGTACACACTGTCGGTGCTTCTTCGGTTTTCCAAGTGACTATGCCGAGCCTTGCTCTTCGTCGTCAGAGTACGCATCTTTGTTGAACTCTGCCTCGACTTCGCCGGTTGCTTTGTATATCCGCTTGAGATGGTACACCCCATACCTGTATTTCTGCACGCGCATCAGCATCGCTCCAATGGCCACGGCCACCGACAAACATACCAAGTCCTTCTCCACGAATTGCTGGTACGCCTTCGACTGCCCGATCTCGACTGCGACCTCCCACGGCATATCGTAGGACTTGAATTCATACACCATGATGTACGGGTACAGGTCGTCGGGAGTTCGCTTCTGAACCATCTGATTTCGCAGGTCGGCGGCTGCTTCCAGCTTCCACAGGCGCACCCGTAGGAAGTCAGGTGAGCGTTGGATGAAGGGGACGAATTCGCCGCGCCACCACTCGAAGAACGCGTCGTGCATTTCTGGCGTGGGTTGGAAGCTGCCCATGACGAGACAACCGACATCGGCGAGGTCTGATATCGTCAATACTGCACTTGAAGAGGTATAGTCGCTGGAGATGACGTACCTCCTGAGAAAGACTTCGCTTTGTCTTCATATTGACAAGTATGATACTGTGCCTCCAAAATAACGTCCTTCAGCGCATCGATGCTTGAGTTTGCCGGCGATAGACCCTGCTCAGGCGACAACTGCGAGTCTGCAGACTCCAAAGGGTCGTACAGGGTGAACGATGTCGCAGTCTGCGCATTCTCCTCCGGAAACATATTCTCCCCAGCCTGAAAGTACAACGCGCGCGTGCCCAAGCGCTTGGCCGCCTCCGGAATTTGCGTATTCTCGAGCCATTCCTGGTTCTCTTCGGGCACCTCGCCCCAGATACCCAGAATCTTGCTCATGTCGGAGAAGGAGAGGAGAGTAGTGAGCAAGTGCGCCCGCGATGTTCAGGACAAAGAAAAGACTGTGGAGCTGCGCCGCACGACGCAAGGATCGTACGGCATGTCAGTCGCGTGTCAGGAGGACCGCTAAGCCAGCGTGCAACCCGTGATATTACTTCTAGTAGCCGTAAGGAGACGAAGACGCATGATTTACATTTAAGCCGGCTACTGATGGGGGGGATGAGACATGTACCGAGGGAATGCCGGAGGATCTGAGTCGGAGAATAAACGAAGTATAGCAGGGTTGCTCTAGTCGACATCGCCCAAAATACACGCGTAGTTGCCCGTGAAAGGACAGAGTCGGTGAAAACCCGCTCTGGAGATCATCTCTTAGCCCCCTTCAGAAATATCGGATGTGTCTCAGTCGTGCCCTTCCCGTACCGCCGCCATAGCGTGGTGGGCGCCCCAGGTGGCGGTGGGTCCGACCCCGGTAATATCTCGCGAAGGAGGTCATTGATGTCCATGCCGCGCTGTTGACATTCGTGCCATTGCTTCGGATACCCCAGGCTGACCTCCTCGAAGCGGGTGTCGTCTATCCAGTCTGTCCGCCTGACGTGCAAGTGCCCGCTCACGACCACCTTCGCATTGTATGTGTTGTGCCAGTCCTCGGTCTGCTTGGTGCCGCACCAGATGACGAAGCGCGGGACGAGAGGGATGTTGACCAGGTCTTCGCGCAGCGGCCAGTGGTTTATGATGACAAGACGGGTGCCTAGGTTCTGCATGACTGCTTCTGAGAGCTTCGCTTGTGCGCGCTCCACCAGGGCATTGCACCACTCGATGCGCGAGTCGTAAGGGTCGTTGTGGAGGAGATGTTCATCCGTGGCTAAAATGCTCTCTTCGGCGGCCCACTCGAGAGCCTCCTCCAGCGCTACGTGGTCAGGCCGGAAGCTGTAGTCGTACAGTGTGAAGATGGGCGCAATAACGCATGGCCCGCCCGCGCCCTCCCACACCACGAAGTCGTCTTCCGGCGTCAGAACCCCGTATTCGCGCGCTATCTCCACACACTCCATATACTTGTCTTCGCCCCGTTTCCCATTTGACGAGGGCATAGTGAACAGCTCATGATTCCCAGGCACCCACCAGAGCTGCTTAAAACACGCCTTCGCCATCGAAAAGCATATCCTCAGATGCTCCGCTGTCTCGCCCACATCGCCACAGATAATCAGCCCATCGTTAGGTTTCGGCTCCAGGTTCTCCAGCTCCTCACGATTCCCCTTGTACGAAAGATGGAGGTCGCTGATGGCCCACAGACGCGCGGGCTCGACTGCTGGCTCGGCGGGCGGCGGAGGCGGGGTAGCCTCCGACGGTGCGTCGGCGGCGGTTGCGGTCGCGAGCAGAGGATCCATGTAGGTAAGGAGTGACGGCAGGGAGGATCTCAGGGGTTCATTCTGAAAGTGAAGTCCACCCGCACAGGCTCCGGGTATTGCAACGACGCGCAGGGTGGGATGACGGAGTTCAATACATCAACGCACGGACCTATAATCAATGTCCCAATCCCCACGAGCCTATTAATACACAGTATATCCGCATTACATCTTGGACGAGACGAACTGCAAGGTGCAGTCGCGAGCTTCGGATCTACAGGATGGATAAAACGGGCATGTCTACAAAGGGGTTCAGGCGACACCTTACTGCACCGTACCAGTTGATTTGACGCTACGAAATGTAGTAGGGCCAGATCTTCCGGGCGCCGCAACGTCAGGCTCAAGTCGCGTCACCATTCTACGAATGCGCTGCCATTATATCCCCAATAGCATCGGCGCCTTTGCCTCCTCCCTTCAGATCCTTGTTCGTCGCCTGGATCACCACCCTCCGATACGTCGTCAACGCTGGCGTCCCATTGTCTGTGACCTCCAGTATCAGGTGAAGCTGCTGCCCCTTCGCCATCGGCTGCCTGCTCATTAGCTCCACGGCGCACTTCTCAGCTGGCGGCAACACGACTTCGATCTTTGAGCTGTTCGCATCCAGAGGCTTGATAACGAGCTCGGAAACTTCGGCCTCCACCCACCACTGTGTTGCCGTCGGCTCGCGGTAGTGCCACCATTTGAACGTCAGCTTGTCGTTCGCATCCGGGTCGTAGGACGCCGACGCATCCAGCGTAATACTCTCGCCAGCTTCAGCCTCCAGGCGCAGTGGCTCCAGACCAAACTTGCCGTTGACGGCGACCACAGGGTGGTGGTTGACTTTGGCAAAATCGGGCTCCAGGGTCCATTTTATGCGCGCGGCGAAGTCGTCCTGGAAAGCATCTCGCCATCGCCAAATGGCCGCATGGTTGCTTGTGTGGATTCTTCCGTCCAGGCCTTTGACTCGGTCCACGGCATCACTGTAGTGGTTGCTGTTCAGGCCATCGGCGCTGATGTCTGTTCGCGCATATCGCCCACCCCACGAGCCATATTCCGGGAACTCGGAGCTTCCCAAGCCGTTCTGTATGAGATACAAGAAGGTGGGCGTATCGCCTTCAGGAATGAACATGTAGTCTGGGTACGCACTTCCTAGCGGCCCGACCTGAATGTTCTCCTTGATCCAGCTCTTCTCCATCTTGCTGAAGTCCGGTCCGCCCTGGTCGAAGCCGTAGTATTTGTCGCCACTTATTCCCGTCCAGGCCGCCATGCCGTACTGGTTCCAGCCGTGCACCGAGGCGATGTAGAAGATGTCGGAGAAGTTGTTGCGAATCCAAGCGCCAGTGTCGTCCTGGTCGGAAATGGCGTAAACCCGCAAGCGGGAGAGCAGACGGGCCGAGTCTTCGGGGGTGTACTTCTCGTCGATCTTCAGCAGGACGGAGGCGAGCACGTTGGTCCCGCCCCAGCAGAGGATCCAGAGCGGCTGGAGCGAGGGTGCGAGGATGCGTTCAAGGAGGAGCTCGCCGCCTTGAGAGAGGGGGACGTCGGTGCCGACGGCCGACATGCCGTACGTCTGCTCGCTGTCAGCGTGCGCTGTGGGGTGGGTTGGGGCTGGCCAGATGCTACCTCGGGACCCTTCTTGATCAGGCCTCTCAGCGACGCAGCCGAGGGGTACTGCGCGTCCGGATGGGCGTGCTTGTTCAGGGTGTCCACTGCGCCCTCGTATGCGTCGATGATCTTGTGCATGTCCTGGGGGCACACCTTGTTCTTCATCCAGGTGCTCGTGCACGCGACCAGTCCCTCTGTCTGGAACTGGTTCGCGTACAAGAGGTACCGGCACAGGCTCTCGGCATCGTCGGGCTCGTTGGAGATGTCGCTGAGGATGAAGACGCGGGGCTTCTGTGCGAAGCTCTGGAGCCTAGCCGTCGCCATTGTCACCCGGGATCGAGGCGGATGCGCAGCCACGGGGGTTCAGAAAGGTGGTAGGAGGAGGACGCAGCGGCGCTGGAAAGCTCTGAAGGATCCATTTGCTGGGAAGGCGAGGTTGGAGACGTTGTTACGCAGCGTGTCACAGTCCATCGGCCGGGGTTTAGCCAGGCACTTAGGGACGAGGGTTCTCCAAAACGGAAGTCGGAGGCACCCGGTTCCACCTGCTTCCCCCTGCCCCACGCCGACGCGCCGAGAGCCGCTCACCACGCTGCGCGCTGCTGCGCCAGGGTGCTTGCCCTGAGGCTCGGCACTGCCGCACTCTGCCATTCTCACTTTTGCAATGAGGTGACGAAAATGTCAATTGGGTGCATCGGCGGCCTACTGCACGGCATGGGCGAAGGAAGCGACGTTACGCAGACGCACAGACGACAGCGCCGGCGCGGCTCGTCCTACACAGTATTGCTGTCTCCCGCACACGAAGGGAACATTCCCATACTTGCGAACAACTTCACACCATGGCACTTCCTGGCCCCGCCGCTACCATCCTTCCACTACCGACTGAGCTCGCGGCAGCGACTTCGGATTGGACCCAGACATTGCAGCCTTTGAGGGCTCTGTCTCGTAGGACGATGCTCCTCTGGTAGGCCACATGCAACGCCGCTCTTCCCCTGCGGTTGTTGCAGTCTGCGTCTCGATGTTGGCCTACATTTAATTCCGCTTTCAAGCCCGTGATTTCCAAGGATATGATCTTCTCGATCATGAACAATGCAGCCTACCACAATCTCACGCTTTGGATTCTTCAACAGGACATCCAGGCCACACAATAAGTTCAAACGACTGCAGAGACTACGCCAATGTTCTTAGCCGCATGTCGAAAAGAGCTGACCGCAAGGCTGTTGTTATACTCGCTGTCCAAGGGCCAGCCGTACGAAGGGGAAGGCGCTCATCATATATAGCATCTCGCTCCAAAAGACCAATCCAGCACCTTTTCCAAGCTACGTTGGTACCTGACCACGAGCATTGGAGTAGTCCTTCCGTCCAGTCCCTGCGGCCTCAGAAGTCTCATTGTTGGTTGCCCGCAACGCAACTCCCTCAGCGACTCGCCTAGTGGTTCGACATCGCATTGCTGCCTAGACACACAACCCTAGAACGTACCGCGCTACGACCGCCACATGCCCAATGCCACGTCTTCTAACACCCAAACGGCACGACCACTTTGTCATCGTGTACCCGATGATGGCGGGTAGCCGTAAGCGGCTAGCCCCGGGGCCAAAATAACTCTGGTCTGGGCCGCTTTGCCTTTACTGCCTCGGCAGGAGCTGCAGGAACGCCTTGGCAGGAACAACACAAGAGCTTTTTAAATTGGGGAGATGCCCTCAATGGGACGGGGGGATTGCAACTACTTTCGAGATTCTTAAGCTCCGTTACGGTCGCCTTGCCGCTCTTTTAAACGCTCGCATACTCACGCTCATTTGCATACAAAGAAGACGAACTTACGTCCGCACATCACGACGAGATATACCATTTATACGCCTACTAGTCTAATATCATAATCGACTACCCAAACATGCGCGCCTCTACCCTCACCTTCCTCGCCACTGCGGCCTCCGCAACCCAGATCCCCTTCTTCCTCCCCGGCATGAACGCCGAAGGCGCAGGTGTCGCCCCCGACGCCTCCATCATGGCCGCCGACTTCAGCACTACCGTCATGGCGCTTGCGTGTCCCACCAACGCTGCAGAGGACGAGTGCGGCTGGGGCAACAAGGACATCGTGGTCTCCGTCGTTGGGGACAACGTGTACGCGCTTGCCTACCCCGCAGCAGGCGTGCGCTTCGATTGCACGTCCAAGGGTGCGATGACGTGCACGGCTGCCATCGCGCAGGAGTTTACCGACGCGGGGATGGATGGGTTTACCGCGGGGAATGATGGCACCGCGACGGGCACCACGGTGTATCCCAGCAACAAGGTGTTTTTCGAGACGGCGAGGGTGACGGCTGGAGAGGAGAAGCTGACCGAGGGTGCTGGCGCTGTGGAGACGAGCGCGAGTGTGTCGGCGAAGCAGACCGGGCCAAAGGAAACGGGCGCGAGCTCGACGCTGAAGACAACGGGCAGTGTTGCGTCGACGGGTGCTGCGCCAAGCGCGACGGGCGCGAACGCGACGGGCACGACGACGGGGAGCGCGGCGCCGGTGGAGAACACGGGTGCGGCGGCGAGGTTTGGGGCGGCGTTCGCTGCGGTTGCGGGGGCGGCGGCGGTGTATGTGTTGTAGAGGAGGACGGGGTTGAGGTGGAAGTGACCTTCCATTGAACAATCATCAATTCAAGCCAGTTTCATACCTAGGCACATCCGTTCCGGCGCGAGAGAGACGTACATAGGCCCTATTGCAGCAAGTCCTGTCGCATGCTCCAGGTAGCTGGCACGCACGACTGCCTCCATACGGCAGTCGATATCGTTCCGCTGGCTACAGGATCCCATCCATGGTGGTGAGCATCGAGCGTGCCGCACAGCCTATTTAGCATCATCACCGAACTGTGGCGCGCTCGAGTGCGACCGCATACGCAACAGCTCGAACAGTTTTGGGCGGTCCCCATGGCGTTGCGCGCTTCGGCTACACAATTTGTCTGATTGCCAGGGCCATCCCGCGACACTGCGGAGCTGGATGCTGTATCAGAGCCATTTTTCAACGTGACCGAAATGTTGTGGGGCGTGCCAGGAACGCGAGTCGTGCATAAAGCTCTGTGGAGCTGTGCCTAATCGCAAGTCCAAGTCCAATGCAAAGAAAAGAATAGCAGTGGTGCTGTGGTGCTGGGTCATTCGTAAGAGGGGCGGCCCCAACAGTGGCGGCTTCAATGCGAAAAAATATGCTGTAAACCTGTGCCAGACGCGCCAGGCCGGCGTTGAGACAGTGCTGTGATACGGTGGCCGTCTATGGCGGGCGCGCCCTCGACGACCGCAGACCCGTCTCTTGCCCATCCACATGACCTACTTCGGTCCAAGTCCTTCTCCGCGGCGTCAGTGTCCAGGGGCGGGGGAATGGAATACGCTCACAACGAGCCACGGCCACGCGCCGCAACGGCATTGAACAATGAATGTCAGGGGATATCGACCATTGAAAGGAATTTCCTATGAGATCCGCGCTTGCCACATCTACCGTCCGAAATACCTCCGCTCAAAGTACCGAGCGCCCGCATAACTCACAAACGCAAACACGAAGCCCAGCTCGAATCCTACGTCGCCGCCAAACGGCGCCTCGCCTGCGTGCAGCGCAATTGGGCCCACGAACCACACCTGGCTCATGCCCATGACCATGCCGACCACGCCGCAGCAGAAGGCGAACACGGCGGCGAAACTGGGCGGCAGCTTGGAGGGCTGGTCGTAGGTAGAGGGGTCGTAGGCCGACATGCTGCGGCGGTAGATGAGGTGCTCGGCGAAGGCGACGCCTTCGTAGATGGCGAGCCAGTAGCCTGGGTATAAAGATTAGCCCTGGTGGTGCATGGGGGGAAAGGGAAGGGAACGTACCGATAAAGTTCATGAAGTTCTCGAGGACTGCTTCAAAGTGGGAGTAGCCCGGGATCGCAATCGCGATGTACACACCTGTCGCGATAGTGGTCCAGACGAATCTAGGAATACGCTGCGTCCAGCGGCCTAGGACCTGCATGGTCAACGCGACAGAGTAGATGTTTGGGCAGTTGTTCGCAATAATCGAGAGCGCGAGGACGACAAGGCAGAACTTGCCGAAGCCGCCGAGCGGGTCGAATAGTACCGCAGCGAGGAGCCCGCCCGTGCCGGACGCCTTGTAGCCCTCCATGTACGGGTTGTTGCCGTCGTTGATGGTGGTCGCGGTCATGATGGCGATGCCCAGGAACTCAGTGAAGAGCAGGGGTATCATGAGGCCGAGCCAGACGGAGCCAAAAATCTTCTTGCGGGACTGGGTCACGGGCTGGTAGACGGTGTAGTCGGCGGCGTACGAGGTCCAGCCTGTCGCGAAGCCGTAGACGACACTGCCAAAGGACAGCACGCTGCCCATCTCGCTAGTGCCCACGGCCATGGGAAGGTTGACGAAGGCGCCTGAGTGTGCGAATTCGCCGAGGACAATCAGGAAGACGATGAAGGTCGGGATCCAGCTCCAGAACTCGTACGCGTGCACGACCTTGTACCCGAAGAAGCAGACGAGGAGGGTTCCCACCGCGATGATCAAGATGCCGGCCCAGCCCGGGACGTCGTTGTTGACGGCATGAAGAAGCTGCGCGCCGACGATGCTGTTGACGGAGCTCCAGCCGATGCAGGCCAGGACGTTGAAGAAGGCGATGAGCTTGACGCCGTACCAGCCAAACCAGAAGCGTGAGAGGACCATCTGGCGGAGGCCGAAGCGCGGGCCAAAGGTGCTGAAGTAACAGACGGAGATGACGCCGAGGAGGTTGAAGAAGAGGCAGGTGAGGATGGCGTCGACAAAGCCGAGGAAGAAGAGCTCCTGGGCGAGGAGCCCGATGGCGAAGGAGGAGATGACCATGTTGGCGGACAACCACTGAGCAGAGTTAGGTCATGTGGGAGGGTTGGTGCCCAGGCGGTAGGAGGATGTATTACCATAGTTCCCACGTTCAGCAAAGAGGTGTCGTCACGTTCATCGTCGGGCACGCGCTCAATACCGCGCTGCTCAACGTGCAGTTTTCCAGCCAGACGCTGCAACTTGGCATACGTGCTGGTGCCATATTCGAAAGTTTCCCCCGGGACGGCGCCATCATGCGCGGATCCAACTCTTACATCCTGCTTCTCGATGTCGAAGGGCGAGGAAGACATTGTGGCACGCGCCTGCGCCTTGAAGCGTGAAAACAGTCGAATGGTGGGATCGGCGCTGTACTTGTCGCAATCACAGCTCCCACTGTGCCACAGTGAACGCTACGACGCGGCGACCAGGGAGGGGACGGGGTGACAGGTGGGACAGAGCTGTCGTGTGCAAGACAGGACATGCACCGCAGGCCGGCAAGCATACATATGCACGCGTCGAAATCCTCCCGCGCCGTGGGATCTACGGGGAGGAAGCGACAGCCCTAGCGCTGCAGATAGGCCGTCGCCGCCCTCAGAGACGATACGGAGAGGACCCCGCCGAGGTTGCCCGTCGAACCGACCATACGGCCTCTCCAGGGTCTCGCCAGGCACGCTGCGAACGTGCTGCAACACAGCCCTGCTGCCAGGCCTGTCGTCCCGTGTGGTGTTGCGGCCGCCATCTGAGTGCGACCACTGCCCCGGGACGTCTTGTCGCCCTCGCCCTCATCCCCGGTGCGACCCTATCTTGTCGGGGAGCTCCCCACAACAGCGTCGTTTCTTTTCGCGCATTACGCACTCTCGGCGCCGCCGCGATAAGGTTTTTGCCATTGGCCAATGGGCGCGTGAGAGATCACGGGCATCGGCGGGGCCCGCTGGGGCGCGCCATCGTAGCCTCGGCTTGAGGTGCGCAAGCGCGGTGCTTGTTCGTACCAAGCGTGCAACGGGTCTCGGCACATCTTCCTGGTACGCTTTGGCGTTGTCTGGATGCGTCTGGCATGGGAATAGGAGGATGTATTGGGAGATAGGCCCATGTGTAAGAAGTTCGAGTAAGCATGGGGAAGCAATCCGTGGCTTGCTCCATGCGGTACTCGCCAGATGTCGCACTGGCGCCAGCATCACGTCCGCTCCCGATGCGCAAATCATCCATGCACTATCGAAAGCGCACGAAACAGCTCCCCTTCGCCGTCCCATCCGCATTCCGCATGCTCCCATACACGAATGCGATTCTATATGATTGCGCTTGCTCCCATTTACTCCAATGTCCGCGGATCTCTTTGCATGGACAGCCCTGCCAGAAAAATAGCCAGAAATTGCGTGACATCTGCCATATGGCAATGCTATCAAGAAGCAGTGTCCCTAGCGCATTGGGCGACCTCGGCGGAGAGATCACTGGGTAATTTGGACATCGATCAGGCTCACTGCGTTCCCGCCATCTGAGATTGAACTTGCCTGTGGGGACCTAATGCGAGACCAACAAAGGGGCCTCGCAAAGTCAATGACTCGCTGCGGAGCAATGACTGCGCACTTCGCGGCGCTTTCGCAGCTTCCATTTCCGCGTGGCACTTATACCTCAACCTACTGGAAGAATGAATAGGATTCCATGGGTGGGTAGGTTTTGAAACTCAGCTAGAAGACTTCAGAGAGTGAAGTGGGCTAATGAGTGTGAGGACTTCGGCATGCTTGCACATTGAAATGCGAGAACAACTAGAGATAGCAGTAGCTATACTGTTGGCGAAGGATGATGCGAGCGATACTACAGCGCGCAATGACTATCTTGGTCTGAGTGTGCCTCTGTTATCAGCCCGCGTTGATTGTTTTTGTACGTGCGAACAATGTTTGAGATTGCGTTGATCAGCTATGCTGTTATTTTTTTACTTCAAGAAGTGGTGTTCCCAGCAAAGTTACATTGGAGGAGTACTTGAACTGGGTGATATTTCTGAATTCATGATTTTATCATGATTTTGCGAACGCAAGAATCCCGTGCTCAAGATCATGTTTGTAGTGCAGGTAAATACCCACACGATCTTTGAATGCAAAGGTGGCACTCATCCTCTTCCCTTTTTGGAAGCCCGATCATCGCTTCCTTCAAACTGGAAGAGTCGCCTCTTCGTACCAAGTTCACCTAGGTTGAGAACCTGGGGCTGAGGTCGCGAGATGTCACGCACCGAGTGATGGTGTCCTGTTTCTCCATCGCGCGACCTCAGGCCCTCTATCTCACGAAGCATAACTGCCTTGATCTGAGATCTCTCGGGTTCCGGTAACCAAAGCTCATCTCCATTTGTCCACTCGAGGAGATTTTTGAGTGCCTCCGATCTAGGATCAGCGCCATACTTGAGGAAAAGCAAAATTAGCTCTCCTTGGTACCGATTATAGGTTGGAAACGATAAGGCAGACAGCAGACGATACCATATGGTGCGACCGTTGAAAGGGTGGTTCGCATCCAACCCATGCTCGAAGAATATTCTAAGCAAATGATGAGCGCGAAACCCACCAAAGTAGGTATGACCAAGCTCAAGGTTGTCAACAAATCGTTGAAACCACGACTTGAGACCATCGCTGTCGCGGTATGGTAGTGTTAGCATTTGCGCCGCATCGGTGCCATGACGGAGGAAAGCTATCGTTAATCCTCGGAAGGGAGCGACGACATCGTGTAACTCTCTATTTGCTGGTAGTTGAGGCCACATGCTGAACCAAAAAGCAAGCTGCAGTTTCAAGCCATGGTTCACAAGAAAAGAGAACCCTTCCAGCAGCTGCACGAACGCCGCATCGCTCAGCGATTTTGTCTGATCGCTTAAACGAGACCAAACAGAAAGCTTCGCGTCTGGAATCGCGCCGTGGCAGATCATCATCCTTAAGATTTGCCAGTACGTTCCGTAGAATTTACGATTGATGTTGGCCTCCAAAGCTGCAAGGAAGTGACTCCATATAGTGTAGCCACCAACTTTGGCTTTGGGGTTAGCACCTCTATCGAATAATGACGCAATAAGATCTGCTCTTGGCTTTTTGTTAGATACGATATCAGCCACGCTGCAGTGGCAGTTGTGAAGATTCTCCGGACGTAGAAGTAGTATGTCGGCAAAAGTTCCCAAGGCAAAACCAGCAAACGATGAAAGGTGTAGTAACATCCAATCAGGGTCCAAGGGAAGATGATTATTGTCGATTCTGTGCTTGATGTAGTCATCCTGATGGTAATGAACAGCCGCTCTGAGCATCAGGCTCGGATGCATCGATGTATGTACCATACTTGGATACCTAGATTCACAGAGGCTTTCGATGTGATCAATGAGCTCGAACTTGGTGCGCTGGCAAGAGCCAGTGCATTCCAGAGCATCCACCAAATGTCGAGGTTCGAAGCTCGGATTAAGAAACTTGGCCACAGCAATCTTGGCACCAACTGTAGACTTCAGCGGGTCAAAGTCTTGCGGTGCCCGTTTCTGTAGAAATCTCCTCATTTGAGGCATAGCAAGAAAGTCCCTCAGAGTCCGGTGAAGGAAATCAACTGTAACGCGACTCGAATCTTCGTCTGAAGACGGCTCTAGTAGACCCTTGTATCGGCCGTTGAGTCTCCATCGCGTCTCAGAAACTCTTTTGGTGACCGTGGTTGGATCCATAGGTTCGAATGTGAGTGTCCATCCGAAATATGGGTCTTCCTCGTCCAGAAATGAATAGTGTATAATCTCCAGAGGCTCAGGGGCGGCAAGTGCGGATAGGAATGTTCGCGCCATCCGCTCACTGTAGACAGAGTCCACTGATTCCAAGATGTGCCGAAAAAATTGTTCCAGGTCTATGGGCAATTGCTCCAGCCGTTTCCTTATGAGACTGACCGGGTCGTCGTTGAGAAGTCCGTCGCGTAATGAACGCACAACTAGGCGCACCCACAGGAAGACGCCCTCTGATCTCTGCCCTATACTGTTGACAAGGTCTTCATATTGCTGTCTCTGGACGTTCTGTCTCTGGTAGTCCCTGTGGGTTAGTATCGAATCTCGAGCAAAATTTTCAATGTCTTTTCGAGTGAAGAGATGTAGTTGCATCGAATCTGCACTTGACTGCCCAATGGTGTGTTTGAATTGATTCCACGGCCTACTCGACACACATATCTTGAAATTAGGAAGCTGGGCAAGTGCCTCCATGATATCGATGACCTTGTAATGATCACCGTCAAATTCGTCGAGCCCGTCAATATGGAAGTAAAACTTGACCGGAATTTCATGCTGTGTTTTCAGCCTGTTGAACGCATCTTCTAGCTCTGAAAGCGACCAAGGGATCTCATTTCGATCTGATGAGCTCAGGACACGTGCTCAGAATCTTGTAGAGAAGAGATTGCAGTAATCCCTCGATAGACTTCTGCATGTAGGTCCCAGAGTTCCACTCAGAGAGAAAAGTTCGCAACCGAATTGGATAAATTGGAGCACATTGGCAGCGAGGCCCACAGCTGTAAGAGCGTCCATGCAGTCAGCCTTGCGGACGCAGCGGACTTCCAAAGGTTTTCGCCCCAGTGAATGAAAAAGACCAATTTTCAAAATCGGATATACTGAGCAATCTGTTCAACTGCGGTCAACGGTGGGAGTGTTTATGGGTAGTCATGATGGGAAGATATGGAGGAGTTGCTCCTCAATGTCCCTCGTCAAAGGTGGCTGGATCGCAGGCAACCAATGGTATCCAAAAGCGCTACACCGGTCGACACTGCCACGTAAATGTAAAAGGCTAAATCTGTCTTGGCGATTCAGTGGAAAGTAGCGCAGGGCGAAAATACCTCGTGTATACATCTAAGAGCCCCTCGAGACTTCACCGATACGCTCGAACTGTTCTGTGCGTGTACAGACAGTGTCGGCAAAGCTGACTCGGAGTCATTGGCTAGAATAGCACCTGCATTACAACCCTTTCTGGATCAACCCTCATCAAGACCATGCCTGCGAAGTCGGTCATAGAGAGGTTTTTTTTCCTTATCTGCATAAATCAATGGGCCAAGCTATTCGCTGTTCACAAACTTGCTTTATCCTGGACTGAGGAATGTTATCGAAGTGAGTGCGGGTGATATCTAATTATGTGCAGGGGCAGAACCAATGATATCTGCAGCGTCGGGCCTCTCACCGGTCACCCTTCCCCGCATGTTTGCGACGCAAGACTGGTATTTCCTACAATTGTGAGTTCATATCCATAGGTCCAGTTCCACACCATCTTGTCTGCCGGTCAAACCAGACACATCGCAAGAGCGATACCACACGACTAAGCCCTTACTCGGGACCCGATGTAGAGCGTATAGTATGGTACGAATTGTGCCTCCAAAAAATACCTACTATTAAACTTAGCCATCAAGAAGATGAGTCTCAAATATACTGCTTTGCCAGCAGGCCCAAGTTTCCTGAGCCTCCTCCCAATTGAAGGGCCGGCTTCGGGTGGCCTCAGCTTTGCAATGATTATTGCAAACATCGAAGATGGAGAATTCTCATTCAAGGCTGGATCGTATTAGTGGACGACAAGCATTGCGGATTGAGCCTCACTGTCAACGCTCAACATTTCTACATCCGGCTAAGCTTGCACGAATCTCGTAAGGTACTTCGGGATGCGACTTCAAAGACACGCCAGTATTTGTACATGCTATATGCATGAGCCAGAGCGGCATCTTCGAGCGCCACTCGAAAGCTAGAGACATAAGTAGCATCTATGCGTTTGCACTAAATGTGTTTGTTTTGCAGGGTCCGCATCGGCCATAATCGATCATATCTTCGATTAATGTAAGGTAAACAACCTACATACTGCCCACGATCGAAGAATCGAAGAATCTGGAAAGCTAGAATACGGATAGGCTTTATGTCACGGTAGCAGGAAGCTATGAAGGACTGTATTGATTCCTATGAGAGCTGATACATGAGATGGTTTTTATGCTCAAGCTTATCGGCCCGAGAGGCTTGTACCCCTCAGCAGCTGGCGTACACCCAATCAATCTCAAACAGCTCCAGTTCCGTCACACCTTACCGCAAGACAGATCGCGGTGCATGATTGTACCTGGTGTGAGGCCAGGAAAGGATGCTAGAGAGATGCAACTAGGTTCCTGTTACTAGTATAGAGTACTATCGACACTGCTTTACCCACATTACGTCGTCATAAACTTTGATCAACCTTCTATCCCAGCTGCCTGGAACCAGGCTCGCTTCCATTCCGACGTCAATCCAAGGTGATGCGACTTCATTCGACGCCATTCTGCTTAGACTGCTTAACAATGCTTTGAACATCACGGGCATTGTGAGAGCATGGCAGGGGGAGCCATAGCCGATGGAATGAATGTTGAAATCTGAGAGGGGCGGTGGAGATACTTGGATATATATGACGAAACACTTTCCAGCTAGGCTAAAGTATGTGAGCATAGTGATCATAAGAGCTACCACCAATGCCTTCGACAAAGAGAATCGCTGGATCAATGTAGTGGCGATGAACTTGAAATTGCGACCAGCTATTGGACTGCTGGCGAAGGTTGGTATGCATAGTACCTATTTGGATTCATTACAGTCCAACATGACAACACCAAACCGGCCTCGCCACGGGTCCCGCTTAACAGACGGCCGGAATAAGCCCTTTCTTTCTCAGTAGTAAGTTCGGATAATGTTACTCTACCCCAGTGTGCCATGTCACGTGACGTATCTCCGGTAGACACATATTCGTCCGTTTCAGCAAATTCGTCCGGTGGCTATGCCATGGGCAGAAACTTCGCAACTCCGTCATTACTAGCGTCGCATGCATCAGGATGATCCTCACAATCAAGATATTTCAAGACTGCAAGGTTGAAGCCAGAGCCTCGGCACCTCGGTAGCGAGGGAAAACCCCAATTTGAAAGCGAGCAAAGAACAAAGCCGCCGCGAAAAGAAAGTTCTAGTTCTACGTCAGTACCCGCTGTGGGCAATACTAGCGGGCCGATGTGGAGTTAGGTTGATTATGTAATGCATACACTATGGTATCATCTGGCGTCAGTCCCCTCACATCCGAAGCAGTACCTCAAAAACCGAAGCCATCCATTGTTCTCCTCTGAATTGACGTATACACCATGTCTGTCCCTCAAACACACCGCGCAGCCTTCATCCACGGCAAAGGCGAAGCAACCAAGATCGGGGAACGCAGCCTCGGTAAGCTCAAGCCTGATGAAATCGCCATCAAGGTCGCCGCCACAGCAATCAACCCCGTGGACTGGAAGCTCCGCGACTACGGTCTCTTCATCGTTCCCGGCTGGGACTATCCCGCCATTCTAGGATCGGACGGTTCTGGCACAGTGGCTGCCGTTGGAGACGACGTGTCGAATTTCAGCGTTGGCGAGCGCGTGTTCTTCCAGTCTGGATACGGCAACCCAGACGTCTCCACGTTCCAGGAGTATATCAAGATTCCCGCCGAGGTAGTCGCGAAGACGCCGAAGAACATCTCCGACGAGGAGGCGGCTGGCATTGTGCTGGCGACACATGCTGCTGCAACTGCGTTTTACGACAAGACGGGCCATGGATTGAAGGCGCCGTGGAGCGAGGGTGGAAGCGAAGTCGGAAAGGGCAAGGCCGTCGTGATTCTTGGAGGAAGTTCGTCGGTCGGCCAGTATGCCATTCAGCTTGCAAGGTTGTCTGGGTTCGAGCGCATCATCACGAATGCGAGCGCGGCGCATCATGAGAATTTGAAAGCGCTTGGAGCGCATGTGGTTCTGGACCGCCATGCTTCGACTGCACAGGATTTCAAGAAAGCTCTGGATGGGCTCCCGCTCGAACTTGTGTTTGATACCATTGCTATCAAGGAAACGCAACTGCTAGGCGTCGAGACTTTGCAGGCTACGGGCACGAAGGACTCCAACGTCGTGATCGTTGGAATGACTGACGAGGAAGCGAAGAAGCTGGGCGAATCAAAGGAGCCGAAGGTGGCGATCAAGGGAATTTTGGGGATTGCGTTGGCACCCCATCTAAGGTACCTGATTACTGCGTTGACGGATAGCCTTGGTGGAGAGAAGGGGTGGCTTGCCAGTGGTAAGTTCAAGCCGAACAAGGTTGAGATTACCGCGGGCGGCCTCGAGAAGCTGCAGGAGGGAATGGAGAAGAACAAGACTGGCGTGTCTGGTGTGAAGGTTGTTGTCAAGTACTAAATTTGAACTGTGCCTTTCGGGCAGGACTGTTCTCATATTAGCAACATACAGCGGCAGGTGGAAACAGTTATCACTGCTCAAGGAGCTCGAATCAGTCACGTGACCGTGTCATCGCCAGGGTCCAAGAAGTCAACCTGACATGTTCCCAGCGCCGTGGAGACCGTCGACAGCTCCACTGTGTGGTGCTGTGACACGTAACGACCGTGCATAGAGCAGCTCAATGTGCAACAGCTTCCTCCCTGATGTCAAACACGCCCTTGCACAAAGTCTTGCGCAGTAAGTGTAGAGATAGAATGTGTGCTGTGAACAGAAGAAGGCTGCCAAGCGCCTTTTCCCGACCGCATCGTGACGAGGCATTTAATCTCGCGTTCGGATTTGGACGCGTGCATTACACGTGGACTGCAGCAACCGGGAACCTAGTCTGCAGATTGAGGATCCTTGCGACGTTATCGACGCCGCATTTTGGGGGTTGCATTCGGTGCGTGGAGAGTCCATCGGCAGGAAGCCCGATCGCGGCTTCCCCGCGACGGCGCAGGCGAATCAGACCCCAACACCAAAGCCAGATCCGACGCTCTTTCTGCGCATCACCTGAAGCACACTCGACGCGCGCTTGGCATCCAAGCTCCGCTCCCTCTGCTTGCTCTTCATACTCGCGGAGTGTGCTGCCGCCTCCGCTCCTACATAGGCTGTTCTACAATCACCACGCCGTTGTTTCTTGTTTCTTGGGGCTCCGGGGGGCCCACAGTATAGGTGACCCTTTCGCCTGGGCGTGGTTCTGCCCAGAGCACGATGCATCTCCATCTCCACCCCGCGAACCTCACCGCTGGATGATCCGATCAGTCCATCAGCAACGCCGTTCGCACTTCGACCGGATTGCCATTCTTAGCTGCGACATCAATGACAGTTGAAAGAAGACCAACCAAGCTGCTCGGCTGACGACTGTGGTTTTCTCGGCGCGCAAGCCCCTTCCTTGGCCGTCGAGGGTTGTGCTCGGCACGCCAGGATGGCTGAAGCTTCGGCGCATCCGCCGCGTCGTGTAGCGGGGAGAAAGGCAGCTATTGCAGCCAAGTGCCCCGGAGTCGACCTGGGCGAGAGCTTCTCAGAGTCAAGTCGCGGGTACACGATGCCTGGAAGGCTTTTCGACGCCTCCCGCCTTGAGCAAACACCGTTGCGCATGGGCGAGGCTTGAACCCTGGTGTTGCACGCAGCTGTCACCCCTCGCGTTGGGCCATGTACCAGCTGGAAGGATCTGGAAATCTCCCCATGGGGACCGTGTGCTCGCGCCAGCTTCCTCGCTTTGGCCAATTCTCCACGAAAAATCAATGATCGGCACCCCATGCCTCCATTGTTTTGTCACTATGGGTTGCGCGTTTCTTCACCGGCCGCCGGTGCACCAACGATGCTTGGTCGTCTTGGCTGCGTATCTGCGGGCACCACCCGCCTGCACCTTGTTCACGACCTACCGCTCTCGGCAACTTGGCATCCCTTGGCTCGTCACATCGCCAGCAGCCCGCGTACAGATGACCTGCACGACAATGGAATCTTACTCGTGTACCATGAGCAACCCCGCCATGCACCCATTCTGCACGTATATAGAGACCCTGTGACCCCGATGGTGAAAGCCCGTACGCCTGGAGCCTCCTCAGCTTCTCATTACCTGAGCGCTCGTCTTTCCTGCATCTTTATCCGATCTTGGTTGCCAAGTCACAATGTCTACAACCAATGAGCCTGCGGACCCTATCGCCAAGGGTATCTTGCCCACGGCTAAGCAGTCCTTGAAAGACTTGTTTGTGTGGAAGCAGAGAGTCGTCGTTAGGAACGAATACGGCGAGGAGCACACTGAGTGGCAATCGCCTGAGCCTCTGAAGAACCCAATCAGCCTCTTCGCTCAGCTGAGCGCGAGGGACTGGCTGTACTTCATCGTCGGTTTTGCTTCATGGACAGCCGACGCTTTCGACTTCCACGCCCTCTCAATCCAGACCGTCAAGCTGTCCAAGTACTACCATCGCTCAAAGACGGATATATCCACCGCCATTACTCTTACCCTATTGCTGCGATCTGTCGGTGCTGCCGTCTTCGGTTTCGCGGGAGACAAATGGGGTCGAAAGTGGCCGATGGTCATCAATATGATCATCTTGGGTCTGCTGCAGATTGCAACTATCTATGCTGCAACGTTCAATCAATTTCTGGCCGTTCGAAGTCTTTTCGGGCTCTTCATGGGTGGCGTAAGTAAACAATCGGGTACAAGGTGGATGTCGTTCTTGCAGAAGAAATCCTTCTCGTTAAGCTCAGACATGTACCATCCATCCTGTCTAAATTCAAACTGACTTTGTGTCCGTATCTCAGGTGTTTGGAAATGCTATTGCCATGGCCCTCGAGAACTGCCCGTAAGTTAATTGTCTCTTTGCAACTAGACACCGGCTAATTATGATAGCACCAACGCTCGTGGTCTCATGAGTGGTATCTTGCAACAAGGATACTCTTTCGGCTATGTTTTGGCAGCCTGCTCTAACCTTGCTGTTGGCGGAGAGGTTGAGTCCTGGAAGACTGTATTTTGGGCTGGAGCCGGTCTTTCTATCGGTGTCGGATTGATCCGAATTCTATTCCCCGAGTCAAAGCAATTCATCGAGGCGCGCAAGGCTGGCAAGCGAGCTCAAGCGCCGGGAGTATTCTGGAAGGAGACCAAGAAGATGCTTCGACAGGAGTGGAAGATGTGCATTTACTGCATCATCCTCATGACCTGGGTAAACTTTGCAACCGAGGACACGATGATCTAATGCTGACGAAACGTACAGTTCAACTACTACTCCCATACCAGCCAAGATTCTTACACTACATTCATGAAGACACAGAAAGAGCTGTCTGACGACGGGGCAAACCGTGCTTCTATCTTGATGAAGACTGGCGCGTGCGTTGGCGGAACCTTCATCGGTTACTTCTCGCAATGGTTTGGTCGTCGCCGGTCCATCATCTGCGCCGCGCTGATCTCCGCTTGCCTCATCCCAGCGTGGATTCTCCCCGAGACCGAAGGCGGCCTTTCCGCTTCCGGTTTCATGATCCAGTTCTTCGTCCAGGGAGCATGGGGAGTCATTCCCATCCATCTGAACGAGCTTTCCCCTCCCGCCTTCCGATCCAGTTTCCCTGGTATCACCTACCAGCTGGGTAACATGATTTCGTCCCCCTCTGCCCAGATCGTTAATGCCATCTCCGAGAGCCACTTCCTCAGGTCGAAGAAGAGCGGCGACATTGTCGAGGCGTACGGTCCGACCATGGGTATCGCGACTGCCATCATCGCGCTCGGTATTGCTACTACGGCAGCTCTTGGACCCGAGAAGAAGGGTCGTCACTTCGAGACTGTTGGCCCGCCAATCGCTGTGGACATCCCCAAAGACATTGAGGAGGGCCGCGTCAGCGACGAGAAGACCGAGACGAAGGCGGTCGAGGTCAGCGAGAAAGCTTAGGTGATGTCTACTTGGTGTGGTATGCAACCGCAAGTCTCGAAACAACAGGGGAATTAGTTACGAGTAGGTAGATACCAATATCGAGCAGCCAAAGGCACAATGAAAAAACTGATTGAGAACCAAGATCTTTCTCAACGCTGTTCGCATTTCTGTAATGGTTTATCATCGCTTCACTAACAGCGTTTGAGTCGACGGGACAGATCCAACCCTGACCAAATTGTTTCCTCCTCTGAGCCAAACCCCAAAATTTCGATTACCTTCCCACAATGCTTCTTGTGCATCAGCGCAACACCTTCCGGCAATCTAGCATCCTGACTCGCCTTGACAGTTTCACGCTCCGCAGCCGCAATGCACGTACTCACCCGTTTCCAGCCTCAACGTACGATCCTGTCCCCAATGCGGAAGTATCCCCCGCTACGCCATGAAGCATTCTCCCCACGCGCCGCTAGTTGAGTGGGGTGCGCTTAGCATACCTTGTATTGGCTACGTCGATAAGTGCCGCGGTGGCGCCGAACCAGGAACTGGACTCTTTCCAAGACGCGCCGAGAGATTGCCAATGCTGAGGGTTTCGGTAGATGGTTTGTTTTTGTGTTCATGGATGGGACTGGTACCCGAGAGGAGATTGTTGCAGCACGGCGGGGCCAGGATGAGGTGGGTTTCTTGGTGTTTGAGTGGAGGAAGGCGCGTTTGAAGGGGGCATGCTTGCGTCACGATCTGGCATTGTTAGTGCGGTTCGTGCGGCTCTTTCGACTTCGCTGGAATTGAGGCTCTTGCCGGTCTCTTACACCACGTGATGATAGCAACGCAGGGGCCTCGGTGTATCTGCACGCAGCTTGTAAGAAGGCCATAGTGGGGTCCGCAACCCTCTAGCCCATCTGCTAACGCATCCCAAGCCCCTAGTCCATTCCCTCGGCCAACTCCCGACCGCACCGAACCCCACCATTCCATCCACCGCCCAGTTCTATTCTAAATTCTCTCCACATCAGTCCCCTCTCCCAGCGCACCGGCACACTACGCGGTCGCCATACACACCTGCTCGATCCGGCGCAGCACGAAAATGGCGACTTCGGACACGGAGAAATCCGCGGGAGGAGAGAAGGTGTCGACGCAGAACACGCAGTACGACGCCATCGGCAGCAAGTACGGCGATATCAAGAGCAAGCCTGCGACCCAGCCCGAGCCGCCGAGCGTGGTGGAGGCGCTGGGTGATGTAAGCGGGAAGCGGTGCTTGGGTAGGTTGGCGTTCTTTTTTTCTCTGCCCCCACTTCCACCGGTGTGCTAGTGTGCGAGGCTCGTCTAGGCGGCGTGCATACATGCAGGTTCGAGGCGTATAGTCAGGGTCGGTCTTGAAAGGACTGCATTGCCCAGACTGCGGGCGGCGGGGCAGGTGAGGAGGGAAGAGAAAAGGGGGAGGGATAAGGTGAGGGTGGAGAAGTGGCTTGAGGACGTGGATGCGGCGGACGGTGAGGATCCCGCGCGGCAGGCAGAAATGGAGGAGTTTGAGGCGATTGGCGTTGGCGAAGGGGCTTTGGGTGAAGGAGAGGGGGAGAGGGAGTGGGCGGAGTGGAGAGGGATTGATGGGGCGGGAGGGTTTTGGGGGTGGTAGGATATCTGTGCTGCAGAGAATGGTGTGATTTTTCCTTGTTCATTCGTACTATCTTGGTCTATCTTGTTGCTATCCTGCTGCAAGTATTTAACCAGTGTAAGAGCAAGTAACAGTAGAAGATCCCGACGTCGAGCACGATGTGAGAACAGTGCCGCTCTGCTTGATGTCCAGAATCTCCGAGCCAGAAACACCAGTGGTGCCACTGGAGGTAGTAACGGAAGAGCCCGTGAATGTAACAGTGCCGAAGTTCGCAAAGGGCACCAAGCTGTTGCCAGACGAGAAGTCCTCCACGATCCATTCAGCATTGGTCTGACACAGCCTATACCACCAGATTAGCAATCATTCTTTGCAAAGTCCCAATGACAGGAGGATGCTTACTTGTTGCTCTCACCAGAGAACGTCTTCGTCACGGTCTTGCCCGTGGACAGGTTCTGAATGACGGCACTTCCAGCACTGGTGCTCGTCGCCGTAACAGTCATTTTGATCTGATCACCTGCCTTGATGGGGATGCCAGAGAAGTCATACGCGTAGTCGGGGTACCACTCATACCACGCATCGAAGCTGACGGTAGACCCCTGCACGTAGAAATCGACACCAGTCTGGAGAATAGCGCTGGCGCACGTGTCACCGTCGATGCCAACCCAGGCCGAGGCAGCGTACTGCGTTGAAGAAGATCCAGAAGATGGCTTCTTGGGAGTGGGCACGGTGATGGTACCGGTCACGGATTTGTAACCACTGCCAATGAGAACGGCACCCGCCCAGTTGGAGGAGTAGGAGACGTGGGACTCGTTGGCGTTGGCGAGGCGAAGTTCCTCGAGATCGGAAGCCTGGAGCGGGTTGGAGTTGCGGAGGGCCTCGCGGCGGTTAAAGCGGGCGGCTGCGCGTTCCTGGCGGGAAGGAGCCGCGATGGCGGTGGAGGCCAAGAAGGCGGGGATGAGGGAGGCGAGAAATTTCATATTGGGCTGGATGTGCTTTGTTCTGGGACTCAACAAGCTGGAAGAGAAGAACTATCTACTCCTTGTGCCCAAATCGATGTGGCATACGGTAGCCTTACTTATAGCTGCGCAACAAGAGCATGTTTACCTTGATGTCCGACTGCAGTGTACCCTTGTCAGTCAGATGCTTGTCTCATGAAACATAGACAGGGAATCTATTCGACAGTTCATTCAAGCGACACCTTCCTATTCCTTTAGCAAGATGGGTCTAGAGATTCGTATCGTGGTCGCGTGCGTGATAACAGAATAATAGATTGCAGGTTACGCAAGCTTTCGGTGAAGCAGGCTCATTTCGTAAAGGCTATAGGCTTGAAGCTCCCTGATCGGCTTGCGGATTCCAGGTTACCTGCATACCCACGAAATGTTAGGGTCTTGACTGGTGGATGTTGATTGTAAGGGCTACTTCCTTGTGTTGCTATTGGATCATCGTTGCGCAGCTTCTATCGTGGCGTATGAGGAGGATCTGGCTGTAGGTGCTGGCAACCGGACTGAGACGAGAGCATGGCTTTCTCATTCCACACGTTTGAAGCACCAAGGTGATTACAGATGTCGGTCCTAGATGCAGAGGAATACGAAGAATACAACGTCGTGTCAAGCTTTCGCTTCTTCACGCCCAGTGCATTCAAGCCTTTTCCAAGACATCTTGACACCTTCGAAATACGGGAGAACGGTCTCCACTGCACGGGCGCATTATTCCTGCCATATCTTATCAGGGTCATGGAGCAAGGGTATGCATGGCCAGGTAGCATCTGGCGTTGCTGGAGAGGAGGGTAGCTGTCGGCAGTGACTTGCCTATAGGAACGTACAAAGCATATCCTAAAACACATTCCGGAGTTGGATGAGCGCCGTTTCTGAGGATTGGTGCAATGTGTAGGAGGTGACAAGGATGCAGATAAGCGACGACCTTACCTTCCTCATCAAGCCTTATTCTCCGGCAATAGCGTGCTCTGGGCTTTGCACACGACACGCAACAGCACCTTGAACTTGCGATATCTCATAATCGTTTTTCTTTTTTTGCGATAGCTTTTCGACTGGCCTTGCATCGTCGTCCGCAGGTTGCCCTGCGCTCAAGTGCAATTCTCTACCATAGTACGCCAGTCCTTCGATGTATGCTTCTAATACAATGGGTATTCGCCTTCCCTCCTCGCAAAGCATCATATCCTCAACCATCGTCGGCCTCTCCTTCTGAGGCTCATTCAAGCAGCTCCCTTCCCAGCATCTCCTCCGTCGATCTTATCTCCGGCTTGCCTCCCCCACACTCATCACACTTGCATCCGTACCTCTCCTTCATCTCCTTCGCCCAATCCTCGCTTCCTGTCCACTTCCGATCCAGGAGTTCGTACGGGCCTTTGGTCATGGCGCGGCGGACGAGGTAGCGGACGAGCGGGGTCAGCCTGGTTGTGTATGGCGCGATCTCAGTGTCGGTGGTGTTGTGTTGGTTCATCACCGACAGGAAGATGCGTTCGAAGAGAAGATCCTCGTCGGTAGCGGCGGGTGCGGTCTATCATTTTTGGTCAACGAAAGATAGAAAGGTAATGTTTCCGAGCTTACCGGGTGGAGGAAAGTCCAGAGCCTTGCGGCAGACGCGTAGTCCTGGAGCTGCGATGCCGAAAGGCTGAGGTCGATGCACGCGTAGTGCAAGAAGGGGAGCAGCTTCTCGTCGACCCACGCGGTCTCGAGGGCTTGGATCGCGGGCGCGGCGTTCTGGCTTGATGCCAGGGACACCTTCGGGGGTGGTGGAGGGGAAGGAGCAGCGGGCGTTTCCGCACGCGCTGCCGCCGGAGCAGGAGACGAGGGAGGGAGCTTTGGGGCGATCTTTCGGAATTGGAGCGGCTGCATGATGTTGATGGTGCCGAATTGGAGGTGCGAGTGTCGTGGAGTATGCATTTTGATTCGTGCGTGAGTGGTCACGAAAACACTATTCTATTCTGGAAAGCTCTCCATTGCAAACGCACCTCACGCGCTCTTCCTGTCACTCAACACTTCGAAGTAAATCCACCAGAAGATGGGCTAATGTTTTCTGTGCCCGGTTCCACGTGTTTTGCATACAAACCCATGATAAAGCAACTCGGATCCTCAATATAGCTGGGTATAACTCATCTGGTTTTTCAACTAGACATGCGTAGAGAGTAGTCAACAGAGCCTAGAGTCACTCAAATACTGTTGCAATGAGAAAAACGCGTAATCTTGATTTCTCCAGATACAACTTGAGTCTGCTATGGTCATGATATTTTCGTAATCTTCGCTTCCTGAGTATTTTACTATATCTGCATTAGATCTCCTGATGGAAACATCAATTTGACGTCTAACGAAAAAATTCCCAGCGGCCGGCACGACAACCTGTACGAGCACTATGTAGGACATAACGATCTCGATGAGTCCGAGTACGAAGTTCCCATGGGTCATAGTAATGGGATATTGGAGGGTCTCTTGGGAGGGAGTGACGGAGATTGGCCAACTGAGGACGATTCCAGTCAAAATAAGCACTTAGTCGTACGCGAAGTTTGGATTGTTGACACATCTGAAATACCCCTACAGCGAACAATACGGCTTCCAGAAGACCGCATAGTCTGCGTGTGGGAATCCGAGAACCAATAACAATATCTCGACGACGATGAAGAGGAGGTGCAGCATTCAGAAACAATAGCACAGCTACCAGGGATTGATGTGGCAAGCAGGCAGCCAAACCCGGTCGACGAGAAACAGGTCTTTGTGCGGTATGTAGAGCTTCATGAGTTCATGAAGGAGGAGGACGAGGCGGAAGATGATGAATACCCCATCTGCAAGTTTTGCTTTCTCCAGAGGCCGAAACACGATGAGTATGGAGGTTGGAAGGAGATGAGGACGAAAAGCTTCATTGTTGTTGTTCAGACAATCTGCAGGCATGCTTTCCACAAAATATGCATCCGGGTGCCATACTGGAATCTTTTGATACGGGGGCAGAATGCAATGGGATGGGCAAGTGTCCCATGTGCAGGAGGTGGCTGTGCTATGAACCTTCTGCGGACACTTCTTGAGAACGACTTTAGCCATCGAGCCGTTCATGTCCATTTGATATCTTTCCTCGGGCTTTTCAGATTGTTTGGACGCCGTTTCCATGAACCAACCTGCCAACATCTAGTCTTGTACAGTAGCCGTTTGGTTGTTTCTGTGTGCTGCAAACACATGTCTTCGAATTTGTAACTCCAATTCAAGTCGGAGTGACTCGCGAATGCCGGACTTGAAGTTTACCACTATCAGCTGGAGCTGGTTTACTTCACCCGGTAGCCGCACCGTTCACTTCAGTTGAAAGTGGCCGAGCTCTGGCCAGATGAGATTTCGCTTTCAGCAAGAACTTGTCCGACCACTTGTGTGCGTCGTGGAACGTGGGAGAGGCGATTTACGAGTTTGTACTCTTCACTGCATGATGAATGGTTTACGTTGTCACGAGAACTAACTCAAAGACAAGAACTGAAGGTGCGTCACTAAAATGGTTTATGCGGTTCTACTGTTTTGTCATCTATAGCTTGCTGATGTCCATAACACTCAACTGCACCTTGTTCGTGGAACTCGGCGGCAGCTGCCCTCCACCCATGATCACCAACTTCGTCTGGTCCTTCAACACCCTCAAATGCCTCGTGTAATGCGTCAACTCAGGCGTGGCCACCTTCTTCCACGCTCCCTGTCCAAGCTGGGTGTTGATGAAGATCTCGCTGTTCGAGTGCCCAGACGCAATAATCGTTCCATTCTTGCCGCCGACGGAGCTCCAGACTACGTAGGGAGAACCTGATGGGGCAGTGCCGTCGGTGGCCTTGAGCTGCACCCCGGTCGCAGCGCCGAACTTCTCTGGGTCGGAAACAATCTTGTAGTGCACGGGGAAGGAGTAGCTGGTGGTGCCGTGGTTGCCGCCATACTCGTAGGTCATGATGAATTGGCCATTGGGCAGCTTAGCAATTGTGGGCATGCCGGGGCGGTCGGTGTACGTTGGGTATGTGACGTCGTCGACGACCGGACCCCAGGTCTTAAGATCCTTGGTGGTCTGGTGCACCATCTTTTGGCCGTACTTTGCATCGCGCTGATCCGAGTAGTAGCAGATGAGCGTATCCTTGTGCTTGTAGAGGAAGGGCTCCCACACGGGGGTTTCGCCGTTGTTGGGGACTGCAACACCGCCGGCCGCGATGTGCGAGACGAACTTCCATGTCTCACCGCTGTCACGGGAAGCGTAGAGCTCAATCTGGGTCTTGGACAGGTCTGTTGGGATCGAGGATCCAGAAACGAGGACGGTGCCAGCAGGGAAGCCGCCCAATGCTTCCGGCAGGACGTAGAGGAAGGGCTGATAGCGGAGGCCCCAGCCATTTTGGGTGTCTTGCACTCTCGACAGCTCTTTCCAGGTGTAGCCGTTGTCGGTGGACTTGTAGATGGGGAAGTACACCTTCGGGGGCTCAGGGCTGTAGTTCTCCCATGTCGCGAGGAGATCGCCGTTGGGCAATTGCGCACTGCGAGCGTAGAGAACTCCAGGGTCTGTCCAGTTCGCGTTCCTCGGTGGCTCGAAAACAACGCGCTGCGCGAAGGTGGCCGGAGCTTTGGCAGCTAATGGTTTCGCGACCGCGGAGGAGGCGAGGGCCAGAACGGAAAGAATGCTGGCGATCTTCATCGTGCCCTCGATTCGAGCTAGAAACAGCCGTTGAGGTGTGGTCCATGATTGCGAGGGCGATCATCTTATATGGGCAGGATCGCGTCGGAGAGCCCCAATGCGCGTAAAAACCCAAATTCTCGGGTTGCGCAACTAAATTCCCCGGATTCGCCTCCAAGACACGGTGTCACGCGGGGCAGAAGGCGGGCATCGGACAAACTTGTAGATCTTGCGGGGACTGATCGCGGAGGTGGTGCTAAAGTAGGCACTGGACGATATTTGCCGGCTTGGGCAACGGGGCATTAGCGCCGAGACGAGTGGATGTTGCACCGTGGATAGGTGGAAATTCTACCCAGCACCGTCCTGGGCGCGGTTAGGAGACATGCCATGACGAACAAGAGAACGATATAAGTCGGCACGGCGACAAATGCGATGGTGAACCTCGGTCTGTTGTTGGCACACAAGCTTGATGCTGGCGGTGCGAAGCGAACGAGGGTAGGAGCCGCGGAACGCAACTTCCTAACAGCTACGTGAGCCACCGCCTTGGATCGACTTCGCTGAGCTTCTTCACTGGTGTTTGCTGGACACGCCGCACGCGAAACGACGACCTTGTTGAGCGAAGACTCGTGCCTGGTCGTGGGCGTGCGAGACTCTGGCGCAAACCAGCGCGGGCGTCCAACAGAGGGCAGGACGGACCTTGTCGAGCACACTGCCGTCTCAGGCCTTTCTCGCTCGGCCAATGACCTGTGCAGCGCTCAGCATCCTCACAGATCGTGGTACACTGCCCCGTGAGGCCAGGAAGACCCGCCCATAGCCTTGTCGCCGCACATGGCGGCAGCGCCAAGCGGACAGCATGCGGCGACCGGTCGGCTCAGATGTGGATCCGATGAAGGTGCACATGGAGGCGTAGGATGAGGCCGCGAACAAGAGTTCGGACAGAGTTTGGCGTTCGCCATCAGGCCATTTCGCCAATCAAACCTCGAGACACGAAGCCACCGTCACCCCTCCATGCGGGATCTGTGGCAGTGCACCGAGGATGCCTTGACGATTGCCCTGCACATCACTCTGCGCAGCTGACTGCAGCCTGCTCGTCAAAAGCCAACATGGCCGCCTCCGAGTCGCCCGAACCTGCTTCGCTCAGGCACCTCTGCATCGTGCGAAGTCGCCGGAAGACAAGATGGTCAGTAGCTCTTCTGTCGCACCAGGCTGCAGCAATCGCAAGCTTTGCTATGTCAACTTGCTGTAGAAGCTTGCTGACCGCCATTCGCAGGCCTCTGTAGCTTCACCGGTCCCGCGGCCGATGCACAAAGACCTCGCAAATCTACCATCGCACGACGACGGCCGTGGCACGCCGCTTCCTCAATACGAGAAGACGCAACAAGTCCCATTTACACTCACACTACAAGAGGACAAGGGCAAACCAGGCCAATTCCAGCTGGTAGTCAGCGTCGATCCTCAGTCCCAGAAAGATCGTAGCGGTAATCCTCTGAAGACTTCTTCATCCAAGAAGCTCGTCGCCAACCTACAAGAAGCGCCAAGCTTAGGCTACGACGTATCGAAACTATACCAAACGCAGAAGTCGAGCCCTCCATCAACACCACAAGCAGAACACCAAGGATGGTCGGATCTCGATGCCCTACCTCCTGAATTCCTAGACAAGGTTGCACCGGATTGGAAGGTCACGTTCTCGCGGAGCGATTCTTCTGCTTCGACTCAGTCACGCAAGCTGGCCGATATCAAGGCGCGAATAAAGAAGAGTGGGAAGGGATTTGTTGTCAGGCTTTTGAAAGGTACCAGCGCAGATACAAACGAAGTCAGGGAGGTCCAACTGGGTCGCGATCCTGTCGAGCAGCTACCGACCCTTTCCGAACTTGACTCTACGGTCCCACCAGTAGAGCTCGCCACACATTCTACTGCAAGTATTGTAGCAGACGTCCCTGGTGGAGTGTTTGAGATTGGCTCGTCAGGAGAACCTGGCGTCGAGAGGGCGACCCCGCCAGTGACTGCGCGCGCGGTCTCTTCAATTCCACAATGGCTTAGCCAAACGTCCAACGAACCCGGAACAGCATTTTCAGTGCTGGAAGACAACCTTAGCGACGCCGAAACTTTGCTACCAGATGTTCGCTCCGTCATTGATCGCATGGAAGATCACACAGACGTTGAACCAGTGTCAAACTACAGCTCCGTTCTGCCTACCAGATCTAGCTCCGTGCTGAGTATAGTAAAGACTCCCACGCGAGGTCTGTCCGTTGTTGGACCTGTACGGCGCGTAGAGAAGGTAAATCGTGTGCGTGCAAAGGGCAAGGCAGCGCGAATAGATCTTAGTCGTACTGGTGCCCGCAAGTCATTCATAGGTCGGTCGCCTCAAGGGTCGATTTCTGAAGCGTTCGTGTCCGAACGTCTCCGCAACGCCGCAGCAGCTTACCCACCCGCCCAAGAACCTGGTTCAGATCCCTCTTCCTTGGATGAAGGGTCGGACGACAGCTCCAAAAAAAGGCGCAACGCATATAAGCGGCGAGCTCAGGCGGATAGGCAGGAACCGGCAAACCGAAAAGTTCGGCGTGAAAACTCTGCTCCAAATGCTACATCAGAAGCTCCGTCAAGAACGCGTCTTCGCCTTGATACTAGCCTTGCCCCTTCCAGATCCGCAGAAACGTCACCCGCCACAGTACGAAGGACTTCACCTCGTACAAAGAAGTCTCCTACCATGGCGAAGAGTCGCGATCAAGCAGTACCCAGCCATGCCCCCGAGACTGATAACGCGGAAGGCTCTCCCGAGTGGTCTGAAGTGGATCCAGCTGATGATGAGGATATTCGGGAGGCTCTCGAAATGGCGTTTGGTAAAATTGCAGACGATCTCGAATCGAGTCCAGTTCAGAGTAAACGAAGCATACCAAGCATCAACGAACCAGCGGACGACGGGGAGAGTGGAATGTACACGCTTCCGCCGAATCTCGAGATACGATCTGCGCCTGCAGCGCCAGGCAACCGGTTCTCCATGTTTCTGGGCCTTGCTATCGGCGCTGTGCTTGACAAGGTGATCGATGGTGTCCATCATCTGCGTGATTCTTATGGGAGCGAATCTGCAGTGCCAGCTGGTCATGTTCGTGTTCGTTGGACGTGTGTGAGTACCCCTTTCGCGCCTGGATGATTGCTTCTCCCTGACTGAGGTAGTCTTGCGGCGAGCCGCTCTACGACGACTTCATCGAACGCCGACCAGGCGCTGCTCGGTGGCTCGAAGGCTATCTTAACCGGCCGCGGACGCACACCCCGAGCACGCCACACAGTCGATCCAGCACCTCAACATCGATGTCGTCAATCTTCGATAATGCCAGTCGGGCATCTACATTGGCAACTCCTTCTTCAACGTACGGAGGTTCTTCGTTATGGGGCAGGAGCAACAACAACTCAAAGTATAGTCCCACACGACTCAAGAGCAATAGCCCCTTTAGCGTGTCGATAGGCCGCCCGATAGATGATTCATGGTTGTTGACATGTGCGAACGAGGGAAGGTTCACACCAAAGATCGTTCATCTCGACGTGAATACGCAGAGGATTCGCAGTGACAAAGATCTGGCGATGGTACTACGCGAACACTACGATAACATCAATCGACGATGGATGAAATGGACAAGGTTGAGAGGACTGACGACCATTGAGTTTGTCCAATTCGAAGTCCACCGTAACCGCTTCGCCGATATTCGCGCGACGCCATCGATGCCGCCGACATCATCTTCCGTCAATGAGAAGTCGCCATCGCAGCATCCGTATACGTTCGAGGCGGTCGACCTCATCCCTCCGGTTGGGTCTCATTACCTCCTCCATCTTTTCAAACATCCCGAGGATTACGACGGCGAGCTGATAACGTATCTACGCGCTCCTAAGCGCCGTGAGAGATTGGAATTTGGCATGGGTTGGGGCATAAACCTCGTGGAAGGCTTCCTGGCGCAAAAGGTGTGGGCGGTTATAATGGGCGGCTTCGGTATAGGGAGTGTGGTCTTCGCCATCCTGTGGACAATCAAGAAGGACGATGTTCAAGGAGCGTTCGGCGTGGCAGGCTGGCTCGTTACGTTGGCAGCGCTGGTGCTCGGCGCTTTGCAAGCGTGGCTGGAGTAGGACCGTGACCGCATCGCATGGAACTGAACATGCCATTCCAACATCATACTGCTGTAACACGTTTTCCTGGTCCCCACGACCGCGCGGTCATTTGGCAGCGGGAATAACAATTCCCGCAGAGATGATGGCAAGCAGGCATCGACTGCCTTCTAGACGACGCTGCTGTCCGCCAACAATCACACAAAATCCAACAATCTTCGACACACCCGGTTTGCCGTCTCAGTACCGCGGCGCCCACCCACTCCGTGCTAGCGCGCATCAGCAAGAAACGTCTCGAACAAACCAGAGTCAGATTACTTCCCCACCATCGCGCAATGGGAATATGCCGCGCCCTGAACAACAAGGCTGGCGCTATCTCATACCTTCATACTTGGCGCATTGACAAAGTGTTCACAATTCAATGTTCCCGCAGACGCCGGCGCAGCGGTGAGTTGGCGAAGCGAGCGGCTGCGGTGGGTCCGCCCAGGTGCGGGCTCGCTTCTACGGCACGGAAGTGTTTCGAGTCGCGTGGGACGAATTTCGCGCCAATGAAAACCACTAGAAGGCGCGTTTCAGGCTTGGTATTGGGGAAAACGTAACTTTCAATGACGGGCTTCGTTGTCGAAATTTCTTGGGAGCTTCAATTCAGGGGACGGGAGATGCAGTGAGCCGTTCGCGGTAATGTTGACAGACAGTGTCTACTCAGCCAACGGAGCGGGGTGCTAGAGGCCAGTCGCGATGCGCTCTTTGCGACATCACCAGGTCTTCATCCGAGGCATTGAGTTCGTTCGCATTGCGGTTCCACCTAGCACAAGGACACCCCACCCTTTTGGTAGGCGCCACTCATGTGGCTCAGGCTCGGTCCACTCTGTCAGAAACATATTGACGGCTTGGCAAACGCCATGAGCCAACGCAATTTCGATAGGGCGCGGAATCCATGTTTCATGCTCATGCTTGCGCGGTACTTGCATAATTGTGCATCCGCCACCCGGGAATCAGTTGCCCTATCATGCCCGTTCACTAACTTCGCTTGACTTCGCAAACGCGTGGACCCACGCTCACGGAACACTGTCAGACCCCGTTCATATCGGTTCGAGTGAAACTTAGCAGACATTGCAGAGTCAATGGGGCTCGTCGACTGTTTCCACCAGTCTCGCGGAAGCATCGAATTGCAAGGATTACCGTCATGGGCGCTTGATCGAGCCATGCCGCGTGGACGCAAGGCCAGATAAATAGAGCAGGCCTGCCTTCAATGGAAGAGCACCCTCATCGCAGGCTTCAGTCTTTGGTTCTACGCCAGTCCTCTCGTTCTTTCGCCACATTCATTCTTTCAGTCATCTTCACCGTGTGAAGCAGGCAAGACACTCTTTTCCACTAAACCATTCACTTCACCAACAAGCTTCTCATCCCATCTTCGACCTCACCAGACAATTCTCAAACAAACAAGATGTCTTCCACTCTCCTCAAGCTCGTTGCCCTTGCGGCGACCGCTGCCGCTCACGGCACCGTCACTGGCATTATTGCCGATGGCACCTACACCAAGGGCTTCGACCTGCAGTACTACTACATGATCCAGAACGGCCAGACCCCGCCGGCAACCCCTGGATGGTACGCCGAGAACCTGGACAACGGCTTTGTCGCTCCCGACGCCTACACCACGGCCGACATTAACTGCCACAAGAACGCCAAGGCTGCCACCTCCTCCGCCTCTGTCAAGGCTGGTGGAAAGGTCGACTTCCAGTGGTCTTCCTGGCCCCAGTCCCACGTTGGTCCCATGATCACCTACGTCGCCAAGTGCGATGCCGACTGCGCCGACGCCGACAAGACCGCCCTCAAGTGGGTTAAGATTGACGAGGCTGGCTTCACTGACGACTGGGCATCCAACAAGATGATTGCCAACAACAACACCTGGAGCGTGACCGTTCCCTCCACCCTCGCCTCCGGCAACTACGTCTTCCGCCACGAGACCATCGCGCTCCACGGTGCCGGCTCCGAGAACGGCGCCCAGAACTACCCCCAGTGCCTGAACATCGAGATCACCGGCGGAGGTTCTGACAACCCCGAGGGCACCCTTGGAACCGCTCTGTACACCCCTACCGACGCCGGTATCCTCTACAACGTCTACGGCACCTCCAACACCGGCTACAAGATCCCCGGCCCGGCTCTGTACGGCTCCGGCAGCAGCACCACCCCTGCCACCCCCGTGTCCTCTTCCCCTGCCGCTTCTGCCTCTGCGCCGGCCTCCTCCACCGTCCCCTCTGCGACTGCCACCCCTACTGCTGCTGAGGCTGCTCCCTCCGCCTCCGCCACCGCTGGTGCGGGCTCCGGCTCCGCCCTCCCCAAGACCTTCACTGTGTCTACGTTCATCCAGTGGCTCGAGGAACAGACCTCGGCCTCCGCCAAGGCCAAGGCTCGCCGCCACGCGCGCCAGTTCGCGTAAACGGTCAATTCATCAGTCGTGTACGAGTGGAATGAGATGTGTGAATGGTTTTTGTGTGGGAAATTTCGCTTCTTTGTGGATACGTAGATTTGTATATATGATACTTTCTGGAAGCTTAGCGAAGTGAGATGCTTCGCGACGCATGGTCTGATGGACTGAATACAGCCTTTTGATCGCTATGACTTGATTCCTGGGTGTGTGATGCAACGTGATGTGAGGGGGAAGTGCGAAGCGTTTGTCCACTGATCATGACCGCGGGATGTCGGCCGCACCCAGGAAAGCGCCCGTTGGAGGGCGCACGACAGCTCATCGTGTCCGTTCCGGAGCATGCCATATCAACTCGCACAGAAACGTCGACGTCGGCGCAACATCTGAGGGCGTCAGTTCGGTAGTCACTTTACGACAGGCATGCCACTCACGCCTGTCCCGCCATTGAGTGACTCGAAAGTACAACCAACGATTCGAGTGTTCTCATCGAGAGGGGAGCGGCGCAGAGTCATCGAGACGCTGTCCGTGTGCGAGCGGGAAATGCACATGGAATGACGCCGGCCGGCGCCGTGGCATGCTGTGCCTCGCTTCGTTTGTGCAGGGTCGGGAGTGGAGCGTATGGACGCGCGAGGTGTAAGGATGGTGCGGCAACCAGCTTGGAGAGGACATGACGAGCGAGAGTGCCTGGTGCGCGGTGGGAGAGTGACCGGCCCCGGTAAGTAGCATGGTCAGTTATTGTGCTTGTCATGGGAAGTGCGCCGTGGTGATGGCAAGGGCCTCGTGCGCGAGTGTTGCAACTGTCGTTGGCGACGAGTAGATGTTTGGGTCGCAACGTTGTTTGCTGTCCAAAGGCGACTGATTGCTACTCTACTTTTCTCGTGCACATCGTCGATTTCTTTCTGTGTCACATTTGCCCGGGGCCTTGACAGCTTCGTGGCGGCGGCCGAAAAGATATCCCCATAGCGCACAGGCTCAAGTCGACTTCCGCTTCCGAATGGTACTCTCTGGACATCTGACAGTATGGCTGTGGAGGCTGCTCGCCATCCCTGGCTTACCTTCCAGGCGACCAATTGTGCTGCCGATCCAACGTAGCGGAGAATCGTCTGCACTATCTCGCCGATGTTCAGAGCTTCCTAGGTAGCGGTAAGCCTTGTTACAGCTGATATGCGGCACCTTCGTCGTGAGGGGGCTGCCTTGTTGTGCATGCAAGGCAGCCACAGGTAGTGCATAACGTGTATAGTATCATACGACACGCGAAGGACGGGTGAGAAGCATCGGGTTTCGAGCAACAGTGCAGAGGTCGCAGGTCGCAGAAGCGTTGCTGGTGTATTATTGAGGAGGCGCGTAGGCGACTGGGCGCAGTGAGTTTTTCAACGTCGTGTCTGGTCACAATTCACGCAACGAACATACCCCAGACGCGCGAGGCATTGATACCAAGCGACCAACACGCTTAGAGCTTCATATAGAAGTACTCAATTTGCGATAGCTCTTGCCGGCGGGATGGAAGATGATGATGCGTCATCGTCGTTTCCGGCGTAGTGAAGTTGGCACATTAACGTTGACCACTGGCCACACTTTGAGGCGCATACAGCCACAATCACATGTTTTCACCAAATCTGATGCGGTGCGTCTGAGAAGCGTCGACCAAAATCTTGCTTTTGATGAGGCTAAAGCGAGTTACATGTTGCTCCTCAAGAATTTGTGACTCCTTGGATTAACCTACCCGCGCACTTGGGCAAAAACCGTACACAAAAAGGTCATGTGTGGCCACGAAAGCCCAACGGAGTCTAGGACGTAAGGGCGAAGATATATTCGGTATGTGGTGGCAAATCATGATTACCAGGTATTCCGGACTTTTACGTGTTGGTGATAGTGCTTTCTGCTTGCACAGCTATCTAGACGTGATCAATTAGATTCGATAGCACGATACATGGAGATTTGACACGACACAGGGGCAGAAACATAATTTATGGACTGGAAGAGGCTTAGTTGAGTCTACAAAGAATTACTCTCCTCTTTTCTTGCAATATACATATTGTGAGTGTTAGATGAGGCCATTCTTCTGCCCCTTCGTCAGAGTCCCCGGATCCGCAATATACGAGTTTTGCAATTCATACGCTTGGTGCGAGGCAGGAACTTCAGATACTTGTGCCTCAGTACCCAGTTCTCCGGCAGCCGCGTGTTTCGACCACTGCGGACTCCACGAATGTACGCCATGACTACTCGGTGCCGGGCTCTGTGTCGCATCGTGCTTGGATCGTGAGTAGCCCCCTGTACGCCAGCGGCTCATGAAGACGAACGCTAGGAAGCCAATGGCAGCGAGCAGTGGTACGCCTAGGCCGATTCCCAGTCCCAATCCCACTCTCTTCTCTTTGTCGCTCGGCTGCGTAACTGCGGGGGAACTTGTGGAAAAAGAGGAAGACGTCGATGATGTGGTCGTTTCCGATGTAGACGTGGAAGAGGTAGCGTCTGGAGTTCCACTTGCTTCTTGTCCGATGACGGTGACTGTAGTAGGAAAGCCTATAGCAGATGTTAGTGAGACTCCATGGTAGGATGTCGCCAGGTGACCGGCTTACCTGAAAACTCGAAGTAATACTGCTTATTGCTGCAAAGGTCGGTATTGCTTAATCCTGCCGTCTCACTGTTGCGGCAATAAAATCGATTCGTTTGACCCTCTCCATCGCATCGACCTATACCCATGCCGCCTATGCCCAGATTATCTCCATTCGTCGCATTCCTGCAGAACTTCGGGCAGTCTTTACTGGCCCAATTTTTGTCCGTACATCCTCCCCGGACGTAGAAAGGTGATGTTTTTACAATGTCGCTGCTGACGTGTTCGGTGAGAGCGCAGAGGGTGTTTGAGAGGCATGCGTATCCCGGCCCGCAACATGCTGAGCCTGTATCTGCACCGCCGTTGCAAGCAGCATCATTCGTCGTGTTGCCGTTGGGCATGTAACATGTCGAGGATACTACCGGGAGAAAGTGCGCTAGGTACAAGACAGCCTTAGTAGTAACTTTCATCTTGTCTGAAGATTATGTAAGTTTGGGGATTTGCTATTCACCAAGAATATGGTCTTTGAGACATGGCACTGGAATAGTGGGGCCTACCGCTACGTATTTATTGTTCTTTGCAACTCCGGTTGACCTCACTGGCCTCTCAGAGGAATGTGGTAGGGCAGGCCAAGCGAACGCCATACGAGGCCAGGTGCCGGATGGACACTTCCGGGATGGTACGTGCTGCAAGGTTTATTGACGATCGTCACATTGCATTGACGCGGGCCTCAGCCTTTGCCAACGCAAGATCCCTATTCACACGAATATGCCTCAAAGATATCCATGAACTCGCATTGAAGCAAATATACCATGGTCGAATTCATCCATAGACAGATCCAAAAGTGACAGTACTGTCCTTGGAAAAGTGTGCACAACGTGAAAACCGCCAGTTGAATATCTAGGTTATCTAGGCAGTATTCGGGTCTTTATGCAGCGATCGCGCCTCCAATCCAATGAGTACCCTGCGCATGCGAATGGGTTTTTAAGCGACCGGAGATCAAATCTGAAGATGGCGTCTGACTCAGACGGGGTCTAGACGTTAGTCTACTCACAGATGCGCCACCGACCCCACGATGAGACCCACATCGAATCACAACGGTCTACACATGGAATGGCTATTCATTTGGCCCAACCATATCGCCTAATTTATCACATTAGTCAATCCCGAAGCCCACGATCTACATTAGGTACGACTTCCCGGAGCCACATACGTCTTCCTTGTTCTTAGAATAGGATTGGGGCGAATGTTTCGCGTACTCGGGGATGATAGCTACAGCTGCACGCCTGAGCTCAACAAGCCATCGCACTGTAATGGCGATCATAGAAGGAAGAAATTCAGCCTGACCCACCTTTCATAAAGATCGGTATCATTCGCATTTCGGTCTGGGTATATTGAGCATTGTATGTGCAGAGACTTCATTCCTTATTCTGACATGTACTTCAGTATCCTTCTGGCAACTAGCCTTGCGGTTTCAGCCTTATGCAGCCCAACGCCAACCGCGCGGCAGACCCCCAGCAAACCAATGTAAGTTTCCATGTTCCTTCCGCAACATTGCCATCTGACCTTTCGAAGTTTCGCCCATTACATGATCGGATCCATCATACCGGACCATACAAACCAGGATATTGTCGATGCAAAGAACCTAGGCCTTGATGCTTTCGCTTTGAACCTTGGTAAGCCCCTTACTACACCTCACTCGTCACTGATCCTGCGCTCACTCCCTCGCAGACTCGCTAGACTCATGGGCAACCGAAACTGTCGGCCACCTCTTTGACCAGGCCGACGATTCTGGCTTTGGCCTCTTCTTCTCCTTCGACCACAACCACTTCAGCAGCCCGTCGGAGTATGCAGACTTTTTGAAGCCCTTCCTCAGCCGCCCTTCGTACTTCAAGTACGCCGGCAAGCCCCTCGTCTCCACATTCAACGGTGAGTCCGTTACAGAAGATAACTGGGCCTCTTTCAAAGCGGCCGTCGGTGACATCCTCCTCATTCCCGGCTTCTCCGCCGCAGTCCCCAGCCCAGACTTCTTCGCCGCCCGCAACTCGCTCGATGGCGTGTTCAATTGGAACTCATGGCCCGACGCTTCAGCAGGCAAAGCGGATGTGTCTGATGCAGACGACAGCACCTATCTCTCCGCGGCGCACGGCGCGGGCAAGCTGTTCATCATGGGCGTTTCGCCCCTGCAGTTCAAGCACATCGATCCCAGCGACAACAATTGGTACCGCCGAGGCGAGGGCAATCTGGAGCTCAGACTGGAGCAGGCGCTTACCCTGCAGCCGGACATGATTGAGCTGCAGACGTGGAATGATGCGGGTGAGAGCCATTATATGGGGAATTGGTGGGAGGAACCAATTGCAAACACCCCCATCCTGGACTACGTCAGGGACTACGATCACAAGGGATATTGGCAGGTCCTTGGGCCCTTCATTCAGGCATGGAAGCGCGGGGATTCTACTACTGCGGGCATAGTGCCGAGTGGCAAGGATGTGCAGGGGGCGTTTTGGCATCACACTTTGACAGTAAACGCCGACTGCGGTGCTGACGCATTTGGGAAGCCGAGAGACTTTGGTAATGCGGAGGATGTCGTCAGTGGTATTATTCTCGTGGCTGTTGGAAAGACAGGTCTTGTTGCACTTGTGAAAAATGGGGATCGAGAGCTAGGGCAAGTAGACCTGGTGGAGGGCTACAACAGGTTCAAGGTGGAGGGACTTGGTGATGGGAGTGTGAGTGTTAAGGTTGTGGATGGTAGTGGTGCCGCTGTTGCGGAAGCTACTGGCTCACTCAGTGTGTCGAGCTCGGCTGCGCTTTGCAACTACAATTTCCAGGTCGTTGGGTTTTGAGCATTCATTTTGGTCAGCATTCATTGTAGTATTATTACATGAAAATGAAGCCACTTTTCAGTTCCGACTGATGGAATCGCTTATCTTTGCCTCTGGAAACAATTTTGGTTTGGATTTGAAGTTCTTCTTTCGCCCGCACAACGTACCAACGGTAGCTTACTCAAGCAACTGCCAACACTGTCGCACCACAATCTGAATTCCGTCCAAAACGCACTCAAGTATTTCTCGAGATAGGAATCATCCAAGTGATTCCGATCCTTGATTGGTGATGTTCACACCTCTGCATGATAGGCTTCATGTTTTCCCAAGAAGACGAGACACTCCCGTTCTAAACCCTCCTCTCAGTTGCTCTCCTTCAGAAGGCCCAAAAAGAATGAGCGAGACAAGAGTCGAACTTGCGCCCTCCTAGCCACCAGCTTCGTACATCATCACCGCATCAACATCGTACAACCACCTACTGGCTGGGCGCTCTACCACTGAGCTACCCGCTCTGCCTGGTTTGATGTATGGATACCTAGCTGGACAATACATATACTGTAGGGGAGAGAAGAAGTCGTCAGAGAGGATGGATGCGCTGGGCGGGGAAGGAAGTTGCAGGCGGCGAGGTGAGTGAAGTGAGGGTGTTATTGGGGGAACAGGCCGCGTTGGGGAAATTGCGTGATGGAGGGGGTGAGGCAAACGCGATATGAGGCAGGGCGAGCATCACAAAAGCGATTGTGAAGAGTCAATCGTTGGAGTCACAATGGCAGGCGTTACTAAGCCTGGTAATACTGAAGGGACTTTGCATATGTCAAGTGCAGGCGTGGTGGGCCATCATTTTATGCTACGCATTGTGAAAAATAGCTTGCATGTTGTGTGGTGGGTGGATAGCATCCGGGCCACGGGACATGTGCTACATCATGGTAACGCGCTCGGATGGGATCAATCGTGGGGATCCACATGGAGGGAATAACTGAGCTTGAGATCACTTGAGGAATACCGAAGTGCCAATTGCAAGCCTATCAGGATGTCTCCGTATGCCATGCGTTGTCGATTTGGCTTGTGTTGCTCTATAGTGCGCTCTGATGCACGAGAAAGCTGCGTGTGGTAGCGCCGGACCGTATTCCCGAGTACTAATCTGGTCACTGAGCAAGCTTGCAATGACTTACGGGCCATAGAAGTTTCAACGAGACGTAGTGACTACGGACTCGGCTGTTGTAGAAGTGATGAAGCTGTATAGATATGACAGCCGTAGAGCCTTTAAATTCGTGGCCGTCAGTGAGCTACAATTCCCGCATTTGACGACCAGCAGCCGAATTGCAGAGATGAAGCGGCATCAGACGCACGGTCGTCGTCAGCGTGATAGTCTAGTCCAGTGAACGCAGGCAGCTCTGTTGTATTTCCCGCAGGCGCGCTAGCGACCTTACCTTCTCCACGAACAACACCTACGACGTGAGTATGCCTTGTTCCAGGACCCAGAAAACAGCACCCTTGCAGCTACCGCAACTCTTGGAGTCCACCGAGATCAGATTGTTGACCAGATGTCAGATCAACATGTCCTCCAACACCAACGGCCGCGCGCGCTCCGCCTGCACCACGACCGCTGCCCGCCACACCCTCTCCGCCGCCCAGGAGCGTCTCGTGTGGCGTCTCCGTCGCGAGGCAAGCGTACTACCCAGTTCGAACTCAGCCGAGCTAATAGATACTAGGCGTGGCACATGCGGAATCTCCGCAACTTCATCGCCCAGGGTGGCTCCCTGAACAGCCCACAGTGGACTTCGGGCGCCCTCGAGGCGAGGGAGGCCGGTGCCCTCAGGAGGGCTAACGCCGTCCTCCGGCGTGCCACCGCCCTCCGCCGCGTAAGCTACGTCTATACCATGATGTATACCTGGCTGATCACTACATAGATCGCCCGCGAGATCGAGATCCGCCGGGGCACCCGCTGGGGCCCCTAGGCCGTAAGTACAGTACATCGAAGAAGTAGCAGATCATAGGTTAACAAAGATCCAGTCCTGAACCCGACTCTTTCGATGTCTTGCGTTTACCAGACCTCCGTGTCTGGCGACTCTGATCCGTGTTTTCGGTTTGTCCCACGGTAGTTTTTTTTTTTGTTCAAATACAAAACTTTGATCCAATTGGCCTTGCTCTTCCACGTAATGCTGAATTAGAGACTGTGAAGCAATGCAGTAAGCGTGAACCTCATGTTCGCAAAGAAGCTATCATCTGGGGCCGTCAGCGAGCTGCTATTCCAATACTTCCGAAAAATGCCAGTAGAATACTGTGGAAGTGAACAGCCACGAGACGCAGGGTCGTGGCCGCGTAGCCGTGGAGTGAATGCAAGCAGCCTTGTTGTTGGATGTCCCGCGAGCGCGCTAGCGACCTTTCCCTCTCCATAGACACCACCTGACGGCATGAGTATGGCCCTTTTCAGGCATAACAACAGCTCCTTTGTAGTTGCTACAGTTCGCAGAGCGTTCTGAGAGATTCGATGTGCTAACCAGATTTAACAGACATCAACATGTCGTCGACTACGCCCAACGCCTCCGGCGCCTCTGCCGAGCCCGCAGCCACCACCACCACCACCCGCAGCACCGCTGAGCTCATCCGTGAGATCGCCCGGCAGGACGACGAGCAACAGGCTCGGCGCGCCGAGACCGTGCAAGACCCAGTACTACGTCGCCTTGCGACCGTAAGCGTAGCTTATCTTGTAGAAACTCAGTGTACTCACAGATATCAGGCCAGGACACTTCTCGCGCACCGCGACCACGAGGTGGCAAGGGGTGGCTCCCGGGACAGCCTCATGTTTCATTGGATCAGCGACCGCATCGCGGAGCTAATTGGTGAGGCCCTCGCGATCGTCCATGCGGACGAGGAGGACCTTCGCGTGAGTTACGTCTTTGCTACCACACGTACCCTGCTGATCACTACATAGCAAGCTTGCCGCGCCGCCGCTCGTGCCCGGGCGGAAGCTGGGCTACCTTCGCCCCCGTACTCCTCTCCTTCGGCCCGCGCCCCTTCCTCGCGCCCATCGCGTTGGGACTTGGGTCGTAAGTACCCCCATGAAGCGGTGGATACATAAGTTGACAAGCATGTAGCCCAGGATTGGTGAGCACTCTCGCCGCCGGCCGACAGGCGTAAGTACTCCGCAGTTGCCCTTCGACGAGCTCTGGCAAAAGAACTTGCTAATTGAGTCGTAATCCGCCTTCGGGCACCACGTCCGCTCTGCTGCCCTGCGGCGCCATGATACCTCCCCAAGGCGTTTGGCGTTTGGGTTTCGTGCCTTGTCTTTTTTCCCTCTTAATTCAAAAAGTCTCTCATATATACCTTACTCTTGAACGTGACTGTGAATCTGAGAGAGAGTGAAGCAATACAACATGTGTGGACAGGAAAGAAGCTTGGAAAGACCGAAACGTGCGAATTGGAAGCTGGAATGGAGAATGTATGGAAAAAGGAATTGTAAAACCTGGAAATGGCCTGGAAAGAGCAGAGCTTCGTGCAGTATCACATGGACTCTGAAAAGGCAGTGCAGTACAAGAGTAATCGCGAAGCCGGCTCACTGGCATGGCGTACCTCGCGCAGCAGGCCGCAGACAGGCCTGTTGACAGCAATTTTCCCTGGTGTTTAGCGTACTTTCCCGTTCCACCCTCGCACACTCGATATCAGCAGTGAGTAGAGCCTTACCAGCCTCAAAGGCTGTCCTTTTGCGAGTCTCGCAATTTCCAGGATATTCTCTCAGCTAACTTGTCGTCAGTCATGTCAAGTAGCAACAGCAACAGCCCCGTAGCGGTCATGCCCCGGCCTGATCCCATCTTCGTCGAGCCCTGGGGTGCCAACAGCAACTTGGACCTAACGAGGCCATCCGCAACGTAAGCGTCGAAAAATGTGCGAAATACAATGCATGGGGAACTGATGCGACGCAGTGGCACTCGCTGAACAATCTGCTCGCGGAGCACATCCGCCGGAACGGGGATCACGCGCGCTTCGACCCCGTAGGCATCAGCATTCGGGATGCGCGAGCCCGCATGCTGAGAGAGGCCCACACAGCGTGGCAGAGCGAGTTTCCAGACGAGCAGGGACGGCCGTCGTGGTACCTATACAGCGAGCGCGTAAGTCACGGAGGCATACAGGGCCACAGCACCTGCATCACTGGACATAATATGCACAAGCCAGGATGAGGAAGACCTATAAGATGGATAATTGCAGCGAATGGATGGACTTGCTGACTTCGTATAGTTGTTGCGGGAAGAGGGTTCGCCTCGCCCTGCAGAGGGTCAATGGTGGTCCTCCCGTCGGGAGGGCCTCCGAGTCCTCCTGCAGGAGGTGATGGCCAGGAGAGCAGAGCGGCATCGTGCTCGGCGAGAGCAGAGGAGGGCGCTGGCGAGGCTGAACCGGCTTCTCCGTCGCCTCGCCGCAAGATCATAGGCCGTAAGTGAAGAGGAACTCCGGACGCATAGAACGGTGTGGCAATGAGAGAAGACACGCCGAACGTGCTTCGATCCACCAAGTGAGACCAGCAAACCGGCAACTGGTAGTTGACTTGGTCGGTTGCATGTTCTTCAATGCTAACGACTGCAGCGGCGCGCATCAAGGAGTCCATGGACATTCGTTTCGGCATCGTGGTAGGATAGACACCGCGGCGGAAGGGCACGTGTGCTTGGATCTAGAGTCTGGCGTCTCTTGCTTAGCAACAGAAATCATCTCGTACGTCTGCTCCATGGCGCACAAGTGCGGTGCGCGCAGTGTCGAAGAGGAAACGAGGACGGGGTGACGTTGGAAGCTGGGACGGAACGGAACATCGATCCCTGACTAATCGCAGCGATGACGTTTCGGCCCCAATGATGGCGCGAAGAGCAGCTTGGACGCCCCCGCCCAAGCTCCCAGGCTCGCAGCCTCGTGGCGTGGCAGCGCCTTCCTCCGCTCTGTACAGCGCCCATGTCTGCACATGCAGACACCGAAAAGGCCACCATGAGCGACGAACGCACGCCCCTCCTTGCCGTCGTGCAGACGCGCCCCCACCGCGACCGCTACCCGCACCACCGCCTGCGCCACATCTGCACGCTCTTCCTCTCCATCTCGCTGTTCACGGGGCTCATCGCCGCTGTGCTCATCCTCAACTTCCTGCCGCTCGCCGACGACGACGGGGACACTGCAGTCGGCATATCGCGCGTCCTGCCTGGCAAGCTGCCCGCAGGATGGCCGTACTCGAGGGGATTGGACTACGATGCGCTGGTCGACATCTTGACGGAAACGCCTGACAGCGAGAAGGCCAGGGAATACAGCCGATACTACACCAGCGGCCCGCATCTGGCCGGCAAGAACCTGAGCCAGGCCATCTGGACCAAGGACAAGTGGGAGGAGTTCGGCGTGAGCTCGCTGATTGTCGACTACGATGTGTACCTCAATTACCCCAAGGACCACCGTCTGGCGCTTTTGGAGAAGAAAGGCGACCACAGGGAGGATGCTGTCGGGATTGAGGGCGAGAGCATGTGGAAGATCACGTACGAGGCGAGCTTGGAGGAAGACGTGCTCGACGAGGATGCTACCAGTGGGCTCAAGGACCGCGTCCCGACGTTCCATGGATACAGCGCTTCGGGCAACGTGACGGCCGGCTACGTCTACGTCAACTACGGCACCTTCAAGGACTTCGAGGATCTCCAGGCTGCCAATGTCACCCTCGAGGGCAAGATCGCACTGGTCAAGTACGGCGGTGTGTTCCGCGGACTCAAGGTCAAGCGGGCACAGGAACTCGGCATGCTCGGTGCCATTATCTACACCGATCCTGGCGACGATGGCGAAGTTACCGTGGAGAACGGATACGCTGCGTACCCTGATGGCCCGGCGCGCCAGCCGAGCAGCGTCCAGCGAGGAAGTTGCCAGTTCTTGAGTAAGTGTGTCCACCTCACCGCCGTACGGCTTGCTCATGCTCTTAGGTTTCGCACCAGGCGACCCGACCACCCCGGGCTACCCCTCCAAGCCTGGTGCTCCCCGGCAGGACACCTCGCATGCGATCCCCTCGATTCCTTCCATTCCCATCTCCTACCAGGATGCGCTGCCGCTGCTCAAGGCGTTGAACGGCCACGGACCGAAAGCCTCGTCTATCAACTGGAAAGACGGCGGGCTTGGATATCTGGGCGTCGAGTACAACATTGGACCATCCCCAGATCACCTCGCCGTCAACCTCGTCAACGAACAAGAATACGTCACGACCCCGCTGTGGAACGTGATCGGTATCATCAACGGTAGCATTCCTGATGAAGTTGTTGTTTTGGGGAATCACCGGGATGCGTGGATTGCGGGTGGCGCCGGTGACCCAAACAGCGGATCTGCGGCTTTCAACGAGGTCATTAGAAGCTTCGGTATTGCTGTGCGCGCCGGCTGGAAGCCCATGCGTACCATCGTCTTCGCGAGCTGGGACGGCGAGGAGTATGGGCTTGTTGGTTCGACTGAGTGGGTCGAGGATTACTTGCCTTGGCTGTCCGCTTCAACCGTCGCATACCTGAATGTGGATGTCGGTACTCAAGGCCCAGACTTCAAGCTTTCGGCAGCCCCGCTCCTGGAGAAGGTTGTCATCGATACGGGTAAGCACAGTGACCTTCTCTACTGTTCTCAGACCTAACTGTGTACAGTCAAACTCATCCAGTCGCCCAACCAAACCATTCCCGGTCAAACCGTAGGCGATGTCTGGGACAAGCGCATCTCCACCATGGGCTCTGGCAGCGATTTCACCGCCTTCCAAGACTTCGCCGGCATCCCCTCCATCGACATGGGCTTCGGTGCCGCCCCCGGCTCAGCTGTCTACCACTACCACTCGAACTACGACTCCTTCGCCTGGATGGAGAAATATGGCGACCCATCTTTCCAGTACCACGAAACAATCGCCAAGGTCTGGGCCCTCGTCGCTGCAAAGATCATTGAGACACCTGTCCTCCAACTCAACGCCACGCGCTACGGAGCCGGGCTTCGCCGCTACGTAGACAGCGTCAAAGACAAGGCCCGCACCGCCTCATTTCCGCCGCACAAGCCCGACGAGATCTTCGCGGGTCTCGACGCCGCGGTCGAACGCTTCCAGTTCGCCGCTACCATCCACGACGGCACGGCTGACGCGCTTGCACAGCGGCTCATCGACGATGACATACCATGGTGGAAGTTTTGGGAGAAGCTGCAGCTGTACTACGCTATTCGCAAGGTTAATACGAAATACAAGTTGCTGGAGAGGCAGTTTTTGTACAAAGAGGGCTTGGATGGCAGGAGTTGGTTTAAGCATGTCGTCTTTGCACCCGGCAAGTGGACCGGATATGCGGGTGCAACGTTCCCCGGCATCGTCGAGGCGATTGACGAAAAAGATGAAGCCGCCGCGTTCAAATGGACTATCATTGCAACGGAGATAGTCGACGGGGCGAGCGACTGGTTGGAGGCGGAGTAGAACGTGTGTGGAAGAAATTGTTTGTATATATGAAAGCGAGCGAGCGAGCCAGCGAGATACCCAGACTACACGTACATTCGTTTGAATTAGGGTTTATTGTCATTGACATTTTAGAACAGGTGATTTTTGAAGCATTGGTCATTGGGGTGCTGGAGGAATAACGGTTGAACCAAGGAAGGTGTGCCTACAGTTCATCATGTGAGGGACACATGACGTGCCATACTTCATGTCATACGGCCACGGTTCAACTATGCGATATGAATTAACAGATCAGTAGCTCCCCACGGCTAAACGGTCTGATGGATGCTACACAGGGAATCGGTTGATGCACCGCTTCGAGAGTCGACTGGATAGGCTTCTGAGCATCACCGATCGGGGCTGGAAGTTGTATGATTCGCGCTCAACTTGTGTGACATTAGCTTTTGTGAACGGGATTCAGCACTGCCAGGACTGAGTCCGGTGGTTTTGAGTTAAACCTAGGGCTCCCGTCATATTCATCACGTGGGGTCAACGATTCCAGGGTTGATATGCGGGTAGGACCATGTGACCGAAGGAAGATAACAAGGTGGGAAAGGGAAAAAGACACACCGCTCTCGTCTTAAGAGAGAAGGTCTCATGCTTTTGGACCAATCCCTCCTGAACCAGCCTCTGCCCCCTGGTCACATTTTCCTGGTTAGGGCACATGGTACCCGGATACCAGCATAGCACACAAAGAAGTTTGGAAGGGCATTCCACGTTGATCCTTGAGCGAACAGGTGTTTCCAACTTTTAGTCCCCGTAGATGTCTGCCACGAATCCGACGTGATGGAATTGGAGCGTGTCAGGATTCATGGATATATGGTCATTGGACGACACTGATCGGGCATCTAGTCAATTTTTTCTGCAGACGTCACTGTGAGCGATTGGCTGCTGAGGTGGAAACCGCGTGATTAAGATTGCATTTTGGTCGGATGGAGCCGTAAACCGCGCTCCACCGCTAGTGTATAGCGAAGCATTTCTAGATGAATAAAATTGCCATACTTTGGTGATGGGAAACGGGAAACAGACTTGATGTTCACATAATCTAACACGTACTATCACCCAGCGGATGAGGATCAGAAGAACGCCAATTGTATTAAATACCATGGGGTGTTGACATGCAATAGAAATGTCTGGACACCCATCTTACCCACAGACACGAACCTTAGTCTGCGAGCCATAATGGCCATGCCGCAATGGAGATACTGCCTCTCACCTCAAGTTACAGCTGATTCCCGGTGCGTAGTATAGCGCGTTGTGTTTCTCTACCCTAGGTGCCTGACTCCCACCAGCTATAGCAAAGCATAGCAGACAAGTTTCCAGGGGGATTGATCGTGACCATCCTCAGCCGCCTCCACAAGGACATGCTCACCAATGATCGTCAGCCGCTATGAAGATGTCTGAGCCGCTCTCTTACGCTGAGACACTGACCTGAATCTCGAGCGTCCGATAAGGCTCTGCGCTACAACAGCACAGCCATCGTAGTACCAGGGTGATGTCAATGGATCAACACTCCTTTCCTCGGCTGCATTGTGTTGCAAGTGTAGTGCGCTTTTGATTACTCTCCCCCTCGCTGCCTACTCCCACCAGCTATAGAAGTGCGTGGTTGGCAAGACCCGATATACAACGGTGTCTCCATGGCAAACGGGGTTCTTTTGAGGTCAGAGTTGATCCTCGGCGGTCGCCGAGTGTCGCACGCCAATGATCGTTGAATAGATTGTATGGACGAGGCACTCCGCTAACCATAGCCATAGCTAGGCTAGCTGTAGGTATAGAGATATCATCTACATTGGGGAGATAGTATCAGCTTCTCTTTGACTCCTCGTCCACAGAGCATCAGAACCAAGGTGTCCCGAAGCTACACCTGGCTTCCAAGCCCTTTGATCTCCCCTTGTCCGGTAACCCACCAATCTATTAGGGAGCTTGGTGGGCCGACTCAGATGGAGGGTATTGTGTGTGGCGATCCTCAGCAGCGCGGGAGAGACGCTTCGTGCCTGTCAATGGTCGTTATATATCAGTGAAATGTATGGAAACTCACTCACGAATAGCATATTGAAGGTCTACCCGGTGTGAGTTGCCACAGCAGCCAGAGTGTGCCAGATCAACTGAAGGCCGGGGTTGACGGCTCCCGCACGCTCAACAGGGAGACCACACCTGGTGTCGATGCTCTTGATCTCCCATGCTACTGCCTCCCACACGACTCTGGGTACGTGGTCGGCCGGGAAAGTGCAGTTTTCTTCTGTAGTTGTGGGTGTATGTCCGTTCGAAAGCTCGCACTATAGACATTGGCCTTTGTCATAGTACTTATCTGGTGAATGCGTCGAGACCACAGCGATGCCCCGAAGTGCAATTGAATCGCCAGTGGCATGATTGCTCTTTCCCCTGTTTCTTGCCTTCGCAGGATGGGTAGCTGCCTGCAAAGGTGTTTGAAGGGATTTTGTGACGCCACAAGTTCGGTGCGGGGCCTTCACGGGATTGCGACGATGCGAGACTGGCGCCGTCGTAGGGACGGGTCTCTTGCTCGATCACGCGTGCGTTTGAGAGGGAGAGGCAAGCAAGTCCTGATCGATCTCGACAGAGGCGGGCGCGACGAGTTGTACTTGCTGCAGCTGTCAGTAACGGAGCGATCGAGTGGAACATAGATACCGCGAGTGCAAAGATGTGAATGCAAGCACAAGGTGCTGCGCAAGATCCTACGAGTAAGACTGCGACATCTGAAGCGTCGGGCGAAAGAAAGGGGTTAGATGATCTCTGACAGTCGGATACGAAGGTGCGGGACATTTGTTGTGTTTGTGTGGACGCGGCGTGAGGGGCAGGTCATTTCGGAAGGCAGGAGCACGTGATGTGCGACGAAGCAATCCGCAGTGAAGTAGGCAGGACTCCAAGCATCCACTATTTGCTTATTCTTTCAGACCTCTCTTCGGCTTCAGTTGCAACAATCTCAGCTTTTCTCTACTCAAAAAGACTACATGTCCACTAATTTCACTATACTCGTTACCCCAGCCGGAGAGCAACGGAAGCTCTTGCGCAGCATCCGGTGTCGCGTCACCTAAACTTCCGCCCTCAAGGCTGGAAGCTTCAAGAATGCCGTCAAGGCTCTCGAGAAGACTACCTGTCTCTCTCTTCTTCTGTATTTCTCCGGCCTGCAGGTCCTAGAGAGCGCGTTAGCAGACTAGATGACAAGCTCGAGGGTCGCAACGAAGGCAGGGTGGAGGCATGGGTGGAGAAGTGCGTCCGCGATCTCGAAGCCTACACAAAGGCCTTAAAAGAGCTTGCAGAAACTCAGACTCGGATCAGATTTTACGAACTTTAAACCCAGAATGCTCAAGAGCTCTTCGTTTACACAATTCTGTAAGGGAAGTTCATCTCATAAATCCTCTTCAATGCTGACCCATACAGCTACGAAAAGAAGGTCCAGAAGGCCAAGGAAGCCGGAAAGGCTTCTTTACTCGACTACGCCGCTCACGTTTGCCCGACTACTGTTTGTCCAAATACAATGAGCTACCAAACTCTCTAGGTGGCTGTGCACGCAAACCGTTATCACATTCGATCTGTATTCTGGTCAAATGGTTGGAGTAGAAGAAGAAGGAGAGGGAGAGAGATCAAGAACTGGACGTGGGTGAGGGTCGATGGGAATGAGGGAGGTAGCAGGATCGTTGATTGGCAAGAGGATTTTGGATCACGTAGACAAAGACCTTTTGGGCTTGTAGATTCAACAACTGCTTTCATTGACATCACATGTGCTTCAGTTCAATGTGCTGTTATGAAGTCGATCAACTAGAGCCATGACGTTTTTTTTTCTCCATATCCCACACCTTCAGTAACATCCCGATGATCCCTTGGAGCGAGTTGGAGGGAATCATACTCTGCTCATCGCGCTGCAAATTCGCCGGCTCCTTAGCCTAGTTCGGGCCGTACCTAATCATCTTCCTACATAGGAATTAGCTCATTCCTTAAGCCAGCGTGAAATCATTTCCTCATCAGCGTCAACGAGATTCTGTATGTAGGCTCTGAAATGGCCATGCGGCGTCGGCCGCTGCCACAATGACTTCAAATGCAAAACCCCAGACCCCTGACCACTCTGAGCGTTGGCTGCACCCATCAATAGACGGGCCAGGGGTCCAGTGAAGGAAAGGCGCCTTGCGACGTGATGATGTGGAGGAGGTCATGTTACTGGTTATGATTGGTACCCCCGGCCCTGGCGTCATGATCGTCATTGCAAAACGCGGATTCAATCCTGTGCCCCTGTTACTTCATCAAGTTCTCGAGTACAGCTGCCATTAATCATCACGTCTTTGCCAAGCTTTTACCAATCCTGAACACCAACATCCCGGTCCAATTGTAATCTATTCCCATTATGTCTCCCAAACATCGATTACAGACTCTTATAAGAATTTACCAGCAAGGCACAGAGCCACCTTCAATGTTCTTTACCGCGAATTGGGGAATTCTCATTCGCTCTGCAGAGGGCTCATAATATGTACATGCTGTCTGCAAGATGGCTACATGCTTTGGTTCATAGTCATTCACCCTGACATCGTTAGTCTCTCGTTATTCTTCCCTCCTACCCTATTTATCTTCATCGGTCTTGTTCGAAACGCTCAAATTGCGGATCTATTTCGTTTTGGCGAAAATCGCGTTCGATTTCGGCCAAGGCATGTTCACAAGTCTGACCCGGTGTGCGGTAGGGCGGAGCTAGCGAGTTTCAACATCCGCGCGATAAATAAGGGCTAGCTATCTTAGCATAAGACGTCAGTCGAGTGCCTGATGCTGTTCCATCATGATTGCGAAGACGTAACTTTCTCTCCACTTCTGTCCGTTGGGAAGAAAATATGATGATGATAGTTTTTGAGCTGCGTAAAATGTGCCGCACATATCAGTGCACGGCTTCCAGGTTTGAGTCGGACACAACACAAAGAAATTGGTAAGCTATTGAGTCGAAAGGAGAGAGTAATTGGGACGTTCGACGTTGCATCTTCTTTGAGCGTACCATGAATGTACAAATCCTACGTGTAAGCCTTCCTACGTGGCTCAACTCAGGTACCTGATGATCTGGTTGCCTATTGAGTTGCTTCGTGTGAGTTCCTGTCAATGAAGTCAGTGAGG